ACCACTACACCATAGGTCCCTGTGCTTGTTCCCTTCTACAATAACCTATATTGACTATCTTTCTGGACTTAGAGAAATCTGCAATTGCTGCCCCCTGTTAGCCCAGCCCCTGTGCATCCCTGGGCTCTCAGACTGGCCTCATTTCTTCTTGGCACTATCTGTTGCCTTGCAGACCTTGTGTAGACTCATAATTTGCTCAAGGGCAGGCTTCTTGTCTCACTTTGCATGCTTAAGTGTTCTTTTGCTGTCTCTCAACCTTAACAGGTCAAATATGTCCAAATCCCTGACAATATGACTTTGACCACAGCATCTGTTGTAAGTAGGGTAATATACTCATAATCCCAGGAAAAAACAAATAATCTTTATTTGTACCCCATTACTGTTGCCAGATATAGTATGTGTTAACTTGTCAGGTGAAATCTTGGTGAAGTCTTCATATTGAGCAATCTGACATCTCATCATGCATATTTTCTAGTTAAGAGGTCATTTTCCAACTAATGTGTACTTATGTGTCTTAATCTGCAGAACTAAAGTTGCATATCTTCCAACTTGGGCACAAGACAAATTTCTCAAAGGTACTATAATTAACTTCAGCAGTCTTCATGCACATGGTGCACTTAATTGAGGAACACAAGTTGTGAAAGATTGAATAAGATCAGGTGTTCTTCATTCAAGACTGCTGAAGTTAGAAGTGTTTTTCCTGATGAGTAAGACCTTCCAGAACGTCAATCGTCGACTTTTGACTTGGGGAACGGTGTTCTCGGCCTACCCGAACATGGAGATCATACATCGAGCCGGTCGAGTTCACTCTAATGTCGATCCCATTTCAAGATTGAGAAGACGTGTTCCAATTGAGCAAGGACCTTCTACCGATCCGACTACGTCTCTGTCCTTGAAGGACGAAGTCGATGACCCGCTAAAGGATATGTACGAGTCCTTGAGCCCCAAATTCGAGGAGAAGCTTCTCAAAGTCGCGTCCAGATTTTGTGAAACTCTATCCTCCGACGATAACGACCATCCAATATTTGAGGAGACAGTTCTGATCGACCCAGACCAACCGTCTATCGTCTATCAGGCGGCTTGCAATTACTCTTTAGTAGTCGGACTATCGGAACAATACCACCGACAACTAGTTGAGGGGTATCAGTCCGACAGTCACTATCGAGAGATTGTAAAGACGCTTCGTACAGAGGAAAGCGTAACCAATTCAAAGTATCCTCAGTATAGTCTTGGTGAAAACGGTCTGGTCTACTTCACCGATCCCTTGGGTAATAATCGACTCTGCATTCCTCAGAAGGAACGGCTCGAGCTCATGAAGGAGGCCCATGATCGAGAAACGGAAGGAGCCCACGCGGGTTACCACAGGACGTACAATCGGTTGGCCACAACGTACTACTGGCCGGGAATGTCTCGAGACATTAAGCGATATACCTCTACCTGTGATATTTGTCAAAAATCCAAGCCGAGGAGACACGCACCAGTCGGGTTACTGCAACCGATCCCAGTTCCAACTCAGCCGTTTGAAGTCATTACAATGGACTTCATACCGGAATTGCCGAACTCTTCAGGGTTTGACAATATCCTGGTTATAGTAGATAAGCTTACGAAGTATGGCTTATTCATTCCTACTACTACCAAGATCACTGAGAAGGAAACAGCTAAGCTCTTGTTTGACCAAGTATTCAAGGAATACGGTCTGCCGAGACAGATAATTTCTGACCGAGATATCCGCTGGCGAGGTGAATTCTGGAAGGAAGTCTGTCGACTTATGGATATTCAACGATCTCTTACTACGGCATACCATCCACAGGCGGACGGTCAAACAGAAGTACTCAATCAGACGTTGGAGATTTCCTTGCGAGCGTACATTGGACCGACCCGAGACGACTGGTCCGATCATGTAGGTCCACTTCAATTATCATACAACTCGACTCCGCACTCTGCAACCGGTTTTGCTCCGGCCTATCTTTTACGAGGATATCACCCGATCACGGCGAGCAAGTTGCTTCACTCTCCCGAGAGCGTTCAGCAAGAAATTGGAAACTCAACTCATCCGAACGCAGTCGATCTCGCTACTAGGTTTGAAGCTGATCGTCGCCAAGCCCGAGAAGCTCTACTTTTAGGCCAGGTGTATCAGAAGCGAGCCTATAACAAGGGACGACTGGAAGTCGAGTTTGAAGTAGGCGATCAAGTAGTCCTGAACGTTCACTCGCTGGAATTACTTCGCGCAGAGACTGGCCGAGGACGCAAGCTTCTTATGAAGTACGATGGACCTTTTGAAGTTATCGACAAGGTCAGCTCCGTCGCATACCGGATTCGACTACCCGAGTCATACGGAATGCACCCGGTAATAAACATCGCGCATTTGGAGCAGTACAATGCGTCTCCGGCCGAATTTGGGAACCGACCGATCAAGAGACTTAATCGGTTGGATTTCAATGAACTACCTGAGTATGAGGTCGACTGCATCGTCAATGAACGACGACGCAAGGTTAACGGTCGACGTCGACTCGAGTACAGAGTTCGATGGGTCGGATACGGACCGGAATCCGATGAGTGGCTACCAGAGGGTCGATTAAGGAACGCACCCGAGGTGGTGAAGGAGTGGAAACAACGCAAGATCGAGTCTAGGCCTTACTCGATTGTGCCACCAGGAAGATTGTCTGACCATTCTGGTCAACAATAAGGTCGAGCTAAGCGACCTAAGCGAAGGAATACTCTATCTCTTTGTTTAATTCTGTGAATTTTGCTGCATTATGCTCCAACGGTGGAGTGGCTCACTGCGGCCATCCATATAAATACGCTCCTTTCCAACCGATTTCTTCAGCCAATGTGCCCTTCCAACTCCAGCAAGTCCAACTCTCATGTCGCTGTCTATTGCCCCTCAAAGTGCCGACATCATCGCCCCGCTGAACGACCCGGGAGCTCTTTCAGCAGTAAACCCCTTCGCCGAGACGACCCTGTTCGTGGGGAACTTCTTCACCTGGACTCCCGACGACAACATGTTCTTCGAGCACCCCGGAGGAAACGGGGCAGTCGTTCTTAAGAACGGGTACGCCGACGCGATCTGGATCGCTCTGGCAATCACGCATGGGCAAATGCGTATCAACCAGTCGGTCCTCGACGTAGCCCGCGAGTTAGGGCTAGCCGATCCTCCATCCTGGCTACTACACCCTTTCTACCGCGATTTCAACCTACTCCAAAGCCCTTTTGTTAGCCGCGAAGCCGCTTGCAACACGATCGCTCGGGCCCAACGTTGCGGGCTTGACGCAATCACTTGGACCGCGAATTTCGTCCGAGTTAGCTGCAATAATCCCCACGTCTTCCAGCGCATTCAACATGGAGAACGTGGCCTGATCGAGTACTACCGATCGATCTGTTGGCCTGAATGGGCTGCCGAAGGAAACCCCGTCCGCGCACTCGTCCTTCATCCCACTCTGGCGAGAGGTAACGAGGAACAGTACCGTCCTACCTCGCCGTACTTTGGAATTGCGCCACGCAATCAAGTCTTGACTGCGCGCACGGTCGATCCCCGCCAGTCGGCTAGACGCATTGCGGAGCCGACCGAGGTCGAACTCAGCACCTTCAAGCAAGACATGCTAGGACGCTCGGTTGCTCCGATCGATCGACTCGAGACGATCGAGGAGGAAGTCGAGTTTGCTGAGGTTGGAGTCATGACTGACCCGGTCGAGGAAGATGAAGACTTTGACGAGTTGATGGTTGAAGAAGATCATGCGATGTAGACTGAAGGATTACGGTCTTAAAGTCTTAGGGGGGGTAGTTCGGGGGTGATGATCGATCTCCGTGTATGAATACAGTCAGATGGTTGCAATTTTCTCGCTTATACATCGCTCAATGACTCAGACAAGCATGATTCATTCAAGACTACAACGACAGCGATAACAGCATACAAAACGAGGAAAGCAACTATCTACGATTATTCTAAAAGAGACTTCTAGACCGATCAGAAGGCACGATCTTTCCCCTTACCGCTAACTCCCTTGCCGGTTGAAGAACTCGAAGCTATTCAAGATTCAGTCATTCAGTATGGTCCAAAAGAAAGGTGTTCAATCTTACCCTGAGTACGACCGAGTTGATACTGGAGCGATTGATTCTGCGCTTCCAAGGACGTTACTTGAGCCTGGAGCGCCGTATACGCTGATCGCTGTTGATCAAGCTCCAATTGAAGAGCGGTGATTAAACCGGCTTGATCGTTCAGAGTGCGGCCTTGAGACTCAATCACCCGTTGCATGTGAGTGGTTGCAGAGGAAGGCCCGGGTCCAGCTTCGACCGGTCGAAGAGCCGAAGAGAGAGGCGAAGGGAAGCTTGACGCTTCAGTCGAGGGAGGACCGAGGTGGGACAAGCCCGTCAAAGGAGAAGGACCGATCAGAGGGCTGGGCAGCTCAACCTCAGGAGAAGTCCTGAGCCGCTTGCGAGGGGGTTCCTGGAACAAACAAGAAGTTAACCAGAACTAAGGAAAGTCGATCGACTACTTACCTTATCGACCGTCGCCCAAAATAATCTGCCATTTCCCAGAATTGAACCCCTGACCTGCTAAACTAATTTCCCACACTCCCAGCACAAACTTGTGACCACTACACCATAGGTCCCTGTGCTTGTTCCCTTCTACAATAACCTATATTGACTATCTTTCTGGACTTAGAGAAATCTGCAATTGCTGCCCCCTGTTAGCCCAGCCCCTGTGCATCCCTGGGCTCTCAGACTGGCCTCATTTCTTCTTGGCACTATCTGTTGCCTTGCAGACCTTGTGTAGACTCATAATTTGCTCAAGGGCAGGCTTCTTGTCTCACTTTGCATGCTTAAGTGTTCTTTTGCTGTCTCTCAACCTTAACAGGTCAAATATGTCCAAATCCCTGACAATATGACTTTGACCACAGCATCTGTTGTAAGTAGGGTAATATACTCATAATCCCAGGAAAAAACAAATAATCTTTATTTGTACCCCATTACTGTTGCCAGATATAGTATGTGTTAACTTGTCAGGTGACCTCGTCCTCCTCCTCCTCGACCTCTTCATCCTCCTCCTCCTTTTCTTCTTCGTCTTCCCCTTCGCTGTCTTCACTGTCCTCGATCTCGTCCGATTCTTCGTCAGTCATTCTGACGTCTTCATCAATCTCCTCGGAGGAAGATCGATCGACTTGGACGGATCGTTCCTCTTCCAGCCCACTCCATTCCTCGAACTCTTCGTCCCCGGGCAAGCCGATCTCAGGAGAGATTCTTCTGGGTAGATTCTTTCTAGTCCTCGATCGACTAGCAGTCTAGTCAACAAGAAGAGTTAGAATCAGTCAAGTCAGAAAATGAAGTCCTTACCGGGTGGTCCTTAACGAAGCTGCAACCGACTCTTTTGCGGTTGCATTCGGCACATGCAGTCAGTCCATCCCGGACGAAGCACGGGATTGTGGTTTTTCCTCGGCTCTTAAGGCATTTTGCGCAGCGAAGTTCGGCCTTATACTGATTGTCACGGTCAGTAGGAATAAGCGGTCAATCTTTGAGTACTCACCAAAGTTCCGTCACCTAAGAACTCGGGATTGGAGTCGGGATCGACTCCGTTTGGAGGAAGAAGAGCCGCTTCTTCGATTCCCAGCTTGGTCAGAGATTTGAAGTCCATCTCTGAAGGCTCAGGACTATTCGATCTGGAGGAGACGGGAGACATGGCTCGACTTGGAGTAAAGGAACCGGTCGTATCTTGATCCTCGGCTAGAAGCAAGTCGTCAGTAATTCGGGGAGGCCCTCAACTGAGACTCACTGAAGAGGCGAGACCCAGCTAAAGGAGGTCAGCCAGAGGAAGTCGAAGACAAGGAGAGTTCAAGGACTCACCGATCCATTGGTGAACGAATGACCGCGCCGCGGCGTCTATTTGAACCACGGAGATCGGATCGCCTTCGCGGATCGGGACATCCCATTGGTCAACCGGATGACCGTGTCGAGCCATATAGCTCTGGAGCGATCTAGTCCAGCCAAGGCCATCTTCGGGATCGTCGTGCCATTGGTAATCCCAAACATCCTCCAGGATAGAAGGAAGAGGATGCTCGTCCCAATTTAGTGAGTCCAGCCAGTCATCGGTCTTACTTCGATCAGTTCAATGATCGAGGAGGTCTAATGATCGACTTACAAAAATATGGATCATCAAGATTCGTTCTATTGCGCGCCAGTCCCATGGTCCGAGGATGACGTACCGAACCGTTTCCTGAAGTCGATATAGTCGAGCACCAGTCCAGTAGTCGGGTGGAGGATCATGGAAAAGAACTCGATCGACCCTTTTGTGTTTTGCCTTGCCGACCGATCGCATATAGTCAACAAAGCCATCGTAAGTCACAGGGCCGACCATAGTAAGGATTAAGCTAGTTCGCGATCCTAGGCAAGGGGGGGTATGTTAGGTAGGCCTAACGTCAAAGGGATTGCCTAAGTCGCGAAAGCCTGTCAAAGTGGTTAAGCGCTGACACGTGACTTACGGCGAAGACCTTCCTTTCCGGTACAAGTCCTTACTTACCCTTTAGAGTCAGTATCAGCTGATCCCGGAGATCGCTCGGGCGAGGGATCGACTTGTCTAGACTCGGCAAGGGCAACCGAACTAAAGCCGATCGGTTCGGTCTAAGAACAATGAGTATACGGGGTACTCGACCGAGGACATTGGAAAGGCTATTGTTCTCTTGTAGAATATTCTAGTACGTTTGGAATGTATTTAAACACTGTGGTAGTGACCAGACAAATAACACTCTCTTGAACTTCAATCTATCGGTGTGAGCCACTCGATCGTCCATAGCTCCGCGCTGGACATACTAAGGTCGATCGTACTTATAGCCGTGCGCTAAGTCGATCTACCTTGACCCCTTCATTAGTATAGCCTCGCGCTACTCTGAAGGGTTCGGTAAGAGTAAGCTTCATCGATCTACGGTTAGAGTCGGGTTCGTGTTTAGTGGCATCCTCAACTATTGTTGTAACGCTCTATTCACTAAAGTCGTAACCGACTTACTTTGCTCAACCAAGTTTCTTAGCTTCATTAAGAACGTAGGCACTACTGTGCCACTCCGGACTTAGTGCGTGAACTTGTTGAGCGAAATCGATTCTCGATCGACTAAACCTCATAAGTCGATCACTCAAATCGTTGTGTTAATCCTCTTCACAACGAGATAATCCTCAATTCATTTCTTAACTAAGGCGACTACGATTACGTAACTACCGACGGTTGTTACTAAGTAAGTACTCGGTAAGTTAGCAATCCCAGTCCATAACACCGTCGTGCAAGGCATACCATCCTCGACGCCGGTGCAAATACCACCGCAGCCTGCAAGAAGGGTGTTCAAAAGCGCCACAAGGCGACGGGGACAGCTTGAGGGCGAGGACAGGTGAGTACAAGCCCTGCCCTCTAGTCTCGAGCGCGATAACACGCGAGTACACAGCGATGACGAGCACGCGGGCAAATGCCACACGTGCAAACGTAGCCGACAGATACAACACGAGCACCGGCGACCACGGGTACACTGGGCAAAGACCCAGCATGGTCGGAGCGCGACCAACAAGCGGACACCCCGCGCGGAACACGGGCAAGCAATGGGCGACGGCACACACGCTGACTGCGAGCGCACTCGGCGAATGCCCAGCACGCAAGCACGGCCGACGAACGGACCCCACGCGTGTGAGCAAAAGACCGGCGACGGCGACATTGGGCAGGGCCGGGGCACGCGCAACACACGCCGACTGCGAGCGTGGAGGGCGAATGCCTACTACGCAAACATGGCCGACAAGTTGTCAGCGCACACACTGGGCGGACAACCAGCAGACAGTGTACACGCCAACCGCGAGCACGCTTGGCGAATGCCCAGCACGCAAACGTGGCCGACGAACACACACGCAGGTGGGCGGGCACACGCAGGCGACGACGACATGCATGGCGACGACGAGCACGCCGGGCGAATGCCCAGCACGCAATCGCAACCGCTAAAACGGACCGCGCGTGCGTGACGGAAGAACGGGTGAGGGCACGCGGAGGACTGGGCACGGACGGGTATGGCATCAGCGGTGGGCAGGGCCGGGACGCGGCAAGAACGGGCGGGTGCAAGGGGGAGTGAGCGGGGAGGGTCGGAATGGGTGAGCGTGAGCGGACAAATGGGGAGGAGGGCGAGAGAACGGCGGGGGCGGGTGCAGATGCGCCAACCCCCACATGTAACCGCGCGATAGGTAAACTCGCGGTTCACCGCCAACACCGGCGGTGAAGCTCTCCAATGCGAGCCTGAAGCGCCAGCATTCAGTAGACAGCTAGATATGTAGATTATGGCATTGCTATGGTTCGTGGGCCTGCAAGCCCCGGTACACGAAAATTCCGTGAGACTTCACTGGCAGTAAGCGTGTCAGTAGCTACGTATCACAAGCCGTTAGCAAAATGCGCCTTTTGCTAATGACTGACAGATGTGAGCATTGAGTGACACGCTGACGGTTTGTAACGCTTTTGCGTTAGCATCCGTCAGCGCGTCAGCAACCGTTAGCAACCGTTAGCAAAATCGGACTTCTACTGATGCACCGACGCCTGCCCATGAGCGACCCCAACCGTTCCCCCCTCGGACCTCCTCAGCTGGAATTACCGGCCACTACCTGACCAACAACACACTCCTAGACTGATTATACGGACACACAAGGACGCCGTAACTGAGGACTGTCCGGTATACTTTGAACCCACAGTTTCGGGAGACACTGACGTCGAGCGCGATGCGACCCTGGTGAGCATCAGTATGATTAAATTGAAGACGCCAGGGATCTTAGCTAATGACACCCTGTACGAGAACAACGCGCGACAATAACACCCTCAACCAACCAGCTCCAGAAAGAAGCTACAGAATGCCCTGAAACTAACGACAGCTGGTTGGAAAGGTGCCCGCTACGGGGCAGAAGCCAGCGGCGGCCCATCCCCCTCGACAGCGGACTGACATAACTCTATTCGCTCCCGCAAGGACCCAACCACTCCGTGCAGAACTAGGAGACCACATCTCCAAAACGACGAACAAAGACCATCGATATAGCCACGCCCCCGACGCCGCAAGGACACGATGCTGTGAATCAATTTCAATCCATGCCACTCCTGGCACCTGCACGACAGCTGGGATCCAGGATGCTGCCCACTGACCGCAGCCTCCCGCGACGACAAAAAAAATGGGCCTGCTAGGGAGACTTAAAAAGAGGCTGGAGAACGAACCGAGTTCTGAGTGCCCAATAAGCAGTAACTCTCAGTACGCATCCCCGCTACTTCGTCTTCCTGCTACCGTGCATTTTTCTGTCATGTCTCAGCCTCCTACCAACGTCGCCCCCGCCTCCCTGCAGTCGAGCCCCGAAGGGCCGGAGAACGCCTCTGGTGCCCAAGGAGGACCCCTGAACAACAACAGAGCTCCCTCGCCCACCTACGCCCAGATGGCGGCGAGGCCTCCGTCCCCTAGGCCGGGAAGCAACTCACGCGGAGCAGCGTAAGTGCTACACTACTAAACACGAACTACTGTCTAAATGAAGTCAGCAGCGCCCCGGGTGGAACGACGCCCGCCACACCCCCGCCGACCCCACAGTCAATTGCGTCCCCGGACGTGGCCCCGTTCACGCGTACGCTTATAACACCGCGTCCCCCTTGCGTCTGCTAACTTACAACGACAGAGAGGACCGTCGAGCCCGAACCCGAGGACGACAATGACCAAGGATGGGCAACCGTCCAGCCGTCGAAGAAGGCAAAGAAGAATAAGACCAAGAAGGGCAAAGGGAAGGCTAAGGAAGCCGGCCCAAGGCCGACCCCGGCCGTGATTGCTGCCAGCTCCCCTGTGCCGCCCTCGCCCCCGAAACTCGAACCAAGGAAGCGCCGCCGCGTCGCCTCAGAGGACGGTGGGGACGACCTGTCATCGGACAAACACCAGAGTGCACCGCCGCCGACCGCCTTCCCGTCGAACTCGCTCCCAATCTTCGGCCAAAGCTCACCCTCCCCTTCCTACTTTGCCACAACGATGAACTTCGACGACAACGAACCCACGGACAATGGGAGCGACATGGACATCGACACCACCGTCGACCTCCGCGCTGATCAGTTCGGCCAGCCCGCTTTCCTCCGAAGTGACTCTCGCGCGGGCCCTACCCAATCATACGACCTCTCACAGCCCGTCGCGCCGACGACCCCTAGACCTAGCTCGTCGTCTGCGAGGAGATCTGGCCGCAGGAGCGCGAACGAGAACTCAGGCATATACGGTGTGTTACCCACTGCGTTAGCCAGAAGAGTCCAAGCTAATGCATGAGCCTCGCAGCGGACCACCCGTTCCCGTTGCGACAAGACCCAGCCTCATCGCGTGACCCACGTACTCCCACCCAGTCGCGCGGCCTGCGCGCTAGGACTGCAACGCCGGCGGCCCCGTCGAGACCTTCGACAAGGACGAGCCACAAGCGACGCGAGGAACGATCCCCTACGCCTCAGACCCCTCGCAATATCCACGAGACGAGCGATGACGAAAGGACGCCCCGCAGCACTGCACCCCGTAGCACTGCGCCCCGTAGCACCGCACCCCGCGAGTCGTCCTCTGAAGGTCGCAGCCCGACACCTCCTCGCCACAAATGCGGCCGAGGACGCTACTCTGTAGCACGCGCTACGAGGCGTCGTGACCAGCCAGAACCTGCCCGAACCCCATCCCCGGACCCCTACAACATCATAATGCAGGACCCCGACATCGTCGTAGCCCCCGCGGGTACCTACAGGCGCGTACAGGGTGACCACATCGACTGGAAGAAGAAGAACATGGACCCAGGGCAGGTTAAGGCCTGGGAGGAGCTTGTCCGCAAGAGACCAACGGTAGCTGTACAAGTTGGAGAGCTAGGTACGGAGGGGCCCGGTATCGGCGAGCGTGTCGACGAGATTGGCTCCATCCTCTTCCGCCTCTCTCAAATCCCGGACGTACTCGTCATCCCTGCGCACGGACCCAAGCCGGCACAGCCTCTACAGACGCTACGTAGCGCGAGCACTCCTAAGCCCGCGAACAAGGACCCCGTCTGGTACTTGATCGACGGCCTGACCGACAAATGGTGCGCCGCTCTCATCCGTGCTGCGTGGCTCAGCACGACGAAGATCTCCCTTAACTTCGAGGCCTGGACCCACGAGATCCCCCGTCTATGCGCTGCGTTCCGCCTCACCTTCCGCTTCCGCGCTAAATCCAAGGAAGACTACGACGCGATTGTCCGCCGCGAGCTCCTTGATTCGGACATCCAGAAGGTGATAATTGACGTTCTCCTTAGGGACATCGCGAAGGGCGGGCGCTGGAAACGTTATACGAGGGACGATGCCTTCGGCGAGATTCTAGACTCCGTCGACGTCGACGTCGTCACTTGCAGCATTACCGCGCACCTCTCCGAGCCGGTCGCGTTCATCCACATCACCCCCCCCACGGCCGATTGGCAGGACTGGCTACTGTTCTGCAAAGCGATCAGTCAGCACGGCTTTGGCTCTACTGCGTACGGCCATCCTGTCCCATTCACTGGACGCACCTACTGCGGCTACTGCCACTCCCTGGGACATACGTCTGGCCATTGCTCTGTGCGTTATGTACCTGGCTGGCACCAACCGCCGCCGCACCTTCTCCTCCAACAGCAGGCGAACAACGCCCGAGGCGCTCCTCGTGGTGGGAGGGGACGTGGCGGCGGGCGTGGGCGTGGAACTAGTGGCCGTGGCTTCTAACTCGTATGAACAGTCGTAAACTCTACAGGAACGATCTTGCACGCTACCCCAGTATACACGAGCACTTGCAACGTATGCGCTACGACTCTTGTACGATATTAAAACTGCCTCATGCTGTGTACCACCGTTTTCTTGAATGTCACCCTTTTGACCGCACTCCCTCGACCTGGAACGACTGATATCAGCACGACTAACGGTGTGCCCAAATCTACTGACCGCATAGCGGGACAGGAAAGCCACCGTGTGCACGATCTCAGCCAAGAACACTGCGAACACTGAGGGGCACTACTAGACTTGCCCCGCCGAGAGGCTTAAGCGACACCCTCGCCACCTGCGAGGACTAGCATGTCCCCTGAGAGACTCAGGAGCAGTCTCCTCTTGCCGTGGATCGTTGTAGCGGCAAGTATGATTAGCAACGGCGCCAAACGAAATATCAACCCCACACACGGATGTACTACAGACACAAGGCCAAAGCTCTTCCGGACGGCTAGGAGCTGACACGCCCCCTGCCCGTAGAGGCTCCAATGACCCCTCGGAAGGAACGGAGAGCAGGGCGACCCTCCGTGGCGCAAGCAGGCTGGGCACAGAGGGTAGCGTACACCTCCCCAGCAATGACGGGATAGATACTATCCAAACTTCGGCACGAAAGAGGGGCCGTAAGACGAAGGCAACACTAACAGTAGCCTCGCTCAATATGAACGGGAAAGGCCAGCTCACTGGCATCTCAAACAACAAGTGGAACTCGCTGAACCAACTCCTACGCGACGATAGGATTGGCATAATAGCGCTACAAGAGTCCCACCTAGACACGGAAGCTGTAGACATGATCCATAGACTGTACGGAAGACGAATGCATGTAGCCAACGGGACTCCTAACAGAGGGACGGCCTTCGTCCTGAATAGAGAACTGGTGGATGTCAGCCAGGTAACGACAACAACAGTAATACCAGGGAGAGCTCTATCAATCAGGACGCGTTGGCACAATGAGCAAATGATAACCATTCTAAACGTGTATGCACCAAACGACCCTACCCTGAACAAAAGCTTCTGGACAAATATCACAGAATACTATGAGAACCATCGAGGAAACAAACCCGACGTCATGCTTGGCGACTTTAACATCACGGAAGACTCAATTGACCGTATTCCTCCCCGTGAAGATAACGCAGGTGCAACTGAAGCGCTAGGCACCCTGCTATTAAGTCTGGGTCTCCGAGATGGATGGCGCGCGTCAGAGCCGACCCAGAGAGACTACTCATTCCCGCAGCGAGCCTCGGCATCGAGGTCGAGAATAGACCGCATATACGCGTCTGATAACATCTTGAACTCGTCACACACATGGCAAATAAAGACGACTTGCGTACCTACCGACCACAGACTAGTACTTGCGAAGATAAGCACAGAACATGCCCCGTATGTCGGCAAGGGCAGATGGTCAATACCCCTCCAGCTGATAGATGATATTAACTTCCTCAAAACAACAAAAGTAATGGGCGAGAACGCTCTCCTGGAGGCTCGTAAGTGCGCCGAACCAAACCAACGAAGCGCAACGAACAACCCACAGTTGATATACAAGAAATTCAAATCAAATCTAATATCATCAGCACGAGAAATGATGAAGAAAAAGGCCCCGAAGTTAGATGCGGCCATCAAGAAACTGACGAAGGAGGTCAACAGAATACAAAACCTCCCAGACTACGCGGACAACCACAAGCTACTCACCGAGGTAGAAGTGTTACTCGATCGCACAATCCAATTGGAGCGGAAACGATACCAGCACATCAGAGAATCGACAACAGCCCGGTACGCCCTAAACGCGGAGTCAATCAGTAAATACTGGTCGAGTATTAACAGGGAAAAGAGACCGCGAGACATTATATACTCCCTGAGGCTCCCCAACTCCCAAGCAACAGTTAACCGGTCGGACCAGATGGCCGAGCTTGCGCGAAACTACCACGACAAACTACAAAACGACGACGAACATACACAAAATGATGGCTCCGCATCGGAACGCATTCTGGGCGCCACTAACGAGATGAAATCCGTACTACAGGACCATGAGAAGGAGACCTTGAAGACGCCGATAAGCAAACCCGAGATCGAATCAGCACTGAAAAAGTCTAAGTCTGGGAAAGCCAGCGGACCGGACGGTATTCCATATGAACTGTGGAAGTCTCTATACAATGATGATAACCCATCAGAACAAAGCGGTACAAATTTCAACGGTATCGACCTACTGCTGCTAGTATATAGAGACATAGAAAAATTCGGTGTTGATCCCTGCTCAGGCTTCACCGATGGCTGGATGTGTCCTATATATAAGAAAAAGGACAGAAGAGATGTCAGTAACTACAGACCAATAACGGTGCTGAACTCAGACTACAAGCTGTATACCAAGATCCTGGCGTCCCGTCTAGCCTCTGTAGTAAAGTCAGTGGTACATCCAAACCAAGCGGGATTCATCCCAGGACGAAAGATAACTGATCAGACACAGACCTGTAGGACAATGGTCGACTACGCGGAGGCAACAGAGGAGAATGGAGTGATAGTAGCCCTGGACCAAGAAAAGGCATACGATAGGATCAGACACGAATATCTATGGGCAGTACTGAAGAAGGCTGGCCTACCTGAATCATTCATACAACGAATAAGAGAGTTGTACAAAGACGCAACTACAGTTGTCATCATTAACGGGGAATCCAGCTCCTCCTTCCGTGTGACACGGGGAGTTAGACAAGGCGATCCACTGTCGTGTCTCCTGTTTGACCTGGCAATCGAGCCGCTAGCCTGCGCCCTGCGGAATTCGGACCTCCGAGGGTTCCGCATACCGGGATACGCTGAACGTCTAATAACGACTCTGTTTGCTGATGACACATCGACCTTCCTATCCCAAACGGATAGATGGACTGACCTGTGGTCCATCCTGAACACATGGTGCGCTGCTTCGGGAGCGCGCTTCAACACGGGGAAAACCGAGGTAATACCGGTTGGTTGCCAGTCATACAGATCAGCAGTAATACAATCCAGGAGAATAAACCCCGACGACGATGAAGACGAGCAAATACCTGAACAAATCCACGTTGCGAAGGATGGCGAGGCAGTCCGTATCCTGGGAGCTTGGATCGGGAACAACACCCACAACGCTGCTATCTGGAGCCCGACAATAGATAAGGTTGAGAAGTTCCTAAAGAGATGGAGCTCCTGCAATCCGACAATGACTGGTAAACATAATATAATCCAGATGGGGCCGGGCGGCATGACTCAGTACCTGACGGCGGTACAAGGCATGCCGAAGACCACAACGAAGATTCTTACCCATATGATAAGGAACTTCGTATGGGGGAAAGACAAGATTCCCCCAATCAGCATGGGAACTCTGTGTATGAAATCTATGGATGGAGGTCAGGACATCCTCGATCTAGATAGCAGGAACGAAGCAATCGACTTAATGTGGTTGAAAAGATATCTACAACTAGGCACAGATCGGCCCATATGGGCATACATAACAGACGTAATCATAGCAATTAACGTCAGCAAAAATGCCGGAACGATCGAGAGAGCCACTCAGCTTAACATGTTCATTCAGAACTGGAAACCACGGCTAGACGCGAGATCACAGTTACCACACTATATAAAGACTATGCTGAGGACAGCCAAGAAATACAAGGCCAGCTTCGCAGCAGTGAAGCTAGATAAAGAGCTAAAAGGCCAACTACCTATATGGTACCATATTAGCGCAACAAAGCAACTACGACGCCTGGACAATACCAGACTTAGCAAATGCCTACGCACCGTACATGGTGTCATCACGGTTGCGGATATAGTACAGGCTGCACACCACGAAGCGGTGATCGAGATGAACAATGATGGAGCAGACGCTGATTGTACATGTGAGCAATGTAATGGAGATAGAGCTAAGGGATGCACAGATCCAATAAAGTGCAGAGACGCAGCGAGCAGATTGTTGAGGAACGTACAACTGAAATGGGATCCATCGACATCATCTCCTAACGATGGACTGACCCTCACCAGGAACCGGAAAAAGGCCAATGCCAAAGCGCACGATGAGAAGGGAGTCGAAGCCACATTTGACCCTTCAATAACAGAGCGTGGGGGTATCGCTGAGGCATTCAGGATCTTTGTCGACGACGACAACATCGACAACCCACCTGCGATAAGGCCACGCAGAGGCATAGAAGTCACGTCAGGACGACGCAGCGCTTACATCCTAGCGAGCCCTGGACCTGACCCCACGGAAGGCCGTAGAAGACGTGGACAACCTGATGGAAGTGGCTTGCTTATCATGAGACACAACACCATACATAACGACTTAGTCGCGTTAGAAGCGCACCTAGTGGATGACTGCTACTCCAGCGGTGAGCTGGCAGCAGCTATACACGCGGCACAGCTGACACACAAAGACGAACCTCTGCGATTTATATGCGAAACTGAGAACCTAAGCATTGTCCTAACCCGAGACCTAGAACGATGGGAGAGACTAGACTGGTTTGGTATCAGTAACCGTCTCGCATGGAAGGCACTAGTGAACATACTACGACAGAGATGTGCGACAACAACCTTCCGCAAAGCCGATGGAAGTGTAGAATGGTCCCTGATAGACAATGGACGGTCAGTAGCAAAGCAGCTACAAGCAAGGAACGAACTACACCTGATAAGGCCAATGACCAACCGATGCTTCAATATATCTGGGATTAGACTATCCGACCTGTCCCAACGACTGGCATATAGAATGATACGCCTGAGCCACAAGACTCGTAGACCTGCCACGCAGCGTGTCCTACAATCAGTACTCAGTAACATAGATAATGATGGCGGCGACTGTGCTAAGGAAGAGGAGATATGGACCAGCCTCCGGGCAAAAGAGATCCGCAAACCAGTACAAGATTTCCTATGGAAATGTCTACATAACGCGCATAGATGTGGGTCATTCTGGAAGAACATACCGAACTACGAGGATAGAGCGCTATGCTCCTACTGTGGTAACGAGGAGTCGATGGAACATATCATGACGCAATGTCAGGCCCCGGGCCGCGACGTTGTCTGGAATCTTGCTGAAGACATCTGGGAGAAGAAACAAGCCACATGGGCACGTCCTAATTACAATGAGATAATTGGCGTTGGCCTACAGAAATGGTACACCCCAAAGATGAAGCGTCGTCCAATGGCCGAACGATTCTGGAGAATCCTAATCTCAGAATCAGCATACCTGATATGGTGCTTACGATGCGAAAGAGAGATAGGCCACTCTGACGAACCTGGATGGAAACACACAGAGAAAGAAATATCAGCTAGATGGACGTCAGCGTTAAATAAGAGACTCCACCTAGAGATGGCGATGACCCATCGACGATTCGGACGACAGGCACTGAGAAGGGAGACCGTCACAAACACCTGGAGAGGGACGCTGTCGGACGAACATGCCTTACCTGATGACTGGACAAGTACAAATCGGGTTTTAGTGGGTATTGCAACCTCCGCGAGAAGAGCTCAAGGCGAAGGCTGACTGAGTCCCACACTGGCTTAATGAGCCGTGCGTAAATGCATTTTCTACCCTGGAAGCAATAGCGGGGAAACCCGCTGGCTGGCTGGACTGCGGGTATGACCAATTGTCATATGCCTAAGCCTACAAGAGCCCTCCAAAAAAAAAAAAAAAAAAAAAAAAAAAAGAGACCGGCTACCCAGCAACATCATGTCCGAGACGTTTTGTGCAGGTCTTATCAAGGTCTCACCATATTACAGTAAGGACTTATCGAGACAAGAGGTCATGCAATGCATTGATGGTGCACGTCGCGGTGGTGGAGCGTCGAAGGACTGGCGTCGCCGTCAGTCGGGGCGTGCGCTGTATGCGCTTGTTGTGTTTGTGGCTGACTTGTGGGCGCACACAGCTGAGCGCGCGGTCGATCCTTCGGTGACTGATCCTTCGCGTAATGACTTCGTACTCATTGAATGCTCGTATCACTTGCTATGTACGCTGAGTGAGTCATGGATTACAACATCTTCGAATTGATCGTACACAACAGCGACTGACGTCAATGGAAGCCATACAGTTTACATATTATCTGAATCTACCCTAGTTTCCACAGTGGTCGACAAGAATGGACGTCGGGGAGAGCAAGCCTAGATAGCGTTCTTGCTCTCCAAGAAGTCGCGCGCGTGGTCCTTCGCCTCCTCGCTGACGTTCGGGTCTGCGAGCCATCTCGGGTCAGTCTCCGCGCATACATGCGGCACGATTCCACTCACTCTTCAGCGTAGCTTTGTAGCCAGCGTTGACGCGCGTCTGGTCCTTGTCCTCCTGGTAGCCCTGGCGAGCCTCCTCGGTCTCAGGAGCATCGTCGAGCTCGTCGACTACTTGACGGGAGTGCTGCTTCGCCTCGTCGGAGACGTTGGGGTTGTTGAGGGCAGCCTGCACGTACGCAGGTCAACAAGCGTTCACGGTTCGCTGAGATACAAAACCACATACCTTGTGACCACCGACGACACGGGTTGGGAGGGACATGATGTATGAAGGCGGTGTTGAGACGGGTACGTTCGATTGGTAGTTGTGGGAAGTGGTCAAGTTGTGTTGGGGGTAGACTGCACGGCGACGCTCCTCTTATACCCGTCTCGAGACGCAAACGGGCGTGCGCACCATGACTTCACCCATGACGAACGCATGTGGCTAAGAGTCTAAGACGACATATTTCGTCGCTTCGCTACGTCACCCGCCACAACCTCCCGATATGGAAAGCATCTTACTAGATTCGGCGGCCGCACAGCGAGTCAAACCGCAGGCGATTAAATATCACGGATTGACCGTTCGGGGCATGGGTTGGGGAAGGATCTGCGCCCACCCCGAGCGCTCTTAATTGCTGGGCGACGGATGGGCTGCGCGGGCGGGCGAGCCCACCGCGACAGCTTCATTCCGGTTATATCTCAGGTCGCGGGGAGGAAGCGCGTCGAGCCAAGTGCCAGTACTTGGATGTGGGCACGCTTGCTGGCCTGCGTCTGACGTCGCGGACACTGGGAGTGGGTGGTGGGTGAAATTTGAAAACCGACCGAAGCCTTGCAAAAGCTTTACAGTGTAATTTACAGTGCGTTCGCTGGCGGAGGACAAGTGAGCGAAACGACGAAGCAAGACTTTGCACAGACGGGTAACGTCATCGACTTGGATATCATCAGGAAAACTACAACGCTCTGATGTTTTTCATTGCCTGCTCGGCAGACAAACCAGTCCAGAGACGAGTAAAGACAGCTGCAGTGCCCCGAAAGACCACAAGGAGCCGCACGATACTAGACATTAGATTTTAGGACGCGACTAACTAGAGAAGTCCACACACACACAGTCCTGTTGGTATGGAGAGGCCGCAGCCTCATGGTCCCGGGTAATAAGGTCCTCCCGCAGGCTACAAACCACTGGCACCTCACATCAGGGTCCACGCGAAGAGCGCCCCAACGCCTGTAGCCAACGCCCAAGCCTTCGCCGCGCCGCTCATGACCATTGCACCAGCACCCGACGACTTCCCGCTGGAGCCCGTCGACGAGGCCGAGCTTCCACTCACGCTCGCCGTCCCGCTCGCTGCCGCGCTGGTCGGGTTCACGCTGGTGGTCGCGCCGGAGCTCGAAAGGATCGTGCCGTTTGCGTTGAACGCCCTGATATAGTTGATCTCGAAGTACGCCGTGGCGAGCGCGGTCTGGTTGCCGTTGTTGTACACGTTCTGCATGTAGCACGAGGTCGCGTTCGCCTGGGACGCTCCCGTGATCGGGCACTGGGATCCGTAGATGGACGGCACGCCAGCCCAGGTGCCGCACATGGTGATGTCGAGGACGATCTGCTGAGGCGCGAAGAACTCGTTGAAATTGCAGGCGGTCGAGGAGTAGTTGGCGGATGGAGTGCCCCAGTCGGAGATGTCTACGGTGGTGGCGGTGGCCGAGATGGACGACGGGACATCATTGCGCTGAAGGAGAAGTCTCAGAACATGAGTCCGTGGCAGCGACAGTTGGACGACTTACGCTCCAGAACCAGATCGCGACGCCGGAGGTGTCAAACAGCGTGGCGTACACACCACCTCCCGCCGCTGAGAAGCCTGGTCCGTAGCTGTTGGCCTTGGTCTCACTCTGATTAGCATGAATGCGGTTAGCCCAATTCTTCGCTGCGAATATAGCTCACTTACGAACTGGCAGCCTGCAGTCGAATTGCAGTCTGTGACGCCAATGGAACCCGAGAAGCTGGCACTGCTGGAGGCGCTGCAGCCCTCGTTGCTGTGCAAGGCGTACTGGTTGTCCGTCATGGAGTTGATAGCCTCAACGATGTCAATTTCGCCGCCTGCGGGCCAGCTCTCGCCTTTCGTCCAGAAACTAGGCCAGATCTAGGGAGGTACATAGAGAGTGAGCATTTCTTCGTGGACAAAGCACTTGCGCCGGTATGCCAGTGAGCCCGACGAGCAACCAGGATGATGGCATTTCAGGCAGCCGAGTCTCTGCCCTGGCGCCCGTGTGGGCGCGTTGTGATTGGCTGGCCCGAGGTAACTGCGGGCGCCTCATCGAGGCTCTGATCATGCCGGCTCGGAGGAAGCTCGAACATCGACCAGGCGCGGGGACAGACAACCCCCTCACACGCCGTATGGCGTCGGGGTACTTAGCCACGGCAAAAACGAACCGTGGTGGGAGCCTCCGCTGTCAAGCGTGTGAGGTCGTCACCTCGAGACAACGGCATGCAGGCAACCGGCGCACGTTGTAAGATGACGGAACAGGGGAGACACTCACACCGCAACCATATGGGATGTGCGTCGCGTCCATGATGAGGACGGAACCCAGGTCGAAGTAGTCTGCCGTAGTAACGCGGACCTGGTCGTGGCAGAGAGCGCCTGGTTAGTAAAACGTGAAGGTAGGGCCGGGCGTCGAGGGGGCATGTGGGCCGCGGTATGCACCGAGCCTTGACAATGCCCCAGTCTCAGCCTCGCCCGTAACAGAGGATGTGCTCACCGAGTCTCGCTTCTGGTTCCAGGGCACGAAGGTCGTGTTGTCGACCTTGATGATGGCTGCACCATTGTTGTCGACGTACGCAAGCTTCTCGGCTGTAGCGTTCGCCTGGCTCACGTAGTTGATGTCGCCTGCGCGGACCTCGTCACGGACAACCCGAGGAGCTCAGCACAGGATGCTCACCACTAGTGGTGTTGTCATAAAAGTCGTAGAAGACCCATCCATCAAAGAAGCTTGCGCCCGCATACTCCTTGACGAGACTGTAGCTGGTGGCCGCGACGGCACCGCTGGAGTAGAGGGCCGCGGCGGTGAGCACTGCTGCCTTCATCCTTTTGCGAGTGCGAGAGAAAGGAGAGGAGGATTAGAATTAGGTGCAGAGGCGAGGAGAGGTGAGTGAGGCTGTCAGGGGTGCGCTTATAAGACAGGGCGGAGGGCAGGACTTGGCAGGTGAAAGGATGCTACTTAAATAAATCAGGAACCCGGACGACGCGGGGTTGTCGTCGGCTCTGATCGACTCTCGGAGTGCATAGGCGCCTACACACAACCACTTCCCTCGACGAGTGCATCTCGAAGACATAAGTAGCAGAACGGCTGCAGTCTGCCATGTACAAGTACGTACGTCAAATCCCCACAGCCAAGTAGGTCAAGGGCGGTACAGAGTACAACTAGTAGACTCGGAACGAGTAGATACAGCGCGAGCTATTTTCGTCCGACATGTGTACAGGCCAATTGATCCATAAATATACCAAGGTGCTTGCGAAAGACACAACTCACGAGGGACAGAGTATGGCATCATAGCAGAGACGGTGACATTCCCAGAACTGCTCTCGGTCCCATACTCACGTAGTCTGACTTTGAGACATAGTTTTTGCCCGCGGATTCATTGAACGTGATCTAAAACCATCACCTATTAGTGACTTCGTCTGTGGATTGACGACTAGAGAACGCAGACCTTTGCTACAATGCTGGTTCCCAAGAAGGAGGCAAGGCCGTCACCCTTGTCTCGGTATTCGGCGAAGTAGTCGGGGATCTTCAAGGTCCTAATGGCTCTGGGTTGCACCTCGTTGTGCTGCGGGTCAACGTTGAGGGGGATCAACGACGTCAGTCGTATCTGGAGGGCGGCTCCAAGACCTGGGTAGTATCAGCAGCTGCTGAAAACGAACAGCCAGAGAGCCCATACCCTTGACGTGGTTCGTGATCAACCCAGTGACGAAGAGACCCTGCCAGATATACTGCCGCTGGTCCAACTCCGTTCTCGCAACTGCCTCGGCAACAGCTGCCTGAAGCGACAACGCAGGGGCACCCTCCTTCTCCCTCTCCTTCCCCTTCACGCTCTCTCGCACGGCAACGTCAAATAGCGGCTCGCAGAACCGATGGCGCTCCTTCCCGACGGTGATCGTTTTCCCCCTCCACTGCACCTCGATCAAATCTCGCGCCTCGACCTCCTTCGCACGCGCCTGCTCCGCGGCGTTCGCGCGTGCGGCCTTGTTCTTCATGCCCTTCTCGATCACCGCCTTCTCCTTGCCCGCGACGACGATGGCAGCAATGTTGATGTCGCCGTCGGCAGTGGGGTCCTCTGCATCCTGCGCTGCGGCCTCGCCCTCAGCGAGGACCTTGACGTGTCCCTCTGACCAGAGAAGCTGAGCAAGTCCCTCCAGCGCAGCTTGCTGGTCAGCCTCGTCCAGCGGGTTCTCGCCCTCCACCGGCTCCAGCAGCGCCGACATGATACTCTGGTTCCCGCGGAGCAGCCCGGCCAAGTACTTCTTGCAGTCCTCCATGCCCACCATGACGCTCATCCTCGCACCGCCAAGCAGGAACCCGTCGTATATGGGAGCGATGTCTGTGTAGTCGCGGTCGATATCGACCACGACGCCGGAGAGCCCGCTGTTCGCGTTGACGGCGGAGTAGAACTGCGCGACGGGGCGGTCGAGAATACCGAAGCCTGCCACGTTGAAGCGTTCGAAGAACATCTGGCAGAGGCGTTCGTAGGTGTCGCGCGAGAGGCAGGGAGGTATCGACAGGAGGACGGCGGATTCCATTTGTGTGCGACGGAGGTGAAGTTGGGTGAAAAGGACGTGCTTCCTGTAACGCAAACACGAGCATTATACTTCGTACGGCAGTAGTGGACCGTCTGACAGACGCACCAGAGAGCTTCAGCCTGTGTCCAGTCGACAATGTCGGCCTCTGCAAAGGGCCAGTACTCCACGATGTCCTGGCCTGCGGCCAACGCCTCGTCAAGTTGCGCGCCGACCAGATAGTCGGTCACCTTTGCATTGGGGACGGTGGTCCCGTTCGCAGCTTTTGACGTCGAGGGACCGCTTTGAGCATTACCGTTGGCCCCGTTCAACAAACTCCTGGGCAAGCCCACCCGCGCTAGTACCTCCTGCAACACGGTCAATTGATGTTCACAGACCCAAGGGGCGTCCAGATACTCACGACTGCAGGAGTGCGCAGGAGGTCGTGTAGACCGAGTCCGGCGCGGATGGATGTACGACTCGTGTCCAGAACCACAACAGAGGAATCACGGATAGACATTTTGTGTCGATGTGGTCTCCTCGAGACGTGTAACTTTCACTTATGCACTCGTTGCAGGCAGAGCAAGTCTCGACTCTCCGGCAGAGGGAGTTGAGAGAAGGAGACGCGTGAAGAGACGCCCGCGAACGCGCAAACACGATCACGTATGCGGGCCCTGCGCGGCGTTCACTCACGCCCCCACATCGTACCACCTCTCCCCGCGTCATACATATGCGCCTCGCCGCCCTTCTCGCTCCTGCCAGTCGTCCGCCTCGACTCCGACGCTGACCACCATGGCTTGCTACGCTCCCATCGACATACCCGCTTCCGGCAAGGAGCCGTTCACAGACTACGCTCGCTGGCGCCTGCGCTCCTCGGAGGACGGGCGGCATACATGGCACTACCTCCAGACCGACGAAGAGTGCAAGGCTTGGCCTCAGACTGAGATAGACAGGTACTGGCTCGGACTCCCTGTTGACCTGCCTGCGCTGCCCCCGCCGGAGGACGCTCTCGACGCCGCGCGGAACGGGTTCAAGTTCTACAAGCACCTCCAGGACGCGGACGGGCATTGGGCCGGAGAGTATGGAGGGCCTATGTTCTTGCTCCCTGGACTCGTCATCGGGTCCTATGTATCGGGCATGACCTTCACGCAAGAGGAGAGGCTGGAGATCATCCGGTACCTCATCAACCTTGCTCACCCTAAGGATGGTGGCTGGGGCCTGTGCGTGCTTCTTCCTGCCGTTCTGTAGCGACAACTCAATATGCATAGGCACATCGAAGGTCAATCGACTGCCTTTGGTACGGCGCTGAACTACTGCGTGATGCGCATCCTGGGTGTATCGCCTGAGCACCCTACGCTCGTGAAAGCGAGAGCCACCTTGCACAAGCTCGGGGGCGCGACGGGCGTACCTTCATGGGGGAAGTTCTGGCTGTCCGTATTGAATGTGTATGACTGGGAGGGAAACAACTCTATTCTGCCTGAGCTTTGGTGAGTGTCCTGTCCTCCAGGCCAGTTCATGAGCTCCCGGTCACTGCGGCGCACAGCAGCAGGGGCTGCTGTTCATCGCTCTGCTATCATCCTGTCACAACTCGGGCTCATTTCCTATGCATCTGTGCATCTGTACTTATCGTCTGTGTAGGCTATTCCCGGACCTGACACCTTTCCACCCGCACAAATGGTGGATCCATACCCGCACCGTCTACATACCCATGTCCTACCTCTATTCCCTCCGCTGGAAGATGGAAGAAAACGACCTCATTCTCGCGCTACGCGAGGTGAGTATTCACTTGGCGCTAACCAGCTCCAGGACTTACCCTGATTCCAGGAACTCTACCCGCAAAATTACTACAGCATCGACTGGCCGGCGCAACGCAACAACATATGTCACGTCGACTTGTACGCACCACACACCGCGCTCTTTGACTTCCTCTACTCCATCCTCAACACCTACGAGCCATGTGCCGCCCCGCCTCTGCGCAAGCTGGCGATGGAGAGGTGCTACCAGCTCGTCGTGCAGGAGGATGAGAACACGGGCTACCAGACGCTCGGGCCGGTGAGCAAGATGATCAACCTCATCATCCGCACGATCGTCGACGGCAAGGAGAGCGAGGCGTACAAGCTACACATGGAGAAGCGGGCGGACTTCTTGTGGATCGGTAAGGAGGGCATGCGGATGTGCGGGACGAACGGCAGCCAGCTGTGGGACATCGCCTTCATCGCGCAGGCACTCGTGGAGACGGGCTTGGGCGACGAGAGCGAGAACCAAGAGAGCCTGGTCAGGGCACTGCGTTGGCTTGACCAGTGCCAGATCCAGCAGAACCCAAAGCATTTCGAGTCTTCGTATCGGCATCCGACGAAGGGCGCGTGGCCATTCAGCACGAAGACCCAGGGCTACACGGTCAGTGACTGTACCGGCGAAGGGCTCAAGGCCGTCCTCTACATCCAGGAACACGTCGAGTGAGACGCACCACCCTGTGTCTACCCAGTACGATGGTCGTTAACGCGTGCGACAGGTCCACACCGAAGCTGGTATCGGAAAGGCGAATGTGCGACTCCGTGGATCTCTTGTTGGGTATGCAGAATGCAGACGGTGGCTTCGCGAGTTACGAGCTCATCCGTGGACCGGAGTGGCTGGAGAAGCTGAATCCCGCCGAGGTGTTCGGTACGTCATCGGTTTGATTCTAGTCTGCGATCTCACTCAGCAGACAACCCAGGTGCGATCATGATCGAGCACAGCTATCCAGAGTGTACAACCTCCGTCATCACCGCCCTATCTATCTTCAGAAAATACTACCCGAAGTACCGATCCGCTGATATTGAGTAGGCAGTCTCACCTCCATGTTCGTCCGGTTTGTCGCTGAATGGACGGTATAGGACGGTTATAAAGAGGGCGGTCAAGTACCTCCACAATGCGCAGACGCCTGAGGGTGGCTGGGTCGGCTCCTGGGGTATCTGCTTCACGTACGCCGCCCAGTTCGCGTGCGAGTCGCTAGCGCTCGTCGGAGAGACGTACGACAACAGCCCATACCTGAGGAAGGCATGTGAGTTCCTGCTCAGCCACCAACGGGCTGACGGCGGCTGGGGAGAGAGCTACAAGGTCAGCGTGATGCACTGCTCTCAAGCACGACCTTTGCTGACGTCTCCGTAGTCTTGCGAGACGAGTAGTTGGGTGGAGCATGAACAGACGCAGGTCGTACAGACCTCTTGGGCCACCATGGCGCTCATCTACGCGCGTTACCCTAAGCCGGAACCAATAGAGCGTGCCGTCCATCTGGTTATGTCACGCCAAAATCCGGTACGTCGGCTTGCGCGTCTTGTTGTGTCTCTGCTCACTCTCTACCAAAGGATGGCTCGTGGTCCCAGGAAGCCATGGAGGGCATCTTCAACAAAAGCGTGACGATCGCGTACCCGAACTTCAAATTTTCGTTCACCATCTGGATGCTCGGCCGTGCCCATCATTATCTTGCTGAACTGAAGGCGCGCCGGAACGGCCACCAAATTGGCAAAGCAGGACTTTGAGCAACCGGCCCGTTCCGCAATTCGTGTCTTCGCTTCGTCTTCGCCTCATCTGCTCGCCTTCCTGTCGCATAAACTCTTGCTTTCTTCGCATGTCGCCTGTCGCCTGTCACACGATCTTTTGTTTTCGCACTGTGAAGCTAGCCTAATTTAAGTGGTAGACTTAATGGAACGTAGGATATGATGGTGGTTGTAGACGACAGCAGGGTGCTATTGCGAAAGCGGTGAGTTGGAGCATGGTGGAAGAAACGTGGTCCGTCGTGGGTCATGCAGATGGTTGCGTGGAAGGCTGTGTGGGTAATGGGGAACCATTGTTGTCGTCGTCCGGCCACTCGCCCGTTCCGTCAATGAGCCCTGCCTTCTCCAACTCCCTGTACTTCTCCTGGAATGCACCGAAGCCGGAGCTGACAGGGGGCGCCTTTTCGGGGATGGGTGGGATGGCGACGCGCGGCGGACGGGAGAGCTGTGGGACTGGCTCTGGGGGCTTGCGACGCACGATGATAGACTTGGCGAAGTCGGGGAGGGCCTTTGTGTCCAGGAGGTGCAACGTGTCGAATGGTGCGGACTCCTCGTCATCGTCCTCGCCGATGTATCCTTCGCCACGCATCTTGTTCCATTTCCGTCTTGCCTGGGAAGCGGTGGGTGCTTGACTTGGCACTCCCTTCCGGCGGGAACGAGCCATGGGCAATGTCATGATGGTGTGCAACGGGGTGGGTCCGGCAGGTAGCTTTGATGGCACCTCCCAGAACTGACTTCGAGGAGGGTGCCTTGGGGTTCGCATGTCCTTCAATTTGCCAGCCTTATGTGCAGCAGGAGTGCTGATTAAGTCACCATGCACTTGGGAAAAGTGGGGAAATAGGGCATGGTGCACAAATGACATGGGACAACCTAATGAACCATTGTAAAGTGAGTTGCTGCTTGTATGCAAAGCATAATGACACACCTGCTGCAGGACATGGTATTGGCAGTCTGGTAAGATGCCCAGACTCCACATGCTTTTTCAAATCATGCATGGTTGCATGGTAGAAACATGAACATCGTGGAAGGCGACATCGGTAGCTCCCGTCTGTCTATAGTTGGTGTCCTTGAGTATCACATCTGCAGCCTGAAAGTGGTGGCATGTTTCACCTCTTCTTTTAAATGCCTCAGATGAAGCTGTGTGTGCTGGATCAAAGAGACATCAGCATCATGATGTGCATACAAATAGGACTTGAGAGGATGCAACAATGGGCAGTATTCAACACAGTACAAACATAAAGTCAGTTGTCGACACTTTCTGGCTAGTAGAGTACCATAGCACCAAGTAAAGGAAATAACTCTCACCTCTCTTAATGCACCCCAGCTGTTCAGTTCTGCTTCACAAGTGCCACTCCACTCGCATGATAGTGGTGTCAATGACATGGCCTCTTGAGCAAACTTGGTGACATTCTCTGCAGTGAGAACATTCACCATCAACTGCGCAGAGTCACCTGTGTACAAAGAACAAAGAGTAAAGTACCACCTGAGGTGCACCTGGTTGATGGTCAGCAATGATGGTAAGTGCCACAGTCTTTATTCCGTGCCGATTGCGTCCACCGTGGGAATCAGAAGCACGGACAAATAGCGGACTTTGAATTGGACGTGTTTAAGTCGCACCCAAGTCGCACCGCCACCGGTGGCCACGCCACACCTCAAGTGACAGCCACATGCAGCTTGTACTCATGCCTCATCAGGATGCTGTAGCCTGCATTCAAATGGAAACATACGCATCTACACAGGACAGTTAGACGTAGTGGGCTCCTTTCGAAAATATCGCATGGCAGCAAGGCAAATGGTTACGATGCACTCATTATGGGGGACCATCATATCTCAACCCCACATTGTAACCCAATGAACATCCCAATGAACATCGTACAAACTCAGGTGTACAGCATAGTCGTCCTTGTACCAACAGCAATGTCATCTTGTTACACAACTACAACTACTGCCAGAACATGCCTCACACTTCTCACTGGAATTCTGGCAGGAAAATCTCCTTCAGTTGTTGAGCAGTATCTGCAGGATTCAAGACAGCATGTCCAATTGTACGAGGATCGGCGTAGAGCTCGTGATCGTTGCCACCCTGAAGTGATGTTTAGTGTATCGCTGAACCACCCAAGACAGTATACATGCCTTCTGAGTGCTGTCTCCGAAGAAATGGATCTCCTCGAACTTTTCGTCCTCGACGTGCCGCAAGCAATATGTCTTGTCCCACCCATTAGGGAAGACGTCGAATGATATCTTCCCTCCGATCGAGAATGTTATACCGTAGTCAGCGAACTTCTCCTGCAGCACTTTGACGAAGGCGACGCGGACCCCATGTTGCTGCGTACGTCCGTTCATCAGCAAGTCAAACAAATGATGATGCTAAGCAGCATACATTGTCATATGCTTCGAAGTCTTTTCGCTCCTGCATCCTTTGGACGGGAGCGTGAGATCGGTGTAGTGCTTATACCGAGAGCGCCACGCAAGACTTACGTCGCGTTACGCCCCAGAGGACTGACGTTAATCATCCCATTACGGAACTCGATGAACGTTCCACTGGAAGGATGTTCAGTCCACTACATGATATTATTCAAGCTCGTTACTGACCGCTTGATAGGAATATCCAGATCCGCGATGTAGTGCAGGATGAAGTTCGCTAAGACCTTGTAGCGTTCCTCGCCGACGAACTTGATGAATGATTGTGACGGCAATGGCGCAGCCAACTTGTAAGCAGTCAGGCCATTCTCTCCGAATACGTAGTCAAACTCGTCAACAACTACCGAATACATGAGTATGTCACCTCCGCTGGTGTGCTGCACAGCGCTCACCGTTGTTCCCCTGAGTACTGAGCTGCTCCGAGACCTTGACGAAGTCTGAGCCGCTGATTACACCAATGACCACCTTCTTGCGCAACGCGCGGAGTAGTCTGAGCATCTCAGGGGAAACCGTCTGTCACGAAATGAGTGTACTTGAGCTTGACATGCAGCGCGCCGCCTACCTGACGCGGAGGGGTGAGAGTGTCATCGACATCGAAGAGGACCAGCTTCTTCTGCGGACGATCTGCGAATACACTAGCAGCCATCGTGCTCTTGAAGCAGTCTGCTATGACAGTACAGGTGAAGTTGGCAGGTGGTCTGGGCAGAGAACAGAGGGCAGGACGTGGAGGACACGACGTACGGTGAGTCGCGTCCGACCCGCAGCCGCCTCCATGTTCAGGCCAAGGAGCGATCGATCATCACGGAGCGCCCATTCATGAACATCGCTTCCGCGCGACCTCCGGCGCATGTACTCTACTCTATGCAACATACAAGCTCGGGATCGTTCCCAAGCAAGTCTACCGTTCATCGGAAACAAATGGACACATGTCATTAAAATATTTCCAGTATTGGTTATCTTTCGACTACCGTGCGTTTACCGACCACCACCCAGCGCCTTCAGCCGCGCTTCAGCAGCTCGCGCTCTACGCTCCCGTTCAACCTTTGCCCTCATCTCAGGCGTCAAGCCAGCAATGCCCTCACTTGCACCGACCGTCCCTCCTAACCGCCGCGGCCCACTCGTAGGCTCGGCGGGCTTTGCCTTCGTCTTCGTTTCGGGCACTTCCACCGGGACAGGACTAGGCGTACGGGACTCTCGCTCCTTTTCTCTCGCCTCCCGCTCCTTCACGCGGTCTTTCAGGCCCTTCCGCCTCACCTTCTTCTTCTCTTCGCGGCCTTCCTCCATCTCCGCACTCAGCACGCTGGGCACACGCGCCCCCTTCTCTGTCCCGAGCCAGTCCCACCAGTCGGGGTGGGCCGCAGCACAGCGCCGGAAGACGTCGCGTACCGCTCGGGACCGCCCGAGGTCGTATGCGGTGCGCCTAGAGCCTGCGGGTAGCGCCGGTGCGTCTGATGCATCGGAACGGTGGCCATCCTCCTCAACGGCGCTGCTAGGGACGTCGAGTGTAGGATCCGCGCGCATCTCTTCCAAAAGCCATCTGACGACATCCGCTTGACCTGTTTGCGTGGCGACCTGGAGAAGCGTCCCGCCTCTCTGCCCTGCCCAGTCCGGGACAGGCGCATTGATGCCGCCTAGGCTGTCGCCTTCGCGCTCCCAGAAAGCCTTCAGGACGTCAACGCGGCCTCTGGCGATCATGTCCAATACGCGGTCCCACTTCTCGTGCAACAGCTGTTCTTCGCGCGATAGTTGAGGAGGCTTCTCCTTGGGTTTCTCCGGTTCTGCGGAAGCTGCCGTGGGTGGCTTGGGTTTTGGCTTTGGAAGAGATGCAAGATACGCTTCGTCCTGGGCACGAAGTTCCTCTTCAGTCAGATGGGACACTTTGGCACGGGTGAGCTCCATCAGGCATCGAGTCAGCTCCGATTGAGTCTGCCATGTACCAATCAGCCTACATAACAGCACCGGCAACAGACACACTTACGGGGCGACGAGTTGGGAATGGGAACGTGCGCAGTCGCTCATCGCCTTCTCAAAACCGTCAGCTATGCTTAAACAGTGCCCTCAGAGCGGACTGACCTTTCTCAATGACAGCACCTTCGTAATCAAGAAATATTCTCCGGTTGGAGACACTAGCTCGTATGAAGATGCGTTCGCAATGTTCGATCTCTTCGGACCAATCTTGCAACAGGTTACGGATATCCTGCAATTTGAAGTTGAACCATCAACAAAAGGCTCGTCCGATCAGGCTGAGGACTCACATCCCGCAAAGCTTGCTCGCCGTAACGACGTAGCATGGCTCCAGCACTGGCGGCTTTGCTCTTAGCGTTGTCGTTGGTAGATTGAGATCCACCCTGTTTTCGACGTGCTGCAAGACGATGAGCCTCAGCGTGAATTTGAACGACAGTCCCTACGCACTCGTGTAGCGATGGAATGTCTTATGTCTGAGCACTTCGGTCTCCGGTTTGGGCTTCTTCGGCTTGCCTTTCTTCGTGAACCCTCCTGGCTCGTCAGCGTCTGAACCGGGTCCCTTCACGCGCACAACGGCTCCAGCAAAGTGTCCGCCGGCGACCATGAACATCGCCCAGGACCGCCCTTCCTCACCGCCTTCCTGCATCTCCTTCAGCTCATCCATGTACGACGTAGCCGGCGTCGAGAGTGGGAAGAGGACCTTGTAGACGCCGACCTGGGTGGACGGAGGCGAGTGGAACCATGCTAATGGTGTACCTGGCCCAGCAGGAGTCAGCTCAGTCGGTGAGGGCGACCGCGCCAGCTTGCGGGTTTTCTGTATGAGGGTCGCGACGGCATCCGAGTCATCATCGGATTCGCCTTCAGAAGATGATGCAGACCCAGATAGCGAGTCCTCCAATCCTATTGGCCCGACTGTCAGAGGACACCACCTGCAAAGCGTTACCAAACTCACCGTCCACTAGTTGGGCGAACTGGCTCTCCGAGACGGTATTCCCTCCATTCAGTTTCGCTTTGACATTATAGCGATGCCAGTCGGACCGGAAGTGGGTACGCTGTTCATCAACGCCTGTGAACGTCACGCCCAAGCAGACGTTGCATGCTCGAGCTCCCGGAGCAGAAGGTGCGACCGGCGCCGGAGAATCATTACGGGGCGGAGGAGATAGTGCTTGATTGACGACGCTGCGAGGGACTAGTGTGCCCAGCAGTTCCTTGGGTAGAGAGAATACATGGTATTGCGAGGGATAAGACATGATGGTCGGTCCTGTAGACTGGTGTGGTTGTTTCAGTGTCCGTGAAGGCGATGTACGGATACAGCCAACGGGTGCGCGATTATGGCTACAACTCTTGCGATGAGAGGGGGAGCCCCTCGTACTTATGAGTGAAGCAGAAGCGGTGGTTGAGGGATGGTATCGGCAGCGAGCATAGACTCGAGCTCAGCGGGCGTAGGAGTCAGCTTGCATGGACTGCACGGACCGCTTCTGTCCAGAAAGTCCGATCCACGGGGAGAGCCGTTGCGTGCAACGCGTTGCGCGCAACGCGCAACGTCACGCAAGTCACGGTGTGGCTCCCCTGTGGCCTAATAAGCGGCGCCCGGGCCAACGGTACACGAATCTTTTCAACCTTGGGCTACAAGGGATTGTTGGAGGTTATACTGAGAGGTATATCCTCTAGTAGAACGAATGTCGCCTCCGTGTGCGTAGTTCGAGTGCTTACTCGATGCACCGCGGCCCGCCACCGTATACTTACGTAATCTCCCGGTAGATACATCGCGGCCACCGGCCACGGTGGCGACTGTTGGCGACTCAGAGACTAGAGTCGGTCCCCGCAATCCCAATTGAGCTAAAGAAAAAACTTGTATGTAAACCCGATTATATAGGAGCTATCACACATCTAAACGATGTTCAGAAAACAGCTGTAAGTATGTTTGGAACGGACCGCGTCACAAGGCACCCGCCACATGCCCCGATTAGGCAAGTGGTCGGTCAACGGTAATAAGTTAGTCGGAATCTATGTACAAGTAGACGTCAGCTAGCCGTGCAGTATTCACCAGCCAATCCTATGACTTCTCAAATAGTGCAGCTCTCTACTTAATTCTCATCGCTGCGGCGGCGCCGAGGCTGGACTAGCACATAAGCAACTGTCTGAAAGTGTATGTCACAGCGTGATGTGTGTGACTGTTGCACGTTGCGCGTTGCGCGTTGCACGCAACGCCCCTCCCAGTCGATCGGACGTTCTCCTTCTGTCAGTGTCAGTGCCACACGTCGCACGTGCACCGCGCCGATCGCCGATTCGCTTCCTGCAATGCCCTGCCCAGCTGCCGCTGTACAGTGTACGCCTCAGAGTCACAATTTCGGAACTGCGCGGCATCGACTCAGACCCTCTCCTCTGTCCCGATGTGACTAGATTTATGTAACTCGAGTTGATCTTTGATGGCATCAGTACCAATGGTGTTGCCGTGTTCTCTGTGTTTTCCGATCGCACCCAGCTGTTGCAGTGAGCTGAACGGTACTACATGAACTGCCCCGTCGATGGAGACAAGTTATTTGGTGCGGTCGAACTGCGCCGCTCATTGCGTCCCCTCGCAGTATGCACTATTTCCTCGCAACCTGGGACGGTCCCGAGAGTTGTCTTGACGATTCAGGTATGATCAGACATGTCCATACCTAGAATCCATCCGCTTTGTTGACTGCATGAATCTTACTGGCCAAGATGTCCGCAATATGGTGGAGGCTCGCTGGGCAACATATACTGTCGAGGGCTTCTGAGACAGAGCGATCACCAAGTATGGGACTGACTAGATAGCGACGTGAATATAGTTCGGGCAAACAGTTTCACTTTGCGGTTTGGTGGACAGGGTTGATGGCTAGATGCACACAACGAAACGACTGCGTCATTTCCTCGAGCATACTGTCTTTTGTCTTTGGTAGTAGTACTTAGTATGGTAGTACAAACACAAGTTGCTTAGGGCCACTCTTCAAGGTGTCCAACTACTATGTCATGACCGCCTAATCCCACTGGAACTATAATTGCTCTGCATCCTCGCTCTATTTAATTTTTTCATGCTCAACTCGTCGCGTAAGTTACATCGCAAAGGCTGTATAAACTCTGTGTCCAAGTACAGTCCAGCGCGGTCACCGTCACTCAGCGCCAAGCCACGCTGTGCGTGACCGCGTTTACTTCGTGCCACAAAGCAAACAAGGCCAAGCGCGTCAACTCAGCGCGCGCTATATAGTAGCCGAGACGCGTCGCTCAAGTTCTCCACCCATCGCGTCGCGTTCGCCATCGTTTCCTGTGACTTGACATAGAAACGACTAGACTATGGCGACAATATCCAACGTGGTGTCGGACTCGACTAAAGAGAATATCCCGCTAACGCGGTAGCTAGCATCAGTCACTCTCTTCTGTAATGCGTACTAAGCTGGCGGTTGCTACCACAGAACCGCGTCGGAGACGTTCAGTGACGCTCATGGCGCACACTCACAGCCGCTGGCGAAGAGGAGAAAGCTAGGAGGCGACTCATTCCAGGGCTCGCAACCGACAAATCAACCTTCCTTTGCCGAAGTGCTGGAGCGCCTTAAAGAGGACGCGGGTGAAACTAAAGGTATGAAGAGTGCCAGTTATTTGGTCAGAACCATCTGAAACTCTTCGTAGACATTGAGGGCGGGGCCGACTGCTGGCCAAGGCCGAAACTCGGTCCTATTGACGAGAAAAGAGATACCATCAGTAAGTGTATCACACCCCCTCTCGAACTTCGTACTAAGAAGGTGTTCAGTATTCCAGCAAATCGATGTGGAGGACTGTTACGATGGCGGGACAGTGGGTTTCCGAATGTTTGGTGTAACAGAGGCAAGTCCTTCCTCGGTATGCCCGCGGCTGCGCTGACATGGTGATGTCAGGCGGGCCACAGCGTAATGACCTATATTTCAGACTTTCTTCCTTATTTCTATGTGCCAGCCCCCCGCGGCTTCACGGAGAGCGATACATGGGCGTTCGCCGAGTACTTGAACGTAAGTGGCATGATCCTGCAGCATTGGACACTCTTCGTTCAACGTTGTCCAGAATGCCGGCAGTGGTGGCGTCAAAGGCGCAGAACTCGTCAAGAGAAAGAGCCTATGGGGATACAGAGGCGACGACTGGATCGTGTTCATCAAAATCACCCTGTTCGAGCCGCGCAGCTTACCGAGGATCAGAGATAAGTCTCCCCTGACATGGCTGCTCGCAGCAAACTGACCCTTCGGTTGGAATATCCACGCATCTTTGAGCGAGGCGAATGTAGTTTCCGTGACCTCTTCAAGGATCAGACAGCGACGTTCGAGAGCAATATACAGTTCACATTGCGTTTCATGATCGACGCCAAGGTAGTGTTAGCCGCCTCTGGTGGTAATCGCTGCTGATGACGTCATAGGTCCTCGGCATGAATTGGATCGAGGTTCCTGCAGGATCCTACAAGCTGACTCCTGAGAGCAAGAAGAAGTCTCACTGTCAGATCGAACTCAGCGTCCGGTGAGTTTGCATCATTCGAATGATGAGTGTAGTTATTGATACCAGGATATAGCTGGGATCGATTCATTTCGCACCCAGCTGAGGGACAATGGTCAAAGATTGCTCCTCTCCGTATCCTCAGCTTCGACATCGAATGCGCGGGGCGAAAAGGCATCTTCCCCGAGGCGAACGTTGATCCAGTCATCCAAATCGCAAGCATGGTCACTCGGCAGGGTTCGTAACGTTCAAGATATTTTTGTCTGATCTATACTGATTGAGGTCTAGGCGAGAGCAAGCCCTTCATTCGTAACGTTTTTACCCTCAACAGCTGTGCACACATCGTGGGCTCGCAGGTCTTGAGCTTTGACGATGAGGTCCAACTGTTCACTGCTTGGCAACGGTTCGTAGAGGAGGTTGACCCCGACGTTGTCATTGGCTACAACATCGCCAACTTCGACATACCGTACCTGCTGGACCGTGCTAAGGCCGTTAAGGCGGACAAGTTCCCGTACCTTGGCCGCATGAAGAGTAAGTCCGGCCTCGTTAGGATGATCATCTCTGACAACGCTTGCTATCCTAGATATCAAGTCGCAGATGAAAGAGACGCATTTTTCGTCGAAGGCGTTCGGTCAACGTGACTCGAAGGAGACTGCGCTCGACGGGCGGCTTCAAATTGATCTCCTGCAGTATATGCAACGTGAACATAAGCTGCGCAGCTATACGCTGAACTCCGTTTGTGCGCAATTCCTGGGAGAACAGAAGGAGGATGTGCACCACTCAGTGATCACGGAGCTGCAAAACGGGACGTCGGAGTCGAGGAGACGGCTAGCGGTCTACTGTCTCAAGGTGTGTACCTGTCATTCGAGGGGTGTTTCCTGAACTGACATGATGTGACAGGATTCGTATCTGCCTCAACGGCTGATGGATAAGCTGATGTGTTTCATTAACTACACTGAGATGGCTCGCGTGACTGGCGTACCCTTCAACTACTTGCTCTCTCGTGGACAGTCTATCAAGGTCTTGTCCCAGCTTTACCGGAAGGCCAATGACGACGGCTATATCGTCCCTTCGCTGAAGGGAGAGGGTGGGTTGTTTCTCCATTATGTTTGGATGCGCGCCCTGACATTTGGCTACAGGTTCAGATGAGCAGTATGAAGGTGCCACCGTCATCGAACCTAAGAAGGGCTACTACGACGTACCTATTGCGACATTGGACTTCAGTTCACTGTACCCATCCATCATGATGGCGCATAATCTCTGCTACACGACGCTAATTGACAAGAAGAACATTGACCGTCTCAACCTTGTCAAAGATGTGGATTACGTCCAGACACCGAACAACGGTAATCCCTTCCGGCTGTACTTAGCTCCCCGCACGTACTCATTCTACGGAACAGACTTCTTCGTCACATCTTCCAAGCGCAAGGGATTACTTCCCACCATTCTGGAAGATCTTATCGCGGCACGTAAACGCGCCAAAGCCGATCTGAAGAAGGAAACGGATCCATTCAAGCGCGCTGTGCTGGACGGTCGACAGCTTGCGTTGAAGATCAGTGCCAACTCTGTATATGGTTTTACGGGTGCAACCATTGGCAAATTGCCGTGTCTGCCCATCTCCTCTAGCGTCACTGCATACGGTCGTCAAATGATCGAGAAGACGAAGAAGGTCGGTCTTGACGTTCCTGGTTCGACCGCTGAAGAGCTCATCACATCTGCCATTTAGGAGGTAGAGGCCGAGTACTGCATCGCGAACGGTCATATGCACGATGCCGAGGTCATCTACGGTGATACTGATTCGGTCATGGTGAAGTTCGGTCCCACAGACCTACCCAGTGTCATGGCTCTAGGTAAGTCTTACCCGTGATCGTTCTTCACAGTCACTAATGTCGTCTAACCGGACTATCTGGTGCAGGCAGTCAAGCGGCGGACCTCGTCACAACGAAATTCATCAAGCCGATCAAGTTGGAGTTCGAGAAGGTCTACTTCCCGTATTTGCTTATCAGCAAGAAACGCTACGCGGGTCTATACTGGACAAGACCGGAGAAGTATGACAAGATGGATACGAAGGGCATCGAGGTGCGCATCGTTGACAGTGGTATTTGCTCTCTGTTCACCACGCATCACAGACTGTACGACGGGACAACTGTCGGCTTGTCTCCACAGTCATCGAAACGTGCCTTCACAAGATGCTGATTGATCGGGATGTGAAGGGGGCCGAAGAGTAAGTATACTGCAATCTCTGATGAGGATCACATTTTAACGGCTACTTCAGCTACGCCAAACAGATCATCTCAGACCTCCTGCAGAACAAAGTCGACATGTCGCAGCTTGTCATCACCAAAGCACTTGCAAAAGCTGGTGAGTAGTTCGCTTGGTATGTCCACAGAAGTGTATTGACGTGTACTCCGCAGACTACGCTGCCAAGCAAGCGCACGTAGAATTGGCAGAGCGCATGAAGCAGCGCGATGCCGGTTCAGCACCTGCCCTGGGCGACCGTGTGGCCTATGTTATCATCAAAGGCGTGAAGGGTGCGTTGTTGGGCGACTCAACCTGCGTTTCCCTGCATTCCTGAATTTCCACGACTAGGTGCTGCGGCGTATGAGAAGTCTGAGGACCCTATCTACGTCCTTGAGAACAACATACCGATAGACACAAAGTATTACCTCGAGAACCAGCTGTCCAATCCGCTCATGAGGATCTTTGAGCCTATTCTCGGCGAGAAAGCGGCATCACTGTGTAAGTCATACAGAGCCCCTGCTCTACCGTCTTACAGTAAGCTGATATGTTGTATAGTGTCTGGCGATCACACGCGGACGATCCAGATTGCGACACCCACTGTCGGCGGGCTGATGAAATTTGCTGTGAAGACTGCGACTTGCATGGGCTGTAAGACGCCCCTGCGACCGAGCAACAGTCAGAAGAGTATGTATGCTCAGATGTGTTCGTCGCCATGAAATTGACGCATGTCTAGACGGCGCCGTATGTAATAATTGCAGACCAAGATTAGGCGAATTCTTCCAGAAGCAGGTATGAGATGCCGCTGCCATGTAGTAGGGAACCTGTACTAAGGAAGTATCTGCAGGTAACCACTACTTCTGACATGCAAGTACGGTTCTCTCGTCTTTGGACTCAATGTCAACGTTGCCAAGGCTCTTTGCATATGGTACGTACATTGTGACTACTCCGTATGCGCGACGCTGATGACCTTGTGTTAGGACGTTCTATGCACGAGCAAGGATTGTCCTATCTTCTACATGAGGAAAAAGGCGCAGAAGGACGTCGAAGATGCCAACGCCCAACTTGAACGCTTTGATCACGAACTCTGGTAGATGGGGCACCCTGGATGATGCCATGTATTCTTATTGTTGCGAGCATGGGACTTGTGTATACCTCAGCACTTGCGTAATTTGTACTCTAGTGAACCTGCCCAGTGTTCATGTAATTGATTGAGACGCGAAGAGCATTGAAACAGCGAGTCATGCGCTCACGACGTGTTGCGACAGAAGCTCAAAGTATATACAATCTACCCCGCTCCAAGCAAAGAACTGAATAACCCGTCAATCTGCTCATCGTGCCAGCCGCCATGGGTCACGGGCACCGGGACCATGAAGTTCTGCAGCTTCGTATGTACTTCATACCGCAGCTTCCTCCCCTTACTCGCCTTCGTGTCCACCTTGAGCTTCTTCCTCGCCTTTCTTTCCCGCTGCTGCGCCATCCAATCCTGCTCGCCCGTATCACCTGTACGAGCTTTGATGACGTCCCTGAGAAGCTGCTGGTAGAAGTCCAAGTCGTCGAAGAGTTCTGCGTCTTCCTTCTCATCGTCATTGCCATCATCTGCGCCACGAGGCTCATCTCGATGATCAGCAGATTCAAGGCGCTTCGTGTTGCTCCTGCGCGTCCGTGTCCGGGCAAGCAGCTTGGTCCCATCGGTGCGCAGGAGGTCGTCGACCATGCCTACGGCCCCGACCTTGCTCCTGTCGTCCTTGTTGAAGGCTGTCTTGTTACCGAGGAGGACACTAGGTGCGACTGCTTGCACTTTCGCCGACCACTTCGCGAGCGTGTGGATGAGGTGCGAGTGGTAGCTCGACTCAAGCGCCGAAGCAGCCGCGGACAGATCACGGAGGTGGTCTGGGTAGTCATACGAGGGGTCTTGCTCCAGGTCCACTCTTCGTCGCTTGCGCGGGGGAGGCTCGATTGATTCATTGTCCCTGAGAAGACCCTACTCGAGGATTAGCGAGGTCCAGAACATGAGTCGAGATTGTGCAGTACCTCCTGCAATGAGAACAAGTCTTCGGAGAGTGCGGCTGCTTCGCCGAACAGGCCCTCCAATGCTGCACGGGCAGAGCCGTTTTGGGCGAGATGGCTGAGATACGTGCCCTATCAAGTAAGTAAGCGTAAGAAGAACATGCATGCACGGCGCCGCCTATGATAAAGAACGTACTGTCGGCAATCGATTCGCTGCTGTCACCACCTTCTGCATTTGTATCCGCGCGTCGAGTAGGGAGTCCCACAATGCCTGTGAACCAGCCGCTCACGACTAAACAAACGCCTGCAGGATTTAATAGAATGACGTACAATCTGGCGGGACACGGCCTTGCCCTTTTGCCGGTCCTCTTCTCGAGTCTTGCGCAGGTTGGACGCAAGGTCTGGTTCCGGATCCTTCACAGGCTGATTGGATTGAATAGCTCGTGTGCCACCTGGCCGGTCAGAAGGTGAAGGACTGGGAGCGGGGGAAGCTTCCTCATCGCTCTCTTTATAAAGCAATTCCTCCTCGTCTTCTTCGCTGTTTTCGTCTGCAACGTCGGAGTAGTTCTCCTCTTCCGATGGACTGGGCACCGCGCCGTCTACGTCGTCGTCGTCGCCGCTGTCAAGGTCTTCGTCTTCCAATAGCTGCTTGCGGGTCGTGCGCATGCCGTCATATTTTGGGTCGGTGATGCTGTCGTGCAGTTTACGTATTGCAGACGGACTTGTCAGTCGCAAATTGCGCAGAGTTAGCACACATCGATGATAGATGCATGGTCTGTGCTCACGCGACATTGACATAGTGTTCTCTCGCCGCGTTATTATCAGCAGCATGCTGTTCCTCCGGGTCTACGCCTGCCTGCACGTCTTCCGGGTCGAGGTCTGATGATCAAGTACCGGTGAGCGATACCCACGTATAGGGGGTCGCCGTACCTACCAGCAGGCGCGGGTTCGGCCAGCGCGGCGAGCTGCTGGGCGAGCGTAAGGCCTGCAGAGGAGCCGTGAGCGGAACGGATACAAAGACTCGGGAGACAGGAGACTAACGGGACATGGTTTGCCTGGCCGGTAGTGACCAGTTGGACGTCGAGCTCTTGCCTGTTTTACGGGTGCTCGACGAGCAATGTCTTCTTGTCGAAAGTCTAGAATAAAGATGAGATTGATGCGATGGGGCGAGGCAGCAGCGAGGCGGAGGGAGCGCGTGCGGTGGCGGAAGGAAAGTTGAGTCGGATCGAGTTTCGGTTGCGCAAGCGCCTCTTCCCGCCGGAGCATTTTGCGCTTCACCCTCATCCCGCGTACCCGCCCCGGGCACCCTGCAGCCAACCTGGACGCCTTTCTGCAACCCAAATGCTCTGTACTGGCAGAAAATGGCAAAAAAGAACTTCGTCTCAAGTACGTATCATCCCCGTCGTCTTCACAGGCACCGCATGTGCTTCTGGCCTCGTTGCTTGCACTCCCTCTTCCCGCCTCACGCTGCGTCTCGATCGTAATTGCGCCTGGCCTACTCTCAGGGGATGTCCTGATGGCCCCTACCATCGATAGCCTGCCTTGCAGCTTCCTGTGACTGCTCGTGTGCACACCTCTGCACCGCCGACTTCCTCTATACTTATGCCCGTAGCTGCGCACGAAGAACGGGTGCTGATCGCGTTCCGTAGATCCTCCAAAATCGCAAGCTCTTCCAATGCCGGCGTCTCACCCCGTTATCGTAGGCGTCGCTACCGGGGCCAACCCCCTCTCGCCGGAGGACGACGAGGACGACATATGTCCCGTCTGCGAGAGCGAGTGCACCTGCCAGAACAGGTCGAGGCCCTCGCAGACACACAGTACCAGCGCAACCGCAGCTTCAGCTCACTCTACCTCTACTTTCAACGGCTCTACGACGGCCTCGGCGGGGAACGCGAGCAGCTTGCAGTCGCTCAGGATCAAGCTCACCCTTCCCCCGAACCTCAAGCATCGCCCGCACTCTGTCAGCGGTGTGAATCCGTCTCGAAACCATGTCGCGTCTTCATCATCCACAGCAACCGAACAGTTACCGCATCCACTTCCCACAGGGTTCAGCGCCCATCATTCAGCGCTTGGTGCCGTAGACCCTTCCGCTCCAAAACGCAGAGGCCGTCCCCCGAAGGCTGTCGTCGCTGCACGAGAAGCAGCAAAAGCGGCACTCGCTGCTCAGAATGCGTTCGGCGGCGCATCCGCCGGAAGAGGCGCACCGGCGCAGGCGTATACTGGGAAGGGCAAGCATCCTGCCAAATGTATGCCTTCGAAGAGGCCGTCGACGACCGTCAAGAAGGCGCCCAAGCAGAGGGGCAAAACCACGACCGACCGCAAACTCGTGAAGGGCCTGCCAAGATCGCTCTCCTCAGCCGACTACAGCGACGATGGCCACTCGACGAAGTACCCGACGTTCGTCTCTGCGGCGTCGAGCTCGTCGCCGAGCAGCTCGTCTGAGTCATCTGACTCCGAGTCTTCGCTGTCTTCTCTCGACTCGGATATCGAAGAAGAGACGCGCCTCATTGTGCAGGGGGAGGCGAGTAAGTCTCAGACGCGGAAGGCATCGGGCTCAGAAGGCACGCATAAGAGGTGGGAGATACGCCCTCGGCAGAGGAGCGTAGGTTTAGGTCATGAGGGCGCAGACGTCGAGAGCGACGCTAGCAGTGAGGGCGGAAGTGATGGTTCAGGGGAAGACACAGATGATGAAGATGATGCAGAGGAAGACGTAGACGCTGATACGGAAGGAGGTGGGCTTGAGGACGTGGACCTCGATGATGACGACGAGACCAGCAGCAGAATCGGCATCACCTTCAGCGACGGAAGAGGCGCTGGCTGGAGTGACGACGAGGAGGAGTCCTTCGATGCCGACTTGTTCTTCGCGAACTTGGACGGGTCGTCCGACTCTGACTCTTCGCCGGAACCTCAGGGCCACGATGTCTTCGAGCCCGCGTCGGATTTCGAGCTCTCAGGCTCGTTGTCGACTGACGAAGAAGACGCGCTGCTGCTGATGGATCTTGACCCCTCGGTGCAAGTCCGGCGGAGTCAGGGGGAATTCGAGTTCGGCCTGGAACTGGGAGAACTGTCTTTTGGCTGGGACGGCCAGGTATTTTTCACGAGCACCACGCCGCAACACACGCGCGACTTCGGCTTACATTTCCAAGACGACGTCCAGATGCACGAAGAAACAGAGGACGAACTGCAGGAGGAGTCTGCCTCAACTGAGGACGAATCGGAGACCGTAGACGAGGTTATGCTGGACGAAAGCGACGGCGAGACAACGGAGGACGAGCTCATCGGCCCTGACGGTCTACCAAATTCGCGCGCCATGATGCTCTTCCGTTGGCCGACGTCCGTCTCCACCGTCAACCCTCAGTCAACTGTCAGCCAGTCTGCAAGCCCAGCGCCGCAGGTGCCCCCGAACGCGTCGGAGAGCCTGCGCATCGCCCTGGCGTCATACGCTGGCCATCAGGGATCCCCTGCTCCCACGCCCGCCGACATCCTCGCGGGCAGAGTATCTGTGGAGGAGATGGAGGAAATGGAGATGGAGAGATCTTATGCTCGTTCGCAGACACCTGCCAGGAACCGAGCGGGTGGCGCCCCCGCAATGGGAGAGTTCGTCTCGGGCGGCCCAAGCTCCCAAGCGTCTGCGATCATCGACGGTATGAGCCCTTCCATCCCAAGCCCATTCCCGAGGTCGAACACAGCCCGCAAACGGCGTCGTTCTACGACGATGGCCGACTCGAACGATCTTTCCTCTGCCGTTGTACGTCTTTCTCTGGCCCTTGACATTGATTTATTGCTCATGTGTGTACAGGGCGAGACTCCCTCCGACTCTGTTCTGTCACCCACCCAGTCGTCTGAGGAGGCCGTGCCAGAGTCCCAGCTCGAGACACCCGAAATGTCGTCCGCCGAGGTCATCGATCTCGACGATGTTCTCGATTCCTCCTTCCTCGACTCCGATCCCATTGAACCGGAACATGAAGCACAATACTGCGGAGAGCCCTCCATGACGAGCTCTTCACCGGGTGGTGCGCTCCTGAGCAGGTGGGACCGTATCCCCATGGCCACGTTCCGTAGGACTCGAGAGTTCAACAAGCTGGATGGGTACGCCTCGGACACTGGTCTCAGCGTCTTTGGTGGCATGGGTTCCATCGACGCGCTCCTTACCCCGACCAAGACAGCCGAAAAGAAACCCGCGTCGACTCGCAAGCGCGGGAAAACCAAGGGGACAGGCTCTCCCGGCTCCCCATTCGATCTGTCGACTCGCGACGGCGACCGTACGCCGACGTCTACGAGTCCGCAGCACGGCTTGCGCCCGTCAAAGAAAGAGTTGCGGAGAGAGAAGGCAATGATGAAGCGGAAGATGATGAGCAAGCCCCTTCCGCCACGTCACCAAGCTCAATTCCGCGCTCACAATCATCACCCAAACTACAAGTCTCGCGCATCAGGCTCGACGCAACGCATAAATAGCTTCGCTGGTTCGTCATCCCCATCTTTTGGCCCGTGAATTATCCCAGGCAACATTGTATCCGCCCGTACGACGGGCCATTCGCGGCATGTAGGTGCCGTTGTCCATAGCTGTAATCATCTTGTATGGTCGTTCGTTTCCTTCGTCTCCTAATCCCATCCATCCACTCCCATTCGCTCCCATCAATCCCTCTCTCTGATCCTATGTCTCGTATCCAAGGCTCTTGGTTCCAATGCTGTATGTACCTGCAAGTCAACACCATGGTTCGGCTAATGAAAGAACTGGATTTCATGTGGAAAGTGCCTGACTTGATACAGTAGTGTCCGGGCGCTTGCATGCTCTCCGGTTCGCGTGAGTCGTGACGCAGCGGCACTGCGGCCGAGCCGAGGTTGTTCTCCCCGACCTCTGCGTCCAACTCCAGCTGAATACCTGCCCCCCTTCTTGCTTACTTGCTTACTTTCTCTTGTTACGTCCCATCTTGACGAAGAGCGTGATTCCTTCGAAGATACACCATGGACGGATTTGAGGATGAGAACCCCTTCGAGACAGAGCCCGAGCGCAACCACTCCGACACGTCCTCGTCCTCCAGAGTGGCCGTCTCAGAACCTCCCTCGCCGCTACCGCATCCATCTCGACCTCTCAGCTCCCCGCCGCAGTCACCGTCCTCGAGACGGCCCATATTCCCGTCGCAGGGCTCGCACAGACAACCGCAGACATACAAGAGCGATTTCTGCTGTGCGCGGGACCAGTGGTTACACTCCGGCGAGGATGTAGAGATATTGGTCAGTGGCGTCCTCGGCCTCTAGAATATGTCGTCCATCACCGTGTATATGAAGCTGAAGAGGGGTTGTGGCACAGATTGTAGACGCGGTGAAGACGACTGTCAATTCAAACTTTCCCTACATCACCTATGTCCTTCGCGCAGGGGTGCGTGCGTTCACGTGTATTGCTAGTGGTCCGAACTCACATTCGGCACAGAACTCCTCCGCCCATCATAGATACTCAGAGTTCGAGTCCCTGCGACTGAACCTCGTCAAACTATACCCGACGCTCATCATACCTCCAATCCCGTCAAAGCAGACTATAGGAGACTACGCGATCAAGCAGGCGAAGGCGAAGGAAGATGCTGCTATGATTGCTCGGCGGAAGCGCATGCTGCAGACCTTCTTGAACCGCGTCGCTCGGCACCCCATCCTCTCAAACGAACATGTCTTTCACAGATTCCTCGACGGCGAGGTTTCATGGGTCTGCACGTTTGTCCGATGCCATCTTCCTCGCTGACCTATGGAACTCCGCAGTCCGAGGTCCTCCATTCTCCGCCTTTGTCGTTGCTGCCCAAGAACATCTTGAAAGCGCCCTCACACAATCCCACTGACCAGAGTACATTCCCTGCATATGCAGCTCTACCGAACCCATCAGCAGCGCATCCCCTACGGAGGCCAGATCAGCGTTTTTTGGACTCTGAGGTGTTCACGAACAAGTTCGCCGCACATCTAGGTGGACCGATGGAGAAGGTCACGCGACGGTCAATGAAACGGTGGTCAGGTGTGTACGCCGCGCCTCTCTGCTGTTAAGTGATGCTCAGCGAATCTGTACAAAGACTATGCCCAGGACCACTCCGAGCTCGGAGCTACTCTGAATGGGTTCAGTCTGAACGAGAGCGGTCAGCTTTCCATTGCCGTCGAGAAGACTGGTCAAGCCATAGATGCTACTTATATGTCTACAACGACACTGGTCTGTATCATTTGCCGTGTCCTGGTTGATATGTACTCATTGTAGAGACTAGCTACAAGAATTCGAGCAAGACTGGGCGGAGCCCCTGCACGAATACAGCCAATTCGCAGATATCATCAAGAAGCTGCTCGTTTATAGGCACCAGAAGCACGTACAATACGAGATGACCCAAGACCAGCTCGAAGCGAAGCGCGAGCAACTCGAGGAGCTCGAGAGGAGTGAGCGCGAGGCTCGGCGGTTAGAGGAGGCGCTGGGTCAAGGGCGCGTAAGCAGCCTGAGTACATCGCGCGTGGGCAAGCCCGCTGGGGACGACGAGAGTGGCGCAGAAGGAAGCACGGCGGACGAGCATGACGCTGCGGACGCGCCGCAACCAGAACCGTCGGTGTATCTCCCGCCGCATCCGGGACCGAGCCCCATTAAGAGGCGGGCACCGGGGATGGGACTCCTCAGCGCGCTCAGCTATACCATGCATGGGATGATGGACGTGGACCCCGAGACTGCGCGACGAAACAACATTAGCAAGACTAGGGAGACCATTTCGCAGGTATGACCTATTGTACATGGGTTCGTACGGATACGTGAATCTCATCGTACGCACCGCAGCTCGAGGATGCCCTACATCTAGCAGCACAAGACTTGAAGTACTCAAGCTCAACGATACAGGCAGACCTCGACCGCTTCCAGCGGCAGAAGGTAGCGGACTTGAGGGAAATGACGATTAGCATGGCGAGAAGCCATCGGGACTGGTGCAGGAAGGTACGTCGTTCTACCAAGTATGATCTCTGCTTCTCAGTCAACCACCGCAATTATAGAACCTCGCTGCATGGGAAGAAGCGAAGGCAGAAATCGCGAAGATCTCAGACCACCCAAATCGGATACCAGACGATGCGGCAAACAAGACGACCAGAAGAGACTCCACTGCGACTATCAACGGTCGCTGAATGCACATCACCTCATGAATCGGTTCGTATACTTCGCTGTGGGCTCCTCGTGATGGACCAATCGACGGGTGCCAGTGGTCATGTCACACTGACCCTTACGCGTGTATGTCGTGGTGCAGAGGATATCTTCGTTTTAATACCTGCTTTTTATTGAAGAGGATTGTTGATCAGTACTGTATCAAGCCAGAATCTCGGCCACCCAGTACATTGCTCAGCAACGGCTACGCCAACTTGAATGAAAGGGATGCCATACTGTATGTGCATGTAATGCGCTCGAAAACTTGCGCGAGCAAGGGTATGTAGTGCCGCCACCCTTTGATTGGCGGCATTTCGAGTGCAATGTGCATCATGTAGTGAGCTCGACTGCATACATCATACAAACTGTACTTCATATGTCAAGATCTGCTAGTAGCCAAATGTACAAGTACTACAAACAGTGCATGAGGGCACACATAGCGCCCATATGGACCGCTTCCGCGCGTCCGTATGTACATACCCTTAAGCTTGCTTCTGTTGCTTCTGTTCATCTCAGGCTTTGCTTGTCATGCACTGGAACATATCCATTGCTATTCATTGTGTACATGGAAGGTAAAATATGTCATTCACACGAACAGGCTGTACCGCCAATGGCCATCCCCTCGAAGGCCCATCGAGCGCGTCTTAACGCTTGCGCGGCCTAAGCCCGCCGCCAGAGATATGCTGTCCGCAGCTGCAACCAACACCGAATTCTCGATACCTACGAACAAGTGAGCTACAAGGGCCTCGACCGTCCCCTTCTTCTCCTCCTTCGTACGCGGTACTTTGACGTTAAAGTCAAAGTCGAGAGGTACTCCGAGCATCGTCTTGGCGAAGTCGTACGTATAGAAGTGCTTGGTTGTGTTGATGTATGATACGTACTCCATGATAAGGCGTCGAGCACGGTGGTTGAACTGTTTCCAGGCATGCTCAGGAACTGAGCTAGCGACCCTGCAACTGTACCCGGTCAGCCACTTCCAAAGAAGATATCAGTTGGCACTCATGAACGTTCAAGAGGATTGGACGTACCATGAAGTTACTGCTGTGTTCCCAGTCCTCCAGCGTGACGGCTGACCCAGCACGGCCAACAAAGTCGTCAATCTCTCCTGAGGTGTAGAAGAGCACACGACACTCCATATTTGGGGATGGAATAGTCTTCGACGACGGATATTTCCAGTGCATGTGGTAGGTGACTGAGTTGAGGGCTTTAGACTTGAACAGTTTCGCGGGCTCAATATCGTGGCCGGCCTCCCTGACGAGTACGACGATGAACCCCAGAGTGCGGCCCAACTTGCCAGACTTGACAATGAGCGCCATCTGCACAATCATGTCAGAGAATCATAGCTTCAAGTTGTAAGGGACATAACTCACCTTCTTCGTCTCATACATAAACTCTTCGGCCGTTTGAGCCACAATACAGAAGAAGGGGCAGGCCTCTGCATGGGTATTCTTCATGGCATCGATACGTACTGCGTTGTACATCAATCGGCACCAAACATCCGCAGTCTTGATGTGGTAGTTGCGGCGGCAGACCTGTAGTGCGGTCCTGCCCGGGGTAGGCTCGTACTCGTGCAGAGCTGTGGCGACGGTGTTGGCGATCATAAACGCCTTATCTTCCGCGAAAAGAGGTGCAATTACAACAGCTTTACGTTCCCTGGGCCAGTAGTCCACCCTTCAGTGTATGAGCCACATTGACACTCATACAGTTCACATGTTCTCTCACCTAATGCATCGGAGGAATGTCATCCAACGCTGGTGCTCCCGGCCTTCATCTCCCTCATCCCCTCTGTCCCCCTCACCACTGTCCCAGATCTTATCCAGCGTCTTCAACAAGACATTGTACAGAGGTTCACCCATTGCTATGTCCTAAGAGTTCCGGTTAGTCAGTGATCCCGTGGTTCCTGGTTTCGGCTCACCTTCGTCATGAAGCCCTTGTACCCTACAGACTGCCACTCCAGCTGAAGTTGATGTATCTTGGTAAAGTATTCGGATACCCAATGCATTTCTCCATCTTCGATGGATAAAGACACGAGAAGTTGTTTGAACTTTGCAGTAAGAGGCAGTTTGGGGACACCTCTCGCAAATGTCCGGGCCTTGTCAGACCCAATCTTGTCAGACCCGTAGGTTGACAAGTTGTCAGAGTCCGTGTTGTGGTCAACGCTAGAGTACGCCTGCATAGAGATAATGGTGTCTTAGTCTGGGATCACGGAGGGAACGGAGTCGCCGGGACAGCCCGTGCAACACATCCCGGGTGGCTGGGCGTCTATATGGATGACTCATGCTTCACCCTTTTGCTCGCTGGCGGGCGGGCAATCTGGATAGGCATTCCAAAACTGGTGGAACGGTGTTAAAAGTGTTTTTCTAACACCTCAGATGGGACTCACGCAATGGGCGTGCGTCGTTGTCGCCAGGGGGTACTAACGACGTTGTGCAAGAGCTTGCAAACTCCTTTTTAGGCAATTCCAACCAACCAGAGGCCATAGACAATTCGTCGTCAAGAACTATACGGAAGGCACAAATCTGGGTTATCGAAACTGTCGTAATCTGAATCATCATAACCATGCGTCGACGGATCCATGCTTCAGTTTGACCACCAGAACGGCGGAAGGTGAGGCGACCCTCGATTCTAAGGAAGCGAAGGTGTGCGTACAGTGCATCCCTGATCTCGATTAGCGGCAAGACATCGCTATTCACGACCCCACGATGAACTCGTGGCATGTTGGTCTTAGCCAACGAGCCAGTACGGGCCAGAGAGGCTTATATGCCCATGTCCACCACGGGGAAGGTCCTCGGTCTGATGCACAGGACCACCTTCTCCATGGACATCGATGGTATTTATTCCAAGATCGGTGCAATGTACTTATTATCCACTGATGTCGAGCTGGAGCGTCCGGAGTGATGTGCACCCTGAGAAGGCGTCGGAACGATAGAGCACTGCTACATGGTTTGCAGCCTAGACTGGCCACAACTCGGTCGCGCGCGGCCGGTCACTGGCAGCGATTCGTCGGCGAACGCTTACTTGGCTATAACGCTTTGTAACTGCAAATCAAGGCTGCATTAAAGGTGCCAATGTGTTCGGTCAAACTTTCAATACGAATCAGGACCACGAACACTGTCAATGATAGGCCTCATGTGAAGTAACTTCGCTGATATTGCAGTGAAGGCAACGTCATATACCGTTTGTCCAGTATAGTACAGTACGAGACGAAATCGCAAGAGCGCGATCGTACACATCTAGGTCATCAAAACGTACGTAGTAAAATCTGTGGATGTAGTGTATCATAATATACAGATGATCCATATAAGCCGTAATCCCGTCGCGATAGCCTGTGATCGCAAACATACGTATAATCCAAATCCATGAAGTCCGAGACCTGTTGACGGAACCTAGATATGAATCTCCACTGGCTTCGCCACCTCCGCCAGCGTCATCGAATCGAGCGAGGCACCCTCAGCATCTTTGACGTGGATGCTGGTCTGAGGCATCGAGGAGGCCGGACTGACAGGCTCCGTCGTTGAGTCCGCAATCGACGAAGTGTCCGAGCCATGGTAAGGAGGCTCCTGTAGGACACGCGCAGGGCTGGACGTCGAAGAGATACTCGAACGGGGACTGAAGAACCCGCCCAGCTTGCGCGTCACTGGCGCTGCAGAGCTTGATGTCGCCGACGGAGGTGCCGGTGCAGGGGTATTCGCGGGTGTCTCGGGCATCGACCAAAGCTTGAAGCCCCATCGCGAGGCGGCGCCCTGGCCCGTGGCAGGGGTGGGATCAGGCTTTGTCGCAGCTCGGATGGTGGACCGGGCCGTCTGCTCGCCCACGCTATTCTCCGCGATGAACGTGCGAAGTGCGCGCACACAGCTCTCGGAGGCCTCTCGTGCCTCCTGGGCTTCGCTCAGCTCGTGCTTGGTCTCCTCCAGCTGTTCCTTCAACTTCTCGAGCTCCTTGCGCAGATTCTCTATATCGAAGTTGTCCATCGACGGGACGTCCGGCAGTTGCGAAGAGCCCCAGCCGAACATTCCTGACATGCGCCTCGACTGCCCTCCCGCAAGTGGCGGACTGCGGATGGACTGCGAGGGATCGGGAGACGTAAAGCCTGGAGAGGTCGCCCATTGGGAGTTGTCACCGAACGGCGGGGCGCTCGCGAAGCCGGGATCAGAGAGGGACACAATCCGGCGATGGCTTGCGCGCGCTGGACTGCCGGTCAGAGGAGTAAAGGACGCACGCTTCGATGTCGGCGGTCCGTTCATCGGGGTAGAGCCTGGCTGCGACAAGTCGACGGAGAGGTTGCCTATCTGGCTCCTGCGCCTGCTCTCGGTCTGCAAGCGCATCAAGGCGCGTCTGCGCAACAAACATGTAAGCAATAGTAGGGGCTGTACTATCAGGATCGTTCGTACCTGCTCTCCTCGACCTTCTGACGCAGCATAGCGATTGCTTCCTCATCTTCCTGATGCTTGTCCCGCGCCGCGGAGAGCCCAGCCTCGGCGCGCAAACACTTGTCCGTTACGCTCTGCAGCGCGTCCTTCAAGTTCTGCTCCCTGGAGTTCGTCTCTGCGAGCTCGTTCCTGAAGGAGTCGCGCTCCCTAGTCACTTCCTCTAGGTTCATCCGGAGCTGGGTCACGATGGACGCGAGGACATTGGTGTCCAAGGACTGTGGCCGCCCGCCCTTATTATCTGGCCTCGCAGGCGAGTTAGGCATGGACTCGCTCTCGAGTTCGCGCTCTAGAGCGAGGGAGAGGTCGATAGAATGTGGACGGTCGGACTTGGGAGAAGGTACATTGTGATATTCATGTTCGAAAGACTCGTTGGAGTGAGACATGACTAGTGCGGGAGACATGGTGGCTGAAGTCGAGTGAAGCCAGCGGGTCAAGTCGAGAGGGTAGGTTGGCGCGGCGGCCTTGGGAGGAGCAGCAGTGCCAGCACTGGATGGTGGCGGTGGCAGCTGAGTGAGGCGAGCGCAGCGGACGGGGGAGAGACGGCCGTGCAAAGTCGCGGTTGGACAACCCGCGTGCGGCGCGTGCCCGAAATGTCAAATACTGCCAAATCGGGACGCGCCCGTATGCGATGCGTCGCAACGACACAGCAACATCGGTGATGGCAACATCCCGCCCTTCTGAGTCTTCACAGTCGAGGAACCTCGGCGGGCCACTGAAGAACGTGTCTGCACCCCAGAGCCTCCATATATATTCATACATCCGCGTGTGTTCTTTCCAACTGTCTATATACATACAGGTACTAGCACGTACAGAGCGGGGATTTCATCTTCCAGTCCAATTTTCCGTTTTTCGGTGACGGTCATAGATCAACCATAATCCTAACCTTGTAGTAACTCATCATCACTGATGTGTGAGGGGATCAACGCAAATCACACCGTCGCGGTCGCTCCAAGGGTAACCCCATAGGTGCAGCCATTCGCGCACTCCCGCGGCGAGACGCACACGCGAGGTACCACGAGCAGGATCTTGCGTGCCGGTATGCTTCTCTTCACCAACCACAAGATACACTGTCATATACATGTCAGAAGGTTGATGACGCGCATGCGACTATGAATACACCTACCCAATCCGTAGAAATGCTCACGTTCGAGCTGTACAGGCCAAATAAGCTTCACCAAGGGATGAAAACATGCCGACGACATACCGCGAGCAGGAACTCCTCCAAGACCTCCGTGGCCTCAGCTGAGTGCAAGCCGTGCAGGTCCAGCATCACCTCCGTTCTCTCCTCCGGCGTGTGCTTTTTGTCGCCACCGACATTCTGGCTGGCGATCCCAAGACACACGCCGAGGCCAGCGCCGCAGATCTTGCCCCTGGCGGTCCGGTCGCCATAGTCGTCGGACCAGCTGGCGTCTCGCGAGCGCACCGCCTGTTCGGCGAGGTGCGCCCGCTCGCGGACGAGCTTGCCCGCCGCCTCGACCATCTCCGCGCTCATCTTCGCATTGAGGTCGTGGCCTTCGCGACTGAATCGCTTCGCGGCACCTCCATCCCCACGTCGCCACGCATCGGCGGCACGCGAGAGGCAAGCATTGCGAGCAGCGCCAAGACGCAATGCCCTATAACATGTCAGCCCATGCACACGACAGTGGATACGTCCTCACAAACCTTGACCGATAGTTCATGTACAACTGGTTCACAGACTCGCCCGTCGGCAGCGTGGGCAGCAGAGTCGGGGGACGTAGCTTGATGCGAGGCGACGGCTTCGGTGCAATAATCGCCGTATTGTGGTGAAGTGGCTCGGCCGCCGCGCCCATGGCTTCTCTGCGGGCAGCAAGCAAGGCGGGGTCCTTTGGTGATTGCAAAACTGGTGAAACGGGGACAGTGGGTGGGGCAGGCTTCTTGACGGCCGTTGCAAACCGCGTTCGTCCAGGGTCGTGGTATACGCCGTTGTCGCGGCCATAGCGATAGCCACCGCGACCGTTCCCAGCACCGGCGACATGGTTGAGGCTAGGGAATTCATCGGGAGACGCGCTCCTGGCACGCTCAGGGTGCTCTGCGTTGATGTCGGTCCGTGCCATGGCATGGGTGATGCCCGACACGTCGACCTCATTTGGTAAATGGTGCAGGAACTCGCAGTTTTCTCCCTTTGCGCAGGTGCCGCGCAGCCAGAATCTGCAGAGTGCACGCTCTAAATCGTGACTGCGAAGCCCCCTCAGCATCCCATTCCATAATGCTGTCAACAAACTTACCTGAAACGACAGTCCGCACGCAAGCACTCGCCAGCCAGGAAATACCTGCAGACCCTATTTCCACCGGGCACTGGGCGCCCATTGACGAACCGCTGGCCGTTGCGCACACCAGGTGAGCCGGGATTCCCAAAGCCGCCGCCCCTCCCACCACGCACGATGCCATTGGTATCTCTGCTCACCATCATGACCCTATTTCCCAAACTCTGTATCCTCGGCGGGCCACTTGCCGGGGCCGGCGCGTTGAGCGAGCGGTCCACGAGCCAAGTCATCGCGCGCTCAAAGTCGTACCCGTTCTGGGCTAACGCCTCCTCGAGCTCGGACGGCGCGAGCGTCGCGCCGAACACGGAGCTAAGCACGTCGAACGGCGTCATCCCGTCCGTGAGCATCGCCGTGGCCTCCGGGTCTGAGTCCTCGTCGCCCGGCGCCGGCGCCTTAAACGACTGGTCCGTGCCGGCGCCGATGATATAGCGTGGGTCGTCAGGAGAGAGGGACACCGGCGAGTTGGACCACTGCGAGTCGAGCTCGGAGCCGACGGGGTGGAACGAACGCGGCACATTGCCCTGCGCGAACGGGTCGAACGGGTCCTCCTCGTCACTGTGCTCACCGGGGCGCATGGACGAGCGGAGTGACGAGCTCGGCGTGAGCGCACGGGGGAGCAGGGCGCTGTCGGGAGTGAGAGGCGCCGCGATGGCCAATTTGGAAGTGGGGCGGCTGGGGTTGTGCGCCCATAGGTCAGGCGAGGGCGTCTCCGCGCGAAGCTGCGATAAGGAGGAGCCCGGATTGGACGATGCAGCGGAGAGCGGGCGTTGGATGGGCTTGAACTCGTTCGCCTTAGCGTTCAAAGAGCGCGGAGAACCTATGGGGGACGCGGGCAGACTGGCCGTGAACTGTGCGTGCGTGATCAAAGGAGATATACTGGGGGATTCGCTGCGCGCCGTCATGTACGACGACGATTGCTGCTGGGCACCTAGCGGTGATGTGAGAGGCGTGTGCGGTCTCTTGAAGATCATAGCGAGCGGGGAGCCCGGCGCTGAGATTGGGGTCTCCGGACGAGGAATAAGGCGCGCAGAGTGGGTTGATGCTCGTGAAGAGGGGCGCGAGATAGGGCGACGCGTAGGAGTGAGGAAGAGGAACGGGACATTGTCCATGTCATCCCTATGTTTGTGCAGAAGGTCTAAGACGTGTTGCTCGAGCTATCAGGATTGTGCATCATCAGTACAGCTGCCATGAAGGTGTATATGCAACGAAAATGAGAGTCCAAAGGGCTCAGCCGTCCCAGTTGGGGGTGATTACGACCGGCGGACACATCACGAGTAAGCCGGACGCGCAACCCACGTCGATCGCAGCACTAGAAGCCCACTGCAAGGGCCCTGGCTCTCTTGATCTCGGTAGAATCTCTCACGTAAGAGAAGGCGGAGCGTACACAGAACGGCACCAGGCCGCGTGCTGGCATCGAGCGTGCAGAGGAGATCTCGCTCACCTCTTCCTCATCTATCGGACCGAACGTGTCTTTCAACAACGTCTTCAAGTCGTCTTCACGCTCACTACTCAGTAGCACCACCACCTTCCCCACGAGCAGAGAGTTGACTCGGGGGTCATCTCCGTCGGGGTCGCCTTCGAAGGTGTCTGCGGACCTGTACTGGCGCGCGATCGCGGAGAGCTGCGCGCGGGTGTGGGGGAACTTGGGCGGCGCGGAGAGGTCCTGCCCCGTGAACGAGCCCGCTTCAGAAAGGTTGCTAGAGGGCAATGGGATGGATATTGTCGGAGTGGCGAGCATTGTGAGGGTAGAAGGGGAAGAGCACTCCCCGCATCACGACGGTTGGTGAACAAGGAACGTGCAGCTCAATATGGCATTCATCCTCGCAGTCTATGATGCACTCTCCGTCCAATCACGCAACCCCGACTGCTTACACATTCGCCGCCTCGCCTTCAAATCTCACTTTGTTGCCAGAGGCCTCTGTCTGATCTCCTCGTCGCAACACGCACGACTAAGAGTCGCCACGGACAGTACAGGCGAGCGCGGCTGCTCTAGGCCGCTGAGATCGCGGACGCAAAGCCACGTGGGTACTGCCTCCTCGCGGCAACGCTCGTTATTGCGTCCGCTTCGAGAGCAACGTATGCATTGATCGCTCTGCTGAAACCTGATGTGCGAACCCAAAAGCAAGATCTTATATCGGCACATTGTTCGTGTCCCGATCGCATGTGGAAGCAGGCGGGGTCCAGCAGGGTCCAAAAGGACTTCAAGGAATCCAGGAAAATTCGAAGATCTTGATACAACCGTATTGCGCGATAGTATGCAGCTGCATACTAGTAAAAGTGGCACGCGTACACTGGATAGTGTAGACGCATGTCCTCATGTTAGTCTCCCCTAGGCAGACCTTGAAGAAGACCTCTTGGACGGTGAGGAGGGCGGTCTGCTAATTAGCTAAGGACCTCATGTGCTGAGGAGACGCATCACTCGAGATTTGGGATACCGGTGTTTTCTGTGTGGCCCGAGACGCAGCGCATATGTAAGCCTCATCCGCAAGGTACGAGAGATACAAGAACCGTGGCACCACGAGCATGGCCCCACGTCAGGACGGCCTGTGCATTCGTCTCGACTGAGTAATGAATGACCAATCTGAGGACGGACACGCAGTACCTCGTCTACGGCTGACTACATCACTTTATCACCAGCACTCACCATTAAATAAGACATCTTGCTGATGGTCGCCATCCGAACACGTCTCCTCGAGCTGCCTCCAGGAAGTAGCCCCACCCGGAAAGTGGCCTATGGTGCTCACAAAGTGGCTGTTATTGAAAGCGATGTGTCAGCGACTAGTTGGCTTATTACACACGGGCTCAACACTTTGTTACGACGCGGTTTCCGTTTGACCGTCGCGTGAGGGCACCATGGCCATGCATGAGGCAGGACCAATTTCATGGATGATCACGCCCGGAAGCAGCGAGCATTCCTCGAATGAGCGATGTGCAGTCCGGTAACACGCGTGATTGACGTCTGGAGTGCGCGGCCACTGGGGGCCGACAAAGGCAGAGGATGAGCTGAGTACGGCTGCAGGTACGAACAGGACGTTGTGGCTGGGCCGGAGAGAAGAGAATTTCCGATTGGCGTCGGGAAGTTGTGTCAGATGCGGGCCAGATATGGCAGTCCGGGGATTCAGCGAGCAGCCGTTGCGCTCGAATGGGACGGAGGGCATCCGGCGCTTTCTGCGGTCTGACACCAGGAGCCCCGTCCAGCCTGCCCGGTCTTATGCCCCTCGGTCCTGCATGTACTGCACCCACCACCACCCTCCGAGGCCCCCCATCCTTGTCCGTTTGTTCTGAAACCACCGCCTCCCGACGTAAATCTCGTTTGCTCATCCTGAGCGCCGAACATCACCGCGCGACAGTGAACGCGTCGGATAGGCCACATACAGCCCCCCGACTCCCAGAGAGCACAGAAATCGCCGCCCTGCGCGATGTCGTCCAGCAGCTCTCTCGTGAACCGGTCAAAACGCCGGCATGCGCCGCTTTCGTGCGCGGAATGTAGACGGTGCGTCGATCTTGGTTCAAGCGCAGATTTTGTAACTGACGCCGGTATGCTGCAGGCTTAAGCTTCGGTCCGTGGTTCTCGCAGCGCATTTATGTATCGCCTATACTGACCGACGGGTCGCGTCTCAAGGTGCTCGAGGGTTTTCCCGTGTGCTAGCTGTGTTAAGAAGGGCTGTGCTGCTATTTGTCCCGATGGTGAGTTCTCTCCTCGGAGCGGTCCCAATGGTACGCGACCTGATGTTCGCGGCGGCTAGGCCACCTCACCACCGGCAAAGGAAATAGGTGAGTGTGTCGTACAGTCGTAGCGTGACAGCCTCGAGCTCTCGCGACCTACAGATTTGTTCTGGCAAATACGGAAGCCTTGCACGATAAAATCACTCTGCTCTCGTCCCGAGTAAGACAATTAGAAGACGCACTAGAGGAAGCCCACGCAAAGGCATCTCTTGAACCACACCATCTACTTACAGATGAACTCCGACAAATCAAGAGACCGCTGGAAAGGGAAAGTCAAGAAGAAATGCCCCAAGCGGCCGATACCGAGGCAGCGGAGGTGATCGACGCCGTAGGATCTCTGTGAGTGCAGTCCTACTATGCGCGCGTCATCGATATCTAGATACAGGGCGTGTCAGTTCGATCACCGACTCGGGACACACAAAGTTTTACGGCATGGCCGCGAACGCTTGGGTAAGTCAGACCCATGTAGCAATGCACAACGGAAGCTTACATCATCTATACAGTATCTTCTACAGGTACGTTCCATGTTCTTCTACCTCTGCCGGGCTTTGTAATACGGTCTGTCGTCTAGAACGAAGAAGGCGACGAGGACCCTATCGAAAACACGCAGTCGATCATTCCTACCACCCTTCCTTGGCTTAGCTACACCTTCCCCCTTGGTGACAGTATAAAAGTTCCAGACGTCCGCACGAATCTGCTAGCACTTCTGCCAGACATCAACGAAGCCCGTCGACTAGCGAGCCTCTATTTCAAGCATGCCGCTTGGATGTATGTGATAACAATGAGAAGTGTAGATCTCATGATTGACCCGCCGCTCGTTTGCTGGGCAGGTATACGCCTATCCCCGAGCCCGAGTTTCACGGCGCCGTGCTGTCGCGCTTGTACGACTACGAGAACACGGGGTTGGCTGACCAAGATCCGGACTATTCGCACAAGATGTCGGTCCTCTTCATGGTGTTTGCCATGGGCAGCCTCCTCGATCTGGACAAATCGCCCTCGACCGTGACGGGCGACGCGGCACGATATTATCAGCTAGGCCGTGCCGCATTGTCCCTCGACTCAATATTGGAGCACCAGACGATCCCGGCTATTCAGGCCCTGGTGGGTTCTCCGTCCCGATGTCCACGGAGGCTTGCTCATGGCACGTGCATAGATCCTGATGTGCCATTTCATGTTTCTCTCAAATATAGACGGTCCTCGCTGGGTTGTGATGGGTCTGGCGACCAAATTGGCACTAACTGTTAGTGTTCTAATTACTTGGAGTGTATCCGCGAATAAACAATCTCCCTGCAGCTCGGGCTGCGTAAGGCTAAATACACTTGTGGACTGAGGAAGCATACTGACGCCGTTGCGCGAAGACCGTGACGGAAACAAGTGGAATTTGGATCCCGACGAGGCCTTCAGGCGGAGATCGTTGTTTTATGAGCTGGTCACGTACGATTCGTGGCAGGTGCGTTGCTTCCACGCCTCTTGCGCTTCCGACTTCTCAGTCACACCTTCTCTCGCCATGCTAGAGCATTACGTTCGGTCGACCGCCTTCGCTGTCGATGGCGTTTATCGATTGCCAGCTGCCGCAAGGGGCCATGACCAAGACCGATGGCGGCGAGCCTGAGATGAGCTGTAAGTGCATGTCACCCCTTACAGGGTACCGACATCCCCCCTCTAACCTCGCCGCTAGTCGCGGCATGGAAGCACCGTTTCGCCGCACAATGCCAGAGCATCGTGAACGAACAGGTGTTCGGCGCGCGCATGCCCAGTCACCGGCAGCTCATGGAGCTCGACAAGAAAATCCGCGAGTTCTACCTGCCGCCCTCCCTGCGCGTCCGCGGCTTCGGCGGCATGAAGGTCGAGCCGCCCACGCCTCCTACATACCAGCAGGACCTGCAGAGCTACTGCGCGTTCTCCATCCGAGAAATTAGTGCGTCGCGTTCGCTGCTATATATCCGTCCGTCGGCAACCTAACCGTCCCCTCCCCTCCCCCCTGTACAGCGATCTTCTACATGCACCGGGGATTCTTCGCGAGCGCCCTGCAGGAGCTCCCCGACGACCCGCTCGGCCACAAGTACGCGCCCTCCGTCTTGGCCGCATATAACAGTGCGTGCTCGTACGTCGGGCTGATCAAGAGCATGTACTCGCAATACCCGAAGTTGGTCGAGCGCATGTGGTTCTACTTGACACATGTATTCTCTTGCGGGGTGAGTGACCTCACTTGCGGGAAGCCCTGATGGCACGTACCGATATCTTGTCTAGATCGTCCTTGGCGCCATTGCGTCTAAGAGCCCGGGGATGAAACTCGCACGGAGCGCACAGGCCCAGCTTGATACTGCCCTCGGGCTGTTCGACGCTGTACGGCATGATCCCCGCGCGGCGAAGGTGTTGGTAAGCGATTACGGGCTATCTACCGTTGCTGCTCATCTCATGAGTGCGTTGCCTAGCCTGTCCTGTCGAAGCTCAAAGCACGGGCGGAGGCGTCGATGCACGAGTTCCACACGCAGTCGTCAGCACATCGGACCGTCGCCAGCGCCCAGAGCATGAAGGAGGACGACGAGCTCGGTGCGCTACAGGGCAGGACGCGGCTCGTCTCCCGGAAGTCGCCCGCGGGCTCCACGCCGAGCGACAGCGGGTCGCAGAGCGGCTCGAGCCCGCGGGAGCTGGCCGAGCACTCGCCAACGGTCACGTACGCACCCCCCGTGTCTGACTTCGGCCCGTCTATGTCTACGGGCATGCAACACGCGAGCACGTCGTGGCAAGGCTACGCGCCTCCCCAGGACGCCTACGAGCGCAGCGGAAGCTACGAGCACGAACAACAAGATGGCTACGCGCCCGCCCAGGACTACGCGTATCCTCCGTACCAATCCTACGGTGATATGTCTGGCTACTGGCAGGCTATGCCCGACCCCGGCATGATGCACACTGACATGGGGAGCTCCTCCGCGCACGCGCCCATGGCTCACTCACCCATGAATGCCGGTATGGCGCCCTGCGACAATCAACACCAGCCGGTCTACGCGCAGTATAACCCCGTGACGGATGCTTACACGAATTACATGCAGGGCGGCCATGGAGGGGTGCCCAGTCCGATGCAACCTGACGCGTGGCACAATCTGGTCGCGCAGTTCAACGGCTAGATGCTTAGAGAATGATAGGACGGATGTATTGCGGACAGAATGCTTCGTTTCACTGTATGTATAGGTATTTCCACCGCTCTGTATCATGATGTTGCTGTAAATGATGCTCTCCTGCTTTGTCGTCGTAGGGTGCCTACATGTATATGATTTCTTGGTTGAATGATATGCTTCTAGATCTCCGCGTGGGATGCTGTTGAACTATCGTGCGTTCCGTTGGATCTTTTCCAACGTGCCACGGCATGAACTTCTGGATGGGAACTGTGTCGTATATCAAATGAGCGTTGTTTGAAGGACTCCGCCCCAGGAAAAGATCCTCCATCGTTCAGTCCAAAAATATCCCGTTATCATTCTGATGCATGATGCCTTGCCCCTGGCGTACGTATGCCGTTATACATAAGACCCCGACGTCAGACCGAGGTGAACCAGTGATTGAGGGACTTGAAGGCACTTCTCTTCATGCGGCCGAATAAAGATCGTGTTGGCGTTGAATTGAGACTATATACCCCAGTTGGTCATTGTTGGCGTCTGTTGACGATTGTGGTCGGCCATGTCGTTGTGTCTCACTGACGTAGTCTTGGTCGTCCGGAGGTACTGTATGCATGCTAGGGGATCACTTCTTGGCAAAACCTGGCCAGGTACTCGTGCTACGCTGAGAACGCGCAAGAGCAACCTAATCACAATGTGTGCTTCCGATAGAGGCTTCACGCATGAATAGAAGCTTAGTGGTATGAAATTGTAATACATTGAGCCCAGCATCTCCCGAATAACTAGTTACTACCAGGCCTTCACGGATGTGGTGCCGAGTTGACCGACTTAGGGTAAGGAATTCCGCGACTCCGGCATGTTCAGAGCATGATGACCAAACCCCATCTCTAGACATGGTAGTGAACCCTGCATAACCCTTCGTCAAGTCCTCTCAAGCTACAACGGCCGCCGTGAGTGTTGACAGCCAGGGATTCCTGCAGACGTGCTCATGAATATACGACAACGCTTCATGCATGACACTTACCCTGTATATGCACTCGTACTGTCGGGGACCGTTCCCGACACGTCCGGCAACCGATCAAGGCACCGAGAGTCACTGCTACGTTCAAAGCCGGAACGCCTGTGCACGCAAGGGCGCTTCTGCGGGCGACCAGCCAAGCGAAACTGACAGTTGCGGCCAATGGAAGGCAGCAGGATCAAACCAGCGTAACCAAGGATGCCGTCCGGAGACAGCTCGTCGAATGTGTGTATCTCCCGGGCCGCGTGCATAGTGCGTCAACGCGGCATGACGCGCAGAACTCCGCGGTCGTCCCAAGAGAAGAGGACGCGCCGGATCACCTTCACAAAGTCTGGTGGCGTCCTCCGTCCTGTCGTCCGTCCAACCGAGCCTGAGGCGCACGTCTGCATTGCGCAGCTGCACCAAGCGGACACAGTGAGTGCATACCATAGCTCCTCCACTTCTGGTGACCGGGTCTCGATGTTCCTAACCCACGCCTGAACGTCAAAGCTGACATCGCTGGACGTCAGGGTCAGGACCAGGACGATGTCGATGATTGGATGCTCTGGCAGTGATTCGGGCGACAGATTCCTCGCCAAATACGCGCGGACGTCCAAGAGAGAGTGACATAGCGCCTCGGAGCTCTAGGTGAGTGAGATTCGGCAGTTCGAGGGGCATGAAGATAAGGCTAACTGTGGCTGGAACACGGTGTTGTTCAGCGATAACCCGGCATAGTCAAAACAGATATGTTGCTCACGGTCATCCCAGATGGGGCATCGTAAAGAGTCTCTCAGCGCACCCACAAGCTGGTGGAATGCCTGATACACCCCATGGATCAGGGCCATGGGGCTGCGCATAGCAATTCCCGACTTCCAGATCGTATGAGACGTAAGCGATGGTGCCAAAATCCAGACCAGTGCCCGCAACGCGACTTCTGAGACCCTCGTGCGCGCAGCGATCCGGAGAATGCGCAACCAGAACCGAGCGGGAATGGGTACGAATCTCGAAATCCTGTCTTCGGAGAGCAACACGTCTTCAAAAGATAGTTCCTCGAGAGACGCGAATGCACATAGGAGGCTGCGCAGCTGGTTAAAATTGACCATGTGGACGTTCGACAATGTGAGGCATGTTATTCGGTGGAAGCCAGCACTAGTAAGTGATATCCACCGCACAAGCGCGGCCATTACTGAGTTCGCGGAGTCCGAGGCTTGCGAGTGCTCAGTGAGGACAAGATCACTGACCAAGATTCAACGCGTCCGGGCCTCGAGTCGGACGACGGAGGAGCGAGGAGGCGTCGCGGTTCACGATGCACGTGATGCCGACGCGTCTGCTGCCGGAGTGCATAGACGCTCATGCTGCCCTGACACTTGCGCCGGTGGGACTGGCGGTGATCTACAACCTGAACGCTGCACTCTACTCTGAACCGCCTATTCATTGTGCTCCTTTGTGGTCTGGCTCTGGGGCTACTTCTAGAGGGAGACAGCATCGTCGTATAAAGTTCTCATAGGCGAGGACAACTGGCGGATTCGGAGTCTGTCCGCAATGGACGCGGTGGATCCTCGTACTCGACACAAGGTCTCCTTGAACCCCGTCGCCCTTGGATCGAAGTCGTATGTATATCATTACTCCGTACCGCTGATATATAGCTTATGAGGATGAGACAGACCAGTACTACCTCAAGTGCTCCTGTCCGACGCACTTGTAGTATTGGCGCTCCAGGCAGGCAAGGCGATCCTCTTCTCCATTGATGTCGGTGTATTCTGGTTCCTCGTAAGGCTTCTTGCATGTGGTGCTACGGGCCTCATGATTTGGGCTGCAAGCACGGGCCAGCTTCAGAAGAAGAGGTCGATCGAGGTATACCTCGCTTCCGCACTCTTCCCGGATAAATCTGACCTGGGGTATAATCAGTGGTCACCGTTGGGAATGGCCTCGCTCCTGCTGTTCCTGAGACATGCAGGTCTGGCCACTGCACTGTACAGGCTTCCTGCTTCACGGTACGTGCATAACGAGTCACTTCATGCCTTGTCTCATGCTCGTGCGCGTAGTGTTGTCATTATACACCAATTCTCGGCTATGTGGTTCAAGGCACTCATAGCCCCCTCGTCCGTGCGTTATGTAGGCTGTTCGATGATTGCTTGCTGACACATCAGGTAGCTATTGCAAACATGTGCGGTCGTAGCAGCACTGTCCATATCCTTCCTCTCCGATGCTGGCCTTTCCTCCGAGGGATTCCATGAAATGCTACCTGCATATGGTGCCCTCATCGTGGAAGCGGGCGCTTCCAGTGCACTTGACCACACACAGGGCGTTCTCTTGCCTTCTCTCGGCGAGCCTCTGTCTATTGCCTTTAGCACCCTCGGAGCGTCCCTGTTCAGTCTCCCTCTCTATCTGCTCAGACATATGATGGTAATCCTTCTTTCTTTCCTTTCAGCTGATATCGTGTATTGATCCTGCCTTCAGACAGATGTAGTTGCCCCGACCTCTCTCTCCCTGTCTTCATTAGCCATCATACCTTTCCTCGCCTATGTGCTACTCTTCAGAGCGCCTCTGAACGCCAGGGTCATCAAGAGCCCCTCCTTTCCTCCGCAGTACTACCTCTTCTCCTACCCACTGGTCCTCCTGGCATCACTCGCACTTGGTCTGTTCTCCCTTGGTCGTTATCCCCGACTAGTCGACTTCCTCGTTGCACCTCTGCTGCTATATGGTATGCCAAACGCTTACGCCTCGACAAAATCCTGACATAAGTGTTCAGGCGTGTATCCACGTATGGCGGACGCTGCCGTTCCCTCACCCTACGCGTCTAGCTCGCGCGTGATGAAAGCATACCTCAAATCCATCCTGTCAAACCCGGAGTCACGCAAGATCTTCTACTTCCTCATGCTCAATATGTGCTACATGCTTGTCCAGATGCTCTATGGCGTCTGGACGAATAGCCTTGGGCTCATATCTGACGGTGAGTCAATGCACACGAACGTTGCCGTCTATGTTGGATTGGGTTCTGACTGCTGCTATCAAACAGCTATTCATATGGCATTTGACTGCATGGCCATTGGTGTGGGTCTAATTGCGAGCGTTATGGCCCGCTGGCCCCCGAACGAGCGTTACACCTATGGGTACGTCGGTGATAAGTGGCCAATTATTCCTCGGTCGCTGACGTCTTTGATAGGTACGGTAGGATCGAGACACTATCTGGGTTTGCTAATGGTATCTTCCTGATATTGATCTCTGTCTTCATCATCTTCGAGGCTATCCAGCGGTTGTACGTGGAGCTCCCTCGTCACAATGCACATCAGGCACTGACTAAGTTTGTTCTCCACGAAAAGGTTGGATCCTCCTGAGATGAACACCAATCAGCTGCTGCTCGTCAGTTCGCTGGGGCTGGGAGTGAACCTGTTCGGGATGTTTGCCATGGGTGGACATCACCATCACGTATGTACCAACTGTCTACACTGTGTGCGTTTGTTTGACGACGGCCTCCTTAGGGCGGTCATTCGCATTCTCATGGCCATGGACACAGTCATGGACATGACAGTGCCCCCAGCCCTAGCCCCTCCGCCCTGTCAGTTGGCGAACATGCGCACAACGATTCCCTTCCGGCCGCTCACTCCCCGGACGCGCACTCGCATTCCCACTCTCCCTCGCACTCACATTCCCACTCGCATTCTCATTCACCTCCGCCACTCTCGATCACTCCCCCCGACCGCCGCGTCCCCGCACCCCTCATTAACATCACCACCGACTCTCCGAGCTCTCCTCACCCTCACTCGCACTCGCACGCACACGGGCCGGCCAGCCCACTGCGCGACAACGAACTGCTCGCCCCCATTCCAAAGCACCTGCGCTTGGGCGAAGTCGACAGCCCGATCACGCCCAACTATCGCTTCGGGCACGACCCGCACTTCGAGACGCACCACACGCATGCACCGGGGTCTGGCCATGCCCCCAACTTGCACGACCACAGCCACGAGCACCATGCGCACGAAGGACACAGTCACAACATGAGGGGCGTGTTCCTGCATGTCATGGCGGTACGTCGTCGCACGTAGAAGCTAAGTCAATGTACGATTACTCACATTAATTTCAGGACACCCTCGGTTCTGTCGGCGTCATTGTTTCAACGGTGCTCATCAAGTACTATGGCTGGACGGGCTTCGACCCCATCGCGTCGCTCTTCATCGCCATCCTCATCGCCGCCAGCGTCATCCCGCTCGTCATCGACACGGGCAAGATCCTCGCGCTCGACCTTTCCGATCGGGAGGCGAGCATCAAACAGGCGGTCTCTGATGTGGGCTCCCGTCCTTTTGCTATTGCTCTTCTGCTAACGGTCACTGCAGCTCCCGACCATCGACGGTCTCGCGTCCTTCACCAGCCCGCGTTTCTGGCCAAAAGACGACTCAGGCATCATTGGCAGCATCCATATCCAGCTCGCGCCCTCTGCGGCATCGCACGACCCGGCCGGACCACACTCGACGCGGCGTACGACGTTCGCGAACGTCGACCGCGTCGTTGAGCGCGTCGACAAGCTCTTGCGGAGCCGCATCTCTGGGTTGGAGGAGCTTACCATCCAAGTGGAAGAGTCATGATAGCATACCTACCCTATTCTTCGTCGTCTTCAGCCTGTAAAAGGCGGTGCACACATGTACAGTACAAGTTGCCATGCAGTTTATATTCCGTCGGACAATATACTGTACTAGTCACATCTATGCTAAGGTGCACTGCGTTCCCACAAGACTGTCCGTGATGATCATGAGCTAGCAACTCTACATGTGAAGGCGTATACTGAAACAAAGCAAGGTATATATATACTTGAGCTACAAGCACCCCCGTCCGAGCGGGTGCGGAAATACTGCGTCGCTGCTGGCCTGTCCATTAAGCTGACCTCTCCAAAAGGGAGCCGGAATACCAGAAACAAAAGATCTCTGAAGGTTGTGACGTGCATTTTACGGCGGAGCCTGCGGTCACTCGTTGAGGTTGTTGAGCAGCGTGGTCAGGCACCGTTTCGTGACCATGTCGCCCTGAGTGGCGCTGTGAGCTGAGGCCACATCTGAGTATGCGGGCTCGTAACGTACCTTGAGTAAGGCAGCGAACGTGTTGTCGCGCAGAGGCTCCGGCAAGCACGCCCTCAACGCCTCTCTAGCCCTGGACGATCCGTCAGTATTCTCCTTTGCATTAAGGGAATGCGAGCAGCTTACCTCAGATTATCGCTCAATCGCAGGTAGCACCGCACGACGTGCTTGAGCAGCCGTACGGCCTGTGTCTCCACGAGTTGGTTGACCATGTTGCTCAGGACGGTCCCGACGGCGTAGAACCGCTCGTAGGTGTGGCAGATGTACGTGAGGCCGGTCTCATCGAGCAGAATCTTCTGGACGATGAAGATGGCGACAGTCTTGGAGAGCTCAGAGCCTGTCTCCATGATGCGCAGGCAGAGGGGTATAATCTCGGTCGAGAGGAGGAAGTGGATGACGGTGTTGTTGTCGTTTTGCTGGAGTGGAAGATGTGAGCGCGAGTCTGTGATGAGGGTCACAACGGGAACAAACCTTGACGAGCGCGCCGATAACACCAAGCGAGGTGAGGCGCAAGTACTCGAAGGGGCGCGTTTTGGAGGTCGTGTTCAAGAATGGATACAAAAAGAGGGGAATATGGGCTGCGAGACACGCGTTAATGATAGGGACAATAGCGCTCCAAAGGCGTCTCACCATTCAGGAATAGCTGACGAGTCTCCGCATGCGAAGCCACACATTGCAGGAGGGCGAGAGCGTTGCAGACGCGGTTGGATACATGGGCAGTGAGATTAGGCGGGTAGAGTAGAGGATATACAGAAACAATTTCTTGAATGAGCGCGGGCATAATACCTGCAAACGTGAGCGGACATCCCGTCAGCGTCCCCCTATGCCCATGCCATCTCCGCACTGCGACGCACCAAAGGAGTGCCAAAGAACCAAGGCGAGGTCGTCATACTGCTCTCTCTTCTTGCTGAGCTCGAGCAGTGCGGTCTCGCGGGTGTTGCCATCGAGCAGATCAATCACCAGGCCGTAAATCTTGGTCTCCTCGTGCACGGCCATGAGCCCAGGCGAAGAACCGTTGTAGCCGGGGACCATGTTCTGCGGCGTGGGGTGCGAGAGAGGGGGGAGGCCGTTGGCGGGGGAGTCGCCGTAGCCGGCGACGCCGCGACCGTAGGGGTTGTACTGCATGTGTTGCATGTACGAGAGCGGTTTGGGGGAGATCAGGCCCGCCATGGGCAGTCACGCAGGTTCAAGTAGCGGCGAGCGTCCCGTCCAGGTCGGTCAAGCCAGAGCTGCCCACAGACGCAGCGCCCGCTGACAAATCACCGCGCGCCGAAAACATATGCAACACCGCCACTGGCCACACACGCGCAGGCAGGAGACCCTGGGGAGTACGGTATATGCATTACGCAGGCTGCGAGTGGGTATTACGGGTTGTTGTACAGGACAGTGGTACATGATAAATACTCCAGGATACAACACAAGACAAAGTCCGATGCGGGCCCGCTACATGGCCCGGAGCCAATTCATAACCAGTCGATACCTTTCGCAAGAAACCATGAGGATCATCGGCGCCGAGGGGTATGTTAGGTCATATTCTGGCTCAGGACCGCAACAAGGTGTTCCTGCAAGCCCGGTCAGCGTCTGGCATCGATGCTCGCAATCCTCGACACTCACCTTCTCCTCGGCCGAATCCGTGTACATGGACCATGCATATCGACCATCTCCGAATTCGACGGCAAAAGAATGTGGCACGCCTTCCAACTCTTCATAGCCCTCTTGCCAGTCCTTGACACTTCCGACAGTGGACACTTTGACTGCTTCTTGGGGTTGGTCGGTCTCCTGGCACCGAAGCTCACTTAACCACTCACTGCGTTCAAGAGCCGTATCTTTCGAGCTTGGGGTAGATAGGTGTAGCAGTGGTACGGTTGAGTAGACGTATGTAGACAGACGTGAATGCTACAGTGAGTAGGTTGCATGTGTGTGCGTGTTCATTGTCTGAAGAAAAAAATATACACTGACGGCGGACATATCATGTAATCCCACATTGTATTAGGTCCCAGTGCGTGCATCTAACCGCATGTAGCCGCAGCGTAGCTAGGCGATGTACTTGGTGCTGTGTAGAGCCCTGCCGTCGCAATGTACACTCATGTATGCCATATTTTCGATCGTACTGCTGTACTTATGTATGTCATGTTAGGCTACCTCAGCTTACGGTGGTCTACGCTTGCAAAACACAGCTGAGATAATCGTGTCATTTAAATTACACCGAAACGGGTACACAGTTACGATCACGTGGGACGACGCGCGCGGCGTGCGGTTCCGCCCTGCATACACGCTCCTCCTGGTCCGGCCGTCCATTTCTTGCCACCTTCGCCATGTTGTCTTGGGATCCCTCCTCCTCCGGTTGGTCAAGCTGCACAGCGAGGTCGAGAAGCTCAAGGCCGACTTAGCTGAGCTCCGAGTCAAACATGCTCGGGAGGAAGAGAAGGACTGTGGCGATGGTGAAGCAGGGATGAAGGCGGGGATGATGGGAACGACGAAGGAGACGTCAGAGCACCCGCTTGGAAGCGACACAAGGCTAACAACCAGAGTCAGATGCTGAGTGTCGTAAGATATATGAAGGCACTCACTCTAGACCAACTAACTGTCACTGGGACCGAGCTCTGGGCATGCTCCCATCAATGTATGCGGATGATATCTGGCGCTGAGGGTGTCATCAGAAATCCGTGGTGACCGCAATGCAGAATCTTACTGGCTTAGGGCCAAATCCATCCCCCATTGGTGGTCCACCTGCAGCCGAGAATGATGATGACCTCGCAAATGAAGAAACGGCGGGGCGGCCATGGCACCAGTCAACTCGTCAATGACCGCTTGCGGCGTCGAAAGTAGCCTGTATGGGTATCTTGAATCATCTAGAGACGTGCTCTTACCTGTGTGTTCTTGTTCTTGGGCGGCATTTTGCCGAGGTTGACGACGTGATGGACGTTCAGGACAACGTACAGAAGGCAAGAAAATGAAGATTTTATGGTCCCATGCAACAGTGTTAGTCTACGTACGACTACTTAGCATAAGAGGGATGCGTATAGCCAAGTATACCAGAAGGCGATGAAGGTAGACCATGCGGTGACGGGGCGATGTTCGCCCACGTAGGGCTAGACGCCTAGGCTTATGTAACCTCATGTAACCAAAGTCGGATTACGTACTGTCTACGGATGCGTGCCTACATGCGTTTCCTCGGTCTACACAGGCATAATCTACGCTACATCCACCCTGTGTGGCACTGCGCTTGGTCGACGTTGGGCTACACGACCGAGCACATCCTTGGAGGATACGCGCCTTGAACGCAGTGACTGTTACAGAGGGGAGACATAGTATGCCACGTACCTCCTTGTTCTTGAACAAGTATAGCTTCTCATCATCGAGCTGATAGTACCGCCGCTTCCATGCTCCAGACTGCTCAGACTGGACAGTGACCCAGCCCGACGAAAGCACATGGCGGCCACCTGTTGTGGTCGCAGCAGCCTTCAAGCGAGCGGCCAGCGCCCGCCTCTCGTCCAAAACCTTGCGCCGCATCTCCTGACGCTTGCCAGAGATATCTTGCGCACGCTTGGCCTGCTCGCTTCGCCACGCCTGCAGCTTCTGCGTCTCCTGTATGCGGCGTTCGCGGTCGGCCTTTCTCCTCTCCTCCAGGGTAGTCCTTCGCTTCTCCTCTGCCTCGCGCTCCATCGCCTCCTTCCGTGTGCGCTGCTCGGCCGCGTAGCGAAGCTCCGACTGGAGGATCGCCTTTCGTTTGCGCTCCTCCTGCTCGTAGCGGCGCACTTCCTCCTCCTTCGCCTGCCTGAGCCGCTCCTGGTGCTCTTCCTCCTCCCGGCGCGCCTGCTCCTCCTCCCTCTCCTTGCGGCGCAGCGCCTCCCGGCGTCTAAGCTCGAGCTCGTCGGGCGTCGAAGCGACGCGGCGCTCGGGGATGCGCCCGCGGGCGAGCGGGACGCGATAGGACAGCATCGGGATGCGCGAGGGTGCAGGTGGGGTAGTAGGTGTGTAAGCCGTCTGCGGGCGCACGCCTGCAGCACCTGGACCCGTGCCGTTACCAGCACGCGGTCTGGAACTAGAATGGGAATGCAACGCGGCGTCCGAATTCATGTCTTCTGGGACATCAACGAGATTAGATTGTGACGGACGGAGCTGCCGTGCGAGGTAGAAGTTGGGCCGCGTTGAGTGGCCCGTGCAGCTGTCCGAGGACCAGTCGGGGGACGGTGTGCGCGCCAGCTCGGACGTCTCGAAGGCAGAGTAGAGTACTTGCCAGCTCTCGATGTAGCGTTTCCTCGCCTTGGGGCTCAGGTCCTTCGGTGGCGGGGGAGGCGGCGGGAGCTCGTTCAACTCATCTGCGGCTCTAGACTTCTCTGGCAGTAATTTGCGCTTTCGAGTGTTGGGTGGGGTGCGTTGCCGAGGGGCCATGAACGCCTTGAAGCGGTCGTCGAACTTAGTACGCAGTTTCGACGGGCTTATGGTAACCGACGGCATCTTAAAAGACAAGTGACAAGGATTAGCCAGGATGTTGAGTAGAGACAGGCAGTGCAAGAAGTGGGATGGGCAGATGGTAGTATGGGAGAGGGAGATGGGATTCGAGGCGATAGGTACGGGACGAGGCTGAGCAGGCCATTGTTCGCATCGTTACCAGGAAAGACCATTTCGTGTTGGCGTTAGTCCTAAACAAAGCCGTTGTGTCGGGTCCCTTAGGCGCCCACTGCATTCATTGTCCATCGTCTTCGCTTTGTGCTCACTGTTTAGGCAGCCGTTCTTCCATACAAGCGAACGCAAGCACTGCAGAGCGACGAACGCCTTGTACAACATCTGAAGATCACGGAGCTCTCGTACGTCCCGACGTAACAAGTCGACTCGGCGTTTGGGAAGCGGGGCTTCGGCATGAATGAAATCATCCAGCCGGCACTACAGGTAGACACCTGCTAGATGTCATCCAGGGACCACTGCAATCATGATGCTTGCGCCAAATTCGCACATATGTCCACTGGATCCTGCCTCCTAATCGGCGCAGCCCAGACAAATGAAAGCAACGCACCGCTTCACACCAATGACGCGAACACAGATAGAACCCACGAATCACTAACCCAAACGAATAGCATGGATATAAGGCTACAATTAGTTCGGTCGTTTTGGATCGACGCAGAGTCCAGCCGTAACCATAATCCGAGAGAAGGACCGGCTCCAGGGCAGTGTCATGACAAGGGCGTGCGATCCGCATTAGCGGCGATACGGAAACTGGACTTGTCCTGCATGGACTCTGCGCAAAAAATGAGTCAGCAATCTCGCAACATAATGTTGGAGGAAACGTACCGGTGTTCGACTTATACTCCATGACAGTCGTAGTCGGAAGGTTGAGCACCCGCCTGATGGTTTCTCTGCATTCCCCGGGACCATTGTGAACATGACGTAGATCACAAATGTGCAGCTAGACATACCTGATTGCCTCCTTCACCCGCGCGTCTGCCCCCCGTCTGTTCCAGACAGTAATGATGTCCTCGTTCTGACGGACGCTGATGGTGCAGCCACATATCTCCGGCCGGTCCCCCTGCGGCACATCGGCACCCGCACTGTCCGTCTTCTCCTCCCCGATGGAAGTGCATTCAGCGAACTGGTCGCCTACGACCGCAAGGACGAGGTCCTCCCATAGGCGGTCGGCGATGCCTTTGCGAAGACGTATGATCCATTTCCCGCCACCAATGTTGAGCGGGTCCTCCCAGACTGGCCTACGGACGCCAGAGTGGAAGAGGAGGTAGTCGGTCGTCGGTAGCAAACTGGAGGGTGGGTTGAGGTGTGTCCAGAGAGACCAAAACGACTCAATCTGAGTGCCACTGCATGAGGATACGGCATTGTAGATATAACGAATTACGCACAGAGCTGTAGGCAGTAATCTTCTTGATGCCCTCCTCGTAGTTGGTGATTTTAGTGCCCGGTCCGCGGTGCTGGCGGAACCAGAACACCCAACTGCATAAACCAACCGGCGGGTTAGCACGTACGGACATATCAACTGAGAAAGACCACGAACATACGTATGTCGGAGGGGGTGCACTACGGGGCTGCCATTCCGGCTCCCGTTTGTGGAAGACTTGTCTCTGCTTGAGGACTTCTCGTCGCCCGAGGCAGACGACACCTGAGTAGAGAAGTGTTTGGACGACGGCACGCGCGAGCGCAGTGCCGGCGCGGCTTTAGGGGCCATCGTGGTCTGAGTCGTAGTCGACTGCGAGGGAGAGTTGGCGAGAAAGCGCGACTGGGAGTGGTTAGAGAAGTAGCCGGCCATATACGAGAACGAGTGGCTCCGTCCACAATTTCAACAATAACGACAGCACAGACGTGTAGTACGCGAGAACTGGCAATGAATGGGACTTTGAATGCGAGCGGGTGGCTGCTGAGGCTAGGGAGAGGCAGAGACGATGGTGGAGGAGGAAATAGGGAAGGAGGAAATTGACGCCACCCACGGACGGGCGCGTGCAGGATCGACTCGGACTCAGACGCGCCGCGGCAGCGCTCCGCCCCTTCCTCCCATCCAACTTCTGCCTCTCACTTGGTTTCTACCCGCCGTCCCCTACTCGTCGCTCTCGGTTTATGATCGCCCCTACTCACCGCAAGTAACACCAGCCATCCCATGAAACTCACCCTCCGGCCAGAATGGCGCCTCCGACCGCTCTCTTCGGCGTTCGGCTTTCTTGACCTCAAGACAGCTGTCATCGTCACCCTCCTCTTCGCTGTATGTTGCATGGATCCTGGGACATCGACCAGAGCGATAGTAATGCCATGGAACATATAGGTTCTGAACAAGGTCGCAGGTGTATATGGCCTCATAGCGATGCTCACTGGTGCGGGCGGCACAGCCGCGCAGCTCAGCATGTACCTCTATTCTGCTGTCGCTCTGGCGGCTCTTATGTGGGGCATTAGGTCCACGACGCAGGTCAGTTTCATTTGCTGCGCTTGAAGTCCACACACTCACATCCTCATATGTCGCCTGACCATAATCAGGAAAACGCTAAACACACGCTGTACTTCGCCCACCTGTTCTTCGCTGACCACATCATCAACACTGCATGGCTGATATTCTTCGCCGTCATATGGTGGGTCTACACCCCGCACGACGGCCGGCGCATGGCCAACTCTCCGTCGCAAGAGGAGATCGCCAAGTCGGGCCCCGCCATGGGCAGCCACAACATGACAGAGGCGGAGCGCCAGCAAGCGGCGATTACCCTCTGGCACGAGGAGAAAGGTATTGCTACCGCTGTCATCGTCCTCGGCTGGCTCGTGAAGGTACGCCATACTCGTCTACTTACCCGCACCAACTAAGCGCGGGTATCCCAGTTCTACTTCGCTGCTCTGATCTACTCCTACGCCATCCACCTTCGCAAGGGCTCATATCGCTCCCTGCCGCGCTCACGGCCATCACCTACCATCACACAAGCACCGCTTGGTATCGTCGGTGAAGACGACGATGACGACGTCGAGGACTTCTATCGCATCCCTGTGCGCGCCCCCGCCAACGGCCACGCACGGTCGTCCTCTCACGGATCTTCGCCCTCGCTCTCGAGCTTCGCTGACTTTGTCTCCGCCCCGCCGCCGGGCCGCGCGCGGCGCAAGGCAGGCAAGTCGAACCTGAGCGTCAGCCTCAGCGCAGCAAACGGCAAGGGCGATATGGACGAGCCGGACGAGGTGCTGTTCGACGACGACGAGCTGAGCGCAACGGGGCACCTGCGGATGGGGACGAGCGCGGAGGAGAGCACGAGTGGCGATTCGCTCGATGAGGGCACGGCGAGTAGGACGGGGAGCAGACGAAGCAGCAGGGCGAATGCGAGGGCATAATGCACGGTGTGCGGTCTCGGCGTTCTGGATCGGATTGTAGTTCTGCCTCGTCTGTCTCATAGTTGTCTGTTGGATATTGTGCCCACGTAATCAACCTTACAGTCTCTCGAACCGCTGAACGCTATAATTTCGGGTGATAGGAGATCTCCCTGGTGTGACCCCCGCACAGCAGAATATATCCATCGCCTTCCAGGATGACCACAAAATGAACATCATTGCTATCGTATGTTCTATGAATGCTGTGGTGTGTCTCGAAAGGTGTTGTCGGTCGTAACAGTCGTATATCCCTTCTCTCCGCGGACATCATCCGTTCTTGGCCTCTTTTCTTCATCGACATTATGTGCATCATGATATGAGGCCCGTTGCGTGGTTTCCGCCGCAGCGAGTTCTACATCGTCAGTTCTCCCGGCGGTTGCACTTGCATCTGCAGGTGCTGTGCCAATCGCCTCTATGGCAGCGAGAGCGGCACGCTTACGGCGCCGTCTTGCTCGAGGATTGAGAATGAGCGCAAGGACGATCACGATGCCATCCATGACCTGACAGCCAATATCATCAGACTGACATCTTAAAATAGGAGCAGCTGAGTGCTTACCACCACGAGCGTGTAAGTCACGCTGGCGATGACATTGAAATCAGACTTGAACGCGAGCGACAGGTCGTTGAACACCCCGCCGAGCATGTCTACCGTCATGAATGGTATCGAGATGCCGATGACTTCTTTGTGCTTCCATATTTCGTAATATTGCGGCCTATAGGACGCGGTGAGCCGGCGATGTATTGCGAGCATTCCGTAGGAAAGACTCGACTTACAGGAGGCCTATGGCGATCACTACAGAGCTCCCTATGCCAAAGAACTCGACGCCTGCCGGGTGGCCATGCTCGTAAGATGGCTGTGAAATATAGAGGCTCAGTGTATGGCTCGTATCCGTGTTCCAAATCCTGATAGCGAGACGTACCCTAACTGCGTACACCAAGCCTGCCTGTAGTCCGCCTAGCAAAGCCAAACATACAAAATATGTGACCACGCATGCCCAGATGGGCCGTTTGGATCCGTAGTACTGACACTGCGGCGAAGCGGAGATCAGTAAGCGCACTACAAACCGGTATGCATTGGGGAAGAAGCTTGAGGGCCTCGGAGCGGACAGCAGCCACGGCGAGTAACAGCACCAAAGACAAGTCGTCCTATTGAAATTCCTCCGGCGAGAAAGTTCGAACGGTTCGTAGTGGTGGGGATTTTGCTAGAAATTAGACATACCTGAGCGAACGACAGAAATGACAGCGTTCCGAACAGCTGTGGCTGCACTATGAGGGGTATATTGATGTTCTGGACGATGGCGTAGACCCCCATGAACACACCGGATGCTCCCCATATGAACCTGCGGGTAATGAATATGCGATAAGCAATATTGCTTAGTACTGGACTCTCGTAGAGACGCACACTAGGAATTGAGAGAGCCCTTCTGTAGACTTTTCCCTATAACTCTTCCATATCTGTGGGATCAACTGGACAGTCCAGCAAACCGTTCCTGTTTGGTTACATCAGTTTGTCATTCACTACAGACACAGAGCCGGCATTGATAGAAGGCCAGGATTTGGCCAATTCGCTATCGCCCCGAAGATAGAAACGATGCCCGAGGCGATGTTACTCACCTATCGTGCCTAAGGCATTCTCAGCTGCTTTATTTGCGGGCATCTATAGATGTGAGGCCGTGTCGATGATGTTCGAAGGCTTCTTTTGTCGTCTCCTCCCCCGGTTTTCTGAAAGGATTAGTCGGGCATATATATACGGCGAGGCCTGCAGCGTGGGCAGGTCAACACTGGGTCAAAAGGTGCGGTTACAAAGGTGTCACGGATTTGTCATAATGACTCGGGCCAGTAGTTGACCCCCCCACTCGAGACCTCCTCCGGCTCGAAAATGAGGACGGTGGCGCGACTCGCGATCGAATGTAGTAATTCAGGCAGAACAAAATATTCTCACCGTCCACAATTCGCGGTCACATGCCACGGTGCAAAACTTCGCAATTTATTCGCGCCTGCACGCGAAAGCACTTGGGCTTCATGTGGCCGTCGAGAGTCTCCATTCCTATGGGATGCAAGGCTGCAATGGCGAACTTACACTGCTGCAGATGGTCATGCAGATCGATGGAATACGACCGGGGTTTGACGGCATCCGTGACGCTGCGTGCCCTGGGCCCAGTCTCCCAATCGTCAACGACCGAGAACTTCGCACATGACAGTCAGTCGTAGATGTCCAGGTGTTCTATAGCGACGCCACAAGGTCAACATGCGATACTCACCGGTACCCCTACGCCGAAGCGCCCGTACAACGCCCACATGTCATTTGCATATCAAGCGTTGAAATGGTTCGATCCGGGTCAATACAAACAACATACCTGGGCCACATCGCTGAGAAAACCGCCCCCGTATCGATAGAGGCGCTGTGCCAGTGAATGCCTCGCTCAGCTCTCACCACCAACGACAGTGGCCGCGGGGCTACCCTTGCTCGCTTACTAGAACAGCGAAAAGACGTGCGACTCGGGTTTCGAAACAGCTATATAGAGGTCGGGATTCCGAATTTGAGTGCGGCTAGAATTTGATCAATGGTGCAGGCCAGAGGACAAGCCACGCCGCTTACGATGTCGATGCACGTCGGTGCATTCATCGTGTACTGCGTTCAGAAACTCCGAGTCGCACATGCAGTACAGCTCAGTTGGTATGGGGTCCCCACAAGCTTGAAGCTTGAATGCTCAACCCCTGCGGAACCACACTGAGAATCGCAGACTAAGACCCGGAGCACTGACAGTACCTTCAAGCATCAAAAGGGTTTCAAAGCTCACACATGAAATGAAGTTCCCGACTCATCAAGTCTCATTACTGGGAATCCACGTCAAAGATACAATGGGTGCCATACAATTCCTAACCATCCCTCCATCGGACCGCTCACCACAAGGTGTCGACCAGCTCGCGCGGGCGCGAAGGGCCCGGCTTGGGCTTAGGCGGCTGGGGCTTCTTGTGCGGATCCTTCTGGCGATACTTGGGTGGGCCGTTGGGGTCCTTCTCGGAGTACTTCGGCTTCTTGCCGTTGTTCGGGTCGTGCTTGTGGTAGTTGGGCGGGTCGGTGCGCGCGAACACGGCAGCGTCCTCGACCTCGCGCGCCCACATCTCCTCAAGGTCCTCCCGCGCCCAAAGCTCGTCGTCGAACTCCCGCTCCCACAGGCCGTCTACCTCCGCCAGGTCGCGCGGACGCGAGGGGCCCGGCTTGGGCTTAGGCGGCTGAGGCTTCTTGTGCGGATCCTTCTGGCGGTACTTCGGTGGGCCGTTGGGGTCCTTCTCCGAGTACTTGGGCTTCTTGCCGTTGTGCGGGTCGTGCTTGTGGTAGTTGGGCGGGTCGGTGCGCGTGAACAGCGCATCCTCGAGCGCCGCAAGGTCGCGCGGGCGCGAGGGACCCGGCTTGGGCTTAGGCGGCTGAGGCTTCTTGTGCGGATCCTTCTGGCGGTACTTCGGTGGACCGTTGGGGTCCTTCTCCGAGTACTTGGGCTTCTTGCCGTTGTTCGGGTCGTGCTTGTGGTAGTTGGGAGGATCGGTCCGCGCACTGAGCACGTCCGCGACCGCCCGGGCGAGAAGGCTCGTCGCCTCGTCGAAGTCGGAGCGAGCGACGAGGTCAGCGACCTCAGCGTCGAAGGCACGGGCCTCGAAGCTGCCAGTCCTACGAAAACAAGGTCAGACCCGGGTTGAGCGAGCATCATACGAAAAGACACGTACGAGTCGGAAGCGACTGGCGCAGCGAACGCGAGCGGCGTCAATGACGCGACAGCGCAAAGCAAAGAGATGGATGCTCCGAAGCGCATAATGTATGGTTATTATCTGCAGTGATGGACGGCGTGCAACGTAAAGAATGAGGTTGAAGAGTCGTGAAATGAAACAAGCAAGGCTGCAGAGCGAAGCGGTCAATGAACGAGGTAAGAAATACGATGATCGGTGAACACTCACCAGCCAGTACCCGCTTGTGTAGTTGAGCCCGAGAAAGAGAAGTGAGCTGGGAGACCAGAGCAGCGAAGGGGGCCCTTTTTATCCTCATCCCCAGCGCCTCCTACGTGCACCAGCCGACCGCTCTGCGACGTCCCAAGTTGGTCCCAAGCAGGCAGGTTGCAGTCCAGTGCGTGGCCAAGGCGCACGAAGCTGTCGTACAGCTGTCAACCAGCTGTCGAACAGCTGTCGAACAATCGTCGAAGAAGCAGGAGCATCAGCGTGAAACACGTTCAAGCTGGCATTTGCCATCAGAGCCCTGTCGATTGATGTCGTATTTATTTGATGCCGCGCGCATGGAAAGGACATCGTGGTGTCAAGCAGTGCGCCTGTAGTATTTGCCTGCGCCCCTTGGGATGATGATGAATTCAGCACTTATATACTATCACGGTACCAGTAATGCAACTTTTTCACCTTTTGGATTCTACTGCACGGAGTACTTACCGGAAGCACTCGGAGTTTGCACCAGTAGATTTCTGAGGTTCGAGAGTATCTTGTACGATTTTACACGCCCTGTCTGGTGGGATGGGACGGATACCGAGAGGGAGCAACGACTGGAACAGTAATGCAACTGTTCTCCGAAGCTTGTCACGGCGATCGTCACAATGCCGACACGGCCGAGGTTCAAGATCCGCCGTGCCGAATGCTGCCGACCGTGGCTGAAGACGCGCTGGAACAGTACTGCAACTGCAGTGCCAGTGGTGCCGGAGCGAGGTTTACCGGCTGTTTACCTGCGAACGGGCGGACGCGGTACAAAAATGAGGTCGTGACGATAAAATCATGTCTTCTAGGCATGTAGTACAGTATAGTATGCACAAGATTCCGAAGTATGTACTCTTCGAATTATATCAGTGGATCGTAATGGTCTGTGCTACTAGGCGCGCTATTACATCGCCAAGTCGTGCGGCGGCAGGTTACTAGTAGAGCGGGGCTGTTCTCTAGGTCTATATACAATGTCAGGTGTGTCGTAATATGCAGGTATATAGGGTGAATATGCGTGAGGTGTCCCAGGTGCATACATCGCCACGGGTGGCATTATGAACGAGTCCGAGTCACCACGCGGCCGAAGGCCACACTGTGGCCTGAGCCGCTGGACCTTTTTGGCGATTGTGCGTTTACTGAGAGGGTGTCCAATTACGCTGAGATGTTTGATCCAATCAACAAAAGCCTTCTCCTGTCCAGGAGTGAGCAGCTGTTGAGAAGCATGGGCAGCTGAGCGAGGCTTTGTTTTCCCTTGGAGACGGCGAAGTAGAGTAGAGTAAGGTATGTTATGATGAGAAGCAACCTGTTTGATATTAACATCGCCGGATTGACCACGAATCTCTTTAACAGCTGAACTGATAGCAGCTTCGACTGCAGCTTTGTGTGCATGAGTACGAGCAGAGCTTGGCATCGACCTGCCATAGACAATTCTGGATGCGAAGACAGAGCTGGCCTTCCGCACTTGTAACTCACGGAGTCACAGCCACACATTGCCAAATGCCGTTCATCGGCAAGGAGCGGAGATGAGATCCTGGATCGTCGAGTGGCTGCTCATCACGCTCCGACCTCATCCAAAAGACATTTGCCTCCAGAGGTACGCTGCATGCACGGATCCCACCGGAGAATTTTGTAGAAGGTATCATGAGGTTGTAAATCCATATATCCAGCCTCTCAAAAGAATCGTACAGACCGCGGAGTCATCCGAGGCGATCTAAGCACTGAGATTGATGGACAACGGTATGGAATGAATTCTGTACATTCAGCCAGTTCAACAACACATCGTGCGAAGCGTGTAGTTGTAAGGAGCATGGTACAATACATGATATACAAAAATCCCAGAATATTTGGAGCAGGCAGTGTGTTCAGAATTGAGTAGTTGCATTACTATCCCAGTTGCATTACTGGTACCGTGATAGTACCGCAACAAGCAAACAAAGTCGTGCTAAGACGCGGTCCTACTATACTGACCACCGTGACTGAAGCTGAAACCTCGCCCAGCGGACTCGGAATGGGCGACAAGGCGTATGCACATGCATTCCTAGCGCAGTGATGCGTTGATAAATTGAAGCACATTAGCGTACCTAGCAATGAGGCATCAGTCAACCGCGCAAGGGGCAGATGCTCCGCTTCTCCCGATGGCTAGCGCTATATATAGCCAGGAATTCGTAGTGTCTCGTAGTGTCCAAAACTGGTCTGATTATGGGATGTACGTACTTAGTCAGCCTCCACACGGCGCTGGCGTGGAGGTCGAATTCGCGAACCTCAGTACACATGCACAGCTCCCCCTCAGACAGGTCGTCCTAGGGGTCTGCCTACGTGAAAGTACGCCGTGTCCCAGCGCGGAACCATCTCTTTTGTATTCTCCACGTGCCTGTTTACGTTTACTGATCCACCGCAATTGAAGGCGTGCCACTAGCTAGAGTCTTGAGTCATAAATTGTACAACAGGATTGGTCATCACGTACAAAGAGCATCTCATCCACGAAGCAGTAGCAATAATTACAGTTCCGTTGCGAACACAGTAGCAGTACACTCTGCAAACACACAGATATCTTCATCTACCGTACCCTTCGGAAACATGTGAAAGACTGGAGAGCACGCGTATCGATGAGCCCCCAATCCACGTCTTGATATGTGCCATAACTCACAGTTTGGCTCCAAGCCTCACTCATCCCGCCCCTCGTGAGCCGCTTACGGGCAGCGCCTGGCAGAGTCTGCGTGTCCATCGTCAATTGAAGGAAACCGTCGAAGCGAGCATCAGAGGTCATACCAATGGCGACGTCCTCAGCACCCTCCACAATGCCGCAATCAAGCTCAACCGTCTCGCGCTCTACGAGCGTAGGAACGGCGTGCACCTGTACAAGCGTCACCGCGAGGACGGCGGCAAGGAAGAATTGCTTCAAAGAAAACATGAGACCGCAAACTTCGTTCGGCTTCTAGGTTAAGCTGGAGTGGTGTGAGCGATGAGAGAAGTCGCGTTAGCTTCTTTGACCCCACCGTGGATCCTGCATTTTATACGCGCAGTTGCACGGAGCTTTGCTGTGTGCACCGCACGCTACCGACGAGACGCGGCAGGGCAACATAGCCTAACTTACGCATTGGAAAGACGGGCCAGCGGCTTGGACAATGGAGCAAGCGTCGTTTCATCGAGGCGCTGGCGGTCAGCGCACCCTCAGAACGACGCCGACCCTTCTATAGACAGAAGTATTGACGTGATGCACATCGCGATAAGTCGACCCCATATGTATAAGCGCATTCCATGAGGGACTTACTACATATTACGGGTATCCCAGCACATGGTGCCTGTAACGCTGGTTTCCTATGATGTCGTCTTGAGTTAATTTATGACAGCGAGACAGTTTACAGCCCACCTTTTGTCACTCACAATGCCCAGTTCGGAGGTGAGTACGTCCGGCACTCACAAGATGACTTTACGCCGTCAATTGTGACCCTACATTGGACAGCAATTCGCAAGGAAATATCCTAGACAGGAATAGCTGAAACAACGGGTACTTGGCGGCACTCTCTTGCGTATTGAGGGGGGGGGGGGGGGGGTTGAGTCCTTGGAAGCCGAGGTGCGCCCGAACTTTACTCAGCAAAACATCTGCAAATGACACAGGCCCATCGTCGACCAAGAGTCACGTACCCTGGTACTACGTCCTGCACATGACCTCCATTCTATGGTTGCACAGCATGTCGAAGAAGGGGGGATCCAACGCACAGGTGTGATGAAGGCGCTCGTGGTATTAGTACGTCCTGATCGCAGTTGAGCACAATATATGTGAGACTTTTGACGCTGAAACGCATGCTCACCCGCGTAGGACTCCCAAAATGACAGCACAGATGCTTCGGCGTACAGGCTGAGGGAATGAAGGCGAGTGGGCGATTTTCGGTTACTACCATCACGTATGGTCCTTGGACTGTAACGATGGGATCGCTGCATGAAAATTAGCACTGTACTTACCATAGCTTCAACCTGTTTGCTCATGAAGGCGAGTATGGGTCACCAACAAAGCGAGATACAAGTTGTACGCCGACATCAACGCATGCCGCACCGAAGAGCAATGCTGTGGAAAAGAGCGGTAGGGTCGATTGTTATAGGCCTACTCACCGGAGTGGCGTGAATCGACCAGTCTTTGTACATCGGCTGACCGGGAACACGCGAGTTAAGCTAGCACCTATGTAAGTCGTCGTCAGTGGCAAATGCTAGTTCGCCGCGGCTGTTGTCAACTGAGATTGAGGCCTCGAGGCCTGGATTGAGGTGGATGGTGGGTACTTCAGATGCAAGCAAATCGCGCGACATGCATGTTACGAACGGAACTTTGCAGAAGCGCACAAGCTCCTTGCAGTGTCAAATTGTTACTCTCTATGACGGCAACGCCATCCTAGTATGCGTACTGCTGCATATGAGAGCTACATTGGGGCCAATCAATTGATGCACTGCGCCGCTGCTGCAGCGCCGCTTGGGTCCTGCGCGGACAAGCGAACCTGCTAGCAACTCTGGGTGGCGGGGAGGAGGACTTCCGTTGAAGGGCGGTACACGCGTGCCTCACAAGAACCCATGGTTGACATATCCGGGCTCGCCAGCTACGTATTGGGCGTCCCGCGTGTTCGAAGAACGTATGTTCGTGCGTGTCTGCACTGGGGCGACAGGTAGACACCCTCTGCATTTGGGTGTACTGAATACCCGATGAGACAGATCCGCGCGAAAGGATGGATGAGAACGCACCTCGCCGTTCAGGTTGACTTCTCTGAAGCAGCGTCCTCTGCGTTCAGTTCTGCCGCGACAGTCATGAACCTGTGGTACATCGTCAGTGATCTCACATGGCCCAACGAACAGCTCGTATCAAGCTCCACGATACATGATACGTACTGCGCTGCATGAGAAGATGCGAGCGTGCGCATCGCGTCCAGGTTGGACTTGAGCAGCTCACACAGATCGGCGGTGTGGCCGACTGCCTGCGAAAGGCGGGCGAGCGAGTTGGAGAGCTGCATGTAGTGGCGATCCTTGGCCTGTGTCGCGTTTGTCGTGTGCGCCTGCATGTTCGGGACCGAGAGGGGCGGTTTGAGCTGAACTGGGTGGCAGTGCACAGGTGCGCGGAGGTTCGGAGGCCGAGAGATGAGACGGGTCTCGCCGGAGGCCGAGGACTCGCCGAGAACGCCTGGGACGATCTGCGATCACGTGTAGCTCATTACTCTTTGGGCCCCGGTAGCGCCACTGCTCATTTTGGCGTCTCTCATAGACCCGCGCAACCCGGCTGCCGATTTCGTCCCTCGTCTCTCTCATCCAGGAGCAAGAGTGCGTGGGCTTCCCTCCTCGTTGTCCCCCTCCAGTCGTCGCCATGAATGCCACGGATGCCCCGACGCCGTCGGCCCTCAGCCCCGCCCAGGTGCACTACCTGTCTACGAACCAACCGTTCTACTACAGCCCACAGGCCGACCTCTTCGACTGGTGCCCTGACACCCTGGTCGCCCTCGCAGCGCCCGTCATTGCGTACTGGGTCTCCTCCATCTTTTTCCATATCCTCGACATCTCTGCATGGAAATGGCTAGACAAGTACCGTATCCACGAGTCCGCCGAGGTCAAGTCCCGCAACCTCGTTACGCGCGCGGAGGTCATCCGTGCTGTGATCCTCCAGCAGATTGTGCAAACTTTGATTGGGTATTGGTATATGGAGGAGGAGCCGTCGGGCGCACTCGTAGACCACCTCGGTAACATGCTACGCCTGGAGCCCGCCCTCACCCGCACCCTCATCTGGACGCTGGGCGAGAAGCTCGGCGCGCGTGTCCTCGACCGCGACGGTGCACAGCTACTCTACGCTGTATACTGGTGGGCCATCCCCGTTGCCAGGTTCTTCTTCGGGATGTACGTAACTTCCTTGGCACGCGAACCGCACACTCACGCTCCGTCCCCTCGCAGGTTCATTATCGACACATGGCAGTACTTCCTCCACCGCGCGATGCACGTGAACCGCTGGCTCTACAAGCAGTTCCACTCCGTGCACCACCGTCTCTACGTCCCGTATGCGTTCGGTGCACTGTACAACCACCCGCTCGAGGGTCTCGTGCTCGACACAATTGGCACTGCCGTTGCGGAGCTCCTAGCTGGCATGTCAACACGCGAGGCCATGCTCCTCTTCCTCATCTCGAGCTTGAAGACGGTGGACGACCACTGCGGTTACAGGCTGCCATTCGACCCGCTGCAGCTGCTCACGAGCAACAACGCCGACTATCACGACATTCATCATCAGGTATGTGTGCCTATCTGTGGAGCGGATACGCTGTTGGAGCAGAAGTTGATATCGCTGCTACACAGGTCATCGGAATCAAGTCGAACTTCGCGCAGCCGTTCTTCGTTCACTGGGACTACATCCTTGGCACGAGGATGACCCGGAAAGACATCGAGCATCGTCGCCAGAAACAAAAGAAAGACTTGTAGGCGCGCCATGCCGCGCTGTCGCGACTTCTTGGTTCATGACTGTAGTACTAGTAATGATTAGTTTGTACGTGTATCCCAGTCTAGTATACGTTCCCGTTCTATACCTTTCGCACATAGCTAGCCCGTCACGAGCTGACCATATTGTGTTGTGAATATCCACCTCACTGCATTTCTAGAGACATCACCGCGTTGACAAGTTTTCATGTTTCCTTACGATAGTTCAATATGACTGTTGTTGGTATCCGGATAACGAATATCTGATGCATGAAAAAAGCACAGAACTGTGATAGGGACATGCAAAGGAAGAGTCACTGGAAGAGAACTACCAGGCGGCAAGTACATCTTTCGTGAGAGGTACAGTCTCCATCTCCTGCTCGTACTCGACCTCAACCCGTGGCCCTCCTGTTCGAGCAAAGTTAGTACTGCGATACATGTCAAAAAGCAGCACGGATACGCACTGCGTGCCTTTTTCTCTGGTTTCCGCTTCGTAGGCTTCTGCGTCTTCGGCGCCGCTTTCCGCTTGCCCAGCGCTGTCTTGTCCGCCGACTCCTCATCCCCACTCTCGTCTTCATCATCGCTCTCATCCTCCCCACTCTCATCCTCCTCACCCGACGCCACATCTTCCACATCGCTCAGCCCATCCTCCTCCCCGCTCATATCGCTCACAAACTCGCGCTCGCCCCACTCGCCCTCCTCCTCGAGCTCCTCATCTGTCTCGTCGTCGAGCAGGTCGAGCTCCTCCTCCTCCGCGTCCGCCGCGCGCTCCTTGCCCTTCTTCTCGCGGTCGAGCACCGCGCGCCAGACGTCCTCGTTCACGTTGAGCGGCGCATCGCCGTACGCCTTGCTCTTGAGCCGCTCGAGGAGCTCCGCCTCGATCGCGCGCTCGAGCCGTGCGGCGGAGAGCGCCTTGCGTTCGCGCACGGCTTCGCGCCGGTCGAGCTTTTTCTTTATCCCGACGAGTTTCGGTCTGCGGGTGGGGTTAGAGGGGTAAGGGTAAGCGGGGAGTGAGGTGAGAGAGGGGAGGGTGACGTACTGTTGCCGCAGCTGCATGCGCCGAATTTTGATGAGATACTGCGTGATCTTCGTTACTCGCTGCTTGCATTTGTGGATCATGAAGTTCGGCCAGTGGATGAGCTCGGCGTCGATCTGCGCTCAAGCCAAGCAGAGACCCCGAGTGAGCACGCCCAGATACTCACATACGCTACGAAAGACGACGCACCTGCTCAAGAGCCTTCGAGTAGTTGTTCGAGAGCTTGATCTTCTCCCACATGTGGGCGGGTGAGTGCGCCCGTTCGATCGTTTTCACATAGAGGTACAGTATGCCTTCCTTCTCTCGGACGGTCGCATACTGTGAGTTCGCCAGCGGACAGCTTTGTCGGTTGCAAAGCCCAGTGACATTGTACTCGTTCCGGCAAAAGTTTTGTGTTGTGGTTCTGAAAAGGCGGTATTGTAAGCTCGGAGTCCAAGAAGCTTTGGTACCGCAGCGGACTCACTTGACTTTGTACGAGCAGAACTGGGTGTTGATCACCGACCAAATTACGTCGTCGCTTTGCATCCCGTAGTTTTGAGGCGAGGCTTAGAGAGCGTTTGAGCGGACAAGAGGGTATACAGACAGTCGGTGGCGGAGAGAGGCAAGGCTGGCTTGACTTCGCGCCGGATCGAGCAAATTCTAGCTACGGGCGCTGTGATTGGCTGATCTCGATCCGGCATGTCGTTCGCACGACTGAGTTGCGCGATACACGTGCCCGTGTCGATGTCATGGCAGGCGATCGCACTCAGGCTCGGGCACCCGTCTACACCATATTCATCACCACTTGCCCTCTCCTCCCACGTAGCCCACGCACTTATGCCTACCGTTATCATGCAACGAGTCGCGACTATAGCAACTGAGGCGGCTGTGTCTCTCGCCCGGCGTAGAACGCCCCGTCCATTCCCTGCCCTCACGCGAGGACTTCGCGCGAGTCATCCCTGCGCAGACTTTCATTTCGACACCCACCAATTCGTCCAGCGGCTAGAACGCGAGGGGCTGAACCGCGCACAAGCCGAAGGTATCATGGCCGCCATGGCCGAGGTCATCGACGAGAGCATCCGGAACATGACCAGCAACATGGTCACCAAGGCCGACCAGGAGAAGGTCGATCCGCCTTGCGTACCTTTGCTCACTTGCGGCTGCTGACATGCGCGACGTGTGCAGCATCATTACACGCAGCAGGTTGACTTCGCGCAACTGAAGTCCGAGCTGCAGTTAACGGAGAAGAACGAGCTCGCGATGGTCAAGGCGGAGAACGACCGGCTCGTCACGGACATCGAGAAGCTGAAGCAGCGCCTCCGTGAGGAGATCACGCGGACGCAGGCAGGCGTACGGCTGGACCTGAACCTCGAGAAAGGACGGGTGCGCGAGGAGAGCAGCAAACAGGAGCTGAAGATGAAGGAGGTGGACACACGGATAGAGCAGGAGATCGCCAACCTCAGAACGTCAATACAGGGGTCGAAAGTATGTGTGACCGTTAGTAGCCCATGGATCCTCGCGGCTTACTTCGTATTTAGGCAACGACACTGCAATATCTTGTCGGTTTCGGTGCGTACTCAGTGACATATAGTGTTTGCTCTCGAACGCTAATGTCGGTGACTCAGTCACTGGTTGCTCTGCACTACTCATGGCATACCTCCGCTTCCGAGTGTAAACGCTGCTTAGACACCTTGTATATATGGATCGGATGGAACGTTATAATGCCCCAGGTAAGTACTTTCCACAAAGCTTGTCGACCTCATGTATATCACCCGTTCTACCTCTACAGGTGGACATAATTTATGTATTTTAAATGTTACTTCTATCACTCCGTCGTTGCGCGAGGCCCCTCAATTAATCGTCCAGGGGTGGCAGTGAGTCGCCGGGTATCTCCTCGTCAAGTGCAACACGTTTAAAGAGATCGTAGGCCCTCTCCAAGTCATCATTGATGATCACGTAGTTGTGGACACCCTCCTGCGCGTACTCGATCTCTTTCAAGGCAGTCGCCAGACGCTTCGCGACGGACGCCTCAGACTCCGTCCCTCGCCCGCGAAGACGCTCTCGGAGGGCTGTCAGGGATGGCGGCGAAATGAAGAGATAGACCGGGTTGAGGTCGGTCTGCTTGATTTGGCGGACACCCTGAAGTTGCGGACGCTCGGCGTCCATTCAAAGGGAGGGAGCACTGCATAGCGGACACACCTGCGCCTCGATGTCCAAGATGCAGCGGCGACCCGTGCTCGACACCTGCCGCACCGTCATGAAACTTGTGCCATAGTAATTGCCGGAGAACTCTGCGTGTTCAATGAAAGCACCCTCGTCGAGCAGCTGCCTGAATTTCTCGCGCGTAGTGAAGTAGTAATGCCTCCCGTCCTCTTCGCCCGGACGCGGAGCGCGCGTCGTGTCTGTCAAAGGTGGTATGCGTGAGACGAAGACCTGGGATGGCTGTGCTCTTACGGGAAACGCTGAACCCGAATCTGTCTGGGTAGTCCGCGAAGAGGCGAGTGAGGAGGGTGCTCTTGCCGACTCCGGAGGGCCCAGAAATAACGAGAGGGCGAACAAGGTCGACGATGGGCGACATTGAGTGGACAAAGCTCCCAGAGGAGGGAGGCGAACAGGTGACAGGGCCGGAGTCGGGGCAGGAGGCAACCAGGGACGGCGGGGACAGCTGAAACAAATGGGGTTGCGAAATGGGTTATTTCTGGCTCGGCACCTTTGCAGCGTCTGTGAGTTATCGGACGCGGACAGCGCGCGCAGAAGGCTATTGGGCGGAAATTGGGCATCGATAAGTGTTGCCATCAGCACATGGGCGTTTGTGCGACGACTTGTTCGCTTAGCAGGCCGGCTTGGGCATCCGCGGCGCGCGCGCTTGGGGGATCTCCCACTCCTTCATCTTGTCGTCGCCTTCTCGCTGGTCATCCTCGCAGTCTACTCTAGTCCCTATCCCCCTCTCCTTCCTTCTCTTCTCCGTCCGACCCGTCCTCATCCTGTCTCAGGCTCAACAAACCTAGCATGGGTGCTCTATGCTGTAGTGCGCAGGTCCGTCCGGTTCCCGGCCCCTTGATTTGTTTTGGCCGTGGGGAGCTCACCATCGTCTAGCCCATAGACTTTGATGGGGATGTGAATCTCTTCCATTTCGTACTTCTGAGGTGTGTGGGCAAGGGAGCCTTCGGCAAGGTTAGCGATTCTCGTGCCCTTACTCTGGCAAACCTCGGTGTTCAGATGAGCTCTAGGTCCGTGTCGTCCAGCATAAGCAAACGCGGGACTTGTATGCCCTCAAGTATATCAACAAGCCGAAATGCGTTAAGATGAAGGCGGTTGCCAATATCATCCAGGAGAGGAGGCTGTTGGAGGAGGTCAGTACAACCTCTCTCGAGTATGCGCATACTTATCGTTGAAGGCCTCGTAGATCGATCATCCCTTCGTCGTTAACCTGCGATATGCTTTCCAAGATGATGAGAACTGTTTTTTTGTGTTGGACCTCATGCTGGGCGGTGATTTGCGATGTACGTTGTTTTCATCTGATTCAGGACGAACGCTTATCTGAATGGCCCCCTCAGTCCACCTCGAGAGACTGGGCTCTCTCTCGGAGGAGACAGTGCGATTCTACGTCGCCGAGCTCTCATCCGCCCTCGCATACCTACACGACCATCGGATAATCCACAGGTTTGTCACAACTCGTTGTCCACTACTCGCACCCTGATCTTGCTCCGCCATCCTCTCAGGGACATCAAACCAGACAATATCCTCCTGGATGAGGCCGGACACGCTCACTTGACAGACTTCAATATCGCTGTGCACTACTCCGACCGCCGGCCTCTCTCGGGCGTTGCTGGGTCCATGGCGTACATGGCACCAGAGATCCTCGCCAAGCGGGGCTACTCCTATCAAATCGACTGGTGGTCGCTCGGCGTTTGCGTATACGAGCTAATTTTTGGGCGGCGGCCGTTCCGGGGCAAGACGAACAGCGACCTCACTCATAGCATTGTCAGGGACAGCCTCCGCTTCCCTGAAGACGGTGCCAGCAGATGTTCCAGGGAGGGCATGCAGGTCCTACGCATGGTGAGCCTCTATTCGCTGCTATCTTAGGGCGGCGCCACTGTGAGCGCCAATGCTCGATGGACGCCTGGGCATGTTGAATGTCCATCAACATGTGCGGGTCCGAACTGACTATGCCGAACCACTAGTTCCTGGAGCGAGACCCGCTCAGGCGAATGGGCTGGAAGCCGGATGAAGGCCTGGACGGGTTACGCAGTCACCCCTGGTTTCAGTCTGTCGACTGGGACACCTTGGAGGACAAGAAGCAAACGCCACCATTCATTCCGGACGTGAGTGTATATTGTCCGACATGCTCATCGGCGATAGTCTGATTGTTCCTGGGCTGTTTGGTGTAGTCCAAGAAAGCGAACTTTGATGCGTCGCATGAGCTAGAGGAGCTGTTGCTCGAAGACAATCCCCTGAAGGCACGGCAACGAAAGGTGCAGGACATCAACAACCTCAGTGCTGAAATGCGGCAGATGGAGGAACAGTACGTTCATGCTCATGACATCCTTGGAACAGTTATTGAAGCAGGTGCTACTGTAGATTTACGTCGTATGACTTCCGGAATATGCAGCGGCGATCATACTACCCGCAGAACCAGATTGTGTCGACGGTCACAGCGACGTCGTCGTCTGGTCCTGCTTCGTCAAGACCGGTCACCCCGATGACGACAATCGGCGCGGATGGTATTCATGAGGAGTACGCTCTCAAGACAAAGGCACCACGATCGTTCGAAGGCGACATGATGCAAACGCCAGTCACGCCCACCACGCCCATATCCATGAATCAGCCAGATTACATGGGCTCTGAGAAGGACCCACATGCGCGCTCTGGCATTGCCTGCTAGAGCCATCGCACTGCATGGTTCTATGCCAGACTGGCCTGTTGTCCTCTCGGGCGCTCTCAACGGGCTTCGTCGATTGCCTGACGACCTTGATCTTTACGAGCATACATTCCACTCCTTCTATACCACGGCCGGCCCCTCATGCCCCTCATGTCCTATGTCATGTCTATCACGGTCCAGTGACGTTGTTTATCTTCCTGCGACTACCTCACACCTTCCGTTATAGTTACTTATCGCTGTCAGCCGCTGCGTCCGCCCCCAGACCACCTGCACGCCTCCTACCCCCTCCCCTCCGGCGTCGTGGCCGACACAGGTTACCTCCCCCACCCCCACCCCCCCCCCCCCGTCCTCCTCGCCCTTTGCCTCGCCCTTCCTCTGGCCTGTTGTTATGGATGGTCGGTTCGGCTATGCATAGTTACCCACTTGGTCTTGCCCTTATTGTCTTTTTCGGTCGCACTGTCCTTGGTATCTGCTCTAACATTTATGTTACTACGCAATCATATAGCCCGCTCCCTAGTACAATAATAGTTCTGTTGAGGATGTCTACTCGGACACACGGACACTCAGATTATATGACTACGAGGTATACATTGACCTGTCTATATCACTAGTTATCATCTACGGCAAGAAGGTCCGTCGTCTGTTGCATTAGACCTAGTCGCACGTCGGCGTCGCGGGCGGCTTGAGCTCCGACAGGCCGAGCTCTAGTTGCTCTTCATCTTTGCGCTCCCCTTCAGACGTATACCACCTGGCGTCGTCGACTTAGTGCTGGACCGCGCGCTGGAGCCGGAGCTGACGAACGTGTATATCAACGACCCCGCGAACACCATGCCCGCGCCCATCGTGAGTTCCGCATTCCACCCGTTGCCGAACCACCACACGCTAATACACAGGCTGATCGCTTTGCGCGCCGTGAGCACGAGGTTGGTGGACACTGAGGTGACGCGCTGTAGGAAGCCACGCTATGTCAGCAGGCGTAATGTATCTCGAACACTAATAATACGCACCGATGTGAGTTGGTTGACAGCCGAGACACACATCAATTGTGTTACAAGGTTCAAAGCGAGTATGATATATGGGGTATAGTGGGCCACCGATGCCGGTAGCCTCGATGCCTCAGAGGCGGTATAGCTTGCTGTATGAGCTGATAGGGCTTGGAAGCCATTCTTGACATCAGGGGCTAGGAAAACAAATATGGGGAGCGAGAGCAAGTGCTGCGAGCATCGTCAGGGCGAGGGTAGATATCAGATGACGTGCTACGTACTGTGTAGAATACACCCTCTTTCCAGTACGGTCCATACACGCTGTATGTGCGTTCCTGGAGCAGACCGAGTGCTCCGGTAAGAAATAATGATACTGTCATCATTAGTACGCCTAAGGCGTATTTCATATCAGCGCGGGGGTCGCTGGTTTCCGTGGTCGACGACGACGATGGTCGGGACGTTGTTGCTAGCAGGACACCAACGGTGACGACCACTACTGCAGTCTAAAATGGGCCTAAGTTACGCGGAGATAGCAAGGAAGAATGGGACAATTACGATTTGAGGTAGTGAATAACGCCTCTTGAAGAACAGGAAGCCGAACAGCATGGAGACGGCCAGGCCTGGGTGACACTCCCAGTCAGTAAACTCAGTCCGTGACGGTGATGAAGGTATAAGACGTCATGCGATGTCACAGACGAGCTCAGTGAGTTCGGGGTGCAAAGCTAATAGCGGCGTTACTCCATGAGAACAGCATAGGCAAGACGAATGACAACGCCGCTTGACAGATTGGTTATTCGGCCGCGCTAACGGCTTCCAACCCCAAACTTCCCGCAAGCTGCCTTGTCACCGGCCCAGTATGCATCCACCTGTCGCCCGCGACCGCACTCCGCCGAAATACAATTTGACAACACCGTGGGGGCACTCACCTGCAGAGCGAAAGACGATCTGCACCGTTAGAGGTACATGGAAAGCAAACGCCCAGTTGTTGAGGAGCGAGCTAGAGGTCAGGACCAGTACTTGCGCAATCCATTGACGGATCGGGACGTGCCTCCTCTGTAGGCGAGGGATGCATGATCGGTCCCATTGCAAGAACGATGGTAGTGAGTGTAGAGTGATGAAGCACATCTGCGAGAATGTCAGGGCGGTACCTGTCGAGGGGGGAGGGGGGAGTATTACTTCGTGGACGGGAGGCGAAGGCATAACGACATACCCAGATGTGGGTCCATCTTGAGAATGTATTCGTAGGACCACACGTTGCTAATGGTGTAACTCAGCAACTCGGCATTCATCCAAACCCATAGTACGTACGAGCAGCAGCCCCCGAATAGCAAGCTCAATATCAGCGTAAAGTCCAGCAACGACCCGACCACGATCTTCGAGATGTGTGCGTCCTGGGTGTTGTCTCCATCGTTCGCGAGTCGTTGCGCGTTAGCCCTTGCTATATCGATGTCTTTTGGTGGGCTCCCGGAGTGCTTTGAGCTGCCAGTGGACATCAGGCTGGCGAGCGTGTGGATGGTGCGGAGAAGAGTGCAGCCATGCGAGTAAGGGGATCGTTTTCCGTTCGGAGCGGAAGCGCCGAGGCAGCGCTGCGGCACAGTCGCGTCAGTCATGTGAGCTCCCGGGCCCCTCAGAGGGGCAACTTGGCAGCCAATTGGCAGCAGTCGAGAAGTTACGCCAAACCTTTCATTAATTTGTCTCACCTGCTGTGGCAGCTAAGTTCTCAGGAAGTTGTGTGTCCTGTGGACACTCAAGTCAAAGAAGGTGGTACTATACTGTAGTAGTACGCGCTTAGCAATATGACATTGTGCAGCAGTGGCTACGAACCTTAAGCCTTCTGTCATCATACATAGCGGCGTCGGCTCCGTTCTCTTGCTGCAAGAAATCCGAGTACGATGTATAGGCACAAGCATAAACATGAAGGCACAACGACATGCACGGCCGTGAAGTGTGATACGGTGGTTCCAAGTACACATCCATAACAACTTCCTAATGTAGACGCACACTTTTGCTGCCCCTGACACGTGCCTACGCATAGAAGACGATTGAATCGAAATGCTGCTTACAGTTTACTTCACTAGAGCTATAGAGAACACCTAGAACCATAGACTACACCATGGCTGCTACTTGCAGCGTCTCCGAACCTCTCAAAAATGGACTAGACGACACGAGCACCCCGCTTCTCCGAGTAGAAATACACGATCATTCCGGACGCTCGTACCATGCCGCCCGTACCATCCCAGCCGGCACGACGATCCTAGAAGTGGACACACCATACGCGTACACAATCTGGAAGCCGTTCCGAAACGAAGTTTGCGCGGAGTGCTGGCGATACGACGGCGGTCGGCGGAGCTTTCTAACGCGCAAGGATGACGAAGGAGTCTCCGAGGAGTCGGCCGAAGGGTCAGGTGGAGGGGCCCTGCCCAGCAATGGGCAGGACAGACCAGGCGTAGGGGCAGGTTTATGGTTTTGCGACGCAAATTGTCAAGGGCGTTGGCTGGGAAGAGAAGGCAGGGAGACGATGAGGCTGCTTCGCGTGCTGGAGGAAGCTCGTCGGCAGAAGGAAGGGGATAAGGACAAGGACGGGGGCTTCAGGCTAGAAGACCTAGGGCAGACAGAACTCTCGCGGGAGAACGTTGACAGGGCTTGGGAAATGGTCGCGCAGAAGGAGAGGTCGCCAAAAGAAGTGAGGAAGTGGAGGAATATCCAACTCGACCATTTCGAGACGGACGTAGCGAGATATGTCCTAATCGCGCTCGTCCATCGCCATCGCGAAGCCCACGGCGAAATGGACTGGGAGCGAGGACGACAGATGCAAGCTGGCGAGGACATCATCGACAGGTCTAGTGTACAGGAGGATACGAATACCATAGTCCAATTTGGAGGGGCAAGATGGAAGGACTTTGCAGCTCTGCAGTCTAACGAACTGCGGCACCTGAATGCATACCCAGAACTCCTCGAGAACCAGATTAGAGCGTATCAAGCGTTGAAGGGGCGATTTTCCAGCAGTCACATAAGGGCTTCGACATCAGAACGACGTACTGGCAGTACAGACGGGAGAGGAGAAGCACAGCTCGCCGGCGGAGACCAACAGAGCCACAACCCCCAACCATTGCATATTGGGCAGGGGGACATCGGTGCCTTTCGAGACTTCGGAAGCATGGTCACCATCGACAACGTCCGGGGGGCCTTCCGTGTGGATCCAGGCAACTCGTTCGGGATCTGGGAAACACCTATGACGGACGAGAGCGAACTCATGGGTTTTGCAGTGTACCCGAAACCGTCATTCTTCAACCATCGTGAGTAGCTACCACCGATCAGCCGGTGGTCTAATGGGTGTTAGCTCCCTCAAATCATCACGTTTGAACTCACCATCTCTCATGTAGATTGTTCCCCTAACGTCACCAAGATCCGTAAGGGGCGGACGTTGGGATTTGTCACGACTCGACCTATCGAGGCCGGGGAAGAGTTGTGCATCAGCTATGGGCACGTGGAAATGATGTCCTTGCAAGAACGACAAAGGGAATTGAGGGAAGGCTGGTTCTTCGATTGTCGGTGTAGTCGGTGTGTGGCGGAGGCCGAGACACACAACTTTAAGGGACTGCAAAAGTAATGGAAGAGGCGAACGATTACGTCGATTGAGCACTTCCCTTGCGTTGTGCGCTGCTAGGACGTCGTTGGCACAGTACAGCAAGCCCAGAACCATCCATTGTATCGTTGCGAATGGCCAGCGGCCTCGGAGGCACGTATAGGCTCTAGTTCGCCCTTGAAACATGGGTGGAGTACGTACTCACGACATGCATATGAAATGAGTTGTATCCCAGGTGGGCGGCTAATTGGGAGGACAATCCCGAGGACCCTGAGAGCGGGCAGCGTGAAGCACTTCGGGCGTCGCTGGCATGCCCTATCGAGGTTAGTTTCGGCAGATATTCGAGCGAGAAGGCAGTTCGAGTCCGCTGGGCCGGGATCGCCAGCTCGGTTGAGACGCTACACCTGGGCCCGAGGCACGCGAGGTGCAGCGAATCGGTGAGTGAGGGCGCGGGGGAAGGCAGTTGGGCATGATTGACAGAATCGAGCAACGGGACCGCCCGCGTCGAGGGCATGTAGCCAGCGCGACGCCCATTTGATGGTCATGGCACGAGAGCGCAACGAGCGGCAAAGGAGAAGAGGTGTGGCGGGTTCAGCGGTGGTCATGGCACGCGGCTCAAGTCCGCTCTTCTTGGCCATCACCCCGCTTTCCATCTGCCCACATCCTCCTCTGTCTGGCCCGGCCCTCCACACGTCCTCTCGACCGCGATTTGCGGCGTATATCTCACAGCGCGCGTGGCCAGACTTGGTCTGGTGTATCCAACCCTCCGTGGGCGCCAAGGCGAACCTGATCTCGAATCTGCAGTTTGTCGGCCCAAACCACTGGCATCCGGGTCCCGGGTGAAGCCTTTGTGACTGTCTCCCGTCGTGCATGGCGGCAGCTCTCAGCCATATGCTTTCCGCAAACGGTCGTATCGAAGAGGGACCAGATGTGGGTTCGTCGCGCGACCGCGAGCGGCACGACAGCAACCGCTCCCAGCAGTTCCAGTCGCCGGCGGCCCTCCGTACACAACCTTCATTCAACGCTTCTCAAGCCTCGGCCCCGAGTTCCCAAACAGTCACTGTCGAAAACATGCTTGCAGCGCACGTCAATGCTCGAGATCCCGTTCGCAGTGCACTCGACACCGCGGTCGCCGAGCGGAACAGTCTGTCGTTGCAGAACACACAACTGTGGAAGCTCATCGAGAAACAACGCTCCGGCTATGGACAGTTGATGAAAGAGCTGGAACGCGTCCGCGGTGAGCGCGATGCCTACAAGGCACGCCTAAGAGCAGCTGGAGAAAACACGGATGCGCTGCTTCGCTCGCATCGCGACAGGGAGAAGCGTGAAGGCAAGGAGGCTACGCTTCGGTCGTCTTCGTCTCATTCTCAGCTGAGAGGAAGTGAGGGCAGTGTTTCGAGCTCATATGCATCGGACCCTCGTGCTCATGTGGCGCGAAAGGGCTCGGCGGATAGTGAGTAACCTGTCATTGTGTCTTGGCCTTCTCATTCATTGTGTCGCAGCGGCGCGGAGCCTTCAACACTCTCATTCACAAGAACAGACCCTGCGCTCACACCCTCTCAAGAGGGACCTATCTGGCTCCCAATCCAGCCTGAACCTCCCTGCGTCCAGCTCGCGCGGACTTCCTGCGGCGCCATCCCCTCTTTCGACTATTGCCACCACACGCGGACAGAGTTTCCCTCGCGACGTCACGCCAGACGGGCGATCAACAGTGAATCAAACGATGAGCCCGACACAACAATCATTCACACAGACATCCTCTAGCAACTCAATATCCTCTTCGAGCACCGTCAATGCAGACCTTGCAGACCCCGTACTTGGACAGTGGCAATCTGGGTACCGGCCATCCATAGACACGGCAAGGCCAACGGGCAAAGTTCTCTTGACGCCTGCACCGGATTCTACCCGTCCGCTGCGCGACTCGCTCCCCACCCGAGTGCCACCATCACCTCATACGCAATCACCCTCCACACAACATTCCTCTCCAGATACGCCGTCAAATCATTCATTGAGCCCCTATTCCAACGGCGGCGAACCCAATGCGCGTCCAGGGCTTTCACGCGAGTCTCGCATTTCGTTGCCGGAGGAGGCGAAACGCTACTACGCGAACCTGGCCGATTCACCCATGCCCAGCCCGGGTCTCGGTAGCTCAGAGATGTCCTCGTCAGAATCACCAGCAAAGACTCAACTACCCCTCGTCGCCGAGGTCGCCGAGTCGTTACGTAGCCAGTCTGGCACGCCTGCGAGTTCCTCCGGGGCGCGGTCACGGAGCACAACAGCAGTGGGTGACGAGGCGGCTCCGTTCCTCGACATGGGCGACGGAGATAGCATGCATTCCAGCGAACAAGGGCGGCCGTCTATCACGGAGAATGGTCTACCCTACGACGATCGCGATTCGACACTCACCCGGCGGGAGAAGGAGGCGATACCTGAGGACTTCCCCTTGCCTCCGTCGACCAACAACTTCCCATACCCTGCCGGTGACATGCTCCGCGTCGCTCAACCGCAGACTTCCGAGCCGCCTCGGACACCGGTCTCCCCGTTCCCCATGCCCGATGTCGCGCCGCAGATGAAGTTCCGCGCTCTTCCTCTGCTCGCAAGTGACCTTCCGCATACGGAAGTCAACGTCGTGACCTCGACGATCCGTCCAAACGAGCGCGGCAAGGAGGTGCTCTCATTCGTCGTTTTAGTCAACCCAGGAGGAGGCAAGGACCCATGGAAGGTCGAGAAGATGTACAGCGACGTACTGGCTCTGGACGCACGGATGCGTGCGACCTTGAGCAAAAACGTGCTGAAGAAAATGGTCGCCCTGCCGGAGGGGCGGATGTGGCGAGACCATGCACCTGCCAAGGTGGACCAGAGGAAGGTGAGTTTCACACTATTGTGTATGCCTTCCCTTTCGCACTACCTATTGCGCATGTTTTGCCATTGCATCCTCCTTTGCGACAATGACCTGCGGTATTCGCCGTCCGCAACTAGCTCGTGTTTTTGCGCACGCCACTCTTCCAATTGGCCTCAGATACTGGTGGCTGTACCTCCGCGCATCTGCCGTAGTAACGGAGACTTTGTTGTTCAGTCAGGGCTTGGGGCTTCTTTGTCTTATCGTCCCATTCAGTCGTCGTAGTGAGGCTCACTTGCGAGACTTCTCACGCATCGTTTTCTCCGAAGCTGCACATTGAGTTCCGTGAATTGACCCTTTCCACTTGCAGCACGCCCTTCACGACTACCTGCGCTCACTAATAGCGTTGCCTGTCAAGAACAAAGACGAGGTCATTGCTTTCTTCACGTCCGACATCGTTCGCGAGGCCCAGAAGCCAGTGTCGCAACCAGGCTACAAGGAAGGCTATCTGACTAAGCGGGGCAAAAACTTTGGTGGTTGGAAGACAAGATACTTCGTACTCCAGGGTCCATCGCTAGAGTACTACGAGAGCGTGAGTGCCTTTCCATTGACTGTGCGCAACACTCTCATCTGCACACACGTGTGCATTGACTCCCTGCTTCCCCTTATCGTGTCTGCGCTAACAACCGCTTCTCTCTGACGTAGCGTGGGGGCGCACATCTGGGCTCCATCACGATCACCGGTGCACAAATCGGCCGACAGCAGAAGGCTCCCGATAGACGGGACGCAGACGAGGACAATGAGTATCGACACGCGTTCCTAATCATCGAAGCGAAGCGGGGGCCAGCCGGCTCGAGCTCGCGCCACGTCCTGTGCGCGGGTAGCGACGAGGAGCGTGACAGCTGGGTAGAGGAACTGGTGCGCTACGTGACGGGTGCATATACCGAAGACCAGGTCGCGGTTGTCCAGAACGGGCCCAGTCCCATTGCAGTCGGTAGCGCTGCGCAGAATGGCCAGGCGCAGTCGCGCGCAAGTACGAGCACAAATGGCCCCAACGATGCCTACTCCACGCCGAACAGTCGTCGAGATGTGGGCAGAGGTGACTTTGCAAACGGTCGGATGCCTGCACATATGTACGAGAGTACTCCGAGTCCAGTGAAGTCCATGGTCACGCCGTCGCCTCTCGAGCGTTCCTCTATTGACGTTGCACCGCTGTCCAACTCTATGCCCACGACGTCGCCGCTCATTGGCGAAGATGCAGAGATGCCCGCTGGCATTTCACAACGAGCGAACTCAGAATTGGGTCACTACGCCGATCTCAGAACGCCAGATCAGAGTCGCAAGAAGAACCGACGCATGTCCGTCAATCCTAGCAAGGCGCCCATTCCAGAGCCCATTCCAGAGCGCACGCCGTCGCCGGATAAGGAGGCTGCGATTGCCACCACGCCAAAGGTGGATGCGCACGGGAAGGTGAAGATCTCCGGGCCCATGAATGGCACGCCCATCCCTGCAGGGTACAAGTTTGGGGGCAAAGACGAGAGGCCAGAGCCGACGCCGCCGAGTTACAACGATCGGCGCGAAAAGGCAAAATCGCGGACCTTCTGGGGAGCCTTTGGTCGCCAGCACGGTATGTTCCTCATTCGACGCCGGACTCGAGTGGAGTATGACTGACTGGCACACTCGCTGCATCTGTAGACAAACCTGCCGTGCCCACCCTGGCGCCACGGCCCGTGTTCGGCGTTCCTCTGGACGAGTCGCTCGACGTGGCGCAAATTGCGAGCTTGCCGGCCATCGTCTTCCGATGCATTCAGTATCTCGAAGCCAAGAAGGCGGAGCAAGAGGAAGGCATATACCGATTGAGTGGAAGCTCTGCTGTCATCAAGAGTCTCAAGGATCGGTTCAACGCTGGTGCGTTTATTGCTTGTATTGCAATTCATTCGCGTCTAATGGCGTAAGCAGAGGGTGACGTCGATCTATTGAGCTCCGATGAGTACTGGGACCCGCATGCGATTGCTGGGCTTCTCAAGACATTCCTACGCGAACTCCCTGCGAGCATATTGACGCGTGATCTTCACCTGCGGTTCCTTTCAGTGATCGGTGCGTCATAGGCATGTGGTACATTCAATGGGGTGCACTAACCCCCAACGGTATAGACTTCGTCGACCCACAAGAACGCATCAGGGAGCTCTCAGTCCTCATTGCGTCCTTGCCCATTGCGAACTACAGTCTCCTCAGGGCGCTGACGGCGCATCTGATCTTGATTGTGCAGAACGCGAACATAAACAAGATGACGATGCGGAACGTCGGCATCGTGTTCAGCCCCACTCTTGGCATACCTGCCGGCGTCTTCAGTCTCATGCTGGGCGAGTTCAAACGCGTGTTCAACGTCGACGGCACGTTGGAGGAGAGCGCACCTGCGGAGGAAGAGGAGGTTGTCGATCGGCGCAACAGCAGACGGTACACTGATGCCGCGGCCGACCAGCTTCTGGGCCTCTCCGGAAGAGCACTGCCTGGTATGTTCCCTGCTCCTCCCCACTCGCAGTCGTAGTGCTGACATCATGCCTTCTGCCGTTGCAGTGAGTAATGACGACGCTCCGTCAGACGAAGGGGATGAGGCGTCCGTCATCGAAGATAGCACCGAAGGCACATATGAGAACGACGGGGACTACGTGGGATCCTCGGCGGGATCGAGCGCGGTGAACCTCCCACCAGGAAGCGGGGCCGCGCCTTCCGCTAGCCTGCAGGTGCCAGAGCAGACGGGCGGGATGGCGCCCGTCTCGTCTGTCTCCCGGTCGCGCGCGTCGAACGTTGCGGCGACACGGGGGCTCAACATCTCGACGTCTGACAGGGCGAACCACCGAAACTCTCACATCATGGGCCTCCCGTCGTCCCCGCGGCCGAGCCTTCGCGCGGCGAGCAGCGGAGCTCCTTCGCCCGGCGCGGGGGGCAGCCCGCTGACTCCCAGGTAGGTTCGCTATGCGTCTGTGCCGCATCGCGCATCATAGACACTGGCTTCGACGTGTACGAACAGTAGTCGCCTCCTCGTGTTCTGAAAACAGCTGTGGGAAGCACGTACGACATTGCGAGACGGCCTTGTGTATATACCTCTTTGCATTTACGGGTAGATTAGTACGAGTAGATATCATATACCCGCGCACGGTGCATTTGTCTGTGGACTCTCCTTCTGCGCTGTCCTAATAACAGCATGGGCGTTACAAGCTGACGAGAGAGGTAACTTATTTTGGTGGTGCGATGAGCGTGGCTACTTACGAGAGTCGAGGCGGGCATTGCGGGCGGCTGGAGCGTGGTGCCTGGCGGACTAGCGCGCGCGCGATCAGAAATTATGCGTGAGATACAGCGTTCGCGGGTACATACGCGTCCGCCGCAGACGTCTTCCGAGCGTTGTATTTTGGCCTCGGATCTGCTTGGTTTTCTCCCGCCACCGTGAGTAGCCGTGCTCGACCGGCCACAGCCTGCGCGCCGCAATGGGCTTCAGACAAGCCGCAGTGCTCTCTTCCGTCTCCTTCTTCCTCGGTGAGCCGTCTCCCGCAAGCCTGCCGGGCGACACTGACGATCTCTCTGCCACGGCATGCTTCGAATCGCCTGTTCTGCTGCTGCTGCTGCTGGTGTCTAGGCGTATTGCTCATCTGTCTGAACGTTGACTACCGCGTCCTGTTCACGCCGCTCACGGACGACGTACTGCGCGATGGCTTCGAGTTCTACACAACGTTCTACAATTCCCCGCCAGCCATCAAGGTACGCACGCACGCCCATGCACCCATCCACGTCCAGCCGGGCCCCGGCCTCCTATCCCTCGCCTTCCCCTTCTCTTGCCTCTCGTTATTCTCGTTATGCCCGTTCGCAACTGCCAACGGTTCAATCTGATGTCTCTTCATGATTCTCATTGTCCGCCGCACAGGCTCTGATGCATGCCGTCATGGGGATGGGTGCCCTGGGCCTCTGTGGCCAGCTGAACAGGTGGGACGAGAGCGCCATCTTCTTCGACGGGTCCTCGCTCGGTACGTCCCCCGCCTCCCGCTTCCATTCCCCCGGCTGACGCACACGACGCTGCTGCATCTCCTGTCGCGCTCGCCACCGGCAGCGGCGTACATCTTCGCGATGGCGGTGTACATCTCTGTGGGGATCCCCGCGTCGCGCTCGGTCGCGATCCCCCGCCCCGAGGACACGCGCGCCAGCCAGGTCGAGGCGCTCCGCGTACTGTCGGCGGGGAACACCATCATCATCGTCTGCCTTGGTGCAGTGCTCGCTCTCCAGGTACGTTCACGCCGTCCCCTGTTAGCCGACCCCCATCACCCATTCGCGTATCCCGCATCCATCCATCCATCCCCCTTGTTCCGCGCGATGCCCAATGAAGCGCCGTGTGCTGACAATTGCCTGCCGTCATTTGTGTATGTGTGTGATCGCAGGCCGGAGAGGAGTACGCGAGACGCATCGAAGCGAAGGCGAAGGAGGACTTCGAGCGGAGACATCCCGCGGGCGCTTCAAAAGCGCCGGAGACCAGCGAAGACACGACAGAGAGCAAGAAGGACAAGTGACGGGCGACGCATATGGCGGGACAGGGGGCAGCAGAAAACCGTCGGGCGGGACACATTTTTCCTCTTGCTACGCGACACACCGTGTAATCCGTGCATCTATATTTCGATCCTACCTGCGCAGTGCCTCGAGAAGGCATGATAGGCCCAGTACACTTCATCGGCTGTTTTCTACGGCCGTGGTATGACCGCCACAAAGTTGCTGACTGTGCTGTTAGATGCGAGGTGCTGGTGTGCTGAGTTCTGATTCATGATAGGCCGTGCTCTAGAAGTGGAAGCGATACCTGTGAGGAAGGACCATCATCAGGGGCAATGACTTCCTCTTCTATTGCACGCGGACATTCCCTGCACATCTGCAAGTGAAGTCGCTCTCACCAACATGTCCACAGTCGGCCGAACCTTCTGGGTCTGGATGGTGGCTACTTGCCAACAGTCGGTTACTAAGTTTCGTAAGTTGCCGTGCTGCACTTATCGCTGGACACCGTTCCACCCCTGCGTCAATTCGTCAACAACATGCTAGGCGGCGCAGCGAGGAAGGCCCCCAGTTCCTCGTAAAGTAATGAAGACGCTACTTATCTACCGGAGAAGGGGTTACACTGATAGTGGTGGAACAACTGTACAGGTACTTGGAATCTGGGAGGATCCTGGCATTCGAGGCTAGCCCATCTCGCAATCGACGTCAGGCGTGTCGGTTAAGAATACGGTTGGGGTGGCTCGAGAACGGCGTAGACCGCGAAAGAGAGCTCGCATGGATCGCTCGCGCGTGGAACACGACGATCAGATTGCGTGCGTTGAGTTGCCAGCGTCGGAGGGCCGGCGTCGCGAGGGGCTGGCTCGCTGGCCCGTGCGCGGACGCAAATGACGCGGCGTCCTTCCGCGACTCGGACGCGCTGGCCGTGCGCACCTGCCATTCCGGGCGGCCCATCATGCGTTGGCGGGTGGCGCCGTGTGCCCCGCGAATTTTGCTTCCGCCGCGCGATCGGGTCGTCTTCATTTTGCCGTGTCTGTGCCCGATCGGGCTACGCGCGGTCGATGACGGTCCACGGTGCGCCCGCGCGCCTGCCGCCCCCTCGCGGGAAGGGAACGTGTTCGCTGACTCGAGTCGGCGTGGGGCGACAAGTACGTACTCGAGTCTCGGGGAGCGTGTGCACCACCGCGCCTCCCAGACAAGGTTGGCAGCGAAATTCCTAGCATGCGGTGGCGACGACGACAGGCATGCTCGATGCGAGGGTCTGGAACCTGCAGCAGAAGTTCCCATGTGTAATCCAAGAATACCATACCGCCTCAGCGATAGCTCGTCGCGTTGGCAGGGCGCGCGCAGCCAAGGACAGAAACGATCCACTTCGGGGGTACTCGCAGGCTATGCCCGGTGAGGGCCATCACCAGAGCAAGGAAACGGCCCAACCTTGTCTGCAAGTGCGCGACGGGGTTCTGCACTACAAATTTTAACGGCCGTCCCACAGTGGCTGGCCTTGCGCGGACCTAGAACGCCCATGCCTGCTGCATCAGGCCAGGCCGACACCGTGCACTGGAACCATATCAGCGAAGAGCCTCTGTTCCACTTCCACGGTGTGCGTGGACAGGCGTGGAGGATCTCCTTCCACAGGCACACTTCCCGCCGGCATGCGAGCGCCAGCCTGCCCACCAGGGTCCACGCCTTCCGAGATCTTCACCCTGTCTGTTTGTCACTGCTGTCCAATTCGCAAAGCCAATAAGTAAGCTGTCCCATTGTAAATTGGACCAGCGCCATTGCCAGTGTCCACGGCTGCAAACTAAGATATGATGACACCAAGATTTAAGCAGCCCATCGGACATCTAGCGTGCACAGCGCTACCCTCTGAGATGAGGGTCATGATGCCAGACCGTTCGAGGGTGGATCACCGCAACGCATGATGGGTAGACGTGCGGATGCAGCACTGCGGCTCCCACTGAGCTAAAGCAGACGTGCATCCCAAAATTTCATGGTGAGAGGCCCTACGCACCTGGTGTTCTCACGGGACAGCCTTGGTCATCGCCGACGACTCCCACACAACAACGGCATATGCGGGAGCGAACGTGAAGACGCCAACTGGTCCATGTATTCGGGTGTCTTTGCAGCGGTGGAACGTGTACGTACAGACTGCGCGGAAATAGCCTGGGCAGCGGGCCTCGCCGCGCCGCGCTGGTTGGTAGGGATTTTCGGACGGGAGCGAGGACACCACCACTGGGCTCGTAGCTTCCCGAACGGCAGGGGAGCACAACGGTCGACAGAACCTGGCAAACTGCGATGGGAGGAGCCGAGCGCGAGTCTAAGGAGCCTACCCTTTCTGGTCGGTGGAGGATTGGCGAGTCAGCTGTCGCCTGGCTCCGTCACAACAGAGTTCAGTAGGAGTTGCGTGTCTGTTTTGGGCGAACAGTGAGAGGAGCGTGCGGGGCACCATTGTCGGGCGAGATTGGGACGAATCTCGCGTAGAGCCATTGTGCGCAGAAAGAGGGCAGGAAGCACGTCACCGTGACTCGGCTGGCTGAGATGAGATGGGCGAAGCGGGAGCTTCGGCGGTAAAGCAGAACAGTTCCGAGTTGTGGCGGCGGGAGCAGCGAAGCTGAGCCCGTCCAGCTGCCAGTGCCCCGCCTGCCAGCGCACCATTTCCGCACGCGCACACCGTTCCGCGTGTCCCTCGCGAAGCCCGGCAGCGCCTCCGAGTCCTCCACTGCGCGCTCGCGTCCTTCGCGCCCCCGCAAACAAACGCCACAACGTCTCTGCATACGATGCGTGCTCCTGTATCAGTGCGCAGCGCGGTGTGAAGTGGCGACGTCAGCGCACATTGACCCGCGACGCTCGCGCTCTGGGCAGCAGAGGGCAGCGACCTGGGCAGCAGGCAGCGGGGGCGGGGCAGAGCTGGATCAGAGCGATCAGAGCCTCGGCAGCACGGCAGAGACATCTGGCCGGCGGAGGCAAACCAAGTTCGCACATCGTCAGATTCGGTCGCCGTGACTCTGGTGTCACGGCCCAAATATGGTTAGGCGGCAAATTTGTTATCACTGCGAACTAAATTAACAGATGGGGCGACTTCCAGATCCATCGGGCGGACAGGGTCCCTTACCACTCATCCAGCCGGTGTACTTAAGTACCCGCTCGCTTGGCGGGGCGACGCTGCCCTCCCCTCCCCCGACAACGCTCGCCACGCCCGCCCCCGCCTTCGCAATACCGCCCCTACCGCCGTGCACGCAATGGACGTGAACTGGTGCCTCACCTGCGACCGACACATCGACGTGGTACGTGACACGCCCTCCGCACTCACTTCCGCACGCTTACGGTGCCGGTCTCTTCATTAGGAGGCCTACGCCCCTTACTGCTCACGGGAGTGCCTCGCCCTCGCATCTCCTGTCTACAACGCCTTCGACAACGCACCCATCGCTGAGAGCATCTCCGAGTTCGACGACTGCGACCTCTGCTCGCGCCTCGAGAGCTCCCTCCCCACGACGGAACGGAGCAGGTGGATCGGGAAGGGAGACGCGGGGATCTCTGCATGGGCGAGGGACGTTCCTCCGGGCCCGCCGAGCGGCCTCGACACCGTCATCTCCACCGCCGACCTCCGTCCACCAAAGCTCCTGCAGACCACCCGCCGACCAGTCCCGCCCAGCCTTTGCATGTCCAAAACTATACCCGCGCCCGCACCCTCAGGCCCCTCACGATCCGTACTCTCCTCTCTCCCCTCCCTCTCCAGCCAGTGCCCGACCAACACGAGCGTCGCCTCGCTCACTACCCCCTCCTCGTCTCTACCTCCCTCCTCGCCAATGGAGGCGCCTTCCCCTTGCCCTCCGACCACGACGACCATCACCGCTAAGGGCGGGTTCATCAGCGCTCTCACAGCGCAAGTCCGTTCATGGACCGCATCCAACAAGGAGTGCGTGCGAGAAGAGACGGTGACCCGCCAGTCGCGGACAAGGTCCTCCGTGCGCGCAAGGCCACTACAGTCTCTCGCTCCTCTCGACGATCCATCGTCACCCTTTCGAGAAGCGAAGGACAACTTCGCCTACGAGTTCGACGGCTATTGGGGACTTTCGACGGAGAAGCTTCCCCTTACCGACGATCATCCAGCCTTCCGCGCACGGGGCCGCCCCTCGTCGCGTATCGTCTCATGACTCCCCTGGCACCTCCGCTCTGCATCGAGGACTCTTTGTTTCTTGTATACTACGCCTTCGCCCCGAGCTGCCCGCAGCCTGTCATCGTCTTGCCGGGCCTACCCCCAAAAGATGACTTCTCATCGCTTGCTTGCATACATGGACTACTTATTTGCATACTACCTCTGCGCATCGTTCCCCTCGTAGCTACACATCTCGCTCTCATCAACACCAACCACCCCTCATTCGCCTCATTGCGCCGTCCTCCGTCGCTCACTCGCATATCCCCGCTTCGCATCGTCTCGATACCACTGTAGCCTCGCGGCACCCAGCCACGCCCGCCTATCCCTCTGCCTTCCGCGAAAAGCCCTACACGGCGCGCCCCGCTTCGCATTTCCTCGCGCCGTCAACCGCCATTCCCTCAGCCCCCGCAGCTCTCATCTTACAGTGCACGCCAGGCCGGATGTACGTTTTGTTTGTAGTGCGTATCGCGTGTTGTCACGGTACTCCCCCGGGCCCCGAGTATCTCAATAATTGGAATCCTCCTGCCCACGGCCCCATGTTCACATAGAGTTTGCATAGAAGGAATACTACCTCTTTCTGATCGCGTATGGCTCGATGCGTGTGCGTGTCCGAATTCAGAAGTTGTGAAGATGGGAAGGCCCGGCTCAAGGGCCGAGGTCTGCGTCGACCTCGCTGCCTGCACGCTTAATGGTGCGCTGTTGCTCATTTCGGCCGTGGCGGATGATTGGGCACAGAGGCGGCGCGTCACCTTGCATGACTGAGCGGCGTTCGCGATCCACGAGGCCACGTAAAGTACCGTTGTCGACATGTCGGTACGTGCGCATCAACTGTACGAGCCCCTGCTGACTGCCCTTCGTTCTGGATGCAGGGCCTCTCACCCTGTTCTGGGCTGTGCCCCCGAGAGCGGACGCCATCAACCCCGCCCGCGGGTCGGGACGTCCAAATCGGATGGCTTGTCCTGATCCAACTCCTACCAACTCGAACTAATTTGTAGGTAGAGGCGCCCGGGCTCAGGTGGCCCACGGGGTGCCTGTGCGAGGATTGGCCGCACCCAGCTTGTCTAGGCCTGCCGCTCAAACAATGCGTCTCGGACGTAGGACGGCGCCCACCGAGATGCGTTACTCAGAAAGGTCCGTCTCGTGTGCTGTGCTCCTCCCGCGTCCGGCCAGTACGTCTCGCTGCGTCGTACCATGATCCCGGCAAGCCCCAGCCTGGACCCTCGGAGGACCCTGCACCACGCACACTGCACGTCCGCCTTCTCAAACGTTAACGTCGAACGTCGTCGAATGCGAAGACGGACTTTGACTGGTGATACTCCCGTGTCTGCCAGTGCGATGTCCCCAGACGTACTAGTCCTCGTGCACGGCCCCAATCGCCCCCTCCGACTCGTCGCGCACACCTAAACACTCAACACATACAAGGCCTCCGCGCGCACCACGAGCTGCCCCTTCTCCCAGCGCCGGGGCTGCCCGTGGCATTGAATCGCGCAATCAATACAGTCCGTCTCCCTTCCTGGGTTCCGCGCTGATATGCTTCCATCCCCGCGAACGGGTCACTCTATAGGGATCGCCGATCGCGCTGGCCAGGGAGCAGCTGTGTTGCGACGTGCGGAATCGCTATCGCAGCGCAGCGTGGGTGCGTGCACGGCGCGCGCCCCTGGCTCTGACAATACGGCCTCCGCTCGCTCGCTGCGACGCGCGAACCGAATGGGAAAGCGCAAGGGTTGTTCGCGCGCGCCTGAGCTTCTCCCTTTTGTTTGCGTTGGTATTGCTGCGAGCTGATATGACGACGCTGCCAGTGCGGGATATGGGCGGGAGAAGGCGCATCGTTCGGTGAGTGCGATCCCCCCTGTTGGGCTCCGAGACTGGCCGTCCGGAGGCTGCGTGCAACATGGATACGGCAGACTGACACGGGTTCTTGTGTAGTGACTAGACGGTACCGGGAACTTGGTCTGTCTGCTGGTTGAAAGACCAGCTGCGCTATCTGATGAACTGTACGTAGCATAGCTAGGGATTGTCCTGTCCTCAGAGTCTGGCCTCGGTCGACCGCGGAAGGAGGACATTTGTCTCGATATCCGACATACATCCGTATGCATCATAGTGGCTCATCCCACCGGACTTGTCGGTGAAACGCAGTTTGTTCTCAGTCGAAAACACGGAATGATTGTGGTGACAAATAAATAATTACTGTCGCACTTCGCTCCGTGGTCGTCGGTGCCCGACTCACCCCGCCCAAGCAGTCCCAGCAAAACCGGTGATTGCGTGCCGTACGGCAGGCCTCAGGGCGCGTAGGGCGCACAGGGCGCGCTTTCCCGCCTCGGCGAAGGACTCGCCGTGCGTTGGCTTGTGCCACGCTGTGCTGCGGGCGCCTCCCCGCACCCCAGACGATCGTGTTGATGCGACGATCAACAGCGCCCGATTTTGACGGGCGCGATCACAGTGGAGCCACCCCCTTCGCGGCGGGCACGACGCGGCGCGAGACCGCCTCGCTATCGATAGCGGGAGGGTCTTTGCGCGAAGGGGGCGTCGACGCGGGAGGCGGCCAGGAGGAGGCAGGCGAAGGCAGGAAGCAAGCAGGAAGGCTCGGACGCAGTCCTCACGTGGGAAGGCGATAGCACATGGCAGCGTTTTCGGCCAAACGGGCGTGCGGACCCGCTCAGTCAGCGCTCGGCCGCTGTGTCACAGAACGTGACATGCCATATGCGGCAAGGCGGCCTACCGGACCCTTTGGGCAATACGCGCTATCGGGACGGCGTCCATCAGACGGGACCGCTGGCCGACCTTGCCTAATATGGTCACAGCGAGCCCGACCTGCACGGACAGGCACGCCGTTCTTCCCGCGACACTCATCTATCTCACTTACTCGTCCGGCCTCAACTGTTGACCCGATCTACGTCCTGAACACACCGGTGGCTCGCACTGACACTCCCGTCCGTGCGCTTCCCACCCATGGGCTGGAGTCCACAATGCACCAGGAAGACAGTTTCATCGTGCTGCCAGAAGCATGACAGGATCTCAGCAGGATCAGCTGGCACGAAGCCAATCCGAAGCCAATCTTCCCCATTTGCGGGCAAGGCCTCGGGCGATATGTCTTCGGGCGGTGCATCATGTTGGTGGCGTTCCCTACCAATGACCTTCCCAGCGATAGCTCGTATGTTCTCTGGATCTTGAATGATGCAATTCTTCACAGCGGAAGTCGAGCTCCCGCTCATGCTCCTCGTCATCGCGACCGGACCGCCAGTCGCTGGGCAGAACTGCGCACGCCATTATTCTCGAAGAGAACAACTCTCTGTTTGCTTCCGTGACACGCCTTCCCGCCGCAAGACGCTGCAAGGGGACAAGCTCGGAAAGTGGCTTCCGATTCGGCACGGTCGACGGGTGCATTCTGAATTTCTGACGTGCCTCGCGAGCCCCTGTGCAGTGTGCACAATGACCGAGCACTCCGCAAGCCGACGCCGACTCGAGCGGATGCATTCTATATTCAGGCGCGGAACCATCTGCACGTTAATGCCCATCTATCACCAGGCCAGATCACATCGTCACACTCCCCGACTGCGATGCGGCGCGCCGCCCTTCCCAGATCTGCCGAGCCTAAGCGCAGGCACCTCACGATCCAATCGCGCCCGACCCGCGCAAGGACGTGTCATCCCTGCCGTCCCAACCTTCTCCTCTATGGTCTGCACTCATTGTGGCTTTGTGGCGTAGAGCACCCTCGGCCGTCGCAGCGTATCGCCACTGGTTCGCAACAGCGCCCGCTCCCTGACACTCCCTTCCACCAATTTGCACCAACGGCGCAAGGACGCATCTGCCGCCGTAGCAATCCAGCCAAGCTGCCTGTGCGTTCAGCGGGTTCTCAGGCCAAGGCCACACCACAGTCATGCGCCGGCATATCGCCCTCCTCGTCCTATTTTTGTGATCATTCCATTTGATTGCGTTCCTCCAAGCGCGTTTGCCCGTGCCGCGACGTCGTCGATATCTGTCCGTTTAGGTTTGGTGGCCAAATTCATCGGGCTGAATCCATGGAGACTTCTGTGCCCGCTAGCCTCCTAACCCATTAGACCGCGCCCAAGCGTGACACCACCCGCAGGGCAACAGCGACGAAATCCTCCTGGGGTCTTTCTAGAGCAACTGCGATGATGGGCTTACTTCGCATGCAGGTACGCCCGGCGCTCACACAGACCGTCCTGTGAACCCGTCTCGCTTACATCCACGCTTGAAGGTACTGTGATGTATAAAGCAATAACCCCGCGCTATTGAACCTTTATGTCCGAGGCACAGAGTCTGACATGTCTGGCTGCTGCATGACCTACGTGCGCGCGGCCGAAAGGCGAACCTGCTAGCGACTGCATGCGCTATTCCCTCCAGAGACACCTCTGTTATTGGTGCCATCGCAGGCTATCTCGGACCATGCACGACACTTCAATCATGGCCACTCGTGACGCAACACGCAAAACAGACGCAATAACCGCGCGCACTGACAATCCAGGACTGTATTCGGCGCCGCACAGAGAGCGTCGCGCACCGCAAATTCACGTCATCCGCACCCGTAGCCTCTGTGACATCGAAGTGACCCTCCCGGACGGTACCTCCACCCAGGCCCTCCCGGATCTACAAGGTACATCACTCTTGATATGCCGTCATACGCACCGATACTAGGAGCCACTCAGATAGAGCTTTGTATTCAGAACCTCGCGCAGGAGCATGGCGTCGGTCGCGATGCCCATTACGCCGCATCAGCTCCTTCCATCCGCCTCAGCCCCAGCCCCGGCCCCAGCCCCAGGCCCACTCGCGCTTCGCCATCTCGAGGGCACTTCCCAAAGGCTTCTGCGTTGACGCAAACTCGAGCCCACGGTGGAGGCGAAGGCAGACGCGAAGCCCGCGCTCGGAGCGCGAAGCTCGCACAGCTGACCGCACGCAGGGGCGCCTCCCACGACTGAATGCCAACTCTCTTTACCTGCCTGTACAGGGTGCGAACGCGCGAACCGGCGGCACCGCACGGGGGCGGTCAGGCGGTCGCAGTCGTGGTCGTGTGCACGCCCCCAGCCGTGTCCCGTTCTGCTCAGTGATCTTCTTCTTGCCTTCCATGCGCAGCATCGCGATTTGAGGGACGTGTCGAGGACGCTATTTAGTTTTACGAAATTGGAGGCTGCCTGATTCGAGGGAGCAGTTCGAATCGGCGGCTCAGATCATCATTTACCAGGGATCAACTGGCTGCGGTGTGACTTGCGAGATCGCGGCGACCCCAAAAACAAATTCTCATAATGAAATCGTGCCTCAAGGTAGCAACCCACATCCCTGGCGCCACCATCATGGCCAGATCATGGCCCTGCCGAGCGTGAGTACGCTAGATGCTTCAGATACTTGTATGCAACAGACCACAGGCCGTGGCGACTAGTACACGAGGCGTCGCAACGTTGCTGTCGACCTAGGCCTACTGTAAGTATGTCCTCCGTTACGTCTCGACGTAAGGAGTCGACCTTCATTTTCTGTTGACTGATTGATGGGCGACGGAAGCAGATTTGCACCCACCCTGCGATCTCGATTCTCACTTATTACTTAGGCGAGGGCCTCGCTCAATGAGATGACAAGTACTCCAGTGCAAGAACGTACATACATACATGGTGCCATACAAACCTTTTCGCCAGTCTCACCATGTAAGTAGCTGTGTGCAGACAATCGGTACTCCTCGACCAGCCACGCGAGCGTCGTCTAATAACGCACTGATATACCCACCCAAAGCGTCCGCTCAAGCTCTAGACAGGCCTTCCTCGGGACGGCAAGTACACTCTTCCTTGGTGTCAGTGATGCGAGAGCAAAAGAACAAATACAATACACGGCTTTGCGCTGAGAGTTTTTACTGCGGAGGCTGGAAGCTGCACAGGACTCGGTAAGCTCCCGAGGTAATCAGAAGAGTATGGGAGGGGCGTACCCTGGAGGAGGCCCGGAGAAGCCGGGAGGGGGGGCGAAGGGCGGCATGCCTGGCGGGCCACCGGGGAAGCCAGGGGGCCTGAAGCCTGCCGGAGGCATACCTGGTGCACCGGGCCCACCGAAGGGCATCGGAGGACGTTGTAGTGCGGGAGCACCCACTGTACACATCGGTCTCATCAGCGGGTAATCACAGGAAAGGAATAGTGGACGCACTTGGTGGCATCATACCCATCCCACGACCCGCAGGTGCACCTCTTCCTGGACCGAACGGAAGCTAGCACAACCCGTCAGATCCGTATTCCAGTTACGAAAAATCGCAACAGAAGGACGTACCATGTTCTTCTTGTCATCGTCCACGACAGGCGGCGGCCCTTCCACCGACAAACTGACCACCGTCTCGCCGCGCAAAATGACCAGACCCAGGGTGCGCTTCATCTCCTGGACAGGGCCCGCCTCCGTCTCGCCGGGCTTCTTCTTCGGACGGATGCGGCGGAACTCCTCGCACTCCGCGAGGACGAGGTTCATGTGTCGATCGAACGCGAGCATCTGCCCGACGAACGCGCGACCGTCGTTGATCGTGACTTTCAGCCGCCAGTTGATCAGGCTGAGCATCTTGCCACCCTTGGATTTTGGTGGAGGCTAGAGAGGATCCTTCAGCTTTGTCTCCATAGATTGAACTAGATGATCACGTACCATGGTGGGCGATGTACTTTTGGATGGTCTCTGGCGGTCGTCGATGTCGACAACGAGGATCGAGCGAGTTTGAGCGCGAGGCAAACAGGGACAAACAGCCGCAGTGGCGGGATCGGCGTCTGAGCGATCTTTGATCACCTCCAGCCTCTACTCAACGCCCGGCACCATGTTCATCCATCTTAGTACCTGTTGGTGGGACATGGCACTCAGTGATATTTGCACCCGAAGCCGAACTTGCTTTATGCTCGAGCTACAATGACCGAACGAACGGTCAACCTGCGAAGGCCCTGCAATCTATGCCGATCTCGCTCACTTCAGCGTGACTTATTCATCGACGTGGACTTGACTCTCCAAACATCACTCACAGTCTGGACCAGGATGGAAAACGGTAGAACTTGAGGTGGCTGAGCAGTTTGTACGAAATGTGCGCTAGCTTTGCTCCTTCACGACGGTGAGTCGAACCGAGCTACCTTCGTTGAATGACACCCGGGTCACGCCCCGACCATCCTTCGCGCGCAGGCACATGGGAGTGTCGACTGACACTCTCACCTCCTCACGCGGAACAAACCTGGAGCAAGCATCACGGGCCTCCCCCAATCGACCACGCAATATGGGTCTGCTGACCCGTGGAAGCCGTCCATGTATGGCTACAAAATAGAGTGGGCATCGCCGCCCTCCTTCTCGACGTCAACGCGGGCCACTGCGGCCCTGCTGCTTGGCGGTGGGACTGCTGCAGTCCAGTGTCACAGGCATGCGTTACCCGTGTCAAACCTTCAGCATGCCTCAGCCGCACGTCCGCCCGCCTGCCGTATCGCTACATCGGATAGACTATCAGCCATACTGAACGCCGATGTGTCCTGCGAGTGCGACTGACCCCGGTAATATAATCCTGCACTACTAGCGATCAATGTATGGGAACATCCGGGAACCGGACGCAACTACTGATACGGCTGGGATGGACCACAACTACGAAACCCTCCGGTGCGTCCTCCGATTCACCCGTCTCTATATGCTGTAACCTCCCACTTGCAGGTCGTCACACACCGGGGCTATCTTTGGTCCGCTCTACCTTCTGATTGTGTCGCAAACAGGCGTATGGTCGTGTGCTCGTCGCGGGAAACAGCGATCTCATGCATATGTCCGCTTACTGCAGCCCGTGCGGACACCTCCATTCGTCACATAAAAATCTAGCATCAGGGCTCTGTAGCCAAGAACACGGACAAGAGAAGGAGCACGAATTTAGCCTCGTGTGAGCCCTCGACGAGATAGATGCTGCCTTCAGGGTCAGAACTCTTCCACCATTCTCTTCTGCAATGGTGTCCGTGTTTTCATTTCACTGATCAAAGCAAGGCAGTTCCTGTTTCCATGCGTCGAAAAGAAGTATTAAACATCGCTTCAGTTTGAATCATAACCTGGTGCGTCGTTAGAACGGGTTTCGAGGTTCACTGACGCAGTCTGTGTAGACATTTACGTTTCTCGACCTGCCAGCGTACGTGAACGACCCGCAAGAACACCGAGCCTATTGGCATTTCATGAATTTCGGCGTCATACACGTCTCGATCAATGAACCGCGAACTTCTCGGAGGACGCCTCGCGAAACCTGAAGCGGCGAATCTGAATCCATTTTGGCTCTGGGCGGGCTGAAGGCGCAAGGAGCGAGTGTTATTGGTTCGTATGCAAGCCATTCATTCTAGCGGGCGGTCTGATCAGTGATAGTCGGGACATGAGTATACGGGCAGGAAGAGGCGTGTTGGGCGCGGCCGGGATCAGTGGGGCCTTGCTTGAAAATTTACTGAACTAAAGCTCGATGAGCAAGGTGAAAGGACTTCTTATCTCGCAACGCAAATTTCAAACGCGGGCGAGGTATTGCTGGTGAGGAAAGATACCATATTCTGACAAGGGCCGCCAAGTCTTGCGGGCGCAAGCACTTGGTAGAGGCGGGCTCTCTTGTTCGGCCATGGATTTACTTCAACCGATGCGAGTCACCTATGGACAAACACCGTCGACAAGTCATACGGTTTGGATATGGCGACGATGAGGTCGTCTGACCCACGAATTTCATCCCCTGGGATCGTCACATTCGCACGGCCGAGGACGCTGGTGCGGGGACACTTCCTCTTACGCTGCTTGTTACGAGAAGCATGCACTCGGGCGTTCAAGATGACGTCCACATCGGTCGAAGCCTCTTCATAAACTGCGTCACATATCTTCAAACGACAGCTGTATTGCCTATCGGCCGATGTACCATAGCGCCAGGGACGGTGTATTCAGCGGCGACTTCCAACTACTAGTGGTCGTTACGTATTGACATTGCGCAATCCTTAAGATCCGTATGCGTGAGGTCACTCACCTATCTGTAGCACGGAGGAAGCATCGGCACTTCTGTGCTGCTGCGCGAGACCGCCAGCAATTGACCGATGCTTGGAATAGCTAGAGCTGACGTCGTTAGCTGTACCCGGCCGATTGATCTACTACGCAATATTCGCTCATAACTTCGCTTTCGCCGGCGAAGCACACTCAGGGAATCAACCGGTCTATTCTAATGACTCGGGAAGCAGCTTGATTGTATTCGTGACAACATATTGTGTTTACTTCTACGGCATATTCGTACACTACTAGACACAGCGCGAGAATGCAATGCGTGAGGACGTCCGACGTGCTTGTGCTTAGTGAGAAATTTCGACGACAAGGTCGCCCTGGGCGATAGAGTCCCCTGTAAGAAGTCACGTCATTCGGTGACCTCAGTGCGTCCGGCGGAAGGAGACATACCTTCGCGAACGAGTATGCGCTTCACATGACCAGACACAGGCGCCGTGATGGCGGACTCCATCTGAAGATTCAGAGTAAGTATAGGCCGAAGCCAGAAGATAAAACAGACGTGCCTTCATGGCGCTCATGACTGGAAAGCATCATCGTCAACAATCCGATGAATGAGACTGGTCAAGAGCAGACTTACCGCAAACGGGGTCACCCTTCTTGATCTCCGCGCCCTCCTTAACCCTGACCTCAACAACAACACCTGACATCGGCGCGCCAACAGAACCCGGGTCAGAAGTAGCCTTTTCGCGGGAAACAGTCTCGACTGCAGAGTTCTTGTCCTCAACGGCAACCGCGCGGACCTATTCGGCGATGAGTAAGGGGCAATGGACGCGGACTTTCCGGGTGACGTACTTCTCCGTTGACCTCAAACCAGACGTCACGCTGCGCACGCCCTTCGACCACAGGCCCAACAGCCATCACGCGAATGATGAGCACCTTGCCCTTCTCAATGGAGATGTGCATCTCCTCGCCGATTTCGGGGCGCCCCAGGAAGTAGCGGGTCGGGATCACACTACGCGACAGCAAGGTCAGCACCCGGCGGAGATTGCAGCGTTACAAAGCATACCTGAGGTCACCGTATTTCGTAACGAAGCCCTGGTAGTCCTCGAAGACCTGATATTGATGGTCACTCAGCACAACCATCCGTAAAACTCGGGCATGAGAAATACCTTGGGGTACATGATGTACGATGTGACGTCCGCATCCGTGATGTGCTTGCCAAACTTGCTGCGCAACTCCGCCTTCGTCTTCTTGAAGTCGATAGGAGGCAGGTTCGCACCGGGCCTGCCATCGATCCTGGGCTTGTTCCTGATGACCTTCGTCCGGAACGGCTCTGGGAAGCCCCCGACGGGCTGTCCGAGGTATCCCTGGAAGAACTCGACGACCGACGACGGGAAGTCGAGCTGGTCTGCGCGCTCGAGGACCTCTTCCTTCGAAAGCTTGTTCGACACCATCCACTGTGCAAAGTCGCCAACAACCTTCGACGTGGGCGTGACCTGGAAAGACGTCAGCCACATCCGCAGCGAAGCTGATCCCGAAGACCTGCCTTGATTACATTCCCGCACTTCGCATAACACATGTCAGTCTAGACCCATCTTGACGTTCTACCATTACGACACCACTTACAAGGTCGTTTGCCTCGATGTACTTCTTCTTGACCTCTTCGGGAAAGCGTCAGTCCCCATTCCGACCCTCACAACAACGATGTAGTCACTCACCCGTCCACTGGGTGCCCAGACCGAGCTGAGCCGCTTGGAACTGTACCATCACGCAAATTCAACGCGAGCTCCGAACGTCACAACCAACACTCACCATCAAATTGGTGTACTGGCCTCCCGGCATCTCGTGGTCGAACACACTCGAGTCCGAGGCACGAACATTCGCCTCGAAACAGCTGTAGAGCATGCGCACCTGGCTCCAGTACAGGTTCAGTGCCTGGATGTCAGCGTAGCGGATACCAGTCCCCAAACCAGTCTGCTCGAGGGCAGCGCATACGGCACCCATCGGAGGCTGCGACGTCAATCCGGACATGCCTGGTGATCATCGGTGAATATTGTGATAAATGTTGAACAGAAGCGGATGGACACACTGTCGATGGCGACGTCGACGACGTCGGCGCCTGCCGATGCTGCTGCAATCATCGTCGCGGCGGAGATGCCGGCGGTATCATGCGAGTGCACATGGATGGGCAGGTCGGGGTACTTCTTACGAATTTCACCAATGAGCCTGAAAGAGGCAACGTCATGAGTAATTTCACTGACTTCACGCCTGGCACTACACTCACAATTTTGCTGCATGGGGCTTGAGAAGGCCCGCCATATCCTTGATACCCAGGATGTGGATGCCCTCGCCGACGAGTTGGTCGACGAAGTCGAGGTAGTACTGAAGCGTATACTTCGTCTTCTTGGGGTCTGCGACATCGCCGCTGTAGCAGACGGCTGCCTCGACGACACCACCAGCCTTCTTGGCGGCATCAATACCGAGCTTCAACTGTACAAGAGTCAGTTTGTCTAAGGATCCAATGCAACTGCGCAACTGACGTTGTCTGTGAGAGAACGTCAGCTGAGACGCATACAGTATTCAGTAAATCCTCACCAATGTAGTTCAGGGAGTCGAAGACACGGAAGATATCCAAACCATTCTCGACGGCCTTCTTCGAGAAGTCGTAGATGGCATTGTCGCTAGACCGAACGTGAGCACCTTGCCGGGGTCCCCGCCCAACGCAATAACTTACGGGTAGCTAGTGTAACCAACACCATTAGCACCACGCACAAGAGCCTGGAGCGGGATGTTCGGCACAAGCTTCCTCAACGTCCTCTGCGGCACGCCAATCAGCACCTCCCACCCACCCGCAACCACCGCACCGACTCACCAGACGCTCCCACGGGTCCTCATACAAGAAGCGCATCGCTACATCGAACGTCGCGCCACCCCAGCACTCCAGACTGAACGCATTCGCCATCGCATAGCTCGTCTCCTTCGCGATGTTCACCATATCGATCGTGCGCAGGCGCGTCGCCAACAGGCTCTGGTGCGCATCGCGCCACGTCGTGTCCATGATGAGCACACCGGGGTACTCGCGGACGGCCTTCGCGAACGCCTCGGGCCCGTGCTCGACGATGATGTTGCGCCAGCCCTGCTCGCACGGCAGTGTCGCGTCGAGCGGGGGCCCGTCCGGGTCCTCGCGGTTCTGGAAGGGCGGGACGACGAGCTCGTCCTTGAGCCCGGGCTCGCCCTGCTGGCCAGCGATGGAGGAGCCGTTGACGGCGAGGTCGCCGAGGTAGGCGAGCAGCTTCTGCGCACGGTTCTGGCTCTGCACCAGTCTGAACAGCTCGGGCGTGTCGTCGATGAACTGTTGCTGACGTGAGCAAAGATTATGGGACCACGCTGTATGCGGATACCCACCGTCGTCCATGTCTTGCCGCCGATGAAGACGTCGTGAGTGAGGAGACGCAGCAGGAAAGGAATGTTGGTCTGCAAAATATTCGTTCAGACCACCGCAGTGGCTCTCGTGCAGAACTAAGCATACCTTGACACCGCGGATACGGAACTCGACCAAAGCACGGAGCATTTTCCTCCGCGCAACCTCATAGGTAGTGCCGCTGACACTGACCTTCACCAGCAAACTGTCATAGTGAGGCTACCCAAGCCCATTGAGCATCATCCCTCCCAACAAGAGACTACGCCATGAGCTCACCGTGATCTGCGCACCAGCGAAGCCGGAGCTCGCGTCCAGTCGGACACCATTCCCACCCGCGCTGCGGTACACTTCAATCTTCCCGGTGTCAGGCTGGAAGTTCTGCGCCGGGTCTTCAGTCGTGACACGGCACTGAATGGCGAAGCCGCGCTTCGTGATAGCCTCCTGCGTCAGGCCGAGCTGCGGGAGCGTCGCGCCCGCCGCGATCTGAATTTGGGCAGCGACGATGTCGATACCCGTGATCTCCTCTGCACACGCGGTATCAATATCATGTCAGATATCAACATACCGAACGACGTAAGCACGCACCAGTGATAGTGTGCTCGACCTGAATACGCGGGTTAATCTCAATGAAATAATGTCTCCCCATCTGGTCGACCAAGAACTCCGCCGTGCCCGCGTTCCTGTAGCCCACGCTCTTCGCGAGCTTGATCGCATCCGCGAGGATCGCCTGGCGGACCTCCTCGGGGAGGTGCGTCGCTGGCGCGACCTCGACGACCTTCTGGTGGCGGCGCTGCACAGAGCAGTCGCGCTCGAACAGGTGCACGGTGTTCCCGTGCGCATCCGCGAGGAGCTGCACCTCGATGTGCCGCGGGCGCTCGAGGAAGCGCTCGATGAAGACGGTGCCGTCACCGAAAGCAGACTTGGCCTCTGAGACGGCGCGCTCAAAAGAGGCCTCGAAGTCAGATTGCTCGCGCACGACACGCATGCCGCGGCCTCCGCCGCCCATGGCGGCCTTGATGATCACTGGAAACCGTCAAAGCTGGGTGTTGGGAGACGGAGCTGCGAGGGGAGACTTACCAGGGAAGCCATATTCTTGGATGAATGCATCAGCTTCTCTGTAGGAGTCTACGGGTCCAGGGGTACCGGGAACAACGGGCACGCCAATCTGGATGGCTGTACACGTCTCATCAGCACCACCGCGTATAGGAAGCGAGTGCGGGAATCGACGCACCGATCGTCCTCGCCTTCGTCTTGTCACCAAGCTGGTCGATGACCTCCGGGCTGGGGCCCACGAACGACAGGCCCGCCTGCTCGACCTTGCGGGCAAACTCCGCGTTCTCAGACAAGAAGCCGTATCTGTGGAGGCGCGGGGGTGCGCAAAGAGGGAGCGAGCTCGACATCAGCCTGTGCGCGGCAGAGCGGGGGATCTCACCCCGGGTGGATCATGTCGACGCCATGCTCGATCGCAATGCGGATGATGTCTTCCTGCGCGAGGTACGCGGCGACGGGCTTGAGGCCCTTGCCGACCTGGTAGGCTTCGTCCGCCTGTGGGCCCGTGCGCGCCGGTCAGACAAATGCGCCGAGCGATGATACACGGGTGTGCGGCGGAGACGCACCTTCTGGCGATGCGCAGAAAGCCTGTCCTCGTAGGAGAAGATGGCGACGGTGTGCAGCGCGAGCTCGTGCGCGGTGCGGAACACGCGGATGGCGATCTCCTGCGCAACGTCGGGTCAGACAGCGTACTCGCATAGCTGGGAGAATGGGGGGACGCACGCCGCGGTTCGCAACGAGGATCTTGGTCAGTGGGCCCGAGTGGCCGGCGGCCTTCCTGCGCATCGTCTGGATGGAGTGCACAGGCGTGCCGGGCGCGCTGGGCGACCCGGCAAAGATGGAGGCCAGGCGCGGGGGGTGGAGGGCCTCCTTCGTGCTCTCCGTTGCGGGCATGTTGGCTAGTCTACAGGTGGTGGTGGTGGAAAGAGGGGCGGGCGAGCAGATCGGCCGAGGGTAAGGATGGGAGGAGGGCCGATGAGATGGGGATCGAAGCAGCTGAAGACGCGTCTGAACACGAGTCAAGTGACCTCATCGACGCGCCGCCCTTTATCGCGCTCGGCCTCTGTTGACGTCCCTGCCAGGACATCGCCCTCGCCCGCACGTCGCGGCGTTACAGCGGCCGAGGCCTTATGTCCGCTGTCTCTCCCCCCGCAGCTGCCATCCCAATGCACCTTCTATGATTGCGAGCGGAGCGAGCATACATTGTCTAGGGTGCAGCCCGGAGCCAAACAAGGGCAGATTCAACGTAACACAGATCATTATTCGCTGCGATGCGACGAAGACCGCCGTACTGCGCATTCAAACATGCTCTGATAATCTCGAGAAAATCACCATAATTCGCACAATGCAGTACTACCCCTGTATGTGCCCTTTTGCGTAGCTCAGTGTGCAATGTTTCGTAGTTCTGCTCTCGAGAAAGGCGGCTCGTGCGATGTTCAACTCAAGCGCTCACCGACCAGCGGCCACCATGGTCGCATCCCCTCAATCCCTCAGCGTTTCACGTTGTGGGTAGCATGTTTAGCACTCCTGACGTCGCTTTGCAAGGACTGTGATTTACATGAGTGCCAGTCTGCTGTTGGTACATATGGAGGGTGTAACATCAGCATGCCTCACGCCGCCGCCGCCGCGGCCCGTTTTGGGCTCTATTGGGCTTCAACATTTAAATTCGACCCGGGGCTCGGTGTAAATCCGACGTACTGCGCCTTCAAATTGTAGCGAGCCCCTTTTCACGGAAAAAGTGTGTTACTTAATAGCCGTCTTTGTATCGTACGGTTCATCGTACATCTCCGCAGCCCACTTACTTACATACACCGAAAACGAGGGTCTAATCGCGCTGTAGTACCCGCCCTGTCCCAATTGCAACTGTCCAATGTCAAACCCTGTCCGAACCCACCGACAGCACACCCGCGGCCCACCGCGCCAGCGAGGACACGCCACCCACACACCCTGCGTCGCGCGCTGCGGGCATAGACACCAGGCTCCCCACGCCCCGTCATCCTCGTCCGATATCAGAACGCCCACGCCCTCGAGGCGCAAGCCACGGTGCTTCCCTTCGGTACCGCCGCCACACATCACGGCTTCCTGCTGAGGGGGATGACGCCCGTCGCGGCGCTCTCGGCCTTCTTCTGGTTGCTCTTCGCAATGGCGTACACCAGCCCGGCGAAGAAGCCCACGCTGACCGCGCTCACGGAGCCGAACGTCACGGCGTCGCCGAAGAAGATCATCCCTGACGCCGCGACGGGCAGCTTGTTCAGGGCGCCGACCATACTGGGCGGAGGCGTCAGCAGAAGCCCGGGCGTGGAGCAGCGGGGGCACCGCACCTGTACGTCGTGCTGCTCGTCGCGCGGATGCACCACGCGGTCGTATACGAGATCGCGACCGCCGCCGCGCCCGAGAACGCGATCGCGAACAGCAGGAAATTCCTCGTCGCCTCCGGGCTACACGCATCGTAGCCATCAGCACCAACACCCAACACCGCAGACCATCCACTCACAAGTTCTTGCTCAGATTCTCCGTCCCCCAGTCCTCCGCGACGATCGAGAACGCCGCGAGCACGGGTATGCTTAGCAGGTTGTTGTAGAACATCGTGTCCCAGTCCGAGAAGCCCGTCGCCTTGATGCGCTTCCGCATCGAGAGCACGTACGTCGCGCTCGCCGCGCAGTTCATGAACATCCAGAAGTAGCCGATGTTCAGGTTCGTCACGACGCCGCGCATCGTCGCGAGCATCCCGAGGCCCTCCGTGACCGCGGGGTCGCCGGCGGTCAGCGCGTCGCTGATGTCGGCCCACGCAGCGATCACGGAGGAGAGTACCTGCGCGGGTGTCAGTGACGTGTGGACGGGCATGGCGAGGACTGACCATGAGGATGAATGAGGCGAAGGTGAGGCCGGTGACGCGACCGCCAAACCAGATGACCTCACCGTACGCCTAGACGTTACGAGCGCATCAGCAGCAGAGAGCGTGTCAGAGCGAGGCGAACGCACGATAAGAATAATAGTCAGATTCTTGAAGATCGTATACACCGGTATACTCAAGTATTGCTGCACACCAACCACCATCAGCCGCCATCCCGCGTCCAACGACTCCTTTGTGAGAAGGACATACCAAACTCTTGGACCCCGTGTATATCACGCTGACGAGCATGAAGCTAATTGGGAACCACATCTTCGCGTCGCGCGTGTCGAAGTCGCGGAAGGATATGAGGCCCATACGCTTCGCGGCGACGACGCAGAGCACGGAGACGGTGGACTGGACGCAGAGCAGGATGAAAGTCATGTTGAATTCTCGTCCGGAGACGACGAACTGTCGGTGGGTGCGCAGGTCAGTGCGGGATGCGGTGGGCGAGCGGGAGGAGTGCGCACTTTGTTCACGACGGTCATGAGGATCGAGGCAATGCAGTAGCATACTATGGGTGGTACTGTTGGGAAGCGCGTGAGCAAGCTTTGCGGGAAGCACGACTATGAGTAGTGAACAAGTGCGATGACGTTGGGACTAGCGGGAGTCGTGGCGGTATCACACTGTAGCCTTCGATGCAGCGCGACAATTGCCTGCGAATGTGTGTTTACTCAGTAGCAAACCTACCTGATGAGACAGGGCTCGCGCTGTCCCTGGCCGCACCCCCAGTCGCCATTGCTTTCTTGATCTCCACGACGTCGTCTTCCTCCTCCATGATCGCGGAGCTGTTGCGAGTAGACCCTGGAGCCATTGCAATTTCACCTAGAGATTACTGTGATGGTATGTACGGAAAACTGTCCGGCGTCGAGATAGCGTCGAGCGTTCGAATGTGTAGGGCCGCAGCTGCGCGGTTGTTTTGCACAGCGACGACGCCGCGCATTGTTGCGAGCATCATCACGGAGGAGAGGACATGAGGGGATGGGTTCAGGCTACGTGAATGGATGAAGGAGGCGTGTGAATCCTGAATCACAGTCTGCGCGGGACAGACGCCCGTCGCCGACTTGGACTTGTGCTTGCGCTGAGACCGCGAGGGCGTGTGCAGAGACCAGGCAGATTTCGTGAGTATGTGCCATTTCCAGTCGCTGAAGGGCAACACACATTTGGTCCCTTCCACGGGCGACACCTGGTGGCTCCCTTCGTGTCTCGCGCTGTTTACACACGGTACGTCTACCACTGCCTTTGCACGCTGACTAGCTACAGGATCGCCTTGCACACCTATGAGCAGCTGCGTACTGGACTCGAGCCGCACGATTCTACTGCCCGCCGCCACTCTCCCGCTCTCTTCCCGCTCCGTGCTCGGTTGGAGCGCGTCAATGCCCGCATTCCTCGCCTCTTGACGTCCCACCACCGCCGAATCTGCTCAGCAATCCACGACACTCCGATCAACGACGCATGGACAGACGGCCCATTCACGCCAGGACATCGGAGCCACAGGTCTGTCCGTGGCCCCCCCCTCGAGCATCGCACGTCAGTCCAGCGTAAGCATCGTTGTTGCATCCGCGAAATTAGCCCGGACTCATCAAGCTGCAGGCCCCCCACCCTGCGCCGTACACTCCACCATCGCCGTTCCGACATTCTGCTCGCGGGACGCCGATCTGTCGTGTCTTCGCAGGTCGAGACCCTCGCCGCACGCACCGAACAGCAGCCGCCGCGTGCAGCACCGCGATCCATGCTTTGCGCGGCGAACAGCTAGTGGCAGCATTGCGAAGTAATCGCCGGACAGTGTCCCACTGCGTGTCGGACGGCCGGAAGGATTCGCAAAGGTGCGAGCCCATTGGTGTTCCATCCCTCGACCGAGGTGGACAGTGCTGACCGGGCTGCTGGCTTCCCCTCGCGGACCGTTGTACAACTGCAGGACAGACTTTGCTGCGCTGAACGGTGACCATCGCGCGCGTGATATAATGTCGAGAAGCGCCAGTAAGCGAACGTGCCCGCGGACAACATGATGTTGGTTACCAATCGCAAGCGGCCCGCGCCAGCTGCGTATCCGAGCTATGAACGCGGCCGGTGTGTTGTCTTTGACCACCGTGCACGGTGTTGACCAAACTGTAGAGCACTTGGAGCTCCCCTTCATCCCTATTCTCGCCGTGCCCGACGCTCTGCACCCTGCTCGCCGGACGTCGATCCGTCGTGTCTTCGCCCAGTCAGCATTCGTACCGCACCGAATGACCACCCTGGCTGGCGCGTTGACTCGCCGTGTCCGTGGGACGTGCATCCGCGCGTTGGTAGGTGCTGACGCTAATCCGCCACTTCGCAGCCGTCGATCTGGGTGTGTCGTACAACCAGCGCTTGGAGATGGGATACGGTGAGTACGCGACCGGAGAGATCTGCCGTACAGGCGTGTCAATCGCTGCTCGCAGATGCAGCGCAGAACAGATGGCCAGCGAGCAGCTGGTCTCGCTCGCGGGGTCGACAGGCGGCGTGTGATCTGGGCCGCGTGGTGAACATTGCTCGCGCGCAATCGGGCAGGCCATCCACTGCGAGTGAAGGCGGAGAATCCATGCAGGTCTGTCGGGCCTGCTACAGCGCCTCCGGCAACGGGAACCACGTCCGCGTCTGTGGTCTCAGCCACTGCAAACACGTCCACCATCGCCGTCCGTACCCTCTCCAGACGCGTCGCTCGGATGCGTCCGGCGCATCGGCCGCTGACGTGACCGACTGTCCGTGCGTCTTCGGGCACCATCATCGCTGGCGGCGACCCACCATCTGCCAGGCGTTGCCTCGACTGATCAGCGGCCTTCGGCGAGTGCAACTGCGTCGTTTGTTGGGTATGGCCAGCCGCGTGTGCATCGTTTGCGGAACGGCCAGCCGCATGAGCTTCGTGTTTGCGCGTCAGCTACTGCGGGAGTCCTTTGTGAGTGTCTCCCATTGCAAGATGTAATTCCGGTGTACGTACAGAGCGATGAATACGAATGCGTGTGACCTCGGGAGTTGCAGCGGTCAGCAAGACGGTGAAGCTACGGGGCAACAAGGTTACCGGCGAAGCCCAAGACCAGCAACGTGAGCACAACTCACCTGCTAGCCTCGACGGCATGGCGTCGGGCAGACGTGAAGTCCGAGTTGGCGGTTAGTGAGAGGGACATGTGTTGTGGTGAGTACATAGTAGTTGGGGAGCGGTGAGTGAGATGGTGCTAGTCAGAGAGCGGTGTAGCCTGATCTCGTCCAAAGGGGTATGTACAATGTACATGGACGTCCCAGCAGGCCGTGTCGGCGGTGGTCTTGTTTGGCTTTGTGAGTCAGTGCCCATCAGAAGCTCATGCTTTGGCTTCTACTGTAGACCCTCAGATTGCCGGTTGCCGTGTAATTGATCTATAGTGTAAGTACTAGTCCCTCCATTGTAAGATTCTCATTCACCGAGTGTGCTGCCTCATGAGACCGCAATTTGTTCCTCACTTCAGGGCTCACTCATTCGCTCAGGTCAGTGTACCATTTGCTGCAAGAGTTCCTGCTTGAACACAGTGCTCGGCCATTCAGTCAACAGCATGGTTACCCGATCCTGCCCACAACGTAATGATACAGCACTGGTGACTTCACGAATCACCCGCACTCTGTCTTTACGTTGTGCAATAGGAGCGGACTTCCATTCGCCGATGTTTCGTGCCTTTCTCAGATGGTTCTCATCACTTCTCATTTGTCAGATTCCGATGTCGCCAAACAGAGACCAAGTCATGACTCATTAGAGTTGGTTGTACTGGCTGCGGGTACGGTACATATGTGACTAAGATACCTTGGCCTCCTTGCAAACGACGTCGAGGACAGAGCCAACGAGCTCTGCACCGTCTGTAATGTCCTTTCACTCAATTGTTACCAGCTCCACTCTCGCCAAAGACAAAGTTGCCAGGGCAGAAGAGGCTGCCGAGGGGACCAGATTGGTCGGAGTCCATGGTACCGGGCTCCAGGTCGACCAGGACCGTGCGCAAAATATACTTGTTTACGCCAAGCTCTTTGTAGTACACGCTGATCCACTCAAGCCAGTCATCGTTTGTACCCTTGTACAGCCCATCAGACTCGATACAGCGCTCATCTCAGATGACCTCCCAAAATTTGGCACACATTTGGTTGCCGCACTGGCCAATTTGAAGTGAGTAATTTGACAAGGCCTAAGACTTTACATCGCACCCCCAGCCGATGACAAACCGGAGCACACTACCACACCCTGGTAGCAGAGATCATACCTGCATATCGAGGCAGAGCGCACGCGGGCCCGGCACAAGAAGACGCCTTGTCGGTGTCGGCTAGCAACAGAGTGATCAGATTTGGAGGCAACGAATATGTAATGTCTGACGCGTACCTTCGCTGGTTGCGAGACGACACGGCGTGGCGGAGAATAACGGTCACGTACGAGACACGGTGATGCGGCAGATGAATAGGATAGCACTCATCCAATCCCGAGTCTCCGCATCCCCGGCGGTTCTTTGATCGCACTGTGCGGGCCACTCTGCATTGAGCAGCCGTCGAATCATGCCTGTGATTGTGCTCAGCGCTCTGTACTGGAAGGAGTGCATCATGAACATACCTCATCTTGCGTGCACTGCATTAATATGTACAGCGTCAAACATACCTAGCAGTCCACCCAAATGCTGTAAATCTGCAAGGGTCGCAGCAGAAAACCCACGTGATGTGAGCGGTGAGACCGCGAACAGCTCAACGAAACACGCCTCAGCGCGTTCGGACACGGTAGAACCGCAGGCATTCGAGGTGTTGACAGACTCGTCTCGATCGCGCGGATCGACCTATGCCTCCAGAAGTCATGGGACAGGCGGACTGAGTGAGCGGCACATGCAGACAGGATGGAGGCTGGCGCAGCGGTGGGACGGTGAGGTGTGAGGTGAAAACACGCACCTCCGTGAGTCTGCAAGCGACAAAACCCTAGCATTGGGGGGTATCGGCGGACTCGTCTTGTTCAGGCGCAGTCAGCCACGCACTTGGAAGACACGGGACGAAGGGAGGCAGCAGGCAAACCGAGACAGAAAGAGGGGTGAGGACAGTGAGGGTGTCTGCGGCGGGTCAGTGAGGTGCAGTCCGTCGCCAGTTGAACTTGCACGCGCCTCCGTGTGTCCACATACAGCAGCACCCCAACGATGTGGGTGTCGATGGGTTCCTCTCAGCCATGCGCATCCGCCTGTGTACGCACAAGTTGCGGGACGAGTGGAGGGAGCAAGCAGGATAGGCAGAAGGACAATGGGAGGAGCTGCAGGACGAGCCGTTGAGAGACGACAGACTCCAGAGAAGCCCAGATCGCACGGCCGATCGCACAACACGAGGCTCTCAACCGCTGTATACGGGCGCCTATTCCATCTGCTCTGTGCGATCCTCCTTTTGCTGCTCGTTGGCTGCACGCGCGACATCTCTGTGTTTGCCCTGCACTCCCGGAGAAACATGGTGCGTAATTCTTGGTTTGTTTAGACAGACTATCAGATGCAACTCTGCTGACACCGTACAGATCCGAGAGTCCGCGACGCACCTTTGCCAAACCTTTGCACGCAAACTAACATTGCTATTCCCCGCGCCGGACGCATCGCCGGCATGAAACATCTGAGCGGCGCCTCACAGAGCGCCTGTACGTGATTCATCAATCAGAAGTTGCGCGTTGCCTCCTGATTATTGTCAACTAGTCAGGAAGAGAGAAACGGCGACGCGCTACATCAGGAAAATACCCCCCTGAGAATTCCCGGGCAATGGTCGATATTCTCGGGAATACTCAGAAGGTCAGTAATTGCCTGTCATTCCGAGACTCATAGCAAGAATTCTCAGCACAGTGTACACCTTGTGAGAACGAGTCAGTAATTATTAAGTAATTCTGTCCTGATACTAGTGCAAGTGTGGACGAGTGATATATCGCCGAAAGCGTGGAATGGCACATCCGAGTCACAGCGTCATTCACTACCATGAGTCGATACATGGGTAGTATGTATTGGGCCCCACCATGCAAAGTTCGAAAGGTATGTAAGACATCAATTGCGATGATAAGTTACTGTACATCGCGTGCACCTCTTGTCTGCCTATCTAACAATAGCCTACATGCTCAACTCCACCACCGAGCCCATCACTAGCACGGAGTGCGCAGTCCGTGGGCGCGTCCGAATCCACGATTCAAATTTCAAGCTTTCCTGTCACTGTCAGTCACGCCGGGGCCCCAGTGTGGGGCTGACGTACAGGAGTGGGCGGGGGTCCTGGCCCCGTTCGTGCCCGCGGCTGTGCACGGTGCATCCCCGTGAGATGCGGGACACATTCCGCTCGAGGTTTCGCGTGAGGTTGGCGAGGATCAGCACGTCGGGGTAGTCCGTAAGAACGACGAGGGAAGGCGGGAGAGCGAGGGTGGACGCGAGGAGCGATGGCAGCGCACACCCTGCGCCCAACTCAACCACCGTCCGTCCAGTACGTGACAGAGGGGAGTGCGGGAGGGAGCGTACATACTGGTCTTCGCTTCCAGCGGGATGAGCCCGGCGCGCCCGATGCGCCCTGCGAGGAGAGCTCCTGGAGCGTCCCAGATATCCATTATGTATTTATGTAACGGTGTCTAAGAACAAACATACCTTGGGCGCACCTGTGAGGACCAGCAGACCGTAGTGGATCTCCCCGTCATCTTGCAGGTCGACGGTCATTGTACAGCCACGCGGAGGCGTCACCTCTATTCATCCGAGTCCATTTTGGCCGGGTGGGTTATCCGTCGGATGAAAGTCGTGGGCGGAGGGGCGACGTTGAGGCGCAAAAGAAATCGTCGACACTACCGGTGGCAGTACGGCGGCAGCGGCGGTGGGTGTATGCTGGCAGGCGATGGCGGGCATGTGCTGATGGGCGACGGCACCGGCGGGTGCTGGCGTCGGTGGCGGCGGCGAGGTTGGTGGGAGGACGGCAGCGGTGAGGGGAACCTGGGAGTTGCAGTAAGTAGTGGTTGACCGAAGCAGTACTGAGCCGGGGACTTGAGTTGCGTGCCAGCGGGTTGCCGTGTCACATGACTCTTTGCCAGGGATCCGGCGACTGGGCGCCCGGCGCCACGTCATGCCTTGAACCTTCCCACTCACATTCCGCCCGTACTGCGCGACCTCCTCCTCGCTACTCACCCGCGGCGGACCCAAACGCGCTCAAGTAAATGAACGCGCGCTCGCCGTACCGAGCACCCCAAGTTCGCCATGCGCCGCGCTCGCGCTCGCGCAGCTCCTCACAGACAACGAGGCCGCGAAGACGCGCGTCTTCTGGGAGGTCAAGAACGTCGCAACGGAGAGGTTCATCGACGTGTACGACGAGGCGGACATGCCCGCGGAGAAGCTCGATGACAAGGCGCGTGAGCACATGAGTGACGCGAGCGAGGCGTGGGCGCGCGTGCGCGATGTGCTCGCGCAGCTCAACCAGGAGATCATTGTCCCGTACACTCTCGGTAAGCACGTCATTCTCTCACCCTCCCCTCGTCTACATGGAGGACATGAGCACTCAATGACATTTCTCCTTCTGCGTGATTGATAGGCGACCAGCTCCCTCTCGCAGACTCGCCGCATGACTCGCGTGGCTCATCACCCTCGCAGGCGGGACGCTCGCCGACGATGGCACGGTAGCGATCGGGAAGCTTCAGGCGCACGTCGGCGAGCCTGGCGGCGGGCGGGTTTACGCTCGTGAAGGATTTCTCCGTCGTGGAGGGGTGGCGGCGCGCTGGCCTGACCGTGCCGGACCCCGAGTCACGCGAACGCCAGAACAGGTTGGCGGCGTTCTGGGATGCGGTGAGGGAGAGGCTTAAAGAAATGTATCCTTCGGGCACACGGTGTGTCAGCGCACAGCCGCCCCTACCGAGGCATGCACTGATGAGATATCCTCGTTTGCAAGCTCGGTCATAAACACGCCTCTGCCGTCCGCACCAGGCTCATTGTCGGGGACCTTGCCGTCTTCATGAGGTACGTCAGTCTCAAGTCCTAGCTGTGTCTCGTGAAGCCTCATAGTAGTATCGCAGCCATCAAGGTCGGTGGTCATGCTGACACTGAGGTCGGCGAGAAGAAGGACAACACTAGACAGATGGGCGTGGCTGGACGGGTGGGGCGTGCGGATGCGGTGTTCGCGAGGGTCATGGCTGGAAGATACTACGCAGAATGTAGATACCTGATACTGTAGCTACTGTAATAGATGGTTGTCAATATCATTTATCTTACCAATTATCGTGTGCATATGAATCCGTGCTGTGAATATGGTCAGGAGAGCTGAATAGTACCTGCATTGTATGCAGAAACACCAAGTAATGTCCAGCTACTGCCTGAGAAACCTCGTAATTCTGACTCGACGAGGCTGGACATGGCTATTTCTGTGGTTTATCAGAAACGAGGTAAAACTCAATATTACCGCGAAAGCTTGATGATTCTGCAGTGTTTACGGTAATTCCCAGGTGGGTTATTTCCTGATGTAGGTCAGGGCATTGCAAGCGATGCCAGGAAACGGCGGACAGCGGGTACGCGAGACCGAGCGGAGGGATGTGATGTGTAACGGTGCGTGCCGTAGTCCGCTTACCGCGCGCGAAACAACGCACGGACCAGCTTTGCACGAAGGTTATAAGCTGGCCTTGCTCGCTCTGAGCTGCCATCATCTCTCCTTCCTCCGCCTATGCAGTGAGCGTACTGCAGCCTCCTTCGAGCGCCCTCTCTGGTCCGTTTACTGCCAGAGTGCATGTCTTCGCACCCGACTCAGTATCCGGCCGGTCTGCCGTCCTCTAATGGCTCGCCATTGTCTCTGCCCGGGAACTCGCGTTCTCCATGTTCAATCATTGCACTTTGTGCGGACTTGCGCATAAGCTCTTCCCATAGTCTCTGAACGATAATCATCAACGAACGCAAGTTTCCGCGCAGTCTCAGGCTTATATGGTACAGGTAAGCTCTTTCGTTGTACTGTGTCTGGTTCTGTGCTAACGCGCAGAAAAATCGTAGACGATGTTGATAGGCAGGACCTCACAGCCACTTGTGACTGGCTCGGAGACAGTTGACCATGAGGTGAGCTCCCTGTCCATTGTTCGCAAGCCCACACTCAACTGATGTCCTCCAGCGGCCACGGTTCATGTAGATGCACGCCCCGGACTGAAGGTCGTACAGGTGGATGAAACCGTACTTCGTGATGAGGTAGACGATGCCGTGCTTCTGCGAAACCTGCATCGCCACCGGCGGGAAGTCGTTCGTCGCCTCAGGCGGGAATTAGTACACGTCGACCGCCTTCTTCATGAACGGCGGGTCCGGAGCCTGGTGGTCAATCTCCACGATGTGAAGCTTCACGCCAGTCGCCGTCCGGACGAAGAACCAGAAGAGCTTCGTCGGCTTCTGATGCCCATCCAGCTTGAGCTCCGCGAACGCTGCGGTGTGCCCCTCAATTGGCCGGCTGACTCCCTGCTCCCTGCTATACATCTGGATAGCGCCCTGGACCTTGAAAGCGGAGGGGTTCGTCGCGTTCCCAGAGATGCCGACCAACACCAACCACTTCTCGTCTCCGGACGCGCGGTAGTTGATGATCTGCGCACCCAAGAGCGACGAATGGGGTTCGAAGATTTTCTGCGGGGGAGACGTCACGTCGGACATCGTCCAGTGGTATATAGCTGTGTTGGTGACCATGCCAATCGTAGAGTCTGAGATTGGCTGTAGGTGGCGTGCTGGGTTGCTTACCGAGTCGTGCCGGACAGTTCAGAGAGCCGGTACGTTTGTTCTTGAACGAAACATGGATCCTAGCGATTGAGTATCATGGTATTGGGGTCCGCAAGCAGTGGCTACTAATACATCAGTAGATAGTCTACATACTGTAGCTACTGTCCTGGCAGGCACATTGCGCACCAGACGTTCCAATACGTCGCGCAGAACGTGTCTACCATCCGAGGACGACTCTTGCCCTGTACTGAGACCTCTTGCAAGTCGCCTCGCCCGTTGTTCGGTCACATTTGCATGACCGCTGACATCGTGATTGCCGTTCGTCTGTGCCATCGCGAACACGGCTGGAGCGGACGCGAGCGGAGCCTGCATGTTGATCACTGGGACGGTTGGCAGTCCCGGTACCCGTATGCCTTCATTCGACGAGATACGCATGTGAGGGATCGTTGGGGAGCCATCGGCTTCAACTGCATGGCTACGGACACCGGCATCCCCGCCTGTGAGATCGAGATGGGCCAGAGCTCGACGACTGTAGAGACTGGATGGGACGTGTAGTAGGTGTCATGGGCGCCGGAAGCTGTCGCAGGGCGGGTGGCATAGATCGACCATACAGCCCTTGCGAGCCTGGCCTGAACGGCGTGATCGTTCGCTGACGGCCATCGCTCAAGGTCATGACAAGGGTCGAATCTGTCATGAGGCTGCTCAGATCTTGCTCCGTCAGGAGGGTTTCCGTTTCAGTCGAGGCCGTCTGCGCCCAGGTCGATGTAATTCATGTGAGTTTCTCCCCGTCCCGACGGCGAGCTGCCAGCATCCATCGCGACCGTTTGCAGGTCGCTTCATAGTATCCGCGCGCACGACCTTCGTGATGGGCCCGAGTGGGTCTATCAGGGCACTGACAGGCCCCAGGGTTGTATTGGATGGCCAGATCCTGCTCGAAGCCTGAGGCAAGGTGCACGAGCAGAAGCACAGCAACGTGGACACCTAGCTCGGGGCCGAACCGTACGGACGCAAACGCACAGCGTCGTGCTACTCCTTGGCTGCCACCTGTGAGACCGAGGGAGACGCAGATCCTGCTGCCTCTGCGCAGGGTCTGCAAATGCCCGCACGGCAATGCAGATGAACTCTCGTCATCATCACGCGCGACGTGCAGACCCGCATTCTGCGGCGTACTGCCCATTCGATCTGCAGTCTCCGAGATCCTGCTTTCCGAATCGGCATGCACGCAAATCGACCTGAGCGAATCCGGCCGCATCTCTCGCAATGAGTGGAACTGTCCCCAAACATCGCGTACGACACTTCCCGCCGGCACCGCCGTACTGAATCGCAATCTCGGCAGAGCTGGGATGGTGCCGTGGCAACTGCACCGGTAACGATGAGTCCGTGCATTGCCATGGGACCGCCGAGCGATCCAAGCGTGCAATGCTGAGATGCCGGCACGAACCATCGCATGCGTTGGCGGGTTTCGTAGCGAGGGCCCAGGGCGACGTCGACCCTCAGACAAGCAGGTCGTACTGCGGGCGACACTGGCAGTCAGCACCATTTCGGGCTGGATCCTGCATGGCATTGCAGCGTCAGCGACTTGTGATGATGTACACATGCGCACGCACAGACTTTGAGCCCATTTGCGACATGGACACTCCATCGTCTGCGTAGACTCCCAGCTCGAGGCCTCACAAGGCCGCCGAACTTTGCGGCTCCGGCCTGATTGGTGAACGACCCGCCGCGCCGGATGCACCGCTGCCGTCGCACGCAAATACCAAGTCCCCGCCGCTATGAGAAAATACAAGAACGGCGACCAGGAGAGGCGAACCGCAATCGGGAGTAATAGATTGACGTACTCCCCACGGCGCGTCGACATGCGTCTGAGATCCCATCACGCGAGAGCATGCACGACGGCATCCCGGGCGGGCTCGTCTACGAACCGTTCATCTGGAGGAACTCGGGTACCAGAGCACCGACACGGCGCGACGAGACGCAGCTCTGCGAGCCCAGTCTCGTCGTGCGGCACCCAGCGCTCTGTCGAGCCCGCGCGTCTCCACTCGTCGCGTCGGCCCGCAACCAGGGCACGGCGCACTCACTGCGCGGGATGTTCTGCGTGCGTACACGGCGAGCGATCGACTTTCGGCACGCAACTGAATTGCAATGAACCGCCGCGATGGTCGCGCGTCGTCCACGTCTTGCTAGGTCAGGGTCCGCTCGGCTAGGCCTGCGCGCGCGTTGCTAGAGGGCGGGTCCTCCGTAGTCGCCGTCCAAGTCCACGCATCGCGATCGAGGGGGTATAAATAAGCGGGCCTTGGGTGCCGTCCCGTCATCTGTCCTTCCGCTGTCCTCTCCTCTGCTTGCTGCGCCGGTTTGAACTCGCGGTGAGCTCGTACTCATCGGTCCATGTCGCGGGCTGCTGACGTGTGTGCTGTGCGCTTGCAGTGTCATGGCCGTGTTGGACGTCGTCGATCCGACATGGGCTGGTGAGTGTGTGACCGCGGTTGACCATCGGTATGCCGTCCTGCAGACCGACATGGCGAACGCATCAGCTAGTCCCCAACGCCCAAAGGCCAAGACGCGCTGCTGAGAGTTCCGGCGGCATGTACTTACGGGACCATACGTGGCGCAGTATGCCGCGATCCTGTCCTGCCAGTGCGTAGCATCGCCCTGCCATCGAGACTTCGCTGATGAGATCCCTGCAGGATGGATTGCGATGCACGCATTCCCTGCTTCGAGTAAGTTGTGTCTGTTGTCTGCTCGGTTGTGGGCGGAGCCTCCGCGCACCGAGGTGGGGGCGCGCGTTATTGGGGCGATGTTTAGTATAGTAGGCACATACCTAGTGTGCCGTCGGCTTGAAAGTAGATATTGGCACGGATGGTGCTGCGTGACACCGCCGTCGGTTGTTCTGGGTTGCGTAGATCAGAGGCGGCACCGCCATGTTCCGACGTCGAGGTCGTGCTGCCGGCCGCTGTACCTTGCCATCGCGTCGGCGTTGGTCTACGCTGTTCCCGCGCCGCGTTCTCTCGTTCCCTCTGACGTGCCTCATCCGCGCGTCCGTTCCATTCTCGCCTGTGTGCTCCATGCCTCATCCTCGCTTGTACCGTTGTCGCCACACCGTTCTGTTTCTCCCTGGTGCCAGCATCACCCTCCCTTCGTCCTGACTCCCCCACGCGCGCCGATGCCACGATTCAGTGCGTCTTGCACGCACAATGAGGTGCTGTAGGGCGAGTCAGACAGCGTGTGGCCGAGGATACATCTTCGTACGTACACGGGGGTGTCAGCGCCGGTGAATCGAGTCAATGAGGGCGTCGTACGTGGTGGTGGGCGAGAGCTTGAGTGACCGCGGGCGCTCTTCGCTGGGTCGTGCAGAACGTCGCGCTGCACCACGTCCGGTGCTGAAACTGGTCTTGGGTGGCCTAGTCAGGCTGTGTACACGTCTTGAGTACGCATGCAGTGCGGAACGGTGGTGTGTCGCGACGTCGGCGAGGCGGGAGGGTGACTTCGGGGCGCTTGTAGTTGGACGGCACAGAACACCGCGCCGCGCCTGGTCCCGCGCACGGAATGCCTTCGGATAGCTTGCGAAATGTCTGAGCATATCCGGTGAGCCGTGCTGTGTCGTTACAAGAACGCCGGAGACGCGACGGATGCGGAAAAGGGCAGGAGTCGGTCGGGGTGGAGACTTGGACAGGGTATTTCTCGGGATGAATGCACGCGAAGATGTCTCGAAGAAGTAAATGACACCTACCTCGACCATCTATGCACCAAGCCCACGACTCAGGGGTGTCGAGAGACTCGTCTCGGGCGTGCGCGTTGACTGGTGCATGCGGCTGGGGTGGGCGAGCAGCGGGGAAGGGGCGGAGAGGGCGGACGAGGGCCGCAGACAGGATGCTCTGGGGCGCGGAACGGACAGCGCGTGAGTGCGCCCAAGTGGCGTGGTGAGTGCACTGGAGAGAGGTCGACTGGAGGTCGACGACCTGTCGACGATGGCCTCAAGCGGCCCAAACGCGCGATCGACGCGACGGCGGCAGCCAATGAGCGGTCTTGGCGAGCGCCTATATCGGTGCATGACGCGAGGACGACCCGCCGAGGGCAAGTGGGCGAGGGGCGACGATGGCTGAGGACGCGTCGGAACGCGAGTCGACTGACCTCATCGACGCACCGCCCTTCATCGCGCTCGGCCTCTGTTGACGTCCCTGCCAGGACATCGCCCCCATCGCCCTCGCCCGCACGTCGCGGCGTTACAGCGGCCGAGGCCTTATGTCCGCTGCCTCTTCCCCGCAGGCATCCCGCAGCACCGTCTATGATACTTAATAGCCGTCTTTGTATCGTACGGTTCATCGTACATCTCCGCAGCCCACTTACTTACATACACCGAAAACGAGGGTCTAATCGCGCTGTAGTACCCGCCCTGTCCCAATTGCAACTGTCCAATGTCAAACCCTGTCCGAACCCACCGACAGCACACCCGCGGCCCACCGCGCCAGCGAGGACACGCCACCCACACACCCTGCGTCGCGCGCTGCGGGCATAGACACCAGGCTCCCCACGCCCCGTCATCCTCGTCCGATATTAGAACGCCCACGCCCTCGAGGCGCAAGCCACGGTGCTTCCCTTCGGTACCACCGCCACACATCACGGCTTCCTGCTGAGGGGGATGACGCCCGCCTGGCCCGTCGCGGCGCTCTCGGCCTTCTTCTGGTTGCTCTTCGCAATGGCGTACACCAGCCCGGCGAAGAAGCCCACGCTGACCGCGCTCACGGAGCCGAACGTCACGGCGTCGCCGAAGAAGATCATCCCTGACGCCGCGACGGGCAACTTGTTCAGCGCGCCGACCATACTGGGCGGAGGCGTCAGCAGAAGCCCGGGCGTGGAGCAGCGGGGGCACCGCACCTGTACGTCGTGCTGCTCGTCGCGCGGATGCACCACGCGGTCGTATACGAAATCGCGACCGCCGCCGCGCCCGAGAACGCGATCGCGAACAGCAGGAAGTTCCTCGTCGCCTCCGGGCTACACGCATCGTAGCCATCAGCACCAACACCCAACACCGCAGACCATCCACTCACAAGTTCTTGCTCAGATTCTCCGTCCCCCAGTCCTCCGCGACGATCGAGAACGCCGCGAGCACGGGTATGCTCAGCAGGTTGTTGTAGAACATCGTGTCCCAGTCCGAGAAGCCCGTCGCCTTGATGCGCTTCCGCATCGAGAGCACGTACGTCGCGCTCGCCGCGCAGTTCATGAACATCCAGAAGTAGCCGATGTTCAGGTTCGTCACGACGCCGCGCATCGTCGTGAGCATCCCGAGGCCCTCCGTGACCGCGGGGTCGCCGGCGGTCAGCGCGTCGCTGATGTCGGCCCACGCAGCGATCACGGAGGAGAGTACCTGCGCGGGTGTCAGCGACGTGTGGACGGGAATGGCGAGGACTGACCATGAGGATGAATGAGGCGAAGGTGAGGCCGGTGACGCGACCGCCAAACCAGATGACCTCTCCGTACGCCTAGACGTTGCGAGCGCATCAGCAGCAGAGAGCGTGTCAGAGCGAGGCGAACGCACAATAAGGATAATAGTCAGGTTCTTGAAGATCGTATACACCGGTATACTCAGGTATTGCTGCACACCAACCACCATCAGCCGCCATCCCGCGTCCAACGACTCCTTTGTGAGAAGGACATACCAAACTCTTCGACCCCGTGTATATCACGCTGACGAGCATGAAGCTAATTGGGAACCACATCTTCGCGTCGCGCGTGTCGAAGTCGCGGAAGGATATGAGGCCCATACGCTTCGCGGCGACGACGCAGAGCACGGAGACGGTGGACTGGACGCAGAGCAGGATGAAAGTCATATTGAATTCTCGTCCGGAGACGACGAACTGTCGGTGGGTGCGCAGGTCAGTGCGGGATGCGGTGGGCGAGCGGGAGGAGTGCGCACTTTGTTCACGACAGTCATGAGGATCGAGGCAATGCAGTAGCATACTATGGGTGGTACTGTTGGGAAGCGAGTGAGCAAGCTTTGCGGGAAGCACGACTATGAGTAGTGAACAAGTGCGATGACGTTGGGACTAGCGGGAGTCGTGGCGGTATCACACTGTAGCCTTCGATGCAGCGCGACAATTGCCTGCGAATGTGTGTTTACTCAGTAGCAAACCTACCTGATGAGACAGGACTCGCACTGTCCCTGGCCGCACCCCCAGTCGCCATTGCTTTCTTGATCTCCACGACGTCGTCTTCCTCCTCCATGATCGGGGAGCTGTTGCGAGTAGACCCTGGAGCCATTGCAATTTCACCTAGAGATTACTGTGATGGTATGTACGGAAAACTGTCCGGCGTCGAGATAGCGTCGAGCGTTCGAATGTGTAGGGCCGCAGCTGCGCGGTTGTTTTCCACAGCCGCGCGGTTCTTCAAGCGACAAGCGGGGACGTTGCGAGAATATTTTCAACGGGAATACGGACAAAGGAGTGGATGGCGCGCCAGGACGTCGAAGCGGGCAGCGAGAAGGAGCTGGGGATAGCGGGGCCGACGAAGAGCCGTGCAAGGAACAGGCCTGCCAGTGGCGGCGTTGCCCGCGTGGCAGCGCAAACTGCCCGCGGTGATTGGCTCCCGTGCACGTGCGGGGAGGACCGACTGTGGGGTTAGGGCCCCGTCCGTCTCATTTCGCGCTGTGAAAGAGATCACCGCTCACGCTCACCGCCTCCCCGTGCCCTCCGTCGCCCCGCTCCCCGCCCGCTCTCTCTTCCGCACACCGCCACCAACCCCTGCGTAGCCTTGCAAGACTGGCAGACGGTCGACTTGCCCTCGGATGCTTACTCGCTTTGGCCGTCGCGCGTCCCCAAACATCCGGGCCCGTCTCGCTGCGTCTTCTCCTTCGACCTCCAAACGGACATGGACTCATGACGAACGACGGACCTTCAAGACATTGCAGGGCAATGCATCGCATCGCATAACACACTCGAAGTCACGCGCGTATTGCACGAACACCGTCGCTCGCGCCGCCCAGCAGAATGACCCAGATCGGGATGGCGGAACAGAGCCAGGAGAGACGGGAGAGAGGGAGCTGCAGGTGCACCAGACGGAGCATGCTGTCATCTCAACTTTTGACCTGTTCAGTATCGGAGGTGCGCATTCCACTAGCTTGGTTCCCTGCAGGCTCGGGTTGAACTCTGCTCTCTTACTTTGCTCCAGTCGGCCCGAGCTCGTCGCACACGGTGGGACCGATGCGTGCGGGGAAAATCTTCATCAATGACTTGATTGAGCTGGGTCTCTTGGACAAGGTGCGCTCGAGTGTTATGCCCACTTCGACGCGCTTGACAGGGGTATGGCGCAGGTCAAGACCGTAAAGATCACCCTGTGAGTACCGGTGTACCGCGATGCTGTGGAGAAAGGCTAACTCGCTCATAAGCTATGGATCTCTCGCTGCTACGGGTACGCTCAGTTACTCTCCAGCCTTGGCCTCCCACTGACCGAGAACCGATCACCGCAGGCAAAGGGTACGCATTCCTCACCCTCACCCAAACACCGCACTTACTCCCTTCCTTCTTAGCCACCACACACCACAAGCGATCCTCCTCGGGCTCGAGGGCTCTGACCCCGAGACGATCGAGACGGGCACCATCCCTCCGCGCTACGCGAACATCATCGCTCAGAAGACGCTCCTCCTCGGCGGCACGCACCGCGTCGCGTATGAGCCCGAGCGCGACATGGTATGGCGCTGGGACGAGGTCCTCAAGACGCACCCGAACGGGATGCGCTTCTCGGTGTTTGGCGAGGAGGGCGAGTTGCTTGCGACGAACGAGTACTTCAGGTGCGTGCTTATACCAGTTGGTCTGCTGGAGACATGTGCACTGAGGATGCCCCATTCAGCGTGGGAGGCGGGTTCGTGGTGAACGAGAAGACGAAAGGTGACATTCTCTTGTACTTGCAGTCTGCTGGGAAACATTATATTGAGACAACAACTCTGCCCTAGTCGACGAGAACCTGTTTTACAAAGGCGTAGACAAAAGCGCAGTGCATGACGCACGGCTCCACCAGACTCACAGTCTGTCGGAGCCCAATGAAGAAGTTCCACAGCAAGAACGCGATCCCAGCTCGCCCCCATATCCGTTCCACGTACGTCTACCACTGTCCTGCCGTCCAATGTACTGAGGGCGACCGTAGTCCGGGGAGAGCCTCCTCACGCTTACGCACAAGCACAACGTACGACTGCTCGTCATGCACTAGTTCCTGACCCGCTTGGTGCTGACACCACCGCAGATGACCATCGCCCAGATTGTATACGACAACGAGATGCACTTCGGGTACACACACGAAGAAGTGCACGACAAGGTCTCTATCCTCCAATCGTCCACCGTATCCCCCGTCTGATTCTATGTCCACCGTCGTAGCTCCTGCGCATCTGGAGCGTGATGGACGACTGCATCCGCACAGGCGTGTCCTCCTCCGAGACGACGCTCCCCGGCCGCCTCCAGCTCCGCCGCCGCGCGCCCATCCTCTACCGCCGCCTCATGCGCGGGTGCGTCCCCCGTACCACCCACTCTGAGCCCGCACACACGCTGATCCCCGCGCAGCTTCTACCCAGGCCTCGTCCAGCCCCTATCGCAGCACCCGCAACTCGGCGCGGGGCGCGGGCCCGCGGGCCAGCTGAACGCCCCGGAAGGCGAGGAGCCCCCCGTGGCGCCGCCGCAAGTCGAGGGCGGGAAGCTCGGGCGGGGGAAGGGCGCGGTCGGGCGCGCGGCGCGCCCTGCGAGGGTCGTCGGCGCGCTCGACCACGCCGTGCTGCCCATGCCTCCTGTGAGTGCTCACTCACTCTCATCCGTGCGTCTGGCAGAAGGGAACTGAGCGGGGACGGTGGACAGCGCAAGACGACGATCCCTGCGGTGGACTTTTTGTCGTGCTACGCCATCGCGGTGAACGAGGTGAACGCGAGCGGCGGGCGGATCGTCACGAGCCCGACGAACGGCGCGGCGGGGGTCATCCCCGCCGTGCTGAAGTACATCGTCGAGGTGCGTTGGTTCTCCATGCATTCACTTGCTACGCGCGGCTTACCGTGATCTCGTGCAGTTCGTGAGCGACGACCCGGAGAAGAGCGTGGTGACGTTCCTGCTGACCGCTGCGGCGGTCGGGATGCTGTTTAAGCGCGGGAGCACGATCTCCGCGGCGGAGGGCGGGTGTCAGGCTGAGGTCGGAGGTCAGTTGTCTCGTTGCGAGGGTCAGTCGTGCGCCGTGGGCTCAGGCTAACTTGCGTACGGGATAGTTGCGTGCTCGATGGCGAGCGCTGGCTTCGCTGCGTGCATGGGTGGTGAGTTACGCGAGCTCTCATCGGACATACCTCGAACTTCTGACGTGTGTTGTGAAAGCCGACCCGGAGACTGTGCTCCAGGTGGGTGTGTTGCTTCTCTTCGGGGGCCGTTGCTCAACGTCGTCTATATCGGTAGGCTGCTGAGATTGGAATAGGTCGGTGATATAGCTTATGATGGCCCTCATGTTGACCGGTCCTGATGCCTCCGCAGAACACAACCTAGGCCTGACGTGTGACCCCATAGACGGACTCGTGCAAGTCCCATGTATAGTACGTCCCTTCCCCGCGTACCCACACGCCAATACTTATACAATGCGTTATCCAGGAACGTAACAGTCTCGGTGGTCAGTGTCCTTACCCTTCTCCAGCTACTCTTATGTAACAGACCCGTTGACCCCTTAATAGCGGTGAAAGCGGTCACGGCCGCCCAGCTCTCCATGGCGAGCCAAAACGTGTACAGCGTGACCCTCGACGAGGCGATCGAAGCTATGCGTCTGACCGCTGCGGATATGAGCGTGAAGTATAAGGAGACTAGTCTCTCGGTGAGTCTTCTGAGCTGCTTAGGATCCGCTATATCAGTGCTTACCGCCGACTGTGACATTAGGGTCTTGCTGTGAGTCTTGTGTTATACATGAAGCCGAGACATGCTCATTAGCTTTTGCAGCGCACTGTCAAGATCCCATTGACTGTACCTGCTTGCTGAGTGGACCAACGATAGATGAGATCTGTGTGTTGTAGATTGTGGTACCGTACCTCCCCGCCTTGTTCATAGATGCTGCTATCGTGCTATCTTGGAATGGACTGCCGTGTCGGGGGCTGCATGAATGATCATTGTCTAGATATGCTCGACGCCGACGTCGTTCGACCTTCCGCAGACCTAGGTTAGGTGCAAATATACTAGATTGTAGACCGATAGTACTCACTGCGAATGCTGTGTTATGTTGTTAGACCTAGACTCGTAGTCACTGTTACCCTTTAACCATATCGCTGTTTTTCCGTACCCTACGTCTCCGGAAGCCGGCTTCGACAACCTGAGCTTCCTTCGTCGTTCGAGGGCTGAGGACTGCGGTACCGAGGCCCGAGGGTATGCCTCCTTACACGTGATCGCGACGTCAACGCGTGTCCCGGGTCCGCCAGCGCGACGCGCGCCTCGGGTATTCGAGGTCGCACCGCCGCAGTCGCTCGTCCTCCATCTCGACGACCACCTCGACCATGATCCCGGCATGGATGTCTACAGCGGCGTCGGTGGGCATGGCCGTCGGCCCGCCGCTCGTGTACGCCGACCAAGCGTACTCTATTGTCCGGAAGAAGTGCGTTCGGTCCTCGGATCGGAGCTGCAGCATGACTGACTAACATGAAGCCTGGGTTGGTGAAGGGACTCTACTGGGTTCTCGCGTGATGTCTGTGCTATACTGTGAGCTTCAGTGCCGTGACTCGTGGCGTTGTGCTGATAGGTGTTGGTAGGTTGTTGGCGAACATCACCCGGTGCTTCTTCTGGCTCGGGAGCCGCTTTGAGACCGCGTTGCTGCTGCAGTCAATATTCATGATATTTGCCCAGGTACGTGGGACTATTCCGAGATATGCTCATATGCTGATTGTCTCACAGCTGGCCCTGCTGTACATCTGCATAAAATATCGCCCTCATACGAGCCCCGAAAACATCGGTGCATCCTCGCGCCCGTTCTCGTTCTGGCAGTGGCCGACGTACACGCAATATATTGAGTTTTTGGCTGGGTTCATGTGCGTCGCCTTGCGCTACACTTCTAGGTCCTAGGCTGACTTATAAGGCCAGACTATGTCAAGCGATCCTATTCCTAATCTTCGGTCGCTCCCAACCATTCGTGTTCATCTTGGGCATGGTAGCGTTGGGTGTGGAGAGCACATTGCCAATACCTCAAATGATTAGGTACGTGTCTCGCTCATGCATTGCTGTGAGCGCGCTCACGTCGCCCCCTGTGCGCCAGTAATCACAAGCAGCGCTCCTTGTATGGGTTCAGACTGTCAACGCTGCTTGGCTGGGTAGGCGGAGACGCCTTCAAGTAAGTGTGAAATGTATATACACGTGCCGGGACACAGTATGACGTTTATCCTCTCCCACAGGACGGTGTATTTCTTCCTACAAAATTCACCACTGCAGTTCAAGATATGCTCCATCTTCCAGCTATCGATTGACTTTGGTGAGTTTCACTCCGACACGGGCGATCGTTCTTGTATTGATTGCCCTGGCAGTCATCCTCGGCCAACGGTTGTATTTCGGGAATGAGATCCCTGCTTCGACGCTCATGGAGGAGGATGATATCGAACAAGCGTTGGTACTGGCGGAGGAGTGAACCGGAGTGTATAGTACACCCCTTTACCTCGTGCTGATCGTCGTCCGCATGTAACTACTTGTACTGTACTGTGCATAACTACGCAATTAATGCTCCGTTGGGCGGAGGGCACAAACCATTCGAAACAGCATAAAAGCAAGAGAGGGGTGGCTGTGGACGGGTTGCGTATGTCCTCACAGCCGACCGTAGGCGCCCGGAAGGATGTACTCATCAAGGTACACAGCAGTTACCGGTTATGGGTCTCGGGTAAACAGTCCCAAACCCTTTCGCCTTGCTACCACCTCCACCGCGTACAACGCAGCTCTCAACGGGCGCGACGTGTCCTCAAAATCCCCGCCCACCATGGATATCTCCAAGCCCATCTCGTTCTGTGAACACCTCCAACTCTCTGCCATCGGCGTCCAGCCCGCCTCCATCTCCTTCCAGGTGCGTATGACGAACTATACGTGTGCCAGTGCTCATGCCAACCCGGGACGCGTAGACCCTGACTCTCGAATCCGACCACTTTATTTGCGTACGAGAGAAAGTCGGCGAGCAGAACCAGGTTGTTATTGTCGACCTCGCAGATGCCAACAATGTCCTCCGACGACCTATCACTGCGGACAGTGCAATCATGCACCCGCACCAGAAGATACTGGCATTGAAGGGTGCGCATGCCAGGTGCCGCTGTTCACAACCGACTTGCTCATTAGGTGCACTCTAGCTGGTCGGACATTACAAATCTTCAACCTCGAGACGAAGCAGAAGGTCAAGTCACACGTCAACGCCGAGGATGTGGTGTTCTGGAAGTGGATCTCAGACTCTACGATTGGCATGGTCACCGACACAGCCGTATACCACTGGACGATGTCGGACACGACCTCCCCCCCGCAGAAGATCTTCGACCGTCATCCGTCGCTCGTGGGTGCGCAGATCATCAACTACCGCGCGTCCACAGACGAGAAGTGGTTGGTGCTGGTCGGCATCTCCGGGAACGCGACGAACCCCTCCGCTTTCAAGGTCAAGGGCGCTATCCAGTTGTACAGCAGGGAGCGGGGAGTCAGCCAGCCGATTGAGGGGCACGCTGCGGCGTTCGCGGAACTCAAGCTGGATGGGCACCAGAAGCCGACGAAGCTCTTCTCGTTCTCCGTCCGGACGGCGACTGGTGCGAAGCTTCACATCGTGGAGATTGACCACCAGGCTCCGGACCCCCCGTTCACGAAGAAGGCGGTCGACGTGTACTTCCCGCCAGAGGCGACGAACGACTTCCCGGTGGCGATGCAAGTTTCGCAGAAGCACGGCATCGTCTACCTGGTCACGAAGTACGGCTTCATCCACCTCTACGACCTCGAGTCTGGGGCGTGCATCTACATGAACCGTATCTCTGGGGAGACCATCTTCGTCACCGCGGAGCACGAGGGGTCGAACGGCATTATCGGTGTGAACAAGAAGGGTCAGGTGCTGAGTGTTAGTGTCGACGAGCAGACCGTCATTCCTTATATCCTCACAACGCTCGCGAACACGGAGCTCGCATTCAAGCTCGCTAGTCGAGGAGATCTGCCTGGCGCAGACGACTTGTACATTAAGCAGTACCAGCAGCTGTTCCAGACTGGCCAGTACAGCGAGGCGGCGAAGGTTGCTGCCAACTCTCCGAGGGTGCGTGTCCTATCGTTTTGTCTATATGCCCAGGTGCTAAGTGTTGTGTAGGGTATCCTCCGGACGGCTCAAGTCATCGAGTCGTTCAAGTCAGCACCAGCACCGCCCGGTGGCCTCTCCCCGATCTTGCAGTACTTCGGCATTCTGCTCGAGAAGGGTGAGCTGAATCACCTCGAGTCCGTGGAGCTTGCGCGCCCTGTACTCCAGCAGGGTAGGAAACAGCTGCTCGAGAAGTGGCTGAAGGAGAACAAGGTGCGTCTCTGTCTTGACTCCGCTCGTGCTCGGTCACTGACTCCCGCAATATAGCTCACCTGCAGCGAGGAGCTCGGTGACATCGTGCGACTCCATGATATGACACTCGCTCTCAGCGTGTACCTCCGGGCAAACGTGCCCAACAAGGTCGTTGCTTGCTTCGCCGAGACAGGGCAGACGGACAAGATCGTGTTGTACGCAAAGAAGGTCGGCTACACGCCTGACTTCATCGGTCTTCTGCAGCACATCATGCGCACGAACCCGGAGAAGGGCGCTGAGTTCGCGATGCAGCTCGTCAACAACGAGGACGGTCCGATGGTCGACATCGAGCGGGTAAGCAGCTCTGTGATTGAGTGGAGGACCGGTTCTAACGCGGCGTTTCATAGGTGGTCGACATCTTCATGTCGCAGAACATGATCCAGCCAGCGACGTCGTTCCTGTTGGACGCCCTCAAGGATAACAAGCCCGAGCAGGGCCACCTCCAGACGCGCCTGCTCGAGATGAACCTCGTCCACGCGCCTCAGGTTGCCGATGCCATTCTCGGTAACGAGATGTTCACGCACTACGATCGTCCCCGAATCGCGAACTTGTGTGAGAAGGCAGGGCTGCTGCAGAGGGTGCGTCTATCCTCGTCTATTCAGTGTTTCGTCAGATTTCTAATGTACCTTGTCGTACTAGGCACTCGAGCACTACGAGGATCTCGCGGATATCAAGCGAGTCATCGTCCACGCTGCCGCGTTCCCACCAGAAGTAAGTCCGACGTGCACAGACGTTGAGTAATACCGGACTGATGACCTGTCGTTCCTTAGTGGATCGTCGACTACTTCAGCCGGCTCACTACTGAGCAGTCCTTGGCTTGCCTGGAGGAGATGCTACGCGTCAACATCCGCCAGAATCTGCAGATCGTGATTCAGGTTGCAACCAAGTATTCCGACATCTTGGGTCCCGTCAAGCTCATCGAGCTGTTCGAGCGTTTCAAGACCTTCGAGGGTAAGATAGTCGCATTTACGTTGCATCTGCTCGCCTCATCGTGTCTCGCACAGGTCTTTACTACTACCTCGGGTCGATCGTCAACCTCAGCACGGACCCCGAGGTGCACTTCAAGTACATCCAGGCCGCTACGCGCACAGGTCAGATCCGCGAGGTCGAGCGTATCTGCCGTGAGAGCAACCACTACAACCCGGAGAAGGTCAAGAACTACCTCAAGGAGGCCAAACTCGCCGACCAGCTTCCGCTCATCATCGTGTGCGACCGCTTCGACTTCGTGCACGATTTGGTTCTCTACCTGTACCAGAATGGCTTGACAAACTTCATCGAGGTGTACGTGCAGCGTGTCAACTCCGTGCGAACTCCCCAGGTCATCGGTGGTCTGTTGGACGTTGACTGCGACGAGACTACCATCAAGTCGCTGTTGGCCTCGGTCCCGGGTAACTTCCCTATCGACGAGTTGGTGAACGAGGTCGAGGCCAGGAACAGGCTGAAGCTCATCCTCCCCTGGCTCGAAGCGCGTGTGCAGCAAGGCAGCCAGGACCCTGCGGTGTTCAATGCCCTTGCCAAGATCTACATCGACTCGAACAGCAATCCCGAAGCGTTCCTCAAGGAGAACAACGTACGTCATGTTCATTTGGTAGAGATGTACAGCTTATCTGAGTGACTTTCAGTTGTATGAGCCTCTGGTCGTCGGCAAGTTCTGCGAGAAGCGAGACCCGTACCTGGCATACATCGCGTACGCCAAGGGCTTCTGCGACGATGAGCTCATTGCGATCACAAACGAGAACTCGATGTTCAAGCAGCAGGCGCGGTACCTCGTCAGGCGTCGTCAACCCGAGCTCTGGGCTCAAGTTCTCGTCCCCGACAACATCCACCGTCGTCAGCTCATTGATCAGGTATGTAAACCGAATGTCACGAAGACAAACAGCCCCCTCACTACATACTCCTAGATCATCGCGACTGCTCTGCCCGAGTCCACGGACCCCGACGATGTGTCCATCACTGTCAAGGCCTTCCTCTCGGCCGACCTGCCCATTGAACTTATCGAGCTGCTCGAGAAGCTGATCTTGGAGCCGTCGCCCTTCAGCGACAACAAGAACCTCCAGAATCTCATGATGCTCACTGCTATCCGTGCCGACAAGGGCAAAGTCGTCGGCTACATCGACAAGCTCAAGAACTACGACGTTGCGGAGATTGCCAAGATCGCCACCGACCACGGCTTGTACGAGGAGGCATTCCTCATTTACAAGAAGTACGAGCAGCACGCCAACGCCATCAATGTTCTGGTCGAGCACATCGTGTCATTGGATCGTGGGGTTGAGTACGCCATCAAGGTCAACAAGCCGGAGGTATGGAGCAGGCTGGCGAAGGCACAGCTGGACGGCCTGCGTATCAAGGACGCCATCGGTGAGTCCAGACTGCATCAATTACATCGCGTTGCTTATCGGGTACACAGATTCGTACATCAAGGCCGAGGATCCCGGAAACTACGTCGAGGTTATTGAGATCGCCAGTCGTGCAGGCAAGCACGATGATCTTGTGCGCTACCTCCAGATGGCTCGCAAGACTCTTCGTGAGCCGAAGATCGATACCGAGCTTGCGTATGCCTATGCCAAGACCGATCGTTTGCATGACATGGAGGACTTCCTGGCAATGACCAACGTAGCGGACGTTCTTGAGGTCGGAGAGAAGTGTTTCGAGGACGAACTCTACCAGGCTGCGAAGCTGCTCTTCCAGAGCATCTCCAACTGGGCGCGGCTTGCGACTACTCTCATCTATCTGGGCGAGAACCAGGCGGCCGTCGAGAGTGCGCGGAAAGCTGGCAACACTCAAGTCTGGAAGCAGGTCCACCAAGCATGTCTCGAGAAGGGCGAGTTCCGCTTGGCCCAGATTTGTGGTCTCAACATTGTCGTCCATGCGGAAGAACTACCGGCGCTTGTGCAGCTGTATGAGCGTCGTGGTCACTTCGAGGAGATCCTGTCATTGCTGGAGGCTGCTCTCAGCTTGGAGCGTGCGCACATGGGGATCTTCACAGAGCTTGCGATCCTCTACAGCAAGTACAAGCCGGAGAAGCTCATGGAGCATCTCAAGCTGTTCGTGTCGCGTATCAATATCCCCAAGGTCATCAAGGCAACAGAGAGGGCACACCTCTGGCCCGAGCTCGTCTTCCTGTACATCAAGTACGACGAGTTCGACAATGCGGCGTTGGCGATGATCGAGCGGTCTGCAGATGCTTGGGAACACAACCAGTTCAAGGACGTCATCATCCGGGTCGCGAACATCGAAATCTACTACAAGTCCTTGACCTTCTACCTCCAAGAGCAACCGACGCTGCTCACCGACCTGCTGACTGTGCTCATTCCCCGTATCGACCACTCCCGCGTTGTCAGGATGTTCAGGCAAATGGACCACATCCCGCTCATCCGCTCATACCTGATTGCCGTACAACATGTACGTATCCGGTTCCTTCACTTGACCCTCTCTTTGCTGACGAACATTGTAGCTTAACGTCGAGGCCGTCAACGACGCGTACAACGACTTGCTGATCGAGGAGGAAGATTACAGGACGCTGCGCGACTCGATCGACAGCTTCGACAACTTCAACAACGTGAAGTTGGCGAAGCGGCTAGAGACACACGAACTGCTCGAGTTCCGACGGCTAGCAGCGCACCTGTACAAGGTATATCCCCAAAATAATACAGAAAGGTTACCAGACGCTGACACGACTGCAGAAAAACTCACGGTGGGAGGAATCAATAGCACTCTCCAAGCAGGACAGGCTGTTCAAGGACGCAATTGTCACCGCTGCGACGTCGGCGTCGACGGAGGTTGCGGAGGATCTCCTTTCGTACTTCGTCGACATCGGCAACAAGGAATGCTTCGCAGCGATGCTCTACGCGTGTTTCGACTTGCTTCGGTCAGACGTCGTTGAGGAGGTGTCATGGCAGCACGGCTTGAACGACTTCTACATGCCCTACAAGATCCAGATCTCGAGAACCATGGTGGGCAAGGTTCGTGTATCCCTTGGGTTATAGTGAACTATATCACTGATGTACCGACGTCGGATATAGATGGCGGCCCTGGAGAAGAAGGTTGAGGAGCTGTCCAAGAAGGACACACAAAAGGAGCAACAAGAGGCTGAGGCTCCGATCATCAACCCAGGTCTCATTGGCAACAGATTAATGCTGACTTCAGGAAACGGGTACGCCTAAATCATGTCCTATTGTCATGACTATATCCTGACCATCTCCACCAGCTTCCCCAACAACGGTCCCCCAATGATGCCAAATGGTACCGCCATGGGCATGCCACCTGTACGTGACGTGTCTCCTATTTACCATTAGCGGTATTGACCATTCTCTCCTCAGGTAATGACCGGCTTTGCGAGCTTCTGATCTGTAGATTCTCCGTATCGTATATTTGGACATAGTTATGCATCTCGCTGTTCTCATGTTGGCTAATGAATATTTTCTCGCTCTCGGATGCTTCGACCGTCTGACAACATTGGCTATGCATCGAGGGGCTATGTATCGAGGGGCAATCCCCTAACCCGCCAGCGGGTAACCTGGAGACGACTTTGTCGCCTGCCGGACCCAGAACCACTAGGTACATCGCTCTACAAAAGAAATTGGCTATGCATACAACAGCGCTGGGGGCGCCTTGTCCCATCCATACCAGTCTTCATCCGCGGGTCCCAACGCTATTATCCGTCCTATGGAACGCCTTATGTAGTCCCAGAGTATTGAGGACGACCGTGGCATGTTGAAGATGATGAGGCTCGCTCCTTCGAATTCGGTCTGAGTGGATCGCTTGCTAGTTGTGTCGGCAATGCGATTTGGAGGTAAGGGGGAGCGTCGGCCACTAATGAACATGGCAGTTGGGTACGTCCCCCACTGCAGAGAGCTATGCGAGGTCGCCAGTGATAACAACAGCAATAACTTGATTCAGGAGCAATGAGTCACGTTGCATTCGGACGACCTACTCGGTAGGCACATATGAATGGGGCTGATGTCTATGCAACTGACTGACAAACATACTAGGAAGATGGCAAGAAGGTGTCGCAAGATACGGGAGTACAGACGGCGTAGACTAAGCGCAGCAAGCACGGAGGGAACATAGAACATAGCTATAGACGGTGGACCATCAAGACAGACGTAGGAGAAACAGTCTAAGCAGAGTAGAGTAAAAAACAATGTCAGGCCACGACAGCAGCGAGCAGACAAGAAAAAATAGGAACGCGACGTTCAATAGGGGCGTTGCACCGCGCGGCGACCCGAAAGCGATCTAAGGGAGGTCCCCTCAACTGTCACGGTGTGGTCCGGGTCGCCCATGATGGTCCCGTAACCAGACGCGTACAAGAGGGTTCTTTCCTTCGGGTCTGTGCACTCCATTATAGCACGAGCGGGATAGTCAAACGCGTCGCTCCCGAGAGCCGCTCGCTTGCGGTCTGCGAGCTGCTTGCAATCGGTGAGGCGGTAGATGATCTTGGAAGAGGCGAAGCCCATGAACGGGATCGTCTCCAGCTCGGCATCGGTTACCCTGAAAGCTTTCTTCGCGTCGCTTCTGAACTGCGCCTGCAGAGATAACTTCAGTATGCTACACGACGCGTCTAGTTAGACGAGAAATACCGACCTTGGTACCAAGCGCGAACTGGACACCGCGACTCTCGCGCGACACCCATGGCTTGAGCGTCGCCTCCCACTGCTTCTTCTTCTCTCTAACCGCGGCACGCGCCTTTGCGAGTGCTTTCTTCTCCTCCTTCTCCTCAGGTGTCAACTTGACCGGTGCCGCTCGCGCCTTTTTGATCTTGGGCACATCGGGCTCCGCGAACGCACACTTCATGCGGGGAGCACGGGGCATGGTGATTATTGGGAGACGCGTGAGGGAGGGTAAGATGTATTATATTTCGGAGTGGGTATGGAGGTGGTAACACGGGTGGCGCGGGACGAGGGGAAGAGGAAACGCAAGTCGGTGGCCGCGTCTGTGGCGCGTTGCCCTATATTCGTACGCGTCTAATCACGTGGACGCGACACCAGCGCGTCGGATATGGATCAAATTGAACAAGTGTGCAAGCAATACTCGACGTCGGTGCGACTATCGAGTACGCGATGCGAGAAGCAGACGACGGGGGAGAGTGAGCTTCGTACCTATCGAGTACGCTATATGAGAAGCAGACGGTGACGAGGAAGGGAGAGACTATGTGTGACGGTATTTATACTACGAGGACATAGGGGGATGGAAACCAGAAGACAAAGCTGAGTGGCTTTGAAGCCTCTCAGGAGAGCGTCGTGGCGACGCGCTTCGACCGTTTGACGAGCTTACGCGGCGCGTCGGTCAAAACGAGTCGTCCGGTGAGGACCACGTGTCGTCCTTCGCAGACCCTTGGACAAGCAAACTTGTCCACGACAACAAGTGCGGAAGCGTTGACAGTATGATTGATGTAAAAAGATGTATAAACGACGACAAGGCAACCCTCAGTCCATATGGTGCAGGAGCCACTAGCGAGCCGGCAAAACTTCTGACGTCCAACGTACTTCATCAATAGTTCACACTGGCACGAACAGAAGCTGCATAACGATGTATGTATAAGGCTGAAAATCATTATTCGCTGGCTGAGACGCAGGCGGTGACAGTCCACGAGGCATGTATCTGTAGTTCCAAGGAGTTACCAAAAATACAGGACGGTAGGTTAGTAAGTACAAGGGGGCGGAGGTAGGCACTGATCGGCGAGTGGGTGTGGCTAATGTAGTGTGTGTCTGTGAGTCTGCGAAGCAAGAATAGACATAAGAGGGCTGGGTCATCACGAGGAAAGCGGCGAAAGCATAGAACAGTGTGAAGACGACGGGGACGACCAGCGTGATATCATCCAAGACGGGTATCCGGGCAACTGTACATGTCAAGCAGAACGAGGTCGCGATAGCAGACGGGCGAGGCTATAGAATGACGCAGCCGCTCCCACCATAGCTGCCCGCACCTTTCGCGCGTGTGCTTATCGATACGCGCGCGGCCTCGTAGAAGACTTCCGCAACGCCCCGGTTGTGCTTTGCGCTGCATTCTGCGGGCGCGTACTTAGTCAGAGCTTGCAATGCATATATGCAGTCAGAAGACTGACCGAGATATCGTGAAGCGCGTATTCGACGCGCTACGGAAATGCCCTCTTCGTACTGTACCGTGTGTACGCCGTACCGGGCGAGCCGCTCTGATGTTGCCCGGTCCTCACGCAGGTCACATTTCAGGGCTGTCACATAACGCAGACAACCGCTGTTAGCACACGGCGGGCCGTTCAGTAACAGATCGAAGCATACCGACTAGGACGAGCTAGAAGGCGCCGTCAGCGGTGTATGGTATGACTGAAGAGGTAGGCATACCTTCACTCCTGGACAATACTCGAGCACTTCGTCGATCCACTAGAAGTAGGTCAGGAGCACTCCGCGAAGCGAGAAATATGTACGACGCAGTACCTTAGCCTCTATGTTGATGAGTGATGTTGGGTTATCGACCTGTGGTCAGTATGACGCGTCAGACATAAGACGTAAGTGAAGCCAAGTCAAGGTACATACGGAAAAGCACAACATCACGACATGCGTCTCCGCATAGCTCAGTGAACGCAGACGGTCGAACTCTTCTTGACCTGGGCACACACTGGACAGGTCAGCGGTTGAGCCTACGCAGATCGAGACGGCACGGAGCGACACACACCGGCTGTGTCCCACAGACTAAGCTCCACCAGCTGGTCCTCCACGTACAGGTCGTGCACGTAATTCTCAAACACCGTCGGCTCACTGGGGTACGGCGCGTTATCAATGGGCTTGGACGACGATCGGGAGACGCACTATACTGCTGAGAACCACCCGCGCGTGAAGACGTTCAGCAGCGAAGTCTTGCCTGCGCACGGACGTGAGAAGCCGCTTCACAGTGACCATCTCGCGCATAGTTCGCGAGCAGACGCACCTGTCGCGCCATCTCCGCAGACCACAATCTTGCGTTGAACCTGCACATGAGCGCATGACACTCGCGATGAGCACCCGAAGAGAACAGCAGCAGTGCGTCCACTCACCGGTCGACCCCGGCCAAAGGTCGGCCGGGCAGCGTTCCCGCACTTCGGCATGTCTATGAGTGTCCGTGAACAGAATCGCAGTACGACCCAGTGATACGGGCTGCTGGCGAGGGAGCCTTGGCGTCGTGCGTGGTGGATGGTCGAGTGGCTAGCCGGGCAAGGTGTCGGACGGTGAGAATCGAGATGAACTCAACGCGGGGCAGGCGTGGTGGCGTCTCCTCCATCCTCGTTACGTCATGTGATAACGGCCCTGGCGATTTGTCTATTTTGACATACTAATGCCAACCCAGAATTCAAACGAGCCCACAATGACAAGCACGCGTACCAGGCACAACACGATATCAAGGGATCCATTAACTTGAGTACTTAGAATACAGCTCCAGAAAGACACCCTACAAGAACCCAAAAGAACCGAGACTAGACGGGCAGGCGGACAGGCGGACAAGCAACGACGCGACCGGAGCACGGTACAGTAGATAGCAAAAGACGTCACTAACACAGCATCGCTCGTCCAAGGTCAAACCGCCCCACCCATCTGCGCGACGAAGTCCTGCCATGTACTCTGCAGACTCTGCGCGGTCTCGGGCGAATACGATCTCGGGTCTCCGCCGTCCAGCGAATTGCTCGGCGACGACACATACACCCCATTTTGATCCCCAGCGAGCCCATAGTCGAACACTGGGAAGTACTGCGGGAATGACGGCATCATGCCTTCCATCGGCATCATGCCTACTTGCTGCTGCTGCTGGTACGTATCTGTCGCCTGGCCGAACGACGTGCTGATGGGAGGGAGGTCAGGTTGTTGCTGGTGCGGAAGTTGCGAGTGTGGGTGCTGTTCGAACGACGGTTGCATATGGTGCATCCCGATATTGGACGGCCCCGCCATCGACTGGTCGTTCGCCCAGCCTCTCGACTGTTGACTTGGTGCGGGCGTCGGCACGAACGTCCGCAGGTACTGCAGTACGCTCGGGTGCACATTTTCCTCCTGCCAGTCCGCCTGCTTGAGCGGCAGCGGGACGATCGGGTTGAGGGATGTCGGCGACCTGTCCACTAGCTGCGGGGACAACGACTTCTCCTTTGGCGCAACGAGGCGTGTGCGACCGCCCAGGATGTTCAACTCGCTCGTCTGCGCATCCGCAGGGATCATCGGCTCGGTCGGGGATGCCTTGACATGGGGCGGGGAATTACGATAGGCGGCAAGGCTCGCGTGGGCCTTTGCCTGCAGGTTCCTCATGATTTCCTACGGGGACACCAGAATCAGGCAATGCAGCCAAATTCGTCACCGGCCAACGTACCAAAGCCTTCTCCGCCTGGAAGAAGTGCGCCGTCTTTCCGAAGAGCTCGCATGCTGAGTCAAGTTGCACAAGCGCGGAGGGCGCGAGGCTCATCGCCGGACACTGTGTCACGATCGAGCCCAAGATGATCTGCAGGATACGGAATCGGAAGTCAAAACCGGAACGCCCGTCAGCGCCGCTGCCACACCCAGCATACAACAAAAGTATAACTGACGTACCGAACAGGAGAAGAGGTGTGTCCAGAGGAACCACATCCTCTCAGTCAGCTCCTTCAGCTGTGAGTGGATATTCCGCACGAGCGCGACCAGCGAACCCGCGCTGCGGTACGCGGCGATGAACGAGCCTCCATATGGGCTACCAAGAGGATCGTTCGGGTGGTCTTTTATAGCACGGGCGAAGAACCCTCGGTGCATATACAGGAGATCTGTCACAAACGAACACCCATGGCAAGTCAGTTCCTGCGTACCCACGCGAAGCCGAAGACTTACTCGACTCCCTGATAGCGAGGACGGTGTGGCGTTGCAGGATAAGGGGAACACTGTCTGCGAAGTTGTTCGCGCGCGCCTCTGTCGTCCCGAAGCCCGCGATCTGGAGCAGCGCGGGGACGGGGAATGACCGCAATCGGCGATCCAACTGTGTCACTGTGCTGTACGTCGGCACCTTCGCGCCGAATGCCTGGTCATAGATCGAGTTCATGCACTCAGACGTGAACTTGTGCTTCCACCAATGGACTGCGCGCGCGCGTATGTTAGCGAACATAGATCCGGCCCGGAACAACACATATCACTTACACGTCTGTTCATTGTTGGGGTCCTCTGCTTGAGGCTTCTTGCAGTCAATGTGAGCAAGCGAGAATGATGGTGGCCGCCCGAGAGTGTACGACTGGGGGAGGCACACCCCGGCATCAGCTATCAGCCGCTCATCTCGCAAAATGTGAGCGCGCACCTGTAGCAGGTCGTACGAATACACCTCCCAGAACGTCTCCCGACGCCGCTGGATGTCGGTTAGCTCCAAGTTCCATCGCCCAGCATCACGATCTGCCGAGGATGACAGCGTTAGCATCAACGATCACGACCGTTGTTCGTGGACTTACGTAGTCCCATCTAATGGTATCAGCAACCGGTCGTCAACAAACATGCATCTGGGATCTCAAGTGAGACAAAGGAGTAAAGACACTCACGCTGACGCTGAGTTTGACCGCAAGACCCATGAACGCCCACCGGGTACCCACGCCCGTCCCATGCCGCTCACACAGGAACAGATAGAAAGCCATCAGGTACTGTCGCCACAATCACATTTATCAGTTGTCACCCTAGCCCGAAGACTTCTCTGTGATAGAGAAGAAGTCTCAGTGTAGAGGAGTCACTTACCAATGCTTGGACCGCGGACAAGGTTGGTTCCTCGAAGACGGGACTCTGGAAGAGGGCCGCGCGCGCCAGTTGATGGTATTTCTCCGCCTCCGCATTATACGCGGGACGCGACAGGTCCATCAGGCTGCCGATAGCAAACACCATGAACATGAGGGCCAGCTGGTGTGAGAGTAGGGGATCATCCAGCTGCGGTGGCGTGGCGACGTTGTAGAAGACATTGAAGGCCTGTTCGTTTAACGCCTCAGGCGATACCGGGTTATACCTAAACGTTAAACAGCGACGGTGAGCGGGCGCCTCGGATGACGAAGGCTGTTACGTACATCCAGGCTGCATGTTGGTAATATATTTGGCGCAATTCAATGGCTTCATCAGCCGGCGGGAGATACCAGAAGAGCGAGCGCAGCTGATCCAGCCGACTCGACTCCGACTCTGGTGTTGGAGGGAGGTGAGACGCAATCGGGAGCACACTCGCCATGACCAGGATCTCAGGCGAGAGCAACTTTTGGAGGTTGCCTCTCCGGTTGTCCAATTCCTGTTCTCGTGAATTCTCGTTCTGCGATTACATATTAGCTTAACAGGAATACATTCACATAGGGCGTGTCAAAAACATACCGTCAGGAAGTACTGCGGAGCCCGGCACCACACAGAGATTAGCTATACTAAATGTGGTGAGAAGCGCGGACCACATACCCAGGAACTGGTGGCCTGCCCAAAATAGCTCGTTCTACCCGTATCGCTGATATGCAAGGAGCCGAAATTGTCGACGATATCTGCCGGGTCATCTTGAGTATGCCCATTCCCCGCGACGAGCTGCGCGAGGCCTTCGCGCTGAATCGGTGCTTTAATCGAGAGTAAGTCTTCGGCGAGTAACGGATGGGGTTCTTGAGATTGCTGAGCATGTGATGTGCGAAGGCCCTCTTCGAGGTCGCGTATTCGTGATGATAAGGAGGCAACCTTCTCGTGCAACTCCTGGGTTGAGGCAAGAACAAATCTACTGAAGAGAGATGAGTATAGAGGCCCGAGGTAGCGGGTTGAACGAATTGACCGGTTTCCCTTCCCTGTGGTCAAAGAGCCTTTTGGGGAGATGTAGTCGATCACGCGCGCCGCGACTGTGTTCACTCACCATCCGGGCAGATCGCGGAGCAGCCTCGTTTTATGCAGGACCCGCATGGAATTTGACGGTCACAGCGTAGCTTTAATCTAGATCGAGGAGGGAGAAGGGTCGGTTAGCCAAGTATATATTGCAAACCCCCGACCGGAGTCGGATCGGTACTACTCACCTTCGACACTCCGCGCAGGACAAGCGCGTCGCGCCGCGTTTGCGCTTCTTGGGGAAGCCTGAGGCCTCGCCGTTGGCGGCGGAGGGCGCGGCGACGAGGGAGGAGGCGGGCACGGGGTTGAAGGAGGTCATGAGCGGTGATGGAGAGGACAGGCGGGTGCTTAAGTATGGGGGCGGCGAAGCTGGTATGACGGGCGTCTGCAGGGCGTCTGAACCGCGGGGTAGGCGTGATCTGGTGAGGAGATCGTCCCACACGTGGTGATAACCCGTCTGAGCGTGGCAAGCGCCCGCCATCCAGGCTCCGGCCCAGCCCCCAAGCTGCCCTCCCTGGCCCATTCCCCGCGGACGCCCCACTGCCCCCGCCTCCTCTGCGCGTCTGCGGCTGCCGCGCCTCCCACCCCGCCGTAGTCCGCCGTGCGCCCACTGCGGCGTCTCGCCCCGATGCATCAGCGATATGCACTTATCTAGATACCGATCTATTGGTCGCCGGCCTTCGCTGGTCTGCTCATCCTTCCTCGTCTTCGCCACATTTCGCCATACACCTCTTTCATGCTCGGCTCCCAGACATAGTCCCAGCAGCTCTCTGTCGCGCCCTGTCGCCTCTGACGGCGCAGCTGCGTATTTCCAAGCTCCTCGGTTCTCGGATCGATTTGTTGGTAACCAGTCGTACAGAGTGCTTCTTCTCGCCATATCTGTGGTTAAGACTTCCTCTCTCTGGACCGACAGCCAACGACAGCCATGACGGCACTCCGCTTGAACAGTTGAACGCTCGCGGCGAACGCCTGCGCGCATCATCCCTTGCGCTAGCAGGCGCTAGCCTCCCCGCGAGCGCCCTTCATTAAGTTAGGTACAGGTGTTTCGATCACACCTACTTACACACGATCCGCGGTACGTATTCGCAATACGCTCTACAACTGGATGTGCAGTAGCAAGACTCGGTGTTCCGAAGAGGCATGCACAATATCTACGCCAGAGCTGTCACGTCCGGGGGATCGTCGCAAGGGAAGCACGGAATTATCTAGATGAAAATACAGATAGACTGTCCATCGAACCCGCGAGAATCCTCGAAGAAGTGCAGCTTCGTTCCAATTCACCGAGGCGTTGTGTCCCCTTCGGCCACTATGTCCAGCCGGGGCTCGCGCTCTTCGTGCGTAGTCGTCTGCATGGGCGAAGTCCTTCGAGGGAACATGAAGCAGATGTCTGACGTCTACGTATGCAATTCGGCTGAAAGCAATGGCACCGCGTTGCACAGAAGTACATCCATTGCGAGAAGGTCTCAGTAGCCGCTCCAACGCCCATAAGTCTGCAATAACGTTCAGCCGGTGAGTCCCCAACACCGTCACTTCTCTTCGATGGGGTGGGCACACGACGGCGGTGAAACCGCAGAACATGCACGTTTCGTGCCCAATGACCTCCAAGGCAGCCCCCTTCCAGCCGCTCGACAGACGACAATCGCGCTACGGCCTCATCCGCTGGCGAACGACCCTACAAGAAATTATTGTTGTCAAACTTCACGAAGCAGCGGACCATCTAGATACGCAACCTACCAATCGCCCCAGGGTTCCTGTCGATATATCGGCTGCGATCGGGAACATCTTCTCGACTTCTAGCGCAAGCGCGTTGCTGCGGAAGCCACCATTCTCCCCTAGTAGCCCCCCCTCCACACACCTATGGCTAGCTGAACGAACAACGTGCCCCGCCTCCCAAACATGCATCTCGATTCCATCGGGAATGCAGACGTCCGGCCGCTACGGAATGAAAGACAACCACGTCGCGGCAAGCACCAGCGAGCCGCACTCGCGGGCGCCGCCCCATTTTGACTGGTACACCTGGTACATAATGGACGCGAAGCGTCGACGGGGCGGTGCAGCTCTCAGACTGGACGCCCACGCACTGCAGTCCGCCGCGGAACGGAGACCCGGCGCGCGCGCCTCAACCTCACATTGGGGTCGAACTCGTCTCGGCTGCTCACGCTAGGGTACGTGGCGGGACCGGATCTGCTAGTGATACTGATCGATATTCAGTACGAGAAGAGGCGAACTGTCGAAAACTAATGTACGACAGCGACTAGGGACGTACTCAATCATCAATACAATGAGTACATTAGCCCCTGCAGCGGCCAGGGCCCTCCGCAAGGTTCGTTAAGCGAGAGTGAATTAGCGCAGACAGTAGGCGTACCTCTGAGGGCATGAGCAAATCGGGGGATTGTCGCGGGGCTGCTGTAGGGAAGGTGAGCAGCAGGGGTTGCAGAAGCCACGGCGATCAAGGCGAACCGGAGATAGCATGAACTTGAACTTCGCGGGCGGGACTTGAGTGAGACCGAACGATGGACTTCTTGCCACATATTGTTCAATGACGGTGCCTAGGGAAAGCAGCGTGTCAGGTCCGTCATAGTGTTCACATGGGGACAGTGAGACGAAGAGATCGAAAGGAGCAAGTCTTCACGTAAAGCTCAGGGGAGTGGATGAATACCTTCGCACTTCGAGAACCGATCATGCAATCGGGCAAATCGGGCACATAAGCTCCCTCGAGCCTCACGGGAAGCAGGAAGCACCTCACGGACATTCCTGTGAGACAATAGGAAGAAAGAACTGCTAAGCTTGGCTTCCGCCACTACGCCGAGCGCTCAGAAAACGAGCTGCAGTACCACCAACACGCACGAACAGGGCAGCCGAGTGCGGCACGGAAGGTACGCCGCAGACCCAGACCGCATCCATTGGCGATAAGGAGGTCCTCTGAACAACGCTGGCTTTTGCATTACGTTGTGGCGGCACGTATAGCTACCTGTCTGGGTCACGGGTCGACTGGATGCCAGGACGTCCGCTGTCGCGGATGCGACCGTTGAGCAAGTCGACTGCGCATTTCCGGTCGCGCGGATTGGGTGGTACGCGGGGTAGATGAGGAAGAAGGCCGCGGACAGGAGGCCGTACCTAGCTAGAAACGGTGTACACGCAGCACGTCTGAGAGAGACGTTATCTCGATGCGGGCGATCCGCGTTGTCGGGCGGAAATCACTACGACCAGCGTGATGTAGGGTGATAGATAGTAGGTGGTAGTTGAACGTTAAACGTTGAGGGCCGTCAGCCAGTACGTGACACGCACTCACCGACCGACAACCGGCTTGCTTCAATAGTGCAATGAACCTTCGACCTTTGGGTAATCATCATGATGATCCGGGACCAGGACTAGTGTTATGTATGGGCTCATCGTTGCTGTTATATAACGTCAGATAGTACTCACGCAGTAGGCACTGTAAACCCGATGAAGACGTTCCCCTAGTCGTGTGGGAGACGCGCTCCGTTTCTGGTGGAATGTATCATCGTGATGTAGCGAGCGTTCCCGTGACAAACCTGACTGACCCTACATGGAGAGCGTTAGGACATTATGAGCAGGGCTTGAATCACTGATTTGGTAGTGAGCAACTATTGAGGAGACGGTTGCAGCAGTCCAGAGTAGCACAACATCTACGCCAAACGTTCACGATGGCTGGGGGGAGTTCCGATATGCTAATATCGGATATTATCCGTCATATGGAGAGTCTAGCTTAGTCATCACCTTATTCGGAAGGAGTTTCCAGCCATTCGGAACCGCGGTCCGTTCGGAATTCCTGCCAGCCACTGCACCTATTGACTCGACCACCGTCCAGCGCATGCTTGATTCATCCTCCCACATAAAATCGTAATGTTCATATCCTCACTGTCTCCCAAGGTGCATTCGTGACCGAGATCCACGCAGACGACGATGCTGGTGGTTTGCTCTACGCATCGATTGCTCACAGACTGCTAGTGATGATATGGTTGTGTTGTGGAACGTGCTCACGGTGTTCCAGCCACTGCGTAACTTATTCGGTCCAAACAAAACTCTGTGAATATTGATGACAATACACGGGTACAATGGGGACCACTGCAGTGGCTGGCAGGAATTCAAACGGGGAAATCCAAAAAAGCAAGTGGTGATTAGTGGGTGAGGGGATCAGTGTTTTTGGACACTGCTCCGAATCGCCCGGGTGGTGAAGCCGCCGCGGGCGAGAGGAGCTTTCTAAATCTACATACATATGTATGTGCTCACAGATCATCCGTAACTGCATGCAAAGTTGAATGAACGCCCGGCAGGGTCCGACGTGCATATGTGAGCACATACGTATGTAAGTAGATTGAGAATGCTCCTCTTTCCCGCGCTGAATATACAGTGTTCACGGACCATCCGTAATTATGTGTGTCATATGCCTGTATAGAACGAAATGATGATTTGCATGGCATATCGGACCCTGCCGGGCGCAGCAGCGGCGAATTAGACAAGTTGGAAGGCTGGACAAACGGCGTCACCTGCCTGGTTGGGAGGGTTTGTGGTGGCATGTTTGTACACGATCTCTCGATCGCCATATTTTCTCAAGCGCTCGCAGCCGGCCAGCGTTGCAGCTCTCGCCCATGTCCTCAGCCATTGAGTCGTTTGGACGCGTCTCGCAAGTAGTTTGTCGAGGTGAGCTCTGTTCCTTGGTTTGGCCTTACTAGGATGAGCTTCTTAGATGACGAGTCTGAAGCGGTCGCGGCGAGGCTTCCTCGTCGCGGCTCACTTTGATGACAACCAAAATTTATACCATTCATGCTTTACTGATATCTTCGTATCGTGTAACCAATTAGATCGCATGGCTAACAGTGCTCTTGCATTACAGGGACACCACGGGGAATGTGCGAGAAGGCTGAGGTAGTATTTCCCAGTTGATCATACCTGTCCAATGCATGTTCTGTGGCCTGTTGCTCGAGTGCCGCGACTGCCATCTTGACCCACAGGAACCTCGTCCAGCTTGCAAGATGGTCACTGGCCCATACTTGAACGCAGTCACTCAATGTCGCTTATGCTTATGATTGATTTTACCTCGCCCCAACCTCGCCGCAGGTTGTTGCGGTCTCTTGGTAAGTTTCTGCCCGTTAATTCTTCTTGACGATGATAAACACGTCCAACTGCTGTCCGAAAGTACATATGTGGACAGATAGACCAATAGTTTCAGCCTTGGCTGACCTTCCAATCCTGTCGTCTCTCTCTAGACAACGTCGTAACTGACTATCCATCCCCTGTCTAGGTTTATTCACAGCGACGTCGACGCACTCGAACCCACACCCTGTAAAAGTGATATATGAGCAAAAACGGGATGGCGGCGCGCCTTAAATAGTGAGTTTACTTGTCCCTTCCGTTCATTTGCGGATGAAACCGTTTTCGATGGGCGGACACGAATGCCCCCTGCCTACACCAAAGTCTCCAAGTGTACAACCGGAGATGGGTCTGGGTGCTTGTTGATACACATCGAGTAGCTGACCTTGCCATTGTCCAATATGTTATGATGTTGCATGCTGACGTCTATATTTCAGAATCTGTAACGGCGTGTCGCGGATGATGCTCAGGGGTACGTGATATCCTGGGGGGCGTTGGTTTTGCGGAGACCCGTATACGCCTGCGCGACGGCGCCTGCGGCGTAGAATTCATGTGCATCTTACTCGGGTGTGGTCCCGTGGCGTCTCACAATGTAGTATGTACACACGAATCTCTAGTGGAAATCGTTGTCGATCTCATTGGCTATGCGCTCTTGAAATGTTCATGAGTGGCCAGGAGACCTTCGTCCGTGCTAGTATTCTCGTGAAGACGATGATATTGTCTCTGACGAATGTTTTCCCATAAGGCGTCGAGACTCAGTCGGGACTGGCTGCTGCTGTGGTTGTCTCAAATGAGACGTGCCATCATGTATGTACCAAAGCTCGAAGTCCACCGGCGTAAATAAGCACGTTCGTACACCTGGAGGCGGGTGCTTGAGCTTGAGTCTTAGCTTGGCCTTGCAGTGTCGCATATGGTGCCCGTTGTTCATGTATGTTCAAACGTTAATGTCCAGACTTGTACCACTGATCCGAGGGTGTCTCCAGTTGGGTAAGCATATGCGCAATCCCCGCGGGCTCATACTGCCGTCTTTATCTGACTCTTCCTTTCAGACGTGTCGTGGGATCGACCTATCAACGCAGCAATGTGACGTTCCGTAACACTTCGTTGGCTGACGGCCAGGTCATACTGAATGGCCGTGTCGAAGCACATGCGGCTAGGCTCCATTAGCGAGACATCCTGGGTGTTCTGTTCCACCGTCACGTAAGTAAACTTGAACTCACAACGGGGCGCTTCAGCATGCTTATCGACGATCGTTGACCGTGCCTCTGCTTCAGCTCTAGGCCTGAGGAATTGTATAGGAGACATCGATCAGCCTGAAGTACCCTTGGGGAAATCGACACGACCACGCAGACAGTGCTGGAGGCCCAGGATCTAGACTGATACGGGCACTATGTCCACAGGGCCGGGCCAGGCATCGCTTGATACGCGTGTCTTCCGCACGGCTGAAGGCTAGCAAAGGGAATCTATGTCACGTTAGTGTCTGACGGGCTGCAACGGAGGTTGCAACGGAGGCTGTATGACAAATGCAAGGGATGAACGCGTCTCTGGCCGTCAGTCCATCGGTGGATCCACACGTAAGTTGAACACCTTGCGCAGTGCGCACGCTCGGTCGTCGATAATACAATCGTCACGAGCAATAGTCAACGAGTGCTCACACACCGCCCTTGCGCAGCGCGCGTTAACGTTATTGGCTGTCTGAGACATCTAGTCATACGTAGCATGCCCGGAGAGATCCTTCAGGCTCCCAGGCAGCTCCTCTGAGGCTTCATCTGGTGCGTGTCGAGAATCGGTCGAGGAGTCAATAACGTCAAGCAAACATTTCATGCGATGCATCATCATTGCGAGGCTATGTACACCCAGAGCTCCCTATTCCTTCCTGGCCTCTGGCTGGGCGACGCTGTATCCTCCTGCGCCAATCCAAGGTACCGCCCCCTCGCAGGCATATTCGAAGATAGTCGAATCGGGGCTTCTAGGTCCACCATTCCTGCTCTTCGTAGATTCTCTACTGAAGGCACTTCCACCTCCGCTAATCGCTGACTAATGACGTCGTTATTACAGACGAGCCACATCAACTGCATGGGCCCGAATTCTGCGATAAGCGGGGTGCTCCTTTTGGCCTTCAGAACTATGTCTATTGCAATGAGCAACAACACAATGGATGCCGCAAGTCCAGCTGCAACCTAGATGACCTCTCAATGAGCTTCAAGCTACGGGATAGTTGCGTTACAAACCGGCGCGACGTTGAGCTTGATCCAAACACCGCATCAGCCACTGCTTAGAGTATCTTAGATGCCCCATACCTACCTTGAGATGAAACATGGCTCTTGACCCTTGGGCAATGCCAGAACGGATGCTCAGAGTATTGTTGTCCCAACTGGTAGTACCCACTACATGGGTGGCTGCGTGGACGGGCGTCAACAACATAATTGCCCGATAATGCGCAAGCTCGTACCAGACCAGTAAGCTGCTGCTGTCATCCTACCTGGGGTACAGTGAGTGCATGAATCTCTGGCCTTGCACGAAGGGGAGAATTTACCCAAAGCTTCCTCGAAGTCCTTCAGACTGACTGTTCCGTCTGCATGCGGGTTTCCAAGCGCAGACTCCAGATATCTGGATGGGATCACTGAGCCTCCCCTCAACGATCATTGTCACCCGGGACCTACAATGCTGAATCTGCCCCTTGCTCATATGCGATCCCCGAACCGCCGATACCAGTGGGATATTCTGCCGATTGAGCGCTACCAACGAGCATATAAGCCCACTGCTTTCGTCGCATCAGGACACATAACGAAGACATAGATAACGGGATACTCGCCGAGTCAATCAGAGGATCTATTCCCATTGAATCAATTAATAGAGCCGGTTCCCAGATGGCGCATGCTGACGGTCTCCGTGTGACGTCTGTCGCTGAAGTGAGGCCCACTGGTTGCCTCGTAGCAGCATCGAGGGTGACGATAGATTGTTCCCATCCAAGGGTACATCCGATCAACGATGTTTGGTTGCTTATGTTCCCTGCACAAGTATGTTGGAGAATTAGTTGATCGACGGATACGAAGGCGGGACAACATGTTACCTTTGATCTGCGACACGGATTCGCCATTGTCACCTACGAGATTGAGTGTTGTCCAGAACAGCGCATTGCGTCCCTATACCAATTGAATGTCGTAAAATCGCCAAGGTAGAGTGACTGTGCTCACCATGGGTATTGTCACTGCTGAGCTGGCGTTGTTGTACATGCTATTGCTTCGTTGAATGCCGTAGTCGACCGTAGTCATGTACTGCAAGTTCATGGCATTGCTTACGGGGAACATGGTGACGTTGGGGTAGTCTAGGAGATACCGTGAGCAGAGAATGCAACAGTAAAAACACCAATAGACTGTACATTCGAAAGTGAGATTATAGCGACCATAGACCACACTCACTGCGAGGGTACTTTCAATTGGACCAGAAAGACCGGTGTCTTCAACATATTGAGCCGTTGCATTCGGGATACATCCGCACGTAACATTTGCTGTTGTAGCGTTGACATATGCCTCCACAAGACCGGAGTCAGGGCCGATGATATCGTATATCGTACTGTTGACTAGTCCTATTGTCAATATCGATGATTGATCAGTGGTGGGGAGGTATGAAGTAGCTTCAGGCCATGGTCCTTCACTGTCTGGAAAAGAGAACCAGTTGGTCCTGGAGGGTCAGTATTGCATGAGCGATGTTGAGAATCTATGTAGTTGTCGAGACGCACGATATGTTCAGGTGAGGCATACCGAGAGTCACCGGGACCGTGATTTCCGCGCCCGTCTGGTTGAATGATTGCATAGCAAACAACGAGGGCGTTGTGACGTGTAGGCTGGATATGCAAACGAGATACAGGGCTACTTCGACTAACCCCAGAACATAGGATGGAGATGACGCCTGTTTCCATGTGGTTAGGAGCGCGGAGCCCAATCCTGTCCACGCGCTCGCGACGTCCTGCACGGACGTTAGGGTATGTCGACCTGTAACGAGACCGCGAAGAGCCAAAGATTGCGTGAGCAGAACCAGCAATGCGGTATATGGCTACCAGTGTCCAGTGTCAACGAGGATGCTCGTATCAATGAAGACTCCTGGAGACTCACAATCATTATGACCTGCGATATCAGTGACGTATATGTTGGCACCGATTCAGCCCGTTGAGGAGACATGACGAGCGAGTATTCAGCTTTGCGCGCCCAGATGGAGAGAAAGGTTATGTATATCGCAACAAGCAGGACATGCAGGGAAAGACATGCGGGACAGATGAGTTTCCGCATACTGCACAGTCTTGTTCACTGACGACAAGGGAGCGAAACTTTTGGGAGGACACATTTTCTCCCATTGTCGCGATATTGTACTCTGTCATGCAATGCGACAGCTTTGGATGATCCGATAGACATGCATCATCCCCGGGCATACGGTGCTGGAGGTTTGATGATCAGCGAGTCAAAGATGGGTAGTACCCATACAGCGCTCTCTGCCGTTCCAGTAAGCATCCAACGGAAGTGAGCGGTCTGACCAGTTCGCGGACGCACAACCTTGACATTGCGTATCGCTCAACCCATTGTTCCGATCTGATCGACATGCTAGTGTGACGCACCTTCGGCGATGACAGGAATCTTGTGCGTCGTCACGCCCTCGGAAGTTGGATTCGTCTAGCTTTCCCCGTCGCGGTGCAAACTCAGATGTACCCATCCGTCACGCGTCACCGCTCAAAGGCTCCCAATTCTACGTATGGGCCCAGTCGGTCTCTGGCTCACGCCTCTGCCTGCTGTGTCACCCCAGGTAAGCGGCGACGTAGCGATCTCTTCAAGTTGACACCTGCCAGATGGCACGCCGCACAACTCACCAGTTTGATAATTTTGATTGGTCCCCGTTTCTTCTATATCCAAAGGCGATTCAAACCATCAAATAGACAGGAAATTGAAGTTGCAGGGCTGTTCCAGATTGTACCAATGGTGGCAGTGGCTAAACTAGTGGTTGACTTGGAAGTAGGCGGCCAATGAACATCGTGGCGTTCAGGACCGATCGGATCTAAGATGGCAGAATCGGGCCGAATCGGGCCGAAGCGATCTCTTGCTTTTGAAAGTTCACTCCGAAGTGATCACTCAAACACTAAGTACATACGGACATTTCTCACTCGGCTCGTTCCATCATCACGACGCTTGGGAGACATAAGGGCACAATCTCATTGAAAGAAAGTAACATAATACGGCAACAGCAAACTTGGTACGTGAGGTCTCTCGACTTCAGCGCCGCGGGCTGTGAAGTACTCACGTCTCATCCTAGACATTATCATGCCCCCAAGAAACGACGACGATTGGTCTGACTCCGATGACGATGACGTTTCCGATATCGAGACGAACGTTCAAATCGGCCTTCCCGACGGACCAATCGAGTCTTCTGAAGAACTACGCGACCCGCGTGTCTCGCGGATAGGTGGTCATCCTGTACGCACTTCCCGTCGTGGATTGTACATCCTCATCTCAATGTATAATTCACCCTCTTCTGCATCCATCGATGCCCGTAGGCATTCCTCAATCCGCCACCGCCTGCGTCGTCCGTGAAGTGCAAGAACTGTGGCGATCCCATATCCCTTCTCGTGCAAGTTTGGTGTCCATTGGACGAGAGTCCGAACGACCGTGCATTGTATGTGTGGGGTTGTGCGCGTGGAGCATGTCAGAAGAAGGATGGGAGGTGAGTGTGCTGTGCGTCTGCCATCTCAAGTCCCCAGCCCGTATTCAATGGTGGTTTTGTCGTAGTGTGAGGGCGTGGAGACACCTGCGGTACAACAAGAAGTACGCGGAGAAGTTGGCCAAGAATGCCGAGAGACGGAAGACGAAGGAGGAGACAGAGCGGAAAGCTATTGAGGAGGCTGCTCGCCGTAGCCAGCCTAAGACAAACCCTTTCTCAGTGAGTTGCGAGGCTGTCTCCCTCTCGCATGTCTGTTGAAGGCCATGTGCAGATGAAGGCAACTGCCGCACCAAATCCATTTGATCTGGGATCGCAGGTGTTCGGCGACGCACCCGCACCGGCCAAGGAGAACGATGCGTCTTCCTCGTCCGATGAGGCAGTCAGCGACGAGGAAGACGTCGAGGAATCTCAAGACGACACGGACATAGCCGCACGCCTCGCAAGCACTACCCTCGATGACTCACCATGGCAAGAAACCCCCGCGTATGGTGCACTCTATCTCTCCACTACTTCCGAATACCTCCCACCCGCTAAGAAGGTCAAGCTCCCCAAAGGCGTCGAGGTCAACGAAGACGATGAAGGCAAGGGCAAAGACGGAGGCTGGGCATTGGAAGGCTACGAGAACTCGATCGAGGTCGATCATGCATTTGAGCGCTTCACCAAGCGGGTGGGGTACGAGGGCGAGCAATGCATACGGCAAGTGTCTGGTCATCTACGGTCCACTTCGCGCTTCCTAATCTAACGTTCTCAGATATGAACTTGGTGGGACGCCCCTCCCGTTCGCGAGCGACGCCGTATTCGACAAGCTCTTCCCCGCACCGACCGGTCCCCCCCTCCCCGTCACCAAACCTGATTTCATGGTCGTCCCCGCACAAAAGCGTACCTACACGCCATCATCCGTCCCCGCCTGCCCGCACTGCGGCGGGCCCCGCGTGTTCGAATGCCAGCTCATGCCGAACCTCATCAACGTCCTCCGCGCGTCGACGAAGACTGATGAGGGGAAGAAGAAGCTGAGCGACGAGGAGCGCAGGCAGCAGATCATGAAGGAACTGAAGGGCGAGGGCGCCGGGGGACGTGTAGGCATGGAGTGGGGTACGTGCATGGTGTTCTCGTGTCAGAAGGATTGCTCGGACGAGGCTGCCGGTGGTTGCTGGCGCGAGGAGCTGGTCCTCGTGCAGTGGGACGACTAACGGAGCCCGACGCTCAAGTAATGAGTCACTCATGTAGCAGAACACCTTGTAGCGGTAGCTCAGTCCACAAAAACGACGACCGTCATCATCCCGATGTATTACTGTACACGCGAGAGCACACTATGGCAGGGTATTTACACTGTAGACAAGCTGTAGAGGATATACACAGATACGCAACCCGGTTCGTAGAACATGTCCACTGGGGTCAGCCCTTCGCGCCTGCGCCGGTAACAGCCCTCCGGCGCTTATTCCCCCTTCTAATCTCCATGAGGTCATGCTCAACATCCTGGTCCTTAACCGTGTTCAACAACAGCAGGCTCTTCCCCAGGCCGCCCACCGCCTGTGTCTCGCGCGCACCTCCTCTCGCCCTCCGCTTCCCGTTTCCAGCGCCCGTCGTACTCGCGCCGTACGCGTACCCAGACGTGTGGCTCATGTGCGTGGAGGTGAGCGGGAGCGGGAAGGGCGAGGGGAGCTCGTCGACGGCGAGCGAATGCGGGTTCAGGAACGGCCCGGAGGTGATGGGCCCTGCGGTGATCGCGCCGAGGGTGCCCGCGCCCGGGGCGGCGGCGGAGAGCGGCGTGGAGGGAGGGGAGGTGCCGCCCCCGAGTTTGTTGCGCAGTTTGCGGGTGTTGTGTGTGCGGGACTGGGAATCGAGCCCGGTTTCTGCGCGGGATCAGCTCACAGTAATGGAAACGGTGCGCACATATATACGCACCTGCCGCCGGTCCATCGCTCTCCTTTTCATCCCTCGCCCTACGTCTCCGCTCCTCGATGCCTTCCAACAAGCGCTCGCGTATGCGATCCCGGCCCTTACGCCACTCCTCCTCAACTCTGTCCCTCTCCTCTTCGTACGCGGTCTGCACGACATCGAGCGCGTGCTTCTCCTGGAAGACAAGCTGCGCGAGGAGGGCGGAGCGCTCGAGGGAGAGGGGGTACACCCGCAGGTTGTACGCGGGCAGCGTGTCGGGGTGCATGGAGAGCTGGATGGAGGTGTGGTGCAGCTCTGCGATCATCTCTGCGTAGTGTCGCCCGATGACTCTGGCGAGGCCCGGTCGGGTTTGTGAGCCTGAGAGATATCTGGGAGTGAGGAGGAGGACACTCACTCTTCGCGGCGATCGTTCATTTCTTTCCCTAGGGCCTTCCCAACGATCTCCTTCCTCCGCTTGTCCTTCTTTGCTGCGTCATCTGTTCCATTGGCTTCGGGTTACAATGAATGAGGGACACAACGCATTCAGTACACATAATGCATACCATGTATCCGGCTCGGCCCCGCGGCAGGCTGTGGCTGGTACGAGGTGCCCACCTCCACAATCTCAGCGTTCGCCGCAGGGCGTGTCTTGTGCTGGGCGGAATACGGTATCGCAAAGGCTCCCAGCTGCGGGGGCATCTCTCTGGCACGGGTCAGACGGTGTGTAGGTGGTCCTCAATGCACTTGGAGGTGTGGGCAGAGCAGTGGCCTCGTTCTGTGGACGACTTCCGCGAAGGCGGACACAGATCGACAGGTTAGATCTGCTCACGTGCACGCGCGGCGCGAGCGTGTCGCGACGCGCGTTGCCATTGCCAGCGTCTAATACATAGATTCAGTGAGATCAAGCAAAGTTCGAGTGTAAGTTACCACTATCCTGAATGACAGAAATCTGAGGCTCTGTCTGAGGCAACACTGAGGTGACTGTACTTAATCCATCTTCACTTGGAGCACGCGCTCCTATGTTCCCATATAATGCCATCATTTCTCTGGGATCGTACAATATATATGTAAGTAGTCCTGGAGCTGGGGGGGTCCGTGTATGCGACAATTTGGTGTATCATAAGTATCGTGTATCATATCGTATCGTACTTTCGTTTCTCTCGCATGGACCACACCACTACACGGGATGACAGACAAACAACACGCAAAAAGCACAGAGAAAACCACAGAGAAATACCAAAGATCTGCACACTCGCACTGCTCTATCAGTCTAGCAGTAGCAGGACGCTCAGTCGCCGAGCACGCTGACGCTCCCAGTGCTCGACGCCAAGGCGAATTCGTGCTTGGAGGGATCATATGCATGCGCCCAATCCCTCATGAGTGGCCGGTACCCTGTGCCGAGGGACTTCGGGCCACCCTGGACGCTCGTGCGGATCGAGTGCGGGTTGCCAAAGGCAGGCGCGGGTGGGTTCCACAGGCTCTGCGCACGATTCGGCCTACTAAGCAGCACCAGGTCAGCAACAGCACCGCACACGAACAAACGGCGGAAAAACACGTACTTGCTGCCCAACGTCGGGCGCATCGACAGCTGCGCGAAGCTGCTGGGGAAGAGCGGGTGCCCAGGGCCGCGTTCCGCAAGCGCGTCGTACGGCGCGTCCTTGTCGTGGCCGAACGACTCCGAGTGCGAGCGCGGCACCGCCATCGGGCTGAAAGCAGGGCTGCCCAGCGGCATCGGCGAGGGCGAGCCCGCGGGGCTCGCCGCGTAGATCGCCGTCCCGGGCGATGCGGGGCTCGTCACGATTCGCAGCCCGTGCACCTCGGGGCTGAGCGAGTCCTTCTCCGCGGCGCCCTCGCGGTTCTCCTCGTCCTCGTCCTCCTCGCGCACGTCTGTGAGCTCGTGCGTCGCGTGCGGGTCGAGCGCGGACGACGTCGGCGGGCGGTCGTGGTTCTGCGCGACCACGTGCTCTATCAGGATCATCTCGTCGCCCTCCGAGTCGAGGTTCGGCGAGGCGGGGTCCACCGCGAAGGCGGGGTTGGGCGACTCAAAGACCGCTGGGTACGCCTCGCCCTCGCTGTCGAGGGCGGCAGCGGCGTCCGCCTCGGGCTCGACGATCGTCAGCAGCTCTGCCTCATCGATGTCGAGCTCGTGCGGGACGCCGAGCGCGCCCTTGATGCGCTCCCAGATGAGCTCGCTCTTGCCCATGATGCACGCGCGCGCCAACACGGCCCACTGCACATCGTTCGCAGTGTCCCGGTCGACGTTCTTCAGCCAGAACTCGAGCTCGGCGTATGTCCACTGTTTGGGGTCCTTCTGCATCATAGTCTCCACAGACTCGGCGCCAGTGGGCTTGCGCGCGTCAGCGGGGTACGTCTGCGCAAGAAGGGCAAAGAGCTTGGCGGATGGGGGCGTCGTAATCAGCTGCGCGACCTCAGCGGGCCGGTCGACGAAGGGGAGGTAGACCGAATCCGGGAGGGGCGTGAACGAGACGGGGGAAGGAACCGGGGCTGGCACCGGGCTCCCATTCGGAGCGGGGACCGCTGTACGCGGGTTGCACGAGGAGCGCGCGACATCGACCAGCTGCTCCGGGGAGAGCTTGTTCGCGTGGGCCATGGAGCCGGAGTAGCGGCGGTTGAGCGAGCTGGGCGAGTGGGGGCGCATGCGGGGGGACGAGGTCGGGCTGCCGTCGCCGCCCTTGGAGGGCGGATCCTTGTTGGCGGGGGTGAAGGACGAGAAGGCGAAGCTCATGCGGCCGGTCTCGCCCTTGCCGCTGGAGGAGGTGGAGCTGACGGACGCGTTGCTGCCGACGCGGCGGTGCCTGCGCTGGTTGGCATTGTCCTCGTCCTCCTTGGGGACGCGAACGATGGTGAGGCGGCTGGAGGTCGCTCGGGCAGGGTTGTTGTTGATGCCACTGTGGGCGCCCCAGGGGTCGGAGGCGGCGACGGAGCCTCTACGGGCAGAGAGCCTGCGAGAACGGGTCGGGCTGAGGGAGGGGCTGCTGGATGGGGACGCGTCGGAGACACTCATGGCGGGCGAAGAAGATCAGCGTGCGGATGGCGGGGCCCCACGGGGATGTTATATGGATGCAAGACGATGGATGGATCGGGGACGGAGGCAGTGGGTGGGGGGCAGTCGGAGGAGTGGCAGGCTATATGGGGCAGGCGTTGGGAGTGCGACTGGGGGCCCATTTTGGAGTGGAGGGATGGAAAGCAGACGATCGATAGCCACCGCACGTACGTCAAGAATTGCAATACCCGGCCAGTTCCAGTCCCCCGGCCCAGGCCACCCACAAGCCCCAGCCACCAGGGCCCCCGGCCATCTCCCAGCACCTGATCCTTCTCCACGCGTACCCCTCCTCCTAATACGCAACCATTACGCTCCGTTCTAGCCGTCCATCAGCTGCGGCCGCAATACAAACAGCTGCCAGATGGGTCGCGGGAGGACTCGAGACACTGTCTGTTGCGGCAACGTGCGTGAGCGGGCGGATATGCGGTGGAGAGAACCCGGAAAGTTCGGGCAACGGAAAAGATCGCTCGAGCAAACAGCCGCAAACAGCAACGCCACCGTCAATGGCGCATGGGCGCCTAGTCCGGACAGCATTGGTCGGCATCGTACAGTCTGAGTTACTGCTGTGGACCCGTTTGGGATCCCCTGTCCTCCTCTCCTCACAGCCCTCCTAATTGTCTGTGGATGCCCCAGCCTCTCCATTCCTCATAGACTCGGATCACCCTACATGGACCGGCAGCGACACACCGCCTGGGCTCCCCACCAGCGGCCCGCCGGCACGCCTGGTTGGAAGACATTTAACTCGTCCGAAAAGCCTCACACCGCGAGGACGCCCGGCTGGCTGGCCAGCCTCACTCCTGGTTCTGCGCGAGTGTCCTTCGCTTCTGGCAACAGCGTGAAGCACCCTTGGGAGAGCCTGGACTCACTACATGGCAACACCTCCATCCGTCTTCGCAACCTCAAGCGCGCCTTCCTCCGCCGCTTCTCGTCCTGGACTCACAATGGCCTGGCGAGACCTGGTACCCTGCGCTCCATGTCGTCCACAGCGCCCCCCGTATCCCCCACGCTTATCCCGTCCGTCTCCACCGTGCAGTTTGTGCTCCTCTGCGCGCTGTGGTACACGACCTCTGCCCTCTCGTCCAACACGGGCAAGGTGATCATGAACGAGTTCCGCTACCCGATCACCCTTACCTTCGTGCAGTTCGCATTTGTCGCCGGATACTGCCTGCTCTTCATGAGTCCTGTGATCCGCTTCTCCAACTTCCGCAGTCCGACAAAGGCTATATTCCACAGCACGGTCCCGATGGGTCTCTTCCAGGTCGGAGGACATATCTCCTCTAGCATGGCCATCTCCAGGATACCGGTCAGCACGGTGCATACCATCAAGGTTAGTGCTTCTGCCGTACTTTCGCGATTCAGTCCGTTGCACTGCTGGACGCTCCTGCTCACTTGTATGGCTGTAGGCGCTTTCTCCGCTCTTCACCGTCGCGGCCTACGCTCTGCTGTTCGGTGTGCGCTACTCCGCGAAGACCTACATCTCTCTGCTCCCGCTTACCCTCGGCGTCATCCTGGCCTGCAGCTCTGACCTGTCCCTCTCAAACGCCATGGGTATTCTCTGCGCGTTCGGCTCCGCACTGATCTTTGTCAGCTCGAACATCTTCTTCAAGAAGGTCATGCCCTCCAACAGCGCCGTCTCCGCGCACAAGTTGGACAAATTGAACCTTCTTTTCTACTCCTCCAGCATGGCCTTCGTGCTGATGATCCCGATCTGGATATACTACGACCTTCCCGCGCTGCTCACGCTCCTACGTGACCCCGGACACGTCGCGCACCCCTCGCACGGGCACGGGCACCACTCCGTCGCGCGCGCCTTCTTCGCGAACGGCACCGTGCACTTCGCGCAGAACATCATCGCGTTCATCCTCCTCGCGCAGACGTCCCCCGTCACCTACTCCATCGCCTCGCTCATCAAGCGCGTCGCCGTCATCTGCATCGCCATCGTCTGGTTCGCGCAGCCCGTGCACGCGCTCCAGGCCGCCGGCATCGCGCTCACGTTCGGCGGCCTCTACCTCTACAACCAGGCCAAGGGCGACGTCGAGCAGGGCGAGCGCTCCATGCGCCGCGTCGCCGCCGCGCGCAACCTCGAGCTCCCCAGCAACCGCGCGGAGCTCCTCTCCCCCGCGCCCACGCCGCCCCCGCGCGCGGCGGGCAACACGCCCGTCGGGGTCACCTCTGGGTTCGGCCGGCCCCGCGCGGTCCCCACCGCCGCCGCGCAGTTCGCATCCCCGCCGCGCGCACCCGCGCACCCGCATCCGCTGCAACAGGCGTACCCCGCGCCCGCCCCGGCACCCGCACACCACGCGCCGCCCCCGTCGTACTCGCAGACGCACCAGGCGCCGAACCTGCGCATCAAGGTGACGCCCGCGCCGACGGACGAGAAGTCCGGCGTGCAGGGCTCGCCGTACGAGCTGTACCCCTCGCCGCCCCCCTCGCTCGACTCGCCGCCCCCAGCGGAGAACGACGCGCCGTGGCCCGCGCCCCCACCGCAACACCCGCCGCAACGGCAACGGAGGGGCTCGATGGCGACCGGGCACGGCCCGCCGCGGCACCACGAGCCCGCGCCCCCGCGGCGGGCCACCGTCACCGTCGCAGCATGACCGCCCGCAACTCGATACCCGTCAAGCTCCTCGTAACAAACACACTTGCCCATCTGCATCAACGCCGATCCGATCCATGGACCGCCCATATAGACTTTACGTAGACCGCATACCAAATATTGACACCACGACCGCGCGACGACCACAGTAGGACTCAGAGACGACCACGCCCTTCCCTTCCCCTGCCCCCACCTAACCCATACGTACCCCTGTACGGCATTACAGGCGGTACCTGGACCCCTCGTCGAGGCTGCGCGCTACGTTCTTTTTTCCCTGCTTGCGCAGCCGAGCGGACTGTAAACTTATTCGTCGTGCGGATTCTCTTGCCCCGGCCTCTTGCCTGACCTTGCTTACGGTACCGAACATCTCCTTCTACTACTACTCTTGCGATGTGTCGACATCTGCCTTTGTTTATTGTTCAGTGTATGCGACGACTTGTGCCCTCACGCGCACGAGACAGACGTTCGGTCTATCTCTGATTAGTATCTCACAGTGGATTCCGTGGTGCCGAAAGAAAGTGCACATCTATACAAGGCCACGAGGCACATACGCTAAGGGGTACTGGATACAGCAGAATCCTAGATGTGTTCTATGGCTACATCGTCGATCCGTAACCCAGGAGAAAACTACACTACGAAGACAAAACAAGAATCCCAAACCAAACGGGTCAAACAACCATTAGTGCGAGAAGTCGGTATAGGATATGTGAGGCGGGACGTATCGACAAGAAGGGGTGGAACGACAGAGGACGTCAGGACCGCCATGCGTTCCTACCGCAGACGACCAGGCCGCCGTCCCATCTGCGGACCATCCAGCCGTCCTCTTCCAATGCGCTCTTGACGGCTGGGCCCAGGACGCCGACACCGTTCGTGGAATGCGTCCCTCGCCCAGTGATGATCCTCAGTGGCTTCACTGTTGCATACATATCAGGAATGACAGTGGTTCACTGAGTTTGAGTTCGACAACTGACCCTGGGTTGACCCCGATTCACGCAGGACGTCTTTCACAATCGCGACGGCCTCCGCGACGGTGGTGCCGTGTAGGTCCACGGCGTCTCCGTACGTAGACGACATCCTAGCCATGCATGAGCACGCGCACACCAAGCGAGGGCGCACATCCAACAAACGCACCGCTTTGCCTGCACCATCTCCTTCGCCACGTTCAGCTTCTCCCGTCTCGCCTGCTGCTGCAGGTCCCGCGCCCTCTCCGCGTAGTAAAATGCGACCTCGCCTCCGTGCGTCTTCGCATTCCCCTTCTGCCACGCGCGCCCCGCCTGCCGGAGCATGTCCTGCCTCTGCACCATCAGCTCGTGCATCCGACGAGTGTGGCTCAGCTTCGTGGAGAGCTCGCCGACGTCGCCCTTCCCGCCCTTCCCGAGCCCGTTCCCGCTCCCGCGCACCTTCTTGCGGTACGCGGGGATCACCGCCGCAAGTGGGTGTGGGCCCGCAGGCGGCCGCTGCGGGATGGTCTTCCATGCGTTCGGCGATGGCGTCGAGTTGCGCGTCTGGCGGGGGCTGACGGGCGATGTAGCACGGCCGCGCGGTGGAGGGCCCACAGCGGGAGGACCCGTGGGGAGCTTGCTCCGGGCGGGATTGGCTACGTTCGGGGCGGGCGGGGGACGGGCAGGCGCAGGTGAGTGGTACACGCCCCAGTCGTACTCGCCTGAGATGGAGTCGCGTTCGAGCTCTTGTAGGAGCCATACGAGGTCTATGGCGCGGTCTGGTTGCCCGTGCGTCGCCTTTAGGGTGAGCTGCCCGTCTTCCATGACTTGATCGCGTTCCTCCGCGTTCAGTTCGGCGTACTCTGGGGAAGCGCGGAGGACGTCGAACATGGCGAATAGCATGGTACTATGTTCGGAATGCAGGTTCGGATCCGAGTCCGAGGATGACGATGAAGGAGACGACGCAATGTTGCTGAGCACTGCGCGGAGAGCCTTAGCCGGCGAGGAGTATTCCGGCGAGTGGAATGCGGACTGGAAATACGCGGCGGAGTGAGACGGTAATAATGTGGAGAGATACGAGGCCACGGACGACAACTGCGTCCAAGGATCCGGAGGGGCAGCGCGAGGGGAGGCTGGGGGAGGCCGTTCATGCTGCTTCTGACGAATGTCTACTAGGGTGAAAGTGGTTCCACGTTTCTTGCTCTTCTTTGGAGGCTTGGATGGCGGTGTACTTGGCTTCCTGCGTTTACCTTCTACTATCATCCAGTCTTCCTCGTCCATCTCCTCGGGGTCCAATCCATCTAATCCGCGTTCCTCAAGCTCTCGAACGTATTCGCTTGAGAGTAGCCCTTCCACCACGGACTCCATGTCGAGAGACTCGGTGTCGTCCGCATTACTGAGTGCACTCCGGAGTTTGTTGGCCGGTACATGAGGGAAGGCTGCTTGCAGGAAGCCCAGGGGCGAGCTGAACGAGTGTTGACTTGAAGAATCGGAAGTGGAGCTCGAGGCGGTATTGCTAGAGTTGGGAGAGAAAAAATCATGCGAACTGGTAGTGTCGTCGGTGATCGAGTAGGATGAGATTTGGACATTGGAGAACTGCTCAGATAGGATGTCTTCGTCGACGAGCTCCTTCTCCGCCTGAGCAGCCAGTTGGGAGAGCACGTCTCGGAGGGGCTGAATCTGATCATCTGCGGAAGAAATATCGTAGTCTGCAATTATGGCAGCGATAAGGGAACTGTCCAGGGGAGGAGAGAATTCGGCCTAGGCCGTGTTGGTTTGTGGAGGGTGCTCGGACGACAATGCAGCCTACCTGGAGGGCGTCGAAAAGCGATGAATGGGGCTTGGACATCATGCTGATTGTTGGGTGTGGGATGAGCGATGTAGGAGAGTAGGTTGTCGGATATGCCGACCTTGTTGTTGCGCTCTTTATGGGCGAGCGAGAGGCTGGCGCGGCGGCTGGCTGAAGCGGTCGGGGCTGTTGACAATGGCAAGGCTTGAGTTGCATGACCGAGCCGCCGCTCCGAGTCGCTAGCCGCGTGCCCGCCACCCTCCCAATTAGGCAACTCAGACACTTGGAACTTCTCATTCCTGAGTCTGTTATCCACCACTGCGTCCCACTCAAGTAGTATTTCCTGGGGCTGATCATCCTCATGAAAACCGATGAGCGTGTCGTATGAATCAGACGCCTCCCACGAGAGCTCTTACTTGGACACATCCGCCGTATGTCACGTCCGTCGATCGAAATCTTGTCTTACCAAGTTGGCGATAACAGGCGGGCAGACGTTCTAAGCGTAGACGCATAGAAAGGAAGAACTTGTCACCGGATGTCCCGGAAAGTTCATTCGGAATAACGTCACTAGTGGATGCCCTCGAGCAAGCACTACGGGTCCCGGGTGACCACTCCTTTGACACCCTTGTCGAAGATGTTCTGCCAGAGCTCCTACACGCGGAAGCAAATCTACGAGTCGGAGCTACATACCGCTCCGACGACAACGCGAAACCCCTCACAAGAGCAGAAGCAAGAGAAATCCTCGATGAGATAATGGCAGAAGGCGGCGACCGCTTACAGACCTTATTGACTTCCTTGGTTACTCGAAAGCTATCCACGCATCCTGTGTGTCTGTATCAACAATCTACATAGATGATGTACTCACTCCGGTACACTCAGAGCACGTTACGTTCTATGATACTCCGGAAGTCTGTCCTCCACACTCCGGAGACCGTGACGCCTCTACCGCCTTCTCGTGCCAGTCCTACGATTAACCCACAGGTGCTCGACGCTCTGTATGCCATTCGGACGACTCCCTACGAATACTCGTTCCTATCTCGTATACAAGGCTTCCAACCTGCCCGCACACCGACAGCTATCGCGGTCGACTGGGAGACACGAAGCCCCTGGATGGAGCTGATGAGCGACGTTAGGGACCATTACTCTCTTATGCAGTAGGTGCACCCGGTCTTGTGCTCTATTGGTGCTAAGGGTATTTGGTAGTTCTGAACGTGAACAGCCTATCGAAAATGTAGCTCCGATCGAATATGTCAGCCTACGACCTGAACACCTGCCTCAAGTACACGACCTATTCCGGCGCACATTCTGGGAAGGAATCAGTGGTCGGTGTGCTGGCCTTTGCTCATGCAAGCTCTCTAACGCGCCTCGGCTGTTACTAGTGAGCGACGCACTTGAGTACTCCCCAGAGAAATGTACAGTGGTTGCAACGTACAAAAAGCTCGTCGTTGGCGCCGCCTTATTAAGCTCACCGCAGGAGACCTACATCACCTACCTCTCTGTGCGCGCAGGATGGGAGAACTCACAGATCGCCACGTAAGTTCACGCGTTCTGCTCAACGGGTGCATTAAATACGAAAGCAACGACTATAGGACCATGCTCTACCACCTCATCACGCTAAATCCGAACAGAGATATCACATTACACGTCTCCATCAACAACCCGGCAATGGTGAGCCTGGAAGCTCCCTCTCTGCTCCTAAACTCGCGACATACAACCAACCAATACACAGCTCCTTTACAACAGATTTGGGTTCAAGGCAGAAGAATTCATTGTGGGCTTCTATGAGGATTACCTCGACCCGCAATCGCGCGCGTCGAAGAACGCCTTCCGGCTGCGACTGCGAAGATAAGCGCGGCGGCTGATTAATCCAGCCTCGCTCGTTTGGCCTTCTGTCGAGGGTTCGGAGGCGGCGGCGGGGTGTCGTCAGCCTCATCGCTAGCCTCGCCCTCCGAGTCATCCGCATAACGTCGGGCGATGTCTTCCACCCATTTGCCTCCCTCGGCGCCTTCAAAGAGCCAGACGTGGCTATGATCGGCCACAGTCAGCGTCACCCATGCAGAAATTCGCAAAAGACCCGCCTATTGCCGACCCGCTGCGGCTCTGGATCCATGTTGGCCGAGGGTCGCTTCTTCAAGGAGTGGGTCGAGGGCGCCGTGAGGCTTCGTCCGTTAGGCCCAGGCAAGTCCCAGCCCAGCTTCCGGCAGAGGTGCAGGACGACATCGTCGGCGTTACCCAATAGAACGATCTAGTACAGATAGATGAATTGCATTATTTGTAGCGCATCCGCAATACTCACATCCGGGTTGATATGCCGGATTGGCGTCTTGTTGATCAGTATCTGTCTCCGTATGAGCAGGTGTGCGCGTGTACCCGATCGATGTAATGCCTACCTGTGGTACTGAATGCGGCAGGTTTGCTGCGCGGTGTGACCAATGAGCAAACGACACCGCACGCGGCTGCACATGTGCTCCATGTAATACCTACCGATGATATCGGAAACCGGGGTGACCTTCAAGGAGGTCCCGATGATGATGAGCAGATCGATCTGCTGACGATCCTCCAGCAGCGCTTTATCGAACTCGTCGCTGAGTTTCTCTCCGAAGAACGTGATGTCTGGCTGAAATTTATCGTCGGTTTGTCTGCCAGATTGCACAGGCTACAGATGTAGATTACCTTCATGATTCCTGGAGGAAACTCCGGCGGATCCGGCTCGTCTGACTGATCGCTGTTCCAGCCCGAGCTCTTCCGCTTCTTCTTTGGCTTCTGCTTTGCTGGAAGGGTAGCATTGCAAACCTTGCAGAGCGGGACATTGTGGTTCAGGATGTCATCCTCGATGTCCGTACCAGGGACACGGATCTTGCAATTGAGACAAGATGCAGTCGCGAACGATCCATGGCACTGCAAGACACGCTTGACTCCTGCCGATGTTTCGAGTGTATCGATGTTTTGAGTATAGTTCTGAGAGGTCAAGTCGTTAACAAATTATCACCAGGCCCATGAGAGGTCGTATATGTACCCGAAGTAGCTGTCACGTTGAATTGAGCCAGATGCTGGGGCAAAGGGGATCGGAAGAACTCACCTTTCCACGGTCCTCGATGGCCTTGATAAACCGGTGACAAGGCGAGGGCTTGAAGTTAGACGAATATATTTTACTGAAGTTTCGTGAGTCAATGAAGTAGTAGCAACGGAAACCTGAGACCTAGCGAATGAACTGATCACGACGATTGTCAGTGCTCTCGTATACCCCAAGAAGAAAGGCGCTCACTAGAATACTGGGAGGACGTGAGACTTCGAATGAGATAGAGGGAGTACTCGAGTTGCTCTCAACTCACCTGTGGGCTTTTCGCGAAAGTAGTTAATGTCAAACCTACAACGTCAGCTCGCACGCATCCTCATTGGCGGAAGCGACGGAACACACATTTGTTGAGGATCATCGAGATCGTACTCTCCGCTTTCCTGCAGCGAAGCGTAAAGACCGTTACGGGAACGGAAGTCCGGGATCCCGCATGAAACACCTGAGTGACATGCTATCAGAATGGCTTAGGGTACCGAAGAGCGTATGTAGTTACTGATTCCGGCTCCTGTGAGTATGAGAATGCGCTGGCGCTGCTGTATGAGAAGAACGGCATCCTCGATTGTCTTGTACTGGGTCAGCTTTTCTCGGCATTCTAGCCTTGAGATGAGCGAAACGTGAGTAGCTTGCTCACAATCCACTACATGAGCACCTACTCCCGTTGCAATGCGACTTTGAGGAAGTATAATTGCGTGGCTTGTGGCTTCTCCCTTAGTTCGGGGCACTACCGGTTCGGCGTTACTCGCATGTCATGAGTACAGTGGGTAATGAGAGATCTTACGAGGCAGATGCCAAATGCATATAGCAGCTTAGGAACGAGTATATGGCGGTCAACATAGTACTTCATGATGAAAGCCGTCATTCCTTAAGGAGGTCATACGACTTCGAGTTAGAACATCTGAAGACCAGAACCGCTTACCGTGCTCCTTGAGTGTGGTCATCATCTGTTTGACTTCTTCCCTTGTCCAAGCTTGTTTCGCTATGCACACACAGAACAGAGACTTCTCAGTACAAGATCTAGATGGAAGCTGATCGACAATAGCACCGCCTCGAAGAGCTAAGGCTCAAGAAGTCCAACGCTCGAAGTGGCTCACCTTCTTTGAGTAACATACCCCATTCCACTGTTTCAACTTCATGATCTAAGTTCATGGTGGTGGATTCCACATCGACATCGACCTCTTCCTCGTCATTGCCGCTCTCGAGCGAAGTAGCACGGGCAAGATCCTCCAGAAGGTCTTCCACAATGTCTGTGTGTACGTCTACCACCTCAGCGGCCTCAATGAAGCCTTGGACCTGCAGGGCGTAGATGTGACTGAAACGTGTCCTGGAGGTGCTTGCAGTGGCGTCGGATGAAGATCGCACGGCGTGCTGGGCCTGTGTGGGTGGTTGGCGGTCCATGAGGCGATGGTCGTCGTTGCTGTAAATGACACTTGCATGAACGGTCACGGGACTGCACCCCGACGCCACAAGGATCAAGATGTCTTTATATGGACAAACTCCGAGCTGAATCACCGCGACCCGGCATCCTCGTCTTCAGTCGGCGAAGACAGTAGAGAAAGCGTAGTCCTGATACCAGAAGGGCTGCTTCCATACAGCCACTGTCAGAAGCAAGCACATCACGCTGTGTTGCACGACCTTGTCGGACCGTGTTTCAATACAGGCGCTTCAAAATTGCAAGCTGAGTTACAAGGTCAAACATTTGACAAACAAGGTGATCAAAACAGAACATCAACGACAGCGGAGAACGAAAATTCGAAACAGAGGGCGAGAAAGCATGAGAACCGAGGAAGCGGGAGGACATGATTCTGAGAATTCTACCATGACAATGACACCGAAGGGACCACAAGGAAGGGTATCGAGAAGACCGTGGCAGCGCTGAAAACGTTCCGAGAAGATAGAAAAGCCCCCTCCGCCAGACGGTCAGTCAATAGAACTGCCGCGCTTCAATAGAAGCTCGTCGTCCTCATCGTCGCCGGGAGCAAGCCTCAACGGTTCGTCGTTGGTTTTCATCTGAATCGTCGGCCATCCCGCGTTGCTCCGCTTGTGAACCCGCAGAGGCGAAGCATGTTCATGACCGATGCTACCGCTAGGGCGCTCCGCCGCACGCCGGGTGGCTGCGGCCTTCGAGGCAGCGACACTCGCGAGGGTGACCGTTCCAGAACGTGTCCTCCGAGTGACACCAGAGACGTCATGAGTCACGATGGTGAGTTCTTGATTGACGAGTTGTTCCTGTGCAGTGGTACCGCTGGCTCCCTTGTCCGCAGCGAACGGGACCATGAAGTCGGATGCACGGATAGTGTCTGCGCGCTGGCGCCTATGCGTCTGCTGCCTAGTCCTCGGCGCCCTGGGATTGGGATGAAGAGAGGCAGACGACAGCGAAGCGTGTTCATGGTCGGCGAGATCTTCAGAGGTCCTCGCTGTCGCGGAGACCCCTTCAGCTTTCTCGTCGTCTGTATCTCACATGAAGTCAGCTGTATGCCACACAGAACCTAGGCGAGGCAAGACGCCATGTCGCGTACCTTCCAGTCCAAGAGTAACGAAGAGGTCTCTGAGCTGAGTGTCAGGCGAATCAAGGTCACCAAGGCCCACTAGCAAGGTTTCATCGGTCACATTCCTAGACTTGGCAGACACAGGCGAAGCATGAAGAGTCGGCAGAGAGGCAGAGCGATGCAGAGAATGACCAAGAGCAGGCTGACCAGCATCGATAGCAGGAGTAAATGCAGAGGCCAACCCGGCGTTCAAGGCAGAAAAGGCAGTGGCAATGGAAGTCTGGTTTTCGTGCGTCGATATATGAGAGGAGGCTCGCTGGTGACAGTCCGCGCCATGGATGTCCAAGGCGTAGGACGCGCGTTGCTCGTCCGCGGCAGAGCCAGAGAAATCTAGCACAGAGGAGAACAGGCTACCACCGGATGGATTGTTGACGGTGCGGCGCCGCATACGTAGAGGTGGTCGTCGAGGGAGACCGCTAACCTCGGGCGAGCTGGGACGTGATGAAGACTGGGTATATGCGCCAGAGTCGGGCAACATGCCAGACAGGGTGATGTCGTAGTCTTGAGTTTCTATGCGCATGCCACCAGTGGTCGCACGACGCTTGCGCGGAGGTGTGGAGGATTCGTTGGGAGCGTCGAGAAAGAATGATGCGTGGTCAGGGGACGGCTCGAGTATGGCGCCGCCGCCCAGCGGTAGTACCGTTGGGTGCGCAAGCCAGTCGTCTACCACCTGAACAGAAGAGGCAGTTGGATACGACCCAGTGCGGTGATGCAGACTGTTACCGTGCTTCTCCTGCTTAGCCTGGATAGCGAGATGTCCGCCAGCGACGTTGTCTGCAGCAGTAGCAAGCAAGCCGTGTGCCGCATGAGCTAGCCTTGCCGGATCAAGAGGAGCAGATAGGGTACGAGACTTCACATGATGAGACGGCTTCCGAATTCTGCCCTTCATCATAGCCGCACTAGGAGAGGCAGCACGAGAGCCAGGACGACTGCTGAATGGAGATCCGAGGGCACGATCACAGTTCTCTTTGAGATTCCGAGAGCTAGTACGGAAAAGCATACGGCGAGCAGCTGGGAGCGGAGAGAATTCTTCTTTGTCAGAGCGTACAGACCGAGCAGCAGAAGACGGTATCATAGCGTCTTCGGAGCAGAAGGAAGGGTGCGGTGTGCAGAACAGGATTTCAGGCGCTTGAAGTTGGGAAGGTATCTGGCCGACAGTGTGCGCACGAAGAGCAGGAGGAGCAACCAGTAGAGCGGGACTAGGTTCGTCGTCGCCGGAGTCCTTCGCAGCGTCATTCTTCGCTCTTTTGACAATCTGCAGTTCATCGCCAGTGTGCGGATCGTCATCAGTAGTAGACGCAGTCCGCCGCGATCGTTTCTGCATTCTGCGTGTCATCTCCGTCATAGTGACATCTTCCTGATCTGCCGGTAGCTGTTCCAGAGGAGAGGATTGCTGCGCACGATTCTTGCCGGTCGTCCGTGCACGAGAGCGCCGAGAATATGTCGTCAAAGGTTTGCGAGACAGTGCCATGGGAAGATGATGAACCTTCGTGAATCAAAAAAGCCTAGAGCGCGCCTATCGAAGGGAGCAGCGAGAGTATGTCTGGAGCTTGAACATGAGTAGCCAGACTTTTGATGAGATGGAACGAAGGATATGTCTGGTCACTCACCTGAGCGTGAGCAGGAACGTAGAATTCACGATTAAGGTCGGCCGGAAGGCCACAGTTCAAATCAGTGATACGGCCATGGTACGGCCGCTACCGAGGCCCGATCTGCTTACGTAAGCCACTCTGGCCGAGTGTTGCATGGCCTCGTCTGTGCTCTCCCTTAGAGTAGCTCATCCACCATGTACTCTGAGACACACAAGAGACATTATTGAGTGCATTATCGGCTTTCCAATGGATTTTGGGTGTTCTGTGGTATGGATTGTCTGTCTCGGCGTGCCGGAACTCCGTAAGCGCCCCAGACTCACGGTCACACCTGCCTAAATTGGACAGGCGGCGGACATCGGTTGCACTTAAGTTCTTGTCATCCGCAGCGATGTGAGTTATCCAACCATTTTTTGTGAGTCAAGCCAGATAAGTTTCAAAGCATTGCGCCCAATCGCCCCCGTGCGAAGACGTCGTCCACCGCCAAGTGTGACCGTTACTTACCCGACGGCGCTTACCGAGGTTCCGGCTCTTCCGGCTCAAATTTGAGATATGGACTCCCCACAATGTGTTCAAAAGCTACAATTCAACCCGATACAGATCAAGAATAGTCTGTAGCACTCAGTAGAGCTTGAATCTAGTGAGGGGAGGCACGAATCGGAACAAGACTTTCGCCAGATTAGCTTACATAAGCAGATCGGGCCTCGGCAACAGCCACCTCAAACGGAAATCGAACTGTGGCCTTCCGGCGTACCATACACGATGTCGATGTCAGGTCATGAACATTGAGATCGAGATGAAGTCTTTTCCAAAGTATCAATAGTGGGATAGCAAAATCCTCGTATTTCGAGGTAGTCGTTGGCGTTGAGGACGTCGGACTCGGTGTGCAGACGCGGTCACTTCAAGGTTGATTCAAGGTCACTTCGTCGGTGACTTCGAAGACGAGGCGCGTCTGGCACGTGATATCTCCCACGTCAGTGGCGCGTCGAGGTCAACCTCGGTCGGGCGGTTGATGGTGTCCATAGTCGACTCTCATCTCTCGCGCATGCTGTCCGCTCGTTTACTCCTTTGAATCCTACCGCTGGCCGAAGAATTAACTTAGCAGTGTCTTTTGCTGTACAAAGCGTTGCTTTCAGCATGGTTGTCGCGAAGCGGGGTCTTGCCCCTCCTGAGCCTGCTCGCACGAGCTCAACACAACAGGTCCAACGAGCCAGAGGCAAGCCACCCGTGGCAGCACCAAATGGTCTTGATAACAACCGTCCTATAGCTGCTGGCCTATCTCGAGAAGAGAGCGCCCAGAAACCGGAAGCAGTGGCGGCGAATGGAGAAGGACTGGTAAGCATCCACTCTATGTTCTTGTAGCCCTTGGTGCACAGCGACCCGTGAATTCGTGCCTTCGAAGGATTCACCTCACCCGACGTCTACAACACGTATACCGCAAATGCGGTGTCATGTTGCATATGTGTCCCGCATACATGTTCGCAACTTGTAGTACAGGCTACATCCTTGCGCGAAGTCCTGCTGGTTTCGCTCATACGTCAGCTACTTCACGTCGATACAACTCAGCTCTAGTGCCAGCATGGTATTGATATTGCCATTTGTCAGGATGAATCACCGTCATCGAAGAAAGGGTCCAAGTCCAGGTCTAAGTCGAAGCAGAAGAAAAGTGGCAAGGTTGGTCTACCTCTGCATCATTGATTGCCTACGCTGATCACCTGGTCATAGAAGGCGTCCCGCAAGAGTCACGGTCTAGTGGACTTCTTGTTCAAAGTCTTCGTCCTTTGCTTCTCAATCTACACGTTCGCCATATGTCCGGAGGACGCTCGCAATGAACGACCTGTCTGTCGAGCACTCTCAGAATATCGGCGACTCATTCTGGAGCCCTATGTGCTACCACCTATCCATTTGGCGTTGTCCCATCCCTCCGTCGCACCCTATGTCGAGAAAGCGAAGCCCTATACCGACCGTGCATACAACACAGCAAGGCCGGTCGCTCAAGGAATCGTCCGTCAATGGAATTCTCGAATCGCTCCGCAGTGGAATCGCCACGTCGTACCGCAGTGGCGGCGACACGTCGTACCTCTGTGGTACCGATATGCTGTCCCTCAGATCCTACAACTCGACGCCAAAGCCGCGCCCTACCGAACCCGCGTCACAGACGAATATGCACGTCGCGTGGTTCCCATTGTGGATTCTGTTGGTCCATATGCTCAACAGGCGGCACTGAACGCGCGCCGGTTGCGAGCCAAGGTACGGCCGTACGTGATCACCGCCATGCACAAGACCTACGACGGCTACCAATGGATCGCGCCATACGCACGTCCTGCTTGGGAGAAGGTCAAGGCACTCGTCGCTCGATTGATTGCTTTCCTTGCCGACCAGAGAAGACAATTCGTCGACCCACACGTCCGCAAGATTTGGGAACGCGTCAAGGAGCTTAGTAGCGGGACGCCCAAGGTGCCGGCCGCTGCAGACGTACGCGCCTCCGTATCATCGCGGGTCTCAAGGGCCGCCGAGGGTGCAGCATCAGTGGCATCGTCGGTGATGTCCTCGTCGACGCATGCTCCCGACGTCACGTTCTCCGGTTCTCAGGCTTCTGACACTCCCATCGTGGTGAAGCCGGATGTGCTGACGGAAGACTTACTGCCTTCCACACCGGAGTCAATATCGCCCAAGTCATTATCTGAAGCCGCCGTCGACATCACCGCAACTATGGCGTCCGTCGCAAGTGAGGTCGCCAACGCTCTCGGTGACACTGCCTCCTCGGCCAGCGCTGCAGTTTCCGAGCCCGTGGCCAGCGTGTCGTCTTCAATCTCCTCTCTCAGCGGCTCTGTCCTGCCCTCCGCGTCGGTGTCGGCGTTTGAGGCCGCTGAGTCTGTGTCGTCCCTGTTGTCGTCGGGTTCGGGCGTCATCGGCTCCTCTGCAGATCGTGCGGTCGGCGCGGCCTCGACGGCTATCTCACACGGTTCGAAGGTCTTGTCATCATCTCTTCAGCAAGCCGCATCCGTGGCGTCTCATGAGTTCATAAAAAGCTCTGCGAGTAGCGCCGCTTCCCCTGCCATCTCGACGATATCCTCTGTGGCCGGTCGGGCCTCGTCTTCTGACGTCTCCGCGGCGCTAGCTGCTAGCGTTGTCCCGGATATCGATCTGGATGCTTTCGCCGCGGAACTTGGTCTCAATGACATTGCCGCGGAGCTTTCTGGCTCCGCATCGGGCACCGCAACGGAGGCTCATAGCGCGCCCGTCCCGATGGACACAGAGACCGAAGAGGAGAAGGAACAACAGCGGCTCAGACAATTGCAAGAGACTGCGGAGAAGCGTGCGGATGTCGAGGCTCGTCACACCAAGTGGGAAGACGAACAAGCGGCGCTGATCGGAGATAGCAAGAGGTCGCTTCGCAGGGCTTTGGTTGCTCTGAGGAAGGCCGCCACCGCGGAGCTCAAGGAGTCCACCGAAATCAGGGCGGAGATAGAGAGCTTTGTTGCACGGGCGGAGGACCTCCTGAAGGGCGCTGAGAAATATCTGCAGACTCTCGTGAAGGATCAGCGGCCAGACGATGAGAAGCGACAGCTGCTCGAGCGTGTTTTGGATAAGGTCAACGAGAAGTTCACCGATCGCTTGGGCGAGACGGAAGCTGTCGTAAATGGGTGGTACGCGCCCTGGCTAGACAAGGAACTAGCAGAGGTATGTCTTCTGGACTCTGACCGCAGCTCAACGCTGACGAATCCGACCGGCTATTAGGTTCGTAAGGTTGCCGGAGCAGTCAAGGATCATGCGGAGAACGCGCAAGTCGACATAGGCATGGACTACGCCTATCTGGACGATACGACGTACCAAGATTGGCAACGTTATCACGACCTCGTTCGCAGTAGGTCGCTCACGATGGAGGGAAAGAAGTGCTCGGACGCTGACGCTCATATTTCCAGGGAGCGAGAACTTTACTACAGAGGCCCAGGCGATGCAGGATGGCTCTAGCACATCCCCGCCTGCCAATCCTCTCCTCAAGGAACTGAAGGCGATACAGACCGAAGTCGAAGACGTCGTTTTAGGATTCGAGACGCGTCTGCGTCGCATCAGGCGCAATAATGCGCGTGCGTTTGGCGAGGGTGTGGAAGAGGATATGGTTGATGCGGACGACGAGACCGTCTCTATCCTGCCCATTCAGGACGAGGACAAGGTTCAGTCGCCCGCGGATCTCGATGTTCCACCTGTTGTCATTGGTCGGAGCAAAGAAGAGGTCATGGACGCCCTTGACCGTATTGTCGAGGCTGATGGCGACGCAACGTCGTCTCCGCAAGCTACTGAGCGGCCAGCAGATCCCGAAGTGGAGGTGAAGGGTCTGGCCGAGGAAAATTTCACGGACCAGAGCGTTCCCACTGTCTCGCCGCTAGCACCTCATGAAGAATTGTGATGGCGGCAGATTGGCGGGAGCTGCGTATTGATTGCTGCATGGTCGTCTGGTACTTTTGTCCGAACGCCGTTTGGTTTATGTTATTCGTAATCGCTCGAGTTTTGGTTCGTCTCTTATGTGTCTATGTATGCCAACTAAACGAAGGAGTCCCTTACTGGTACATGGCCCCGAGGGCAAGCTATACGTGTTACAGCTGTTTTCAGAACGTTGGACACCTGGACACGCCCGAAACAAAGCATTGTTAATACCTGAGGCCTGAAAGCCTGATGCCCCACGTCACCACCTTTCCGACTGTCCCAATTGTCCAGAGCAGCTCACGCAGGTCTGACGTTCGTGATTTGCGATAATCGTTGTGGAGACGCATCTGTGAGCTATCACAATAGTATGGGCCATACACAACCTGCAGTCCACGTCTCTGGTCCGTTGCATGGTCTGCCACCGATAAGTAATACTATACATACATGTGGTCCTGTAAGTAAGCGGCGGCGCAGTGGTGCGGAAAGGTGGGGTCGGATGTTTAGCGAGTTTTCCTGCGCGGTTTTGCAAGGGACTAACATTCTGAAGGGAGCTGTACGTAACGTCAGGAATGCCCACAAGGTCGGCGTCTCCATTCTTTCCAGAACTTGACCGAATCCCGCAATTTGGCTGATGTAACACGGATACAGAAACACAACAGTACTACACGACAGCGGACATTAGAGTTCGTAGGCGGGCGAACAGTTCTATGATAACAGACTCGTGGAGATTCAGACACATTCCGTGGTCAGTTTGCTACGAAATCCAGGCTCATGCTACACAGCGACACAAAGCAGGGTCACAACAGGACGTGGGCTATCCAAAATTAAGCGTCATTGTCCGAAGAACGGAGTTCGGGATCGTGTGGTAGAAGTTGTTTTGGGTGACATCATGTGGGCTGCATCAACGTGTAACCACAATCTGCGGATGATCTCGTCAAGACAGGCTGCGCGCCGGAGTAAAATTACTCACTTCACTTATACGCCAGGAAGTACGCGGAAAGCGCGGGTAGATCGTTCGTGCTCGCATCAGAGTAGCCCTGCCTACGCGAGCCGTTGAATTTGAGCACGATCACCGTACCGCACCAGGCTTTGGCAGCGGCTCCGGATGTGATTCGGTGAATCGCGCGGTTGACGGGTGAGCCACGCTGGAGCGCCTTGGGACAGTACCATATGTGCAACGGAAACCGAAGCGGTTCCCCGTTAAGACCTTGGGTGAGGATAATGGTGTTTGGCACGCTCTCGGTGAAGTAATCTTGCGCAAGCGGCATGGGGCACATTCCTTGAGAAGCAGTGCCTTGAGGACGGCACTGTACCGTGATTAGCCGTGACCGATCTGTGAAGGGTCAGACAACCGATGCCGGCTCGAGGATTGTTCGCGCACCTTCTTCTGGTGCAAAGAGAATCGCGGTGACCTGGACCAATTGCTGCTGCACTGGCGGCGGAGTGGCAATTGTGCTGGGATGGCCGGCGGCACTGACTGGGACACATTCCCTTTTGTGGCGCGGCCAATCCTGCAGTGATCGAAGTCAGTCCGGGCATCATACCAAATATTATACGCCGGGACGACGTACACCCTGGAGATGGTCTGGCGAGCAGTACCAGATACTCTGACACCGACTGCACCATAATGTCGTTGTATGACCGCAGACTGCGCAAGGGTGAGTGATCAACGACATGGCGAGCACACTCCGTGCAGTAGAGGCCGGGCAAGGGCAGTGACGGGATGGGCAGGTGGGCTGCGCTGAGACGGCATGTTCACTAGAGAGCTGGACTATTTGAACGAATCCGAGCGACCACTCAGCGTGTCTTGCATTATCCACACACGGCCAATCAGGCAATTTGCAGCATGGGGACGGGATGATGAGCACACGCAAGAGGAATATCAGTGGCTTGACTCACGGACGAGGCAGATCGAATACGTATGAAAGCCAGGCACCGGTTAGGGACGACTGCCTGGATCCATCATTCCGGTAACGAACGCAGGTCCCACACCGTCGCTAGCGGTGATGAAAGCAGTGGACCAATGGCCGTGATCTGGTTCCGCGCATTACAGTGGATACCTGCGTATGGTAAGAAAGGTTGTATGTCTTTCCGTGATGGAACGTTATAGGGACCAGATGCGTCCCAGGGTATTCATGTGTGTAGGACCTGGTGCCAGTTACCCGCAGTCCGAGGGTCCGGGCGATCAGATCCACAAAAAATTCCCGTGAAGAGGGCCATATGTCTGTGGGCGCAGGGCGGTAGATAGGCTTTCACGAGCGCAAGGCGAGCCGTCAGAAGCTCACAGCTCACCGGCGCCGGTCACGATGAATAGAGACAAAAGGAGAATTGATTTCATCAGACAGCTGTTGCTTAGGAGTTGTTTCGGTCGAAGCTATGCGCATGCAACCGTCAACCAGTCCGAGTAGCGATCCCTCCTTGACCTCGTACCTCCACCATCTACCGTTAGGCGCCCGCTTATCGGCCCCCATCTGCCCCATCTCTCGCCCGTTCCCTCCTCCCTAGTGTCAAGACCCCTCCAACGGGGCCCCCACAGTCTCTACGACACCATCGACCAACTCGATCGACAATCGGGACTGCGGACGCCTCACGTTGTTCGCAGATTGCACCACTCGATCCTCTCACCCCCTCACTAACCGACTCCGCCACGCCCTCCGCGTCGGGACGACATCTATCTATCCCGTCGTAAATTCCCTCTTCCGTTCAGGACGGTTGCCACTCTTCCTGCCACGCGCACCTCCAACAGCACACCCCAATTGCGGGGAGGCTACGGCCGACCCTACACGCTACCCGCAACGGGTTTCGACCGCAAAAGCGGCAGTCGCGACTGCGGGATGAACCCGTGGAATGACAGCGACAGCCTAGGAGCATAGGATATGGTGTGGAGTGGGGTCTGGGTCTCTGGCGGTATGTGGTATGTCTGGACGTGTTGGGGGAGGGAGGCGGGGGCCTTTGGAAGGGCTCTCGTGAATTGCATCAGATAAGCCGCCATCCTTCTGCAGGCGGTACTCAAGGCTCCTGGGCTCGCGGGAGCAGCTGGGAGTTTATGATGGAATGGGGTATCGCGCCTCATGCGGCCTGCTATCATGAAGACTGGAGCGCTTACCTACGGGGGGTCGCGTTTGGCGCCGACATCTCGACGCCAGCACTCAACGGTACTGCCCGTCCTCGGACTCAACAAGGCACGAAGGAGAGTAACCCGCAGGGACCCACAAGGGGAAATGGGGCTCGGGAGGAACGGTCTTAGCGTTCGGTAGTGATCATTAGTGCCTGCATGTACCTCGGCGTATGGGCTTTAAACTCGGTGAATCAAAAAAAAAAAAAAAAAAAAAAAAACCAGTCCGAGTAGCGCGAACCGCGCGCCTGGCAGTATTGGCAGCATTGCCATGTGGGCTGTGTCACGGCCGTGAGCCATCACAGTCACCCTGTCACACCGGCCCTCCCTCGGTCGCTCCCCGGGCCCGCGTTTGAACGGTCTGCACGCGCGCTCTCCGCATCCAACGCGTTTGCCGTCCAACCCACCATGTCCGACGATGGAATGAACATTGACGACAGTGAGTATTCCCAATTCACGCGTCCGCACACACGGCCAGGGGCTGACACAACCCGCAGGCGGAAACGACGGAGTCGTGCGCCGCAAGGGCAGGGGTTTCCAGAGCGCTGCTGGTGAGCCTCCTCTCAGCACATGGTATGTCTCGCGCTAAAAGGGGCATAATGACTCTGTCTTGCAGGCGCAAATGAAAGCGCAGTCGCCTCGGAACAAGCCTTTGACCGAGTAGAGTCGACCCAAGACTCGGGCACAAGGGCAGCAAGATGTGAGTACCCCTCCTCGTGCATCGCAGGCCAGCATCGAGATACAGTACCCTGATATCTCCCTAGCCGTAGAGGGTTGGATCGTTCTCGTGACAAATGTGCATGAAGAAGCTACCGAGGAAGACGTGACGGACAAATTCGCGGAGTATGGCGAGATCAAGAACCTGCATTTGAACCTCGATCGCAGGACGGGTTATGTGAAGGTGCGCATGTCGGACATGAGAGCCATTCATTGTAATCAATCTATCCCTTCCATGCTCTCTAGGGATATGCTTTGGTGGAGTACGAAACGATGGCAGAAGCCCAGGCTGCCATCGACAGTGCCTCAGGCACGACGCTGCTGGAGCAGACACTCCAGTGTGACTACGCATTTGTGCGGCCGCCTCCAACTGGTCCCAAGAAAGGCCGTGGCAGGGAAGGTCGGGGACGCAGTGCGAGCCCGTCTCGTCGTCGGGATAGGGAATAAAAATATACTGAGGATGCTGGTTTTGTGGCTTTTGTCTACCACCTTTTACTCGACGCTCTGCTGGATCCAATCGTCAAAGTAGCTAGCGTTCATTCCGATGCTATGATCATCGCGTGTAAATTGTAATAATATTGCAACGACGAAAGGATGAGTGCTTCAACTTTTTCCATCGCTCGACGCAGGCTACAGTGACGCGAATTCTGGTTTAGGGTTATTGCGGTTTTGGGAAGTCATGTCGCGCGGCGCCACACGTGCGTTTTTTGCACGCGGCGACCTCTACCTTCGGACGGCCATTGCTCCTCAACGCCTGCGAGTTTCTGCTTGATTCCTATATATTCTGGTTCTACTCGTCGAGCCCGAGGGCATGGTGCAACTCAATTTCGATTTCAACCAAGTCTCAAAATCGCGGTTTCCGAGCACCACGGCGACTTCGGACTGCAATTGCGAGCGAACGCAACATTGGGTGGGGTCCGCGATGGTACGGAAGGGTGCAGGGGGATGCTACGGAGGGCACAGGGCAGAAAAATTAGAAAGTTACCGTGAGTTCTCGTTGTAGCTCGCGCCGTCGCTGTGCGGCTGCGTGCTTGACAGGTCGCCGACGCAGGTCGGCCACCGCAGCGCAAGGGCGTGAGGCGTACCCGCATGAACGCCCCGATGGGGTGTATAGAAGGCCTACGGAGCGCATACACGCCGTTTCGGGGTACTTCTCCCGCTCCCCGTCGTTGTAGTGCACTCCGCGCTGGTGGTGCCTCCGTCTCGGCCCCTGTACATCCATTCTCGATCCACTGGCATATAGCATGTATCTACTTGCAAATTCTCCTGAAGAGTAATATATTCCTTTCATACTACTGTTCCGCAACCTTCAGGCCAGCATCGCCGTCAACATACATCACCATCACTGTACATCGCCGGCTAGGCGCCTTGTCGAGTTCAACCCAAACCACCATGCCCCGCACGGTCCCTCTGTCAGAGGATCTCCTCTGGCGTGTTGTGTTTCAACATTATGAGAGGGGGAAATCCCCACAGGAGATCTCAGACAACCTCCACATCAGTTTACGAACCGTCCAGCGCTGCCTTGCGCGGCATCGTGCAACGGGCGATGTTGCATACCATCTCGGTGGGCAAACAGGCAGACCCAGGTTAATCACAGAGGAATATGAACAGCAGTATCAATTGATTTTGCTGTAGCTACGCGGTGTACCACTCTACATTGAGGATGGATGTACATGACACAGCGGCGGGGGCACCACCAGCGCGGAGTGCACTACAACGACGGGGAGCGGGAGAAGTACCCCGAAACGGCGTGTATGCGCTCCGTAGGCCTTCTATACACCCCATCGGGGCGTTCATGCGGGTACGCCTCACGCCCTTGCGCTGCGGTGGCCGACCTGCGTCGGCGACCTGTCAAGCACGCAGCCGCACAGCGACGGCGCGAGCTACAACGAGAACTCACGGTAACTTTCTAATTTTTCTGCCCTGTGCCCTCCGTAGCATCCCCCTGCACCCTTCCGTACCATCGCGGACCCCACCCAATGTTGCGTTCGCTCGCAATTGCAGTCCGAAGTCGCCGTGGTGCTCGGAAACCGCGATTTTGAGACTTGGTTGAAATCGAAATTGAGTTGCACCATGCCCTCGGGCTCGACGAGTAGAACCAGAATATATAGGAATCAAGCAGAAACTCGCAGGCGTTGAGGAGCAATGGCCGTCCGAAGGTAGAGGTCGCCGCGTGCAAAAAACGCACGTGTGGCGCCGCGCGACATGACTTCCCAAAACCGCAATAGCACGACGCGTCTGGCCGTGAACTTCGCACGCCTCCGCCTTTCCTGTCAACGACGAACGGCCACTCCTGCCGCCACAGTCTAACTCTTCGTCCACCGAACGCGTCTATCCTCCTTTGAAGCATGGCCAGGGCAGTAGATCCCCTGCCTTCCGACAGTGAAAGCGAAGGCGCGCGCGCGTCGGCGAGGAAGGAGAAGGCTCCTTCCAACGCGATGGACGTGGACGAGGAGGCTGGAGGAGTTGAGGCTGGAGATGACGAGGAGGAATACGAGATTGAGAGGATCATGGACGCGAAGATTGGCATGTTTGCAAAGGTATGTCTGCCGTTCTTTTTGAGTTGTGTGCGCCATGCTCCGGCTAAGTCATTCACACAAAGGGCCGTATGGGCTATCTCGTCAAATGGAAGGGATACGGGGATGAGCATAACAGCTGGGTGGATGAGCAGGACGCAGGGTAAGTCGCTTGGTCCCAGCATATGCCATATTCATGCCAAACGCCACGTCCAGGAACGCCCACGACCTCATTGATGAGTTCTGGGCGAGGAACAAGAAAGAGAAGAGGGCTGGTCGTAAGTCCACAGGGGCTCCGGCTGGTCGTCCATCGACGACCAAGGCGCGCAAGTCATCCAATGCACGCGACGAGAGTTCTGAGGTCGAAGAATTGCGCCCGAAAAGGCGAGGCAGACAGTCTAAGGCTAAACGCGAGGAATCGGACAACGAGGTGGAAGAAGTGGAAGAGGACGCGCGGGGAAAGAATGGCAAAAAGGCCGTCACAAAGGCCGCCAAGAATGCTCCAGAGGAGGACTCTGATGGCTTCCAGTCCATGAACCAATGGATGTCGTCGCTCACTTGGGAGCATATCGTCGGACATATTGACACAGTCGAACGTGCGGACGATGGCAAACTGATGATATACTTCACCTTGTGAGTTGTACTGGGGTGTGGCTCATGAGTCTTTTGTTCACATATGTGCGTAGGAAGAACGGGGGTCGGGCGAGGCAGGACTCCGAGACCTGCAAGGAGAAGATGCCTCGGAAGGTATGTGATTGTAATTTATCTCGGAGCATCCGTGTCTTGACACCGCCCATGACAGTTGCTTGACTTCTACGAAGACAATCTGCGCTGGAGAGTTGTTCCGGAGCTCGATTGAACTACCTCATGCCGACGTCTCTCGCTCTCCGTATCTGCTGTTCTTCTGGCGCTTGCTAAGTCTATCGTAGGTTCAGAGTGTTCTCCGATGAATCCCCTCGTGCCCTGTATACATATTTCCTTTGTTGTCGATATTACTCACATGTGCTAGCCAGGCCTCCTGCTCTTGTGTGGCCAGATTTGTTCCCCCCGCTGCAACGTCATCCATGGGATAACGGCCTGCAGGTTCCTCCAGAGGTCAGATAGCAGACGAATGCAACCGCATTCTGACAGATGTGAAATGAGTTGACGATAGTACTGCCTCAAGCTGACACTAACGAAATCTTGACATCAGGTGGATCGACTCAGTCGTACGCCGTCATGACAATCAGACATACTTAGAGATCATACCCCGGCTATGTCACAGGCTAATTTGGTTTTCCAAGCAAAAACTATGCTTAGGTGCATCTCACTAGACTCGCCGCCCGGATATGTACTGAGTGCATGTGGGTAGGTACATTGCACCAGACTTCCCTGCGAATGTCGTGGACACTTGACATTATCGACCGTAGAACTGATGCTTGAGATACCCGCACAAAACTAGACTGATGAACATGGCTGTGCTCCGAAATGGTAAACCTGTGGACGAACGGCGGAGCGAGGCATCCATGCGGCACTTCCAAGACATGCTTGGGACAGTTCAGCGACTGTCTGATCGAGACTGTACCCGAAGTGGGTTCGACTTCCGCGGGGACGGGTTGCAGAACAAGATATGACGACTCGTGCGGTAGAATTTCGAATGAGACAGTAATACAATACCACTTGGATACCACACTCGGGAATCCTCACATAGATGACAAAGCGTTTCACGGCTTGTATTGAAGCCCGTACCTCACAAATTGGAAACTTGTACATAGCACAAGTCGGACTGGGTTGATGTTTTGGCATCAACTGCAAACAGAGGTCGTTGTACGGACAGGATTGGCTCGGACGGGTCACAGATCCCGATGCGGCTGTTGTGCGAATATAATGACCGCCTTGTCTCACAGTGGCTAATGGTTATATCGCAGAAGATCTTGGACTCTGGGAAGATCACAATGTCAAATATTCTTCAAGGTCAGCGAAGATAATAAAGCTTCCGTGACGCTCGTCGATGGGTACAACCTTACCATGACGTGCAACGGCCATGCTATGATAATTTTAGCACTTTGGTCCAGCTGCAATGACCCTCTTTCCCTGCCTGTATGATCCAGGTACGGACATGATGGCACGCCGAGATCGTACCGTGAGAGGCCGACAGGGAGCCTCAACAAACGAAACACCAGAAACAAACCACCTGGATTCACTTAGGGCGCCCATATATGCCCGTAACGCGTTATACGAGGCCGAATGATGCGTGGAAGCACTCGCGAGACCGAGATGCGGCTGCGGATCTTCCTTCGGCGTGCCTATCAGACAAAACGATCCAAGGATGGGGATCATCCTAAAAGCTATTTCGCTCAATCGGATAGGAGGCTACATTGGCATGTTACCTTGCTTGGACTGTACTCCGGCACGACTCCGATCAGAGCTTGTTGAAGTGTTGATCAGACGTTTTGGTTGACAGTTTGTGGCATTCGACGTCCCTCGTGTTTGATGGGTGGCGAGCGTTGAGTATAACTCTCAAATACGGAAGTAGGACATTCTTATGTAATGTACTCATCGGAGATGATGGATTATCATCGAGATCTCCCCGGCGGCGGTCTCGGTAGTGGGACTGCGTATTTTAGGCTGGCATTTGACCTTAGACCAAGGGTTTCTAGAGATGAGGCCGCTGATTCAGATTGTGTTGAGTTGAAACAGGTTGAAACGAATGTCATAAATCGCACAGGATGCAGGACGATTTAGTCTCGGTCACAGTTGAGCCATGCCATGGGGTTTGCGGCCCCGGGCCGGGTTGACACTCCGCGCCGGTGATGGTCTGCCTTCGCTCGCCCATCCTTCTCAAAGCGTGACAAACTACTCAGTCAGGCCAGTATGATCTCTTTCGCGTCCTTCCCGGTTCCATCGCAGAATGAAACTCAGGGCATGACACGACATCACCCGGACGTTGAGGATGACATTGACATGGACGAAGGTTTTGAAGAGGGCTTTCACAGGCTCACTTCTCCGGGTGAGCCGCTCACATCTTCGCAAGCTTTCATGCGGTAAGGCTCGGCAAAAGTGAATCTATCCGATATATGACGAAGAAAACTTTACATACAGGGGACATGGCACCTACATAGATAACGACGAAGTCATTTCCTCCGTGGCAGGCACAGTCGAGCGCGTAAACAAACTCATTTCCGTACGGGCTGTGCGCTCGAGGTGAGAACTGTCTTGGCCTGAGGTACATTACGCTGACCTAGCTTTCAAGGTATAACCCCGAGGTTGGTGACCTCGTTGTCGGGCGAATCACGGAGGTGAGTCGGACCAGGAGACGTATGGGACGGTCGGAGCATACCGTTGTGTTTCAGGTGCAACCTCGCAGGTGGAAGGTGGACGCAAACTCCAGACAAGACGCGGTGCTTATGCTGTCGTCTGTTAATTTGCCCGGCGGTGTTCAGGTGCGTCAGCGACATGGTGCAGGTCACTTTGGCTTATCGGTAATGCATCCTTCACATTGCAGCGCCGGAAACTTGAGAGTGACGAATTGCAAATGCGCACTTTCTTTGAAGAGGGTGACCTCCTTGTCGCCGAAGTCCAGGCGTTCTTTGCTGACGGGGCTATGTCGCTACATACCCGATCCCTACGGTATGGCAAGGTAAGGACCTTCGTTGTCACTTAAGCCCTCGCTGACCATTGTCCACATGCCAGCTACGGAACGGACAGCTTGTGACAGTTCCGCCTGCCCTCATCAGACGTCTCAAATCACATTTCCTCTCACTACCCTGCGGAGTGGACTTGATCTTGGGATTGAATGGCTATATCTGGGCAAGTAAACATGTCAAACAAAGTGAACAAGAGGGTGAAGAAGCCTTCGACGCTGAAGCCGTGTACTCTAACAAGAATGACGTGCGTGTCTTTATTTCTGCCTTGGTTTGCGTCACAGATGATATGTCAGGACATCGACGACGCGACACGTCTCGCGATATCGCGCGTCAGCAACATCATCCGAATTCTGGCAGCTCACTTCATCCCGCTCACGGACACGCTGTTATTGGATGCGTACGAATGGGCGGTAGAGCAAGAAGGCGATGTCAAGGACCTGTTACAGGCGGACATCGGCGATGCCATGATAGCTACTATTGCTGCGCGGGACTGACAACCCGCATACACAACCTATTAATACAACATAAATTGTATCACTACATTCCCAACCACTCCGTTTCGAGTGCACGTGCTAATCGTCGTCGCTTGATGCAGCCTCGCCATCATCGTCCTCTTCATTCTCATCATGCTCCTCGTCCTCGTCATCTTCCTCTACAGGCTGCTGTACCTGAGCGGGCGGCGGGGGAGGTGGTGGCTGGTTTGTGCTAGTTCCACTGGCCATCTTGCGTGCCTGGGCAGCCCTCTCAGCCTCTTGGCGCGCCTCGTCAACGGGATACAGTGTGTCCAGCGCGATATCCTTCCAGCGTAAAGATCCGTTCACACCGCCGCCCGAAAAGCCCATATCTTCGAACAAAGCACGAGATGATGGGTCGTATGGGCGTCGAGGTCTCGCCGCAGGGTGCTTGATGTTGAACGGATTTCCATAAGGGTATGAAGGATGTACTTGTGATGGCAAGACTTCATGAAGAGCCGCACGGATCAATGACCGGGAACGGTCTGACGCGAAGGGCATTGAGACGTACCGTCAGCGTCCTCCGGATCGGGAGGAACCATGTGTGAAGGTACATCGACATCTTGCGAGGTATTAGACGCTACCAGAAGGTCGGCAGCACAACATCACTGACCGTCGTCCGACAGTTCTCCCTTGAGATAATCTGCAGTGCCAATAGTGTCCAGCACGGCGAGTTCATCCTTTGTCATATGTAAATAGCAGTACGTCAGATCCTGTGGACAATGCCATTCAGTGATTATCGTGCATGATCAACAGAGAAGGATCTGACGGTCATGTTTGCGAGGGTACACAGGATTCAGTGAGACGGCTATGGCGGCACTTCCGAAGTGAGACTCGTGAATGTGTGCCACAGGACTCGACGCGCCTGTGGCGTGGGATTTTACCTCCGCGACTCTTTGGTCCGGCCACCTCCAAGCCTCCTCCAAGCTCCCTCGATCATATTCGGCTCATGCACTTCACTATCGCATTGACAAAGACCATTCAAACTTAGATCCTGGATATTTGCCATCTCGAGGTTTCACGCGGAGAAGTCTACAAAGGCTAAAGGGATAACTGACTGGCTGAGCACTTCGCTACGGTAATGTCCCACAAACGGAGGTCTGGTCTGGTTGGAAGCTGTCCTGACCAATCAACTATTCCAATTACGGTGGCCAGGTAACCCAGGATCAACTCAATCCAACATATATGTTATAGCGCCCTCAAATGGATCAGGCAGCAGCTATCGCGTCTACGTTCAGTCTTTCCGGTGTTTCCGCTACGCCCTCGGCTAAGTGCTTGCAGTGGACCGCTGATGGCCAACTGCTAGTGCTGACGAAGTCCGCTGTTCACATTCTGGTAAGATGATGCTATACATGATTGTATGACATGACATGTTTATGACTATATAGACTCCACATGTAGGCATGAGCAATGAGTTAACATCGACTGTCGAGCACACAGAAGGGAAGGAGCAAGATCCCTCCCGCAACGTCAAACGCACCGGATGGCTGAGGACCATGATTGGTATCGATAAGGCGCTCGTATATCAATGGCCTGCTGACTGTCAAGGTGCCGCATTTGCTCGCTCTGTCCCCGTCCTCTCTCCGCTCAGCAATTACCGCAGATTGGGGTGCCGTGGCTCTAGGTTCCCTAGATCAAGGTCTCCGCGCGGTTACCTCATCACCAACTAATCTGAGCGGAGACGCTAGGTGAGACATCTTCGTGCCTAGAATCCGTACCGCACAAAAATGCACGGAACACTATTTTGATCGGCGTTATGACATAGCTGTCTCTTGGTTGTACTCAACTCTAATATGGAACTAGCCTTATGGGGACCTGTGAAGGATTTCCTGAGGGGGGAGTGGGCCAAGGTACGATGCTAACTCTCGACCCATGATATGTCATGTTGACGTCTCGGTAGCTTGTAGATGTAACGGCGGCATTACGAGCTCACTTCGGTGGCCGAGATAACTCGACCTTGGTCAGCACCTTGTGCGCACAATCAAGTTGTAAGCGCGGCTGCGGGTTCACCGTAAGGCACAGCCAACTCAATTTGTAGGCATCGAATGGTCATCACAGGCGGACTTCGGTCTCGCGCCGACGCCGCTCCTTGATGGATCTTTACTTGCTGTCGGAAACCGAGCTGGATCTGTGAGTTTTCTCAGGTATGTGCGATTAATCCAGGGAATCGCGAACGTGCTATTTGACATGGCGCAGATTCTGCGGTAAAAGTGACGGATCTTGGGAAGTACGTTGCGCTGCGACGGTGCCGCTCGCTGACAGATGGGTCACCCATGTTGCATGGTCCTCCTGGAAACAGCTACAAAGCGGAAAATGTGCGTGCCGGATGTAGCCTATGCTCTCATGCTGACCCCGATCCTGTCATAGGCGAAGCATCCCTTGCATGCGGCATAGCTGATGGTTCCATCGTCGTTCTCAGAGTCGTTCAGACTCTGCACTCCGCAGCATCGTCCTTGGGGCTCATTCCCAACCATGACATTCAAGCATCCTTCGAAGTTCAAGACGTCAGGCCCGCGGAGAGTGACGGGAGAGGAATAACCTGTATTCAATGGACGAAACCGTCGGCTGACCTTGTGAGAGCCTCCGATTGTCCGCGTTCCGGTCGCCTCATGAAAGCACTGACGCCATCCAGGACTTGTTGGTCTATTCCAAACCAGCAAAACTCTATCTCTGGGCGATGCCATCCGATGGTCGGCTGTCAAGTCTGCGCACGGTTGCCCTTTCCACGCAGCACCTGTCCATCGGTTCATCTGCCCTAACTCCAGTGGTGGGCGTCGAGCATGCACGTAGTGAGGACGCGCTCATAGTTTCCCTCGCGGATGGCTCTTTCCATGTGGTGCACCATCTCTCTCAAGAGCAACCGCCTGGGGAATCGACACCCGACGCTGGGCTTTCTAGTCTGCAACTCTCCAGGGCTAGTCGAGCTGCATTCGTAGCCGCCGAGCCGGAGAAGACAACCAAAAAGGACGTCAGTCGCTTGTACGGTGTAGCTTCGTACGATAGCCATGCATGGTTCGCCTGGCTCCACGAGTGGGTAACGAGTTCTGTCACCATGCGGTAACTAACGACATTTGAAGATCCTGTCGCCCCACCGACTTCAGCTACAAACACGATGCCCGTCTTACCTGTCTACTTGTCGTTGCAAGATTATGCGAAGTCGACGTGGAGAGTTCCCTTCTCTCCAACGTACGTGACCTTATTGCGCACGCACGGATTGGTTCGTGATTGTCTCATCACAACGGATACGATCTCATTGACGGGTGTCCAGCTCAGAGGGAAAGTCCGCTGAGCTTACTTCGCCCTGCGTTATTATATCTCCAAGACCAGAATGTCCTTGGACCTGTGTGCGGAAGGCTGCTAGGACTTCTCGCGCAAGACATACCTATATCGCTCCCGTTCCCTTGTCTCGTCTCTCTCAATATCACCGATGCCAACCAAGAACTAAGACAAGGCTTTACGCGAAGTCTAGAGGCGTATCTCTTCGGATCGGATGCGATGTTGGCACTGCGAATCCGGCTTATCATCGCCGAGTTATGTGCGGTAAGGTCAATGCCGCCTGTACGTGCAAATACTCACACGAACTATCTTAGCGTATCGCCGAATTGGACCATGATCGACAAGCTTTCGTCGAGGTAGCTGCTCACTGCAACTCGCGTATTCAGTCCCATGTTCAGCTTGCAATCCTCCATCACATACTGTCGGCTCTTCCAGCGTTGGCAGGTTAGTCATATTTTTGTATTGGCCATCTCTATCACAGCGTTGAACGCATAATCAGACGCCGACATACCGTTTGCCATGAGAATGATGGCGCGAGCTTGTCTGCGTGGCTCTGATCCGGATGTTGTCAAAGCTGCTCATGTGCTGTCGACCAAGCTGAGTACCACAGCGACACACAATGATGACCTTACTCTGCACGAGCCTTGTCCAGCTTGCCATGCCCCGATCCCCTTCCAGGATGCTGTCAACGCTGGATGCCCTAATGGTCATATGTGGAGTGAGTTCTCGGTCAACCTTGCATCTCCGCCATCGGTCTGACTCCAAACTCGTAGCCCGCTGCTCCGTGACGTCCTGTATCATCGCCACGCCTATCATTCGAGCATGCAGCAGTTGCAATCAGAAAGCACTACTACCGCTGCACCGACTTGCGAGTCAAGCCTGGATTCCAGACGACGTACGAAACAGCTGGCTAGCTGCTGAACTGTTGAACGCCGCAAGACGATGCCTCCGCTGTGGATGCAACTTTGTGACGCTCCTCTGATGCGATCTGCCTCGTGTACAGGCGATTCCCCCACAGTGGTCCAAGATGTGATCGAGTAATACAATTGCTGTGAAGTCCTCATGCTCAAACAACGCACCCACAGGGCACTTGGTTTCTGCATCTCCGCGCCGTTACGCTGGTACCTATGGAAAAACGTGGCCTCTGCCTTATCATCATCTCAGTTGGCGGCGCTATCGCGAATTTATTGTAACGGTCGCGTCGGTCCAGGACGAGTCATACAAGATCACAGCCCGATTACAGCTATGCGCGGATGAGCAGAGTCGACTTCAGGAGTTCAAAACCCAACCACTATCCTGGAGCACGACAACGACTCGTCAGAGGGTGTAGCGGAGGGGGGGGAATTGTCGTCCTCTTTGGGGCGCTTCAATGCGGTCAGGTCGTGCCCTGCAATCGCGACCAAACTGATTGATCGCTTCAGAGGAAATGCTATGATTGCGTTAAAATACTGTTTTGTGCGCATCTTTGACTTTGCGCTCGCCCTACGTCTGCTAGCGACAGAGCCTGGGCAGAACCCTTCGCACACAATCTAGTACAGACTACGACCTCCGCGTTGTCTCGTCTATGAAGGGCTTTATCGGACAAAAATCGAATGGGCTAGTACCTTAGCGCAGCACGCGGACCGGATCCCGAATGGCCCGAACGGGTCCGGCGGGCTCTATTGGGCACCGCCGTGGAACCTCATGATACCAAACCATCTGGCGCGCCGGCTAGAAATTCCGCCAGATCCCGATCTGTGCTGCCCGATCCCGACGCTGCTCTCTATTTCTGATCGTTTCCTGCCCAATCCCGTGCCTTCCTGAGTCCCCCCGAGCGATCGCGTCACGTCGCGTACCGTTGCCTCCCGCCGCAACCCGACCGTCACTCCGCGGCGCCCGAGATCCCTCCAGGTCTGTTAGTAAGCCTAGCAAAACTCTTAAACCACGTCAGCTCACTCTCCGTTCCTTCTCCTCGTTTACGGCCATGTACCTCCGTATCTCATTCACAAGGTAGGAGAAATTCTGTCCAATGCTGTATATTGTCCAACCCCTCCACCATACGCACATACACAACCTTTACAACCGTAGCTAAGTGCATGATCGGTTGCTAATGGCAGCCCATGTTGCCTCCTCGGTGCTCCACCCTGCAACTCGTGGAGTATCTCAAGCAATGCGGCCGACGTAGTATTAGCCTCAGTGTGCCGAGCATCGCCCACATCTTCCCAACTCTCTCCAAGTTCCCAAGTTCGTTCTTTCCTGCCACCTCTGTTTGCTCGCATACTACCTCACTCCTTCTGTATTAGCGACTGCGACCAGCGCTTCCAGACCACATGAACTTGAATACGAATACCTTCATCGGGACTGTGCAGGCACCGTTGTAAGTCTTTCCGTACTGACTACTCTTTCCTGTCATCCTGACATCTTTTCTGTACTACTCCCAGTTCCGATGCAGGTGTCTCACAGCCTGGTCCTGGTCCTCCGAGTCCACTTCAGCCACTGCAGCCTGCCATCGCCGCCCCACATCTCCGACCCATTATTGGTCGGGGGTCGCCCCTTGCTCCACCAATTCAAGCATTCCAGTTTCAACGCCCGCCCTCGTCGCAGTCGTCCGATACACGGCGAGCCCAAAGTGCGCAGTTACTTACGTTAGACTCGTCCCGCCGGGGCCAGGTACGCAGGCTGTTATTCATCATTCCGAATGGCCCACCTTTTCTGAGCCATCCCCCGCATACTAGGCTCTCGTTGGGCGTTCCCAGTTCGCGCCAGGTGAAGTTGTTGACATTGCCATCATTCCGTGTTCGGTGCGTTCATTGCCTGTCGGATGACATGCCATCCTTTCTTCTGACGCAGCTGCGCGCAGCTTGAACAGGGGAAGCGGCTGTTCAAGGGCAGCTTTGCTGTCTCGGAAGCGGAAAAACGGGCGCTGTTTACCCTTCTCCAAGACCATGGTTGCGTCACTACTGTGACGCTAGATGAAAATGCCCTGCTGAAGCCTCTCCTCGACCAGCACATTCGCCAACATTGCGAGCATCGTCACATTGTCCTACCGACCTCTCAATCAAGCTGGAGTCTGCCTTCTTTGCGTGTTATCAGCGGCGGTGCAAAGCTTCAGTTTGTCAAAGCTAGCGCAAATGCTACGCTCACCTCGACCTCGACCTTGATGTCTGTGAAGAGCAGGTTTGCGAAGCTTCAAGGTGTGCTTGTGCCCGATCGAATTGTCATTCCTGTTGGTGCGTCGGTCAGTCATGTGACCGAGACTCATTGATTCTGAAGTCGCCTGGCATGTCCAATTTATCTAGTCCCCTCCGAGTCTGTGGTTAGTAAACCTATCACTGCTCTTGTTGCGCATGATTATCGGGATCATGAGCGTCCGCATCGCTGTTTTTCATCGCGTTTTCTGGCACTTCTCCGCCCTTCCTTGCGCGACAGCGTAAATACTGATACCTTATGCGCCGATCTTGAGTGTGTTTCCAACCCTCCGTCCCTTCCGACGGAGTGGGGTGTTACTGCTGGTGCTGGTGTATCCACTTTGACTCCTACATCGCCTTCAATCCCCATCCAGCCTCCCATTATGCCGACGTTTCCTCCTCCAAATACTATAGTAGATGGCCCGCCACCACCACGCCAGGCATTGCCTCCCCAGGCTCCTCGTCCTGTTCAGCCCTTTGGAGTGTCACTGAATCGGCCGCATTCGCGCACGTCCACCGTTCTGCTGGCAGCTCCAGCTGTGAGTCTTGATTTGCAAGTTCTCTGTTGATGGTCGCTCATACAACTTATATAGCTTCAGTCCCAGCAGCAGAGTGCGAGTGCGGAGTCAATGGCTATTGACCCTCAGCTGCTTGCACTACGATCTCCAGCTTTGCCAGCCTTACCGCCCGACCTGGGTCTTCCTCCCAATCAACATATGCTCTTCCCCGATCCTGGGCCACTGTACTTGCCACATGATCCCGCGCTGCCAGCCGCATCTGGAGTCCGCCGCTCTCGATCTGCGAGTATGGACGAATCAGTAAGTCCCCACTTCTTGCTGTTGTATCCCATCCTTAATCGGAAACTACCTTAGAGTACATCAACAGCACCATCGTCGAACCGCCAGCGTGTACAGATCAATGAAGACCGCATCATGGCGGAAATGGAAGAGTTTGAAGTCGAACTTGAGGTGCGCGCCTATAATTACTGTTGCTCGGCTGGTATCTCATGTTAATAGTCCGCCCTTAAGATGGATGAAATGGGTGCTGGTTCAGTACTAATGGACGGCTCAGTCCAGAATCCCTTTCTGATGGACGAGACTTCAACTTCAGATGTCCTTATACCAGCTGAGCCACAGGATCATCAACACCCTGCGGCGGTGAGTCTTTGCAACACTGCGGCTTTGAACAACTACTGAGGCAAACAGCAGGGTTGGAAGGCAAATCTCATAGGGCGAGTGAATGTGGACATCGGTATGGCCTTGAAGTTCAAGGACGCATTCCATAAGGCTGCCTCCGACACTTGGCAGCGAGACGATGAGCCGCAGGTATATATCACTGCTCCTACAGCCAAGTTCAGCGCGCGCGCTGTTACCACGTATCTCGCCCAGAAGTTCCAGAACAAATATGGCGACCAAACATCCACTGATGTCTACAATGCGCCGCACGGGACTTCAGTTGATGATGTCAACCTTTCGGGATACTTGAACCCCTACACGCGCGGCATCTACATGTTCGTCCTTCCCACTGAAACTGAGTGCGTGTACTGAATGAAGACTCTGCCAGTGGTCCTGCAGTTGGGCCTGGACCCGAAGTCTCCACGTTCTTCGAGATTCTCAGAACACTTGCAGCACCTCACGAGAATGGTCAATTCGAACATCCATCACACCAGCGTGAGTCTCAGCCAATCCCCGTCCCATGGGGCCTGTGGGAGGAGCGCCATGGCTACGTTGTTCCAACTCTGGACGACATCACTGGAAACCTGCTCGAGGATGACCGAATGGCGGTGCTTTCAGCACAAGGTATGGTAGCGGCGTTGGTAATCGGTCATCACCTTCGTGCACCTAGGCCGATTCATCCCCTTGTGATTCTTTGGGCGATATTGGGTGATCGTGCCTTCGAGATGTCGCTAGAGCTCCTCGAGAAGTTTGATCATGTTGCTGCTCAGGAGCTCCGCCCCTGGTTTGCACTCGGACCAAGTGATGCTCTCCCGTCGGGCGGAATGTATTTGTCGCATCCGATCTGGAGTCTTCTCATGAATCGTCTTGGTATCCAGGTATGATATGCCGAATATTTGCTCGGCCGAGTTTAATGCTGAATGGCGCCATTGGCATCCAGCCTCGCCGAATTGGCTTCACTCTGGATTCGCGTACTAGACTCCGATACACGCGGCAACTCATCTGCTCCATCGTTTTGGGCAAGGTCGCAACATCTGCACCAGAGTTACAAGCATTCCGCCAGGGATTCGACATTGACATCGCTACCAGAGACGCTTTAGGAGCTGATTTGCAGCACTTCACCGAGGTAGGTCTCTTGTGGCTGATTGTGTACCCTGTCCAAGTTGTCTAACCCTGTTCCATTGCAGCTTTTCTCGAAACCTGTGCTTGTATCTGGAGGTCAGAGCGCAATTCTCGACCCGGTTGTCGTTATCAGAACGCTATATGACCGCACTGTGGCTGGTCCCCAGGATGTTGCACGACTCATTACTTTTGAGTTTACTCCAGGTGGGGCGCAAAGCGAACGCAGTCTTTGCGAGCGGATCGTCAAATTCCGCCTACTGCGCTGGCTACATGGACATGGACACCCGGATCATCCCCTGGTCCACAATACCATGCTGCTAGACCATGAATACGGCGACCCTGCAACACTTCGCGCGCGGCTGCTCTTACAAGCTGTAACTGAATGCCAAGATCTCCCTGTCGACCCCCTATGGCGCCTTCAGGTGCGCGTCCGAGTCTCCTACTAACCTACTAAGCTATGACAATCTGACGCAGTAATGGTCAGTTCCGATTCAACCATGCTGGTGTACACACCAGCAAAGTGCCTGTGCTTGATCTTCACACATGTACGGGCTACTGTGTCATTGACATCAACCCATGGCTACACAACGCACTTCTCGAGGAGTCCGATTTTGGCGACCCCTCGGTTGTTACCCTCTTCGACTGCTGGCTTCACGAGCAAGTTGTCCATAATCAACAAGACCACTCCTCTGTTTGAGCGCGCTCCTTCCGTACCCTTTGTACTGCTTTGTGCAAACTGGCCATACATTACATTCGCCTTCCTGTTTTCGTATGTGGTCTAATCACCATTCTAATCTTCTAACCATGGCTCGTTCTGATTGGTTTATAATGATATTCATTGCTGCACCGCTTTTGTCGCCATATTAGCACTATAAGCATTACCAATTGCATCAGTCTGCACGAGTGCTTGATGTACAAAGAATGAAGAACGAATGGATTCGGTAAACTACGTTATTACAGCTCAGGTCCCATGTTCGCCACAAAGGGCAATGGGTCGGCGGGAATAATCTGGCTCTGAGCGAGGTAGTCCGGATGTTACGTTCCCGCCATTCGTGTCGTCGAGGCACTCATGAGCTCGGACTGCATCGGCGGCGATAGTCCGTTCCTGCGCTCGCCGTTGTGCATCGACGTCGACAGCTGGCACCTGGGCTCGCAGAGGGCGTCTCTGAGGGACCATTCCCAGCGGATACATGGGTGTGGACGTGCTCGTGCTTCTTGTGATTCACCGCATGCTTCTTGGATGCATACGTCGCGAGGGGAGAGTGCGAGGGCGCAAGGAGTGTGTATGTGGGTGATGGAAAAGACACGGCAGCGAAGGGGGAGCCGCGGCGAAGGGAACAGTAGCAGCAGTAAAGAAAGAGCAACGGTGGCGAAGAGAGAGGGGTGGCAGCGGCAGTGAAGGGAGAGCACGAGGGAGCCGAAGAAAGCATGAGTGCAATGGAATAGGCGCGGCGACGGGGCGAAGGGAGATGCTGAAAAACGATTGCGGTGTGCGGCTGGGTATACCGATCGGCAGACTGACGAGTCTGGTGCGCGGGATGCTGGAGTCGCGGTAGATTTGAGGGTAGCCACCTCTTGTCGGCAGGCGGAGGCCGACGCGGCAGGCATCAGCGGGAGCGCTGACCGGCAGAGCCAAGCGAGCGTCCTCAGCTGCGCTGCGTGCCAGCGGATCCGCCGCCAGAGAGGGTGTACCTCGCCATCATCCGGAGGGTCTCCGAGGCTGAGTGACCCGCTGCGTGGCACTCATCCTATGGGCAACCGGGGACTGGCGTGGTAAGGAAGGCCCCACGCCTTAAAGTTTGAGATGGGGAGAGAGCCGCCGGGGCTCGAGCGCGGGCACGCTGAGTTCGGTCGCGGGGCTGTACGACGTCGAGGGCAAGAAGCCGTGGGCACCTACGCAAGTTCATGCCCAGTCATCATAGAACCTGCGAGGGAAGTGGACATCAGTTCGTCATATCTGCATTGCCAAACACGGCGATGACAAGAAGAACTCACCAAAAACCTTGCCCGCAGACTGTCACCCGAGCCAAACCGCAACGTGTACATTGACGCACGTCTGCAGTGTCAATGGGCAAAGAGTGCGTGCGCACTTGAGGAGAACCGGAGGGGGTCTGCTGGCCGCATAGGCCGCATAGTCAATGGCCACTTATGACAATTGAAGCAGCCAAAAACATACCTCGTATGGAACCCTGTATCTCCTCCGTCTTCCGGGGATGCTCATTTCGTAGCCGCCGTCTGGCTTCGACGGCTACTTGTTGTTTCGCACGCTGTTGGCCCAGCTCCAATGGGCAGTCGCAAGAGTCGAGAGTTGACACGCAAAAGGGGAGAAGGGTGTATGCAGTATGAGGTTGTCGTGTTGTAGGGAGCCGCGAACCGCCTCGAGTGGATGAGCCTGAGGTTGCCTAGTCTAGGGTTTGGAGAGTCTGCGGTAACGGTAACGACATACGTGACACACCGCGCGGTCAACGTCAACGCACTGTTGGGGAACACGCACGACGCAGTGCTCCGCAGATCCAGTTTACCAGAGGAAAGCAGTGCGGCGAAGGCTGAGGATAGTTGGCGGTCGTCGCTATCAGTCAACGTGCGTAGACGCTAGCCACCACCACAAGCGCCGGCGCGGTGGCGCGCGATTGCAGCAATGCTATTCAACTCCTGGCGGAAGACCGCACTCCCGAAAATCTCTCTGTACGCAGAATGCCTGTTTTATATGCAAAGAACATATCTCCGAATTTTTATTGACTAAACCCTCAAGCTGAGAGTAGGAGGTGGGTTAAGGCCGCACTTTGCGGGCGCGTCGGCAAACACGATCACGTGGACAACGCGCGTCACGTTTGTTTAACGCATGCACGTGTGGAGCGCCTCGGCACTTGGGCCATATAAATGGACCACCCAAACAATGCGCCCTCTCACCGCGCCCCATCGTAACAGTAAAGACATTCTGTCCGGCGGGTGCGCTCTTCTTCTCCCCCTGATTCCAACCGACCGCCGTATACCGCAGCAGGTGCTCTTGCACCCATAGGTAATATTTCATTAGCTACTACGCGCGTCGTCAAGTGCGCGCATACTGAGGTACAATACAGCTACAGCGTCGTGCAATGCCGGCCATCTGGCCATGCCGCACACTTCCGCAACACCTACTCAACAAGCGAGGCCTGCCTGGAACGTTAGCTGGGCCGGGGTAATGGCCCACAGGTGGTAGGGCATTGAATGCGGCCGACGTTCACGCTCTGCACGTCTGCCACGCACCTCCACCGCCAGCGCCCTCCGACCACCGTTCTCATCGCCTCCGAACGCGTCTACTACGGGACCTTGCTTGTCCTACTTGAGATTATACGCCAAGTCTCAGCGTGCCGCTCTGTCTGACGAGCTCGCCCGGTTGCTGACGGACACTGACACGCACCACGGAACGCCTGACATGCACTGCTAGACGCTGTGCAATGTCGTCCTCCGACCTCCACTCTCTAGCCGACTCGCTCGCTGCCGTCGGGGACTTTGACGGCTCGCTCGCCTCCACCCTCACCCTGCCTGGCTCAGTGAACACCCAAGCATCCATGCCTGCTACCACTCTCGGAACGACAGCCCACTCGCAAGGCGCGCATGACTTCAGACCGCGCCCATCGACGTCCGCATCGCGCGAACCCTCCCCGCCCGCGCACGCCGGTCCAAGTTCCAGTCAAAGTCTCTCGCCGCGCACGAAACCGTCTACGATCAAGCTTTCCTCGCCGGCTCGCGACGGGGGCGCCGCATGGGTCCGTGTGCGCTGCGCGGGCACACCGCACGCGCGCTCCGCCGTCCCGTCGCGAGCCGGCGAGCGCGCTCGTGGCCGCCTGTGCGCGCTCGTTGCCGCCTGCACGTGCTGTTGCCGCCACCCGCCGCCGTCTGCGCCCTCGCGACCTGCCACTCGCCGTCCGCGACCTGTCACTCGCCGTCGTGCGCGCCCTCGCCCACCCGCGCCTGCACGCGCCGTTGGCCCACCCGCACCGCCACCGCCACCCGCCGTCCGCGACCTGTCACCCGCCGTGGTGCGCGCCCTCGCCCACCCTCCATGCCGTCTCTCTACTCCGTACGATGTCACGGTTGCCTTGGCCCCTCGCAGAGGCCGGGTGATGAGCTGCCCGTACCGGAGCCCGACAGCATCGACATGTGACATTGTTACACAACCATCGGTATGTACCAGGGACTTCTTTTTACACCGAGTATCACTGACAAATGCAGATGCCATAATCGCCACGGGCCACACAGCCTGCCCACAACGTTGCCTTTTGCACACCACGCCCCGCCCGTCGCGCATCCGCCAACCACTATCTCTGGCCACGTCGTGTCGCCCGCACCCCGACTGCATCCCTCACCGCGTCGCGTCGGTCGCCCGCATTCGCATTGCACGCGAGTCGTTACGCCTGCGCACTGTGGCTCCCCGGTACGCGCCCGCGATCGTCCCCGTCGCGCACCTGTCACTTTCGTTGATTCCCAAGAGGCCATTGGGAAGCTCGCCCGCCGCCGCTGCACCCAGAGCGATGCCCCCGCCGCGCGCTGGCGCCCGTGCAGGCGTCCGCACGAGCGCCACGCGTTTGCATCACGTGCCAAGTCATCCGCGCCGCCCGCCGTCGCGCGCACAACCGCGTCGCTCCCGCCTTTCGCGCGTGCATTCCTCACGCGACACGCCCACGGCGTGCGTCGGACCCACCCACGCCGCGCCCGTCCGTCGTTCGAGTCGGCTACCCGCGCCATCCCGCCACGTCCCCGCCACCTCACTCCCGGCGACAACGACGCTTCGCCCGCCACGCGCACGCTCGCCGCCCGCCACGTCGCCCGCCACGTCGCCCGCCGTGCTCCCCAGTCGCCTACCCGCCACGTCCCAACACGGCGCGCCGCCACGTCCCAACGTGGCACGCCTACGCGCCACATCCCAACGTGGCACGCCCACCGCGCCACCACCCCAACATGGCGCGCCACGTCTCAACTTAGCGCGCGGCCACATCCCAACATGGCACGCCTACACGCCACATCCCATGGGCCCGCCACCGTCCTCTCATCACCGCCACCATCCTCTCCTCACCGCCACCGTCCTCTCCTCACCGCCACCTCCCCCTCCCTCCCTCGCACATACACCCCCACCCTGGTTTGGACCGGCTAGCCAGCTGGACCCTAGGGCGGTCACGTGTCACATCCCCCCTGGATTGGACCGGCGAAAGCTGGACCCCAGGGGGCCGCCTTTCGCGTGCGCATTCCGCACGCGAAACGGCCACGGGGATGGCGCGGTGCGCTGCACAGCACCACATCCCACGCGCCACATCCCAACGTGGCACACCTGCCACGCCACCACTGCAGACGCTTCGCCCCCCGCGCTTGCCTGCCAGCACGCACCCGCCCCCGCCCACCAGCTGGCACCCTTGCAGTTTGTTCTGCGCCACGCCGCCGCCTCGCGCCGCCGTCCCTCACCGTGTCCCGTCACGTACACTCTCGCCCGTTACCGTCCAGCGCGCACGCACTGGCGCCACCCGCGACCTACCAGGGGGTGGATGCGCGACACGGCGCGGCCTTACACGGCCTGTACAATGTGGGCCTGTAACGTGCCACTGCAGTCCGCGATGCCCGACTCGAAGGGTAGCGCCTCCTCTAGCTGCACAGCCACATGGCGCTGACGATGAGGGGCGAGCGATTGAGCATGTCTGGTGTGCCGCGGCGTGAGTACTGCAACTATCAAAGATAGTTGTTTCTCATCTTGCTCTCAGCCATCGATCCGCCATGCTCCTTCCTGAGTGGCGCGACTGACGGCATATACCCGACTTCGCCCCTCTTCAGCAGCCGTGCGCGTCCAGGAGGGTTACCTCCGGTCGCCTGGCAAGCGGACAATCGCCGTGCTGCCTTCAATTGGCAGGTGTCTCGTGCTCGCAACCGCCCGCAGGCAGCGCTGATCTCTATGACGTCGTGAGACAGTGCGCTGCCCGCTACTGCACGTCATACGCAGCGTACTGCCGCTGCATTTCCCACACTGCGGACGACTCCTGACCTGCCACGCAAGACACCTGTGACTCGGGGTGGTGAAGGGCCTAAGGCTGCATCGACCCGCCGAGCGACCTCAAGCCCGAGCCGCCATCGCCCTAGCCGCCACTCGAACATCCTCAAGTCCCGACATTCCTATTTCGCGGGACGTGTGCGGCGAGCGGGATAAGTGGTGAGTCTTCACGTCACAACGCTCCATATGCAGGACTTAAACCCAATATGCCCCGCTCAGCGTATTCGCTTTCCGGCGACATCGTCACGCTCAGCTGCAAATTCGGGCTACGCGTTTCGTCACAACATGCACGCCATTCATCCTCAACCTCGCCAGGAGCCCGCATGGTCGTACCAGATCCACAGTGCGTCGCCGCACGGCTCGCTTGCGGTCATGGGTGTGAACATGTTCATGTTCGCGCTTGTGATCGTCTTCGTGGAAGCGCAGGGGGCTTGTGCAGCTGCTTGGGTGCAAGGTTGAAGAAGTGTTGCTGGAGAACGCGGTGATACTCGTGGGGAAGGCGGATGCTTTGGTGTGCGTCTTGCCCTCTCATGCCCGTGTCTCAACAGCTGACATGAAGTGAGCCAGCCTGCATGCCCTCGTTCGATGACCACACTCTCGCAGGGTTCGCAAATCACCAATCTTCACCAGAGCGCCTGCTCGGCGATCACGCGCCCACATTCGGGTTGCTGTTGCCCGCCCGCTACTCCGCCAAGCTGTCGTATCGCCCGTTTACAGACGCCAGCAAGATGGTCTGAATCGCTCTCGCATACAGCGTCGCTGTCGCACTCACGCACGCACAGCGGACGGCCTGACGAACGGAAACGTCTTCTTCGTGTCCTCGACCGACGCCGGCAAGGACCAGCTCGCGTACGTCAACGACGCCGGGGACACCATCATGATGGTCGACAACTCATCCACCGTCACCGTCGGCCAGAACTGCAACTCCGTGTGTCTGGATCCACACCAAGGACTACTTCACGGTGGGCAGCCTGTGGGTGACCGGCACCGAGCACACGTACCGGGTGCTCCGTGTGGCCCGCGTTCTGGTCATCCGCGGTGAACTGCCAGGCCGAGCGGCAGAGAGTCGTATCCGCGAAGCGTGTGCGTGAGCACTGACGCGGGGGCGGCAGGCAGATCAACACGTCCGAGGGCATGAACCAGGTGGCGATGAACCAGATGGTGCTGCACACTGGCGACGGGTGCACGCACTCGGCGAACGCGCTCCAGACGGACACGCTCGTCAACTCGACCGACTGCTCGAAGGCCGCGAACGAGAATGAGGGGTGCATGGTCACGACGCCGACGAAGAGCTTGTACGGCGTGGGCTTAGCGGCGGACGGCGGAGGCGTGTTCATAACCGAGTTCGCAAATGAGGGTATCTCGTGAGTGCATGCCTCGCTAAGTCGCGGCTGCGCGCTGACGCCTGTGCCCGCAGGATATGGTTCTTCAACCGCTCCTCGGTGCCGACCGTGCTGCAGAGCAACGCGTCCACCATCAACCTCTCTGACCTCGGCACACCCACCTCTGTCTCCGCGGCGGGCACTGCATCGACAAGCTGCGCCTCTCGCAGTCGTCCGCGTCATCCCTCGCCCTCAACTTGAACGACCCGCCGCGTGACCCTGCACCGCCGCAAGTTGCGCCACTGTGCCCCCAGCGCCCCTGCCAGAATCGCCGACGACCCCCGAACGCCGTGTCCGCGATGTTGCCCACACTGATCCGCAAGCAGCACACGTGCGAGCAAGCACGCTAGTTTGAACTAGCCCATGTCCCATGTCCTCGTGGATGGAGATGGTTGGGAGCAGTGTCGGGCGGAAGTGGGAAGAGTGGCAGAAGGGCGATACGTGCACCATCTCTTTGTTTTGTACACACACGCTGGTGCTGACTGATACCGCTGGCTATGTCTGACGGTATATCATAGGTTTGCAAAGGGCTAGAAACACGCATCCGTCCTGTTCTCGGACGCGTCGTAGTCACTCTTCTCCGCTCGCGTCGCCTGGCCAGGTGTCGAGCAGCGATACCAACGAACCCATTCGCGGCGATGCTTTCCCGCTCTTGACGTCGCCTTCACCCTCACCCTCCCCGGTTGGCAAGCAGGCTGTGTTGTTGTTGGAGGAGGAGGAGGATGATGGGATGTGTGAGATGTACGAGAGGAGGCACATGTTGCCGCCGTCGATGAGTCCACGCGCAAACACAACCCGTTCATGCACTGTAAACACATATTATAGGATAGTACTAGTCTTCAAATACATTGCTTCAGCGTGCTATTGGACCTTCTGGCACTATCTGAGGCGAACTGAAATGATCTGATGAGGTATGTCTGGAGTGTCCTGAGGATTCCGGTTTGTTGTTGATTCCGAATCCGATGATTCGACCAATGATTCGCCAGCAACCTCACCTGCGCACAGAGTAGAATGTTGTTTCATACTGTACCCACCTTACTTATGTTGCACTTAATAGAGGGATAGAGCATCTACACATACGTTGAACACCTCAATGCCACTCTCCAGAGCAAGCGCCCACGCGGTGGTGCACGCCACACAGTCACGGCTCACTTCTTACTCAACTTGCTGCAGTAAAATTGTCTGCCAGCACATTCTTACTGGATAGAATGTTTGTTTATAGGTCCAAAAGCACTCTCATCAAATCTTGTGGCTTGCGTCTTGAAGCTGAAAGTAGGATGTGTGTTAAGCCCCGCGTCTTGCGTGTCACAATGAGTGACATTATCACGCTCGTGTCACAGGAGTGCCACCGCCGCGATGGTCAGTACTTCCGCCCCTTGCAGAAGCAAGCACAACCCAACCCATCCCAGAGAATGAATGATCCCGGCGTGGGTGTGTACAAGTCAATGACGGGTGTCTCATCATCAGAACTGAGCCAAGATTTTGTACTCTAGGTATAGCAATCCCGGCAGTGGGACTTCAAGATGGTAACACCGACGGTAACACAGATAGCAGCAACGGTGAGGGTGAGTTGAGCCAACCTACGGATCTAGGATTGTCAGCTAATGAAGAAAATGTTGGTCTAATTCAGATACAAGCCTCGGGTTCAGTGTACTGGATGCACAGAATACCTGGCAGCGCCTTGTAATGCTCTGTGGGTCTCAGTTCCAAGCCCCAGAGAATTATCGCAAAGCCGAAGCCAATAGTGTGTCAAATGCCGGTATGTATTTTGACCTTAGCATGATTGACATTCCCTGATTGCAAATCTGGCAGCAATACATGCCGTTCTGGACGCCCCTCAGGCTCTTGAGAATGAAGGCAGGAGCGTTGAACTTGCCGGCCAGCTGGCACCGACAACTTTATCAGACAATCCGCCACCTTTTGCGCTTCCTGCGGGCCCGCCTGAACAGACGTTGTTGGTCAATACTCAGGCTCAAACAACCGAATCGGTCCTGACCATCATCCTCGCTGGGTTCGATCAAAGTGTCCTTGATAATCCGACTAGTTACCTGGAGATTATCCCGGTTGGGCTCCCTTTCACGTGCGAGCACTTGGTTTCTGGCCTCATCAATGCTCAATGCCGTCCTGGGCGGATTTTACAACATCTGATTGCCCAGGGGCGCGCCTCGACCATTCGTTTTGGCGCCTCTCGTCATGCCCTCGATGTCGCGGAACACTCACCGGACGAGTACTTCAGTTACCAGCGGGGCTTTCGCGAGCACGGAGACCTCGCAGCCATTCTGAACACCACATCTGGACACACTGGGATCGAGCCCTGTGGAACAGGCCTCAACTTTCCCAGTTGTGTCGAAGTGTATGACCATGCTCGGAACATGGATTCCACTCTACCCGACGACGTTCCTTTGTATTCTGTTTACTTCTATATTGATCAGGTGAGTACGGTACATCATCTTAGCGACAATCACCGTGACACCCTCCTGACGCTGTGGCAGATGGTGAATCCATTGCTGTCATCATCTGCACGGGCAATACCAGTCCCGGTCCCAGTCCCCGCCCCTGTTATGGATGCGGTAGAGCGCATCAAGGCTGCGTACGCTAACGTATATAGGACTACCTTCGATAATCGCGACCCGCAGGCTTTCGTACCGCGTCCCTAGATTAATTAGTACATCTTGTATTCTTACTGTAATTACGTAGGCGCGCGCTCGCAGTCATCTCGCGCGCGTCCAGCAATTAGACGCCAGACCTTCTTGAACTCCTACCACACTCGTCCGTGTGCGATACCGCACCGTCCGAACCAGGAGGTAAGTCCCCAGCCGCGCGAGCTCCTCGCTCCTCGGCGCACAGCGCGAGCTCCTCGCCGCTCTGAGGAGAAGCTCCTCGCTGTCTCCTACCCCAAGAGCGGCTCCTCGCCGTCTTGGCCTCCTGGGCTCCTCGCTGCAGGCACGCTTTCACCTCGCGGACCTCACCTCCGCGTACGTCCACGACTCCTCGCGTCTCGGCTCCTCGCCAAGACTCGACGACTCGTGCCACGCTAGCTCCTCGCTAGTGCACGTCGGTATACGTGTCGCGGCGGCTCCTCGCCAACCCGACCGTATATCTCAGGCCGGCTCCTCGCCAGCACACGACCTTCACGACCCACTTACGACTCGGTCGCGGAGCGACCACCAACGTTCGAGCCGCCAGGCAGCCCGTTCCCTCCCAGTGCGAGTAGACGAAACCTCCGTCTCTCACATTGGTGGACACTCAGGGGAACGGTCCACTGCCCCATCGGTTCGTAGGCCCTAACCTCTACGTCTGTCTCCCCTTCGACCCGCCGCTATGACCGCGCGCACCCCCGCGGCGGGCACCTCATTTCTCGGCGACGCCTCACGGCCATCTCGCCCCTCGTCAGCCCTCCCTTCGGGATCAGCTTCACCTTTCACACAAATCTCCGTTCCGACTCCAGAGGGGACGGCCCGAAGTAAAGTCGCATCTATAGAGGACGTAGAGGACTCGGGAGGATCCCGTAAGTTGCCCATTACTTCCTCCCTTCCCCCTCTAGACCGAGTGCGCGAAAGTCTCCGCTCCTCGGTCTCTCCCCATCCGGTCGCTCCCCTCAACTTCCCGCGGACGATGCTCGTCCCGGGGAGTCTCGACGACGATTCCTCCACGGGAGCTCAACCCTCGCACGACCTCAAGCCGTCAACTTTCGTCGAGTCGCCTCGACCTCGACCGGCCGACGGCAGCTCGCAGACGGCGTTACCACCCGGATGGAGTGCCCGGCGGTCGCCTCCTATCACTCCTTCCCCCGCGGATTGGTTCTGCCCCGTGGAGGTCAACAACTCCGGAATGCCTGTCTACGTTCCCCAACCGGTGGCCACGTCGACTCCTTGGAAGTCGAACGATCCTTCCCATAACTCGGCCCCGTCGAACCCTTCGGTCTCGGTGGACGAAGCTATGCAAGCCGCTAAGGACGCAGTCGACAAAGTTCACCTCAAGGATCTAATGGATGGGACGGGTAGATTCAAGGTCCACCTTCGCAAGCCCGCGGAAGCTCAAGCTATCTTCAACGACCTCAACGCGCGGGACGCTCTAGGAAACTTCAGCACTCTATTCGAGGAAGCAAACGTCTTCATCGCTGAAGACCTGGATCCTCGTGATGTCATCGACGCCGCCGAATTCGAGCGAAAGGAAGCTCGTTATCGACTCAAGGCTCGAGCCATCTTGCGTATCAATTACATAGTGGAAGGGCTCGAGTCTTTAGTCAACCAGATGCTACGCCTGGAAGACGCTCACCGCCAATGGAAGACCGACCACGCCAATTCCCTCATGGGAGCCCTCCGGGCGTCCGCATCGCGGGGGCTGCTTTCAGACGCCTTCCGAGTCGTGCAGTACAGAGCGGCCAAGGCGATCACGCTGATCCACCAGCGACGCGCCCTTCACGACGGAGCAAACTACCCTGAGTCCGTCAAGTCTACCGCCTCGGATTTCAGTCAACACGTCCGATCCTCGAACTCCAAGCGTATGGTCATCGACAAGTGGCTCGACCACCCCGACATCTTCTCAAACCTGACGCCCGAATATCAAGCGGTCGTCTTGAGGCGTCTGGGAAACGCGGAAGGAATCGACTCGGAACTAACGAACTTGCAAATTCCGCCCGATCAACGGTTCAAATGGCCTCCGTCCTCTCTGCTTGTAACCCCCGTGGTACATGGAGCTTCCGTGTCGATGGCAGAGAGCGCGGGGCCCCCCTCCCGGACGTCTTCGGCCGCGCGGGTCGAATCGGACCTAACCCGTGCGCTCTCCTCAGTCTCCTCCGAACCTTCCTCTCCCGCCAAAGCAGGAGGAAGTGTTCGATTCCCTCCTACTGTAGACACGCGTCCTCGCTTCTCGCATCGGACCAGTCTCGCGAACCCCGATTTCTCGCTTCCTCATGTGGTCGAAGATGTGGGAAGAAAGGTTCAATTCCAAGAACCTCCTCATCCTCGAAGAGATTCGAGGGCTCATGATTCTGGAGCTGCCGAGCCTGAACCGCGTCCCTCCGAGCGAAGATCTTCCGCGCCCTGGCCGCGAGGGCATTCGGTCGCTCTCCCTGAATCTGCGGCTGCGCAAACAGTGCGCGACGCCGTCTTCCCGTCCTCTCGACTTTCGTCCGCTCCTCGACCATCTTCAGTACCTCAACCTCCGACGCTTGCCTCTCGACAGAGCTCTCCTCAACGGGATGCCCCGCCTCATTACGCTGGCCATTATTACGAACAAACGCGTCAGTCGGCTAGCGCGGACGGCAAGAGAACGTTCGTCTACGAATCTCGTACTTCCGGTCATTCCACGCATGGAGGAAATGTCCCTCCTGCGTCGAGTTTTCCGAATCGAAAAGACGAGAAACGCGGCGATTCCCGCCCACCGAGTACCTCGCACTCGAGTCAGTCCAGCCGGGGAAGAGAAGGTCCTCCACCCGGCGGCCCTCCCGGACCAAATGGTCCTCCAGGAGGCGGAGGGGACGGAGGAGGTGGAGGCGGAGGTGGAGGCGGAAATAACGGAAACGACCACCCCTCCTCTAGGGATCCCTACGGACGACGACGCCCTGATCGGTTTTACGGTGGTCCGCCTGGAGGAGAGCCTCCTGGTGGAGGAGCTACCACATCGGAATCCTCTCCGGATAACCGGCCCACTATCATCATCCACCAGATCCCCGCGCCTAAGGAGGTTGGCCTCAGACTGGATCAGAAAATCACGAGAAATTCAATACCAGGATGGGACGGCAGTCACAAGACGATCCTCATCTACCTGCACAAGATGAATAACCTGGCCCGGAAGAACGACTCTATAGCGCGAGACCTTGGAGCGGCTGCCCCGGACAAATTCACTGGTCGTGCTGAGCGCTGGTGGCAACTTCTCGACTTCCCAACTCAGAAACTGTATTCGTCCGACTGGTGGAACCTTTACGAAGGCATCAAGCTCCAGTTCTTCACGCACAAGTTTGAAGTTTCTCTGCGAACTCAGTATGACGGTCAACGCTTCCGCCAACCCGGCCATGACAAAGAACTTCCTATGGATTTCGTAGACCGAAGGCTACTGTACCACCGTCATCTGACCAGCGCGTTGGAGAACCCGGCCTTCGAGATAGCGGCGGTGATGCAGAACGCTCCTCCCACATGGTCCACCGTCCTCTCGCTCGACTCCATCGAGACAGTCGCCGCCCTTATGTCTAAAGTAGCGGACAAGTCGGACGAGTTGATCGCTTTCGCGTCTATGGCCCCCGCTCGCACTTCGCAATACGAACAACTACTTCATCTTCCTGCATCGAAACCCGAGTCGCGGAACTTCTCCACGGCGCGACGCGCTTTCGCGGCGGATGGCTTACCTGGAAGTGCAGCTTCCGACCTCGATGAGGGAGACGACCCTTCTCTCGCTCCTGCGCCCGTGAACGAGAACGCCGTTCCGGTTGCAGCGAATGGAGATGCCGCACGCGAAGCCCTTGCTCTCAATATCCAGTCGAGGACTCCTTCGTCTCGTCCGACGAGAGGAGCGAGTCGTAGGCCGCCTCCAGCTGGTCACAAATACCCTCGAGACGATTCCGTCAAGAGCAAGCGCCCTCCCCCAGGAGATTGTCGAGTATGCGGTAGCCCCTTCCATTGGGATCGGGACTGTCCTCACTGGAACGAATACGACGTCGGACGGAGGGCTCTACTAATCAATTCTGAGTACGATTGCGACGACCAGGAGAACGAGGAGTACGAGGAGGCGTTTGTCGCCTATATCTGTAGTAACATGAGCAATGCCAGGTTGTCTAGCGCTTTGTGGGCGGATGTGCGCAGGGCTGAAGGGGAACAGCTCGAAGCTTCTTCAAGATTGAAGCGTTCCCTGAGAGTAGCTTGCGAGGACGTCGACGAAATCCCGTCGCGCCCTTTGCATCCTTTGCCGCTCGACCACCCGCATATCCTCGAGGAGATTGACTCTCCCAAACGAGATCATACCAGCTCTCTGGTTGATATGATTGCGGAAGCGTTATCAGTAGACGGCTCCTCTCATTACGAGAGCTACCCGGATCGCTTCGCTGGGACCGCAGCTGCGGTGGACGACCACGTCCCTGTCGCCCGCGCTCCTCCGAAGTCAAGCGAGCCTCTAATAGTTCCCCTGGCTAGAGTGCGCGATCCACCTGCTGGTCACTCGACAGTAGGAGTCGCGGCCTTGTCTTTTCCATTGCGTCTAGGATGTTTGTCACACCCTACCGTAACCTGCCGAGCAGATTCGGGGGCCGACATCTCTTTGATCTCTCAAGAATACCTTGAATCGCTCCCGGCCGCCTCTCGCCCTAAGGTCAAGCAAGGACTCCGCATGAATTTATTCCAGTTGACTGGAGGGTTCCGCATATCGGGGTATATTCAGACACAAGTATACGTCGAGACGGAACAAGGTCATGTCCTTAAAATGACGGCCGAGTGTTACGTGGTTCCAGGGATGTCCGCTCCGCTACTCCTAGGAGAAGACTTCCACGTAAACTACGAGCTAAGCGTTACTCGCAGCGTTACGGAAGGTTCTGCTATCCGAGTAGGAAACACTGGGTATTCGATCCCCGCGTCCTCTTCAGTACGCAAGGACAGGCCCAGTCTCAAGGTGGTGGTCAGAGCGGCCGACTCCAGTTTTGTACGCGCAAAAACGCATCGTCGACGCCGAGCGGATCGTCATAGAGAACTCGTCAAAACCCAACGTCCTTCAGCATTAGCGGCACAAGATGTGCGAATAGCTCCGCACTCTTGTCGCCCGGTGCCTATTCGACTCCCTCTCGGCACCCAATCGCAATGGTTCATCGAAAAGACTGTACTCGGTCAATCGGACGGGACTTTCTTATTGACGACTCCTACTATGATCGATACCGGTCATTTGTACGTTCCAGTGACCAACCCCACGGACCGACCATATATGATCCGGGAGGGCGAGACGTTGGGTCTACTCCATGCACCCGAAGGATACTTCGCCGACTCCACTCCAGAGTTGCTAGCTCATGCAGCTTCGGTACAGACATTTATACGTGGAGCTTCTGATACCCTCCCTGCGGATGATAATGCGTCGGGTTTGTCCGAAGACGTCGACGATCAATGGGGACCCAAGACCGCCGAGCTTCCCGACTTGGAAACCTACCCGTCAAGCGAGTTGGAAAAACTACTGGACATCGGCCCAGAATGGCCCGATGAGCAACGCGACCGACTTATTCGTATGCTACGCGTGAACCAAGCGGCCTTTGCCTTCGACGGACGGCTGGGTCAGAACCCCACCGAGGTCGAAATCAAACTCCAGCCGGACGCGCGGCCTGTATCCTTGCCCATGTATGCTGCGTCCCCAGCTAAACGAGAGGTTATCGACAAGCAACACGAAGCCTGGTTGAATCTCGACGTAATTGAGCCGTCGAATAGTCCTTGGGGGGCCCCCGTACTGATCGCCTACCGAAACGGTAAACCTCAATTATGCGTAGACTACCGACGTCTCAACGCTGTCACCGTACCGGACGAATTCCCTATTCCCAGACAAAACGAAATCCTCCAAGCTCTGTCCGGAGCGCAAGTGCTCACCTCTCTCGATGCCTTATCTGGATTCACGCAACTCATGGTCGCCGACAACGATCGAGAAAAGACTGCTTTCCGCACGCACCACGGGCTGTTCCAATTCAAACGATTACCTTTTGGATTGCGGAATGGTCCTTCCGCTTTTCAGCGTGTGATGCAAGGAGTTCTAGCCCCGTACCTTTGGTTGTTCTCTCTGGTGTACATCGACGATATCGTCGTGTATTCACGGTCCTGGAACGAGCACATCGATCACCTAGACAAGGTCCTTAAAGCCGTTATCTCCTCTGGCATCACACTCTCCCCCCCTAAGTGTCACTTCGGATACACCTCAATCCTACTGCTTGGACAAAAGGTGTCGCGCTTGGGCTTCTCCACTCATCACGAGAAGGTACGGGCCGTTCAGGAATTAGCACGCCCCAAACGCGTACTCGACCTGCAGACGTTCCTCGGCATGACGGTCTATTTTTCCACTTACATCCCTTACTATTCCTTCATCGTCTCACCCCTGTTCGAGCTGTTGAAGAAGGATCATAAGTGGGAATGGACGGCCGAGTGCGAATCAGCATGGCAGCGTGCGAAGGACGTTCTCCAATCCGCACCGGTCCTGGCTCATGCTGCGGCCGGCAATCCATACCGGTTGTATACGGACGCCTCCGATATTGCTTTAGGAGCTTGCTTACAGCAAGTACAACCTATCCGAGTAGGCGATCTCAAAGGCACTCGAGCCTACGACCGGTTGAACAAAGCGTTCGGAGAAGGATCCGCCGTTCCCAGCCTCACCTCACGGATATCCAACAAATTCGACGATAGCCCCCCACCAGGGCAATGGGCCTCCACATTGGACGAAACGACCGTCCATGTGGAGAGGGTCATTGCCTATTGGAGTCGAACTTGTAAACCAGCCGAGCGGAATTACTCAGCGACCGAACGAGAGGCTCTAGCGGCGAAGGACGGTCTTGTCCGCTTCCAGCCTTTCATAGAAGGCGAACAGGTTACTCTAGTCACCGACCATGCAGCGCTCCAATGGGCCAGGACTTATGAGAACACCAATCGCAGACTAGCAGCCTGGGGGGCGGTGTTCGCGGCTTACCTGCCTAATCTCGACATCGTACACCGAGCGGGTCGAGTTCATTCCAACGTCGATCCTCTATCGCGGCTCCCCAGAGAGCCTCCCGCTCACGATTCACCACTGTCCGACCCCTCGATTCCAATTGTTACTGACCAAGTCAAACCCGCGGCCGCCGAGTCTGCTGCAGAACGATCTCCGGCGGTGAAGATGGCAGCAGTCGCGACCATTATTCGCTCTTGGGAAGATGTCCTCGACGCCGCTCCATCTTGGGGACCCTTCAGCAACTCCCCCGTCGACGACTCGGGCCTCGACGTGGGGGGCAAATACAAGTGGAGTGAAGAGGATACCCAGAGCATGATCGAAGCACCGATCTGCTCGGACCGCGAGGATACTCAGAGCATGATCGATTCTCCGATCTGCACGAGAGACCCGAACTACGACGAGGCCCGAGACGACGCCAACATTGAAGATAAGCTAGCAGCTCCAGTCTCTACGAGATTCAAGGAACACCGGCGCCCCCCAGTAGTGCCTACTAAGAAGAAACGAGACAGCATCGCGACCACGGAACAAGATCCCAAGCCGCCCGCTATCGCGACAACGAATCCGAGCACTCTCTACGGGCCACCCGAAGATGTCTCGCTACCGACTGCTCTGATTGAGCTTAGTAACGAATATCGCGAGAAGTTCGTGAAGAGCTACGCCAAAGATGCTTTCTTCAAAATCAAGTGGATGAAGGCATCAGAACCAGGTCTACAGAAATTTGCGGGACAATGTTTCTTCACGGACGACTCAGGATTGTTATACATGCGGACGGGCTCGGACCCTGCCAGACTCTGCGTCCCTCGAGCTGAAGTATTCCCTCTCATTGCCAGGATTCACGACTCTCCTTATGAATCAGCACACGAAGGACCCGCCAAGCTAGCTATGCGCATCAACTCGAGGTTCTTCTGGCCTACCCTGCGGAAAGATGTCAAGGACTACGCCATGTCTTGTGACGTTTGTCAGAAGACGAAAGCCGACCACCGGGCGAAAGCTGGATTCCTGAGACCGAACCCGGTACCCGACCGACCGTTCGAATGGATTTCGTTCGACCTGATCACGGGCTTGCCGTTCTCGGACGGATTCGACGCCATATTCGTGGTGGTCGACCGATGCACGAAATACGCCCTTTTCGTTCCTTGTCAAGGGACTATGAATACGGTGGAATTCGCCCACCTATTCGTACTGCAAGTCATATTCCGCTTTGGTATCCCGGACCATATCATTAGCGATCGGGACGGCCGATGGATTTCTGAATTCTGGAGATCAGTCGCCGAAGAATTGAGAATTCACCTCTCCCTCTCGTCCTCCCATCACCCTCAGCACGACGGCCAAACGGAGATTGTTAACCAGCGATTGGAAACCATGCTGCGAGCCTACGTCCAAGGAGACCGACAAGGATGGTCCCAGTGGCTCCCAGCCCTCGCCCACGCGTACAACTCATCCGTTCACTCAACAACCGGGTATTCCCCTTACTTCCTGCTCTACGGATTCGAACCAAAAGGGTCGGCCGACTTCATAGGCGGCACTAACCGCTACGAGCAACGTCCGTTGCTTGTTAGCGAAAGAGCTACCGAGTTCGTCTTGAGTATGGAACTCCACCGACAAAGGGCTCGTGACGCTATCGCCATGGCTCAAGAACAAGCTGCTCGGACGTTCAATGAGGGCCGTCGCCCGGAAACCTTCCCAGTGGGCTCCCGCGTGCTAGTCAACCCGCACTCGCTGGAACTAGTCGACGTCAAGGGCACTGGAAAGAAGCTCGTACAAAAGATGTTGGGTCCTTTCCTGGTTCAGGAGCAAGTTAACCCTCTTGTGTACAAGCTCGCCATGCCCAACACCTATCCCATGAATCCGGTCATCAACATCGAGCACCTTCGCAGATACCAAGAATCCGACGGATCCGTAATGGGCGTGAATCGCCCCGTCCTGCCGGACCCACGCAACTCGGAGATCTTGGCTGCGGAAGAATACGAAGTCGAACGCATCGTAGCGTGGAGAAGGAACAAGTCAAGAAGCAATCGCCTCGAGTTTCTTGTACGCTGGAAAGGATACAGTCCAGTATACGACACTTGGGAACCCGCCTCGCATCTCGCCAACGCGTACGAGATCCTTCGCGAATTCAAAGCGATCCATAACTTGACCCGCTAGCGCGAACGTTCGACCGTTCCCCTGTCTGACAATTAGACCCCGTATATAGCAACGACCCGTACTGTACAGTTAGAATTACCATAGTTATGCGAAGTTCCGATCGCGAGTAGTACGCGATCCGCGACGGAACACTCCCCACGTGACCGCGTCGCGGAAGTAGCTAGCTCAGCGCCTTTAGCGCGCGACCTCCTCCCTCTCTTACTACCACTCGCGAGTGTTCGAAAGCTCCGAACCTCTGCGCCTCATCCAGACGGGTGTTCGACATTCCGAACTTCGTCTCGTTCTCTATCCTCTCCTTCGTGCTCCCTCAAGAGTGTTTGACTCCGAACCTCCTGAGCGTCGACATGTCCCGACCTTCGAGAGCGACTAGGGAACTGCCACGTTTCCGCTCCTCCCTATGGGTCCCTATGGACTACCAGGTCCTTCCCTTGAGGCCGCAAGTAAGGGATAGAAACTGGCCGCTGTATTCGGCTCACCGGGCGGTCCGTGCTATGGCTGCTCTGGAGGACGGGTCCTACGCCGTCTCACCCAACGCCGATTACGTCCCTTCCCCTCCGCCGGGCCCGCGGGACCACGAGGATGTTCTCTCAGATGGTAGGAGGGGTATATTCGAGCCGGGATTCCACCCGCAATATTGGAGCAGCGCCAGGGGCCATCTGCCCTTCATATACGAGATACCTCCTGGCGCGGAAGGAGTCGACCCTGCGTACGTCCTTCTGGATTGCAAGAGGAATGGACGGAGAGGTAACTTCCACATCCTCAACAACCAGAGCGGCAAGGGCAAGTCCGACTCGGACTTCATCATAGCTTTGACGGGCCTGTACGATGCGGAGCTCCTTCGGGCGGAGGGATTCCTCTCTAGAGATCGAGACCCGCCCAAGTCTCTGGTCCTCCGACCAGCGGACGTCAAGGAAGCTAGGTACCAGTTCGAGTACATCGACTCCAATCTCGAGACGGCCCGCAAGCATGTGGCGACGATCCAGCGCCATTTACTGGAGCTGAGGGCGTACGCGTACCGCTCCTACCTCCAGAAAGCGTTTGACGAAGGGCGTCTTGCTGCCCCATCTCCTAGCCTCGTCGGCGTCGGTTGTTGGGTTCGAGGGTCAGACGAAGACCTCATCAAGCGGTTAGTATGGTTCGGTATCCCCGTCTGGTACTCCCGCCGTGAAGGTCCCGCAGCGTCTCAACTCCTCCTGCGGATCCATTCTGTCGATGGACGTTTGTCCAATGAACCCTGGGACGAGGAAGAGCACGGTCCTCCGCCCGAAAAAACGAAGAAGTCGTCGCGTCGCCAGAAGCAACGCGCCGCGGAATTCCTGTCCGCGGACGAAGATTCGGACTTCGACTGGGAGAAATCCCGTGGCCTTCGCCGACCCGCCCCGGTCGCCGGACCGTCTCTGCCCATGACAGTCCCCTCCGCTCGACCGCTAGCCGGTAGTCCTATTGCCGCGCTCACCTCCGTCGCAGAAGAGGAAGGATGGGTCAATCAGCCCGCCCCCGATCCTACCCCTCTTTCGTCGCCTCCGAGGCTGTCTTCTCCCCTGGGAAGGAGAATGGACGTTTCCCCTCCTCCCCGAGTCGATTCCCCGATGGTCCTTGGTTCTCCGCCTCCTTCGAAGCGGGTTGAGTCTGCGACGAAGCCTTCCCTCACCTCCTCGTCGGCCTCTTCGAGTCAGCTGGACCGGGGTAAGCGACGCGCTTCCCCGTCGTCACGACTGTCCCTCCTGCCTCCTCCAATCACTCCTCTTGCCCCTCTTCGTCGAACGTCTCCTTCGCGCTTGCCCGCTCGTCCCTCGCGTCATCGCTCTCCTCCTCGTCGCGTGTCGCCTCCCCCGCCGCGTCGGGGACGTTCCCCCGCTCCATTGGAACGCGCCTCCCGGCGACGGTCCCGTTCTCCTTCCCCCCGCCGAGACCGTCTCGCGGAACGACAATCCGATCGCCGGCGATCGCCTCGGCGGCTGCATTTCTCCCCGGTCCGATACACCCCCCGCGGGATGAACCGTCCTCCTCCGGGTCAAAGGATTGACTTCGACGACCGCCGTCGATTCAATCGAAGGGAGGAGACGCCTCACGCGCCGACACGAGGGAGGGAAAGGAGCTCTGGGCCTAGTAGGCGTTCGCGAAGCCCCGCGTCGTCTACTGAGCAACGGGCCCCCACGAGACCCGCTACTCCCCCGCCATTGACGCCCTCGCTACCCCTCGAACAACGACTTGCGTCAGCTATTCCGGTTCCTCCCCGTCGATCCCTGCTGGATAGGCTGGAGCCCTCGAGCCTCCTTTCTCGACTGAATCCTCCAGAGATCCCTGTTCTGGAAGAAGGAGAACTGGGTCCCGATGAAAAGCGCTCAAAGACTTCGTTATTCGAACGCATGGGTCTACCCCTCGAGAGCCGGATCTCGGAAGCAACCCCCCACACGCTCCCGACTCCCCCGACGGCCCCAACCGTTGACGAGCTGCACACGGTCAGCCTACCCTCCGGAGTCCCTCTAAGGACCCGCCTTCCGCTGCACTCCGCCGCCGAGGTGGATGAATACCTCCACCATCCCTTCGAGCGTGACGGAAACGTGCCAGTCCTCCGGCTAAAGGGAGAAGACGAGCTGGGTCCCGCGCCGGTCTATCCTCAAGACGCGGGGACGCCGCTACCCTCTCCCCAACTCTTGCTAGCGGAGGGCGACGAAGGGTACCTGAGCACGATCACTTGGCTGCAAAATCGTGGACCCTGTCTTCTACGTCTGCAGAGGAAGCCGGAGGATTGGGTTCTGCGGAACCACCGTCAATGGAAGTCTAACCTCCGAGGTCCTCCTAACTTGGTGAGAGCTGCTAGGACCAATCCAGCTCGTCCCTTACCAGACGGCGCCATCGACCCGTTCCGGAACCCTCTCCCGAACGAAAGGGAGAACGAGATCTGGAGTTTGCGGACGTTCTTGTTTCGATACAATTTCGAACGACTAGCGGCAAGGCGGCTACCAAGTCTCCAAGCGGCCACGACGGACGCAGCGCGGGGGGCCATCTGGGCAGGAGTACGCGACCGTATTCGACGAGCGTGGGGACAAGGAACGACAACATATCCATCCGCCGACGAGCCGCGTTACTTCGACAGTGACGACGACGTGGTACGCATGAGGCACTGGTTCGCAATCGGACGGCTCATGCTCGAATGGAACCTACGGGACGACATCGCTCAAGACCTGCGACTCGCGATGGGGGGCACTGTTATGGATGCGGTAGAGCGCATCAAGGCTGCGTACGCTAACGTATATAGGACTACCTTCGATAATCGCGACCCGCAGGCTTTCGTACCGCGTCCCTAGATTAATTAGTACATCTTGTATTCTTACTGTAATTACGTAGGCGCGCGCTCGCAGTCATCTCGCGCGCGTCCAGCAATTAGACGCCAGACCTTCTTGAACTCCTACCACACTCGTCCGTGTGCGATACCGCACCGTCCGAACCAGGAGGTAAGTCCCCAGCCGCGCGAGCTCCTCGCTCCTCGGCGCACAGCGCGAGCTCCTCGCCGCTCTGAGGAGAAGCTCCTCGCTGTCTCCTACCCCAAGAGCGGCTCCTCGCCGTCTTGGCCTCCTGGGCTCCTCGCTGCAGGCACGCTTTCACCTCGCGGACCTCACCTCCGCGTACGTCCACGACTCCTCGCGTCTCGGCTCCTCGCCAAGACTCGACGACTCGTGCCACGCTAGCTCCTCGCTAGTGCACGTCGGTATACGTGTCGCGGCGGCTCCTCGCCAACCCGACCGTATATCTCAGGCCGGCTCCTCGCCAGCACACGACCTTCACGACCCACTTACGACTCGGTCGCGGAGCGACCACCAACGTTCGAGCCGCCAGGCAGCCCGTTCCCTCCCAGTGCGAGTAGACGAAACCTCCGTCTCTCACAGCCCCTAGCATGAATCCGCTCAGCAACAGCAATGTGGATTTGACAAGCACGCATCATTCTCAGGCAACCATCCAGTCTCTACACCCATCTCAGTCTCTGGAGAATGGGTCAACCAGCCACTCTCATGGGCTCTTGGTAACATCTTCCGACGCTCGGCTCCTACAGCAGTATCTAGACCAGCACTTCCCTGACGAAACCGACATCATCACTGCGATTCAGAGTCGCCAGGAACAACTCCAGAGCAGCGCTAGCACCAGCCGTTCGCGCAGTACCCGGAACCGCCCCCTACCGCTGAACCTTTGGTTGTTCCGATTCCGACAGCTCAAGAACATCCTCTCGCATTTTGGCATCCCAGTCAACAGTCCCGTGGGCACCTTGGAGTTGCGTGTACAAGGGCATTTGCCTCAGTCGGTGGGATCTAGAGTTCAAGGACGGTCAGCCCGTGTGAAGTATGAAGACATATATGAATGGGCGGGAGTGGAGAGAAGCACCGCAGCGAACATTCGCCCTATCTACCTGCAGCTTGAAGCCGCATATCGTGCAAACCATCCTGTCAACCGCGCCCACATCTTCGTCTCCTTACCTGAAGCCCAGCAGCACCTGATCAAGCTTGCTGGCTCTATCATTGAAGGAAAATTCTTTGTTGGGATCGAAGACGAACTGGATGCGGATGAGCAGCTTCCTTGGGTAACGATGAAACGGGAGACCTGTGTAGAGGAATTACGTGTCTTTCACAAGACCTCAGGACGTGAGTCCCTCCGACTCTATCGTGACATAACAGTGGCATATCTCATTATCTTTACAGAATTTCTAAGTGATGCTGTGAGCGGATCTTAAGGGTAGTATTTGCTCTATACGCAGATGCTGTATTCCATAGATTACTCAGGATTGATGGTGTACATCTGCTGGCATATCCTAAGAGCCTCCACCCACACTAAGCGGCAAATCCCCATATCCCGAGTCGTGCGGTTAACGCGGAGTGCAAGCTCTGCATCAAAAGCAGCCACCTCAGCGGGCGTAAAGGGGCAGTTTGGTGCCTCGCATTCGACCACAGACAACTCGCTGGGCCGAGTGTACCCTGGAGAGAATGGGTTTGCCGCCTCCCACTCGTCCGGGTTGTTGGCAAGATGGTGCGCCATGAGCATGGGATCATCCAGGACATCCCAGTCGATCCCGTAGGCCTGTGGGTCATCAACAGTATCAGGGAGTGCTTCGCGTCGCTGGACACGGAGTTCCTGGTGATTGCTGATACCCCGTGGCCCATTCTCAATCATTCCAAAGATGAAGCGGTCGCGAGGGCTGCGGGAGCGGTCTGCAACGTGCCGCTCATGGAGGGAATGATTGTTCCAGGATGCGGCCCAGTCCTGGACATCCACGTTGATGTTTGCCAAAAAGAGATGGTGAACAAGCCAGATGTGTGCAGGGCGCGAACAATGGAGACCGGCGTTGTGTTCGAGCTGAAGGAAAAAGTTCTTCCACTTCTGGCCTACCCCACGGGTGAAGTCGTACCATAGGCGCTCAACACGAGTGTTATGGACGCTCCTAAAGTCATCGTCTCAGTACAATGACAATGACAATGAGATCATTGCACTTGCCTGCCCCATATGTATGATCCCCGTCCATGACCTCGATGCTCATCCTGCCACCGAGCAACTAGCACATTCTCACCACCGTGATCGCCCCGGACACGGCTCGGATCGCCACAATCTGCGCGTGCACGGTGGAAGAGGAGCAAGACTGTCTCGGCACGGTTATTGTTATGCACGCGGATGCCGACAATGTACCGGGACCAGCCGTCAATAAAGCAATGAACAACGAATTTCCACCGAATAAGACCTGTAAAGAAGGCTGCTATGAGTATCACAACGAGTTAGATGCCGCATGTCACGCACCATGCTGACCATCATGGTGCCACAGTGCATTTGGGCCAGCAACCTTGTATACTCGGCGGTGAATACGCCGATCAGCGAAGATATTGCCCGTTACACCATGCACACGAATATAGGCCGCAAGGAGCCGGGTGCGCGGAACGCGGTGGCCCTGAGCACGCAGACAGCCAGCCAGCATGCGACGCCCAAAGTTGGGAAAGACCGAAAGGATGGAGCTTACTATGACGTCGAGCTCGGTATCAGTGAGTGTAGAGACCGGCGAGGTTGTAGACGTATGAGTGCGTGTGACATTCCCAGCATCATCCGTGGCCTGCTGAATGACAGGTGCACCAGGCTCGACAAGGTTGTGCTCCAGGGCTCGTCGGCGAACAGTGCGGCTTGAGCAGTTGAAGACTGGTGCCAAGCCAGTCGGTCCTCGCATCTGTAAGCTAGTCTCCAGGAACGTAGGGTTGATTTCGACACGTGGACGTCCTCGGCGTCCAGTTCTTACACGTTGGGCAACAACCATGGGTGGTCCTGCTGGCGGATCCGATGAGCGGTGGACTGCGTCGTCAAGGACATCGACCATATTGGAGACACCAAGGCGGAGGTCATTGAACTCTGCGGGGCGAAAGAGTGCGCAGTGCTGTGCAGAGGGAAGTTGTAGTGTTAGCTGAATCAACGACTTAAACAAGATAGGAAGCGTACGGGCTCTGCCTCAGCAAGAAATCGCAAAACCTCCTCCCTCTGTAGCATCAACCTGTCTGCATCGCCGACTTGGGTCTGAGCGGCCGTCGTTACCCGATCACAGAGCACAAAATATGCTGATCGGATATTGTCGACAAGGGTGGTAGACCGGGCAACATCCTCGGCAGTGCTGTCGATGTTATCAACAAGGCTGGTGAGACTTGTGCGGAGGGTTGCGAGCTCGTCTGGCGGTATGAGCGCATGACTCTGCGCATGTTCAGGCCAAAAAAACTAATATGAGGAGCGGATCATACCTCTTCTGCTTGTGCATATAAGCGCAGAGCGGATTCCCGGTAAGCAGGCAGCATTTCGGTGTAGTCTGCCGTGCTGTGGAGTAAGATCCAGGCAGTGCGGTCACAGAGAGCTCGATGTCGGAATCGTATTGCATGTAGTGTGGCGAGATGCATGACAATCGCACCATCGAGTCCATGGAGCATGGTAACGAAACTGTGTTGAAGGTTCCGAAACTCATCCTCCGGAATAGACATGTGCTCCTGCCAGGCCAGTATTAGTCAAAGACAATAGTACCAGAGGTAAAAGGACGAAAGGCGGACCTGATCCGCATAAGTCTGAAGGCGGAGAACATCTTCCTGCCGCTGAGCGAGGATATCAACATCAGTGGCGTCAGAATCAAGCGCAGAGCGGACATCTGCTGCGAGAATTTGGAAAGCTGTACGTATGTTGAGGAGGACAGCAGCCATGAATGAAGCGGGTGATACGAGCACGAAGAACGAGCCTAACCGGCCACCTGAGCAACACCAAATGGCTCGGACTTGCTGACTCAGTGAATTCGCAGACAATAGGTGACTTTTATTCTGCAGCTCGCCGTGGCGTACAACACAGAAACTACGCTGCGAACTGAAGCGGGCGGTACAAGATCTGACGTGAAGTTAGATGGAGTGACAGGTAATGACAGGACGGAAAGTGACGGGAGCGGACGCGAAGGGACGGGAGAGGACGCGAAGGGATGGGAATTAACAGGAACCGACGGGAACTGGCAGGAACCGTCAGGAATGCACCATTTCGTATGGGATACATGTGCATAGCAACTCACTCAGTCTAGACATAACCCATTTAAGTCCAGGCCCATGGGTAATGCTGTCATGGAACATGAACGGACAGGAGAGGCGTCGAAGTGAAGGGACAGGGCGGGACATGAAGGGACAGGCTGCAACAGGACATGAACGGACAGGAAATGACGGGATTTGGCAAGATATGACCGATTTCCTTTGGATCCCGTTAGATCCGATCGGATCCCGGGACCTCCGAACGGAACACGACAGCTATGACAGTATTGGAACAGCTCTGACGGTATACTATGCGCCGAAGTAAGAATCCTTGTATTCTGATGGGATTCCGCTACATACGGTGGACTCACGTGGTCGCGGCTCCCTAAGGGCTATATAGGCTTGCAGCGAAGAGGTTTTTGTCCTGTGCGGACCTTGATACTCGTCAGCCTCTGACGAGGCGTGAGCACCAGCGTCTGTTGCGCAATGTGCCCTATCATAGTGATAGTATCATGGGAATGCTGGCTGCGGCGCACACGGCGGTCCTATCATTGGTATATATTGCCGACCGTCGAGCGTTCCCCCTCAGTTCGCCCTTCTCATCGCACTACTTGATGGACTATTGATTATTGGCGATTACTCACGATATCATGGGTTTGGACCAACTCGAGACAAAACTTGGTGATCTCCCACTCCCCAGTGGCCATGGCTATCAGCCTGGCCCAAACCAACAACGGCGATCTTGGCGACATGCGGCCGTACTTCAGTCGATCATCGTATTGGCGATCGTCTACGGCATCCATATCGCTCTTTCGGAGCGTTTGCCTGCTTCTCTGCAGCTCTACGAGTCCCCAACCGTAGCAGACTTCGACTGGCACTCGGTACGTGTACCTTGCACGAACGCGCGCCAGTGCAGACGCTGACTTTCATTCGCCAGCTCACACCATCCGAGAGTATCAACTGGACGCCTTGCTTCGATGAATACCAATGCGCGCGTCTTCTCCTGCCCCTCGACTATCTATCACCCGCTGGGTATGGCCCCAATGTGACCATTACGTTGCAAATGCTGCCTGCAACAGACCCTGCGAACTTGAGGGGCACGATTCTGATCAACCCTGGTGGCCCCGGGGGGTCCGGAACTGACTTGGTCAGAAGCAAGGGCAAGGACATCATGCGTATCTCAGGCGGGTTGTATAACGTGCTTGGCTTCGACCCGCGCGGCACTGGCGCCAGCACGCCCTCTGCGCAGTGCTTCGACTCGGATTCCCAATACAAGATTTGGACGCTCCAGGCCGGTCACCAGGCATTGAACTTGAGCGATGGATCTGTTCCGATTGCCCGTGGACGCGAGATAGCACTCGGCCGCAAATGCGAGGAAGCCCTCGGCGGAGTCGGCAAAGAAGATGCGAATGGGACCGCGGAGGAATGGGGTCCGGGAAGATTCATGAGCACCCCGAGTGTCGCTACGGACATGCTGCAGATCATCGAGAAGCTCGGAGAGGAGAAATTGAAGTATTGGGGCTTCGTGAGTACTACTCTATATTGCGGCGATCTATGTCAGCCGCTGACGAGCAAGCTTGGCAGAGTTATGGCTCGGTCCTTGGTCAGTACTTCTCGGCCATGTATCCCGACAAGGTCGAGCGTGTTGTGATCGACGGCGTCTTTGACGCTCATAACTACCGTAACACGTCTTGGAACTCCAACCTGCTCGACACGGATGCAGTCTGGGCTTCGCTGTACACTTTCTGCCATCAGGCTGGCCCCTCGAAGTGTCCTCTGTACGAAGACACTGTTGAGGCGATCCAAGTCAGGGTGGAAGCCATCCTCGGAGGCCTCAAGGAGCACCCGATTGCTGTTCCTTTCGCTCCTGCTGGCCCTTACGTCCTGACTTATAAGGCAGTTCATTACAACGCCTTCCGCTCTGCCTATAGCCCCACGAAGCTGTATGCACCCCTCGCGGATACGCTTTTGGCCATAGAGCAGAATAACCAGACCGCCTTGGAGGGCATGGAGGAGAAGTTCGGTGCAGGCGTGAAGTGCAAGTGCGACGACCCTCCACCATGGGAGCTGGACCACCAGGCGTTCTATGCGATCGCCTGTGGCGACGGCGAGCCAGTGACCTACTCAGATGAAGGGTACCGCGACTGGTTCGAGGACCTCGCAGCCACGTCTAGCTTCGGCTCGCCGTACTGGGGCAAGATGTATCTACGCTGCTCATCATGGCGCATCCGGCCGAAGTGGCGATACACCGGGCCGCTCGCGGCTGCGAACACGTCCCATCCTCTGCTCATCGTCTCGCCGAGGTACGACACGGTCTGCCCGCTGAGCGACGCGAAACGCGTGCATGAACGCTACTCCTCGGGACTCCTGATTCAGAACTCGTACGGCCACTGCTCGTTGGCTGCCCCGTCGCTCTGCACGGCGAAGCACGTACGTGCATATTTCGAGAACGGCACGTTGCCGGACGAGGGGACTGTATGTGAAGTGGACGAACTGCCCTTTGTCGGCACAATTCATGGAGAAGTGGATGCCATGTCGGCGGAGGACCGGGAGCTACTCGACGCGTTCAGGAGTCTGGGCGAAGCTATCCCGATGACGGGAGCGCTCTAACAGGTTGGAATAATCTGGCCACAATGTGACAGGATGTTGAGAAAGCGCTTCGTGTTTCTTGTGTTGTTGCGTTTGATCTTTGAGAAGAGCGGAGAGCATACCAAGTTAGAAGCTACGCGGGCGTCCAGGCTGAATGGGGGAGAGGTAGCTCAAGCGTATGTTCTCAAAGAGCTGTTTCGATCAATTTCAGTCCAATTGAAGACATGTTTATCACCGCGCCATTCAACGTGCCGACTGTGTTTTTCGATGTGCATAGCTGTATGATGGCGTGCACCGTCACTTAATCAGCCGATGGTAGTGTCGACTAGGGCATCGCCGACCTTGTCCGATTTTGAACCAGAGAACACAGGGATCTATGATGGACTTCGAGAGCATCCGCTGCGGAGCTCGTTTCGAACAGATGCCTTGTAGAACATAGCTACCACAGACACGAGTCTCACTGCGTAGCATGCCAGGCCCAGGCTGATCTCGCGTTAGCTCCGTCAAAGCGGCGAGCAACAGCATGAGGAGGTCACGCACGTAGGATCATGCATCGAGCATATTCTGGCCAGCGCTGACCAGCGCCAGTGATGCCGCAGAATTCAAGACGTCGGTTCACGAGTGCGTGAGCCTGACGCAAAATCGGGTTTGTATAATCGGGAGAATAAGCAGCATCCCGCAGTCAAACCACATGAATGGTGAGGGCGGGAACCATAGAACGCCATCCATCCTCGTACCCAGGGCCCGCAGCGCTTCAGGTTTCATGCTCTGGATAACGTTGCACGGGCAGTCCGGACGCTGAGACTACGAGCGTGATGCTAACCACCGTGAGTGGTGTACATACATCCCGCGAGAGGTACAAGAACGCCTATACATGATGAGATCGCACACTGATGCGAGGAGAGAGAAAAACGACACCATTCATGCATATCGTAGGTCGGGTTCGATACTGTCATTGTGTTTGCACACGTGAGCGACGTTGCGCGTAAACTGATAGAGTAGGGCCGGGAGCAGCACCTCAGCATCCCAACACACGACCACTCTTCCCGCTATATCGTCGCTCTGTTTGCCAAATTGCAATGGATCGTGGTTTATAAACGGCTTTCCTGTGGTCTTCCCTTCAGTTCCTCGTCGTGGTACATCGTCTAGCGTTCAACATGCAGGTCAAACAAGTTGCCATACTCTTTACCGCTCTCGTACTACCCTTCATCGCCGGTGCCATGGGCGCCCCCACTGGTGACGGTGAGCACCGAGCCGTTCTTTCGTCACGGTTTCACAATAACTGACGAGTGACGGTCCTAGGTGTCAACATAGCCGAAGAGCTGGCGAAGCGACAGTGTCAGATCAGTTTCAGTTACGCGTACTGCAAGGGCAGTGAGTGTACTTCTCTCCCCTTCATCCTTACATGTGCTGAATGCCGCTTGCGTAGGTGATCTCCTCGACAACGAGGAACTCGAGGATGAGTGAGGCAGCTCACAGGAACCCCTGGAGTGACCCGCATTCCCATCGTAGAGGTGTGTGATACACATACAGCGACCATCGCCAGCTCACGTTGCATGCCAGTGCAATGCAACCCTGTAGTGTGTAAGGACGTGACGTTAGGTGGTATTAAATGAGTGTTTGCGTACTTGTGACAATTCATTTGAGCGTATCCACGAGAACACGCCTAAGTCGTCCAGAGTTTGACTCGAGAGTCAAACTTCCCTGAAATCATCAGCACACTCGCAAAAGTCGGCAGTGGTCAACGATATTCCCTTGCGAATTCTACACAAAGGCGAAACTCCTCGATCATGATGACCTCGCGAGCCGAACATATACACCATTCTATAGTAGGCCTCGAGGGTGCTCAGCTGAACAACGGCGCTCCGCTGACGGGCTATAGCACTGTATCATAAATCGCGTCCATCGGAAGTTAAGCAGCCTGCACGACGGGATATCAAGCAGGGCAATGAGACCTCCATTAGCGAATCGTGATAATAAGTGCTCCGGTCGGAGCCGCACGCCCGTTGAGTGCATTTGGGAGATGAGATCGCCGTCCAATGCCACACAACGGCCAGCATTCAGCAGCTCCTGATACGGGGTCCTGCGTGCCATATTCCCCGGGAAAGCATTCCATGAGAACCGGCGGCCACTGCCCTACGAAAGCAACTCTGACTTCGTCCTACGGGACTGACACTCCCCAACACCCAGGGACGACGAGTGTGGACATGTCGGAAGCGCGGGTGACGGTTCGCAGCCACGTAAGTTCTGTGCATATCACGAAGAAGTTCGGGCGTTCTGAGCGCCGGCTCTTGACTTCGTTACACCGGTCTCCTACATGAGGTACGGAGTAAGGAGGTTTAGTAGCTGGTACGCACTGTGACCGGAAGACGTGCTAAGTGGCATCAAACGTGGAACGCACAGCGTTGTGAAGTGAGGACCTCGCTGCCGGATAGGGCACAGAAGATCAGACACATATGTCTATTCAGACGGTGAGGGTGCGTGGCCCGGCGGTGAAGAGGAAGGGTGGTTCGACACACTCTGGACGCGCTCGTAGATCTCCCGTTTCCGATGGGACTCCTGCAGATCCAGTTCCCTTTGACGTGTCTTCTCTCGTCTACGCTCGTCGTCGCGCAGCACTCCTTGGAACATCGTCTGTAGGGAAAGATGATTCTCGTGAACAACCAGTCCTATGTACCACACATACCTCGCGCTCGCGGATCTGAAGGAAGTGCACTCCCCAAATGACAAAGGCAGATGCACAAAGGGCGCTGACTAGCGTGATCTTGGCTGGACGCGACATAACAGCCTACGTCGTGCGTACTCAGCGCAGAGACGCCCCGACGTTCCTAGCAGCAAGTCTGTGAGTCGTGGACAGGTGTCCGTGAGCGTTACGGTGCATACAGGAAGATCCCGTGTGGCCGATGTGGCGGACAGACCCTCATGCCACGTGTCTCCACCGCCCACAGTGAGAGACCAGAACTGGAAGGCGTAGTCCTTCCGATCTGTAGCTCGGGCACAGCGCCGCGACGGCCTCGAGAAAGAAGACAGCAGACGAACGTCGAGCTCGCTGGAGGTGTGTGGCAGGCTCATTCAATAGAACGATGAAACAAGATTGTGATTGACGAGACAGACGGTTACAGATGAGCCCGTGGAGTTACAATCCGATAATGCAACAACACTAGAGAGACATTGACGTGGTGGAGGGCAGCGATGTGAGTACAATGATAACGTGAGCGAGTCCATCGTGACAACATAAGAGGATAAGTTAGAAGAAGGAAGTCATACAGCCGGGTCATAATGAGGATCGGCAATTTTGGTTAGAGAGCGCAGGCAGCAACCTCCGCGCGCGATGATCCTGAGTCGCTGGGTTAGTATGATCCTGCAGCGCTTGGAAAACAGCGAGACTCACCATGTGTCCTTTTCATAGGTCCAAATCCAGCGTCCAGTCATGGAGGCGACGCTTCATCGGACGGTCCTGGAGGGTCGCAATGCTCTCCCGTGTTTCGCCGACGCCAAAGGTAGGACGAGGAGCCGGGAACATGGTCGGGGGCCTCAGGCCAGAGAAGTCCGCATCCCTGTTGGGCGAGTACAGCTGGGATCTCTCCTGAATCTCGCGCAAGAAGTTCAACGCGAGGACCTCGCTGATGAGCAAGGGGGGCCTGACATCCTCGGTATCATCCTCGTCCGACTCGTGGACCGACTCCTGCCTGGTATGAGGGATCTCCTGCGCGCCTCGAGGACGACTCGGAGGAATACGAGCGAAGGGGTCATCAGAAGCCCCTGTAGTTTCGTACGTCGCGTCCTTCCCCTCACGGCCGTTCGACTGGGCGGCCACACGTGGCTTCTTGGGGCTCCTCGGGACCCGGACCTCCTCCTCGGATTCGGAGACCGCGATAGACATCTTGCGCGAGCGAAGGTCTAGGGGGAGGGGCTGGAACCTCTTCTGCGACGCCGCAACCTCCTCGGCGGCCAGCCGTCGCATCTCCTCGAGGGACTCGAAGCCGTGCGTCGCGTGCTCGAACGTGAATTCGTGGTCCTCCCCAGCGATTGCGACCGAACCGCTATCGCCGATCGTCGAGAGAGCGCGGTGACGCGTCTCGGGGGTGGTAGGCCATGCGCTCTCGTCGGACGACATCGAGGACCGTGGGCTCGTGAGGTCACTGATCGTCGACCGGGACTTGGTGGGGGAAGGGGGCATCTCCTTGGCGAGGGCGTCGAAGTCCCCGGACCTCAGACGCGCGAAGAAATCCTTGAAGCGGGCGAGTTCCGTCGCCTTGCTCGTAGAGTTGTAGGAGTTCATAGTCGTGAGCATTGAACAAGAGGGAGAAAGGACAAAGAAGCGCCGGAAGCGGGTGAGTGAAGGGCAGGGTCTGGGCTGGGGTCCACGGAGGGGATGCTGACGGTCAAAGCGCAGGGTATTTATGCGTTCGTCGAACTGTGGCTCCCTCGCGTCCACACACTCACGTGAGCGCGAGCCACACATCCGGAATACAAGGCCATGGCCAAAGCGGCAATGGTTGCTAGTGACCACACGATCGATAGTGCGTATCTATTGATTCCTTACCTTTCCATTGTTCTCTGTTTCAGGACAGCCCGCTTGGCCCAGCAAAGACTGTTCTTCCTTTCGATTTCTCACATTATGTTTCACTGACGGGCTATGCTATCCGTTTGCCAGCATACCCTAGTCCGCGGCAGTTATGATAACGGTATGCTTCTCATGGCCGACCTTATCCACATTCATGACCCTTCCTCAGACCCGGACAATTTGCCGGGACGTGGACGTCGTCGATGTCCCTCCCAAATTCAACTCTGCCTGCGGTGGCGTCCCGGATTTAGCTTTCGACCGCGTAGGAAGGGAACTAATGCATAGCATTGTGTCTCTTTGGGGGTCATCACGGCTCGATTTACGCTGAAATCCATGAGCTCTAGCCGTTGCGTTTCCCTTCTGACGGTAAGTCGCTGTCACTGGTACTTATGATTATCAGAAGACCCGCGCTCATCTCTATATGCCCCGTCTTATCGATCACTCGCCATTAAATTAACAGATCAGTCAACCATCAGGGTCTTCCCATTTATTGCAATGCAACACTGGACATTTTGGACTCATACCGGCGAAGCCGTATACGCCGCACGCGTTGCTGCGTCCTCCTACCAAGGTTCCCTTCGTGCATGTATCACGCCATCGGCCCTACGGATCCAGACCGTGGTGAGTCTATCGTCCGATTCGTCTCCTTCCTCCTCCCGCGCGAACCACGTGCTCCAGGAGATCGTCTGCAGAGACGGCAGGATGCTTGCGATCATAGCGCCTGCGATGAGCTCGTCCTGCCGAACCAGCAAGGCGTGGTTTTGCACGCAGAGTCCGCAGCCGTCGGGGCCAATTGGCCCGTCGCTGTACATGATGTAGGGCCCAAAGCGGTGCTGGAAGTGGGCGTCGAAAATATCCGAGCTGGAGAGCAAAATACCGAGGAAGACATGCTGTAGGCGCTGCAGAGGCTTCAGGGCTGTTCCAAAAGCTACCTGAAGCAGTTGTCAGCTCGCAGACCGCCGACTAAACCATTGAAGCGGAGAAAGCTACCGAGAGTTCCTTGATGCTGGGGTACACGTCCGGGATCGGCGAATGGATAATGCAGGTTGACGATTCCTCGAAGCAGAGCCAGCAACAACCTTCGTCGAAACGCCCGATACACGTCACGTCCAGAGTCTCCAGAGCAGGGCACTGAGCAGCGACTAGACCGAGTATATGCGTGTCGATCCGAGGTACGTTGAGCAGTCTCAGTTCCGTGAGAGTCGCCGGCAGGAGGCTGAGTAGGAGCTTGACACGCTGAGCCTGAGTGGCAAGTCCGTCGGGCAAGAAGTCGAGCTCGACGACTTGCAGGTTCAGCAATTTCAGCAGCAGAGTGGGTTGCAGCGTCAGTACGTCGGTGGTACACTTCAGCTTGCTGAATATATGCGTAATGAACGTCAAGCAATGCGCATATAGCCAGTGGTATGTCAACGGGTACTAACCGGACCCAGGAGAATATGCCTGGGATTTGACAGCAGCGAGACCAGTGCCGGCTTGATACAGGAGCGAACATCGCGAAGAAGTGTCTGAGGGCGATTTGGCGGAGCACATAGGAGGCAAGGGAAATGTTGGCGATGCGAGAGAAGTCTTTATGCTTGGCTACAGTGATTGCAATAATCTCATCGAGTACTTCGACTGGAAAATACAACTTCTGCTTGTCTTCAACGGCTTGCTCTGTGGCACCAACGGGACGTTTTACCTTGTGGGTGTATGTATGCTGCGACGCTTGAGACGGGTTTCTTCTGAGTGGGTAGACGGAAGGCATATCTTCTCAAACAGATGGAAGAATCGACCAAGACTACTGGAGCAAGCACCGAGGATGGTCGTCCGTCTCAAAGGGTCCAAGATCCCCAAGTTCTTGCTGAAGTACCGACGGTCAGTAAGTCGTGACCGCGACAGTACGCGTCTGGAAATATATCATGTGACCGTAACGTGAGAGCACAGGTTGTAGCGGTGCACCCACGTATGGGACCGTTTCGTTGCCCGTGTACTACTACGGTGTAGGGTGGACGGATCTCACTCGTGAATGAACCACATCTGAAGACCACTCATCACAGATAGAATCACGCCTGTGAGAGCGCGGCTTCCTGAGCGCGGCTGCGCCGATATGGCTCGTCCGCATCCACAGTGCGGAAGCAAATGTCGGGAATGCTGCCATGAGGGCGATACTGCGTAGTACACAGTCGTAGGGAGCCAAGAGTAGCTACTGTATAGCAAGGATTGAGTACGCCAAAACTTACCATCGACTGGAAAGAGTGGATGCAGGCAGAGTGCTAATGCCGAGGATCCGACGACGGAAGTCGGCGATAGTATCAAGTACCCAGGCAGCAATGTAGACGATACATACCGGCTACAACCTACAAAGACCAAGGAGATACATGCATGCATTCGAATCGCGTGCAATCAAATTGAGTGCGAGATATTAGGCGGATGGATGGAGCGTGCAGCAGATGACAAGGAGACGCCAAGGAGAGTAGGGTACGACAATGCGCCCAAAAGCAACAACACGGCAGATAGTACATACAGGAGAAAAATACAGGAGGCGTGGAGCATCTTTAGAGGCGTGTCACAGCTTTAGCATCAAGCGGCATACCTACAAGGAATTAGCATCTGTGCGCGGCCAAAAGGGTGCTACGCATACCGGAAGGGTCGATACCATTGGCAAGCAGTATCCGGTTCTGCCTAATCAGCCTTGCCTGATCAAAGCTACACAGTCTTTTCAGCATGAAGCAAGCCAAGAGGAAACACTGCAACTCACTTGACTCGCTCACGACGCATAATCTCCACAACCTCCTGTGTACCACGCTCGTCCAGACCAGCCCTCGAATCGCCCTCCCGAATGTTCGCCTCGATGTCGAAGCTCGTGGAGGTCAATCCCGCATCGGCTTGCTCAGCAAACGTCGACAACGGTGTGTAATGGCCAAGTCTCGGGAACATCGACTTGACCGGGTTGGGAACGTAGGGGATGAGCGTGGTACGGTAACGGAATGTCACTGCGGAAGAGATCGGTCAGCCTGAGAGCCCTACCCAGGGGCCATACAGAGCATGAAAGAGAGGTAGACGACGTACACATTACCAGTAATGCTGATAGGGCGAAGACGGACAACCAGAACAACATCTTCGAGGTGCTCGGGTTTATATGATGGCGGTTGCTAATGTGGGGAGTTGTATGGTATTGCCGACAGAAGCACTCTTGTTATTGGCCGCGGGCCTCGACTGGCGTCCGAACCCCACGTGCCCGCACCCGCTCACTGAGCTCCTCCGGCGTTCTAACTTCTAAGTTCTGGCCTTATTCGGGAGTCCACCGCTACATAGTCCGAGTCCTCTTGTGCTCGTAAAAGTATGCCTCAGGAGCAACGTACAGCCATCGATACAACAATGAAGCGTGGGAGATGCAGTTGGAATCGACCTGACGGTGTCAAGATGCCGAACGGAAAATACACAGCCCTGCTGGCCTCTGAGTCTATGCTCCATGTGCGGGTAACTCAAGTACTCAAGCTCAAGGTTCAGTCAGACACGCAGAAACACCAGGACGTCTGGATCGTTCATATCTCCTCTATTTTACTATCCTCGTCCTCTCCCTCATCTTCCACCACTTCCACCATCCTGCTCGGAGCATCGTCCTGAGTATCTGAACCCTCATCTCTCTTCAAAAAGTTCACAAGACGCTCGACATGCTCCGAGATCTGTTACAAATGTCACTGTCAGTGCCAACGAAAGGTATAAAGCCAGGTGTAGACTGACCTTGTCGACCTGTTCGTTCTCGTGCAGCGCTCGGACGATCTCGTACACGCCGTTGCTCCGCATATAGTCCCGGCCCCAGCGTGTCGTGCAAAGCAGCAGCAAGGTTTCGACATGTATCAGTCTCAGCACAGTATCCGGCTCGCGCGTCTTGGTCGCTGGTAGGAACTGCAGAGCTGGCGGGAGAAGCTCTTGGTCCTGGAGCGCTTTGAGCGAGCATTTCAGAGTCCCCGGGGAAGCCTGCGTACCTCGAGATCGAACTCTTCTGGACCAGCTAGTGGAAGAAGCACGTAGGGCAAGATGTCCATACCGGGTGCTTCTGCGGTGGATGGCTGGACTGCGACACGTTCGGACTCGGGTGACAGGAGCGCACGATGCGCCTGTACGTGGAAGGCGCAGTTTCTGTACCCACGGTGGTGAATTGGTGGGTCAACCCAGCTGTTCTACAAGCTCACTTTATTGTCGACGCAACGCCGCCTCTTCGGATGGTGTCCTTGTGTTCGGTGAAGACAAGGAGCTTAGTCAGTGGGTACTCCAGGTCTCCTTCAGACTTCGTGGCATCCACTGGGCGAGGCTTTAAAAAGAACATGCGACCTGCAGGTGTCTGTATAATAGACGGGATGTCAATGTGATTCTGAGATGGATATGATAACGGCGACGCAATAAACTCACCGTACTGAGGTTCGCGAAAACGCTCGAGAGGAAGTGCAGGGTGCCCTTCCTGAGGCGCTTCTCCTTGTCTTCCGTCTCTTCTGCAGCGGCGCCTTGCACAAAGGTATCTAGGAGCAGCGGAAGTGCGTCTAAAGTCCGCGGCTCGCCGGCTGGGTAGGGTACCGGTGCGGGACATGTTCCACACTGGGATTGTACAGGAAAATACAGAGTCGGTGACTTTGGATCTGGAAGTATCGATACAGTCATATTAAGCAGCATTGAGCATATGGACGTTGAGGCGGTCAGGTTAGACAGGAGCATTGACGCGAGATCAGCGAGCGTCGCTTGAGGGTTCTGCGATGAAGACTGTGAAGATTACGGCTGATGGAACAGAACGGAATATACGAACGAGGATGTATGATACAAGAAAATTAAGGAAGGAAGGCTCCGACAAGGGTCCCAGCATTAGAGACGAGTCCGACAAATTCACGAGGGCCCTCAAGGCATCGTGAGCGGTTGCCTGGAGCGGACTCAGTCAATAACCTTCACAAATCTGTGGAGAGAACGTACAAGATGATCGCGACATAGAAGTTTTAGGCCGCGAATGACCTGGCTGTCCCCCTGCTGCTTCAAGCCACTTGTGCTCAACCCCGCGAAGAAGATCTGTCGGTGAGGCGCATCCTTCGGCGTGTGTCCGACCAGATTCGCGAGGGCGATCTGGCGGACTTGTGGATTTTGTTCGTGAAGAAAAGGAATAAGCTAGGTAATTCGTCTTCAGTCCAATGAGCCATTCGCAGTGAGCCATTGCCCACCTCCTCGAGCTGCTCCGCCGACATAGATTCAAGGGTTTGCAGAAATCGCAGATCTTGGGCGCGGCCATTAGATCATGGTTCCCACGGAGCATCTAGGATTGTGCGTGCTTACATAATACAATTGTTCGCCATTCTTGGCCAAAGACGACCACTCCCGTTCAGCCACAGCCACCCGCCGAACGTCGGTGGCGGCACCTGTACTCCCCTTAGTCCGCGCCCACGACGCGATGTACTCTTCATGACCAGCCATACCCAGTTATTCTCTACGATCTCTGCAGTATGGCGATCTACAACACGACGCGCTCCTTTGAGGAGCTCTTGGAGGCGCACGAGTCGTCTCCGCCCTCGTTCACCGTGAGGTTATACCCGGACTTCTGGCAGTTGAACAACGGGTCCAAATGTCTGTACAATAACCAAATGGCGGTGCGTGTGCTCTGCTGCTAGCTTGCGGCTATGTTGCTGATGTGCCTTGCATGCTCTAGTCCCTCCTAGACGATATCCGCGCGCAGCGGATACCCGTGGACTTCCTGGAGTTGTTCGATACCGCCAAACTTCCGTTCTACGATGGTAAGTCAGTGCCGTCGTCCGAACTCATTCTAGCTATACGCGCTCTTGCAGGATGTATGATTGTGGAGGTTCATGACTATCGGCCACCGAAGGCCACCGACCAGACACTCGAAGAGCCTCAGAAGACCCGAGTAGTTCTGAGTCCAAATCCTGAGACACTCTGGGCGGACATATGTTTAATGAACCAGAAAGTGGGAAACGCTTGGACAGACAGGGATGCCTTGGAGGTTGAGGCGCGCATTCTCGTAAGTCTGACCTGACTTCACACCGTGATATCGTCGTCCATAACCAACGGCTACAGGTCACCACTGCTCCTCCCCTCTGCCTTGATCCTGACCCCCATCTCACCCGCGTGATCAATACCACCATTAGAGCATCTGTACCCACCGCGCCGTTGTCTCTTAAGCGCAAGGCAGCCGTCATGGAGCAGGAGGATCAGGAGACGGAGAAGGTCCGCAGGGCAAAACTCGCGCAATATATGAACCCGAAGTACACGCGTCCAGCCGCGTCTGCGCCGAGGTGAGCATCCGATCACGTCACCTATGTGGGCGCGTCACTGATCATACACTGCCATCAGTTTCCGCATCTTGGAGGCCGTACAGAGGGTCAGGATGCAGGAGGCTGCCTCTGCTCAAGCGAAGAATCAGGCGGCTCAGGTGCCGGCAGCGACAGCTGCCCCGACCCCTGGGTATGGAGCCCCTGCGGCTCCTGCTGCGCCAGCCCCAGCTGTTCCTTCGTCCTATGGCCAACCACCAGTACCGATCCCTCCAACAGTGCCCACTTCCATCCCTGTCCCTCCACCCCCAGTTGCTGCCCCCGCGCAGCCTGTGGCTACTCAAGCCTCCGCGGAGGCAGCGAAAAGACTGAGGCTCGGCGAGGCTTCACAGCAGCCACCACAGGTGCCACGGACATCAGCTACGCCAGTACAACAGGCCGGTCACGGGCCGTCTGCTATTCCGCCTCATCTACAAGCTCTTCATGCCGCACAATCGGCCCGCGGCACGCCTCCGCGGACATCACAGTCACCTCATCCTCCGCCGAACGGCGCCTCCACTTCTCAGACACCGCCTGGCGCAGATGCACGTCCACCATCTGCCATGCAGCGGCCACCTTCCCAACCGACTCACATCGCGGCGACGCCACGCCCACCAAGCGCGCATCCTGCCGCCGCACAGCCGATCCATGCGCCGTATCAGGGACATCCACAACAAGTCGCTACTGCGAACCTAATGGCCCAGAATCTCCTGCTGAAGAAGAAGAATCAACAGCAGGCTGCGGCTGCCGCCGCAGCAGCAGCCAACGGCTCAGCGGCTGGCGCTTTCCCGCAAGGCGCGCAACCCAGCGTACACCCTCAGGGCCAGGCAGCTCTTCCGTACATTCAGTACTATGCGCCGTACCAGAATGCTGCTCAGCAGCGGTTGAACCAGCCTGGTCAAAGTGCTACACCGGTCAACAACCGTAGCCCGATGAGTCAGGGGTCGACGCCTCAGCATAGCAGCCCACTGGCGGCGTCACAGCGGCTCACTACCCGGTCACCAATGCCTGCGAATACACCGCAAGCACAAGCACAGGCTCAAGCGCAGGCTCAGGCTCAGGCTCAGGCGCAGGCGCAGGCGCAGGTGCAGGCTCAAACACAACCCCAGGCGCAAGCACAACCAGGTCAACCGGCTGCACAGGGTAACTTCAATTATGCTGCGCTTCAGAGCCAATACGCTGCGCAATACCGCCCACCTGCACAGGGCCACGCACCTCAGCCTCATATGGTCGCACATCCTCTCGCCAACGGCGGCGCTCAGGCGGGGGCAGCCCCGAATCCGCAAACCACGCAACAGCAGCAAATGCAGGCCGCCCAGCAGTACATGGCTGCGCGATATCAGCAAATGTACTATCCTATGCAGCCGGGCCAGATTCCCGCTGCCTACTGGCAGATGGGCCGTGGCGGTCCTGTTGCGAACGGGCAGGTGCAGATGCCCAACATCGCAGCGCACACCCAGCAGACGAACAAGGCTGTTCAGGGCGGGGTGCAGGGCTCATGACGAAGGCATCGGCGAGGATTGGCGCAGTGTATCTTTATGTATTTTTAGGTAGCGTAGATGTATCCCTCGACCCATTGGCATAATGCTATTTTACGTCCCGTCGTTATTCTGGTTCATGCTGCGGCGGTGCATTCTCCCGCATGGATGTGTGGTCGAGTGGTCCGCACAGCTGACGGTCCTGACAGGCTTCTGGCTTCTTGAGATCCGCCAGGGCGGAAGTGGTGAATCCAAGGCTCATTGGTCCCCGCACTCTGGAAATACACACATCTATCCGCGAAGCATTCGTATGAATTGATCATCACCCATCAACGTAAACCGTCGACGGGGCTCTGATGTATAGCGCCAGTCGTCCACAGTGGTCGTACGTTCGTTGTACGACCGTGGACGCGCGCGCCGGGCTCCAGCGAGAGCTGCACGGCCAAAGGACGGAGGGCGGGCGGTGATATTGCGGTCAACGAGAGTGAAATGAAGACTCGCGATATCGGAGTTAGGTGGTATTGAATCACCATCATCCACATGCTCTCGGGTGCGCGATTGTGTTAAGCTTCCGCCTTTGTCACCTGGCCTAGGCCGGGATCCTGACTGGACTGCGAGCTTGACGACGGGGATGCGGGGCATGTCTAGGCGGGAATGTCCTCCAACCTCGCCTTGTCATGTCCAAATATTATGGGTACGCAAACATCGCCCAATGTTGCCCAACGGTCGCTTCAATGCTGACTAGGACTGGCCCATCCAGGCTGAATTTAAATTCTCCTTTCAGGGAAAACGGCGATCTTTCACAGCATACCAATGAACAGCGCGCGCCATGATCGGACGAATGCCTGCGCGGGCACTCAGGCTCTCAGGGGAAGGCCACATACTAATAGCGTCTTGGTAGCGGGAAGAACGGACTATTCGACAGGAAGTTGAATCCAGGGCACAGATAAGGGCGCCGTAGACGCCCCTCCATGGGACCTGCGGAATGCACATAGGGTCATGGAAGAGTGCCATGGCGTACCAACGGACATCACGCTAGCGGAATGCTATGCAGTTACGAAATAGTATGACACGGGCTGACTGCACGTCAACATCGCGTCAGTGCAACTATATACGAGGCGAAGCGGGAATAAACGCATGGCGGACCCTATGAATACAAAGGAGGATATGACGGCGACACGGGGACCAGGTAACAAGATACGGAACGCGAATACAATATAGCTTACGCAGACAGAAAGCGCGGACAGCGGCCAAGTCCCCAATGACAAGGAAGAGAACCCAAAGAGACAAGATAATCCAAACGCCCGGCGGACGGTCAGTCCCGTCCGCCGTGGTATCCGCCGTCGCTCCGACGGCCCTGCGACCCATACGAGTCTTCGTCGTCGCTTCCACCACTAGAGTGGGCGTGCTCGTCCACAAAGGTGGTGGCATTTTGGGCACCGGGTGGAGGATTGAGGTAGGCACCGCGTCCGCGATTTGGATCCCGGTTGCGCTTCTTTATCTACCAAATTCGTAAAGTGAGGTAAAGTGAGAGTTAGCATCTCCATAACAGGGTGTCACGACCCACAAGTTTCGCATAGACCAAACCGCATGCATTGCATAATGTTCGAGGACCTGCGCCAAGTTCCATCAATCTGCTGATATATTTTACGCGCTGATGCACTCACCCATAGGCCCTCTCCGCCACTCTGGAGTGGAGGTGGCATTGCACCCGAGACATGTCTGACCTTCTCCATTTTCGCCAGACGAAGCGGGCTATAGACCGAGCGAGAGGTCGGACGCGAGTCAACACAGTCCATCACAGACTTCGACACGATCAACTGACCTGTCGCGCCTTGGCGTCGCCTCCATCATCCTGGGCCTCCTCCTGGGTGTTCTCGCTCGTCGGCGGCGGGCGTGGGGGCTCACCAGGGGCTGCGCGCCTGCTTGCAGACTCTAACGTCTGCATGCCAAACGCAGCAGCCTGCATCATGCGCTCCATGGTCTCCTGCGGGATGCTCAGTCGCGGAGAGTTGCCTGGATGCGTGAGGGAGGCAGTGGTTTCGAGGAGGATGCCATACTGTTCGATCAACTGTTGGGCGCAGCCACATGACGGGTGAGTGGCGCGAGGCGCGATGAAGCGACTGGAGTCACGGCACCTTGCCAAAGTCCATGCCCAGTGGCGGCGACGACCGCGACGGCCCTGGCGCCGGGGGCTCGCTCTCTCGTCCGTTACGTACTTTAGATTGAGGCGGCGCTTCAGCCGGGCGGGGCGGCCGCTCCTCTCCTCGCGGGGGAGGGGGTGGATACGGCCGGTGTTCCTCTGCAGGCGGGTCGGGCCTTGAGCCATTAGAGCTGTAAGGGTGTTCTTGGCCTGGAGGATGAGGCGGAGAGTAATGAGTATAATGATACCAGCCCTCACCCGTCCAAGGGCCCGGGGGTGCCGGGGCGACTCCGTATGAGGGCGGGCCGTACGGTGGGTGGGCTGGGTAGCCAGGCGGCCCATGATAGGGTGGGGGTGCGTGGGGCGGCGGTGGGTGGGCAGGCTGGCCTGAGGACGACGCCGGGCGGGCTGAGGCACGGGACATGTCCTGTGCATACTGGCCATGGGCGTAGGGCGGCGGATAAGGGGCGTACCCGTACGGAGGCGCAGCGTCGGGCGGGGGCGGATACGCGTAGCGGCTGTCGGACGTCATCTGGGCGGACGGTGGCTGGTCCGGATGAGATGGTGGTGGTTGGTGGACAGGGCGGAGGGACTCGCGCGCGTCTGGCGGGTCCAGCGCGTGGTCGAGTGATGTGTAAGAACTGACGGGGGTCGAGCTGCGGGGGGGCGGATGAGCGACTGCTGCGAGGACGGGGCCCGGATAGGAGGGGCGGTCATAGGAATAAACGACAGCAGGCATGAGACGAAAGGGAGGTGCGCATTAATGGGACGCGGCGGGGGAGAAAAGACTCGGGTGGGCTGGGGAAAGAAAGGAGCGGACGCTGCGGGGGCAGCTGGGAGGCCTGGCGAGGGCGCGCCGACGTGTCGAGGACAAGACGAGGCGAGTCGGACACATCTGGCGGCGGCCAAGGGGCGGGGAACGGCGCAGCCTGATTGTGAATCAACAAGACCAGCGACGCCGATCGGCAGATCTATCGCGGCGACCGCGTACGAACGAACGAACACCGCACCCAGACACAGAACACTTACTTGTGCGTCCGACGCCGGCACCGTCTGCCCAGACAGTACAGCCCCGAGTTGTGGTCTTGCTCGCGAGCGCGAATGTTCGCCGTGCTGGTATGTCGAGAGGAGTGACAGATGATTATTCACGCTGCTCCCAATCCGCTGGCTGCCGTTGAATTCGGCCCCGGGTCTTACCCCGCCGCGGCCCCTAAAATTGCGCGCGCGGTCAGTGTGCACGGGCCAGGCGTGCTCTGTGTGCGCTGCTGCGTTCGCGCACTGCTCGCCGTCGACGCTGGCGCAGTTTTCGTCCGTCGGGCGCGCTTCGCTGCGGCGGGAACAGCCGCCACCCGAATTCAAACACAGAACCATCGGAGAAGCTTGTCAATGTAACTCATCCATCTTCCCACGTGATAAACCCAATCTCGGGCCACATCTGGATCCTCCCATCTCCAGCCGAATCTCATCTCCGTACCAGGCAACAACATGCATTAGAGGCTAGAAATGTGCTAACGAGTGTCTGTCTACACCGCGTCAAACGATTGCTGCTGCGGACGTCCGTGTGTGCGTGCAGAACTATCCAAGCGCACCGTGTCCTGCACTGTCGTGGACATGCCCCCCTCGGTCCCGCTCGTCCTTCCACCGCCCCTGCTTGCCCGACGCAGCCGCCGCGCTACCCTCGTACGCCGGCATCTCGTACCCAGCGTATGCATCGTCAGCCGGCGGCGCGTCCTTCTCCGACGCCTTCGCAGCGCTCGTACCACTGGCCGCAGCAGCAGCGCGCTCGCGAGCCCGGCGACGGCGCCGGAGTATCTTCTTCCGGTTGCGAATGGCCCGCTGGTAGCCCAACTCGTCCCCGTAAAAGAGACTGTACTCGCAGAACGGACAGATCCACTCGTCCGCTGGGTTCGTGAGCGTCGCGACCGGCACGATGGGGCGCTCGTTCTTCTTTCGACGGCGGGGAGGCAGGTCGGCAGACAGGAGTCGGATCGGCAGAGGACTAAGCAGGTTCTGCGTGTTCTGCGCATTCTGTGCAGTGTTCACTTGACCCGAGTTCGGGAGGCGGGAAGGGACATAGTTGCGCAGGTGGTGAGGGTTCGACGCGTTCGCGAGTGCGGATCGCTTCTTCTTGCCAGTACCTGTCTTTCCGTTTAGCAGGGACTGCTCGAGGTTTGCAGACTGTCCGTCTGCGCCACGGGCACCCCGACCTTTCGAGCGATCACTACGTTTGGCCAGCGGTCCATTTAGCGCAGCAGCGGCCTGTTTTGCAGCCTCAGCTGCCTTCGCCGCCTGCCTGGCAAGCTCTGCTTCGAAGCGGGCATGTAAAGCCGCAACCTCTTCCTTCGTCGCTACTAGGCGCTTCGAGGCTGCGTCCTTGTTAGTCAAAATGCCAGATAGCCACAGCTTCGCACTCACTGAGACTGTCACATACAAACGAAAAGTCCACTTCGGGAGGAACGACGATCTTGGGTTCGTAGGTATCCGGCGGGAGGGAAGCACGAAACGCTCTATATGCTCGCGCGAGTCGAGGTCCACGACGCCGCGAGAGGCGTACCCTGAGGGGTGGCGGAGGCCTGTCACTGAGGCTCAGGCGGGCGAACGGATAGTTGGCGGAGAGCGCCTGATCGAGCGCGAGGGTATCTCCCTGTTGTGCCAACTGGCCAATAACGGCTTGCAGCTGTCGCTTCCGCATCTTCAGCAACTCTTTATGTTGCAGCGCCGCGAGCGTCGCCTTCGGCAGTCTTCCTTTTCTATGCGCCAGCGCACTGGACGCCAGCGCACCGTGCCTGTCGCCTGTGGCGTCGTACTCGCGGTCGCTGCGGCCACCCGTGGGCACGCCCCGCTCACTGGGCTCGTCCTCCGCGCCCGAGTTGCCGCCAGAGTCCCGCCCGTGCATCCCGCCGGACATATTCGCGGGCACCTTCCTCTTCTTCGTGTTCCCTGGCTGCTGTAGGTGCTCCATATAGTCGCCGTCGCCGAGCTCGTCCTCGTCCTGGCCACCGCGGAAGTCGCCCATCCCGAATGTGCCTCCGCCGAGGTCGATCAGCGTGCTCGAGGGCGCGATGGGGTCCTTGGCGAACAGCTCCTGGACGCCACCGAGGACGGGCATGTAGTAGGACTGGAGCGCCATCTGGGCGCTGAGGGCGTCTGCGTGCACGACCAGCTCCTCGGGCGTGGCGTCGAGCATGCTGGACGGCAGGGCGGGCATGGGCCGCCTGGCGCCGTCATTCTGCGATGGCTCCGATGTGCGTCGACGCTTCGGGAGCGGCTTCACCCGCCTGAGGGTCGGCAGCTCGGGGACGTCGAATACGGGCGAGAGCGCTCGGTACATGTCGTGCGGCGACTGCGACGGAGGCCCTCGTCAGCGGTGTGCGGCTCGTTGCTTGATTCAAGAAAGGGTCCGCTGGCTGGAAGCGTGGTCGTGGTAAGGGGAGAACAGAAAGGCTGCCACGCAGCCCCTGCGATCTGAGTGTACAGGCAAGAGCCCCGCCCTGATTGGCTGGCTGCTGTGCGGGCGGTAATCGGGGTGATGACTACAACTGTAGCCTCCCACCGCGCAGGCAGCCTCCAAAGCGATTACAAGCGATCTCAGCTTCATGAAAATGCTAGACTATGACTACGGTACAAGATGTGCGATGCTCTAACAGATTGTCTCGTGATGCTAAGCTATAGGATGTACGACCTGCGCGTCGCAATAAGTAGGGTATCGCGAAACGAAGACCGACACTGTAACAGATCTGCTCATGCTCGAGGATGGCCCCTCGTCTATGGATGCGTATACTGTACTATGGAAACAGACGATTAGGTGGGCCGTACAATAAACGATGAGCAGCAGATGCAACGAGACCGCAATGATGTGAGAGCAGCGCGTAGTCCAGACAATCAAACGCAAAGGCGACAGCCACCGACGCACTTGGTGAGCGTGATGGCACCGACATACAGAACCACAACATAAAGAAAAGGCATATGAGGAGACATACTTACGACGGGTTGAGGTGGGTGGGGGCATAGACCAGCAGCGCAACTGGAGGGTTTACCACCAGCTGCCGCCGCCGGCTCCGCCAGCCCCGCCACCACCGCCGTACGAAGGACCACCGCCATAGCCACCACGGCCGCCGCCGCCATATCCACCGCCGCCTCCTCCTCCTCCCGACCTGAAGTCACGCGTCGACTGGGTACGCCCGCCGCCACGGCCACGACCGCCGCGACCACGCGTACCGCCACCAAAGGAGCTTTCATGAGCAACGGTCTCCAACCATGCAGGGATTTCTTGGTTCGCCTCGCGGAGTAGTTCCAGCATATCGCGAACAATGTTCTTGTTGCCGCGGTTGAAGAACGCGGTGGCGACTCCGGTGTTGCCGGCACGGCCAGTACGACCGATACGGTGGACGTAGTCGTCGATGTCAGACGGAAGATCGTAGTTGACGACGTGGGTGACGTTCGGGATATCAAGACCACGAGCTGCCACGGCCGTAGCGACGAGGACTGGCGTGCGGCCGCTCCTGAAAGTCTGCAACGCCATTTCACGCTCGCGCTGCGTGCGGTCACCGTGGATGGAGGTTGCGGGGAGGTGGTTGGCGAGGAGGAAGTCAGACAGCATGTCCGCCATCCGCTTGGTCTCGACGAAGACGAGGGTGAGTCCGGCTCCATGTGCAGAGAGCACATCAAGCAGCACGGAGCGCTTGTCGTTGTCTTCGACATATTCGACCTTTTGCGTGATGTTCTCGGAGGTCGACCCAACGCGGCCAACGGACAGGAACACGTAGTCCTTCATGAAGTCCCTAGCAAGCATCTGGATGTCGCGCGGGAATGTGGCGCTGAACATGAGCGTCTGGCGATCGTTAACGCCGGGCATGTCCTCGCCCTGCACGATCCGACGAATCTGGGGCTCGAAACCCATGTCCAGCATACGATCAGCCTCATCAAGGACGAGGTAGCGAATGTTGGCAAGGCTGATGCGCCCACGCTCAATCAGATCAACGAGACGGCCTGGGGTAGCGCTGAGAAGGTCACAGCCACGCTCGATTTGGCGGAGCTGCTGGTTGATGTCGGCACCACCATAGACCACAGCCGGGCGAACCCAGGAGCGGTAGCAAAATTTGCGGGCCTCCTCGTGGATCTGGCTGACCAACTCGCGGGTCGGGGCGAGAATAAGGCCAGTGGGGTATGCTTTGCGAGTGCGTCCGTATCCGCCGCCTGTCGTGTCGGCCGGGGGTGGCCTGGGACCATTAGTGAAGGATGCCGATAGAATGGGGAATAAGAAACCGCCTGTCTTGCCAGAACCCGTCTGTGACACAACATCAGACTGAGACAAAGATGCCATGCAAAAAAAAAACGTACCTGAGCGCAAGCCATGAGGTCTCTGCCAAGGGCTACAATAGGTATCGAATACTTTTGAACCGGAGTCGGCGTAGTGTAACGAGAGTAACCAATGTTTTCCAGCAGAGTGGGGTCTAAGGGCGGGTGTGTGAAGGCAATCACAGGGTCGGGGACACCGGCGCCGGTCGCTTCGACGGGTATATCGTCGTACTTCTCGAAGTTGATGCCGGTGTGTTGCTTGGACGGATCGTCGGGATCACCGTACAGCTCTTTCTCCAGGCGCGCGTTGCGGGCACCCGGGACGTGCACACCATCCTTCCACATACCGACGCCGTTGTTGTCTCCGCGGGAGCCGCCTCCGGACCAACCGCTATCGTCGCGGCGACCGCCCCATCCGCCGGCACCGCCTCCTCCACGGGGGGCGCCCCCACTGAAGTTCCTGTCGTTGCCAGAGCCACCTCTACCTCCACCGTAACCACCGCGAGGAGTGGGAGAGCGGGAGTCAGTCCAGCTGTTGCTGTTTTCGCTGGTCAGTCATCAGAGATGCCACGGAGACAAAGCACAGGAACATACCCATCGTTGACAGGAACCACGGGGGTGGATGCAGCCCGCTGCGAGCTTCTCATATGCGGAGGAACATATGCCGGTTTTGTACCGTTGATACCAAGAGAAGCTGAATGCTCGTCGTCAGTATGCGTTCTCCATGGGCTACGGGAGCGGCATGCTCACCAAACTGATTCTCAAGTCCGGTACCGTTCACAATTCCATTGGACATATTAAAGCGAAACTTGAACGAAAGAAAGGTTTCGTTGAGACAAGCGTTGAGTCTATGAGCGTTGTGGGGAGTAGGTGATGGTTCACCAGAAAGGCGAGTGGAAAATTGCGGGCCCTGGGGTTGCGTATGTAAGTAGCGGCCCGTAGAATGACTAAGCATTGGCCCAATTTAGCACTGCTTTCGTCACATGTTCTCGGCGACGTGGCAGCGCGCGTCGGCGCGTCCGCGTGTGACGCCGCCAGCGGGTTCCAGGTGTGCACGCCGTCGTCCACGTCCTCCACGACGACGACTATGTCCCAGACGCACACACACGGCCCCGGCACCCATCCTGGGCATACTCATGGCCCTCCTCCACCCCCTCAGATGGCCATGCGCCCCCCGGACCCCCTCATGCAGGCCATGATTGAGGCGACCTTCCGCCCCGTAGAGTTCGCGCTGGGGCCCGAGAACGTGTCAGTCTTGTGCCCCGCGCACAAACTCGAGAAATGCGCGGACTGCGACGTGGACTACGTCGGCATGAACCGCCTGTCGCGTACATTGAACACGAATACGAACCTCCGCTGCCCACCACCTCCCAACATGGTTAACAAGCAGCTCAGCCAGGCGGTCACCAATACGAAGGAAGAGGGAAACGTGAGTGACCGCCTCAATGCTTCGTGAGGCTCCCTCTGACTATAAGCCGCAGGCCCTGTTCAAGGGCGGATTGTATGACAAGGCTATCCAGCGATACACAATGGCCGCAAACGTCGCAACTCAGCGCGCGCCCTGGGAACACCAAGTTCTCTTGCGCGAAGAGCTGGCTACTGTCCTTTCCAACCGTGCCGCTGCCTACCTCGAGGCAGGAGACTACATTGCATCCCTCGTCGACGCCGAGATCGTCATCCAATTGCGACGTAACTGGAGCAAGGGATACTTCCGGAAGGCAAAGGTGCTGCTCAAGATGGACCGAATGGGCGAGGCGAGGGAAGCTATTCAGGTCGGCTTGGCCTTTGAACCCGAGAATAGGGTTTGCCCTTTCATTCACGTAACTTGTCTGCGTTTGCTAACCTCAGTTCCACCCCAGGAACTGCAAGAGATCCTTGCAAGGATCGACTTCTTCCTCGCCAAAAAGGAACAAGGGCAGCGGTCTATTGAAGTAACATCATCGAGCTCGCAGTCGCTCGTACCTCCCGCATCGTAATATACCAGGTCCCAGTCTCCCATCGTACTATTATTACATACATTCCATTCTGTGTACTCATCGTCCTCGGAGCATGTTCAGTCCAATAAGTTATTTTCTTCGCGTCGCCCCAGTAGTCCTGCGAGTATGATCTGTGCTTCCATACATTCATCAGGTTTGCGGAAGACCCGCAACGGTATATGCTCCGGCGCTTCCAGTCTTGCTCGCCACACCCTGCTTTGAAAGTCAAGTCGTCGCCGCTCGGGTTCCGATAGTGTCTGTCGCTGACCAGTAGGCGTCGTCGGGCCCTCCTGCCCCGGACGCAGCTGTGGCGAGGACTGGGTAGACCTAAAATAGTCCTCGGGTTCCTCCGCCATGGGCGACGTCGACACAGAAGTCGACGTGAAGTAGCCGGCAGGCTCGTGGTGGCTCGGGAGAAGTTCATTGTCGGAGTGCATCCTTGCTGGCTTCCGGGCGTGCTCAATTATAGTAGGATCCGTGTCAGATATTGACCGCGCCATGGGACTGCTCGTATAGCCCTTCCGGAAACTCGGCCGCCTAGATATCGCCACGGGTACAGGGCGATTGCCTTGCTGCGGGTCTTTCTCCAGCCGCAACACCCTGACACCCGTAGGGTCGTCTAGGGGCGGCAGGCCGCTGTCCGCGCTCACGTCGCGGATGAATATCGCGAGGACCTGAGCAGGCTTCTCCTTCGCGATGCTCGAGTAGAGCTCGAGATCTTGTTCGCCGGAGTCACCGACGCAGATGAAGCGCGCGTCAGGGAAGCTATTGAGTACGTCGAGGACGCTCGCGCGCTTGCGGGCCGCAGGTGCGGAGAGAAGCCCGCTGAACAGCGAACGGCCCGCGTAGGAACGGAGCTTAATGGACCCAGGGGGGAATCGGCACAGCTGGAAGAACTGGTTGATAACAGGCAGCAGCTCAAAGGGCCCGTTTGACTATGACAAAGCTGCGTCAGCATCTTCGTGACGCTCCGAAGGCAATGAAGGAACTTACAACATAATGGAAGCGGACGCCGCGTGTCCACATGTTCATGTACCACTCCGCCATCCCGGGTATAATGCTTTCGCCCAGGTCCTTGACGAAGACGTTCTGGAAGACCGTTCTCGCCCCGCTGAGGACACTCGCAAGCTTGACTGTGTCGTCGATGTCGGAAATGACACGAACCGTCGTGTACGTGAGAGGCACGGACAAAAGTGCTGTGACCGTCGATTCCGCTTCGTCTAACGGCTGCATTGGCTGTTGATATGGTGTGGCGGATGGTGTGCGAGGCGAAGGCGGCGGCATCAAATCGGCAGTGACGATCATGTCGTGCTCTCGCTGCCTATCGCTGAAGGCAATCTGCACTCCTTGCGGATGCGTACATAGGTCCTTCCACGGGACGCGGAAGGTCACCTGGAACGCGCCGTCTGGCCCTGTTACGATATTTTGCGATGCCAACGCTCGGCGTGGCTCGCCGTCGTCCGCAGCCTTGTCACGGAACTCCTCTAAGGATGGGTCAGTGGCGAAGAGCGAGAGTCGAATGGTTCGCGTTGGAAGGACCGAGCACCAGAACGGGAACAGTCGTGTCTGGAGGTTCGCATTCCAATTTTGCATGAGCTCGGCGGCCGCGGTGCTCAGAGGACCCCTAGTATCCGAGCGCGGGATTCCCGCGCCTGACGGAAATGTTGATGAGACCGGAGAGGAATCGGGGGCTGAGGATGTGTCCGTGGCCGTCGAGTATGTGCTGTTCGTCTCGACATCGAGTTCACGAAGCCGTCGCTCTAACTCTTCTGCTTCCGCGTTTTCGTCCATCTCATCTGGGGGTCGGGGAAGATGGACGTCCTTGAGCAGGTCTTCTGTCGATCTACTGACGTCCCTTGAGATAGGCGGTGCACCATTGGTAGTCATTTGGGCTGCCAACTTCGGCAAGGCAGCGAAAGCTATGAGGATGTATCAACACCAGCCCGAGTGCGGTAGCTTACACGGTCACATACTGGTAGCAATCTTGAGGAATGCTCTGCCGGAGCGTGTGCTGAAACCAGCCCCGCTTGTCCTAGACGCGAATCCTGAGATGAATACTTCGACGTCGAACGGTGCCTCTACACGCGCCGCATGCTTCTCTTCAGTCGTCTGCAGCAGTAAAGTCGACACAACTCACCTTCTAGACTAATCTTCGTCTCCGGTGTCTCATGAAACCTCCTGGTGGCCCAGCCCGGGAACAAGAACAGCGATTCTGTGCCCGACGTCCCCTCTCCCTGAACTTGTCGCAGCTTTTGACCTGCCCATTGGCTCCATGTTGGCCTGCTCCCGTTCTCACTTCCGACTTCTTTGGCAGCGAAGGTTGGCCGTTTGAATTCACGCGACGCGACATAGCCCTTGATAGAGCGCGACGCCGCGCTTGCGAGCGATCGGAACGAAGGCATGTCGTAGTCGGTTGACATCACAGTGGTTGCTCTGTAGCTAGCAGGGGAGCCCCTTGAGTAGTGACGCCACGTAGCCCAAGTTCACGCAAATGCGTGCGGCGCAAGAGAAGCAATAGAGCACTGGGTTGCTGCTGGGTTGCTGTGTCCCGAGACGCTCTCAGACTAGCCTCCATGGCACGACGAAGGATAGACTCCGACAACCAAACCGGGCATAACATCCCCGCGCCCGTGCCTGGGCCTTTATGAACGTCCACGTTATCCTGGTTGCCCGTGGCGAGCTCGCGAGACCTGATTACGGGACCATCAAGCGACGAGCAGAGCGCATAGCAGGGGCGGAGGAGGACTGAAAGAAGACTGGGGATGAAATGGCCGGGCTGCATGGACGGACACGCGATCGAGAACACGGCGGCGAATCGTTGTTGTGCTTGGCAGGTGTGCACGCGGTTACTATACCCTCGTTCCTGCTCGAACCGAATTGGAAGCATTGACGTTTGGATAATTGCATCGTCGTCCAGGTGCGCAAGTCTCCATGTAATTGACGCTACTTGACAGCTTGTGCGCTGGTGGCCCATGGGTCAGGCAGTGCCACCCGATCTGCGTGTTCTCAGGCTCATGCAACATTCATTCGTAAGGTTCGTCATTCGTATCTTGTTTTTACAATCGGCTGACCACGCAGAGAAGACCCATTCGTTTTCAGCGATATAGCGATACTGTCCGGCTGTCAGTGTTTGAATTTCGGCATTACAATGCGACAGAGCGAAGACCCGTCTCATGCCTCCCCATCTATATTCGGTCACAAGTGCTTGATGAGGAACTCGACGCTAGCCTTGAACACACCCTCTCTACCAGCTTTGACTTTAGGGTCGCTCTGGAACACGATTGGTAAATACCGGGGATTCGTCAAGTTGTCAGGCGAGGTCTACTCACCAGATCACCACGAACAGAGAACCCGTGCGTACAACCCTCCCAGTATGTACGCTCGTATCCAGGTGCAAAGGCACCCCCGCCGAGGATCTTGTCGGTCGCCGCCTGAGCGTCCGCCGGGAACATCATGTCGATTTCACAGCTGTTGATCAAGAGCGGGGCCTTCGACACCGCCTTGTATTTCTGGGACATGGTACGGAGCATTGGTCAGGGCTCGGGAATTAGACGACAGCAGGTACGCACCTCGATATCATCGGGCACCTTCAGAAGACTGGGGTGTGAGACCACCACGACGCTAACGGTGTTGTTGAATGCCAGGTCGAAGGCCGGACGTGCGCCATAGCAGAATCCGAGGATAGCGATCGTAGTGATGCCGCTCGCGTGCAGAGCCGGGATGACCTTGTCTAGTACTGGCAACACAGTCTCGCCGCCGTGCTTGGACAGCCAGGCCATGAAGTCCCAGTTTGAGCCCGCATCCAACGCATCGACTGGGGCCGGGTCATTGTAGAGGATATCCGGCACGATCACCTTGAAGCCGTTCTTCGCGTAGTCGTCCGCCAAAAGCTGCGTATGGACAGCTGAGTCCGGGCCCCCGCTTCATTCGTGCGTCGTACCTGATGGTTCGGCAGATCGATACCGAAGATATCAATCAAGTACAGGATTGCCTTGTCTTTGGGATAGTCAACAGTCGGGGTTGCCACGTACGACCGGACACCACCGAACTCCTCGAAGGTCCCTGTAGGAAGCGTTACAATCAGATGGGTTGTGGTGTTCGAAGTCGAACCCACCCTCCGGAGTGCCTTCGTGGCGGACACCTGCATGCGTGGTGTTTATCATCGTACGTGCGCTTCACTAGTTCCAAGCCTGCTTACCGGAAACACAGTGCTTGCACAAGCTCATTGTCCTGGTTAAGCCGACGAGTTCACGATGGGTGGTTTAAGTGTGAAAGACGACCTGCAACTCTCTCTCCCAGGACGTCAAGCCGCTTTTATAGGGCATTCCTAGCGTCGATCTATATTTACTACCACAAGCCAAGGTGCCCTTCCTATCGAGCCACACGGGCAATCCTCGGTGTGCTACAAACATAACCACCCACGCTATCGAATCAACCCTGGGATATCAGTCAATGCGACGGTGGATGGCCCCCAGCTGAATCTTGACGTCGGGTGGCCCAGACGGGCGTCGGTATGGAAGGCGCCAGTCGACTGCCCATCGGGGTCCTATGTCATCAGGTGCGTTCATCGTAGATTGAAGCTATGCCCGTTTCCTGTGTAATTTTGAACTGATTCGACGATCAATCGAACTTCAGATTTCAGAGGGGGAATGGCCATCTTATAGACAACGAAGACATGATCCGGGCGTGCATCCCCGCCGAGGGGTGTGTGAGTCCGTCTCGACTCCTGCATTTCGACGAACTCGCAGCTGCTTCCTAGCGTGGGCCGTCGAAGCGCGGAATCACGCATCGAACGTCTTTAGAGATGCTTTCGGAGGAATTCGACGCTGGCCTTGAAGGCGCCTTCCTTTCCAGCTCTCACGCTCGGATTACTCTGCATTGGACCGTCAACCGAGGAACGGCGCTGTAGAAGGTTGCCGTACCATATCCCCGCGCACAGCGAAGCCATGCATGCAGCCCTGCCAATACGTCCGTTCATAACCAGGTTTGAACCTCCCACCACCGAGGATCGCGTCAACTTTCTCCTGCGCTTCCTTTGGGAACATCGCGTCGACCTCGCAGCTGTTGATCAGTAGAGGGGCCTTCGACTCTACTAGGTACCTCTAGTTGCCGTAGGTGAGTATTCTGGAACACGGTGTTCATGTACTGGCGCCCTCACCTCCATGTCATCAGGTACTTTCCAGAATGATGGATGAGAAACCACGCAAACAGATGTGGCTTCCGCGGAAGCGAGGTCGATTGCAATTCGTGCGCCGAAGCAGTAACCAAGCGCTGCGAATTTCTTGACACCACGCTCTCGAAGCGCCGTGACAACTTGCGCTACGATTCCCTGAACGATCTCAGGAGGATGTCTCTCTACCCATGCAGCGACGTCAAATTCCTCCTTGCTGATTGAAGCGTCAGGAGGAACAAAGCTGGGAACGGCGTCATTCTGGAAGAGATCCGGCACAATGACGTGGTATCCGTTCCGCGCGAAGTCATCCGCGAGCAACTGCAGGAGAACGTGGCTCAGAATTCCGATAACCGCGCAAATACCCGGTGATTCACCAACCTGGTTGTTCACAAATTTGTGCCCGTACGCGTCGGTGAGGAAGAGTATGGCCTTTTCTTGTGATCCTTCACCGAGCGGCTCAGCGATGTAGCATTCCACATTGGCGATCTGTTCAATCCTTCCTATGCCGGCTATCAATATGTCCGCAAATGATACCCTCAACACAACATCGCGTACCATCAGGGGTCCCCTCGTAGCGAACGCCTGCATGCAATTGGTACCCATCAATGGCCGCTCTAACAGTCACTGAAGTATGTAGTCTCTCACCCTTGAAACAATCTGCACAAAATCCTGTGTTTCGCTCAGTCATTGCGACGATATTCTTGACAGATGATGCGAGGTGGGCACTACGTATAGCTGAAGAACTGGGCTTACTGAACGCTTGATATAGTGCGCTTTAATACGTCTCCGTATCGATGACGCGTCGTCCGACTTGCCCGGGTCGCGACAGTATACCAACGGGCTTCTGTGGGTCGCCTTCCACATTGACACCGATAAGACGCCTATGGAGGTCTGTTTTAATCAACATCCGACAGTGCAGTGCCGTGAAAGGTATGAATAGATGTATACTGATTTTCAATGCTGAACGGTATAAAGACGAACTCGAAAGTAGGCGGAGCGTCTACTTACGGAGCAGACGACCCGTATAGGTTCCAGTTCAAGTTGAGTCCGTATACCTAGAGAACGTTTCACTTACTGAGTTATTTATGAGTGCCACAACAGTTCCGAACCTCAGTCATCCCAAACATGCGAGTTCGGCCAGATCGGTTACTAGTATGAATCTTCCTACTATGATGCTCTGTGATGGCTCATAGGAACCACGCTCCGTGTCGTGTAACACCTGCCAGCGGATTGCGGCCTGGTGTACGTACGCACTTGGGAGCCGCATCCTCCGACTCAGGAGAGACCAATTGTTATTATGATTCAGGTGCGCAGCTTGCATCCCTGAAACAACGCATTGGAGCTTCGAACTATTGATGTGCATAACCGAGGCAGGTCTCAGAGCCTTGACGTCTCGAAAATATCGAGGTGAAATACGTATGTGCTTTGAACTTTATGTTCGATGGGCATGGTATTGATGAAGTCTGGATGTTGAAGTTGTAGCGATGGGCGTCATGGTATGCCGTATGCCGCTCAGCCATCTCCGACTTTGCGGGACTCTTCGTCCTTCCCTCAGCACACACTCCTCAAGAGGTGGCCCCCACCGCTGTTCTTACACATAGACCCTTCATGCGTTCAGCCACCGTTCCCGTCTCATCGTCTCGAGCCGCCGCGCTCTTTGATGACGACATACCACGGAAGGCACTCCACAAGGCAGGCAGCACTGCGCTCGTGCGGACGGCGACATCCGCGATGCTTCCGAGATCGACATCCGGGAACAAGTGCGTGCTCAAGCTCTTCCTCTCTGGCAACAAAATCAAGTCCCTACCTCTCGAACTGTCCTAGCTGACAGGACTCACTGTTTTTGCCCTTCGTACGTTGTGCCTGTCTCACTGCATCACACTGGCACAGCCCAGCTTTGTGAATATCATTTCGTGTTATTGGGTTCGGATTGGATATCGGTGATGCCGTTCCAAATCACGCAGTTCACGAACCTTTATGAGCTCAACACCCTTTCAACAGGCTCAGCTGGCTTCCGTCCGAGATACTCGGCATGCAGCCAATCCGTTTGCAGGTCACGAACAACACATGGATCCAACCGCCCCCACCAGACGAGGATCCAAACATCCCACAGCCGCCGGTACAATCACAGCGCACGCGTACCGGGCCTACCTCAGAACCTACCCGGACGTGCGTATCACCGACCAGAGTCCACTTCGATATCCTTCCCCTCAGAGAGTTCTGTTTCCGCCCCTTGCTCTCGCCCAGCGCACCGCCATACCCAGCCCCCGTCGGGCGTGCGGTGCACAGGCGACGGGCACATGCCGATGCCCGTCGGGGGCTCTTCTACGTCGTCCTGGTTCGCGGGGCGATCAGCGTAGGGACCACTCGGGGACGCGGGCCGTGCTTTCTTGGGGAGGCACGCGCGGAGAGTATGCAGGACGGCGCATTCCTTTCCTGATAAGGGCAGAGCGTAGAACGCCTCGAGTATCGTCTCTGGGCGGCGGTCGCTCCGGGAGTGAACGGACGCGTCCCGGTGTTCGGAAGGCATGCGGAGGAGCGCTTTACGTGGGAGCGCGAGATCGCGGGGGCTGATTTGTAGGCGGAGTGCGCCGGGGCAGCAGTCCCTGTGCGGTGGCGAGGGTGCTGGAGGGGATGCTTGGACTTCTTGGAGCCTGAACAAGAACAGGCTGACGACGAGGTCGTGGACGTGGACATGGATGGAGGGGAGGAAGGCCTTGGAGCGGACATGGCGGTCAGCGAGCCCGGCAGTGACAGTGCTGCTGTGCACAATGTACAATTTGTCGGTGGACCTATTGGAGACTTTGAGGATTTTGAATATGTAATGGTTGTTCAATGTACCATACTGACCACAAAGGCAAGTGTCCTTCTGGACATGTATTCTCGGTTGCGGTTGGGTTCGACGAGTTTGCCCCGACTTCTCTTTCTCTTGGGCAACACTATGAGCGCTCCAAATCGGTTCGGTGGTGGCAGCCTGTGGATGGAGGGGGGAGGGGATCCATTTAGCCACACAGCACGCGATCTACGGATTGCGCGCCGGCAAGAATTCGAAGTCGTTGCCCACGAACATAACGCAAGCATATTCAGGCAAGTTGAGCCTCCTGCGTCGACGTGGACGTCTATTCGGATTCATCCGCCCTTTGGTACCATCTATTAGGACTCGGTTGGGAGTCGACGCGACGTGTGCTATGTAAGGTACTGCTTGCGTTGTGCTCACGCAGTGCTCCGATTTGACTAGTCGACATCCAACGAATTTGATCCAAGTCATGAAGTATACAGCAGTACACACAATTGTATCAATCAAGATTCAAGGACAACAACGCAGCACATCCTATGTCATCTTAGCCGTTCTCCTGGATCTCTACGGGAGACTGAAATACAAGCTACGAGACCCGCTACCATCGACAACGGACGCGATCACCGTCTGCCCAGACACGGCTGCTTCCTTGACATCGGACCCTTCTCCCAGCGGCGACCTGGAAACCACCAATCGCTGTCCTTCCCTCAGGAAGCCATGTTCGAGGAAATGCCTCAAGTCGACAGCGCACGTTGACCCGTCGTCGAAAACAACGACGACTACGAAGTCATCTGCAATCCGACTGAGGCCGCTGTATATCACTTCACTGCGCTGCACGCTGTAGTTGATCGTCTCCATCCGCCGCTGGCTGCCAGTCGTGGCGTCGAGGACAACTACGTACTGGAACCTGTCGCGCTTCTGGTCGTCGTCATGTTGATGCCGTCCGAAGGCGACGATGACGTCCAGCGCAGCAACGTACCGAATGGTGTGCACCCAGCCTCCGATGGGATTCGCGTGCCACCGGATGGTCATGGTCTCCGCGTCAATGGCGAAGATCGACGTCTGGCAGGCGCACCCCATCTGGAGCACGCTACCGAACGCCTCGTAGACGGCGAGCAAGCGCGTCTTCTCGTCCAGAGGTTCACTGCAGATCGGGTAGATCGTATCGCCGTCCTCGACTCCACAATCGAGCGTAAAGCTCGCGGCTGGCTCAGGGGACTTCGAAACGTCCGCCCCGCGCCAGAACAGGACCTCCATCTTCTCGCCCCATGCCTCGGAGGACGTCGCGACGATATCGCCGTTCGGCCGGACGTGGACGGGCAACAGCACGCCTCCGTTCGTGTTCAGTCGCAGCTCCTCGCGAGCCTGGAGGCGTGCGGGAAGGTTGACACTGCCGAGGACACCGCCGTCCCCCACGACGTCGCAGAGCAACACCTTGGTAAGGCCATGGGGTGGGAAGCGTTCCTTGTCTTCTTCAATGGCGACCAGGATCTTGCCGTCGGCGTACGGGAGGCCCTCCTCATGCAGGATGCCGTACAACTCGAGCTTACGGATGAGCTGGCCATCGACGAGGCTGAAGACGACGAGGGAAGGTAAGCCATCGCCTTGAGCGCCATCGGCGATGATGATGAGGTTGCGGTCGGTGTCGAAGACGGGGTCAAGGCGAGACGGCGGAGCGAGTACGAACTGGGCGAGGGTCGCGATATGCTCGAGGCGCCCGTGCGGGCCGCCTGCCCGCCAGATATCGACGCTGTCTTTGCCGAAGGTGAGCACATACGGCACATGAACGTAGAACGCCTCTACGCTGCCCTCGGGAGTCAGGGGCTGTGGGCTGGCTGAAGACATGTTGGTAGATAGTGGGTAAGTTTGGCTGAACAGAGCGCGTCAGAAAACTGATCATACGTGAACTCAATACAGCGTCTCACTTTCTGTGGAAATCAAGCAAGGCAGAATGGTCGTAGCAGTGAGAGGTGCGTTCGGACAGTTTTGCGGCGCAGAGAAGCTATGACCTCCTGAAGACATTACTTATGTACGTCCTTGCGTCGCACAGCCCCACTGCAGACATCTTGAGCGGCATCTTCAGATCAACAGCTGCGGCTGTTGTAGATGGATCGCACGACGTCCGAAGGCTGTCTTCTCTCAAATCCATTGCGAGGTAGCACGGGGAGCGCGGGCCTGAGGTGTGACCACCAACAACTTCCTGTAACGATTGAATGCGGTGGATTAGGTGATTGTTGGCTTCGGTTGCTTTCGTTCCGAAGTTGCAGTCTGACAGTGACGACCGATGCGGCATATGACGAGGGCCAGTCCTAGAACCTTGGAAGGCAGAGGAGACACGGGGGCCAGAAAGCGGTTACAGCTGTTTGGTTCCTGCCAGTGCATACGTCCTATGTCCGTCGTTGCGACTCAGCAGTAGTAAGTGCGAAATCTCTGCTGTCCCAGCACGATTTTCTCGGATGGGTTCGTAAATCAAGGGTAAGCACCTTTTGCATGTGCCTCGTTATGTGTTGGCTCACCCGTTGCGTGATCTGTTGTGTAATCGACAAGCATCCGCACTCTGGCCGGCACCTCACGTCGACTTGGTTCTCGCACACAAATAACATGGCCACTCTTGCGCATATCATGATCAACACGGAGACGTTTTTCGCTGAAATTTTCCTGTCAAAAAAGGTGAGTCGCTTTGTCCTCTCCGAGGTTGACGCCCACTCGGACTGACCTATCCGGTACTTCTCCCCCCCAGAAAACCAAGGTCGCACAGCACACGCAGACCCAGGTCGCGGATATGTGCGTGGCCGCGCTCGAATTAGGGCTCAACACGGGCAAGAACCGTGGATCGGTAACGAGCGGCTCGTGGGCCGTCCAGTCGCCCTTCGGGAAGAGACTCTGCATCACGGTGTCCAACGATCAGTACTTCAGTGCTACCCGGCATACACGCACGAGGCGCCGGTGGCAATGGGTCAGATCTGCCACTGGAAAGAGGGCGCGGTGACCCGGTAGAGTAGAAGCGAGGCGTGTATCGTACTTTGTGCATGGCCAGAATTGATTCCGACCAAGTCTGAGTCGTTTCTGCTTTTAAATTCATCTCAGGCTGTTCCATCGCGTCGACTAGATCTAGGAACGACAACGGTTCCTCCACAGACGCAAACACTGTGTCGGACCAGTGTCGGACATGGGACGTTAGAACTTGAAGCTTGAAGCCTAGCCCGGGGCGGAGTACACCTGCTTCCCGTTGGATTGTAAGCTCGCCTATGACAAAAGATTCAGTCATAGTCAGAGGCGTAGAAACTCACCAGCGAATCTCCCGTCATAGTACCAACAACGCCGCGTACTAAGTTATGTCATCGGCTTTCATGCTGAGCGGATTTGAGCCAGCACTGGAGCAGCGAGGTCCCCTCTAGCCTGAGCTACATTCGCGATAACTTATCCCCATTACAATGAATCGCGTCGTCTAATGAGATAAAGCACAATATATAAATAGGTATACGCGAGCCATGTAGTACTCTACAGCAATAAGTGCGCCGTGAGATGAGCCTCATTATAGGGGCTGGTGTAATGTAGCAACGAACAACCTCCTTTTAGATCACCAAACCCCCAATAAAGCGTGAAGGGTCGTAGCCGTCGTGTATGATAGCTTGTATCTAAGTTGGGACGGTGACTAGTGTGTACGGAACCTGCGAGAGCGTCTATAGGTTGTGGATGTGTGGCGGGTCACTATTCAATATGCCACGTATGCGACGCAAAGGAGGGGCAGCCCGACGAAGAGGCCAATCCAAAAGACGACGTTCCCGGCGAGCTTGTTGCGCTTGATAGCCGGCAGTCGCCCGATAGCGATCAGCGGAATCTGCGACAGCTGCACCAAGTCAACCCGTCAGCCAATGTATTCCCCTACCACGCCTGCCAGACGACACACACCTGAAGGATGAAGAGGTACATCCGCAACTTCTGCGTGACGATGAGCATGACGAGCTCATGCGCCGACGCACTGAGGAGGAACGTGAACAGCATCGCGCCGTTCTTGCCCAGCCCGAGGCTCGTCATCGCCGAGGCGTACACGTGCCGCAGGAGGAAGGTGTGTACGGGGCGGTTCCACTTGCGCGAGAACTCGTCCCAGGACGTGGAGTTCCACCAGTCGTCGTAGAAACGGCGGTCGGCAAAACTGCGACAGGCGTTAGCGGGCGCACCTACGGTGTTAGGAAAGCGAACTCACTAGGAGAGCTCAGCGAAGCCATTGCAAATGCACTCTGCGAACGGGCAGTGAGCGCGCGTGGGCCGCGAGCTAACGTATCGCACGCACCGAAGATGAGATAGAAGAGCAGCAGGAGCGCGACTATGAAAGGCAAGGTGAGGTCCAGGAAGGTGCGCCACACTGGCGTTCCGGGCGTGGGCAGATGCGGGAGTATGAAGCTCTCGGTGACAGTGTAGAGCAGAGCGAACGTTCCGAACGTTGCAACCGTCTTCTCGAAGACATAGAGCGGGCGAATCCTGGAGTATTGCTAAGAACCAGCCGGGATTCAACAGATGATGGGCCGACCAACCTGTCTGTCCTCGGGTACTCGAGCTCGTACACCAGCGTAGGAATCATCATGTACGTCACGAAGTTTTTGTATGTGACGTTCTCGGGCCAGCGGATGCGCTGCGGCCCTGGGCTCGTGAGTTCCTCCTCGAGTTCCGCATGCTCGCGTGCGAGATCGGCGATCTGCGAATTCGGATGGTGTGCGAGAATTTGGGATTGCGTGGGCGGATAGGATGCGGGCGTGGTGGCGGACGGGGGCATGAGGCGTGTCCCGGTTGTGTTCACTTGTGTGGGACGATCTGGCGGGAAATCAGACGAGGCTGTCGAGAGGGCTGGGGGTAGTGGTGCCGAGCCGACGACGTCAGAATGACCGGAGGCCGTGAGCCGCTTGCGCAGCGCGACAGCGACCTTCTCGTCGACGTAGGAAGACGAGGAGCCTTCTGGCGTCAGAGGTGTGCCATTTGTGATCCCATCGGCACGCCTCTCGATCTCCTCCTGTGCTGCCTCTTGCTTCGCCTTGTTCGCGTACGCGGTTTCAACGGCGGCATCCCAGCCACCTTCCTCCGCGACCAGTCGCCGGAGTTGCGAATGTATCTTCTCGGAACGCTTGTGCACCCATTGCAGCTGCCCGTTCGTGGTGACGTAGGAATGCATCTTCATAACGAGAACCAAGGAGTGTAGGGTGAGGAAGCCTGACTGCACCCATGGCCAGCCACGGTTGAAGGTCCACTGGATGGCAAGGAAGAGCACAGAGGTTTGCCATAGGTGTTGAATGACGACACCAACCCAGTAGTAGCGAATCCAGCCCTTCACTACTGCCTTCACGAAGGGGACACAGAGGCCAGTGCTCAGCACGAGGACAGCGTCGGATATTGCAAGGGTGACGGCGTCACGGGAGAACATGGAGAAGAACGCGCCCTCCAAGGCATAACCGTGCTCCTCATAGCTGAGGATGTAGGACCTCACCACGAAGACAAACATAGATATCCAGAAGAGGGTGAAGAACCCCTGCACGCGACGATCGCGATCAGCGGCGCTCAAGGTAGGATGCTCGTACGACGTACTCGGAACTCGTTTGTCCCCGAACGCTCGTTCGTCGTGTCAAAGTGGGATTTGCGGGGGGTGAAGGTGATCATCGTGCGAAGCTTCTTGGTCTGGCGGGAGCGGAATGGTTTCGAGACATGGACGGTGCCCTCCAATGTCTGGAAGTCCATGCTCTGGTTGCGCTGGAGGGCTCCGACTACGTCAGGTGTCGCGGCATGACCGTTCAACGCCGCCTTCTCTGGGGGAGCAAGGCTGTCCAGAGGGAGCCGGGGTGAGTTGCTGCGACGATGTAATGTGTGGAGAAGGAAGCGCACCGGGTCTGGGTCGACGCCATGGCGGTGCTGGGGTGGTTGCGCAGAGATGTACCGCAGAGATGGTAAGGAACGGGAAGAGTCTTGAAGACAGAGCGGTGGGCCGAGTGCAGGGGCGGGGTATAAGTAGGGACTCGGATGTGCGGAGGTCGGATGTGCCACCCCTCTCGCTGCACCGTCACCGATGGCCCAAGCATGGGGCGCCCGCCGCACCATGATCACGTGCCGGACAGTCCCGCCCTGTCCCGTCGCGTAACAGCCGCCTGGTCATCGTCCCCCGTCCCGACCACCGCCCTCTGTCAGCCTACTTAGCCAGAAGGCCCGAGTCTGACGAATTCGACGACTTACCTCCTTTTGACGACGCCATGCTCGGAGACATCATGCTTTACGTGGCGACCCTCGCCATCCTCCATGGTGAGTCCAGATACGCTGCAATCGCACCACTAGCTCGAACGGTCTGACTCGGGTTCACAGCCGCATATTCCACGTACGAACGTGAGTGTCGCCAATCCAACTGCTCATTATCCGCGTCCCGCACATCCCCGGGCTAAATTGCGACGCTTCGCAGACTTGTCCTATCTCAAAGCTCTTGGACGACCAGAAGGGTCCTTGCCCCAAGACGTACGTCTCTAGCTTAGTTACACATCGAACACTCACAGAGAAGACGCGACAGATTGTGTTTGAAGCAATCGCTGCGCTGATACTCGGTATCGTAGGGTCTGCAATCCGGACACCTGAGCTGAGGGAGGTTACATGGCGGAGTGAGATGAAGCGCCGGTATGTCCATCCATCCCCCTACTTTGACGTGCATGGTAACCATGTCGCCTCCTTGCATGCACAGATCTGCGGAAGAGCAGGATCCGAGACTTTCCTTCACAACCTTCGCCCAGCGCGCCGGCATTCTGCAAAGCTCCTCGGCTTCGTAGCGCTAGCCTTGCCATCAGCTATATCCGTTCCCGCCCACCCGCTGACTTGGACTCGGAGGCGATGGTGTACGAAGATGCTGGCTGTGCTAGAGGTGTTGGCTGCTCGTCGTGAGTCATGGTTCTTGAGTCAACTCGAGCCTGGCGACCTCCGTGCGACCCGTCGCGCATGATGTCGCTGCTGGTCCTCTCGGGATGCTTTGTTTTCACTCATGACAATCGGCCTGACTGTGAACTCAAGCATCTTCCGATACGATCGGTTGGCTTCGCACATCCGAAGAATTACAGCAGGCTTGCTATATAATTACTTGGTTCTGCAAGTGCATTTCGTCGGTGCACGCAGCGTGCTCGCGATCATTCTGGCTGCGTAGAAGACTGAAAGCAGTAATACATCCAACCAGGTAAGACAATGGGAACAAGCTACGGCTTCGGACAGACTGGTACCTTTCTATGCGACGTGAATGAACCCATATGCAGATACTGATATTGGTGTATGTCGCAAAGATCATGTGTGTAGGGCGAATGTACCCGTCAAGGATTATAGATCAGCTAAGAGCCGGTACCCTTCTTGTCCGTGTACGCCTTGAGTCTACCACAGGCAAGATCGAATCAGTTTTCAGGATGCGAAGTTACAGGCAGGACCACTCACCGCTTATAATCTCTGTCGATCTTGTTCTTGTCCACGCCGCCTTCCGTTTCTGCATTGTTGTCCTTCTTCTTGCCCTTCTTCCCTCCGCGCTTCCTTTTACCCGATGAGGCATCCATGTCGAGCAGGTCCCTGATGGAAGGTATTGCAGAGGAAGCAAGGGGCTGCAGCCGCATAGGCCGCTCCTCCTCCTCCTCACCCTCTTCGTGATCTGACACTGCTGCAGCCACTGGCGTGTGCTGTGTATTTGCGGGCGGACTAGCCTCAGGAGGCCCAGCCTTCGGCGGGCTCGGACTTGCGCGATTCCCCGGTTGTTCCTCGTCCACTGCGACCCAGCGCGCCTTCGGCGGCGGCGGAGTTTCCTCCGCTTCACCTTCCTCACGTTCTCTGCCTGAGTGCTCGTGCTCGCTTTCGTCGTCGTCGCCCAGGTCGACACCCGTGTATTCCCCTACGCCTGCGAAGATGTCGAAGTCTTCATCCACAGGCTCGGGCTCCGGTGGTGGCGCCGCCTTGGGTAGAGGCGCAGGAGGTTCAATAACGGTAGAAGGCCCCGCCTTGGCGGTAGGCGTCAGTTCAGGTGGTGGTCGCCCGGCAGACACGTCTGACTTGACTTTCTTCTTCCGCGCAGGCTCGCCTTCCTGGCCCTCTATTTTCGCCTTCAGTTTCTTCTTCTTCGTCTTCTCCGAGCCACCTCCAATGGGCTTGAAACCTATGGGTCTGAACTTCCCCGCCTTCTTCGCCTCCTTAAGTGCAGGGCCCGCCGCCGTCGGCTTCTCGTCCCCGCCCGCGTCAGTGTCCTCCGGCCCCGATGACGTCTTAGCCCGCTTCGCCTTCAGCTCCTGCACGATCTCCTCGCGCGTGCGTTTGCGCGGGGCGGTGGCTGCGACCTCTCGGAAGACCTGCTCCAACGATTCATCATCGACCGCCCCAGACGACGCGGCCAGACGAGCCCTGTTCTGTTCCAGCAGAGCGAAGTCGAGGCCCTTGACCAGCACGGTGTGGTCGCTGTCCCCGCCGAGGTACCGCCGTTGCTCTTCTACCTGTACAAATGAGCGTCCTGTACCCGCGCGCAGACGATGCGAAGGTACTCACTGCCGCGCGATCGGCATTCTCAGCCGTGCGTTTCTCGAAGTCCTCTGCGAGAGCCTCTACTTGGGCGTAGTCGTTACCGACGCCCTGCCGACGCTCCGACGCACGGTCGCGGTATGCTTGGTCCGCCTGCGCTTTCTTCTTGACGGTCCGTGGTTTGAACGCGGGCTGCGACGAGGCTACCGTCTTGCTGGCGGGCTTCAATCAGCATGAGACAAAAGTTCGAAACTCTGTTGGGACAAACCTCTTAGCCTTACTGGCGGCAGCGAGCAGTGATCCTCTTGCCGTCGGTGCAGTCGGGGTGCCCGACGGTTTGGGTGTTTGCAGGAGCTTCCGGAAAGATTCCTTGGAGCGCGTTAGAGAGCGCAAGGCGTCGCAGCACAAGTGCAGCGTACCTGGTCCATGACGAGGATGTTGATAGTAGCAGGGAGCGGTCGTCCACCACGCGTAACGGCTCGAGTTACTATACTATCCAATAAGTCTCTGAGTCGGACAATGAGATGCGCGGCGCGCGCAGCGCCGGACAAGCGCCGGGTGGTCGCGATCTAGATCACGTGAGAGAGGTCGTTGTGGCGGGATTTGCCTGATTTAGGCAAGATTTAGGTGTGAGCGCTTGAGCTCTTAGAGAGCCTCATTGAACTCCTCCGAGTCGTGGACCAGGACCATGGTCATCGTGACCCTTATCCCAAGTCCAACTCTTACCACCAATTTGATAGCTTGGGATTCTAGTGCTCACCGCTTCCATAGAAGGACGCGATTTCCCCAACATCGTAGGCATACGATGATGTGACCTTACGCTGGGCCGGATGCACTCCGTAGCGTACGCCAAACGCCTCGCCACGCAATGCGACCTGCAACACATCCCGCAAACTCTGTGAGTTTTCCAAAGCGCGCTGATCTGTCAATCTTGGATTTACCGTTGTCTCCGTCTCAGTCCTTAGCGCGCAGGACCGCGTCCGACTGACCAAAACGTTCCCAACCCCCACAACGTCCCCGCGACGCGCTGTGCTGCATATTACTGCGCTATCATGGCAACTCTGTAAGCCTCCATCTGTAGCTTGCTCATCTGGCGTCGGCTAAGTGTCAAACTCTGGAGGTATTTGTTGATGAACAATGAACATAAGCTATACTGTCTTTGGCCAGGCGAGTTAGTATGCGGTCCCGACTCGGAGCCGCACCTCAGATTCTACTGCAAGCATCAGTGCATCTGCCGATACGTCAGCTCCTATGTGGGCTCTGTCACCTCGAAGGGGTCAAATAGCAAGATGCAATGGGCATCTGTGGACATGGTGCGTACACCTGCCAACTTTTGTCGAGTCAACCGACGCTGGTCGCACAAGGTCTCACAGCCGGCATGTCTGTGGTATTTGACTCTGGTTGTTCCTGGACTGTCGGTGAGAGATCTTCGTCAGCCTGAGGATGACACACACCAACGGGCATGCGAGCCAAGTGAAGATTGAACTTCAGATGAAGCTGTGCAGCGGCCTCAGGCCTCAACCCTCAGCCAGATGGGAAGCCTATCCCGAAGCTCTTCCAACCCCTCAAAGTCCGTGGGCTTGAGTTGCACAACCGCATTCTTGTGTGTTTCCCTTCGTTCATCTAGACGTGTTTTGTGGGCCTCACGACACCGTAGATTTCGCCCATGTCCCAGACTTCCGCCAATAACGGTTCGCTGACACCGCACTTCGTAAGTACCTCTACTAGCGCCAATCAATGAACCCCACTCACGTCTCTCTAACAGCCGGAGGTGCACTCATCTACGGGCCGGGCATCGCATTTCTTGAGGACACCGCTGTCCTACCCGAAGGTCGCCTCCGCCCAAACGACACCGGCCTCCGGGACGACGCCCACATCTCGCCACTTCGTGCACTCGTCGAGTTCGCGCATTCGCAGAACCAGAAAATCGGTATCCAACTCGGGCATGCCGGGCGGAAGGGCTCCGTCGTCCCCATCTGGCTCGGCATGCACGTCGCCACGGAGGCCGCGGGTGGGTGACCGGACGAGCTCGTCGCTCCGTCCGCCATCCCGTACAGTGATGCGCCCGACTGGCCCGTTCCCCGCGAACTCGATGTCGCGGGCATCGCGCATGCCGCGAAGGGCTTCGCGGACGCCGCAGCTCGTGCTGTGAAGGCGGGCGTGGACACTATGCAGATACATGGTGGTCATGGCTTCTTGCCGCACCAGTTTCTCAGCTCGATCCCGAACAAGCGCACCGATCGGTACGGCGGGAGCTTCGAGAACCGCATGCGGTTCACTCTGGAGGTTGTTGACGCTGTGCGTGCTGTCATACCAGAAGAAATGCCGTTGTTCTTCCGGTAAGTCCACGCCGATACCACAAATACGCATGACACGTTCGTTGACCGAGCGGCCCCTTTTGCCTAGACTGAGCGCCACCGACTGGCTCGAAGAAGCTTTCCCTGACGAGCCGTCCTGGCGCCTTGAAGACGCTGTTGATCTTGCCAAGCTTCTAGCGGAGCACGGCGTAGACTTCATCGACGTTACATCGGGTGGATTGCATCTTGCGCAGAAGATCGGCGTGAATATCACCAAACCGGCGTACCAGGCGGACCTAGCCGTCGCCGTGAAGAAAGCGGTTGGAGACAAAGTGCTCGTCGGCACTATCGGAACCATCAGCACGGGTCACGTCGCGCAGCACGTCCTAGACGACCTGAATCTCGACGCGGTCTTCGTCGCCAGACAATTCCTTAAGGACCATCAGACCGTCTGGACGTTCGCCGAGCAACTGGGCGTCGAAATCCAGTTGCCTGTCCAGTTCAATTGGGTCTTCAAAGGACGGCCTGGTACCCAGAAGAAGTAGTGTCGATACAATGTGGGCCTTGCAGCGGTGGTGCTTTCAGGTTTAGAGCTGAGTGAAGAATGAGAATAGGGTCTCTATATGTACCTCTTGGGACGAGATATGTCAACACAGACTACATAGTTCACCCCTTCGCGTCGTGTGGGAATGTGAGCACTTTGTCGTGTTAGTGCGACCTCTGTGCGCTAAAGCCACCTCGTCCAGCCTCATGCAACTACTACGGGTGTTTTCCGAAGAACCTGACCGTGGCCTCAAAGGCGCCCTCCTTCCCAGCCTTCGCTTGGATACACTGGTATTCGAACAGTATGATACAAGAGGTATACCTACGGGGTTGAACCCGCGAATGACGCAGCGGGACTCTTGGGTAAGAAGGATAAATATCCGCCTTCACTCTGAGCATGGATTCCCACGCGAGTTATTCTTGACGCCAGGCTGCACGATACCCTCTTCGTGTGAACACACTTCGCGCGATCAGAGAAGACGGCTATCGGTTTACAGGTGCTTCTTGAAGAACTTGACGGTGGCCTCGAAGGCACCCTCCTTGCCGGCCTTGATCTTCGGGTCACTCTGTTGCATGTCAGTTAGGTATCGCGCATATATGCACGCAAACGAAGAGCACTCACGATGTCACCACGGACAGCAAAGCCGTGCGTGCATCCCTCCCAGTACAGCCTCTCGTAGCCGGGCGCAAAGCCCTTGAAGATCTCGTCCGCCTTGGCCTGGAAGTCCGGTGGGAACTGCGAGTCGGTCTCGCAGCTGTTGATGAGGATCGGCACCTTGGACTCATCACGGTATTTCTGAGGGACACTAGTCAGCTTCCCGGTACAAGCGCATATACCCGTGGATCTCTACCTCGAGGTCCTCGGGCTTGAGCAGAGACGGGTGCGCGAGGACAGTGGCGGCGCTGATGTTGTTGTACGCGAGGTAGAGCGCGGGCGGGGCGCCGTAGCAGTAGCCGGTGACGCCGATGCGCGTCACGCCCTCCGCCTTGAGCGCCGCGACGACGCTGTCAATGACGGGCTTCCAAACGCTAGGGCCTTGCCTGCCAAACCAGGCACCGACGTCGAACTTGCCCGGCGCGTCGAATGCGTCCTCGGGTACGGGGTCGTTGTTAAGGTATTCGGGGACGACGGTCCTGTAGCCGTTTTGCGCGAAGGTGTCCGCGAGGAGCTGGCCGGCGGAGAATCGACGTCAGTAGGCCCATGTGTGTAACGAGCGTAGGAACGCACCTTGTTGTTGTTGAGCGGGATACCGAAGACATCCGTGGCGATGATAACGACCTTCGTCTTGTCGTAGTCGCCGGAGGGCGTCGCAATATAGGCTTCGGCCCCGCCGATCTTCTCGATCTTGCCTGCAGATCAAACAATGTTTGGTATACACGTTTCGTGACCGCATCTGAGATAGCGATCTGCTCACCTTCGGGTGTGCCCTCGTGGCGGACGCCTGGAGGTTCGAGAGCCAGTTTAGAATCCTGCAAGCCAGGCGCAGTGCGGCGAGGCTTGGACGGACAGCCTGGGGGACTTACCGCTGACACAGTGCTGGCAAAGACCTTCGCTCATCTTGATCGTCGAGGATGTGGTGTTGATGTAGTCTGCTGGGCGACGGGTGGGTGCTGGGAAGGGGAGAGATCTGGGAGAGACGGTGCAGCTGGTTATATAGGGCGAGCAAATCTGGGGAACGCTGGAGGTGACTGGATGAAGTTAGTCATCTTCGTCCTGATTGGTACTGATGGACAGATAGCGGGCACAGAGCTCTGACGTGGTCTCTCGGCCAGCCGGCCGGGGAAGAGCACGGTTGATGTCGTGCACGGACGCCCACAGCGATCGGCAGACCCGGCATCGTCCATCTAGATTGCTGTTTACTGTCCACTCTGTACTAAGCATGTTCAACCGATGGTAGAATGGCCACTCTCAGATCCACGCGCCTGCTCGGGCACTATGCACCCTCATCAACGTCACAGCCTCAGTGATGGCAGTGGCATGGGCACGGACAGAGTCCTTCCGAATAAACGCGGCGAGTCTCTGAGCCCCCGGTGCAGAGAACACAAGACTCAACGGCCGGATATCCGAAGCGGGGCCATAGCTCCTCTAGGCGGAGCCGTAGCTACCGGGACGAGTGTTGTGATTGCATCAAGTTGGCTTCAAGTAGGTCCAGCCTCGCTCACCGTCAGTTGGGTCATCCTCTATCATAACGGAAAGAAGGATTGACCGTGACTGCGAAGTCCGCATCCGTCGCAACGCCATCCCTGCCCCGAGTCGCGGGCGCCGCTCGTATGAATTGTATGAGTAGTTCGTTTTGACTGAAGTGGGGTTGGGACTTGTTGATGACTGAACTTCGCAGACGTGACTCGCCGACCATTCTCAACTGAGATCGCAAGCTGACATCGGACTTTCGCTGGGGCCCTGAGTAAGTAGTATGCTGTTCATACGAGGGACTATGCGGGACGCCGGAGGAGCGACAGGCACCTCGGTCTTGACGTTGCGGATCACCGTTGGAATCCTACCGGGGCTAAGAAGCATGGTGGTACATACCGAATCAGTAGTTGTCTCTGTCACCGTTTGAATCGTAGGCAACTTATCAAACAACCGATGTTGTGCTTCGTAAGTTTGAGCGCCATGGCGGCGGTACGCGAACCTTGCGAAAATAAGGGTCAGTCGCAACACACAGGACTTCGGAAGTTGCTGTGGATCGAACCTGAGGCGTTATACAGTACATACCATCAGGCTTGCATCAGGCCCCGTTCAGTCACTCTCGGGTGGCGAGGTCCGTCCACGAGTAAGTGACGGTTGCATACCGTATTGATGATAATCGCAGGCTGCCACACGTCGTCACGAGTCACTATGACTCCGAGAACGGAGGGACATTCAATGCGATCAAGACAATACGAGTGCCCGCGGACCATTCACGTCTTTCTTTTTGTGACAGAGTGTCCTTGACTAGTGTCGTGTTGATGTACGGTATGGTGCATGTGGAACCCTGACAGTAGGGCCGCTCAGACTGAACGGGTAAGGGTACGGGTACGGGCAAGGGCAACGTCACGGGACGTACCCGGGCGGCTCAGCCACGGCTGCCACGCAGCCACCGCGCTAGGGTTAGCGGCGGGTGGCTGCTAACCCTAGCCTTTGTAACCTACCTCTCAGTTATCCCTTTCATTTAAGGCATACGTACAAACCAGAGAATACAGACGGTGTGGATAGCGAGTCAGAGCGTCTGAAATCCGACATAAACAATAACATACCCAGTAATTATCTCAGTCTCTGCGAGGGGAGTGGTTCCTTTTTACGGTTACATTTACCCGATTTAGGCAAGTCTTATTTTGGCAGTGTTTCGGCAGGCTGACATTGGTCTGTAGGGCAATCACTACAGTAGATAGAAGTCAATATCATGTACAAGTGTGCGACCGGACTTCTAGTGCCACCGAAAGGCCGTGATGTAAGTAAATTATTGTGAGACTCGAGACCACAATTATTGCCATGCTTAGAAGCCCGCGAGAAAAAGGCTAGGGTTAGCAGCCACCCGCCGCTAACCCTAGCGCGGTGGCTGCCGTGGCAGCCGTGGCTGAGCCGCCCGGGTACGTCCCGTGACGTTGCCCTTGCCCGTACCCGTACCCTTACCCGTTCAGTCTGAGCGGGCCTAGTGAGAAGGCCACACGACGGTCTCAGGTTGTTCGGAGCGCCCAATCTTATCTTATCTGTGTCCGGTCCGGGACGATCTAGACAGGATCTGGGAGAACCCATCCACATCCGAGTCATTTTGCAGATCGAATTTAACGGCAGCACCTCTCCTTACACTCTCCACCAGCCATCCACCATGTCTGCTTCTCAAGGACGCGTCTTGCTGGCCTACTCTGGCGGTCTCGGTGAGTCATGCGCTATGTCCTGCGCATCGGGCGCGTGACTGACTTTTGGACACTGCTACAAGATACCTCGTGTATTCTTGCTTGGTTGATCGAGCAGGGGTATGAAGTCTACGCGTTTATGGCGGATGTCGGCCAGGAAGAGGTCAGTTCGGTTGGACTTTGACCAATGTGATTGTCTGACACTCCATACAGGACTTTGAAGCCGCGCGCAAGAAGGCCCTGGCCGTTGGTGCGAAGAAGTTCTTCCTTGAGGTGTGTATAATTCTGCAGACAGCGTCACTTTCGGATTGTTCTATCACTGCTCGCCGTGTACACAATTTATACGACAGCCAGCAACAAGAACTCAGCATCCCAGACTGAGTTTTGCACCGAGTGTGCCGATACAGCAGAGGTTACAACCGTAGACTTCGTTTGTCGCGCTGGTACTGGATCTGTATCTGGATGTTACATCAATTGTTCCTAAACACCCGTCTTGAGCAATGCTTACTCTTATCATGCAGGATCTCAAAAGAGAGTTCGTAACGGAGCTCATATACCCTGCCGTCCAGGCGAACTGCATCTACGAGGTATGTAGAATTATGTACCCGGATTTGTTGCGAGCTCACACGGAAGTCACGCAGAATGTATACCTGCTAGGCACATCGCTTGCCAGGCCTGTCATCGCGCGTGGCATGATGGCTGTTGCCGACAGGGAGGGTTGCGAGTAAGTTATATATTAACCCCTGGAGGACCACATAAACTCACGCCCGACGTAGCTACGTCTCTCACGGGTGCACGGGCAAGGGTAACGACCAGGTCCGTTTCGAGCTCGCATTCTACGGCCTGAAGCCCGACATCAAGGTGATCGCCCCATGGCGTATCCCTGGTACGTACCTAGCGAGAGAATTCACAACCATGTATGATGCTAACACTTCGTCCTCTCAAGAATTCTACCACCGCTTCGCAGGTCGTCAAGCCCTCCTCGCCTACGCGGCCGAGAAGCAGATCCCTGTCCAGCAGACCGCGGCGAAGCCCTGGTCGACAGACGAGAACCTCTTCCATATCTCTTACGAGGCGGGCATCCTCGAGGACCCGGACACGACGCCGCCCGTGGATATGTGGAAGCTGACGACCGCGCTGGAGCAGGCGCCCAACACGCCCGAGCGCATCTCCATCCAGTTTGAGCGCGGGTTGCCCGTGAAGGTGACCGTGCCCGAGCAGAACAAGGAGTATACCGACCCGGTCGAGGTCTTCCTCGCGCTCAACGCCCTCGCGCGCAAGCACGGCGTCGGCCGCATCGACATCGTCGAGAACCGTTTCATCGGCGTCAAGTCCCGCGGCTGTTACGAGTCCCCCGCGGCGACGATCCTGCGCGTCGCGCACATGGACATCGAGGGCCTCACGCTCGACCGTAATGTCCGCGCGCTCCGGGACCAGTTCACGACGATCGAGCTGAGCCGGATCCTCTACAACGGACACTGGTTCACGCCCGAGCGCGAGTTCGTCATTGCCTCCATCCCGGCTAGCCAGCGCACCGTCAATGGCCTTGTGCGGCTCAAGCTGTACAAAGGCAACGTCGTTGTTGAGGGCCGTTCGTCTCACGAGGTGCGTTGCGTGCCCAATGATCTGGTGCATCTAGCTGACTTTCTGCTGCTCAGGGTCTCTACGACGAGAAGGAGTCGTCCATGGACGAGCTCGGTGGGTTCGAGCCCACGGACACGACTGGCTTCATCCAGATCGAGTCGATCCGCATCAAAAAGTGAGTCCTCGTTTGCATGGTTCTCTTGAGCACGGCTGACGGCTCTTTTCTTGCTAGGTGGGCGCAAGCCAACATCCGCAAGGGCCAGGGTGGTGTCGAGGCGAAGGACGTGTATGGCTCTCGTGTCTGAAGTCTAAGCTAGTTTGTATCCTGCTTTGTAAAACTCCTTGTGCATTAGAAATCCACACTGTATTGCTGTCTTCCAGAGTCTGCTGTTTCTCCCATGCTCTAACGCTCGTCAGGAGAATGATCAAAGTCTGCTAATCAAGGTATAATATCGGCCGCCATAGAGCGAGCGATATGAAAACGTATTGTCACTCAGAGCAACTTAAGATCCCCCTTCCGGTTGCCAAGTATGACCGTACCCATGGCTTCAGCGAAAGCGCATCGCGTTATATCGTCTGTGCCGTCACGTTAGCGATGTCGCCCACTCGTGTGTAACAGGTAACATACCTCGCAGATCATATGAGTTCACCTCGTATATCACCCGTCCGTCGATCGGTCTCGCCTCGCTATGCAGCGTCCAGTCTTGCTGATCCGTCTCGCTATCCGATTGCCCCCCGGTACGTCCGCCAGGCGTGTTTTCGAGCCCATCATCGGCAGCGTCCTCTTCACCCAGTGCATCGAGCGCAGTGCTGAACGCGATGACATTTCTCTGCATGCTTCCCCGCCTGCGCTCGATCCAGACACCGCGTTTGCCCGTCCGCCCCATGAAGCACGCCGACACGAAGCCGCGCGAGCCAGGCGTGAAGCCGCTCCTCGAGCGGGGCACATTCGTGGCGGCCTCGCCGGTGGTCGCGTACAGCTGTGCTAAGCGGTGCACGGCGAGGAGGCGCACGCTCATGTGTGGCGGCGGCTCATCGTGCATGATGCCATCGGTGGCGGCGGTTGGTGGGAGGAGCACTGAGACGCGGTAATGGAAGAGCCCTCGCAGAATGTCGTACGCGAGGAAGGAGATCCGGACACGAGTCTCGGCGTGGCGGCCGCCTGGAGTGATTTGTGCCTCTGACATGGAGACGCCTCGAAATGTCAGACCGAAGAAGTGAGGTGAAGCCCTGATAGGGATGTGCTCGCAGGGCATATCCGTGTCGAAGACGCTGCATTTAGGTAGCCCGGGTTGTGGCGCGAATGTGCTGGGCAATGTTAGCAGCTCTACATCGTGGGTCTTCACGCAGAGTATGTGACGTGGAGAGACGAACTTCGCATCAGTGATGCCGGTCCACTGTAGGGAGATACCCCGTGTGAGCACCGACACCCTCAGTTGCGGAGAGCAACTCACGATTTCTTCGTCAACGACCTGGTCAATCGTGCGTAGCTGCCATACCTTCCCGCAGTCCCATTGGAGGAGCACGAGCGTATCCGAGTAGGAGAAGAATGCCAGTCTGGAGGCCGGGTGGATTGCACGAACCATGAGTGTAGGGCTGGGTAACCTCCACACGTGAGTCATGTCGGCTATTATGTCGAGCTGTCTGGTGACATGTATGCCCGCACTTGAGGGTAGTTGCACACCAAGCACTGTGAATGTGCTTTGTCTGAGAGGGTCCGATGTCAACGAAGTAGTCATTTATCCCCAGAGCAGATTACCATACGAAACGGGGGTAATAAGTATTGCGGTGCCTTCCTCATTCATCGACGCACATGCAGACGACAGCGGGGAATCGATAGACAACTGCAAGCTAAAGCAGCAATCTATCTGTGGCAGAAGGCCCGCTCTTCGATAGGTCGAGGCGGGAGTGGTGCCCTGAACGTAAAGATCCCAGATGCGTACCAGCCCCTCAACGTATACGACTAGCAACCAACGGTCGGCCAGTACGTCCATGAGGAGAGCAGCGTTCCCGCCTTGTTCGGAGATGTGGACATTGGTCGGCTGATCTGGGAGGCCAAGAAGGATTGGGGGAGCGCGAGGGAGTAGCCAAGAGTGCTCAGTGTAATATATCGAGAGAACAAGTCGCTCCAAGGCTTCGGGGCTCATGGTGTGGGTTGACTTGATTGGATCACCGTCATATGGAGGGGGTATCGGTACTTGCGATCGTCGGTTCAAAAGCATCCTGAGCCAAACGGACCTGTCCTGGGATAGTCGACAGATGACCATGCACGTCTGTGATGCCAGTAAGCTCCAACTGAGAACGGGCACGTATGCAGGCGCTGTCTAACCGGACAACCGAGCATTGCATGTGCCTCCAGATGTGGCTTGCTCGACGTCTATAGCCTAGAGGGACATGCGATACTTGCCGTCAAAATGACCTCGGAAAGACACGACATGCATACACGTCCAAGAGCGACGATATACTCACCTGGCGAACCTCCAAGAGGTCCGAAACGTCGAGCAGAGACAGTATCTCGAGCATGATCTCCGCGGGGAGCTTGAGGATGCTTGCTGGATGTGCAGTGAGCCGCACACCGCAGTCTAGCGAGGCCACAGAGTCCATCTCAGCGTACAGATTCTAGTTCTGAACGCGGTTGGGGGAAGTATAGCAGAGTATTGACGACATTGGGTGGTGGCCAAGTGGTGGCCTGGGACTGTGGCAACGCGCCCGATCACGTCGCAACGTCACGATCGCCGACGTTACGTAACGCGCCAGTGTGACTGACGCGACTTGTCACTCCAAGTCGCGACGCCTGGCCAGGCTCGAACTTGAAGCAACCGTGCAAGCTGTGGCCATTTGTTCTTTCCTCGCTACCCTGCTCTGCACCATATCCTATCTCGGCATTGCTCAGTCTGTCGTAGACTACTTGGCTTCATTCACTGCGCATCCAGTGCCTCTGCGCCGACTGGGTACACTTGACGGGCGGAAGTTCTCAGGTACAAAGGGTATCTAGGTTAGTAGCCTTGAGTTTGCTGCACCTTTGTGCTCTGTACGACATCCTGATAATGCTTTGTACATGCTACGAAGATCTGCATGGAGAATATCCAACACGAAATGCAGAGAAGAGGTACCAACCTGCACTCGGACACATCCGACGACGTACGGCGGAAGGCGAGATCTATGCGCCCTAACGGCCAAGGTTTTTTGGGCATTGAAAGCGACTTCGGAAGACCTTCAAAATCGAAGCAGGGTCCGCCCGGACCCGGCGGGTCTCGCAGCAACGGGATACCCACTACCAAGGCCTCCTCGCATGATATCGTAGACTCGGATTCCTCTAATAGCGACGAATTGAACTGCCTGACCCGGGGCTCACAGAAGCGTTGCACTCGCGGCGGAGCGCCGGAACGCAGTGCTCGCATGGGCAAGCATGAAACACATGCAGAAGACGGTGCCATCGTGCAAGGTCAGCATCACACATATCACCCGAACTACCGTCCCAAGCAGAAACTACCCAACTTCAAGAAGAAGAACAGGGAACCTGCGAATAATGAATCGCTTCCGGCCTCTCAGTCTAGTCTTGGCTCCACATCGTCCACGAAAGCTACAGTCGGCCGCGGCGAAAAACCAGTTTCTCCACCAGAGTCGTACCGTGTTCCTTCTCCGCAACCGCGAGCGGCCCCTTCACGTATATCAGAAGCAGTATATGCTGCGACCAGCGGAGCGAAAGAAATATCGAAATCCGCTGTGGTGAGCATGTCGGGTGCCCCTACCGGAACGAGGGGTAGACATCCGCCGTTGCATGAAGTGAACGCAAACCGCGGCCACCGTCCAGATCCTGTGGATGTCGAAGTTGTGGATACCATTGGCCAAAGAACCCCCCGCCCTTCCGGGTCCCAGCGGCCTAGACCGAGGCCTGCATACAAGGGAGCGGGTGCTTCTACGAGACCGCGAAGATCCCAGGACGTCATCGACATCGACTCGGACCACGAAGAGACCCGCAGTCGAGAACCTCTGCGTCCAGCCAGGCGCCGCAAACCTTCGCCAGCGTCGGGATGCGAAGACGAGAATACGTCGGGAAGGAAGACCGGCGAGAGGACCAGAGCGAAAGGCAAAGGGAGGGAGAGAGAGTCGATGAACCCTATCGAACAGCTCTCGCCTTTACGTCCACAGAGGCAGGACGACTCAGACGAGGATGGCCTACGACCTGTCTACAAGGGCAAGACCAGGGAGAAGAAGAGCGGCGCGAAATCACTGCAACCCGCGGGCTTCCCTGAGGTGCCCCCACTTTCGTCTCAGACATCTCAGCAGGGTTCGAAGGCAGGAGAGTCGGAAGACTTTCCCATGCCCTCACCCTTGTCCTCCCAGAAGTCTCAGATATCCAGAACGGGAAGCCGCATTGATGACTTCCCGATGCCTTCACCGCTCTCGTCCCCTCCGGACAAAGGTGGCTCCCGACCTCGGGGCAAGGGCAAGAAAGTCAAGTCATCTTCGCAAGGGACTCGTGTACATAGGGGCGCGGTGATGTCGTGTTCCGAAAGTAGCGCTGGTGAAGACATCGAGGAGGACCGGCCACTGCGGCCGTTTCCGATGCAGACGCAACTTCTCGAGACTATTGGTCGCTCACCCCCGAAGCGTCCGGACGATTGGAACAGCGACATCGAAATGGACGATGCTAGGCGGGCACGCAAGAAGCGGAAGGCTGATCCTAACGAGATGTACGGTATCCTCCAGGCTTGTGGTTGACATCGGGGCAGAATTCTCACTTCCGTTCTCATTTCGCAGACTGGCTGAGATCTTACGTGGCGACGAGGGATCTGACTTCGACGAAGACGACATGGGTGAGAGTCAAGGACGATGCATGGTTATGCTATTGACTGACGAGTATCTGTATCTCTACGCATCTAGCACTGCTCGGAGGAGACGTCGACCCCAATACGCTCTGCCCCTGGTGTGACGAACGTCTACCCCCTGCGCCTTCACCCCATCTCGAGTCCCTGATCGCTGCAGCCCGCCGTTCCTCCACGCGCGACCCCCGCCCTGTGAACGCGCTCGGCTTGCGTGCGCCCGTAGGCACGTTCGTGAGCGTTTGCCAGCGCCACCGGTTCGAGAGTCATCAGATACCCAAGGCGCAGGCTCGCGGCTGGCCCACGAAGATTGACTGGGACAGTGTCGCGCCGCGTGTAAAGGCGCTCAGGGCGAAGCTGCAGGAGATCATCGACGACGTCGATGAGGACTTCCTGCCCGGAGCACACAGGGCGGATGACGCTGGCGACGACGATGTCGCTAGGTGGTCGGACAGGCCAAGGAAGGGCAGTACCTTCTGGCGGGATGTCGTGAAGAGCGTACGGAAGAGCGGGTCGAGGAAGACAGCCGGCGTCGCCGGTCAGCTCGCGAACTTTAGCAAGACGCAACCTGGCTAGTAAGTGCTTTCATATACTATCCATTGTACATCGCTCATCGAGGTCAACTAGCTACGGCGAACTGGGATACGTAATCATCCACCAGACGATGTACGACATGTTCCCGCCCGCGTCCTTTCCTCCAGAGTCCACCCTCCCCTTGAATTCGACCGACTTCATCCAGCTCATCCTCATTCCCGAGGCCGTCGTCTCCCTAATTATGGAGGACATGTACCAGACGCGGGAAGAGGCAATCGAGACGCTGCGCGACAGCGCCGAGTACGGCGTCGCGATGTTCCCGGACGACCAAGCCGAGGGCGCGGACGCGGTCGATCAGGGCGAGCGGATCATCATGAGACGTGCAGAAGCTCGGCGGCGCGAGCTCGCCGTAGAGGATCGTCTGGAGAAAGAGATGCTACAGACATCATCGCAGGGTGTCGAACCATTGAACGGTCGCCCGAAGCCTAGACGTAGGGCGAAACAACCCGAGGCGGCGGCTACTGAACCTGACAGTGAGAAGAGCGACGTTGAAGTTGGACCTGTCAGACCCTCGAAGAAGGGCAAGGAAAGGGGTATGCAAAGTCGGGATCACACTGACTGCGAGGCCAGCGCAGTGGACGATGGACATGACGCCGGAAGACGGATGACGCGCTCTCAGTCTCGAGCGCGCAGCATCCAGGCAAACTCTGACATCGAGATGGACGTGTCGGATAATGCGCCCTCTACGAGCAAGCCACTTTCCAGGCCCAAGCCGAAGCCGAGAAGAAAGCGACCCGAGGACTCGCATGCCAGATTGACGACAGACGATTTAGATCTTGGAGAGCTCGAGATGGACGGAGTACTCCCGCCCTCGGTCCCACAGCCGATCCCAGAGGTGCACTGGGACGCGAAGGGTCACGCGCATCTAAGCAGGGCCGGGTCGATGGTCGACGAGGATCCTACACCGAGGGCTAGCAAGATATCGCGTCCGACTGACCGGGCGTCGAAAGAGACCAGTATCCCACCGCTGCAGAGAGCACGGGACAGGCGAGCGAAGACGTGAGTCGAACGTCCGTTCAAACGGTGACTTGTGTACTCATGAAATCTTGAGCAGCCCGGGAGAGAAGTCGCGCACCACGCTAGACGACAGTCGTTCCGGCCAGACGACGGGTGCCTCGTCACCTGTGGCCAGCGGGTATCGAAGGTCCACGTCCTCCGCTCGATACCGTGACGAACCAAGGTCGGCCCAAGCAGAAGGCGATTATGATTGGCTCCTATCCGAGTCGCCATAGTGTAGTTCGTACTTGGGCAGATGACACGGGGTTGGTATACCGAGAGCCAGGAAGTACCTTACTACTTTCACTGCATATGTGCTACTGTACCGCTACTATATTGATACTAGAATACACACTGTGCTTAGTGCATATATACCTCCGTTCCGTCTAAGTAGTCTATTCATGAAACTTTGCCGTGGCTTGTGTAATGCGTGTACTGCGAGTGTCTTCCGATAAGTGCTTCTTATATAAGACGCAATCAAACCTCGCAATTCCGTCCCATGGTTTTCTAGTAGAGTTTTTGTGCACGTACTAATACAGTCTTCGGTCAGTGAGAGTGCTGATCTACCATTCACTCCCGCTTATGTATCCGTAACAGAACCAGCAACTGTCGCATCGACTTCCGTAGGCTTGTCCTTCTCCGCCGCCTCCGCTTTTTTGACTTCCTTGATACGCGGCACGGCTTGCGTAGTCTCCCAGCCAGGTAGTGCTTCGCCCTTGGCCGTCTCGACGCGCGCAAAGAATTGCGGGCCTAGGAAGCCCTTTTCGTCTCCTTCGGTGAGGACGACGCCGTTCGCGGAGAGGAAGAACTTGATTCCCGCTTCGAGGGCCTTCTGGACGTCAACGTAGATGAGGATCTGCGAGGAATTGCGCATGCCTGCACCAGGTAGATTTCAGCGATCTGGCCAAAATAGAGGAAGCGTCTGCAACCTACCACTTATGACCCCGGAGCCCGGGACTCCTTGGGCAAGGTGTATGTGGTTGCGCGACATCTTCGAAAGCCCTTGCTTTTCTTTGTCGGCGAAAGGTATGTGAGATGTCAAACCATGTGCATGGTACGACTTTGCCTACGGATGAGCTCCCAGGCCTTACGCGTAGTGCCGTGCACAGCGATCCCCGTCGGGATATCCTTCACTGAGTTCATCAGCTTCAAGTCAAGTTTGACTTCCTGCGATCGAGTGAGGTTGTAATCCAGTCATGTATCATCGCACAAGCAATCAGTTTACCTTCATTGAGTGACCCTGGTTGGCTCTGATCCACCAGATCTCTTTTGGAGGCTCGAGGCTTTCGTCTCGCTCGCACTTCAAATCATAGCGGCTTTTGCTATCATTCTGTACGATGTTTTCTAAATTGTGGAAGTCCATCTCGCGCATCTTAGGTATCTTCAACTAACTCAGGGTTATGGATATTGCTGCACGCCCGAGAGGGATAGCTGCACATACAAGGTCATCGACGCGCACATATCCGTCGGGGCGCATAGCGAGGCCCTCGGCCTGCGAGCCGTGTCGGAGCACCCAAGAGAGCGTTTTCGACATGCGCACTTCAGGGGAGTCTTTTGGGAGTCCTCTCAGCTTTGCTGAAGCCCCACCGCCGCGCGGTCGTCCGCGCATGGCTGGAACCTTGCGTGGCCGATTCGCCTCTTGTGTTGTAGCCTCAGACATTGTCGACGCTCGCCAGGAGTAACAGGTTGTGGCTAGGTTCTGAATGCTGGTTGCCTCTCTCGAGCGCAAGAGAACGTTTGAGTGAGCGAGCTTGGAGATAGTGCTCAGGCTGTGGCGGACGCGGGGAGCCTGAAGCATCGAGGAATCCGAAACGCGTGACGCGTGCGCGTATGCGGTGACCTCACGCGTCGTCGTGACTCGTCACGCCTATTGTGCGTGGTCACTGCGAGCGACATGCTGTCCTGACTCCTCCTTGTCCTCACCCGCCACCAGGCCGCCTCCATCCCCCTCACTGCTGTATCCACGTCTCAAGCATATCCTACCTCCTACCTCACGCTATCGAGGTGACTGTTGTGCAAGGGGATCACGTCGTGCCGACTCACATAGCCACCCAACCCAGCATGCCACCATCGACCCATACAGTCACGCAGTCCTCACATCGCCGCTCAACAGCCAGTGCAAGACAGCGGGAGAACAGGTCGCATCTTACGCATACCGGCAGCATGCGGAGGCGCAAGTCACGTTCGCCGGATGCGCGTATTCTAGAGGAAATCCCAGCCGTACTCATGACTACTTCTGAGTCAGGCAGTCAGCGGAGGAAGAGAAAGAGCATCTCGTCTGCCCCATCTATCAGTGAGCTTGTGACACAATCCTCCATTGACGAAGTTCCGCAAGAACGCGGGCGCCGAGGCAAGGCGAAGGCCAGGGTGCAGTCTTTCGCAGAGGATGGGGACGCCTACATTCTGAGAGAACATGCTACGGCAAGCAACAGTATCAGAAGCAAGAAGAAAGAGAGGTCAAAGTCACGGGAAATCCACTCTCGTGGTGCACGTACAGCCACCCCCGGTCCTGCGGAAGATGGAGACGTTGGGATACCTGTGGCGACGTATGATAGTTCTGAGCTTGTCCGTTTGAAGTGCGAGATTGAGAGTCTTCGGAAGGTGAGCCTTCTTCACCTTCGTCTTAATACCTTCCGCTTATCGTTCAAAAGCAATTACACATGTCAAAGAAGACTATCAACAAGCAAAGCAAGGTAAGACACGTGCCACCCTTATGTGACTGCCTATGGCTGATCGACATCTTTCCAGGTCATTGATGAATTGAGATCGGAAGTCGCGAATTCAGCGAAGGTGCGTATTCAGTACCGAATCTGTACACCTTTCGATCCTAACCATTCTTCAGTCACAGAAAGAGCAGACGAAGGAGTTAGACAAGCTGAAGGGACAATCGAAGAAGTCCGAAGAAGTGAGTCGAGCACCTTCGTGGCCTCGGACAGGCTACTAATACGGATGTTTAGCTTGTTTCCAATTTCGAAACAAACCTCTCATGTCAGATCTGCATGGAACTCATCGCGAAACCGCACGGGTATGTTAAGTTTTCTCCTCCTTTCTCCGTCCCGACTGATTGATTCTCGCGCAGTCTCTCACCATGCGGCCATGTGCTATGCCAGACCTGTCTACAAGAATGGTTCCGCTCAGCACCCGCAGGCGAAGACGAGATGATCGATGAAGACGAGCCGGACGCACTTCTCTACCGCAAGAAGACCTGCCCATGCTGTCGCACCGTAGTCACCAGCCGTCCCATACCTCTGTTCCTCGTGAAATCCCTGACCTCAGCGTTGGAGAAGGCCAAGGCACAGCCCGGTGTTCCACGTCGTCCGACGCCACCACCGGATGATGATCCTTGGGAGGGCATCTTTGCTGACCCGGATGACCCTGACAACTTCTGGCCCATGGACGAAGACGATGACGAGGATGATTTCGACGACGAATACGACGACGACGACGATGACTGGCCGTTCGATGGATACGGCACTGCCGATGACGACGAACATTACGATGGCCCCTACGAGCGACCGCGCTGGGAGCCACCCTCGGTTAATGCGACCCTCGACGACTACCCGTTCGACGATGTCAACGATAATGACCTCCGCATGCTCCGCCGCGGGGCCACCCTCCAGATGATCGACATGTTCCGGATGTCGTATACCCACCAGCATGGCCTCTGCGCGCGAGTAGACGACCACAACACAGTCTACCTCGGCTGGAACATACGTCTGCACGACGACGATGAGTCGGGGGAAGGCTACATCGACTGGATCACCTCGGACATGCAGTTTCATCCCGAGAGGTGGGATGTCAGGGAGGAGAGGAACGGTAGTTGGACAGCGTGGCAGTTGGCACCCGAGGGCGAGGGTGACCAAGACTACGAGACGACTGATTCGGAGGCGTGGTCCGCAGATCTCGCTGACGATGAAGACTTCTGATGCTGGTATCTCAGTCATTTACATGGGATTGTCAGACGAGAGGGCTCCTCCGGACGTGTTCAACCCGCCGGGATCTTTCACAATTATCCTTGTAACACACTTATTTTATCTCTATGCACCTGCTGTACAACTCAATGTAGACCACTGTATCTTAAAGCGATACCCACTCTGATTCCGCTCAAAGTTTGTGTCTGCAATAAGACGTCGATAGTGCCACGCGAGGTGATCTGGGTGCAATGCTACATACAGGTGCGTATACTATAAAGAAATGCGATAAGTCAATGCAATACAGCTCAGTCTCCTTCCTCTTCCTCCTCTTCTCCGACTTCAAGTGCAGCTTCAGCGTCCTCTCTGTCATCGAGCTTGTACTGCACGGCCAAAGGGTTGACTGGTACGTCAGGACGTTTTGCATCCGCGTCGCTGTTTGCTTCGTGCTCGAGATTCTGCAGTCGCATCTCGACGAGAAACTCCTTGTCGCGAATGCTCTGTGACCATGACCCGTAGACGCGAGACAGTACGTATGCTGTATGTCCGAACCCTGCGATTGTGAAGATACTGGGATAGACATGCAAGACTGCGGAAGGTCAGAGACATTCCGGGCCATTATAAACGGACTCACAGAGAAAATCGTCCCCGATCGGTATCATGAAAATGTTACGTAGGGCCCACAGCACGCCAGCTGGGAAGAAAAGCATGCCTAATAAGCCGAATGTCAAGGGGGCGATGACGTCCCTCGTAGCTCTGTAGGGGTCTGGATGTGTCCAGCCTCCTCGTATGATCTGTTCGTTGAGTGAGTAATGAGCATAGTCTGAGTACGGACTCCCGCCTTACCACATCGATGCCTCGGATGAAGCCATTCCCACCGGGCTGTATGCGCAAGACCCGAAGGAAGATCTTCGAATACAGGAGGCCCAACGCCCACATGTCGACAATACGGATGCGCTGCTCAGGCGGCGGTCGCGCGATGTGTCGTATAGGCTGGACCAGATAAAACTCCATGACCAAAGCGAGGAGGGTGGGGATCACGATGCCGAGGAAGAACACCATGTAAGACATCTGGGCGACCCAGAGGCAGCTCCGCTTGACCAAGTAAAGCGGCCATCGGGCCCTATGCTCCACTGCTGCGTTGCCCCTGCGCTGACGGCGTTTGTCCATACGGTCGACTGAGTATGCAACGAGATAGCACGCCCAGAGGAGGTAGAATCCGGCAATGAAAGCGTAGCCATCATGGACGTCATGCGGGATGAAGAGCTTGAAGAACATACGGCCCACCAGAACGGGGGCGCCCAACACGAGGGCAAGCATCACGGAGCCAACAATCCAAACCGATAGGATGAAGACTGCGAGGCGATATCTGAGGTGTGGTGGGAAGTAGGCAATGGCGTAGTCTTTCTTGCTATTCCGCTTGTGCTTCTCCGCTTCTGCATCTTGAGCTGCAATGATGCGTGCTTGCTCATCGTTGAGAGGGATTCCGCTGCGGTCAACGTCCGCGGTCGCAGGGAGATCCTTGACGAGAGCGACATTGTCGCTGTTAGGAACGCGCTTGAACGTACCGTCGCGTTTTATCTCGTAACGTGAGATGAACCTGGGGGTGTAGATCCTATGCAGCCAACGACGCGGTGTGAACTCTTCCATGGGGTATTCGCCACCAAACATGTACGAGCTCAATCGTAGGCGAGCAGCCAGGAATTTCCAGAAGGTGATGCCGAACTGTCGCAGCACTTTCTTGGGGCGGAAATATTGCATCGTGTAGGGCAGAACGAGGTGCAGAAAGAGAAGATCCACGGGCACAGGGGTCAGCGGTTCTCTGGTAGCAGATTGGTCAGATTGATGAAGGTCAGACGCATATTGGCTCACCGTATCTTCCAGCGGAAAGGCAGTATGGTTCGGCTGAACATTTGCAGTATGCCCGATACAGTACCGACCCCTGCAGCGACGACGAAGCTATACATGACGGCACTGAGTAGCAGCTTGCGAATCTGCACCAGGGCCGGGCGTTCCAGTATGTCGCGGATTGGATGGAAATTCTGATCCTGGGGGTCTTTGATAAACCACATCGCGCCGGGGCGCATGATGTCACGGCAACCTGCTAGAAGAACAGCGAATTGGTACCTAATGAGGTTCTCAGCGGAAGTCCGGTGTACGACACGGACAAACGACTGACATGAACATGGTACCGATGACCCAATGATAGAACACAGAAGTGGCCGGTGCATATGTCACGAATGCGGCTCTTGATTGGAAGTTGCCCTCTGGCACGAGCCAAACGGTGCACGCGTCCAACATTGCACCGCATCCAAGAGGGAAGATAACGAGCTCGACGATGATGAAGGCGGCGACCTATGAAGATGTTAGCGAGTGTAAGCGCACGTCACTACCATACAACATACCTTTACCACCAGCAATTGCTGGCGTACGGCACTCCGCACTGCCTTTCCTGCGTTTCTGACGTTGCCGATGGTGAGCACATTCAGGTACAAAGCAAGCATGATCCCGATGACGGCATAACCAAGTATGATCGCGAACATCTTCTCGTTTGGACCATTTCCTATGGCGAGACGTATCCAGTTCGACTTTGCTTCCTCTGAGTTAGTCCGTATCTTGCCACCCAGCGGAGCGAAATATGGCTCGATGTAACGGAAGGCGACGGAGTCGCTCTCTACAAGGCGGTCGAGCAATGAGACAGACTCCGAAGGTGTCGGGTCGGATACCGTCGAGAATACGCCACCGAAGCGGTCCAGCATCTTGCAGACATATCCGTACTGACATATCAAGTCAGTGCTGAAAACTTACTGCGCAGACATCTAAAGAAAATACTGACCATACCACCTTTTGCTTTTGCGCCTGTGTCGGTAATGTCTTGTCCACCGCCGAATATGGCTAAGAATGGCCACAGGAACAGAAGCAGTAATCGAAGGATGGGTGGCACAACGAGCTTCGTGAACAGCAGAGCTACAACGTCAACAATAGGGTCCGTCACAAACCGGATCACTCGGAGCGGTAGATGCAAGATGTACAGGAGGCGGGGAGGATCCAACTTTGAGGTTGTCAGTCGAGCGCGGCAATAAAAAGCAAAGCAAGGCGTACCGAGAGGAGTGCAGTCGATTTGCCAATGGTAAACGGCACCCAAATGCCCAATCCGATCGTCACATCGAGGATGAAGATCATCAGTGCAGCCTGTGCAACACGGTGTGAGCGATTGCTAGCCGTAACTTACTGTATACTTACGTTCTGGACCACGCCATGCAATGGCCCTCTCAGACCAATAGCTGAGGGCCATATCAGTGACTGAAAGATATGAGATCATCCGTGCACTGACCTTCCAGAGCCCCGTCCATGTCATCCTCAATGTTCTCATCCAGGTTTTCTTGAAGCTGATTCATTTCCTGATTCAATTCCTCTAAGCGGTCACCGAGGTCTCCGAAGGCCTGCAACACGAGCTGCGCGTTTTCGGGATTCATGGCGGGTTGTGCGGGTGCCTCAGCCGGAGGAGGTTGGTCGAGCTGTCCATTCGCGCCGTCACCTGCCTGCAGATCAACTGCACCGAGTGCTTGAGACCCCCCGTGTTCGGTGCCTTCTCCGTCATCTATCTCTGCGCCGAAGCCCTCGTCTTCCCCTGTTGCGAAGTATCGACTGTGCTCCTCCCGCATGTCCGGCGGTTCATCATCCTCGTATGAAGGTCTCCTGCCGAAGTAACCCGCGAGATTTGAGGGGCCTGCTTCGAACTCCTCAGGTGCACTGTACGTCGCTAGACTGGGTGAGTCAAGTGGCGTCGCACCGCGGCTGATGGATGCACTCGCTGATGGTGGTACACCGGACGAAGGCGATGGCAATGTGACACTGGGCAATGGCGGACGCCGAAGACCGCTCGGGACGTCCGAGATAGTGGAGGACGTCGAGACTGATGAAATGGGTCCTACGTTCGTCAGACTATCGATGTTGTCCGACACAGTTCTATCAAATGCAGCGGAGGCGATGATGGGGGAGGGCAATTCTCGTGGGATATGCATATTAACGGGCGTCCGAACGTCAATGGGTGACACCAAAGACGTAACGTCCTCTGGTGCGTCTGGGTTCGCAGACCGGGGCCTTGGGAGACCTGCGTCGTCGCCGGAGGTTTTCCCGAAACGCGGGTTCCACGATGAGATGTCCGTGCTGACGGATCCGAGGAATAGTGGTGGTGTCCGGTCGGTCTCGTCTATACCGTTCGTCCCTGACTGGTCAGAACCCCCGGGCAATTGGTCTGGGGCACGGAACGTGAATTGCGTTTGCTCCTCGCCTAGGTCCAGTCGCGGCCTACCGTCGTCGAGCTCATCTGCCAAGTAATTCTGTGTGTTCTCGTCCTCTGGTGACTCAGAGGAGTCTCTGAACGGATACCGTCTACGTAACCCGTCATGCCCAGTTGCACCAGCCATACGCTCGCGACGGTCGAAGCGCTTGCCCTTGTCTCTGGCCAAACGAGGTGTCGGTCGACGCACATAGGGTTGCTCTTCTTCAGATTCTGTGTCCCGACGAGCCCTCTTCTTCGGCGTCCCATCGTCTTCCTCCTGTTGATGGTCTTTGTCCTGCCCCTGCGCTGCGTGACCATTCGGCCCTGGTGCAGGGGCCGGAGCAGCCAGAGCAGGGAGAGGAGCTGGTTGATTCGGTCCAGGAAGCTGCGGTACTACTTGTTGTTGCGGAGCCACTGCGAGGTCACCAGGAGCTACGTCGCCCTCTTCGAAGACTCCCGGGCGAGCGTTCTGCGCTATCCACTCACGCAGGAGGAAGATGGCGAGGAAAGCGAGGACAATGAGAGACGCGATGATTTGACCTGAGACTATGTCCGACGAGATCGAGCGGACAATAGGATGCGACAGGAAAGAAGTGGTATTGCTGATCGGCGTGCTTGTGTTGACGTGCAGAGACGACGTGTTGGCAGCATCATTGTCTTGCGGTGGCCTTGGTAGGTCGCTGATCCACCAAGCGCTATGAAGTCGGACCTAGTGAGACCGAATGAACCTCGCGAGAGCAAACATGTAACGCACGTTGAGTCGCCCATGGCGAAGTACATCCTCCACGTCCAGATAGTAGCCCACGGTAGTAGTGCAAGCCATACCGTAGCGACTATTGCAGCCCGTATGCAGAACACTACTGTGGTGAATGCTTGCCGCGAGAGTTGCCGCAGAAGCAATAGCACCGGCAGTCTGTCCGGCATGTCCGGAGCATACACTGGAGCCGCTATCAATCTCCCGAGTGCAGGGGTCGATACGAAGGCGTACCTTTCGTGAAGGCATACGGGAACTTGCATATATCGCATGTCTTCTTCTTGCTATGCGCGAGCCATGTCTTCAAGCTGTGGCGACGAGCCGATGACTATCATTAGGAGCGCGGAGACCGGAGTTTCAGCTCACCAATCTTGATGGATGTACCGGATACTACCGGAGCACTTGCATGGATGAAAGAGCGGCTGGTCTGGTTCGGCTGGTGCGCTGCATATCCGGCATGTTACTGCAAGTGCGAGTTCTCAGCCACTGGGGTACGCTGCGCGAATGGAGGCCTCACATTGGTCTTCCTGGGACATAAGACCTAGCCCTTGGGTCGCGTTAGAAGTCGCTCGATCCTGCAAGATGATGTGTACTGCGTTGTCTGTAACGAGCGAGTTTGGCCAGCGAAAGGTGGTTGCGGCTAAGTGAGGCGAGGTGGAGGTGGAAGGCTGGGGACAGGCTGGGGACTTGCCATTTCGGAGGCGCGCACCACATACGTCGCATCACGTGCTCCCATGCTCTAAGTACGCTCGAGCTCGATCGAGGGCTCGTCCAGGGCCCAGAGCTTGTCTGCATTGTGCAACTTGGATCTACCAGTACTTGTTCATTGACGCCACGGTATGCAATATTTACGTCTCTTTGCACGGAAAAGCCACCAACCTATGAGGAGCAGTGACGAATCTTGCTCTCACAATGGAAGCGAATACGCCACAGAGCTCGTCTCCTCCTGGTAAACGCGTCTTCCCGCCGCTTTACCAGGCCACAGGCGATGTAGCCGTGGATCGTCTCGCGTTCGTCCACATCCTGGAACGACTCAAGGTCCGCCTATGCTTGTGACTACTGTTAAAATACGCTGAGATATGTCCTTGCAGACCCAGAAACGAACGGGATGGGTTGACCATAATGTCTGTGTGCTGTCGCTGTATTCACGGAATCTCTGATGTCCTTGGCTTAGTAGGTGCCTGGTCCTGAAAGGTATGGTGAAAGCCTCCGTGTTGCTATCTGTCGTGTCTCCAGGCTCACTAACGGTCGACCAGTATCTCAGACCACATGTATAGGATGGCTATCCTCGCGATGTGCACGTCAGATACAAATTTAGACATCTCTAAGTGAGTTTCACTCAACGTGACGCGATGCTTGTATCATTGACGATCTGTCTTTTGTCTATCAAGATGTGTGATGATGTGTCTCGTACATGACCTCGCCGAAGCACAAGGTAAGCCTCGTGCATCCTTGCTACGCTTGATGCTTTGTGTGAACGACCTTGCAGTGGGAGATATAGCTCCCCGAGAAGGCATACCGAAGGCCGAGAAACGACGCCTAGAAGAAGTGAGTTGCGGCTCATTATCATATATTCACGGCCGAGCTATATCCTCGCAGGAAGCCATGCATAATTTCGTGCACGAGATGTTGCATGACAGCCCTGCTGCACAACGCATCATGGTGCTCTGGCAGGTGAGATATCTCCGATGCATGCGGTCTCTGAAGGATGCTGAGTTCGAGCTGAATGCAGGAGTATGAAAACCAACAGACCGACGAAGCGCGTTTCGTCAAAGGTATGAGTGTGCTTCATCATTGCTCGGTGTCTGCACGTCTCACCAAGCTTGACAGATTTAGACAGATTTGAAATGGCATCGCAAGGTCTGTCCACGACTTGAACACAGCCAATGTCGCTCATCACGATTCTTGTTGCCTGACTACTTAGCCTCGGAGTACGAGCGAAACCACAACATGACTACGTTGCAGCCGTTCTTTGACAGTAGCATTCCCCACGTACGCCATCCGGAGGTTAGACGTTGGAGTGAGGATTTGCTCGCCGAACGAGAGAGGACTGAGTCGCGGGAACTCTCAAATGGACAATGAGTCTGTATCTGTAGGAACTGTGTCTGCGGTGTAGTGTATTCCCCTGTAGATCGATAGATGACCAATTAAGGACGTCAAACTGCGTTTGCAGAGCATTATTGTACGTGGTGTATTGAAACAATGTCGATGTCAACGTCGGCTGCACTCGGGCAAGCATCGGGTATAGTAGGCATCGGGCAAGTCTACGGGTAACCGTCTGCAGGCCGCCCATTGGCTGTCAAGTTCATCAGCCACCTGGTCCGTGCGCACGCCCGCCACCCTATATAACCCGGACTTCGACATCGTGATTCTTTACCACTCTGGCCTTTTGGCTTAGATCAAGTGTAGTATCTGTTCTTAATAGTTTAACCACTATTATGGAGGCACCGCCTCCATTATTGGTTATCTAATTTTTGCCGCCCTTGCTCTCGAGCTCTGCTTGCAACTCGAGGGCGCGATGACCTTGCCATTGCAGTATCGGCTTGTGTTGTCGGGGGATCTCACTATTCTTTTTGCTGGTTTTTCTTGAGCTTGTCATTTGACGAGACATAGGAACTGGCAAATGGAAAAGTGGGTTTCTGTGGTAGTATTGTCGTTTGGCAATGGCAGTCTGGTAGTAGGGCTACTTGGAGTGGTACCGTAATTTCTGTGGTTTTCCGACGTCCTGAAGGTTTTATTGTCTTGACACTGTAGTCACTGTGCTGGGCTCAAGATGTCTTCGTTGATCATGACTTTGCTATAGTAGCCTCAGTTTACAGTCTGCTTCTGGATTCTGCTGGTGTTGTTGAAATGAAGTTGGTACAATGCAACTTGACGTCTGCATGGAGGAAATGCGTGCATGCCAGGTATCCATAGGAATCCATGTGCATGATGCTGCACATTGCAAGGAGTGCGTCGCGCGATCAACTCTATGGGCGCCAAAGCGATCCTGAGCGATCGAGAAAATATCGCGTCTGTGGCTGAACAACTCCGCCATCCGCCACCATGTCTACGCCCATCGGTACGTACTCATGAGACCGTCAGTGAATGTCTGGGTGTGTTGACCACTGTGCAGCACTGCTATCCGTCTATGACAAGACTGGCTTGCTCGAGTTGGCTCAAGGCCTTCACGCGGTTGGCATCCGTCTGTTGGGATCTGGAGGGACTGCGAAGAAAATCAGGGATGCAGGCATTCCCATAGAGTACGTTCTTTGCCTTTGCATTTGCGACGAACACTTATCCGTCCGCATCAAAGAGATGTCTCCGACATCACGAAAGCGCCTGAGATGCTTGGAGGCCGAGTGAAGACTCTGCATCCCGCTGTGCACGGCGGTCAGTACTTGACTTGGCTACAACAGTCCCGTACGTTATCCGATATTCATTGCGAAATATCACGTTTTAGGTATCCTCGCGCGTTCCATCCCATCCGACGAGGCCGATCTCAAGGCGCAGTCGATCTCCCCCATCTCCATCGTCGTCTGCAACCTCTACCCCTTCACCTCCACCATCGCTCAGCCCAACTGCACTCTTGCCGACGCTGTTGAGGAAATCGACATCGGTGGTGTGACGCTGCTCCGTGCTGCTGCCAAGAATCACGCGCGCGTGTCCGTCCTCTCCGACCCCGCTGATTACGCTGAGTTCCTCGATGCCTGGGGCGCCGGAAAGGGCGAAGTCGGCCAGGCTCTGCGGAGCAAGCTCGCGCTGAAGGCATTCGAGATGACCGCGAAGTATGACGATGCCATCAGTGGGTACTTCAGGGAACAGTACACCAGCTCGGAGCTGCCCCTTGAGAAGCTCGTCGGACCGGTGCAGCGCATGGCACTCAGGTATGGCGCAAACCCGCACCAGAAGCCCGCGCAGGCGTATGTCACGGAGGGACAGTTGCCGTTCAAGAGTACGTTTCAGCCAACGACCACCACATAATGATGCTGACACGGATACCATCTAGCATTGTGCGGCTCCCCTGGTTATATTAACCTCCTCGATGCGCTCAACTCGTACGCTCTCGTTAAAGAGCTGCAGGACGCGCTTAACCTCCCGGCCGCGGCTTCCTTCAAGCACGTATCGCCAGCAGGGGCAGCCGTGGGCATCGAGCTCAGTGAGACCGAAAAGAAAGTGTACGGTGTGGACGACCTCAAGGAGCCACTGACACCTTTGGCGTCCGCGTACGCGCGTGCTCGGGGTGTGTTTTCTCCTGCCGGTGTTCATACAAACGTCTAAGTACGTCACAGGCGCTGATCGTATGTCTTCCTTCGGTGACTTCATTGCTCTGTCCGCACCATGCGACCTTGCCACCGCACGCATCATCTCGCGGGAGGTGTCCGATGGCATCATTGCCCCCGGTTACTCTCCAGAGGCGCTTGATGTCCTCTCCAAGAAGAAGGGCGGCAAGTACTGCGTTATCCAGGCACGTGTACATTCATTTCCGCGTTCAGCGCGCCTCACTGATAACATTGTGGGTCGCAGATTGACCCGTCTTACGTCCCAGCGCAGATTGAAACGCGGCAGGTGTACGGGATCCACATGCAACAGCGGCGCAACGACGCCAAGATAAGCCCCGAGCTGTTCTCGAACCTAGTCACGGAGAACAAGGAGGTGCGTTTCATACAAGTCAATTTGCCACCGTGTCCCGCGGTCTGATTGCATTCCCCGATGGATAGCTCCCGTCAGAAGCCCAGACGGACCTGATCGTCGCCACGCTCGCACTGAAGTACACGCAGTCCAACAGCGTCGCCTACGCGTACCACGGTGCTATCATTGGCATTGGCGCCGGCCAGCAGTCGCGCATCCACTGCACCCGCCTCGCGGGCACGAAGGCGGACCTGTGGTGGCTCCGGCACCACCCGCGCGTCCTCGCGCTACCGTTCAAGAAGGGCGTGAAGCGCGCGGAGAAGGCGAACGCCATCGACCTGTTCGTCTCCGGCGAGGTGTTCGAGAGCGGCGGCAGGGAGAAGGAGCAGTGGGAGGCGCAGTTCGAGGAGGTGCCTGCGCCGCTCAGCGTTGAGGCGAAAAGGGAGTGGATGGCGAAGCTGGAGGGCGTCGCCTGCAGCAGCGACGCGTTCTTCCCCTTCCCGGACAACGTCCACCGCGCAAGGAGGAGCGGCGTGAAGTACTTGGCGGCGCCGAGTGGTAGTGTCATGGACGAGGAGTGCGTGAAGGCGGCGGACGAGCACGGGATGGTGTTCGCACACACCAACCTGCGGCTGTTCCACCACTGAGAGGTAAGAATGTGTGCGTCCGAAAGCAAGTTAGCAATATGATACAGTAGATTACATTGTGCGGTATGTAGTTGTATCCCAAAATGTCCGTGTAGCTGTAGCAAAAGTGTACCCATCGAGATTATACAGTGTGTGGTGCTCAGCCTCAGCGGATAAAAGATGAGTGTGTTCCGTCAATGTGAATGCGAGGAAAGGACTGCATGCAGCTCTGCCGCCAAAACAGGGAGGTTGGCTCGACACAGTACGTCCGAGACCCAGGTTTCATCCGCGTTCCAGGCTTGCTCCCTTATAAGGGTGCCCGCGTGTATGAGACCCTCTCCAAACTGGCTTATGCGACGTCGCTGATCCACCAACTGCGCCAAATCATGTCAACACTAGAATGCGCAATACGTATACCGAACAACTGACCTCATCTCTCGCCTGAGGGAAAGGTGTAAACTCGGCTGAACATGGCTCCTCTGGCTCAGCGGCCTTCCGCTTTCCCAAGACCTTCTCTGATGTATGCTGAGAATGACGATTTTTCAAGCGGTCAGAGGCACGCGTAGCAGTAGGTGACGTCGCAGTCGATTCCACCTGTGAGGGAGGAGGTCTTGGACTCGAAGGAGTCGCCACAGCCCTACTACTGGATGGCGCGCCGAACGACGCGACCGTGCCTGTCCAGGTTTCGTAGTTCCTGTGCTCAGGACGAGCGATGGTGGCCACGGTAGCCGGTTGTGTTATTTCTGCGAGCACCTCCTGACGGTGTAGGGCCAAGTCTGAGATCCGCTTCTGCGCAGAGTCATATGCTGCCAGGAAGGTAGGAGGCGTCGGTGGCGTTGCACCGTCTGCACTCGAAGTCGACTGCAGCATTTTGATCGTGTTCAGCACAACGTAACGTGCTAGCGAGGAACATGACGGTAACTGACCGGCTCGGGTATTTCGGTTGCTTGCCTTACGTTCTTCTTCTGTGCATAATGTTGCAAGTTCTGGATTCCAATACGGGCCCTCTTCTTGCGCATACCCATCGTGTATGTATATGAGCTGTGAACAGATCGACAGTGATGATGTTGACCGTGCAGTCTGAGGCTACGACCTGGTTACGACAGCCACAGGCGCGTAGTCGGCGCCGCCGTCGGCGGGACCCGACCCCGCGCCGTTCCCGCCTCGGGCGCCTACTGTACTATTCCTGGCAGCTACTGCCAATTGCCTCTGCCTTTGTTCTCTCACCTCGACCACTGCTCCGAGTGGACCTATTGCTGCAGAGGTGACTAGATTTACAATTGCATCCTCTTCGCTTGTATGCTACCTCGGCTCGTACGATACTCGTAGCCCACACCTCTTCTTCGACGCCTCGTAGACTGCATTCCTTGACTGTGGTGCAAAGTCATCAACGTCTACGGAAATATGGCACCGGTCTCTTCATTGCAATGCGGGTCACGAACTCTGGACAGCTTGCCAACGGAAATTCTTGTCGAGATTCTGAGTCTCTTAGACGCGGTACAGATTGCGTTCTGTCGTCTGGTGCGTTCCCTATACATCTGGTTTGACATTCGCCACTCACGTTCATGCGCATTCAGGTATGCAGAAGGTTTGACTACATCGCTCTTCACAATGCCAGGTTGCAGTATCCGATTCGGCTTGCAATCGCGAACCATGTCGATGGCCACCCCGAGCACCCGTCTGGAGTAGGAATGCGACTCAAGCACTTATTGGCGTTACAAGAGGCTTGGAGAACTCAGGACTTTCGAGAGAAGCGACGGGTTTGCTCTTCCGATCTCACGAACCAACCGTCTGCGTCTGCGTATCGCAATGGCACGGTGCTGCTCGGCGCGCTCAACCTCTCCCTCATCCCTTCCAGTGTTCCTACACACATAGTCGATCTTCTAAGCCCGATATTTATGAATGAACTACATGTACTCTATCTACGGGGTGCAGAAGGTTCGAGCGACTTTCGCCGCGATGTCCATCGCTTTGACCAAGCCTTCAGTGACTTCGATGTCGAACTCTCTGAGGACCTCTTGGTACTCTGGAACAGCTTCTCACCTCCCTCTACTGGCCTAAAGTACGAACATTTTCAATGCGTGTACGATGTCTTGATAATTCATAGGCTAATAAAATCGTCTGCCAGTATACGCTTCCTGTCCCTCAGCGACGGGGGCGAGCACAAGCGAGCGAAGACCCAATACGTGGAAGTGCCGACTGAAACATTCTTTCCGGGTGAATACCATCCTGATACCGTTATAATCTTCGACGTGAACTCAGTTCAGCTCAATGGGGAGCTTGCATGTATCTGCGCAATGGCAGGCAAATGGGTTCAACTGCTCAATTGGGTGACGGGTGATTGCTGGGTGAGTGAACCGGACTACTCCTGGCCAACGCCTGCGCACGACTTACGACCGCGACTAGACGATCTCAGGCTCCTCCTGCTGCATTCTCTCGAAGGAATGCGTGATCGTCGCGAGCTGCCACACGAATCCTCCTTATTTCGATGTCTACAGCATCATTTACTCTGTCCAGCCACCGTCGGTCGCCCACGTTCGTCGATACAGGTTGCCCCGCACCAAAGTGGGCATCCTCTACGACATCGAATGCAGGCCCTCTCCTCCCTTCAATGCCTCAGTCCTCCCTGTAACACCGGAGTGCCCTGCGGTCCCGTTCTCGACCGCTCCAGGCTCTGTCATGGTCGTGTTCTCTTACCGAATGCGCATACCAGACGTGGACGGCTCGCACATCCAGTACGCGCTGCTGTGCTACACGGACCGCTTCCTGACCGACGTGCAAGAGTGCGTTCTGGGGACGGCGGAGCAACTGCTTGAGAACGTCGAGGTGGTAAATTGGGAGAGCTGGGGCCCGGACTCGTCGTTCTTCCTTGGCGAGGTGCACAACGATGACAACATATGGTCGTACGCACTCTACGGCTACCGGCTGATGTTTGAGCACACCATATACGATTTCAATCCACGCAATATCGCCTCTGCCATAGACAGAGAAGAGAGGGAAGAGGGGAGGGAGGGGAGGGAAGGCATGCGCCTTTGTCGGAGCACGTCCTCTGCCCGCGAGGACTATAAATATTTCGCACAGAAGATCGAGACGCATCGGGCGTTCCTGTCGGCACCGATCAAGAAGTCAAGAGTGCCGGCGTCTACCTGTTGCTTCCTTGTGGACGAAGACGTGCTGGCCCTCGAGGTGCGTTTACCATGTCAGCTTGTAACGGAGTGCGTTGGGCTGACCGCCGCTGGGTACAGGACACGACGGACATAACGGACAGCACCTCGAGGCAAGTCATAATCACCCAGCTGACGGTCGGACCAGAGTGGGATGCTTAGCTGGGCACACGATCGGACATGAGTTAACCTCCCTCGGCCCTGCCTAAAGTTTATCTCTTCACCGCAGCGTTGTTAGACTACGCCTATGTCAGCATCCAATTAATTTACTCGTCCGCGTTCCTGCCACAAGGACTACACGAGGCGGCAGACATGTTCGCGGGACGTCATTGTGATGTATGACCTTGTATGACAGCGGGCGGTCGAGCGCGTTGTTGCCAGCGGTTCACCCTCCCGAAGCCCTGCGCCGAGCTGACAGCCATAACGATAGATGAATCGGGTCGGGTCGTGGCGATACGTTGCCGGATGCTCGCGGAGTCGTCATCTAGATAATTTGGTTCGCCTGTTGGAGGCTTCCATTCCATTTCGGAGTACTCTAGTAGAATAATAGTGCATACACGGCAATAGAGCGAGATGATGCAAGTCACGGACATAAATACGGCGATGGGATCGACTGACGACTGGGGAGGATGGAGTCACAATATACCGTAAGGTTGAGAAGTAGGCAATAATGATACACGGACGTCCGGACGGGCTCTATTCGGTTGCGCGGAGTCATGATGATAGGTCATACTGTGACATAGCGTCAGTCGATCGACTTGTCGTTGGCGTGTGCGAATCTCGTACCTCGTCCTGGGCAGCGGTGACGACTGTAGGTATCCTGGCGGTTGAACGTTGCACCGCACCTCTGGCACTGGAACTTGACCTCGCTGAGCTGCATGATACAGCCTGGAGCCTGCGGACACTGCGCTGATGCGCGCCGCACGACGCCAGGCGGTCGTATACCGCGTCCGCGTCGATCATTGCATCCGCCCTCGACCCACTCTGGGACAATGCACGGCAGGTGACTGCAGGCGGTGTGAATGCGTGAGTCCTCATATGGATGTCGACACAAACGCGACGTACGCTCGTGATTCCCGCTCCAGACCGATCGAAGGGAGAGCGAGGAGGAACGAAGGGGAAGCGACGCAGTAGATCATCCTTGAAGAGGCTTCCTTGGTAGGCGAACACGCAAATCTTGGTGCTTCTTCGACATCCTCGTTCGCAGCCTATATACCAGTCCGGTGTGATGGTAGTGTCGTAAAGCCTTGCGGAGACCACCCGATGTCCCAAACATTGTTGCGTACAGGACGGCCTCCTGCATACTACGATGCAAACGTGGCCGCGGTGGAGGTGGTGACAGTGACCCGCTACAGTCAATTTTGGGCCTTGTTCTGTTATGCGCGCACGCTGGTGACCATGCAGTGTTCAGTACAAGGGTAATCAGATGTACAACATGACGGCGAGCCGACACCTCGTCGCAAACCGATGAAAAAACCTGCTGTCGCCAGGCGGAATATTCCTCGTACGATTTGACCAGAGCATTGACTTCATTATCCTGGGTCTTCTCTTGTAGAGTGAGAAGAGGGCCGCACAGTTGGAGTTTGCAGGCGTCACCAGGACGGCAATCGTTCCATTCACGGCGCGACCACTCCGCGATCCCTTCATCCCGAGTGACGGAGCCATGCGATGCCTACAAAGAGTGTCTCTAAGCTGTGCGCTAGACTCACGTTCATTGGACGGTCGAGCCTGGACAAAGCCGACCGACCACCATGCACCCGGAACTGTTGACTGCCATGTGTCCCCGCCGGTATGCTGTGAACCACGCAGGCGGCCATATCGGTCACTAAGACTGACAGACTCCAACGTTTGAGACATCCAGCGTGCCTGATTGATCGGACACGACTACTCAACATGCCGGACTAGCCATATAGAGACCAACCAGCTACTGCAGGCTGTAGTAAGTAATCGGGCTGCGTCATAGGGGCCAAAGGAGGTAGTTGAGCTAGCCTTGGGAGCCTGAGGCCGACCACTTGCCATGCGAGATAATCCTGAGCCATTGGAAGACACCCGCAGAAAATTGCCACGCAGGCGTCCTTTCGGGAGTGGACCATGGCCGGGGGGAAGGCCCAAGTACACATCGCGATTCCTATTCTGCGCAGCAGCAGATCTCGTGGATCTAGAGCTGAGATTCCACACCACTGAGCGCCCATCAACCCGTTTGGCCCTGAGCCGGGCAGCCCCAGCAGACACCCACGTGACGTCTCCCGTGTCCGTCGGGGTTAGTCGGTTACTTACGAGTGACGTTGTTTGTGGCGGTTAATAAATGCAGATTTCATCATCATCATCACCAGTGACGTTGTGATGTCCTTGCGACTCCCCAGCTGGGGATGTCACGGCCTGTGTAATGACGGCAACGAGGCGACAACGCTTGCAAGCCTCACTCTCTTGCATTGCTCTTGCACTCGGTTTCTACTTCCAACGCTTGATGTGGGCCTAAGCACCTATGTAGGGGCATCTGCACGTGACGATACGGATGAGTGAGGGCCTATTCTGGCCTATCTTACATACACGGCACATCCAAGGTGCGGCCGGTAGTGCTCATCTGCACCATTCGGACCTCATCTAGACCACGGTGTACCGGATTCTCGGGTAGCTGCGCTTTTCCGTATCGCTACTTTGCTGCGACTCGGACTCTCAACGCTCTACGACACCCTCGTAGATGCCTCCAAGTCAGCTCGTACGATTCAGACATCTTCAACGCGGTTATCTCGGCTGATTAATCTTGCCCTGATTATAGCACGTCCAACGGGTCGCGTCTACTCAGGTCGGAGAACCTGTATCGTTCCTGTCTGGCCCGCTGGCCAATCGTGTCGTGCGTGTACAAGTCGTCGAACTGCAGAAGGCTGAATTGGGGCGCAAGTGCGTTCATCGCATCTCTCTCGGAAAGAGCGCATTCATGATCTCCCCATCTCAAGGTGCGGCATCAAGGATAGGCGACCTCTTGACCCCCCACCTGCTGTCCAAGTGAAGCTCTTTGAACTCGATGGAGTCGGTACGTCCCAGGCAACAGAGCATGAACTCATGCACCTCAGGTTTGCCAGGCCAAATCCCTCTCCGGCTGACTTGTTGATGAGTCGGTGCTACAAGTGAATCCATAGCGTTGGGGTTCATTTGTTTCGTCGATCTGTTCCCATTTCCAGAGGCCAGCGACCCTCCCATGGAAGGCATCTCCGAGTCCCTACCTTCTACATCACGCTCGGCCTACAGCCAATATGAAGACCGCGCCCCAAGTCCCGTTCTGTCTTCCTCCCTGTATTCGCCACTCGAAGATCTTGACCTTGTAGATTCTGCAGGCGCCGACTTCGAATACCCCGTTAACACACCCATGGATACGATTGATCCAGCTGTGATAGGGCTGAGTACCTCCCTTAATCCACCAAGTATGTCGGGAGGCGTATTGCCAATGCGAGTTCCCTACAACCCTATCCCAGCTCAGAATGCACAAAGGCAGGAAACGGCGGGGCCTAGTCCAAACGAAGTGGTGGCTTACGTTAACGGAGCACCCGTCATACAAGGATCATGTTGTACGACGGCGTTTGTAGGTACAACCTTCGTCTCCGTGTCGTGCTTTAACCTTCATGGAAATTCGGCCCTCCTGAGCGTCTTTTCGGTATGTGACCTCCTTTATGAGCCACAGTGAACCAGTCCTACTGACGCCATGGGAATTGCAGGATCTAGCAGTGACCATCACGGGCACGGTCTTGATCCGATATCGCGTGGTCAACATACTTCACGCCACCTTCGAGCATGCTCAGCGCCCCGTCCTTGCGGAGTGTTGGGGCGGACCCGTCACTATATATCCCGCAAATCTGTTTCCCGGTCTCCAGGAGTCAACAGATCTGACAAAGGTAGTCCAAAGTCGATCACGAATGTGTCCGGATCTGCTGATCTAGTTGCCCATAATAGACTTTGTCAAGTCTTGGTGTGCCGGTGAACATAAGGCAGACCGAGCGGAAGAGGAGGAGAAAGGACGATGGGAAGCGCAGACTCAAGCGTTTAGAGAGCGCTCCGAGTACCGGCTAGTCCACTCAAATCCACCATAGAGCTATGCACATATGCTGCCATTCGCCCATGCTCTCTCACTTCGTATGTGCAATCTGTTTCTCTCTGTCACGACAACGCTACTTGACCGCTACACACTGACGTTGTTTGCAATGCATTGTCCAGTGTACACAGTATTGATCACGCTGTGCGACTGAGTTTCTGAGTGACGCCCCATCTCGGCTAGGTGAGCAGAAACACATGTATCAAATGACTTCTGCGGTATTGTGGCTGGCAAAATACCACCACGCGTACTCAAAACGCGTGTGTGGCGCACAAACCACGGACATAACAGCAGCATCAGCCCTCCTTGCCATCTGTTGCCTTGTCGCGGACACGCGCTAGATAATCACCAGCCTTGCTCAACCTTCCGATCCGTGGTGTGGTGTTGGACCTCCCCGCGGCGATACCATTTGTCGGAGGCGATGGTAGGACTCACCAGCCTGTGTCCCTTGGTCCTTGGACCAGTCAAAACGCGGCTCGGGGACAGCCGAGTATGAGATCACCACTAACGAACGGCCGGCCACCCCAAGCGCCGCCTTGCGGCGGCAACTCGCTGCAGTCGTTCGACTACGCGGTGCATTTCATTGTGTCGTTATGTCCTAGAGGAGGCAGGAAGTCATCGATGCGGCGGTGTAGTCCGCGCCGATGACGCTCCAAGTCTACGCCGAGTCGTAGTATGGCCCCGTCTGCAGAGCCCTGCCGAACAGCGGGTCCTACGACGAGTGGCTGCATACCGTCTTTGTGCTCTCGGATTCCGTGATAGGTGCGTCCTGCTGTTGGCGATCACTTGTCTCCGCGGAGCCGCTCCTCAACTGTAGCAACCTTCTAGACCTGCTCGCTGTGGCCGAGTAACCTGCCCAGTGGTGGCGTGCCGCAGAGACACTTTGTGAAAGTATTCGAGAATTCTGTGTACTCAGCTGTGTATGCTAGCCGACTGTCTCTATCTTGACATTCTGCTATGAATGGTACTATCGCAGGTATGTCTCGACAGAGCCAAGAGTGCTGTCCGATGATTTTCGGGCATTTGACCTGCGAGATTCTCTGCCTTGCCTCACACGTCCACACTATTACATCTGCATCGGTGCGTGAGCAACCTCCGCGTCCGCACAGAATGTAACTCACATCCCTTAGCCAGTTCACGGACTCACAGCGTGGCGCGAACGATTTCCATCATCGAAACTACCACATACGGCTGCAACGATTAACCCTGCATTTTGATGCCCTTTTCCTTATGCAGCGCAGGCGGCAGTCTTTCTGAAAATTCTATGGCCCCGGAGTGCGACACCTTCCGCGGAGGTGATGTATGCGTCATTGACAAGCCAAATCCCATGGGCGAATGGGTGGAAAACAAGAGGCCGACTTCTGCATTCGTAGTTACTGACGAGTTTCAGCCATAGGGTGTCCTCTGCGGTGCAGTCCAACGAAGAGAGCGTATATATATTGTGCCTCTGGGCGACCATGGTCATTCAGCAGAAGGAACGAAGTCGACATCCAAAGAAACCCTCGGTGACAACTTGAAGCCAATATGCCCTCTCCGATCGCTCTCAACACCCTCGCTCTCGAGCTCACGAAGGAGCCAGAAGTCAGGACTCTGCAAGCGCTCCGAATGTGCGTTACATCATATTCTTGCGAGTATCATCGTGGAATGCCTGACTAACGTCGTCTACTAGCCCTCGCTATGCGGTGGTTGATACGATGCCGTTAGCCAGCGGAGAAACCTCATACAAGCTACCCGACTTCAATACAGCATCGACGCAGGTTATCTGTTCATTTTGCGGACGAGCCTTCGCCAGAGATGACGTCCTCCGACGCCACATCAAAGAGACACACCCAGGGCAAGCCTAGTCAACTGCCGGCCGTGCAACTGACATGCCCGGACTTGCTCAGGTAACGTTCATCTTCAATAAGTCCAATCTACCTATAATGACATCTATGTACATACAGACTCACTGCAGATTCAACTCTGTTTTCCGGTCTTCTGCTTTTGATTGCTTTGTCATTGCTATTCCTTCAATCTAGATCTTAGTATTCTGTTGTCTGCTGTCTCGACTCTCAAGGACCTGCATCACTAGAACTAGAATCCATAATCATCAAATCTTTACTGCTACCTATATACAGTCTGTCCCCGTTCTATGAAAGTACTAGATTTCTTGTCATGTCCACTTGTTGTCCTAAAATCTATGGGTTTAGCTTACTGTTGTACTCAGTGTCGAGAAGGTTCAGACATATGATCACTGCATCGACCTAGGGGCGGATCCTTGAGGTCATCACTACCTTCTGATCACCTGGAGTCTACATCGCGCTTTGAGGAATGCGGCATGGAACACCGCGATTCGAGTATCCATCGACGAAGATAACAGACGCACTACAACATCACAGACAGATCACCACCTATCGCTTGGACATCAACTATACCTGCACCGAGCTGACGGTCCGAGTCAAGGCTACCGCGCTGGACAGTAGCCGTAAGACCATGCTTGTCCACAGACGTAATTTGCAACCGTCGTCTGTGTCGGTCCGCTTTCTCATCCAAGTGTACAACTAGGGGCCGTTGCGTATTCTGCGAGCGCAATGCCAGATGACCTACGAACGAGTCCGGAAGTCGGGCGATAGTGAGTGCATGAGAGTTGGAGGCAAACAGGGTGAGATTGTGGTGCTCGGGCGCGGTAGGATATGTGACGGTGAGCGGCGCGTTGATAGTATGTAGGATTGTCTTGTATGTCGGCAGAGAGCCATCGCTGGGCTCGCGGAATAAATCCAGGGAGCGAGCTGTGAGCAGATTGACAGTTGCGTCGATGGGCCTGCGAGAATGCTCAGATAGAAGAACAACATGCACTGCTCACTTCGGCTCACCCATACACGGTGGTCACCAGCAATGTCGGCGCTGTGGCGCCTGGTGAGTGAGTTGACGTGACAGACGCTTCATCCGCGACAAGATCAGCGTTGATCGTAACGGCGCCGTTGTGGGCGTATAAGTCGATCTGACCCTTCGACGTTATCGATCCGCTGATGTTGCCATTCCAGTTCTGTACCTGCACGCTGTTGGCACGCAGCGCCTTCTAATCTCAGTCTGTAGCCCAAACCGATCGTCGAGGATGGCGCGACTCACATTTATGTGGATTGACTTCTTCATGGATCGAAGGAAGACCGAGTCAAATAGGACGTGATTGTCCATGTCGTCGATCAGGATCTCGAAGCCGAACATAGTAGCAGAGATTTTCGGTGAAAATGGAGGTAAGGACAGCGAATCTGATGCGGGGAATCGGACTGTGATATCGAATACAGTTCGATTGGCGGCGGCTCTGTCGGTATCCTAGAAGACGTGAGCTCAATTATCCCTGCGCGTTAAGCCGGTATTGACGCCAAGTGGCAGACGTACGGCCGATATCATGACCCCTTCTGATATCTCTCCTGCGCCGGTTACCCGAGGCACAGTTTGGCAAAGCATCGCCGTCTGTTCGAATCCTAGCCAGTCGTCTGAAAATGCTGTGACATCAACCGAAATATATCGCTTGGAAGCCGCGTCTTCGGGTTGGCCGTAGTCGCGGTCATCAAGCATGAAACGGACGGATCCGTGGGTACCGATCGCGTCAATGCTCAGTGTCCGAGGACTCGGTAGGAACTTGAAGGATGTCCGTGCAGCCTGGGGATACAGCTCTCCGCCGTAGTGGTGCATCCTGTGATCAGACTGCATCACGAAGTGGGCCGGGCGGACGCATGAAAGATTGGGATGTTTTCTGAAAGCCAGTGCCCGGTGACGTACTCTCTGTCAGGATGGGATTAAGTCAGAATGTATCTGCCTACATTCGCACTGGTCGACTTGCACGTACCGGGAATTTCACTGATGGTCCGATCCTAAAGAAAAGCAGCGCCAAAACCGCTAACGCAACGATCAGCCGCGAGGTCGTTGGCGTCCGTCGCCAGCGCGGCTGCTTTCGCTGGGGCACGCCGTTAAGTGCATCAAACTTGGTCCCTTCTAGATTACTCATGGATTTATTCACGTCATCTGCATCTACTTGTAAGCGTAGTGTCACCGACTGATATAATGGCCAGGAGAAGTGCCTTCACGATTATGGGGGAGTCTCATTCTTCCTGTTTTTCTGGACCCGGAAGCGTCGACCGAGTCCGGGGATCCGCCTACCATTAGCATACGGGCAGAAAGACCGGAAAATATTATGCAACGGTGGTCGTGTAGTCGTATCTAACAGGTTTCACCCAGTATCAACGTCACAATGCCAGGGTCGAGGACAAACATGCGCTTACGTGAGGACAATGTCTGTGAGTAGGGAGGGCCGCTTTTGACGATTAGCTGTGTAAAGCAGTCGGTGTTCTCGACTCGTGGGTGATTGGGGTGAGCAACGAGTGTAGCCCCTAGATGATATGTACCTAGCAACAAGGTTATGAGTCCAAGTATAATCGATGTGGGCGAGGAGAACGGGTACTTATGAAATAAGTGAGATTCAAAGCATAGGTACCGAATAGGTACCGATGCTTCTTTGAACCTTACCCAAATATCTCCATTGAGCAGTAGGGTATCAGCAGTACTGTCACATAAACGTATAAATCACCCGTTTGACGCACACCAACCCTGTATGGGAGTGCGATGATCCGGATGGGCGCACGGATCGGAGGGCGTGACTCTGGTCGCAGCGTTTGTGCGCCAAACAGGCCCTATTGCGAATTCCGTAGTCCCCAGTTCCGCCGTGAGCGGAACGACTGTCGATTTCGAACAGTAGCGACGGCTAAAGATCGCGCCGTGTAGATATCCAAGCGTCTAACAGTCTGATAGCGAAGCTAGGGGGCAGGGAGGTGACATGAATTATCTCACCTGCGCCGTGCGGTTTGGGCAGCGCTGATTATGAGAGCAATATGTGCACGGACGAGCGAACGAGGATGCTGCGTGCATAGATGCTGAACGAACAGCTCAACGGGGGCAACTGTAACCTTCTCCACATTAGCATAGGACTAAGTCAGCTACCGACTAGGACGATGCGCAAGGTTTGGTGACATACCTCGGTAGCTTGCCAGGTGGTCTAACTGGCTGGTGGCTGAAGGGTGAGATACGATAGGTGTTGGCGCAGCAAGTTCGCAGCCTTGCATCTGCGTTATTTTGACACTTCGTTGCACCTGGACTTGTTGGCTGCGCGATGAGACAGGGGCCGTACTATGCGCCCACGGACAGCGCTACTCGAAAGCTTCTTGCTAGGCTAACTCTGTCCGGCCAAGAGTTCGGGTCTGAAAGAATTTGGAGCGCCGTCCTCCCAGTCCGAGGCTGGCGGTAGCACAGGTGTAGCGTATATGAGTAGGTCAAGAGCAGACGCAGTACACACTGCAGCACAGGATACCCTCATTGATCTTGATGTTGGTGCCAGGAAGATGCGGTATAACGGGAGTCACGGGAAGGTCGAAACGGCTGGGTGCAGAATGGCTTGATAGTGCACGGACATGGCAGTCTGGGGTAGCAAGGAATCTCTAGGCGTACGGGCAGCCGCGCACTCTAAGGAACTCTATCGCTGGAGGACTGTTCATGAGGCAGGTCTAGACCCCTAGTGATGACCGCCCTTACCGGTATGTGCATCGACACTACTACTCACGAGACGAACTCCATGAGCAGCATGACGCATCTCTTGGACCTGAGTCTGGCAAGGCGGGAACAAGAAGGGGAGTGGTATAGAGCTGCTACAAGACCAGACACATGTTTATCATTCCGGCGAGTACTCAACTACGCCGTCGTCATTCATGACTCCTCGCCTGACCTTCTCGCCCTTCGCGCGCACCAGGTCCTCTACTGTCTTCAGCTTCCCCTCCTCCGTGCTCTCCTTGAACCACCCCAGATGGTCCGCTATGAGATGCCTGACATAGTGCCTCCGTCAGCGGGGTTAACACAGTGAAATATAGTAGCACTGCGGCGTACCGGTTCTTGCATCCTGAACACTGGACAATGACTATTCCTCTCTCGTAGCTCCTTTTCGTGAACATATGTGATGACCGCGTGTCACATGCAGGAACAGTACATGTGAAGGTCAAGGAAAGGCGAGGCTCTTCTGTCTTGAACGTCACCTCTTTCTGAGACTCGGGTGGTTTGGGCGATGATGATGACGCTTCATCGTCTGCTCTTGATGGAGTAGACGAGAGCAACCGTTGAGAGCGGAACGACGCCGCTTGGGGTCCAGCATATTGCCAATGTGAAGGTACGCGAAAGCCGAGACGGAATGTCGACGGAGACGGAGGAATTAAACTTCGCTGGACGAGGTGCCGTAGTGCGTTCATCCTATGGTTTTCGCCCAGGTCAAGCTCGTGCGTGTATGATGGACCACAGGTCAGCCCGATTGTGGAGGCGGCGACAGCAGAGGACGAGTTGGACGACTCCCACAAGCGCCCATACATTGACACAAACATCGATTCTGAATCTACGCAAATTATACGTCGCTGACGCATGCAGCCGGGCGCTTCGGGCCAACGAGTACATATGCGCATGTTGGCAGCATACAGCATGGCGAGAGCATCGAATAAAATTCAAAAGCGAGTCGAGGTGGCTATGATACAGCAATGCGTTGTAGGTAACAGACTGACAGTCTACGATGAGGACGGCGCAGCCTGTGCCTCCTCGGGGACAGGCGGAAGGACGCCCTTCTTCTCCAGCAGGTCCTCGAGCTCGCCGGATTGGTGCACTGCATAGGAACTTAGCATGGAGATACAGAGCCGTTCAGTGGCAGTTGCTTACTGCTGAGTAGAATATCACATCCACCAACAAACTCGCCATCGACGTACAACTGCGGAATGGTTGGCCAGTCACTGCACCGAGTGAGTCGTACGATCGCACGCACTGCGTAAGGCAGAGACTCACGAGAACTCCTTAATACCGGTTCTGAGCTCCTGGTCCTCCAGTACGTTGAACGTCTGAATCTTCTCCGGGGGCACGCCGTGCAGCCCAAGCACTTGCACAGCAGCCCGGGAGAAACCGCACATGGGTGCGTCTGGCGTACCCTTCATGAACAGCACGACCGGAGTTGACTGCACTGCGGACTGGATCTTTGTCCTCGCATCGTCGGAAAGGAAGCGCCTTGCGAGTGCGAGTCTCGGGGATGAGAATGCTGGTGCGGCGGAAGTACGGAGGCTTGATGAGAGCTACGGTACCAGAGTTGTCAGCGCACTACGGGAATACCTGACAACTGCATACGCACGCCTGAGCGGAGGGAGGAGCGGAACATGAGGGACATCGTGGAGGGTCTGGCCCAAGAAAGCTCTGGCTTGGGGCTGCGACGAACGCTTTTGAGAGAACCGCTGAGCAATCAGGAGCAGGTCGTTGGCGACTCCAGCGGCCGCACGGCGTTGGGTCGACGCGGTCTCGTGACGGCCACCGGGTTAGGGTTGCACAGTCCAATCACGGCAATCCTGTTATTCAGCCGGTGCTTCCCGCTGCCCCGGGGGCATCCGAATGGGCGCCAATATCGTCGAGCGCAGATGAAACGCGCTTTCGGTCTCCGCTTGAAGACGCGTCGCGTCTGAGGCGCGTGGCTTTGCGTTCACCTTCGACAACGCGTCCTCCAGCGCACCGCCTTGTATATACCTTGCCTCTCACCTCTACGCGCGACACCATCCACAAATGACTGATAGAGCTAGGCGCGAGCGTAAATCGAAGCTCGATCGGCTCGCCGAGTACAAACGCGCTCGAGAGGGCGGGAGTCGTAAATGGAAGGCAGGTCCTAGCGCATTCCTAGCGCTCCGGCTCACGCTGACGCGTCGCTGTAGGACGAGGAGGATGTAGAGATATACGACGAGGTCTCAGAAGACCAGTACAAGTCCATCGTGCGAGGGCGACTCGCGAAGGATGACTTCGTAGTCGATGACGGTGTCCAGGGATACATGGACAACGGCGTCGACGATTTCGAGGAAACCGAAGAACATCAGGAGAGCGAGGATGAGCGCAGAGTGAAAGGTGTGCATTTGTTTCTTGCTCTTGCTTCCCTTGTGACCCCGGGACATGGGCCATGTCCTGCGTGTGCATCAAATCATTGCTCATTACCCATGCAGGGAAGAAGGGGAAGGCAGACAAGAAGGTGAAAGCTAAAGGAAAGCCGAAAGCCCCACCTCCCGCTGTCACCCCTTCCATCAGTGCGTACCGCCCACAGAAGTCGGAAGACCAGGAGGAGGATTTTATAAAATCTCTGATGGCGACTATGGACAACAATGCTGACAAGATCGTCCAGCCCACGAAGTCACGGAAGCGGAAGCCTGCACTCGAGCCCGACTACAGAGAGGCTAGCTCCTCGCCTACGCCGAAAGCGCGTTCACATCCCACCACCCATTCGTATCGCAGCAACTATCCGGACACCCCGGGATCATCTTCAGATGGATTCGTCGAGGATGTGCGCTTCGATGACGTCTCCAGCGATGATTACATGCTCAGCCCCAAGAAGAAGCTGAAGACAGACAACGCGGCCATCGTGCCGGCGATCGAGCGTATGAGCCAGATGGAGGTCCACAGCGCTAGCAGCGGGACTGAGGATTGCGATACCTCCTACGATGATGTGGACATGACCGCTTTCAACGACGTTGACGACGACGAAATCAATGGCGAACCGAGCAAGCCCGTCCCGCAGGCTAAGCTCCCCGTGAAGATGGAAGTCGACGCAGCGCCCAAACCGCTGCACCCAATCAATGGCAAGCTTGATGCCCAGGCTAAGAAGAAACTAGACGAGATTCCTTCGTGGCTCTCCGTCTATGAGTCGCTGCAGACGACGACTGACGACTCGCTTGGGCAAGCATCCGCTTCGCGCAACTCAGCAAGCCATAGCGACATCTCTGTACTCGAGGAGGACGGTTCGTTGCGTTTCTTCTGGATCGACTACCTGGAGCACGAGGGGAAGGTCTACTTCGTCGGCAAGACGCAGGACAAGCTCTCCAAGGCTTGGCACTCGTGCTGCGTGACCGTTGAGAACCTGCAACGGAACCTCTTTCTGCTGCCACGGGAGCGTCGCATGGAGGAAGACGAGGAGGGGGAGCTGCACGAGACAGACGTCAAGCCCGAGATGAGTGATGTCTACGCTGACTTCGACCGCATCCGCAAAGCGATGGGCATCAAGTCTTGGAAGGGCAAACCCGTCAAGCGGAACTATGCATTCGGCGAGAAGGACATCCCACGGGGCGAGAACGACTGGTTGAAGGTCGTCTACGGTTTCGATGGTATGCAGCGCTATACGATGCGGGTTCGCGATATTGACGATGCTGGCAACAGAGCCTCAAATTCACCAATCGGTGTGCAGTCCAAACATTGCCAAGATCATGGGGACGAACGCAAGCGCGTTCGAGTTGCTGGTGCTCAAGCGCAGGATCATGGGCCCGTGTTGGCTTCAGATCAAGAAGCCCCAGCTCGATCACAAGGGGGTATGTGCTGCGACCAATACTTGCACACCTCTTATCTGAGTGAATGAGACAGGTCTCCTGGTGCAAAGTGGAGGCGACAGTGTCGGATCCGAAGGACATCAAACCAATTTCCGACAGGGACCCGACTGCGCCCAAGGCGACCCCACCACTGACAGTCATGAGCCTCAGTATTCGGACGATTGTCAACCATAAGGAGAACAATCGCGAGATTATCTGTGCGACAGCCAGGATCTGGTCAAACAGTGAGTCGCTTTGTTCGATGACCTGTGCTTCACCGCTGAGGCTGCCATCCTCCAGTCGATCTGGACGACCCGACACCGCCCGAATCACTTCCTTGCACTGTGCGAACCTTCGTCCGGCCATTAGATCGTTTCCCACCAAACTTCGAAGTCCGCGCGGGCAAGAATGGCAAGGGTGTTATCTCGCCGATGAAGAACGAGCGGATGTTGTTGAATAGTCTCCTCGGTATGACCGACGCATGCATTGACTGTGACAGGACTCTGACTATATACTTCGGCACAGCTACCATCTACAAAGCTGATCCGGACATCATCGTCGGCCATGAGTTCTTGGGAGTCTCTCTCGATGTTTTGCTGCATCGTATGCGTGACCTCAAGGCAGACCACTGGTCAAGAATTGGTCGCTTCCGTCGTTCTAAGTGGCCGGGCATTGGGCGACAGGGAACAAACCTGAAGTTCATGAACGGTCGACTGCTCTGCGATCTGGCGAGTGACAGTGCCAAGGGTATGATCTCGTCGACGACTTGGTCACTCACCGAGATGTGCAAGACGCATCTGAAGAGCGACAGGCAGGACATCGACCCGGATGACACTGCAAGCTTCTTTGACAGCAGTGTGGGCTCGCCAGAGCGGTTGCTCACGTTCGTCCAGCACTGCGAGCTTGACGCGCACTATCAGATGGCTCTCGCTGCCAAGGTTCAGATCTTGCCGTTGACGAGACAGCTGACGAACCTGGCTGGCAACTCCTGGTACGTTGTGGTACTACTCTTCAATGCTAGTGACTCAAGTCGGTATGTACAGGAATAAGACGCTGAACGGTGGTCGTGCGGAACGCAACGAGTACATTTTGCTACACGAGTTCCACCAGAAGAAGTACATATGCCCTGACAAGACATGGGGTAAGAAGGCCGCAGCGGCGGAGAAGGAGTCTAATAACGACGACGCCGAGGGCGGTAAGACCACCAAGAGCAAACGCGACAAGTATAAGGGTGGTCTCGTTTTCGAGCCAAAGCGAGGGCTCTGGGACAAGTTCATCCTTGTCATGGACTTCAACTCGCTGTACCCGAGTATCATCCAGGAGTATAACATCGATTTCACCACGGTCGACCGGGTTGAAGACGAAGAGGGTGAGGAGAAAATCCCGGAGCCTCCGAGCTCCGAGGTCGCGCAGGGCGTTCTTCCTCGTCTCATTGCTACCTTGGTCGCCCGGCGTAGGCAGGTCAAGAGCATGATGAAGGACAGAACGGCAACTCAAGCACAGTTGCTTCAGGTAGTCACTCCACTCGCGTGTTTCCAGAAGGGTTCTAAGTTTCCTTTGGACAGTGGGACATCAAACAAATGGCCTTGAAGCTGACGGCCAACAGTATGTATGGCTGTCTCGGTTTCGAGTACTCGCGATTCTATGCACGGCCACTGGCTGCCTTGACGACCTTCAAGGGCCGTGAGATCCTCACCCATACCCGCGAACTCGCTGAGAGCTTGCAGCTTGATGTACGTCGTCTCTGAGCTCTACTGTGAGGGTCGCTGAGATGTGCTATAGGTCGTCTATGGAGACACCGACTCCGTCTTTGTCAACTCCAACGTGACTGACCTTGCAGAGGCTCTGAAGATCTCCGCCACGTTCAAGAAGGCTGTGAACGACAGGTACAAGCTGCTCGAGATCGACCTGGATGGAATTTTCCAGCGGTTGCTACTTCTGCAGAAGAAGAAATATGCCGCCATCAAGGTCGAGGACGGCACGCGGACAACAACAGAAATCAAGGGTCTCGACATGAAGCGGAGAGAGTACTCCGCGCTGTCCAAGAACGTCTCTCAGTACGGCTGCTCCTTGATATCCGTATGTATCATCACTCACGAGCACGTTATGTAGATACGTTTTGGACCAGATACTCTCGGGGGAAGCGACGGAGGTCGTTGTCGAGAATATTCACGAGTACCTCACAACCGTCCGAGAGGACGTACGCGCGGGCAAGGTCAAGCTCGACGACTTCATCATCTTCAAGCGGCTTGGCAAGAACCCGGAGGACTATCCCGACGCGAAGAGCCAGCCACATGTCCAGGTCGCGCTGCGCATGAAGGCCCGCGGGGGGACGGCACGCTCGGGCGACGTCATACCATATGTGTTCTGCTTGGGGGACAACGGCGAGACGTCGAAGTCGGCGCAGGCGGAACGGGCGAAACATCCTGATGAAGTTCGCAGGGCGAATTCGGGTCTCCAGATAGGTAAGGCGCGATGGAGGCTGCCGTCTCGTTGAGCGAAGACTGATCGATGCATTTCGGTAGACTACGAATACTACCTCTCGCAGCAGATTCTCCCGCCTATAGAACGTCTCTGTGACCCGATCGAAGGCACAGATCGAGCACGGCTAGCAGAATGCCTCGGTGAGTTGTCGGGAGATTTTTCTGGTCATCCTGCTAATGTACATCGGTAGGACTCGATGCTACTCGGTACCGCGTCTCCACAACTGGCGAGTCCGAGGAGAGGCATTTCAGCACGCTGGACTCGCTTATGTCGGATGCCGAGCGGTACAAGGATGCAGAGCCGTTCGTTGTCCGGTGTCGCACATGCCAGGGGCATGTCGCGTTCGAGCCTATCGCCGATCGTGAGGTGAGTACGACTAAGGCTTATTCTGCTCACAGCTCGCCATAGCGTCGTCGTCTGCTTCTATGCTAACGTTGCGGCGCCCAGAATTCACTCCTCCAATCTTCGGGTCCTGCGTGCCCCGCATGCAAGACGGCACTACGCACGGCGAGCCTCCAGTCACAACTCGAGACACAGATCCGGGCAAAGATCGCGCAGTACTACGAGGGGTGGACGGTGTGTGACGACCCGACGTGCGGGCACCGGACGCGCATGATGGGCGTGTACGGGCGGCGGTGCCTGCGGCCGGGTTGCCAGGGGCACGTCGTGTTCGAGGTGCGTTCCAGTCTGTTTCTGATGCAATACAAAAATTGACGTGTATGATTGTGGCCGGGAACCAGTACTCGGACGCACAGCTATATACACAGCTCCGGTATTACGCGTCACTGTTCAGCCCGGAGGGGGCGCTCAAGGCGTGTGGCGCTGGGAAGCAGGGTGCGCATCATTTCTTCTGGTATTGCAGACGGACGCGGTGCTGACGTATGGCTGGTCCGTCGTGCGCTTCTCACTCGCTGTTCGCTCCGATCCTGTTCGGTCCGACAGAGGAGGTGAAGGCCCTGATTATGGTGCAGGATGCGTTCTTGCGCGCGATGGGTACAACCGTGGAGAAATACCTCGACCAGAGCGGCCGGCGGTGGGTCAACTTGACCGGATTGTTCTCGTTCATGAAGATCTAGGCGGCGAGGGAGCGGCGCGGACTCTGGTGTACGCTCATATAGATGGTTTCGTGCATACCCGCATCGGCATTGTATTGGGTTTCGGCATACTGAGCACTGGCTATATAGTGAATCGCTGCATTGTTGTAATTCTATCAGTCTCTATCTTCGTATCGGAGTCATTCGATCCTCGGTTGCCAAATGACGAACTGTGGTCGGACAGCCCGGTGTGCTTACAGTAAGAGACGTCTTTGTCAAACCCATCCGAGCCTGCTTCATGATGCATGATGTATTTACTTGCAGGTACAGTGCCATTGTCTCAGTCAGCAACGGATTAGTGACGCCCCAAGGCGATCAACGTAACCAAACTGTCAGTGGAGGTTTATGAATATCGCAAACGCTCTGAGACACGAGAAGTCACATTTGAATAGCAAGCTCAAGGTTTCTTTTCGTGATAGGGTTCGTCTCGGAGTGGACGCGTCGTAGCATACGCCCGCCGATAATACAGTAGCGGCGCCGCATCCTCCGCTTCCCTCTCCTGTCCCAGCCTGGGGACTTCCTCCACCCTCGTCACCTGCGCGATGAACAGCTCACTCGCGACGCCGTCGCCCTCCCACGCCCGTGCCCCGCTCTCGCGCCCCTGCAGCGACTCGAGGTCGTGCAGCGGCCAGCTCGCGGCGACGAGCCGGCACGAGAGCGCGCCGAGCGCGCCGGCGAGGACGGGCAGGCCCTCCGTGGAGAGCGCGTAGGGCGTGTGCGCGAACGGGTCCGCGTGCAGGTCCGGCCGCGCGAAGCGCGCGGCGACGGCGGGCTGCGCGGCGGAGAGGATGTTGATGACCAGCTGCGCGGGGAGGTGTGGGGACGCGTGTGCGGGCGCTGCGCTCGTCGCGGGTGTTGGTGTTGGATGCGAGTTGGGTGAAGGGGGTGAGGTGTGCGCGGAGCTGAGCGAGGTCGCCATGCGGGAGGGGATGCGGAGGGAGAAGGCGACGAGCGGGTGGGGGTCGAGCGCGATGGAGGTGAAGGAAGAGAGGGTCGCACCGTGGAAGCGCGAGTGCGGCGAAGAGGTAGCTTTTGGGACCGACGAGGACGCTGCCGGCATGAGCGATGTCACGACAGCGACAGGTTGCGCGGTGTCGCGCAGAAGAGCGCGGAGGTCGCGACGGACCGCATCTGCGGAAGACGCGCTCTGATTGGACGTGGAGAGGTGTCTCCTCCGAGGGGTCCTGCGTAGACTGGAGAGGTGTTTCCGAGGGAGCATGCTCGTTGTAGATCGCGCTGCACTCGACGACGGCGGTCACGTCACCGGGATATGACTTTGCGACGAGCCTCCTGTGCGAGACGCGTGTTGGTCAGCATCCTGAGCTTCTGCCTCGTATTGAAATTGAGGGAGCAGGATGGACAGAATCACTCACCTGTGCAGAATGGCAGTCGAGCGGGGACGTGAGGCAGCCCCAGCGCGTCTCATCATGTGACATGGATGAGTGTCCCGATTCGGCATTCGGGGCGCAATTTCAAAATGCTTGTGTGTATTTGCCACCCGATCGATCTCCGGCGCCGAGAAGCGGACGACGGACGACGGCCGAACGCAGGATCGTGAAACTGAAGTACACTGCCCCGCATGATGGAGGACGTGTATTGCCAGACGTGGGCAGAAGTAAGAACGTGTCTTGGTTCGTAAAGAGTTTTCAGACACGACTGATCATGCCCAGATATATACTCCGGCGCCGTGGTGCCGTCGAACAATATCGTCTCATCTCCGGATGGAATTTGTAACAACGTTCAATCTCTCAATGCATGCCGACGCTTCCCGCTCTATAATGGTCTGCAACGGAGACTCTCACGCCGCAGGCTGACAGGAACGGCGCTCCATAGCTGTAAGTATGCCCGAGTGAAGACCATGGCGCTGACGCATCTGCACTGTAACACCGCAGTGCAGATCCAATCTCCCGGTGACTCGATACTGTTGGACGATGGCGTGCCACACGAGACCGTCGCGCACGGCCGTTAGGGGGCGGCATGACGGGATCGCGGCGCAGGACGGCGCGGGCGGTCAGCGGACGGCGAGGGACAGGCTAGCAGGCGACGTCGGGTCCGCAGAGACCATCGAGGACGATGGGCGCGAGAAGAAGCACGCGTCGGACAGTGTGCGGTGGTTGGCGCCCTGCGCTGGCAGCCAATGGGGACGCGCGCAGAACGGCCGGGGGAGGGCGAGCTGTGGCTGGAGACTGGACATCTTATCCGCGGTCCACTTCGCTCGATCTAATGATACCCACCGCCCATGTCATATATAACAGACCCCCGCACGCGCCGCAGAAGCCCCCATCGGCTGCCCCAACCGCCATGGCCCCTTCTGGCACCTCCGCAGACCGCCTCGCCGCCCCTCGTGCCCACGACGATGAGGCCACCCTCTCCGACGCGCCCCCCGTCGCCGAGCAGAACCCCGGCCATCTCGCCATCCGCAGCCTCGAGGATGTTCGCGAGCCCGTCGACCCCCGCCTCTCCCCCGACCAGAGGCCCGACAACGACCGCCTTGACGAAGGCTACGCCCGCCAAATCGACGACTACATCCACCACCGCGACCACCATCTCCACAAGGTCGCGTCCCACGCGACAGAGAAGGGCAAGTCAGACGCAGACAAGTCCGCGACCGATGTCAGCCAGCATGAGCCGCTCTATGTTGAGTTCGAAGAGGGCGACAAGAGGGATCCGGCCAATTTCTCGCCGATGCGCAAGCGCATGATCCTCCTGACCGGATGTTTGTTTGCGATCTTGGTCGGTAAGTGTGCCTGCGCGTCCCCATTCGCTGGGATCGTCTGACAATGTCATCAGCCTCATCCTCCTCCGCTTTTGCGCTGGGCTTCGCGTCCATGGAGCGGGACCTGGACTGCACGCACTTTCAGGCAACTCTCGGTATCTCGCTGTATGCACTCGGCTTCGGTGTTGTCCCCCTCGTCACCGCGTCCTTCAGCGAAGAGTTCGGCCGGCAACCGCTCTACCTCTGGAGCGGCGTTGGCTTCCTGGTTTTCACTATCGTGACCGCAGTGTGAGTGCCCGCATACAATTTACCCCCTTGTATCCAGTTTCTAGACGCTGACATCCCCGCAGAGGGAAGAACATCCAGACGATCCTGATTGCTCGGTTCTTTGCGGGCGCCTTCGGCTCCACGGGTTCCACCATGGTCGGAGGCACCGTAGCGGATATCTTCACCCCTCAACAGTACGTCTTGCCATCTTGCACCGATGAGCGCCCGTCCTGACCAGCATTGCGCAGACGAGGCAACGCCATGGCCTCCTTCGCCGCCGCCGCCATCGGCGCGACAGGCGTTGGCTCCTTGATATCCGGCTGGATCGAGATGAACTCGCACCTTGAGTGGCGCTGGATTCAGTGGATACACGCTATGTATGGTAGTGCCCTCTTTCCCGTCCTGTGCGCACATGCTTAGGCTCGTATCTTTTCAGCGTCGCCGGGATTTTCGTGATTTGTGTCCCAGTGTTCATGACTGAAACACGCGCGTCGGTGCTGCTCGTGCGCCTGGCCAAGAAGATGCGGAAGGAGACGGGGAACCCCCGCTACCGCGCACGCGTAGAGGACGAGCGCGCGAGCCTGAGCACGCTCATCTATGTCTCGTGCACGCGGCCGGTCTGTGAGTGGTCTTGCGCGGGGTGTATGCGAAATAACGCTGACGGGCCCGGGGTTATATAGACCTGCTGCTGACGGAGCCCGTGATTATGAGCTTCACGGTGGGTGCCCGGTCGCGGCTTCGCGCTTCTCATGTCACCGACAGGAGGCTAACCTACTTGTGAACGCAGCTGTGGGTGGGCTTCGCGTGGGGCATCCTCTACGTCATGATCGAGTGCGTCTCTTTCTCATTGCTTTTTGAATTGCGCGCACCGCCGCCTCGATCACGGCTTCGCGTCTTCGAATGAGCGCCCGGGGGACTCTGGTGCTGACGGGATGTTGCGGTGCAGGTCGATTGGCCCGGTGTTCGAGACGCTCCACGGGTTCAACGCGGGTCAGGTAGGCTCCGCGTATATCACCATAACGTGCGTTTCCTTCACATCGCACTCTGCACTGCGCTGTGCTGAACGCAGTGTCGATGTTTGTGTAGGATCGGTGCGCTGGCTGGACTGGCCACGAACGTGATCCAGGAGAGACTGTATGCGAAGAACGTGGCTACCCGGGGCCCTGAGGCGAGGTTGTACGCGCCCATGTTCGCCGCGATCCTCTTCCCCGTGGGCATGTTCATCTACGCGTGGTGCACATACTCGCGCGTGCACTGGATCGCACTCGCGATCGGCATCGTCGTGCGTGCCCTTCTCCGCCCTCACTCTTAGCGTCGCTAATATGAATGCGCAGCTGATCATGTGGGGGCTGTTCATCATCTACCTCGCGGTGTTCACGTACCTCGCGGACTGCTACGGCCCCTGGGCGTCCTCCGCGCTCGCGGGCCAGAGCCTCTTCCGGAACCTGATGGGCATGGCGTTCCCTCTGTTCACGACGCAGATGTTCGCCAAGCTCACGTACCACTGGGCGAACACGCTCTTTGCCCTCATCGCCGTTCTCATGATCCCCATCCCATACGTGAGTCCGTTCCGCTCTCTCGTGTGCAGTCTTCGGCGGTGCTGATGTGGGGGGTGTTAGATCTTGTTCTATAATGGCCCGGCGATTCGCTCGAGGGGACGGTTCTCGGGGCAGGCGATGCGACTGCAGCAGAAGAAGGAGGAGGAGACGAAGATCGGGAACGAGACAGTGACAGGCGCCAGTGAGAAGGGCGAGAAGGAGAAGCAGGACGTGTAAGCCGTCGACGCTCGACCGCCGCGCGCCTCCGTGCCCGCCCTCCCAGCGGTTACGCGCCGCGACGACCGGCCTCGCGCGCACGACGAACTCCAGAGACCGGCTAACTTATTATTCGCGCATTCCGTCTCCGTCTAGTCTCCTCGCACGCCCCACAGTTGGTACTCCTCACATTGCATCCCCCCTTCGACCGTCGCATCCTCTGTCACCTCGCCTCGATAGACTGGTTGCACCCACCATCTGACACTTGACAAATCACATCATTCTATAGACGCGCTCAGGCTATTTCTGGTGCATAACCACACGCATTGTTGTATCCTTACAGTTACCACGCTTAATTCTCTTTGTGAACTCGACTCGGAGCTGCCTGTGCATATCTTGGTAGAATGTACGTACGGTATGGTAGCTTCTCTCATAGTAACAACGCCTTGGCTTTTCGTTGACGCTGCTTGCCTGCCTGCTCTCCGGTACTTAGCTCTCCGGATTGGCCGAGGATGCATATAAACGAATTGGCGAAGACCGTGGTTGGACTGTGCATGGTGGCTGCCTCCCAGATCGTTCTGCGTCGCAACGCGGCGACAAGAGGCACTCAGTATAGATTAGGGAGGTCGACCAACGATCTCGTCTGGATTGTCTTCTATATCACCGGGTTGGAGCAGATCTGGTAGTGAATCTATTGTGATCCCAACGCATGCGAAAAACCATTGCGCGAAAGGCAACTCCAACGACGAGTCGTATGGTATATGTCCATCTATGCGAGTACACACAAAGCACAACAACGATTAGCATGTCACCTAAAGTCATACACAAATGTCATGTCTACTACCTCTGTCCACCTACGCCCTCCTTGGGACATTTAAGCTTTGATCAACAAGCTCACGCCTACGCGCACCTCAATCCTAGTATGGCAGATCGTGCGTGACAGTCGTCGCCGGCTCCGACATCATCGACACCATCTGCCAGCTGAAGCTCGTATGCTTCTCCCCGCCGCGCGCCTCCTGGGAGTAGCGCCCCCAGTTGACCCACCACTCGTCCGCCTCGTCCGTCGCGACGTAGCCGAACACCCACGCCATCTCCTCGAAGTTCTCCTTCGTCGTGCCCTCGTCCCACTCGTCCGCACTGCTCTTGCGCATGTCCACGTCGCGCGCGTCTCGCCCGGGCCCCAGCGGCATCGCGACCATGCGCGCGTTCTTGATGTCCGACGCCTTCACGACCGCGCAGCGCTCCTCGCGCAGCTCCTGGTACGCGGCGAGGAAGGAGGGCAGTTGCGACCAGGAGGTGAGCCGCGAGAAGAGCGTGCCGAAGAGCGCGGCGTCTTCGAGGGCGATGCTCACGGGGTGCGTGCCTCCGGGCTGCGTAGCAAGGATCGTCAAGAGGGATCGAAGTACGGTACGTTCCGCGACACTGACCTGCCATGGATGTGCTGACTCGCCTATGAGTACGATTCTACTTGTGTGGTCGGACCAGCGCTCGATACCTTCTGGTCGCTTAAGCGACGACTCGGAAGGATAGTGATAAGAGGAGACGGAGCCCTCATCCGAGGAGTCGTCTTCATATTCCGGCCTCCGCATCAGCCTCGTACGTATGAGATGGGGCGCGAAGCTCAACAGCTTCTGGACTCTTCAGGTGGTGCGGGATTAGCTGAGGTGCGTCCATTGTCGCGCCGGAGTACTCACATTGGCGCGTGTGTCGAATAGTCGAGGGTATCGACGGGCACGAGATCTTCCCATGTCTCCTCGCCTGCTAAAGGATCTACGTCGCCTTCCCAGGAGTATATATGCAGACCAAAGTCTTTATGCCCTCGCTAAGGTGAGACGGTGTCAGCAAGGATCCACTGTCCCACTCAAGGCATACTCACTACGGGGTGAGCTATGAAACCCAGAGCTATCAGCAAACGCATTCAACCGGCATGCTGCACAGTTACACACCGCAGATGCTCCGATTGTTACCCATCCATATCGGCCAATCATCGGAGTCTAACCACCGGCGCATCTCCGGATCCTCTCTCATCTTCTCCCCCGGTATCGTCGTCGTGTATACCGTCAAGAAGCTCGGCTCCGCGTTATCTTCTCGCCCTAGAACAGCTTTGCGGACGATGCTGCGTGGTCCGTCCGCGCCAATGAGGAAATCCGCGGTGACGACCTCACCATTCAAGAGCGACACGCTCGGGTTGGGCACCTGTTCCGTGCCCTGGTGGACAGCCACGACTTCTGTGTTGAAGTCGACGCGTACGCCAGCGGAGGTCGCGAGTGTGTACAGGAGCCTATGCAAGTCTTCGTGCTAATGCGGATGTGAGCATTTGGTACGATGCCCGTGCCGATCGGAGGAAGCAAGAACACATACGTGCATGAGCAAGAAGTCGCCGCCGAGTTCTCTCATAATATCGGCCTTCCAGTGTAGAAACCCCACATGTTCTCCATCTTCAACTGCACACAAGACCCAAAGTCAGTACTCTGGCCTTGACTATGCCAGCAACCGGGCAGCGCGCAGGCCAATACACGTAATGGGGCTTGACTCGGAAGCATACGATTGCCGGGCAGAACATTTCTACCGGACATATTCTAGCTTGGAGAAGGTCGGGTTGAGGAAGGGGTTTCCGATGCATTCGACGGCGTCGACGACCCGGCAACGTGCAGCAAGTGTACGGCTTGATGCACGCCCGAGGATGCGCAGTCCCCGGAGTGGACCGGAGGGTCCTCGATAGGGTGAGGTGAGTCCGCCGCCCCGTTGAGCATGCATACTCGTTCTGCGGGCCCGCAAGCCATCCCGACGCGTACAGAGCCGTCGCGCACGCGTGCGCGAGGGCACTGCAAGGGCCGCCGGTATGACAAGCAGGCACGATCGAGCATGTAAGCGGAGGTAGATCGTGACCCAGATCGCACCCACATGGCGCAGGCCGATCCGGTGCGCCACCAAGTCACCGCGTGGTCCGGGACCATCCCCCGTGCCCGAGACCGACAGAGGAAGATCACTCACGATGGCGGAGGGGGGTCCCTGCACATAGGGTCCCTATGCGCAACAGCTCTTCTCGGGGGACCCACTGTGCGAGGAGCTTGCTCACGTTGGGGGGCACCCGAATCCCGCCTGCGGGTACGCCAAGCCCACGCTTCTCGATAACGCGCACGCGGTGCCCGGATTCTGCGAGGACGAAGGCAACCGTAAGGCCAGCAAGCCCTGTAGAAGGAGAATTGAGTCAGACATATGATAATGGATGAGAGAGAATACAAGTACTGTCGGAAGACTCATCGATCAACACTTACCACCGCCAACGACGAGGAAGTCCACATCCAACAGAGCGCCGGTATTGGAGGACATGGGTCGTAGATAAGTTAGCCCGCGAGCCACGGGGAGCAGCTGAGATATATACTTAGGCTCGTTTCGATTTACGAACACGAGTCGGCTAGGGTGGTCGGCGTTTTCCAGTGTTTCTAGCAACGTACAAGAACGTGGTACGGATAGACATCCGGGTTTCTAGACGCGGCGGCAAAGGTGCGCACCACCCGGGCCAGTCACGACGTCCCCTTAGAAAGTTCCGTCACGAGCAAATCCCGCGGCTAAGTAACCCGAGTGGGCAGGTCTCACTTCCGTCAACTGTTGGGTCGAGATGTTCATAATTGGTAGACCTGGGATTCGCGGCAATGTGCGCACGTACTAGCGTGTAAGTATGGTCGCCAAGGTGATGCAAAGAGTCGCGGTATGGCCCGCCGGTTGCGCGCGTGGCTCAATTGTCGCTAATGGCAACATTCGCGGCAAAGGTCGTCGTCCCGAGGTCCTTCGAATCGGTCGGCGATTACTGACGTTGGGCGGCCCGAGTAATCGTCTGGACTCTGGGGACATTCGTGTCTAAAAAATCTGGTGATTTAAGGTCCGTCAGGATATCAAACTGCACATGAGACGTAATGGTACATTACCTGGAGACGATCCGTATGAGGTCCCAACCAGTGCTCAACTTAACAGTAGATGGTTTTCTGTGAGGAATGACACCTGGAGGTCGCAGGGAAAGAGAACGAGCGAAATATTCTTACATCGCATGTGGATCATGCTGTGTCGCTTCAATCAGTATGCCAGTGACGTTACTCTCATGTCTTGGGACTCAGAAGCCAGTGGCTGTGGAACGCCATCTGCCTGTCGTTCTTTTACGGTCGGCAACGGAGACTACGCCATCTGGTATGGTCCCAATATGGTCTGGTATGATGTATCGATGCCTTTCCCCAAAGCGGCATGTACAAATGTAGGCAGACGCAGGGCAGGCCGCCGCAGACGAGTCCATATGTATACGCCGCGCGGCTGACAGCTCGAACAAATTTGAATCAGAGAAAGGAGTGCGAGTTCAGCCTACACGTACACGCATTGCAACGATAATCAGCGATCATTGCAGACGCAGCGCTTCCATGATGTTGGCCTTCCGTGACGGCGCAGCTACTAGGCCTTGACATTGTTTGTTCAATTGTTGTGCACTTGGATGCCGACCGGATAGTCGACCACTACAGCATCATAGATATTGATGACACCGAGTCATTGCAGGCCCTAGTGTAGTGCCATTTCACCAGACGATCAACACTCCAAGTCGGGTTTGAAGCTCAGCCTCAGAAGCTGCAGCTTGAAATTGGCATAATTGCACGCATATCGACTCGATCGGACCGGGAGCTGCCAAATCCAGCTCACATTAAGATACTAATAGGGCTCACGCAAAGGCATCCAATGTGACAGCCTGTGACAGGAGCGTTACAGGTACGGATAACCTCCGCCACAGGGGGTTATCCGGGTGCCCGGGGTGGCCAGATTCAAGTTCGGTCGAGGATCGACTGTGCATTATGGGCTAGGTGTACAGATACCTGCATACCAGTAAGGTCTACAACGGTGTTGATACAAGAACATGTACAGTAGAATAGCTTTCTCTCGATGAAGATTGGTGGTATATATAGTATTATATCGAAGCCTGAGTGTCGTAGCACAGTGTCCAGACTCGGAATGACTCGCCGGACTCGCTGTGTCAGGCGGCCCATCACAGTCGGAGGGCAAGGGTGAGAGAACGGGCACGGGCAAGAGAACTGGTGAAGGCAACAGAATAGGCGCAAGCAAGAGAATGGGTGCGAGCGAGTGGATAGGTGCAGGCAAGTGAACAGGAGCAAGCAGACTGCAAGCAGTGACAGGGCGTGGACAAGTGATCAATGGGCGCGGGCAAGCAAATGGGCGCGGGGCGCGGGCAAAGAAACGGGTGCGGGCGAGCCGTATGCATAACCGGCGGGACATTCGTGGCTCGAACCGTGGCCGCTGGCTACCACCCGAGGCCTGAGGCCTCAGCATCATCGGACACTGGCCCACGAAACGATGGTAAGCAATCCTCGAGTGTAAAATAGAATCTACAGTATGTACTCACATCCTCATTCTCATTAAACTCTGCTACCCGCTCGCATTCAACTTGAAGCCATTGTGGGCATGGTCTCCGAGGACCGAGGTTCTTCAGGTTACCGAGGCGACCTTTCGGCATTATGGTGGGTGCAGCGAGTCGTAACGCATCATAAGCGTCGCGTCAGGTCGCGTCGCGCGTTGCATTGCAAGATCGCGCTGCGAGACGAGTCGCTGCCAGCGGCGGCCAGCCTGTCGTACACGGGCGCTAATGTCCATCAATCTCATTACTCACTAAGCTTTCCTAGTACGGTATGGCCTCTGATGCACGGACGAGAAAGCTAATGCAATTCGCAAACAATCCTCAATCGAAATATCCTTGGCACAGTTCCGTGATGAACACAAATCCGAACAACATTGTGCGAACTGATTTTTGCACAAAGTGAACATTGAATTGTCATTGATTCTACACTGTTCTGTCACACTTGATTACGTAACGTTGGATGCTTGTGCATGAGCCCTATCTTATCTTGCGATTAGCAGAAATGAGAAGACGTTCTATCAGTTCTGAGTATATCAAAAAAGGTCATTGTAGAAACTGAGAATATGCGAACTTAATGCGTCTCGAATTCCGAGTGGTGTCGCAAAACGGGGGAACTGGCCATCGACGCGAACACCCAATTATCTGCTCCCCCAATATCGACGAGTAACACTCGTACAGCCCTTCCGAGTTCGAGAGGTAGCGTGTAGCCACGAGGAGGAATCGCGAGCGAAGAGACGGCCAGCTGCAGAGCTTTCGAGCACGTCGGTCGGGGCCGCTGCCGGCACTTATGCGGAACTCGGCATGAGGATGGAGCGATACCGTGCCCGATACGGAAGGCGGTCGCGGCTGCCGTCACGTGCCGACCTCGTTTTGTCGAGAGGGGTGCAACGGGAAGTGTCACTGTGCAGCTCTGTGCTGTCCTCGCCTCTGCTCCCTTTACGCCCGTTATGCCTTTCTCTTTCAGCTTTACTCTCACCGTTCCCGGCCTCACCAACCCCTTTTCCAACCCTCCAGATCCTGAATATGCATCGCCTCAGCCAATATTGACCAACCTTGACGCCGGAAGTGACAAACAGGGACTCTATAGAGATACAGCTCCTTTCAATCGCCGTGCACCTTCCCCATCTCTTCAGCCCCCACTTTCCCGCAAGAGAGGATGGGTGCCCTCGGCTCCTGAGTACAGCACCCCTATCGCCAGTCCGACGTCTACCAGTGGTTATCTCGACACGCCTGCAAAGTATAGGGAGATGGCATCCGCCTACAATGAAGACGGGGTGGAGGAAATGGTCGCAGGTGAGTCTGATCCGTCCTGCGTCCGTGCGCATCCAAGGTTCCAGCGGGAATACATGCCGGGTCTGATATCCGGGCGCATGAAGTCCTCGATGTCGGGCATGCGGCATGCACGTGTTCGCGTGTAGGCACTCATGAGGGGCGGGATCCTGCCTCTCATCCATGAATTCCTGCCCCAACACACGCTCATCGTATCATAAAATGCTCGCTGTCGTCCTTGTGCCGTCCCCCATGTCCAACACACTAACTTTCCATGTATCGATAGACTTGCCTCCGCCCAAGCGCCGGCGTACGCTTGCTGGTTCTATCGTCTCAACTGCGTTGAGTGCAGCCCTCATCGGGACTGCTGTAGGCCTTACAGTGTATCGCCTGTGAGTGTGTACATCTAGCTGGCTATGACGGTATTGGTCTGACGTGTCCGGACGCATAGTTGGAGAGATCGGGGCAAGGCACCCGAATCCCTTCCTCCTCCCCCATACGAACAAGGTGAATGGCTACCACCAAAGGTCCGTCGATGTATGCGCGTTAAATTTTGAAAAATCCTGACCATGCTTCAGCCCGATCCGTCCTCTGCTTCCGTTCCGGTCACTCAGGTCACCCCACCTACACCCCGTTCCTCCCGGAAGAGTCGCCATGTTGCTGGACGACGGACACACCGGCATCGCAAAGTTGCCCCTAGAGCAGGTCCCAGCTCTATCTCTTCACATACTTCGACCGCTGCGCGTGCGCCCATTCCCCCGGAATTCAACTTTGGCGCACCAGCACCCGTTGAGCCTGAAGAGGGTGACGTGGATGATCAGGTGCGTTTATTGTGGCGATCCCGTTCGATGTATAATTGACCATATATGCAGATGTCGTGGATGGGAGGCCGACTTGCCGCCCTCATTGCTGAAGGTCAACGTGCGCTTGGCAAAGAAGTCGTCGTCATGAGCGAAGCACAGGAGGACGAAGAAGATGACGGCAACGAAGGATGGGTGGAAGAAGATGATGGTCACAGTGTCGTCTCCTCCACGCGGACAAGCAGACGCAGATGGCGTGCCAGTCCCCCTCCCTACTCAGCATCCCGCCGTGGCTCTCCCTTCCCCAGCCCCTCACCTCGACGCACCACGTTCGACCTCGCTCCCTCGTATAACGGCTCCCCAAGCATGTCCATTCAGAGCTCGCCGCGCCGTCATGGCCGCGACGTATCAGTAGAGCCGGACACCTCCTTCGCCAGCTCCAGTTTCGTTGAAGACGAGTCGCAATGGCAAACCCGTGAGCTCAGGGAAGCCATGGAGCGCGCGCGTCAGCGTCACAGGCACGACCACGTATGATATCTACCGGCTGCTTCAGGGTTGCAGCCCCGCACGACTAGAAATGACCGAAACGCTATACTTAAACGTTCTGTATTGTTGTACCTAACACGTTGCACTTTTGCATCTCTATTTTGCATTGTTTTTATCACTGTAGCACCTCACATAGCATTCTCATTCCACCCCGAACATATTGGGCCTTTGTCGTTTCAAGTGTCACTTCAACGTCATTGTTACTACGTGTACCACCTGTTCTGCAAAGCTTGAATAGAATTGAATCTTTCGGACGACGGTCTTCCGTGCGTGAATTGCGGTCATTGACAGCGAACGAGGCACGACGGCATTTGAGAGCGGACTGGTCTACATCGGATGCCGTGACCGTGTAGCACGGCCGCGCCGCGGCGCGCATCGTATAGCCCCAGATAGCCGCTGGACTTTCTAACGGTCCTCTGCCTACTCCGTCCTCGCCTCCTCTGTCGACAGTATAAACGTTCTCTGCTGACTATCTACGTCAGTGTGGTCCTGAACAAGTGCTGCAAAGGGGTAGACGTCTAGGTGCTGCCGGCCTGAGCCGCGGAGTCGCCCACCATGTCGACCATATCGACCCAGCTGCGCAACTTCAAGGAGCCGACGAAGGAGCAGCAGACGCAGCTGTTCTTCGCGCTGCCGCCGGATATGCCCAGGGGCGAGAAGGATGTCGAGCTGGAGAGAATGGAGTGCCAGGCGTCGCTGGTCTTGTCGGGCGAGGAGGTCTTCGTGAGTGTGTACTCGCTTTGGACGGCACACTCTCATCCCGGCTCATGTTGGCGTGGCACTGCGACATTAGGCGGGGAAGCTGCATCTATTGCCCCCATACTTGGCTTTCTGCTCGTTGGACCGCAAGAGCGCGCGATTCTCGATCCCGCTGAGTACAATCCGTAGGGTCGAGCGACTCAACGCGCGCGCCGGGGTGTATGCCCTGAGCTTGTCGCTGTACCATGGCATGAAATTTGTATGTGTTGCTCTTATGTGGTCTATATTCCACGGGCTAAGATGGCCGCTTTCCTTAGGTGATTCACATCACATCTTTACGACCCACCGCCGATCTATTCTGTTCTTTGCTCCGTGATGCTCTCAAAGTTGAGCTGCAGCGCGGCCGAATGAAGACGGTAAAGACGTTTGTCAAGACATGCTACTCTGAAGTGCTCGTCGCTTCTGCAGAGAACGAGGAGAAGGAAGCGGAAGCGGCGAAGACAGATGACAATTCGTCAAGCTCCGAGTCTGCATATCTGGGAGGGCTGGGACTGAAGTTCAAGTTCCCCGGTGACCCAAAGAAGTGAGCCGCTACCCGAAGCTCCTCTTATGTCCTCTTAACATGCCATAGACTACGCGAGGCGTCCAAAACTAAGCTGTGGACAACATACTTGAAGTGTGAGTGAGCGCATTCGTGCTATAAGACTCATGCCACATGCCAATATTATGCCTCTAGCACACGGTCGGAATCTTACACTTTTCCGCTATGCGCAATGTACACGACTAGTGCAGGTCGGCTTGCCCAACAGATTACGAGGAGAGATGTGGGAGACACTCTCTGGTTCCTTGTATCTCCGCTACGAGAATCCGGATTACTTCGAGAATATCCTCAAAGAGAACGAGGGTAGGATAAATACAGCCACAGAGGAGATCGAGAAAGACTTGCACCGAAGTCTTCCGGAATACTCAGCGTACCAGTCGGAAGAGGGTATCGCGTCTCTACGGAAAGTACTCCAGGCGTACTCTTTCAGGAATCCGGAGACTGGATACTGCCAGGTAATCTAAGTATCGCAACACGCTTGTGTAATGCTGATTGTTCTCAGGCTATGAATATCCTCGCGGCAGCAATATTGATGTAAGTAGGTCAAAACACGCGGCTGAGAAACTCACAGCGAATACAGCGGGACAGCTACATGTCAGAAGAGCAAGCGTTTTGGTTGCTAGAGGTCATTTGCGATCGCCTCCTCCCGGGTTACTACAGGTCAGTCGATATATAACACCATATATCACACCGCTCGTAGACCGCTAATTCCACAACGCCCACATCAGCCCGTCCATGCACGGCACATTGCTCGACCAACGGGTATTTGAAGCACTTGTCCACCGATGCCTTCCAATCCTGTATGATCACTTCCAGCAAGTCGATGTACAACTCTCGGTTGCATCATTGCCGTGGTTCCTGAGCTTGTAAGGTAGTGCTCGTTCTTAGTCGACGTCGCGCTGATACGTCTGATGATGTCCAGGTTCATCAACAGCATGCCCATGGTCTTTGCGTTCCGGATCATTGACTGCTTCTTCTGCATGGGCCCGAAGGTGCTGTTTCAAGTTGGGTGTGTACCGAGTTATACAACTACCTATGTGAATGACTGATCGTGACTGCTAATTCAGACTTGGTCAGTGGCCGTTCGAAGTAACCTCTGCGGCATTTTAACACTGCAGATTAGCGATTTTGAAGATCAACGGCGAGGATCTCCTACAAATCCAAGACGACGGCGGCTTCATCCAGTAAGTCGCGGACGACCGGATATGGACCCTGTTTGTGAACCGAGCTGACGCTATGTTCAGGCTGATGCGCGAGTACTTTTCCAAGCTTGGAGAGTCAGCGCACCCTGAGTCGTCAGATCCTCGGGCTCGCGCAATCACGAGGTTCCAGGAGCTCCTGCTCGTGTCCTTCCGAGAGTTCGCTGTGATCACGGACGACACCATCATCAATGAGCGGAGAAGGTATCGATCAGAGATCGTAAACAGTATCGAGTCGTTCTCCAAGCGTTCCGCGGTCCGGAATCTAAAAACGCTCGGCCGCTTCACGAAGGAGCAAGCGGGTTTGATCTACGATGCGCTCTTCAAGGCCATTTGCGTGGTCCCTCCGCCTGCGACGGTGTTCCCTACCCCAGCGCTTCTGACCACGAAAGACGGCTCAGAGGAGCGACCTGAGACGCGCATCGGTCTGAAGACATTCAAGATCTTCCTCAGTGAAATTTGCACATGGGCCAGGGATGAAAGGGTCGTCACGAATGGCGTGTCGGTACGTATTCTTAGATTACGACGACTATCCTGGATCTGACCTCTTCATAGTCAAGAGTGGAACGCAACATTGCGGATCATGAGCTCATCGACCGACTGTTCTTCTTTTGGGACACGTCCTTCAGAGGTGCTCTCTCCTTCCAAGTAAGTAATTTGTCATGGTGCGAAGCCCTGTCATCCTGACTGTCGGGTTAGGATCTCCTAAATGGCCTGGATGGTGTCATGTTCAACGATCTCATGGAGAACATTGAGTGGTTCTTCAACCTGCATGACAAGAACAAGGACGGGTACTTGACCAAAGACGAAGTACTCACTCTGTCTGAGTCGCTTCTGGTACGTTCAGCAAGCGACTGTCGTATGCCAACAAATGTATTCATTGAACCCACAGTTCATTTTCCGCTTTGAAGTCGGCGATGCGTATCTTGGCGCGGTCAGTCGCTTCATGTCAAATGCCTTCGAGTATGGCGATGCTCTGCTTCCCCGGTCGGATGCTGCGGAACCCAACGACGACTCGCCGCAGCCACAAATAGAGTCTAATCAACCCTACATGAACTTGGCAACGTTGGTCTGCCCTTGTACTCGCAGTGATGATGAACTGACAAGCATTCGGCTAGATTCCGTATGGTAGTGCTCGCCGACGAGATTCTCGAAACATTCTTCGAGACTGATTTCAATTCGACTTTCAAGCTTGAGCCTGTACCACTAGACATGCCATCATCAAATCCTTCAGTACTCGGATCACTCTGGTCCAACATCGCATCAGATGACAATCGCAAATTTTTCAACATTGTCACTGACCAGATCGGTCGGACGATTGGCAAGCATCAGGTTCGTCATATATGCCGACTTGTCAATGGCATGCTCACGATGTGCAGGTATATCATCGTCCAGCCATTGGCAAGATTACCTCATTGGAAGAGCCGAAAGCCCGCGAATCCCTCCTTACCCCGACGATGCGTCATTCGACGTCGAGCACGAGTCTCAACACTGGGGCATCCGACAGCTCGACCAACCTTGCAACACCCTCCGTCTCGACTTCGCCTTCTCTACTCACGGTCGATACTCCTACACCGAAATCGAAGATTTCGCCTGCCGAATACTCGCCTATGCCGACTATGTTGCAGGCAGCTGCAAACGCAGCGGCATACATGGAGCGTACACCGTTCGCTATCGATGACGCCAAGGACGACGAAGAAGACACCGATGATGAAAGTGCAGCAGAGGATGACGGTGTCATGGATGAGGTGAGTTCACTCGATTGACGTTCAGTGATCACTATACTCACATTGTTTCTCAGGTCGATGCCTTCCTTGAGGAGCACGATACCGGCCTTACCGACGCCGACAGAGAGCTTGCCAAAGGTTTGCAGTAACTTAAACTACCTGTGGATCTAGATCTGACTCGCTGTTTTGCCAGATCTCATCAATGCAGAACCAGTATGACGGGTTGTCCCTGGATTCATCGTGTCGCTTTCCGCATACTAGCTCTCTACAGGTTGTAACAGTATCTACAGGCGTTCGGAACAGACAGCAATGCATATTACACTATTGTTATACAATCCACAAAGCACGGGAGTTGATATGTTCAATCATAAAGCGCACGATAGCTCGAAAACGGATGGTAAGGTAATGGAAAGTTACGTCCTGCGGTCAACCCAGATTCGGACGGTCAAGTCGGATTCCATAGAAGCTGACGCAATCATGTTTTGTTCGGGGTGCGTCTGTGAATTCAATCGTAAGCATCATACGTCTATATTGAACACGGTCGACGTAGGCTTACAGAAACAGCAACGACGACATCTATAGACAAGATTTCAGTCATCGTTACGACCAGTCGACAGAGATTGCGCTCACCGTTATGCCCTTCAAGCACCTGGACGACCTCCCTGCTTTGTAGGTCCCAGAGGTAGACTTTATTGTCTTCGCTGCCAGAGACGATCCATTTGCCGCCGGTGACACTGAAACAAGCCGCGATGCAATACTTCTCGTTCTTGTGTCCGATATACGTCTTGAGACAGCGCGACGTTTGATAGTCCCACAAGCGAATTGCGCTATCATGCGCAGTCGACAGGATATACTTCGAGTTGGGCGAGAACTGCACATGTTGACTGTAGGAACGGTCAATGAGAACATCACCGAGCAGCGTATTGCAAAAGCTTGACCATATCGCGTCATGACCTTCTGCAAGAGTCTTCAAACATTGGCCGGAAGTCACGTTCCATATTCGGCTACAAGTAGTCCGGTCATATATCCGCACAGGATAAGATATGTTGAAGCTTACATCAGACCGTCCAAAGCACAGGACACGATAAGACTTGAGTCTCTGTTGAAGTGCACAGCAGTAACGTAGTCCAAATGAGCATGTATAGTCTTCTTGGTTTTTCCTGCATTGAATGCATTGAGCAATACGACTAGAGAGTAAGTCTGGGTGTACCCTTCGCGGCGTCCCAAATCCGGACGTCGCCTTCGCAACCTCCGGAGACAAGCATTGCCGATGTTGTGTTGTAGTTCACACAGAAAACATAGCTCGAATGCCCTTTCAGTGTCTTGGTAGTCAACCCCTGACGGTGAGGGTTTAGTGGAAGACGATGGCCGGAAGAACAGCGCGCACGCACGGAATCGACGTCCCAGATGCGTATGGTTTGGTCATCGGAAGCGGAGGCGAGGGAGACACTGTCGGAAGACCATGATATGTCAGAAAGGCCTTTTGTATGGCCATTCAGATTCCGGATGAGTTCTCCAGTGAATGGTGACCAGATTTTGACTACTTTGTCGTTGCCTGCAAATGCAATTTGGGTCAGTGGTAAGACACGTTAACACAGTCATACAAGTACGTACTACATGATGCTAAAAATGTGCCGTCGGGACTAAACTTGACGGCGGAAATCGACGACGTGTGCCCCCGCATGGTGTGGCGCAGCTCATAATGCGGACGTTCGCGAGCGCTACCAGGGGCGGGCGCGGAAGGGGCTGGGGCTGGCGGCGGCGCTGGTTCTTGCCTTTCCGGAACCTGAGGATCGTCTTCAGTTGTTTGGGAGGCGGCATCGTCGTCCGTCGACGATTCATCCAGTCCTTTCAGGGGATCCATTGATAGTAGCACGTGGGAGATGGTAGCAATCCAGAAAAGGCTACGCCTTCCAAACTTAACAGATGCAAACAACCGACAGCCCGTTTAGGAAGGGACGTGGCATCTTGCCTCGCGCATGCATCGACAAGAGCTGGAATGCTCGGGTATGTCTCATATCGTTGTCCATAATATGTAGCACTATCTTCTCTCCAGACACTACCGGAAAAATCAGTCCCGCCTCATTCGGCGTGAGCACTATTATTGATTGTTGAACGACGACGGTGCCCAATGCCCAAGTAGTGGCAGACCAGTCATAGCAGGCCGCGAACGCGAGGAGAAGGCATGTCGTCTTCAGCAAGGGCACTGATAAGCTTGCTGATAGTTACACGGCATTTCCGCATCAATGTGGTATGCCAAATATTGACCGCTCTGCTGGGCGCGCAAATTCATCGCAAGGTTTGCAAATTCAATGCGGTGAGGCGATCTCAGCTGACGTTATGCTTAGATTGTAGACGGGCTTTTGGGCACTACGTGGGAGAAACAAGACGCCAGTATTTGCTGGTTTCTGTAGTCTCCAGTGCCGATCCAGTGGTCGGCACATGAAGGCGACTTACATGGGAACGGGAAGGACAGCACCACGCGCTCAAACCTCGTCGTGTTACGACCGAAGCCTGCCAGCAAATCCAAGGGACCGTGCGAGATCTACGGAGCTCTACGCGTGCCGCATTTCGCTGTCACGGTCAAGGTCTTCCTACAGGCCTCGGATACAGTTCTCGGTGAGTGGATGCCTTCCCGCAGGCTTTTCAGCGATTCTAAATGCATTCGCGGGCCCTGGATTTTATGGTTAAGAAATGTTTATCTGCAGTGCGCCTCCGTAGCTCCACTCAAAATCCATGGACAATACCTTGCGGAGCTCAAATAATGCCGCGTTGCCGTGGTGGCACAACGTTACCGTAAGACACAACTGCGAATGTGTCTGCATCATATTTTCAAGCATAGATATCTCACTGGCTCGCAGGCTCCATGGGCGAGGACTGCTTGTCTGCTGTCATTGTCGAGCTAGACCGCTACGAGACGCCTTCGTCGAGCGAACACGCTACGAGATAGCCTCGTCGCGTGGACATGCTCGTCGGCCTATGAAACGGCTTCGTCAAACGAGCACACCACAGGACGGTACCGATTTCGTCGAACGATAACTACGCTACAAGACGGTATCATCGCTCGAAGCGACTCATCGCATAGAAGGGGCATCGCTCGGAGGCGGCATTACATAGAAGTGGCATCGCGCAGATGCGTCATCGGGGCGGTAGATCCAGCTGGGTAGGTTGCACAGTTCGCATGTAGGTCCTGGCGGTGCACTTGGCGCGGCAACCCCAGAGCCCAGGACAGTACGGCAGTGTTATCGCGTAGTTTCGTTGAGCAGGCTCCTGTATTGTCGAGGGGCACTAACCAACGCCCCTCCTCTCGCCGACACCATCGACGGGTTAAGCGCCGTCAAGTTCTGACCATCCCGGCGCCCATCCACCCAATATCCCCAGAATTCCCGCTTGTTCCCGTGCCAATACGGCGCAGAGCACAGTCGGGGTGCGACGTGCGTGCGCGACGGTAAGATCCAAATCTCGTCGGAGGCTCAAACTCAACTTTACGGACGTGTTTTGTACCTAGAAGGGGGGGTCCTACTCCCCTTCCAAATGAGCTGTTTAGAAGAGGGGTGTACTGATCCGAAGCAACGGTACACACGAGATGCCGACTTGCCGCAGAGATTTACAGCGCGAATTTAGGATAGAGCGCGCTGTAAACCTCTGCGGGAAGGCATCCAGTGTCTACTACCAACTTTCCAGCACGTAACAAAGACCTCGCAGCCAGAGTACACGATCTGTTGCTCATTAGTGTGCAGCACGTCACACGTACGACCGTCCAAACTCGGGGATTTGGTCCCCATTTGACACTGCTTGCGATGTGTGTCAATGCTGACGGGCCTCTGCGGATCACTGTCTCGGGAGCCTGAGGTGCCATCGTGTTACTTAAAGCCCATCATTGCGCAGCCCTCTGCTCGGCAAATTATACTGAATTTCAATTCAGTCATTCGTCAACTATGCACGCCAGCGCCTCCTCCGTGTCAGCATATTCAGAACATTCGGTGGGGGTGGGCGATGGCAGAGTGTCTTGCAGTTGCACTCGAACCTACGGCCGTGAGGCTCACATAATTTTCTTCTTCAGCTGGGTTGCGTACAATAGTATGTGACATGTCGGCAGGTTAGGAATTCATTTCCTCCACCGTGGTCCCCGAGGCAGTCATGGCTGATTAATGCCCAGGGCCATCGTTGGTCATCGCTTCTTGCTCCCCGAATAAATGACTACGGTATACGTTATCTCACCGGCGGTGGCCGGCCGGCCGCGGGCTCCATGGTACGTTGCCCCCAGTGCCTCCCAGCGTTCTTTCTGATCTATGTAGGTGAAGGCCCCGTGGTAAACGAGCCGCTCAAGAGCGATTGCGAGAGCGATAGAGCATCCCTATTGCGCGCCGCCGACTGTATTACGTTCCATGTCTAGACTAGACAGAGGGTATTGTCATCTCTCAAATGATACCACAAGAGTGAACTTCAACTTCGACTGAGCGAACGAGCCCGCGGACGGGATGCCAAGGGTTGCGCGAGGGCGTCAACTTTGAAACTCGGGCGGCACTGATGCGCCCATATGATACCACCCAGCCGCCATTGCCTATCGTAGCCTGGTTTCAGAGTGCTAGCTCGCGGCGGGTCGTAAGGGCGGGGGAGATGCCAAGGAGATGCAGTTCTAGCCGAACCCTTCTCCCGCCGTTGTGCACGGGCACATTGCCGCTAATGCTGCCGCGGTAGGCGCAGGGGAACATATAAAAGAAGCGTCGAGGACGCAGGGTTTCTTCAGTTCGCTTTCCCTTTCGAACTCACCTGAGAGCATAGGCACTGGCTGGTGAGAATTACGGCGATCGTTTCCCTTTGTTCAGTACTAACACTGCGTTTCAGCCTGGCTTGATTTTTGACGACCTTCTACCTCACTCGTTTCGGCGATCCCCACCGTACAACCGTACAATCAACTGCAGACAACGACAATGCGTCTCTCCACAACGTTTTCTGTCCTCCTCGCGTCCATCGCGGTCGCACCCAGTGTGCTCGCCTTCCCTTTGGCGGACTCCGGCTTGTGCGTAGTGCCAGATACAGTGTGCCGGTTTTCCGACTGACAATTCGTTTACTCAGTGCATTGGAGGCTCGTGCTGTCGAGTACGACTCCGACGTGTTTGCCCGTGGCGTTGACTTCGGTGATGAGCTGTACGAACGCTCTGCCGCAGACGACGACATGGTCCTGCTTGCGCGTGCCCTCGTCGACGCGTTGAAGACTCGGGACGACCCTCCCGGGTACCACAAGCACGACCCTAACAATGGGAAGAAGCCCAAGTACACGTCGAAGGACCCCGCTCCTATCCCGAAGTACCGCCAGAAGGACCCTCACAAGCCTCCTCAGCCGAAGAAGCCTAGTGGCGGCGGCGGCTCGTCGTCGAGGCGTATACGCGACCTCGGGGACTTCGACGGTCTCGAGGCGCGGGACGACCCTCCGAAGTACTCCAAGCACGACCCCAACAACGGGAAGAAGCCGAAGTACACGGCGAAGGATCCGGCACCGATCCCCAAGTACCGCCAGAAGGACCCCCACAAGCCCCCTCAGCCGAAGAAGCCTCGCAGCGACGGTTCGTCGTCGTGGAGTGCCCGCGACTTTGTGGACATTGACGGCCTCGAGGCGCGTGAGGATTCGTGGTGGACTGTATTGTGAAGGATTGTTGTACCTGTTGTGACGAGAATAGAAGTGATCGCTCGTTTGCCTTTTCCATCGTTGGCGCAGGTGTCCGTTGAGATGTGAGCTTGGGTCGCGAAGGGGCGGTCGATGTTTGCTCTGCCGCATGGGTAGCGGTTGAGTAGTACTGAGTGTATTGCTGACCGGTTGCACAGCAGGGCCTTTGGGTAGGCTAGCTGCTCTCTACCGTACTCAAACTGAGTGGACGTCAGGATGTTCGGGCGTCATGCATCATGTCTTCGTTATCTAGTACTTAGCCGTGAGCGGTATGCATGCCACTCTCGAAAGGATTATGAATCAATCAGGACTTGAGTGTGGTGGAACTCCATCCTCGTGAAGGCTCGATGATGCTCGACGAATCCGACGACAGCCACCAGATGCGTTGCCTACAACGTTGAAGTTGAAACCATGACGTAACCGTTGAACGTTGAATTTGAAGATCGGAGATCCATGGTTCTGACCCGGTACCGTTGCGCCTGACGCAGTTGAGCGCCTATGATTGCGCCGTACTGTCCGTCTGTTCGCTCTCAGAGGCGTTCTCGGCATTGCAGCAACACAACGCGCCTGTATTTTGGTCCAAGGCCACCCCGATTGCGGACTGCGCCACTTCTCGGCGTAATGCAATGATTGCAGCTAAGTCCAAATCCGAGTCGTTACTAGGCCCCGCTCGGAAAGCGCGAACAGAGGCGGAGTGTGTCCACCACCTCCTCCTCCGAGCTGGTCCGTATGCACGCCGATTAGGCTGCGCCACCTGCTGCGCTGGTCTCTCGGTGGCACGATTCCCCAGTGGAGGAGCGGTTTGATCGCGATCTGCGTCCCGTCAAACCCTACATGTGGATGTTATCAGACGACGCCGGGGCCTAACTAGTAACGATATGGACTTCTGTGAGTGTTGGAGCTTTCTAGCAGATGGAAACATGCAGGATGTTACTCGGTTCTCCTCCTACCGTGGTCATATAAGGATACAGGAGACGGCATGACTGAGGCAGCACTTAGATCACCGACTTGCTCGCGTTTCATTTAAGATTTCATTGATCCCTATACCATACAGCGAGAACGTGCGAAGATGTCTACGGTCCCACAGACCACGTCCACGCCAGTGAGTATCACTGTTATCAATCCATTTTTTCTTCTTTGAACTCACACACTTCATATGAAGGATATCATTGCAGACAAGTCCAGACGTGCCGTCCGCGACCTCTTAGAAAGGCTGCAATTCACGGCGCCCTCATTCTCTCGCGACCATGTCCTCGAGAGCCGAGTTGTCGACGTACTCCGCGGATGGGGCAGAGACATGTTTGCACTCCTGCGTCCCTACGTCCCGCCTGCTATCATCATGACGATCACCGGCTACCACCACATCACCGACATCGACGTCAAGGTCAAAATCGCTCTCTTCAGTTGCCTCATTACAGGGGTCGATGACATGTCCGTGCTCGGGTCGTCCGTTGTCCGCGACTTCCATCACCGGCTTTGCGTGGGCTCTATGCAGTATGACACCGGTGTCATGGGCAGACTCATGCAGACCCTGTCTGCGATGTGGCCCTTCTACCCGGAGTTCTCAGCCACCTCGATATTCACCTCGGTGACGCGGGTCGTCAACGGCTGCATGCTAGAGCAGATCAGCGGGAAGCCCGGCATTGTCAGCTCGTCGGATGCTCTACCTTTCATCGCGTATCGCCGTGACATGTCGGGCCTCGGCGAGGCCTTTGCGTACTTCATATGGGATAAGAAGAACTTCCCTGATGTTGAGTTGTATATCCAAGCAATCCCGTACGTTCAACTTCCCCGTCGAAATGTGCTGTCTTTTCGTTGCTGACGATCTGTGCCAGAGACATCTGCTGGTTCCTGTGTTACATCAAGTAATTTATTATGTGTCTCGCTGCAGACGACAGCATGGTGCTCACCTTCGTGTCACCGCAGTGATATCTTGTCGTTCTACAAGGAGGAGCTGGCAGGAGAGACCAGCAATTACATGAGCGATCGCGCCCGGGCCAGTGGCGACTCCGCGCAAGAGACACTCCAGAAAGTCATAGACGAGACGATCTCCATCGTCGAGCGCGTCCGGAACATACTGGGCGAGGGACCCGTTCGAGATGCTTGGGAATCCTTCGCGAAGGGGTACATAACCTTCCATACACACAATCCTCGCTACCGTCTGAAGGAGCTGATTGAATGCGAGTATATCGTGGTCGACGGTATAGGTGAGTGTCAATCCGTATACTCTTCCTATCGGCGGCTGAGTAGACGACTTACTAGATTATGTCTAATGCTGACGGGCGATGTGTCCTATGCGTTGTGCTCGCCAATAGACCTTTTTTGATTGCTGCACAGTGCTCGTGGAATCGGACAGGCCTTGTCACTGTGGCCAGCACTGATCGACCACTGACTCGTAGTAGCCTCGTCGAGATGTGACATGATCGCAAGTGGCGAATGACTGACTGACTGATGAACAGTACACGCAGAGGTGAAGGTGATTGCGATGCGACCGGCGCCACTCAGGCCGCCGAGTATGCGATGATTCAGAGTCACCCTGCTACGCCACAACCAGTGCGCACGGTGCGTTCGGCATGATTAGCCTACGGTACGGCGCCATCATGATAGACATTTCCTCTCAGTAACAAGTAGCCTTTCTAACGAAGCCCCAGTCAGGGTATGTAGTCGCGAATGCCTTTTGCGGTCTCACAACGCTTCCGCAGCAGAGCGTCAGTGTGGATGTGAGCATCATCCACGTACGGCAGGTCCACAGTGCGTCTACGCTGCACTCACAATAGTCCCGCAGCGAAGCGTCGATGTGGGTATGAGCAACGACGTTTTGTTCTGCATACACAGCGGGGTCGTCCACCTCCATCCACAGACTGACGTCGGCGCATAAAAGCACGTCGAGTGAACACAATGGACCTCACCCAACAAGTCCGACGAGCTCAACAACTCCAACTTGAAGCCTTACAGAGAAGACCAGGATTCGCCTCGCTGACTCGAGATGCCCCTCCACTTTGCGACGAGCGAAGTTGACATGCCAGTGCCCTATTCTGTGCAAGACCTGCGGGCCGAACACAACGCCGCGTCGTCGTTCCCGGCTCTCCTCGACGGTCCATTTGGTCCGTCCCAATCGACAACAACTCCCAGACTCCCGGTGCATTCATTTGCAGAGCCTAGGGGATGGATGTGTCCCGTGTGTGGTATGCTGTTCGAACGGTCGGACGCATTCGAGCGACACTACGCTGAGGAACACTAACGGTGCTTCCATACTAAAGTGAGTGACATCCGGTCAGGTCCGTGTTATGGGATTGCATTGATTTTCGGTGTTTTGCTAGGAGCATGACGGACAATTTATCTCAAAGTTGTCCTCAGCAAGTCTGCTCATTCTCTCAGCCCCGCCCCCCCTTCCTGGTTGTAATCATGGCGTTCGCTACATGTTCAAGTGCATGTTCGAGTGCTTGACACACTATTTCCGATATGATTAACCTTGTTCGCTTTCCCCCAGGATGTACATAGTATGCTATTCAAACATGGTGATAATCAACTTGTTGCTCCGGATCACTCCGCTCGAGAGCAGATTCATCGCGTATTTGAACTGGGTAAGTAACTCTAGCGGCTCTGTCGGTTTTGCGACATATTCCTACTACCTACAAGAGTTGGTGTTGCGTTCATGTTGACGAAGAAGGCCCAACAAGTTGAACTCAAATGTTGTTGCGGAGGCCAGCTAGGCCAGTTTACCTTCAATTTGAAATCGGGCCGAGGTACCGGTGGTACGCCGGGGCGTAGCCGCTCACAGACGCCGACAGTTCCTTTCAAGACACGCGTGTATTCAAGTGGAAGTCATTCGATGTTTCCATACCCGAACAGAGTTGGTGTGATACCTGCGCCTTTCTACCGATACACCGACATCCGTCGAGATTGTTCGTGCTCTCCTATGGACTGGCCAATTTCCGTCCCGAATCGACATTGCCGGCCGGGAAACGTCCCTACTCGCGCAAGGCGATTTTGGGATTGTGGAAACCTGCTGCACAGTGCATTCGATGAATGCCGTACCTGTGCGTAGACTTAATATATATACGCTCGACCTTCACCTTGTCGATTTCCAGGTTCCCACAAAGCCCCGAGTCGAACACCGAGGCTTCATACGCGACTCGGAATCCTGTGTCGTACGAGCCTGGTGCGTTGCGTTTTCACATGAAGACACCTGGTCGCCTTTCCACCGCCTCATGTCTTCCTCATCTGCAGTTTGCTGAGGTTTGAAATGGAGACGGAGTGCACAGTGTGAGGCACGATGTCTGCTCGGTATCGACAAACTTTGCACACGCGTCTTTCCATACGCACACCTAGGTCAACGTCCGCTGGAAACGCTGGAAACATTGCTAGCGGTGGTTGTATCCTCCCAACGTGAGCGAGTCGAGATTTGGACGCGCGACGCAAGGCGGCGACATCGCGCGATTGTGGAAACCAAGTACTACGCTCTGCTATGCGACTTCGGTGAATGCTATACCTGTGCGTAGACCCGTATATATGCCCTGGATGCTCACCGGGTCTTAGACTGAAAATAAGCTCGCACCCTGCGGCTTGACGCACGACGATGTAGAGTCTACGCCGACGGGAGATCGAAGCTCTGTGCCCGGATGTCTACCAGATGCGTTTGCGCCTTTCCATGGTCTTTCATGTGACGCATGCTGAATGGTGGTGTATAGTACGAGTTCGATCGACGGTCTGTCCATCCTTCTGTCGCTGCCTGACTGAAACACTCGAAAGCCCCACGTAGTCATCGTAATCCCACCGGTCGTTGTTTCAGCGCGACCCATCAACGTTCATGCGTCAGAAATCGGTTGGTGGACAGCGAACTCCGTATCGTTTCTGCCTCGTCGCGCTACTGTCGCTGCTCCCGAACCGGGCTCCGTCATTTTCTGCGGGACACCAGGACCACCATGATGAAATCTCAACTCATGCTGTCTCATCGCGCTGTTTTCGACCAGATGTCTTCGTATGGTGTCCGTTCGCACTCGCCCACCATCCAAGTCCAACATAAAAGCGGTCTCATAGCTGCGCCTTTCCGATAACTCGCCCCCTACTAGCTAGCAACTCTAGTCAAAGCCCCTAAGGCCTCGCCGACAACACCATAATGTGCCTCCGCTCCAGAGTAGCCAACATCAAAATGCACGGAGGGCAAGTCTCGGCGTGCGTCGGTGACACAGCGTTCCCCGCTAGCGAAGTTCGCGGATCCTTGGTGCCCTCAGGGATGCAATCGCAGCCGTTGCTAGCGTTCGGGTTCTACAGTCACAGCCACCTTCATGCCATACCGCCAGACCATGTCTTGGGCGACGGCAGCAGGCCGTTCGTTTGCTCGAACTGCACCGCTGCTTTCTCTACGAAAGCAGCTCTCCAGCGGCATCTCAGCTACGCCTGCCCGTACGTTTAAAGGTGAGATGCGCACAGGTCCAAATTGTTGTCGTAGCTTGATTCTGATGTCGGTCATTAATTTTCAGCGATGGTCGTTGACTGCCACCTCTATGCTGGTCTAAAAAGGTTGCCCGTCCTGCGACTCATTCTACGACTGATGGCAGAGAATCTCGCGGAGTTATTTACTCTTCATCTTGCACGACGAGGGTTGGATCTGGTATCGCCCAGTTGGTCTCCTTTGTATCTGAATGATGTACGGCACACCCGTACCGACCCCAGTGTATGCTCCATACATCACTGTCGTTAAGTGGTAGTAACATATAACGGCGTATAGTACCTTCCTGTTCCTCTGCAATGCAAATCGGCGTGTTTTATAAGATATCGCGATTTTATTTCGTCGGGTAGATGAGAACAACCTGTGATATGTGCTGGGCTGAGGCGACAGACGTGTTCACTGGCTTTGTTGTGCAGTAATGGCAAGGTACTGGTCAGAATATGGCTACGTTGTTTTCGCGCTATACGACTACTATGATAACATCACACCGTCGCCTCTTTGCCCATTAACATCTGCAGGGCTTCGAGATACCTCTTCCTCGTGCCCTCCACAACGCTCGCCTCCATAACCCAGCCCTCGCCTTCTTTGCCTTCAGGACCATCCTCGCGTCCTTTACGGAAGCCGGTGCTGGTCAACCAGTCTCGTAGGTATTGCTTGTCGAAGCTTGGCTGCGAGCCTCCAGGCTTGTATCCCTCCGCGGGCCAGTAACGGGACGAGTCCGGCGTGAGTAGTTCATCAACCAAGATCAGCTCCTCTCCGCCTGAGGGCGTTGGGATGAGCCCGAACTCGAATTTTGTGTCTGCGAGGATGAGGCCGCGCGTGAGGGCGTAATCCGCGGCAGCCTGGTACAGCTTGATAGCTGCTGTGGAGATCTTGTCATATAGCTCCTGCCCGATTATTGAAGCGGCTATACGAGTGTACTCATGAGCGAGGCGGACGGTTATGCAGGGCCACTTATGACATACCACGTTCTGGGGATATGTTCTCATCGTGTTGGCCTTGCTCGGCCTTCGTGGAGGGTGTGAACAAGGGCTGGGGGAGCTTCTGCGACTCAGCGAGCCCAGCCGGTAGAGGGATACCGTGTACTGTCCCGGACTTCTTGTACTCCGCCCATCCAGAGCCTACAAGTCAACAAGCAGACTGCATGGGCGCGTGCACACAGACAGTCACACTGAACCCACCAGTGAGGTAGCCTCGGACGATGGCCTCGAGGGGCACGACCTTCGCCTTCTTGACGAGCATCGCCCTGCCTTCTATCTGGCTGCGGTACTGCCGGACCTCCTCGGGCATCTCGTCGACGTCGGCGGTCACGAAGTGCGTCGGGATGATGTCCTGCAGCTTCTCGAACCAGAAGAGGGAGATCGTGGTGAGCACTTTGCCCTTGTCCGGGACGCCCTGCGGGGAAGGTCGGGTACGACGAATGAGACGGGACAAAGTGGACGGACGTTGCGCAGGATGACATCGTACGCGGAGATGCGGTCGGTGGCTACGAACAGGAGGTGTTCCGGGGAGGAGGTCGCGTAGACGTCGCGGACCTTGCCCCTCGAGACGAGCGTAAGGGCAGGTAGCTCTGTGTTGATCAGAGCTGTGTCGGACATTGTACGTAACAGTGGGGACTAACGCAGGAGGTGTATCACTGCAATGAGAGTCAGAAGAAAGATCGCTCGAGATCGCTCCCTCGATCGAAGTGCATATCCGCATTAGGCAGGTATGGTAGAAGGTGCACATGCCCCCTAATGCTGTCATGAAATCTGTCATGCTTGTTGTCAAGCCTAAACGGTATGATGCACTCATTTCAAGAGTTGAGACATTCTGCATGCGCGTGTCACAAATGGATTTAACGAGTACAAAGAATAACATAGCGATAAGTTAACCGACAGCAGCCCTGACTTCAGCCGAACCTACACAAGGCCTGGCTTTCGATGTCCGCACAAGGTTTGCTCAGTACGTCGTAACTGAGTATTCTCGTGCTGAAAACCCAGACCGGCTTGCTGATCATAAGTCCCGAATCATGTAAGAGACTTGACCTGCGTTCCATCAACGTCTTGAGCGGATACTCGGTCCACGATCTCTCCATAGACTCTGAGGTGGTGTCGTCCACAAAGACGACGCCCTTCTCCGCCCAGTCGCATCCACAGGCGGTCTGGGAAGTACCCCAGCGGCAAGCTTGAAGGAGCGATTCGAGGCTCTGGACCTGCTGACCGGGCGGGAATATGAGCTTGGACGGCACGCGCCATGCCGGCCTAGGAGAACTGCGAGGCTTTGCAAGCCATATGACCGCGTCTTGGAGAAAGCGGCCTAGCGGTGTCGTAGTGAAGTCCTTCGAAGCCGAATCGTTCTCTTCACCCTTGTCACGCGACGTCGCAGCATCTGCGCCAGTGCGAGCAGTGATACTGGGCATATCCTGGAGATCGTTGGCGGCGGTCTGCTGTAGAACATTGTGTGGATTGACCGAACAGTCTATGGAGGCGCTCGCGTGAGACGTCGCGGTGGGTTGGACTCTGGGAGGAGAGTCAGTGTCTTGGCCGCCGGTGTCACGCAGGCGTTTCCCGGTAGGCGGCGGAGACACTGGAGTACTTGGGAAGGTCCCCGAGTTTTCCGGCGATTCGCTTTGCAGAGGCAGCTCAACTTCGTGAGACCACTTCATCACGTTAGTGACTGAGCCCAAGGCCCTCATGAGCCGTGGCGATCTCGAAGAGCCCGGTGATGCGCCGCTGGGATTCTCTTGCTCTCCGACGACCTCAGAACGAATGCGGTATTCCGCACCAGTCTTCTTGGCCCTCTTCCCAGCTTTGCGGTCCGCCTTCTCTAGCTTCTCCGCCCAATCAGCCTCAGTGCGCAGGCGCTTCAGTGGACACTTCACGCCTGGCGAGCTCGGCCTGCCCCAGAGCTCGTTGCACCAGTCTTCGACGTCCTTGTGCGAGCTCTCGTGGCCGACGGACTCTCGAGCGATCTGCTGGAACTCTTCCATAGTGGTTCCGTCGGTCCATGAGCGTTCGCTCGAGCGAAAGACCTTGACGATGCGCGGGAAGCGGAGCTCATAGAACTGCCATGCGGGTGAGGACGGAGCGAGAGATGCGAAACGAATTAGGCATACCTTGCTATGAGTCGCTTTGGTAAAGCTACCGCCCACAACCTCTGCGAGGATAGGCTGTGGGAGAAGTACAGCGGGCGAAGGAAGGCCTTTGAACATATGGTAGGTGTACGGGAGCCCATGCACTGCCTATGAAAATCCGCGAAACAAGTGGTGAGTTGCTACTAGTCGCTGCATCATCCAAGTAGATGCTCACCTTTCCTGATTCACAGCGTGCAGGATCGGAGCTTTTGATGCGGAAGTTCAATTGCTCCAACTCTTCCCTGCTTAAACCGTATGACGCCGTGAAGAACACTTCGAAGTGCGGAGTACATCTCGGCTGCAGAATGCACGCGATCAGATGACAATCGGAATAGAAGCTCAAGTGAACACTAACATTCGTCTTCAGAGCAGCGGCATTCGCTAAGACTCCGATGTAGAAAGTGGTGTACGCGGTCGGCGCAACTGATGACCACAGCAAACACCAATTCAGCGTCCACAGGTAGCAAGCCCACAGAAGTCACCCACCTCTCAGCTCCCGAGCGCGTTCCTTCTCCCACGCAGCGCCCACCAGCACGAGGTCCAGGGTGTCCCCGTACCCCTCAATGTAATCCTTCTTCAGCTACCTCGTCCACGTCCGCTCAGTGGGAATCACACAAGAAGTAGCAGGGAAGAACCCACCTTCACCCACGGCATCCTCCAGTCGTTGTAGGGTGCCTCGTCAGCCTTCAACACCAGACCCTCCTGGTGATTCGCAATGATCTCCGCAAAGACCTTTCGCAAGCGTGCTTGTGGGTCCGGCACACCTGGTGCAGCTGTGGGACGCATGTCGATGGCAACGCGCTCAGCAAGCATGGTGTGCCCAGGCTTCAAATGAAGTAGTCTCTCAAGGGTCGCGCGTCGGGCAGAGTATGGAGCAGAGAGGAGAGACATGCCATCGAGAACGAGAATGTCGAAGAAAACGAGAGCAAGGTGCCGCATGCCATCATCAGATGCGTTGGAAACCAGGGAGCACTGCGAACTGAACGAGACCAAAGGCTAGCGTGAGTGCGACGCCGAGTGGAATGTGAACGCAAGTACCCTTCATCAACATCTTGGGAGGCCTCGCCAGCGGGCTGCTTGAGAAAACGACTGTGACGAGGACCTACAGCAGTACTGCCGATGAGGCTCCGGATGCGCCAAAATTCTGTAGAGGTATTTAGTTCCTATCAAGTTCTCGAGCCCTGCAGAGATACAGTCGCACCGTCAATGCGGTCGAGGGTATCCGAGTAAGCAACCATTTCAGCCTCTAAGACAACACTGCGTTTGATCTTGCACAATGTCCCGAAGCCGATAGCTTCCAGGATGAGTCTGGCATGGCATGAAGTTCCATATAAGTACGCCTCTTGCAAGGATCCAGTGAAGTACCCACGGGTGAATAGCGATACGGTCAAAGGTCGAGTTACGTCCGCTCTTGCTGTAGATAGTGATTCGTGGGCGGTCTCCTTCAATATCGAGGTGGATCTGTGTCCGTTCGCCATCGTACTTCGTCTCTGCCCATACTTTCTTCGAGCTATGCAGCAAACGGAGGGACTGTGCGCAACCCTGGCCTTTCGAGCACTTTGGGATCTAGACGCGACATATGAGAGGTCAGTTATGTTGCTCTTGTTTGGCGGAGCGAGCACTCACTTGGATGGGTGTGCCAATCTGAGGTGCAAGAGGAGGGTTACCGGCTCCACCGGTGGACACAGTCTTCTCGAAGGCCAGGGCAGCCTCGTCCAGACATGCACGGACACGATATGCAGCCAGCATACGACCGCTAGGATCCCAAACCCGCATTGCGTCAAACTTGGACAGCTGCTCCAAGGAGTTGCTCTTATATTGAAGCAGCAGTGCCGTGTAGTGTGTCTCGTCCTCCGGAAGGGGGTACAGTAACGGTCGGAGGTCCTTCAGTATAATTTGCGTGACTACGCAGGCCTCGGAGGAAGACAGGCGACTGTACAAGGCGTGCACAATGTCGGCTTGTGATCTGTCTTTCAGTGCGGTTGAAGATGACACGTCTTCTCGTATGCTGTCTGCAGAAAACGCGGATTTGCAGGCTAGAGTCGAGAGGAGGTTGTCGACTTCTGCGATGCTCAGGTCGTGCCCGGGGCCCTACGGAAGGGTAAACAAAACGGATCGCGTGTTCATAACAACAATCCAACGTACTCGTCGATTCTTGTCCCTTATCTTCCGGACCTCGTGGCCTAAACAACCTATGGCGCTTTCAGCCTTCCAGCTCGCCAGCCTCCCTGCAGGCGAATCGCCGTTTCCCACCACGCCAAGGACACTGGATAATAATTGAGCAAGCCTTGCTTCTTGCATGTCATATTTTCTCTTCGCGTCCTCTTCAGGGAAGAGGAGCCGAAATACGGTAGCAGTCGTCCCAGGAGGAAGAGGATCATAACGACGATGTAGTTCCGCTACCCAGTTACAAAATGTCTGCACGACACTGGACTTTGAGTGCGGGGACCCCTTGTGGCCATGAGCATTGGCTTTTCGGGGTGCAATACGCGATATGTGCTCGACGAGGGATACGACACTGACCAGTACATCATACGTCAGTTGATTCCTTAGACCAGTCATGAGAGGACTTACAATGAGAATGGAATAGATGCAGTGTCGCTGTTGTCTGTCATCCGTAGGTACTATAGACACACGAAGGGGGGAGGCAGGAGGGTCGCGACGGCTTGAGACTTGTCACCACGCCACGACGCGTCGAACAAGACGCGATCCAGATCCCGTGCGAGCTCAGCGCGGTCACGCGGTAAGCGCGTCTAACCCACGGCCACGATCCTTCCTGATCTGGAAGTCGAGAACAGCGCCCACTGGCAGCTTGTGGCGTTCATCTTGCTCGACTTCTGCTCTCATGTCAGGACTGCAGCGACATGGAATCACTCAGCTCGTTCGCGGCGTAGCGAGGCGGTTCTCTTCAAGCTTTGCAAGCGACCTATTTTCTGACGCTGCAGCTGCAGAACTACTAGTCTCAGCAGGGAGTCCAGCTTCGATACCACGGTTACAAGGTCTGCCTGAAGTGAGCTGGTCTCATCGTGAATTCGCCGTCTTCCAGCGGGCTCACGTCGATGATAGGTTGTCGTGACAGGTACGAGGCCTACAGCACGCTCTGCTATTGATCAACAGTATGATTTCAGGGCGAGCGAACGTGGGCAAGTCAACCCTGCTCAACGCTCTGTTAGGGCGTCGCAACCTCGCACATACGAGCCAGAAACCTGTGAGATTCTTCGCAGCGCCCCTTATGTACTTCCTTGCTCATGGCTGTGTGACATAGGGCCGTACTCAAACTCTCAATTTCTATCGCGTCGGTCGCGATCCGGGGAAGCTCATACTCGTCGACGCTCCGGGATACGGCGCGCGAGGTCGGCCTGAATGGGGCGAGCTATTCCATTATTACGTCAAAAGGCGCGAAGAGTATGTGTCTGACTCTGCGCGATAGCAAATACTGATTCTGTGCAGACTCAAGAGAGTATACCTGCTAGTCAATGCGACACACGGCCTCAGTGACGCGGACCGCACAATGTTACAATCTCTGGATGCTCAATGTCAAGCTAGTGCAGGGACGAGGTTCACCCTGCAAGCTATCATCACGAAGGCTGACGGCCTCCTTCGGTCTTCCAATGGCCGGGGTGCTATCAAGGATATTCAGCGGGACATCTTCGAGGCCGCACCGACCTGCCTACCGGCTATTGTCACTGCTGCTCTGGAAGAATCGCGCCTGGGCATCGACGACCTGCAGCAGAGCATCGCAGAAGCCTGTGGTCTGGTATGATTCGTCTGTTCCCGGTACTGGCGTCCAAGCCAGACGATTTTAGGGCACCTCGCGGGACCCAGTCGGAGTGCATACTGGGACATGCCCTCTGGAATCGTCGGAAGCACATGACCAGCCGGAAGTAGAACTGGGAACGGGTAAATTGACGGTCGCGCGGTAACCTAAGGGAAGCGCCCGGGCGGGAGTGCCGGATGCGGAAGGAGGCGGTGAAAGCCCGGTCTGGGCGAAACGTGGACCGTGGGGCGGTGGAGCGGGGACCCCGGGGCGTGCGACGAGGCTGGACGAGGAGGCAGGGAAAAGGGGCTCGGAGCAGGTGTGAGGACGCGAGGCGGATGAGGTAGCTGAGCTAGAGAACACAAGGACATCGCATGGCCTATGCTGTGAGCAGGAATACACGCTCGAATCCAGTCCGGCCAGTTCGTCGCCTCTAAGGAACAGAAGGCCGCCCGCCGTGCGCCTCGAGGTCGTAGCCGACAGCGAGGCAGGCCGCCATGACACACAAGGCCGGAAGCGCCCGTCCGGATTGGGCATGCGCCTGGGGACCGCAAATTTCCCACCTCGGGACCGCAAATCTAGCAAGACGAAGAGCACTGCGAGGGGGGTGCTTTTTCGCGGGCACGTCCGCGAAATGCCCCTACGAAGCCTAGGCGATCTGCGCAATTTGCGGTCCCAAATTTGCGGTCCCTCGGCAGGCCTTGCGGATGACAACAAACCCGCTATCCTCAGCGCAGCCGGCATGCTCTCCACAGGTCTGTTGCTTCCGCTGCCCTCCTCGCAATGACTAGAACCTGACCAAATCGTACTCTTCCCTACTCCAGCAATCCTTAGCGACACTCGCTTGACCCACCACTTGGACAACACGAGGGAGTGCCGAGAGCGTATCACTATAGAGCAACATGGGCGTGCGCGGGCTATGGGAGGTATGTCTTGCACTTCTCAACGCCTTGACTACAGCTTCAAGGCTGCTGGTAGGTACTGCAACCGGCCTCAACACAGGAGTCCATCGAAGACTACTTCATGCGTGAAGGGATTGTACGACGGCAGCGAGGGGAGCGAGTGTACAGACTGGGTATAGACACAAGGTACGTTCACCTTCTCTTCGGAGGGCACATTACACATCTCGCTCACTGCCCCAAGCATCTGGTTTCATCAGGTGCAGAACACCTTCGCCGTCGGGCATGCACAGTCGGGTGAAAACCCTGAACTGCGCACGCTGTTCTACCGTTTGGCCCGCCTCCTCCGCCTACATGTGCACGCAATATTCGTGTTCGATGGCCCGGATCGACCGGCCGAAAAGCGCGGGAGACGGGTGGTGCCGGCTGGTCACTGGATGGTTGAAGCGATGAAGGGCTTCATCGATGCATTTGGATATGCATACTGGACGGTACGTGCGGCACTTGCTACATGTTCACGTCTCTCATCAATCTTGCGCAGGCACCCGGTGAGGCAGAAGCAGAGCTTGCACTGTTCAACCAAGCCGGCTTCATTGATGGAGTGCTCACTGACGACGGTGATGCATTCCTCTTTGGAGCGCGAACGGTAATTCGTAAGTGAGTGGTCTTGGTCATGGTTGTACACGTCTATCTAATCATTTCTAATCATTTCTCGTCTCGTAGCTTCGACGCGAAGGCAACAACACTCACCATCACCCGCGCCGAGTCCGTCCTGACGCACAATGCTGTGTCGCTCAGCCGTCCCGGTATGATATTGTTTGCATTGCTCAGTGGCGGTGATTATGACGAGGTGCAGTGCCTTCTCAAGTATGGACAGCGCAGAGGCTCATGATGATTCAGGGTGGTCTGCCTGGGTTTGGACCAAGGGTTGCCCTCGGGCTCGCACGTTATCAATTCGGCGAAACACTCTGTCAGGCAGTCCGCATGCACTGGCACGGCGATCTGTCACAAGTCCTGTCAGATTGGCGCAACAATATGCGACAGACGCTATGCTCCGACCCTCAGAACTTACTTGGTCGGCGTTACCATCGCCTCTCGACCCAAATCCCGGACACCTTCCCCAATCCCGACATCATCGATTCTTATATCCACCCTGTAACGTCACCATACGAAGACTTCGAGGTGCCGCCACTGCAGCCGCCTAACATCGCGCGGCTTGGTGCGCTCTGTGAGCGCTACTTCTCCTGGGGGACGGTGCCAGGAATCATTGAACGTTTCGGCAATTGTGTACTTCCGGGCGTTGTGGTACGTGTCCTCATCAATCAGACGGTCAAACACGACGAGCTCTGTGTCACCAAGGACACATATGAGGTACGTTGATGCCTGTTTGTATGCAATCATGCTGACGTGCTGCTAGGATCCCCTTGAACCACTTATTCAAGTTGATCGTGACAGCCGTCGACGTCGAGGGGCACGAACCATAGCCGTTGTTGATACAGGCTTTGCCGCAGCTGCAACCTCGGCTCTGCTTGGCCTACGCCCAGTTGATGACAATCACCCTCGCCCCGCCTCATTACATTACGTGGTGCTGCCAAAGCTACTTATTCCGTTTGTGTGGGACTCGGACAGGGAGACTACAACACGAGGTATGTGATCACAGTTTGCAAATTCTGTCTATTAATGCTCGTGAATATGTTGGCAGGCAAGGTGACCACCTCGACCCAGCCGACTTCCAGCCGAAATGCTCGGCCATCGCAAGCATTAGCTCGAACCAGACAATCAAGGCGCACGGCAGCAACGATGAGCGACAGCAATGTCACGCGCACCTTGAGCGGTGGTCAGACGAACTCAAGCAGCAGCTGTGCGAAGGAGCTACATGGCGACTCGGACCACAGCACGGGTCCGGACCTAAAAATCTTCCCTCTGAGCCACCCGTACCGGCGTGGCGTCTCTTCGCAGGACGTCACGCAGTACGGGCGCCAGGCTGCGCCGCCCCTGCTGCAGATGAACAAGAGCTCGGCCGCACTACCCCAGACGGTGGCCATTGGAGTGCAGGTGGAGCGCATGGACGGCGTGAAGGCAAGCAGTGTGAAGGCGAAGGGTGCAGTGCGCTCAAAGGGCCACCCACAGAGTGCGGAGTCGAAGGACTTGGGCAGGGAGGACTCGACTGGGGACAATGGTATGCAGGTCTCGCACAGTCTCACGGAGAAAGGGTTGGCCATACTCGCGGACTCGAGTCGTCAACACTCGTCGCACTGCATACATGCAGTGATTGACCTCACTCTGAGCGATGAAGAGATGAGTGTACCAATTCCGGGTCGTACAGACGTGATCGAGATATCGAGTGACGAGGAGCTTCATTAGTAGTATGCAATGTAACTTATAGATTATCTAAGCGCAAGTACATGTTCGTCCACACTGATTGCAAGGATCGCTTGCGGCCCTTTTTGGGTTGAAGTAATCCTGTCTATCTAAGAGAGGTGCATCCACCGAAGACAGCAGATACTTGAAAATTGTGCCGGCACTGTCAAAATTCTCTGCCCAGCCGCCCCAGGTGCAGATATCACGAATAGGCCATCGTTTGACCATTGCGAGGTACTGACAACCTCCCCGGCGGAATGAATGGGTTCCGTAAGGCCGCGGGTCAATGGAGACATCGAGGAGATTGTTCTTAAAGCACTCGACGAAGCTCTCGTAGGACTAGGATCAGATCAGTATTTGAAGCAATTGAACAGGCATGCTGCAATACGCACCATGCTGTCTGAGGCTCTGGCACTGACGTCGTCGTTCCCAACGCGCTTGCGGAAGATATAGCCTGCAGACTCTATCTTCATAGCCTTGGAAATCGACCACCACTCCGCGAATGCTCTGATGGGGCATAAGTGAGGCTCTTGCGCATTTGCGTACAGGAAAAACGGTGCAATGCCTGTGGAATTTGAAGTTGAGCAGTTCATCCCACGGCGGCAGTCCGTAGCGAAGAAGACTCACCTCCATTCTGGGCTTGTTTCCGGAACGGTAAGTCTAACTGGACGCAATGAAGCTTGTCCTTGTCAGTGACAAACATCCGTATATCCGTCCACATTATCCTGAGTGCCTCTTCGACTCGTAACAAGCATAACATCGAAACAACATAGAGGAGGTGTAGCATCCGACGGACCCGATACCCTGCCCATTGCTCTGGATGCTCTGCCTTGCGTTTGCGCGATGTTGTTGCCCGAGTACCATCACTTGCGAAGTTAACGTTGTATTCATATAACTTTTTCATCGTCTCATGGGTGATTGCACGCGCGCTCGTCACGTCTTCTCCAGCACGGACCTGGCAAGTAGCTGCAGCGTGAGCAGAGCATATTCAACTCACTCAAGAAATTAGCGACCGACCTTTCGCCGCTGCAAGCTGACCATATACTGCGAAACAGTGACAGACAGGGATGGATTCCCGCTGTATTGGCCAGTAGCTGCGTTTCGGCCCCATGGCTGGTCTCCAAATCCGAAATCACGCCCAAACTTGTGGCTGATTGCTGCGCGCATCTTCTGTGCTGTTCCATATTTGACGCGAGTGATATCGGGAGCTTTTGGCTTTCCAGAATGAATGTCGAGCTCATCAGCTCTGTAGTAACGATAATGAGTGTCGCAGTGGAGGCACACAGAAGGGAATACCACGCACTTGTCCATGATCCATACTGCAACCCACTGCGGCAACTCCTCCGGAATATTCTTGTTGTATGTATCGATCTTCTCCTCGTTGTCAACAAAGCCCAGGCCGACACAGAAGGACTTGAAGTTCTTCCAAAGTCTACATAAAATGAGTATGTAAAACTAGCAGATGTACTAGCTGAGGTAATGTTGACGTACCGCCGGTATTCGGCCAGGGTGTTGTCAACGACTACATTCTCCGACGCCTTCTTGAGATTGACTTTCATTACATCTGGATTGAGCTTTTGCCTTTTTGTAGTAGGTACGGGCATGTGCAAGTGGTATGTAGTGGTCGGATCGGAGTCCGGGACGTCAAGTTGAAGGTCGGTGTCAGCCATGAGTGCCTTGGTTGCATCCTCACGGTCTTGCTCTATCTCCCGGGTATCAACTGCCTGGCTAGCAATCAAGCAGGATTGTGCACCGTCTGGGATCAGGGACCGTGAGGACATTGAGTGATGAGCAAGGTTACAGACTCGTAGGTGCGACACAGCGAGCAGCTTGAGCCCCTGGTGTGAATATTTTAAAAGTCCTAGTTTGGACTGCCGAACGCTTGCTCAGGGCTGTCCGCCGATCACTCTCATGGGCCGTACCCGTTTCACAGAGACTGCCTGGTTCTCGTATCTATTCTCCCTTTAGTCTACTTGATGTCTATGCCTAATAGCCCACTGGCAGGGCTGATCCCACAGTTGCTCACCAACGTCGACTCACCGCCACCCGCCGAGCCTGAAGTCCTTCACCTTCCACGTCCCGGACAGTCACTGCAGCAAGACCGACAGCTTGAGCTTGTTACGTTCACAATGTAAGTGTTTGTACGTGATGGCGGCACTGGAGATAATGTGTTTAATTGAGCATGATGAGCGCAGTACGAAAGCGACCACCAAAAAGGAACTAATCAATCAACTTACCAGCTATGGGCTTCCGAAGAGTGGGAATCGAAGCGCTCTGATAGAACGCCTACGTCAGTTTGCAGACGACCGTGAGCAATGGGCAGGGTACGTCACGGTATGACCATCTCGCAGCGATAACAGCTGGCTGAACCCTACGGTGATATGTATTAGTCTTTTCCGACCAGCGGTGAAGCGGAAACGCGGCGACATCTCCGCATCGCGGTCTACAAGCCATTCCGCAAAGCGAATTCTTACCCAATTTGGCACGAGGGAGCCTATCATTGAATATCAGAGCAAGCGCGCTGGTGACCAACGTGCGCCGCGCCGTATCCAAGATGGGACCATCGCTGAAAATGATGCCTGGGTACGCCTCTTGTCAAATGTACTGCAACTGATAGGGACTTGTTGTAACTAACCACGCTTGGTATAGGCCGCAGGAGTTCTTGCAACCGTTGCTGAACCCACGTCTGGAGGTTACACGCTCCCTACACCATCGACCTTCGGACCTGAATGTTGGACAAATGAACACCAAAGTCCATCAAGCAGCTCGTGTGTTGTAGTCACTGGTGGCCCGGGTGCCGTGGCTGCAGAGCACAGAACACAATCTGTGCCATCAGTCCCGGAGATCAGCAATCCAAGCTATACTGTAAGTGGAAACTCACATGTACCCTTGTACTAGTTGTTCTCCAGAACTGACCATCGCCGCCTGCTGATCGTAGGGTATACGCTTCCGTCGACTGGAGCGTGAGATGGGTCAAGTCAAACACTCACAAGATCAGATCTTGAGCAGCGTCACAACACTCTGTACGAAGCTCAATACACTGATCGACACCCGCTTGCATATCGATCCATCCCGTGTCGCAACTAGTACGCAAGGCCCTGGGTATGTGCCAACTGGCAGCAGGGCTGACAATCGAAACATACCAAGTTCCGTGCAAGCTTCCGTGCCCCTCACGACAACCTTGGACCCGCGTATCACCCGTACGGTTCCACAGGAGATCGCACCGGCGAATAACCGGGTCTGTATCAACCTGGATGGGCAGGACATCTACTTCGACAAATCGGACTTACCTGATCCCCCTGCGGTGCACTTCTCCGACAACATCTCTGCGCTTTTCCGCGAATGGCATGAATCACGCCGGTTGGTCGTTGCCGGACACGGGATCCCCATCAAGTACTGGGATAAGTTGTATCAGAAGCGGAATGGATTTGTGAACACGGATGCATGGCGCGCGATCAAAGTCGAGTGGGGGAATTGGAAGGTATGATCATGGATCGTCTCGTATAGATGCCGGGATTGCTCACAAAACTCACCGTACAGTTCCTTGTTGACGAACATGCGCGGTTCCCGACGGACGAGGCATTTTGGGATGCGCACAGCAACGAGAAAGGCGAGCGAATGTCGTACCAGCACATTCTCGACAAGTTGCAGCATAGTCGGTGCTGCACAGACGACGCTGACTACAGCGCCGCAATCCAGTACTTCCAGGGCAATCTGGAACATCCCGACGCCCGCGGTGCCTTCAAGTACAAGAAGGGAGGGGTCTGGCGAGTGGCGTCGAGGAAGCTCGTTGTCGCGAGAATTTGGCGCAAGCTGTTAGAACAAGACCCAGAGGTTCGAGCGAAGTGGGTCGCCATGCAAGTGAATGGCCCGCCGGGCGAGTAGTGCGGTTGTTGGCGCTGTCCGTTGAGGACGGTCGTCTGTGTCTGTGATATATATGGGCGTGCAGCGATGTTCGCTCGCCCTCAAGTACGATTTCTTTTAATCATTTGCTAATTGCTTGCCGTAAATCATTCATCTGCTACTCAGCCCAGATGTAATAGTACTGTACATTCACGTAAATACATACTCTACGCGTATGAAGCTGTCCGTAACGCCTTGGAACAGAGCAGAACGGCGAGTTGAGCAAGGACGCGAGAGTTACTGGGGGCCGACGCGCGTTGTCGGTAACTACGAAAGCCGGTGGTCACCGGTGTCCGGATATGGTAGTCGTGGGAAAGAGGGACCGTCAAGCGCCGGGACCAGGACCGTCAATCTTTCGGAGGAAGGAGAGCGGGATACAACCCGTTGGATGCATCCCGACTGAGTCGATGGGACTTCCTGACCATCGACGGCGAGGACGCTGTAGGCGAAAATGGACCAGCATGTTTGCGTGTTATTGATCCATAGTCCAGAATATAAATGCTTCAGCAAGACCGACTGTCTCCGGCGTGCTTTAAAGAGTATGGGACAGGCCACTGTGGCTCTGTATCCTGCCTTGTAAGATGATGTACATCTGAAATACTAGGTCGGTCCATTCTACAATTCTATGTACGAGTTCTTACATAGCTTGCTTAGGGCATATAATTCCAAACACACGATGCAGACGCACATAACTCCCAGGCTCACCTCATTCTAAGTATCATCATTGCCAAAACGAAAAAAAGACACTCAGTTCTTCCAGCTGATGGGTGAGGAACGTCAGTATCGCATTAACGAGCTTCATCAAAGGGCATCAACTCACATTTTCACCGTCCTATCGCGCCCTCCGCTGACAATCTTGTCCGCTACGAAGTCCACACAATACACCTCATCTGTGTGTCCCGGTAGGTCTGTTTTGATTTTGTACGTCTTCAGATCCCAAATCTGCATCCGCCCAACTGTCAGCCAACCTATATGTGCATGTAGGGCTGTACATCGTACCTTGACTGTACTATCTTTGCTCGCACTAACGAGCAACCGCGAATCCGCACTCCACGTCAGACGGTACACGGCACCGATATGGCCGCGAAGCGTTGCCACGAATTTGCCTGTATGGCCATCCCACAAACGCACGCTGTTGTCCCAGGCGGCACTCGCCGCCCAGCGTCCATCGGGGCTGAACGCGACATGCGAAACCTGGCGTTGGTGTCCCGTCAGCCGCGCCACGGGTTTGAGCTTCCCGCCGCGCGCGGCAGCTTCGTCCGACGCGGCGGAAGAGTCGGCACGAGAGGGGAAAAGCGACCAGAAGAAGAGCGTGTGGTCGTCTGACCCTGAGATGAGCGTTTCGCCATTAGTCGACGCGATTTTGTTGTAGCGTGCAAGGGCGAGAGTTTGGGCTGTCATAGATGTCAGCCACTGTCAAGTACGCTCAAAGATATGCGCAATGAAAGGATAATTTGCCAATGCTTAAGCTAGCTACACACGCCCCCCAGACGCACGCTGGAGGGCGTATGTAACAGACTAGAGCATTGCATACCCCACGGGGGTATTCTGCGGGCAGACGGAGATTACCCGCCGCGCTTGACTCACAAACGGATATGAGGGATGACATACCTTCACTGTCAGATGCGGGCTTCTTGCCGGTATGATCATACGGGCCGGTGCGCAATACGAAGTCTGTATTGAGTGTCAGTGTGGTGACCCAGTGTGCATGATCCTTCAGGGTGTGCAGTGGCCGTCCCTGCCAGCATGTTCAGTAAGAGGTCATTGGTCAACTCGTGCGGTGCTCACCCCATTTGCGTCCCATACCCTGATCGTCCTGTCACTTGAGGCAGTGTAGAGCACACCCTTGCCATCGAGGCCGCCTCCGCCCCATCGGACGACATTCACGCTAGCTGTGTGCCCACCGAGCGCATATTCACATCGCCGTGTCGAGGTTGACCAGACACGGACGGTGCCGTCTTTTGACGAGGACGCTAGCCGCGGTGCAGAAGGGTTTCTGGCTGGATTTGAGACGGACGGACAATAACAATGACCGATGTAAGGCTCACAGGTGGACTGGCTCCCATGCTAATGATGTGACCCATTTCGTATGTCCTTTTAGGGCGTCGCCGATCGGCGTACCGGCTTTTGGATCCCACAGGCGGACATGTCCATCATGACCGCCCGTAGCAAGCTTGCGCTCCATCGCTTCCCATTCAACACAGAGAACCCAGCCTTTGTGACCGGACAGAACGTGTGATGGTGTCTCCGTATGAAGATCCCACAACCGCGCATTACAATCACCGGATCCAGTTGCAAGGAGATTACCTGTGGGCGAGAAAGACGCGCACAAGATAGGTGATGTATGACCTACAGTCGCAGACATAAGCCATTATAAGCCGATTTACGTGGGTGCATAAGCATACCTGACAAGGTTGACGAACATCTAGTCGCTGGCCGAACCTTAAATACCGCTTGAGGTGAACACCGGACGACAAAGACATCTTCTTGTGTAAATGCATGCGACGGATGTGAAAGTACATCCTCCTCGATAGACTTGGCTATAACGAGCTGTGTTGGTGCCCCAGGTGTTGTAGCATCCGCGGGCAAAGCGATGTGGAATGAGAATGGCACGGGGTCGTCATCCTGATCGTTCAAGCAGTGTTAGACCGTGACAGCTGACATCAGACAAAGTATCATCAAGCTGACCTTCGTACTCAGCTTGTTAACTAATGCCTCGAGGCCCTCTCTCGAAATGTTGGCGGGCAAATTTACCGCAGGCGCGAGCGGTTGTCCATCCTCCTCCGACACAAACTGTACGACAACGTTGGGTGAAGGCTTTGGTGCTTCTGGCTCTGGTTCGGGAACTCCATGGTAGACCTTCTGGCGTTTGGGTGGGGGTAGGAGGGTCGCCATAGCTGAGGCGTAAGAGGCAGAAGCAGAGACTCGAGGAAAGACTGCTGAAGCGCCCGACGCTCCTCGATCAAGAGACGCGCGTCCGGAAATGGAAGGTGCTGTAATACGCATAGCGTTATGCGCAGGCAACCTGGCAGTGACAGTGCACCTCTATCATGACCAAGCGCATGTGGCCGCCACTATGCTGCCTCCTCCACCCAGTACGGGAGTATATATACAAGCGGGTTTGTGGCAATGTCACAGGGATACAGAACAGCTTCTGGATTGCCCACCCAACCACAGGCCAAACTTCCCTGCTACACCCTAGACCATGAGCATCGTTCCTCGGCGTAGCTATGAGCGTCACGGTGGCGGTGGTGATTATGGCTGGCTCAAGGCATTTCATACTTTCAACGTCGGAGCGTATGTACCGACGTCCCGTTGCATCAGACCGTACTCATGACATGGATTGTTGTTATGTACCTAGGTTCAGTGACGGGAAGCACGACAACTTCGGATGTCTCCGCGTCATGAATGAAGACCGTGTCGAACCCGAGACAGGCTTCGATCTGCACCCCCATCGTGAATTCGAGATACTTTCATATATCATCTCAGGCCAGCTGCTACAGTAAGCCGCGTCTAGATGTTCCTGTCGTTCAACACTGCTGATCCCCATGCAGCGAAGACTCAATGGGCAATCGCGAGATACTGCAACGGTGTGATATCCAACTGACTTCTGCTGGCACGGGCATCCGACACAGTGAGAAGTCTCATGGATCCCAACAAGTGCATTACTTCCAGATATGGAGTATACCGTCCAAGAGTGGGCTTACACCGCGGTACTACACTCGGTAAGCTTGATGCATATCATACTTCTCTTGCACGAAGGGTGAACTCATCAATGCCGGATATCTCAGCCACTTTGAGGAAGAGGATAAGCGCGACAAATGGTGCCTGGTCGTTGCACCAGCCAACACACTGGACGTCACTGACACTCAAGCACACCTGCACCTGTACATTCGCCCCTCTCGCTCCATGCAGCAGTCATCTCTCCGAGCAAGTCTCTCGCACACACGTTTCCGGGCGGCGGGTGCGGCCATACATGTAAGATATACATTCAAGTTGCGCAAACTTCAGGCTACAACCCCTCGAAGGACGCGCGCGGTGCCCATATCGAGGTCTCCCTCAATAGTGCAACTGAGGTGCTGTGGGAGGGCGACGGCGCGTATATCATTGGGGAACAGGGCGAAAAGTTGGTCGTGCAGAATGTCGGCGATTTGGCAGTGGAGGTACTGCTCTTCGATGTTGAGTAACTTAACCGCAGGATACCGCGTGGTGTGCATATCGATGTGATGCAGAGTAGTCATGTCTCGGTTCTGATATCATTGCAAATATGCCCTGGAGTGGGCCTGCGTATGCTGGGGGACGCTGGTTCACTGGCCAACGCGAGTACCTACACATTGTGCAGCCGCGACTCCAACAGAAGTTAGAACTACTCTAGTAAACGGATCGCAGTCTCTGCGATCAATTCAAGAGCCTGTTGGGCGCGAGGTTGGATTGAGCACGGGAATTGTTGAACGTGGCTACGCAGAGACGGATATCAGTAGCGAGTCACAATCAAGCGAAGGGCACGCACCTGGTCAAGCCCGGTAAGACGGTCAGAGAAGGCGTTATCTCTTTGCCATCTGCGTCCAGAGCCTTCTTCACATTGAAAGTGGCGATGATACTCGCTATCGTCCACCAAATGGTATCGTCACCGAAGCGTTGTCCAGGACACATTCTGAAGTGGACATGTAAGAGTAGTAGAATTTGCCGGCTTGTATTGCGTACCGTCGTCCGAACGAGAATACGTATCCACGCGGATCAGGCTCTACAAGAAACCCGGGCGTGGGGTCGATGAATCGGTCCGGGTTGAACGTGTCCGGATCCTTGTAGTATCTACTATCACGCCCCATTTGCCTGGATAAGGACAAACCCTTAGTTGAACGGATCCATGCGAGGAGTATTATACTACGTACCAAATGTTAGCTATGACCGATGTTCCTTTCGGAATGTGATATCCGCGATACTCGTCGTCGTCCATGAGACGTCGTGGAATGCCTAGGACGGGCTGATTAAATAATTATCTTGCAGGTTGTAGGACGTACTCATAGGCAGCGGCGGGTTGATTCTAGGTTTCAATCGAGTGTGAGTCAATGATACAGCCTGACCTAGTAAGTGGCTACACCAACCGATAGACTTCCTTGAGAATCGCGTCCACATATGGCAATGAATCCCTGTCGCTGAGGTCAGGAAGTCTTTCTTTGCCTACAACCTCATCGATGCTCCGCTGTGCCTTCGCATACACGTCTTGATGAGCCACCATTTGGACGAGAAATGTGTTTAGTGTTATGAGAAACTGCACAGTGATTTTCGTCGGAAATCCGGACAGGAGGGCATTCTTGTCAATACTCACCATTTCGTAGCCAGCTACAGGCGGTATAGAGGTGAGACTGCGACCACAGAACGAGCGGGGCTTTTACTGACCGAGGGACATCGTGAAGGCAGTCACCTTGATATCACTGTCCGAGTTGGTATCTGACTTCAATGTTTGCGCCTCTGTGGCAATTGCAACGAACGATGCCTTGTCTTTCCCAAGTGCCTAAGACATAGTCAGATGATCATGTATCACGCCATCAAATGCTAGAGCCGAGCTACCGCGGCCGTCCGGGCATCTTCATACGCTGAATCCATGAAATGAATCACCAACGGCCGTGTCTTCAGAAGTCCCGCGCTAAAGAGGCCGCAGAGCACCCATGAGGGCACATACTTTGCTAGCCAACAATCAGCAAGGTCCGGCGATCGAGTCTATCAACTTAGCACGTACAGAACGGAAGCAAATCCAGCAGCACAGCAGTTCGGGCTGCTAATACTGTGACAACGGTGTGCAGAATGGTCTCTGCGTATCTGAAGATGGTCTCATCCTCCGTTTTTCCGTAAGCAACGCTCACGGTCAATGCTGTGGCAAAGCTGGCAAGATATCAGCATGGTCAGACTGAAAGGAGGGACCATCCTACTGCTTGATGTGACTGTCAAAAGCATCCGGATCTTGTGACAGGCGAGACAGTAGGCCAACTATCTCCCGCTGCTGAACAGGGCGAAGGCGAGCTAGCGCGCCTTGATCGCCGAAGCCTACTTGCATTAGTTTACGATGCCGACGCCATGTGTCGCCATACCCGATGAAAGGCGTGGAAACCTCAAGACCCATACTAACCACACGAGAGTGTCAGCACCGTCAGGAGAGTTGATGGTTACGACGTACACTGTGATAAGGTGGGATGGAAACCTGTCAGAGTATTTTGCCCCCCGATGCGCAAGCAGCTCCTTCGCGACGTGAACAGAGTTGATCACCAGAGTAGGTCGTCGAAACACCTTCAGGAAAAAGACATCACCTTTTTGTTGTATCAGTATTTTGGCAACTTATGGTACATCGACAACTTCTGGTACTAGGGCCGTCTCGATGATTGAGGTTTACTCACCAAACATTTGTCCCCATTTCCTGAACTGCAAGTACGGGAAATCTACGGGCAGCTGATGCACATTTCCAAGCAGAGGGATAAACCGTGGTCCAGGTGGAAATGGAAGCAAACGGGTACGCCTATTTTCCCAAAAGGAACGGAAGAGACAGTACGCAGCGAGTGCAATTACACTGAAGCTCGCGACCGACGATAACGTCGTGGGCGACATTATTGGTGGCACGCCAAGAAGTGTAGGGAAGGCTGTCCTGGCCAGAACTTCAAAATCGCAGACAAGCCCTTATATCTGAGGCTGGCCATCCCCAAGATAGTGGCCGGCGAGGCGCCTGAGACATCTCGCGTACCCGGGGTCCATGTACCAAGTGTTCGACGCAGAGGTCAATTGACCTACACCGGCACTGCATAGCGTGGAAGTAGAGGCACCTTGTCGCTCACCATCTGAGCGAAAAGAGCAAGGACTACGCATTAAAGGGCTCGAAGAGCGTCGTACTTGACGTGCTAAGCGCGAGCTATGGCATGTTGTTATTGAGTAGGCCCTGCGACTTGAGTTTATCTTATCGAGTCTTCGCTAGACAGGAATAGACTCACCATTATGACTATCCCACGACCAACTGCAGCCGTCTCAAGACACGTTGCGGATGTTCTTGCCACCGCATTGGGGAGTCTAGTGATCTCTGGAAGGCGAGCAGCTGATCAGTTCTCGACCTGCGCGCACGCAATTAATTTTTAGTCGGAGGTCGTACACACCACTCGTGTCGTCATGTCAGCTTTATGACTCCAGAGGGTGTGCACTTGCCAGAAACTAGTAGTGAATAATTGCCGACTATAGCGACGGCAACAGTGATCACATCCTGTCTCAATCGATGGTCAAACACCCTCTGCGTTTGATTCACGATCAACGACTTGTACAAATTGTCTGCCAATTCAGGCAGAGAACAGCAGTGCAAACCCCACCCTCTAGCCTTTAGTACCGCAGGGACGCACTCCCGGGAACAGCACTATTGTCGAGAGACTTCTGGATTGCGCCGTGCAAGATCTTGACGAGGGTCTCCGTGCGGAAGATGGGCGCATGGGGATCGTAGAGCGTCGTGTCAACGATGTCCTGGCAAAAGCATACATGATCAGCAGCTGTGAGAAGGCTTCAGAGTTATCAGGCGTGTCACGTACGCGAATGCCGTACTTGGACTCGAGGCCGTCATCGAGTTCCTTCAGAGCCTCCGTCGCATCGGGGTCGTCACCGATCTGCACAAACTGGATGCCGAGCTGACGCGCAGGAATCCCGTTTGCTTCAAGGCGGCGAGCGGCATCGACGATGACCACCTCGGGGTCGTCAGCTGTTGGCAAAGCAGAGGGCCTCAATATCTCAATCAAGTGCGGTGTGGGTACCATGCGCACTCGGGACACCGTCAGTGATGACGATGATGCTAGTCGGCTTCGAGCCTTGTTCCTTAAGCTTTGGGATGTGCCTGTTGAGGACTTCGGAGAGCTTCTGGCCGGTCGGCGTCTGACCTGTTGGGCGTCCGTCAATGCCTAGAGCGTACAGTCTAAGGTAGATACCGACCTTCCGGAAGAACGTCCTGGAAAAGACCACGGACGTCCGTCTTGCTCTAAACAACTGTCAGCACCCTTGAATGGATGTCGTTTAATCCTTCACTCACCCGTACGTCAAGGAGGGAGCGATTGTTGTTCAGGAAGTAGATATCAATGCCGTCCGCCTCGTACATCCTTGCCATTTCCGCAACATCTGCAAGTGCTTCGCCCGCGTTGAGCCAGGATTCACCCTCCATCTGAACGATGCGTCGTGTCAGTGTATTACCATCTGTCGTTGTACAAGGACTTGCCGACATGGAGTCGTCGACGATCACGACGACTTTGATCTCCCTTGATCGAAAGTGAGCAAGTGGACAGCATGATACAGTAAGATGTATACTTGAGGTGGCGTTGCAGGAGCACGTTGGTGCTCCCGATGCCGAGGTCTCCCATCTGCTTCTCGAGGACGGACACCGACTCCGACGCTTGATAGATCCAGCGGCTAGGCGTTTGCGCCGCGACGAGGATCTCGTAGGCCGCAACCTGAGCAGAAAAGCACATTAGTACCCACAGCTTCAGACACGATTGACCAGACTGCTCACATCGACTTCGCGACCCTTGAGGGGTATGGATGCGCCAAGCCTCAAATGATGGCCAGCCTTTCCGATCTCTGCATGGAAGCGGCAGCGCTGAATGAGACATTCTCTCTTTGACACCGAGAGTACCTACGCAGGGTTCCTTCAAAGAAGGTCCGTGCCACGTAGAGCGGCTTGCCACGCTCATCTCCGGCGACGACGGCGCTCGAGGGAATGTTGTGCCCTTCGACGTAGACCTAAGACGAGGTGATCAATCCACGGCCGTCGAGGTAGGATTGGAACGAGACATACCCAAGCAAACGGAGTCAGGGACCCTTTCTGTTGGAAGTCAGCTGTGTTTGCTCGGGCCTCGGCGGTCCACTGCGCCAAGGTCCTCGGCACCTTGATGGTGGTCGTGCGAACGATGGTAGGTTGGGTAATCGTAACCTCTGTGAAGGTAGGCGGCGACGCAGGCATCCGCGCAAAGGGAGAGCCGCTGCGCTCGGTCTGCAGGAACACTTCTGTCTTCGTTCCGTACATTGACGGAGCTGGCATAGTAGGTTGAGGGTAGAGAGGACTGTACTGAGCGTTTCCGCGGAAATCCATGGCTAGCTGAGATTAGCACTAGGCAGGTTTACTGGCTGTAGCTGATGAGGTTGAGCCCTACGCTCTGGGGCTCTTATATATTTGAGCCTCGCGAGAAAGACAAAAGCGTCGAAAGCTGATCTTCTTGCGCATTCTTCAGTAAAGCGCCGCATCCGGTAGGACAAGCAACAGTGACTGCGACGGTGTTGAATTGCGCCGCAAGCGCCGCTGCTTCTATGATCTTCGCTGTACATGCAAGCTGTCGATGCTCCATTGACGATGGCAAGATAAGGTTGTATGCAATGCATCCTAGCCTCGCGCGCAATGCATGTCGCGCAAGGTCTTCAGCACGTTTGCCTCAGGAGACCAAGATGCGTTATCAATGAAGGTCCAGAGGGCCAAGCTGACCAGATGGAAGGACGCTGAGACGGGCCTGCTTGCAGCGATGCATCCGGAATCCCAATCCTCGTGTCGTGAGCCACCTAATAATGAAATTCTGAGTTAACAGTCGTTGATTATCGTATACAAATGGGAGAACAACCTTGACGGACTTCGTGAATTCAATCGTGGATCTCTTCCCAACACCGCGCCGGTGAGCAGATGATCTGTAATCCGACATAGTTCAACTTGGGTCACGTATGAGTGGGCTCGCATCGCATCGATAGTACTCAGGCTTATGCATTCCGCTTCACTGGGACCCTCCGGCCCTCGTTTCACGTCGCTGCTTGACCATTTTGTTCACTCTCGCCAATCCAATTGTACCCGCAACACAAGCTGCTACGTACGTTGTTCTGCATTAAGCCACGGATCATCCAGCAGTTCTTTCGCACTTGCCCTCTCCTCGAGCTTCCACTTCAGCATCTTCCTAACAAAGCGGAGGAACAGCACCTTATCCTCCCCTGCCCAATCCTCCTCGGCATGCCCAAGACTCGCGTCCGGGATGTCCGCATCGCCCTTCCAGTTGCCTGCGTGACTGTTGAGCTACGTACGGATTCTCGATGCGAATGAAACCGTCCTTGTCAAACCATTCCCACGTACGATCCGCCTGAGTCCGCTCGAGGGAGTCATTCGGTGGGGGCCAAGCAGCGCGATCATATGGGCGAGGGGGTATATATTGTTCTGTTTATTCTGAGACCCACCCGTTGGCTCGAACAGATTGTCGTTCTCGAACAAATCCCAGATTTGGGGCACACTGGCAGTGAGCGAGCGCTCTCGGATCCTGCGAAGAGCATAGCTCACCAAGACTCCGACGTTCAAGCTGTCCGCTTTGTGATCCCAAGGCATGTCGAGGATCATTTCAGGGGCGCGACACTGATAGGGCTGGATATCGGCCGCCGGATCGTACTCTCCAAAGCGCGCGTCGCCGAGGTCGCAGAGTACTGGTCGTCCATAATTGTACATGCGAGGGACGAGTGGCATGGGACGTGTAGATGACGCGGTCACCGTTTATCTTCCGTGGACTAGAGGACTCGAACTCTTGCTGCGCAAACTTGTCCAAATCAGCCTCGGCTGTGTTGTCGTCCAAGCCGAGCAGGATGTTCTTCTCCTGTATGTCAGAATGTCTACATCAATCACGAATTGCACCTGGTGTGAATACATGCCAGAAATCAAGCGGGATAACAGCCCACCGGTGTGTATCGCGCGAGCCTCAGTATGCAGGAAGTCGAGCGCGACGAAGACGTGTCTGACAACCAACCTCAGAAGCTCAATTGGAAGAGCTTGATCACGGAATATCTTTCGAAATCCACGTAAGGTAATCGCCAATGGCGAGTAGACGATAGCTTCATACTTCCGGGCCTGGCGAGTGACTTCGAACTCATCTAGCGTCTGGCGAACGAGAGAGGAGCCTACATGGCCTCTTCTGATTGTTTTCAGATATTTCGAGACCGACAGTTCGCCTGAAAGCGCATGGAAAGCGCCAATCTTGAGAGCTGCACGCCGGTGCTCCCTGACGAGGTTGCCAGCGGTGAGCGAGGAATAAGTATTGCTGGTCGAACACTTACACGAGGTCCCGGCACAGCCATACCGTAGCCTATGCGCCATATCCTAACTTTCCGACAACCTGGTATTGTGACTTGAAGACTTCACCTATTCGCACTGGATGAATTCGTCAGGACTGTACCACTCCCAGTCTAAGGTCTCCTCTTCGACCAAGCGAGAGTTGGCAATAACCTCGAGACCGCTCGTGGCTCTCGTACGAGGCGGCGAACGGCGCATAGAAGGGATAACATTCTAAGGGGCTTCAACGGGAGACGACTGGGATGCGGGGACACTATGAGAAGTGCCCAAGACAAGCGCCTCAACTTTTCCGGGCTGCTGACGAGCGACAGGACGTGGTTGTGTACATCATCAATTCATCCGACATAAGCATGGGTTGTCATAGCGTCTGCAGTAGAAAGGGTGGTGGTCGCAGACCCCAGACAGGAATGCGTTGGGAATGTGAAGCGCCACCGACGGCAACACCGGGCGACGCGTGCGGGCGGGATTTCCTTTCTAGGAAGGTCTCCTAAGACGTCTTGCGTTGTGCGCCCGCGTTCTGACTGTTCAGCCCGTCATGACCAAGCCAGCTATCCTCAAACGGCGTTGGCCTTCTCATCCTCCAGGGGAACCGTATAAAAGACCAGGAGTCGGGGGAGACGACATTGACCCATTCGTTCAAGCTGTCTGCTTTACTTCGCCTCGCAAAGTCCAACGCCTTTCGGGCTCACAATCGCAACCGGCTAGCTCCCCTTAACTTCTCCGCATCGTACTCAACCAGCCCCTCTGAAATTCAACGCAACATGGTCACGAAGATCGTCCCCCGTCCGAGCCATGAGCGTGGCAACGCCGACCACGGCTGGCTCAAGACCTTCCACACCTTCTCCTTCGCAATGTGAGTACCTTGACCACTGACGGGCACGACGATCGTTGACGTAAAATGCTTCCCCAGGTACAGCGACGCACAGCACGACCAATATGGCTGCCTACGCGTGCTGAACGAGGATCGCGTCGAGACACAGACCGGATTCGGCACGCATGCGCACCGCGAATTCGAGATCTTCTCCTATATTGTCTCGGGGCAGCTCGAGCAGTGAGTTTATAAATGTTCAGGCCCCTTTAACGTGCTGACGACGATGGCAGTCAAGATTCGATGGGAAACCGCGAAATCCTCAAGCGCGGTGACCTGCAGATGACGTCCGCGGGTACCGGGATCCGGCACAGCGAGAAGTGCTACGGGCCCCAGCAAGTGCATTTCCTCCAGATATGGGGCCTCCCCTCGAAACGGGGGCTCGCACCAGCATACTATACACGGTAAGATAGACTATCAGCAAACACCTCGCAATACAGGCTGACTCCCCACCGCAGACACTTCAGCGACGACGAGAAGCGTGACAAGTGGGCACTTATCGTCGCTCCTGCAGATGCACCAGACGTATCCCAAGCGCGTGAAGCAGCAGGTCCGGCACCTGTTCACGCCCCCCTCTCCCTCTACGCGACGCTCCTCTCGCCGTCCAAGTCCCTCCCGCATACCTTCCCGGCTGCTAGCTCCGGCCCGGCACGCAAGGCATACATTCACGTCGTCCAGACATCGGGATACAACCCGAAGCAGGCCAGTGGTGCGCGCGTCAAGGTGTCCGGCGACGATGCTGCTTTGGAACTGCGTGAAGGAGATGGGGCGTATATCATGAATGAGCCAGGGAAGGCGCTGCTTGTGGAGAACGTGGGCGATTCGGTGGCGGAAATACTACTGTTTGATGTAGAGTAACTTCGACGGTCGTCCCTGAGACGGTCGTCCCTGAAGAGCTAGTAATATAAATATATTGCAAATAATGCATGTTTAGTCAGTCCGTATTGCCTGCTCTGGACAGCTTGAGAGAAGCCTTACATTACATGTGCGCAGGCTTGTCCTTCGATTCGCGGCACAAATGCGCATGGTACGGTGTACAGGGCGCAATGCTCATATGAAGTCGATGACCGACGGCCACAGCCTGTATGATACATAGTGGTGCGATGCGGTGAGCCCGATGATGCGACGGCATATGAAGACCGACTTACCCTAATAAACCCACCAAAGTCTGCAACAGACCCGCCAAGAAGGGCATCCATCTGAGACGACATGTCAACATGAAGCCGGCTACGATGATGTCGCGCAGACTTACGTAGACATGTTGTAGTGCCCAGCCTGGAACACAGCGGCTAGGATGTACCCAATGATTGCAGAACCGACTACCGCGCCGGCAACAGAGAAGGTGGCGAAGGCAAGAAAGACGAGCAAGGCGAACGCCAACCGAGAGCGCCTTTCATTCGGCTTGAACAGGGCGCGATATCGATGAGCAAGGATGGCCTGTGTCTGGGTGTTCCCTGGGACACGCTTGGGTGCCGCCTCCATCAGTGGGATCTCAATGCCAGTGACGGTGGGCGCAGGGGGAAAGTACGAGGAGGGGAAAGGCATGCCAAAGGACGGTCGAGAGCGGGTGCGCGGAGTGCGTCGCGGGATTCTCGTTGGCGGGAACGTCAGATTTAGGAAGGCGTACGAGGCACACAGAATGTAGGCGGGTGTGTAGAATACGAGTGTCCAGTAGAGCGTAAAGCGGAAGATCTCTGATGGATGGTCAGGTTTTTGCATGGAGAGAACAATGTTGCTGGAAACGTACCATTACGATCATAGAGGTAGACACCTTCTGGTTGTACGGGTAGCTTACCCTCGATGGGGAATACCTCGATGGCCCAGTTGTAGAGAGAAGGCCAGGATGGTTCGGTCGACATGGCCGCTGAGATATGCTGTAAGCTATGCAAAAAACTCAAAGTAGAGGTGAGATCAAGCAGCGGTAACAGGTCATCGAGTCATTGTATGGCGATAGCTGAGTGCAACTCGAATGCGTCGAAGGTACAGTACAGTGTATGGCACAGTCTTGGACACTAGCGCCCAGGTGCTGAAGCGGGAAGTCGCAATCACGTGCCGGTTATTTCTCCCAGGACCCGCAAGCTCGGGCTCGAGGTTCTGAGGATTTGTATCACTACTTATCAGTCTCTCCAGTGGACTTCGGCATCCAATCCGTACTTGTCATACCCTCCTTTCCTCGTAGGCTCGGCACTACCCCAGAAGAGCTGCGAAAGCTTGCCCATAATGGCTGGCGGAGAGTTCTACACAGTACTCATGCAGCAGAGCCGCAAGGGCCTTGCCACGAGCATCCACAACATGAGGCCGAAGGATCAGAGCAAAGCCATTCGCACGTATAGACAGAAAGAGGTATGTCGCGCGTGTTAGCTGCGTCAAGGGTGCTCACCCTGACACGGCAGGTCCTTTTCACCGGTAAGACAATATCGCTGTAGGATGGATGTGGGCTCATGCGACCTCGGGATGAAGGTCATGTCGAGGCGGGCAAGTCCGCCCTTCTGAGAGCTGTGGTAAATCACAAAAGCCTCATTACATGCTCATTACGCGTACGTGCCCCCGTGTGTCAACGCTGTTGCTCCTCCCTCACGTTCTTCAGAGCAACGGCGAGGTAATCATGCTCATGGGTGTCGGTAAAGGAAAGCCCCTCGGAAGCTTTCCCGCGAAGCTCATCATAGCCGACTCCGCTGGTTACGACGAAGACCATGGTTCCTTAGTCAAACTCTGCATGCAAATACGCCCTCAGTACGTGATGGTCCACTCACTTTGTGACTCCCTTATGTCTGAAACGTGTCGGCAGGCTGCGAAGAGTCTTCCTCATGGTAGACGCTGCCAAGGGTCTCCGCGAGCCCGACCAATCCATGTTACAGCATATCGCGAACATCACGCATCCCCGTTTCAGCGTTCAACCTGTCCTGACCAAAATGGATCTCATCGAGCCAGAGAACCGAGACCAGGTCTCCCAGCGGATACACGAAGCCATTCAGGTAGTCCTGCCCAGGACCCCTCCGCCCATCCTGACGTGTGTAAGGGCCGAAAAAAGGTTGGGGATCGAGGAGATGCGCCGTAGCATCGCGGAGGCCTGTGAGATGCCCGTGGAGGAAGCGTTTCAGTCTCGAAACCTGCCCAAACCCAAATCCGCCGCACGGGGGGACGCGACGAATAGAACACCCGTCTCAGGACGCCCTCATGCAGCATCACCTACACTAACTAGGATGGCGCGCCTCGCCGCCGAAAGTGCTGCGGATACAGCTCGCCGTCGACCAAGCAAACCATCCTTCGGCCTCAAGATGCACTAGAGCCTTCTATGCCTTACAGCTCGACCTTCATTTGGCTTCGCCCAGGATCTACCGTCGACGATGTCCGGGTCGTATCGCGCCCAGGACTCTACCTCTGCGACCGCGAATGGCGCGTCGATGGACCTACGCGATATTGGAGGAGTCCTGACAACTTACGTGTATGGAGAAGGTCGGGTAGTCGACTGTGGATGTGTACAGGAGCGGAGTCAAACTCTCGACGTCTTGACAATCCGTCGACACTCGACAGGTACGGTCGGCAACGTCCGACCTCCGTCATATGTCCATCAGTCACGGATTGTCATGTAATCAAACTGGAAATAATACATTCATCGTCTAGGACCGGATACACTGTGCCCAGCGGGTCATTTAGCATCGTGAACCACTCATCTAAAGCGACATAACAGGAAATCAATCACATACGAAGTTGAGGAGGGGAGGAGGGGAAATTGACGAATACAAGCACTGTAACCTGGCGATCACGCAAGTCAATCACATCGCAGCCTTGGGGTTGAACCACCTAAGCTGCAGTGCCACCAACACGACCGGCAACACGCTCACGATCTCTCCTAGACCAGCATAAGCCGGGGGAAGCCTCGCGTTGACGAAGGCGCCAGCAGCGAACAAGATCGCGACCAAGTTGTACACCGCCGACCACCCGAAGTTGAGCATGATCCTCCGCGCGACCGCGTCTGACAGCTGCAGGAGCGTCAGGATGCCACTGAGGGAAGGATTGAGCAGCACAACGTCCGCGGCGGACGACGCAGCGAAGCCGGCACCCTCGCCAGTGTGCAGGTGCACACCGATGTCGGCGCGCGCTAGGGCAACGGCGTCGTTCGTACCGTCTCCGCAGAAGAGCACACGCTCGCCCTTGGCTGTCAGCGAAGCAATGTATGCTTGCTTGTGCGCGGGCATGCATCCGGCTGCGAAGTTCTCCCTGGGGATGGCCAGGGCGGTGGCGACCTTCTCCACAGCGGCGCGATGATCGCCGCTGAGGATAGAAATGCGGATGTTGCGCCTGCGAAGGGAGTCCAAGACAGCGAGCGATTCAGGGCGGAGCGTGTCTTCCAGACCAAAGGCAGCGACGAGTCGCCCGTTGAAAGTGACGCAGAAAGCAGTGAGACCTTGGAGGAGCATCGGCTTGACCGCAGGGTGATCCTCGACAATCAGCCAAGATGGGTTACCGCCCAAAAGGGAGCCTCCTGAGATACGACCCTGTACGCCCTTCCCAGTGATCAGCTCAACCTGGTCCAGCTTGGCAGTCAGCGACGTGTCTATGCGAGCCTTCATATGCTCAGAGACGGCGCGGGCGACAGGGTGCCGGTTGTCCTTGACCAACTCGAGAATTGCTGCATGAACGTCAAACTCCTCCGTGGGCCAGACATCGCTTGCGACCACGCTGAGCTTGCCTTGCGTCAGTGTCCCAGTCTTGTCGAAGACGACGTGAGTGATTTTGCGGGCAGTCTCGATGGTGGTAGCCGCCTTGAACACTAGCCCCCGCTTCGCAGCGACTCCACCTGCGATGAGGATGACCATAGGTACTGCCAGACCGACAGCACAAGGGCACGAGACAGCTAGCACGGCAATTGCGTACGTCAGTGCTGTAGCCGCAGCGTCCCCACCTGTCCGCTCCTGAACTGCGCGGCCGACTGCAAGCCAAATGACGAACGTAATGACAGCTGCGGCCACGATGACGGGGACGAACCACCCGACGACGCGGTCGACGATAGCCTGCACCTTTGCGCGGGAGAACCTCGCGTCGTCGACCATTTCCGCGATCTCACTGATGGTGTTTCCGCCAGGAAGCCGCGAGACGGTGACGAGCAGGGTGCTCGGGCCATTGACGGTACCAGCAATCACTGCGCTCCCAACGACTTTCACGACGGGCTTCGACTCTCCGGTCATCATGGACTCGTCGATCTCGCTCTGGCCCGCGAACACCACGCCGTCCGTGATCACCATCGAGTCAGGCTCGACCTTGAACACGTCGTCGTACTGGAGCAGCCGTGCATCCACGTCCTCCTCCGTGCCGTCCGGGCGCACGAGTCTCGCCATTCCCCGCTGCATCGTCCGAATCGAGATCGTCTCCATCGCACGCTGGCGCGCATACGCGCTCACGAGCTGGCCGAGGACGATGAGCGTCACGAGGAGGGTGCTCGTCTCGAAAAAGCCGCCGGACGCCAGCGGGCGGCCGGCGAGCGCGAACGCGCACGCGACGACTGAATACACGTACGCCGCGGACGTGCTCAGGACGACAAGGAGGTCCGTCTCGACTACGCGCGCGAAGAATAGACTTTTGAACGCGCTGAGGTAGATCGGGCCCGTGATGAGCGTCTGGACGAGCGTCGCGAGTACGAGGGAGGCGATGTTGTAGGCGCGAGGGTAGGAGGGCAGCGGCGCCCAGGCCATCACGAGCACCGGGATGGTCAGAGCCGCGGAGGCGATCGTGCGGAGTGTGAGCGTGCGGATGTGTTTAAGGCCAGCTGTCATCGCGGGGTCGCGGGGTTCCTGTGCGAGCGAGGGCGCAAAGGCGGCGTAAGCCAGGATGACTTGTCTCGCGCCAATGAGGCGAGGATCGTAGGAGACGACGACCGTATCTTTGTCTAGACGAGCTGTGTTCTCCACTCCCTTCGGGAGAGGCATGGCCAGGAGGTCCTCGCATTTCGCTCGGTCAACCAGCAATCGCAGCTCATGCGACTTGCCTGCGTTGATGGCCTCGACCGAGAAGCCAGTGCGCTGTTCGATAGTCTGAATCAGGGCCTGCAGGGTGGTGGCGCCGTCATCGAAGCTGAACTCGGCGCGACAGAGCACCAGACTAGTCTTGACATTGCGCACTGTAGGGAGCGCCCTGAGCACACGGGCGAGCTTGCTTTCGCATCCCGAGCAAGTCATGCCTCGCACGGCGAGCACAGCATGTTCATTGGTGGTACCCGTTCCCTTCTCGAGCGTACCCAGCTCGACGTCGAGTGCGAATGCCCCGCACTTCTCGTCTGGTCCGTCGCAGCACCTGTCCTTGATGGAAGCCTGCGAGCCAGCGTCATTGCCGCCTCCACAGCAGGAGTCCTGACAGCCGGCGTCGCCTTCTGAATCCTGGCAGCCAACGCCCTTGTCGCCTCCACAGCAAGAGTCCTGACAGCCACCGCACGAACTCTCGGCTCCGGTGCGGCAAGAGTCGACGGAACGACGCACCGACTTCACGAGGGACACATGGTGTTGGCAGTGGCTGGTGGCATCACTCCCTCCGTCGCAACAGCCGCCACCCTTGCAACAGGAGTCAACGGAGACGCGACTCTTCGTGGAGGGAATGAGCGACTTCCGGCTAGAATGGGGACGGATGCTGCGAGATGGCGCACGCCCCTTGGCAGCGTTCACGTTGGTGCAGCAGGACTGCAGGCCGTACGATAGCAGCGCTTTGCAGACGCAACCGAATGCGGCGAGGGTCTGCTGATAGCGCTTGCGAGCAAAGGTTCTGTGCTCCCCACACGCTTCCGAGGGGAAAGGGGTGGCATCGACGCTATCGCCTTCAACACGGGGAGACTTGCGCCTCCTCAAACCAATGTGGGTGCACGGCCTCGCTGGGGGCGCCGTAGGAGCGGCGTTAAGCTCGGTGGAAAACTCGCTGCCAACGCAAGTGCTGCAGGCGCTGAGACTGGCCACATCGATATCTCTCCCTTTGTGATCGTGGATATGCGCCGTGTCGTCCGCGCATATAGCCCGCGCGAGCTTCTCAAAACAGCCGTCTGGTGTCGAGCGATGGATATCAGGATGTATCGAGAGCGTAGCAAAGAGACTGACCGTCGCATTTGCACTTGTCGTCTTCGCAACACGTAGAGTTCCCCTGAGAACTTGGAGTTTGTTCAATGGCCTCTGCAGCATGTCCGTAGCCCCTAGAAGTTTTTGAATCATCAGCAGGAGCATTCTCGTGCTGTGGAGGATCGCAGCACGAATGGGCCATGGTGGGTGTGAGAGCAAGAAGTGGGGGAGCGAAGAGCTGCGCTTAACACGCCGTTAGTAGTTCTGGACTAAGTCGCGGCCGAATACTCCCGTACCGCGGCCACGCGTGATACGCCATTATCCGAGTCCAGCCAGACAACATCGTCGTGTTTTGCATCGAGAACACCACGACATTCGCCTCCACAGAACACCTGCAACCCATGCTTTCCTACAAAATCTCCGTCGTCTTCTAGCCATTCACGCTTCGGTGCATGCGGGCGGAGGTGAGGCGTGGTAACTCGCTAGTGAGTAGGCCAGCGTGTCGGCATAGGTAGGTCGTAGGTCCTGCGAAGTGAACAGCTCTTCAAACAGGTCGACGCGCAGGACTATATAGAGAGCAGACAGCGCGTCGCGGCACGCGACCGCGACCTGAAACCATGACTGCTCGAGTACTGCTCACTACTGGTGCGGTACCCCAAGTCGACCATAGCCGCCCAAACGCATACACTACCAAGTCGGACGTACTTGCGTGTCCAGACTACTCGAATCCAGACTTATCCATCCATTGCGGTACGTATGTGGAGTCAAAAGCAGTATCCAGAAGCTACAGCGATGCAAGACTGTCAATTTGGCGAGAATAAACGACGGTAATGCTACTAGTTCTACTTACTAACGGCGAACTTTCTATGTCCGATCGAATAAAGGCCAGGTACGTTCAAATACTGGTCCCCCTTGCCCCGCACATCGTTCACCATGATTTTGCGGTATAGCTTCACTCTAGATTCATAGTTGCAAGCTTGGGAGCCTCCTCAATGATACTCTTCGGGTTGAGCAGAAGCTCATGTGAGCACATCCCTCATCTTACGGCGCTCCGAGCAACATGAGATCTAGGCGCAAACAATGCAACGGACAACGATACTTGGAACTCCTGAACCAACGCCAGTGTGAGTATGCCACGGCGATCTTTGTCTGCATCCCTGGTTAGCTGATTCGGGAACTCATGCTACAATGCACAGTGCGCCAGAGCCCGGGGTAACTGAACGACATCGGAACGCAAGACTGCAATGTTGTGACATCACTCCGGACACAATGCTGTTCAATTGTGCGCTAGTATGGGACCTCAGGCAAAAAGCCATGACCGCGCGGGAGGAAACATTGCGTAGAAGGTTAGTCGCTCAAACCATTCGAGCCTTGAGAGCAAGCTTCTACAGCTTTGTCGCCCATAACATACATTCAACGCGCTTCCAGGTTCCGTCCGAATACTATGCAACCCGCGAAAGCCTGTTGGCGCATGCTCATGCCGACGGGAAAGCACACGGGTCTCTGGCTCAACAACAAGCAAGCTTGCGAAAACCCTCAGCTATGTCGTAGACGATGATGTCGTCGCTCAGTCAGCTGGCGTTTGCGAAGCAATAGCATCTGAGTTTCTCTCCTCTTCTCCTTTGTGCGCTAAATAATCCCCGCCTCTCGCAGTTCCCATCCACCTCGTCTGACCTAGACACATCTGAGTTAGTAGCACCGCCCGCGGACCCCCGCACACCTGCGCCATCCCGCAACATCTCAAGCAAACGCCCAAAGACAGTACGTTTGCTCTGACGCCCTCCACTTCCCACTGACTCAGTGGCTGACAGGCTGCCCGAGCTCCGGCCCTTCAAGTTGGCATTCCCAGCCAACGGCGCTGGATGCACAGCTATGTCCACCCGCTCCCAGCCGCTCCCATGCCCAGCCGCGAGCGCGCAAGCACTGCCGCCAACATGCGAATTCTCTCCGACGCAAGACGCTCGTCTTACAGTACCACCGTCAGTTCGCGTTCGGAGTCCTCTCCGCTCGGACTTGGTCGAAGCGTGTGGCGGGCGCTTGCTAGCCACGACGCACGGCGCGTTCTCACAGCCCAGCATGAGCCTAGCACGAGCAGTACGCCAACGGGTGGTTAGCGTGCTCCCAGCTCGTGTAGAGATCTGAGTCCGGTGTCCCCGCGGCACCGACAGCCTTGGTGTTCGTACCTGTGATTCTGTAACCTAGTTTGGGAGTCGCGAGGCCACCGCGCGCGGAAGGCCCAGCCGAGGGTCTGATACTCTCAGGGTATGTATGGTTGCTGGTGGGGTCTCCTGGCGACAGGTGAACGCGAACGTCGCCAGGTGGCATTCAGTCCTTGATCGTCGTGGGTATGTCGTCGCCGCCCTGGTAGGCAGATATCTGACCAGCTGATCAGAAAGATGAATATTTTGTGTGAATATTGAAGCAGGGGAGGGTATCGAAACAAGTAATGGCCGCTCTCGATGCGCTCTCCAGACCGGTCTACCTGATTATCGCATAGTGTCGTGAGTAAAGCGGTCCCGACTCCTCGCGTTCAGGGCTTCGTGTTTCTAAGCGTACGTTACCGACGGAATGTACGTCTCTCTGACAGGCTGCCCGCCAGGCGGACGCTGTTCGCACTGTCAGTCGCGATCGCACGGTAGCGCTCTACGCCCACGCACCATAAGCGGACGGCTCCGACGCTTCATCGTGCGCAGTGTCTCCATGGATGCTTCCCAGACAAGAATATCGCGATGGCGCCCACGAACTAACTTTGCGGCGCGGTACCGTCCCACGGAATCTTAGTTCAACACGTCCCGCGAGGCTCCTATGCCTTCCGTAGCCCTCCGTCGCCGCAAAAGGTGGCGGCGCGACCAATTTTTCGTACCGGCGGGGGAACCCTGTCGTCGATGGCTCCCACACCGCTTGGACGCTGGTCCTTCTTCCGCGGTGCAAAGCCTTTTTGGCTCCAAGGGCCTTCGATCGTGTCATGCATTGAGCTCGTTCCCGGCAGTGAAGGCGCAAACGCAGAAATTCGGGGTGAAGATCAGCGTGAGGTAAGTGACAGTGCACCCTGAGTGTGTACGACTCACGGTACACAGTTAGCTCACCGGCCTGAAAGAATGAAAGCTTGATACGAACTCATCCGTGTTCCATTGATCCTTGTAACAGAGTGGCCTTGCCTTGCTACGATGGGACAGAAATACGTACAGCAATTTCCGCGCAATGCATGTACGACCGTTGGTGAGAATACGGAGTTGAGGCGCTGGCAACGATCCCAGAAGCGGACGAATTTGATTCCAAGCTTCACGATGTGCCTTGTCCAGCCTGCGGAGGGCCAGGAGTTGGGTACGTTGATTCAGTTCATGTGGCACCTTCCGTGCCGGCGGCCGAGGGAGAGCAACCGTCTCTTCATCTACATCTCTAGATACAACCTGCATGAATGAGGCTCTTGAGATGCCCTCTCCAATAGCACTGACAGCGGTTGGACAGCGTGAAAGAACCCCGAATAACGAAATGGCAATGCGGAACCACGGAGGTCACATCCGACGTCTGCGAAGGCAGCTTCCGCCACACAGAACAAACTCTGCATACCTGCGCGGGGATGGATGGTACTCACCAGCATCTGATACCATCCCCCGTGTCGGATGGACAGACCGACACCGTGTCTCCCGTTCCCGCACTGCACCGCCCACCAGTACGAGAGAAGGCGGCAAAGCACAGAGGGCGCGCACGCGAAGACGTCGTCAATTATAGCACTGGCAGCACCTTCCCCGCTTCGGACACTCGAGTCTCCTCGGACTGCCGTCAGTCAAAATGAAAGAACTTCATCCACGCCCCACGACGGAAATGAGTGGGACGTGGGGGCGAGTGGCACGACGCAATAGCGCGTCAGGCGGCTCGCCAGCACACCGGTCTCCCGTGCGAGACGCCCTCCACGACCGCCGAACATTGACGTCGTGCTCGACGTACACAACGTTCATTAAGTGCCCTTCGCGCGTGAAGGACTGTAATATTGGCCGCTATCGGTGTTAGTAGGGCCACCGTCTGTGAACGGATGTAGAGATACGCGCCTATATCTGGCGCACTTGTACACGCAAAGTATCGATGCGTCGACCACCTGCGGAGCACCGCTCTACACTTGTCGTAGGAGGGCGAGATGAACAGGCCTGAGAAAGGGGCTCGGACCGATTCCGAACGCGCCCTGGCAGAGGGCCCTGGAACGTACGCAGACGTACGCCCGTTACGTCGCTGGAATCGATTTTCCCGTCGTCTACAGACTACACCCTACGCGCCGTCAGCGAGCTCTGTTGAGGAACAAAAGCAAGAACGCTTTCGCCAGGGCGGTGGGAGAGTCGGAGAGGCCCTCCGCCTGACGCGATCACAAGATCATCAGCAATGAAGAGATGCGGCGGACCTGGTTGTTGAATTTCGCCTTAGAAGGCAAGTCCGGAGCTAGAATCAACCCGGCCTGCACCCGCCCGGAGGCTCGGACGCGATTATTCGGAATGATCGAATATAATCCTCCTTGGCTCTCGCTGTCCCGGCCACTGCAATCTGGCTGGAGTCGAAACACAACACACTCGGTCTTGATCCGTATGTTCTCATTCTGTGACGCTCAGGCCAAGCGCAGAGGCAAAGAGTGCAGCGGCCGCGTGCACAGCGAGAAGCTCGTTGTTCGAAAGGATACGTACGCCATACCCCAGTCGTACTCTCGCACGTCCCACTCCATTATCTCCATATCCTGAGCGTTGTGCAGAGTGACGATCATGACGCGCCGCACTGCGCAGCGTCAGGGCAAGCAAAGTTCAAGCGCAATTGAATATCGAGGAACAGATGACGGCCAGCAGCGATGGAAGCTCTGGGGACTCGGAAGCACACGCCGGATCCAGCAACGGAGACGATCATGAACGGTGAGAACGGCGACAAGGATCGCCCCTCTGATCACTCGATCCAGCGGGCTCGGCGGGCCCACTGCAGCGTCCTGCGAGTGCCGTCTGAGAAACTGGCTGGCCAGGCGCACCCCGGGCAGGCCCCGATACCAGACGGACTGCCCGCACATGAGAGAGCTAGAGCACTCGCCCGCGGGCATGCCAGTGCGCCAGCGGCAGACACGCCAATAACACCCATTTGCGCTAGCCCGCCAGCGTCGTGCTAGCCATGGGAAAGCCCGCGTTTGCGGGCGAAATTTTGTGATATCCACGGCGCCGGCGGTCGGATCGATGGCCAGGTGGGCAGCCTGCGTGAAACGGTGTCTCTGGTCATGGACATGGGTGCCTGCAATATAGGACGGATGCAAAATACCCCTGGGCGCGCAGCACGGCGGGACGTGGTAACCCTCCGAGGTCTCAGCTCGCATGGTGCAGAACTTGCGATAGTTGCACACGCTGGCCTGCGACCGACGGTGCACCCGTTGTACGGCTCCCGGTGTAGGCGACACCGGCGTGGAAAGGAGACGGTGTGCAAGCGGTCGCGGGGGCGCGTCTAGCGCGACAGCAGCCGCCAGAAGTTCTCAGAACGCAGCTGAGCTGGCAGCCGCGCCGCGTCGATGCGCCACAACCGCCTTATTCTCCTTTCGGGGGAAGCTTCACAGGCTGCTCAGGTGGGCATGCGGGCGGGCCTTGCTGACTGCCTTTGCCTTCGAAAAATGATCCCCGTCGCTAGCCTTGTGGGCGGCGTAGCGAGCGGGTGTCTGCACACGAATTCTTCCCACTTCGTGGCGCTGCGAAGCTGTCGAGACACGCACCTTGATCGATATCGGTTCAGAAGGGGAGCCGAGCAGGTAATTTGCCAGACAGGAGCGCACGCCGGCCAGTTGGCGTTCGACAATAACCTCAATAGAAGACGTATACGCTTCGGTACTATTACACAGACTGTACAGGTGTGGTAATGCGGTAACAAGCTCTCAGCTGATTATAGCAGGGCAGGGTAAAGATACAGAGGGTGACTATCAATAGACAGGTTAATGACGTGTACAGTAGACGATTATGTGAATCTACACATAGTCAATGAGGACACCGAGAACGGCTTCAATGCAGGAAGCGATGCGAGGATCCGTGCCGTGATGCGGGTATACGGGCACACGAAGATGGGACGGGGAGCGTGGCGGCGCGGCGAGGGTCATCCCTCGAAGTCGTACTCTACCGCGGCTCGACACGCGTCGTTGGGAGAAGGTTCCGACGCGTGTAGCTGGAGGCTCTGCCGCGTGGTAAAGGACGCGTCGCATGCGGGGCAGGAGTGGGCACTCGCAGTGCTATGCGGCCACGGCGCATGTGACCGGTAGGCACTCGAGCGCGACCGCTTCGACGAATGGGATGCCTGCGCGACGTAAGGTGAGAAGGGCGCTCTCGGTGCTTTGGCGCATGCGGTGACACTTACAGTGTCGTCGTCCGACTCCGGCTCCTCGTCATCGGCTTTCCGCTTGAGTTGTGCGGAAGGAGCGGGTGGCGGCGCTGCGTGGCGGATGAACACCGACGGACGGCGAGAATATGCAAGTGGCGTACCTGTGGACGGTGCACCCAGCGCCTTCACCAGCTTCTCTCTCCATACGAGGACACGGTGCAGACGCGTCTTGTACGTCTCGTCCGGCACGGACACCCGAGTTGTTTCTTCCTCCGGGTCGGAGGAACAGTAGGACGAGCACGCGGTCTCGTCCTCCGTCTCGTCGCTGCTCGAGGACGAGGAGGACACATAGGAGGAGGAGATAAAGGAGCTGGCGGGGAGGGTGTACTGGTGTCGCGGGGGCGGAGGGACCTCTGTGAGCTGGATGATCTCGAGCGAGGGCTGCTGGAGGTAGAGAGGGCCGCTCGCGGGGTGCTTGGAGATGCAGAAGGGGTCGTCGCGGGCGAGGGGGAGGGCGTCAGACAGCGTCTGGAGCATGGCGGGGACGGAGGGGACGGCGGGGGAGGGGGCGGGAGGGCAGTGGCGGGGAGGGGGTGCGGAGGGGCATATTTAATGTTTGGGAGGGGAGAAGGCTGAGATTTCTCTCAGGAGCATTTCGCCCGAAAAGGGATGCCCAGAAGCGAGTGCAGTCCGACGCCCAGATCCGCCAGCTGCCTCTGTTTTCCGGAGGCGCGCTGACGACCCGCGATCAAGATTCCGCCATCTCAGATTCCCTTTTCCGGCGCCTGTCCCTCGGCTCGACGCCCTCCGTATGGGGCGTGCCTTCACGTGTTTTCCGAGGGCCCTCGTCTTGCCTGTTCCCACTGCCCGCTCTGCACAGCGGCAGCTCCCTCAGTGTGCACCCGCGCACGCCCAACAGCGACACCATCCAGTACACCGCGTTTTTGCAAAGCAAGACCGCACAGCAATCAACACCACTATCAACACCAAGTCCTGCAGTGCCTCCTCTCTCCGCTCCTCCCGCTGACACTCCCATCGTGTGTGGGGTCCGACCAAGAACACCCCAGCGCTTTCGCCCGCGCGTCATCCCCCCTCCTCCCACGGTGCGCCTACAGTGGGAGTTTACGGCCTCATTGGCGCTAGCCACGCCTCGGCTGCCTCAAACTGGTCGATCAGCTCACGCAGCACAGAGCTCTCGGAATGGAGCTGCCTCATGGCAGTCAGCGCCTGCAGCACAGCGGACATAGGCAGATTTGGTCAACGTCAACGTCCCCCATTCAAGCAAGAGAGCGCGCTACGTACCACGTCCCAGAACCGGAACCCTCTCTCCACCTCCAGCTTGGGCGACTTGACCCCGGGGAACGTCTCCTCGCAGATTTCTAGCGCCACCTGCTTCGCCTCACGCACGCCCTCCGCGTTCGGATCCCGCACCCGCTGTCCGTTGTTGAGATGCGTCAACGCGTCCAGGTAGACCTTCGCGAGCACTCCAAACCCTGTGTTCACTTCCGATTGGAAGGGCAGCGATAGGTTGACGTCCAGGAAGTCGTCCCGGGCCCGCTTTGCATCGTGACGCAGGAGCATGTTCAATGAAGTCACCTCCAACAGTGTCCGCAGGGCCCGTGTGAGCGACCGCACAAACGAGTTGAACACGAGTAGTTCGCGTGACAGAGGCGCGGACCATGGTTGCGGCTGTGAGGCGATTATCAAGCGAGATCGGCCAAGGCGCAGCCGAAATAAGGTTGCATTCAACGATGATCAGCAGCCGTGCCGCACACCCTTGCTGGACAAGCTCACCTTGAAGGTTAACGGCACTATGCTCAGCACACGCATAACCAATAGCATGCATGACTTCTCATCGTCTGGTGGCACGTTTCAATCCACTTGTCAACACCACAGCTTCTGTGATCATGATCTATGGGAAAGAGGGACTCACCGGTACCGAAACTAGGTCCGCCACTGAAGGCACGTGAAGACCAGAGGTGGCCATGCATCACACCCGCTCTGACCAATTCCAGGAACAGGTAGAGCGGGTCCTGGAACTTGTCATTCAGTCGTGCTTTCCCAATCGCCGTGTGCATCGCGCGAGCCAACGGAGAATGGATGTGAGTATTCAATAGGAACCTAAAGTCGATTGTTCGTCGTTAGCGCCACAGAAATGCGACGTGAGAGCACGGTGCCTACCCCCTCAGCTCCAGGAAGCGCCAGAGAACATTCGCGACAATTTCATCCTTCTTCTCCAGAGTCGCGGTCTGGCCACTCTTGACCCTGGTGCGGAAAGCCAACTTCTCGGAGACCGTAGCGCCCAAGCAGAGCGCGAAATCAATGGTAGACGACTGCCAGGAACGACATTCAGGAGGTGCGGCATACCCACGCACGACATCGCAGCGGCACTTACATTCTGTCGCCTAAGCTCTTCCTCCACGATCGCGTAGGGCACGTTCCAGCCTGACACCCTGTCGGCTAGCTGGATTGTCTGCTGCGAATTGTGCATGATCGCCTTCCCGGGAGCCGACTCGAACCAGAAATGCCCAAGCACCTTCCGCGACGACCAAAACGAGTGGCATACGCTCGAAATGAGGGCCAGCGAAGTCGCACGCGGACCCGTCTGGCCCTCTGTGATGACCTCCTTCACAAACCGTCGGTACTCGGTCGTCTCCCCGTTGTCCAGCGGTGGGTTCTCGGTGATTTGCCCGGATGTGAGCCATATGAGGGCCTGCGGACCCATGAGCCCGCGCGAGAGGTAGAAGTAGATCTCGTCCGGCAAACGGTGAGTGAAGATTTCGTGGAGGTCGGACGGTATGTCAGCGGCGGTGGGGTGATGCGGGTGGTTTTGATGACCATGAGATGGTGGGCTGGGGACGGCGAGAGGGAGCGGCGTGACAGCGCCGTCCGAGGAGAGGACGAGAGAGTACTTGATCATAGACCGTGTCCGCGCGTAATGGTCGCCCCACTGAAGAGGCTTGATCTGCGGGTCGTTCGCGAATGCAGACACAGCTGCGTGTCCCGACTTGTAGTACTTGACCATGTCCACGGTGGCCTTGAGGCCTTGCTCGTGTATGCTAGGAGGGAAAGGAGGTGAGTGTTCGAAGCCAACGAGGATACCTACGTCGAGGAACTGGTCTTCCGTCAAGCCCAGATCGTTGAGTATGCTACGCTTGGAGACGAAGGAGAAGGTGGGCGTGGGGGAAACGAGGTCAATGGACGTGATGACTCTATCAACCCCAGGATAGAGCAGCGCATCGGTCGGCCCAAAGAGGGCGTGGATGTACGACTTTGGATGGCGTTGGAGGTAGATCAACTACATAGGCGCATCAGACCCGCCTCGTCGGAGCAACCTCTGTGTCGCGAACGCACCTGGGCCCATGCAACATACGGTGCAACCATAAACTCCACATTGCGATGCCTGAATATTCTCAGCACCGTTCTCCAGAGATCCCAGTGCTGTATTCCACTCCTTCCTTCGAAGAGCTTCGTAGCGGCCTCTTCCTGCCCATTCTCGTACTTTTGCCACGCCTCTCGCCTGTCCTTGCACGCTTCGTTCTGCTCGAACTGCTGCTGCTGTTGCTGCTTCCAACGCTTGTTGGGCTGGAGCCCCGAGAATACGAAGACAGGCTTGATGTGTAGTTTTTCGAGCGCTCGGAGGTCAGACTCGATTCGCTGCGTCAGGGCGAGGGGCAAGCCGCCCGTGGCGGCCAACAGAGCTTCGCGAGTGGGTGGGTTGTCATTCAGGAGCGTCAGGTAGTAGGACGCGTCAATGCCGAGCCGGGACTCGGAGAGGACGGACAGCGGATGGGTCTGCAGGTGTTTCCTCTCTGCGAGATATCCTGGGTAAATGGGGCGCCGTCAACTTGGGCTCTGTCGGCCGTCTCTGCACATTTGCACGCAATAGACGTGACTGTGACATACCGTCCAGGTGCTTGATGGGCATGGCGAGTCGAGTGATCAGAGGGGCCTACAGTTGCACAGTGCAGACAAGTGAGTGTGCGTGCCCGGTGCACAACGCGACTACCACACTGCTTGCTTACGTAATGTAGCAACTCGTCCACCCGAATCGGAATACCAACTCGCTCTGCCACCTTGCTGCCACCTCTGCGCCTTCCACCTCAATTCCATCTGCTGCATAATCCCGTCTGTTCTCTGCAGTGCATCTGTGGACTCGATGCACATACACCACTTGAAACTGACTGCCTCGGTCTAGAGTCTTCCCGGTATCCAGTTAGGTCCGCGACGACGTGAGAACGGTGGCTGCTGCTGTACCCATCGGTGACGGGCGGTAGCTTGGTATCCCAGAATCCACACTCCCTTCTCATGACACAGCCGTTTCATAGGCAACTGAGCGACTCCACTCGCACGAACCTCGCGTCCGACTGCAATCGGAACACCTTGGTAGGCAGCGTCGCCGCAGACTCCCACCTGCGGTGCAAGCCTCACAGCGTGGGTTGGCTCCCCTCCATATCATAGCCAAGTAGCCCCGGCTCCGCGAGGTCCGTGCTCTTCAGAGTCTTCTGGCATCGGTCGCTGTTCGAAAATGATATTGAAGGTTTCCGCAGTGAGGGCGCTGCGCCCTACTGCATATCACCAACTGCAAGCGGGCGATGTCATGAGTGCTCAAGCTACCTGAACTAGGACCTCCATTTGGACTGGCGCCGCACCAGATCCTCACGACACGTTCAAATTCATAGAGGACCGGGGAGAGTAGTCGGATCGTGCTGCCGGTATGTACCGTGTCTTCTGAACATCGGTTCCGCATTCCTCTATCATTCCGTTGACGTTGTACCTGTATATCTTCCGTAATCGCTAGAAGCGACGCAATATCCGTCAATTCATTATGCGCAATGCATCCGTCATACTGCCTTGGCTATGGGGACTCTTCAAGTATGAGGACTCCTTTGAGTATGGGCACATCATCATCATCCGTCATCACGGCTATATGTATACAGTACGTGTATCACCAGGTCTTCGACGAGGTCCCTTACGTCGGCTGGATCAGCTGCTACTACTGTTGCTCTGTTACGCCTGTGCGGTACGGAGATGTGGCGCCGTGCTGCCCCTCCGGACATGGGGTCGCGACATGCAGAGATCCAGTACGTTCCTATCATGTTCACCAGGGCGGGATCACTCCTATGCATTGGAGTGTGAGGCAGCCGAAGAGACTCCCACACCATGGCCATGTTCACGTATGTGGAGCCCGATTGACCAGGACTCAATCTATCAGGACGGTGGCACAGCACCCGGCTTCATGTCAAGCAGTTTCAGCTAGTGTACAAGAACCCCAGCCTGTTCTGTGAGATCATGATGAGCCCGTAGTGGGTAGTCCTTGAGCCCGTGACTCCAGGGACATACAAATGTCGATTGATGTCGGGATCGGGATTGACAAAAGTTCGCAGACACCTCAATCGACCTTGGTCGCTGATTGCTCGATGGACTCGCCGGATGGAGGGCATATGGTTCGTGTCTCCCTCTTACGCCACACACCGCCATTCACTGTGGGCTCTTCCGCAGCTCTAGCCGTATCGTTCAGTGCAGCACACATGCCACAGCTCTTCCATCAGGGATCGTTGCCTGTGGATGTCTTCTTTCTGCGAACCTCGTCGATGCGCCCGTCCCTCTCAGCGAGTCGCACCCCTCAACCAGTGACGCTGAGTATGCTTACGTCTCACCTCAGTCATGACGACCAAGCGAAGTTCATCCACACTTCACCGCACGGCGCACTTATCTGCCGATCATCTCACGTTCGCGCAGTCCGTCCGCGGTCGCCTTGGACGTAAGAATAGACTGGTCGATGACCGCTCTTACATCCTCGGTCACCTCTGCTCTTACAATAGACTGACCGATTACTGTGGTTCGCAATCAGTTTTCCATCTGCCTTTTGTCTAGGGTACTTAGTGGGCTCACCTCACTGCAACGATCGGGAAGCAGACGGAGTGATCGACATGGACACCGACACGCCCGCACTACTGATGCGCCTGTTTCAGACGATCTATGTCAGCGCTGTTGGGCGCGGGATGGTCAGTGATTTATATACCGCGTTGTCAGCCATGGGCGGGCCTTTGTATCCTCATCACCGCCCACCATGCCCGTCTCCATTTCGACTGAGCTCACAAAACTACTCAGTACGTTCGTCCCTATGTTTCCCTCGCTGTGAGGAGACAACAGCTCATGTCCCCGTTTACCTATAGATGTCACTAGCCCGATCATCTCAGCGCCGATGACGGACGCTACGTCCCCGGCGTTAGTGGCAGCTGTGATCAACGCTGGAGGGTTCGGCTTCCTTGGCACAGGTTCGTTATAATTATCCTACCAATTACTGCGACTCATCGACCTTTGTCTCCGTAGGACGCTCCAGCGCAGCGAGAGTCGCGACCGACATAGATGAGACCCGTGCGGCGGTTGCCCCAGCGAAGCAACACCTCGTAGGTGTCGGTCTCGTCGGATGGGTCCTCGACATGTCGGAGCCGACATATGTCAAGACCGTGCTTGAGAAGAAAGTGGGAGCGGTCCTGTTCGCGTACGGACGGAACCTTGGCAAGTACGTTGCGCAAGTGCGAGAGTATGATGCGGCGAACGAACACAAGACGCTCGTGTTCGTAACCGTCAACACTGTCGAAGAGGCGACGCGCGTGGCCAAGGAGTTCAAGCCGGACGTTCTCGTCGTGCAAGGTCTGTTGATGCGCGAATCTTCGGATATGACTTGAGTTGATAGAATGTTCACGTAGGCTACGAGGCGGGCGGCCGAGCAGGCGTGAGCTCTCCTGCTACGAAGGACTTTATTCAATCTGTAGCGGAGACCATCCCGGACCACCCGCTCCTCGTCGCAGCAGGCGGCGTCACCAAGGGCTCACAGATCGCTGAACTCCTCAAGGCGGGTGCCTCAGGAGCCATCGTTGGGACCCGCTTCCTGTTCACGCCCGAATGCACGCTGCCCGATGAAGCGAAGCAATTGCTCATCAAGGCCGATGCGGAGTCTACTGTCAGAAGCCCCATCTTCGACGTGATCTTCCCCGACGGTGTCTGGCCGGACGGGATCCAAGCACGCTGCCTGAAGACTAGCATCGTCACCTATGATGCGCGCATAGAGGAATTGAAGGCCAAGCAGACGGAGTCGGCGAAAGAGGAGCTCGAGGCGTTGAAGGGAGAGCTGCGGACGAAGATCCAGAGCGACAAGGACTACCCCTTGATATACGCCGGGCTGGGAGTGACCGAGCTGAAAGAGATTCAGCCTGCCTTCGTACGTTCCAGAGCAACTCCTGTGTTTCTCCCTTGTACTGACTCGCGCAACTCTGACCAGGACGTAGCACAGAGTCTTCATGATGAGACGGTCGAGGCGTTGCGAAGTCTCGATCCTCAGCTACTCGTTGGCGCTTGATAGCAGCTGAAGCATTGGGCTTTGCGTTTTGACAATGCAGACACTAAGCTTAGGGATAGCCTCTGCACAAATGTACAATGTATATTGAAGACATCATTCTCAACGTGTTGTATCTAAATCTCGGACCTCCATCATTAGCCCCTTGTGTATGGCCGCGACTACGCCTTCGACGTGCAACTACACCGTGGTTGACGTGTCAATTTCGGGTTGTAGAACAGAACAAAGAAACAGCGGAGCATGTATCTTCCGCCCGACTGTTGGCACTGTTGCCACCATGGATTCCGTCCAGTGGGCCTTGCGAGCCGCTCAGCGGACACAGATGTCGAGTCCATAATGTACCCACGCTCGAGTTGACTCAAGAGCCTGTCGGTCGGCGACGAGGGTCGTGCGTTTCGAGCTCTCGCAATAACGCCTTAATCTCGGCCTCGAATGTCTCCTGTTTGCTTACTGTCAGCGTTCATGGTTTCGAAGCAAAGGCGTTCACATACATTCGTCTTGAACTCATCTGTCAAATTCTTGACCTGCCTCCAGGCCCATCGGTATTCCGAGAGCATGCGCTCCTTGCCTTGATTATCGGACGTTAGAAACTTCGCTATACGTAACTGGAGTCAATCACGTCAGTATGGTCCAAGAGACTCTAATGGGACGCAGTGAGATTGGACGCACCTGTGTATCCTTGCTTTGAATGGCATGAAAGGTCGCCAGGTCCGCCGGAAACTGGGCGTCGCGTCGGCGACGCTCTTCTTCCTCCTTAGCTGCTAGCGCTGCATGCTGACGCCGCAGACCGCTGAGGTTATCCAAGTGGGCGTAACGTAGGGAGGAGACTGCATCATCGAAAACGGATTTTTCGTGTGGATAGGGCCCGTGTAAGGAATGATAAAACGCCTGTGCATGTCAAGCCCTCAACCACGGTCCATCAATGGTGAACTGCAAATGCACATATGCTCACATCTGTCTGTGAATCTGTCACAGCATCGTCCTTGGGAAGATACCTGTCCCTCGCCTCCGCATTATGGTCGTCGGCTTGCCATTCATAAACCTTTTGCATGGTTTCGAGGTGGCGTTTCCGGAGGTCATTGATGCGCTCCTTTACATATGTGGCCGTCTCGGCCTGCTCATTGAGCTCCTTAGCGGTCGCAACGCTATCGGTTTCTAGGACTCAGTCAAGTGTGGACTACCGCGCACACGAACGGAATCGAGATGTACCCAGGAAAGTATGATCCCTTCAGTAAGAGCACATCCTCTGCAAACCGACGCCGCTCTACCGCATCGCGTACAGCCCTCTGATGTTCTGCTACTTTCGATGCATCCAAGTCTGCAGTGGATGCATGGAGATTCGGAAGGCGAGTAGTGCCTTGAACACGGGCACGAGCCTCGTCCATGAAGCCATTGTTGTTTCTGTAAGTATCCTTTGGCCGGCGCGTCACATCAGGCTTATGTCCGGTCATCTTCAGCTTTCCGCGTGAGCCTTGGGCCTGATAGGGCAAAGAACGAGTAGGAGTAGGAGGGGCAATTTCAGAAGGAAGTCTCATTCAAGTACGGGCAAGCCACACCAACTTCGAGTCAAGTCACGCGCTGGACGCGACGCGGTATGTACCCGCGTGGACCGACCGCGCGTAAGCCGGCACTGCCAGTGGTCCTCCTCCTCGTTCTGGGTTGTTGTCGTTTTTAATCTCTTGATCATACTCAGATCGCGACCGCGAGATTTTGCTCTCCCGTGAGGGAGTATCTCAAGCCCTAGCTCGCCTAGACAGCAGTTGAGACTGCGCAGGCTTACTCACGTCATCTACCTGTCGGTCGTCGTGGCTCGACTGGGCAAGGATTGATTGTAAGTACCTACTAGTATATTGCTGCACTTCGATTCGCTGAGAAAACGATCGTGTCTCAGGTTGGACTCGAGCTACGTCCTCTTGAGTCGTGCTCAGCCGTACCCTACTGCACACGACATGTCTGCGAAACGAGACACACTGTTTCCGTCTGGCTCGATCGGGCGTACCCCATCTATCTCGCGTACTGCATCTCATGAAAGCCTTCCTACGCACCCCCTTCTCTCCCCAACTCCCGGCTCGCCACCGACGACCACTTTCGCAGAATCGGCCTCTGGAGCGCCTCGTTATGTCCCTTACACTCCTCGCCATAGAGTCACGCCTACATCTGCGACCACCGGAACGACTATGCAGCCAAGCATGAGTGCCGCAGGGCCGCAGAATGCCTCGCACAGCGATGCTACCAGCAAGCTGCAGATCATGAACCTAAAGGCCGCTGCCCAGCGGATTGGATTGGATACGGCTAGCACGGGCTGGGCAATCCTCGAGCGGTTGAGTACTGAGACTGATCATGGACCCGAATGGAATGAGATATGGGGTGCACTGTCGTTCAGTAAAGTACGTTGTGACACCTCGATCTCAAATACCGCGCTGACTGTGCCCATCAACTGACCTGTCAGGCCACACTCCTCCTCCCTCTAGACAATCATCGTTCGAGCGAACCTATCACCCCAGAGTTCATAAAAGATCACATCGCACTATGTGATGGGAGTGGCCGGAGTAATGCTCCTATCGTTACCCTGTCCGGACTGCAAGGCACACTGAAGGAGTGAGCGAGTCCTTCTGAATGCCGTCTACGACACTAATCGGTGTGCAAGTACTACACTAACATTCCGTTCTACTCTACCACCGGCGTCGACGTTGTTTCAAGCGCTCCTCAATCCGGCTGCACGGTCCTCGGCACTTACAGCCTTGCCTCCTCTACCAAATCCACTATTCCAAGCAACTGTCGCCGTTCCGCCATCCCCATCTTCTTCTACTGCATCTGTACAAACCCCACCACAATATCCGAGGTTCAATACACCTTCCTACGCCCCAGCGCTTCCCATACCACCACGTCCGTCTGTGACATTCAAACCGCCGCTTCCCCCTCGGCCGGGTGCGCGCGTTCTCAGTGGTCCCGCGAACCCAGCATCACGTCTCTCCAATCCGTTTGCTTCTCTGTTCGGTCGTGCCACGCCACCAGCTAGTCCGTCGACAGCTCCGACGCCTCTCCACTCCGAACCCAATCCCATTTCACTGAACACGTCAGGGTCCTCGCCTACAGGGTCTCTGTCATCGCAACCAGCGTTGTCCCCGGATCGTACTGGCCCTGCCGAACACTCACTTGAGGTACCCGCCTTTACTATATCCACTCGCATCGATCGTGCGGCCCTTGGTCGCTCCTTAACCGATGCGCTCCTCGGAGAGATACGTGCTGTGCTGGGGGAAGCAGCCGTCCCATCATGGGCCATAGAACGCGTTGAGCAATTTGCGAAGCCACTGTTCCCCCTCGTTCATGCTACCAACACCGGGGGCAAGGAACCCTCTATTGGGAAACCTGGCTCGGGAGGGGACCCTGGCGGCCCAGTGGCTCGTGCCGTCAGCGGAGGTGGGCGTGGCAGAGGAAGGGGAAGTGGTGAGTGGGTGATTGCCGCGAGCCCTTTGCAGGAGCGTGCCGAAGACATGTCCAACAAGTTTCAGGAGTTCTACATAGAGCTCGAGGACATGCTCTGGTCGCGTCTTCCGAAGAGTACACGCAAGTTACGTAAAGGACATGGTAAGGGTGCGCAGCACGCCAAGGAGGATGGCGGGGACGCTCGCCCTCCGAGTGTCAGTGAAGAGAACAGCGAGACAGACGACGTCACAGAGGAAACAGCAGTCGATGAAGCGGAAATGGGCGAAGAAGAGAAGAGATCAGCTCAGACTAGGGTCATCATGGATGCCGTCGAGCGTGTCTTGTGTTGTCTTCTGTATGACAGGTGCGTACCTTTTGCTATCTGGTTTCGAATATCCTTCGGACGAGCTAGAGCTGGGGCACGCCCCGTGGCTCAGGGTCTGCTGTCTGTCTCATCGGGCGCCGGGGACCCTAATATTTGATACTTCTCGATGTCAGAGCGGCGAAGTACTGACGGAGCGCCGCAACTGTGTAGACTGTTCCTCCCCGCAAGCACCGATGATGCTGAACATGACGAGGCCCTTTCCAGCCGCATAGCGGCGGTCAACCTTTTGGACCTAGGTCTTGGTCATCTCGGCGTGGACGTCGGCAACTCTGGCAAGGAGGTGGAGGCAGTAGTCGTCAAATGTGGGAAGGGTGAGTACCTTCGCGCCTTCCATTCATTGGGTTGGCTGCGCGGCTTTACGCCGGCTGCGGCTGCCTAGTGGTCACTCATGATTAGGGAGTATCATTGATTGAGTTGCTGATGCTGATATCGGCGAACAGCACTTGTGCAACTCGATACAGTAGCCCGTTCACCAGCAGAGAAGGCCGCAGTGCTGGTGTCGGTGCATAAGATTATCGTCGGTATGTTACGCTAGGTCTTCGCCGACTCGGCCTCACTGTAATTGCATGGCGCAGACGGGCTGGCCAAATTGCCTCCAATCGGACTCAAGCCTGAAGACGAGATCATCGATGACGGGAAGACACCTCGCGCGAAAACCACGTTCGGGCGATATAGTGCCGAAGATGACAACGACGTCGAGGACAAAGAGCTGACGACGACCGCCACCGCAGTGCCAGCTGCTAATACACGAGCACCCGATCCAATACCTGAACAGCCAGTTGTTTCGCCAACAATAGTGCTCTCGCCCGTCGATGTCTCCTCTGCCTCGGGCGAATGGTCCCTGCCCGTGCAGGCAACACAGGACGCCTCGTCTGTCTCTCCTGACTTGGTCCCTCCTCGTTCTGCGTCTCTACGAAGCACCTCTCCCATTCACACCGCGCCATCTCGGACGTCCTCTCCTACGCCGGTATCTGGGGATGTCATTCTCCCCTTGATGATCTTTGCCGTCGTGAAGGCGAACCCGCCGAGACTCGTTTCAAACCTATTGTACATCCAACGCTTCCGCAGGGAGAGCGCCTCAGGCGGTGAAGAAGGCTACTGCCTTATCAACCTCATGGCCGTCGCCGAGTTCTTGGAGAATGTGGATTTGGTGGCTCTGGGTCTGGGAGACAGCGAAAACACGGTTCTGAGGTATGTCTTCCACTCGCCACGGTTCACATCCTATGCCCTTCGCCTCTATGGCTGCTTCTCGGGTATTCGACAGGGTTGTTAACCTTCATGCACAGTCCCGCACAGCTCAGTCCAATACCATTTGCGCGCTCTGTACGCGGGGCACAACCCCCCTCTCCTCAAGCTATGCCAGCTAGCCTTCGCGGACGTGTGGAGCAGCAGGTCGATGCAATCACTGGTTCCGCCAACAAGGTGCTCTCCGGCGTGGTCGATTCGTCGTTTGGCGTCTTGCGTTCTCTACTTCCTGGCCAGAGCCAGACTCCAGCTACAGCTACCACACTAGCTGCAGAGACGACTGAAGAAACCTCGCGTCCGGGCTTCGGTATCCTTCGGCGTGACACTGGCTTCTCCATTGCAAGTCTTGCCGCGTCGTTGCCCGGGAGCCGGGCCAGCCGGTCGGGCACAGGTGAAGAAAGTGGTCAGCAGATGATCGAGGTCCCCTCAAGGCCAGGTTCGAGTCGCTCCATGAGGGTACCCGAAGAAGAGGCTACTGAGTCCGAAGAGGGCACAACGGAGGAGGAAGGCGATGAAGACGAAGACGAGGAAGACGAAGAATATGGCCACGACGCTCGCAGCATTCGCAGTTTCGAGAGTATGATGAGCGGACGGAGTAGACAGGGCAAGGGGAAGCGCAAGTTCATCGGTGCGGGCCGTATGAGCTTGACAGACCGACTGGCCAGTATGCCGGGCCTATCACGCCTGTCTCAGGGTGCACAGAACGAAGCGGCGAAAGTATGTTATCGTTGTCATAGCTCATGTGCAAATTACTGATGTTGATGGCTTCATATAGGCTTCGCCACCAGGTTCCCGTCGCTCCTCGCTCCTCCTTCCAGCGACGACGACGATTCCGACGACAAACCGCTTCGATACGCCGATCTCTTCCCGTGCGGCGTCACCCATAGCCATTCGAGTATCGCCACCCAATCCGCACTTCTTGTCGTGTACCGAGGACGACATCAAGGTATCTGAAGTGGGGGAACTGCTGCGTGAGTACAAGCGATTGGCTGAAGCTATTCGGGCTATGGGTGGCTTCCACGACGACGCATGAAGCACTGGGCAGGGCCGTCCCGCGCTTGTGCCTCTGTGATCTATAAGTTCTTGGTGTGTTTACAGACTTTCATATGCTGCATTATATCAGAGACAGGCTTTGCATTGTGTAGATGGATTTCATGCGCATAATTGCATATGTAGGCTGATGCCTGGAGTCTGCTCAGAGTCAAAACCTCAACAAGCCCCCCGAGTTGACAATCACGGCGTCACGAAGGCGTCCCACCACCATCAGGCCTACCCTTTGCGAGGGGTAGGCTTGACCCTAAATTACGTACGGAACATTGAACTGACGATGACAGGCCTCTTCGCAACGACTGTCCACCGACAAAAGTGTGAACGGCCCAGAACAGGTGAGTCGCGCGCTCTTTGGCGGGCGCCCGTGCCAAATATGTCTCCGTGTTACGTAGGCGTCAATCGCGACGGCATTCTCTTCTGAACACACCCATGTCGACGACGGCGTTCAATGCGTGCTGGTCTTCCATAGCTGCGATTGTCGCTTACCCGACAGGCCGAACTCAGATCACTTGATAGCCACCTACTGTCACTGCCGCAGCGCGTCCGCAGGGGTCCACGGCGTACGACAATCTGCCTTGCTGGAAGTATGCTATCCACAGCGCTCCGGGGCGGGCTGGGGGTGGGCGGTCGAGGTGCTATATTCATATGCCCTTATTGGGCTCCTAACTTATCCACCATGACTGTCCGTCGGATGATCAGTATCGGCCATGCATACACAAACGAACCGTTTCAAGTGAAGACGCTTGTAAGCTATCATCATACGTCCGGGATTGTGTAAGAGTGTTCTCACGGATGACAGGATCATTTCTTCATGGTTCTGCAATGCGGCGATGCACGCATCCGTGCAGAATACCACCCAACAACAACGAGTCGACGTTTGCAATGCTCGCCGAAGACATGGGTTCACGGAATCAAGGAGATGTGACATCCCCGTCGAAGCTTAATACGATCCACGAGACCAAGCACGTTCGACAAGGTTCCCACATACCAATTCTCCTCAAGCTACCCGATGTGATATGAAAGCAACGGGTCTCCGGTGAGGTTGCACATCTCACGACGACGGTTGACGGTGTGCCTGACAACTCATTATCGCCTTTCAGACAATGGAGCAATAGGTCGAATGCGATGCGGTTACGCAGGCGTGAACACATACAAGGCTTGAATGATGATGCCACGGCATTACGAGAACCTGCCTTGATCTGGATATCCACGCACGTAGGCTTGCATTCGCTTTGTCAGGGCAGACTTCGTAGTCGCACTACAAATTGCACTCGAGCGCAGTTTGTCGGGCGTAAGCGACACGCAAAGCGCTTCGTGAGTAGTCGAACGAGACGTTCAGGATTGCTGATGCCCTGACGGGATATTCTTCGGCAAAGGGCGGGAGAGATGACGACTTCGGCACCAATAAAGTCCGCAGTGCGAATGCCCACACGGCCATTTGAAGAGGAGCTTCGGGTGCGTGATGCGACGACAATGCTGCCGTAGCCTATTGCCGCGTATATATGCAAGTTTTCGATCAACGAGGTGTATTGCTGAGGGTTAAAGTGGACCGGAGAAGGGATATTCGGTGTGGTATCCGAAGAGGGAGAAAATAGATGGCATGCCCTCCGAGCGGAGAATCAACGAGTATCTTCTCGTCCCTGCATTGGATGTACGTATCCCAGTCGCATCTCCGAAGCTTCGCTGACTTTGAGGTGCCTCAGAATCACCATGCTGGCATTGAATCCGGAAGCCCAGTGACACGAGGGGCGTCCTCTATTCCCATCAGTGGTGCCAACACTCCAACTCCCTGCGCACGAGCTTTATGCCCCAGAGTTTGTCGCATCCCTCCCGAACTTGCCCTGATGCTTTAGAGCGAGTGACGCTGCATCAAATCACTGTAGGCCATCATGGACCCCAGGTTCTCCCGCGAGCCAGGACCGACGACGCGACGCAGAGGCCGGAATGAGATTCTACTTATAGCAGAAGCCGATCAATCCAATGCAGGTCATCAAACACACTGGGCTCTACCTTCCTTTTGCAGCATATTCTGCACAAGACACCGATCAAACGAGCGGGGAGAGGTGGTGGCGATGACAGAGTATTTTGACATGCCTCCGGTCTTCCCAGCGTATGGTCCTCCTACCCTGCCTGGGCCCGGCCACTTAGCCGCCGTCCTGCCGCCGGTTCTTAATGAACCGTATTGAAGGCCGCCTCGGCGTGATGTCCACCCCGTCTACCATCCGATCTATGGCGATCCAGTCGTCGCCTTTGTGCACACTCCCTCTCGAGCTCTTAGTGGAGGTCGCCCTGCAGGTTGCACTCCTTCGCACGCCTGCAGGCCCGCCTTCAGATATCGTCTCCTTGCTCCTGTCGTGCAAGGAAATCCACGACTCGCTCTCGTTCGCGCACTGTGCGACGCTTTATGCACGCATCTACCAAAGCAACTTCGACATCCGTGCTCCCCGTCGCCGCATGGACAGCGACGACCTACATGCCCAGAACTACGCCGCACAGCTTAGGAAGTGCTGCATCGCTCTCAAGCGTTTACGTCGTGGTGACCTCGAATCCGAGTTTCTTCAAGATGATCTCTGGACCGCTTGGTTGATGGCTTTGGAGAACGACGGCAAGAATGGCGAACAGTTAGACTGGGCAGGCCTAGACGATGTCTTACGTCGGTTCATCCTGGAAAAGCTGTGGGAGGTCCACGAACCCGATGACTGGCCCCAGGAGAGTGCTGTAAATGCCCTTGCCATATGGCTGTTCTGGTATAGACTGAGCTCAGGTTGGTGCCTCACTGATGCCGTACGTTCGTTGACAAATGCGTGGATAGATAAACTCTATGCTCTATCAAACGAACAACGTTCCGCTATTCTTGAACTCGTTCGTCCATATGCGCTCATAGCTCCCCGGTATCCCTCCTTTCATGCACCAGATTGTCATTTCGTGTTGCCTATGCGGCCGGACAGGGCACTGCTCACCGAACGGCAGAAAGTGCCCACGCCGCACGGCTTCTGGCCGTTGTACCGCATCCCCGAAGATCACTCAGTCAAGCATTACGGCAATCAGCTATACATTACCGAACCACTTCTCGCTCTGGGGGCTCAGCTGCTCTTCTTCACGCTGTACTGGCAACCGTTAATCATCCCACCGAATATGCCAGCGAACCGTGCCGATGCGGAGTCTCGTGGACGCACGGGCGTTGGCGAGACGCGAGCTGATCTCGAGGAGTACAATGCGTCGTCTCCTGTGAAGTTGTTGGAGAAGGGCGACTGGGATTGGGATCGTGACCTCAGCGTCGAAGAACGCGAACGAGAGGATGCGCCGCGGTGGCGAAGGGGCATGCGTAGCCCTAGCGCGAGGTGGGAGTGCGATTACAATCGCCTGATAGGTTGCGTGGACCCGTACCGCCCCAGGCCGATGTTCGTCGCCACCTACGAATTCGGGACCCTCACCGGCCTCTGGAAGGGTTTGCACCTCGTGGGTGGTTCACTTGTACAAGCTCAATGCTGAATCTGATTAGTTTCGTATTAGAGCCCTCATCCCGAGCAATACTTTGCGGCCGTCCGATCCGTCAACTTTCCCGCTGATTTCTCCGCTGAGAATCCACACGTCTTCATGCACCCGGTCTACTTACAACTTCGGGAACATCACTCTATATCACCTGCTCGACGTGCCCCTTGCGGCGGAAAACCTAACGATAACGATGACGGCATCAATCATGCTTGGTTGCCGTCCTCTCATGAGCTCCGTGAAGCGAACGGCATCGTGCGTCTGCGCGATCTTCAGCGTCTCAGTGAACCAGCAGCCGTATATGAGACCTACGTCGAGGGTCGGAAGAACTCGCACGACCCGGAGACCTGCAATGTCTGCGTCGCGAAACAGAAGGCGGCCGACGCGATACTGACTGCGAAGGTGGAGAGACACCAGAAGAAAGCGTCGGGTGGCGCTTCACCTTCTCGTAAGTCCCGAGTTCACTCCCCGGGCGCAGACGGCGAACGAGAACTCGAGAACACGCGATCATCGATCAGCGCTGTCTTAGGCCAAGACGTTGACAACTTGCTCGGTGACGTGTTGAGGGAAGATTCCCCGTCTTCATCGGAGGACGATGATTACGAAGGAGAGTATACGATTGGGAGGGAAGTTACGTGCGTGGGCGTCCAGGATATCATCATCACCGGCGAGGTACGGCGTTTATGGGCTTCACGGTCACAGCTGGGTTATCTTATGTATCGCCTTCCTTTGCAGACTCGACCCCACCATGGCGATGCCTGGTATCATTTCCAGTGCTATGGTCGCATTCGTCAATGGGACGGTCTCGTTGCTCTCGTCCGTGTACCTCAACGACCGCCCGGCCACTTCGGCGTGTACATCTTTCGCGGCTACATCGTCGGAGGGCGGAACTTCGTTGGATCTTGGCGAGTGCGGACCGCAAATACCCTTGCAATACCGCTGGAGGGGCCTTTCATCATGAGCCGGGTGGAATGAATGTGGTGGTCTGGCAGTGAGGAATCCTTTTCTTGAATTGAGGTCGACGGAGCAAGAAACTTCATCTATGCCAATTGCGGACAGGGTAGAACCCAAGGAGTCCCGTAGGTTGTGCTCGATTAGTCCATGTCATGAACCGACAACATAGGTGCAACTGTGCATCACGATTGGTACTTACTTCATGATACACGGTCGCTGGTGTCCGATCCTACCAGAGCTTGCACGGATACCCAATACAATATTGCTGCAGACTTTGGTGTATGCACGCGGAGGTTCGTCGCTCGACCGACCCATATGTTTGCAAAGTCTCACTCGAGGTGGGCTGCGTCTGGATTCATAACAAGAAACAATATCGATAGCAGCAATGGATAGGTGGACAGTCTGAGGTGAGTACAGGGATGTTAGATATGCGTTCAGTAGTCCGGGGGGCTCGATATGTCGAGCATCAAAACAAAGCAGCGGAACAGGAGATAGCAAGAGGAGAAAGGAAACGAGTAATACGTATGACATTGATTGGAAAGCGCAAGGGAGATGTCCGCACACAGCACAGGCCGCCGTTGGTATGTGCGAGTCGCCAGTCACGAATCAAAACAACAGTTCATTGTAGTGTTGAATCGCAGGGGCGCAGCAAGGTTTAAGGGTCCACGTCCATTCTTTCGTCCTTCCCCGGTTCTTGTTTGACCCTCTTCGCTGAGCCAGCGAGTCCAGCTAGGGCGGTGGCGGCCACGACGGTTGGGTCGTCACCATTGCTATCCACAGGCCGCTTTCCAGCCCTGTTCCTCGACATGTAAACTGGACTATCGCCGTCACCTTCCGACGGCAACGCAGAATGCGAATGCTTCGGGGTAGCGTAACGAGAGCTCGCAGCAGATTGTGACGTCAGAGACAGAGCGTTCAGGGACGCGGCTGCACCGCCTGCGTCCAGAGAAGTCGCTGAGTAGTAGCTCGAAAGCGAGCCCGGTGGCCCCATGCTGAGAGCTGAGCTTGAATTGTTGCGTGATGGTACGTACGCCGGCGTGGAGCGTCCAGACGCTGACATGGGAGATAGCGGGGCGTAAGGAGAGAGGGGAGACGATGGGGAATGGGAGTACAGCTGTCGATGAGTGTGCAAGGTCTCGGCTCGCAGTTGCGGGTCGAGAACGGCGTCGATGTCAGGCAGAGCATCCAGGCTCGCGTCAGGGCCGGCCTCCCCGTTTTGACGTTGCAAACCGACTACGCGCAGTCTTTCCACCCAGCTACAAGCAAATTTGCGTGGGTGAGTGTGGCACTAAAGGGAGATCATGTAAATACGTACGCGTCAGCTCTTTCAAGGCTTTCAGAAACCACGGCAGTGACGCCGCGCAGCATGTCCAAACTCTCGGTCGCGAGTGTCATGATGCGCTGAGCGGCCTGGTTTGCGGAGTCAACTGTGGTGGGGGCCATACCCGATGGGGCGCCCGTTTGTGCGCTCGCCTGTCGCGAATGCGCTCTAGTATGACCAGGCGACGTCGCACGGGACGGGGGGCGGGACCGCGGTGATGGCCCTGCTTCGCCGGGGCCGTAGCTGTACGGGGCGACGTTTGCACTGCGCCGCATGTCAACTCTGTCCGCACCTCCATTCGGTCGACCGTCACTCCCGTGGCCATGGTGGTGGGCATCAGCGCCTGAAGCCTCCGCCCAGCGGCGAGGCAAGCGCAGGATGAACGTCCGCACGCGGGTGCGGGCTGGTTCCGGCAAAGCGCCCCCGGCGTATTTGCTCACGATGTCTACCACTTGTCGGATAGTGTCAATGACGTCGCGTTTGGCCGCGTTGAGTGTGCGAAGGTGCTGAGCGGATATTGCAGCGGCCGCCGCCGAAGGGCTTGTTGTCTGGAGAGAGGTAACGAAGTTCCGGAGAACGAGGATCTGGGCGTCGATATGACCTGTAGCGTACTACAGAGGAACGGTCAGCATGTTTCCAGCGCCTGATAAACCATGTTATGCAGACCTGCAGCCATTGTAGACAGTATCGCAATCGCCTCATGCTGTCTTCGCTGAACGCAGCACTTATGCCACCTGCTTCGAGTAACATGGCTTGCCATCGACTACGTTGTGCAACTTGGTGGTTTTCGATAGTCGGCGAAGACGCAGTAGATGTTGATCCACGTTGACGCTGATACTGGTAACTAGATGAATCGACCTCTGCGTCTGGATGTGACGACCTCGTAGATGTAGGCGAGTGCGGTGTTGGTGTGCGGCTGTGAGTGCGACCAGGGATCGTCTGGGACGACGAGGGACCCGCTGAATTGTCATGAGCTTCCGAGATTGGACGGTCCGCAATGACCGTACCTTCCGCCCATCTATCGATTGTTTCGCTCCTCTCTCTCGAAATCGAAACATCTCTCGTTGAACGCCTCTCGGGAGATCCACTAGTGTTCGAGTCATCGTACGAGTTGCTCGATCTACGACTTCGATCGCTGTCGCGATCTCGACTCGGAGTTCGTCGTCTGTAGCTTTCAAGCTGGGAGGGTGTCAACAAAGCTCAATTGTCATGCAGCGCACAAGTTATGAGAAGAAAATAGGTCTTCCGTCTGCTCCACGCTACAGTAGTGGATTGCTGTCAAGCCGCAAACTCACTGACTCCACAAGGCTTGAGCACCTTGTTATGGACCGACCCATGCACGGAGGCGAATGCGAACCCGATCCGACTGCCTCTCCTCATGGTCTGAATATGGGATTCGCTGCGTCATCCTGGTGAGAACGTACTGTAGGACGTGGCCTTTCCGACTACTGGCAGGAGGTGCCAACCTCTTTCAAGGAAAGATTCCCCAAGCTCTGCACGCGGATCAAGAGCATAGCGGAAGCGCCAGAGCCTCGCAGGAGTACACGCAGCCGGAACAAGTAGAGAGAGATGAAGCGAGAGGTGAAACACGCACCCTGTCAAGCTGCCTGCACGCGAAGTCGTCTATCTGGCCCACAGGGAGGCGGTCAATCACAGGGCGGGAGATAGACTTGACGGAGGATTCCATCATCTCCGCGCCATACTGCACGGCTTCAGTAAGTGCGGGGCATGCATGAGCCAGCACCACCACATACCTTCACCACCCTGGAGCTCGCCTTACTCTGTTCATACGCCCGCAACGCTGTGTTCACGATGGGCAAGCTGGACATGCGCGAGACGAAATCGGCATCATCTGGGCGCAACTCCAAGCGATCTTCACTGTCTGCCGCGATGGACCCCAGAATGCGGTCTTCTCCCTCGTAGACAGGAGAAGGCAAGGACGGAGAGGATGTCCCTGATGTTACAGAGAGAGCGGGGGTAGGCTGGACCGCTATGTGAACGGATTAGTCGACGTCTTCACGAGCACGACGGACTCACACGTCGATGTTGAGGCAAATCCACCATTCTTCATATCGCCCAGAGCGCGCACGGCGATGCGCACAGACTCGTCCTCGTCGAGGGCCATGGCTTGAGTGTGGTATGAGAGTGGACAAGGGTCGAGGCCGACAGCCTCGCGGGGTACAATTGTTCAGTCGCCTGACCTCTTGCACGTGAAATTGGCTCGTTGATCAGATTGAGCGCGATCCCGAGGAACAAAAACGATTGCTATCTTATCTATATGTTTGCCATCTTCGATATACACATAACATACGGATACGCGACATAAGAACGAAGGGGAGACTATACGGTACCATATAATAGTGTCGTCCATGTAGATAAGAATACCAACAACCGCCAAACGCGTATAGTATACGAGACGACACAACCGACAGTCATTGAACATGAATACCTAAATTTTGAAAAAACTGTGAACGGTGTTCGAGTGCCAGTACGTGTGTTCTACTTGTTCGTTTCACGCGGGGACGCCTCGGGCGGAGCAACAGGCCATATGCTCTCCCTGCTCGACGTCGGCCGCTCGCCCCGGCTGAGAGGCACAGACGCAGCTTGACTGGACTGCGCCTGGCTTTGCGATGGAGAAGCCTGCGCGGATTGGCTCATGCGCATATCGTCGAGACCACGTCTGACACCAGCCATCATCCGGTCCGTCTTCTCCATCATCTCCTCGAGCCTCCGCCTCTGCTCTGCCAGCTCGTTGTAATGCCGCTCCAGCTCTTGCGTAGAAGGAACCGGCGGCTGACCACCCGGTGGAGGAGCGTAGTAGGCATGCGGGTGGTGATGAACGAAGGTATGCGGCGGGGGCGGGGCACCATGCGCGAGGGGTGGAAGGACGTAGCCCTGAGGAGGGGCAGCCATGCCGGGCCCAGCGAGGGGCGAATGCGTCCTACTCGGGGCACCGGCACCTTGAGAGGCGGACCGTGCGTAGTTGGGAGTCGCGCCAGGAACCGGCGCGCCCTGCATGTTCATGATCGACATCGCCATCGCCATTGGCATCTCCCCGTTGATAGCGGCCGTCAGAGGTGGAAGGTTGTAGCCGCCGTGAGGGTTGGGAAAGGGATGCCCATGGGGTGCGCCAGCAGGGGTCGACCCTGCACGCGATGCGTGCGGGGAAGCCGACGGACCAGCTTCAGCCATGGATTGAGGATGCATGATCTCGCCCCAAACCACAGGAGCGGCCGACTCTCGCGAGCTGCCGCGACGATTGCCAGCGACCGCACTGCCACGACTGCGTCTGGGTTTACGCACAGTCTTCACGTCTTCATCATCCCCATCATCCTCGTCCACGTCCATCCCGTCGTCCCCCTCCTTCCTCGACACGCGAGATTTGCGTGCGCGTTTGCGCTTTGGCTGGTCCTCCTCGCTCTCGTCCTGCGTCCCAGCACCCCCGCTCGCACCTCCTCGTACGCTGGCAAGAACCTCTGCTGCCGCCTGATCGGACATGCGATCCTGTTGAGTTGGAGAGCCAGGAGCGCCAGCGGCGGCCGGAACGCGTTTTCTCCGCTTGATCACGGTTTTCCTCATCGAGTTGGGCCGATGCGTTCCGTGAAGTTTGTAGTAAAGCCCTAAGCGATACGGGAGAAGGCAAGGAAATGAAGTGATTAGCGACGTCGTCCAGATCACGATGGAGTAGAAATCAGGGAGTAACAGTGTCCGGGCAGCGGGGAAGTTTCAAAGGAGGAAAAAAGAGGGCGCGTCAGAGTCAAGATGAACGCAAGATGGAACCGAACGACCTCCGGCGCTGCCCGTCCCCGCTTTACCCAATTTGAAGCCGCTCTTCGACCTCCCGCGCATGCAATATGAAGCGCGTTAACCATGAAAGTCGCGTCCCAGCACCATGGTACGCATCTCGGTGAAGGCCGGACAGCATCTCCCCTGCGTCAATGGTTATTTCGCGCATGACTGTCTGCCATAAAGCGCAAGGACGGCCCAAGTGTGCAGCAACCATCAAGCATCTGTAATCAGATAAGATGCAGGGCGTATCACAAGACAGATAACGGATGAAGTAGCGGCTAATCAGCGCAAACCGTCGGCCAATCAGAGCGTCTTTCCACCTGCTGAGCTCATTGCGGCCGTAAGGTAGAATGAGCGAGGGACAGCATGCAAGCTGGCAGATAAAATCGAGCAGAAGATACCGGCAGGAAAGAGACAGAGTACAAGTGCACAGGAGACGTACCACATGCATTGCAGATGTTGTTGCCTGCGTCGTCGCGGCGCCACAGAGGTGTCGTGCTTGTGCCACAATTCGCGCAACTGAGTGCGCCTACGGGACCACGCATCCGCGCTCGTCCGTTGGCAGAGGAGCTGCCTTGATCCATGGGTGGTTGTTCGCCAACTGTCGAGTGGGTCGGTGGTTGACCGTTGGCGGGGCCTTGAGAGAGGTCTTGTGCTGCGGGTGGTGGTGCACCGGCAGCCGTTCCATTGCCCTCACCGCTCGGAGCTACAGCTTGAAGATGCGCGGAAAGCGCGTTGTTGTAAGTAGGACAGCCAGAACACGCGGATGTGCCACCGGTACCGTCGCAACGCCCATCTCCGGGGCATGTCCCCGGCGGATGTGCTGGTTTCTGCACCTGGGCATTGGGCTTGGCCTGAGGCGGCAAAGCCGGTGAATTACGCTGTTGTGGGGCCTGCACGGAAGGCAGGGATGTTGCCGCTGTGGTCGGCATAGGTGAAGCAGAGTGAGCGGTAGAGAGGGGGGATCGGTCTCGTGTTGTGGATTGCTGGATGCGCAACGGTGACTGCGAGGGTGAAAGGCCGTCGACAGGGTCTGCGTTCGGGTGAGTGGCCGAAGGGACTACTGACGTCCGTCTGAGTGCGACGGGACGAGGTGAGCCGTGGGCCTTGTAATAAAGGCCTTTAGCACCGTACCCAAGCGATAATATCATAGTCGCGGGAAGCAACACGACATTACATGCAGGCGATGCAGTCGGAGGTGGTGGACGATGGAGGGGCGGAGAGGGAGCAAACGGGCATCAGTAAACGTGTCAAGGCAATGATAGGAGAAGGGAGAGGTGATTGACATGCCCGAACATATAGAACGCCGCGCGCTCGACGATCTATGCGCTACCCTTTCAGTAGGCATGCGTCAGAGGCGAGGACACGATATGATTAGCACCGAGGAAGCGTCTGGTCTTCGAATGCCTCTCACACGTGCCCCTGGGAGGATCTCGATAGACCGTCGTGCTCTGACGATATCTGACGCTACGGGCCGAGAGGGGAAGTTGCAAGGAAGGCGAGACTCACCGCAGGCATTGCACACCGTCTTGCCATCTCCGTCGCGGCGCCAAAGGGGCGTATTGCTAGAGCCGCAATTCGCGCAACTGTTCGTGCGACTCGATACGTCCACCTGGCCGTGCTGGATGAGGGAGGGGTCAATGTTCCCCTCGTTGCGTTCGCGCAACGTGGGGTCCACGGCGTAGGGAGATGACGGTCCGTTGCCGTTCCGAGGCTGCAACGCAGCGCGTGAAGGGGAGGACGGTGTGGCCACATCCTGGATGGACTGGCTCGGCGGCTGGGCGTGCATGTGGCCCACAAACTGCACACGCGAGATGGGCGACATGGCGGGGCTGTGCATATTCATGACCGGAGACTCGAGTATGACGGGGCCAGGCATTGTCGAAGCAGTCCGCTCTGAAGGTGTGCTGGCAGTCTGCTGACTGAGCAGTGTTGAACGCGTGCGGGGACCGTAGCAGGCCTGCGCGGGTTGTCCGGAGGCGAGCAGAGGTTGGTAGTTGGCGAGCAAGGGGTCGGGGACGCGACGGCCACAAAGGACTTAGAGTCGAAGAAGAGTTAGGGGAGCGGACAAGAATCGTCGGGAGTCCGAGAAAGATATAGCGGCAGATAGCGATGGTAGCCCCACCCAGCCAATCACACTCCACCTATTACATAGACGCCCGGTGATCACTCCTGCTGCTTATCTAATCTTGCCCGAGAATGGCAGCTACATCCTTTCTCCGAGCTCCCTCCGACGTCGAGCATCGTCGTTCGTAAGTCATTGTGTGGAAAATATTGCGCTCTCGGAGGACATCGCAGAGCCATGATTTTCGGGACCACGTACACGACATTCCCAGATTGTCAGGCGATGCTCGGAGCTTGGTTACGTCCCTCACCCATTTGCTGGTGACTAAATCTTATCTATCCGCTGGTGTGCCGCTTTGCCTTATTAAGACGTGTTCCGCTCAGGTCTGGAGCGCTCGCCACCAAGGACACCGAGATCAAAGGGAGCCTTTTGGGTAATTGTTTGCTTCACCTGCCCGTTTCGGCAGGGTTAACAAATCCGTGATTACTTCCATGCTCAGCGAAGCCCTCAGTGCGGCGACATTTCCTCCGTATAGCTCTCACCGTCTCTGTTTCCTCCCACTCCAGGCAGCGGCGGTCACAAGCCATGGCGTGGCCTGATGAAATTTAGATCCGTGTCTCCATTCCGTGAGGGGCGCCAGTAGGATTAGATTCTCACTCGCCTCATCATTACTGTAATTTGCATGGGACAGTCGACACGAACCTGCGTAGCCGAAGACGACCCTGGAAACTTGCACCAAATTTACGTATCAGTGCAGGATAAGGTTGAGACCGCTTGTCTGATAAGATACGCGCGCGGTCCATTGGTCACAAGCCATGTGCACGGAAATATCAGAATGCCCAAGAGCGTAACGCGGTATGCCAAACAAGCCAGACGACACTCCGCAAGGTGGGGTGATCCCAACGTGCTGGATCACTGGACAATCAGGATGTGACTAGTCTATTGCACGAGAACAGGATCCGGAGACGTGATGAAAGACAAATCATCGTAAGTGCAGAGTGCTCACCAAACTGTCACCCCATCGCTGGTTGTGCCAATTACGACATACGGAAAGGAGATCCGAAGGGCGTAATTGTGACGCGGTACAAGCAGCGGATTGAATGGTAGGTATCGCCTCTCACCGGGATCGGAGATGTGCAGCGACGGTTAGGATGTCCCGAGGAACCGCTGGACCTAGTACGGTGTGACGCAGATTAGCAATTGAGTTGGGGAACATGTTTAGATTAGTAACATACGCGCCGTTGTCTCCGCCTTCCGCGTAGATTGTTTCTGGGGGAGACGCTAGCATGGTTGATTATCGATACAATTCAATCGCAGAAGGAAAGCCCGTAGTCTCTCGTAGCCGACGACGTACGGTGGCCCTCAGACCTTACACGTTCCAGTTTTCATGCGGTCGCGGACCTCCGGAGGGGCGAAAGACACATCGGTCTTGATTGGACTGCGAAGGACGAGTCAGATGGGAAAGTCAGAAATCTCCCACCAGCTGCATTGACATTGCGTCTCCTCCCACATCCTTGGGAAGTTCAGGCATATCACCGAGGCGCCACAATGCTGGTTCCGTAGTTCTTGTGGCCGTAACACTGTCATTGGGAGCGCTCGACGAAGATGGAACCTCGGTCGGATCCGATGGACAAACTCAGACTGAGATGATACGATGCGCACCTTATCAGATAACGCATGGTGCGCCGCAGAAGGTTGGGTAGCAGACGACCGATGTGGCCGGGAGAAGGCCTGGGGGACAGGTGACGGAGGGTACGTCGACGAAGGGGGCCAAGGCGGCCGTCGCGACGCGAGTCCTTTAATACAAATCTGGTAAATAAGGAATCCAGAGCACGGATGGACGCACCCTGATTAAGGGTCGTGAGTGCGGTGAGGTTGTATTGGCCGAACTCCTGGTGACAGACACCAGCTAGATCCCAGAGGGCGGTCCACGCGAGTTCAGGGACGAGCCGGATTTTGTCTGAGAAGTCAATTCAAGTAGGTGCATCGGTCGTTTGGAAGGTGTTCGTGGTCTGGACCTTCCGAAGAGACGAATGGTGGGTGAAGACCGTGGCTGAGAGCAGGCTGTGGCTGCCAGTGCGGTGGCCGAAGAACGACTCACGTGCGGACGCGTCGCGTCGCGTGGGTACGCGGATCGGGAGATTTGGACCCTGGCCTGCATCCCCGGTGCTCCTCCGGTCCATCATGAGCGTCCTACCGCACACATTGCTCATCTTGGTACATCTTCATCTCTTGAACCACCCCTCAACGAACCCTTCGGCATATGATGAACACCTCTTTGATCCCACGCGAATCGGCATACGGGAACGCACGAAGGCCATGGAGGATATCTCCTACTTCCTAGTAGCCAAGGTGGAAGGCGGGAAGGGGCGTGCTAGATCGGTAAGCGTGGACGCTACCTACTTTGGCTGATATTGCTGATCAATTCGTCTACAGTTTTTGTCCACATACCCTTGTCTACAGCCTGCGGACACCACCGCATTTCGTATTTCACTAGCGAAGTATCTCGAGACTCTGCGACACAGTAGCTTATTCCCTAGCCATGCGGAAGATAGACAGAAGAGCAAGGATGATACGAAGGTGAAACATGCTGACACGCCACAAAGGCACGCCTGGTGGTGGCAGGACGTGGTGGTACGTAAATCCCTTCTGGAGGAATGCAGCGGTGAGCGGTATGTTGCTCCACCTTCTCTCAATGGATATTCAGATCCCGGCTTACGCTGTCTCGCAGGTTCGAGCGTCTGCTCCTGGCTCTGTCCATACACGCACTCTTCGTCAATACACCTGGACCATCCGTGCCTGACCCGGTGTCTCAAGCGGAAGTGCCGAGGCGTATTGTATGAGGCCGAGCAAGTATGGCTTGCCGCGCATCTCACTTCTCTTACTAGGAATCACTGCAGACCCTGCCACAAGCATATGTCTCTCTTCTGGAATCGTCGCTATCCGCGCGACGTGGATGGGAACAGTCCGCGTCGCGTCTCGTGCAGGAGCAAGAGGATTTGTCAGTCCTCCGCGTGAGCCGCTTTTTCATCTGCTCGTGCGCGGCCCCCGTACCCACTGAAATTTCTCGTCCAATCAGGAACGCCTCCTAGACCCGACTGCCGCATCGAGCTCGAAGTTTGACAGCCTGTCAACAGACCGCCTCGTAGCTCTCCGAGACTCACGCCTGCATGATCTCCTCCGCGCGACATGGAAGAACGCAGACGGCCGCCGTGCTCTGCACTTCCTCATAGACCTTGCAGGGCTGCAGACTTCCCCCGTTACTCGTGACGCATCCCGACCTCTCCAGACCGCCGATGTCGGGCAAGATAAGGCGGACGTTCAGGTATGTACGCGTGCACACAAGGATTCGTTACGCGTCCTCCGAAATAGCGGCCAATCCTCTCTATTGTAGTGCACACTACCGACCCCTGTTACCGTCCCTCCACTACCGATTGCCGCCGCCAACCACCCAACGAATGTACGCTCTCTCAAGGCTCCCCTCTTCTCTCCGCCGACAAAGAGCCTCTCCGCCAATCCTCCGGTCTCCGAAGCAAATACACACTCCGCCCAGGATCCCACAAAAGATCGTCTGTCAGAGCGACTAGCCTCGATCCAGCGCACTCATCAGGCCCTCCTTGATGTTGCACTACGGACCGACAACGTCCGCCAGGACCTGGAGCGGCGCTCGCGCTCAGCGCAACCGGCGCACGCGGTGCCCGCTCTCGGGACCGGCTCCAGCCTCAACCTGGGCATCTGGGAAGCACCGTCACGCATGCACATTGACTTCAGAGTAAGCATCCACTTCATCTCAGGGCAACAGAAATAACCCTCCTGTGGGACCTCACCTCTTCTACCTCCCTTAGGCGCCAAGCGAAGTCCCCTCAAGCTCCACGCTTGGGCCGCCGGCAGACACAGTTGTTGAGGAACGCATTGCTCGGATCCGAACCGCCCTGCTCCCCAAATATCCTGAGGCACCGTCTCACAGTGACTTGGATTTGGACGAGCCCGCTACATCATCAGTCAGCATCGCGACTACGTCCGCAAGCCGGCTACTTCAGCCGTCTGGGAAGGGTCATTGGCGATCTCAGGGATCCAAGGATAGCGGCTACGATGTCAAAGCCAATCGTTATCAACCCGCGAAAGCTGCAGACCTTGCTGTTCACGACCGCGACCCTAAGATTTCTGGCGAGATGAAAGAGCCGCGGGCTTTGGACGTGGATACTGGCGCCCGGAAGGTGTCAACGAAGCTTTCACGAAGGGCATCAGCTGCCAGAGCACGCCGTACGACACTGCTTGCGCGACGTAATCTGTATGATGACGAGGTAGACGAAGTGAGTCCGGGGCACTCCTACCCAAAACTGCATTGCGTAACGGGGCTCTCACCGATGCCCCTGTCAGATAGTGGAAGCGGTTGAGGATGGTTCCCCACCATTCGCAGACAACGTTCAAACGCCAAAGGCAAGGCAAGGCACGGCAGGTACCCTCTTGTCGACTATCAAGAAGACAATCCCCCGACCTTCCTTTGACATCGAACGGCACGAACGCGCGATAGACGTGCCGCTGCCCAAACTCAGGCTCAGCGCACTCGACACGCATGACCTGCATGCAGAGATCTCGCCCAAGGAGGACGTGGTACGACGCTTTCCTGTGCCTGCCCAGGACGAGCACTCTGGGGACGAAGATGAGTTCTATGAGGGTCACAGTGTCACTCTCAGGGATATCCTGCTGAAGGCGACCGATGCAAATGGCGATCAATACGACTTGCTCGGGGAGGAGGAAGACGACTTAGGTGACGAAGCCTTCGAATGGTAATGAGAACTTGCGGCACGATTCGAGTTTAGTCTTGTACATCGCCTTTACGTGCATGCGATATTGTAGATGGACGGAGCCCTCGCGGCATTGAAACACAACCGGACCGCTTGCTAGCGAGCGGTAAGGTAGGACCATGTGTGCAAAGCTTCTTCATTTGCGACGAGAGCGATCTCAGTGCCATCTCCGGCGGACTTCTGTGAGCCAGCGCGGTAATGAATTGAAGCATAGATATCGCATGGTACATAGCTCATGGATTTTGCGCGTGCGTGGTGGCACGAGTACATGCTCGTGCGTGGGTGTAGCAAACAAGGACATAGACGAAAATGAACCGAAGAACCGTTGCAACGATAGCGGGATATGGTGCTCATGCCTCAGCCGTCTTCGCCTTGACCTTCTTGGTGGCGACAGTGTTTTCCCTGCAAAATTGTGAGCATCGCTAGCGCCGCGCGTGCAAGATGGACGCACCTGAAGCCGTTCTTGAACCGCCTGGAAACCTCCTTGAGGTAGCGCATCCGGCCGGTACCAGTGGTCTTTCGGCGCTTCGCCTTCTGACCCCACTCGTACGACCGCAGCTTAGCACGAGGGTACCCGCACTGCGCGCACTCTGTAGTAGGGATCGTATGTGAGTATACACGGATGGTAGATGCCGGGCGGGGAAGGGGCAGACTAGCACGCACCCTTGTGCTGCTTGTGGAAAGAGCGGTTGCCGCACCGGCGGCAGAGGGTGTGGCTCTTGGTGTGCCGCTTACTGTGGTCGTCAAGAAGTGCGTGGTCAATATAGGGTACTCGCACGAGTGGAGGAGATGGATACGCACCCGAAGGACGTGGTACCTACGCACCATCGAGTAGTAAAACATCAGTTTCTCCATCCAACCATATCGTCTCTAGGGGACAGACCTTTCGTCTAGGGAGAAGATCAGCGTCAGCATGTCAGAGGGACCAGTTAGGTGTACACCAGGCAGAGGGACGTCTGCCGTCATCCGTAGCTTATTCAACGCATCCACCCCTCATCCTGCACCAAATCACCCCGTTCGACCGCACATTCGCGTCGCAGCCCTCCAGACGTCCCCCTCCCTCGAGAAATGGGCATAGACTCACCATGTTGCCTTGAGGATTTTGAGGATACCGGTGGGTGTTGAGGTTTTCGTCGCCACCCTTCCCTATCGAGGTTGTGGGAACTTGGCCACGTGGGTTCAATAGACGCCCGATTCGAAGGCCCGTCTTTCGCCCTGTCCCCGCGCAGTGCACTCGTTCACTCAACTCATCCCCACCAAGTGCCTCCAGTACGACGCGTTCATCGAAAATCCTATGGGTTATCCTGCTATATGATCCACGGGCTCAGATATTTGTGAAGGCGTTTAGCTGAAAGCGGGAGTAGGGCCTATGTCTAGATGCAACCTTGACTAACGTTGCTATCTTAGGCTATACGTTGTCTACAATGTTGCTACAATGTCACATGTGATCCTGAACGCGTGTGTCAAGCAGGGAGGCAGCAGACGGATTGCTCTGAATAGGCAGAGTTAGCAAGCAATCCGAATCGAATCAGAGTTCATTCACCTATTCAGTCAAGGATCGGTCGACGCGCGATGCATGGTGAGCGGGTAGGTGGCAAGACATAGGATATGAACCGCATCCAAAGCCACGACCCGCGGTGACGCAAGGATTCAATCAACTGCGAGAGGTCGTGGATGCCGTATGGATGCTGATGCGAGGCGTAGACGAAGAAGGTGTGAGGTGCATCCTGAGGGCAGCCAGTCGGCGCCCGCCAATCGAAGCCGTTTCAGGTTCAGGAGATGAGATTCCCGTATGCACATTGGCCAGGTGAAGGTGTCGTGGGTCGCTTTCAAGAGGTAAACACGGTAGTACTATCTCGGTAGTATAGCCCCCTTCCTCCTCGAGCAGAACATCCGGCATATGGTCTCGAAACCTTCGGAAGGCATGTTCTGTGCAGGTGCCTTTTGCTCGTGGGATATCAACCGCTGCACATCAGTGCGCAACTCACGAGGCTCAACGGGTCGGGCAAAGGTAGCTAATTCTGTAGTCGATGAGCTCCTGGGGGAGATGTCGACCTGGTCCCATATCCTCTGCGATCGGCTACTTACGAGGTCAGATTCGTGGCGGAAGGTAGTCGTTTACATACAATCTAGATGCCTCAAGAGGAAGGTATGGGACGGTCGAGCTCAGGATGTACCTAGGTCTACATAGGGCTCCGCCCTCAGTGACCCTAAAGGGACAAAACAAACAAACAAACTAGATGCCTCATAGACCCGAAAGTGACAACGAGGGTCAAGATGTGCTGTCGAATGGCAGCAAGAGTGAAATGAACGTCGCTTCCATTTAGTCTATTGCACGAGAACAGGATCCGGAGACGTGATGATTCCACTATGTAGTGCGGTAGCATCACTAGTTGGTGCCGTCTAATATAGTATCAAGGTCAATTCGTGAGTCTCACTCAGTAGCATGTTGCTGCATGTGCCCCATGATTTGCTGTCTTCAACGTCGGTCTGGAAATAAACTTGGATGAGCATCGCGTTCACATTTCTTCGAGTCTGGTCTTGCTTTCGAGTCTCGTTCCGTAGCGTCTCCGACCGCCCGCATGCGATCGATACTCGGTCGACGACTTCCTACAAAGGACTGCGAATCATCTCGGAAATGAATTCCTGATAATGTGGTGTACTTCAAGTGTCCGATTGGTCCTAGACTGCTAGTGGCAATTATCTGGTATCTTGATATGTGTGGGTCTATTCCAAGTGTCCGTCGATCGAGAACTCGGGGATACGGAGGTCATACACCGCATAAGCGCCCAGAGGCGGGCCTTCGCGGCTCGTGGCTTGTGCGCGCGCGCAGGTTCTATCGTCCCACCGAATGTCCCTTCACCCTTCCTCGTCGATCTTCCTGGTGCATCTTCTGTGCAAAGTGTCTGAGTCTACCCTTATGTCTCTGTGGTTCTCTGGGGTGACAAGCGCATAGTATACATGTCATTCAACGCGCGCCTGAACGACTCGCGTCGTGTCCAACGCGGTTCCGGCAAACCCGCAACTAACGGACGACACTACTCGGCCTCTGCGGCAGCCCAGGCGACAGAGGACAAGCAGCCCAATGAATCCATAAACAAGCGTGCGTTGACCAACCCACCTATCATTCGGAGTACACAGCCGCCACCCAGAGGACATGGTGGTCGTGGCCGCGGGCGTCCGCCTAGAGGCGGAGGCTTCAAGTAAGAATCAAGGTTTTAGCAATCAGTGGATAATGTTAATCTGTCTTTTGCGCTCTGTTTTGTGTAGTAAAGGCTTTGCCAATGGTAGCAGCTCGGCAAGTGCACATAGCGGTAACGACCAAGCTTCTCCCGGGAGGCTTGTCGACATTCTACGCGCGAAGGCAGGGGTGCCAACACGGCGCACGACGGTTGGAGATGGACCTTCGGGGACAGCCATACCACCTCATAGTACAGAAAGTGCCGCTGTGCAGCCTGGTGAGCCCTCAGCGGCCGCAAGCAACAATCACCCAGCCGGACGGCATAAAAAGTGGAGGTCAAGGCGTGGAGGATCGGGCTCGAAAGCAAGTACGCACTCGCCTGCCGTCTCTGAGCGTGACTATATTCCGGCAAATGCACATGCAGCGGAGCCTCCGCGGAAGAAGCGCAAGATCACTCCGGACATCCCTGATCTCGAATATCCATCCTATTCAGACATTGTGGCTCCGTCCCCTCCGTCCATTGACCCGCAACTACCTGCTGCTTCCGATGCTATTGCAACGAATGTCACGCCACCAGTGGCCGGACCCAGCGAGGCGACAGTTAAACATGAACGCAGCCCAAGTCCCGCGCTACCTAGCGGCCCCGTGCCTGTGAAGGAAGGAGCACTGCGCTGCGCCCCCATACCGGAGGCGTGCAAGAAGGGGCGTCCGGGTTTCCAGGAGAAACGACGTGCTTGGGTAGCGGAAAAGAAGAAATATCTGCAGAAGCTAAATATCGAGCCTGTTCGCGTCTTTCTGAGGTGAGTGCCTCGCAAAATCATTACATGTGACTGCTTGGCTGAAGCTAGCTATCTGTGCAGAGACGATGGGATGGTCATAGACTGGTAAGGGTTCCGCTGAAGGTGGCAGGACGAACAACTCACGACCCTGCTTATCCTGCAGGTCGAGTCCTATACCAGTGATGTCGGATACCCTGCTGCCGCCTCGCCCGGCGGACAATGCGACCATGCCCTGCGACCGGGAGTCTAGTCCAGAAATCATCGAGATAGACAATCCCGGACTGCCTGCACCTCCAAACGGGGCGTCTCTGCCACGACGCAGCACCGCGAATCCGATAAGACCACTTATATCATCAAAGGAGGATGATGATACCGACGTCCTCCCACGAGCCATACCAAACAATGCACCCGCGCGGAGTGTGCGTGAAGCGAATCCGGAAGTCCTTGAGAATGGTCCCAACCAAGCTACGCCTCTCACGGATGCGCTTCAGCCACAACGCAGCGCAGCGGGCCCATTTAGACCATCTGCGCTGTCAATTAATAGTATGCACGCAGAGATGCTCCCGCCAACCGGTCTTGAATACACGCAAAACGGCCGGGAGGCGAGTATAGACATAATGGACATTGATCATCCCAACCAACCTGCGCCTCCCGCACAACACAGCACCGCGGACCCGTCAAGACCACCTGCATCCCGAGAGAAAGCAAACGATGTAAACATGCTCCCGTCTCCTAAACCCCTCCCCCTCCCCCTTCCCCGACGCAGCTCGTTGAAGGCTACGAGAACAACCCATTCGCTGCAACCGGACGCTGGGCAGGTCGACGACAATAATCCCGCGCCAGCCCCCCCAGCGGTGGATCTCCTACAGCTCATCCCGAACACATCGCCACCCCCTCTCAGCGCGGAGGAGGCAGAACTCGAACGCGGAGCCCTCGCCTTCCTCCGGAACTACATCCGCCTCTTCGACCGCGACCGCACCGCACTCGTGCGCGCATACTCGCACGTCGCGACGTTCTCCGTCACGACGCACGACCCCTCGCGCCCGGCGTCCCTGCCCTCGCCGCGCGCACTCGCGCGGCGGCTGAGGCAGGGGCGGACGGACCTATTGGGCGGTTTGCTGTTGTTGCCCGCCGGGCGCAAGTTCCTGCCTGAGGGGCCGAGGGGCGTGAAGTACGACGTGGTGTGCCTTGGCGCTGAGAATAAGCTCGAGGTGCTGCTCATGTGCTATGTGGAGGAGACCAAGGACGAAGATGGACTGGTTTGGGCCTGCGATCAGCGGTTTGTTCTGAGGAAGAAGGAGTGGGATGATGTTGACAGGTGAGTGACCCCGAGATGTGCTGGAGTCTTTGTTGACGACGAGTATCCGCAGGTCTACGGGGGGACTCTGGCCTTTAGTTGCTGTCTCACATCAAATGACGATACGAGAGAAGATACCGGAGCTGCCGCGACCAACTGCATTGTAACACTTACTATTAGCGCGTTCACTTGATACTGTCCATGAACGATCGGACCTGTAGCCCACTCATCTACATTTTCATTTTGTGTATTCCTTGGATCAACTGCATCGCATCACCGTTTTCATGTAGCGTACTTGACCTGTCCATGTCATTGCCAATGCACCCGCATAGCCACGCATACTTCAGACCATGCATCTCATGCTCAGCTCTGTGGGAGACTCACATTCCAGCCTAGAGTACAACAATGCCTATTTGAACATGAACTGACCGGGAGTAGTACCAAGTGTCCGACATTAGTCAGATTATACGGAACGAGGAGAACGTAATACAATGAGTGTGTATGGTGTTACGGGGAACCGCAGGGGTAAAGATGAATGAATCAGAACTCCGTTGTATGAAGACGGAGGAAGGCCAGGATCGAAACTGATATGCACCGCGTCACAATCCTCCAAGCCTCCAAGTGACAGTCTAATGACGACGGGACCACGACTAGCGCAGGAATGCTGATCACCTAGAGGACATCCGCGAAACCACCAGCGCGAGCACGAGGATGATGCCCCACCGCCACTTCTGCCAGAGGACCTGCCGCCAGGCGTCAGTCCAACCCGGCGCATTCGCGGCTGCCTCACCATTCGCGTTGGGGTTCGATGGCCGCGACAACGCGTTTGGGTCCGCACTGGTCGAGCTGGTGGGCGTTGCTGATGGTGTGGTGCTAGACGCGGGTGGGGCGGGTGGCGGAATGTTGGTGGAGGCTGAACCGCGCTCCTTCTCGCCCATGTTGGGCAAGTCGCGCATGGCTAGTGTGCAGTAGTCCGAGAACGCCTCCTGGAACCGCTTCTGCTTGATATTCCACGCATGGCTGCGGACGGCATATGCGCGTTTGTCCGAGTCGGTGGAGGTCACTGAGCCCGTCGTCATCTCATCCGAGAGCATGAAGGACAGGAGGCCGGTCAATCTGTGTTGCAGTTGATCATGAGCGCCACAGCCACTCAAGGGCGGACATGAATACGCACATTGTTGATACACTCCATGCGGGGTTCCACTGATCAGGCACATGAGGGAGTCAGTGATGTCTGCAGTGCACAATAAGGCCATACATACAGTGCCTGGGTGGAAGTCGGACATGGAGAAGCATATCTTGCGGTCTGGCTGGAAGCGGCCTGAGGGCGTCAACATCTGGGAAAGTCAGTCGATCGGTCAGCATGGGCGGACACACGACAGAGGGGGACGTACCTTGATACCTGGAGGCTTGAATGGGTACTCCGAGGGGAAAAGCAGGACACCGTGATACTCGCCGCCGGCAAAGGGGGAGTCGGGAGGCCCGCGCTGGACACAGGGAGACAGCCACTTGAGCGCGATGGACTACTGCACACAAACGAGCCGAACGTACAATGATGTAATTCCCTGCAACCGCCTGGTGAGATATAAGTATCCCTGATGAGCGTGTGCACTCACATGTCAAGATGTTCTTCTCCTCGGGCACCGCCCAGACGAAGGGTGGAGGATCCCTCTGCATGGTCATGTACTCCTTTGTGAGCTATTCCCCAGGCCCGTCAGTCGCATGATCGCACAAGGAAAGGGGTCGCTGCGTACACGCTTGTGTGCTGCCTTGGACGCCATGGTGGGGGACGGCGGACGGGTGATGGACGATGAGGGCGCAGCGGAGAGTAGGCGGAGCTGTGTGTAGGGACGACCGAGGACGACCGTCGAGCCCTTGTTCGGCGGCCATGTGGATCTCGCGTGCGTTGTCAGTCGCGTGATCTCGGACGGCGACCGTGTCCAGCGCCCGGCGCGTCCAGCTCGAGCATCATCCAGCCCCTCCGCCACCCACTGCCATGGCCCTTCCGCCGCGGGGACGAGTGATTGTCGACACAACTGCGGGGGAGATTGACATTGAGCTCTGGTCCAAGGTATGCTTAGCGCTACTGGAACCGGCCACAGTACCTGACGAGCCTGCAGGAAACTCCGAAGACATGTAGGAACTTCATCGCACTGGCCATGGAAGGTACGCGTCCGTGCAGTCTCCAGAGGCAATTGCTCAACTTTATGATCAGGCTACTACGACGGTGTCATATTCCACCGGTATGTGAACACCTGGTTGCGTGTGCGACACGCCTTCATGTCATTGCCAGGATTGTTCCCGGCTTCCTCGTTCAGACAGGAGACAAGACGGGTACAGGAGCTGGTGGAGAGTCTTTCTATGGAGGTACGCGTGCGAAACTTTAGCAAGGACCATTGAAGCTCACAGTTTGGAACAGAGCCTTTCGAAGATGAGATACACCCGCGCCTGCGTTTCGCGCATCGGGGGCTCGTCGCAATGGCCAACAACGGCACGAAGAACTCCAATGACTCCCAGTTCTTCATTACGCTAGGTACATGATCTACGCTCTCACTTCGCACTGTGAGACTCATTCGTCCCAAGATCGCGCCGACGAACTGCACGGTAAACATACGCTCTTCGGTCGTGTCATTGGAGACACGCTCTACAGTACGTCAACAAACTGCTCGACCTGTCTATCCTTGCTGAGAACATGCGTCTACGCCAGATGTTTTGAAGATCGGTGAAATGGGTACGTCCCTGTCCGCGCAACCCTGAAGGTTGTCATGAGGTTTTTAGGCTCCCTTCACTAGAGATTGACGAAAGCGAACGGCCACTCTAGTCAGTATCATCGCTCGCTTCATCGCCCTTGCACGTCCCCTGACTATTGGTCATAGTCCACCTAAGATCAAGACTGTCCGCATCGTCGACAATCCGTTCCCAGACATCATCCCTCGCATCACCGCCGAGGAGAAACGCGCGCAGCAGCGAGCCCGCGAAAAGGCGCAGCGCGAACGAGAAGAGGAACAGCGACGGCGAGGCGCGAAGAGGTACGTGTGTCGGGTTCCAAAGTGTCTCCGTCTATGTAAACCGTATTGACTTGCTCACCCATAGGGACGTCAAGCTGCTCAGCTTCGGCGCGGACGAGGGCGGCGAGGAGGAAGAGCCCATCACATTTAAGAAAAAACCGATCGTTCGCCCTGATTGTGTGTATGCTCTACCGTACTAGAGGTGGCGATACTGACGGCCATTCAGTACTCGAGGCCAGTCAGCCTATCGGCATCCCCGACTTGAATGCGCCTTCATTCAAAGAGAAGAAGCCAAAGCAAAGCAAGGATCATGGCGATGAGTCGAAATCGGTGAGTTTGTCGTGGTATGAGGGTCGATTGTACAATTGCTGAAGACAAACATAGCCTGAGGGATCCTCCAAACCGTCCAAGAAGCAAGAGGACATCGAGATCACCAAGATCCGCGAGAAACACGCACAAGAAAAGGCATCAGAGAAGTACGCATTACCGTTCCCCGCATCTCCCCATACTCACTCCGTCGACCCAGAACCGCCCGGCAGACGGAGATCGAGAAGATGGAGGCGGACATCCGGAAGCTCACGCGGCGGGCGGCGGGCGAGGACAGCGACGAGGAGCGCGCGCGGAAGAAGCCGAAGCGCTCCTACCTCGAGGAGGAGATGGCGAAGTACACGAAGGGCCGCGGCGTGCACAAGAAGGGCAAGCGGAGGGACGAGGGCGACGTCCTTGCGGCGCTGAATAGCTTCCGGAGCAAGATCAAGAGTACTGCGCCTGAGGAAGGGGAAGATGACGTCGATATGGCGAACGCGGATGGCCAGGCTGGTGAGGGCGAGGGGACCGCGGCTGCCGCGCCGGGAGAGGAGGTGGGCATGGAGGTGGACGATGATGTGGGCTTCTTGGCGCACAAATTGTCCTTCCCGAAGGGGAACGACGAGGAGGTGGCGAAGGCTGAGCGGGACTACGAAGTGATTGACCCGAGGCAGAGGGGCGCGAGGGCGAAGGAGGAGGAGCGGGAGAGGAAGCGCGCGATGAAAGCGAAGGATAGCAAACGAGGGTACAGGCGATAGCACACCGCTGTCTAGCTCTTCTGCTTGTTCGCTCACGGCATATGCTGTGATTGCTCGTTGTACATCTCTGTATTACTTCTTTGTATATCCCGCGAAAGTTCTGCCCCATCACCTCAGATATACAGCTGATCATTGCGCTCCTTATTTTCCTGCTCGTCCCAGAGCGTCCTCAGCGCTTTTGACACACCGCCGCTGAGGGGCTTGACCCAATCCCAAATGACATCCGCCACACTATCCTTCTCGAAGTCGCCCTCGACGACGACCCAGCCACCCTCCGTGAGGAGCCCCATGCCCATCTCCTCGCCGATCCGCTCGAACACCTCCTTGACCTTGCTCTGCACCTCCTCCGTCTCGTAGCGCTCATCGCCGAAGCCGCCGCGCGCCCTCACCATGTCCAGCCCAACGTCGATGAAGAGTGTGAGGTCCGGTGCGGGCAGGCCGACGTCGGGCGCGCGGCACCACTCGTACGGCATATTGGACGGCTTGCAGAACGAGAAGGCGATCCCGGAGAAGGCATAGCGGTCGCAGACGATGGTCGTACCCGCCTTCAGTGTAGCCGAGATGGTGGACCTGCGTGCGTGAGCGAGGTTAGCAGTTGGTGTTTCAAAGAAGACAGGGGAGGACGGAGGCGTACGCAAACTCCCAGCGGTTTGCGGAGAAGAGGAGGTGGATGGCGTGGTCGTCGAGCTCAGAATGCGAGCGGAGGTAAGAATCAATCATCTTGCCAATCGGCGTCGAGCGGTCTGTACTAGCAGAGTGTTAGGATCGACGCGCACGACGAATGTTCAGGAAGAGTGCGAACCGGGGAACCTCATGAGCTTGACATCGACGCCCTCCTGCTTGAGGCGGTCGACGAGCATGGCAGCCTGGGTGCTCTTTCCTGACCTGTCGAGGCCCTCGAGGACGATGAACGCGCCGCGTTTCTGCTGCTCTGCCATGGTGGTGGATGCACAAGGGGCTGTAACGCGCGTCGCGTCCGATATCGGGATGCACGGCCACGTGCCCCGCGTTGTTCAATTCTACGATCGCTGCGCGATCGATCATTGCGAGTATACATGTCTGTCTATGTCTGTCACCACACTGCGCGCGCGTATACTCCGCCTGTAATCTTCGGTGCCATGCATTCGCCGATACGCCTGAATCTGATTCCACACTGTTCCGGAAATCTGGTCACAGTACTTGGTAGCGTGCCCCGTAGTACCACGGCTCACGCGCATCTTCAAGTTGCCAGTGAGCTTGTACAGGGTCGCGACATTCTTGGTTCCAGCTTTACCACGCTAGCGATGTACTGTTCCGGGAAGAACTGTTGAGATTTTCACTGAAGGGTTATTCACAGGGTTAATAACTGTTATTAACTGTGTGACGAACTGATAGGCGGCGAACAGGGTGTGACAAACTAGGACCAGCGGGGAAAAACTCCAAGATGGCCGGGTGGCTGCAGCGGGCAGCGGGCGGCGAAGCACGGCCGATAGTAAGTACATCGCTAAGTTAGTAGGATCAGTATCTGAGAGTCCGACTATCACAGCGATGATGTGCCATACAAAACAATGTATTGACTATTATTGACTGTACTACAGTGCCATTTATTGATTCAGCGGCGCACGCCGCAGTAGCAATCAGTTTGAGGTCACTTTGAGCGACTCTCCGAGTCGACTCTACTACTTCTATCATCCCCTCGACTCAACGGCCTGGTATCACCTGCATAACGGCGTTATGAGTGATCTTCCGCAACGCGCTCATGCATACATAAGAAGCCATCCCGGGGTGCAGGCCCGGGATCAGCAACAGCCGGCAAGCGCAAGGAGATGGCGAGCGATGGGAGTGTTGACGACGAAGTGTCTTCTCACTCTGAGTCTGACGGCGGTGAAGGCGGAATGGATGATTCGAGCGACGATGAATTCAAGTTGGATACCAACGAGTCGGAGACAGTCGACGAAGTCGAGATGCCAAGCGGACTCGAGAGCTATTGGCTGGCAGAGTTGCGAATCTCACAAACTCCTCTCTGCGCGATCTTGTGTCGGACACTCCGATAGAATCTGCGATGCCTCGGCCTTCTAAGAGCACTGTATCATCGCAAACAGTGGCCTCACGCCCTCAGAAGGCACCAGGTTGGGTATTTAGATAGGCGTACGGTACACTGTAGCTCCCTTCGACGCCTGCGACTATCTGTGGGAAAAACAGTTATTAACTGGGTGTGATTATCTCGAGGAGCGCGGCGACGCAGTTAATAACTGTGACAAACCTCGTGGGGAGTTCTTCCCGGAACAGTATAGCGATGCCATGATACCAAGCCTAGTCTACGAACAACAAGCGAGAAGTGGGTTTCGTCAAATGCTATGGTACAGTGACTTACTACTTCACGCAAACTTCCACTGGACCCCGCCGCCTACACCTGCAAGCCATGCACGTGCCTCAGGTGTCTCTTCAACGCGTCACCACGAGTAAACGTAATTAAGGGCTGCTCCAGTATCAGGGACGCGTTTTGAAGCAGACCCTTAGAAGACCGCCCCCCTGTCCGTCCAAGAGATCTTCTTTAAGGGGGAGACTATCACAGCCCCATGCGTCGCGCGCATCGCGTTCTTGATGAAGCGCGGTTCCGCTAAGTCTTGTTGCTCCTCCAGTATGTCGGCTGCACGGCGCAGCAGTCGAACCTGTTCGTGCACGTCACCAGCGTCCTCGTCATCATGATCAAGCTGGCATGAGGCATAGTCAGTGTCAACACTCACATTCAGTAAGTTGTTACCTACCGCGAAGCCCCCGCTCCCGCCTGCGCGCGTGCGCAAGAGACCGTCGCGCCCCGTTGGCGGCGCTTTGTTAGGTGACCAGTCGATATAGTACTAAGGACCGTACGCATGTACAAGCGCCACAAAACTGTCATAGGCATAACACAGGTATATCCAGGATCCCGTCGGTCGTGCGGCATTGCACACTACCGCACACATCGCGCTTGAAAAGAATGTGCGCGAGCATATACCACCACCAATACATAGGCTGCGGTAGGTGAGACGGCGAAACGGTGTGGAATTCGCAACAAAAGCAGTTGCACTCGCGTATATGACATGGCAGGTACGAACTACGTCGGGATAGCTGAGACTTAACTTCGGCGCGAGTTGGTTTCCCCTCGCACGAATGCGAAGGTACTTATCCCGAGGACCACGTAAAGGTCCGCGCCCGGACAGGCACCGCGTCCCCGCGAGTGCCCGCCCGCCCTCGGGTGGCTCTTGTAGCTCTTGCACTTGAGGCTGCCATCATCTTCTGGCGCTTGACTCTTCGCCCATGGATCGCCTCGAAGGGAGCCCGTTGGAGCGCTTGACTGTCTTCGCTGTTGAGCTCTTGAGGCTAGCCTCCTTTACCTTGCGGCGCTTGACCCTTCGCTGTTTCGAGCCCTTGAGACGGTCTTCTTCGCCTTGCTGCTCTTCACTCTTCACTCGCCGTTGAGCTCTTGAGGCTAGCCTCCTTTACCTTGCGGCGCTTGACCCTTCGCTCGTTGGAGCTCTTGATGCCCCTCTTGCGCGCCCTTCACTCTTCGCTCATTCGAGCACGTTGATGCAGCCTCTACTTCCGGCACTTGACCCTTCGCTCGTTCGAGCCCTTGAGGAAGGCCCGATTGGGGCGCTTGACCCTTCACTTGCTTCTGAGCCCTTGACGGAGCTATCCTTGCAGCGCTTGACCCCTGTATACAAGCGTGAGAAGGACATAAAGTGAGTGTCGGCAAGCGGACATACCAAGTACAGACTGGATATCGTCGCCGAGAACGTTTGACTCGGACGCGCGAGACCGGACCGACGGAGCGCATCCCAGACGAAGCGCACCAGAGAGCACACGCAGCCAAAAGGAGGAACACCACAGACCAGAGAGCAAGCACCACACCTCAGCGGCTGACAGAGAGTGTGGTCAAAACCGCGACACGTCGGTAGCAGAGGCCAACAGTTGATGAACGCCACTTGACCCAATGCGCGGCTGACAGAGTCCGAGACCAGTAACGCGGTTGTGGCGTAGGCGTCGAACTGTGCGCCAGAATGAGCATGAAGGCATGAAGGCATAGTGAATGCTTGACGTACCTTCGAGCTCGCTGTCGCTCATACTATGGGCGCCTCGGCCCTGAGCTGGCAAGTGGCGTTCCTAGTACCTAGTACAACGGCCAGGCACACATAGCTGAGGTCGGCTTACAAGACATCCTACGCGAGTCTAGAGCCAGGTACCGAGTGACCAGCCTGAGGGGAGTTGGGTAGGGGGGCAGAGTGGCGGCGGGGGCCCAGGTGAGGGGGAGAAGAAGAGGGGTTGCTCGCCCAATCTCGAACACGGCCGCCCTTATATACGTTTCGGACAAAGGCCGTAGCCACGCTGACCTTATATTCGCACGGACCATCTGATCCGCAGCCTGGGCCCGCCAAGGCAGCGATGCTACCGTTGTTTCCGTATATAGGCATTTGTGGGTCCACCTCGGTCGCTCAAAACGGCGAGGCTATGGCCAGGACCATGCGGACGACGGGCACGATAATAGATCATGCGCGCGATATGCCTGATATGCCTGATGCAGATACTCCGCGAGCAGCACGAGGTGATGCAATACTAGGATGTGAAGGTCAAAGCGTTTCCAGTGCAACAGAGAACGGAGGTCAGACAATGCATACTTGACAAAGGCTCAGTCCTGAGGCCTTGGCGGTTCACTCTCTAAAATTCACAGGCACCGCTGCGCACAGAGGCATCGGGCAACGTTGGCTACATTCTTGAACTTCTGGGCCGGGTGGCAGCTGTTTCGTAGAGTATTGCACCTAGTGGTGCTGGGCCTGACGGCCACTTTGGGTAGACTTGTTCGTGTTTGGGAGAGCCCCGGTTCGTCCGCTTCCGTATGTTGTATTCTGGGAGAGCGCCCTATTATTTGTCTGCAGACAATAATCGTAAGTCAGCCCTTGTGATCATGATGGGGTTGCGAGTGCCTGAGAACTGTAGTAACCCACCTGAGGTGACAAGCCACTGAGGCGAGCCGTCATTGCTCAGATGTTGGAGATATTGGCATACGTGGGCGAATGTGAGGCTGGCGAGTAGGTGCGGTGTCAGCTAGGCGACACCTTTCCTTTACTAGACTTCGGTCCACTACACAATAGCCGCTTGCATCTCGAGCCTTGCTAGGTTGGCACGCGTGGCCAGCCGTTTCAAGAACAGCATTATTCCGTACATATCAGGGGTACCGGAACCACCAGTATACGACAACGCAAGCTGTTTGCCACGTAGTACGACTCCAATGGCAGTTAGAGGGCTAGAGTTGACGAACAGGGGCCCGGGTGTAGACAGTTCGTTGTATGTTATGGCAGGTCGGTCGCTGTCGAAGCAGATGTCTCGTATGAAACGGTCGTGAGCTCAAGCGGTTCGGATGTTAGTGTCACTGTCAGCCACGGTCACGACTGCAGTGTGCAGCGACGAGCAGCTTCGTGACGGCAGGGAGGATGATCCCGATCTCGATCACAGGCTTGCGCCACAGACCTCCCGGCGCCACTCGATTCAAAGCGCTCGAGCGAACACAGCTCAACAGCCTCCACATAATGATGACCCAGGATGACCTACGCTTCACGAAGTCCGCTGCAGCCAGTATGCATCGCCTCCGTATGACGGTCGTTATCGCGGAAAAATACTTACAGTGAGAACTTAGTTGTCGCGTAAGACTTACCACTTAGTTGACACGTGAACCGTAGTACCCTTTGGACATAAATTCATGCCGTTTCGTGCACTTGGTCTCTACAATCATGCATATATTTCTTGTCTAGTCACTAATACTGTATATAGTTTGCAGTGAGATACACCCGTTGTCTGCTCACCTAGAATGCCAAAGTCTGCTTTGGCGGTTGATCAATTGCCTAATGCGGAATCATCAGCCAGTTGTGGCAACTTTGTCTACGCGCACTGCGGCTGTCCATTGCATGACATGGATAGCACGAACCCCGGAAGCCCGATCATCATATTATAGACTCGGAGCTGTGAAATGCCTTTTCATACTCCATAGCCCCCCTTATTGACGAGACGAATGGCCCGGGATCTTCAGTAGGAGAGCCATGGCCTTGAGCCCGCGGTTCTCATGGTATCGAAAGGGACAGATATTATGACATAAGTTGAAAGTGTATCAATTCAATGCAAAAATGTCATGCATCACAGAGAATAAAGGGGAAACCGTCTGGCGCAGTGGTCCCGGCAAGTGCGATGTTCATCCCGATTTGGCAAGGCCGCCTCGGGCACGTCGGCCGGGCGCCAATCACACTAAGTCTAAGTCGCGCGAAAGTAAGTCTTCAGAGTAAGTCAATCGCCGCGGAGCTACGACTTTCCTATAAGTATTTTACCGCGAAACCGTCACTCATACTGTTGGAACATACGGGCGAGCACGTGCCCGAATGCCGACGCGCCGACGCGTCCCGACGCGGCGCGATGTTACTGTACCCGCCGCGGGCCTTAATGTACCTTTCGCATCGATTAAACTACGTATATAAGGTGCTGATCTCTTGTATTTACTCTTCGCGCGTTTGCCTCCCCGCCCCGAGGACGAGACAAACCGCTACGATCTTACTGTTTTTCCCGCTGCTCACTCGCTCCGCCCGCTCGTTCCCACGCCTCGCCGACCCTTGCTTCAACACATACCTCCGGGGCATCAAGGCGTTCTATTCAGGTATCGTAGCCTACGTTCAATGATCAAAGTGAGTTCGCTGATTGCTCCGAGTCTGTAGCACCACCGTGACCGTGCAGTTCGCGCAGGTATACATAGACACGAAGATCCAGGTCCTGTTTAGTGCGAGCTACTAGCCTTCCCCCCTTCTCGCATTCTTCCTCTAGTGTCTAGCACCGAGACCTACACCGTCGCTCGCATCGCTATGTCCCAGAAGGGTCCTCTCCCTCCGCTCTTGATCTCCATGACCAACCACGTCGTCCCCGACTCGGCTCCCAATGCTCCTTACATTCCCTCCGTCGTCGAAGCGGCCAATTACTATTATGGCTTCCCCTCCAAGCCCCGTCTCGTGGCTCGTTCTAGCTGCGACGTTTGGATGAGGCCCACCGGTCCCGAGGCCTACCTCGTGCCCAAGGGCTTAATGCCACTCGGTTCCCACAGCCTCGCGACCGCCTGGGAGGACATAGTCAGTCCTGCCTTGTCTCGTTGCCTCGACGAGAAGGGGGTCAATTTCCTCACCATGACGCCCGCTCGCATCGACATCGTCGACCAACCTTCTCATCCCGTCGTCGTCCTCGTAGGAGTCGAGCCTGGCTCTCTCACCCACGAGCTCGGCATCGAGGCCGCTGTCGCGTGCCATTCCGTTCTCATCGCCAACTCCATCCTCGACGTCCACGTTGAGATCCGCGAGTCCAAGCCCAGCCTCGCTGCCGCTCTATATAGGCCCGCCGTCACGTCTAACCCTGCTGCCCGCCTCATCGAACCCTTCGCCACTTCCCTCGGTCTCCCCATCAGTTTTGTCAAGACGACCCACTACGAGGGAACCGCAGGGTTCTTCTTCACGGACAGTGCAAAGTCTGGAAAGCTCTTCATGCTCACCGCACGCCATGTACTATTTCATCCCGACGAGACGCCGAACACCATGTACGTCTTTAAAGACGGCACTGGTGCGCCGCAGAGGAAGGTCATCCTGTTGGGAAAGGCCGCCTTCGATGCTCGCGTCGAGGACATCGACGTTGCGATCCGTGCTAAGAAGGTCATCCTCGCGCAGCTGGCGAAGCGTGCGGCAGACGCTGCAGCCTTGGAAGACGAGGCCGAGGCCCGAGACGAAACGGAGGCGGTGCAGGCTGAGATGGAGAAGGCGGAGAAGGCAATCGCGGCCTTCGAGAAGTTGCGTACTGAAATCCTCCGAGACTGGCAGGACGAGGGCAAGCGGGTTATCGGCCGCGTCGTCCTGTCGCCGCCCTTCACTCTCAACTTCGGTACCGATGGGTATACCGAGGACTGGGCCGTCGTCGAGATCCACGGCACTATGATCTCGCGGCTTAACTTCATCGGTAACGCCATCGACCTCGGTTCCGTCGACGTCGACGTGCTAACGTCGTGGATGTATCCCGACTCCGCCAACCCGCATTCCTTCGATTACCCCGGCAACCGTCTCCTCCGCTTCTCCGGCACTCTATCGGATGAAGAGATGCGCCGTCCTCCTTCGCACACCAAAGACCAGGACAAGGATGCCGTGATTATGGTCTTGAAGAACGGCAACACCTCGGGCCTGACCGTCGGCTGTCTCAACAACGTTCGTTCTGTCGTTCGCCATTACTTCAAGGACCAGCCTGGTGTGGCGTCGAAGGAGGTAGCCGTTCTTCCTCGCACCTCAAAGTCCGGCGCCTTTTCCGCGCCCGGAGACTCCGGTTCTGCCGTCGTCGATGGCAAGGGCCGTGTCTGCGGAATACTCACCGGCGGCGACGGAGCCACGGACGTGTCCGACGTCACCTTCGTCACCTCCATCAACTTCCTCCTCAAGCGCCTCGCGGAGAACGACGTCAAGGCCAACATCTTCCCCACCGTGAGTCATTGACTGAGTCAATCGAAGCGTGAGCACTGCCAGTGTGCGAAGCTTGTACCAGCTATGTGACTTGAGGGGACGCGTCCCCGTGCTGCTTGATTCGTACCTTGTTGCAACTCTCCTCCTAACCATCAGTTGTGTCCTCTCAACTGCCCGACACTCGTACGCCAGGAATCTGTGAAGTCCAATACATCGAGACTCGTGCGCTAGGTCAGCGAACGGCCGTCTCTAGAGCGATGACTCGGAAATTGATCTCGTTTCTCAGGCTCTGCGTTACTCGGACATCGTCCTTTGCCCCACAATTGACCGACAAGCGAAGAATCGAAACTGCTGTACCGTTTCTCGTCGATCCCATGACGGATGTCCACACACCGGGCTGAGATTTGCTATGCATACCCGCAGTACATCAGGTATATGCTCATACAATCGTGGTCAGCATAAGCTTACTTGTGTCTAGCGAGGACTCTCCTCAGTTTCCGCAGGAGATATTCGATCATATCATCGATGACCTCTGGCTGCAGAAAGACATCCTGGCTCTCTACGCTTGTGCGCTGACTTGCAGGGCGTTGTACGACCGCAGCCGTCGTCATCTCTTGGTCGGAAGTCATATCGACATATACAGCCCTCAAGACCTCGACTTCGTCTCGCGCGTGCTGCTGTCCAAGAAGACTAGAAGATACTGGAAGCCGGGCCGGCGGGGCCTGGCCTGGAACACGCTTACCGTTGCGGACTCGACAAGTCCGGATCCTTTATTTGGCCACACGCCTCCACTACGCATATCTGGACATTTCCTGCCTGCCCATGTGACTGCACTCAGCTTCCTTGATACTGACTGGACGAAGGCGCATCCGAACACGTTCAGCTCCTTTGCGAGCTACCGGTCCATCACCTCTATATCCTTCGTCTGCTGTTCCTTCCGCAGCATGAAGGATCTATACAGGATCATCAGTCGTTTGCCAAACCTCCACACCGCTGGCATGTGTAAAATTAATGCATTGTGTCTTCATCCCCTACCGACACAGCATCAGCCTGGGGCATCCGCTGCTGCTCAGCGCGAACTGTCGCTGCGGAAAATCACACTGTCGCTCATTCGCACGCAATACTTGGACCCTTTACGCGGAGTACTCTCAGGCTCAGGATCCTCGATCGATACTGTGTCGTTCCATTGCATTGAGTTCCGGGCCTTCGAACAGTTTCGACAATTTGTGAGGGTGTTTCCCATGCTCAAGTGCCTGAAAGCCGAGGTGGATTGGCCATACTCCTCGACGCGAATGGAGTTACCCCCCATCAATTCCTTCACGCCCATGGCAAGCTTCATCGTTCCTACGGTGTTGCGCGAACTCGATCTACGACTTCTCTCCGAGCACGTACTGATAGATATCCTCGAATGGCTCGTATCTATACCAGGGCACGTTCCGCTCGAGTGCGTTCGCGTAGATGGGCCCAATCTGCTCCCTCTCGCGGATCTTCTTGAGCGTTTTGGGCCGACGATCCGGGAACTAAGCCTCACCACGAGCTCGGGTATGTGTCCTACAACTCGTTCCCGATAACATGCTAAAGACGGCTCTCTCCGATCTACACAGATGAGGGAAGAGATCTACCTACCCTTGCACACTGCACCAATCTCGAGAAATTGACCCTCCGCATGAGTTCTACAAATGGCAGCACGCCGGAAGCGCTTGTAGACATCTTGATGGCGTTGGTTGGTGTGCTTGCGAGCATCACCAGCACGCGCCTCCAATTCATCGACTTCGAGTTTCTCCCGGCGATCTTACCCCGACTTTCTGGGATCGACTATACCGGAAAAAACCGCGCCCTCACGCCAGTCTTCGTGAAACTGGCCGGCCTCGCTGATGAAATCCTCGCGCGCGACATATACGAGAGCCTCCCGCAGTTCGACGCTGAAGCACCCCGCGGCGCACGCATCGCCATCAGGCACCAGCATGCGGAGGAGCATAACCTTGCCTTCAGGCGCCTGGCATGTCTCCTGGCCAGGGTGTTCGAGCCGTGGATCGAACGCGATGTGTTGTCCATGACGCTCCAGCGTAAATATTTCCAAGGATATGCTGAGGAAGAAGAAACTTTGTATTTGAGCTGATCAATTGTGAGTGACTACGAGGATGCATCTTCGTGGCAGTAGTTATGTGTTGAACTACAGTACAGAAGAATCGGGTGGCGAGATGGCAATAGACATGGGCAAATGAAGGGCATCGAGGAGCACGAAAGGTGAATGACAAGTCACAAAAGCGCGCTGTTACATGATGTCCCACCCGTGGTAGAATAAGCGGTGTATTCGAGTGGTCTCGACCGAAATCAGTGTCCACCAGCGTGACAGACTCGAACACGGGCGTCGTTGATACATTTTGCGAGACGGCAGGATACATCAACGATGGGGAACACCTGCAAGCGGTCGGACAGGGCGATCAGCCAGCCTGGCTTCAAGAGCATCGAAAGAATGCAATAATGAGACCTAAGGTACACAAATCAAGAATGAGTTCCGTCCGAGAGAGTCCGTAAGCTGAAGAGTCAGGGGCTGAGATGCGGTACGAAACGAATCAGATGGATATGCTACAGAGGTCCTAGAGGCACGAAAACGTCTGAAGAAAGGGGATACGGCAATAAGTCAATGGGTCTGATGTACGAGGATATGTACGAGGAGGTGAATGTATGTTCGGTGTGAGGCGTGTGATGTAAATGAGGGCAACTAGCACGTTTAGCTTGTAGAGCTTGCGGAGTCTACTGAGCTGCTGCGTTGTCTACCGCTGAAGGGGCGGATGCGGGGGAGAGCAAGTCGGAGCTCCATAAGCTCAAGCATGTCCCTGTCATAATGTTAGGCCCGTGACTACGGAAACGGCACACTTAACGTACCTATAGTTGAGCTTGTTGGTCACCTTCATAGGCGAACGGTCGTACTCCTCAACGTAGAACACCTCTTCCTTCACCTCCTCCTCGTTCCCAACGTCGCTGAACGTGACCGATTTCCGCCGCGCTTCGCGAATAGGCCGCGACGACTCGATGTGAGAGGGTAGAAGCGGGCCCTCGTATTTAGGAGGCTCGGACTCTGCGGGTGTAGGAGGAGGAGCGACGTTCTGCTTCAGGCAGCTCTTGACAACCATGATGTCTAAGTGTCTATGGCTGCCGCAGGGGCAAGTGTGGCGATGTGAGCGCGAAGACGAAGACGAACACTCTCACAGACGACGTGTCAAGGCGCCCGAGCCGCCCGCCCTGCACTTTATATAGCCGCAAGGGCAGTGCTTTTCGAAAGGCGGATGCGCCAGGTTGGGGATCCGTCCGTCCGTTGAGAGTGAGTGCCAGCCTGGAGCCGTCTGGAGTAGAACGTTCCGCGCGGATGAACGGATGCGACTGTCAATGAACGGATGCAGACACGCGGCGAGGGCGTGTGGGAGCAGATACTAAGTCGCGCTGTTCCGAGCTGGGATCCGCTGCGCTGCGTAGAAGGGCGCGACTTGCTGACAGACAGGTATAGTACGCACACGACAGAAATTGCTGGCAGACCGACTGAGGTGTTGAGCAGAGGAGGTCGCAGGCAGCCACTCGCCGCGTTAGAGCGGGTAGTGGCGCGGAATGATCGAGCTCCCGTCGGGATCTGACCCAGTCAAGATCCAGTGTGGCGGTGTTCCAAATCTGGCTTGCTGTTCCTGAACCGTCCAAGCGGAACGCGCAGCGGGATCTGAATGACGCTTTCATCGGACCCGTCACGGTCCCGTGCAGTAACGACGTGTACGTATCCGCCGGACTTGCTCTGCCCTGCGATTCTATCATACGGGACCCGCGTATCGAACTTCAGGGAGCGTTGCCTCGAAATTTGGACCCTAGGGCCTGAGAAGATGAAGAGTTGAACTTCACTTTTATTGCCATCTCATCGCCAGGCAACCCTTTACCCTCCTCCCGTAGACTCACAACCTATTTGTTACAGATACAAGATAGGGCGAGTAAAGCAATACGATCGTCACACCACACCTACGGCAGGTCGAACGCAAGCGATGTCTCTAGGACCTTCGAGCGTACAGTCGAGCCCTCGAAGCGCTAGGCGTCGCCGCATCCCTACGTGCCACACGTTTCCGACGAACGTCTGTTGTTTGACGGATTTTGTCATCTCCTTCAGTGCTTTGGTAAGACGTGACCCGTCGAGAACAGTCTGTTTCATATTCAAGTGCCGCGAGGTGCGCCATCCCCACGCTATCCCCAACTGCCCGCTCATCGCCTTTTCATTGAAGATTGACCGGTGCCTGGTGGTCCCGGGGACTATTGTGGCCGCGCAGTGCATGAGCTGCGGTGCGCGGTCACTAAGTGCACTCGGCGCCGGCGTTGGGTCCTCCGCCGAGGTGCCTGGCGCGGATGTCGCTATGCCAGTGGATGCCCTGTGTTTGCTGTTGCGTAGACATGCGCAATGCCGTCCTCATGCACTTGCAGACACCATCAATCAACCCGGAGGCATCTGACCCAAGGGCGCGGGGGTCCTCTCGCTCAGCGGGTTGTCAATCCCGTCTACATCGGCACATCCGCGGCGAGCCTGCGCAATTCATCTGTCAAGCCACAGCGGACGATTCTAGAACTGATTACGGACGCAGACAGGCCGGATATGAATAGTGTTTCTGCAGAGGCGAGTCAACTCGCAACTCGCCTCGACTCGAACCCCCGAGTTGCGTAACTCGCTGATGGAGAGGCGAGTCGAGTTCACCCCCGAGCCAACTCCGAGTTGCTAGGTGGGGTGCTGAGATAAGGACTACGCACGCATATGATTGGCCGGCAGCCCCCACTGCGGTCACGGGAATGCGTTCAACGCGCGTTACGCGCCGCGTCGCGCTGGAATTGGCCACCGCTGTCGTTATGGTCCTCCGCAATGGATCGAGGAAAAGTGGGACCCCAGCGAAGCTGCCAGTGCACGTCAATGGTAGATAGAGGCTGTGCATCCGATTCTCCATACTAACGCAATCTCAAGTGACTAATTCACGCTTATGCCCCGCTGCAGATGCTCGAATACCGCATGGACGAACGACTTCGTCGCCGGGGGCTGGCGAGTCAAGCTAGTCAAGCCTCAACCCGGCGTAGCGCAAGCTTCCCAACAGCCGCAAATAAGGTTCACAGCGGCGCGGACTCGCCGGTCTGCGTCAGTTGGCTGCGCGCCGCATCGAACGATCCGCGCTCAATGCCGACCTCGTCTGCGTCATCTGGGTCAGACTCTCCTGCACAGGCTGCACAGCCCAGCGGCCCCGAAACCCGGCCAGCGACACCAGAGCCTGGCGAGCCAACGAACAACAAGAACGCGACCTCGAGTGCTCAGGCTGGTGTTCCCGAGAGCGGGACCAATGAGGCCTGTTGCCTCGACTACCAAGCTGTCGAACTGGGATTAGAGAGGTACCTGAAAGATAACAACACTGGCACAATTGACGAGGGTGCAGACCTCATCGATATTGGGGGGTATGTTTGAAGGTTCTGTCAATCACCTGCCGATGATCGCTGACTCGGACGCGGCAATTCATGTCAGGAGCGGAAGACGGAGTACTCGTATATGTATCGTGTCGCACTCGACGTGCTCCCTGCTCAAGCACCCGCGGTCACTTGCGAGCGGATGTTCCCGTCCAGCAAGGAGACCGATACCCTCCGCCGGAACAGACTGTGTGACTCACCGGAGGTCATGGAGGCGCTACAGATCCTCAAGTACTTCTACAAGCAGAAGCGACTTCACTTCGCGTCGTAGCTTCTCGCGCGCGAGGACGACTATACAATCGAAGGCCCAATCACTGAGGCGGCGATGGACGAGCTTTACGAACTGGCCAATACGTTGTTCTCGATGATCGAGTCATCCATAATTCGAACGAGCAAGCCGGGCAGATGGCGTAGCCGCCGTAGCGTACATTAGGAAGCTTAGAGTACTTTACTATAGTGATAATTGTTGTTCATCTTGCGTACATGTTCGCCCGTTATCCGTCTCCGCGTCCTTTGCAGTCGCAGGCCGCAGCCACCGGGTCTGTTCTCCCATTGGTCAGTGCTCACGTGCTAAGTGGTGGGCAACTCGCGAGTTGACTCGCAACTCGCCTCGTCATAACTCGCATCACCGAGTTATGTCGAGTTCCCGGACTCGACTCGCCTCGACTCCCTCTGCAGAAACACTAGATATGAAGATCCTACGGGGACCAGAATAAGTATGACGACCGGAGGTCGGATCCAGTACCGACCACGGCCGCGCCACAGCGATCGTCGCAATCGCATCTAGCATCTGTCCTTGCCTTCCCTGCCGCGCTGCACCACACGTCAATGTCAATTCTGCTTCCGCCGTCTCACCTCGAACAGCCAGGCAACCAGCCCGTGCCGCGGGATCCTCGACGCGTCTGGTCGCCATCATCACAACGCCGGCGCGCCGGCCAGCCGCCGGGCGGCTTGTCTCGTGGGTCCAGCGTCCCTGATGCAAATGTGGCACGGTATGTGCCTGGTGTTTTGTTTGGCGTGCTGTACTCACCATTACCGAAGGCCAAATCACAGAACTTGCGCTGTCCTGGAGACACATCCGTGATGTTGCTAACATTGAGGCTATCGGTAACACCACAGTACATCATGGCAGCTCTCGTCGCCTGCTTTGGACTTGCAGCGAGAACCGCGTCATTGCGCGGCACGGGAATCTGGTGCTCAGTATGCAAGTCTCTCTGGTTGCACTCTGGTCGAGCTTCGTTCCCGGTGGGCTATCATCGCCCGTGGGTTCGCAATCATAAGTGGGACAGCATCTCGGAACGTATGCAGCGTCTTTCTAGATTGGGCACTACACGGGGGAGACTGACGGGCAATCCAGTGTTGATCGCTTATAGAATATGGCGGGTCGAGAGAGCAGCCACCAGCGTGTTGTCGTTGGATGCGACGAGCCTGACGCGAGCAATTATCATCCTTGTCGAGTCCTGTAGATATGAGTTATATCTGTGCCATTGCTGAAGGAATTGATGATCTACTGCATACAGGTGCCGTCTGCTTCGTGTTCCTGTTGCTCCTAATCGGTACATATGCGGCGCGCTCTCCCGTCATGTTCATAATTCTTGATATGGTACGTCTCAAGCAGTCTTTCATCGCAACGGCTCGACATTTATCTCAATAGACATCGCCTGTGAACATGAGTACTTACCTGCCCTTAGCGGACAATTGAGCTTCGCGTTGATCATATCATGATTCTGTCCAGGGCATCGTGTTCTTCTCCATGATCCACCGCGTCGGACGAGGTGTCAGCCACCCACGGAGACCACACCACAGGAAACGATTCCAAGTTCAGCACGCTTAGATTCGGGGAACGAAGGTACACTCGTCGATGGGAATTGCAGTGGTGGCATCTCGGAGGCGCCCGGAGATGCACGACATGAGCATGACGCAGCTCGATGCGCGAACGCAGCCCGGCTCGGATGCGACCCTGGAGAGACAAAAGATGTCGATGTCGAGCTTGACTGACCTGGTTAAGCAGCACTCACTATCGAGAACTGCACAAGTCGATATGCGCGTATGATCTTGCCTGTGATATGTAACATGGGTATACGACGTACTACGTTGCATCATTGTACCAGTACTAGCAGAGGGGTGGAAGGTTCCAGTCATCTTGGGATATACCTCGAAGTCCAGGATATACAAATTCACCGCAATCTTGTCGGCATAAGTACTGTACTCACGGATGTCAGGTTTGATATTTGTGGACGCCCACCACGCACTAGAACCACCGCACTACAATTGGGTATCTAGCGTCAGAGGTCTGCCGTCCACCCAAATGTAGCGACGCGGTTTTGGTGTGACGTTGGCGAGTAGTGGGGGCCACCTCGAGCTGTGGTAGACAATACAATCCATTGTATGATCACTCTCGTCGGCTGTCGCGATACGGGATCCTTGAACAGTCGCTACAAAGTGGAAAGCCTGTGGAAGCGCAGCGGCACGACTTGGAGGCCAGATGCCGGTGCTCGTGCTCGTCCAACCTCGACCACTCCACTCGGCTTCCACCTCGTATGCTCGCGGCCTATTCCAGTCATGCGTGGTTCTCGGAGTGCTCGTGGTGGTTTATCGCGAAAAGACTCCGTGCGCTGGCTTCGCGGTGGTCCGAGTGGTCGGTGGGACGCCGGGCGGTGGGCAGCGGGCGGGTGGAATTGCGCCTCCGTGTGCGACGCGACGGTGGAAGAGCTGCCAGTGCCACCTCGCGTCGTGCGTAGTACGCCGGTGGCAGCCGTATTCGCATTCATATGGTGGACGAGCTTCCCGATCAGGAAGGGCCGACTCCTCCCCGGGCGAACGCACGCATGCGGTGAGAGCGCCGACGAAGATCGGAGTACCGTACTTCACTGCAATATGCCCGCTGAGTCTGTCGGAGAGAAGTCCCTGGGCTCCCGAGTGGGAGTGGAATGGAAGGGCCACCAAAACCTTGAGGCCGACCCACTTGGTGGTGGAACTACAGACCTCGGGCTCGCCTCGGGCAATCGATACGCCCATGTCGTCGAGCACATGGGCAACCTGCGACGCATGCAGTGCCCAGTGAGACTACATTCCAGTGCACACCGAGCCTACCGCTCCTTTCGTCCAAGTACAGGGCGCCCAGTATCGACGTTCAGAGCCCCGTGGTCCCGACACGAGCTCTGAAACACCCAGCCTTAATTGCATTGGTCGTCGCGGCGACGCGCCCGCCGGCGCGCGGCCGGTCGATCGCCCGGTGTTGGCGAACTTGGCACGCCTCGCGGCCGCCCGTCCTCGGTCCTCCTCCCCAATTGGCACATCTGTGGCCTCCGACGCACACGGGCGGCGGGCGGGTCCGGTGCGCGCGGGGTTCGCGCGCATGCCCCCCGTGCTTCCCGGCCTCAAGTTGGGGAAGGTGATGTTTCGGACAAGCCTTCTAGTGCTAGTGGCCGCCTTACTAACTACTTAGTAGACTGCTGGGGCGCGTACGCGCCGGGCGACGTCCCGCAGCGCGCTTCGAATATGTAGTTTCCCACCACGCAATTCTGCGGCCGCGCCCTGAGGCTCGGGTCCCGCCCGCTGTCCCTGCGTCACCAGGGAAAGGCTATATTGCAAACTACAGCGCCACCAAATCACGCGAATCGGGCGATGCTTGTGGCGTGTCGAGTGCGCGCCTCCCGACGTCGGTGGCGGGTGCGGTAACGGTCATCGCGCGCGGCGGATCTCGATGCGACACAATGACCGCTCGCGCCTGCGGGCGAGATGCCGATCTCAGCTCGCGCTGCTAGATGCCGGCGGGACTTCCAGAAGCGCGCCGTAGAAAGCGACAAAATGGAAACGGAAATTCTACCCGGGCGACGCGACCAACGTGCGCGCGGGCATGGCGACGCCCCTGAGTTGCTAGGGACGGCCGCGCACAGAAGAAGTTGGCTGACGACGATGCGGGCGAGAACAAGAATACACTTGCGAGTAAGTAGCCCGTTGCAATTGTGGGTGCGAAGGGTTTTGGTGCCGCGCAGGGTCACCGAACCCACCGCCGAGGTCGGGACAGGGGCGGGGAAGACAAGGCGCGGCGCCGGTCGCGTTCGCAGAGGCGCCGACCGCCCCGCAAACGCCGTTCTACCGCCAAAGGGTGCAGGCACGTCCACGCCTTGTTCCATGGCGGGCTTCCACTCGGCGAGTGCCCTCCACGGTGTCGGGTTTTTGCAGGCTGCGATGCTCTCCCGCCCCCGCCGCGTCGAGGACGGTGTTTCTGCAGGCGCGATGAGGCTGACCGCGGAGGGCGGAGTGGATGGCGATGTGAGACCCGTGGAGGGCGGGATGTGGCCGGCCGGCCGGGGAGGAGGTGCGGGGTGCTAGCCATATCGGGACGGTATCTCAGCGGAGGATGCCACGCGATCACGTCCGATCGGGGACGGAGCTTGGCCCGCGGATGGGGAAGGCTCGACGGCGGGCGTGGCTCGTGGCGACTGGTGACTATCTCGACTCGCACACGCTTCCGCTGCGCGCGTGCAGGTGCTATATAGCCACCCGCCCTCCTCCCAGCGACCGTGCCTGTCCACCGCCCACCACCCCCGCCGTGCTGTCTGCCCGCTGCTCATCTGCACCCAAGCCCCCTGCTGATTGCATGCTCCCCTTCCGCCCCCGCCCCATCTCAACCATGCAGCCCTACGTCCAGGAAAAGCGTCAGCACTCCCCCTCCATCTTCGTCCGCACCGCGTCTGGCGAAGGCTGGCAGCGCCTCCCGAGTCCCTCTCCGGAGTCGGTACGTCCCCACAGGTTCAGGTCGCATCACCGTGTCGCTGACCTGCGTGTTCGCAGCCCTCGTCCCCGCTCCAGTCGCCCTCCTCCTCGCGCCCCGGCTCGCGCGACCGCCCCTCGAGCCCGTCCGACGTCCACACCGTAGTCTCGAGGCTGCTCGCGCTCGTGAAGCAGCTGCAGGACGTCCTCCACTCGTGGGGCATGCACCAGGCGCAGGAGGAGCAGGTCAGCGACGCGTTCGTGCTCGTCGGCCAACAATTCAACACGACCGTGAATGTGCTCTGGCGGCACAAGGTCGACATGAGGTGGGTGTCTCCTGCGCCGACTATCCCTGTCTGGGCATGCCGTGGCGTCGTGTGCGCGGGGGAGACGGCTGTTGCAATTTGCTGCGCGTTACGTCAGGCGGACGATGTTCGGTGGCTGTCGTGGCTGCCCGCGAGCTGCCCGCTACAGGCGGCGACGTTCATTAATCCTGGCTGCGGCCCGTATCATCCCCGCGCGTGCACACAGACGTCCATATCGGGGTACATGCTCCTGCGCAGCGCCCGCGAAGCACGTCTATCTGGCAGACGCTGTCGTCGCTGTCGGTCTGCCCTCGGGACCGGTGGGGACTGACAGCGACTGACTGGGTACCTGCCCGCCACCGGCAATGTATTCCTTGTGCTTGTGTTGCTTCTGCTTCCCGTCGTCGGCACACGTCCGCCGCAGTCTCCCGTACACCCGTGTGCACGCTGTTCGCTGACGTGTCTCCCTTCTCCAGCGACATGGTCCACATCGTCGTCGACCTCCGCGACGTGCTCGAGAACTGCCTCGGCGAGGAGCCGTCCCCGCAGGTGCTCGAGAAGTACATGCCGCAAGTGCGCCGCGTCGTGTACGACCTGCTCGTCGGGCTGCGCAACAAGCAGGGCCCGTACTGGGAAGCGGTGTACGGCGGCCAGCGGCGCAAGACCGCGGGGCTCGAGCCGAACAGGCAGTCGGTGTGAGGTGCCGCCGCACCACGCCATCCCTCTTGGACTGCCGCGGCGGGCCCCGACGCGCCTCGGACGCGCCGCCGCGCGCGCCGGGCACACCCGGTGTCGCATTCTTGCGTCTGCCTTCTCGAACGTCGCGCACGGCTTCTCGAACGTCACGCGAGCCCCGCTGTTCGCGTCCGCCGCGGCCCTCGCCTCCTGCACACCCCTCCCTACACGCCACCGGCCCCCGCTGAGTCGCCGGCGTCGTCAACTGTCTGCTCAGCAACCCGTCGAAGAGGCCGCTTGCATTTCTGGCGTCTTGCAGTGTACATACTCTGCACCCTGCTGCGCTGCACCCCGCGCGGCCCGACGGACACACTCGCCGGCGCCGACGCTGCCGTGCCCGCGGCTTGTCTCCATATCATTGCAACGTTGCCCCAGGACAATTCTGCTTACGGTAGAGCGACTTTGTGCTTGCGTTTGATTCTCTCTCTGTAGCAACAGCCCCGCTTGCTCTCTTTCTCCCATCACTGTCTGATGATACCTCTGTGCGATCTGCATTCCATATCTTTCCTTTTTGTGGCTGCTCGATATCCTCCCGCTTGCATGTAGCTCCTACACTACTGACCCGCAACGCTCGTTCCTAGTCTTTCATCGTCTCTTCGATCTTCGATCTTCTGTTTCATCACCGTGTTTCGTATGTTCATTCTGGCATCCCTAGCCTCATTGCATAGCAATTATCTCCCTTACAGTACAGTACAGCATCGATGCGTCGCATTTGCGATCTGATTCAGACTTGACTTGGCCCCGATGTAGTAGCTAAGATCAATCAATTTCGTGGCCAAACCGAGCTAAGATCAGCTATGTATCAGTGAAAGTCTGTCTGCGGGTACATTGCAGCGTCGTGATCGCGGCAGAGGGGAAACACGGATGCGCTCGTCGCTCGACGCTCGAGGGATCAGACGCGTACTTGCGCCAGGGCGCCCGGCCAAACCGTCCGGCCCAAGTCCGGCCCATCACGAAGGTGAGGTTCGGACTAAGGCCGTATGTACTCAAGTGACGTCCCATCAGGATGCTAAGCCCATCATCGTATACATCAGGGATCATCGCCTTCTCCCCCGACGGGCCCGTAGGTGGCGTTGGGCCGCCACGGACTCTGGAGGCTAAGCAGGTTTGCAGAGCCCCGCGCCCGGGATGGTCGCTTGCACTTGCGCACTGCACTGGTATCCGCACCTGTAGGGATGCGGATGAGGTGAGTAGGTGGGCCGAGGGTTGGGATCGTTGTCATGAGTCGATCGTGTCGTAAGTGTCTCCTTCTCCGCTGATCAAGACAGGTTTGCTTAGTCTGAGTTCGTCCTCCGTCTGCGCCGGGTGAGGAGGCGGCGACGGCGGCGGCGAGCGCACCGTCGTTTCGGCTTGATGCGATTGTCGGCGGACTTGCAGTTGCTGACCACGAACCGCCTCCGAGTCGAATCGCAGAGCGCGTATGTTCTCGCCGCATCAGAGCTTGATCAGAGCCACTAGTCTCCGAGTCCATGAATGACGAGCCTACTAAGCGGAGCTCGAGTCAGGGTCTTCATGATCAGCGCACGACCATATCTGTCGACAGCCTACTCAGACGTTCAGATCATTTGCCGCGTCGGGGGACATACCGGACGTAAGCCCCGGCGCGCTCGCCGCTTGCGTAATCTCCTCAAGCGCGGTGTCAGTGTCGAGCGGATCTGCGAGTGTCCTGGTACATGTCAGGTGTCGGTGAGTGTCATCGAGCGTGATCGCCGCACGGAGAGTCGGACTTGCAGTGGAGGAGATGGATTTAAGATTACTGTATGGGTACGCCCGCTGCCCTAGGGACTACAGTCAGCCATGACCGATCCTTCTGGGACGTACGAGTCGATGCCAGAGCCTTCTTTCCTGTGTGTGACGTTTGCAGAGGGGGATGGCAGCCCCGCACGACAGCTCTCCCGAGGACTTGCGTCCAGCTGTAGAAGCGCAACGCGACGCGTCACAGAGCACGTGAGCATGACTCCCAGGACCCAATCCCCGTCACGGTCCTGCCTAGAAACGAACTCGTTGAGTGAGTACTTGCGCGCATCATGAACGTCTGAAGCCCGACGCACCCTTGAGCTCACGAAGCGCACTCAGCCCCAGACAGAACGCACTGATAGCTCCCAAGGATGCGCACGCCGATCGAGTCGACGGTGAGACCGATCGCCTGGTGTCGCCGCGAGCCCATCTCCGGGAGGTATCTACAACCTCTTCCGACGGAAATAAGGAGAGACACGATCGAGGTCTCCGAGCCCGCCGAGCGATGTCTTCGCATCTCGATGTCTTCAGAGAAAGCTCCTCCGGTCGATCATCTTGCTGGTGAGACTGTCTAAAGACTGTCTGTCCCTGACCTGAGTCGAGCTCTCGGGCTTCATTTGCGCCTCCGGGATATTTGAGATATTTGCTTGCGAAAGTGGGGGATTTCATTCTGGTAATGATCGGCACAGGTAAGTCAGGAGAATGCGCGTTGAGATGCGCGAGTGGTGCGGAGATCGGGCGGCGGTCTACCGCGATCGCCGTCGGTGAAAAGCTAGGAAGGACGCCTTCAGCAATGCATGGTGTGCTATCAAGCTTTATGTGCACTTACTTGAAGTAGAGCCGCGTAACGAGAGGTCCTGTCAGCGGTACACGTCGGTCTAGCGAGATGAGTCGCGACGAGGCAAATCGCTACATCTGGTACACACTGTTGAGGAGGCTGAAGGGAAACTACGATAGCATAGAGTGTATGGAGCATGCTCATCACGAGCTTGCTCGAATTCAGCCATGCAGTGTGCCCATGCAGGAAGTCGTTGAAGACGTTTGAACTTGAAGTCGAGGACCAGGCGCCGCCGCTGCGGTCGACGCGGTGGCGTTGATCCGATCAAGATCTCTCTACGCCACAACGCCACCGACGCTAGTGGTTGCCTCCGGCGAGTCCGCTGGCACACCGGTGTCACCAACTGCTGACTTACGAGTCTGTCCAACGCTAACCCTCTGCTCTCTCCACGGAATTCTCTTCGTATGTGTATGTCAATCTAAGGCCTTCTTGCAATGACACTTGTTTCACTCAATGAACCAGTTACTAACGGAGTTTCGCAGGATCTTGGTGACGTGACGTGCCCGGTCCCGGATCCCAGGAAGGTACTCATGAACATAGAATTGGTTCGCTGACGGGGACTCAAGCTGCGGCGCGACGTGTAGTGGTCAATATGTTGGCCGGAACTAGCTCAAATGCTAACCGGAGAGAAGCATTGTGGTCCCGCTTCGACCTCCAGCCGTCCGTTGTGCCTATAACAAGACATGTAAGCACAAGCTGGCGATGGTTTCCGAGCAACACCATGGGGTTCTTGCACCGCTGCGGCGTGCCTCTGGCTGTGTAATCCAATACAGCGTCTTTGACTCACCGTGTCCGCGGGCTAACCAGCCGGTGCGCTTTGTCCTCTATCACGCTAGAAACACCCTGACCTTCGCACCCCAGTATCCTCGCCTCGTGGTACTCGCGGAGTATCTGCATCAGGCATATCGTGCGCATCAACCATTATCATGCCCGTCGTCCGCATGGTCCAGGCCATAGCCTCGCCATTTTGAGCGATTGCTTTGTCTTCGAGGTGGACCCACAAATGCCTATATCAGGAAACCACGATAGTACCGCTGCCTTGGCGGGCCTAGGCTGCGGATCAGATGGTCCGTGCGAATATAAGGTCAGCGTGGCTACGGCCTTTGTCCGAAACGTATATAAGGGCGGCCGTGTTCGAGATTGGGCGAGCAACCCCTCTTCTTCTCCCCCTCACCTGGGCCCCTGCCGCCACTCTGCCCTCCCCCTACCCAACTCCCCTTATGCTGGTCACTCGGTACCTGGCTCTAGGCTCGCGTAGGATGTCTTGTTAGCCGACCTCAGCTATGTGTGCCCGGCCGTTATACTAGGTACTAGGGACGCCACTTGCCAGCGAAGGGCCGAGGCGCCTATGAGCGACAGCGAGCTCGAAGGTACGTCAAGCATTCACTAAGCCTTCATGCCTTCATGCTCATTCTGGCGCACAGTTCGACGCCTACGCCACAACCGCGTTACTGGTCTCGGACTCTGTCAGCCGCGCATTGGGTCAAGTGGCGTTCATCAACTGTTGGCCTCTGCTACCGACGTGTCGCGGTTTTGACCACACACTCTGTCAGCCGCTGAGGTGTGGTGCTTGCTCTCTGGTCTTTCGTGTTTCCTCTGGGCTGCGTGTGCTCTCTGGTTTGCTTCGTCTGGGATGCACTCCGTCGGTCCGGTCTCGCGCGTCCGAGTCAAACGTTCTCGGCGGCGATATCCAGTCTGTACTTGGTATGTCTGCTTGCCGACACTCACTTTATGACCTTCTCACGTTTGTATGCAGGGGTCAAGCGCTGCAAGGATAGCTGCGTCAAGGGCTCAGAAGCGAGTGAAGGGTCAAGCGCCCCAATCGGGCCTTCCTCAAGGGCTCGAACGAGCGAAAGGTCAAGCGCCGGAAGTAGAGGCTGCATCAACGTGCTCGAATGAGCGAAGAGTGAAGGGCGCGCAAGAGGGGCATCAAGGGCTCGAACGAGCGAAGGGTCAAGCGCCGCAAGGTAAAGGAGGCTAGCCTCAAGAGCTCAACGGCGAGCGAAGAGTCAAGGGCGCGCAAGTGGCGCATCAAGGGCTCGAACGAGCGAAGGGTCAAGCGCCGCAAGGTAAAGGAGGCTAGCCTCAAAAGCTCAACGACGAATGAAGAGTGAAGAGCGGCATTGAAGGTGAAGAAGACTGTCAAGGGCTCGAACGAGCGAAGGGTCAAGCGCCGCAAGGTAAAGGAGGCTAGCCTCAACAGCTCAACAGCGAAGATGGTCAAGCGCTCCAACGGGCTCCCTTCGAGGCGATCCATGGGCGAAGAGTCAAGCGCCAGAAGATGATGGCAGCCTCAAGTGCAAGAGCTACAAGAGCCACCCGAGGGCGGGCGGGCACTCGCGGGGACGCGGTGCCTGTCCGGGCGCGGACCTTTACGTGGTCCTCGGGATAAGTACCCTTGCATTCGTGCGAGGGGAAACCAACTCGCGCCGAAGTTAAGTCTCAGCTATCCCGACGTAGTTCGTGCTCTGCCATGTCATATACCGTTACGCGAGTGCGGCCGCTTCTGTTGTGAATGAACACTCCTTTGTTCGATCTTCGATTGGTCACGCCTTCGCGACGTTCATGCGAACTCACAGAGCGATAAGGGAGTCAGTGTTGCAGCACACATCCGTAAAGGTCGTATTGTGTAGAAAGTTATTTAACTTATTAGGACTGGGATGATGATGATGATGAACTCAGTATAGTAGGACCGCGTCTTAGCATTTATATACCGTAACAAGCAAACAGACGTGCTAAGTACAGTAGGCAAGTCGATGGTGGGGGGTTCGGGGTGATGTCATGAAGCTTTTGTAGTAATGGGCAGGCAACGGTGTAGGGCATAGGACTGGGATGAACTCGGGGCAGTTGAACGGGGATGAACGACGCGAGGCACGTGAGCGCGGAGAGACGCGTAAGTATACCGTGTCGGACAGGCGCTCAGCGCTCTGGCAGTTCGCGCCTGCCTCCGTCTCTCCTCCCCTTGCAATGCTATAACGCAGCGGCTGCTACGGGCTATGCACATTGCAGCCAGATCAAAGGGGATCAACACTTGCGGGTAAGACCATCTCATCGGTCTATAGGCTGCAGGCACTCCGGCACTCTACTATTAGTATAGGTGCGCTACGGGCGACGGCGAGTGGCCGCCCACTGTGACAGACCGCACTATCTTCTTCGAGGAGGTCCCTGTACGTGTCAGATCCGGTCAGAAGCGCTATGGCGGAGGTAACGGGAGGGCGGAACGAACCAGGGTGAGCACAACCTTAGAAGCATCCTTACCGCATTAATAGTGCATGTCATGTTGTACAGGAAGCAAGGTACTTGTCGCACCTTGCGACGTTGAGTCCCTCGCGTATGGTGGTGTGTTTCTTCCTCTCCAGTGTTCAGTGAGTGTTTGAGCACAGACAATGGGACGTGACAGGTGGCGGTGCCGAGAGTGAAGCCGCAAGCATTACACCCGACTGGTGGACCGCATGCATTTTCTCTGTAGGCACACGACACGCTTGTTTGTCAAGCACGGCGTGAATTTTGGTCTACAATATTCCTGCAGTATCGCGTTGGGTAGCATCCTGTCATATCGCACGTCGAACACGCAGGTACATCTGAGATGGTAAGTCGTCCACGACCATGCGGTCTTAGTGACCTCGCTGACCGCCGAGATTATGCCTCTGGAATACAGCATATTTTGATGGGATCATGCTTCATGATAGCATGTATACAATCTAGTTAATCCCGGAGTTCGGTCGCCAACTCAGTGGACCGTAGTGCCGCCTACCATCATAGGGGATGGAATGCGTAAGCAGGAGATGAACGGTAGTCCGTCCGCCACAACGATCGGCTGCGAGGCGCGAACACAACATCGTGTTCACCGCCGTGTGCATAGCAAGTGAGTACTAGTCATGCTTGTCTCCAACCATTACACAGAACAGATGGTCCACAGATCATGTCGTCATTACTTTGGCGTTGCCAGCGGGACGGGACCCCTATATTCCTCATGACCCCAACCTGACATTCGACGCAGCTCCGTGCTTGTCTGTCTTCCAACGTGCCTGGAAAGATACAAGTGCCACTATGACGGCTACTATCCGTGATCGCTGGTACCTGATTCCCGTACGCCAGCGAAATTCTTACCACGCGCGACTGCATGGCACCCCAACGTGATGGTAAGATCCGCGTCTGGGGTTGATACCCGTACCTGTGCTGCTTGAGCTCACCCACTATATATACAGGCTAGGCTGAGGACTCGACCTAGCAATCCTGCGCGACTTTCACTCAGCAATGCCTAATTGCCGAGCTATCCGGTGTGTCGTGCATCATTGATTCTGATACCTATTATTGGTGCTCATACCTTGTGAACGTCGTCAGAACGGACTGGAACTCGCAAGGCTGTGATGTCGTAGCTGCCACCCAACCCTCTCAGACAGTTCTCGGCAGTCCCGAGGGTGAGAGCTGCTTCGCGGAACAATACCCAGTTGCGGTCGACGGTTCGGCGGCGTACAACATGAGCCAAGGATGCCTCGATGCTGCAGTCGCCGAGGTCATACCCATCACCCTCGGCGCGGCATCGATGGATGTTCACTATGACCTAGTCGTCGAGATCTTTTGCTTGCACAACGCCTCCTGTGCGGTCCTTCCACTTGCAGCCTGGGACATCATAACCATGATGCACGATTACATTCTCGGCTCACACGGCGCGGCGTTTGAGTCATCGCCTGACATATTATCGGCCCTCCCTGTGGCTACTGCGAGCCACCCGCAGCTACATGATCCAGACGGTCAACCTGCAGTGAGTCCGATCCAATCGATACTGAGTGTCCGTCGCTCACATTTCCACAGGCCCAGCCTGCACTCCTGATGATTGGTACGCTCCCTGAAGGGGACGACGGCCAGGTTCAGGTGCAATGCAAGTCGGACGACTGTCGCCGTTACCTGTTGGGTACGCGCACAGCCAGCATCAACCGACACCTGCTTCGCTATCACTTCGCGGACACAGAGGCTCAGTGGATGATATCCGAAGACAGGATCCGATTCCGGTGGGATGGATGCGGGCGGCTGCTATTAAAGCGCATGTTGGCAACACATACCCGTATCACGCATCTTCAATGTGGCAAGGTCCAGTGCAAGCTGCCCGGGTGTGGCTTCGCGAAGTTCAACCGCAGGGATGCATTGACGAGGCATCTGAAGCAGGCGCACGGCATCAGTTCGGAGGGAGGCTCGGTCCATGGCACTAGATCAAGGACCACAACGGCGGCATCACCTTGAGGAGCGGTACGAGTGCTCTGCGGACCATGTCCCGTGTAAGTGATGATAACTTATGTCCCATGTTCTCCATCCAGACGCCGTTCGATCATATATTATGGTTCCGATATGTATGACCTTGACGTCGATGTATCCATAGCGCAGTATGTACACGTTTTCATTGTATTTATATCGACATTTGTCTGATTGTATCTGTATACACATACCACTGGTGTTAGAACAGAGTCCGGAGGGGACGGGCCTCGAGGAACTTTCATTGATTCTAACCAACCTGACGATTGTGTAGACCAGGTCATACACCGCTAGCATCCGTTGATCGGTTCCGATGTGATTTTTACTCCTCACAGCCAGGGCCTGTATATCATTCCCGAACCTGATGTGGAGAATCTGCCATGTACACTGCCCATGCCCCACCGAGTCCTACATCTCGTCACGCAGCCTCCCCTCCGTCAGCCCAGCGCGATCGGGTTCTCCCTCTTGCCCGCCTGCCACAACGCCCAGTGCTGTGATCAAGCCTCGATATTCCTCCGCCACCGCCTTCCACCGCCCCGCCTCTGCCTCACACTGCTGCAATGCGTCGTGCCAGCGCAGATCGTCCCCAGTACCCGGGGATGCACTGTCGCCGTGGCAAATGCGATCCTCCGACGAGCAAATCGGTCGGAATCGGTCGCTGATAGCTTTCTCGTATTCAACCCGGATGAGGAGCACGATAATTACGAGAAAGGTCCCAATTGCAGTGAAGAACATGATCCAGAAATCCCACTGGATGCGTTTGCCATGGGTCTGCTCCCTTGGTGTGCCGATGCTCGGACTTGAGCTGTGCCGGCTTTCCGAAGATGAATGGGCCTCCCTGTCGCAAAAGATGCTCCATGAGAAGGTTATGGATGACTTGAAGGGCAAGTACTGGCTCATGAATTGCGAGACTCACTGCGATATCTTGGTGGCGTTGGCAGGGTTTCCACTACCAGTGTGCGAGGAGTGCCTAGTACAACGTGAACCATGTCCTCTACGGTCAACGATCGGGCGAGGGAGACTGACGAGATTCCTTCTACGGATGGCGCAGGTCTTATTTCCGACATTACTGGCTGCTTGATATGGCACACAGTAGAGCTGCAAGGAATTGTTGAAAGCAACGACGGCACTGTTGGACTCGGACTATGTGACGGCGGATGTTATGTAACTCAAAACCGCGACACACTGCGCGGTGAGCTTTGCGGTCAAACACTTAAGTTAATACTCACCGTGATCTTGTCAGGACCTTAAGTGATCTCGCAACCTACTAGCGTCTTCGGAGTCACAGGTCTCTGATTTGCGGAGAAATGCGGTCATACCCTGAACAGGCACTACTCTGAGGCGCTAGTAGTCACCGTCAGTGCGGCCGACATTAGTGCCAGAGGACAAGGTATATTGAGGCACGAAGGTTGACAATTGTCTACGTCTGCCTGGGGAGACTATGCCAGTGGCCCGTGCGTGGCGCGGCAACCTTGCCCCAAATCGAGATCGAGATCTGCTTCCGCTCCGCCCTCGAGGCCGCCGCTGCCGCCGCTGCTGGCACGCGGCACGATCCTCAGCAAGTTGTCTGCGAGCCTCCTCCTAACCTGGTCTCATCTTACGTCTCGACTGCGTCGACTGGGTCTGGCAGGATGTCTCGCTGACATGTATGATTTATCTCAGTGCGCTACTTGTGGTCTACTCACATAAACTGAGACTGGCAGTATAACACGAATTGTGACCTTCGAATTTTTTTTACTGCCAGCCTGCCTGGCAGCTCGGCGGGTTTTGAGCGGTGCAAAATGCACCGTCGGAAGGGCCTGTGATTGGTAAATTTTACCTCTCACCCGTGTGTTTTCCGAGCGCAACCAAATGCGTTGTGCCCAGCGCGACATCATGGCCCTCTTACCTTCTGAGAGTAAGCCTAATCTTAACTCGCCACTCACGCTCGTATTGCCTCAGTGCTGACACGACTCTCGACCATCGACGACTTGCGCACGACTTCCCGATCTCCCCAATTCAGAGACAAGGAGTGAGTCCACTGCCAACCGGTACGGTTCTTCGTCCTGAACACTATAGTGAGTCTCGCCTTGCTCCGTGCCAGACTCAGCTGACTTGCCGTCTAGTGCGCGCTTTCAAGGAAGGTACTCTGTACTTCTGTGTGTACGGCGAGCGAAAAGTGCGGCGCCCCAACGGGCAAAAGCGAAGACGATCCGACCTCGATTGGGCGAAGAGTCAAGCGCCAGAATAACAGGCAAGCCTCAAGTGCAAGAGCTACAAGAGCCCCCGAGGGCGGGCGGGCACTCGCGGAGACACGGTGCTCGTCCGGGCGCGGACCTTTACGTGGTCCTCGGGATAAGTACCCTCGCATCCGTGCGAGAGGAAACCAACTCGCGCCGAATTTGTTCGCCGACGCTGAGTGCTCTGTTTTCTTGTCTTTGGCGCTCCGTCATGCACAGTCTCTACTTAGTAGTGTCCGATAATTGCATGATTTGTTCTCTGTGTCCTTGCTTGCTGCATGAACAACGCGACTCGAACCGCAAGACGCGCGACCGGCGAAGTCAAGTCAGCTCGACCGACGGCGGGGCCCACGCCGGATGCGTCGACGGTAGCGTACAAGCCGGGGGCCTTACATGTGTGGACCGGCGGCAACTGCACCGGTGAAACCTGCGCCGGTGCAGAGCACGACGAACACGGGTGGATTGTCTTGGATTGTCTTGGGTTGACCGCGCAGGACTTGTGGGATGTTCTTCGAGTTGTCTTGGGTTGTCTCTGGCTGCATCGCCTCAATCTTACGAAGTTCCGGATCGAATTTGATTTTGGTATCTGCAGGTTCTGTAATGATAAAGACTTGTATTGGTCAATACTACTAGGACTGTGATGGCCCCACTTTTGACTCGATCATCCGCCACATCTAACTCCACTTCCGAACGTATGAGCTTCGACTGCAGATACGGGCGCCGCGCTCTGGTATATCCTGCTCTCAATGGGTGTTACCGTGACAACAGCGCCTTCATACAAACGCTTACGACTGTCCGACCGCGGACGATCACGACAATCACAGATCTGCATATTAGCCAGCACCTCGGTCAATAGTTGAACTTGAAGTAGCGTACTAGGTTGTCTCGCCGCATCATGGTACGATATCCCCCGCATCCTTCAATCGTACTTACGTTTAATTCGGCGACTGAAAGCCTGACGGTATCTCGGTCTACTTCCTACCCGGGCCCAGAGGATACAGTGCGTCGCTGTTACCTCATGATCAGTGCACTAATTAGCATTCTGCGGGCTAGATACTATCTGGAATGTAAATCCACGTGGGACTCATCCGCCAGCATGGCACAACCAGACCGCCGCTGTTGTTTCAGACGCACGCAGGCCTCCAGACCCTCGGCGACTTCGCCACCATGTGAGGCCACTCACGCCACCATGCCATTTCGTTTGATACGACTCAGCAAGAAGCCTCGGCAGCTTTACGGACGACAACACGATGCTCGATACCAAGCTCGATACACAAGTCGCCTTGGCCCATCAGCCAGTATCTGCCACTGCGTCCCATGCGGACGTCGAACAGGTCGTCACGACGAGGTGTAATGGCACTGTAGCATCCTTGCAGTAAGAGCGCTGTTCCGACGGTATTTAAGGGCTGAGCGAGGTGGGGCAAACCATCCAGCTTCACATAACCTCGACCGCGATGTTCGCGTCTGCGTCGAAACCGGTCTTCACCCTTTGTGCCTTCTTCTTACTCCTCTCCGTCCAGGTCGTCCAGGCAGCAAATTCCTTTGCGGGATCCAGCTTGTATTATGCGGCAGGGATATCCGAGGACGACAGAACTACCCTACTCAAGTGAGCATTTTCCTATTGTATCAGAAGCCTCTGTGTTGCTGACCCATATCGTAATTTTCGCAACGTAACAGAGGGATGCAAAGTGCCGGTCTGAAGGTGCTCCGCGTGTGGATTGGCGGACAGTCCACCAGCCAGAAGGTATAAATTTGCCGACTCGGTAAGGCTCCTACGATTACTGATACAGCTGATCAGGGAACGAAAATTAACCCCTTCCACGACCTCGAGCCGAATACTCCTTGCAACGGAGATACCTCCTGCTACGATGACACGGTCCTCAAACGTCTCGACGATTTCATGGTGGCGGCTAACTCTTACGGAGTCAAGGTTTCTATCGATTCCCTGTATGATTGTGTGACCCTGTTTTTGACATATATTTGACAGCTCCTGATCACGATGCATAGCTACAACGCTCTGGGGAGTCACGACGCCTACGGCAAGTGGTACGGCATCGGCGACTTCTACTCGGACAGCGAGGCGCAGTCCATCTTCGACGCCCGTCTCAAACATATCCTGAACCATGTGCATACTTCGCTCAATAAGCCCTGGAAGGAGTTAAACGACTACATCTTTGGATTTGAGGCTGAGAACGAAGCCATGATTGGGGATGTAAGTGTCGCGATCGGTCTGCGTTGACATGCCCTAACATTTTATGCAGGGGCAGTCCTTCGTCCAGGCTCACCAGCAATGGTAGGCTACAGTCTATGTTCCTTGTCGATCCGCGAGATAGAGTCTAACGTGATGATTCGAACAGGCAGTGCGACCGTGCCAAGACGATCAAGGGTCAGCTCGGTGATAACAGTGGGGTGAGCCGAGCTGTTGTACTCGTTCTCAACCCCATCTCACATAGCTCATACCCGTCAGATTCTTGTCATGACCGGCGGAGAGTCGTGGCTGTCCGAGTCTGTCCAGCCTGGGTTTTTGAGCTGCGATGCATTGGATGTCATCTCGATCCATGCCTACGGTACCGGAGATCTCACCACATCCGCCTTGAAGCCGTATGTTTCGAAAGCGCAGGCCGCTGGCAAGAAGCTGATTTTGGAAGAATGGTGACCACCGATCGTCTTCATCATTTTGTTCTACGATACTGACCGCGTTATTCTTCACAGGGGTGCATGCTACTTCGACACCTCCAACAACAATTGCCCTACGGGACATGCTCTGGATTCGAACACGCGCAAAAACAACATCAAGAAGTGGGCCGCGCAGATTGACGCCGCGGGGCTTCCTTGGCTCTACTGGCAGGTTCTCCCCAACGCTGACCCTCACGTACGTACTGCCTTGTCTCTTCGCGAGGTGTTTGAGTGAACTGACCCCTGGTGACCCGCAGAGCGGATATGACTACGAGATCGGCCTGGTGAACGACCCGTCCTGGAGCGCTCTCCAGCAGGCCGCGAAAGCGGCCTCACAGGCCACAGCCGCGTTCGACTTTTCTGCTTACTTGCTGCAGTGAGGCGTCCAACGTCACGTCGAAGGAAGGCGGATCAAAGCGTATGTTCTTGAGCAATGTAGTGCACGACGTTGTGACTGCACTCTTGTCCCTCATTCCCCCACTCTCGCTGCTCTCGTATTTCTCTTACTACCGACATCATTCATTTTATAATTACACATTCAATCTAATGTAGGGGTTTACCCGATTCTCGGGTGGTCAATGGGCATTGCTTTGACTAGCAATCAGTGTCGGAGTAGGCAAAAACACTCGGCAATCCGAGCAGGTAATATTTCCACCTCGGACGGTCGCACACCATCGCTCCCTCTCTGTGGCGCGTGTCATTGCGTGTCACCCTTGCGCTCACCGGGGACGCGTGCTTCGATCAGCTTCGTATCAGCTCCGTCGTATGAGCCAGTCACAACGCTTCGTAGACTGGTCGTTGATGGATGTACACAACAGGGTATTGACCGTCACGGTCTGTGCCCAGCCTACGAAATACTGTCAGGTAAGCAAATGAACATACCTTTCAGAAACCAGGTATGCACTCGCTCGGAATTTGTGGGGGGTCGGTTCAAGCGACAATCCAAAGTAACGATGGTGGCTCCGCCGCGTCTCGTTTAGTGAGTACTAGACGAAGAAAAGGAGGGTCGTCCTCTGTCAGTGGGCTTGGCAGATATGAGCTCGATCTGCATCGTCACAATCCCAGTCGCGTATTCCGCGCTGATAGGGAAGGCTGCAGAAGCGGCAGGGGTATACTAGAGGTCGGTGAAAGCCACGTAGTAGTGGACGACGGGCCTCCGGTGATATTGAGTAATAGTTGCCAGCGAGGTCGTCAACTCTAACGAACGTCGAAGGGGCCGAGTGCCAGTCGATGCGGTGGCGTCAGATCGAGATTTGCTCCCGCGCTACCGCCACCAACCGCCGCGGGTCGCTGCCAGTGCGGCCAGTGAGCGCTAGTGAGCGGCCGGGCCAGCGACAACTCGAGGCTGCCTCGAACAACGGTTCAAAACAACTGCTCAGGCTTCACTTGATGCGAGGATACCTCGATTCTACTTCTTCGCCGCATTGGCTAGCCGGGGCGTATCTGCACAGTTGACGAATATTCACCGTGTTACTGACATCACAAGTTCGAGATTTTGTAGGCTTCAGTTTGAGTCGCTGCTCCTGACCGGTTCAGGAAAAGTCGTCAGTATCACCCATTTGTTGTGCTACTGGGAAGGAAGGGGTTCTTCTCATCATATGTTGTCGTTTCTCTTTGCACGGTCATACGCGCGTCGCGGCCGGCGGGCGAACATGCTGCGACTCCGAGGACGTTGCGCAGTGCATGCCGCATGCGTACGCCGCCGTCTCATCCATGAATACTACCAACCGCGGTGTTTCCCTCGCACGTACAGTGCAGGGCTCGTCCGCCTTCATCTTCCCTCTTCAAGACTCCGCCTTAGCCTTCGGCACAGCGTCCTTGCTTCGATCGTCGTTGTGCTGCCCATTCAGGTATGCTTTGTTCATCGTCACGCTGGCAACGCTCTGACCTTCGCGCCCTAGTATCATCACGGTCGTTCTTTATCACTCTTATCTGCCGTTATCTGCCGCATCGATACTCATCGACCGCATGGTGCTGACCATTTTCAGCCGTTGCTTTGTCCTCGAGTGGACCCACAATTGCCCAAATCCGGCAACCGAGGTCGCATCGCGCCCTTGCGGATCGTGGCTGCGAGTCAGGTGGGCCGTGCGAATCTTTGGCCATGGCCATTGTTCCAATCGCATAAAAGACCGTTCAAGTTCGAACTTGGGCCGGCAAAAGTCTCTCCGCCACTCCCATCTCCCCCGCTCCCTTCGACCTTCCACGGGCCGTCGGCCTCTGGTCCCGCCTCGACGCGTGATGCCCCCCTACCCAACAGAGTAGGGACGGCACTAGTCAACAAAGGACGTGCCTCGACGCGCACAAAGGTACGTTGTGTCAGCCGCGCGCAGGGTTGAGTGGCGTTCACTAACAGTCAGCCGCCTGTATACTTATAGGTCTCTCCTCCGCATGTCTGTTGTGTCCGAGTCAAGACCGCTCGGCGACAGGGTCCAATATAGGCACGGTACGTCTACGTGACTGTTCTCCGCTTCATCCTGCTCATGCTCGCCGCTGGCACCTCAGCAATCATTTGCGCACCAGGCCCATTGGACGTCGCGAGTTCGACTTACCGCTGCCAGCCACTGCGCTGATGGGGGCGACGGTATGTGTCTCTCCGTGTGCGCCTCGTCCACCGGTGTGCAGGGCCGAGTCAAGTCCGCTCGGCGGCATCGTCCGGGACAATGCACGGTATGTCTATACCCTCGATGTTTCTTCTCATCTGACTCACACCCGCTCGTATCTCCTAGCGTGGCAAGCTATATCGCAAAAGTGCTCCCCGGACCTGTAAGGGATGATGGTCAAGGGTCAAGCGCTGCAACGATAGCCGCGTCAAGGTCTCAGAAGCGAGTGAAGGGTCAAGCGCTCCAATCGGGTTCCATCTCAAAGGCTCGAACGAGTGAAGGTCTCTGCGCGCCTTCATCAATATGCTCACAAGAGCGAAGGGTCAAGCGCCGAAAGGATGAGGCCGCCTCAAGAGCTCGACGGCGAGCGGAAGAGTTCGGCGCCCCAAAGGGCAGAAGTGAAGACGATCCGATTCCGACTGGGCGAAGAGTCAAGCGCCAGAATAACAGGCGAGCCTCAAGTGCAAGAGCTACAAGAGCCCCCGAGGGCGGGCGGGCACTCGCGGAGACGCGGTGCTCGTCCGGGCGCGGACCTTTACGTGGTCCTCGGGATAAGTACCCTCGCATTCGTGCGAGGGGAAACCAACTCGCGCCGAATTGTATATACAACGTCACGTCGTCATGTATCGTAGCCCGCTCGCGTTTCGAATGATACACTGTTGACTCTGAAAATGCGCGATTTGCGTCGTCGAACACGACGATGTGCATCAGTCCATGTCTGTGTCCACTGTCCACCGCCACTCGAGGCGTGGCCGCGTCGAGCACGTTGCAGCACGTGAGCGCGGGGATGCTAACTATGGTCGGGTTGAAACGCCGCTGAGGACGCGCCATCTATTTCGGGCAGACGCGCTCGCGATGCCGTTGTTCTCGCAGCGGGCAACTCTTTCTCTACATCGTCCTTTGCCCTGCCCTCGACGTTCGCGCCGTGCTCGAGACCACATTCTGTTCACAAGCCCCTATTCTCGTTGCGTGGCGCCAACTCATTTCAATAAGCTTCGCAGGCTAGCGAGCGGCGCATGTCCAAGTGCCTGTGAAGTCATCGACCTCGTTCCCGCTTCCTGATCCTCTCGCACGACCATCTAACGCCGCATTTCCTTCCCTCTCCTCGGGGCCGAGCAACTATTCTGCCGCCATGCCACCCCAAGTAGACCTCGTTTTGGTCTTTCGGTCCTCCCCAGCTAGAGTTCTGTCTAGACGCGACGCGCGCGAGAATGCAAGACAGGCAGAGCGCCAGTACACGAAGTTACTCGAAGTCCTCCAGACAGGAGGCCTGCGCGCCGTTGGGAAGCGGGGTGAGAACGACGGCCAGCTGCTGGTGCTCGTATCATGTCCGCAGAGTACACTCGCGCGACTAGCGCAGCGTGAACGGTGAGTCGATGTTATGGTTATGTGGCGGGCGCACTCAACCCCTCGGCATAGACATTCGGACTTCATCTGCGGCCTCCCCACTGCAAATCCCGCCGCTGCTCTCGACCTCAACTCCGTATCGTTTTCGGATGCGGACCGGTTACGGCTCATCCACACGTATGTCACATCGACTGTAACGGACGGTGGCCTGGGTGTGGCGCCGGGCTCAAGCAACTGGGATCGCATCGAGTCGGTCATGATGCTCCATGACAACAAGTTCAATGAAGAGTGGATTCGCTCATGGACTCGTAAGGAGCTAGGCTTCGTGACGTTAACCGAGATGCGCAAGCACGTACGTTCACGCTTCACATTAACGCTTTCTTCTTCATTGATTGGTCGGGCGGTAGTTTGGCGAAGCCGTCGCGCTCTACTTCGCTTTCCTGTCTTATTACACCAAGAACCTCATCTTTATCTCTGTCGTGGGCGCGTACTTCTACTTCTTCCACGAAGCATACTCAGCTGTCTACTCATCCATACTCCTGCTTTGGTCGATCACCTTTGTCGAGTCTTGGCGAATCAGACAACGGATTCTCTCCGTGCGGTGGAGGACGCGGGGTTCATTTCGCGTCGAAAAACGGCGCGCCCAGTACGTACCCATCTCATGGTGGAAGAAGGACCTGCGTATGCTCGCAGGGCTGCCGGTCATCATGCTCTTCGCGGCTGTCCTCGCCGCCCTGCTCATGGTAGTGTTCGTATTCGAAGCCTTCATCACAACGCTCTACACAGGGCCCGGTAGCCGCTTCGTCGTAAGCATCTTTCCTTGCTGTAGCGTCTTTATCTGAACTAGCTTGCAGTCTTTCGCTCCGACCATCATCGTCTCCGTCTTCGTCCCGCGCTTCCTCAGCATCTATCACTCATACGCCGTGTCCTTCACGAACTGGGAGAACCATGGACACCAGTCGAGTCACGACGCATCGCTCACGCTGAAGTCCTTCGCCCTCGCGGGTGTCGTAGACTACCTGGGTCTAGCGCTTTCCGCGTTCGTGTACGTGCCCTTCGGCGAAGAGACGATGGCCTTCATCCAGCGCATGATCGAGAAGGATCCAACCGCACACTTGAACATCACCTCATCCCTCTACTCTGCGCTGCCCTCGCGCGCGACCGCCAAGTTCGCATCGGCATCCGCCTCCACGGGGAAGGCGCGCAGCTTATGGGAGATGGACATCATGAGCGCGCGGAACAAGCTCAGCCCGACGCGGCTGCAGGACCAGATGTTCGCGTTCACGGTCACGAACCAAGCTGTGAATGCGTTCCTCGAAATAGGCCTGCCGTACGTCCTCCGTGCCGTCGCCGTCATCCGCCGCCGCGGGCTCCGCGCGGCGGGCGCGTCCGCGAACGGGTCCGCGAACTCGGGCAAGAAGAAGCGCGTGTCGTTTGAGGACGAGGCGGGCGAGGGGAAGACGCCCGCGCGGGACAGGGAGAAGGGCGAGGACAGGGAATTCATGGAGGAAGTGTGGAGGCAGGTCGCGCTGCCGCCGTATGAGCTATTCACGGACTACAACGAGATGGTCACCCAGTTTGGGTACGTCGCGCTGTGGTCGACGATCTGGCCGCTTGCTCCGCGTGAGTACCATCCCTCCCTTGACCCTTACACACACCTGACGCGCATGTACAGTCATGGCGCTCACAAACAACTGGTTCGAGCTGCGCTCAGACGCGTTCAAGATCGCGAAGCATGTCCGCCGGCCGATCCCCGCGCGCACGGACACGATCGGCCCCTGGCTCGACACCCTCCAGTTCCTCGCCTGGCTCGCGTTCCTCACCAACTCTGCGCTCGTCTACCTCTTTCGCCCGCTCGACCACTGCAAGGCGCTCGGCACCTCGCTCGACCGCCATCACACCCACCTCGCCGGCCGCGACGCGGGCCCGCGCGAGATCCTCGAGGCCGCGCTGCTCGTCGCCCTGGGCGCGTCGCATGGGTACATCCTCATCAGGGTTGTGCTGCGTCATGTGCTCGAGCGGCTGATGTGGCGCGGGACGGACGAGGAGCGCGAGGCGGAGACGGTCGAGACGGCGGTGAAGGAGGAATATATGAGAAGCTTGGGTGTCGCGGACGTCGCCGGTGCCGGTGTAGGCGAGATCGCGGAGGCAGATGCGAAAGATGGCGATGGAGATGCCTTCTGGACGTATGACGAGGGGCTGGATGAGCTCTCGAGGGAGACGAAGGAGTCATGAGACGAAAGGCAGTTTACTAGAGAGTAGAGCCAAGGAGTGTTTCCTCTGAGTTAGTTATGACCACCTTTTGTGCACGATCTGGACCACCGAATGTAGTTGACGACAACGCAATGTATCACGAAGAACGAAGAACGGCGCGCATAAACAACCAGCTCCTCCGATCCGCTCAAAGCCGGCGCGCAACGAAGAAAGCTGAGCATAAATACTGGTCCAACAGAGCAACGTACTACATACACTTCACAATATATCCCATCGTTCCACATCCATCGAACTTCCACAACTTCAGCGCCGTATTTATGCTGGCGCGCCGACACCCTGTGGCCCAGGATGTGAAGCCTGCGCAGGCTCACCAGAAACCTGCATTCCCGCGAACTGGTTTGGCAATCCTTGATACTGCGCCTGCCATACACCCTGCTGAGGCTCTCCTTGAGTAGCACCAATAGAGATGCCAGGAGCTGGTGAAGCGGTGTACCCGGCCGGAGGGACGCCATAGGGCGACACGCCGTACGCGGGCTGCTGGTGCACGCTCGCAGTCGGGCTTCCAGGCGCTTGCTGCTGCCCACCCTCGAACCCTGCATGTGCCGTACCACTCTCGCCCGCTGACTGACTCTGAGGCGTCGACGCGTTCAAAGACGTTGTAGACGCTTGTGCCTGCTGGGCTACGGCAGTGTCCTGAGAGTCGCTTCGTGAGACAGTCTGCGCCAGGGAGCCTTCTTTGACACCGGGCACGGAGATGAAGTAGATGGAACCCGTCGGATCCGTCCCGCCCTGCGCATAATACTGCGCCCAGGCCTGCACATTCGGATCGGGATACGTCGTGTTGGGATCGAACACGAAAGGGGGGCCGCTCTGCCTCTGAGGCTGGGGCTGAGGCTGCGTTTGAGCTTGGACTTGAGCTTGAGCCTGCGGCTGAGGTTGTGCCTGAGTCTGCGGCTGCGGCTGAGGTTGCACTTGTGGCTGCGGCTGAGCCTGTACCTGCACCTGCGGCGTCGGCGTAGGCTGGGTCTGCATGGGAACAGCGACCTGCTGGAATGGCGTGGCTTGCGCCTGTGGGTGCGGCTGATGCTGCGCCTGTGCTGGCTGGGTAGGCTGACCGGCAGGGTAGATCTGCGGCTCGGCCTGACCGCCGTAAGACGTCGGCGCGCCGTAGACCTGTGGTTGGCCATACATCGTCTGTGATATCTGCGCGTATGCGTTGGGGTCGTATGTTGACTGGGGTCGGGCGCCGGGAGAGTAGGCTCGCTCGGGACCTTGAACGTAGCCGGGTTGGGGAGGAGGATAGGCGCTGTACCCTTGATCATAGCCAGCTGGACTGTAACCGTATGGCTGAGGGCCCGGAGGCATACCATATTCTTGACGGCCACGAGAATCAGGGCGAGCTATGTACGATGACTGAGGCTGAGCGTATGGAGGACGCGGATCATACACTATAATGAGGTCAACGGCCTACCCGTTCGCACGATATAAGAACTGCTCACTAGCGGTGTTTCTAGCGAGGCTCTCTTCCATCATTCGGTCAAAGATGGTCCTAGCCTTCACGAAGGTCTCGTTCATCGAGACCAGGTCAGCTACAGTTCATGTCAGCAACTAGCACCTATTGTACGGTCACACAATCACCAACCTCGCTTTTGACTATACTTGTCAATGAGCTTGACGATCCTTGGACGCAAAGTCATGCAGTTTCGGTACAACTCCTGCATGATATGTTAGCGGACAATCACAGGCCTCTTACAGTACACACTGACCTGGATTTCTTCATTGTCTGCTAGGTTATCCTTGGCGGGGTCCATGCCACGGAGCAGCGTCAGCAGACGGTCCACATTCGCAGCCTGCGCAAACACAGTAGCCTCCTGCTCCGCCTCCCGGGCGAGTTCAACCGCCGTAGGTTCCGGCAACGGCTCCACATAGTTCACAGGGAAGATACCCGTCCTACCCTTCAGTTGGCCACGCCACCAGTCCTTGTATCCCCGATCGACGACTTTGATGATATCGCCCTTCTCGAAGGCCAGCTCTCCAGCCTCAGTAGGCTCAAAGGTGTGCAGCGCCCTGACCCGAGTGACAACGGAGATGTTTTCCTGGCCTGACGCACTGGGTGGGGCAGATGACATTGTACTTGAGCTTACGGTTGTGAGAGTTGACGGCGAGGACGTATTGGCAGCGGAGATCGCCGGGCTGGCTGAGGGTACGTATCCGCCATAGCTAGGCTGTGTGTAGCTTTGTTGTTGGCGAGTCGGCTGAGCGGTGTTAGTTGCGGGTAAGTTCGAGTTGGATCCGGATCCGCCTGCACCATTCGACGATGCTAGCGAGTAGTCGGCCCATTGTTGGCGCCCACCCTTATCATGCATGGACATCTCGAGGACCCGTTGCAATTCCTCCTCTTCCCGACGACGGACTTCGTCATCCACATCTGGCGGAGGAGGCTCGTCTGGCGTCTCGAACTTGTATCCTTCAGTGACGCAGAGTCAGCTTGAGCTACTGGATCATACGATATGCGATGACATACCCTTGCTCTTCAAGGACTCGAAGGATTCCTCCATAATCCCCAGTGTAGGATCCTTCTCGAATTCCGCGGTCCACATAGCAATCATTGACAGAACTCTCCGCCGTACCTTTTCGTGCGTTGTCTAACATGACATGGGACAAATGAGGCACCGTGCCATGCAAGGCATGTAATGAATCGTACCCGATCGGTAACCAGCTTCTCGAGCCCCTGGGTAAATGCGCGCGACGCGATCTCCCTGTGCACTTCAATCCCGCAGTTCTTCGTCAGAGACTCCGCAAGAGTCAGCGTATATAGTTGCACATTCGGATTGCGATGCGCCAGCCGTTTCAGGACGGCAGCAACGACGTTGCGCGCGCTGCCATGGCGCAAATATGAGTGAGACGCACGGCTTCACGACCGTTGCGTTACGCACCCTTGTTCACCCTCATCCAGCACCTTGTCGCATAGATTCAGAATCATCTCCCAGTTCTCGCCCGTCAGGTTCTCATCAGTCGTTTTGGCTGAAGACCAGCAATCAGCCGAAGCTGCCAATACAGTCGAATGGTCTCACTCACCGACGACCTCGTCGTAACTGTTGGTCTGACCACCCCTAAACATGGCAGTCGTTTGGGCTGTTGAAGGTATCGGTGCAAGGGTTGCGTGAGAGGCTACGCGCGTCGGGAATAAATAGCAGTCTGAGGCGAACCACTGACTGCGCTACTGGGCGGCGCAGCGAGCTCGGTGATGCAGCGCCCCAGCCCGTAGACGCTGGCGGTCTCCGGTCCGCCGGACTTCCGTGAGAGGAAGCTTCTGATGTCCGGCGCCGGTCTCGGCGGCATCCCTCGCAGCTCCATTGGCTGCCGGGGAGACTCCCCGAAATGGTCTGCCCGAGGACAGGCCGAGCCGTCTCGATTTGGAAGTGTACGCCACAGCCAGACACAGCGCGGGCTCGCGCTCATCGCGTTCATCTCATCCACTCTTTCTCTGCTCGGCTTTCCGTTATTACTAGCTATGGCGAAGGGTGCCTCTTATTGCTTGTCTCCGTAACTTCACGTCCTGATATGTCTGCAGTGCCCCGCAACTTCCGCCTTTTGGAGGAGCTCGAGAAAGGCGAGAAGGGCATCGGAGACGGGTCGTGCTCGTATGGTCTTGAGGATAGCGACGATATTATGATGAGCCATTGGAATGGTACGATCATTGGTCCAGGACATGTGAGTATACATCTGTATTGTGCATGACCCGTAGCGTCCTGGTAGGTGGCTCACTAAAGCGATCTACAGACCGTGCACGAGAATCGCATCTACAGTCTCAAGATCACTTGTGGCGATAGCTATCCGGAGGAGCCACCCACCATCCAATTCATATCCCGCGTCAACCTGCCTTTCGTCAGTCCAGTCGATGGAAAGGTCGACCCATCGAAGCTTCCCGTGCTCGCTCATTGGAACAGAAACAACAGTATTGAGACAGTCTTGGTAGAGATCCGGAGGTGCGTCATCGACCCAATCCACGCTACTCTCATCCTCATGTTCCTGATCGATGCAGGGAGATGGCATCCTTCAACAACCGGAAATTGCCCCAGCCTCCGGAGGGCAGCACCTTCTAATGTCAATTGGGGCACCGTCACGAACCCTCGACACGTCTGGGGCGTAATGTACTGAATATACTTGATTTTGTAGCATGAATCCGCCGTCATCGTGTGTTAATCATATCCGCGCAGCTATTGTCGAATTGAATGTTTGTCCTTGCATGCACATCGCTGTGACTATGCCAATGCGAACTTGAGGGCATGATTCAATGCGGGGCTGTGCATGGGATATTACCAATCATCTGCACACAAGGGCCACACGCAAGCTTCACGCAACCACATATAGCGGTGTTGGGTGACACGACGATGTACGCATGCAACATAACTATCCTCACATCGTCAAGTACCTCCTCGGTGAGCCCGAATGTCTGCTACAGTCTTCATCGCTCTCCTCATTGTGCAGGCCATTCAGCGCGCACTCGAATCATGAAGCAGTGCAAGTAAGTTCATAGGCCGGTGTCGTTTGGTGCGGCTTCCAATCAAGAATCGTTCGCCTGCGGCTTCCTTGACGAAGTCGCACCATGGTCTGACAAAGCCTGACTTCGGCGATAATGACATATGCGTACCACCCTGACCTTCCCCGTCGCTGTAGTATCGAACCCTTTGTCTGAATTGCAACCAACGTTCGCATTGCCCGAGGTCGCACTAGTGCCACTAGCTCCGCTCTCTCAATGGAAGTACCGCGTGGACATCTCCTCCCGCGAAGGTTCCTCCTCGACGCACTGAGTCTGAAGGCAGCACAACCGCGATCTGAGACCACGTCGCAGGAACCACCGTGAACCCAGATCTGGCCATCGAGGGTCGCAGCAAATGATTTTCGGATTGACTGATTGTGAGCTTCTGTGACGATCGAGGTCAATGGATCGTCTATCTCCGCATGGCATGTCCTTGAACAAGCGGATACTGTCACAGAATGCCAGTTCTGTGCAGCCGTCAACGTCAAACGCGAGAACCTCCAGAAGCTCACGGCCGCCGACGTGACTTCCCGGCGGCAGAAGTGGATGTCGTCGCGGAAGTAAGACGCGGATATGTGAAACGCGGGTTGAATGTCGCATCGGAGCTGTCGCGGGCGGGCAAGACGGAATGTCTTTCGTGATACATATATTTCCCGTATTGCACACGAGTACGAATACAAACAAACGAGTGATTAGGGTATAGTAATGCGACAATGCCCTTGCGGCATGAAGAAACCCATGAATAAGGCAATGAGCGTGTCCACAGTCGGTCTCAGAATGCGAAATCCTCCTCCAGTGGTTGGTGCATAAGGTGCAGAAAGGCGTGGGCGTGAAGCAAGAATGGATAAGTAAATGTAAACCTCCTTTGATCGTAGATACCAAGCGTCCGTCGCAGCGCGCAATGGGTCGTTCGCAATCATCGGTCGGCTGGTGAGAGGCCTCGGTCTTTTCTTGTCGAGTGGACGAGCAAGTCCTTGGACTTGATCCACCGCACGAACCAGTTGCCAAGGACAATGCCCCAGAGCACGTCGAAGTACGCAGCACCCTTATTCTATACGCCGCCAGCATCGTCAACATTGGGTTAGGGATTCGAAGGATGGGGCTTACCCTTCCCAAAGGAATGAGGATGATTTCCGTACTGCCCTTGTACTTCCTGGTCTGTGGTTGACCTTCGAGGAAGCTGAAGACGTTCGCGGAGCAGATCTCAGCATGTACAGGGTACTTCATGCCCTGCTTTTGCTCGTTCCAATCCGTGACGTCGCCCACCGCGAATACGCCCGGATGCCCCACCACCTCGAAGGTCGGCTTGACCTTCACTAACCGCCTTTCGTCCAGCGCGTCCGGACCGAGCGACGCGATCCACGCGGTGTTCGGCCGAGGGCCAAAGGTCGGGACAATCATGTCGGCAGTGGGAATCGACATGCCGGAGCGTGTGATGAGCCCGACAGTGCCGTGATCAGGAATGTAGTCTGTGAGTTCGGAGAAGACCATGTCGATTCGCCGTGCCTTGCAGCGGCGCTCCATGTCTTTACGGTACTTCTCCGGGTAGGTAGCGTTGAGAAGCATGTCGTCTGCTTGTACGATAGTGATCTTCTTGTTCTAGTGACGAACAGCGGAACGACGATCTGAGCGAGACGTGGGGGAACAACTCCGGAACGATCACTTACGGGGTAGATGTCTCTGAGCTCTCCGGCGGTCTCTGCACATCGATGTCAGAACTATTGAAAGACGAATGGTAAGGTTAACATACCAATGCCGACGGCGCCACCACCAATGAGTACTACGTGGTCTGCCTGTTCATACCGCTTTCTCCAATGAAGGAGATGGGCGTGCATGTCCTCGCGTGTGTACGGGAAGTCGAGCGGGCCGGACCACAAGAATCCGCACGCGAGGATGAGTGCGGCGTACTGAATTCTGCCCCCACTCTCGAGGATAATCTCTCCCCCCTCGCCCGGCACCTTCTCGTCAATCCCCGTCACCCTGTCGACAACCAGCCGACCGTTGCCATTGATGAAGAGTTTGTCGTAGCTCATGAGAGCAAATCGCTCGTAGTCGCCCTCCTCGCTGACCGTCATGCGCGCGCCAGCGAGGAGGTGCACGGCGAACGGCCGCTCGTTGACGAGGATCAGATTATACTTCTGCGGGTCGAGCGTGCCTGATAGGTTGCGCGCGACGAGCGCGCCGGCGTGTCCGCCACCAACTACGATGACATTCTGCTTGCCGTTCCAGTTCTCCTTCCAATGCATGTCGGGCAACGCGTTCAGCTAGTGAGTGCGAGGCGGGGGGCGGGGTTGTGGTCAATGTGGTGGGAGAGAAACGGAAGCAGGCCGGAGACCTGATCCAGGCTAGAAGGTGATATAACAAGCTGCGGGGTGGATAGGCACGGCTGATGCGGCGGACACACCGTCTTATGAGAGCGCTGAGAGGGACGTCTCGCCTCTCTAAGGGACGCGGGAGATCGCATGTGCAAGATGTGATCGAGAGGCGCCCACGTGGGCGCTCGCCAATCGCGACGGCGATGCGGCTTGGATGCGGCTCAGATCAACGACGCAGCAGGCGAGCCTCGGCGAACCGTCAGAATACTGGCAGCGATCCTCCGCGTTCGGCCACTCTGTTGACAAAAATGAATCGTGACGGCAGGAAGGCTTCAGCGCCATATCCGCAGGCTTGAAATTGATGTCGTTGGGCCAGTGGGAGATCCATGTATCAGTCAGGCCCCGTCCTGTAGACGCGGCCCTAAGTATCGCGCGTGAGCACAGCGCGTGAAAACTCACCCACAACTGGTATCTAGGAAGATTCCTCAACCATCCTGCGATAGGTAGCCATGGGACCGAACCTGGAAGGATCGAACCCAGTCGAAGAGCCCGGCTTCACTTCCATCCAACGTAAGTTAAGTCTTGGCGAACGCTTCCAACCGGTACCGACCCTACTCGCGGACTGTCACATGACGGAACGTCCGGGTTGACAGGTTTCGACGTATAAAGCACTGAAACTCGTCACTATGTCTAGTAGACTCATGTCGCGCCTCTAGACCCAAACTGTGAGCCTAAACACGTACATTTGGCGAAACGAAACATCTACACTCCGGTCGGCGGCTTGCAACGCCCGCCTGCGCGCCGCGAGTATGGTGTACCACGGTGTACCGCTCCGTATACGCCATTTTGCAACGGACAACCTCGGATCAGGGCAACCGAGTGGAGGTTTACAGCGGCCTGCTGCGACTGTGACGCTCTCATATTGATGATCAGCGAATCGGACGCGGTCAGTGGGCCTCCGATAGCATGCGCCATGCTGGTGTATTGCATCACATCTGACGAACTAGCTCGGTGATCAGGTCGGGATGGTTGGTCAGGTACTTACTTAGATGAACAAGAGAGGGTGCCGACAGCGGCCCGGTGTTACGGGCTTGGAGGTCGCAAACTCCATTGGCATCAAGGCTAATATCATGACATGCAGATATCAAACTTGAAACCGAAGGAGCCCGCTGGACACCCTTGAGCAAAGCCGCTGGCGAACAGGGACAGTAGGTGAACGGAGGTATACCGGAATCGACGAAACAGGCACCCCGTGGTGGATGTGGTAAGAGACGAAGGACCGACGAAGGACGATCGACTCCTCGAGGAGCGGGAGCGGGGAGCGGTCGATCATCTGCAGATTGCATGCGGCGGCCGCGGTAGATGCGGCACGGTACACGGGCGGAAATCTGCCAGTACCGTAGGCTCCTCCTTGTTTCAGTTTGCGATTCCGGAGCGGCAGACGATCTTCCTAGAGTCCTCTCATGCACTGAAAACCGCGACGTGGGTCCCTGTCCCTCGCATACTGATCGATGAACCGCAGCCCAAACAACCATGCACGGCGGCGGATCCGGTCAGCCTCAGCGATGCTCTATCTGAACAGATTCGTCCCGCGTCCGAGTCGCTGGGAGGAGGTCGGACAGCATCGCAAGTCGTTACTCAGTAAGCATCATTCGTTATGTACTATCAATACTCACGCTTTCTGACGCCAGCCGCCAGGGACTGTGCCTCTCTGTCCGTTTCCTGCCCACAAGACCCCGATGAGTGCAAGCTGTCGGACTGAAAAATGAACTTGAAACAGGCTGTGGTGGTGGTGATGCTGTCAGAGCTGCCGGTGGCGTCCCAGCGTCCCTCAATAAGATCAAATTCCAGCGCTCTCCTGCCGCTTCGGGCAGTCCGTACTCTAGCCAAACTCTAGCTTGGCCGCCAACGCCGACTCAACTGGGTTTTTTTGACATGCCGACGCGATGCTAGTAGGAGATGCTGTGCTCCGAGTCGGAGTGGCGGCAGCCACTGCTAGTTCAAGACACCAATGCTTCCTTGTGTGGTCAACGGCTCCGGGGCGTATACGTAGTACTCAAGCCCCGCCACTTGCGCAGTTGCGACTCGGCTGCTGATGGATGAAACCCTATCTGAACGGTGTGTCAAAACTATCTTTTTTGCCGCTCATTTATTGACCCTTTGCTCGAGGACCTAGTAGTATGCCAATCGCGGTGTGCGATCAGGACCAAGTACTGCCATCTACTGGGTTTGTCCAGTTGCCGCGGCAGCAACGGACTGCAGTAAAGACGCTGTCTGGCTAGCGGCTACGACACCTAATAACAGGTACAACGATGCATTGCCTGTATAACCCACTTTCCAGCCCGTCGTCGACAGGGACGTCCGAATACTCCGGGAAGTTGAAGATACTCAGTAGTAGCTGAGCAGCGCTACGCCGGCGATGTCAGCCGCCAACCCACCCGCCGGAGCATGGTCGTATTTCGAACGACTCGGAGGCTGTTCAGATGCCAACGCAATGCAAGGTGCGCACACAGCCGCCGTCCCCCTCCTCAATACGGTTGTGTCGAGGGTCTACTTAGGGAAAATACGCACACACTAGTGTCAGCCAGGCAGAAGCTTTCCCTATCCTCCCAAACACACAACCCACGTTCAACCAACCCGAACCCGAACCGTCTCAAAGCACACCTCCCCGTGCCCGCACTACCATGACGCTCCACTCACCCTTCTCCCACAACCGACTCAGATCTTCTAGTATGTCACCCAACCAACTTGATGCATCTTCACCACGTCCAGACCGGGACGCTGTCCAGATCAGACCGCAAGCAATACGAAGCTTGACAGGAAGGCTGCCGGCACCTCGCGACCGTTCAACGTTCACCGTCCACCAACGTTCTAGTGCGAACGAACAACCACTGGCGCTGGCACTGGCAGATCCTCCAGGCTAGTGCAGCCGGTCTCCAACCCCGGCGTCACGACTCAGAACCGCGCGTCCGAGTTGGGTTAGAGCCCGCACATCTTGCATCAGGTTCTGCCTTCCTCCATGATAACTTTGATGGTGCTCTACCGTAAACACCGTCGTCGCGCGAACGCCGACCGGTGGTCGCGCAGCCTCACGGGTGAGCACTGAGCTCATCCTCGCTAACCCCTCTGGCGTCCTCTCCTCGAATATCAGAGCCAGTCAGAGAATGGTTTCGGTGTCTTTCGAGATCCGCGAAGACCGTCGGCACTGCTAGCATGACGGCGAAGTTCGAACTCATCAAGACCGTGACGTTCGATAGCAACTGCACAGCCCATATGGACGAGATGAGTCGCAGTTGAGTCGCCCATAGCTTCGACAGGCTTCGACCCACGAACAGAACGCCTACAGGGCCGTGAGAGCGCACTACGACATAATTTCCACTGGCATGAGCATGTACCAACCACGTAGATCCGTGGCGGTAGACGCATACCATACTTGATAACAATCCTCAGGCACTTCAGCCCACATCAGGGGAGATATCCAGAAGAACCACCGCACGCGCAGTCTCGCGCAACGACACTCGTACAATCGCCAGGCGAGAAACGACGATGAATAAGTTGATGAATAGAGTAGTATAGGCGCACATTCGATCGGTCAAGTGTATGCAGCGAGCAGTAGGAGTATATCATACGCACTATGCTATGTAGAAGCGGCCACGGAACCATACATGGCTGCGAAGGAGGAATAATAATGCTCTGCGTGATGTGGTAGGTTGCAGCTGTGGGTGGTATCAATGTGGCGTGCGGGCGGAGGGGTGGCATGTATGCGGAGTTCGGTGAATGATGCAAGAACGAGGAATTTGAATGGAAGAGTCCACGAGGTGTCGGTGTATGCGCAGAGGCGGGGCAAGATGGATGGAAGGTGAGGAGAGGCAGGAGGCAGCAGGGCTATATCCGCCCTCAAAGATAGCAGACGCCCCGTACGCGCACAAGCGCACGGACCCGCGTCATTGACCAGCTGCAGTCTGCCCCGCCTCCCTCTCCCCCTGCACTTGCACCTCTCCGTCCTCATCCACCTCTCGGCTCTCCGCCACCGCCAACCTCCCAATCTCAACCTCCAACGCCTTCACATGGCCATCCACCAACCCCCTCAACTCCCTCTTCGGCATCACAAGCGCGCTCCGCTCGCCCACCTCCCTAAACTCCCTTGGGACGAACGGCGAGCCCCCGCCGCCGACGCCCGGGCTCGGCGGGTACAGCGAGAACGGGCTCGGCGGGGCCAGCGCGGGGCTCGGCAGCGCCGCGATCTGCACCTTCTTCAGCGCCGCCATGCCCACCGGCCCCTGCATCGCGAACGGCAGCCTGCCCAGCCCCACGCCCAAGCCCAAGCCCGCGCCCGCCTCCTCGAGCTGCACCTCGGGGTAGATCGAGCTGAGCGGCGGCGTCTGGCCCGCGCCCGACGGCTGCAGCCGCGCCGCGAAGTACTCGTACTGCGCCAGCGCCGGGTGCGCGTGCCCCCCGAGGCCGCGCCCGTGGTGCCCGTCGTCGTCCGCGTCCGCGTCAGTGTCCCCGTCGTGCTCGTCCGTGTCGCTCTCGGATGCGGAGCTCAGTGCGGGGGTGGAGAGGTCCGTCGGCGATAGTGCGCGCGCGGGGAGGTCGTTATATTCCTCGTCTGTGGATTCCTCCGCGCCTCCGTTGGGCGAGCCTTCTATCGGGCTCTCTGGACCTGCGGCTGACGGTGGTGCGAGACCCGGCTCGGGGGGTGAGGGCTCTCGGATGGGGGCGAGAGTCGGCGTCGGTGCGAGCTCGGGCTCGAGGTCAGCCTCGGGCTCTTGTTCGGGCTCTGGATGTGGCGTTGGCTCGGGCAACGACTGCGGAGGTACCGATGGTGGGGATGGCGGAGCGACGAGCGGGAGAAAGGTCATGTTGATGCGCCTTTGGGGTGGTGCTGGCGGGCGTACAGGCTCTGATGGTGGCGACGGGGCAGCACGTTGGACGGGCAAGAGAGGAAGAAACGAGAAGGTGGGTAGGCGGCGAGGAGGAGGTCTGGAGGATGCTGGTGTGGCGGTCGGCGTTGATGGCGAAGAGGGTAGTGCTGCGGGAGGAGTGGAGGGCGAGGATGACGGGATTTGCAATGGCGGAGGAGATATTGACAATGAGGGTGGTGAGGGTGCCGAAGGAGGGGAGGGCGGCGTCTGTGCGGGTGAGGGTTGTGGCGGAGGTGATGATGTCGGATGCAGTTGCGATGGAGGGTCGGCTCTGGCGATGGGCTCAGCCTCTGCGAGCAGCTGGGGACTGGGAGGTTCCGGGGCAGCGGGGGTGTCGAGCAGGGGGAGGAGGCGGATGGGGACTGCGTCGAGATAGGGGAGGATGTCGGCGTCGAAGTAGCCTGGGTCGGGGGTGGTGCCGCGGTTCTTCCACTTGGACGGGGTCTGGCTGGGCTGGCTGGCGAAGCGGGAGAGCGGGAAGGGCCGGGACGCGGCGGCGGTGTAGGCGGTGGGCGAGGAGGTGGTGTATGGCTGACGGGAGGTGGGCGGCGGGGCGGGGCGGGGGAGGGTGAGCCGGAGCCGCTTGAGTTCGAGGACGTCACTGCGGGTGCGGGCATCAGCGGCTGCTTTGAGGGTGCACGGTGTGCCTGGGTCGCAGCGGCCACGGCGGGCTGCATGATGCGGGCCATGACGTCGCTGCCCGTCCGCCCGATTAGGCAGGCAGGCAGCATGACTCGGATCGAGGCAGCCTCGCTCGGACAGCACGCGACAACGGAGCACTCACTCGTAGGACAGCCGCGGCGTCACCGGCGCGGGCGAGCGATCCCACTCGTCGACCTCAAACACCTCCTCCAGCTCGTCGTCCTCGCAGAACGACACCGTCTTCTGCAGCCGCGGCGGGCACTCGCCCGGCGTGGGTGGCGCGGACGGGTAGGGCGACAATGGCGGAGTCGGGCTCTTCAGGCAGCTCTTCATCGCGTGGAGGGACCTCGTGGGTGTGCTCAGTAGAAGGGGAGTTCAGAGTCTAGATGTGCTAGCGGGAACGCGGATCGTCTAGTGAGTAAAATTGAGCTCGGAGCACTGCGCGTCTAGGAGTGTGGGCGGTCGTGTGCGCGTTGCGGCGGCCAGGATGGTCGCGATGGTCGTCTGCACTGGGGGTGGGAGTGCTGGGGGCGTCGAGGGAGGCGGGTGCGGGGTAGGAGGGCGAGATATAGCGCGGCGGCCGGGTGAGCGGGAGGGAAAAGGTCGCTCCTCCTCCCGACACGTGAGCGCCAAAGAGGGTGATCCCGGAACGCCCGTGCATGTCGCGACGGAGCACCTCCCCCGCACCACTCGCCCCGCCCGTCCCTCGTTGCCCTCCTCGTCCTTCTGACGGCCCTCGTCCGTCGGCCGTCTCGCTGTTCCAACCACCAACCACCCGACTCCTCTGCCCTCTCTTTGTCTGGGCGCGTCGGGGCGTCCGCGAATGACAGGTCGTCCCGTTCTCAGCCCCGCGCCGCCATTTGCTTCCGCCTCCTGTGCTTCCGGAAGCTCTTCTGGCACGACTTGGCCCTCCAAACGTGTCTAGCCGCGTTAATGAGTGTCGCCCCCGTGCTGTCTTGTTACGGCGTCGGACGTAAGGACGTGAGGCGTGGTGGATGCGCACAGGCACGAGGGGGGCGCTGGGCGGTCAGGCGGGGCGGACCTAGCGTTTCGTCTCCAGTACGTGCCGCATGTACCTATATTCTGCTCTTCATCTCCATAAATAATGTCGGTGACGACGCTTGCACAATGACGATGGACTTGGATCGCAGACGATGTTCATGGCCACCTTGACGAGCTGCATAGTCTAGAGACAGATGGCGGTATACGCAAGCCTTCGGCTGCCAGTGCCAGACGGCTCGCATCATCTTGCTCATATCGACGACGCACCATACAGTATATCTATGTAAGCCCTCCTAGCTACTCAACGCCTTCACCATCCCCTAGCATGCCCCCTCTCGCCGCTGTCCGCGCATCCAATGCGCGCTTCTCCCCGCCCACACCGCCCGTCGCGATCTTCGTCGGCGGGACGTCCGGCATCGGGCAGGGCACCGCGCAGGCCTTCGCGCGGCACACGCGTGGCGCGGCGCACATCATCCTCGTCGGGCGGAACCGCGCCGCCGCCGCCGCGCTCTTCGCGACCTTCCCCCGGTGCGCGACCTCGAAGTACGAGTTCGTGCCGTGCGACGCGAGCCTGCTGCGCAACGTCGCCGCGACGACCGCCGGCCTCCTCGCGCGCCTCCCGCGGGTCAACTACCTCGTGCTGACGTGCGGCGCGCTCCCGAACGCGTGGCAGGTCCTCCGCGGCGCGCGCGCGCCGACGGCGGAGGGCATCCCCGAGGCGCTCTTCGCGGTCACGTACTACGCGCGCGCGCAGTTCGCGCGGGACCTCCTCCCGCTGCTCCGCGCAGCGCGCGCGGCGGGGGAGGACGCGGCCGTCCTGACTGTCCTCGCCGCGGGGCACGGTGGGCCGGTCGACTTCGCCGACATGGGCATGGAGGGCCCGTGGAGCGTGCGGACGCTGCGCCCGACGGTGATCACTTATATGGACATGATGGTCGAGGTGCGCCCCCCTTCCGACCGCCTGGCGCGCGGCGTGCTAAGTGCCTCTCCGAGTCTTAGAGTCTCGCAGCCCTCGCCCCTGAGGTGACCTTCACGCATATATGCCCTGGGATTGTGAGCACGCCGCTGTTCCCCGGTTGGGTGCGGCCCCTCGCGGACCTGCTCCTCACGTCGATCGACGACTGCGGGGAGTTCATGCTCCATGCGCTGCTCATGAGTAGGGGAGGCGGCGCGATGCGAATGGGTGAGCACGCCGACGACGTCGGGTTGCAGGGGTACTTTGGCGGCGATGAGGTCCGGGAGCGGGTGTGGGCGCATACGACAGAGGTGATCGAGCGTGCGTTGGCGAAGACCGAGACAGTGGTCCCCTCCGAGTCGGTGGGAGGCCAGTAGATATGTGACTATGTTGTGAGCTTGGATTATTTCGCGTCGCACTTGCTTAACTGGTTCCTCGTTCCTCGACTTGCTCCGTTCAAAATGCACACTTAGGTGAGGGGGCTATGGACGCGTGGGACACGGCTACGATCCCGCCCATCTGTTGAGCCTCTGAGTCGCCGCCATTGCCCAGCTCGTCAAGCGTCCCGGTAGAGTCCATTGTATGATACCGTAACGGGGTTGCCTCTTGGACGGTGTCGAGACACTCAGGCTGTCGGGACGGAGTTTTGCGAGCGTAAGGCTCACTCGCGGCTCCAAGCAGTCCCTTGTACACCACGTCGTCTCCGGCACACAAGCCCATGCGGCTGAGCAGCGTCGCGCGCAACGCTCGACGCATCCGGCGTGGGCCCCGTCGGCCGAGCCGACTTGACTTCGCCGAGAGGACGGTTGCAGGAGCAAATAGAGAAGTACCACCGTCAGAGATATTGTGCAGGTCGAGGGGCGCGGCATCACGCAGCGGCAAGGACACAGAGAACAAACAATGCAATTATCGGACACTACCAGGGACTGTACATGGCGGAGCGCAAAAGACAAGAAAACAGAGTACTCATCGTCGGCGAACAAATTCGGCGCGAGTTGGTTTCCCCTCGCACGAATGCGAGGGTACTTATCCCGAGGACCACGTAAAGGTCCGCGCCCGGACGAGCACCGCGGCCCCGCGAGTGCTCGCCCGCCCTCGGGGGCTCTTGTAGCTCTTGCACTTGAGGCTTGCCTGTTATTCTGGCGCTTGACTCTTCGCCCAGTCGAGGTCGGATCGTCTTCGCTTTTGCCCTTTGGGGCGCCGCACTTTTCGCTCGCCGTCGAGCTCTTGAGGCGGCCTCATCCTTTCGGCGCTTGACCCTTCGCTCTTGTGAGCATTTTGATGAAGGCGCGCAGAGACCTTCACTCGTTCGAGCCTTTCGTTCGAGCCTTTGAGATGGAACCCGATTGGAGCGCTTGACCCTTCACTCGCTTCTGAGACCTTGACGCGGCTATCGTTGCAGCGCTTGACCCTTGACCATCATCCCTTACAGGTCCGGGGAGCACTTTTGCGATATAGCTTGCCACGCTGTGAGATACGAGCGGGTGTGAGTAAGATGAGAAGAAACATCGAGGGTATAGACATACCGTGCATTGTCCCGGACGATGCCGCTGAGCGGGCTTGACTCGGCCCTGCACACCGGCGGACGAGGCGCACGCGGAGAGACACATACCGTCGCCCTCATCAGCGCAGTGGCTGGCAGCGGTAAGTCGAACTCGCGACACGTTGACGATGGTCCAATAGTAGGCCTGGTGCGCAATCGCAATGATTGCTGAGGTGCAAGCGGCGAGCATGAGCGGGATGAAGCGGAGAACAGTCACGTAGACGTACCGTGCCTATATTGGACCCCGTCGCCGAGCGATCTTGACTCGGACACAACAGGTAGGCGGAGGAGAGACCTATAAGTACACAGGCGGCTGACAATGAGTGAATGCCACTCGACCCTGTGCGCGGCTGACAAGACGTACCTTTGTGCGCGTCGAGGCACGTCCTTTGTTGACTAGTGCCGTGCCTACTCCATTGGGTAGGGGGGCATCACGCGTCGAGGCGGGACCAGAGGCCGACGGCCCGTGGAAGGTCGAAGGGAGCGGGGGAGATGGGAGTGGCGGAGAGACTTTGGCCGGTCCAAGTTGGAACTTGGACGGCGTTTTATGCGAATTGGGACAATGGCCATGGCCAAAGATTCGCACGGCCCACCTGACTCGCAGCCACGATCCGCAAGGGCGCGATGCGACCTCGGTTGCCGGATTTGGGCAATTGTGGGTCCACTCGAGGACAAAGCAACGGCTGAAAATGGTCAGCACCATGCGGTCGATGAGTATCGATGCGGCAGATAACGGCAGATAAGAGTGATAAAGAACGACCGTGATGATACTAGGGCGCGAAGGTCAGAGCGTTGCCAGCGTGACGATGAACAAAGCATACCTGAATGGGCAGCACAACGACGATCGAAGCAAGGACGCTGTGCCGAAGGCTAAGGCGGAGTCTTGAAGAGGGAAGATGAAGACGTACGAGCCCTGTACTGTACGTGCGAGGGGGACACCGCGGTTGGTAGTATCCACGGATGAGACGGCGGCGTACGCATGCGGCATGCACTGCGCAACGTCCTCGGAGTCGCAGCACGCAAGTTCGCCCGCTGGCCGCGGCGCGCGTATGACCGTGCAAAGATAAACGACAAGATATGATGAGAGGAAACCCTTCCTTCCCAGTAGCACAACAGATGGATGATACTGACGACTTCTCCTGAACCGATCAGGAGCAGCGACTCAAACTGAAGCCTACAAAATCTCGAACCTGTGATGTCAGTGACACGGTGAATATTCGTCAACTGTGCAGATACGCGCCCCGGCTAGCCAATGTGGCGAAGAAGCAGAATCGAGGTATCCTCGCATCCAGTGAAGCAGTTGTTTTGAACCGTTGTTCGAGGCAGCCTCGAATTGTCGCTGGCCCGGCGGCCGCTCAGCGACCCTTGAAGTTGAGCGACCCGCGGCGGTTGGTGGCGGTAGCGCGGGAGCAAATCTCGATCTGACGCCACCGCATCGACTCGGACTCGGCCCCTTCGACGTTCGTTAGAGTTGACGACCTCGCTGGCAACTATTACTCAATATCACCGGAGGCCCGTCGTCCACTACTACGTGGCTTTCACCGACCTCTAGTATACCCCTGCCGCTTCTGCAGCCTTCCCTATCAGCGCGGAATACGCGACTGGGATTGTGACGATGCAGATCGAGCTCATATCTGCCAAGCCCACTGACAGAGGACGACCCTCCTTTTCTTCGTCTAGTACTCACTAAACGAGACGCGGCGGAGCCACCATCGTTACTTTGGATTGTCGCTTGAACCGACCCCCCACAAATTCCGAGCGAGTGCATACCTGGTTTCTGAAAGGTATGTTCATTTGCTTACCTGACAGTATTTCGTAGGCTGGGCACAGACCGTGACGGTCAGTACCCTGTTGTGTACATTCATCAACGATCATCATAAGGAGTCTACGAGGCGTTGTGACTGGCTCATACGACGGAGCTGATACGAAGCTGGTCGAAGCGCGCGCCCCCGGTGAGCGCAAGGGTGACACGCAGTGACACGCGCCACAGAGAGGGAGAGATGGTGTGCGACCGTCCGAGGTGGAAATATTACCTGCTCGGATTGCCGAGTGTTTTTGCCTACTCCGACACTGATTGCTAGTCAAAGCAATGCCCATTGACCACCCGAGAATCGGGTAAACCCCTACATTAGATTGAATGTGTAATTATGCAATGTATGATGTCGGTAGTAAGAGAAATACGAGAGCAGCGAGAGTGGGGGAATGAGGGACAAGAGTGCAGTCACAACGTCGTGCACTACATTGCTCAAGAACATACGCTTTGACCCGCCTTCCTTCGACGTGACGTTGGACGCCTCAATGCAGCAGGTAAGCAGAAAAGTCGAACGCGGCTGTGGCCTGTGAGGCCGCTTTCGCGGCCTGCTGGAGAGCGCTCCAGGACGGGTCGTTCACCAGGCCGATCTCGTAGTCATATCCGCTCTGCGGGTCACCAGGGGTCAGTTCACTCAAACACCTCGCGAAGAGACAAGGCAGTACGTACGTGAGGGTCAGCGTTGGGGAGAACCTGCCAGTAGAGCCAAGGAAGCCCCGCGGCGTCAATCTGCGCGGCCCACTTCTTGATGTTGTTTTTGCGCGTGTTCGAATCCAGAGCATGTCCCGTAGGGCAATTGTTGTTGGAGGTGTCGAAGTAGCATGCACCCCTGTGAAGAATAACGCGGTCAGTATCGTAGAACAAAATGTGGAAGACGATCGGTGATCACCATTCTTCCAAAATCAGCTTCTTGCCAGCGGCCTGCGCTTTCGAAACATACGGCTCCAAGGCGGATGTGGTGAGATCTCCGGTACCGTAGGCATGGATCGAGATGACATCCAATGCATCGCAGCTCAAAAATCCGGGCTGGACAGACTCGGACAGCCACGACTCTCCGCCGGTCATGACAAGAATCTGACGGGTATGAGCTATGTGAGATGGGGTTGAGAATGAGTACAACAACTCGGCTCACCCCACTGTTATCGCCGAGCTGACCCTTGATCGTCCTGGCACGGTCGCACTGCCTGTTCGCATCACGTTAGACTCTGTCTTACGGATCGACAAGGAACATAGACTGTACCATTGCTGGTGCTTCTGGATAAAGGCTTGGCCCTGCACAAAATTTCAGGACTTGTCAATGCAGACCGATCACGACACTTACATCCCCAATCATGGCTTCGTTCTCAGCCTCGAATCCAAAGATGTAGTCGCTTAACTCCTTCCAGGGCTTATTGAGCGAAGTATGCACATGGTTCAGGATATGTTTGAGGCGGGCGTCGAAGATGGACTGCGCCTCGCTGTCCGAGTAGAAGTCGCCGATGCCGTACCACTTGCCGTAGGCGTCGTGACTCCCCAGAGCGTTGTAGCTATGCATCGTGATCAGGAGCTGTCAAAGGTACGTCAATATCACAGTCACACAATCACACAGGGAATCGATAGAAACCTTGACTCCGTAAGAGTTGGCCGCCACCATGAAATCGTCGAGACGTTTGAGGACCGTGTCATCGTAGCAGGAGGTATCTCCGTTGCAAGGAGTATTCGGCTCGAGGTCGTGGAAGGGGTTAATTTTCGTTCCCTGATCAGCTGTGTCAGTAATCGTAGGAGCCTTCAAACCAAGTCGGCAAATTTATACCTTCTGGCTGGTGGACTGTCCGCCAATCCACACGCGGAGCACCTTCAGACCGGCGCTTTGCATCCCTCTGTTACGTTGCGAAAATTACGATATGGGTCAGCAACACAGAGGCGTCTGATACAATAGGAAAATGCTCACTTGAGTAGGGTAGTTCTGTCGTCCTCGGATATCCCTGCCGCATAATACAAGCTGGATCCCGCAAAGGAATTTGCTGCCTGGACGACCTGGACGGAGAGGAGTAAGAAGAAGGCACAAAGGGTGAAGACCGGTTTCGACGCAGACGCGAACATCGCGGTCGAGGTTATGTGAAGCTGGATGGTTTGCCCCACCTCGCTCAGCCCTTAAATACCGTTTGAACAGCGCTCTTGCTGCAAGGATGCTACAGTGCCATTACACCTCGTCGTGACGACTTGTTCGACGTCCGCATGGGACGCAGTGGCAGATACCGGCTGATTGGCCAAGGCGACTTGTGTATCGAGCTTGGTATCGAGCATCGTGTTGTCGTCCGTAAAGCTGCCGAGGCTTCTTGCTGAGTCGTATCAAACGAAATGGCATGGTGGCGTGAGTGGCCTCACATGGTGGCGAAGTCGCCGAGGGTCTGGAGGCCTGCGTGCGTCTGAAACAACAGCGGCGGTCTGGTTGTGCCATGCTGGCGGATGAGTCCCACGTGGATTTACATTCCAGATAGTACCCAGCCCGCACAAAGCTAATTAGTGGACTGATCATGAGGTAACAGCAACGCACTGTATCCTCTGGGCCCGGGTAGGAAGTAGACCGAGATACCGGCAGGCTTTTGTCACTCGCCGCACTGTTGAACGTAAGTACGGTTGAAGGAAGCGGAGGATCGGATATGGTACCATGATGCGGCGACCCGGAGACACCCTACTTCAAGTTCAACTGACGAGGTGCTGGCTAATATGCAGATCTGTGATTGTCATGATTGTCCGCGGTCGGACAGACGTCGTAAGCGCTTGGATGAAGGCGCTGTTGTCACGGTGACACCCATTCAGAGCAGGATATACGAGAGTGCCGCGGCGCCCGTATCTGCAGTCGAGGCTCATACGTTCGGAAGTGGAGTTAGATGTGGCGGATGATCCAGTCAAAAGTGGAGCCATCACGATTCACAGTACTAGTATTGACCAATACAAATCTTCATCATTACAGAACCTGCAAGTACCAAAAATCAAATTCAATCCGGAACTTCGCAAGATTGAGGCGATGCAGCGGGAGACAACCTGAGAAAACTCGAAGAAGCATCACACAAGTCCTGCGCGGACAACCCAAGACAATCCACCCGTGTTCGTCGTGCTCTGCACCGGCGCAGGTTTCACCGATGCAGTTGCCGCCGGTCCACACATGTAAGGCCCCCGGCTTGTGCGCTACCATTGCCGCATCCGGCGTGGGCCCCGCCGTCGGTCGAGCTGACTTGACTTCGTCGGTCGCGCGTCGTGCGGTTCGAGTCGCGTTGGTCATGCAGCAATGACACAGAGAACAAATAGTGCAATTATCGGACACTACTAGGGAAGGTACATCGCGGAGCGCAAGACCAAGAGTCAAGGAATACTGTACTTATCGTCGGCGTACAAATTCGGCGCGAGTTGGTTTCCCCTCGCACGAATGCGAGGGTACTTATCCCGAGGACCACGTAAAGGTCCGCGCCCGGACGAGCACCGCGTCTCCGCGAGTGCTCGCCCGCCCTCGGGGGCTCTTGTAGCTCTTGCACTTGAGGCTTGCCTGTTATTCTGGCGCTTGACTCTTCGCCCAGTCGGAATCGGATCGTCTTCACTTCTGCCCTTTGGGGCGCCGAACTCTTCCGCTCGCCGTCGAGCTCTTGAGGCGGCCTCATCCTTTCGGCGCTTGACCCTTCGCTCTTGTGAGCATATTGATGAAGGCGCGCAGAGACCTTCACTCGTTCGAGCCTTTGAGATGGAACCCGATTGGAGCGCTTGACCCTTCACTCGCTTCTGAGACCTTGACGCGGCTATCGTTGCAGCGCTTGACCCTTGACCATCATCCCTTACAGGTCCGGGGAGCACTTTTGCGATATAGCTTGCCACGCTGTGAGATACGAGCGGGTGTGAGTAAGATGAGAAGAAACATCGAGGGTATAGACATACCGTGCATTGTCCCGGACGATGCCGCCGAGCGGACTTGACTCGGCCCTGCACACCGGCGGACGAGGCGCACACGGAGAGACACATACCGTCGCCCCCATCAGCGCAGTGGCTGGCAGCGGTAAGTCGAACTCGCGACGTCCAATGGGCCTGGTGCGCAAATGATTGCTGAGGTGCAAGCGGCGAGCATGAGCGGGATGAAGCGGGGAACAGTCTCGTAGACGTACCGTGCCTATATTGGACCCCGTCGCCGAGCGATCTTGACTCGGACACCACAGACAGGCGAGGGAGAGACCTATAAGTATACAGGGGGCTGACTGTTAGTGAACGCCACTCGACCCTGCGCGCGGCTGACACGACGTACCTTTGTGCGCGTCGAGGCGCGTCCTTTCACCAGTGCCGTCCCTACTCCATTGGGTAGGGAGGCAGCACGCGTCGAGGCGGGACTAGAGGCCGACCGCCCGTGGAAGGTCGAAGGGAGCGGGGGAGATGGGAGTGGCGGAGAGACCCTGGCGGGCCCAAGTTCGAACTTGGACGCCCTCTTATGCGATTGGGACAATGGCCGGAGCCACACAGGCGAAAGATTCGCACGGCCCACCTGACTCGCAGCCACGATCCGCCAAGGCGCAATGCGACCGCGGTTGCCGGATTTGGGCAATTGTGGGTCCACCTCGAAGACAAAGCAGTCGCTCGAAATGGCAAGGCTATGTTCAGTGCCATGAGGTAGACGGGCCTGGACGAGCACGATACTGGTCGATGAACGCGATAAGCCTCATTGGGAAGGTCCGCGACCCGCACGGGGCGATGTAAAGGGGTGCACGCGTTTCCGTCGTGATGAGGATGGTGGACAAAGCATACCTAGACAAGTAGCCGAGTGGCAGCGAGTGGCACAGCTAGTCGGCGACGCTGTGCCGGGACACCGCAAGTTGTCAGAACCCCGAGAAAGGTGCTAGTGCGTGCTCTTGCGGATGGAAGGAGCCAATCGACGGAGTAGACTTAGCATCCAGCTTCGGCAGACATCACGGAAGTGACCTCGATTGCGAGATCATGGCCAATCAGGTATACCACCGTTGGCTTGCGCACCCAAATGGCCCGCATCCAGTGCCATGCAGCTGCATAGCATTCGTCCTGAGTAGACGACTTCTGCTCCGGAAACCACTGAGAACGTCGAAGGCCTCGAAGGGGGACAGCCACTGGCACGGCGCACCGCCGTGACGTGTCAGCTGCGCAGCTTACGCACTCAAAAAAACCTAGGAACGGACCAAAATAACAGGCTACAAGTCTCAGCCAGGCGATCAGTACTGCGACGGGCTTTGAACGCGTTCGAGAATCGAGGCCCTGGTCAACAGCCTCAGTGCCAAATGGTGGCGGTGGCGGTTGGCAACACCGCGGGCGCAAACTCGATCCTCCTCCACCTTTCCCGGCCCGGGATTCCTTGCGCTCTGCTTTCAAGTTGGCAGCCGCCGCACAGTACTTGCCCTCGTCGTCTGCCGCTCTTAGGTCTCTCTGCGGAATGCTCTGCGCCCATCAGATTCTACAGCAATGATACGTGACGCGGACGTGATGTGGCTGCCAACGTAGGCCGCTCATTTACAAAGGAAACGCGCTCTACGTGACCCCCATGATGCTCACTGGCAGCCTATGTAAGAAGACCGTGACTGTTACAGTCATCATTCCAAAGTCGTGCGGATACTTCATCTCAGGAGCGTATTGCGAGAAGTGTTTAGTAAAGGAAAGGTACGAGTCGGTATGGTACGCGTTTTGCCCATTCATCCCAACTCTCCCCGAATTGCTTTTTCATCAACGCATCCTCCTGACTGCACCGCATGATCATGCTCAGCCCAATGTACGCCTGGACTCCCACAAACGCACACGCCGCAATCATTCCCCCAGGCCTATCCAGCCACCCTGCCTCGCGCGCCCACGAGCCTGCACAGCAGTTCCACAGCGTGACCCCGATCGTCTGCACGCACCAACCCGTATAGCTCGGATGGCGCACAACCGAGTATGGCCCATTCGTGCACAGCCGGTGTCCCTCCTTCACCGTCACCTCGAACGTGAAGAACCTATCCAACGTCCGGAAACATGCCATGCGGATCGCGGCGCCGAACGCAGTCAAAGCGCAACCTGCGAGGACGACGGGCGTAGGTTGTATCCGCGCAGCTGCACCGGTGCCGACAAGGATAAGCCTGCGGAGGATGTTCGTGCTAAGCTCGCTTGGGTACTCGCGCGCGATGAGTACGGCGACCGTGCATCCCGCGCTCGCCCACGTCATGTACTGACGGCACACGTCGTAAGTCAGTATGTATCACCAGACGTGTCCGAGTTGTGTGTCGGGCACATTTCCCTGCTCACCTTAACCGCGTCTCCCATGCGCCTCGCGACCTTGCCGAAAATCCGCTCCGTAGGCTTGACATCCTGCCTCACTTCGTCATCCTTCGGGGGTGGCGTCGGCGCTGTGCTCGAGCGGTGGGTCATATACGCAGCCACGCCTAGGAGCGCGACATGGAAGGCCGTTCGGGTCGACATGGTTCCCAGTGATTTCTAGAGTGCAGCTGTAGAGGGCGTCTGCAGGATCACACGAGTCGCACAGAGATGACTGGCCAGTGGCTGCAGCAGATGGATACGGGGACCGGACCTGCTATGACACGGAAACCTGACGGTCTGGCGTCCGTAGGACTTCGTTTAAATACAGTGAGCCATCCGAACATTTTCCTTCGCGTACTTAGTCGTCGAGGTCCGAGGAGTCGGGGCCCCGGATTCACCGCCTTATGCAGATCTGACTCGGATCTGCGTACAGCATCAGTTGCCTACGACCTTTGAGTCTCACTAAGTAGTCAAACACAAACCGTTTGAACTCAGCCGACGCCTTGTCTATCGCAGAACAGCCCGATTTCTCTGTGTCAAGTCTGTTTCGGACGCGTTAACTGCTGTAAGCCTCTCTCCAGAATCAGATGTATAAATATTGAACGCTGTTTGTAGATGAGACTGGAGACCTCGACACAACTTCCATGGTATGACTCTGAGCTATGCGGAGGATGCGTTCGGTGAAACATCGGCAATTGGTCTTGTACTCCGTATAGGCCAACAACGTGGCAATGATTTCATTTGCAGAGCTCAGGTTGCCTATGAAGACGGGTTATAAGCGATAGACCGTTTACGGACCGTCTTGACTCCTGAGCGGTGAATACTCACACTACTCGCCGAGAGCGTACTCCTAGTACGCTGGGATGTCTAGTTGAGGAGATTGCCGGGGTCGACCAGCCTGGGGTCGACGCAAAGTCGTGCTGATTGGCGATGATTTCAGCTGACTCGGATGAGAACTTACATCCTCTCGAAGTGAGTGTTGGGTCTCTAGGTCATGTGTGGTCCATTAATGCTGAATGGGATACTAGTATGCGACTTCTCACTCATTGATGGAAGAGGGATTTGTCGGATAGAGTCGGCGACCCTCTCACTGGGTCGAGGGACTCCCTTCGGAGAGCCTCCGAGACCCAAACTCTGCCGGCGCCGCACGATGTCAAACTCAAACTTAAAGCGTGATGACACCAGCGCCTGTGGGATAATCGTGTAACGGTCGACCATCGCTTTGTCGGACAGACTCTCGACATTCAACACTGATGCAGTACCTTGACAGACAGTCGCACACCAACATCATCAATGCCGTGTCTATCTGGGAAACCGGTCCCCTATCTGTTCACAGCAACCCCGAATTCCCCTATGTACCTCGCTTGGGGGTAGATGGGACGGAGGTCGCCGCTGCGGCCATCGCTTTGTACCTCACTTTGGTCTTGAACACCAAAGGAGGTGAGCACGCAGTCCTCGGCTCGGCAAACGGTAATCGCCTGTGCGAGATCATAAACCTTGCGCGCGACCTCCCGGCTATCGATCCACTCATCTCTTTCAACTCTCATACTGCATCGATCGTACACCCGCTCAAACGTATGAGACATATGATATCTACTGGGGAAGGCCGTCCAACTGGCTTCCGGCAACGCCTCAAGCGGCTGCTTCGGTTGAGTCCCGGACGCACTGGCCTTTCTGAGGAGCAGGAGGCGATGTTAGACCATGGACTTCATAGTCTGCTTTGTGATATGCGGAAGAAACGACCGTTCGTCCTCTTTCCCCTCTTTTTTTCGGCGTCATGACAATGTGTGGCACCATAGGTACATTCCGAGGAATGCCAATGATGTTTTAGGAACTCAGAATCTGCTCCATCTCTCGCTGGGATTGCCACTCACCATCGTATGGATCATCTTGGAGCGTGCCGAGTACTGAGTCCGGGCAGTTGGCACTGCGATAGTCAGATCGAGAGTTCCCTCAATCCCAAACTTGGAAGTAGTTTTCTATGGGACAAAGGCGCGAGTACCAGTCTTCGCCAAGAGCGTTAGACCCGTCCGCAGGATTATCTGCACGATTGCATCGCAGGAGAGAGGTGAGTGCTTCCGAGCGTGCGGGAGCATGTTTGATCACTCATGTACTAACCTCAAGGTTCAATCGCAACCGAGGAACCATCCGACGACGACAAGACCGGGACATGGTTCCAGGTGGGGGTGGATGATATCCGAAGCCCTCGAAGCCTGTTAAAACAGTTTGCTGCTTCGAAACCGCCCGTTATTCATCTGGTGCACTGGGATGCTTCGTACGCAGACGGAGAGTCGACAAATGAAGATCGGTGGCAGGAATGGTTGGGCAACCTTCGACCCGGCGACACAGTAGATTTTGGTGTAGCAGAAGTGGGTTCTGGGTTCGCGAACTTCATGGGGCCGGCGAGGATCGAGATATATTGTGCGTGTGTTTGAGCGATGTTTGAGTGTCGTTGCACCGGTAAGCATGTTTAGTCTCACCTAGCTGGCACTGGGTCACTGACCTACTTTAGGAGCAATGTAGGATGCCCTTCGACGCCGCCAAAGTATATACTCGCCAGACGAAGCAGTACGGCTTTCATTGCTCTTAGATCCTTTCTTGGTGTACCATCGCGGACTCAGAGGCGGATTTACGGTGATAGAAACTTGGTACTAGAGACCTAGTGCGGTTGCTTCGAGTCGTCTTGATTTCTGCCAGTCGATCTCACACAGTCACCGCCGTACTCTGGATAATATACCTCACTCTTTGTGCATATGTTCAGCGGTCCGGTCATCGAGCATTGGTCCTCGATTGCCACTGGTGGGCGCACTGCCGAAGCATATCGCGGCTAAGAATGTTGTCGAGGCACATCATCTCCAAGTTTCTGATCATTTGAGCAGAGCTCTTCACGACCTCGCTCCTATTGCTATACCTGCGCGGCATCTGTAGTGGGCTGATGTCATGAGTCATGTTGCAGTGAGAGATGTCCGACGATCATGATGAGCTCACAAGGCCCCTCGCAGGCCGACTGCACCAAACACCCTTCAATAATACCGATTGAGTGAGCTCCAGCACTGTTCAGCCGCCGAGCATAGTACCATCGAATCCGATGTGACAAAGTATGCGGTGATGATACGACCCAATTGTATCTGCTAGTATGTGACGCACCTGGCATGGTGACACGTACGGACACGATTTACTCGCAATAAGAAGAGCTGCCCGGGGGACTCCCTCCTCCCTCCTCCTACGCTTCACAATACGGTGGCACTGCGGTTACATAATCATCTGTGCACCGAAAAATGCCTCCGGACATGGGGCTTGTCGGCACGTCGTGTCACTAGCAGGGCGACAAGGGGCCCGGGGCAATGTTGGTGAGCCGCGCGCCATTGTCGGTAGACGAATGTCGAACAGCTCTTAGACTTCTGCGCATCATGATGCGATTGCGGGTACGGTTTGATTGTACGCACAACTGACCATCAAGGTATTATATCTCTAAGTACACGAAGTCCAACTTACAGAGCGTTGAGCGGCGTAGACTCGTTGGAGTGTGAGAACGATCAGGTCTCTTGGCCTTCGGACTCCAGACTAAGATCAGTCTATGAAGAGGGTACCGATGTACAGTGAACGCGACGTGTATCCAAGCATGAGACACGATGAATAAACTATGGGGCAGTACTATCTACTGCACGATAACAACAAGGACAATATACGCGTCGGGTATAGAATGGATAGTTATGGGATACACAAGATTCAGGGCAGTCGTATATTAAACTAGCTACCTAGCAGCACGACGAAAACGAGTGGCACTCCTACATGTGAGGAGCATTGTCAATGTCATATCACTAACATCAGTGAGCATACTTTAGCGCGCGCGCGACACCTCCGTCTACCTACCCCCATTCCAAATCATCATCTAACTTCAGAGTTCATACTTGGACAGGCGCAAGCTATCCGATAGCAAGCCTGTCTCACCAATGTGCAAGGTCCCGCCTGCACGCGCACTGCGCTCAAGCAACGCGTCCCACTTATCCTGCTTCTCCTGCTCCGTCCACGCTTGTCGCGGCGACTCGAGTTCCCGGAACAGCAGCGGCGAGCGTTGCGACGAGCTCGACGATGGCGACGTCGAGGACGACACGGGAGACGACGAAAGAGACGGCGCAGATGTCTTGCTGAAGCGAGAGGCATTGACCGTGCTCGTCGAGTCTCGCTCAGGGGCGAATCTGCCCAGCGAAGTCTGCACCGGCGGCCTAGGGGTCCGCGGGGTACCCGGCGAGCGCGCTGACGCAGATGCACTCGCCAGCGCAGCGGCGGAGGGCACCTGAATGCTCGCCGGCGTTCTGCGCGAACTGCGTGCCGGCCGCGGTGGTGCCTGACCAAACTCGGACAGCGGGAGGGTGCTTGGAGAAAGGGCAGTGGGAGAGAACGTATTTACACAATCATCCGTGCTGAATGACGGTAGGGTTGGGGAAGCTGAACGCTCCTGTGGGGACGGGTCGCGAGTGTTCGTGCCCGAGCGCCGTGGAGGTGGCCGCAGCGATTGCGGCTTCTCGTCCGCAGAGCTCGTGTACGGCTCGGGGCCAGCGCTTGGCTCAGAGGCCGACCGGACAGGCTTGCGCTTCGGTGACACCTTCGGTACTGCAGCGTTGATCACGTCAAGCCGCCCCAGCTCGTCAGGAGTCATGATATGATGTCCAACGGTTGATGCCTGAGAACCAGGAACGGGAGGGACGTCTGCGCCGTATGACGACGTCGACGATCGCATCGAGTGAGCTTTCGGGAAAAAGCCGGACGAGGCGGGTTCAGAGGAAATGGGGGAAGACGACCTGGTCGCCGTGCTTGGTCTCGGCATAGATGGTGATGACGAATGCTTTCCGCCTGTCGAAGGCCTTGAAGCTGTCGTATGTCGAGATGATGCCTTCTGGCTGGACCCAGTGCTTGGACGTCCGCTACCCGAAGAACGCCCCTGCATAGAGGCTGACTTGGATGCCCGATCCTCCGTTGTGCTCCCTTTTGTAGGTGAATGGCGAATCTCGAATGTCGAGCGATGATCTACGAGCTTTTGCATGCCCAGCGGCAAGGGTGGTACGGGAGGTGGTGTCGACGTGCGTGGCTCACGATACTTGTCCCTGAGCCCGCCAGTGCTGATCCGTTTGACGAGCTTCCACCACTTGCCCCCGGCGCCATCGTCCTCCCGCTCACTCTGCATGCCCTTTGCATGCCCTAGCCTACTAGGTCCTGCCCGCGGCCCGCCTTCATCAAGAGGGGTCTCACGTCCCGTCGGCCACTTGTCGTCCTGGAGACTGCGTGGGCTGTGGGGACTATGAGGACTGTTGCGCGCCGTGCGTATTGATGGATGAGTCGGAGAGTGCTGAGACAGCGTATGTTCTTCCCCGAGAGAGGATGGCTTTGACGACCTCGGCGGCTTAGATTCGTACGCCCGCCAGCTCTCCTCTCGCGAATGGCCCACATACTCCCGCTCGCCTTTGACGATGTCGGCGACCCTCTTGAAACTGCCGCTCATCTTCCTCGACAGCGTACGTCTCGACTTCTTTTGAAACTCGCCCCCCGCTTTGTCTGCTGAGACATGCGCTGGTGCCGACGAGGGATCACCCACAAACGCACTTCTGGCAGCGACTACATGTCCAGAGCCGCTGCCGAAGACAGTGTAATATGGCCCAGTTGTTTCCTCTTCCTCTGCGATCTCCATTGACACCCCACGCCGCTCCTTGCCGTTGCTCGATGATGGGTCGCCCGGTAGTCTTCTAACGTCGTCATCCCACCCCGAAATCACCTCCAATTCCGAGCGTCGCTGCTCCTGTTGCTTGTATGCGAGCGCGACTTGACCCGCTGGGGTGAGGGCAGACGGAGAGGGTAGCGAGTTCTTGCGTGGACTGCTAAGTCGCATCGCCCCTGCTTCAGTTGCCAGCGGTCTGAGGCCGTCGATGGAGCGCATTCTTCGTCTGGAGGGAAGTGTGCGGGTCGTGGGGTTCTGAGCCTCAGTAGTGGAGGGCCGACGTCTAAGGACATTGGGCTTCCTCGGAGGTTCCTTAACTTGGGGCGGAGACATAGGCTGCGAGGACCGCGAGCTGGACCGGGGCGGGTCGCGTGAGGGTGACCGGTTTGGCGAGGCCGAACTCCTGGACGACGGCCTCAGAGCTAGTCGATCCAACTGGCTAGGGTGTAGCCCAAAGGATAACGCAGTCGCCTGGGCGAACTGACGAGATGAGGTTGACAACTCTGAGTCGGAGGGAAGGGAGATAGCTGACGAGCTCGACGTAGTATGGACAGCTGGCTTGCTCATCAGCCGTTTAAAGTCGAGGTGCACGCCCGCATCACTGTGGTTGCCATCGGTGCTCGCACCAGACACTTTACGGAACTGGCGAGGTGAGCGCCCTGGTCCGAGCCGCGCAGGAAGAGTCATCCCTGACACGTGCGAATGCGATCTGCTAGATAGAAGCGAAGTAGACGTGGAGCCTGGACTCCCACTGTGACCAGCAGTGGGGAAGGCTGTGTCGGAGACCGACGAAAGAGGCGATCCCGACGGCTGAGAGGTACTACACGTCTTGGACGGGCCCGCGACAGCGGTAGATGGGCGCGCTTGCATGTCATGCGAGTCGACCGTTTGCGATCTGTTCGCATGCGACGCCGATCTGACGGTGGATGAAGTGCTAAGTGATGATGTGTCAACTGTGCGGTGTCTAACGGGCTTTTCGGGTGCTTTGCGGGGTCCAAGTGGCGTTCCACGCGATGAGCCATTGAGGCGGGATGTCGAGTCGAGGGAGTGTTGCATGGCCGCGCCATGTTTGTCAGAAGTAGAGGTCGCCATTACGTATGCACTGTCGCACGAGGTTCACCGCACGACTCGACCGCGAAGGCAATAGACCACTCACGTTGTCAGTCAATCGAAGCAAGAGCGTAAGCACAAAACATATATGACCGCACAAAGGGCTAGCAATGCCTGGGCAGCGAGGAGGTCGTGAGATAGAAGACGAACCAACGGGGAGGGACTCACATTCCAGCGATCAGGACTATGGACGGACAAGATGAACGTTGGCTAACGTGAGTCTTGAAAATGAAACGCGTGGCTTATGTCGTCAAATATCAACACGTGTGGACGGGACTCTCGACCCGGCGGCGAGTCGACCGGTAGGTATGGAGACTGCGGGAGCTGGTGGCCTAGGCAGGATAATCAAGGAGACGGTGCGATTACCGGGGGACTGCTGGCTGGCTGGCGAGGACGCGGGAGCACGGCGAAGACAGGTAAAGACAGACAGAAACGACAGTGGGTGCAACGAGCGGCGGGTCGGCGTGCTGGCGGGAGACGATCTGACGAGTCGGAGGCTGCACTCTGGCGAATGGGATGCGCCCGGAAAATGAGGCGGGCACGTGCGCCCATTAAGCCTCTCCCGGCCGCGGTGCCGCCCTGCTCTCCCGATCCGAGCACACCGATCAGATTCGCCAGCGATCTTCGCCGGGCGTAGTTCGCATGTTCAACTTGCTGTCCCGAGCCCGCCCAGCACCAGTTCGTCTGCCAGTGCTCTCTTTACGGTTAGTTCGGTCGCAGGACTCCCTCAAATTGGCCCAGCTTGAACGCTCGATATCGCCGCCCATCTACCTCGTATGTCTGGCCCGCAGAGCGACGAGTAGACCGGTCTGCAAAGACTTGACTTGTGCGATGAGGAAATAGCGGCACACGCCACGAGAGCGATAGCAAGGGTAGGGACTGGTGAAGAAAACTGCTGCACTTTCTCCGAGGTTGGAGCGATCATCATACTACAGAAGAACCCGGACGCAGTACCGCTGTAGAGGCTCAGAAACCGCAAGCCATCGTGTCGCTTCAAAGTATACACGCACAACGAATGTCGAGTGCCCCATTATGTAGCCCAAATGAAGCCTATTACCTGAGCACTCGGAGTAGAGTAAGGTGAGGGGTACAAGTCAAGCTCGTTCGTGAAAGCTTTGTGCGACGACATCTCCTTGACATGCAGTGAACTGTGGTCATTGACGGTGACCGCGTGATACTCACGGATATCGAAATCCCCTTTGAGTCTACCACAGAGAGATTATCCTCATCAGAGCACATTGCCATACTAAGCCTCTGAAACATGCCAATGATGCCATTGACAGCTTGTGCGAATGCCCCGTTGAGAACCGACCGCAGAAGGTTTTCCATCGCGCCAGAACTTCGCGCCGAAAAGTAATATATCCACTTGTCGTACATTAGACGGAGATACGGAACCAATATCACTAGCATGATGCACCGGGTGACTAGAGAACGCCGGGGCTCCCGCACCAAAGGCTCTCCGAATGCGACACTCGATTGAGTCTTTCCGGGAGGATGGCCCCCCGGCGTGCGGTAGCCCGCCTACACTGCGTGGCTGTCGCAGGAGGAGGTCGCTTTGGAAGTCGGCGTCGACCTTTCGAGTGCCATGCGCTTCTTCCCACGTAACCGACTCTCGCCCGTGAATCCCCCTTTCCCGAGAATTCGAGTGACCTTGAATTTGTGGCTCCCAGAGAATTGGCCAACAGAGGCGCCGGGGTGGGGGCCTAGGCGAAAGGGTCCGGGATGGAGGCCAGCCCTGTCTCAGCGCCATACGCCATGGATGAACCGCTTGCCCGTGGACGGGCTCATGCGCCATGAGGAAGCATCGGCGGGTGACCCTACAAAGAGGCAGAAAAGCACTTCTATTCATTCTTGAGCACTGAGGTTTCACACAGTTAGCCGACCATCATTGTAGTCCCTCGGAGGAATCAACCTGAGGTACGAGGGCATTCCCGAATTGGGCGACGCTGATCAGACCGCGCCACCGGAACCGCGACCGGTGACCGGAGCCACATCGTCGCTTGCGCCCGATCGGGATTCTATACCAACCACCGCGTGAATTCTTCCTCAAGTCGGAGGGGGCCCCCCCTTGAGCGCCGGGTCCCGGGCTGTCCCGGAAGCAGAGATGAATTTGCCGAGAGGGTCGCTCGCGCCCCATCAGAGTCATGGTGTTGTTCTCACTCGCGTATCGGCGCGCCCTCGCATTGCCCGCCCGTCTTGAGAGAGAGACCACATCTGCGGTGTTTCAATCCGCGAAGCGAGCCATGGGCAGAGATATAACTGGGGGGACAAAGGGGGCCTGGGCTTCCAGCAGCGGTTCATCGAACGCCCCCCCCCCTCTTTCAACTCCCGCTAGTCCTTCCTAAGTAAAGCGACCAACCAAAAGTGAGTTTCATTCATCGCCTCTTGTAAACACGGCACTGATCGTACCGTCCAGTTCCTTCATCATGGCCCAAAAACGGATCTACCTCTGCCACTACGCCCGTAACGGGGACGCAGCTAAAGAGGAAAAGGACCATCCCCCGAGGCACTGGGAAATAAACATCCGGATGTCCAAGGACGTCAATGATCCCTTCGGGAAGTCCATCGGCCATGTCTTCCACGTCGTGGGGAGCGTGGGTAATCAGTGGGTCTTCAAACACTTGGAGAACAAGGACTACTCCCAGACCCGGGCTTGGGCGGGATGTGTCTTCGTAGGCACGGTCGAGGAGTCGAAGATCGGCGAATTCGAGCGCGTGTTGGCATCCGTACCGCTCCAACCCGGCCACCCCACCTGGAACTGCCAGAACTGGGCATGGGATGCACTCCTCTTGTTGCGCCAGCAGGGGTACAACATCGTGCTCCCGCCCACGTTTAGGCGTATGCACGAGTTGATGGAGGATGCGAAGAACATCGGATGGGATATTGGCACCGACTCGGACTAGGTGCTACCGTGCTTCCCCATGTTCGGTCGAGTTCCCGTCGTTATCACCGTTTTCACCAGCACGTCGTACGCACATCCCTGTTTCCAAAATCCTGTAGCCCGTGATCGCTTGTAATCGCCCGCCGTGCTCTGTCCCCAAGTAGTAGTTAGTCATATCCTGTAGTCTCGAGGTCTGTAGCGTGTTCGTGTCCCGTCTGTTTGTAATGCCATTTGATCCTGCCCTGCATGAACGCGCGTGAAAGACGTTGGGGACTCACCTGGACGGTCGGAGCATCAGTCTGCACGATCTATGCCATCCGGACGCACGACGACTTCGGTATGCGCGCGGCAGCTACCGTCGTCCGACTTGTCCGTCGTGCCCAAGTGGCGACTACAGAAGAGGCTCTCGCCCATGAGCGGCGGCTTCAACGATATCGCGAGCGGTCGGTGGCCATATACTAGTAGCTTGGTCACCTTATATCACGGCCACAGCGATCTCCGTTCCTTACCATAAAGAGGTACGCTCGTTGGCCACACGTCTCCAGGGGAACAGCATGGTGCCACTACATCGGGCCAAAGCTCATCACGACGCTTTGTGGCAAACGCCAAAACGAGCTAGCTTCAACGGCAACGAGTGGCTAGGCCGGCGGCCACGCTTCCACGGGCCCTTTGTGTTTCGAGGAAGGTGGCCACCGCTCACACTATATAAGCAGCAGCGTTCCAACAGCCCCTCTCGCACATCTCCACGCGTCAAGCCAAAGGTAAGGAACAGTCGACATTGTCTAACGTCTAACTCACCTTGGTCTTCACAGAACAACCGAGATGGATCATTCAGCCGTTCTCCCCTCTCCAGTCGACTCCGCCTTCTCCGGCGACACGCTATACTCGGATCTTTACAGCGCAGGCTCACCGACGCTGGTCGACGACGATCAGTGCTCCCCACCTCCTTCGCCGACGGACATCGATTTCCGCGATGAGTACGAAGTCTACGTCGTCCAGTACCATCGCGTGTCGTCTCCATTGACGGCATGGGTGATCGCAATCCGGACACACACGGAAGTGTTCGGCAACGTCTACCGTCTGGACGGCTGTAGGGGCAGCTACAGCTTCAAGCGGGAGGAAGGAGCATATTACGAAGCATCCGGAACATGGCGCGGGAGTGCCTTCATTTGCAAGCTCAGCTTTGCGGAACTCGAAGTCGTGGAGGATGTCATCCATCAAGTGGACATCAGGAACGATGATCCCAACTTCAGCCATAGGATGTGGGTGTTCGACGTCATCCAGGCGTTACAAGCCAATGGGTTCGCTCTGGCGGAAGGCATTAGAACCTACGACGATCTGAACAAGACGATGGGTGATCTCTTGAGCGATTAAGAGCAACAAGGACTTTCGGACTCACGTAGCTTGTGTTCTCGGGTTGTGGTACACACGCGTATGTTTCGCACGAGGTTTTGTAGTTGTCACGGCTTCCATTGATGTATCGTCATATCGCACGTTCTGACTCAAGGTGTTCATCACTCATGCTTTGCGGACGTGCCGAACAGAGCAGAGAGGTATCGTGAAAGCAACATCAGGTAGCCAGATGGAATAACAAGCAAATGCCGATATAGTATAGTACAGACACGCACTGACACTAAGTCCTCCATCACGTATCTTGCTGCATAGGTGTAGCCATCGAGGCCACCGTCGTAGAAGTCCGTTTTCCTTCCCTCCCGAGACCTGCGGCACGTTCCGACTCCTCGACCGTGTAGGCCGGCTCCTTCAGCTCCTTACACCGCCGCTTATGCACTTTGCCCTTCCAATGTGACCGTAGCGCAACATCGGTTTCGAAGTATCTGAGAAGTAGGCACGGGAGGTGAGTGTATGCGAAAACGGTGGATCCGTGAAACTCACTTTGCGCATTCGACGCAGTAATGCTGCGCCAGACCTGGTTTCTCGAAGTCCAAAGGCTGGGCCTCAAGTTTTGCTCGGTTCTGCAGCATACATGAGGATGATACTGCGTTTCCGTATACGCGGACATACCTTTGGGTCCAAGTCAATCAACTGGATCTGATCAAGGTCCCTCGTTCGGGCCTGCAGATTCAAATTTCAATACGTGCGACGTCCTGAGAAAATGCTCGACGTACCCTTGTCCTGGCTGCACGATGTACGTCCCTGATTGCATGATGTGTCCTTGAGCGACGAAGACGACCCATATTGTGTGGAGGAGGTTGGGAGGAGGCTAGTGCAGAGAAGATGACTTCGCAAAAGATGGTGGCGAGCCGGCGGCGATGTTGCGTAGCACGACCTCCTCGGGGGTGGGGAGTAGTGCTGACATAAGCAGAGATCTGTGATCGGGTTGAGTGGCGCTGCCGCTCTGCTTCCGCTCAGTCGTTCACGCCAGCCACAACAACAGCCTGAGCCTCTACGCACGCTGCGTCCCATCCAAATGCTCTTCGCATAGCTGAGTCTTCGAACGAATTCCACTTCAAGAATATATTCTTTACCTCTACACTGCTTGCACACGTAAAGGGGGGATTGGGCACGTAAGACGCGCTGCTATAGTCAGCGGCAATGCGCGTTCTATCGTGGAACATAGTAAGTCGACGCATCAGGTTCCTAGTCTTATAACTTATTGGATAGAACAGAATGGAATACGGACGTTGCCAAAGTATCATCCGTGAGTTTCTATTTCAATGCGTACCACCCTCCGTCTGGACATGGCGTAGATGGAATACGTTCAAGTCCTGCGAGGAGATTCTCGACGCGTTAAACGCGGATATAATCTGCTTTCAGGGTGTGTACCTTTTTTACGCGTTATATCTACGCGTCTAAGCTGCAGAGGCTAGAAATGAAGTCGGCACGCGCAACGTTGCAGCGAGACGCAGCCCTGCCCGGACACTACCTCTCCCTTTTCTCCTTCCCACTAAACAAAGGAGGGTACAGCGGTGTTGCTGTGTACGCAAATTCGCAGAAAGTGACGCCTCTTCGAGCGGAGGAAGGCCTCTCGGGGCTGCTTCAGCCCAACCCACCCTTGTCCGCGGAAGAACGCGTGTCGCCTGCGTATCCGCGGCCCCACCACATTGACCTCTACTCAGACGAGCAGACCGATGCGCCATCTAGCTTCGACGAGCTTGACGGCGAAGGTCGTGCTCTCATGCTGGACTTTGGCCTGTTCGTTCTCATCAACGTCTATTGCCCTGCCGAGACAACCGAGACACGCCTGCCATACAAGATGAACTTTCACCTAATGCTCCAGGAACGCGTGCGGAAACTCACAGAGGAGGAAGGCAGAGAGGTTATGGTGCTGGGAGATATCAACGTTTCTGCGACACCTCTTGATCACGCAGAGGGAAACCTTCCGAGCAACGCCGCGAGTTGGCACGACCATCCTGCCCGAGAATGGATGCGGAAATGGTTAGAACCAAATGGTCCGATGGTCGATGCTATACGGTTGTTCTGGCCAGACAGAAAGAACATGTTCACGTGTGAGCCTCCTCTCATCACCGCTACCGCGACCGTCTCTGATAGCAAGCAGGTTGGAACACGAGACTTCAGGCTCGAGAAACAAATTACGGCGCCCGCATAGACTACGTTCTCGTCACGCGCGGCCTGCTTCCATGGATTAAGCACGGAGATATCCAGGCTTCGCTCAAAGGCTCCGACCATTGTCCCATCTACGTGGATTTGCATGACGAGCTCGTGCTCGACTCAGGGGACAGAGTAAAGCTCTCGGATGCGATGAAGCAGAAGGAAGGTATGCACCCTCCTAGGCTAGCCGCTAAACACTGGGAAGAGCTGGCCGGGAAGCAAACTATGCTCTCTAGTTTCTTTGGCAAGCGCGGCGCACAGCAGTCGCCTCCTGCGGAGACATCACCTCCCTCCGACGCCCCTGCAGCTCCTATTCCTCCTTTGTCGCCGTCGCAGTCTTCGTCGACAACATCGACAGGCACCTATCCTTCTAAAGTCTCGAGTTCCCCTGCACCTTCGCAAAGTCAGTCCAAGATCACGCCCAAAGCGATTACCACGCGTCAGGCGCCCAGTGCCACGGCAGCGAAGAGGAAGGCGCCAGAAAAAAGCTCTGGAAGCTCAAAGAAAAGGAAAATGCAGAACCCATCTCAGCCCAACATCTCTACGTTCTTCGGCAAGCCATCCGCCTCGCCATCGTCTTCAAAAGAAGTCATCGTCGTAGATGACGACGACTCCGATCCCACTGCCTCGCTCGTGCACAACGCTGAAGTGACCGAGGACGACCAGATTGACTCAGACTACCGGCTGGCCCGCGAGCTATCGTTGTCCGAAGGATCCGCGGTGGAGAACGAGCCAAGCGCGACGCCATCCTCATCGCAGAGCAAATCAGCGTGGGCGGGGCTCTTCGCCCCAGTTAAGCCACCAACCTGCACCGTCCACAACGAGCCGACGAGGTTATGGACCGTCAATAAGCCTGGACCGAACAAAGGGAAGAAGTTCTACCTCTGCTCACGGTACGAGTCCCTGCTATGCCCTTGTTCTCGGTGGGATTGACGAGCAGTGCGCCAGACCGGTTGGCCCTGGATATGACAAGGGCAAGGGCGAGCGCCTCCGCGAAGAAGTGAACCATGAGTATCGGTGCAATTACTTCAAGTGGGCGAGCGAGGTCAAGAAAGAGGCTCTTGCTCGACAGCAGCTCAGAGGCAACGGGACTTGACGTCGATCATGCATCACTGCATCTATGTACACACTCACATGTAGTAACAATACATAATACGGAACCGGAACACGGGATGTGATAGGGGAGGTGGCACAGGACCAGCGTTTTCATTGTCCGTGGAGGGCGAGAAAAGAAAACAAGATGGTGGATGGTGGATGCAAGGCATCATGCGCTCGGATTCCGCATCTGCTTCTTCGCGGTGCCAATCGTCGTGTTGTTGACCTGCATGGCGTAGGATGTCAGTCAAACTATGTGCGAGCAAGAAACGGTGGAGACTGACTTTGGTTGCGAAACGCAGAGAGCACAGGGACTCATTCAGGTGATTGGCCAACGGCGAGAGGTTCAAGACCATCTATAGGGATGACACGTCAGGATGTCTCCACACGCTCAGACACGCAGTTGCGTACTAGGGTCTTGGAGTTGCCGCTCAATGAGTTTTGAAGCAAGTACGTCAGCTGCACATGCAACATCAGCACACTGACATCCCTGAGCCATCGCTAACATACCTTGGAGTTCCGGTAGGGGATATGCTTATCGCCCTTCCCCTCACCCTTCTCCCCAAGAGCGGCAATGACATCGCCCAGTGCGCTCAGGCTCTTGTTGATGTTCTGCGTCTCCCGTAGGCGATCCTTGTCGCCCGCGGCGCCGCTTTTCTCCAGCCGCTCGCTACCCGCTAGATCGACGAGGTTCAAGCTACCCTCGCATGCTTCGCCCGTAAGCGTGTTGTCGCCGCGGATGCGGAGCGTGAACACGGAATGCGAGCGGGACGACCGCTCGTTCATGAGCGTCGCTGCCACGGTCCTCCGGGATTGCGCGAGCGAGAGCAACGTGCGCACCTGCGCAGCGGTGGCAAGCGGGACGACGTTGACGTCTGTGACCGTCGTACGCCCGGTCTTGGAGTCGTGCTTGATCTCGTGCTTTTTCTTGTCGAACTCTCCCTTGCCGAGGAGGTCGTTGATTGTCTCGTTGTACTGCGGCCGGTGTCAGAAGGACGGTGCTAACGGGAGTCCGCCACTTACAATCTCGAGGAATTGGCCCTCCATCTTGTACTCCCAGCCCTTGTTTCTGAGCTCCTCGGCCACTCGGAAGACTTGCTCCACGGCCCTAGGAATCATTCCAGCCGTGGTTTCGGTCTGTGAACGGTGAGCTCTGAATCCTTTCGGCGAAGGACATGCGTCTTACCAGCCCGCCTTCCATAGTGAAGGATTTGCCTGATCCCGTCTGACCATACGCGAAGACACAGACGTTGTAGCCGTCTGTGCAACTGTGCGCCAGCTGAGAGATCTCCTCGAATACCTCTGACTGAGTGGAGTGCGGTTCAAATACCTAACACGGCGTCAGATGCTTTCCAGCAAAATCAGAAAAGGCGGGCGTACTCGGTCGAATGCAAATGCCCATTCATCTTTGCGTTCTTGCCCAGTGGCACTCTCGCTGGACGAGCTAAGCACAATCTCCCTGTGATCCATCTTGTCTGGGAATACGATTTGTGCCTTCGCCTCCTCTGTTCGCGTGTTGTCATCCTCCGGATCAGGAGTACCGTTGGGCGTGGGCAAGCCATCCGTAGACGACGTAGAAGTGATCAAACCTCGCGGGGGTAAGTCAGAGGGAAGCAGCGGGCGCACACGGCAGAAGACACGGATGTTGCCCTTCAGCTCCTGCACCATGTTGTGCAGTTTCCGCCGCACGCTCTCAGCCTCACGCGTCTCCTTCTCGAGCTCGGCAATCCGCTTCCGCGCCGCGTCCAGCTCCATGGTCAGTTCCAGACCATTTCTCGAACGCGCGTCGATCTGCGCCTGCATCGCCAGTTGCTGCGCCTGGAAGGCTGTGATCTGGGCGGTCAGTGCGACGTGCGCATCGGACTGGTGCGACAGAGTGGCTTTCAAGCTCTTCACCGTCCCTCTCTCCCTCTCCAGGTCGTCCTGGCACATCCGTAGCTCCTCCTTCAGCTCACGCACCTCCCGCTCCTTTCTCCGCATGTCCGCATCCCGGTCCTCGAGTTCGCGCGCGTGCCGCCGGCGGAGCTGGTTGATCTCGTCGCTCGCGTTGTCCAGTTCCTGCCGCTGAGCGAGCTCTTGTGTCTTCGCCGCCGCGAGCTGCTGCGCCATGGCCCCCTGGTTCGCTTGCAGCTCCGCGACCTTCGCACGCTCGGAGTCCATGGCAGCCGCCAGTCGCTCGGCATCGGCAGCTCGAGCGGCTTCAATAGACGATACCTGGTCCTGTAGAGACTGGAAGCGCTTGTCTTCAGCGGAGACAGTCGTTGGTCTTGTTGACCTCGTCGCGGGTCGTGTGGTCGTGGGTCGAACGGGTGCAGTAGACTTCGGCGGCGCACTCGTCGCACGCTCCGTCCGCCTCGTTGTACTCGTTAATGGAGGTGCCCTGGGCTTCGTCAAAGGCGCGGGTCCCTTCGCAAGTCTGGATACTGCTGGCCTCAGCGGACGCGTTGGTTGGTTGGGGTCGCCCTCTGCGATGGCGGGCAGCTTCCTCGGTGGCTCAGGAACGTTGGCATTCTCGTCTTGGTTAGCCTTCCGCTTGAGAGAGGTCCCTCTCAGCGCTGTCGAGGACATCGAGGGCGCAAGACGTGGGCCGATATGGTCGTCGGAAGAGTGCAGGCGTGGGAGGCGAGACATGGTAAGCGACGGCGGCGAGAAGGCGCACGGCGCCGGGCGCCCACAAACCGAACTGTGTCACGTGAGCGCGTTTTGCTGTGGCGGGGCCTCCGGCCTAGCCACTACATGTACATTAGGTTCGACACAAGCCCCTCGCACGCCACGAGGAGGGTCCTGTAGCGAGGCTAGCCACTACGTAGGCCAGATGTTCACTCTGTAACCCCGGATTGGCCGCCAATGCTTAAGCACTTTTAGTGTTGCAAAGCAAGTAGGATATTTCCGACAGCTAACTATTGATGCGGCCTGAAGGCCTGAAGCATTAAGTCCCTGATTGTAATCTCAAACGCAATGCTGCGCCGCAGCAGCCAACCTTTGAGTGTGCCATTGGGCGACCGGTTTGTGGCGGCGTAGGCGTCCAGAACCTGCTTGACAGTGTAAGGCTAGGCTGTAATCAGCGAGTTCAACCGCAGTCAGCGCACCTGGTGTTGGCCGTAGTGGTTGAAGTTCCGAGGTCCCACATCTTGCATTGATTATGGATTCTCGCACTGGAACCGAACTGGAACCGAACTGGGCACGTTTGACATCAGCGGCCGCGCGCCCCTCGCAAAGCGCGGTACCATTCAAGGCCTGAGGCCTGAGGCCTGAGGGCGCGTTGTTCACATGTATACGTACATACCTTCGGTGCCCTACTCTGGGCTCTATTGATGCAGCTTATATCTCGCGTAACTCATGAATGGAATGGATCCTACATACTGGAGAGCATACATCGCCCTGACGGATCCAGACGACATCCGGTGGGTACGATAGCTGCACGCCGATTACCCTCCGTCTCTGCTCGGACGTGTCTATTTCCGAGATTATCGAATACCCAGCGGCGGGTTTGTTGCCCAATTATCTCCGACAATACGAATATCTCAGCTAGGGACGTGGGCTAGATCCGCTATAGAATCGTGGCGTCAGCCCTGTCGCATAGCGCAAAGTTACTCACTTGACAAGCCGCCGGATAGTAGAACCGCCAGGGATAGTATTCACGCAACGGCTTGATATGGCAACATCTGTGTGCAGCCAGAGTCTACTGGTGCAATTGCAAGCAGCCTGCCACAGTTCGTCTGCATCGAACGGCAACCAGCCATCACATGTATTTCTTATCCTGGAATGTGTAAGGTCGATGTAGAACAGCGCAGATGAATAATTACGTGGAGCACTCACCGATACCTCCCAGCTCCCCTGGCTAAATCGCCAGTTAACTGTAATATGAACTTGCCCGATGTGTTGTAGATGTATACCATTGATCGCAACAGGTGTGTTGGGCTTTCGACTGACCTCTCAATTAGGACATCTTCCTCAGCGAATCGCCATGATTGTATCCCGGATCCGGTCTACAAGTAGAAGTTAGGATCATTTCTGCCTGTGAGCGATCACCCAGACAGCGATACTTTTGATGAGAATGAAATATTCATCCGTGTCAATTGGCACGCCTACTCACACCGACCATAGCGCACAAACATGGCCGTAAACCTGTATGTACAGAGGACTTCGAGTCGACCGCGAGGAACAGGACTCGGAGACGGCCGCGCCGCGACGCGGGTGTCACAAGAGAGCCGTGTCACGAGCGTGTCACTGTGCGCGTTGCGTAACGCGTCGGCCACGTGGATGAAAACACCAGCCCACCGAGTCCGAGTCCTGCCATTAGACTGCCCAACGCTAGCACTGAGCACTCCTCTCGACCTCGGCGAGAGCTCGTCGCTGCCTGGTCCAGTTCGCCCTAGCGCATCGCTATCCTCTTTCCACGTCGGCGGCCCAGGCGACGCGAGGGTCCCGGAGCTTCCACAACGCCCTCCAAGGTCTAGCGACTGCCACCATGCCCTCCTTGGCCACCACCCGGTGTAGTTTCCGCTTCACTGTGCCACTCTCCCGCTCCCGCCCATGTCTCCCGCCCATCGGTCAAACGAGAGGCTACGTAGTAAGGCCAGGTGACACTCGAAAGACAGCTCTAAAAACACCACAAATACGTGAGTGCACTTCGCAGCATATTCTTTCCTATGCACGCCATACCACCAGAGATGACCAAAGTTAATGGCCGTGTTGTGCTTGAGTATGCGGTACTCTCTCATCCTTGATGTTCTCAACACCGCTGGCAGTACATTGCCTGGGGGTGGGGTCGCTGTTCATGCAAGGGGACGACCTCGGGAAGCCGGGGTCTGGTTACCATAATCTTGCTATGCTAGTGCAGCTCGTATGATCCTCAAGGTCATAATCCTTTGTTCATATCGGCAAGGTACTGTTCGGGAGAGAACTCGGCGTTCTCACATGTCCTGTACAGGGCGTTTCAAGACTGCTAAACCTTTGCATGCCTTGCCGAAGGAACACGGCTCTTACACCATTGCACCGTTCTTGAGGTGGTCTCAAGAGAGCGGCCATAACATCATCGTGCCATAATGGCTGCTATGGCTGCTAAAATCTGTACGGCGGTCGCGTTACTTCCTCTTTCTCCATCCTATCGAGACGACTTTCCGGATCGCTCACAAATGATGCAGGCAATAGTTTCAAGGCGAAGCACGCGCCAGCGTCGAAGAAGAAGGCCTTCGCTACCCCTGTAAGATATTACTTCGTCCGTCTAGCAGTCATCTCATCATCGTCCCCTGCAGCCCTACACGCCCATGCCGACGAATCAGCTCACGAAAAGCATCTTCAAGACTGGCGAGCGCGTGGAGTTGGAGCTGCCCACATTCTCACCCGTACGTCATAATATTCGGACACTGGTGTACACTCTCATAGCTGCGTCCTGTAGAAGGTCATGAACGACGACTCTGTCGGCAGAGTCCTGGCGTTCCCGAAGGCCAAGAATGAAGCGATGCGCGCGTTTGGTGTCCCGGAGAGCGCACTTCATGACGTACATTTCTAGTCCAACAGTACCGGAAAGGGCTTCATCTGACGTTTGGATCTAGTTCCGGATTCTATCAAGACCATGCTCTGTTGTTCGGGACGTCACTATAAGTACATTCAACGTTCTCGACGCTGCGGGTCAAAAGTCGAGTCGGGACACCAGACTGATGATGAGTCAGTTGCCCTACTGCATCATCACGATTATCACTAACTCTATCTCACAGCTGGCCCGACCGGATGTGGCAAAAGTTACTTGCTACTGCAAACAGTAGAATACGCAGCACATAGTGACTGGATCGTCTTGTATATTCCGCGAGGTGCGCTGTCTTGCCTGCAACAGTATCTGACTGTCTAACGCTCTGTAGGATTGAGCCTCGTTGACTCATCCAGGGACTATGCGTATGATTTGCGAACACAGACATATTTGCAGCCAGAGTTTTCCGCGCAGCTGCTCCGCAGGTTCCTCAGTGTCAACGAACGGCTTACCAACATGCTCAAGACCCGGGAGCAGGTTCCGCTGCAGGGTCGCTCGGTACCCGCGGGCTCCCGTCTCACGGCGCTCGTGAAAGCAGGTGTGGACGACGTGAACAACGCGCCCGTTGTTCTGTCAGTTCTGATAGACGAACTGTCGCAACAGTCAACGTAAGCACTTGTCTGGAAATCCTCGACGTCGGCTTATTTGATTCCTCTCCAAGACACCCCGTGTTGCTCGCCGTCGACGACATGCAAGCCATGTACGGCTACAGCATGTACCGTGACCCTCATTATCGGCAGATCATGGCGCAGCACCTTGCGATCCCGCGGATGATCCTCCAGTACGCCAGCGGCAAGAAGGCATTCGTACGTCCCAATCACCTCTCTGGCTGCTGCGATCAGCTCATTATCCAATACCTTAGCCCCGCGGCGCGGTCATTGGTGCCGCAGGCACCCAACACACCGCGTTCAAGATGCCCCTCGAGCTGTGCGAAGCTCTCGGACTGCCGCCACCGCGCTCCACAGGGCCGTACGCGAAGCGCTCATCCGATATTGTAGATTTCGCGCGGGGCCTGCAAAATCTCCCCGTATCGCCGCGGATGAGCGTCAGCGAGGCTGCGTCGCTGTTCGAGGTCTGGATGCAGGATAACGCGCTCCACACGGGCCAGGTGCGCGTTGACGACGAGTTGCGATCCAGTGCGTCCCTTTCTTCTCCTGAGTTCCTGGCGTCCGTTGTTCATTGGGTGTGGGATAGTGCCGAACGATGAGCTCTTCATGACGAAATACGCGGAGGCCGATGGGAATCCCAGGGCGTTTGTGCGGAATGGGCTTCTGGCGACGCAGAGCACGATTTAGACTAGGTGTTAATGTCGTACTACTTAATTCCTCTGATTGGCATTTATCGCAGACAGAATGCTGCCGTGCTTCTGCGGTGTCGCGTGACAAGGCGGAGTTGCGGAAGTTGTCGTTGTGACGGTACGCAGTGGGCATGCGGAGCTTCAAGGAGCTTCTTCCGGTTCGCGGAGCTCTGCCTACAGGCAGCATTCTCCTCGCATAGGGATGGGCTGCCTCGATGTCATGAGTCTCAAAGGTCCCAATATATGTAGGCTGCTACCCTGGGCACTGCTGCTCAGCGTGTTACCAATATTTCCTGCTCGTCTTACTCACTCCTGCCAGCGCGCCAGTGGTGTCACACTGCCAAGTATGTCCCTGCCGATAGGTCCACGGGGAAAGACCTGGCCACGGCCACCACGTCTGAGCAGCCACGATTTTGGTTCATTGTCGCAGGCCATGGGCCTCAGCCGCACAGACCCGACATTCAATAAATTCACTGTGCGTCCCCATGGCGCAGTTAGCATATCGTGACCTTCGTACTCATTGGACTCGTTGATGCCGAAGAGCGGCATGCGCTTGCTAGGCGCAAAATTCCTCAACCCAACGCTCTTGCGTAGGGACCAGGATCGCGGGCAGTGGACGAAGTTCTTCAACGCGGTGAGAAGCACTGCTGCAGTCTTCGAATCGAGACGCTAAACTTTGCTCGGAATCCAGGCCCTCAATATGTTCCCGTTTGTCGGCATGGAGTACGAAGGGGCTTGGCCCATTGACGGATACATGCAGCGATGGCTGGAGCGGATGCGGTGGGAGCAGAACCGAAAGAAAAGTCATGCTGCGAAAAGTCAGCAGACTGAGAGGAGGCCTGCTGAAGGCGGACATTGCGTCGATAGACAGGAGCTACCTCGCAAGAGCTCGAGGAATGCCGAGGTTCGGAGCCCCTATCAATACCAGTCGAGAAAAGTAGGTAAAGCCATAAAGGGGCGTTGGATCATGCTCGAATGCTGAAACTGATACTCTTGGTCACACAGGTCCTATCACCCGTATCTAATTCTAGGTCATCCTCTGAGTCTACGCGTCGTAGTAGCACGCCAGTTGACCTAGTATCTGCACCTGTCAGAGTTGCCGTCACCTGTCCACATGGTCCGATACTGATCATTCTCCAATCCAGGTACAAGAAACACAATCCACTGCTATGAATGCTGGCAGGCAGTCTCAGGTAGGTCTCAACGCGAGGTCGTTGATTTTGCGCCCTTCACAAGAATGTAATAGATCCTGCAAGCTACAATTCCTTCTTCATCGTCCTTGGCGAGTGCGCTGCCCAGCACATCGTCGGTGAGTACTTTCATTGGTGTGCTGTCACATGAAAGTAGGCGCATAGTAGTGACACTGCTACAAGGCTCAGTCAGTACGCATGCAGCAGTCTACCTCAAGCTCTATATCCACAAAGGTGCGCACGGCACCAGGCATACAGGCCGACAAGTCCTCAACCCCGGCAAGCAAGTTGTCCAAGTTCAAGCTTCGCGAGGGGACCATTCGGCTATTCTTGCAGTCCCTAAGCCCCAGCTTAGAAGACCTAACGCAGAGTTTCATTGACAGAGGCCTGGTTAACAAGAAATGTCTCCTCGCTTTGGCGGAAATGCCTGACTTGGAGAAGGACAGATTCCTGCGAGATGATGTGTTGCTCACTGCATTCCAGTCGCGAGTCGTTCGAGTCGGGCTTGCCAACCTGTTGAGTTAGATATAAATGAAGGTTGATCACATTGTATGGGCATGGCGATGTATCCAGCAGTCATGAATCGGCTTCTACTTGTCATTCCCTCAGTTCATGCAAGACATTTGGAAGGACAGAAGATGGACATGAACGTTACGAGCAGTGGCAACATGTATTCTCCGACTGTACGTGACAAGCAATATGATACTGGTCACCGTCGGGCAGCCCCGCATTTGTTCTCACTCATGAACGAGTCTCTGGTTCTTCCTCACTCACTTTATCTGTCTCTTCGCCAGTTTCTCTGTCTGCAAGCGCACGGTCTCTTGCTGGCAATAAGCCAGTACTAGCTAAGTCTAACCTTGTCTGCTCGCGCCGCGCTCACGTGGCCGGTACCACTTGACACGCACCTACTCGTTGCTCAGGATTAATGGTCACACTTCTACACCTCGTTTCACAGTACACGCCAACACGGGATCTGCGCAGAGCCATGTCGCTGAATCCCGACGAGTTTTGATTCAGTGCGTCCCTTTCTTCTCTCGATTTTCTGCCGTCTGTTGTTGATTGTGTATGGGATAGTGCCGAACGGTGACTCGGAGCTCTTCATGTCAAACTACGCGGAGGCCGATGGGGGTCCCACGGCGTTCGTACGGAATGGGCTTCTGGCGACACAGGGCTCGATTTAGACTAGGTGTCAATGTTGTACTAATTCCTTATCGCAGTGCGTGCCGTTACTGCCCTGCTGGCCCCGGCCCCTGCACTCATTTTCCCGGACGAGACATCCGTGTCAGAACGGGGTACTTACTTCTGCCGTGCTTCTGCGGCGTCGCGTGTCAAGGCGGTGTTGCGAGAGCTGTCGAGGTGACGGTCTGTGACGGTACGCCGCGGTGTCACTGAAGTACTGACGGCTTGAATTATTGAACATGTGAGCGACTCGTGTATACTACGCGGATTGGTCGCGGTTGATTTGCGCCACACGCACCGTTTCCCGCGTCTATCAGGGCGCTCAACCTCGCGCCCTGCCACCGGCGCGTTCATGTTTTAAACCTCCTTTGCCTAGCCCTCTACGGCTGTAGGCCAAGAGCATGGCTGAAACATCTCATAATATACTCAGAGTTTTATGAAGATGCGTGGTAGGACAAAAAGAAAGGCCTACGATGGCCGAGGGGGACTGTTTCTGAGGAGAACAAACAAAACCAAACATGACCAGTGCACGGTCACGCTTGTCACGGCCACAGCTCGCTCCGGTGGCTGGGCACAAGCTTTGACTTGGTACTATGTCTTCTCATTCACATACGCCCTCGGATTTTAGCGAGCCCCTTTTCACCGAAAAAGTATGTTAAGTACTTGCAGCAATCGACAACCACTTTGAAGACCGCATCGCAGTGGCAGACTCTTAGCGCCCGTGACCTCCGAAAGGGATTCATCGAATCACTCCGCACACTGCGAGTATGCAGCCGGACATGAGCAAACAGAGATTCATACACCTTCCATTGCGTTTCTAGGTGCTTAACTATCTCCACCTAACTTGCGAGACGGCCGTGGCGTTCAATTCGAATCGCTTTGGCCCTCCTAAGTCGTGGGAAGAGCGTAGCGCTGAGATGATAGCACGCGTGCAACGCACAATTGAACCGCGACCAATCCGCGTACGTTACTCGTGGGCAGCTTCTTCCGCTTCGCGGAGCTCTACCTGCAGGTCAGATTGTGATCGCGTAGGGATGGGCTCATCAGGAATGTGCACCACCTGCCTATTTCGCCTCATTGAGGCAATGAGGCAATTAGACAGTTTGAGACGGGCTGCCTCATTCAAGTCTCATTTGAGTAGATTATCTCTCATCTGAGACGTGATGAGGCAATGAGGCTCATAGGGCACATAGACACATGAGGTACTTAGGTGAGCCGGAAGACAGTGCAACGAAACAACAAATATATTCAATTGAGCTGTATCCTACAACAGCAGTCCTAATTCCTTGCTCGGTACCACTCCGAGATGCGGTCAGCGACCCTATTTGCCAGCTCCGTGAGGGCATCCACATCCCATGAGGTCGCCCGATGCGCACTCATGCCCTGTCATCTCCACATGCTGTCCGCTGCTGCTCAATCGTCATGAGTATCAACTGTGCAATGCTGATCAGCGTCTCCGACACGTCTAGAACACATTGGGGCCACGCACCAGTCACCGCAACAACCTCGTCCTTGTTTGCGGGCCAGTTCTTGTACTAGCGCCAGATCGTCGCGCTATAGTACACACCGAACACGTCAATAATTTTCACCTCAAGCCCAACCTATTGAACTCACTCACCACCCAGCCCAACGAGCACGATGCATCGACATTGAGAAACATGCACTTGTTGATGAACAGGCCTCTACACACTGAGTCAGAATCAGGAGGAAAGCGGGGCCATGAACAGACCATATACAAAATCATATGCGCTCTTTCGCCATATAGTGTTGGAACCCCCCACGCTCTGTACTTCACGCAAAGCTCCCGGTCAGATGCATATACAGGATAACGAATCACGAGACGAAACTCACATAATAAGTTGCCGCTAACCAGACGCGGGACGTGTGGGTCACCACCTACTCACGTCTGACGTCACGGGAACAAGGCGTGCGCACCACGCATATGCTTGCCGTTGTGTTCTTCGTAGAGGCGGTGGATGCCCAAGGGCTGTACCCGCACCCGCTGCTCGCTCGCCCGCCCGAGCCCTCACTCATTGACGTGCCCTCCCTGGTACCAGCCATCAGCTTGCTGCACGCTTGTGTACACGAACCTTACGTTCGATGTGCTTGTGGGTTGTCTTGCACGTCGATGTTGGGAGACGAGGTGCCCGCGACTGCGTGATGTGAGGGTAAGTGCCAGCGAAGCAAGGCCGCGCGTGCGCGCTGACTCGGAGCGCCGGCGGTCGGAGCCAGGTCGGAGTTGTAATGTAGTTCAGGGCAGACATGCAACGGTCTCCGGGCAACAGCGCTGTCTGCTTATGGCCGGCCAACGTCGCTCTCTGCCTCGTCAGTCACCGGGACCCTTTGCAACCACCCATACAGTCAATGAGGTGAATGGCCCGCGCGACCGACGATGTGCGCGTCACGCGCATCCGCCAGCTGCGTACGTGCACCATAACGACCTCCCCGCACGACGCGACCGCCTTGCCCCGCAACATCCTCAAGCCAACATGCGGTGATCTGTCAAGATACCGCTCGCGTTTCCCCGACGCAGATAAGGGTTGGACTGAGTAGGAGCAGAACGAAGGGCGCGGTGAGGGCTACAAGGCCAAGCATGAACGCTCGAAGGTATGTCCTCGCTCTCCTGTTTGCCAGTGCCCATACACCCACTCCGACCGGCCTGCTCGACCAAGAACCTACCCGTTTGCCCACTTTCTCGGTTTCCCGCATGCTCGTGCGCTTGCTCACCTGCTTGCCCACATACCTGCTTGCCGACTCGCCCGCCCTGGCACTTGACAGCAGGTTAAGTAACCTGCTGTCATCTGTTCGACCGACCCGCCACGACCCACTGTACCCCACGATTGACCCGTACCCGTTTACCACCCGCGTGTACCGGCTGAAGACGCGGCGCAGCGTGGCACCCCTGCGCGTACGGTCATGACCCGCCAGGCAAACGGATATGAAGTGCAAGGGCCGGCATAACGGTGAGCATGGGCATTCTGGTGGAAAACGACACACCTACGAGACGGCGGACACGGCGGGTGAAGGTGCAGCAACTCACGAACGAGCGGTAGGCACAGGCACAATGAGCCCAAGTGCAGAATGCCCGCGATGAGCTAACTGCCTACACCGGCGGCGAACGCAGATCTGATTTTGAGCAGCGCCCGGAACGAGGGTATTGTATCTCAGTGGCAATAGTGTGTCGCCATAGATATTACTGTAATGCATCCTTTGTATCGATATCGTAGGAGAGGGTCGTCGATCAGTGAGTTGTATCGTCAATCAGTAAGTATGCAAAATCACAGCCAGCCAAGTCAGAGATCTGTGAGGCAATGAGACAAATTAGGTACGAATTAGACAGGTGAGGCCGTTTGAGGCCGTTGAGGCAAGGTGCCACTTTCCTGATGCTGCCTCGATGTTCCGAGTCTCGAAGGTCCTGATATAGGCTGCCACCCTGGACATTGCTGCCCAGCGTGTCACCAATATTTCTTGCTCGTTGTACTCACTAAGTCCTGCCAGCGTGCTGGTGGCAGCGATTGAGTACTAGTAGCTATGGAAGGTTTGTTCTCGCGACTAGCTCATCCTCCGCTAGTCATCGCTGACTCGGTCCCTGTCGATAGGTCCACGGGGAAAGACCTGGCCACGGCCACCAAGTCTGTGCGGCATTAGTTCATTGTCGCAGGCTATGGGCCTCAGCCGCACAGACCCGACATTCAACAATTTCACCGTGCGTCCCCATGGCGAAGTTAGGATATTGTGGCCTTCGTACTAATTGGACTCGTTGATGTCGAAGAGCGGCATGCGCTCGCTTTCATCACGCTTCCTCGACCAAACAGTCTCTATTAGGGACCAGGATCGCGGGCAGTGGACGAAGTTCTCGAACGCGGTGAGAAGCATTGCTGCCGTCATCGGATCGAGACGCTAAGCTTTGCTCGAAATCCAGGCTCTCGATATGTTTCCTTACCTCGGCGTGGAGTTTCAAGACGCGTGGCCTATGGAGGCGTACATACGGAAATGGCTCGACCGGATGCGGTGGGAGCACAACCAAAAGAAGAAAAATCATGCTGCCAAAGATCAACAGACTGAGGGGAGGCCTGACGAAGGCGGACATTCCGTCGATAGACTGGAGCTACCTCGCAAGAGCTCGAGGATCGCGGGCGTTCGGTGTCCCTATAACTCCCAGTCGAGAAAAGTATGCATAGGGATGTTGAACCATGCTCGAACGCTGAAACAGATCTTGCTCATACAGGTTCTACCCGCTTCTCAGGCTTCAAGTTCTAGCTCATCCTCTGAGTCTACGCGTCGTAGTAGCACGCCAGTTGATCTGTCTGCACCTGTCAGAGTCGCAATCACCTTTCTGCGGGGCCAGATACTGATCATTCTCCTCTCATGCAGGTAGTACAAGAACCACAATCCACTGCTCAAGGTGCCAGCTCTGCACGAACACCGACTTCGACCGACGAACGGGCTGTAACGTCTACTGGTACAGCGCCGCTCAAACTGCACGAGCAGGTTGTTCGGACCTTCCTCCAGTCGCTCAGTCCGAACCTTGAAGATCTCACCCCGAGGTTCCTCAGTGCGGGCCTTGTCAACAGAACTTGCCTCCTCGCCCTCGCCGGGATGCCGGATTGGGAGAAGGACAAATTGCTCAGGGACGATATGTCCCTTACGGCGTTCCAGTCTCGCGTTGTACGTGTTGGACTAGCAGGGTTGCTTTAGAGCCTCAGCCAACACCGTGTATGAACCAAGGAGATATGTACAATTTCAGCCTCGTGTGCAGAAGCTCTCGCGCGGGCAATACATCCTAAGGCATCTTCGGGGTGGTCCAACGATCATCGATAAAGTACTCAGGTCACGCATAGTACTTACAGTACGAGCTTGGTACGAGCAGTGGACGCTGGAAACACGTATTCTCATTGCACGTGACCAGCAATATACTGGTCGAGAGCGATCGCGGCGGAGGAGCAACGGCCAACGGCAGCCCCGCATTTGTTCTCACTCATCCATCTCTGCTTCTTCCTCGCGCACTCTATCCATCTCCTCGCCGGGTTCTCGTTCTGCATGGTCACTTGCTGGCAATAAGCCAACTAGCCAGTAGCTAACCTAGTCCGCTCGGCGCTCATCGTGACCGGCACCACTTGACACGCACTTACTCGTTGTTCACACCTCTACACCTTTCACTCCTCGTTTCACAGTACCCGTCAACATGGGATCTGCGCAGAGCCATGTCGCTGAAGCCCTCGCTGCGACCCTCGTCGTAGCTGGAGCTGCCGTCGTGTACAGCTACAAGCCGTCCAGCTCGCAGGCGCATTCTGACCCCGCACCCGTGTCTGTGTCTGCCGCCGGGAAGAACAAGAAGAACACCAAGAAGAAAGCTGGCGCGGAACCTGTTTCCCCAGCAGAGAAGCCCACCACGAAACCCACCGTTGTGCAATTCCCGCCGGTGGTGCCTGGCGCCTTCGAAGGGTCCTCTGCGCCTCTTGACACGGAGGCAACCCCCGAGTCCGCGCCGAAGGCGACAAAGTCGAAGAAGAAGAAGAGCAAGAAAGCCAACGCGTCGGGCGCGGGGGCGTCGCGTCCAGTCGACGCAATGTCGGAGTCTTCTGCCACCGCGCCGGAGTCGCCGGCTGCAGCTCCCGCGCGGCCCATCGCGAAGTCGAGGAAGGCATCGACGCCAAAGGCAACTCCACCGCCCCCTCCGACTGTCGACACGGACGGCTCGTGGACTCGCGTCGAGTCCAAGCAGAGGAAGGATTCAGAGCAGCCTACCCCTCTGGACGCTGGGACAAGTGATGCTGGAGTCACTACCACGTCTTTCACGGGCAACTCGTCTCCTACTGCAACTGCTTCGGACGAGGAGGGCGACGTCAAGGCCTCGACGTCGGACAACCGACGTACGCTCGCGGAGAGGCTACTGCCGAAGCCGCGAAAGACAGGGGTGGACGAGTATGTTTGACGCGTCTTCTGGCCCTTACATTGACTTACGTTGCGGTCTGTAGCATGTTGGAGACACCCGACTACCCATCCGTTGCCCGGGTCATGCGAATCCAGCCAGGGCCTGACGATCGACCCGCTGTTGGGTTCTCGTGGGCTGACTATGAGGATGTTGATGACTCGCGCGGGACGGCTGATGATGCTGACGGGGAGGATGACGGTGGTTGGGGTGTCGTGAAAAGCCGTGGTCGCCCCAGTACGTTGTTCGTAGCTATGTCCGTATCCTCTCATGCTGACCTCTGATCCAGAAACACATAAGCCCACAACGACACCCACCGCGTCAGAAAGTGTGTCGAAGAAGCAGCGTCAAAACGCCGCAAAGCGCGACGCGCAGAAGACTGCTAAGGTCGAGGCCGAAGCGGAGCGACAAGCACGGCTCGCGCAGCACAAGCGGGAGCTGGAGCGCGCAAAGATTGCGGAGCAGTACAGCAAGCCTAGCAAGAATGTGAGCGGCGGGATGACAGCTTATGTAGACGAGAATGGCAAGCTAGTCTGGAAATAACCGCGCGCCCAGCCGGTCGTTGTCCATCGCTGCCTGCGAATCCGTCCACAGGCTACCTTCACGCCAGGTTCATAAAAGGGACATATACCAGGATGATTCGCTTTTTATATCTACTGTACTTTCGTGCTATGTGGTTTCAGACACTCCTTTGGTTTCCCTGCGGTCGGTGGCGCTCCGAGCGAGCATATATCTAACTCCTATAGTCACCATTAATCTTGACGTACTCCTGCACATCAGATCGACTCGTCAGCATGCAGTCTCCCACCTCTACATATGCTATGTAGTGGAATGCGGTATGACACTTACGTAGCTGAAGTCACACGTCCAGTATTTTGCGCTCTGCGAGCCGAGCCCGAGTTCGACGCGGATTGCAAGGTCCTCGACACTGAGGATCTCTTTTGCACGCACCTCGTCAACGCTTTCAGGTTCGCCATTGACGAGGAGTGGGAGCGCAGGTGAACCGTCCGTTGGGATGAAGGAGACGTTGACGCGGGTAGGGTCAAGGGACTTCGAGAGGGGCACGGCACCGGCCGCGGCCAAGATACGTCCCCAGCTATTGAACGTAAGTAAGTGAGCAGAGCATTGGCAGACCTCGTGCTACGTACTTGGCGTCCTCGCCATACAGTGCTGTCTTGACCAGGGCAGACGTCGAGATCTGCGAGGCGATCCGGTGAGCATCCTCGTAAGTAGCGGCGCCCTAACCATCGGTCAGTCCTGTGTAGGGGCTCAGCGCATTTGGACATACCTCTACGGAGACCGTCACGAACTTGGTGGCGCCTTCACCGTCGCGGACCACCAGCTGAGCAAGCTCGGCAGCGAAGGTCGTGAGCGCATCCCTGAATGTCTCATACGCCTTGGGATCGTGCTGTTCATCGATCTCGTGCGCCTCTGAGCCATCCGTCGCAGCGCCGTTTGCGAGGACGACGATCGTGTCGTTCGTCGACATGTCCCCGTCCACGCTGATCGAGTTGAAGCTGCGGTCGACGGCATACGTGAGGGCGGACTGCAGACTGCGGGGCGAGACGGCCGCGTCAGTCAAGATGCAGCCCAAGAGCGTCGCATGCAGCTGGCCGGAGGGGCGCGGGGGACCCATGTCGGGGTGGATCATGCCCGCACCCTTGTCCATGCCCGCCATCCGGTTTTGCCGGCCGTTCACGGTGAACGTGCGCGCGCGCAGCTTCGGGAAGGTGTCCGTGGTCATGAACGCCTTTGCGGCGCGCTCCCAGGCCTCAAACGTCGAACCGAGCGTCCTGCCCTCTTTTGACAGCGACTGGATACCCGCGAGGACCTTGGAGATGGGGAGGTTGACGCCGATGACACCGGTGGACATTAATAGCGTCTCGTTCTTCTCTTTCGGAGATGACTCGAGCAGCGCGTCCGTTGCGCGGACCATCGCCCAGGCGTCCTCCATGCCCTGCTTGCCGGTGACGGCGTTGGCGCAACCGCTGTTGACCACCACCGCTCGGGCTCGCCCACCATTGGCATTGAGCACCTGCTCGGACACGACGACCGGGGCGGCCTTGAATGCATTGCGGGTGAAACACGCTGCCGCGGAAGCTGGGCGAGGGGAGGTCGACAGGATGACCGCAAGGTCTGGCGCGTCGGTCTTCTTGACACCACAGTGCAGACCGGTCACCACGTAGCCTGATGGGAAGGCGCTATCAGGTATGGGCGCATGGTGGTGCGCTTTTGGCGGGGCTGCTCTGGGGATGATGGTGGACGCAAAGCGCTTCCACACTGAGGGCACTCGCGCGGCCATGAGGGCGGTAGATAACTTGGAGAACACCTCGACTTAGCTTTCTCAGACTGGTATATATGGCGCGCGATTGAGCGCGTCAGACTGACTCGTACCGTGACAGCGATATTCACGCAGCGGGGACGGAGCAATTATCTCGAATGGTATATTGCCCTCAGGGGAAGATCTTCGACGAAGTACAGACAACCCAGGAAGAGAAGGAGCTGACTGTAGACAGACGGCGACCCGAGGGATCTTCGCTCTCCCACCGCTCCGTTACTTGTGTACGCCGAGGAGTAAGACGACGACCAAGTGCAGCTCTTCACTGCATCGGTGGTTGAGTCAAAAACCAGCCCGCGATTAGTCCTCTTAATAGCCCCGGTAACAAACGGGGTTCCCACGATCACAATTTACGCTTACCTTCCGCATTTGGCCGCCCAGATTCCCACCACTACAACCCAGCGCTATCGCAAACTCTGGTAGCCATCCTCAAGACACTCGACACCGGGCGGGACGACGACAAAAATGGGCTCTACAAGGTGCGTGCTGCTTAGAGGCGGTGTCTAGTAGGTTTTCCTCGGCGTATAGGAGAGTTTGGCTGAGAAAGGCAGTGTGGAATGGATGGATGGACGGCCGGTGGGTTGGATGACACTGTTACGCCTAGGCGGACTCTCCTGCGGCGACCGACTACCCTCCCTGCTGCACTTGCTTCTTGCTTGGCCTACATGTTCCATGGCCTTACTCTTTGCGAACAGACTCTACTCGAAGGGACGCATCCTCGGCCACAAGCGTGCCAAGCGCAACACTCGCCCGAACACCTCGCTCGTCCAGATTGAGGGCGTGGCTACCAAGGAGGATGCTCAGTTCTACCTCGGAAAGGTACGTAGAGGAGGCCACTGTCACTTCCCTGCAACTCACGAACCTATCCCACCTAGCGCCTCGCATACGTTTACCGGGCAAAGCGGGAGATCCAGGGCTCAAAGGTGCGGGTAATCTGGGGGTGCGTACACAGTTCCTACCGCAGATGCGTGTCTCTCATGCTCCCCTAACCCACGTAGCCGTGTCACTCGGTCTCACGGCAACTCGGGTGTCGTAAAAGGGAAGTTCAGGTCGAACATCCCGCCTCACGCTTTTGGGGCTAGCGTGCGCGTGGTACGTGATTGACTATTGCAGCAACAATTGGGTGGTTGGACTTACATCCTCTTCAGATGCTCTACCCGTCGACGATTTAACTCTGTACCGCTCTCCTCGCATCTCTGACATCCCACTATGTATGTCGACATACTGCAATATGACATGTCCCATGACCCGCATGCCTCTCTACCTCTGGTTCGAGTGTGTCTTCGCAACATTCGGGCCAACTGCTCGGGGCAAAGGCGAAGCAGTGTCATACCAGCACTCGTGAAGCATCAGTACAGTGCTCCATTGCCAATCGATTTGAATAGCTGTGTGCTTGGCATGACTGCCCTATGTGCGATCATATCTGTCCACGTTTGTGTGCATCTAAGGCTTGAGCACCCTGAAGCGATACCACTGCATGGCGAATTAATCTGATAGGCCTGTTACATAATCCCCAGGTTGAGGTTGGCACACAGTAGTACACCACTATGAATGTAAATACAGTTTGTATGTGAGTCGGAGTCGTGACGCCCGCACGGTAACAGCAATACAATAAGGCCTTGTCGCGACCATGCTATTGTCTCCTCAGACGACCTGCTTCATGAATGCTCGCCAACTCCGCACGCACCTGAGTACTCTCCACGAACATCGCAGACTCAGTGTCGCCGACGTCTACCAATCAGCACAGACTTCACAAGTTGATCCTCAGGTGGCTACGCGCCCATGTCTGCCCCTACCATCTCTGCCGCACAGGCTGTGGGCGAGTACCTCCAGTTTCCCGATGACCTCGCCAAGATTACTGCCTTCCGCAAGAAGCTAGAGAAGGAGAAGGCTTCCATCGACGCTAGGTTGAAGAGCGGTGTGAAGGAGCAGTTGGACGCTACCCGGGATGGACTCCGGAAGGTCTTCGGCACTCGCAATAACGTGCAGACCGTCAAGGATGAGCTGGAGACGGTGGACAGGCTTTGCAGTGATCCTCAGAACCAGATCGCTACGTTTGATCAGATCAGCAGAGTGAGTACGAGGTTGTATGTCGACGATGCGGTTTGCTGAGGACGCGGGGTAGGTGTCCATAGTCCACCGTAACTTCGAGCGGGTGGAGGAGATGGTGAACAACCTCATTGACATGAACACACATCTCGACATGCTCGAGGACATGCTCACGGCGGATAGCCAGGACATCCTGGGGCCCGCACCCAACCTGCTCCGCGCCCATTACCAAATCAGACGGCTGGAGTCCTTCCGGAACGAGACCATGCACATGGCGAAGAAGAGCAGCGCGGACGTGCGCAATACCCTTCGGAAACAGTTCGAACGCCTCGATGGTCTCATCGAAGGGTTCGAGCAGTATATCCTCGCGCTGGCGCGGAATATCCTCATCATCTGCATGGAGGGTAACGCGGAGACGGTAGTGAAGCTGGTTAAGATTGCAGAGATTGAGGGGCACGAAGACCAGAAGGTGGTGTATAAATGCGCCATCTAGTCGTTCTGCACTGACTCCTCGTAGGCCATAGCCATCAAACTCGTCAAGAAAGCTGCCAAGATGGACGCAGCGGCGAAGTTCAGGTCTATGCAGGCGGACGCTCGTGTCATCAAGCACTACACGTCCAAGATCCGGAAATGCATAACCGAGTCCATCCAGAGCACATTCGACGAAGCGTTCACCAGCAACGGCAGCAACCCCGCCGCGTTCTTGGAGAACCTCGACTGGCTGTACCAGGACCTCATCCACGTCGAGACCGATGTTGTCCCCTGTTTCCCTCAGTCATGGGATATCTTTACCCACTACGTTAAGGAGTATCACAAGGCTCTGGACGCGATGCTCAAGAAAATCGTAGCTTCTGAGCCAGAGGCCAGTGCCCTCCTCGCCATAAACTCGACCATCAAGGACTACAAGAAGAAGATGAGGGAGCTCGAGATTCCATCCGAGCTGCTCGTCCCTCCGCTCCTCGATGGGAAGGAGCAAGATCTCATTGAGGACTACCTCAAGCTCATCATCCGAAAGCTCGAGGAGTGGACGGAAAACTTGATGAAGACCGAGATCGCTTCATTCACTCAGCGAGAGGAGCCGCCGGAAACGAACAGCGACGGGCTGTATGGCACGCAGGGCGCGGTCATTCTCTTCCAGATGGTGAACCAGCAAGTGGACCTCGCGATGGAGAGCGGGCAGGGCCTCATCCTCGCGCGTACGGTCGAGGAGATCAACCGCGTCATGCGGGGCGTGCAGACGCGCTGGCTCAAGCTCATCGACACCGAGTTCAAGAAGTTCGTCGAGAAGCCGGAGGAGGTGCCGGGCGGGCTCGTCGAATATTGCATCGCGCTCGCGAACGACCAGCTCAAGTCCGCCGACTCTACGGAGACGCTCTCCGCACGCATCGAGCCCCTCGTCTCGGACAAGTACCGACTGCCGATCCACGACCACCTGAACGACGCGATTGACGGCTTCCTCGACGTCGCGAAGAAATGTCAGCAGACGCTCATCGACCTCATTCTTAACGACCTCAAGCCTGCGATCAAACAGCTTTTTCAGCCGTCGTGGTACGACGGGATCACGGCGCAGATCGTCGAGACTATCCGCGACTACATGTTCGACTACAACACGTACCTCAACCAGACCCTCGTCGAGCTCCTCACCGAGGACCTCATCGACACGTTCTTGGTCGCGTATCTCAACGCCCTCGCCAACGCACCTAAAATGAAGTTCCCCCAAGCTCTGACCCGGATGCGGACCGACATTGATGATCTTTACAAGCTGTTCGGCCAGTACAAGAAACTCGACGAGCTCGAGCCCCGCATGCAGGTCCTCGACATGGTGCTTTCGATGCTCGAAGCGTCGCAAAGTCTCGTGTTCCTGTCGTACTACTCATTTGCAAAGGTGTATGGGCCCAATATCGCGTTCGTCGAGAACTTGCTTAAGGCCAGAGGGGACCTAGATCGCTCGGGAGTCAGCGAGGTGATGGAGAGTATCAAGCGGAAAGTGCAGGAAGAGAATCTGACAGATCGTGAGTACCTTCTCGCACGGAAGCTTGACATTCAACTGAGTCCTTGTCGTAGCGGCGGAGCCGACGATCATGAAGAAAGTCACGGTCCAGGGAGCGCTCTCTCGTCTGCTCAACAGGAGCTGAATCACGTCACGGAAGGATTGTACAATAGCAGCATTTCTCTACATAGATACCTCTACATCTCTTGTGCCTCGTACATTCTTCTATCATTATTGCTTCTCGACTCGGTGCTCCAATACATCTCTCAATCCGTCTTCGCCTTCAACTGAGACTTGTCCCGCAGGGTGGCAGCGACCTCGTCGATCTTCTTGAACTGCCAAGGGAAGCGGGAGGGGTACAAGAACGGCCGCAGGTCGAACCCTGTGGGCGGCGAGTGAGCCATAGGTCGGTCGCATAAGCGTGGAACTTACTGTTGTCATCTGGGCTGTATTGCTCCTGTAGATGATTCAGCATCCGCGGATCGCAAATGCATGGACCGCGACACTCACAGCATGGTAAGACGGTGTCAGGGTCGTCATCTTGTGACGGTTCCTCGCATATTCAAAGAAGAACAGCTTCACTTTATCCGCGATCTGGTCCGGGAAAACGGAGCCTGTGAGTGAGAAGACTAGCGCCATTAACAGTGAGCACTGACTTGCGTCGGGGACAGGATTGAGCCCCACTCGTGGACGAGCTTCGTGAACATGCTGTACGGCCCGCACTTCTCGACCTTACGCAGGCGGCCAAAGACCGACAGCTCGTCGTAGGTCATGCCCATGTCAGCCTGCACATGGCCAGACGTTAGCCCAAACTCGTTTCCAGACGACCGCACCACTCGCCTCGTCAGCCTGCACGTAGGTCTCCGTGATAGGCTCGAGTTCTGCGGTAGGGACTGCAGTCAGGAACCTATCCGAGCACGACCTGTCAGTGAGAGCGTGCGCAAGCTAGCGATGCCACGTACTGTTCCAGTATCGGCAGATCGAACGCATCCTTCGCCCATGCAATGAACCGCTTCAAGTCGGTCTTACTGATCGCACCGATCGGGTTGATGTCCGCTGGAGACGGACGTCAGCACGTGTAGTGGTATCGGCTGAGGCACATACCTGAGGAGCAGTCATACTTGGTGAGGTAGCCTCTCAAGCTAAGGAAGGAACGGTCAAGTTGCGCTGACACAGGATACAACCCAACTTACCTTTCGTCGACGTTGGCGCTGCCGAGAACGAGAAGTCCCCCGCTCCGCCCCCGCACCCAAGGCAAGAGCTGAGCGAACAAGTACGCGATCACCATCCGCAAGCGCGCCTGGAAACAATGCATGAGATGGCTGCCGCACTCCGCTACGAGAGACAAACCTGGATGTTCTGCAGCGCAAGGTTCTCCGCGGGCGACCCGCCATGCGCGCGGAACTGCGGCTTGACTCCCGTGACGAACGAGAACAGGTTGCGCACAGCCGTGACGAGCGTGTCCATGTTCAAATCAGTATGGTAGCTGCGATTCCGTGTCGTCAGTCATGACCGTGGAGGGTGCGTGTCCAGCGCATGACTCGCCTGCCAATAGCTTCCGCAAGCTCCTTCGCCCTCCCTCGCGTCTCGGTGCTCGAGTTCTCCGTGCCCATGTAGCACGTGTGGAAGATACGATTGCAGAATTCGCGTGCATCGGTAGGGACGTATGCAGAGTCCTCGGGCTCTCCTACGATGCGACGTGCATCCGCTATGACTTGCTCATCTGTGAGACAGAAACATGAGAGGGGCTGAAGTTCGATCATGCACAGATGCATACCGTCGTTCTTAGCGGCATCCGCCACGAGGCGGCACATTGAGTAGACGATCACCGAGGTTGCGCAACTGTCGATACCACCGCTCAGAGGGACGAAGTATCCCTGCGTCCGAGAGCGCCTCAAGTAATCCCACAGCCAGCACGCAGGGCCCAGCCTACATCCACGCAGTCAGCATCCACCCCACACCGTATCCTCAAGCTCAAGGCACTCACGCAATCTCCTCCTCCGGCTTATGGAACCTCACCTCGAACCTCCGGTCGGTCATAGCCAGGTCGCCCGGCTCGCCGTCCTCGCGAACGCCGAACTTCCCGCCGGACAGCGCCCAGTCGACCTCGATGCGCTGGTAGCGCTCCGCGCCCGCGGCCTGCATGCTCCGGCTGCTCGCCGCGCGGTGCGCGCGCACGTCCTCGATGTCGATCGTCGCGGTCACGACCTCGACGTCCTGCAGCGAGAACTGCGAGCCCTGCGCGATGACGTGCCCGTTGACGGCGATGATCGCGCAGCCGTCGTAGTAGAGCCGGTCGCCGTCGCAGCCCTGCTGGTTGGCGTAGAGGTAGATCCCTCCGACCTGAAGAAGACAGATGTCACTCAGTGCGGGTGGTTGGTGGGCGGACGTGACATCGTACCTTCGACGTGGCTTCTCTAATGAGATCTACGCGCCTGTACAGCTTGCGGAGTTCGTGATGACTGCCACTGGAGTTCGTGAAGATCTCCACGCCGTCGAGGCCCATGAGGATATGAGGACTGTGTCCCGATGCTGAGTGACTAGAGCTGGTGAAGTGTGAAGACCATTTACCTCGCGGGCGTAAAGAGTTCCTCGCAGAGCTCAACGCCGATGCACGTATCCTTCGTGCTGACGACGGCGTCACCGAAAGGAACCTTGATCTAGGCGGGCTGTCAACTGCTGCACATCCACGGCGGGATTTCACAGATACCTGGCCGGTAACTTTCTGTATGATCCTCGGCAGGTAATGTTCCTCAGTAGACCTGTGCTTCATCCAAGGCGTGAACCATCGCAGCTCGCGGTAGTTGCCGTCGTTCGCCAACCACATCTTGGGACGGATCAGAGCAATCTTGCCATCGTATATTATGACCCTGCAGTTGTAGATGACATTCTTGTGGGTGACAGGCCTAGCTGGATACGTCAGCGCAGCTCGGGCTCCGTCTGCAGGACAGATGCCCACATCCCAATGTCGCACAAGATACCCTTGGCATCTTCAGACTCGAGGATCTTGGCCAATACTTCCCATGAGTGTAGGCCCGTATCGCCTAGAATAACAGGGGTGAGGGATCATACGACGCGCACGTCTGATCGGAGTACCTTCGAGGAAATGATCTTGACATCCGTAGCCTCTATGTCGCATGAGTTGTGTCTCTGATATGCTGTATATTCGAGCGAGGACATACGTGATCTCGAGCTCCGGACCAACGCGCAAAGTTGCGCCTCGCTCTTTAGCTATCCGGATGCTGGCGAGAATGCGCTCCAAGTTTCCCTGATTCACGACAGATCAGAGTACAGACCAGATGGATCTAATCTGAACGTACTCCGAAGTCCAGGGACCACTGATTCAGCGTACTGCGTACAAAAGGTTACTGACCATATACCATCTCAGTCATATGATGAGCGCACCAACTAACGTTTCGTGAGCTCGCGTAGAAGAGGTCCGCGGTATGACTCACGTTGCGACTGTTATGAGATGTCCCATGTCGAAGGCCTTGTTGCGCAAACGGTGCGCCACGCAAGTGTACCTATGCGGCTTGGCCTATGTTCCAGCAGCGTGCGCAAAGCCAAACTACTGTACTGTAACTGAGTGATGGCTGGTACACAACTGGTACAATCCCTCCAGTCGGCCCGGAACAGTGCTGCGGCGCTGCGTCATCCGCAGATCGGGATCTGGCGCAGCTTTACCAGTTCACGTGTGCATTGAATACGATCGTCGTTCGCTCCCGAGGGACGGAGAGCCTGAGAGACTGGTCGCAAGACACACGCAACGGCGACCAGAGCTACTGGAAGTACTGCGGTATAGCTGGCATATGTCATAGATGTGCGGGTCTAATCTGTGTTCTCCAATGTTTCATATTACTAGCTAGGGCCAAAAGTCCGCGCGATGCAAATACAGACAGATTGCTATGAAGGCATAATACTACGGTAGGCAGAGTCAGTTGTAGCACCGGAGAGTCCTCAGGGATGCGTCGCCCAGCCAAACAACGCCCGCCACGGAAACTACAAGTGTGCGAGGCAAGGTGTCCGTTACAGATGCAAGCCTCGTGAGACCCGGTGATAGTAGAAACAGCCCAAGACAATATAAATTGCAGGGATATCTAGATGATGAAGTGAGGGAGTGACGGACCAACGAGCAAGGGACTTTGAGTACAGACGAGCGAACGAAAAATGTATGTGAAGTGTTCGGTGGCGACGGGCTGACTACTTTCTTCGCGTTTGCTGCCACAGAGCGAGCGGCACGTCCTCGTCCTCGGAGGGGCGCCGCCGGCTCTGCACCACCGCATGCGCACTGATGCCCTTCTTCAGCTTGGCACTGTTGACATGGTTCATCGCAGAAACCATGGGCGGCGCAGCGGAGGCAGACAGGGACCGACTGGGCAGTCGGGCGCCTGGCGCGCTGTACGACGGTTGCTTCTCCTGCGCAGGAGTGTAGCGATTAGGCGGCGGAGACCGTGTCCGGCGCGGAGCGACTGACTGGTTGGGCGGAGAAGGCGGGGAGGCGGAACGTGGGGGCGAAGGAGACGAATGTCCCCTCGAGTTGAGCATACTCGTTGACGCTTGGTTCGCCATCCATGTTTGTTCGACGGCCACGGGAGGCATCGCGCCTGGGGGCAACTGGCCGCCCACCACAACTGGAGCATACTGCTGAGGCTGCATCGACACAGATCCCATATTGCGAAACTTACCATTTGCAGCCTGCGGCTGTGGTTGCACGAGGCCGACCGTGTATGGCTGAGGAGGCGCCGACGACGATCTTGCTGGTTGCGACTGATACGATGCGCCGCCGCCAGAGCCATAACCGTATCCCGAGCCGCCGGATGTGCTATTTGAGTAGCCATGGCCGTACTCATGCTCCATGGCGCGGTGCTGCATCTCGTACTGGGGCCCGCGCACAGGCATCTCGGCTCGCCGGACGCCTGGCTGGGGTGCGTTCGCCGCTCCGGGTTTCGTGAGGCTCCCCCGCCGCTGTTTCTCTCTCTGTTCCTGCTCCCTCTCCAGATGCTCCTTCTCTGCCCTCTCTCGCTCCTCGCGCTCTCGCTGCTCCCGTTCCTGCTGCTCCTTGTCCGGCACGGGCTGCGTCTGTCCTGACGCTTGTGGCTGAGGCTGCGCTACGCCGTTTGCACCCGCGTTCTGCTGGCTCTGCGTCTTGTTGATGACACCCAGGTACCAGAACATCAAGTTGCTGATCAGGACCTGCTCATAGAGCGGGCGACGCGGATTAGCAAGCTTGATGTGACTGAGCCGGTAGATCGCCCGCTCGACGTGGATGGGGTACCGCGCATACATGCCGGCAAGCTGTGGCGAAGGAGATGGGGCGTAGTTCTTGGACGACTTGGACGCCCCGAGGAGGGCGGCAGCCGTCTCGCGCCCAGACTGAGTCGCTATCGACGGCGGCGCATCCTCCTGCTTCTTCTTGCCTCCGAAAAGCGATCCGAAAAAGCCGGTATCCTTTTCTTTCTCCTTCTCGCGCTCGCGCTGCTCCTTTTCCTTAGCCTGCTTCTTGCTGCCTTTGTCACTTCCCCACTTGAACAAGCCGCCCTTCTTGTCCTTCTCTCGTCGGTGTTCAGACGGGCCTGGAGAGGGTGGCTGATATAACGGCGCCTCTTGCAGAGAGGGACGTGGCTGCAGCACGTTCGAAGGCGGACTAGCGGCCGCAGTCGTGGGCGGAGGGGAGGGCGTGTGTGTTTCCACGGGAGGTTCAGTGACAGCCGGCGCGACAGCTCGCTGTGGTTTAGGATGATGTAGGATGGGTCCAGAATCAGCAGCAAGCTCATGCGATTCAGTGTGTGTCGTGGTAGAGGATGGGCCAGAGAGGGAGGATTCGACGGAGGGTTCTGGGGTCGTCTCCCTTTGAAAAGCATCGAGCTCATCTGGTTCCTCGGTAACGTAAGCGTCATAGATCAAAGCTTCTTCGCTGTATGATTCGGGCCGTGGCAGAGGAGGCACCGGTGGGATGGGTGGGATTTGTGACGCGAGCGCTGCGTCCTCGCTTGCGCGAGGCGTCCTGCTGGCCTCCGCATGTCCATGATCGCTTACGGACATCTCACTCGATGTCCGGGGCGAACCCAGCGTAGCTGAGCGGTTCACGGACTTTCGTCGGCTGCGAGTAGCGGTGAAGCGATGTGCACCCTCGCCTTGCATACCCGGCTTGCGGATTTTTGTGCGTGCTGAACGACGCAGTCTATCGCCCATGCGCGGCACAATGATAGGGGAATCGGCTTCGTCTCCCGGATCGTGCAAGTCGTCCATCTGGTCGATGACTAAACACGCACTCGCATCAACGCAGCACATAGGAGATACGTAGGAAGTATACCTGAGGGTGCCACGTTCAGACTAAGACTCCTCCGCAACACACTCCTCAGCCTGCTGGGGTCATCGCTGTTGGATGCCTCCTCTGCTAGCTCCTCTAGCTTCTGTAGATCACTGATCGTGAGCTGAGGACCGTTGGAATAGATGCTTGACCGATTCCGACGGATGGGAACGACCTCCTCGTCCTCAACGTCATCGTTCGCAGACGGTTTGTACTGCCGGCTAAGCATAGATTTCTTCCTCCCAAGATCTGTAGAACCATTGGAGACTGAGCGCCCAAGGCCGGATGGTTCGTCGGAGGGACTACGGGCATGTTCTTTCAGGAACTGCCTGAACTCGGCTGGTGCAATTTCGGGGTGGAGTCGAGCGGGTACCCAGAAGAGATGAAAGGGATCATTGTTGCTCTCCTCGGACCCGGTGTCGCTGTTATCGCTCTGGGAGCTGCCGCTCAGCTCCTCTGGTGACCAGTATGGGGTGGTCGGCGAGGGTTGGGTCGTAGTGCTGGGCAAATCTGGGTCCAATATGAGCGAACCAGGACCCCCTGCGGTCGACCGCCTCCTGATGTCCCGCAGGGCCTCTACTTCCCGCCTGATCTCAAGTTCGGACGGTTGCATGGCCGACTGGTTGGGGGGTAATATGAGACCCGAGCCGACAGCAAGGAAGGCTGCACACACCTCAGATGTCTGGACTACAGCCCGCTTGGTTGATGGAGGGAAGCGAGAGGCCCCAGACGACGGCCGGACGAGGAGGATGGAGAGACAGGGCTACAGCAGGTAAGCCTACTGTCAGAGGCCGCGAGCAAGCTAGCTTCATCAAGCCCGGCGGGCTGGCAGGGAAGCCGGTGGCGCGCGCGCTCGTTGCCGAATACTCTGCCTTGTCCAGTTTTCTGGCGCCGCATGCCATAAGCTTTTCGGAACCGCTCGGAAAATGAACCTCTCCCAGATCCGCCCTTCTTCAGCCACCCGCCTTTCTCTCCCATGCCCACCTGGTGCGTGCACCTCCCAGTCGTGGGCAGACAACGACCATTACTTCATCGTCCTTACCATCTCATCACGGCGTGGCTTGTGGAAAAACGAGGACGAGGACCCCTGATAATTGGGGAGGAAGCCTTAATCGAATCCGGACAAATTTGGGCGATTCGGAGGGGCTGGGGCTGATGTTTGTCCGGACAAATGGGCAAATTTCGCCGTGAAGGGCTGAGGAACTGTACGGACATAGCTTGTCGTGATTGCTCGAGGGGTGAGGAACATCCGGACATGGCCAGCCCAGGTGCTCTCGCGAACGGCGTCAGCGCGACGACAACCCCCCGAGAGCACCAACCCTGCTAAATGGCGGGGTCCGTCGGTAGAGGCCTGAGGAAAAGTCCGGACAAACCCCCGCCGAACTTGGGACTGCCTGATTTTATCCGACCAAATCTCGCCAAATTTCGCCAAAAAAGTCCGGACAAAAGGGCTGAATTTGCGCGCGAGCAGATCAGGCCTCTCCGCATATAACCAGGGGTCCTCGAGGACGTTCCCAGGTCAGAGCTGCCGATATGCAGCCGGCTCTCAGCTTTCTCGGCCACGGGTAATCCAGTATTTTTCAGTGTTCGTCATATGCCGACCGTAAAGTTTGATTGTTGGCCGCCGCGGACAGAATACCATTACGTTGCTAAGAGCTCAGCGTGAGTGTCTATGTGGTGTGTGCTCAGTACTCCACTCCGTTCACTGTTATGATATTTTGTCTCAGTCTGGTCAGGAGGTCAGCGGGGGCGAGGACGGTTGCCATGGGATGCTCTCATGATGACAGTGCCCAGTACAAGCCTGGAATTACCACTTTCTTGGCTCACGCAGGTGCGCGTCTACAAAGATATGCCTCGAAGCCTGGACGCAGGCACTGTGAACACGAATAGCTGCATGGTGACGTTGTACGTATGTTGCCAATGCTATGCAATGTCCGTGTCATTTGCATACATATTCATTGTCAGTTCGCAAGCTTGAATGCCCTCATCCCGATCCTTGTCCATTCAACTTGTTTGCCTCAGCGCTCCACATCAGAGTCCGACGTTCTGACTCCCATCATACGCGAGTAATAAGTCGCATAGGTATCCTCCATGTGAGACGCGGTGCTCATTGCCCTGAAATGCGAACCTTTCATGTGGGCGGGAAAGGACGATACATAACATGGAGAGACGCGATAGAGTGCCCAGGTGCGGAGTGCTCGGATTGCGCACGCGCTTGCAGCCAGTAGCTCACAAGGGTCTAGCTGCAGCAGATAGTCCACACTCACAGAGCTCAGGCCTCAGGGAACACCGCCGGCGTCTTGGGCAATTTTCTTAGTTCGTCTATCCCGCGGAGGTGAATTCACCAACGACGCCCAAGCCTACCGGTGTCCGAACGACATCCATCATACTACTCGCCGTTTGGTTGTCGGCCTGGTCTGGCACACCGACTCACTGAGCTCAAGCTCGGTACCGTTACCCGGAGCGCGCTCCAATGCGTCCGATCTCGGCTTTTTGATTATCATAGGTAGTTGGAAACACGGTCCAGCGGGGGCTTTGACAATGCGGGGTGCGTATAAGAGTCGGACATGGGAGAGGGAGTGTTCAGCACCATCAGTGACAGCCATCTTCAAGGCCCGCAACGTCTTCGTTCTTCTTCTTCCGTATGACCCCATCGTATCTACAGATAACGTTCTTCGCAGGACTGGCGGCTCTCACGCTGGGCGAACAAGTCGCACTCAACACCGAGGATGCGAATGTCACGGCCGATAATAGGACAGACGCGTCCATCCTGGAGTCGTTTGCTGCCCCGGCTTCCCCGCAGGCGTGGATGCAGCAGGACTGGAATGGACTCACGACCTTCGCAGGCGCTACGCCGCTGAGATGCTTCGGCGCCGACGCAGCCACCTTATATGATGTCGCTGTCCTAGGTATGATCGGCGTGAAGCAATGTACTGATGAACTGACTCGTTGACTTGGATGCCGGATAGGTGCCCCGTTCGATACCGCTACGACATATCGCTCAGGGTGAGTATCGAGTTCCGGATGTAGTGTCGCTTCGGGACGTGTCGATACTAACAGCGCACGATAGGGCTCGGTTCGGACCCAATGGTATACGTCAAGGAGCAAGGCGCCTGGGGATCTCGAGGATTAACGTACCTATGAAGACTCGTGTGACCGACCATCTGGAAGTCGTCGATTGCGGGGATGTCCGTATGTACCTCAGTTGACATGTACCGCGAGTCTGTTGCATACTGAGAATATTGTGAAGCTATGGTATACATTGACAACAAGGTGGCTCTCCGTCAGTTGGAGGCGGCCTCGTCTATATCGCTGTCTCGGAAGAGCCTTCGATCATACGAAGGAACAAGCATTGCAAAGGATGGTTCATTTCATCCTCGGATATTGACGCTAGTATGCGTTCAAATGAAGAAGTCGCATCTACTCAGAGCTGACCATCTGACCAGGGCGGAGATCACACAATCACACTCTCGATGCTACGTGGGATCGGGAAGGTATATGGGCCTGTCAGGTAACCTTTGATCTCGCGATAGCGGTGAATTATGGCAATAACCTGAAACTACTCAAGCGTGATTCACTTCGACAGCCACATTGGTTTGTACTTTCTACACTCGGCAGAACAGTTGATTGATTCAACCGCGGCCTCCTAGATACATGGAAGCCAAGACGAGCAGTAAGTATCACCCATCTCACAATCATTCAATGGCAGAAGCTCTATATTTATTTCGCTAGCCGGAAGGCCCCTGGCTTCCAGACGAGGTCTGTACTTTATGCTCTGTACCGATCACTACTGTCCATATTCATGTTCGGCAACAGGAGATCCCGGTCACGCATGACAACTACTTCTGGCACGCGCACGAGGAAGGCCTTCTCGCTGCTAACCACTCGAACATAGTACGTCCTTTCACCTTTGCTCCTGATTACCCTTCGAATAATCTGTCCAGCACGTCGGCATCCACGGAGCCCTCGACAGCTGGCAAGACTACGAAGACGACTACGAGGCCGGCTTCGTCATTATCCAGGTTGACGAGATTGAGGACATCGGGTACAAGGGCATCGTCAAGAAGATTAGAGACGCAGTTGGCGACAACCCGGTATACAGTGCGTTTGCTGAAAACGGAGTCACACGATGTGACGTTGACATTGACTGCATAGTCTCCTTCGACATAGACGTGATAGACCTAGGAATGGCCCCTGCGTGAGTGCCTTACATTGCTTGATTACGGGAGAACAGACTTATCTTCAGCATTCGCTTAGAACTGGGACGTAAGTCGTCCCAGAACCATACTGTTGTCCATATTAACTTGAGAGCGGCCCGCGCGGTAGACCCGAGATAGGAGGATTCACGACGAGAGTAGGTATTCGTCAAGATTATCGTTGAGTCTGATCGCTCATACTACTTGCGTGGTTTACAGGAGGTCAGAAAGATCCTACAAGGTCTAGCCGGCTTGAAGATAGTCGGTGCTGACATCGTCGAAGTGGCACCAGGTGGGTCTATCACACGCGTTCCGCTGTCACGTAACTGAGAATTCTGTCAGGCTACGATACCCAAGGTACTGGGCTTTTTTTTTTTGACTTTCGGTTTGTTCTGACAACGGCAACTCACAAGCCGAGATCACCCAAATCGCCGCGGGGAACATAGGTTGGGACATCCTCGCTTTGATGGCCAAGACACCTTTGGTTTTATGACCGGAAATCGGCTGGGGTCATATAATTGTGTAGTCCATGAGCAGTGTTAATCAGTGCAGCATCAGTCATAGATAGAAACGGGATGAATGCCCTTAGAATATGATGATTGAGATTACTTGTACACGGAGGCGTATCGGTGATGACGGGAGCACGCCTTCACATGTCAAGTATGTATGTAACAAGGAAGAATGCTAGCATTATAGAGGACAGCCTCAGGCCGCCATACACGATAAGCTGATGGAAGGGGGAAACGACATCCTGCCACGACATCTTGCCACTGTCAAAGTGACAGTGGCATGACGTGCGAATCAAAGAATAGCTACGCCGGAGACAGATACGGGTGGTTGTTCTCAGAAGCGCCAGGACCTATGGGAGAAATTACAAGCCTTGTAACAGAGTGGCAACATGATTCTGCTGGTCCTCTGCACAGAGAAAACCATCAGACTATATGCGAAGGCAATATGTACAAGTAACAGAATACGCACTGATATAAGCACTGCGCTCGCCCCACGCTCCCAGCGTCCAACGTATATGAACCAGGGCCAACATGATCCCATCAACGTCCCCAGCCTGAGAGCCGGAGCCGGAGCCGGGGCCAGCAGCACTCTGCCTGCGGGCTCTCAGGGTACGCACCAAAACATTGGCCACAGACACCAGCACAACCTGACGCGTATATCCAAGTCAGCATAAGCAACATCGAACAAAGTACGAGCAGACGTACCCCAACCATCGGGTCCACGAGCATCCCACCGCGTATGTCGATTTGGTTCAGGATATTGGCGGCGTCGAACGCGGCTGCGGCGGCCTTGTTAGTGCCAACGCCGCGGTGACGATCGAAGGGCTTTTGAAGCTCGATGACGGCGCCGTATGCAAGCATGTACGCAATGAGCAGCTTGCTCTTCATGTTGTGGTCGGTGGGCCGGATACTGTTCATCAGAGGCAGGCTTTTGATGAATTGTTCAATGCGCCTGTCGAGCTCAGCCCATCCCTGAGGGAATGCGTCTGCATGTTAAAATCAGAATGGTGAAGGCAGAAGTGCGGAAACAGGTGTGGTACTCACAGGTGCTGACCTGAGCAGCGGTGCGGGCTTGACTGTACAGCGCGGCTGCCTTCGCATGCAGAGCAAGGGGCCCCTGTTCGATGTTAGAAAACGGGCTATCGAACAAGAACCTCTGAACCGTCTTGAACCCGCGCCATTCAGCAGGGAGGGGATGCTGATGAATGCGTGAGCACCAAAAGCCCTCGAGGAAGTGGCTATCCACTGACATTCTCGTACGCCTCGATGCTGAGCGGCCAGGGCGTGTCGATCTCCGTGCCCCTCACTTCCGCATCTGCAAAGATGGGCGTCCGGCCCAAGACCGGGGACCAACACCTGTCCAGTATGAACGTCGTCCAGAACGCGTTGATCCTCTCGCCTTCTTCGATGTCGTCCCTGCTGTCGGACAGAACCGGGAAGCGCGTGCTGCGGATTTTGTGCAGCCGGTTCGCGAGGACGATTGCGGACGCGGCGTCCATGTGGTACACGCCCTCGACCGTGCGGTTCGTCGAAAAGAAGTAGCATGCGAGGAACACCTCGGTCTGCAGGACGTCGAGGATGGCTGGCGGGTCCAGATTGACGAGGGCCGCGGAGAGGTCCTTCAGGGTGAGGGCGAGGAACACCGGCTGCAGATCGTTCAGACTCGCGTCGGCGGAGAGGTAGGCCCCTATGAGACGAGTCGCGTGCATCAACGCGAGCGCGTGCTCTGACAGGCCGGCGAGAGGTTGTGCGCTGCGTCCCAGGAGACGGGGCATGTGCATAAACAGCCCAACCTCAGCAGCGCCGCTCGAGAAAGATCGCATGCTAAGCCCACCAGGTCAGCAAGTCCTACAGCTTGATAACACGAATGCTCACAGCTCCTGCACAGTAGACGGCGGAAGGGCATGGTGACCGATGTCAGAAACCTGCTTTGGTTCATTCCGGCCAGGCGCAGGATACGGGTCGTGCAGCATGATCGGCTGGGAGTCGCCGTTGTTCTCGAGGAACGCAATCCGTTCCTGAAGGCGGCCTATTTTCTCCTCGAGCAGACGGACTTCTGGGAATTCAGCGTCTTCGCCGTAGATACAATCGCCTGGCGTATTCGCTTTCAAGCAATTCTGGCATGTCGGGCGAACATTGTCGCATTTCTATTCGTAGTTAGGATATTGAGTATAGGTTCGCGTGGTGTATGGGAGGCGTACGATCTTCTTCTGCCTGTTACAGAGGTTAGCTAAGGTGATGCTGTGTGAGTAGATGCAGTACGCACCTGCACCTAAAACAAGCTTTGACGTTGGATGCCATTGAGTGAGTCCGACTCGAACTAAGGATGAGGTACCCACCACTTTGCCGAGCTTATTGCCCTTCATATACGCTGCACAGGTAAAATTTCTGTAAGGGGTGTAGACGGATGTTCCTTGCCAGGACGTTCACCCGCCCAGATGAGTTAATGAATGTGAGTGAAAGCGTAAGGTAGATCGTCAAATGCTGCAAAGGAGCACGCGAGAACCAGCACCATATCTGGGAGCCTGTAGCGCGTCAATTACCGAGGGATTCATCATCAAACAGGATCGCCCGAGGGGATCAGCATGAGTTGGTCTGCGGGAAGGATCGCGACCGACGATGGCGCGGATGTTGGGCGTTCAATAACCTAATAAGGGAATCCCGATGCAGGAGGCCGGCGCGTATGTGTCTGTGACACAACGTCATAGGCATACACCCACTGACGAACATACCAAGAACGGCAACCCGACCAATACCGACGACCGACCTGACGCTGTGTATGAGGAACGCCAGGAAAGACTGACTCATCTTCATCCCGTTGCGGTCCAAATGCACACCACAGTCCGAGGGTCACCGTACATCGCCTCACTGAGAAACGACTTCAGTTTGCGAGAAAGAGCAGAGGAAAACTTCGACGGCCAGCAAAAGAATGACCTTATTGGCACTGCGCTCAAGTGACGCCAATATCATCTCGAGCAGAGTCGGAGCACTTCCACAGTTGACCATGGACTACAGCCGTCCCCTTCCACAGAGAGGGTTTCTGCAGGATATGCATAGAAAACCCTGGCTACAACAGCACACAAGGAGGGGAATCAACCTAGATCATCACGCACCGTTAAGCAGCGTGTACATACATAAGTATGTCACAGCTGTGCAGTGTGAAATCTGCTTCGTCGGGACAGGTAAGTCATGTCAGCTGCCTATATACTTCGCTGCAGATGATAGCTCGCCCTCATGAGATGCAACCTGACGTAGCTAGTGACACCGTCCGACACGTTGGGCATGCATCTGGGGCAGTGGACCACAGAAAGAATTTTGAATTCAGTGCGTGATGACGCGGGGTTAATATTGCCATTCGCCAGTCCAAAGTCGCCTAGGTTTCGGCCAGCATGAATCCATGTATTACGGAGTGCGGTGGCCAGTGTGCTTGCGAGTAAGTAGTTTGAGTAGCTGACGACTCGAAGCAATCACTAGCAAGCTGAAGTCGTAGATGACCGCGGCGACGACTCTGATATTGCGAGTATGGCAGTTGCCGAAGGTCTGACGGGTGGTAGATGAATTTGATTGAATAAGGTTCGAATTTGATGATCGACGGCTGCAGCACCGCAGTTCCCAGCACCGCCATTATTCATTTTACTGGGCCTTCCACCTCTCCTCGCTGCACTGTTATATCTGCGCCGGGCTGACGCACTACGTTGCTCACCAGACGACAGCGTGGAAGCCCGCGGTCCGCAAGTACTGCGGGCCCGAATTGATCCAATGCCCCAGCCCCCATATCGCTTACGTAACACTACACAGGTTGGGGATGCCCCCGGCAGCAAAATGGTATTTAGACAGCGAGCGGCCCAGCGGTGCGCCCATCATCTCGGTCGTTGCGCATCATCTCTACGGTCTTCTCGATAGCGGCGGAGGATGACAGCCTACGATCACTCACGCGTCGCCCAGTTCATAGGTGCGTAGTTTGTACACTCGGTGTGTGTACGCGGCCACATGACATGCGCGACTCAGGCGGGAATACCCTCGATAAGGCCCCCTCTGGTCTAGTCTCTGACTTTGTGAAGAACAATGGCGGTCACACCGTCATCACAAAAGTGAGTGTTCAGTTCGCCTGAATTGTGCCTCTGCGCGGAGGCGCGGGGGTTTGTGCGTTGAGCGAAGAGCCGGAGGTCGGTGTAGGAGGGTGTGATGTGGACGGCGTGCGGTGTATGGCAAGACATGCTTCGAAGCCGTAGTCCTGAATGCAAGATTCCTCCACAATGGGTCGGGAGGCCAGACTTCAGTTGACTTCTTCGCGATCCTGAGCACTTGTCCCTCTGGGATCTGGCCTCTCCGACCATGCAAGCCCACTTGTGCCCCGACTTTGGATCCAGCTTCACAGCATCGGCCGCCCGTGTTACGCAATCACACAAGTCCGTAGTGGAGACGCCCACTCGTCGGCAATTGTGCCTCTTCCGGATGGAGCTCGGGACACTGCCGTCTCGATGTTTCTGTCTTATCTGGCCAATACGACTCCTTGTCCGGATGGGACCAGGTCTGAGGTCCCAGAGCATTCGTGTCACCCTCGGTCCTTAATACCAGATGACTTCACGCAATCCGTATGTATGCACTAGCACTTTGTGCCAGACGCAGGCTTCGTACTGAAGTGCAAAGTGATGGTGGTAGTGGAGAGTCAGTGCTACACGAGCAATGTGGTGAATAAGGTATCAGGAACCCGCGAAGAGGCAGCGTAGTGCCCGGGCCTCCGTATGCATCACCACTTCTACCTGTCGTTAAACGAATTTTCTCGTCTCTCCATATCCAAGGGTTGCCAGTCTGGTTTTCGCTATCTCTCGTTAGTATCCCGTGCACGTCGAATGCGTCACTAATCTTTGGCCCAAACGAATAGATTCTCATTGCCAACAACGGTATCGCCGCGGTCAAAGAGATTCGCTCAATCCGCCAATGGTGCTACGAAACATTCGGCACCGAGCGTGCCGTCGAGTTCACCGTAATGGCGACGCCCGAGGACCTCAAGGTCAACGCCGAGTACATCCGCATGGCGGATCGCTACGTCGAGGTGCCAGGCGGGTCCAACAACAACAACTATGCGAACGTCGAGCTCATCGTTGACGTCGCTGAGCGGGAGGGTGTACACGCTGTCTGGGCAGGCTGGGGCCACGCCTCCGAGAACCCGCGCCTACCCGAGACCCTCGCGGCGAACAAGATCGTGTTCATCGGCCCACCCGGGAGCGCGATGCGCAGCTTGGGCGACAAGATCTCGAGTACGATCGTCGCGCAGAGCGCGAACGTGCCGACGATGGCGTGGTCGGGAGCTGGCATCACGGAGACGGCGATGTCGGAGCAGGGGTTCGTCATTGTGCCCGATAACGTTTACCAGAGGGCGTGCGTGACGAGTGTGGAGGAGGGTCTCGCGCGCGCGGATGAGATTGGATACCCAGTGATGATCAAGGCTAGCGAGGGTGGTGGAGGCAAGGGCATCCGAAAGGTCGAGGCGCCTGAGGCGTTCAGGAATGCGTTCAATGCGGTGGCGGGCGAAATCCCTGGTACGTCGCGTCCTGCAGGCATGGGACGTCCACTCTAAGCTCTTCTTCAGGGTCGCCCATATTCATCATGAAGCTCGCCGGGCAGGCGCGCCACCTCGAAGTACAGCTGCTCGCGGATCAGTATGGCAACGCCATCTCCCTCTTTGGACGCGACTGTTCCGTCCAGCGACGCCACCAGAAGATCATTGAAGAGGCTCCCGTCACCATTGCCAAGCAGGACACGTTCGAGGAGATGGAGCGCGCAGCGGTCAGACTGGCGAAGTTAGTCGGCTATGTCAGCGCTGGAACGGTAGAATGTGAGCATCCATTGGCTGAGTTTAAGCCGGCATACTCACGGCGCCTTTGCAGACCTCTACAGCCATGCGGAGGACGTTTTCTACTTCCTCGAACTCAACCCTCGTCTCCAGGTCGAGCACCCGACGACGGAGATGGTGTCTGGCGTGAACTTGCCCGCCGCGCAGCTCCAGGTCGCGATGGGTATCCCCCTGCACCGAATCCGGCACATCCGTCAGCTTTACGGCATGGCGCCGCACGGCACGACCGAGATTGATTTCGAAATGGCCGACCCCGAAGCCAGCAAGCTGCAGCGGAAGCCGCGCCCTAAGGGCCACGTCGTCGCCGTCCGCATCACCGCAGAGAACCCAGACGCGGGCTTCAAGCCGTCGTCTGGATCGTTGCAGGAGCTCAACTTCCGCTCGAGCACGAACGTCTGGGGCTACTTCTCCGTCGGGTCCGCCGGCGGGCTGCACGAGTTCGCGGACTCGCAGTTCGGACATATCTTCGCGTATGGCGAGGACCGTGGCGAGAGCAGGAAGAACATGGTCGTCGCGCTGAAGGAGCTGAGCATCCGTGGCGACTTCCGTACAACCGTCGAGTACCTGATCAAGCTCCTGGAACTGCAGGCGTTCCAGGAGAACACGATCACGACGGGCTGGCTGGACTCCCTCATCAGCGACAAGCTCACCGCTGAGAGACCGGACGCTACTCTAGCGGTGATCTGCGGTGCGGTGACCAAGGCGCACCTCGTGTCCGATGCATGCTGGGCGGAGTACAAGCGCATCCTGGACAAGGGTCAGGTGCCGTCGCGCGATGTGCTGAAGACCGTGTTTGGTATCGACTTCATCTACAACAACAATCGCTATTCGTTCACCGCTACCCGTTCTTCGCCGACCACCTGGACACTCTACCTGAACGGCGGTCGGACAGTTGTCGGCGCACGCCCACTTGCTGATGGCGGCCTGCTGGTCCTACTTGACGGGCGCAGTCACTCCGTGTACTGGCGTGAGGAGGTTGGCGCGCTGAGGTTAATGGTGGATTCGAAGACCTGCTCGATTGAACAAGAGAACGACCCGACCCAGCTGCGCAGCCCAAGTCCTGGCAAGCTCGTTCGGTTCCTCGTTGAGAGCGGCGACCACATCAACGCCGGCGAGCAATACGCCGAGATCGAGGTATGTATCTAGATGGTCATATGGGTCTTATTCTCGGCTTACGATGATCGTCGCAGGTCATGAAAATGTACATGCCCCTCGTCGCAGCCGAGGACGGTATCGTCCAGTTCGTCAAGCAGCCTGGCGTCAGTCTGGAGCCTGGTGACATCCTCGGTATCCTCACTCTCGACGATCCCGCTCGGGTCAAGCATGCGAAGCCATTCGAGGGTCTTCTGCCCGCAATGGGCTCGCCCAGCGTCATTGGTAACAAGCCACACCAGCGTCTCCACCACTATCTCGGTGTATTGAACGATATCCTGGACGGTTACGATAACCAGGCAATTATGGCCTCCACGTTCAAGGAGCTCCTGGCCGTTCTCGAGAGTTCTGAATTGCCCTTCTCCGAGGTCTCTGCTATCCTATCCACGTTGTCAGGCCGGATGCCTGCTAAGCTCGAAGAAACTATCCGCGCGACGATCGACGCTGCGAAAGGGAAGGGCGACGTCCCCGATTTCCCGGCTATGCGCGTCAAGAAACTGATGGACCACTTCATGGAGGACAAAGTGCGTCCGCAGGACAGGCCAATGCTCCGCACGCAGCTTGGCGCCCTCTTCGACGTCGTCGACCGCTACTCGCAGGGCCTCAGAGCGCACGAGAACAACATAATTGCTGGTCTCTTGGCACGTTACGAGCAGATGGAAAAGCTGTTCGGAGGCAGCATCGAGGCTCGAGTGCTCACCTTGCGCGAGCAACACAAGGATGACCTCGACAAGGTTGTCTCGCTCGTGCTCAGTCACATCATGGCCCAGCGCAAGGGCAGGCTTATCATGCTTATCCTCGATCATGTCAAGAACAGCGGCTTGACAGTTTCCAATCCGGACAGCAAGCTCTATCAGGTCCTGCAGGGCCTGGCATCGTTGGAGGCTAGGTGCGTTCGTCGCCCTTCATTATGAAGCAAACGCTCACGCGACCCCTCATTGTCCAGGTCTTCGACGCAGGTTGCGCTAAAGGCGAGGGAAGTACTCATCTCTTGCCAAATGCCTTCGTACGAGGAGCGGAAGGGGCAGATGGAGAGTATCCTGAAGGCATCTGTGACGAACAGCTTCTACGGCGAACAGGGTGCCGACATGAAGTACGTTGCGTGCAACGCTCAATATGCTTGGCGGCCCATTGACTTCTTTACAGGGCTCCATCGGCTGACGTTTTGAGGGAGCTTATCGATTCCAGGTACACTGTCTACGACGTCCTGCCAACCTTCTTCAACCTTCACGATCAGTGGATTGCATTCGGTGAGCTTATCTGTCTGGTGATTGCCTCAACTAGACTGAATCCGCATTCGCAGCTGCCCTGGAGGTCTATGTACGGCGCGCGTACAGGGCCTATAGCCTTCTTTCCACTGACCATGAGGAGGGCGACAGTATGGACGATGGTGACGCACCCAACATCGTGACTTGGCGCTTCAACCTTCCTCAGTCCCATTCTCCTCCTACGACCCCGAGCTTGTAAGTGCCTACGACTGCGATGACGTGTCCTCATACTGACGTTTCGATATTTGTCTAGGAGCAACCCTGCTCGACGCCAAGCGTCAGTCAGTGACCTAACATATATGATCAACAAACACCAGAAGCAACCTCTCCGGACCGGTGCAATAGCCTCCTTCCCCAACTTCGCTGCGCTGTCTCGTGGCTTTGACAAGGTCGCCAACGTACTCCCTCATTTCGACCCTCAGGAGTTCACTCAGCGATATGGTTCGAACAATCAACCGCCGAACGTACTAAACATGGCTGTGCGCATCTTTGATCCTGCCGATGACGCACCGGAGGACACGTGGTACCAGAAGATCCATGCGCTGGTGAACGAGCGTAGCAACGTCTTGGCGGATCGCGGTGTCCGTCGCATTTCCATTCTTCTATGCCGGCCTGGTCAGTATCCTCAGTACTTCACCCTCCGCGACATGGGCAAGTCCTGGGAAGAGGAACAAGCTATTCGGCACATTGAGCCCGCACTCGCGTACCAGCTGGAACTCAGCCGACTCTCCCACTACAACCTCACGCCCTGTTTCACAGAGAACAAGCAGCTTCACATCTACCACGCAGTCGCGCGCGAGAACCAATTGGACAGCAGGTTTTTCATCCGAGCGTTGGTTAGACCCGGACGTGTTCTCGGCAACATGAACACCGCCCAGTATCTCATCTCGGAGACGGATCGTCTAGTCACCAATATTTTGGATACTCTGGAGGTCGTCTCTGCTCAACACCGCAATGCAGACGTCAACCATATCTTCATGAACTTCATCTACAACCTCCCAGTAACATACGACGACGTCCTCGAAGCGATCTCCGGTTTCATCGAACGCCATGGCAAGCGTCTCTGGCGCCTCCACGTCACCGGATCGGAGATTCGTATCGTCTTGGAGGACAGCGAAGGCAACGTTACACCCATTCGCTGTGTCATCGAGAACGTGTCGGGCTTCATCGTGAACTACCATGGATATCAGGAGATTACGACCGACAAGGGTACGACCATTCTGAAGTCCATTGGCGAGAAGGGACCTCTGCACCTGCAACCTGTCCACCAGCCATACCCGACCAAGGAGTCGCTGCAACCGAAGCGCTACCAAGCTCATCTCATCGGTACTACCTACGTCTACGACTTCCCGGATCTCTTCGCGAAAGCGTTGAGCAACGTCTGGACGAAGGCTCGCAAGGTGAACTCCCAACTCACCTTGCCCAAAAAGCTTCTCGAGTCGCGCGAGTTGGTTCTGGACGAGAACGACCAGCTGCAGGAGGTTGACAGGGCACCGGGGGGCAACAGCTGCGGTATGGTCGGATGGGTCTTCCTCATGCGGACGCCCGAATGCCCTGAAGGCCGCCGCGCAGTGGCGATTGCCAATGACATCACCTTCAAGATTGGTTCATTCGGGCCTCAGGAAGACCAGTTCTTCTACTTGGCGTCGCAATATGCCCGTGAGCACGGGTTGCCGAGGATCTACCTGTCCGCAAACTCTGGTGCCCGTATCGGTCTCGCGGAAGAGGTGTTGAGCCTCTTCTCATGCGCGTGGAACGATCCTGAGCATCCTGAAAAGGGCGTCGACTACCTGTACCTCTCGCACGAGAATTTCCTCAAGCTGCAGGAGAAGGCTGCGACTTCAGTGCGCACCGTTGACGTCGAGGTCGATGGTGAGGTTCGCCACCAGATTACCGACGTCATCGGAATGCAGGACGGCTTGGGAGTCGAATGCTTGAAGGGGTCTGGCCTAATTGCCGGCGAGACGTCCCGTGCCTACGACGATATCTTTACCATCACCCTCGTCACCGCTCGTTCCGTCGGTATCGGTGCGTACCTCGTTCGCTTAGGCGAACGTGCAGTCCAAGTGGAAGGCCAGCCGATCATCCTGACTGGCGCGTCTGCCTTGAACAAGGTGCTCGGCCGAGAGGTCTACACGTCCAACTTGCAGCTTGGCGGCACTCAGATCATGTACAAGAACGGTGTTTCCCACTTGACCGCCAGCAGTGATCTCGAGGGCGCGATGCACATCCTGGAATGGCTGTCATACGTTCCAGAGGTCAAGGGCGCTGCGTTGCCCATTCTCCAGTCGATGGATCCTTGGGATCGAGACATCGGATACGTCCCGCCAAAGGGCTCATACGATCCGAGGTGGTTCATCGAGGGCAAGGAAGACGAGACCACGCAGGAGTGGATGTCGGGCTTCTTCGACAAGGGCTCGTTCCAAGAGACATTGAGCGGTTGGGCGCAGACCGTTGTAGTGGGTCGCGCACGTCTCGGTGGTATTCCCATGGGTGTCATCGCAGTGGAGACGCGGACAATCGAGCGTGTCGTTCCTGCCGATCCTGCTAACCCCACGTCCTTCGAGCAGCGCATCATGGAGGCTGGTCAAGTCTGGTATCCTAACTCCGCCTACAAAACGGCACAGGCGATCTTCGACTTCAATCGGGAAGGATTGCCCCTTATCATCTTCGCAAACTGGCGTGGGTTCTCCGGTGGTCAACAGGACATGTACGACGAGATTCTCAAACAGGGCTCGAAGATCGTCGATGGTCTGTCTAGCTACAAGCAGCCCGTATTCGTGTACATCGTTCCCAACGGTGAACTGCGCGGTGGTGCTTGGGTCGTGCTCGATCCGTCTATCAACGCTTCGCAGATGGAGATGTTCGCGGACGTGGATGCGCGGGCAGGTGTGCTGGAGCCTGAGGGTATCGTCGAGATCAAGATGCGGCGCGACAAAATCAACAAGTTGATGGAACGGCTCGACTCGACGTACGCAGCACTGAAGAAGGACAGCGCGGACGCGTCGAAGACCCCAGAAGAGCGCGCGGCAGCCGCTGAAGCATTGGCTCAGCGCGAGACTCTCTTGCAACCAACGTACAAGCAGATTGCATTGCTCTACGCAGATCTTCACGAGTGAGTCGCCTTTGCGCTCCCATACCATATGTCACTCACGGTATCGCAGTCGCACAGGGCGGATGGAAGCAAAGGGTTGCGCTTCCCCTATGGTCTGGAGGGACGCTCGCCGCCGCTTCTACTGGTCGGTGCGCGCGAAGGTTGCATGGTCGACCTTGATGGCCCAACTCGCGGAAGCCAGCCCGGAGTCCACGGAGGAGTACCGCTCTACGCTTTTGATGAGATTAGCGTCACTCGAAGACTTCAGCGATCGCCGTGTCATGGCTGAGGCCCTCGAAGCGCTCGACCTGACCGCGACGCTGGCGCAGCTGAAGGCTGACCATCTCATGCGCCGCATGCTAGCGTTGGCTCACGACGACCGCAAGGCAACCATCGACGGTCTCGTCCGACTGGTGGACAACCTTGCTGATGACGAAAAGGCGACGCTGATCGCGGCACTGCAAAACGCTGGACGCTCTCCAGGTATGTGTCCTGTCTCTTCGCATTGCTGGCATGCACACTGACCTAGCTTTCTTTCTAGGGCCCCCCTCATACTCTAACGTATCTGCTTCATCCTAGATGCCTCTGACGACCTCGCATGTGTTTCTGTTATCGGGTTCCGTATTGTAACGCTAGATCGACGTGACCACTGTCTCGCTATAACCATCTCAATTATCGCAATAGATTTCTTGCATCCTATTCTTCGCAATAGTGCTCAGCTTGCAGCGCGGTCTTACCGACCAGACTCGAGCTACGATCCGAGTTTCTGGAATCAGCGTATCTCAATCACGCGAACGACTCACGAGAACATCCCAACGAGTACTTAGACTTCGTACAGAGTCTGGATCCGGAGAACAAAAAGGAGCACCGAGACTTCTTGCGAAAACGCAGATGAGGATGCGTGCGGCGTGGGGGTCACTGCGAAGGCTGCTAGTCAAATTTGCATGTTTAGAGATACAGTACTAGTATGCCAGTCTGGGTTTATGCCAGATACATGGGGATACAGATGGTATAGTGGGTATATGGGGTATATGTGGCATGTATGTATCTTGTTGCGAGGGTATATGAGCCGTGGCTGATGATAGTGCGAGATAATACGAGCTGGTCCGATTGTTATCGTGTGGAGGGTCGCGATTCGGTATTTAGCTCAGAAAACGTTGAAGAGCCGAAGCCCAACGTCCGTGACGCGGCGTCCCGAGAAAGACGCTTGTGTGGGACGGTGTAGGATGTCAGAACGAGGAAAACAGTGCCTCTCGGCACCTCACGGCATACCTTGTCGCCCAGTGGGTTGTCCTTCTGTACGTCCGTTGCCTCTTCCCCGCCTACCGCCCGCTGTGGCCTGGGTATAGTGAGTCAGGGGCTGGTAAGTGAGGGGATAACATCTGTCCCACTCACCTGTGACCTGTGGTAAGGCGTGCCCTGATACCGTCCGCGTTGATTGCGAGACCCACGATGAGGCCCTTGAGGGCTGTCTCCGTTCTCGGCGCCCTGTGCAGACGCCGCGGCACGCTCCGAGTCTGCACGACTGACTGCAGCCCAGTCGACGTCGTTCCAATCCGTAGATGACGTGGAGCTTGAGGGCACCCCAGCTGATGTCGACGAGCTCTGTTAATGATTGGTTAGACACCAGCCCTGATCAAAGAGAGGCGACGAGCACACTCACGGGAGATGATACCTGCTCCACATTTGCGTCCGTCATCCGTGGTGTCGGCGGTGCCTGTGTCAGTCGCACCGGTGATGACTCCCGCCTGGAGCACTTGGAAGAGCGACCCGGGTGGTCTTCGGCAGGTCTGGTTGACGCTCTGGATGGGCTACCGCCATGACCATGCGTGGGCGCCGACAAGGCAGACGATGAAGATCCCAAGTTTGATCTGCGGCCCCTGCGAGCACCCCCTCTGGTGTTCCGGGGAGACTCGCCTTGTCCTCTTGACGACGGCCGGGCGTCGGTTGGCGCCGGACTTGTAGTAGCTGTACGAGGATGCGCGTAGATGCTGGCCGACGCCCCCGATGACGTCGAGGGAGAGTTGAGATCCAATCGGGGACCTGTAGGAGCGCCGATCCTTTCGCTCGAGTCGAGGCCGCTCGACGGCGAGGGAGAGCCGTGGGCGTCAGCGGATGCCAGTGGACGTGCGGGAGAAGGAGAGCTGTTGGAGTCATCGGGAGTACGTGCGGGAGCGTTGAGGTTTTGGTTGTGTATCAACATCGCATTGAAGGCCCTGGCGAACGAACTGTCGGTATCAACTTTAAGCGAACCACTAGCAGGAGGCTGGGTGTTTTCGCTCGAATCGAGTCCTCTTGGGGGCACCGAGGGAGAACTTGGCGAGTCAGCATCTGGACGTGCGGGAGCGTGGATGCTCGCGCTCAGGCCGAGACCTCGTGAGGGCGTTGAAGGAGAGCTGTTCGAGTCATCGGGAGTACGTGCGGGAGCGTTCACATTGACTGAGGCACTGGCGAACGAAGTGTCGGTATCAGCTTGAAGCGAACCACTAGCAGGAGGCTGCGTGTTTTCGCTCGAATCGAGTCCTCTTGGGGGCACCGAGGGAGAACTTGGCGAGTCAGCATCTGGACGTGCGGAAGCGTAGCTGCTCGCGCTCAGGCCGCGACGTCTTGCGGGCGTTGAAGGCGAACTGCTAGAGTCACTACTAGGTGCACTTGTGGAAGCATGGATGCTCTTGTTCAAGTCGCAATCTGGTGACGGGGTCGGGGTCGGGCCATTGACGTCGAGGGGCGCAGGTGCAGGAATCTGGATGCTTTCGTCCACTGAGTCGGGTCCTCTGGAGGGCGATGAGGGAACACTGTCGGAGTCGACCGCCTGAGGCGTAGGTGCGGGAGCGTGAGCGTGGATGCTTTCATTCAGGTCAACCGAGGCCTTCGGAGGAGAACTAGTCGGCATCAAGGGAGAGTTGTCAGAGTCAAGATGCGGACGTGCGGGAGCGTCGTCGCTTTGGTTCAATCCGTCTCCCCGCGAGGGCACTGCGAGAGAAGTGTTGGACACAGCAGGCGTACGTGCGGGGGCCTGAACGTTTCCATTCCAGCCGTATTCTCTTGAAGGCATCGAGGGTGGCATCGAAGCCGATCTGCGGGGCTCAACGCGCGATTGTCTCCCGGAATCGGGCCTCGAGCGACCCCGCGTGATAGCATCGGTGACATATGAAGCTCTCGCGGCCTGCAACAAGTCCCATATCCTTGCGAAATCAAAACCTGGCGTTGCATAGATGACTTCGCCAGGACGAACAGCTCGTGATGCTGTGGTATTGACAGCGGACGGGCGTGCGGGTTCCTCGTCATGCCGTGCTCCGGCCTCCTCAAGTTCCCTTTGACTGGTCGCCAGGCCGTATTCGTGGTGACGCTCACGAGAGGGTTCTCCGACGAGTTCGGTTTGAGTGGGGAGGGTTGGGTTGGGGTCGATGGTAGGAGGCGCGCTAGTGCACGAAGCCGATGAAGCTTGTTCGGACGCCGGCGTCGGATTAGACGGCACCATTGAGCATCCCCGTATAGAGTCAGACGCGGGAGCTGACGGGTTCAACGAGGCAGACAACAGAGCCCCAGAACGTTCGGCCTCCAGGATGGCTTCCGAGAGTCGGCGCACTTCCGCGATCGCGTTGCCAATGAGGTCACGCGTTGTGTTGGCCGAGTCCTCTTGCTCTGCTCCGGGGTAATGGAACTCGTCCTCCTCAGGATCTGCTTCCGGGTAGTGGAACTCTTCCTCAGGCTCTGCTTCCGGGTAATGGAATTCGTCCTCCGAGGCCTCGTCAACCATATCAGCAGCGCTTGACGTAGCGGCGATCTCGTCTGGGCCGGACGCGTTAGAGTCGTCATGTTCCTTGCCAATGGCTGGCGAGGAAACGAGCGAGTGCACCAGAGATTCATCGGTCGTTGCGGGGCTGCTTGCGCGGGATGGACGCGTGCCCGCGGGTTCGTGACGATGTATGAGCAAGCCTATCACGTTGTCGGGGAGGAATTCGCTCTTCGTACGGTCCGCCTCGAGGTTGCCAGAAGCATCGAGTGGACTCGCGGGTGCAGGGGTCGCAATGGGTGGCGTCCGGGTGTTCGGTGGAATCGCGGCAGACGTAAACGGGGATGCCTTGACCTCGTATTCAAGTTGGAACTCGGGCCCCGGAGACTTGAGCAGGTATGAGCTAGGCTGTGAAGGGGTATGATCAGTCCCGTTGCCACACAAGTCCTAGGTCAGAGTAGGATCACTCACTCTCGCTTCAGGATCGACCAGATCATCGTAAACGGAGTGCGACTGCCTTAGGTATTGCGCGGGAACGTCGATGGGCGTCCGCGCGTACTTGACGAGCACGAAAGCAACGATGAGGACCAACGTGAAGCCAATGATGCAGAGGACCGTAGTCTCCGTGTCGAGGGACTGGGCCTGAGTTACTGGGGAACGCCACATGTGGCGCACTTCCTCGGTGGGCTCGATGGTCGCGTTGTACAGTTCCGAGTCAAGAGACGGTTGTAGGCCCGCAAGTGGAGCAGGACAAGCACATTGGTCGTAGGCCGCTGCCGGGGTAGTGACCTCCGGGAAGAGGGTCCAAGTGGGGATGGCGTTCATAGTCGGGGTGGCGTCCATAGTCGAGGTGGCGTTCACAATGGGGGTGGCGTTCGCAGTCGGGGCCGGGCTGTACACAGTGTCGGCCAACATCGAACACGACGCACTCGGAGAACTCACCGGAATGAACCAGAGAGTAGCTTTCTAACCGTGTCCGCTTTTTGGAGCGTAGTCTTGTATACCGTTCTGTTGAAACTGGGTACGAATATCTCCATATTGACGGCGCCGAGGAAGAGCACAATGACGCTCTGTAGTAAGAGCTTGAGCTCGAACATCTTGACGCGTTGTCGAGTGCTCGAGGTGCAGAGGGTGAGGTGGGTTTGTGCGCGATGGTGAGGGTAGAATGCAAGAGGTGGGAGCGGTGGCGAAGTCTTGAATACAACGTGTGCCACCCACTTGGACCTGCGATCTACGATTCAGAAGAACAAAGGCTGACGGATGCACGTGAGTGCTGTGCTCTGCTTTGGCCAGCCGCGAGGCGGGCAATCGTAGTACAGCAATTGTCAGCCTCGTCGTGCGCATGCCGACTCGGCGGCGGTTCTCATAGTACAGCTCTTTACGCCATGACACTGGCCTACACATGCGTTCTCGCGTATGTACACCAATGTCATGGCCTTGACGAGTTTGAGTATGAGCACGCAGGACAGTCTTGGTGCGACATAACATCCCCGCTGGCCAGCGTGATGTCATCTGATCGACTATCCTTTGAGCGAACCTGGCCAAGATCGACGCCACACTGGTCTGAGTAGAAATCACCGATCACGAAGACTCAGAACCGCTATCTATGCGTCTATTGTCTGAGTGGCGGGGACATCGCACCTCGTAACACCTATAAGGATGCTGTTGTTGAGCGTCGTTGTGCTGGGCACTGCATTGTTCTCCCTTTATTGTTCGCGGGGCCTAAGCCATGAAAAGTATCATATGTCCTATGTGACCTGTAGATATAGGATAAGCATGGAATTTAAACACAAAGACGAGTGGGCAACCGACTTGTACACCGTCTTAGCACAGAGGGTGGCGCGTTCAGCCAATAGGGGTTTGTATCGCACTACCAGCGTCTAGCACGCGAGATAGGGAACATCCCCAGCGCATCTCTGGCGGTATGCCGATCGCGGCGACGAGCGGTCGAGACGACTCGACTGTACAGTCGCGAATGGTCTGGTACACCAGCACAACGTAGCCTTCGAGCGACCCTGAGTCCGAACACGGAACGCCGATGCACCCGGCCGCACCAGAACCACAAAAAAACACTGTTCGCCTTTTTCTGGAAGTTCTGAGGCGCCCGACCGCCTGACAACGGATGCGCGACTATGCGCGATAAGTAGTAGTACAAGCCCAATGCTGATGAGTCTTCGGAATCGCAGTTCTGTTGGAGGTTCTGAGAAGGGCGGGCGCGAGCGCAAGTGTTCCCTATGCGGGTTCACCGCGTGGATTTTCGACGCGGTCGGGATTTGGTTGAGATATGGCCATATGCACGAGATATCGACCCGTGTGCGGCACGTCGTCTGAACTGTTGGGATGATGCGATTGGGGATCCTATTGAGTAACGGGGATTTTCACGGGGTCACTGGCAGTGGGAGGTAGGTGAGGGAAACTTCACCTGTGTACGTCGAGGTTGACAGTCATTGTCAATGCCGGCTTCACTACGCGCGGCGGAATTTCGGGTGGGATGAATGCTTGATGTACAGTAAAACTTGTGCCGCTTGTCTCAGCTATGGACGTCGGATATGATGTGTTGGTGATGTCGATCCGTCCTCCTTCGTGTGATGAGAACATTTCTCGGACGTGAGAAAGGAGAGCCAGCGATACCAGTGCAAATCCTCGTGAAACGACGTAGGAAGACAGAGTCGGGGCAATCATATGTCGCGGGTTGCATTTGTCTCCACAACGTGAAGACGGGAGACATGAAGATGGCAGAGGCCAATGGCACACCTCGTCTGCCACAACGCCGTCGCACTATCCGCTTCTAGCTATCATAAGTTATGAGCGTCGTACATTGCAGTGAGCAATGAGCATCGATCAGGCACGCCATCCCATGCCAGGGAACACGGATCATGATCACGAACTCACTGAGACGTACCCAAGACGTCCCAGCAGCCAGCTCCAAGAGCGGTGCACTGCCATCTCGCAGGAAGACTGCATCAAGGTATGGAGCGATGGTCATCAGCCGCGACCGCCTGCAAAGCGTCTCATGGGCTCAAGCACGACAAACCCGCGAAGCATCGCGCCACGATGCAATGCGACTCTCAGGCTCCTGCTCTGGACGCTGAAGATGATTGTCAATGAATTGTACGTTGACGTCCGTGTCAACCAACCGGTCAGTATTGAACAACCGTGTACACTGTACAGGTACGTACATATGCACTCGCCGCCAACTCACCGCGAATGTGATCAGTGCACTAGCAGGCGGTGATAATCAGTGATGAACAGACATTCCACTGATCCCTGCCCCAGTAGTGTCGGATGGCCTCGTTGACGATGTTCATCAAACGATGTACGATCTGACAGCATTGTGGCGCACGAATGACGACAAACGAGACACCTCGTGTCGACGTGTGTGCGCACTGCGTAGAATCGTACTGACCGTGACACTGACAGAACCTCTGCCAGGTGCACTGCAATGGGAGAGCATCCGCAGCCGGTGGCTGGTGGACCCTCGTATCATATCTAAACTTAGGCCTCGAGCTGGAATGCTGAGACGCATCAGCACTAGAAGCTGTGTCGCGATACCGAGTCCAGACGAGTTATGAGGAAGAATAAGGAAAAACTGATGGACGTACGCGAACTGTCTTAGTCTGGTATGCATGCCAGGGATGATTACCCACGTCGACGTCGACGACCGTGGGAGGTCGCTGCTGGTCGCTGCGCATGGTACAAGAAAGTGCGCAGGTGCTGTGCGAAGCGATGATGGGCAGCTGCCAGACTTCTAGGAGTGCTCAGTCAATTGGTGGGCATGAGCGTCGTGTCACTGAGCCGGCCGTCCTGAGCGACGCCGTCCGGCAGCGTCGTCGTAGGAGAATCCGAGGCCCTTCTGGAGGCACCAGGGATAGGAGCAAGAGAACATTGCGCGCCCAGCGGTGTACCTTACAGACATGATGACAATCTGAAGAAAGCAAGCCTGGAAGGTGGTGAAATAAATGCCAGACACCCCTATCGAATTCTGTTGCCCGGAGCGGTCCGCGGGGGTGGCTCAATCCTGCAAAGTAGGCGGTGCAAACCGAGATAGGACGCGATCGCGGTGGTCGGGTGTCGGGGCGCCCGTCGGGGCGGTCTGGGTGCAACGTACTATAGGGTAAATTGAACACGCATGGCAGCGAGAGGGTCGCTAACCACGTTCCGCATGGCCCATGGGTCCACGGCCGTTCCTGGGGCGTTCTCTTGGTTTCTGGGGTACGGGCCGCTGAGTGGGAATATGCAGAGGCGCTCACGCTGTGATTGACACCACCGCCCACAGCAGGTGGGCTGTGTCGGGCGATGGCGAGGACGGGGGCGGCAGCGAGCAGAGCGGTGCACGTCGAGGCGAGACGCGAGCCGGGGCTGATGTCGGCGGCGAGGAGGGCTGCGGGCGTGCTGGCGGGCGGGACCCGGAGCGCTGGCACTTTGGTCAATAGTGCGCGCGCTGATCGCGGCCGCGGCAGGCTCCGAAACACAGTGGCCACATTAGGCAGGTATGGTTTAGCCACGAGGCACGCCGGCGAGTACGCTGCCCGCGGGGACGGCGGGGGTGACTGTCTGGCAGAGTGGATGTCTGCAGCAGTCTGCTAGGAGGCGCATGCGCAGGCCAGCGAGCGCAGACAGCAGCGGGGGATTGGGGCGGAGCGCAGGCGGGGTGGGAGCGTGTGCGCGGTGGCTGGATCTGGATCTGAGAAGGTCGCGAGGATACGCGAGTTTGTTTGGTGGTCGTCGAGGACGCGCCCCGCGCTCTCTCCTCCCTCCCACCACCGTCCCCGGCCGGTCTGCATGCTGTATTCATGAACCCGGACGCTACTTCTGGCTGGCGGGCGAGAAATCAGAGCAGAGGCACAGACCAGCATCACCATCAGACGTCCAACTCTAATCAGCTTCGTCACAATTCAGCACCCCTCCCCCCGCCTCGCTCTTTGGTTCCCAAACCTTCAACGCTCTCTGCATCCTTTCGCTCCGTCTTCCAGCGCTCTCCCCACCGCGCCTCCTCCAACAACTCCCTCCACTCCTCCTACTCGGCCTCATCTTCCATCAACCCACCGTCCACCGCCACCTCAGACTCGAGACTGCTCCATCCTTACGCCGCCATGGTTGCTGCGCCCTTGCCTGTAGTCTCGAGTCACGACGCCTCCGACGATGAAGCCGAGTGCCCCGTCTGCCTCGAGCCCCTTAGCTTCAGCTTCCGGCTCCCAGGAGAGAAGCCTCACATTGTCCCCGAGTGCGGACACGCGCTGCATGAGGTGAGCTCAATCAGCTACGTCCATCGTTCTGCGCCTACGGCTGTTCGCGAACTGGGGGCGGTCCATGTACGAGGGACAAGACAGGTGGTGTTGGATGCTAGGACTCGAGCGGCTCACACGTATCACCGAGGATGAGCATATTCCCCGAGCTGCAGACTCAGCTGGGAACGAGGAAGGGTGCTCCATCGCGTTGGTGTTACCAGTGTGCGAATGCTTTGCGCAGCACCATTTCTTGGCAGTGGCTCACCGAGTAGGAGCTTGGTGCGCTACACGAAGCGTGTTGACCACTTCAAAATCGGTATACTTTGCCGCATCGCGTTCCATAGTCTCACGAGGCTCGTGTCGTGTCTGTAGCACAGTATATTGACCCACACACAGGCGTGTTTCACCGCCGTATATGGCCCACCACCAGGGCCCTCGAGAGCTGGCACCGTGATCCGAAAGACCAATCTGGGCGTGTGTGGTGTGTGCAGACGGCCGATGAAGGTTGGGGACGGGGATGGTGGTAAATCAAACAGTGAGTACGCTAACGTCGCACATCATTGATCGGTCAATTGAATCCTCTGTAATCGACCAGAGCTCGCTGCTCTGACAGGCATGGGTGACCCGAATGAGCCGTCCATGTTTCCTGGAAGACATACTCCATCCTCGCTTCGGTCGTACAACTCACGGGCCCATAACCAGGCGAACAAGCCTTATGACCCCACGGAAGACGATCCAATCGAACACGCGGCCAAATGGGGCCAGGGTGATAACGCGCAGGAACAGTCCCACTACATTGTGGCGCCATCCATTCAAGTGCGCTCGGAGTTCGCAACAATCACCCGCACGCCGGAGCAGAGCCAGCCGCTAACATGCATTGTCGTCATCGAGCTGCCCGGCAAGCGGCAGAACACACACGTACCTGGGGCCACCATGCCGATGTCCGAGTCGTTCTCCCAACGGAGTGGCGGCAGCGGCAGCACATACCAGGACAACCATTCACTCCGCGAGAACTCGGTGCATGACTACCATCCACAACACCACCGGTCCTTGGACCAGCACTCGCAGCAGATGTCTCCGACATCATCGCAGCAGGCGATGCTGCCTCCTCCATCATTCGAGGAGACACACCAGGATTCCCCGTTCATTGCGATTACGCGGGACTTGGAGTCACGGATCATCGACTGGAAGGGCCACCCGCTCTCGGGGCTCGGACCGCTGCAGATGTATGACCTTCTCTCGGTCCGGAGAGACGCGATGGTGCGCGAGTTCTTCGTCTACCTCTTCAGAGAGGCGATCATCTGTGTCGTGGAGGAGAAGAAGCGATCACTCGGGCGATTGCTGTCCTCTGCGTCGGGTGCGGCGTCCGCGTTGGGCGATGTCGCGGGGCAGAACCCACCACAGAAGGGCGTATTGCGGCTGAAAGGCCGCATCTACATCCGGCATATCAAGCACGTCACCGACACTAGTGTCGCCGGCGAGCTCAGCTTGACCATTGACATGGAGGATGAGCGACTGGACTCGTTCATCTTGATCTTCAAAGACCGGTCCTCGCTGGAGACGTGGAAGGCGCACATCCAGTCTCTGGTTGCCGTGTACCAACAGCAAAGCGCTGCAGCCGGGGCACGCGAGAAGATGGGGTCGCTACCGGGGCCAGACTTGGAAGAGTTCGGCGGGAGCCAGAAGGCGATGCGCATGCTCAGCGGCAGCACGACGGGCACGACGGTGAGCACGACGGACAGCCTCCTCCTCAACGGCTCGGCGCGCTCAACGGTATCCTCGCACACGTCGTATGGTTCGAATGGGCCCCCGCCTGTCTCGCGTGCGCCGGGTATGTCTCCGCAGATGCAGCACAAGCTTAGCACGCTCGACGAGGACTCCGAATTTGGCAGGTACGGCTCGCCGACGCCGCTCGTCGCACCCCACATGTCCGCGGGCCCGAGCAACTCGCTGCAGCCGCTCCCGCACCCCCCGCTCGACCTTATCCTGGTTATATCCGTGCCCTCGCCAAGCGCGACGCCAAGCACGGCCGCGCTCAAGATTCGCGTCATCCGTGCCTCGCTGGACTTCATTATCGCCTCGCTGGCGCCGAAGGACCGGCTCAGCCTCGTCACGTTCGAGGTTGGCATTGGCGGCCGGGTGAGGAAGACGCCGTTCCTGAGCACGGGCAAGCCCGCCAGCCGCACCAGGCTGAAGAAGTTCGTGGATGAGATCGGGTTCAGGGATGATGGGATGCAGCGCGAGGACGAGTTCCTGGTCCGTGCGTCGCAAGATGACAAGACCGACGTTGTTACTGCAGTCAACCATGGTGAGTCGGATCGTGTGCTCGTTAGCACCACCTGGTAGCTGATAGCACTCGCCAGGTCTCGATGTGGTCCTGCAGCGGAAGTCGCGCAACCCGGTGACGGGCATGATCCTTGTCAGCGATACTGCCGACACGACACGGCGAGCGCAGATGGACCTCGTGCTCGCACGTACAGAGGCCGCCAACGTCCCCATCCACTCGTTCGGCTATGGCCGCTCGCACGACCCAGCATCTCTCTGGCTCATGTCGAATCATACAAGCGGTACATACACGTTTGTGAAGGACTGGTACGACCTCCGTGACTGCCTTGCTGGCTGCATCGGCGGCATGATGTCGATCGGTCTGCTTCATATGAAGCTGCATATGAAGATCGTCGACGGACAGCGCTTCCGCATTCGGAAGATCTCCGGCGGTCCTATGGCTATCCTCTCCTCCGATGGGCGCGACGTCGACGTTGAGCTCGGCGAGCTGCGGTATGGCGAGCGCAAGGAGATGCTCGTTGAGCTCGAGCTGGACAACAGCGACATCGCGCAGATGACGCACGTTCGGCAGCCGACAGCGCCTTCACAGTCGCGCCCCCTCGACGCGACCGACCAGTTCATGGGTCGGATGGGTCTCGATGCGCTGTCGATTGCAGATCTGCCTGACCTTGCAGATGGGATGATGGACCGCATGATTGATGAGGTCCCTGTCTTCGAGGTCGATGGCTCGTTCTTCGATCCTGCCGCGACGAAGCACGTCTCGCGTCTCGCCCACCCTGTTCTTCTCACTGTGACCCTCCTCCCGAACACCGGCAGCCGCCCGCGCACGCCCGCCGCGACCGGCTCTGACCCAGTGATCGTCCGCCGCAGGATGGAGCTGCTTGCGTCGGACATGATCACGAGGGCACTTGTCCTGGTGTCGAGGAAGAATCTGCCGCAGGCACAAAAACTGCTCAGCGAGACCCGCCGCATCCTGCATACGGTTCTGCAGAACATCACACAGTCACTACCTCCGCCCAACCGCGACGGCGGCACGATGAGGAACCGCAAGGAGATCCTCACGTTGAGTGCTGTGCGGGCTATACAGTCGATCCTTCAGGACATGCAGGTTCTGTCGGAGGCGCTCGAAGAGAATCCAGACGTCTTCGGGCATGACCAGCGCAACTTTGGGGCTCAACAGGTATGTAGGACGTGTTCCTCGTTACATGCTACTTATTGATGACCGCTTCGCAGGCCATGGTCCTCCGTGACCAGAAGTGCTGGAGTGGCCGAAGTGCCATTGAAAGACTGTTCTGGACGATCGACAACTCGATTGAACTCGTCGCCCGAAGTACTGACTGGGTCGCCCGTGACTAAATTCGCTCCATCTACCTGACCGCCTCTCGTTTGGTCTTGTTCGCCCTTCGACTCTCGTTCTCCATTGGCACCGTCGCTTCGCTTCGCAGTATATATTGTGTTTGTCTCCCAAGGCTTGTCCCACATCGTACCCTTTCCCTGGTTCATCCGCGACATCTTGTGTTCTATATCCGTACGACGCTCTCCCCTTGTGACCTGTGCCTTGTTGATACCATAGTTCCCGGCGTGCAGCTGCTCCCGGCAGCGGCTCCGCACGTTAATTTTGCATTCTGGCGTAGTTGGTGTGGTCACTTACTCTGCTTCGTCGTGTGTAATACTGTAAGGTGAACGGTCGATAGAAGAAAAAATATGCACACTATGTTCTATGTCACACGTCTAGGAGTGACATTGCCGACATCTTGGGCACTGTTCGGAAAGTTGACTCTTGTACTCTGTCTGTGGCGGTGCAGACTGCCAGCGACTTGCAAGGTGGTACCAGGGTAGTACTGACAATGAATGGTACTGACCAACCGGAGGTTTCAGCTTGACGCGGATGACTGGAACAAACTTGACGGTGGCGTGACATCGCAACGTCAATACGCCGACCCAGCGACGATCGCACTAGTAGTGACATCGCTCGGTGGCTAAATGGAACCTCTCTTGAGTCTCCTCCTCTGGTCCATTTTGGCACTTTCGCGCGCAGTGCACACATTGCCATCTAGAAAAGCTTCTTGACTCCCCACTGGAGCTCTTCAAGGTCCAGATAATCTGCAACTTGGACGGTAGATGCATGCGCCACTGGCTAGTCATAACAGTAAGGTTCGACCCCTTTGATGAGTTGTACGCGAACTCCGGCTGGCAGTATGAACTTGGACTTTCTGCCGCGGTAATCCCTAGCAGCGACGTTACTCTCATTGCGGCGTTCAAGTCAGGTTGCGATCGACACCGTTTGCGGGCACCGTGTATGACAGCCTTGCGGTATTGGGTGATCGTAGTTGTGAGTGCGCTGCAGTATCATCGCACGTCAACGGCTTCCCAGTGACCGCGGTCGCTGGTTGCTGAGCTCTCCATTCATTTCGAAGAAACCATCGAAAACGTCGTGCAGGCTACGTCAACACGGCCAGAGTCGCCTGAAGCTACTTATACACGCACAGATCTGAACAGATTGCTGTCACTAGCGAATTCATCAACGCCATCGACTACAGTGGCTCCTCTCAGGAGTCGGGACCAAACTGGACACCATCGCCGCCTCTTCGGAACAGTGAGTCTCCAGCTTCAGCTTCAGCGATGGGTCAGATATATATATTGACAGACATGGCGTGCGGTAGACTCATCTTCTGGCCTCAATGAGACCGAGACCGCTTGAGGGCTCAGTTGTGTATTGAGTACTGTGCGCTGAACGTCCGGGTCGATCTCCTGAGACGGCAGACGATCGCGATGAACTCTGAACAACTTCTCCGGTTCATGCGCATCTGATATGTTCACGAACGACGTGCCGTATGGTACTCGCGGTGAGGACGTCGACTTTGTGATCTATCTGTCGTTGGCGCTGACGCACTACGTTCGTAGAGGGCTGTTGTGAGTATCTTGCTTCGTGACTGAACCTTGCGCACATGTGGCCCAGACGGTGTTGATAGGCTTCATGCCGACTGTATGGTATCCTGACTGCCTCTATCATTGTCCGGAGGGCAGAGGGTCGCCGGACCAGTCTTCGCAAGCATGCGATCTTCAATGGTATAGATATTGTTCGGCACCATGCCCAGCCCAATATATAGCCTCCCGACGGAGCCTGTTCTCCGAGTACGGACCTTCACGCCGTGACGAAAAGGATTCTCCTCATAGATCATCGACAATGGCCACTCCGAACGAACATCCCAGCCTGGATCCCAGCATGGGAAACTTGTTCATCGGACTCGGTGTGTTCTCCACGATGTAAGTTGTTACTTTAAAACCACCGAACGCCTTCGCATCCGCTCACGAATCATCACAGGCTCTACGGATTTTCATGCACGCAGTTCATATACTACCTCCGTCATTATTGGACACGAGATAGACCCGCCATGCGATGCCTTGTGCGTGCTATGATTCGAGACAAGGACTAGACATTTGTGTTCAATGAGATCTTCTAGGTTCTGTTCATATGGTGGGTGAAGCACATGAAGCGTTAACTGAAGACTGACTGTGCTGACAAGGCTGCTCGACACAGTAGTCACCGTATCCGATAGTTATGTGCGCCCTGCCTCTCTTTCTTGAACCTTCACTGCATCGGATTGATCTTGCACACGACAGATTCTGTGGTTCTACCTTGTTCAACGTCATGGACGTTTGTCGAGCCTCCTCGTATCCCCGAAGTAAGTTATTCAAGCCAATCTTTGGAACGTTGATTGCTCAACGTCTGATCGTGTAGACTGTACGAGGTGAGTACTGATCGTTCCACCTTCAGCTAATCGGTGCGACTGTCATGTGCTGTCACAGCTTGAGTACGCAACCACAGTGAGTCGTACCCAAATGAACGTCGATGTTGCCAATGCTGATGCCAGGATGTAGGGTGCGATCACTTGCATCGTGCAGATGTGCGTAGTCTATGGGCCTTCACTCCGGAGGCAGGCACTGAGGAACCAACTAATTTAGATTCTACGTCCGTCAAATGTGGCAACGTAGGTCTGTCGTTGTTTTAAGACATGCCGGCGCACTGAGTTATCTCAAGTGCTATATGCATCTACATACCGAATGAGGCTCTTGAATAGCATGATACCGGTGAGTGCCGAGCCGAATGACCTTCACAGTGGAAGTTGTGAAGCTGGCGATAGGCAGTACTCTCAGTTGTATCTCTCGGTACGTCTACTCATCCAGTGATCACATCCATCGGTACGCTGAAGGCTGCTCATTAGCCTGCAACCTCGGTAAAGAGCAGTCCCCCTTTGTCTCGGAACATGGGGTTGACGCTGATCGGACTTACAACCTTCAGTAGGCGTGTATGTGGTCGCGTAAGTGCCTTTCCACAAGAGACCGTGTAATCTTTAACACGATCAAAGTGCGACCGATTGGATCATCGCGAAGGCTCTTCCTCTAAACATAGTACGTCTTGCGAGCGACTTGAGATGCAGTTATTACCTTGTGACTTAGTCTCTCGCAGCCGTGGACAGTGTCCAGAGTCTGGACAGCTGCTGTCGTAGATGTGTACATCTGTGTTGCGCTATCGCGGGCGTTGAATGACAAAAGGACGGGGTTCAAAAGGTACGTCAATCCCTCTGCACTTCCGGACTACCTCAAATGACGTGGCGTACGTTTAGTACAGATAGTGTGATCAGTATACTCATCGCATACGTCGTTAATCGTGGTATCCTCTCGATGTAGGTCTCCTGTGACATAGTCCCGTAGATGAACTCGCTAAGAGGTTGACTGAACGGCATCACAGGATAGTACAGATTGTGCTATGCGGAACGGTTCGTCGCCGCTTCCATGCTATACAACCATGCACGCGATGCCCATGCTGACCGAAACGGCGTTAGTATATAGGATCCATCAGACAGAGCGCTCTCACGTGGTTGATACCCCACTGCGCAGGTTGTAAAAGTAAGCACGCCGCGCCGTCCGTTCGGTCGCTACAGATCATTGACGGGCTCACTCATCCACTTCACTGCAGTCTACGTGAACTCAATGATGGCTGTGTAAGTGGCAATCGTCTATGTTCAGACGTGTGTGCTCAAATTTTCCATAGGATGAATGCTCGCGAACACGTCAGAAATGGGCTAACACACATACGAATGTCCGATTTTACGGATTATCCCTCCCCGCAAGGATCTCGCGATGTCGAAGAAGACAGGGTGCCATGTGTGCGATAATGCTCCGCGTTATCCTTGGGGTGGACATTCTTGTTGTGCGACTGGTGTATGCGACGTTTGATGGTCAATACGATGCTGACGTTTCAATTGGGCCCTAGTGATGACAGACTATTTCTGGTTTGAACGTGGTCTATATCATTGACACACACGTGCTGCGACGGACGCGTTCACAGTTGAAGACGACATAGCCATGACATCTGCATGTCGTACACTGAGGTGAGAGGCCATGTGCATGCTCGTCAAAGATAACACTCACCCTGGAAAGCACCCGTCGCATATTTGAGACCTCAGACTGACGATGAACCATCGCTTGTTGAGATATGAGTTCGATGCTGTGGACCAATAGCGTCTTCGAAACCTCCTCTAGACACGGGCTAGTAGTACTGATACTGTTTGGATACTGTTAAAGTTATCAACCAACGGTCCTCGTCAGTAGGCGGGGCCCGGGCCGTCGCCTCAGACTCAGCCTCATGCAGTTCATGGTCCATAGCTCGCGCGCGCGTTGCGTAGGTTATAATTACACACTGTTACATAGGCTGGAACAGTTGGCTGAGGCTTGGGGTACTCATGAATGGCAGGCTCCAGCGGTGCGCAAGTAGCTTATGGAAGAATGTCCTGAGGCCCATGGTAGCGTTAGGAGGGTAGATATGTATCATGGTGGTGCGCTCATCTGAAAGGCAACACAGCTTCTCCCGTGGCTGTTTCCCGCCTCCCCCCGGGGGCCAGAAGTAGTACGAGGGGCGAGGTCAAGGCGAGGTTGGATGTGACCTAACCGGGGCTAACGTGGACAGACATCCCCACACTTTGGCCTCAGTTTGCCAAAGGCAGATGTTCAAGTTCCTGCATTAAGGCGACATGCTTGGACACGGGGAAGGAATACGGCCCATACCTGAGGTTTACCATGCTCTTCTGCGTCTCCGCTTCCTGCGTCTCTGGCTGCTGGGTAGTACTGCAGTGGGAGCGGCGGCCGCGGCAATGCTCACGAGTACATAGTCTCACCCCGGCCATATTAACTCAGTCAGATCAGACCGTCACCCGGGGCCTATGGGACACACCGCACATGTCGTCTTCGCACCTGCAGGCCTGACCGACAGACATGCATACAGTACTGGTACCAACATTGACTTGCTAGCACAACGAGGATTAGTGTACGCGTGGTATGTTCCATACGAAGATACAAATGTGAACGAACGTGTCAGCCATGCGAGAACGGAGAGCCAATATAGTACAGCACGAAAACAATATGTAGTAGAATACAATGCACTTACCCCAAGATACCAGCGATATCACCGAATACAATCAATGATATCATACTGCCTCGCTCATCTCTACAGGCAACTGGCTGTATCCCGACGTGTCTCTCCGGCCACGGACGAGAGCGCGGACGCTGCCCCACGCGTCGGAGGCAATAAGGCGGATGCTTCCCGACACGGTCGGGCGCTGGATGGCCTCGCCAGGCATGAGGCTGCACTGCGGGCGAGTCCACCACTTGAGCATCAACGAGCTGGTGACGACGCTGACAGACGAGAACGCCATAGCAGCGCCGGCCATCATCGGGTGGAGGCGGATGCCGAGCGGGAGGAAGATGCCCATCGCTAATGGGATGCCGAGCATGTTGTATACGCAGGCCCAGACGAGGTTCCGTCGGATGGTGCCGAAGATCGAGCGGGATAGGTGGAGAGCGGCTACGACGTCCAGCAGGTCCGAGCGCATGAGCACGATGTCGGCGGCTTCGATAGCGACAGAGGTTCCGGACGAAAGAGCGATGCCGACGGAGGCGGCCACCAGCGAGGGAGAGTCGTTGATACCGTCGCCAACCTGCGAAACTGGATCAGTGGCCATGAGCAATACAACCATGAGCATGACATACCATCGCGACACCGCCGCCGTACTTCTGCATGAGCTCAGTGACAACGGAGGCTTTCCCCTGGGGGCTCATGTTCGCCCACACGCCTTCAGGCTTGATCCCCACGCGCTTCGCGACGGCCAGGGCAGTCGCCCTGCCGTCACCCGTCATCATGTTCACCTCGATACCCATGTCCTGCAGCGCCTTGATAGCGTGCACAGACGACGGCCTGGGCACGTCCGAGAGCGCAATAGCGAGGATCGGGCTCGGCGCGGAGGTCGCCGTGGCCACGGAGACGAAGATCGTCGTGAGCCCCTGCGCGCCCTCCTGGCTGTCGAACACGGACAGCGCCGAGGGCAGGTCCGCAGCGTCCGACTGGCTGACGAAACGCGCGGTCCCGACGTACACGACGTACCCGCCCTTGTTGCCGGAGATCGTGATGTTGGCCTTCACGCCCGCGCCGGGGACGCCCTCGAACGCATCGATGGCGACTTCAGGCACGGCAGTGAGCGACTTGTTGAGCATGTCCTTTCCGTAGACTGCCACGGCCTTGGCGAGGGGGTGCTCGGAGCGCGCCTCCGTAGCGGCGACCATAGCGATGATATCCGCATGCGTGAGGCCATGCACGCACTTCGTGCGCAGGAACGACTCGTCGTACTCCTGCGGCATGCGCTCCCTCTGTCCCTCGGGCGACGCCCACGCGGACGCGACCACTGTGAGCTTCCCCGCGGTGACCGTGCCCGTCTTGTCGAGCACGACGCGCTTGATCGTCCTGCTCGCCTCGAGGGCGCGGCCGCCCTTGATGAGGATGCCGTTCTGCGCGCCGACGCCGGTGCCGACCATGATCGCGGTGGGCGTGCTCAGGCCGAGCGCGCACGGGCACGCGACGACGACGACGGAGATGCACATCTGGAGGCAGACCGCGAGCTTGCTCGCGCCGGGCGCGTTGAACATCGCGGGGAGCGCGTCGTCGCGCATGACGTGCGAGATGACCATCCACGCGGAGAACGTCCCGACGGCGAGCGTGATGACCGCGGGCACGAAGAAGCCCGCGACCCTGTCGGCGAACGCCTGGATCGGCGCCTTGCTCGTCTGTGCGTCCTCGACAAGCTTGACGATCTGGGCGAGTGCGGTGTCCTTGCCGGCGCGGGTGACGAGCATGTCGAACGTTCCGAGACCGTTGACTGTCCCGCCGATGACTTGGTCACCGACCTGCTTGAGCACAGGGACGGGCTCGCCCGTGACAGCGCTCTCGTCGATAGCGGACGAACCCCTCACTACGGTACCGTCCGCGGGCACCTTGTCGCCAGGCACCATCTTGACGGTGTCTCCTACCTGGACGAGCTCCGTCGCGATCTTCTTCTCCTGCGTGCACGCCGCGTCGGTGTAGATCGTCGCCATAGACGGCGCGAGGGCCATGAGGTCAGTCAGTGCAGCACTCGTACGGCCCTTTGCCCGATTCTCGAGGTAGCGGCCGAGGGAGACGAACATGATCAACATCGTGCTCGTGTCGAAGAACACGAACGGGTGGTAGTTGGGATCAGCCTTGGCCACCGCGGCAGTAATGGCACCGAGGGAGTAGAAGTAGGCGGCGGATGTGCCGAGCATGACCAAAACATCCATGGTCGCTCCGCCGTGCTTCAGAGCCTTCCACGCATTGCGGTAGAACCGAGCACCAATCCAGAACTGTGCGGGCGTGGTCAATAGGAGAACAAGGAGGTCACCTAAGTAGAGCCCCGGCAAGAGGCAGGCCTGTACGATTGAACGGATGCCTGGGATGTGCGGCGCGACCATGCTGATGAAGAAGACGGGGACGGCGAAGGCGAGACTCCACTGGAATCGCTGGTGCCATTCCTGAATCTCCTTTGTGCGCGCAAGCGAGCGCGCCTGGGTCGCGTCCTCGTGGTCGGACAGCATGGCGTCGAAGCCCATCTCCTCGATGCGCTCGACTAGTTCACGCGCCCCGACAAGGGTGGGGTCAAACTCCACTTTGCAGGTCTCTGTAGCCAGAGAGACAGCAACGCTGTTGACTCCAGGCATGGCAGATAGCTCCTTCTCGACAGTGGATGTGCAAGAAGAACACGTCATTCCGTAGACGCGGAGGGTGACCGCGTCGGCGCGCGAGGGCGGGATGAAGGTCGCATCGAATCCAATGTCACCAATTTCCTGCGCACGAGTGAGCACGGAGCACGAGTGAGTAATACACGGACGTACATTGGCGATCTTGTCCGCGTCCCAGACATTAGGATCATACTCGACGACGCCTCGCTCTGCGAGTAACGCGACCCTGACAGAGTGTATTCCGGGCTGAGTCCTGAGCATGCCTTCTATGGACTGTGCACCGCTCAGTATGCATTGTAGATGATATATTGCCCGCATATACTCACCTCGACGCACGCAGAACACGTCATGCCTTCTATGCGAAGCTCGCATGTCTCTGACGCGAGGCCCTTCGCCGTCAACGGCTCATCCTCCTCCATCGGAAGCTCGACCTTGCCAGAAGGGACGGGAACAGAAACGTTGGACCCCAGGAGGGTGGAAACGGCGGCAGAAATCCCAGAGATAGCCATAGTAGATAGACCTAGGAAGAAAGAGGGGGAAGTCGGGGAGGGGGAGGGGGTAATGAAGAGAGGGAGTTGGTCAGCGAGCTGGTGTAGAAGCGCCTGCGCAGGCCGGACTAGCGGCGACGAATGACGAATGAAGCACGTTTGACTGGTCTGAAGGAGCCCGAAGGATGCCAAATGCAGCAACGCCCGGCGACAACACAGTGCAGAACGAGTCCAGCGTCGGCGCGAAATGGAGGGTGAGCGCAGAACACCGTGACGACGCCCCAGCGACGTCCGCGCGCCATTTCTGCGACGGTCGCCGTGCCGAACGCGGCAGCTTTTTCCCACCGCCGCAGCCACTGTTCAGCCACTTCGGGCGTCGGACGGGTGCGCGGACACAGTGACATCCACTCGCCGGTCCAATGCAGAGCCCCATCGGCAGCGTCTTCCTCGGCGACGTCCAGCGACACAGGCTCCTGTCCACCTCCACCCCGCCCTCATCGCCCCCGCCACACATCTCGCCCCAGATCAGGCCCCAGATGAGCGTCCACGACGCCGACTTCGACGTCGTCGAGAAGCCGAAGGAACCGGCTGCAAAGCCGCCCTCCATACCCCCCGCGCTCTCGCTGGACCTCAGGATCCGATGGCTCGAGACGCTTCTGTACGGCGCGCGCCCAGAGGGCGCCGAGCGCAAGCACGTCGAGACGAGGAACGGGGAGACTCTCGCGCGGCGCGCGGACGAGCTGCAGCACAAGCTGGACGAGGTCGTGCAGGCCAACGACAGCGTGCGCAAGTTTATGGAGCACTGTACGTCTTCGCGCCCGTTCTCCCGGGGATACACGAATGACAGCCCGCCGCAGATGACCAGCACGCGCAGTATCTCACGCCGTCGTTTGCACTCTCGGGCACAGTTCCCGTCAACCCGCCCTCGTATGAGAGCATGTCCGCGAGCGAGCTCGAGGCATTCCTGACAGAGATGGAGCCCGACATACGCGCGGCCGAGAGGGATCTCCGAGAGATCGCAGCCCTGGAGGACAAGGGCGTGACCGCGGCTGGCCGCCTTCCCGAGTACAAAGAACTGCAGCCACGCCTGAATGCTCTCATGAAGGCACACGAAGAAGATGCGCAATTGGCGATACAGCTCGAGAAACGCATAGCGGGACTGATGGACCGGTATGCCACGAGAGTAAGCATGGTCTTTCCCGTACATCGCCAGACTCGGATGCGACCGTTCTGTAGGTCGATACTCTGTCCGAGCTGTTCCTCGCTTGGGACGGGAACCTCCGTACCTCGGAGGACCAGACAACAAGACTGGAGCGGGATCATGAAGAACGCAGGAAGCTAGGCTACGAGTGACGGCGCTGTCCGTCTGTCGTTGGCATACCCTAGTACGTCATCTCACCAGTCCTGAAGTGTGTTTGCCGGCGTATCTGACAGTGGCATACAGCTGTCTTAATACCCTGCACACGTCGCGCGTATGTCAAAGCCTAAGGCGCTGCGACGGCGGCGTGCGATGCGTCACGCGTCACCACCCGGTCGACAGTGCAGCATCGCATCCGAAGCCATCGCTCCGATGGTCGTAGGCGTTGGTGACCGTGGCCAGACGGCGGCGTATATTACTGCGCCGACGACTCCGTTGCACTGGCAGATTACCGCCTGATGCTTGTCATATTCGACGCCGCCCGGTGGCTGCGATGCAGGTGGCATTGTTTTGCAATCGTGTTGCACTATGCCATTGCGAAATCGATGCACGTCGTCAGTCTCCGGGGCCGCCATCGCCGCAATGCCGCTTCAAAATGCGTTTCATGGCTAGTTGGGCGATGGGTGAGGTTAGATTACTGTTCCTACACCTCCAACTTGCCTCCAATCTCTATGTATGTCAGAATAGCAGTATGAAACTATTGGCTCATCGAATTCAATAGGTCACTTCATCAGCTACATCGCGTAAGTACTAAGAATACATGAAGACGCGTTAGGGCAACATCGATCACTCTAAGACATACATCGTACAATGCTACGGCTGGGTGAAATTCCATGCGCTGTTGCACACAGCAATCATGGCCTGATGCACCCATGCAAGCAGTTACATGGCGGTACTCACGTTCTTCGTCTCTAGTATTCGTATTCGAAGCGGGACAATATCTCGTCGACACTGAGCACAGAGTCCGTGTCAGTCGGCCGGCCGTCGAGGTTGACAATGAGGACGCCGGAGTTCCTCGGGTCTAGGTCAACCACCAGCCCTTGCCTATAAAGAGTCAAGTTGAATGACCAGGGTGCATCAGATCCGATGTGTATGTGACCTACGTCTCTAGCAGTTTCTTGATGGCGGGTCTGAGCTTAGCAACGCCTTTCCGCGAGTGCAAGCCTTTACCTGCACCGCGTCGAGCGGCATCGTGAGCGAACGCCAGTGAACGTATCGGGCGCGAGAGAGTTGACGTTTGCAAGCGCGACTTACCGACGATGAGATTGATCTTCGTGTCCCCTCGGTGGCGCGCATCTTGAACCGCGCGCTCTGTGTAGGCGATGGCCTCCTTCACGTGCAGATCATGAAGGTCAACCTCTCCCGGTGCGCGATGCTGTACCTTGGTGTCAGCCCGACTATATGTGCGCCAAGGAACATCATGTACCCGCCTTGTTGTTCTCTACGCACACGGACAGCCAAACGGCGTCAGGTCACCAAACCGTAGTAGACGCGCCACGCAGAAGGACCTGAGGCCCAGCGGAGACATACCAGCGAATTTCCACCTGCTCGCTCGCTCATTCAGACGTTCCATCTCCGCCTTGTGCGCGTGGGCTTGCGTGGACAGCACCTGTGCGCGCGCGCGGTCGTTCGCGCGCACCTTGCGGCTCTCCTTGAAGGACTGCGCCATCTTCGCGCTCTCTTCGTTCGCGCGTGCACGAAGGGCCTGATAGTCGGAGTCTTGCCGGATCTCAGGCTCATGACATAGGTTCTGCTTGGGTCTCTCAGCAAAGCCACATGGATCGATGATCCCTAACAGACGTACCTTGTCAGGGCCTGGGGATGCTTGGCGAGCGGGCTGATGCTGAGCAGGAGGACGTTCAAGTTCAGGCTGAACAGCGATAGGAGGGTATTCAAGCTTAGCAGCAAGAAAAGGGTTGTTAAGTCGAGCAAGAAAAGGATTGTTAAGTCGAGCACGAGCAGGAGGAAGTGGATATTCAAGCCTCGGAGCAGGAGGAGGTGAGTAAGTAGGCTTCGGTGGAGGAGGTGGTGAATAACTAGGTTTCAGCGGTGGAGGAAGAGTGTAATGAGGCTTTGGCGTAGGGGGAGGAGGGTAGTTAGGCCTCGGCGGAGGGGGAGGAGTATAACTAGGCCTCGGTGGAGGGGGAGGAGGATGTTTAGGCCTCGGAGGGGGAGGAGGATGTTTAGGCCTCGGCGGAGGAAGAGGAGAATATTGAGGCGGAGCGGGAGAGTGAACAGGGCGAGCAGGAGGGTAAACAGGACGAGCAGGAGGGTAAACAGGAGGGTATACGGGACGAGCAGGAGGGTATACAGACTGAGACTGCGACTGAGGCTGCGCTGCTTCATGTTGAAGTGATGATCTGTAGTATTGCGGTGGTGTATAGTACTGCTGTGGCCTCGGACGCGTCACGGGCGGGCCCTGCTGGGGTTGATGAGTTGGAAGCTGCTGATGAGACTCGGGTTCGGGCTGGCCGGCGCCCCAAAGGTAATACTTGAGAGAACGCAGAAGCGCGGCGAACATCCCCATCTTGCAATCTTATCCGAAGGGTGCAAGCTAGGGAATGGTGAGGGTGGTCCTCACATGCGCAGCTATATGTAGGCGACCACTGCGGGAGCCCAGTGTGAGAACGAGGAACCCACGAGGAAGAGCTTCGTGCATATACGTAGCGCCCCAGGAAGTCCGAGTCGCCCCTAGGAAGCAAGAGAAGGGCCTATCCAAGGCCTATTGCGAATGACAAGCCATCCACGAGCGCACAGTAGTTCGGCCGGCAACATTGATGTAAACCTAAATTACAGCTCACGCTGTTAGCAGCCGCCTCCAGAACGCACATACCGTCTTCACTGGCAGTTCGCTAGCCCAATGGTCAGATCTTCAGAGTTGCGGGTTTGAGTGGTCCAATTGCAGCCCGGGCCCGAATGGGGGGGGAGACACGAGCCGAGACGCCCGTAGCGTAGCCGCCCCACAGACGCCCACAAGCCGCCCACTGTAACTGACAACTGCCATCTCCAAGCCATCTCTGACAGAATATACGGGTTGGTGCGTGCAGACGTTCTGAATCGGTCACGCTGTGGAACTGCTGTGCGGCTCGTGGGCGCGCGAGGTAGGGTGGTTGGATAGGCCGGCGGGAGTGATTGCAGGTTTCAGAAGTACATTGGGCTGAGCATGATCATGCGATGCAGGAGGCTGCGTTAGTGAAGAAGCCATTCGGGGAGAGCTGGGACGGATGCGCAAAAACGCGTATCATACCGGCTTCGTACTTTCGTTTACTGGATACGTTTCGCAATATGTTCCTGGGGCGAAGTATTCGCACGACTCTGAATTGATGACTGTAGCCGCCTTCTGACATATGTCACTTACAGCGCATCCCGTTTGTAATCTGTGTATGAATGAACGGCCTACGTTGGCATCCAGCCGTCGTCACGTTCAAGTATGGTTTCTGTGAAAATATGTCGGCGCAGAAAATCTCGCAGAGAGGCCTACTGAGGAGCGGCGGACGACGAGGGCACTTTGTGGCGGCTGCCGACTTGAACTTGAAAGCACAGGCTGCAGAGTGCACGGAATCCCGGGCCGGGTGTAGTGGCGTTGGATCGAGATTTGCTCCCGCGATGGTGCAAATTGCTGCCACTGCAAACCGCCACCGCCTCCACCGTGGCTCCAGCCTGTTGGCCAGCTGTTGGCCTCGACTCTCGAACGCGTTCAAAGCCCGTAGCAGTACTGAAAACCTGGCTGAAAAATGAGTGCGTAAGCTGCGCAGCTGACGAGTTCTTTGGTTCAATACACGTCACTGTAATGTCTGCCGAAGCTGGACGCTAAGTCTACTCCGTCGACTGGCCTATTCCATCCCCCAAGAGCACGCACTGGCACCTTCCTCCGGCTCCTCGGAGTGCGGACACCTTGCGGTGTCCCGGCACAGCGTCGCCGACTAGCTGTGCCACTCGCTGCCACTCGGCTACTTGTCTAGGTATGCTTTGTCCACCATCCTCATCACGACGGAAACGCGTGCACTCATTTTCACCGCCCCGTGCGGTTCGCGGATCTTCCCAATCAGGCTTATCGTGCCTATCCACCGCATGGCACTGCACATCGCCTCGCCATTTCGAGCGACTGCTTTGTCTTCGAGGTGGACCCACAATTGCCCAAATACGGCAACCGAGGTCGCATCGCCCTTGGCGGATCGTGGCTGCGAGTCAGGTGGACCGTGCGAATCTTTGGCCATGGCCATTGTCCCAACCGCATAAAGGCCGTCCAAGTTCGAACTTGGGCCGGCCAAAGTCTCTCCGCCACTCCCATCTCCCCCGCTCCCTTCGACCTTCTACGGGGCCGTCGGCCTCTGGTCCCGCATCGACGCGTGATGCCTCCCTACTTAACAGCGTAGGGACGGCACTAGTCAACAAAGGACGCGCCTCGACGCGCACAAAGGTACGTCTTGTCAGCCACGCGCAGGGTTGAGTGGCGTTCACTAACAGTCAGCCGCCTGTATACTTATAGGTCTCTCCCTCGCCTGTCTGTGGTGTCCGAGTCAAGATCGCTCGGCGACGGGGTCCAATATAGGCACGGTACGTCTACGAGACTGTTCTCCGCTTCATGATCCCGCTCATGCTCGCCGCTTCAGCAATCATTGCGATTGCGCACTAGGCCTACTATTGGACCATCGTCAACGTGTCGCGAGTTCGACTTACCGATACCAGCTACTGCGCTGATGAGGGCGACGGTATGTGTCTCTCCGTTTGCGCCTCGTCCGCCGGTGTGCAGGGCCGAGTCAAGCTCGCTCGGTGGCATCGTCCGGGATAATGCACGGTACGTCTATACCCTCGATGTCCCTTCTCATCTTGCTCACACCCGCTCGCATCGCACAGCGTGGCAAGCTGAATCGCAAAAGTGCTCCCTGGACCTGTAAGGGATGATGGTCAAGGGTCAAGCGCTGCAACAATAGCCGCGTCAAGGTCTCAGAAGCGAGTGAAGGGTCAAGCGCTGCAACAATAGCCGCGTCAAGGTCTCAGAAGCGAGTGAAGGGTCAAGCGCTCCAAACGGGTTCCATCTCAAAGACTCGAACGAGTGAAGGTCTCTGCGCGCCTTCATCAAGATGCTCACAAGAGCGAAGGGTCAAGCGCCGAAAGGATGAGGCCGCCTCAAGAGCTCGACGGCGAGCGGAAGAGTTCGGCGCCCCAAAGGGCAAAAGCGAAGACGATTCGACTCCGACTGGGCGAAGAGTCAAGCGCCAGAATAACAGGCAAGCCTCAAGTGCAAGAGCTACAAGAGCCACCCGAGGGCGGGCGGGCACTCGCGGGGACGCGGTGCTCGTCCGGGCGCGGACCTTTACGTGGTCCTCGGGATAAGTACCCTCGCATTCGTGCGAGGGGAAACCAACTCGCGCCGAATTCGTACGCCGATGACGAGTGCTCCCTGATCTTGCCTCTTGCGCTTCGCGATGTACAGTCCCTAGTACTAGTAGTCTTCGATGATTACATGCTTTGTTCTGTGTCCTTGCTGCATGACGCGCGACCCCAACCGCAAAACGCGCGACCGGCGAAGTCAAGTCAGCTCGACCGACGGCGGGGCCCACGCTGGCTGTGTCGACGGTAGTGTAGTACAAGCCGGCGGGGGCTGACATGTGTGGACCGGCGGCAACTCCACCGGTGAAACCTGCGCCGGTGCACGACGAAGACGGGTGGATTGTCTTGGATTGTCCGCGCAGGACTTGTGTGATTCTTCCTCGAGGGTCTCTAGGTTGGGTTGGGTTGTCTCCGGCTGCATCGCCTCCACGTTTTGCATACGTTATCAATCTTACGAAGAAGTTCAGGATCGAATCTGTATTGGTCAATACAGTTACTTGCTAGTGACACTAATTAGTATCGTGATGGCTCCACTTTTGACTGGATCACTGGCATCCGCCACTGCTAACTCCACTTCCGAACGTATGAGCCTCGACTGCAGACTCTACGGGCGCCGCACTCTGGTATATCCTGCTGTCACCGTGACAACAGCGCCTTCCAAGCGCTTACGACTCCGTCTGTCCGACCGCGGACAATCACGACAATCACAGGTCTGCATATTAGCCAGCACCTCGGTCAATAGTAGTTGAACTTGAAGCTATAGTAGGTTGTCTCGCCGCATCATGGTGCCATTTCCTCCGCTTCCTTCAACCGTACTTACGTTCAACTTTGCGGCGACTGACTGAGGCTGACGGTATCTCGGTCTACTCCCTACCCGGGCCCAGAGGATACAGTGCGTCGCTGTTACCTCATGATCAGTCCACTAATTAGCATTCTGCGGGCTGGGTGCTATCTAGAATGTAAATCCACGTGGGACTCATCCGCCAGCATGGCACACCCAGCTCGCCGCTGTTGTTTCAGACACACACAGGCCTCCAGACCCTCGGCGACTTCGCCACCATGTGAGGCACCTCACGAAACCATGGCGTTTCGTTTGATACGACTCGAGCAAGAAGCCCCGGCAGCTTTACGAACGACGACACGATGCTCGATACACAAGTCGCCTCGGCCGATCAGCCGGTGTCTCCCACTGCGTCCCATGCGGGCGTCGAACAAGTCGTCACGACGAGGTGTAATGGCACTGTAGCATCCTTGCAGTAAGAGCGCTGTTCCGACGGTATTTAAGGGCTGAGCGAGGTGGGGCAAACCATCCAGCTTCACATAACTTCGACCGCGATGTTCGCGTCTACGTCGAAACCGGTCTTCACCCTTTGTGCCTTCTTGTTACTCCTCTCCGTACAGGTTGTCCAGGCAGCAAACTCCTTTGCCGGATCCAGCCTGTATTATGCGGCAGGGATATCCGAGGACGACAGAACTACCCTGCTCAAGTGAGCATCTTCCTCTTGTATCAGACGCTTCTGTGTTGCTGACCCATATTGTGATTTTATCAACGTAACAGAGGGATGCAAAGTGCCGGTCTGAAGGTGCTCCGCGTGTGGATTGGCGGACAATCCAGCAGCCAAAAGGTATAGATTTTCCGACTCAGCAAGGCTCCTACGATTTCTGATACGGCTGATTAGGGAACCGACATCAACCCGTTCAACGACCTCGAGCCCGACACTCCTTGCAATGGGGATACCTCTTGCTATGACGACACGGTCCTCGAACGTCTCGACGATTTCATGGTGGCGGCCAACTCCTACGGAGTCAAGGTTTCTATTGATTCCTCCTGTGTGAATGTATGACCGTGATATTGACATACCTTTGACAGCTCCTGATCACCATGCATAGCTACAACGCCCTCGGGAGTAACGACGCCTACGGCAAGTGGTACGGCATCGGCGACTTCTACTCGGACGACGAGGCGCAATCCATCTTCGACGCCCGTCTCAACCATATCCTGAACCATGTGCATACTTCGCTCAATAAGCCCTGGAAGGAGTTGAGCGACTACATCTTTGGATTTGAGGCTGAGAACGAAGCCATGATTGGGGATGTAAGTGTCGTGATTGGTCTGCGTCCAAGTCAACATGTCCTGACATTTTGTGCAGGGCCAATCCTTCGTCGAGGCTCACCAGCAATGGTACAGTCTATGTTCCTTGTCGATCCGTAAGACAGAGTCTAACGTGATGATTTGAACAGGCAGTGCGACCGTGCCGGGACGATCAAGGGTCAGCTCGGCGATAACAGTGGGGTGAGCCGAGTTGTTGTGCTTGTTTTCAACCCCATCTCACATAGCCCATAACAGATTCTTGTCATGACCGGCGGAGAGTCGTGGCTGTCCGAGTCTGTCCAGCCTGGATTCTTGAGCTGCGATGCATTGGATGTTATCTCGATCCACGCCTACGGTACCGGAGATCTCACCACGGACGCCCTGTCGCCGTATGTTTCGCAAGCGCAGGACGCTGGCAAGATGCTAATTTTGGAAGAATGGTGATCACCGATCGTCTTCCACATTCTGTTCTACGATACTGACCGCGTTCTTCTCCGTAGGGGTGCATGCTACTTCGACACTTCCAACAACGACTGCCCTCAGGGAGATGCTCTGGATTCGGACACGCGTAACAGCAACATCGTCAACTGGGCCGCGCAGATTGACGCCGCGGGGCTTCCTTGGCTGTACTGGCAGGTTCTCCCCAACGCTGACCCTCACGTACGTACTGCCTGTCTCTTCGCGAGGTGTTTGAGTCAACCGCTGAACCTGATGACCCTCAGGACGGATACGACTACGAGATCGGCCTTGTAGACGACCCGGCCTGGGGCGCTCTCCAGCAGGCCGCGAAAGCGGCCTCACAGGCCGCAGCCGCGTTCGACTTCTCTGCTTACCTGCTGCAGTGAGGCGTCCAACGTCACGTCGACGGAAGGCGGGTCGAAGCGTATGTTTTTTTTTAGCAATGTGGTACATGACGTGGTGACTGCACTCTTGTCCCTCATTCCCCCACTCTCGCTGCTTTCGTATTTCTCTTACTACCGACATCATTCATCTGGATATCATACATGCGATCTAATGTAAGGGTTTACCCGATCCTCGGGTGGTTATTGCGCGAACGGTTATTACATTTTGCACCAGTACAATGGAGGTCAACATATGCATTTATATTCGACAGCAGCCGCAATTAGTGGGCACTGCCACACATCATAGATACGCTGCGATCACGGTCAAGGAAACATACTCGACACTATTCTGTTCTGCGTCTGACAAAGCTTGTGGGTCCTCGGGCATGTGGCTGATTTGGGAAGACTGGTGTGTCAGAACGGTGCTATCAGGATACGGTACCATATCAACCATCGCAGGCTCCGACGATCGAGCCTGAAGAAGCACGCGAAAAGATGAAGCTAATGTCGTAGGTAATCGGAAGGAGTCAAATGAGACCTCTCAGCTTTTATCCAAAGCTATGCTCGAAAACGGTTGGCCTATCGAATTCAATAGGTCACATCATCAACTAGTAGTACATTGCGCAAGAATACATGAAGACGCGGCAGGTTAACACCGATCACACTAGTGGGACATACAAAATTATACAGACTGAACTTGGACTGAACGGAATCTGATGCCGCGTTGTTGCACAAGGAAATCAATTGTGCCCCTGGTGCACCCCTTACATGTAGATTTGCTGTTCATTTTAGTATTCGAAGCGCCGAACAATATCGTCGACACTGAGCACAGAGTCCGTGTCAGTCGACCGGCCATCGAGGTTGACAATGAGGACGCCCGCGTTCTTCGGGTCCAGCTCAACTACCAGCCCTTGGCTATAAAAAGTCCAGTTGAATGACCACGGTGCATCAGATCCGATGTGTATGTGACCTACGTCTGTAGCAATCTTTTGATGGCGGGTTTGAGCTTAGCGACGCCTTGCAGCGAATGACGGCCTTTGCCTGCATCGCGGCGAGCGACATCGTGGGCGAAGGTCAGTGGGCGTATCAGGCACGAGAGTATTCAGGAAGCGACTTACCGACGATGAGTTTGATCTTCGTGTCCCCTCGGCGGCGCGCATCTTGAACAGCGCGCTCTGTGTAGGTGATGGCCTCCTTCACGTACAAATTATGAAGGTCAACAGGGTCTCCCGGTGCCCGATCCTGTGCGTCGATGTTAGCCCGACTATATGCGCACCAAGGAGCATGTACCCACCTCGTTGTTCTCTGATCGCAAGGGTGATAAACGGCATCAGGTCACCAAAACCCAGGCGCGCCGCGCAGAAGTACAGGGACAGAGACATACTAGCAAAGATCCATTCGCTCGCTCGCTCATTCAGACGTTCCATCTTTGCCTTGTGCGCCTTGCCTTGCTCAGAAAGCTCCTTTGCGCGTTCGCGGTTGCTCCTCGCGTACATCCGAGTCGTGTGGCTCTTCTTGAAGGCGTGACTCTGCTTGAAGGACTCCACCATCATCGAGTGCTCTTCGGTTGCGCGTGCGCGCAGAGCCTGATAGTCGGAGTCTTCCCCGATCTCAGGCTCATGGTACAGGAAGTTCTACGTGGGTCTTTCAGCAAAGCCACATGGATTGATTATCCTTGACAGATGAAGTACCTTGTGAGGACCTGGTGATGCTTGGCGAGCGGGCTGCGGCTGAGCAGGAGCAGTAGGAGGATATTCAGACTGAGCAGCAGGTTGAACGGGATATCGAAGCCGAGAAGGAGAAGGACGAAGAGGGTATACGGGCTTCGGAGCAGGAAGAAGAGGATATACAGGCTTCGAAGCGGGAGGAAGAGGATATACAGGCCTCGGAGCAGGAGCAGGAGAAGGCCTCGGAGCAGGAGGAAGAGGATATACAGGCTTCGGAGGGGGAAGAGGATATACAGGCCTCGGAGCAGGAGGAGGTGAAAATGTAGGCTTCGCCGGCGGATGAGGAGGAGAGTATTGACTCGGCTGCGGCGGATGAGGAGTATGATATTGATGTCGAGCGGGAAAGTCAATTGATCCGTAGTACTGCGGTACTCTGCCTGAGGGCGGTGACCTCGGACGCGTCACAGGCAGGCCCTGCTGGTACCGTTGAGGGGGCCGTTGTTGAGGAGACTCGTATCCGGGCTGGTCGTCGTCACAAAGGCATACCGACAGGAGTGCAGCGATGATCCCCATCTTGCAATCTTATTCGAAGGGTGCAGAGTAGGGACTAGTACGGTTGAGGGCGGTTCTTACACGCGCGGGTATGTGTAGGTGACTGCGAGAGGTGAGAACGAGGAGGTCGCGAGGAAGAGCCTCGTGTAGACGCGTAGCGCGCCAGGAAGCTTGAGTCGTGGAAGGCAAAGCATCGCGAATAGCAAGCCAACAATGAGCGCACAGCACTAGCTCGGCCGGCGACTTCAATGATGTGAACACAAAGTATAGCTTGCGCCATTAGCAACCGACCCCAGAGCGCACATACCGTCTTGACTCTTCGCCAGCACTTCAAGTTCGCTAGTCAACTGGTCAGAGTCACGGGAGGAGGTACAGTTGCTTGAAGGCGGAGTCAAATCCTACTTACTGTACAAGATCTAGGGGGAGATACGCGAGCGCCCCACAGTCTACTACAGACGCCCACAACACGCCCACTCAGGTCACCTCTGAATCGCGCACGTTGGCCCTGAGTACTACTCACTGTAAGTACAGCCCATCAGCACTGGCGGACGCATTTCTCTTACATACTGAGTCTTGCTCCAGTAGTCCCGGGGACATCTGGCGATGGCCTTAGACTCGGACTTCTCGTCACTGAGTCCCCGTGCGACTCCTGCCGCGGCACGCATCGCCTCAAACCAAGTCCCCGTCAAGTCTCATATGAGCGTGTCCAACGCTCGGTTCGAAGTCACGGCAGTCGAGAAGCCGAAGGAGGGGGCAAAGCCGCTCTTCATACATACAGGATCTTTGTCACTCTCGCCTATTCTCAGGGCTGGACCTCGGAACTTTGTATTCGCTGAACACGCCTCTGTATCGCGCACGACCGCATGGCACTGAACGCAAGCACCTCGAGACCCAGGGTGCCCTATCAAATCTAATAGGTCACAGCGTCAGCTATATTTTGTCGCAATAAAGAATACATGAATACGCGGTAGGGCAACACAGAACACACTAGAACATACGAATACAAACCGAACGGAATCCAAACGTTGTTGCCCGGACTCCTGCTTTGGACACAATCTGCATTGGACACGATGCGTCCCTGCAAAGGTGACATGTTTTCCAAACACCAGAGTCGAGCAGGTTAGGTGACTCTTCGTGGCGTAGTACTGACAGTATGCCGCACCTTTTGAACCTTCAGTGCTTCAGTTGTGAGCCGCGGACTATACGTACACAAGCCTTGAAGGCTGCTGTTGTGTACGCTCGAGACTTTGAGATCAAGACGACTAAGCGAGTCCACGAGTGGATTGAACCTGGGCCTGGGCCTGAGGCCCGAGGCCTGAACGTTTGACTGGAACATCGAGTCGAGACGACGAGTACATACTGAGCGCCTCCTCCTACGGTAGCGGCTAGCCACACTGACAGTGGATCGGGCCGAGCATGTCACGTGCCAGCTTTGGCCACCTTGACGCGACGCGCGACACGAGCACGGCGTGTAAAGTACATCCATTCTCTCATCATCACCGCCACTCCTACCATGTCTGCGTGAGTATTTGCACGTCTATTGCTCGTGGTTGTAACTTTGACGACGATATGGCACCTCATGGCAGCCAAAATGATGCCCCTGCGTCGACGACTACTGCCACAGTGTCTATGGAGGAAGCTATCGAACAAGCGAAACGCGCGTTCGCGCTGAGGAAATACGAACAGTCCGTCGACCATTATGCTACTGTTCTTGAACTGGCGTGAGTGGTGATTCGTCTCGAGCGTGTTCGACGCGTCATTCTGAGCATTATGTTGACGCCATGTGTTCTGCAGCACGGAGAGGTACGGTGAGAAGGGCCCGGAGATGGCGGACCTATATTTCGCTTACGGAAAGGCACTCCTGGAGAACGCAATCGCACAGAGCTCAGTGCTAGGGAAGGAGCAAGCTGAGGAAGCAGCGCGTCCAGTGGCTGAAGGTGTGTTGTCTGGTTGTGGCCCTTCATCTGCATGCTGACCATAGCGTGTGACAGAGTCAGAGGCGGCTGGTCCGGGCAAATTTCTCTCCTTCTCTGGCGATGCCGAAGATGACGCAGAGCCGATCGTGCCCGGAAGTAAAGAGGACGTCCCTGTAGATCTCTTCGGTGAGGCGCGGAAGGCCGCCGAGCAGGAGGAAGAAGAGGAAGAGGAGGAGGAGGAGGAGGGCGAAGATGCGGAGCCTGAAGATGACTTCAACGCAGCATGGGAAGTGCTCGACCTCGCACGCGCCATCTACGAGAAGCAGCAAGAGGAGAGCGATGAGGTGAAGCTCAAGCTCGCGGACACCTTCCTCGCGCTCGGCGACGTGTCACTTGAGACGGAGAAGTTTGAGCAAGCAATCGCCGACTACAGCCAGGCTCTCGCGCTCAAGGTCGACCTCCTCCCTCGGTCCTCCCGTCAGATCGCGGAGGCACATTATAAACTCAGCATCGTGCTGGATCTCACCTCGGGCCGCCTGAGCGACGCGATCACACATGCGGAGCGCGCACTTGATAGCGTGGAGGCGAGGCTGGCAGAGTTGCGGGATGCGCTCAGTGGCCAGGGCAAGGTGCAGGTCGTTGTTGCCGAGACAGCGGATCCGAAGGGCAAAGGCAAAGCCAAGGGTCCCAGGTTGCTGGGTGATGACGCGGTCCATAGTTTGACCCAGAGTCAAATGGAGGCCGAGGTCAAGGAATTGCGGGGCTTGAAGGAAGACTTAGCGCTCAAGGTACGCAATTTCCGTTGCATGAATTAAAGTCATGAGCGTTGGTCTGACTTCTGGACTATCCTTGCAGGTCGAAGAGCTTAAGACATCACCTGAAGAAGACGCAGAATCCGCGCCCGCTATGGTTGCGAGGGCCCTCGACGGCGAGCTTAACACCAAGAAGCCGTCTGCCCCTGCTCCCCAGGTGGTAAATGACCTGACGTCGATGGTAAAGAAGAAGAAAAAGGACCCGGAGGCGAATGGCACCGCCAAACGCAAAGCCGAGGAAGACCTACTCCCCTCCACGCCGTCAGAAAAGAAAGCTAAGGTTCAAGGCTCGTAATGAGCAGGCTCCTCTTTCGTCGGGTCGGTCGTACGGTCTCATCCTACTGTATCGTTACACACACTGTCTCCTTGCTTATGCATAATGCCTGGGTAGGTACTTTCTGCTCCGCTATCGCACGTTCGTCGTACATACACTATGTATTACCCTAGTCAAGTCTACTCACTCCAAAAATGGTACCGTCTTCGCCTCGATGTTCGTATGCTTATATCTCTTCTGTCCATCCCCTGTCCCGAACTCGCCTACGATGTGCCCTTTCTCGCCCTTGCTGCGCAGCATGTACTTGTACGTGACCAGGCCCTCGAGGCCCACTGGTCCTCGCGCATGGATTCGCCCGGTGCTGATACCCACCTCCGTGCCGAACCCGAAGCGGAAGCCGTCCGCGAAGCGGGTGCTTGCGTTGACGAATGTCCCCGCGGAATCGACGCCGCGGCAGAACGCGGACGCTGCTGCTGGATCTTCTGTGACGATGCAGTCGGTGTGGTGCGACGAGTGTGAGTTGATGAACCGGATCGCGTCTGATAAGGACGGCAGCGCGATGACGGAAAGCGTGAGGCTGAGATGCTCGGTCGTATATGAATCGAGTGTGGACGTCCGAACATGCGAGGTGAGTTTCGCGGGAGCGGGGGAGAGAGATTGCAACGCGGAGATGGTGGGAGAATCGCAGAGCAAGTGCACATCTGCGTCAAGGAGTGCTTTTGCGACGGCTGGCCAGACGGTTGACAAGACCTTCTCGTGTACGATCAGAGTCTCAGCTGCATTGCACGCGGCTGGGTAGTCAGTCTGAGACACGGAAGCGTCAACAATCTGCGACAATTCCCGGGGACGATGAGGCATACCTTCGAATCTAGGACAACCCTCACAGCCTTGTCGAGGTCAGCTGTCTCGTCGAGGAAGACAGAGCAGAGTCCATCTGCATGGCCCATGACTGGGATCCTGGTACTGTTCTGGATGTTTCGGACAAGGCTGTTGCTTCCTCGAGGGATAACGAGGTCTATGTATTGGTCGAGCTCTAGGAGGGCGGAGACCTCCGCTCTGGTTTGGATGGCTTGGATGTAGGTGCTCGGAATGCTCGTTTTCGATAGGGCGCTCTGTATGGCTTTGGACAATAGCTGGGAGGTCTCATTCGACTCCTTCCCACCTTTGAGGATCGCCGCATTGCCTGTATGACCAGGCGTCAAGGTGCAGTGACATGCGATTGAACGTACGAGCATACCTGACTTGATCGCCAGAGCGGCGATGTTGACGACGACCTCGGGACGAGCCTCAAAGATGACAAGAAGGACACCTATCGGACATGAAACGCGGTACAGCTCGAGGTCGTCGTCTAGCTCCGATGCATAGGTGACGATGCCCGTCGGGTCTGGGAGATTTGCTACATCGATGACGCCTTGCAGCATGGACTCCCATTTGTCCCCTTTATTGAGGTCAAGCCTCTTCAGGAGCGAAGACGACATGTGACCGGCATTGACTTCCTGCTGTGCTGCCTATTGATGGGTAAGCATGTGCGGAAGTAGACTTACAAGAGAGCTGAGAGACGAGCAAAATTCGACGCCTCACATCTAGGAAAGTATAGGAGCAAGATGCACCTCAAGGTCTCGTCTGTTCGCGGCCAGAATATCCTCTTTTGCAGATGCAAGCTCATTGCGCAGTTCATGCAGGGCTTGCACCCGCTCGGAGGAGGCAATTAGTTGCGAGGCTTCAAACGCAGCCTTAGCGGCTCTTGCGATGACTGTGGCGGCAGATTTGTTGCTCGTAGACATGCTAACGAGAAGGTCTGGGAAACCTTAAGTGTACGCGGACGATAATTGCTGTGTAGCTGAGATTGGGATGGGGGAGGAGGAGGAGGAGGGGGGTATTGACTCGATGTGACTGACGCGCTGACGCGACTCACGTGGGGCGTGACACTCCTCCTCCTCCTCCTCCTCCCTCGTCGCGTCGAGCGTGCCTGCGTCGCGACTCAGGCTGTTGAAGATAATGAGCAATTGTTACCCATCGAACAATGCCCATCCTACACTATGCTCCTGCATATACTGTCTACTCAAGTTACATTCAGAGTTATGTTACAAGTCTCAGTGTACTAGACTACCAGTGACTTACTATGCATACCAACATCTACGCCGACATTGATATTGCTGCATTGCTACGTCCGACATAAGTAATATGTGCGTTTCATCCCTTGTATATGGTACAGGTACGAGGATCGATAATATCACAGATGGGACCCAGCGAACCATCCCGCGCGACGTAGATCTTCTGGTGAAGCTCGCTTCTGTTTGTCGAGGGTCCTGGGCCCATCTGGTCCCTCCTCCAACCCATTTCCAAGGGGTAGCTCCGGGCGCCACCGCCAATGGTGCGTGAGCTCTGTTTTGGGCTTCTTCTGAATGACATCGCGTACATGCTACACACAAATTAAGCGGAGTGCTAGTCACGTACGTCGCGAACAGTGACATACCTTTCCGAGGATAGGCGTGAACTTGGCACCGTGTCCGCTTCCACCAGTACAGATGAAGAGAGTGTCGTTGTACCCGGGAAGGTAGTCGATTAGCCAGGAGTTATCGACGGTGTCGGTGTAGAAGCAGAGTCTAGTCGCGGTGATAGGCAGTGGCGCTAGGTCGGGAAGGAACGTCGAAACGAACGTCTTGATGCCCTCGACAGACTTGATCGGTAATGAGGTATCGTCCACCTCAGGCTGGAGCGGTACGGAGATCGGACGGTCGGAACCTGGGAGCTTGACGTAGTTCGTGTACTGGTGCAAGCTCGTCAGGGAGACTCCGAAACGACATGCTATATGATACGACGCATACCTTGGTGACACGGTATCCGATCTTGACGAGACCATCCTCAGTTCGAGGGAACGAGTAAATACTTCGGCTGCCAACAGTCTTGCCAGTGGGGTCCGGATCGTGGCCTATGATAACAGGCCAGTTGTCGTGTGCGTACTTATCCCACAGTTCTGGTGCTTCCTCGCGAGGGGGCAAGCGAACGGTGACCACGCTCCCTGCTGTGGCCTCGAGGACTCGCCTCACTTCTGGTACGAGCATGGGCGTCGCCGAGCCACCTGTTGCGAATGTCAAGCAGATGATCACTGGAATGTTGTGTCTGGTCCCTTACAGGCCATGATAACGAGGTCCGCCGAGTGTTCCTCCCCGTCCTTTGTCCGGATGCCCGTGACTCGCCTCAATTCTCCTGAGCCTTCCACCCGAAGCGAAGCAAACTCGCCTTTTGCGGAGCCCTCAATGAATCGCGCCCCCTTCTTCCGCAGCTTTCCCGCGAGATACGCGCATGCCTGGCTCGGGTATACATAGCCAGCAGTCGTATCCAACACGGCCTCGAACGTTTCCTGGCCGTCGGTCTTCGGAATAGCAAACTTCAGCATCTTGTGTGCCCACCCTCTCCCAGTCGCGCGCTGGACATCGTCGTCGCTGGAGAGAATGTACTGCGTGTCGCGTAGGCCCTCCGCGGTCATATTCGCGAGCGTCTTCTTCTCGAGCTCGTCGAGGTGGCTCGAGTGTTGGACCCGCAGCATCGCCGACTCGACGAACAGCTCTTTCCCTGGACCCAGCTCCTCATTCCATTGCTTCCATACCTCTCGCGCCTCGTAAGCGAGCCGCTGGTAGTAGAGCTCGTCTCCGTACGAAGCTCTGAAGATCTTGTTCTCGTCGACTGAGGCTGCTGTAGACCCAGGATTCAGCTTGTAGCCGTCGCCCCGATCGTACGGATGCTGGTCAAAGATTGTGATTTCGTAGCCTGTTACTTGTAGTATGAGAGACGTGCGAGCGATCGTCAAGGGTCATTAATCACCATCTTCAGCAAGGTAGTAGGCCGTGCTTAGCCCGAAGATCCCAGCACCCACGACGATCACCTTGGGTTTCGTGGAGGTCGCCATGTCAGATCGATATGATGAGCGACTAGAACTCACGTTGCACTCGTCATCTTGCCCGACCTATACTTAGTCGACGGCGAATGGCTGAGATACTTAGCGGCACGTTCCCAGAGAAAACCTCGGGCCGAGATAATGTAAACGTCCACGGAGGTGTATATAGATGTCGCGGCGGCGCAGTGGGTGCTGGAGTCACGGGAGATGCTACCAATGCCATTGCAGTGATACTTCGCATGGCTCATAACATCCCACAGCCCTTCTACTATTTTTCATAGAGCAGTACGAGTCTTGGTTTCTGTCGCACAGACTGCATGAGTTGAAAGTATGAACGGAGTGCAGGTCTGTGCAGGTGCTCATGATCATGCATCGCGTGATGAACGTTTGAACAGCCGCCTCGTGGCTACCAAACACCTCCATTGGCAATGTCGATGTCATATGCGGCGAACTACGCCAACATAGATGTCTGATACATATGTATAGCGAACAGATTTCCCGACACACTAAATGCTGAAATTGTTCGAATTCTCGAGAACGGCGTCCTCGGAGGCTAAAACTTAAGTTAACCAAGTCGCTCACACCAGTGACCCCGTCCTCGGATTTCTATCTCAACGAAGGCATCTGGTGGCACGCGAAAAGTAGCAGCGTAGATCATGTCCGCGGATACAATTACACCGGGTATGTTCTCTCAAAAAGCATCGTGACTAGGATAGATCGAATAAACGGTACCAGTACGGCAGCCTCAAATAACTCGACTGCGCCGAAGGTCGAAAACGAATGGGACTACCTAAACGTAAGGAGTGTGGGTGCGGGTGGGGGTTGCGCAAACTCAGAACCAAGAAAAGGTCGTCACTAGATTAAATCAAGGAAGCACTGCCATTCTGCTGCTGCTGCTGCTGTTGCTGCTGTAGTTTCGACGCATCCTGCCCAAGCCCGAACTGGGTGTTACCGAACGAAGGCGCACTTGACGACGAGCTCATCCCGAACTGAGAGTTTCCGACGCCCGTCGGTGACGAGCCCAAGAAGGAGGGGGTCGGCCCTGCACCATTCGCAGAGCCAAAGTTGCCACCTGACAGACCAGTGGTCATAGGGAACATCGATGCTCGGAAGGGGTTCGCTCCGCCAGCTGTACCTGTCATTTGCGGACGAAGGCCACTGCCCGGCGACTTTCCGAGGGCGCCGAACGCGCCTGTTGGTTGCGAGTTCAGCGCGCCCGTTGGCTGAGAGCCGAGGCCAGTCAGAGACGAGCCGAATGCCCCAGTAGGCTGGGAGTTCAGCCCGCCAAGTCCGGACGAGAAGCCTGTGGGCTGCGTGCCCAGCCCGGACGTCGAGCCAGACTGGCCTTGGTTCGCATTGCCGTTCTGCGTCGGGAAGGGCGAGTTCGTCTGTGGTGTCTCTCCGGGCGTGGTCGGCGCAGACTGCGGGATGGGCGGAAGGGATTCGAGGAGCGCAGCGCCAAACGAGGACGACGGCTTGAATGCCTTCAGTCCGCTGTTGAAGCCTGTCTTCTGCGGCTGCAGCGGGTTGGCGTGCGAGACAGAGATAGACGGCGCTGACGATGTGACCGTCGCGCCCGTTGGTTGACTAGACATTGACGAAGAAAAGAGGGAGTCAGAGAACGTGGACCCGGTCGTCGTGGACGCCGTCTGCTGAGGGTTTAGGGAGAAAGCCGTGGATGAAGAGTTCTCGCCCGGCTTATTGAACGTGAACGACGAAGCAACGTTCGCCATGACGGAGCCGGTGGGCTGAGAGCTCAGCTGAGACCCAAAGCCATTCGAGCCGAAGCCAGAAGAAGTTGGCGACGTCTGCTGCTGCTGACCATTCTGCTGGTTCTGCTGAGATGGACCCATAGCCAACTCGAACAGAGTGGGAGGTTTCGGCATGGGTGGTGGTGTCGATACCGGTATGCCGAACGGATTCCTTGACCCTGTCTGATGCGTCTTGACCGGCTGCGCGGGTGGTGGACTTGTTGACGAACTGAACGCAGGAGGGATGGCGGTGAGTGGCGCGGACATTGGTCGGGCAGGACCAGTGTTTGTTGAGTTAGCATTGGGCTGCTGAGCGGATGGTGCCGCGATTTGCGATGAGAAGGCGTTGCCGAACTGCGGCATCGTTGAGCCTCCCGCAAAGGGCTGTCCGGTGTTCTGTACGGGGAAGGGGTTCGTGCTGGTAGTGTGTTGCTGCTGACCGAAGGCGGCCATCCCTGTCATCTGCGGCAGCATCATACTCTGCCGGAATGGGTTCACACCAGTGGCTTGCGGCTGAAGGAACGACGTGTGCTGTGGCTGAAGGAATGGCGCTGGTTGTTGTTGAGGTGGCTGCTGCTGCTGCTGCTGAAGCATACCGAATGGGTTCGTAGAAGTGTACTGCGGCATGATGAACCCTGTGGGTTGTGGCTGCATCTGCGGCTGGCCGAAAGGTTGTGCACCGCCGAATGGAGGCGCGCCAGTCATCATCTGCATCTGTTGCTGAGCGAAGGGGTTGTGCAGAGCATTCTGCTGGAAATAAGCGGTCGATGGACTTGAACACTGTTGTCAGCACGTGTCGTCGGAGAGTACGGCTATGTACGCACCTGTTAGTCTGCGGATTGAACATGTTCTCTTGCTCATTCTCAATGGCGGAAAAGAAGTCGATCATGTCCTGCGGTGCCTTGGACCCTGGACTCTGGGCTTCAGAGGAATCGTTGGAAGTCGAAGGCTTTGCCTCAGGCGCTGGACGCGTAGCCATCAGCACATCACTTAACGACAAGCTGCAGCGAGACGTACCCTTCTCTGGCGGCTTGGACTTTGGCATTGGTGGTGCGGTGCCAGTCCTCTCGGCCCGCTCCGCAGCCTCCTTGTTTGCCTTGTACTCTATCCGGTTCTGCTCGAAGTTAGGATCTCGCAGATACTCCTCAAGAGCGCCCGCTAAGGACACCGGTGCCTATAATGAGACTCAGCGCACGTCTTCATAGACTTCGGGTCCGACGACTTACATGACGGAGGTTAGGGATTGGTACATTGAGGATGTTTTGCAGCTTCTTCGCGACACCCAGATACTCGACGACGCGCTCGGTCTCCTTGCAGAAATGACGATAGAGGTTCAGTGCCTCCTCAGCATCAGTGCGAAACATCTCGAAGTAATGCTCTACATGGTCTCAGATGTATTGCTGCTACCACAGCCGCGCAGGGACGCACCTAGGACATTTATGACACCCTCGTTGCATGCTTGGAAGAGGATTAACAGATCCTTCACCAGCATCCGCAGAGCCGTTATGTTCAGCTCGTTGTCCAAGTCATCAAGGTAGAACTACAATACCTGTCAAAAACGGAGCCAATTACGCAGAGAGCGCACGCACCCGACACTCGAGGAGTGCGTCAATCATCTTCTGGACGATCTTGGTCTCACGCAGGAGACCTTTCTCGACTGTCATCACCCGGAGTTTCCGCCCTGTAAGCGTCTTGCTCCGCTGCACACCAACACTGAGTTTCGGAGGTTCCCTTGCTCGCGATCGTCCGCGTCTCGATCCCAGCTCCTCCTCAACTGCAGCTGAGTTTCGCATATCCCGGTTGGTCTCGGACTGAACTCGGATCGCGTCATGTTTGAGTTGCGCGTAAGCTCGTATACGAGTGTCGAGGTACGTAGCGTAGTTGAGGAGGTTCGGCGGGGCATTATATCCTACGCGCTCTATCAGGACACGGGTATCACAAAGATATGATAGCGGACAGACCTTCCCAGTTCATCGACGATATGCTCTTCAGCTTCAGCACGTCCGACGATGACAAGTATGACAAGACGTTGTCGGTCGACCCATTGCGTATCATCATGTGTAGCACAATCAACGCCTTGAAGACCACAATAGTGTTCGGCTCCCGGAAGCGGGGGATCAGAGCCCTGCAGACGTCGTGTACCGCGCCCTCCTCCGACCACGTCGCGGCGAGGATGGGGTCAAGGTACTTGGCCTTGGGTGGATTTGGCTTGGGCTTGCACGCACCCTTTACCGCCTTCTCGAAGCTGGTCATGGTCGACGCGAAGAGGGGGGAGACGGCGGTGGGAGACGGGTAGAGCGCAAGTCGGCAAGCCTGGGCGGCAGTGCGAGCGAGAGCCAGGTGCCCGTGCGGTCATGAGAAGAATTCCAGAAATGGCAACTACGCCTCCTCCCAAGCTCTCCAGGTCGCCCACGGCCATCCACGTACCGCGACCATCACCTCCGCCCTCTCTTGCGCGACGAACAGGAAAGACCTTGCTCTTTGGGACCCTCCTTAATTTTGGGGGCACCGATCTGGCTACTGCGCACCGCGTTCCGCTTGCTGCGCGCGACTGATGGCATTGAACCCGCACACAATCCTATAGTTCGCTCTTTTCGCCTCCGCACCGGGATCACAATACCACTTCTTCGATATCAACTTTGCTGAGCTGGCCTTGCGACGACCCTTCACCATGCTTCCCAGGATGTTCCACGCCTGCGTGGAGTACTGCAGGGCAAGACGTCTCACAGGCCGTCACCTGCTCTTTGCCACCATCGGTTGTGTCTTCGTGATAACACTCTACTATTCTACCCTGCAGAACACAGTGTCTAGCAGCGAGATATGGCGGACCATACGACCAGTCTCTACGACCCCGCCTCATGTGTGGAAGCAGAGAGCCGAAGCGGTCAAGAACGCTTTCCGTCATGCTTACAATGGTTATGAGAGACATGCCAAACCTCATGATGAGTTGCGACCTCTGACCAATGGAACGAAGGACAAGTAAGCAGTGATCGTGCTTGTACGATGTCAATGTCTCATCCAGGGCATACAGCTTCAACGGATGGGGAGTGTCCTTGTTCGACTCCCTTGACACCATGATCATGATGGGTTTGAACGACGAGTTTGCACGAGCCTTGCCCGTCGTGTCCAGAGCGACTTTCGAGACGAATGCTGTGAGTGGTATATAGCTCCTCCGCGGTCTTGCCTTGCTCAACCACATACCAGCCTGTGACAAACCGGCATGTGGGATACGCACCGTTCTTCGAGACCGTCATTCGTTATCTCGGAGGGCTCCTCTCCGCATACGCGCTCTCGCGTGAACCGCTACTACTCCAGCGCGCAGACGACTTGGGCCGAATGCTCTCTCCTGCCTTCGACACGCCGAGTGGATTCCCCGCTTTCGGCGTCGACACTGTCACGTAGGTCTCGGCTTCCTCTTAGTCACTGTCTGGCTGTGGGCGAGCATTCCTTGTCCACCGTGCGCATTCGCTACAGTCGAAATAGTTCTTCGGACGCTAACGCGTTCATTTGCCTTGTAGCGGTGAGACCGTCGGCGGAGCCTCGGGCGTCCTAGCGGAGATCGCTACCTGCCAAGTCGAATACGCCTACCTCGCGTTACTCACAGGCAACAAGATGTATTGGGAGAATGTCAGTCGAGGCCACTGCGGTCAGGCCTCGTGCGCTGACATGATGTGTGTCTGTAGGCGGACGTGGTCATGAAAGGCCTATGGAAGGCAAATGTGACCAGACTTGGCGGTATGCTTCCGAGGCGGTGGAACCTGGCCACTGGAAACCCCGGAGACGGTATGTCGCCCCGGTGGAGTTGACATGCTTTGCTTACATTGACCCTGTATCCCAGAATTCCTCAGCGTAGGAGCTGCAGCAGACAGCGCACACGAGTACTTACTGAAACAGTATCTCTTGACCGGCAAACAAGACAAGGAAGCGTTACAATTATGTACGTGTCTCTGAATGATCGAGTCTCGCTTCATACTCAACCTCACTAGACCTTCGCGCAACAAACCACATCTTTACCCACATGCTATATCTCTCGGAGGCACGCGACCTGCTCTACGTAACAGATACCAACCGCAACTTCATTCCTAGCCATAACTTCGAGCATCTATCGTGCTTCTTGCCCGGCCTGCTCGCGCTCGGCGCCGACCAGCTCGATCTCTCCCTTGACGATCTGGATTACGAGACCCTCGGACCAGTCGGCCAGCAATCATACGACATTCTGCGCAACTACGACCTGCGGGCGCTCCACCGCTGGGCAGCGGAGGGCCTTGCAACGACATGCTGGCTCTTGTACGAGGAGCAGCCATCCGGGCTTGGCCCCGACGTCGTGCACTTCCAACCGAAGGTGGGCGAATGGCCTGCCCGTGGTTCGCCCCCCGACCACACGGGCAAGCTCTGGGTGGAAGGGCTAGAGAAGTGGCGCAGGGGCGGTGCGCGGGGTTACCCACCTGGTCTTGGGGAGAAGAAGCCTGTGCGGCTCACCCGCGATGAGATCGGCAGCGCGAAGCTGCGAGCTCTCCGGGTCCCCGAGCGCGACTACGTCCTTACGCGGTCTGAGTACTTTCTGAGACCTGAGGTATGTGGGCCCCGGGATGTTTCTGGACATGTGGGGTGTTCTGATCGTTTCACTGCAGACGCTCGAGTCCATCTACCTCATGTGGCGGTCGACCGGCGACCCCATCTGGAGAGAGCGGGGGTGGTCAATCTTCGAGGCGATCGAACGAGAGACCAAAACGGCTTCTGGCTATGCTTCGTCGAAGAATATTTTGCTATCGCCGACGCTGCTGGACGACGATATGCCGAGGTGAGCCGTCCCAGAGCTTGGTTGGGAGCAGGTCATGACATTGCTGACTGTTCGCCCCTTATGTGCTCAGTTACTTCCTCGCCGAGACGTAAGTGCGCTCTTTCGCCCCGCGAGCCGTAGTTACTGACCCCTAACCCCGCACTAGGTTGAAGTATCTGTATCTGCTCTTCCACGATGAAGACCTCGTGCCCCTGGACCGGTGGGTATTCAACACGGAAGCGCACCCGCTGCCTGTGTTCTCCTGGTCCTCGTGGGAGAGGAACAAGTTCGGGATCCCGGAGCCGTCTTCGTGAGGATGCTCCGCCGGATGTCTGGTAGCGGTGTGTGCGTGCCTGTCCCTCCCTCTCGATCGCCCGACGTTCATTTCGGCAGCAGTGGCCGCATGGTGGTCGGCGCCAGCGGGATGGCCCGGCGGTCATGCGGCGCCCCGTGCCGGGTTGAGCGCAATCCTGGAGCGATTCACATGTGCCTGCGGGCTGCGCGGGGCAGTCAGATGTGGGCATGTTTAGTGCGGGGTAGGACTGTAGAGATCTAGAACACTGCCCATGGACTTATCGTAATCTTATAGCTCTGCCGTAATGCGACTGGTCGTGTCTCCCTGAGCGTTGGCCATCGTCGACGTTGTGTCTGAGGTGAGCATCCTTACGGGGGCGGTTGTGTACCCGGCGGGCCTTCTGTATTGGCGGGGCACTCCATAACTTGGTCGGTTAGATAGGAGGCCGGTGCTGCCGCGGCGGGTGCGCCCTGGTCGGAGGTACAGATGATCGGCATCAGATGACATTGCGGGGCACCCCGGACCGCCGTCCTCGTCCAGCGACAGGAGTTGGCTCGCGCCATATGAATATGAACCTTCTGCGACATATCCTCAGATATTCCCCTCGCACCTTTTCACTCCGCCGCCACTATTCCGCCATGTCTTCGCTCAAGCAAGGAGAGTTTGTCGGATCGCTCGACTGCGGTACCACGTACGTCGTCTGCTACGTATTCGCGAAGGCGCACCTCACCGCTGCTGTCCGCCAGGTCGACGCGCTTCTTGATCTTCAACCAGTACGCGGACATCGTCGCGCAGCACCAGATCGAGTACCCGCAGTATTACCCCGAGCCTGGGTGAGCTTGTAATCTGTTCTGTACGTTAGGGCATCTACTCACACGACAATTCCAGCTGGCATGAGCAGGATGCGGACGAGATCATGGAGAGCTGCGACACCTGCATTACCGAGGCCTGCAAGGCCCTGGAGGCTTCCGGCTGGGCGAAGGAGAGCGTGAAGGTCATCGGTGAGGAGCTTCTGCTTCCTAGCGCCGGCATGTGATAGTGACGAACCGCGTGTCAATTACAGGCATCACAAACCAGCGCGAAACCGCGGTCGCATGGAGTCGCAAGACCGGCAAGCCGCTCTGTCGTGCGATCGTGTGGACCGACTCTCGGACGAAGAACACTGTCGCCCACTTTGCGAACAAGCTGAGCTATGTTGGCCTCGAGGTCAAGCCCGGTCTCCGCAAGAAGGGCAAGGAGGGCGAGAAGGCACTCAAGGAGCTGTGAGTGTAACTCCTGGCGGCAATGCTATCCTGGCTGACAGTAGTCTTTTTACAGCACTGGTCTTCAGCTTTCCACGTACTTCTCTGCCATCAAACTGCGCTGGATGATCGACCACTATGAGCATGTCAGGAAGGCTCACGAAGAGGATGACCTCCTGTTCGGCACGGTCGAGTCCTGGATCGTCTACGTGGGTCTTTGTTACTACTTGTCCCATCGTCCATGCTGATGTACCCGTTGCAGCGCCTGACCGGTGGTCTCCACGTCACCGAAGTCACGAACGCGTCCCGCACCCTCCTGATGAACCTGCGCACGCTTGAGTGGGAGCCGATCATGCTCGACTTCTTGGAGATCAAGCCCTCAGTCCTCCCGAAGATCGCGTCGTCTTCCGAGGTGTACGGCGAGATCTCGTACGGTGCCTTGAAGGGCGTGAAGATTGGCGGTCTCGTCGGCGACCAGCAGGGCGCACTTGTCGGTAACAAGTGCTTGAAGCAGGGTGAGGCGAAGTGCACATACGGCACTGGTGCATTCCTCCTGTTCTGCACGGGCGAAGACATCGTCTCGAGTGCCCATGGTCTCTTGAGCACTGTGAGTTCACCGGTTCACCTCGGAAGACCGGCTCCCTGATGATGCTCGACAGGTTGCGTACCAAGACGGTAAGAACGGCAAGCCGGTGTACGCGTTGGAGGGTTCCAGTGAGCATTGTGTCGTCGCTTCTTTCCGATGTGTCGTTGACGTCGCCACGCAGTCGCTGTCGCTGGAAGTGCCATCAAATGGTTTGTACTTCCACCCCCGATGATGCTATCGTACTGACCATCGATCTGCGCTAGGCTCCGTGACTCCATGGGGTTGATCAAGTCAGCGGCCGATATCAACACCCTCGCAGACTCGGTCAAGCGCACCGGTGGCGTGTACTTCGTCCCTGCCTTCTCCGGTCTGCTCGCACCCTACTGGGACCCCGGAGCAGGCGGGCTTCTCATCGGTGAGTCGACCCCACCTCCACACTGCCTCTCCCGGCTAAGCTTTGTCTCAGGTCTGTCTGCGTACACTACCCCGGGGCACATCTGCCGGGCGACGCTGGAGGCGAACGCGTTCCAGACGCGCGAGATCCTGGAGAGCATGAAGCTCGACTCGAAGACGGACCTGAAGCACCTCATGGTCGACGGCGGCATGACGAACGGCGACACGGCGATGCAGGTGCTCGCCGACATCGGCGGCTTCACCGTCGTCCGGCCCGAGATGAGAGAGTGCGTCCCGCGTTCCGCGTTCCGCTCCTGTTCGTACACCCCCGGCTGATCATCGTGCTGCACCCCTATCAGATCGACGGCGCTCGGATCCGCGCTTTTGGCGGGCTCTGCGATCCGCTTCTGCGGGTGGGACATCAGCAAGCCGGAGACCCTGTCCGAGGTCAACACGAAGGGCACCCGGGAGTTCAATTCGGTAGTGGATGAGACGTTCCGGGAGAAGAAGTGGTTGGGCTGGAAGCGCGCCGTGGAGCGGTCTCTCCGATGGGAGGAGGGCGTCGATGAGTAAAGAAGACTGTTATCCCCTACCACGCGATACCACACAAGCAGTAGTAAATCTGTATCATAGCGTCCATGTATAGCGTCCAGTATGTATAATGTATCCTTATTTCGGGCGTATGTCTTGTCTGAGATGTGTGAGTGGTGTCTTAAGGTACGAAAACTTGTCAATGACAGGAATTCTCCGTGGCTATTACCTACTGAGATCTGAGAGACTATCGGAATATGTATCCAGATCCTGTTCACTCACGTCGTAGATAGTTGACATTCGGGGACTTCTCTGGACACTAACATAGGCAACAACATACTGTACATCCTCCCGTAGCTGGGCGCTGGGCATGAGCCATCTGCTAGTGGTATATACACCGATCCACGATCAAGACTAAGAATACAAGTGCGCGATATATCGAGAAAAGCAGAACGAGAAATATGATGTAGCCGACTAGACACTGCAGAACAAGGGCAGTCAGCATCGACGAGGGCAGGATCCAGGCAGGTGTGAAGAACTGACCGGTATGACCGTCACCGGTTGTACGGAGCCACGCGCGCCGGTCGCCATTCGTACTCCAACTGATCGATATACCACTTCGGCGGTGTAGTGATCCCCAAGGCCTCCCCGATCGCCTGAATGTCCTGAGGAGAGGGGAGGTCCTTCTGGAGGAAATGGTAGTTTGTGTACAGTGATATGATTCTCGCTCATGAACCCTCCTCGCGGTCTTGTAGTGTGGTGTTTACTTGCACACTCTGAGTGTAACGCATACCGGTCTTCTCGGTGAGGTTGGAGAGGATGCGTCGCAAGGCAGCCATCATGGTTGGGCATTGGTCGACACGATCCTTCGAGGGTCTAGCGACAGGCGGCACCGGCTTGCGAGTCCGAGGAGTCGTCGTGTTGACCGTTGGGCGACTCCCAGCTGACCGGAGGCTTGCCTTGCTGGAGCGGCTACTCTCAGTACAATTGCTATCTTCCGCGTCGTCGTTCGCGTCATCCTCCGTGACTGACTCGTCCTCGTCACTGCTGTCATCATCGAAGCAGACGTCTGGGTTGCGTCTCCTCATCTTCAATACCAGTCCGTGCTCCTCTGCGTAGGACAGAAGCATTGAAGTAGGAGCAGGCCATCCGTAGTGCATGACCGGAGGCCTCCAGAGCCCGTGAGGAATGGGGATGAACACGCGTGGGAGGAGGGGAAATGGGTCAATGTCGCGTGCATTCAAGAGATCCTGAAGCATTGTCAGCAATCGCGCGCCAGTCGCAAGTGTGGAGAAAAGTACTTGTCTCGCGACATTGACGGAACGAGGCTTGAACGGAGGAGGCAGGTCAGGTTGTGGCTCTTTTGCGGGAGCGATCGTCGAACGAGCGGCCGGGACGACCGGTAGTGGAATCACAATCATTTTGGCAGAAGCAGGCATGGCTTGGAGGACGCAAGCCTAGTGGTAGAGAGGTCATGGTCGGCGGTCACAATCATCGCCTCGAAGTGACCGAACGCTGAACCCACTCGCACGGACATTGCCGACAGCAGCCACAGCGAACCACGGAACGCCGCAGCCACGGTCACGGGGGCACTGTATTCAAGACCTGCAGTGTTTGACGACACGGCTACATGCAGGGGAAAGGGAACGGCAAGGCGTACCACCCTGGTACCACGAATAGCACATCTATTGACAATCCCGAGTCACCAATGTGAATGTTGACCGTACGTACCATTATTGCGCGCGAATGCTCCCCGCTTTTATGAGCAGCCCTCTTCGATTGGGCTGGGCAAATCAATCCTTGATCAATCCCATAGTCGATCGAAATCGAGGACGATTATGCAAGACCCTTATGAATGAGGCATCATGTCCATTTGAAACTGAAGATAAGCAGCCAAATACATGTCCGATATTCGATCCCGGGGGTACGGGACGTCACGTACTACAGTGCACTGACTAGTGCCTGCATGCTACACCTCCGTATGCCTTCACTCAATCCGACCGTGAGCTTTCACGATCCTGTGCGAACTACGCTCCGTCCCGTACACATTGGCCCGCGCACCGAGAGCGATGGAGCTAGGGGCCGCGGGGACGCTGGAGAAGACCGACGACACGCCATCGGAGGCCGAGGAGACGACGGAGCTCGCCGTACCGCTGGCCGTACCGCTGGCCGTGCCACTGGCCGTACCGCTGGCCGTGCCGCTGGCCGTGCCACTGGCCGTACCGCTAGCCGTGCCGCTGGCCGTGCCACTGGCGGTCGTGCTACCCGACAGCGTCGTGGTTCCGCACTCGTACTCCGTGACAGTGAGGGTGGTCGTGACGACGGAAGGAGCGGTGGACGACGAGGTCGTCACAGTGGTAATGGAGGCCGAGGAGTCAGTGGGAACGCTGGTGAAGACCGAGCTGATAGACCCGGTAATGCTTGGCACGCTGGTGAAGACCGAGCTGACAGACCCGGTAATGCTTGGCACGCTGGTGAAGACCGAGCTGACAGACCCGCTGATGCTTGGCACGCTGGTGAAGACCGACGAGACAACGGAGCCCGACTCGCTGGCGGGGGCGCTGCTGAACACCGAGGTGACGACGGAGCCCGTGACGCTCGGCACGATACTAGAGGAGACCGACGAAGCGCAATCGGTGGCGCTAGGGCAAGAGTCGAACGTCGTAGTTGGACTGGTTGACGGAACAACCGACGAGGGAATGTCTCGGACTGTTCCGTGAAGCTACGGTGAGTGACGAGGCAGGTATCAGTGAAGGAGATGGAACGCACCTGCAGGCATGGTCATTGCGGAGGGCAGTATGGATGCAGCCAGCACCAAAGCTGCGATGTTAAAAGGGAAACGAGGCATGGCGACAACTGAGGGGATACGAATAATTGCAAAGACTGGGCAAAACAAGTGCGTTGAACCTGAAGGAAAGAGGGGCTGATCTTGGACTGGTCGAAGACGGAAGGGGACGCATGCTTTTATAGACACGATCCTATGTGACCCCTGGGTTCTGTGTGCGCGGGAGGGGTCACCTACCCGATGGCACTGCGCGCAGCGCGACAGTCCGCGAATGATGTGCCGCACGTCTTCCCGCACCCCGGTCTCGGCTGGGATGTGAATGTCTCTTCCGAATCAGTATGAAGTGATACCATACCAATACATACCATGTCTTCCAATATGCAGCAACGTGGTCAATGGGCGACGACCGACGGCTGCAGCGAGCAAACCTGACCTGTACATAGCCCCGATTCTTGGCCTTGGCAGTCCGTAGCACCGGCGGCCTTTCACTCAGCCACAAGCGCGAGGACAGACACGCGGTTCAGATCAGTGCGTATCGCAGTCTAATCTATGAAAATCAGCATACACAACGGCCAGCGCAGCCCGCGTACCATGTATCAATGCTGTACAAAGGCTGAGACCGAGGATTTAGGCATTCGAATGCGAGTTGTGAGCGACTTCGCTATGTAGTATGTGGCGCGGCGCGCCGTGACAGCTATCCAGATTCGCAGAGGCGTACCGGGTACCCTAGTGAGCCGGGTTTGAGTACTGAGTGATGTTTCGGCATATAACGACCATCACGAAGCACCTACGCAGTACCCTGCTCGATGACAGTGAACAGCTTGAGCTTGATCCCGCAGGAGTAGTGGCATATGAGCATAGATCAACTTCTCAAGTCTTTGGGGGTGCTGTCATATGCGCTGTCTACGACCATCAGCTGATACACATTCATGACTGCCCTGTAACCTTCGTATCGAGTCGCTACAAGCGTTGTGAGCCTTCTTCGGTGTGAGCCTTTGTGGCCCATCTTCATTCATGAGTATATCATCACACTTAGATGACAAAAGGGGGCATTAAAGGCGGAATCTGTGCCACATTTATTGTCAGAAGCCCGGTCTTCGGGCAGCGTCGTGTGATCACAGCTTCCTGTGCTTACTTCGTTTGATCCAAGGACTCCGTGGGCGTTTCGTAGGTTGCAGCTGGGTGCGGGTCTCCAAGGTAGAATACAAAGCGGCCAAGTGTAGCATGAGCGACAATAGAGAGAAGCTCGCAAGCGGCGAGCCTGGGCCAGTGACTGCGAGGATGCGGGGCCAGCGCATATGGGCCCGGGTTGTGATCGCTTACCGTAAGACCACAGCCTTGTTTACTCCAATCAGTCCTTCGGGCAGCGTGATGGGGCAACCAACAAGAGGACTTGTAGTGACCAGTTCATGTATTCCAAGCGTTGACCAACACCGTAGTAATAGGAGCGCAGAGGAGCGACGTCGAGAAAGAGCCTGAGCAATGAGCATCTCTCTCAGAGTTGAGTGGGAGGATCGAACTTGGATCAAACAACGTGCCTTCCCTAGATGGTAACGAGGCAGGCGCTCAAACTCCCGATCGATCTGAGGATGCATTCACCGCCACGGCGCCACCCCCGTTTATGGTACACCAGCCCTGCCAAGACCGTACGGCCGTACTGACTCGACTCCTCCCACAGTGTTGATCGTGCTTCGGCGATTCTGCACATACAAATCAAGCACCTGAGTAGAGCGTTAGTAGTTCTCGCGCAATATCCTTGCGATACTAGTAGAGCCGAAGGCTTCCGACTCGTTGACGACGACAACCGTGACCAGCGGCGGACCTGGGTGAGCTAGACAGCTAATTGAGGTGAGTGCCTAGTAGTTATCGGTCGGTGAACAACGGATGTGCATTGAATTCACCGGGCTCGAACTTCGGCCTTCGGCACCGTCCCGTCGTTTCCCATGCTATTCATGTCAATACAGATACCAAATAAGACAATCGCTCACAGCCTCACCCTCGCAGCCTATTCGTCTGCTTACTGTCGATGACCGACTTCCGCTGAGCGGAGGGATCTTGGCTGAATGGGCGGACGTCGATTGTCAATGAGCGCAGCTCCTGAGCCGCAGCGGTCAGTGCTCCCCGTGTCCTCGCGTCGTACATCGCTCCTGATTGAATTTTCGGAATTGGCTAACCTGTAGCGACCTCACTACGGCATTCGACACCGTGTCCCGGCGTACCCTGCGGTATGAACAGGACATTCAGGACTTCGAGGTATGTCTCACCGTCCATCGTTCTGTATTGTATGATGACATAGGTTGACCGTTTCCAGAGTAGACTAGCCATCAACTTGAGCAACTCGCGTGCTATCGGCACGTTGCTGCAGGAAGCGCAGTCTGCTCTGAAGGTGTGCGGTGTGCTATTGCCCGTACACGCCCGTTTCGGGACAAGGTCTTTCTCGGCCGAGCGCCATCAGCTGCCACCGGATGCATCTGGTCCTGGGAGAGCGCCCGTGAGAGCGCTGCACCGGGTGAAGGGTGCTATCAGGAGAGAGCCTCCTCAGCCGCCTATACGACGGACCTGACAAGCTCGGGTCATCATGGTATGACGTGGTACATCCACTACATGCCATATGAATAGGGTACGCCAGATCACAGGTGATTCAGGCAACATGTGCATGATCCTCACCTACGGAGGATGACTATGTTAGGCTCACCGAGTCACCAGGGTAGCAAGTACGTCGGGCGAACTTGAAGAGATGTGCTGGTTGTGCTGGTAAATCACGATTATTGTAATTCGAATCACGTAGCACTGGGATGCGCGGTGGTACCGGTGACATTGACTATTATTGCCTGAAGCGTCGAATTATGACGGCCGTGGTGGCGTGATGTAGATAAGTAGACCGTAGCGAACGTATGTATCATGAAATGACAATTAGACGGAAATACTAGTGGATAGCGTGCGAAGTAGTCAGCGCGAGTGGTGGCGAGCATCAGAGCAGCGAGAGCAACGAAAGCATGAAGACAGGCAACGAGACAAGCAACGACAATTACCAAATCACAGAATACTAGGCTAGTCCTCACGAATATCTTCGGCGAAGCCACCGGCAGCGTTGTCGGCAAGAGCTTGGATCTGGGAAGGAACCGTAGATGGATCCTTTCCTCGGGCTGAGGGTAGTGTCGATGGTTCACCGAGCTCCTTTTTGTCGGCATCAAGTATGTTCATGAAAAGCCTTGAGAGCCAGGCTCGTCAGAAACGGAGCTGCATACAATCATTAAAACGACGTACTTAGTAACCTTGCGAGGCTCATTAGGGAACATGCCGCGGATGTGCTCAAGGCGATCATCAACCCGGTCCCAGTAATCCTTCACGTTCAGTGTGGACTCCGTGAGGACCTCTATCAACACGCGACGCTGCGAAGGATCATCAAGCTAATGTGAGATGGATAACTACCCGCAACGGGTCATCATACATACCAGCAATGCGAGCCGCGCGCACAATTCGAGCGTTGGTTTGAACATGACAGCGGAGTGCTTGTCCGCGATGTTCTCACACAACGTCAGAATATCGATCTGCAACGCAGCAGCGCGGGTCTTTTTGCTAGCAGTTGACGACTGCATTTGCGGACCTAGGCTCAGCCACAGCTGACGTGTGAGACACGAGTGAGACAACAGAGATGATGTCGAAGATGCTGTACCAACCAGCTGCTTAATCTCCGCACGCCGGTCAGTAAAGCGCTCCTGTATCCTCTTCATGACGATCTCATTCTTGTATGAGTCGCCGCGAACCTCGGCCGTATATCCCCATTGTGGATGCTGCTCAAGAAGGGTCTGCGTATGATATGGTGGCACGTTATGCAAATTAACACTGTGTTAACGAACTACAGGCTCACCTTCATCCGTTTGACAGGCACCGAGTTCTTGAGGTAAGCTGGGAGCTCCGGCGACAGAAGGATCAGAAATGTGTAGAGATCAATCTTGTCCTTCACAAGCAGTTGCATGAGTCAATTTTGTACAGATCGTGAGCCACACATCATACCTTCAATCCCTTTGGCAAGAGCCATTGAGCATCCGCGGGCTGGATGACTTCCAAGTGCTGCTCGTTCTTCAAGAGACGTGCAGCCAACCAAACCGACCGTTCGTCAGGAGAGAGCTAGCATTTGATAGCACATCAAGGTCTGGAACTGGGCCAAACAAGACATGGAAAACGTACGCGAGCAACATCCTGGAGCTCCTGCTGACCTGCTGGCCTGAGACGGACCCGACGCGCAGTTCTCTCTGCATATTGAATAAGATCGTCTTCTGCGCGTCGCTTCTGCCCAGCAGAAAGAGTGCTCAAAGCGGAGTTGGCAGCCTGAGACGGAGCCTCCTCCCTTGTCGCAGCATCCTCTGTTGCAGCAGTATTTGCGGGAGTCGTTGGGAGGTCGGTGGTTGCAGGTTGCGGACTGGAAGGAGCAGATGAAGGCGGAAGTTCCAGCAGGGAGTCAAACAAGTCAGACATCGAGTCTCGGAGGCAAGGAACGACAAGCAGATAAATGGGAAAGAATGTGAATGGAGAGCGGTTGGCAGCAGAGGGCGAGGGAGTTATACCGTTCGCAACGACAAGATCACGTGCATCCGCGGCGCTGTCCTCGCGATGCGCAGAGTCCCAGTCGGCGGTCATTAACTTCGCTTGCAGTGCTAAACACAACGCTCGAGCACGCGACAAACACATGCCGGCGGAGAAGACAGAGCTTCACACCGGAGGTGAGTCCAATTACGTTGAGTCTGAACCATAAACTCACCATGATTTTCAGGGTACTTCGTTGCCGTAAAAGATGATCCGACCGTTTGGAAGTGTGTGCCTTGCAGTGAGAACACATCTTCAGGAAAGATCAGTACATTCCTACGCAATAAACCTGGGCGACACACCAAAACGGTCAAGCACCAAAATGCCGTCAAGGAGTATCTTGCGAAACCTCGTGCACCTCCGCATGCAGGAAGTAATTCCAATAACGCGCCAGGACCGGCGGCCACGATGTCGCTACCGGAGACATTCAGCGCGCACGAGGTTCTCGGAAGATCAGACAGCAATGATGGCTCACCTCGGTACAATCCGTTGGATCACATACACGATGACGGTGATCATGGATTTGTGGACGACGCTGGCCATGAGATTCGCTTGTCTGCGGGTGCAACACCGGAGGAAGACAGCCGTGCGCGCATCCGCAGGGAGGTCGGGAACCTTCTGGGCAATGCCTTTGTTGAACACGGTGATTGGGGTGCCAGAGTGGCTGGGATCGCGGAGTCCGAGTCAGTCATGGATGAAGAGGAAGCGAGGCCGACAATCGCAGATGCTGTAGCTGAGTTACATCTTGCAGGTTCGTACGGTTTGTTCCAGCCATGAGGAAAGCTCACCTTCACTCCATCATCACCAGGCCTTGCCGATGACCCAGAGGATGACGAGAACACGTTCGAGATGCCGCTTCCAGGCTATGAACATGTGCACAGTGACCCTCAATGGCACCCATACACGTCAAAGACAGTGAGTCTCCAGGTGGTATTCACATGATCTGAAGCTGACGACACATGTCATGGCAAATCAGATGTTTATACTCGATTTACTCGACAACTTACCACGGCTGAGGCTTTCTGACGACCATATGAAGGTTTTCATATGGGCGTTGAAAGAATGTGGCGCGTTGAATGTTCCGACATTCACAAACCTGCGTGCACAGCAGGCTCGCCTGACGAAGGAAATGAATATTCAGACCACACACCACGTGTCAGCCCAAAGTAACCACTTCTACGCAAATTGCCCGTCTGAAACAACTCGCCTTGTAAGTCGGTGCATAATGCGGGTCCGTGGATCGGAATTGATAACCCTGCAGGACTTTGCCAACCCATTGGTGCGGCCGCACATGTCATTTCTCCCACGAGTTGGCGCACCGGTCTCGGAGTTCTACGATGGCGGGAAATGTCTAGAATTGGACGAGAAGGCGTTAGACTGTGGTCAACTGATGTGGATGGACAAGGAGAACGCACCGCGTCGCCATTTCTACATCAGAGAGCTCGCACGCCTGCGTGATGGACGCTTTGTCATACCCGTTCGGTTTGTTCAGGACAAAAATGTCGACTGTCTTGATGGTTATCTCGTAGTTCACTATGCTGCAGTAAGCCCGCTGATATTACTACTACACTTCCGGAGTTACTGAAATTACAAATCACAGACTGATATTTTCGTCGTTCGTGATCATGCGCTAATCCGGGTCGAAGCGAAGGAGCTGCAGGACAACGTTGTTGATATAGAAAGGGAGACTGAGATCAGAATTAACGGTGAGAACGTGCATGAACATCGACGCACTTTGCTGCTAACAGAACTTCTTCGAATCCACACCCAGACTCTGCGCCATCATGGGTGGCAAAGAACCGGCACCCTGTCCGGGCAATTGCAGCGCAGCGCCCAGCATATACCGTACGGTTGATGAGTTGGAGTGATGATGTGTCAGGCAACAAGTCTAAGCAATACAACGCGCATACAAATGTCTACACGGCAAATATTAACTTACCGCATGACAAGCTCAAGCAAGAGTATTTTGTTCGATTCTGTTCGACCTCGCAACATGCTTCATCCTCTGAGCAGCTAGAGATACTTGCGAAGGACACGTAAGCACTCATTGCATGTAGACGGCACACGTACTGATTGGGTTGATTCTACAGAGGTCCCGACCGATGGCACACGGCGTATGACTGCGCGCTCCACGAAGAAGTCTTGTTCCGGCTCATTCCTCACGTCTTCCCGGCCGATAACCCTCAGCAGTCAGAACATACCTCACACATTGGTGGGAATGGGAACAAACCTTGTCGCGCTTGCAGAATCGGAGGTACCGCCGAAGAGCGAGAACAAGAGGAGCAATATGAGACGTTCTTCCAGGTAAGTCCGAATGTTTAGATTGACAGCAGCGATAATGACTCAGTTGATCACCTTGTCTTGCCTCGGTGCTGAAGCCGGGACGCCTACGCTCAGCGGAATACACCGTCAACGAGATCAAGTCGCAGCTCTGGATAGCAGGCCTCGGTGTTCAAGACACGATCGATCTCATGCAATCGCACACCGGCGTCAAAGACAAGACTGCACAATACTGGATTGACATCTTGATCAAGAAGGCGCGTGCAATGCAGCAAGAACGTATCACGTCCAAAACGACGATGGATCCCCGACTGAAAGATCGGCGCATCAGCCGTGATCCGCAGGCGAAGCAGGATATTAAGGCGACGATCATGAATGAGATCCAACACGAGCTGCACGAATGGCTGGTCCAGCAACCACCGCACCATTATGACAGCCTTCCACTGGATTCGCGTACGTGCACTCTCGTTCCTTGGTAGTCATGAGTATTACTCACCGCCGCATCTTGTTTCATGTTTTTGAAGCGGAGCGACATGCTCTGCGACCTGGCGACCACTATAATGTCCTCCTCGGTCTCCCTGGTGTCGAGATTCATCTAGATACCCCATGTGAGATCTTGCATACCTTCCTGCTTGGTCAAGACAAGTATCTCTGGCACACGACGAACTCGCCCTGGGACAAACGAAGCGACGAACTCTTCGCTAGCCGGCTACGCGGATCTTCGGTGGATGGCTTATCGTTACCGCCCATTCGAGCCGATTATCTACTCAAATACAAGAATTCTCTTGTTGGGAAACATTTCAAAGCGTTACAGCAGGTCGGCGCTTTCCATCTGTACGGTGGCCTATGCCCCGACATCGTACGCGACCTCTGGAAGGCTACCGGTGAACTTGGTGCGGTGTTGTGGTTCAGTAAGATCCGTGATATGGACCAATACACTGTGAGCACCTAATATGATTTCACGCGGCGTTCTGAGTCTCAGGCTGATCCATTGCCTTCTACGTCATGTTCGATAAGGCTGACCTGGAGATCCTCATTGCAAATGTGCTCGACATCTGGGCAATCATTGACCCGAACCGGATCTTGACGAAGAACAAACTACACATTCTGACTCATCTCATTGCGAACATCAGACGCTTCGGCCCCGCTATCCTCTACTCTACTGAGATCTTCGAGTGCTGGAATGCTATCTTCCGCTTCTGCAGCATTCTTTCCAACCATCAAGCCCCAAGCCGTGACATTGCAGTCACTCTCGCTGACATGGAACGTTTCAAGCATCAGGTTAGCGGTGGCTGGTGGCGCAACTCCACAGGAGAGTACATACGTGCCGGTGACAGTGTCCGGGCATTCTTTAAAGAGAACGTCACCCTTCAGCATCGTCTCGGATGGGTCGAACACGTATCTCTCCCAGAAGGTGAGCCAGATATGGATATGATCTAGATTTCGTTACTTAATCGATTCCGCAGGTTCAGTTAGGCTTGAGGCGCAAGCGAAGCGGTGTCCTTCGAGTTGGGCAGATGCAACACAATCATTGGGCGAAGTTCAGCCACCACCATCCAGCATTTCTCACGCCCCGCCGGCCTCAGCTGCTGCCACGAATTCAGGGACACAGTGGCAGCACTGTAAGTACCTCATATCACAATCCACCGACGTATGCAAGCCGGAATCGTGGGTTTTCTTCAAAGCCAGTCAGGATAGGGCGGCCGCGGCGGGACGTGACGCTCAGGCTATGACCGTAAGTTGAGCCGACCTTATCAGTACGGCTGCCACAGCCTGAGACACTGAAAACTTGCGTTGCGTTACAGCATTCCAGCGTCATGGCTGGTCGTATTTCCAAGATTTTATCTCCCATTGACGGCGGAGAAGCAGTCGCCATCATTAAGCCTTTCGACATCGCTGATAAATGTGATGAATATCTCAATATGCCAGTTCTCACTCCGCATGACGGGCCAGTTTGCTTAGTCGCACCGAAGGTGAGTTCCTCAACACTCCAGAACTGCATAAGGCCGTTCATATATTATGTTAGGATGTCTTGTTCATATTCAATGCGCAACACGACTGCCGCGTGTGCGGCTGTTCCGCAACAGCACCAGAGGCGATTATCCAGGAACGACTTGTCACTGCCCGTACTCGCTCCGCTGTGAAGCACACGGATAAGCCACGCTACTTACTCAACATGCACGCGTTGCACAATGGCGACCTTATTCGTGAGACGTTGCCGCGAAACCTCACCGAACCGAAGTACTACATCGCTCGCGCGTACCGTCAGGCTAAGCACAGCCAAATTGCCCGTGGCCTACACCTAACCGGCACACTTCGGCGTAAACAAGCGGCAGCAAAAGCTGCTGAAACCCGGGCACGTAACAAGGAGGCTCGTGCTCGCGCTGACGCTGCGACTGCGCATTGTGCACCCGAAAAGGAAGGGCCAAGAGTTACAGGTTCGTAGTTGTCCCAATTCGTGTACCTCATTGTCCCTGCATCATCGTGACTGACAGGACATACAGCTGATAGTAACGGCGAGCCCGTTGATCGCCTGGTCAATGATAACGACTCGGATGTAGATATGGAGGAAGCATCGTAGTATCAAAATGATCAATGAAGTACAAATTGCTGCTTGTTCCTACTCACTGTCTGCTACCGCTGCCCAAATCCTGTGGTGCTATGAAGACCCGAAACAGAGATCCATTATACCTCTACATTTTCAGGTCCGCCCATGCTGCCGTGGGCATACGTCAGATGTTCTCTCCCGCGACATGGTCAGGCAATGCGTCGGAGCATGACGACGTGAGCAGGGCCTGCGGAAGACCTCATGCTTGGAGCGCGATGAGATGAGTGCGCTGACCCGACACCGATGCGATGGAAATGTGAGCTACCTCTGAACAATCGGCTCGGCGTCGCCCGAAATTCCCGGGGCATTGCCACATCCGAGAAAAATGGCGGTGTAGGCCTCAGTTATAATCCAAATTGTCGAGTAGCAATACCAACACCAAGCGGATTCGGCCCTAGATTCCACTATGCCGCACATAGAGCAGTCCCTCTCCGAAGATGTCGACTCGCTCGAGTATCTTGACGAGCACTTACCTCGGATTGAAGGAGAGCTCGGTAGCATCACGCGGGTGTACGACCGCGGTAGAGACAAGGTATCTCGATCCAATCATGAAATACACATTATGCTAAGCCTTTCATACACAGGCAGAGCAGCTGATCACCGATCTTGAATGGCTCAGCACGCCCCTCACAGGCCGCCTGCGAAGAACGATCTTCACCGCTTCAGCCCCAGTGAGACCGCGGACAAAGGCGTTACTCGTACGTCCCGTTCTTCGACTGCGGACAATATCTCCCGGGGGCTAACCGCGACTCGCCGCTGCAGCGTTCTCTCTTCGCCTTGGCGTTCTGCGTGGGCGTCTGGTTCACCTGGATCACTCTGGAGGGTGCCGTCCGCGCACATCGTCAACGCCTCGTGTGGGGTGAACGATTGCTGAGCTAAGGGTGAACTCTTCTGGGCATCGGACATTTACTCCATACTCCAATCTCAGGTTTGACACAACGAAACGCCATCACCTCATCCTACCTTCTTCGCCTCTCGCCACATCGTTGAGTTCCTACTTACATATCTAGGCTGGATGCTCCGCGCATAGAATCACCCTTCCACTCGGACTCTACAAGGACGACTGTATTGTATTTGAAATGTCCTGTAATCTCGTACTGCTATCTGTAGATTGGCTGGGTTGTGAACACCGCACACTCGACACGACGGGCTCCATCGTCCGACTCTGTGCAACGAAATCCAAGACAACTTTACTCCAGCGGTCTCCGTACCCAGAACAGGTAGTTGCACCCCTCTCCCCACCTCGCGCCCACGGCGCCGCGAGGGACCAGTGTCCACTCGCCCTTCCACGGGACGTATATGATCCCACGCGTCTCCGCCTCCGTGCGCGTGGGTACGCCACCGTACAGGCGAGAGATCCACGGCCTGCTCTCAGGGGCAGAGCGGTAGTCGCCGAAGAACTGCGTGAGCTCCTCGGGCCGGACGTACTTGGCGTAGGTGTGCGTTCCGGGTGTGACGAGGCGCAGGAGGTGCTCCGCGGCGAAGATGGTGAGTAGGTACGCAAGCGGCGTGCGCGAGATGGTCGAGAGGAAGAGGTGACCGCCGGGCTTTGCGATACTGGCTGAGAAGACGTCTGCGAAATGGGAGGAGAGAGCTCACCTTGACCAGGTCAGCGCAATTGCGCAGGAACGTGCGTGGGTTGTCTACGTGCTCGAGGACCTCCATCGAGCAGACAACGTCGAATTGCCTCGGACCCCGGGTAGCGAGCACGTCCTCCGCGGATGTATGCTCATATGTCAGAGCGCCCTTCCCTCTGCTGGTCGGTGCTGGGGACGTAGATTTCACGGAGAGTGAGTAGTTGAGCGAAGGGTCGGATGATGCATGTGTGGACGCAATGCCGATGTTCGACGCAGAAGCGTCAACGCCGAGCGTGTTCGCGCCGAGTCTGGCGAGGCTCTGTTCAAGTCAGTATCGCCGCGAAGTCCACTTCTTGGGAGCACACCTCACAAAGCAGACCACCCCCGCATCCGACATCTAGGACATTCAGCCCCTTCAGAACGTCATCCGCACTCGCCGCGTCCTCTCCGTCCTCCCTCCTCATTTCAAGCTGCACCGACGTCAGCCGAAGTATAGCGTTGATTGAAGGGTGTCACATACCAGCTTCTCGCGGATGAATTGAATTCTGACAGGGTTCATTTTGTGTAACATTTGAAACTCGCCGCGCTCGTCCCACCATTGCGAAGAGAGGCGAGAAAACAGGGCTATTTCGTCTGGGTTGACTGACGATTGCGAGCCTGTACTAGCGGCTGCCGATACAAAAGCGGCTCGAGACGCATGGTATAGTCGCTGATGTCTTTGAGCAGAATGGTAGCGGATCGCGCGGGAAGCAGGTTTTGGGAGTCTCGAGGGCTTCATGACGCGCTGAGCGTGGTGATTCATACAAGTTGTAAAGCGGGCTCCCGGAGAGGAGGGAGAGACGGTGTCTGTCGCGCAACGCGTTCTGGACGCGCTCCTGCACGTGGTCCCGGCCAGCGCTTGCGGCACTAGGGGCAATGGCTTACACGGACGTGCCGCAGACGATGACCATGGCCCCGACATGCCTTGTTACTTAGAGACGTTGTCCACGGGATGTATGCGTATACAATGCCTCGAGACTTTTGGATGCGACAGCCCCGTGAGTTCGTGATTGTTGTTCATGTTGATCCGTGCTCACTGGCACACTAGGTGCGACTTTCTGCAGGCTCCAACGCAGACTGAGTATGACAGTACTACTACTCGTGCAACAGCGGTGCAGTAGCGGATCTTGGCCTCCGCGATTACCGACTTCTAAACGACATTACACGCGAACCAGCGATGTCATGTCGCTGTGATTTCCCGCCTTCATAGGGAAGGTATTGTGTCGGAGGGAGTCGCCAAGGCGTCGCAATTGATGTCCACAGCGGACACTCAACTCGAAGCGCACTATCGTGAGTTCTTCTTCGTATCCTTTCCATTGAGACTCTCAGCTGTAGCCGGACCCCAGATGTGCATTACCACGAGTCTTGCAGACCCGATGCAGACTGAGACGATATCTCGTGCATATGGCTAGGTCCCGACCGTTCTTGACTCCTCCGAACATCCAGAAGCCATGTGTCGTGCCTGATCCAGGATGCTCCCACTGCCTCAAGATTTCAGGGTGTTGAGTCGGCTTGCATCGCCCATTCGCCATGAGGCGGACGAGCGTGCTAGGAATTCCAGAAGACAGGCCAAAGCCAGGTGGACAGGCTGGTGGTTCTGCTGTGCTCAGACACATCACCACGCCGTTCTCGCGGCTCCGGCGCTGGTGACGAGCATCGTGCGCGGTATTAGTGACCAAGCCTCCTACGGGAATGCCGAGGATATTCATCTTCTGAGATGCTGCACCGGGTCCACAATAGAGCCGTTGGAGGAATTCTTGCGCGTGAAGCAGGCTATGCGCTACAGAGACCATGCTCACCGCGTGCGCACGTCTCATCAGCTAGGCGAAATGTACGGTCGGTGTTGTTTTCTCAGTTGTCTCGCTGGTCTACACTCACTGGTCGTACGTGCTAACCAGTATCGCACATGTGCAAAGCGTTAATGCACAATAAAGTGAGAACAACAGTGCCAAGGACGACGACCCGCGACAACAACAGCATGGAGGTACGACGCGCCTATTGCTCAGACGATTAGGCGCTCATGATACTGACCTCTGTGTAAATCAAGTACAACGATCTGGCTGGCAACAGAAGATCATCGAAAGATTCTCATCTTTCGACGCCGAGTGCCCACGCCGTAGCAAATGGGCGCATACTCTACCGCTGTAGAGTATGCGCCACATTTGCTTTGGCATGTAGTACTTATGCCGACATCCGCACCAGAACCACTGCCGGTGCGACAGACACGCGAGCGGCGACGAGTCTATATCACAGCCACCAGTGCGCTTTGACCACTGTAGCTGGACAAAGCGGAGCACCGCCCTCACGTGACTGGGTTCGTATATAATGGTTGCAACTCGCGGTCCCAGTCGTGGCGCAGTATTGTTCTGGCCTTGACAAGCGTTGTTCTGACCTCACACCGTATTTCTACCCCGCGTTTTGTCCTCATTATCACCCATACTCCCACCACATCACACGACCTCGCGTCAAGATGTTCGAGCTCAGGCTCCTACTACAGGGCGTCATCGTGTTCGTGCTGAGCGTGATACATCTATCACCGATCCCCACTCCTAAACTCATACAACATACCATCCAATGCGCTCAATTGGTTATCAAGTTGCTCCCATCGTCCAGGTGCGCTTGCTCGTTTGCATTGGCCCGAATAAGACTGACGACACGCCTAGCCCGGTGCCGACTATTGGCCCTACCCCAACATGGACCCCCCTCGTGTACGCGAACACCTCGACGGCTGCCTACAGCGCACGTACCAGTGATATACTTCCCGAAGCCGACGACTTGCGGTCCTCCTTCGCTCTGGAATTTTACAACGGCACCGTCGCGCCTATGTGGACCTTGACGGCTGCCTACAGCGTGCGCACCAGTTCTATACTTCCCGAAGTCAACTACTTGCAGTCCTCCTTCGCTCTGGAACTTCACAACGGCACCGTCGAGCCTATGTGGGATGTGCGCCACATGTGGCGGTCTGTCCTCACTGATCTCCAGTCCCTCAGCACGGAGGTCGTGGTTTTATGTGTAGTGCTGTTATGGGTACTGAAGGAGCACCTCCGTGGTGCCCGTGTCCCCGACTGGCTAGAGCTGTCTAACGGTGCTCAAGTGAGTGGAGTATTCGCAGTCTACAATGTACGCAGTTCTGATATTGATCTTTCCGCCCCATAGCCTGGCAAAGACCGATTTGAAGGTGTTCTGGGCCCCGGTTTCCCGTACGCGCGCGATGCCTCGCAGTCGGAGCTTCGCTATTTCAAGGATGCATCCACCTCGACGTCTACCACATCCTCACCCGCAACAACTCCCGGCGCATCCACCTCGACGTCTACCTCGTCCTCACCCGCAACAATCCCCGACGCATTGTATCCGTTGAATGACCCGTCAGCCGAGGCAAGAGAGCCAACACCGAGTGCGGAGCCAGTGAACGTGGATCCGGTTGCCATCGAGCTTGATGACGCGCTGTCGACAGCCAGTACCGACGACGAGGGCGATATTTTCGAGGAGTGCAATCCGGCTGACAACACTGCTGAAGCAAGCCTTCACGACGACGACCTGGACGGTCACGACGATAGCATCAACAGCGCTGGGTGTTTCGTCGTCCACGATGTCCTCGAGATCGACGAACCGATGGAGACTGCCTACGACCCGCCGTCGCCCACCCCTGATCAATCTGCTCCGTCGCCGTCGCCCACCCCTGATCATTCTGCCCCGTCGCCGTCGTCCACCCCTGCTCATTCTGCTTCGTCACCGTTGCCCAGGTCAATGCTCAACCCGTGTGCCCCTGCTTTCAACCCGAGAGCCTCCAGGGTGTTGCGCCCATCGGCCCGGATTACCCCTACAGCTGCTGACCTGCCAACCGGAACCCTGCAGCAAGCCTCCTTTAGTGCTAACAACGCCTATGTCGTGCACTACCCTGGGACATCAATCTATCCGGCCGGAGCAGAATACTTTAATCTACCACAATATCTACCCACACCATCTACCTTGGCATCTACCAGTGCATCTACCAGGGCATACGGAGCAAACTACCCCCAGTACCCTTCTTACACTTTGCCGACTAACTGGACACAAACTATGGCACCTAGAGCAAACTACGCGGCGCACACTCCATGCAGACAAGCGATGATCTGGAACACTACCCTGCCATCCCGACCAAACCACGCGCAGTACACTTCACCTGCACCTGTTGGCTTCGATGGGCTTCCGCACATGGTTCGTTGTAATTCGCCGGAGCCCCTCTATCACATGCCGACCGTTGCCTCCGAGCCGCCCCCCACCTATCCCACGCCGACCAGTTCCTCAAAGCTGCCCTCCACCTATGTTACGCCAGCCAGCGACGACCCGTCGTCTGATCTCATCTATCACACATCGTGGAGCGTGCGAGCTACCCCCAGGCTACTGCAGGCTCTGGATCAATGGGTACCTCCTACTGTGAGTTGTATCTGTTGCCTTTATGGGCCAGCTCTGGTGTGCTGACGAGTTGTTCGCAGGGCCTGCCGATACCAGCTGAGTTTTCCTCAGGGTCTGCGAACGGAAGCGATTCGCAGGTTTGTAGCTCGACCCACTCGTCTCCGGGGTTGCCAACCCGCCCTCTCGATGGTGGCAGCTCTGTTCGCCGGCGCGCTACAGACGGAGACCACGTCGATCAGGATTGTGCGACGCGGCCGCCATGGCCGAGTCCGCTGGATCTGCCTTGCCTGCGCCCGGTAAGCGACTCGAGTTTAACTGCCACGTCTGCAGGCCCCTGACTGCGGTGTCTCAGCTTGTATGCGATGCCGGTCCGCCTGAGAACGTGAATCTTCAGCTTGGGACGTAGAAGATCAAGGAACGACACCTACGGAGCACCCGGTTACCTCAGCATGCCCATGCCCACCCCAGTCAAGCGTCGTTGTCTGGGCATCGCAGCACGGACCATCGCAGCGCGGACCATCTCAGCACGGACCATCTCAGCACGGACCATCACATCACGGACTTAGAAGAACGGACTTAGAAGAACGGAGGCCCCAACTCGGTCAAGCTCAACATCACGTCCTTCCCCGCACCCTCCGGAAGTTGACTAGGGGTCAACCATCCCTGTGTGGTCGATAAATATCACTAGGTCCACAGTGTTGCACCATTGTTACAGTTCCTATACCCTCAAAGTCACGACCTCAGTGACATGCGAATTATACCCAGATACTGTAGCTATCCATATACCCATGTAGAGCCACGAAATCTATCCGATATAAGAGGACCCCTGTCAATTGGGGGAGAGGCCTGATCCCAATCCGGACAAAATCCGGCTAATTTGAGGGGGTATGCCTGATGTAATCCGGACAAAATCGACGTTCATGAGGGCGGAGGCCTGTGTCAGTATCCGGACATGGTTCCCCCAACCTCGCGAGGCCTGATCCTATCCGGACACCTCAGCCGTCCGTATAGCGTCGCAACACAGCCTGAAGCTGACCTACACGTCCCGTGCATGTGCAAGGTCGGCGTCATGACTTCCCTGACGTCGAATGCCGAGCAGCCATATCACGCTGTGCGCGACGAAGACGACTGGCATGATCATTGTCCAATAGCCACCCCATCCGCGCACCGTTGGTGCTCACTTGCCCGACTATTCACCATGAGTTACATGGCTGACGAGGCCTGATCCTGCAATCCGGACACCGATCCGCTCGTACCAAGGCCTGATGCACAGTCCGGACAGCAGCGGAAAATCATCCCTGAGGCCTGATTTAATCCGGACAAATCTGGACACACACGTCCGGACAAAAATGCCAAAATCTCGGGCGGCAGGATCAGGCCTCCCCACCAATAAACAGGGGTCCTGATATAAGTACCCGTCGTAAGAGTGAAGTCAGAGAGATCTTGGCGATATCCCACACAGTCCGTACATGATCATAGATTGTATGCGATGCAAAGTGAGCTTCGTGGCTGTACACTCGGTAGTAGCCTGAGTACTGAGACCTTGAGTATGCTGTGCTAGAAGCGTGTCAAAGTCCACACTGCACGATGAATGCACAGCGATATGTCACCTACGATCACCATGACTAGGATAGACTCAGAAGCAAAGTGCTCTGAGACGTGCTTGAACACGTGCAGAATCATAAATGATGTGGCAAAGACGCAGAATGATATGTATGTGTGACGTTGAGTACAAAAGCAATGATAGGAAAAAGCGCGACCATTGCGAACGAAGCAAGGGAAAAGAAGTGGATAGGCAAGGGGGCGGATTGGCCTAATGGGCGAGAATGGTTTCGATAATACAGGAACGGGGCATATGATTGTAGACGAACGCGAAGGGGAACCAGACGGATCTGACAGAGAAACTAAGGCCTAGTAGTGTATCAGGGAGAAGAAGTCGCCGAGAAGAAACTTTGATGTTGCGATGACCGAAAGGGGACTACCCGTGTTGAGTTTGCTCGAGGTTCCCAGCGGTACGGCGTTGACGCAGAAGACGATGGAGAATAGAAGATGCTGAGCTGCGATGGGGGCAAAGGCGGTGTATGAACGGGGGGAAGAGGGGAATGCGAAATTTGGCGCAAAACCGAAGCTTGCAGGGCGTGATGTGATTCAGATAGCGGGTGGTAACCTCGGAGGCTGGAGAAGGCGTGGCCGTCCTCTTCGTCTTCAACGAGGCGAGTGCGCATCGCGCGACAACTCCCGCGCCGTATCGACCATTTAGATCTTGAGAATCGGAACAACACTTGTCGTTGCTCACACGTGGTGCAAGGGGGGCTTCCAAGCGAAACTTGCTCGAGCTCGTACGCCAGTCAGTATTGCGGCAAATTCCGCGCTCTCTTCTCTCCTCAGCCACACGTCGCCCTTGTCTCCAGCGCAGACCAGCATCCTCTGCTCGCCGATCGCGCCCCTACGTCAACGCGACGCGCTTAGTTGGCAACCCCGAACAAGCGGCGCAAGGACTTAAGCTTGCTAGGTCTAGGCACGGCAGGCGCGGTGACGGTGTCGGAGGCAGGGGGTGTGACCGGAAAGGGGATGCTCTCTGGCGATACGCTTCGCGGAAAAGGCGAAGAAGGGGAGTCCGGAGAGGCAGAGCCGTCGATGAGTTGAGGAGTATCAACGGGTGGCGATGGCGGAAGTGGAGGCGTGCTGGGCCGCGAGGCTGCCGAGGACATGCTCGAAGCAGACGACGTCCGGCCCATAAACATGCCAAGGAAACCACTACCCATGCGTCCTGTCTTGCTGTCCTTGAGTGCAAGTGCGGCGGCGACCGGGTGAGGCACGTATACTCCCGTCGGCTGGACAGGGCCTTGTTCGGAGCCGTGAGGGCCCGAGAACTCCCCAAGATCCTTGGGAATCACGCCGACAGCGGTCATAGCAAGGACGGGATCTACCCAGTCGGCGAACTTCGGAATAGGAGGCTCGGGCATAGGACGAGAGAGCTCTTCCCTAATCTTCTCGAGAGCTTCCTCGTCCATGCTGTCATCCGTGTGGCTACCACCCTGGGGTCCACAAATTGGGTCAAGACTAAGTTAGCGATAGGATTGAATCTGGGGACGCACCACGAACGATGATTCATCTTCACTAACGTCGAAGATTGACTTCCAGTAGTTCTGCCCAAGTTCATGGACAGCGTCGACAGCGGGCAAACCGGCACTGTCCACGATCTCAATGGATGCGCCAACCTGCTCCTCGTGGAGGCCATTGATGCTGAGGATCGTATCGGATACAGCCAATCTCGCTGGCCTCGCTTGGCTGGCTTCCCCAGCAGGTACCTCCAGGTCAGAGGGTATATCCCCGGCTTCCGTAGCAAGCCCTTCGGTATCTTCGGTGAGACTCGTTGTCTGCTTGTCTTGCGAGTTCCCGGAATCGAAGTCGCTGACGTCCGCGCTATAGATCGTTGAAGCGGGAGTCTCAGTGCCGGAAGAGATTACCTCGAGTCCTGTGGGGGAGTCTGCTGGCAGAGCGATGCAAACGATGGGTACTTCATCCACGGTGTCGATTTCATCGTCATCTGTAGGAAGGGGGACCGTGCAGGGATCGGCGTTGTCTGCGACAGGGCTGTCGAACGAGACTTCAGGGATTGACTCGGTCTTCGACGTGGTCGGAATGATAGGCACATTCGCAACTTCCTCGTGCTTGTCAGACGGACCTTCATAGCAGACAGTAAACCTCAAGACTACAGATGAGAAGCAGGTCACGTACTCGGGGTCGTAGTCATATCTTCATTATCATGTTTTCGTTTAAATTGCTGCGCCTCGGCGATCGAGCTGTCCAGCTTGCCTACATCGACTTCGAGGGCGGTCGCGTCGGAGAGCACATCGACATCAGAGGGCCCAGGTTGGCTGACGCTCTCTGCGTGGGCGGTGTCAAAGGGTGTACAAAGTGGATGTGTTGCAGGCGCACCTTCCAAAGTCATGGCGACCTCATGCTTGTCCTCTGGCGCAACTTCGAAGCGATCATCATCGTGAGCTGGCACACCACCTTCGTCCGCATCCACCTCGGAGCTGGGCGAGGTGGGTTGACCATCTTGACCAACAGTAGTATCTGCCACTGAATCAGCGGTATGTTCACGGACCAACCAGTCAAGCTCACCTTGAGTGATAGATGCGGCGAGCTCGTGTCCACCAATCAAAGCGACCTCAGGTTTGATAGCTTCAACGGTGGGCAGAACGAGCCCAGCAACGTCGTCTTGATCAATCTTGGCATGCAGCGCGCATGACTTCTCCTGGTGCGACGGAGTGGTGGCTCTGCAATGGATGGTGTGAGGGTGTCATACATGTGATCGCGAAGAAAGCAAACATACTCTTTCGCGTCAATAGGAATGTTTCCATCTGCCTGGGCTTCTTTGTTTGACTTAGCAACCACGTCTTGTACTGTCGATGCGCTTCGCTTGCCAGATGGGAGACTGGCCACAGGGACCGGTGCCTTCTCCCTGGCCGTGACCGATCGGGACGTCGCACGCATACCAGGAATGAACTTGCGTCCTGATACGTTGCCAGGCTGAGAAAGGCCATCTTGCTTGACGACAGAGCCTCGAACGGTCGAACTTGAAGGAACAGCGGTCCTGTTCCGGAGAGGTTGACGCGTAGGAGCGGGTAGCTTGGTTGGTGGCGGAGCCGTGGTGCGCTTCGTAGCACCGCCGATGTTGCGCGAGCGAGCATGTCTCCCGATCTCCGCGCCGAAGGTAGGAGTAATGCTCTTCGACGTTGGTGTCTTTGGGGCGACAGGGTAGGTCGTCGAGCCATTCCGTGCTGGGGTGCGCTGTGCGGTCTTAGCAACTGTCGCGGGCGTAGGGCGTGGGCGCAGAGGAGGTGCCGGTCTCGTAGGACTGACGCGGCGACTGCTGGAAAGAGGTGCAATCTTGATGTCCTTGGTACCACCACGGGTGTTTGAGTGAGGTACTTGCGCATCTGCCTTCTTGCGACGGGCCTCCACTGTGCTTGTATGGATCGTAGAGCCGAAGGCGACTGTCGAGTTCTTCTGAATGAGAGCAGGCGCAATTACGGATCGCATACGAGTACGGCTATTGATCTCCTCTGGGGCTGCCCCGCTACGCAACAGGGAGGCATTCGTGGGCCTAAGGTACCTTGGACACGCCGGTGGAGCGACGGAGGACGCATCGCCATGGGAAGGCTTGAATCAGGGCCACCATCAGCATCTCAGACGGTATTGAAGAAGCGTATGAGACAAACCTGTCTGTTGTTCGTATTCAACCCGTGACCTGGTGCCTTCTCCGGGAACTGAGCCCGCTCCTGGGTACCTCCGGAAGGACGGTGTGACTCGTGTGCTTCGATTTGTAACGGTTGGGTACCATTGCTTGTGCGTACCCCAGTGCTAGCGAGCCTGATGGAAGCTGTGTCGGGAGGCTTGCAGGTCCTCTTCAGGGCTGGATTCATCGGGGTCTTGAGAGGCATGTTGACGAATAGACAAGCAGAGCGTAGTCGATAGCAAGATAAACGAGTGACTGCAAAGCAAAGAGAGCGACCAAGCAACCGAGAACACAGAGACAGGAAGCGGAGAGAGGGGCACGAGGGAACGAGAGCGACGGGCTGAGGCGGTCATAACTACGAACCTGGAGGCTGACCAGGCATGTTGGCTGACAGTCAGCCCAAGGTGCCGTCTTCTCGGGTCTTTGGTCATGATTATAACCATTGCAATCTATACGCAGAATCCCAGATGAACCCAGGTTGTCCCTGCACGCATGAGGCATCGTGCTCTTGCGGGAGGTACTCAGCATGATAGAGGAACATAGATTCGGCGCTGCCGTTGGCGACCACTTGGTCGGACCGTGATGATTCCTAGGTTTCGACTTCGCACCTTGAAGCCTTGAAATCCCTCAATTGGGCATTGGCATTTGGTAGAGAGAAAGGGAACATCGAGTATGAAACTGCCACAGGCTATCTGTGAGCTGGCGGGATGGCGGGACAACGTCAAGCGCGAAGAACAGGACCTTCCTGAACGGAGGTGCGTATCGGCCTTTGCCGGCGTGCTTGATCAGGAAGCTCGTCACGATCACGTTCACTGTAACGCGCGCGTTGGACTCGCGCCTGCCAGCGTCTTGTCCCTTGCAGTCATCCTCCCTCCTCCCTCTCGTTCGACCCAGCAGAGAATTTTATACGGTCCGCCTCCTATCTGTTTGACCTGGAGAAAGTCCAGGAATACGGTGAAATCGCGTCGGCGGCATCCAATATAGTCGAAGCCGAGGCCAACGTCTTAGTGCAGTCTACTCTCTAGCCTATGTCAGGTTGCGTATATGCGCATTTATTCAGTCCTATGCGACTCTATGGATAAATTAATACTGTACCTGCGCTGTGCGTAGAGTCTTGAACAGCGAGAAAGACAACAGTTAGTCTAGCCTTGCGACCATGGCAGTGGCAGCGCTCTGGCATTCATCTGTATGAGATAATCGCCACCCAGCATGCTACGTATAGATGAACTGTCCCGGACTTTGTCAGCCTGGGCAAAATCATCCCTCACATTCGTTGATGCAGCGATGGGTCACAGACAATCATAGCGATGCTATAGTGATGCTGTAGCGTGCGGAAAGAACTATGCAATGCATCCTCTCTACGACAGTCGTGATCATGTGCAGGATTCTAAGAGGGTTGATACAGTCAGAAACAGTTATACAGGTCCCGGAGCGTATGCAAAGTGAGATGTGTCCCGGATAACGTAGTGCTCGAAGGCCGCGGCGCCGCCTGTGATGATGAGATATACGCCGGGGAGACTAATCTGATCCTTCAAGTTCAGGTTCTAAACCGACGCCGGTGCGGTATTAGCATCGATCAGGACATGGGTCAATGAAGAGACGTACGAAAGGCCTCAAAGGAATACGCGTCAAGTGATGATGAGAAAGCCTCGTATGAAGGTGAGCGCGCCGTCTCATCTCTCGACGCGTCCGAGATGGGGCCTTGCGTGACAGGATAGCTGGGTATATTCGCAAAGGACATGCTTGACGCAGCACCGTACGGATCGGCGATAGCGCCGCTTGCGTGCACCAGCACTGGAAGCGATGGAGGTGTGAGCTGCGTCGATCCCTGCCTAGCGTACTCAGGAATACCACCCGCGTCAAACGTCGCTGACGACGCAGCAGGGTAAGAGCGCATCTCATACGGCGGGTACGTTGGGTCGGCGTACGGCAGCTGTTGCTGCCTGCCCAAATTCGGGGCGGGTACAGGGTACTCCAGATCTGTGCGCAACGCAGTTTGCGGTTGCAATGCCCGTGCCGTATATGGTGGAGGATCTGGTGCGAACATCGGCGGATGACCACTCGCAGGGCTCAACCACGCCTCCTCTCGCTGCTGCGAGTGATCAGGCCCGGGTATCGGTCCCGTATGGGGGTAACGCCTAGCCGAAGGGATCTGTCTCTCTGACGTTGTCGTCCGGCGATGTACGTTGCGCAAGCCCATGCGAACCGGAGCGGCTGGGTATGGTCCCACAGACTGCTGCCAGGGCGCAATTGTTCCCGTGTTTCGCTGGAGACCGACAGACGTCCACAACGGCCTCTCTTCTAGTGCACCTGCCAACGACGAGGAAGAAGTGCGTGCTTCGTACACACCTGGATGACGTTGTTCCGATGATCCATATGCTGGTCCGCTCAACGTCTCTGGATATTGCTGCGGCGTCCTTTGTACTGGACCAGCATACAGTCTAGGTGCCGTGTAGACATCCGGGTGCGGCTGCGTGGTCACTGTAGGACTCTCAGACTGGGACGGCATAGCAGTCCAGTCGTCGTTACTCGAACCAGGTCCGACTTGATGCAATATGTGAGCACGCCATGATGGACGCCGCGAGGCTGGTGGCACGGGCCAGTGTGGCGCCACCGCAGGTCCTGTATAGGCATGCACTTCAGCACCCGAACGCAGATCGGCCATGGTGCTTCTTTCTAAGGTATTGGAAGACTTATAAACGTGCGGTCCCAAGGATTCAAGTGTTCTTCCAATACGAGGGGTATCTGGGCGGATGTTCCTAGGATCAGGTACCCTCCAGTGGTCAGCAACACCCTGGCCATCGCCTCCATGAGGAAGAGCCTGAAAGGTAGAAGAAGGGGATTGAGAAGAGGTGGGCAACAGAATAGCTTGCGAAGGACCCCCAGAACCCGAAGCAGAGACCTTCGTTGTCTTGCGTGGTGCGGTTCGACGCTTCCCGGGAACTCGATCGGTATGAGACTCAGCACGGCTTGTACTAGTCTGTGCTTGCCCTGACGACGAATCCACAATAGATTCTGTAGGTTGTATGGTTCGCGGTCTTCGAGCGGGAGCCTGGGGCCCAGCCGTCTCCGAGGTTTCGACTGTGGCGTTGACTGGTTCGGTGGTCGTTGTCTCAGAACCTCGCCGGCGACGACCTCTTCTTTCCCGTTCTGGAGCTTGTTCTGTCAGCTGCCCGTAGGGATCCGTGGCAAGGACTAGCTGTAGGCTGGCAGCAGGCGGAGGCGGGGTGACCTGTGGCGCACGTCGTCGTTGCCCTAGGGTCGCTCGACCATAATTCTGGAACTACGAGATGAACAAATGTCATTGAGAGTTGTCACGTCGCATGGAATCAGACGTACCCGAGATCCATCGACTACTGGGAGACCCTGCAACTTGCGCTGTAATGCGGGCTCCTTATTGCCCTTGTTGTATTGGGTATCGTCATGGTCACGTCTTCTTTTCGGCATGGTGATTCTTTACCTCCCCAACAACAACCAATGTGCACAATGTTAGAGGAGTTGGGGGTGGTTGGGATATGTTATAATCAAGAAAAGGAGTGTCCCCGGGCGTACGGACCCCCAGCAGAGGCGCACAGCCATGGACTGACGCGTCTAGTCGGACCAGTCACTTTACTGACCGTAGGAGAGCTCAGAGGACGCCGAACATACGCACCTTCCATTTAGGATTTACTACCCAACTTCTTGCACAGGATTGGCCGCATACTCCCGAACACGGCGAGCCACTACCGAGTTGTTAGCTGCCTCATGCGGAGTCTGGATTCGTCTTCCACGTTCATTGGAACGAGTATACAAGGCATGCTTGGAAAATCTACTTGAGGGCATCGCATACACCGAGCGCAGTCTTGGCAAGGGTTTGCAGACGCATAAAGGCAGTTGGCGCCGTGACGGATGGCGGGTAGGCCGGTAGGTCACGTATGAGCCAGGATGCCTATGGCTGTAGACGAAGATGTCCGCTTAAGCAGACTGCTTACGCGGGTGCGGTCTACCCGCGAGTAGTGCGACGACGTTGAATGCACACAATAAAGGATGCCATCAAGATTCTGATGGTTTAAGCCCAGTGTTGTAAGAGAACGCTTCATCGTCAGAAAGGACTGTGAGTCTGTGACATACCTGTTACCATCCTATGGATATGGTGGTCTATCCGTGCCGTTATTACCATGGGCATGCGAGCAGCTTTGTTGATGACCCGGAGGCTGGAGCTACTCAATAGACAGCTCAAGCACTACGTAGGCATGGCATCCGACAAGGGTACCTGGGACACTCTTCATCATGCCTCAGACGAGTACAACAACTGAGGTGAAACCCACCAGCGATAAAGGCGACCACTCTTGCTTGTAGTGTGGACGCCGCCAGTAGCTACAACAGACAACAGAGCGTCGGCCGAGTCCAGAACCGACCCCAGGTTCAGCGGCGAAGTAGGTAATACGCACGAGGTATAGGCTAAGGCTTGTATATCGGTCAGACCAGCGCCCCAACGACACCCTGGGCTCTGGGCAGCTGGGAAAATCGTCTGCTCTCGAGTCAATATTAGTTGTGCGACAGTCGCGAAGTTTCGCTGCAACTCCTGGCGAGCGTTCGACGTTCAGCGCTAACTTACGACGACGCTGACAACAACGCGGTCACGTGGTTAGGATGAGAATTCGCGACGCGTAGCCTAGTTTGGCGCAATATTGCCATTCGTTCTAAATCTCAGGCCTCGCATTGGCAAAACCGGTGTTCTCCCAATTCTATCCCTAGTACATCATCGAACACCACCCTCATACATTTTCTACATATGCACACAGCGTGCGCATTGGTCTCTATGGCATGCGCATCAGAAGACAGCGCGGCCTTTGATTGTTAGTTCTAGCAAGTCTAAACCCCCGACACCGTAACGTCAGTACCTTCGTCCTTCTCGATCGTACTGACTTTGTCGGATATGGAACCCTCCGCCGGTTGAAACATGCTCTCGTCATGATAGTTCGTGCCGATGCCAAGCCCAGGCGGTTTCGAGATGGTGCATATGAGCCAGAACGCAGCGAAGGACACAAAAAGGCCTGCCATTTATCACTATCAGAGTCGTCCCCGCAGGTGGACGCAGACGATACTCACCAACGAAGAACGTCATGTGGAAGGTTCTGACCCAACCATTGTATGCCGCTGGGTTTCTGACTGTCATGATCATTCCAGGCATAGTGGGGAAGACCCCGATCGCCCAAGCGACCAGTGCCCGCCAGTGTAAGCCGTGCCAATACCTAAAAAAATTCAGTATTATCACTTGTTAACTGATTTCTCTGTGGACGTACCAGTAGATTGAGGTGCTGTTGCCGACATAGCAGTCCTCGAGTTTGATGACGCACCGTCGTACGGCGAGGTAGTCAGCAAGCATAACACCAGTAAACGGAGCCACTACAGAGCATGAATGAGTCAGTCCACCACGTTTGTGCCATGTGCCAATAGGGAGACATACGGAAGATTCCGAAGCCCGACAGGACGGTGAGGAATGTCGCGGCGTTGGAGAGGTACTGCCATGGGTTGGAAGCGAGGCCGAGGAAAGCTAGGAGGTAAGCACCCCTTCTGATGTTCATGTAGCGCCTAGCCGACGTTGCGTTAGACAATGGGGTTACCAGAATGCGCCCCTACTCACGGCATGATTCCACTATGGTCAACGAATAAAATCAGCACTGGTGTATTTTCACAACAGAAGGAACACTCACGCTAAGTCCATTCCTGCACTGACAGAGTTAAGCACGATACTGATACCGAGTTGCGCACAGACGCATCCGAGGCCTGCAAAGAAACTGTATGGACATCAGCCTCTGATCCACCCGAAGTGAGAATTTGTCCGTACACTCCGCATCGAGCTACGTGCACACGGTCAGATCACGAAAGTAAAGCATTCGATAGGGCAACGTTCGCTCACCTCGAGGAGAATCGTTGCTATTAAGGGTCACAGAACAAGCGTTAGTTCACCTCCGCCAGTGAGTGGTGCAGCGCAGACTTACTAAAACTCCTGCAGCGCGCTCAACAGCTGGAACGGCTCCCAAACGAGTTCCCCGATGATCTGCTGCGCGCACGACGTGACGATGATACCTATAACAGCGCATACGATGATCGTGAGTGGCCTGTTCGGACATACCATATGTTAGCGAGGAACAGGCTGAAGACTATACACGAATGAACGTACGCCGCGACGAGCTGCGAGAGAGTCGGAGCATATGGCCTGTTGGCGTAACGCGTCCAGTCGCTCTGGCCCAGTGTACCTCCACCCCTGCTCACGTCAGTCACCGGAACTGCGGTAGGTATAGCTACCACCTACCATGATCCCAGGATAGCAGTGATGCCGAACATCATTGCCCTGTCGAGAATGAGATGCTGCTTGCGGACGGCTCGGAGAAGTACCTACCAGCCTATGCTGCCGTTCGCCGGTTCCCCTGGTTCTTTGAACAATGGCCCAGGTCCGTGGACGTTGGACACGGCCCAGATGAGAAGCCCCAGAAGACTGAGGAAACAGTCGATGAGATATGGGCAATCGCTGGAGACTAAAGACTACTCACGTTCCGCCAAACATGATCGACGAGACGATGAATGGCTTCTGGAGCCTCTCTGGAGGGATGCGCATGATCGCAATGAAGAAGATGTAGTAGATGCTGAACACGCGGAGTTCAAACCTCGCTTGTCTGATGAAAGAGTGACGCGGGACTCACATCATCGCGATGAAGTCCTTGAGGAGCAGGATGCCACCCGCCAAGGTGTGCTTCCTATGTCTCATGAGCATCTGACGGTCACCGCAGCAGCGCAATTATACACGCACATGTGAGCAAATCCTGTTCAGACGTATGTCAGCGGTCTCCCAACGATGTCGACATGTATAATAACGTACCAGGGATGATGGCACCAATGACCACCTGAGCTAGCGAATTTAGTACTGCATGACGTGTGCGGGTGCTGAGTTGCATACCGCCGTGGCTGGTGATAGCGGGAGAGTATCAGTATTGCGGGGTAAATGCGTGCCAGAGTGAAGCAAATGTACCTTGTCCTCCCCAGTACGCTTGCAGTCCATCCCAGCTGAGGAAGTGTTTAGCGCTAAGTTCCGCGAATGGCAGTATACACTTACAAGATCGTCCTGGTAGGCTGATGTGAGCACAGGGAATCAACAGACGCGAGACAGAGCAGCGACTTACGTGAATGAGCGGATGATGATAGGGAAGTACGCCCCTCTACGCAACGAGTATTAGGCACAGATGTCCAACAGCTTCGATGAACGCAGGTTTACCTCATGCCCCAGGTGAACCGGGAGGCGACGGTGAAGCCTATATGATGCCTATTTGGCCGTTGAGCACGATCCAGATGCGTCGAACGGATGCTACATACCTCTCCCCCATCCAACCACAGGAAATGGATAGGAAACCTGTGCACAGCGCGCCGACCACGAGAGCGCCGATCGCCTGCTGAGGAGTCAAGCCATACGACAACAATGTGCTACCCGTGGTGTACGCGGAGATGCACAGGCCACTGATACACCAATAGATGAAGTACGACCAGATCGCGTACGTTCGTCGCTCGGCGGGCATGGGGATCAAGTCCCTATTGGTCCAGTGCTACACATGTGTATGAGTAGGCGTCAGTCAACGATCCACGTTCTAAAGTGGCATGAGAGCCGAAGCACGTACGTCGTTCTTGTACCCCGCATTGGCGTCAATGGGCACCTCGATGAACTTGAGGAACCGTTCCTTCGCGCTTCCTGGACGAACCATGTCGACTGTGTGACCTTCGAAGCAGAGGCAGAACAGCGCGGATTGCAGTGTCCGGGTCAAATCTCTCTTATAGAATTCGCTCCGAAGTGGTCGGGATGATAAGACACAGGTGCAAGGCGCTACTATAGAACGCCCGGACGCTAAGATCCACAGGGGCGCGCTGAGGCCGTCGATTTGGAGCTCAGCGGCGGTGGGTGCCAGATACTTGATAAGTACCCCGCAAGTAATCCGCGACGATGTTTACACGGCCTTTACCAGCTGGCACAAGGCCCAGGCAAGGCCTGCGAGTGAACAGCTGCACCTACTTCAAACCCATTACCGAGTCAATAGAGTGCGACCATAGCAAAAGATGTCCGAACAGGACTCGGACTTGCCTGCGCCAAACGAATGCTTGAATGCAATTATTGCGCGGCTGTGTGCCTCGTAGATATCCACCGCTCCTCGGGTGCAGAGACACAGGATGTCCAGATACCGAAGAGGAGTATGACCGAGTCACCGAACGTTTGAGAATATAGCAGATAGTGTACAGGGGCGTACAATCTAGCCAGCACTCGGCGTTCAAGCAGGGACGAAGGTGCCTGCAGTTCGAGCCTTGGAACGGGTGCGGAGACGAAGATAACCACCGACGCCAGGCACACATATCTTACCGCAGCGACTTGCGCAGATCCTGAGGCTCGATTGGCATGCCGCCCTAGGTTGCTCAGGAGCGGTCGACGGAGCACAGTATCCGTGAAGACCTCTGAGATAAGGACTTGAACTTGAACGTTCAGCGAGAGTCGTCGCAAGCCAAACCGAGAGGGCAATTGACAATCCTGGAATGAGCGATACAAATTGTGTCGAGATGGTTGTAGAGTACAGAGTCTCAGACTAGCCAGGACTTGGTCAGAAGAGGCTGCCCAGTGCCACCGACGCGCCCAACGCGACCCGGCGCGCGCTCCTTGGGCGCTACATCAAGTTACATAAGCATTTGGTGGCTGGGAACAGCTGTACAGTTCCTCCCACACTTCCACACGCACCTCGGTAGTTGTGAATTCCAAGCACGCTGGTCTCCTCAACGCAAGCCCCTCCTCAAGATGGTGAGTACGCTACGCCGCTGCATATGTGACGCTTACCGAGTAACCCATCTGCGCAGACGAAACGAACCCGCAAGGTTGGCGTGACTGGAAAGTACGGTACCGTGAGTTTTCTTGGAGTTGCAGCGGAAGCGTGCAGGGCGGCGGTGGACTGACGAGGGTACTTGGGATGTCTAGCGTTACGGTGCCTCCCTGCGTAAGCAGGTGAAAAAGGTGCGCTTGCAACCTCTCGATGCAGTTGCGCGGCGTGCTAACGGAGTTCTTGACCTCTTAGATGGAAATCACGCAGCACGCCCGGTACACCTGCACGTTCTGCGGCAAGGTGCGTACAGCCATATCCAATCGCGGAACCCATCCCTTAACTCTTTGTCTTTTGCAGGACTCCGTGAAGCGCCAGGCAGTGGGTATCTGGAAGTGCGGGTCATGCAAGAAGGTGATCGCGGGTGGGGCTTGGACGGTATCGACAACAGCAGCTGCCACTGTCCGCAGGTATGTCCATTCAAGTTATCCATGTAGAACTGCATCTGAGCTCGCGATCAGCACTGTCCGCCGGTTGCGCGAGTTGACCGAGGCGTAGGGTCCTATCTGTCGTTCTCGTATTTTCATGCTCTGTATTTGCCTCCACGCACGCTGCATATGTACATGCACTATGAACCACTCGACTACACCATGACCAGGGTGCAATGCAATGTACTCTTAAAAGCTCTTGCAGCGCGCCGAGGTCTCGAGCGGCATGAGGATGAAACATCAACGGAAATGTATTACACTTGTTCAATGACACACTGCACATGCATGCTACACTGGGGTATGACGACTATACAAGACAGCCAATAATTCAGACATCTTCAACGCTCGGTGACGGCTCTGTGTGGGGCTCCGACTGTTCCTCGCCCTCTTCGTCATCATCCTCTCCGTCCTCGTCACTCTCTTCATCTTCGTCATCTTCGCTTTCGCTCTCGTGGAACGTGAGTGAGATGAACTCATCGCCGAGCTGTGCATCCTCTGCAGTCACCGGATGAGAACTGGAAGCATCAGAACCAGCACCAGGCTCAACAGAAGAAGCAGGAGCTGCGGCGGAGCTCTGTCCAGCAGAGACGTCCGCGCCGTCAGTATGCGTGGAGGTTACCGTGGGAGGGACAATCTTGCGGGTGCGGTTGGCGCGGATGACATGGGGCAGCTTGCAGCCCTTGGTCGTGCAGGCGCCCTTCTCCGCGAAGTCGGGGCATTCACGGACGTGTTGCCTGTCGCAGTCCAGGCCCTTCTCGCAGTAGCCGAGCACCGCAAAGTCGCGGCAGACGCCGACGCGCTGGCCGACGCGGACGTGCGGGAACGGGCAGTTCCGCCGCGTGCACCGGCCGTTGTTCGCGAAGTGCACGCAGAGCGGCGTGCGTTCTGGCGTCGGGTCGTGCGAGAGCGGGCAGGTCTCAGCCGTGTTGGGGCAGTTGCCCTGCAGGAAGGGCCAGCAGATGGCGATCTTGGACGGGTCATGCTGGTACATGCACGTCAAGCCGCGGTTGCAGGCACCTAGAGGACGCAGTCGCGGGAGCAGTTCCATGTTCGCGCATGGATCAGGCTGACTTATCGGAGCTGACGACGTACCTGTGGTTGTGAACCGAGGACAAGGCTTATTCAAGTACTTCCGCTTGTTGGACACGCGGCGGTTCCTGCAAAGCCATTGAGTTTGAAATGGCGAGAGCGTACGCACAGGTCGAACTGACTGATAAGGTCTCTTCGAGTTGTTGAGAGTCATGTTGCGACCCGCTGGGCGTAACCTACGAGACGTCTTGGGTTTGTATGTGCGATTGGCATTAACCATTGTTCCAGCCTTGTCTCTGATGAAGGCGGATTTGGCTGGCAGGGGCCGCGTTAGGGCACTTGATGTCGATTTGGCCACTACAACGCAGAGTCAATCATAGCGCATTCGTTGACGAATATCAGAGTATGGAAGACTCACGGTCTTTACGAACTAGGCTCCGCCCCGATGCTTCGAAGGTGACTCCTCCGATAACAACATCGTGTTTCTGCGCGTTAGATGATTGCTCAATGGGTTGGGAGCGTGATACGGGTGCACTCTGTAGACGTGCAGCAGGCTTGCTAGGCGGCTTGTAGTTCGGATTAACGTAGATGTTGCCCCTCGCAGGCCGTCCTGCTGGGCGCGGTTGCGGGTGAGGTTCTCCAGTCTTGTGGCGGTTGATAACACCTGCCCGAAGGTAAGCAACGCGGTCAACGACCTTTACTGAGCACCTGCCTGTGAGTCGGGCTATCTCGAGCTTGAGAGCTGCTGCCGAGGTAGAGGGCGCGTCCATGGTAATCAAGAGTCAAGTCGGTGAGGCAGTAGGGTTCTGTTGAGGCCGACGTAGTCACTGTCAGCGGGCGCGCGACCATTCCCACGTGGCTCATGCAAGCAAGTGCAAACTCGCCACAGCAGGCCACAGGCCCACAGCCCCATGTTACAGACGAACGCCATTCAAATTGTCACTGATATTCTACTTAGGCTCTACCAGGCTCTTCGTCGTCCGTAGTTCTCTAGACAGAGCTAGAATATATTGCTGATATAGCCTTCATAGACAATTTGGATCGGTTAAGTTTACTGCTCATGTCCCTGTGCCGCATTCAAGTCGTGTAGCAAGAGGCAGAGCTCACTGGCCTGATATTCAGATGTTCAACGTTCACATCTATTTGAGATTACAGTTCCGTAAACTGAGAAGTACTGCAGGCGGGCTCGAACGGTGTTCTTGAAGCCAGTCTTACTACAGCGCTTGGCAACATCGCGACGACATGTACTCGGGAGTCAGGACCACTGCCGACACCAGGCTATCCTTCACGCACCCACAGCAGCGTCAGGAGCCGCCACCTGGGTGATCTTACCATAATCCTCCGTCCCAAGGTGCGCCGTGTAGCTCTCCACGCCCTTACAAGACAACTTCGTCAGCGGCTGCAGTCCGCAAACATGCATCACGCAGAACACTTACGTTGTAGTTCCCCGTCCGGAGGTACTTAAGCCGGCGAACGAGCCACTCGCCCGCGGTGCCCTTGTCCTCCTGTATTGTCTCCGCGCCGTCCGGGGTGGATGCCATCGGGACGAGAGGCCGGAGGACGACCGAGTCGTGCGGACGCGTGAAGAACGCCAGGGAGTAGCGTTCGAACATCGCTTGGGCGCGCGGAGGGGAGCTGATACGCATCGACCGGTTGAGTATGATGCAGTGAGGCATAGGCATAGAGCTTACACGACGCGGTGCATATTCGAGCGGATGAGCCCGCCACTGAAGATGTTCAGCGAGTCGCCGACGTTGCAGATCGCGTGGCCGGGGATGGGCTGCACAATGAATAACATGTGAGCTTTCATCTTCGAAGGTCTTGCAATAGCGAGTCGTTACGCACCCGGATGTACATCCAGTCTTCCGTCCCAGGCGCGAGGACCTGCAGACCGCCGACACGATTATGGAGGAACGACTATCGGAACTATTTAGTCACCGGGAGTATCTGCCAACACACGCATTCACTGCTCACCAAGGACCCGAAGTCAGTGTGCGCGCCCAACAATGCCTGCCGTTCCAAAGCCTCCTTGTCCTTCCCGTTCTGCGGCGGCGTCCGTATGACCCTAGCGACGCACCCACTCTTTTCCTTCGTGCGATGCAGATCCGCCAGCGTGCCCTCCTTCAGCCCAAGCTTGTCGTTCAGCACGCCGAGCAGCGTGTGGTTGATAGCGAGGGACTTGCGCATGAATGGGCGGAGGACGGTCGGGATTGCATCGGCGACGAGGGGTGGGTAGGTGCGGTGCACGGGCGCGGGAAAGGCAAGAACATCGTCCTTCGCGACGTCGAGGAACTCGGTCTCGTCAAGTGTGCCGTGCTCGTCTGCGGTGTGGAACCCTGCCGCTTTGTATCTGATGTGAGGCCGTACATGAGCTCGCTTTCTTACCTCTGATATTCGGGAAACTAGTACCCGAACTGCTCGCCGTCATCGCCTTCCTCGTATGCCATCTTCTCCTCGAGGGGCAATTCCATGAAAGCCTTTCCCATATTGAACATGGCCTCCACCTCCGCCTCGGCACCGTGTTCCTTTAAGCTGGGTACTCTCAGATTTCGCGCTGTACGGACCCGAGACAGAGGTACTCACTACCAGAATCCAAGCTGCGTAGCAGCTTGCCACAGCCTATCTCGCTCTATCTCATCGCCTCCCTGAATCAAGGCATAGTCGATGACAAAGAGAGGATGGGTCGGTACGTCGTTCGGGAAGGGAGGAGCCTGAGCGACGTTACTCATGGTGCGTTACAGATGGGTGCGACGATACTCGTTATCGAGGCGTGCGAGGGCCATAGAGGATGATGATACCTATATTAGAGCAATGGAGCTGCGAGAGCACAGATAAGTCAGCGGCTGAGGATAACGGGGCTGCTTCGCACCTGCAGAAGACGTAGCTTCGCCTTCTCCGGGAGTCCGTTCCAACTCTAGGTCAGGAGGCCATTCAAATGTCCCCCTCGGGTGGTTCGCCCATACTAATGAGGCAAACGAATGGAAAGGCACATTGAGTTCGGAGAATCCTTGAGCGGGGCGACCTGGTTCATCGAAACCAAAGGACTGCTAAGTTAGTAGTATGCTTCGATACCGTCGATATGTTGGTCACTGAGGTCGCGGCTGCGCCGTCATTGCAAAGTTGATCCTTCCAGCCGTAATCTGAGTATTGATGTCATGATACCTATGGTAATGGTAGGCTGGAAATTCAACGGAAGCATACTATTTGCTGCCAGGCGACTGGCAGCTACGCCCCAGGCGGCGGTGCGGAGGAGGACAAGAGTGCTATGCGTTGACGGCCCGGTACATATAGGGCCCGGTCACCGCGGCCAGGTGGCGCGCATCGCCAAAAGCGAGAAAATGTTACAAGGGCATACAAGGGCTTGTAAGATGGCATCAGCAATCTAAGGTACAGCATTCTGACGGTCGAGATTACAATAGATTACCGCGCACCTACCGTCTGGCCAATGTCTGCAAGCGATGTAAGAAGTGCCAGGATGTCTGTCCTTATACGATTTTATATTGCATTGCAATGCCAGGGCGGGGACGGCGCAAATGAGCACAATAAAATTGATTTCTCAGTTGTTTCACCCTCATGCCACTCAATTATGGATCACAGCCGTCTCGAGAGGTTCATTGATAAACGATGAATAAATGCACATTCTACGTATGACGGTACAACTGGTACATGACCCTAGTACTGGATAGCTCCCATTCAGCCGGACATGTCAGTATGGTCTGCAAACCCGAGTCGAACCTCCAAGTCAAGACTTCAGTACGTACTACGCACAGACGAGATCTAAGCAAAACATGGTCTCGTACCCATCCGTGTGGACGCACCCCACCACCGCTCCGACACGTCTGGGGCAGTGTGTGAGGGCGACCCCCCCTTTGAATAGACGCCCGCGTAGCGCCGGAAGTAACGGTCACATCAATGATGCACCTGCCTAAATGAGACGGTGGCTGAAGGTCACGAATGTTGTCGCGCCCTTTGTCCGTTCAATTTTGAAGGTGAGACTGAGCGGATCATAATATCTGAGCCCCGAATAGCTTGAGATTATGTATTTGCATGTGTAAGATGTGTATGACAATTCTTTCGAGTGCCTTGCATTATATTCCGAGGCAAAAGATAGTACATGCCTAATAGTAGTATGCGCCACCACCGCAGCTACTGCGCAACACTGGTCTCGAGCCCCAACTGGACGGCAGCAAGCTCAGAGAGGACAAGAAATATTGCTGTTGGGAACCGGGCGAGTATGTGGAACATGCTGAGGGGGCATAGGCGCCGGGATACATCGCACAAGCGCCCGACTCTCGTACCGCATAGATTTATCGTTGTTCATGTCCATTTCAATTAAGTTCTCTGTCTGACTCACCTGCGGCTCGTTTATTCGCTTCATTTTTACTGTGCTTGGAGTAGCGTCGGAGTTTCTGCCCGTATCGCCGCCGCCAGCAATTCGTCCCCATTATAATTGTGATGGCGGCGTTTCGTCTACGCTTACGGTGTTACAGGAGTTGAAGACGTCACACAGTGGGTGTTCACATACAAGATGATGTATTCCGCAGCTCGTAATGAGATATATGTATACTATCAAAAACAATAGAATTTCGTACTAGTAAACGATTTAGCAATACACTGCAAAGTTGTACATCGCGTAGCGCAGGTCGTAGTCAGCGCGTGAGCTCGCCGCGTGTACTCCGTCACGCGGTACCATAAGTACTGTAAGTACGTCGGGCTGTAGGCAAAGCTTCGGTGCGAGGATCTTGCGTACTCACCGCCGTTCCGTCGCACTATCGACTTCACGCGTGGTTCCGACCTTGGACGCTACGCTGACTGCGCAAGTGCAACCGAGTCCCGACCAGCCCGATGCGGCGCGATGATGGTACCCGCACCGTGACTAATGACCCGGACCGGTTGACCTAGGAGGACATCAAGTGTACCGTTTTTGTCAGCCCGCATTTGCCTGTGATGTTACGACTCCTTACTCCTTGCGTGTTTGCCTATATGCAACCCCCGCCGCTCGTTCCTTCGGCTTGTCAATGTCAATTATTATCAACGTCAAAACAGACTTGCAAGAGCGAAGAACTTACCTGCAGTGCAGAGTACATGGTTGGGACGCGGTAAATTAGAATAGTAAGTATTTTGACTGTGGAGTGAACTGAGCATGAAGCCAAGTGTAAACTGAACCACAGAGTCAGTTACGAACAGATTACTACGGAGAAATGCTGATGCAGCTCTATGAATAGCGGCTACAATTACTACGTCGAGAGAGGGAACATCATCATTGACCTTCAGCCACCGTCTCATTTAGGCAGGTGCATCATTGATGTGACCGTTACTTCCGGCGCTACGCGGGCGTCTATTCAAAGGGGGGGTCGCCCTCACACACTGCCCCAGACGTGTCGGAGCGGTGGTGGGGTGCGTCCACACGGATGGGTACGAGACCAGCAAAACATTAGTTAATACGACACATGAGATCCAGTCAGTTAAGGTACATACCAAGCAGGCAAGACCGTAGAAGAGGAGTACAAAACATGTACTGAGTTGTGTAGTCTCGCCGCAATACCCTGCACATAGCATGCAGGTATTACGGCAAGGCAACACAACTCATCCAAGTCGTCCTCACCGAAGTCTCTCAAAGGGCCTGAGACATTTCCGCCCACGTCTCCCTTTCTTATGCGCGGCGGTAAGGCAGTTCTGGGGTCCTGCTATGCGGCTAGCTGTGCTGCGCGGTTGGGGTGGCGACATCGCGACGGGACGTCCGCGCGACTGATGCTGCGGGCGCATCAGATGTGTCATATCCAATATGTGGGTGCTTACCGGAGAATTCGTAAGACTCGCCGAGCAGGGATCAGCGCTCCATCAGGAAGTCGTGCAACTTGTCTGACGGCGCTGTCAGTGATGTCAGAAGCGCTCAGATCGCCTCAGATCGCCTCAGACAAGCTCAGACGGTCAGTGCTCAGCACCTGCCACTTTTTCGTAATTTCGCTGTCAGACAGATGCCCTCAGACACACCAGACAATCGTCCGAGCGAGCCAGACATCAGACAACGTCAGACAACATCATACACCAGCTGTTGAAACAGGTATACATTCGGAAATGCTACCTGCAGATGAATGCTGGACATAGCGTTATTAACCGTAGCCGTTGAGAGCATACAGGCCGAGCTTCTACACTAGTAAGAGATAGGAAATGCATACGAGAGTGGAGGATAGCAACCGCGAGGTTTCAGAGCATGTAGCGTCAACTGTAGACTTGGACGAGAGCATGAGAATATCGAGTGCAAGAGATGACGACAGGGATTGGAAACTTGGGAAAGCATGACAACAAGAACTGCAGATTGAAAGCACGACAACGGGAAATGCGGATGAAAGCACGACAACTAACAATGATGCGTAAGGATAGGGAATGAACGTGTGTAGAGATTAGTCGTAGGTGGTCGTATCATCTGCATCATATCGCGGGGGACTGCTTGGATCACAAACTGACACATCGTCCTCATCAGCCTCTACAGCGCGTGGCACCCAACCAGCCTCCATGTATGGAATGGAGAGCCGAACACACGTTTCATAGCGGCCATGCTCGATGATCTTCTTCACGGACTTGTTATGCCAGTATGCCGTGATAGTCCGGCAGTTTTCGCCGCTGAACGTGCCTTCAGCGACGAAGATTCCCGTCGTCCATGACGTGAATATGTATTGTACCTATAGAGGTCTCAGTTAAGTGTCATTTGCGAGTGAATGAAAGGCTATGACATACGGCGGTAGCGGCGAGGGAAAGGGCCCCACGAGCAGGCTTTGCTGCGTCCTGCCCCCTAAGTTTGCTACCCTGAACTGCAGCCAGGTGTGTCGCAAATGATTTGAGTACGTATTGCGATTGAAGCGCCCCGACGGCTCGATCCTTCTGCGATATATGTGAGTCAAGAACCTGCATTTGAATCGACACTTACCTCAGTATCGTACGTCGCCCAGAACGCCGTGCCGCTACTTCGCACCAGTGCACTGCTCACAAAGGTACTTATCTGTTCTCGCGAGCCATGCTTCTCTAAGAGCTTCTTGATGTAGGACTTGATGCGCGACATGAAGCGGGAACGCCAGTCAATGACTGCCTGACGTGCCTGTGGAATAGATAGTCATCAGCAACGAACACAAGATTCAAGGCTAACTTACCACTCTGTAGACCTTGTCGGAGCCGTTGACGTCGTACTGCTCCTCCGGCCAGAACGCGTCAACGAGGTGTTGAACAACGTCAATCAATTCGTTGTCTTCGGCTGGCGTCTTCACGTTCCCGCTTGCATATGCCCAAGGTGTCTCCGTTTGCCCGATCATTTGAAGCATGGTCGGAACGAACGTAGACTTCCAGTGGTGTTTTGCAAACGATGGCAGCGCCTCAACGGAGAGCGACTTCTCATCCGATACGGTTGTCTTGGCGCGACGCTTCTTCTTCGCAGTGCTCGCACCAGACTGATCATCGTCCTCTCGCGTCTCCAATCCGCCTACGAGAACCCGGACCAGCTGCGCGCCGCTCGGTCGCTCTTGAAGTGACCCGATACCAACGGTGACGTCGTGGTCGGTGAAGCCGCCTACGTTTTCGAGGGAATCCTGGCGCCTTGAACGTTTGGCACTGGCAGCACGGTGAGCTGCATTTCCCAGTTTTGGGGCGGGGGTAGTACTACTCCGAACAGATGGAGTAGAGAGACCAGCGGCGGGTGACAAGAGTTGTTTTCCAGAGAGACCGGCGGATAGTGTCTGGCGAGCCACCACAGCTTTCCAGTCTGCCTTCAAGCCCATGGTGGGAAGGTCGAGCGAAGGTGCGGGCGCCTTCGCTCTTGGCGCTGACTTCTGTCTACTAGTAGTAGTAGACTTTGGCGTACCGGCGGTAGTAGCTGACTTCACGCTCTGGGACTTCTTCGCGAGCGATGTTGGCCTGTTGACTCTTTTCAACGCATGTGTAAGTATAAGCCATCGAGTCTCGTATGTATGCCTTCACTTACTGTTCCTTTCTGGCCGACGCTGGCACCTGACTTGTCTGATCACTAGCGCCGTCCAGTGCAACGCGCTGCACGTTCTTCGTGTTTTCAAACTGCTGAAGGAACTCTTGTCTCTTGTCCTTCTGCGTCTGCTTCTTCCGTGCCTTGGGCTTCGGCTGCTGTGAACGTATGAGGCAATCAAGTGAGTGATAATACTTCCCGGTATGCTCTGAATGTGCTACCTGTGCCGGTGGTTGCTTAGCTTTGCGTTTCTGACCTGACGGCGGCCCGGGTACCTCACTCAGGTTGTCTGAGTCAACGCCAGAGTCAACGCCTTCCAACCGGCGCCCTAAAGGATCCATACCATCGGAGGAATGTTCAAGTTGGTAAGCCTCGAATGCAAACTCGTCGTCTTCGTCCGCTGGCACTGGCAAATCAGAACGACCTATGGCACATGGACAGGTTATCAGTGACCCATCGGTATGTCTGAATTACTAATATGAGCGTAGTGCAACTGCTTACCTTGATTGTTCCCCTTGGCCGTCAGATTCCCATTCCCTCCATCAGATCCGTATTCATCAGTGGCTGTCCCCCGCTTCACACTTGTATCCGACATGATAACATCTAGTAGCACCCCAATCAACAGTGAGTACACTTCCATCCGACGTTCTGTGTTCCAGTACTTACCTGCTCCAAAGGTCACCCCAGTCGTCTCCAACTCCCGACGTGCACTCAACTCCTGTTCTAGTGCGGCAAGCTTCCGGAGCTTCTGTTCTACCTCTAGCTGCTGTTGTTCCAAAGAAGCCTCCTTCCGCTCCATCTCCGCTTCCTTCTCGTCTCGCTTGCGCTTTGCGTCCCTCTTGATGTCGTCCTGGGACCGCTTACCCAACCCCACAGTGCGAGCTGGATGAAGGTTGTTTGTTGGGCGGGTTGCGTAACGGCGAGGCGCAATAGATTGGCTGCCAATGGCGGATGGAGAAGACTGGTCATCGTCCAGTTCAGATGGACAGGCCTCGGCTTCCGCAGGTACGTCAACGTTGTCTGGTTGGCTATCGACCTCAGCAGTAACTTTAGATCCAGATCTGAGAGTCCGTGTGTTACCAGAGGCCGCAGGCATCGTGTTCGAGTTGCCTTGATCACTGTCAGCCAGCCAATGAAGCCGCTATTCAGGAGACAGTTGGGCAAGCAGGTTGTAAAAAAGCGGAGTCGGAATACGTGTTAGCGAAGGTGGGTAGTCCGCGTAATATTGTTTGTAATATTGTATCGTGTTTGGTTATCTCGCTTGTAGGCTGACTCTCCTTGTTCGTTGACACGTTGACGGCCCACTGCTTTTTATCTACTGCCAGTATGCCCTATGCTCACCAGTTCTGGTGTATGCCGTGCAGGCTGTCATTTCGTTCCCAGTCTGGGCATTCCCTTCATCGTACCCGTGTTCATCCCCGTCTACTACACGCTCAGCCCCGGCTTACTTATCGGTTTCACCCGCACTTGAACGGTGCGTCGATCTTCGTTGTCAAGTTGATACTTTGAATAGCTCACGAAATTGTTATACAGGCCGACCAAGTGATCGCCAGGGTGTGTTTCTTGCGCCTGGGGCTCCGCGGCCTGCCAGGGAGCCCGTCACCTCATATGCGCCCTTCGAGAACCGCACCGCCTTTGAATTCGCCGACCTGATCGTCAAGAAGATGCAAACGTCTATCGGCGACATCAACGCCCTCCTCCGTACTCAGGCCGCTTACAACGCGACTCAAGGTGGAGGCGATGTACCGTTCGAAGACGCAGATGAACTCTTCGAGACGGTCGATGCAATACCATATGGCGACGCACCTTGGGAAAGCTTCACACTGCAGTACACCGGACCGGTCGACGACAACTCCCCCTCATGGAAGCGAGCCACGTACACTGTACACTCCCGCAATCCAAGAACTGTCGCGCATAACATGGCCAAGAATGAGGAATTCGATGGTAAGTTCGATACGACCCCATACCAAGAGTACAGTGCGCCGGGTGCCCTACAGTTTTCCAATGTCCTATCGGGTCTATGGGCATACATGCAGGCGGTGTGTACTGTCTGTCATTCCAAGCGCACTACTGATTCTGGCTGAGCAGTCGAAGATCGCGGCTGATCCTGCAACACACGGGTCGATGCTGATGCCGATCATACTGGGAGCAGACAAGACTACGGTATCAGTCGGTACAGGACATACAGAATTCCACCCGGTCTACATGTCCATCGGCAATGTCCACAACTCGGTGCGGCGCGCTCATAGAGACGCGCTTATTCCGATTGCATTCCTAGCAATCCCGAAGGGTACGTCTATCTGTCACCATGCCAACTGTGATTCTACGAGTTCAGATGGAGCTGATAGTGTGTTGTAGCATCCCGGGGTGAGACTGAGACCGACGAGTTCAGAATCTTTCGCAAGCAACTGTACCACGCGTCGCTTGCGCAGATCCTGTCGCCACTGCGACCGTACATGGAAACTTACGACGTGCTCCAGTGCCCGGATGGACACTTCCGTCGGGTGATATACGAACTCGGACCCTTTATTGCTGATTATCCTGAACAGGTTGTACTCGCCGGGGTCGTCTCCGGGTGGTGTCCAAAGTGAGTACTACTGATGCCTCATGGTTGCGTGACGGCGTCTGACACTCTCCATCAACATTAGATGCTTGATACCTCCGGAAGATATGGATAGAGCTGGCGAACTGCGCAGTCATGAACACACTGCGCATGTTGTTGACGCGTTCGACGTAGGTACTGTATGGACAATGTGGGGTGTTGATCCGAACGTAATCGTGCGTATTGTGCCGCTTCATGTCCATTGTATTCTCATCGTATGCTGGGCAGCCCTTCACTACATACTTTCCTCGCGCCGACATCCACGAGCTGCTGACGCCAGACCTGCTTCACCAATTGATCAAGGGCACGTTCAAGGACCATCTCGTTGATTGGGTCGAACAATACTTGTATCTAGAACATCCGAAGGCAGAGGCTCGACGTCGGATGGACGACATTGATCGAAGGTGATTGACAACTGATGTGTGAGCATTTGTGCTGACCAATCTACCAGAATTGCGGCTGCACCTCAGTTTCCCGGCCTCCGTCGCTTCCCAGAAGGCCGAAATTTCAAGCAGTGGACAGGGAATGATTCAAAAGCATTGATGAAGGTATGTAATCGTCCTCATTCCTTGCGCGACCGGCATGACTGAGAAGTTTACCGTGAGTAGGTCTATCTTTCCGCAATCGAAGGTCATGTTCCTGACGAGATGGTCCGCTGTTTCGCGGCTTACCTCGACTTCTGCTACCTTGCACGACGATCGGCACACGACGACAAATCGCTAGCGGCCATGCAAGAGGCTCTCGATCGTTTCCACACCCACCGTGTAATCTTTGAGACAGTGGGTGTGCGTCCCGAGGGCTTTTCGCTTCCGCGACAGCATGCCCTCATGCACTACATCAAGGGTATCCGACTGTTTGGCTCTCCAAATGGCATCTGCTCATCAATCACGGAATCGAAGCATATACGCGCTGTAAAACGGCCGTGGCGTGCGTCGAGCAAAAATAATCCTTTGCCGCAGATTCTTCGTGCGAACCAACGCTTGGACAAGCTCAACGCAGCGCGTTCATGCTTCACAAGCCGCCATATGCTCGATGGCGATGTTCTTGCCGCCGCATTGAATCTTCCCATCCAAACCGCAGACGATGAAGACAATGACGAGATCAACGAGCCTGAGGATGAAGTAGCAGATATCGAAGGGGTTGTCGAGGGTATTGTCGAGCTGCCCAAGAGACCAGGTGAGCTTGCCGTTACGCTGAGTTATGACCTATTGATTAAGTGAGTCTTATATTCACAGTGTACACGCGTCGTGTGGAAGACCTGGCGGAGGAGTATAACACGCCAGAGCTTCAGGAGCTCGTGCGGCGCTTCCTGTTCGACCAACTCCTCGCTACCGACGAGGTTGATTCAAGCTCTGTCGACCTCTCTCGCTGCCCCAAGTTCGACGGGAAGATCGCCGTATACCGCACAGCATACGCGACGTTCTATGCGCCGAGTGAATTGTCGGGCACTGGCGGTATGCACCGTGAGATGATCCGTGCCAATCCGTCATGGCGCGGTCATCCTCGCTTCGACACTGTCCTCCTCAGTGCTGATCCTGATGAGCCGGGGATGGATGGGTTGGCTGTCGCGCAGGTTGTGGGGCTTATGGCTGTCATGTACCATGGCGTGCGCTATCCTTGCGCGTTAGTGAAGTGGTATGAAAGAGTGCATGACGAGGACGACAACCCTACTGGCATGTATGTAGTCCAGCCGGAATGTGTTGACGGAGAACGGGTTACCTCAATCATTCATTTAGATAGTGTTTTTCGTGCAGTACATCTGGCAGCTGTGTATCGAGACACTGAGATGCCGGTCGAGTTCCATTTTTCGTACACTCTAGACGCATTTGAGTCATTCTATGTCAACAAATATGGGGATTACCATTTACATGAATATATTGTATAGTAGCTGTGTCTGGTATCTGACGTGTCTGAGTGGCTGTTCTGAGCGGAATGCTTCCCTGAGCCCACTGAGGCTTCTGAGACTTCTGAGCAATACTTGTCAGAGCCTCAGATGCTCAGACGCTGCCCGAGTCCCTGATGTCCCGGTCGAGGCAACGGTGGTATCCCCTCCGAGAGCGGGACGATCGAGTGCCAGTGCAGCTAAGCACGTGGCGGGCGTTGGGACTGTCCGACTTGGTATGTCCGGAGCATGCGTGAAGAAAATGGCAGGATAGATCGACATCGCAATTGTGCGAGGCGTGGGCACCGCATTTAGAACGTGACGTGAGGGTGCGTCGAGCACGGCGGGTTGTGTCGGACACCGTGACAATGACAAGGGTGCGAGTAGGGACTTCGTGCATATGGAGAAGTGTCCACCGTATTGGACACTCAGTCGCGCCCGTTCTATGCGACTGTGGCCGGAATCGACCGTACAAACTGACCCTACATTCGTTAGTATGATACACAGATGTGAGAACTGTAGACTGACGTAGGTCAACATAAGATCCCCGAGGCTTCTGTGGCGTGTTGTAAACACAGACGCAAGCGGAGGGTCATGGTACAAGGGGATACAACGGAAGTCGCAGCCTGACAAGAGCTTCACAACGATGACGTAAGTCTGGGGCGCCCATATAGGATACCCCATTTCTGCGTGATCGTACAAGAGCTTATAAGACCACTTATAAAGTCATTACAAGCGGTACTAAGTCTGCTATAACCTGATAAGTTATCGACGACCATAGCAGTTTCCCCCGGTTTTGCTGATGCGAGCACTGAGACTGGCAGGGAGATTGTCGAAGTTAACACAACCACTCCGGGTCAGACTGAGATGGGACGCAGGTGTCAATATACACAATACAACCTTGTGACTATAGTGGAAGGAGTTCATTCAGCGAAGATGCCGTTGGAATTTATGAAGGTTTTTGCATTATTTCGGAGATGACTCGAACAAACAGCTTTGGGTGGCATGATACCAGTATACACTGTAACTTGTGTAACAGATTTGTAACGACGAACAATATCATCAGGGTTTCAAGGACGAATTGTCAGTTGCAGGTCATATCGAAGAGATTCATGATGAAGCGGAGAGCGCGTCGTCCGCGAGGTACTCGGCGGAGGGTCTTCCGAAGCGACGACGTTCAAGAGAAGTACATCAGGAAGGATTGGTTGCCATGCACGCGCCTGAAGTTCTCCCTGTATTGCTCCAGGGTCGCGGCACCCGCGCCCGAGACAATGGTCCCCGTTTCCGAGAGATTCACCTGGCCTGTTGGGTCATAGTGGATCTTCGCGCGAGAGCAGACAATGTGTGCATCTAACGAGGACGTTAGCCGGTGTTGCTCATCGCGAGAGCAGAGCATCACTTACAGTATACCGGTGCAGGAATGGACACCGACCTCGTCGCGCGAGCGTAGACATGGCAAAGCGCGAATGTCAGCGCTTGCAGACCGTCAGAGCTGCAAATGCTACAGATCAGTGACTTGGACGGACCAAAGGTGTGAGCAGGCAGTGACGCACCTGAGGTTGTTTTCGTCGTGCAATACTGTGTAATGTGCGGGTCGCGAAGTACCCAGCAGCGTGGACATCGCAGCAAGCAGATTAGGATGGCTCAGAAATTGGTATAGAAGACTACTTATCCAGCATGGCTCTGGAGGTACCAGTCGAATTCGATCGGATTCACGATCTCCTCGTCAACGACGGTGCCTGCTTGACAGTTGCCGCTCTTGTCTGCATCTCGCTGGTTTTGAGGGAAGAATCGGACATGGTGCCGCTTCCCTGTGATCAACAAGGTAATCTTGGGGTTGATCTTCAAATTCTGGCACGCCTCTGCAAAGCTGGTTCTGAGCCTCCAAAAGAAGCAAACATGTGTTGGTACCTACTTCGCAGTCGCGGAAGCTCTGTTGAGGACATGTCCATTAATCTCGTGAGATATGATCTCCTGGTGTGGTACGTACCAATATCTATTACTTGCTGGAACTCTCCCTCAGAGACGCCGTCTGCAGATAGTCTCAGATCGTAGAGGCACAATGGATGTTTAAATAGACGTACCTCGATAAAAGATGATGCGCTTTGGCGCAGTCGGAGTGGCTCTCTTCTCGATATCCCTCCGGTAGTCCATGTACATGCGCAGCATGCGCTGTCGAGCGATGCATCATGAGTTGAGACACAGAATGCAGGGCATGCATCTGAACTCACTTGGCTCATTTCCTCGAGGTCGTTGATCATCTCCCTTCGCCCAGTTTGCACGCGAATATCCGCGATGTACTTCGACGTGTCAGAGTCGACGTTAGCGACAAGGCTCGCGAATGAAGGCCGGTCCGTTGCTCCGGGAGATGGATGCATGACATCGGCCCTGTGAGAAGGATCAGGTCTATAGCCTCTTTCCGAACAAGGTCAAGTTACCCCATGACAACTGTCGGGTTCGTGGGGTCTGTCAGGAAAGATACAGAACGAGGTTCCGGGATTGAATTGATGCCGCCGAGCTTCACATTGACCCTACAGGACGCGGGTGAGTATGCCAGAGATATGCGGACGACTGTGACTTACTTCAGGCATATGTTCGCAAAGTACTGTTCTCTCGCCCTCGCGCACTTGTTAGCTCTCATGCACTGCGTTGGGACACCGGTCTAGGAAACGATCAGATAAGATGTTACACGCGATCTCTACTGGAATACTTGCCAGCACATCTCCAAAGCTAGGTGAATTGAGTCTTAGCCGGAGGGATCTTTCACGAATAAGGAGTACTTACTGCTTGATGGCGTGGTATAGATCTGCCGTACTATCGGGAATGATTGCAACAACGAGGTTTGGGAACCCCTTGTTCTTCTGGTTGCAGGCCTGGCCAGCGGCCTTCAGTTGCTGAACCGGGACGTGAGCTCTACAGATCGGAGGTAGATTGAAGCGGCATTCACCTCGATGATCCGTCCTTGTGCATTCTCGTGCCTGATGATGGGGTCGCGTTCCCGAACAGGAATGCCTAACGCAGCAACACATCATAACACATCATGATGCAGGTCGAACGACAAGGCTTACCAAATTTATCGCAGGTAGCCATAAACTCTCGGACGACTCCTTGGGCAGTCTGCATGTTGAAGCGCCCCGGACTCTCGTACACGACTACGACCCAGCGATCAATACTTTTTGGCGAATAAAGCTTCCTGTCCACTCTGTCAACATCAATATTGTCAGTGTGTATGCAATCCCCGCATTGTGTTCCACACACAGATTCCATGTCCCAGAGCGCGGTTGCTGAAGAGGGTTGTGTCATTCACAGGAGAGCGTCATTTCTGTCTATACTTACAATCGTTGGTTGTTTGGAGTCTCTGCCGTACCGCAATGTCGGCGGCTCCAAGACACGCGCGGGCGTGCTGAGCGGCTGTGCGTCGGGTCGTACTGTGAGACCGAATTGCTACAATGTGATATCGTTAGCAATACACAACTTACAAACAAGAAAATCAACAACTTACGCGGACATATTCGGATTGCCCGTGGGCGAGTACCTTCAATTCCTGTGAGATAAGCACACCTGATCGGAGACAGGCGTTGACCCACCCCCAGTGCTTGTTGAACGCTCCGAAGCCGTTCAGCAGGTACCTTAGTGGAGAACTCTACGAATTTGCTCGTGACGTCTGGCGAAAGCTGCTTCTTGATCATTTGTCCAGGAATGACATTGCATAGCTCGATCGGTATAATATCGCCCTTGTTACCGACCTGCGTGCACATGTATCAAAGAACCATTGAATGAAGAGTTAATGGCGAGAGGCATACCTCGACGCAGACTATGTTCGGGTGTCTCAAGGTGTAGTTGTACGCTTGAAGGTAGTACTGCACAATCGTGATTTGCTGGCCATTCCGGTCGAAGCTGTAGCCAGAGGCTGCGGCTCTTGTTACGCCTCTAATCACGCGGGGCCTGCGGTTACGACGCCCTGTCTGCGGCTGAACGGGCGGTAGAGCCTGTACATCGACGCGAAGGTTGCTGATGAATCGACTCAGGCGAAGGCGATCCCGCTCTGAGAAGCGGGGTCCTGGGGCCAGGTTGGCGGGGCTACTGTAATTGAGGAAGGCGAGACACGTGTTCATGAGAGCGCCCGGCTTGTACATCGCAGCCGTAGAGATGTCGACGTTGATCAGCATTCTCCTAATTGCAGGGCGTATCGACTGGAAGTATCCGCGCCATAATTCGATACCGCCGCCGATGTCTCTAGTCTCGGCGTTAGTAAAGAAGGAACGGGCGTTGAATGGATGCATAAGCGACGGCTGCATCCTAATCACAACATTCAATGCCTGGGATTCATGAGTTTTAGGTTCTACGAGACTTGTGAGCAAAGACATACGGTTATCGCAGTCAATACGGTGTTGTCATTGGACTGTTGGCCTTGCAAGAAACGCGCCAAGACCCTGCCGAAACTATTAAGACAGCTCAATGATGTGTCGATGATTGCCAATAACTGACTCAGAGTTGATAGAAGCTACCCAGGTCAGCTTTATCTTGTATATCTTTGGGCCTTTACCCGGTTTGTCGTTCGGGTCTGGGTCTTCCAACGTTACATCGAACTGCAGCGACGCACGTCGTGAAGTTCAATCGGATCGGATCTTATACGAACATACCGAAGCACTCCGCGTGGGCCCGAGATCGAGCTCCTGCGGGGCGAACATGTTCTTGCGTCCGTCATACACAGCACGCGGGGTGAAGATCGCGGGGGCAACGACTTCCTGCAGGCGCGTCACCAGCAAGAAGTTCACCCTTACGGGGAGGTTGTCAGGCGTAATCACCACTGCGCATCACGAGAGTATAAACGTCAGAGAGTACCAGAGCGAACAGATACAGACCGTCGTAATGGTGTATCTTTCCCGTGGCCATCTCAACAGCGTAGTGGTTCGTCGTAACCATGATTCGTCTGCCGGAGATCCCAGGAGGTGGCCGCCGAACACCGACAGCCTGTACATGTTGGGCCGGTACCTGAGGTCCATGACCTGCTGCAGCACCGAGGGCGGGAGCACCGCCACGACCTGCAGCAGGACCCGGAGGACCACCTGTAGGCCCAGCACGTCCTCTTCCAGATCGTCTAGGAGGCATTCTGAGAAGTAGAATAGGTGACTGCCTTGAGACGCTTTCTACGATGTAGGAAGCCCACAAGGACGAGGGATCGTCGAATTGCGAGAGGGGGTCTATATACCCAACGAAGAGGCGGTCTTTCCGGGGGTTTCCGTCACGCAGTATGCATCGATCCGCTAAGTGGAAGCCTGGGGAAGCACGCCGTAGATGTGGGAATCCGCCTGAAGCAGCTTCATCGGTCCTAGAATATGTGAAGCGTCTTCCGTGCATGAGGTTCTAATGGAACTATCTCTGTCTGTTTAGCCCGATAGGGTGCTCACCTGTCTATAGACCAAACGAAGCTTCTTTGATAATCAGCTGAATCCGGGCTCGATGAACCTGTGCAACGGTCAGAATGCCCGCCGCCCCATACGCAGTCCATCCGAAGTCAGAGGCAGCTCGGTAGCATATCACGGTGGAGGCACGTACTCACTCAAACCTCTGGTAGAGCGGATGCAGGATCCAAGCCCAGTGAGGCTATGAATGGCCCTGCCGTTTCCTATAGAAGCGACATGTGCCTGAAAACTTTCATGTGGTCAGTACTTCCATGGATTTCAAAAGAGCATGACAGTCAGCAGCCGTTGACAACTCATTTCTCGACGTACCAGTGCACAACCAGCAGTGGCGGTGAACAACATCACGGCACGTCCGAATCAACAACGCTGCGTCTGCGTGGGTCTCTACTACCCAGTCATATTGCTATCACAGGCGGCGGAGACGCTATCGTTGACATTCTGTACTTGAACACAGCCTCGCTTGAATTGCCCTCTCCAAGTCTGTAGAACACACGATGTAGAGTTTCGCTTAGCATGCTGGTGGTGGCATATTGGAACGTATCCCATGCAATCCAGATCCACTGCCAGTAAATCAGAGTGAATCTCATAGAATACGGACCAATGGGCCACGGACGGTGTGTAGCCACCAAGGATACGTGTGCGTCATTGAATCCGATGACAGACACCGCTTTCTTCCTTGCAATGCAGTTCACCAACTGCACGGGAAACATCGCCTTCGCAGAGCCGGTCCACACCTTCTGCGCAGCAGCCACGACTGAGCACTGAACGTTAACAAGGGAGGTAATCGATAACTACAGACTTACGGATATGAAGCCCAGCATCTTACAATGCATTCCAGCGATTGCCGCTCGGATGTTTGGGGCTGTGAGGAATGCGCAGTGAGAGCCCATGGCCTCGTTTCCTCGGCGTGTGCATGCGCAGGAGGCACTGAGGACTATGGGACTTCGCACGTAATCGCTCGCGGATTCTGAGTTCTGCGGGACTTCTGAATGCTTCCTGGGCTGTACCTGCTGACCTCTCGCGCTACGCAGCACGAAGGTTCGTTTCCACCTGTGGGTACATAATACTATAGGCGGAGATGAGCTACCCGTAAGCTAGTTATCTTACCTCGAGGACTTGTACTTGCCGCAGTCAATCTCCATCTGCACTTGAAACCTTGTCGGCACGATCAGCTACCGGCCTAAGACGAGATTATGAACAAGCCGAACCTCGACAAGCCGACCGACTGATGCTCTCCCGTGTGTGTTGGTTGGTCCTATATTCGTTCAGTGGACCGAGTTGCGAATCGCGAAATAAGGGACACCACACATGGTGTGACGCATGTTCGAGTGCAGGACCCCGCAGCTGAAGGTGTGCAATGACTCTCCGTCTCCTTCTTGCGTATCGCGCGTCCTAGAAGTAGCTGCGCCGTAAGTTATTCGATACGAATGGCTGTTCAGAATGCGGACGAGATCGCAAGCCTTGATGTTTCACCGCTTGTCCGTGGCAGGCGCGAGCATTCGGAGGCGGTTACGCAGGAACGGAGACGGGACGCTCGTCAGTACAAAAATTGTCATCATGTAGATATGCAGGTACGCAACAGCGACCCGACATCGGTGTAGGCAGCAAGCATCGCTTTCTCTTCGTCCATGGGTCCTTCAGCGGCGCGGGACTCATCCTCGGAGCGACGCAGCCACCCCTGTCAGAAACCGGGTGCTTAGCAGATTTCCACCGCCTACTCCTCTCTGCTATGTCGCCTCCATGACTGATGGGATAGATAATAACCAAGAGGGGCACGGTCGGGGAGGGAGGAGCCTGAAAGTTATGCCACTGCTCGCTGCCTCGAACCTGGAAGTTCAGAGTCACGCCGGCTTGCCACGGAGAGAAAGCCGGCTTGTATTCGTCGCAGATGTCTTGAATAGAGCATGTGCAGAAGAGGTCATTCGCATTAGCCGTATCGGTATGGTTGAATGGGAGGCAGTCGCTATGAAGCAACGCAGGTACGGTACAGGCGCTTATCGCCGTGTTCATCCTCGGTCCGATGTGGCGTGCGCCTACACACTTGGCTCTTGCGCTCACTGGCAGCTCTTCGACGTCTTACCTGAAGCCACTCCTTATCGAGCTGGCGGGTCATTATCCTCACCTGGGACTGGAAGCGATGATCCCACTGAAAGCACATATTTCTCACCTCTGCCAATACTCACCCTGACACACCGATGTCCGCGCGACGTAGGCCGCTCAAAGACTCAATGAACCCTCCTCCTCCTCAGCTGTCCTTTGGCGCATATTCTCCTGCTATCTGAGATGGGTCAGACGTAGGCCCGGCGCAACCCCGTTGGCATTGAGGGATGCCGTCACCTACGTCCTCTCTGGGTGGCCAGAATAAGTCAGCTCGAACTTCAAGGAGAAGGAGTGAGGTCAGGCCAACGTAGCCATGCTAAGTAGAGTCATCAAGCATAACGTATGTAATGTGAGGAACGTCGAGGGCAGAGGGCGCAAACTTTCTATGTATGTACCACGACATTCCATCTCAACCGCCTTTTTGTATGACCACCCACAGACTGCGCGCGAGATCGTTGCCAGGCTTTCTTGCTAGATCCGCAACCTATATGCTCATGAGTCGGCGGCACTGACGTACGCGACGATGAACTGTGCTGGTACTAAAACAACGGCCCGAAATTATCCAGTCACTCAACAGCATCAGATCACATTCGAAACTCTGACAAACCTTCGAATTCGCCGGCATGATTCCTCACACGATGAGATGTACATGTGCGACGTGTACGGTGTGAGTATGAGCTGCGACAGGAGACTTTGATCGGTTTTCGAATACACGATTGTGGTATATGGACTTGACTACCTCTGACTTCACACTTCTGCTCGAGAGCTTGTTCAGCGCAAACACTGTAATGTTTCGAGTATCAAGATCTGCATTGTTATATAAGAGGTACACATGCGTAGAATGGAAGATTGGTGACGTTTCGATACATTGTACAATACGATTCAACAAGGACAGCGCGATAGCACCATACAAGGTTCCGCGTGTAGATCGTCAGTTATAGGTCATTTTTGGAACATTGTAGCGAGCCAGACAGTAAGTGACATAGTATCAAGAATTCGGAGATTGTTGGGCATCGCGAATGTTCAGGAGAAGTACATCAAGAAAGATTGCGTGCCATGCACGCGCTTGAATTTATCCTTGTATTTCTCCAAGATGGACGCCGCGTCCGAGACGACCGTCGCCGAATCCGAGAGGTTCAGCTGCTCCGATGGGTCGTAGTGGATTTTGGCGCGCGAACAGACAATGTGCGCATCTGGCGGGAACATCAGTCGGTCACAGTACTGTGCGTTGCGAGCAGAGAACATCACTCACAGTAGACCGGTGCCGGAATGGACACCGACCTCGTCGCGCGAGCGTAGACATGGCAGAGCGCGAACGTCAGCGCTTGCAATCCGTCGGAGCTGCAGATGTCCCGTGTGTCAGTGTTGGATAGGTGAGGAATAGAGCGTGACGTACTTGAGGTTGTTCTCGTCGTGTAGCACAATGTAGTGCGCAGGTCGCGAGGTGCCCAGCAGCGTGGATATCCCAGCGAACGGATTAGCACGAATCAGAAAGGAGGATAGAGGATGACTTATCCAGCATGGCTCTGGAGGTACCAGTCGAATTCGATCGGATTCACGATCTCCTCGTCGACGACGGTGCCCGCTTGACAGTTGCCGCTTCTGTCCGCATCTCGCGGGTTCTGAGGGAAGAACCGGACATGGTGCCGCTTCCCTGTGATCAGCAAGGTGATCTTGGGGTTGATCTTGAGGTTCTGGCACGCCTCTGCAAAGCCGGTTGTGAGCCTCCGGTGAAACCAAAGACTTATTGTTACTTACTTCGCAATCGCGGGAGCTCTATTGCGGATCAATGAGATGATCGTTACAACGTAGCAATCGATACGATACGCACCGAGATCTACAACTTGTTGAAATTCTCCCTCAGAGACGCCGTCTGCAGATGGTCTCAGGCGCGAGAGACATGTTGAATGCTCAGATACACGTACCTCGGTAAAAGATGATGCGCTTCGGCTCCGAATTGGCCTTCTTCTCTACGTTCTTCCCGTAGTTCATATACATGCTGAGCATACGCTGCCAAGCGATCGTCGTTAGATGTGATACGGCACGCAGGGCATAGCTTGCACTCACCTGACTCATATCCTCGAGATCGTTGATCATCTCCCGCCGCCCGGTTTGCACGCGAAGGTCCGCGACGTACTTTGAGGTGTGCGAGTCGACGTTGGCGACGAGGGCCGCGAATGATGGCCGATCCTTTGCTCCTGGAGGGGGGTGCATGACGTCGGCTCTGCGAGGAATGTCAGCGCCATAGCCTCAGTGAACCCAGAATCGGTTTACCCCATAACAACCGTTGGGTTCTTGGGATCGGTCAGGAACGCGACGGAACGAGGGTCCGGGATAGAATTGACACCACCGAGCTTCACGTTGACCCTGGGATACGCCGTTTAGCATCCTACACATACGCGTAGGTAGAACTTACTTCAGACATATGTTGGCGTAATATTGCTCCCTCGCCCTGGCGCATTTGTTTGCTTTCATGCACTGCGTCGGGACTCCGGTCTTGCAGGTAACAAATTCAATAGGCCAACCTTACCAGTGACTGTCGCTGGAGTGCTTACCAATACATCGCCAAAGCTGCGTGAATCAAGTCGAATCTCAGATAAAGGCCGCGGTAATCACGCCATGGATGCGAAATACTTACTGCTTAATAGCAACATAGAGATCTGTCGCACCATCGGGGATGATCGCAACAATGAGGTTCGGGAACCCCTTGTTCTTCTGGTTGCATGCCTGGCCGGCGGCCTTCAGTTGCTAATCCAGGGGGTCAGCTCTGCAAATAGGAAACAGAGGAGTTGAACCACCTCGGAGACCTGTCCTTGTGGATTCTCGTGCCTGATGATGGGATCACGTTCCCGAACAGGCATACCTAGCACAGCAGACATCGCAACAGGCAACATTGTGAACTGAGCGACGAGGCTTACCAACTGCATCACAGGCAGTCAAGAGCCCTCGGACGACTCCTTGGGCAACCTGCACGTCAAATCGCCGCGGATTCTCGTACACGATCACGACCCAGCGGTCGAAGCCTTTCGGCGTATGAAACTTCTTGTCCACTCTATCGTTGTTGTCAGCGAATGCACGATCGATTGTGTTCTACGCACAGGTTCCACGATCCGGAGCGCGGGTCCTAAACCAGAGTAGAACGTCATTGACTTGAGAGAAAAACGTTGGCTTTCATACGCACAACCGTCGGTTGTTTGGAGCCTGGGCCATACCGCAGCGTCGGCGGGTTCAAGACGCGTGCCGGCGTGCTCAGCGGCTGCGCATTCGGTTGTACTGTAAGGCCGAATTGCTACGGCAGGCCACTGTCAGTAACATCTATGACACCAGCGACAACACTACTTACACGGACATATTCAGACTGCCCGTAGGCGAGTACCTTACAGTTATGTATGAGCTGAGTACCTCTAATCGGAGACAAGTATGTAACTCACACCGAATGCTTGTTGGATGCTCTGCAGTCGTTCAGCGGGTACCTTCGTCGAGAATTCCACGAACTTGCTGGTGACATCTGGCGAAAGCTGCTTCTTGATCATTTGTGCAGGTATGACTTCACATAGCTCGATCGGTATGATGTCGCCCTTGTTTCCGACCTGCATGCACACACATTCAACATGAAGCATCGAATGAAAAGTTGAACGCGAGAGCGCACCTCAACACAGACTATGTTCGGAAACTTCAAGTTGTAGTTATACACCTGACGATAGTACTGTGCGATGGTGATCTTTTGGCCGTTCCGTTCGAAACTTATGCCAGACGCGGCAGCTTTGGTCACGCCTTGGATCGCGCGGGGCCTGCGGTTACGGCGGGGCCCTGTCTGCGGCTGGACGGGCGGTAGAGCCCGTACATCGACGCGAAGGTTACTGATGAATCGACTCAGGCGCAGGCGGTCCCGCTCTTCGAAACGTCCTATCGTCAGGTCGGCGGGGTTCCTGAAGTTGAGGAAGGCGAGACAGGTGTTCATCAGCGGGCCATCCTTGTACATCGCAGCCGTAGAGATGTCGACGTTGATCAACATTCTCCGAATTGCAGGGCGTATCGATTGGAAGTAGCCGCGCCATAACTCGATGCCGCCACCGATATCTCTCGTCTCGGCGTTTGTGAAGAAGGAACGCGCATTGAACGGATGCAGGAGCGAGGGCTGCATTCTGATGACGACGTTCAATGCCTGACTCAACACGTCAGTTGTAGGTCTTAGATGATACGCATGAGGGAGAACATACAGTTATGGCAGTCAAAATAGTATTGTCATTTGACTGTTGGCCTTGCAGGAAACGAGCCAGAACCCTGCCAATACAGTTCAGACGTCTAGAATATGCAGGGAAAAAAGATGACTGACTCAGAGTTGATGGAGGCTACCCAACTCAGTCTGATCTTGTATACTTTGGGACCTTTACCAGACGTATTGTTCGGATCCGGGTCTTCCGTTGTCACATCGAACTGCCACACCCCATGAAGTCGAGATCGTGTCCGCTACAAACCACATACCGTTGCACTTCGGGTCTGGCCGAGATTAAGTTCCTGCGGCGCGAACATATTCTTGCGTCCATCGTACGCAGCGCGCGGGGTGAAGACTGCGGGAGCAATAACTTCTTGCAGGCGGTTCACGAGCATGAAGTTAAATTTAGCAGGGAGTGTGTCTGGCGTGACGACCACTGTGCATCACGGTAAACATCTGAGGGAGCACGAGAACAAACAGATACAGACCGTCATAGTGATGTATTGTGCCCGTGGCCATATCAACAGCATAGTGATTCGTCGTAACCATAAGTCGTCGGCCTGACGTTCCAGGAGGAGGCCGCCGCACACCAACGGCTTGTACGTGTTGGGCCGGCACCTGTGGCCCACCACCTGCTGCAGCACCGTGACCGGCGGCAGGGGCACCGCCGCGGCCTGCAGCAGGAGGACCACCGGCAGGCCCACCACGGCCTCGTCCAGGACGTCGAGGAGGCATGAGAACAGTGACTGCCTTGAGACGCTTTCTACGTTGTAGGAAGCCCGCAAGGACGGGGGATCGTCAGTTTGCGGGATTAGGTTTATATACCCAACAAAGAGGTAATCTCTCCGGATTGTTCCGTCAGTCAAGGCGCATCGATACGAACGGTAGGATAGGGATGTAGGGACCCGCTGCGCTGGTACTAGATGGTCACATTGAGCGAGACGTCGACCGTAATGTCATACATGAGGTACTCGTGGGGCTATCTCGGCGAAGAAGCTGCTCACCTATCTATGACCCAAATAAAGTTTCCTTGATGAACAGCTGAATCCGGGGCTCAGTATGGCTGCATGCCGCTCGCCCAGGTCAAGTTCAGACTCCAGCCTGAGACTCGGAGGTCCCAGTTCGGCAAATATCGCAAGTCACGAGGACCTTGCCTCAGTTAAAGCGACTGACAATATTGTACGTAAAAGTAAAAACCCAACTACTCCAGATAGGGCACACTGTACTCGACGCTGCGGTAGAACGTACTGCGTAGTGGCACCGGTGCAGAGGAATCGAATAGCAAGTCCGGTGAGACTATATGTGAATGGTCCAGCGGTTCGTCGGTCGACGCGCATGATCTGACACTGTTGAAGTCTCATGTATTGCCAAGAGCTAGTATAACGCCTTGACAGAAAGGTCATTGAACACCTTCCTTCCAGCTTCCTTCGAGACTATTAGTGCTACGTGCATTGATCCGAATCGTCGACAAGTTGACGCAGCCTGATCCAGATCTATCGTCGATTTCTCGTCCCTCACTTCGATCTACCGCTCAGTACGCATAATTTGTCCAACTCTCACAACGAACAGCGTACGCATCTGTACTACCCAGTCGAACTTTATGAAAATCATCAAGGCGACATTGATCTCATAGTGCGCCAGTCGTATCCTCTCAAGTCTGCGGAAGACTCGACATATAGCCTGGCTACGCGGCGGGGCACTACAGCACAGACCTGAGCCAATGGGCCGCAGAGCGTGCGTACGTTTTGACAACAGGGACGCGTTATCGTAAAGTCTGATAGCGATCACCGCTTTCCTAGCCCAGAGTATGAATGAACGTGGAACGCCGTATTCGCACAGCGTATCCGCACCTTCCGCGCTGCGGGGATAGATATTAGCAACAGCAGTGAACTGATTACTTCCGAACTTTGAGCTTACCGTCGTGAGGCGCAGTATCTTTTAATACGCGGCAACAATTGCCGACCGAATGCCTGGTGTGAGAGAAACGCGTAGTGAGTATCCTGGGCCTCGTTTCCTCGGCATGAGGGGCTGAGAGCTATAGGACTTTAGAGGACTTTGCGCGTAACCGCTCGCGGATTCGGACTTCTACGGGGCTTCCGGTCGCGTCTGCTGACCTCTCGTGCCGCATGGATGGCAGGTGAATCGGGACCACCTGTGGGTGCGATGGGCGTAGATAACACACCCGAGAGACAACCGTCCTTCCTCGAAGACATCTCAATTCCCGCAGTCAATGCCCGTCTGCACTCCAGACCCTCACCAAAGCCACAATGTTTAGCCACGATACGGTCACAAATCGGCATAGAACGCAACTGTGGATAAGCCGAACCTTGATACAAGAACCCTGCGGGGTAGGGGAGCCGAAGGGCTCATGCCGCTACCTGACGTACGGCTGCGCTCTCCACGCTCGTTCTAGTCTTTACCATGGACGATACGTCCTCAGTGCCCATCCACGACTTGAAGCTCTCCGGACCCTGCTCACACGATGCCCGGTCAGTGATGCCATCGGTCAAACGCAGCAGAGCCACGCACCTTGAAGTGACTGAGTCTCTGGTTGCGCACCCTGCGCTGCAGCCATTCTTGAGCGGAGACACCCGGCCAGAAGCGCGCCTGCGCGTTTGGCGCATCCGCTACGGCCGCAGCGATCAGTGGGCTGTCGTCCACGAGGGCGCGCAGCTCGACGCTGTCGCTCGCACGCGTGAAGTACACCAGGGAGTAACGTTCGAACTTTGCTTGTTCTCCTGGGGGAGGACTGGGTGCTAATATCAGATTCGGTTCGCTGATTGAATTGCAGACAAAGTTACGCACATGACGCGGTGCATGTTCGAGCGCAGGATACCACCGCTGAAGATGTGCATCGAGTCTCCAATGTTGCAAATCGCATGTCCCGGGAGTGGCTACGGAGTACTCAATGCGATAGTAGTGGAAGACTTGGAAAAGCTTGCGTACCCTGACGTATTGCCACTTGTCCGTGCCAGGCGGAAGCACCTGGAGGCCCCCGATGCGGTTATGTAGGAAAGACTAGAGAAGGGAATGTCCGTAAGTGCAAGCATCTACTAAACTTGATCGGCCACGTACCAGCGATCCAAAGTCAGTATGGGCAGCCAGCATCGCTTTCTCGTCGTCAATCGGTCCATCCTTCGGCGGCGTGCGAATCACCCTGGCGACACAGCCGCTCCTCTCCGCTGGGTTGTGCAGTTGAGCAAGCGTCCCCTCAGGCAAACCGAGCTTCGTGTTCAATACGCCGATAAGTGTGCCGTTCACCTCCAGTGACTTATCGACGAACGGTCGGATGACGGTGTCCATGCGCGCGGTGAGGATTCCGGGGTAGGTGCGATGCACGACCTCGGGGAAGGCGAGCGCATCGTCCTTCGAGACATTGATGAACTCCGTAGAGTCGCGGTTTCCCTTCTCGTCAATGGCGTTCACACCTCGAGCTTTGTATCTGTAGGGCCAAGGAGTCAGTGCGCATCTCGGCCGCTCGGGGATCGTGGACTTGCCCAAAGGACGCGCCGTTGTCTCCTTGTTCGAATTGCATTTTATCGTCGATAGGAAGCTCCATAAAATCAGAGCCCATCTCGAACATAGCGTCCACCTCAGCATCCGCTCCATGGTTCTTCAAGCTAGAAATGAGGCGCTGGGATCAGAGACGTCTAGCACAAATGCATCTGAGCCTCGACCTACTACCAGAAACCCAGCTGCGTGGCTGCTCTCCATAATTTCTCGGTCTCGTCGTGGTCTCCGGCCTTGATAAGCTGGTAGTCGACTACGAGCAGAGGGTGCGTAGGTACGTCTTCCGGGAACGGTGGTCCAACGATGCCTGGCATGGTCTAGGGATGCTGGTAAGTAAATACACCACAGCAGCTGGAAGAGCTTCTGAGGACGTCCGAGTGAATGCTGGCTTGTTAAGCATATCCGTGTCATACTTCGGGGAGCCGCCGTTGAAGCTAGCGTCATGAACGATTTAGCTTCACTGTCAGATGACTGGTAGAACACGGAGTCAATGATAGCGCATTCACTCTGGAGTCCGAGCAAAGGGGGCCGATGGGAAGACCGGGCATGCCGCTTGTAAGTGCCGATGCGTCCTTTGGAGCGATACGGACACTCGCCCGGAAGAACGACTGGCCACCCATCCGAAAGCAGGTCCGCTCGCTCACCAGAGATATGCATACCGAGAGCAATTGGCCTCAGAGTTTTCCGACTTCCGATACACCTGAAGTTGTGATAGCTTGACACGCATTCCGGCATCGAAGCAAGCTGAAGCTGATAGTCGACGAGGCAAGACGGATTGTCAACGTTTCAACGTCAATAGCTTGGGCATGACTTGGTCACTGGTCGCTGGTCCGAGACGAAATAGCAAACGAATGCCGGTTCCTGGTAGTGGAAGCGGATGCAGAGCGGGTGTCTTGTCACTGTTTGGCTTCTGTGGCTGATTGCGTGTGGCGCGCACATGCCTCCTCCCGCTCCCTCCCACTTAAAGGCTACCATAGATTCTGAGTTAGACCAGGACATTATCCCCGACCACTCGCAGTGCGATGTCGTCTGAACGGCAGCTACCTCCTGAGATATGCGACATCATTCTCGACCACCTTCACAGCGACATGGAATCCTTGTCTTCCTGCGCCCTTGTCTGCAAAGCCTGGGTTCCTACCGCCCGTATGCACCGCTTCGAAACACTTCATATCCCCCGGTCCGGACGCGGCAGGTCTGCTCTCGCACTGCTATGCGATAGCACATCAACCATCCTGCCGTACATACGCCATCTCTCCCTCCAAGAGGGCGGCGAAGGTTGGAGGCGCAATGACCCACTGTGGCTCGGTGACGCGCTCCCTCGAATGCGCCTGCAGGAGTTGAGCAGCCTTCACAGTCTTAGGATCCAAAGCTTTGCCTGGCCCACGCTTTCTCCGCAGGCGAGAGCGTGCTTGCTCTCTGTTCTACCACGGGTGAGGTCCCTATCCCTGCCGGTACTCGAAGGGGAATGCGTTTTCGGCGTGTTCGAGATGATATCCGCTGCAACCTCACTGCACGAGCTATCTCTGCTCGGGATGGGGGTAATCGACACTCCAGACTCGCAATCCCTGCTCGCCCAATTCCCTACTTCCCCCTTCTCGCGTACTCTCACTCGCCTGCAGGTCGATGCGGCAAGCATCTTCCTGCGGTTTATTAATTGGGTCGCACCGGGTCTCCCCGTCCCAGAGATTGATCTGCAGGACTTCTTCTCCTCAACGGAGGCGACTAAATTTATCGCTTCATGCGGCTCAAGGGTGAAGCACCTCACCTTGCGATTCAGCGATCTAGGGTGGGCAAATCCGGAGGGTACGTTGCATCTGCTTGTATACAACCCTTATGCACAACGAGGTGACCCTCGCGATCACTGCAGGCATATTCATATTCTATGGTGGTCTTTCCCACAATTCGTCTCTGATCACACTTGATCTGGGTTGCGAACACGCCTCCATTATTCCTATCCTTCACCAACTTCCCTCCCCCCATCTGAGCATGAGCGTCGTGACGCTCCATATGACACCCGACACGCTTCTGCGCTTCGATTCGAACCTCGGCGCGCTCGAGGACCTCTTCACCTCCCACTTCCCTGCAGCGAGGCTCGAGATTATCGGGACACACGATGATGTAGAACCGCTCCTGGGACTGCGAGATGGGTTGTTCGCACGTATGCGGCGATTGCGCGAGGAAGGAAGGCTGGGGTTCAAAAGAAGCGATGGGCTCAGTATGGACCCCGACACGCCCAGCGTCATGGACAGCTTGCTGGAGGATCAGGGCACAGTTCATTAAATCAGACGCTCTATGAGGCCGGTATCTACATGCATATGTCTGCGAAAATGGAGTGTAAGGATGAATAGCTACAAAAGTCATGGAGCCGTCATAGACGCCGGAGGCCTCTCTCAGCCTCTTCATGCTGCAGCTACGGGATTACAAAGATTCACAGTGTATTCATAGGAACCAAGGACGTCGATGGCAATATCATATATACAGTCCAAAGAATGGTCCATCCGGCCGATATGACACTCCATACTGGACGTCCTCAGAACCACCGACTGAACAAGCCACTGAACCCACTACCCCGTCCAACGGTGGACACAGGAGAGGTGGACACGGGGGATGGGGCGACGCAGTGCCCTGAGAGCATGGGCGAATCCGTTGAGATGTCCGATGCAGCTCCATCGGAGTCGTCAATTGAGGCCTCGCTGACTACGGGCGACGGAGGGGGCGCGGTCGCAGAAAGACTTGCTTGCGCATGCGTGTGGCACGCAGGTGAAACGAGGGCATCTGGATGTGAAGTCGACAGGCTACGCCGGCCAAACAACCGACTCCAACCTCCCGCGTTATCGGGGTGTACGCCCGTGTTGAGCCGGCGTTTCGTAGGTATCGGAGCATGATGCTCGACAATGGGAGGACTAACAGATAACGATGCTGTGGCGGGTTTGTGTATGTGTGGAAGCTTGCCGTGGCTTCCGCCGATGGTCCAGTATGACTATATGCCAGGCTCAACGTGAACGGAGTGTCAAACGACGTAGTGAGTCACTTACTGTCGTTGCATTCGGGAGCGACTCGGGTTTACCACGCAAGGACCGCGTGGGCTGCTCACCGAAAAATTGGTGTGAACGAGATGAGGGACTGGTGTACCCCGCGGATGGCACTACGGCCAGCGTCCAAGTTCCGCCAAGGAAGAACTTGGGTGTCTCAGGCTGATGATGTCGGTGAACATGAGCAAATTGACGAGAGCAACTCGTAGAACGGGCTACGTACGAGAGGAAGGTAAGACAGGAAAGTCTCGCCCGAAGTGTCTTCGTCGGTCAAAAAGTCTTCCACATTGAGTACGGGCTCGAAAACAGCCCTACTCGTGGTAACATCGTCTTGTGTCTCGCGTTGGTCTATCTCCAAACGTGCCTTGCCCTTCTCTGCGGCGGTAAGGCGCGGTGCTTCAATAACTTCCTTGTGCACCTGCTTGTTTGCTTCTTCCAGCAGCCTGGAATCGCAATGAGCAACTCGCGGCCGAGGATATAAAGCGATACTCACGCAACAACGGGTATATCGCCCCCGGACATGGATTGTACTTCTCCGTCAACGCTTGTAGTGCGTGTCACCGTGCCCTTGACATCGTTATCTGAGGCCGGCGCGGGAGGACCTCCTTGCAAAGAACCTTGGTCCTGTTCGATCTCAGAAACCATAGCCTGCAACTGAACGAACGAGTCTCGGAGTTCCTTGACAGCCGGGGTAACCTCGTCGGTGGGTCTCCACGCAGCAACACGGGCTGCCATCCTAGAGGCGATAGTATCGAAATCTTCATCAACAGCCTGCTCCTCGTCGTCATCGTCGTCGTCTTCATCGTCGATAACTTCTGAACGCCAAAGCTGGATACGACTCGTGTATAGCCACCTGGCAGCACAACGTCAGGCATCCGATTGTATTTGAAGCAGACAGCACGCACCGCAGTGATTCTAGGAATGGGTCCTGACAAAAGTCTTCGTCGAGCGGGTCTCCTGCTGCCCTTTTGGCTGGAGCAGACTCGGAGGCTTGGGTCGCGTTGTCGGAAACCGGCCCTCGTCTGCAGAATCTATCAACATCAACCCATACATATATGAGATCGATGACATACGGAGGTTCTGGCATCTCATCCTCCTCCAGTTCCCGGAGCAGGGATGTAATGTCCAATGCGACGGGCGTCGGTGCGACACTTCTTCTGTTCGAGGCCCGGCGAACGTCCTTGAGCTTCGTGCTTTCTGCTCGCTTGACATCCTCTCGCCATGGGCTGCTACCCGGTGTAGAGAACACACCCGTAGCAGAAATACATCCTTGAGCTGACTTGTTGGCGATCGGCGGCTTCGGTGCGACGCGCAACGGCTTCACGGAGAGGATGTTCGGCTTGCTATGGGAAGAGCTGGTGCGCCTGGACAAACGCGATTCGTAAGACCATACGGGGATGCGCAGAAAACCTTCTGGGTGGTGGCTCGGATGGAAGGTAAGCTTGTCAGGGATGGGGCTCGCCGGCGGGGATGTGGCGCATGTGTCGATGCTCTCGTCCGTGGGCGCCGAAGAGGGGGCATTATCGGTCGGCGTAGTCATTCTACATCGTGTTAGCGGAAACTCATGTTAGGAAGATGCAGACATACCTATCGTCTGTGGAAGTCTCGCTCTCACTTGAGGACCCAGAGTATGCTTCCAAGAGAGAACTCAAAGAGGACTCGGAAGCTGCTACCATGTCGTTGGCCGATGGGACATCATCCTCCGAGTCGGATAAGCCAGAGTAAGCCCCCACGAGGGAGCCGAAGGAGGTAGAATCGGAAGGAGTGGTCTCGCTATGGAGACAGTTACAACACACATCGACGTGCAGCAAGAGACCGCATACCTGTCCTCACTGGTAGCTCCATCTTCGCTACTTGATTCAGACGAATAGTACTGAATCACATCCGAGAGTGAATCGACCGCTGGTACGTCATCCTTGCTCTCACTAGATGTTATGGTTGTCAGATGCGCCGGGTAGACGACGACAAATGAACTAACCTCTCTGGTGAAGGCGTCCCGTCATTATCGTTCTTCCCGCTCGAGTCGTCCGCAATGATGCCATTGCGTTCCTCGTTCTTGTCCTCGATTTGTCGTTGGTCATCGGCAACGATCTTTTCTTCTGTGTGATGTCCGACACTGGTATCTTTGTCGTCGACGACACACCGTTCGCCGCCGAGTTCGTCACTCTCATTGCTTCTCGCCTCGCAGTTATCCTCAGGTGCATTGTTGTCAGGGATCTTCGCAGACTTGCCGTCGCTCTGACCGTCCACCTCGCCAGGCGCGCTAGTAGCAATCTCGACACTAGCCTCGTGATTGTCGGACACGTCTTTGCTGCCGGTGTCGTTGGCTCCTTCGACGGCGTCCGTTGCAGCTGCCTCCAAGATGACATCGCTAACGGGAGGTCCCTCAACCTGGGCACCACTTGCAGAATCAATAGGTGGGACCGAAGCGATGGGCGCGCTCGTGTCGACATCGGGCACGTCTGGTTCGATGTCGACAGCTTCATTCTGCTGAGCTTCGCTTGCAGAGACCTCAGTCGCCTCCACGAGATCGACAGGCTTCGATGACACAGAAACCTTAGTCGTCGCTGATAGCAAAGCAGCGTTCTTGCACGCCGCAGGCCTCGGGATGCTGTTCCCATACCTAGTACCAGCGCGATCGGGAGCTCTCGCGGTCTTAGGGGGAGACTTCGCCGAGATGACAGAGCCAGAACGCGGCCTCTTGCCAGCATCGGTGCTGGTGGTACCTGCAACCCTCGGTACGCCGGGAGGACGTTTCGGTGAGGGGCGGGAGCCGGCGTCCACGGTCTTCTGGGAAGACGACCGCGTCGGGCGGGTCAGGCGAGATAGACGGTCTTCCCTGTCCTGATTAGCCGTCGTGTTGTTCGAGATTACAGGGCGAGAGGCACGCGCCACAGTACGCTGCGAGGTGGCGATGGCGAGGTATTGCGTCTTTAGTAAGTTACGACGGAGATATGTGACATGACATGGCGTACCTGAGCAGGCAGTGATTGACTGACAGCTGGCTTGCCTGGTACCGATGACATCTTACTTGTGGTGCTGACAGTGACGGTGGACGATCGAGCGCGGCCTGGTACGCTGACAGGGGACGTCTTCTTGATCGGTGGGAGGGAGGTCTGTTTCTGGATCTCTGATGGCGGGCGGGTGCGTGGGATAGGGGTTATGGTTGTGGACGTCCGCTTGGTCGATGTTGCGGCAGGGGCCGACGAACTCGTAGGCTTCGTAGGTTTGATGGTGGGCGACTTCGGGGCAGACGCCACAGTGCTCCGTTGGCTGGGACTGACCATAGTGGCGAGAATGACTTGCTACGATGCACGCGTTGGGCAAACGAGATGGAGGGAGGGGATGAAGAGAGGTGAACACAGCGGGTGTGAAGACTTCTCGGAAGGAGTCAGCCCAGAGAGGCTGACGGGTCGGTGCGCTCCAGGACTGACCATATCCGACATTTCAATCCTGACTACGGGTAGTCTGGACACGTTCCTAGAATAGAATGACAATGTTAGTTCTGCGTGAGCTGTGTTGCATTAGGGTAAGGCATACGAGTTGTGTTCACTATAGCGGCCCCTTACTTCCGGGTTTGTGCCATGGTCCATGAATCGTCGACTATTGTTAGAGAGGTATACAGTAACCACGTACCTAGATGACCAGAGTATGCCGGGCACGTATAGTGTCCTGTTAAAAGGAAAGCTCCCGCAAACGCAACGTGCGCAGTGACTGGGCCAGGGACTCTTCCTCGACGAGACTGGTACGGATCGTTGGCGAACAACTAAACACTGCCGCCTTCCTTGGATAGCTTGAACCCAGAGCTGTCCTGGCGCACGATCTCTGCCATATCAGAGAATTAGAAATATATATCTTGACCTCAGACGTATTTGTCTGTCCGGCTGACGAGTAGGCAAGGATTTGCGAGGTATTGAACGCGCCAATGGCGGAGGACTGGAGGTGAACGACTTGCTCGACTTCCGGATTCGGACCCGACTGGCGCCGATCACACCGCGCCACCACGTGCTTGTGAATTTAGCAAGCGCCCACGGGCGAGTGTAGACTCTGACTTGGCCGGGAGCTCGACGCCGGGCTCAAGCGCAAGCTCTGCCACTGCTCCCAGCTCATCCTGCCGCTATGCTCCCCCGCCATCTGCGCTCCGCCATCGTCACCGCCGCCGCGCCCGCGCAAATTCGCGCACTGCTGTGCGCGCGGAGTGGGCTGCGACCGACCTCGCTCCGGGCGCACCGTGTCATTTCGCACCCATCGTCAGCGTCATTCCACTCGTCCTCGCGTCGGCAGGATGAGCAGCCCAGGTCGCCGTTCCAGACGTTCGTGGAGGTGCTCAGGGAGGAGCTGCGCAAGAACCGCGAGCTGCAGGACAACGTCAAGCAGCTCCAGGGCGACGTGGACAAGTTGCAGGACTCGGAGGCAATGCGGAAGGCACGGGCAGCGTACGAGCGGGCGAGGGTATGCCAGGCGCCACGCTACTGAAACTATATGGGACTGAGCGTTGTGCTGTAGCTCACCTCCAGCATCAAGGAGAACCCGCGGTTACGAGCAGCCGCGGAGGAGCTCCGGAAGACGGGTATGAAGGTCGGTGACGCCGTGTCAGAAGCAATGAAGACGATGGAGGAGAGCGAGCTTATGCGCGCGGTATGCTGCACGCTACGACCGCTGCGAGGCTGCGATTGACGTATGGCAGATATCTCGCGCATCCACCGCCGTGTCAAACACCATTGCCTCCACCACCGAGCCATTGCGGAAGACAGAAGCGTACAAAACTCTTTCGGAGACCATCGTCGACGCACTAGACGACAGCGGCAGTGCAAAACATGCAGGCTTTGAGGAGAAGGAGGCACGGCGGAAGCGTCGGCAGACACGTCTAGCCAAGGCGGGCAAAGACAGCATTACCCGCTCCGTCAAGGCCAACGCAGAGTACGGCCCTTCCTCCCGTTTCTCTCTCCCACTCACTGAACTCCACCCGCTCTCGCAGAGCCGGCTCCGCGATGGTCCTGCACAAAGACTCGGACAAGAACGAGCGCTGGGAGCGGCTGAAGGAGACGAACCCGGTCCTGCGCTCGTTCGCGTCGCTCCGGCAGGCGTACGACGAGTCGGAGAACCCGGTCGTGAGCAGCATGCGCGCGGTCACGGACACGGTCGGCGGGTGGTTTGAGGAGACGGAGCAGGCGCAGGTGCACCGCCGTATGAAGATCATGGACCCGAGCTTCTCTTTGGAGAGCTTCGAGCGCGAGCTGAGGGAGTATGTCGTTCCTGAGGTCGTCGACGCGTATTTGAGTGCGGACCAGGAGGCGCTGAAGGCGTGGTGTGGGGAGGCGGTGAGTGCTTCGGGCGCCAGCTTGTTGAGGATGGCAGACTGAAAAGGGCGTACAGACGTACAATGTGCTGTGGGCGACGATGGAGCAATTCTTGAAGCAAGGCCTCATCAGCGACAGCAAAGTGCTGGACATCCGGCAAGTCGATGTGCGTCCCCCTTCCACATGCGCCCTCTTCCATGCTAACCCCGTCTGTGCGTCCTACAGATATCTGGGGCGAAAATCCTTGAGAACGACATTCCCGTGTTCGTGGTGACGTTCCAGACGCAGGAGATGCTCATCTTCCGGAACGCCAAGACGCGCGAGATCATGGTCGGCGCGGAGAACAAGGTCGAGCAGTGCCACTACGCCGCCGTTGTCACCCGGATAGAGGAGGAGCTCGACAACGAGCTCACAGGAGGCTGGAAGGTCGTCGAGGTACGTAGCCAAACTGCCTTTAGATGCACTTGCTTGTCTGACCGATTACCGCAGATGGCACGACGGTCATCGCGTGCATATCTCTAAGCCCCGCAACCGCTCGACTCACCCAAAATCTGACCCTCCCGTGCAACATCTAGCTGACATGCTGACACGCTGCACTTACGTCGCTTGCATCACCATCATCCCCACCACTCACACACACCAAGTACTCTACTCACACGATTTGCGATGTAGTAGTCGTGAATAGTCCATAATATTAAGTAGAACGCAGGAGGGCATGCTCCCTCTATGGCCCATCACACACGCCAGATCTAAAGTACTCTATTTGCACCACTGTGCAGCCGGCCATCAACTCGTCATGAGTCGCGCGCAATACCCGTGGGCTTGTTCTCCCTGAACGACGCCCAAGCCTCCTCCGTGGCGAACGCTATGCGCTGCTTGACGCTGCCGATGCTATCCAGTGCCGGGCGGACGTCGAGCGAGAAGACGGGCGAGCCATCTGGCTCGGGCGGGGCCGAGTAGTAGTCGATCACGTAGCGCACTTCCTCGCCTGTACTCCGGCGGCGGACGATCCAGTCATGGCGATCGAAAGGCGGTTCATTGCTAGCAAGGAGTCAGTAGGGCTTAGTGAGGTGGGAGACGGGTGGACATACTTAAAGCGACTTGGGAGCAGCCAGCCTGCGAGCAACCAGAAACGGGCCTTCGGCGAGAGCTCACCTGGTCGACCCTTGAACCGCGCTAGCTGCGGGTCCTCGCCCCTGGACAGAGCACGTTCGTGTTAGCTTCAAGGTGAGCATGAGGTTGCCAAACAAGACGCACGGATTCTCCTTCCGCTCCCACTTCAGGATCTCCTGCCACGCCTCCTCGTTCAGGAAGTTGTGGATCTGCACCATCGTCTCGACGTGCTCCTCGGGGGTCTCCCAGCCCTTGCGCACGAGCGCGTTGTAGAACTGCTGTGGCGAGGGGTACTCCCAGCGCGAGGCGGTGTCGCGCGGGATGGACGACGTCGAGCGGTCCGTCGGGAGCGCTATGCTCTGGTCCGCCGCGGGGGCCTGCGAGAGCGTCGGCATCTGGTTCAGCGGGTTGAGCGCCGCGGCGGTCTCGTGGCTGATGGGGCATTGCGCGGGGGCGGAGGAGGAGGAGGAGGATGCGGCGGCAGGTGCGTCATGCTGGATCGGACATTGCCCTGCTGAGGCTTTTGCTTTGAGTGCGTTGTGGTCGACGGGGCATGACGCGGGCGTCGACGGAGCGGGCTGTGATGCTGCCTGGCCCATTTTGCGAGAGGAGGACGGTGCGCTGGGGACGGAGGTGGAGGAGACGAGCAGAGAGTGCGATGCGGCGGACTCGGGAGCAACTTGTCTTTACATTTCGATCCTCGGCTGCTCGGGCTATCCCGGGCCGCCCAATGCACGCCCAATTCAGGCAACTCTATTGGTTCCTGCAGTTGCCTCCGGTTCCACCCAGTCAACGTCTCCAGTCCGTCGCGAGCTCGTCTGCATTGCGAAAGATGTGTGCGGTTGTAATATTGAATAGAGACTCAAAATGTGGTTGCGTCTACACTCCGATCAACAGCAATACACCTGCTAGTAGTGATATCACGATACTCCTGTCCCCTGGCACTATTTTACAGCTAATTTAATCTATACGCCACAGTGGACGAGGTTGTTTCTGCCATGCTCAAGGCCATATCTCGTACTAGGACAACGTCAATAATGACTGAAAGATACGGGACGAATGTCATCGGGCCCTAACCGTTTGGATATAAACTCCCTCTACCAGCTGTTCCAGATTACGAAGCCGCGTATCCGAGAGCGCGCTCGTTGGGTCCCGCGTCGTAATCTCCAGCTTGACAAGCTGCGGCGCGCCCTTCGCTAGTCGACCGGACAGTGCCACGACGAGCGCATCCCAAGCCTCCTTGGCATGCCCCTCGACAAAGCTCGCCCGCATGATAGCCAAGTGAGTGAGGCTGGGGCATACGAGCCGTCCGTCTGTCCCATCTTTACCGAGAGCTGCGAAGAACGATGGAACCTTTGCCCACGCAGAGCCGAGCTGACTGGAGCGGAAGTCGATCTCGAGCTTATGGATGGAGGAAAAACGCTGAAGCACGTCGACCCACTGGGGCGTGCTGAGGAAGTATCGGATAGCATGTATCGCGAGGGATGTCAGATTCGGCAGTGTGACGCAGTCGAGCGTGTTCGTCGTGCTCGACACGTCGGCCTCGTTGTCCGAACCCCACTGCCAGCGTCCCCATTGCCACTCCACGGAAAAGACATTGTCGGGGGATCGGAAGATGATGCTGTACAGGTCCTCCACGCAGATGAACTGCAGGAACCCCTGGCGAACCTGAGCCTTCACCGCGCGGAGTGGAGGACAGAGGTCCCCCAAGTCCACGTTCGTCTTCATCCGTTGTCGTAGACAAAGGTTAACACGGGTGGTGGCTGGAAATTCGAGGTGAGGCAAGATCTGCAGCACGTCATCGGTGTCGCGCATTGTACCCAGATGCAGCCTCTGCAATCGCGGTAAATGGACTAGGGACTTAGAAGCAGGCTCAGACATGACGGGGGCAGAGGGATCTCCATGCATAACCATCGAGAACAATGTGAGGGACGGTGAGTGGCGTAGAGTCCACAGTATGTCTTCCGTAGCCGGCGTGAGCTGACTTGGTATCTCCATCTCGACCATGTCCCGGTAGGGCAGCCACGGCATGGATATCCTCGCAAGGTGAAGTCGCCGCAACGTGGGCATGTCCCCAGCAAACAACGCCGGAATCTCCATGTACGAGCCGGAGAACGCCATCAGAGAGTGGAGGTTGTGCGCGGGCTTGTCCGCATAAAACGCGAGCACCTTCCCCATGTCCTCCTTGAAGAACTGTCCGATGTGGAACGCCTCGATGCGGTCTGCGTGCTCCGCGAGCATCCGCGCGATCCGCACGATGTCCTCGCTCGGTTCCCAGACGGACTTCGGGCCGCGTAGCTTCACGTTGAGGAGGACACCTTGCGAGCGTGCTAGGAACTCGCGCAACATTGCGACGCGCGTATTGGTGGTTATGTGGAGGAGCGACCACAATCGCGGGTACGCGAGGGTCAGCGCTCGCCAGTACCGACATACGTGCGACACTGGGAGGAGCAGGACGCTGCCTGACACGAGATCCCCGTCTTGAGTGGCGCAGGTGCATGTCGCGGCAATGTCGTAGAAGATATCGTGCAGGAGGTCATCTGGGAGTCGCTGTGTTGGGGAAGTGGGACCGTCGGGGCGAGGAGGTATCTGTCCGTTCACAGGTTGATCGGGTCGTGGTTGTATCGCGCGTGTGCGCACGGCTTTCGTTCCACTGGCAACTTGTGCGCGTTTGATTGCGCTCGCTCGCTCTGCGAAGATACGGGGCTGCATGGCAGAAGTGAGAACTTGAACTCCCGAGACGCTGGCTCTTCAAACCCTCAGCCTGAGGTTAGACTTAGAGTTGGTTACCAAGACGATTTGTCAGGAGATGTCAGCTAGGTCGATAACTCGTCAGATTGGAACAAGATGATTCAAGAACATGACAATGAGTGCCCCAATTGGTAACGTGAGCGGCGCTTCAACTTGCAATTGAAGGTGGCGGCAGTAGTACTAGTAAGACAAGGTCGACCGATGAACTTACCAGTGAATGACTCGGATGTTGGTCGTCAAGCCGAATGACTATCACAAGAAACGTAGCTTTCATCAATAAATGGATAGAGCAGTTAACATCAGTGCAACGTCGTTGTGATACCGTCGACCATGATCGATCATGAGCCACCACGGACCACCAGCGCTTTTAATAATTCTCAATGTGAGGCGGCGTATCCTGTCAAACCTCCCGGGGCCGGATCGAAGGTTTGTCGAGTTTTGGCGATGCCGCAACTTACTATTGAATCTCGACGTGCTCATTCGCATATTGTACAGGCATCGTCGCTGCTAGTGTTTACTGAGGGGACGTGCTTCCATTATTAAAGTCAGCCCCAAAACTCGCCGGTAACTTGAAGTATGCATCATAGATAGGTACGCATATGCTCAGCCAGCCGCCGAAGGACATCCTCTGCATGCACTCGTTGACGAAAAATATGGTCCTCTCCAGGATAGATCACGAGAACAGGCTTGGACTCGCTCGGATGGCCGACCCTCTCCACTCCTCGAAGGAACGCGATGGCTTGGGTCAAAGGCACGATGCTGTCCTGTTCTCCGTGAAGTAGGAGAAGGGGAGCGCGCACATTCTTGCAGTCGCGTATAGGACTTCCACGTAGATACGCAGCTTCGCCAGGTGTCCATGGAGCGCCACCGGCAAGGGCGGCCTACGAAGTCGGCAAATGACTTCAGCGATCCATATGTCATGGGAATGAGAAAACTATTCACCTCCTCGTCAGGCAGGGCAGACGTCGCTGCTAGCATGCCCCAATCAGTAACTCCGGCGCCGTCTACGCCGGCCTTGAAGTTGCCGTTGGGGCGGGATAAACCCCAAGCGGTCAAGAAGCCTCCTTGGCTGTACCCAGCTAAGGCTACTCTGTCGGGGTCAGACATCCCTTCAGCGATGCTCTGATCGATCATGCTCTGGACATCCATCCAGTCGGTCGTCCCCATGCCTCCGTTGGCCGCCTGAACGAAGCTGTCTCCGCGGCCAATACCTAGGTGAGATCATCAGTATCGAAGTGGATCGCGAACTGACACGACCACACGCACTGCCACGGTAGTTTGGTGAAAGGACCAGATAGCCTTGGGTAGCTAAGAAGTGCCGCCAGGACCATTCCTCTGGTGCCCGCATTCACATCAAAAAAGCGTTTCGGCGTGACGAGATACACTTACGGAATGATAGGTCCAGGACATCTCGACTAGTAACGAGCTCGGTGAGCATCTGGGGCCGTAAGACCGAATCAAAAGGGCACGCACGAAGTTGGCCCTCCGTGGATCACTGCCACAGTCGGCATGTTCTTCAAAATGGCTCCACGAGGGTAGGATAAAACGCCCTGTACCTCTTGCCCATCAGGACTAGTCCAAGAGAACGGACGGCACACTGGCATCCTCTCCTGCGATAGCCAGGTGTTGTGGGAGGAAAGCTTGTGCGTCACCATGCCTACCGTACCCCCTTCCGCCCAGCCAGACCAGACTTCCACAGGCTCTCCTCGCACTCCCGAGCTACGGAGAACGACAAATGCGTAACGATCAACGTCGACCGCCTTCATATCCCAGTCGGAGATATGGTCCTCGTGTGTCTCGTACACAGTAGCGGACTTGTGTTCGATATCGAAGACATCAAGCGTTGTATCCAGCCCTCGTGCGACAGCAACGGCATAGCGTGAATCCCTGCGCAGGTCTACAACCCTCAGTGCGTTGTCTGTGTCTCCATACTTGATATGTGTCTGCTCGTGCGCAGAGGGACCGCGGACCCAGAGCGACTGAGCGGAGAACTCGACATTTAGCGTCCTGTTCTGCAGGAAGACGATGTCGCCACATTCACGTTGGATGGACTGGCTTCCGGGGTTGCGAGGGAATGTGAAGCGGTCATGCACTGTGCCAGAAGCGACGTCGACGACAGCTTCGTGGATGGGGCCGCCGTACAAGCTTTCTAAGTCTGCATGGGGAGTCGTACGGAAGCGGATCGATTGGCTGTCTGGGCACCAGACAAACGATTCGACGTGGTCCTGCGTGGAGACCAGTGGATGTGCGCTGTCATAAAGGGCTCGGTGAACACACTGCAGGGATGCGCAACCTCGACTGATATAAGACCTACATCGTCCGAGCGCCATGCAGGTCAACAACGTAAAGCGATGCCAGATCGCCTTTGTCTCTCCAAATCCGGTTGGCGCTTTTGTGTCCCTGATCCTTGCCGCCCTTGGTACTCTTTGCCGTAAAGGCAACGAATCTCCCGTCCGGGGATAGTTCGTAGTTCGACACGCTCTGACCCTCCGCCAAGTCCACGACAAGGCTCGGTTCAGTATCCGCCGTAGTATGGGCAGCTACGCGGTATATCTTCGTTACACCGTCAGCATTTGGACGATCGGACAAGAAGTATATGTCCCCTGAAGTCGGATGAAAGGACGGTGCGTAGTCATGACTGTCGCCGGAGGTGATTTGCCTCGCGCTGTTCTGGACGGCTGTGTCTGCCACCCAAAGAGCCGAGGTAGTATGGTCGCCTGCGCGGTAATGAGGACCGACGCAGTACACCACGCGGGAACCATCGAGAGATAGATGTAGGGAAGATAATGTGTCAGTGCCTGTCACTTCCTCTGCAGTGAGTGTGAAAGCCATAGCCTCCGTTTGGATGGAATGCAGGTGTATATCACTGGTAGACATCATTTCAGGACAAATTTAACGAAGTCCTATGGCTAGGATACTACTCACCGAGGATGTAGTACTATTGCTCTTTGAACCAAAGTATCAAGACACGCACAAGAATGGCGATCAACATCGATGGCGAGACGATTGATAGTGTACTAGTAGTGCTACGAGATGACTCACATGTATGGCGCCCACTTCAAGTTGGTGGACCTTGACAGTACTGCAATGCAGTTGAGTGAGAGTGAGGATATAGTACGCCGCAGCAATGGCAGCGTTGTCTACTTCGTCATAAATACTTCCGAGGACCCGAGTCGCAGTTGCCAAGCCGTGTGAGTCACGACATACGTAGGTGGAATGGACCCTGTTGGAAGACGCTCAACGCCGCGCTGTGACGATCCTTCTAGTTCCTGTTTGGTATACTCTGCTCGAGAGTGCTAGGGCTCGGCGAGTATGATAGCTATTGTATAAGTACGACGCTGTCCGGCACTCAGATGCATGTAGCATCGTCACGGTGGTGATTGCTGTCCGATCCCTATGCATGCATTCCATCGCGAGTCGCTCGCGTACGTGTCCTGGCAGCTGCCAATCACAGAAAAGATTCAACATGCTCAGCTAGCCGTCGATAGACATCCTCCACGTGTGTGCGCTCTTGGAATATGTGATCCTCCCGAGGATATACCACCAGCATCGGCTTCGAGCTTGGCTGTCCAACCCTCTCCACTCCTCGCAGGAACGCGATTGCTTGCGTGACCGGAACCCTTTTGTCTTGTTCCCCATGTAGGAGTAGAAGCGGGACGTTGACATTCTTGCTATCACGTATGGGGCTTCCTCGTAAGAACGAGGTATCTTCCGGCGTCCACGTCGCACCTCCGCAAAGAGCCGCCTGATGAACTGGATACATCAGTTTATGCTGAACGGACATACAGGTAATACTCACCTCGAGGTCCGGTACATCGGATGTTGCTGCTAACATGCCCCAGTCTGTGACTCCAGCACCGTCTACGCCAGCCTTGAAGATACTGTTCGGGCGCGACACGCCCCATGCGGTGAGAAATCCACCTTGACTATACCCAACGATAACGACTCTACTCGGGTCCACCAGTCCTTCTGCGATACTCTGGTCAACCATACTTTGCACATCCATCCAATCTGTGGTCCCCATGCCACCGTTGGCATGTTTCACGAACGCGTCACCGCGCCCTATGCCTGTATGAGGATGCGGCTGAGCCTATGCAACAGAACACAACTAGAGAACACACATACTGCCACGGTAGTTGGGCGATAGAACAAGATAGCCCTGTGACGCGAGGAACAGACGCCAGCTCAGAAAATCTACACATACTGCGTCAGTGGACCATCGCTGCAATCCTATGAACCGCACTTACGGAACGTGAGATCCAAGCTATCGCGACTAGTCTGTTTGTGAGTTGACATAAACACAAGCGTAGGGCATGTCGACGTACTCTGTAGGTCCTCCATGAATCGCAACCACTGTTGGCATAGCTTTCAGGTCCGCGCCCCTGGGATGAGAGATGACGCCTTGCACATCTTGACCATCGGGACTGATCCAGTAGCACGGACGGCTCACAGGCATCCTTTCTTGCGGTAGCCAAATGTTGTGAGAGGATAATTTGTGCGTTACTTTCCCGCCTGTGGTTTCATCCGCACTGCCGAACCAAACCTCAAGCGGCTCTCCCCGCACTGCTGAGCTACGGAGGATCACGAAACAATATCGCCCCTTAGAGATCGCCTTAATATCAAGGCCAGAGATCTGGTCGTCCTGCGTTGCGTATATGGTCGAAGCTTTGTGATTGACGTCGAATACGTCTACGATCGTGCCCAGGCCTCGAGCAACAGCGACGGCATACTGAGAATCCTTCCGTAGATCCACGATCATGAGGGTACCATCGTTTTCGCCATACTTGACATGGGCAGTTGCGGCCACTGGCGAGGGACGTGCCCAAAGCGACTGCGCGGAGAAGAAGCAGCCAGGCGTTGTATTCTGCAGAAAGACGATATCGCCTCTTTCGCGCCAGACTGATGCACTGCTAGGATTGCGTGGATGAAGGAATTCATCGCGCGTGATCCCCGAGTGGATGTCGACCACAGCTTCGCGGATGGGTTGGCCGCGAAGACACTCTTCGTCTGCGTAGTCAGAGAGGCGATACAGGATGGAACGACTGTCTGCACTCCAAGAAAATGAGTGGACATGTTCATCCGTCTTAACGAGGACTCGCGGCCTGCTCCAATCTGAGTTCACGAGATGACCAGACAGTAAAGAAACAGGCTGCGTACGTCTCATGGAGGTGTCGCAAGTCAGCGACATAGAGCGACGCAAGACCGGTCTTCTCCCTCCATATCTTGAAGACCTTGGTTTTCGTGTCTTGTTCGTCCTTCTTGGCCGACGTGAACGCGATGTAATTCCCGTCAGGCGAGATGTCGTAACTCGTAAAGTTTTGATACTCCTCGAGTGTAAAGACAAGGGAGGCGTCTGTTTCCACTGTGGCGTCTACTGGGATGCTGTATAACTTCGCTGGACCACCAGCCTTCTCCCGGTCCGAGAGGAAATAGATCAGCCCCGAGCTGGGATGGAAGGACGGCGCGTAGTCATGCTTGTCTCCAGACGTGATCTTCCTCGCGCTGTTCTCAACAGACGTTTCTGCAACCCAGAGTGCCGTGGTGGAATGATCGCCCGTCCTGAAGTTCGGGCCCACGCAGTAGACGACATACGCGCCGTCCTGTGAGAGCTTCGGGGAATGAATCGAGTCTGTCCTCGCGATCTCCTCAGGGGTAATCCTTCCTGGGCGAGCCTCAGATGAGTCTGACATGATCCGGTGCACCTGGACCGAAGGCGAACGCCTCAGCATTGCCACGCCCATGCGTTATGAAGACACGTACCTATCGTATGTCCCTGAGCGAGAGGTCAGGATCGAGGTAACGCACGCACCAGTGGACTATATAGCTGTCTTTCCCTTATCTTGATCTAGTCAGCTGAGTCCGATCCCGGACGTGGACTGCTGTTGCGCAGTGGTATGTACCAGAGTCATGTCAGTCGGGGATGACAGTGTGAGACGTATGCCACTATTAGCATGAAGATATCACACAGACTCTCATGACACTGTCCGAGTCGTCGACGCACCCATAGAGAACTATGGGTCAGAGAGCACACATGGTCCATGATTGCAAGAATGCCGAAAACAAGAACCTTGAGCGAGAACAACAGTACGAACGTGATTACCACCCAAATATCAGATCCCCAACCTGCTCTAACACGCCTTTGCTCGGACTCGGCGCGACACTGCTGGGCACACCTTGGATAGCCTTCACAGGCGATCCCGCGCCCGGCTTGCGGAATGCCGAGGCAGATGGTGCCAGACGGATGGGCGTGCCTACGGTAGGAGTCGACGCCCCGAAGCCGGGCTCGTCGACGCTCATGCGGGAGGACGCGGACGGGAAGATGTTGTTGGACGTGGCGGAGGACATGATGATGTCGTTGCTCGAGGAAGGGATAGGAGGCGAACCAGGTGAACCGAACTCAGAACGCCCGAGAGCTGGTCCAAGAATGGCCTCCGCCTGTGCTGGGTCCTGAGCTCCGGTTGTTAGCTCATGTCTCTGAGAATGCAGAGATGCTGGAACATACGGCCCACTTGATCCCGATCATCCAGCTTCCGCTCAGAACATCTCCGTTCTTGCGCACAGCGCGCATAGCTTGCGCCGGGTTAAGGAAGCCAATGCGAAAGCAATTGGAGATGTCGGGGTGTTGTTCAGGCTCAGTCGTGTCGCCGAGGGATTTGATGTACTCGACAGTGACGCTGTACTTGTCTGGCGGGTACCCGAAGACGATGAGATGAAGCGGCTGTACAGTACTGCCTGCTTGAGGTGTTTGATTGCCCCTCGGTGTGGCGGGCTGAGTTGAGCGAAGGAACGCATTACGGCTCGTTGAGGGGTCAAACACCGGACTCTGCAGCACGACGATTCAGCAATTCGAAAAGAGCTATGAATGAAAAACCTACGCGGTGAGACTGCCTTGAGGGGCCATTGTCTAGGTAGACTTCGTTGACGATGTCATTAACTGAAGCAGTCGGAGGAGCGTCCTCGTCGGCGAGTGGCTGTCTATGCCTATGCCTTGATCGCAAAACCACGATCAGTATATGTGCGGCATGTTATTGGGCTTCATCACCTTGAGCTTTCAAACATGGAGTCCATGCCGAAGTCTGAAGCAGAACCTCCGACGAGCGAGTGGCTCAGCTTGGCTTTTGTGGACACGATGGGGACCTCATCGTGGCGTTGACCGCCTTGTTGCAGGGCCTGCGAGGATTGCTCCAGCCTTCGCTGTGGGTTCTCAATTAAATAGACGCACATTTCCTTCCGTAACAGACTATATGCATGACAATACGTCAGTCAATGTGGACGCGGCCAAAGTGTGGTCCGATACGCACCATGAGGTATCCTGGCTGGTAGTGACTTCTCGACTCGCCCAGAGAGGAGACACTCCCAAATGAGCCGCTACTCCCGAGTCCCAGAGAGCCGCTACCCAGCGCACCGCTGCGCAAGCCGGGACTTTGCAACGTGCTCGATCCGCTCATGTTGGGCATCCCAGCCACAGTGAATCCTTGGTGCGCTGGATGCGAGTGTGAGTGTGAGTGTGAGTAGCCTTGACGACCCTCCGAGCCTGAGCCATAGCTTGTCGTAGACGAGAACGATGTGCTAGAATACATGTTTGGATGAGAACACGGTGGTCGACGACGAGGACAGAGTTGAACAAGGTGCGAGGCGACGCGAACCGCGTCTGGCGCGAATTTGAGACTTGCCTTCTTGGGACTCGCATCACATGATGGGGAATCTGAGATGGCGATCGCGGTCGAGTCGATCTCTCGAGAAAGCGCTTGAAGGCAGACCTCGAAGCCGCACTCGCCCCAGTCCATGCCTCTCATAAGCTAATAACTCTCACCCCGCGTCCTCCAACTTTACTGCTTGATTAAAATCACCCCTACGCCATTTATGTCTCAGAATCTTTTTCCTGAAATCCGCAAGGTCGCGGACGAGACCGAGAAGCTCGCTGACAAGGACAATACGACCTTCGAGTCGACGACGGAGGACGACGAGCGGCCTGTGCAGGAGATTGAGTCGCTTTGCATGCGATGTCATGAGCAAGTATGTTTCCAAGTTCTCGCCCATGACCCAGGATCTAAGCATGCGCGCAGGGTGTCACCAGGCTACTCTTAACGTCTATCCCCTTCTTCCGCGAAGTGGTCATCATGTCCTTCCGCTGCGAGTCCTGCGGCTTCCAAAACAATGAGGTGCAGCAGGCTGGTACTATTCGACGTAAGCTGACAAATCCTTCTCTCCTGTGTCCGATATTGAACCAAGAATACAGTGGAGGGCGCGGTCTACACCGTTCGAGTTCTGACACGAGAAGACCTGAACCGACAGTTCGTCAAGTCCGCAACAGCAACGATCCAGATCCCGGAGTTCGAGCTCACTATCCCTGCCTCACGCGGTCAACTGACCACAATCGAGGGACTCATCCGTGACACTGTGACGGATTTGAGCGCGGACCAGCCACTGCGGCGGATTGAGAACGAGGCAGTATACCAGAAGATCCAGACCATCATTGACGGGCTCAAGGAGGTCCTCGCTGATCACGAGGACGAGGCCGACGAAGATGCCACGGGCGAGGTCAAGCTTCCCAAGAAAGCGAGCGAGAAGGACGCGCCGATGCGGCCGTTCACCGTGCGTCTGGATGACCCCTCGGGCAACTCGTTCATCGAGTTTAACGGGAGCATGGCGGATCCCAAGTGGAACATGCGCACGTACCACCGCACAAGGCAGCAGAACATCGATCTGGGTTTGATCAATCCTGATGAGCCCGAGGCGCCGCAGGGCGACAGTGAAGCTGAAGCGGAGGAAGGTCTGAAGAACGAAGAGATCTTCGTCTTCCCTGGAACATGTTCTAGCTGCGGACATGCGATCAACACCCTCATGAAGAAAGTTAATATCCCTTACTTCAAGGTATGTTCTTCCACAATCTCACTTTACGGCTCGCTGATGCAAGACCGTAGGACGTCATCATCATGTCTACGAACTGCGATATATGTGGATACCGCGACAACGAGGTCAAGTCGGGCTCCGCGATCTCTGCGCAGGGCAAGCGAATCACGCTCAAGGTTGAGGACAAGGAAGACCTCAGCCGCGACATCCTAAAGAGCGAGTCCTGCGGTCTGCAGATCCCCGAGATCGAACTGGTGCTCCAAGAAGGCACGCTCGGCGGGCGGTTCACCACGCTCGAGGGCATCCTCGAACAGGTTTACGAGGAGCTCTCGGTGAAGGTGTTCACCGACGCGCGCCGCGGCGACGACAAGTTCGAGGAGTTCCTGGCGAGGCTGAAGGCGGTGAAGAGCGCGGAGCGGCCATTCACCGTCATCCTGGACGACCCGCTCGCGAACAGCTACTTGCAGAACCTGTACGCGCCGGATCCGGATCCGAACATGACGATCGAGACGTATGACAGGACGTGGGAGCAGAACGAGCAGCTCGGACTCAACGATATGAAGGTGGAGGGCTACGAGGAGGACGCTGCGGAGGAGAGCGAAAAGCAGGAGACCCCGGCGGCGCAGTCATGACCCCTGGTCAGGAAGCTAGAAGAAACCAATATGCACTGTACTCATACGAGCTATTACTGTATTGTTATCCGATGTAATACATGTACAGTGGATCTCCAGACGATGGCGATGTGCCACTGAGTGGGCGCGTCGCCGACGCGTCGAGACGCGTGGCGTCATAGTACACGAGTCACGGGGGCGCGCCCGGTTCCGACCTGACATGCGCGTCGTGCATGCGGCGGCTGCGCTGAAGCTTGCACTCTTACAGCCATCTGGAAGCTTAGTTGAACATACCCTTCGTCCCCAAATTAAGATATGGCTGCCACTCCGAGCCGTTGGATCCCTCTCGAGAGCAATCCTGATGTGCGCAGTGCCTCTGGACCATGCGGTAACATACTCACTCGCTTTACTGCTAGGTCTTGAACCAAGTATGGTTGATTTTCTTTCCGTCTGTCAGAAGTCAATCCTGATACAATTTGTGTCTGCCAAAGTGGGCGAGCAAGGCCGGGCTTGTCACCTCGCAAGCAGAGTTCGTGGATGTCTACGGCCTGGACGTCGATGTATGCTCGATCATCTGCATATGGATAAAGAACCACAGGGGCTAAACTTGACTCGATGCTAGCTGCTTGCCATGGTCCCGAAACCCGTGAAGGCGGTAATCTTGCTCTTCCCAATCGCTCAGACGATTGAGAACCGAAGGAAAGTGGAAGACGAGCGCGTCAAGAACCAGGGCCAGCACCCAGTGGACCCGACTGTCTTCTACATCAAACAGACGGTCAGTGCTAGCTAAGGAGTATGTATGGCTGGAAGTTTTGCTAAGCTTGCATGTCAGATTGGCAATGCATGCGGGACGATCGGGCTACTTCACGCACTCGCGAACGTAAATCATCTTCACATCGCAACCTTGAACTGTGACTGAAGCACTCGCTTCAATAGGCAGACGTAACACTGGCTCCGGAGAGCCCACTTGAGAAGTTCATCGATGAATGCAAAGGTACGGCTTCGCTCTCGTATTGTAGCTCACTCGCAAACTGACATCCTACCATGTACCACCAGAAATGACGCCTGAAGAACGTGCCAAGGCGCTCGAGACGACCCCGCTCTTTGCAAATATTCACGCCGAGGCCGCCTCGTCTGGCCAGACAACAGCCACTGAGGCGGACATGCACACAGACCTGCACTTCACCTGCTTCGTGCAGGCGCCGGACCCGCCGCGCACGGACGTCGGTTCGTCGGAGCCCCGTCGTCTCCTTGAGCTCGACGGTCGTCGGGTCGGACCGATCGACAGGGGGGCGTCGACAAACTTGCTTGAGGTAAGGGTTACGTTTGTTACGGCCGTGCTGGGCCAGCTGACCGTACGGGATACGCAGGACGTGGCGAAGTACGTGAAGGATACGTATGTCGCATACACGACGAGCATGCAGTTTAGCATGATGGCGCTCGTCACCCCTCAAGACTGAGCATCGGGATGGTCAGCTGCCAATACCAAGCCACATCAACATTGTAATATACTATCCCCCGAGGCATCTGCTACGCATCACATCTGTCATTCTGTTGCATCTCGCAATGCCAGGATGCCTCCAGAAATTGAATCAATCGACGTGATGAGTTGTGCCAGTGCACATTCCTTGCCGCCGTCGACGGGGTGGCAGAGCCCTGCGTATGCTCCCAAACCTCGGACGAAGATGCCAAAGCTTGGGCGCGCAGTGCTGAATACCTCTCCGGTGCTGGCGATCCTCTAAGTATGCCAGAAGGCGAGATGATATATGCACAATGCTCATGTTATGACTGGTCATGTATCGATACATCATGCTGACTACTCCTCCACCCGCTTCAATCCCTGAAATAGACTGAGTAGAGCGAACGGCATACAGTAAAAACGAAAACAGAGACACGCCGTGACCCGCACTTCATTCCTCTCCCTCCTCCTCGCCATCTAGAGTATATTCCTCGTCTTCGTCATCGTAACTGTCATCATCTGCCTCCTCCATAGCCTCTTTCAACTGGATACAGCACATGTCAGCACTATGCATCTTGCTACAGTATAGGACGCACCATTTCCAGGAGCTCGTGGCATTCGTTCAGATGCGCCATTACAATACCTTGGCCTTCCGGGATGATCCCATCCACACCAACGAACTTGCCGTCCTTTCGCATGGAATCGATCTGGTACAAGGCAAGCTGATACTACACAGCGCGAAATCACCTGTTAGGATAGGCGCATGCAGGGGGGCATGTGTGGTACGTACTGGATAGAGATCTCGAGGCGAGAACGGCCCTCCGTATTTGAGGACCTCATTGAGGCACTTCTTCACCGTTGAAAGTTTGTTCGCCTTTGCGTCCCTGGTTTGAGCATCTTGGTCGTCGACAAGACGTTCACACTTACGATGGGCATCAGCTCCTCTGAGACAGGCTCGCTGGACGAGAGGAGGCGGTAGATGAGACCATAACATCTGCGGAGCAGATACAGCAACACCTATTCGGCGCAGCAATATGAGCGAGTAGCCACGAGATCCTACGGACTGTGAGACGCACGTATTGCCCTGACGGCCGGTTGCCTTCTGCATCGACGAACTTCCCATCGACACGCATCTTGTCGATCTCTTGCAAACTCAGGCTGTAGTTCCATAGATCGGTCTCTCGGAGGCTCCACCGATGTGTCAACACCTATCGAAATACCAATTGTCAGAACCAAGGCTGACTACGCACACGGCAGACTCACGAGTTGTTCGAGTTCTCGCCGGATCTCGCTCAGACGGTCGTAGATGGGTCGAAGGGACGATGCGACATATCGCGAGTCATCTTGTGCCCGAATTTCTTGCGCGATCTCGAAGCACTCCTCAAGTAAGGACGAGCAAACTGCCTGTGAGGCTGGAACCATTCCTCCTGGACCCAAGAACTTGCCATCCACGCGTTTCCTGGTTCAGTGAGATGTGTATGTTCGACAGCCAGCGGGGGAGATACAAGGGGACGAGGGACGGGGAAAGAACAAGTGATTCAGAAACACCGACGCGACGAGAGGCGCTATAGCAGTTAACATCGGTCAACTCGTGGTCACGAAATAAGACGATACTCAACGAATCGATTTTACGCAGTTCCTCCATGAGTCCCTTCAGCTCAGCCTTCACTCTGACGCCATCTTTCTCACCTGGCGGCAGCTCGGGCTTGGGCGTAGTCTCTTTGGTCGGTGTCTTCGATTCCGACTCGCTATCTGGCGAGGAGTCCGTGCCAGACCGTGCTTCGCCGTCAGGAGGCGGCGATGACTCCTTCGAGGAAGGCTTCGAGCTCAATGGCTCGGACCTGATGATCATTGGCTTGCCGTTTGCAGCTGCTGCCTCCCGGGCGGTTTCTTTGGCGGCAAGGGCAACGAGTTTTCGTCGGACGTTCACAAGTCGCTCATGTATAGGCACAAGCTCCGGTGAAAGCACGGCCAACGACTCTTGCAGTCGTTGTAACACGTACTCTGTAGGATTATATGAGACAATCAGTACATGATGATTATGATCATATATACGACATGATCCACGCACCGCACTCGTTCAGCTGCCTTTCCAGAAGGGTCGTCATCGCCATGGGGTGCTTGCCGCTCTCCGCATCACTCCGAACGATCCCGCTGAATACCGCTAGTCAGTGGCCTGTTGCTGCGCATATCGTGCCTTGCAGAGAGGACCAGCTCCATTACTCAATATAGCCCGCAAGGAGGCTATCGAACGAAGCTTACGTGTATCTGTCCTACCTGCCACAGGCCACATAGCATGCTGCTGTGACCCTCGCCGTGACCGGATGACAGTGGGATGCGCGAGAGAGAGATGTCTGAAGACACGCACCGTAGTTCTGCTAGCCGCCGGTGAAAGGGGGCGAGATCGGATTCATTGTAGACACTGGACTCATCCATGTGCTCTAGAATTTGCTGTGCAGGATCGTAGTCAGTCCGACAGTGCAGGACAGAGACTACGGAGAGGGGAGAAAGCTCGAGGATAGTGCACGTCATGGTGGGCGAGGGAAACAACAGAACAGACAGAGCCCGAGCGAAGTTGGGTACGTTGTCTAGCCATACATTCCGCCCGCCCGTATATATGTGCCCGGCGCGACCGTGTCAACGAGCAATTGCCAACACGCCTAGCCGTTCAGTACGCGTAAAGCATCCGCCAAGCGCAATACGCTAGTGGTACCACACCCTTGGTTCACGTTCCGAAGGCCCGCGTGAGTAATGATGGGGCAGAGAAGGATACAATCCTAACAACCTGCCTTGTATGTCAAGCCCGGACACCTCCCGATACAATGCCTTCACCAGACTGCGCTCATGCCCCTCTCCTTGCGTGTGAACATGATCGTCGCACTCCAATGCAGGCAGCACCACAATTAGGCGGTCAATCAAGGGGAAACGTTCATGAGGATAGAACGCGAAAGAAGGAGGACAAGGGCGCAAGGCGGGCGGTATAGACATAGGAGCGCAGGTCACCAGCGCTTGCCTAGCACGGATAGCTCTGGGCCCACAAATGCTCGCGGGAACGAAACGTAAACCAAACGTCAAGATGCCCGGGTTGGCTAATGATCTCCCGAGGATAGGCTGGCATTACGCTCTTCACCGGCGCACGGGATGCTCGGAAAGCAAAGTGTCAAGGTGCTCACCCGCATACTGGCGATTTGGCTGTATGTTGAGGGCGACTCCTTCGTTAACCCGATTGTGAGAAAGAATAACGACAGGAGGTTGAATACGTCCGCCAGCGTGGTGTCGAGGCGATTGTTGTACGTGGTGTGGTCATCTCGGACTTCATTGAGGCGCGTAACTGCGATCGCCGAAGCAAATGCGAGCACGTTGAATGGTAGAATCGAATAGGCACACTTCGCATGAGCATGGCGTGCGTGATAATACACGAAGATGACAGACCTTGTTTGATGATAGCCTGGTACAGAGCATTCACATCGGACGGCTTGATGTACTCTCCTCTATCCTTCTTCAGCGCGGTGAGGCGATTGCGTATACTTAGGCAAGCGAGATGCGGATCAGCACAATACGCCTGAGAAGGACGGTCCTTAACCAACGCACTTGATCATAGCCTCGAGGATAGGCAGCTCTGTGCCCCGCAGCGTCGAAGATCAGTCTGTCCGCGCAGGTCCTCGGCATGGGCATCCCTCACCTTCCTGGGCTACTGGCGCGGTCATGGTCGGTTACATATAAGTTGAGGGGTGTGCTCGTCGTCGTGGGTGGCGTCCGAGGCTGTCCGGAGGGGGACAGGGACGATGGGCGAGTGGTGTAGAGACACAGTCAGGCGGCGACCTGAGCGCGGCTCGGGGCTTGGGATGATCGCGGGGTGCACGTGGGTCACGCCATTTGCGGAAGGATTCCCACGGCTGATACTTTATCAAGTTACAGCAGCCAAACCAGGCGCGACACTGCCGCCGAACAGCCATACGATCCGTCCAACCATCTTGACCACCCGCACGACCCACAGCCATGGAGAGAATCAAAGAGGTGGGTCCATATGCTCGACGATGCATTCCGCCGGAAAACGCGCTTACGACGTGTCGGTAGCGCCTCCAATCCCTCCGCCAGGAGGCCGACGCTGCGGTTGCTCGCGCCGAGGAGGCAGAAGCCAAGAACAAGAAGTACGAGCAGGAGTTGCTGGAGAAGGAGCAGGAGATCGTGTCGCTGCAGCACAAGTTGTCAGTGATGGACGGCGATCTCGAGAAGGCGGAGACGAGGCTCGCTGATGCGAAGGCTGCGCAGGCGGAGGGCGACCAGAGCAAGACGATCAGCGAGGGTCTGCAGAGGAAGATCCAGTTGCTCGAGGAGGAGCTCGACGCGGCGGACAAGAACCTCAAGGACGCGATGGAGAAGTATGTCCCTCGCGTGACGGGGCTATCGGCACTGACTGTGCCACGTATAGGCTGCGGCAGGTGGATGTCAAGGCGGAGCACTTCGAGCGTCAGGTCCAGCGGCTGGAGCAGGAGCGCGACCAGTGGGAGAAGAAGTACGAGGTACGTGGTACTGGCCATGTCGAAGAGGCACTGCTCATCCGTTGCCGACGTGCAGGAAGCTCAAGCAAAGTACCGCGAGTCCAAAGCCGAGCTGGACGAACTGGTTGCCAACATGGAGGGGCTCTAATCGGTTTATTGCCTTCCAACGCTGTGTCCATTCCGTCTCCGTCACCGAACTACGTGCCGGCCTCCTGCTCCTACTTCGCTCGCTGCTTACGGGCGCGATGCCTCACGATCATATACACTCACCTACCTTACAATCTGGGTCTCATCGCCGATGTCCTCGTATTATATGCATGAATCGAACTAAAGCAAGTCGAAATCGGGTATGATCCAGTGCGCTGATTACCAGGAAACCTAACAGCGATTGACTCAGATCGCCGTTTCGAGCACTGCGTAGCTTGTGAGTCGTGACATACCAATCGTCTTACCACACCAGGAACGGCTGTGAACAATCGACGCACGCTCATGGCATGGTGCATATGGCAAGGCAAAGATGATCGTTGACGATGTTACAGTGCGAGTTACAGGCAGGTTGCCGAGCGTCATTGATTCATTTCGCAATTGGCAAGCTTAGCTTCAAGCTTCAAGCCTTGTCCTTATCGTTGAAGTTGAGTGAGACAGAGTTCACGCAGTGACGCTCATCCGCTGCGATACATAATGTAAGCCGCCAATAGAAGCATGGCAATGTTGTGTCACTTACTAGGAACGTTGAAACCTTCTCCTTTGAAGACGTGGCCCAGGTGTCCTCCGCACGCCGCGCAAGTAATCTCCGTACGGGTCATCCCACTCGAGCGATCGTCTTGACGCTTCACCGCTCCTGGGATAGCTAAAGTGAAGGAGGTCAGATCTGCACCCACACTCCTTCCCAGACATTTCTGACGGAAGCGGTGCATTTCATTTCGCCTGGGACGTGAACGGGTCAGCTCACCGTCGAAGAATGCCGGCCATCCGCATCCGCTGTCGAACTTGGTGGTGCTCTTGTACAGCGGAGTGCCGCATCCGGCGCATGTGTAGATACCCTCGCCCTTATGGTGCTCGTACTTGCCAGTTCCTGCAGATTCAGTCCCCTTCTGTCGCAAGACGCGGAACTTGCAATTGAATGTGTCAGTCTTTGAAACCATGTTCTCTACCGATCCCCATTCACCTGTTCCGGGGACAGGATAGCCCTCCACTCGCTATCGCTCTTAGAGTCGCTCATTGTTATAGGAGTTTGGGTGAATGGACGAGTGGAAATGAAAGGAATTGGGGATAGTCGAGCCGCGAAGAGAGCTGATCTGATAGATGATCGTAAGAGTGCAGGACGCATTAAGTAGGGAACTTCTGAGGCGTTGCATGGCCTTGGGGAGGAATGACGCCAGGCGCCATCGTCCGTAAGCACTCCCACGTGGTCGTGATCGGCTCTCAGGCGCCCGACGCGACGCGTCAGGCACGTGCTGTGCAACCGTCAGCGCCACAGCGCTGAGCAGTCTGAGCGCTTGGCTTCATAGTCTCGGTCAGTATGTAAGTAGTAAGTAGTATTGTAATTGCTTTCAGTTCTCAGCATCTCAGCGTACGGTAAACTCAGCCATGTTATCACAATCACTCTGAAACTGTCTTGTCCTAGATCGCGGAGGTCTTCTTTCAAAGCGAAGTCTCGAATAGTATGCCACTGCGCATCCAGGAGTGGATGAGCACTGTCGACTCCGAGTCTTGCGCCTCAAGCGATCTCGGCCGTGTAGTCCGCGGAGTCCGCGAAAGTACGGGGTCAGCTACGCTTTCTTTCTCATCCTATGCACAGATTTGTCAGGGCAGTAGCAATAATGCGGTGCCAGACCCATGAGGTTACTCAGACTACGCACCGTAACAGCGTACAACTTCGCACGAGGTGCGCACAATAGTTATGCAACCTTCGCCGGCGTGAGTAGCAGTCATATAGGTTTCCCTACCTCCCCCTCAAGCGCGACCAATTACGAGATAGGCTGGGGCCGCAGCGGGTCGCGACTCGCGAGAGCAGTGCTCCCAGTGCGGGTCGTGGTTTGCGGGCCGCAGTAACATCGCGACGTTGCTCTCTGAAGAGAGCCAGATGACACCACAGTTGAGCATCATCTTCCTGCTCCTCAGCTCGGGCAGGTCATTCAAGCCTCGATGTACTATGGCTATCCCTTCTCAAACGTACGTATCGCGACATCCCTGCATTCATATGCTGCATTCCGGGCTTCCGTCGAGTGTTCACGCAGCTGTCGTAATGCGCTAGTTGACATTTGGGTAGGTTTAATCATCGTTGGCGGATTGCAACGCGACCACCGAGCGATCCAGAGAACAAGACATCAGCGAGACACCAGTATCGTCAGAAAGTCCGCCGACGTGATCCTGCAATCTGACGGTAGCAATCGATCAGGCTCTGGATTATAACGGATGAAAAGCAGCGCACCGAATTCACTGCAAAATGTACACGCACGTCTTTGGACATTGTATGGATCGTCTATCAAAATACTGTAGCGTTCACAGTGACGATCATGATGTAGTAACTCGAGAAGAACCTCCGAAGTCACGTATTAACGTCATTGTCTGCTCAGGTCGCGGTGTCCTAACGTTCGCCATGTTAGCGAGCTTCTCTAGCAAGGACGATGAGCGGCTCTCGCAATGAGACTACCACTGGGACGATGCGACCAAGGAGTCCGAAGCTGTGGGCAACTGAGATGTCATGGTACACGTGCTGTCGTGAGGTGAGCAAGAGTTGCTTCCAGAATCCGTGCTGACCTGTGTCGCACCAGTGTAGCCGAAACACAATTCGTGACATTCATAGCGCTAAGTATCCCGAACTCCTCGTGCGAACACATTGCTACGTCACATTGTCATTTTCGTTTCACCCCTACTAGCCTCAAGGCTGGGGCCAGTAGTCCAGGACCGCGGGATCACCCGTGAGGGTGAAGGTCTGCGTGCTCAGGGGTTCAACATCGAGGAGCAGCGTGTAGTCCCCCGGGTACAGAATCGTGTTTCCGTACTCGTCTCTGCGCGCGAGTGACCCGAGCGTCAGGTTGAGCGTCGTTGTCTGGCTTGACAGCGGCTCGACGCCGTGCAGGCGGTCGTACGCAACAAGGACCTTGTTCGGGTACGGCGCGGGGCCGTGCACACCCGCCACGAAGAGCAGGGAGACGTAGTCGGACGTGTACGTGCTCCCGGTGTTCGTCACGTTGACCGTGTACGATTCGAAGGGGCATAGGTCAAGGTACGCCACGCCCGAGCACGCGCCGACGAGGCTCTGTATGTCATAGCTCGACGCGGAGGGCGCGCTCAGAGCCGCAGCGAAGTTCGTGTAGTGCAGCCCGTACCCGAACTCGAAGATAGGCGTGCCTGTGTACCACATGTACGTGCGGCCGGGGTTGGTCGCGCTCGGGCGGAGCGACATGTCTGTCATCGGGACCTGGTTGACGTAGTCGATCGGGTACTGCGTGATTGGGAGGCGACCTGCGGGCGCGGCATTCCCGACAATGATATCCATGAGCGCAGCTCCGCCGGATTGTCCAGGGTAACCACCCCATATGATCGCGTTCACGTTCGGGTTTGGGACGAAGCATGAGTCGTCGATCTGCCCGCCGCCCATCTGGAGGATAACCAGCGGTTTGCCGAGTTGCGAGAGGAGATCAACGAAGTCGGGTTGCACACCCGGCCAGTCGAGCGTGTAGCGGTCCATGGCCTCAGCTTCGATCGTGGTGTCGATGCCACCAGCATAGATTATAGCATCTGCCTGGGACGCGACCTCGAAGGCCGCGGGGTACGATGGCGTGGTGGGATCGTTGATGCCAGGGCCTGCCGAGTAATACACAGTGTAGTTCAGTGCCTCAGCCGCCATGAGCGGACTGATGAGGTATGGTGCGACACCGTAATAGTTGCCCTGCATCTGCGTCGTCGCATTCGCCCACGGGCCGATGAGCGCGATAGACTTGATTTCCTTCGAGAGCGGCAGTGTGCCATCGTTCTTCAGCAGCGTGATACCCTCGACGGCGGCGGTGTACGCGAGCTGCTCGGCCTCTGGAGTGCTAACGTTAGCCCATCCGAGCTGGCCGTAGGGCTGGTCTTCAATTGGATCGAAGTACCCGAGCTTCACGAGGGACGCGTACAGGCGGATGAGCGACGTGTCGAGCGTCGTGACATTAATTAGGCTCTCGTTGTAGGCTGCGCCGAGGAAGTCGGGATAGTACGTCCCACAGTCAAGATCCGTGCCCGCGTTCAGCGCGTCCGCGACGGTCTGCGCACGAGTCGGCGCGTAGTAGTGCGGCTCATAGATGTTTTGGATGGCATCGCAATCGGAGGTGACCCACTGGTCCTCGTTCGTCCAGTTCCAGTGCCCGCGAAGGATGTCCTGGAGCAAATACGAGTTGGCGCAGGACGGCACGCCGTTGACCGCGTTATAGGAACACATAAACGCGCCGACGTTCGCATCACGTGCGCAAGTCTGGAATGAGCGTGTGTAGAACTCGGAGAGGTCTTGCACCGAGACGAGCGCGTCGAAGCCGTAGCGCACGTTGCCCATCCAATTCTCCAGGTCATACGCGGCATAGTGTTTGCATGTTGCGACCACGCGCTTGAACTCAGGGTCCAAGCCACCTTGTAGACCGGTGATGAGGTTGTACACGTATGATTGCAGGTGGAAGGGATCCTCCCCGGGGGTCTCCTGACCTATGACTGGTCAACTTGTGCTCGGTGGAACTTACATAATAATATACCTCGGCCCCAACGAGGGTCCTTGAATGGGTTAATGTTCGGCGTCCAGAAGTCAAACTGTTGTATGTCATTGAGTACTGCACTGCAGCGGAGTTCATATGGTTCGCTCACCCCAGAATGATTGTTGTTGGCGAATGCACGTCCTTCCGTACTGACTACCGTTGCAACAGCGTTGATCAAAGCATCGTCAAACGCAGCACCCATGAGGATGGGCTGAGGGAAGGATGTCGCATAGCTGAACTCCCCAGACCCAGAGAAGTTGACACCGGGAGATTCAGCGACGCCATGCAAGGCTTCTTGCCACCATCTAGGCACCTATTGTAAGAACGAGACGTTGTAGTACGACAGCAACGTTGCACGTACTGGTATGCAGGAAGCCCAAGACGGGGTACGCCGGGGGCGGTGTTTCCGGTGTTGTTGATTTTCTCTTCGAGAGTGAAGAGACCGACCAAAGCAGTTGCACGGTCCACTGGCGTCGCCGAGGAGTCGCAGATTGTATTGTACGCTAGCGGCCCATTGGCGCAATCAGGGTAGATGGCATAGACATTCGTGGCAAGGGCCAGGCATGCGAGGGCAAGCAAGGTGGCCATGTCGACCGCGGGCGAGCACGAAGAGGGTTCGCGGACGGGTGGGAGTGGTCGAAGCTGTGTAAGTCATCTTTATAGACGAGCCACCTCTGATCATGTTCCGATGGGGCACTGTGACTAAGGGTGGTTCATCAGGAAGCAGGGTAGGCGGGAAACTGGTGAGCTCGGACGGCAGACGGCATTGTGGGATGAGCGTAAATCCAGACGAGATACACGTCCGCGGTCCGCGTAAAGTCGAGCAGGTGATGGTGGATGCTACGCATGGCATGCGAGCTACCAAACAACAGCCGTGCCTCCGGGGACGAGATTCCATATGACCCTCCCTGCTTAACGCCGTCGGTGACGTACTGCGCACACTCCGACGACGTTGAGTAGCCGTATACGACTGACCCTATGCCTCGAGTGTAATTCTTGAGCAGCATACGCTAGATCTCTACCTAAGCGGTAACTGGCACTTACCTGCGTCTCCCCACGCTCTCCATTGACCCCGCATAGCCATGGCAGAAGAGGCCGGACGTATATCGGTGGCTTCAGGCTTGGTGTGCTGGTTGACCGGGCCGCTCTGTTGACGGCAGAAGGAGGGCTTACCCTCAAGAATCCAGGAGGAATGTCGGAACAGATTGTCTTGCCGCCGAGCAAACGCGGGCAGGATGCGGGGCCCCGGTCCATTCTCGGCGAATGCGGGTGGGATCCACTATTATGACGATCACGACCTGCCGTTCCTGCCGTCAGTTACAGTATATTTGAGACTTGCGTCTGCGCTGCCAACATGCATTTTGGCAGCCGATTTAGAGTGTCGTATAGCGCAATCTCAAACCCGGCATTGACCATGGCATCCGCGCGTTGCTGGCAGAACCGCCATCTATGGGTGATATCTTCAAGGTTAGTGCGGCAGTGCTTTTGTTTGCAGAGCAAGGGTCCGGCCATTCAAGTGAGTGTTCGTATTCCAGGATGAAGATAACACATACTTGGAATGCTGAGGCGCACATCTTCGAGGCTCGACGGAGGTCCTCATTTGAGGAGTAAAGGTGAAAATATGCAGGACGGTGAATGCCACCCGGGCTCAGGACCAACCTGATTACACATTCACTACCCTATCAACTTCTATTCTTCTACCTGTACTTCGATACTGGGTCGCAGGCAGCATTTGACCTAGAAGCGGTGCGCGGGAGTACTCGAGTCCTCTCCACAGCGTTTCCAATCCCGCAGTCATGCACGACATAGTAGGGCTTGCGACTGCTCGAGGTGGAGCATAAACACACTGTCGAGGGCGCAAGTCGTGGGTATTATGCCAGCCCGGCCTCTGCCGCCAGAGAATAGAACGCGGATTGCTTGTTATTCAGGAGGTTCTTCGGTGAATCGAACTCGGTGACCTGTATCCCCGCAATCAGCCAAGTGCTTAAGCTTTCAGTCTCGCCGTCAGGATGCTTACCTCGCCGGCACTGAGGATGAGTACGCGGTCCGATTCCATAATCGTGTTGATCCTATGCCTGCATTCAATAGGAGGCGTCAGTGAGGTTGGTCCCGTGTGATCGCCAAATACGCACGCAATGGTGAGCATAGTCACGTCCCCGAACAGAGGCCCTCTGATGATGTCTTGAATGGCTTGGTCAGTGTCCAAGTCCACCGCGGAGGTTGCTGGATAGTGCATTTTTAGTGTCACCTAGACAACACAGTGCGCTTTTACTCACCTTCGTCCAAAACCAGGATCTTTGACTGTAACGAGACTTAGCACATGGCGCAAGCAAACGCAAGCCGCACATACCTTCCGTAGGAGTGCACGAGCGAAACAGAGTAGCTGCCTCTGCCCTGCTGACATCGACGATCCTCCTTCTCTCACGGGTGCGTCGAGCCCCTCTGGGAACGACTCCACGAATGCCTTAAGGCTCACTTGCTCGAGGGCGACCCAGATATCCGCGTCCTGGTGCGCGCCCGTAGGATCGATGTTCTGGCGGATTGTGCCCTCGAATAGGTCCGGACTCTGTGGCACGATTGAGATGGACGATCGGACTGTGTACAGAATGACTCGTCAAGCAAGGCGACTGAATGAATGCTAGGACGGCACGTACGATCGTGGAGGCCGACTTTGGCGATGTCAACGCCATCAATGAATATCGTGCCGGAAGCAGGCTCAATGATGCGGAAGAGCGAGAGCAGCAGCTTCACCATCAATCCTCAGCAAAACCAGTATGTGATGGGCAAGCATTGCGAACTTACAGTAGACTTTCCGGATCCAGTCCTACCACAAATACCGATCTTCTCCCGGTGGTTCTGTATATCGCGTTTCATCAGCTGAGAGGTACACATACATATCATACACACAGAAGACTCACGATTGTAATCGAAATTTTCTTCAACGCCAGATCGAGCTCTGGCCGGTACCTGGCACAGTAGTCTTTGAACACGATCTCACCCTTGGTTGGCCAGTTCTCCGGCACCGCATTAGGGATTTCCGCCGGCGCCTCCGGCTCCAAGCCAATGTAATGGAGAATTCGCTCTACGCTGACGATGTTGGTCTCAACTTCGCTCGTTGAACGCACAAGCCAATTCTGTGAAGAAATATCTATAACTGCACGGAGGTTCATATAGGTTAAGATAACGTACCAGAGAGCCCGTCGTGTTCAAAGCGTACGACAACACGAAGCCGACGAGACCAGCATCAACGCCGCTCGTCACGAGAGCCACGAGCGCCAATATCGCTGCTATGAAGATAATCGTTGCCCCGACGAACTCGAGGCGTACTGCGAGCCAGCGATTGACAGAGATACTGTGACACTTGAGCAACGCTTCTCAAAATCACGACCGGAACATCAACGAACCTGGGCAAGTAGCAGATTTGATTACGATCTAACCGCCGCTCGTTATTCTGGACGAACACATTTTGCTGCCCGAAGGCTCGGATAGTCGAAAGACCGTTGAGCGACTCTGAGAACCACGCAAATATTGGCGAGCGCGAGACAGCATCGAGCCGCTTGAGCTCTCGCGAAGTCGAAAGATAGTAGCTAAAGGTTGAGGTGAGTAAGGCGTCATTAGTAGACAAAAAGAAGACTTGCATCATCACTCGAATATAGAACCAGGTCAATGGTGGAACAGCAATCAGCTATATAGCAGGATTTCAGTGCTATGTCGCGGCAGAGTGAATGAACTTACGAAGAGCGGGAAGCTCGTCCCAATGACGAGAACGATGATTCCAGTTACGCAGGCGGTCCGGACGGTGTTCTGTGTGACTCTGGCAATGATCTGGTCCACGACGTATGTGTCTCGCGAGAACAAATTGAGAATTCTATGATGGGCTCAGTCACAGTAGATACTGGGAAGTCATTGAAACTGACCGTCCAGTGGGAGTGAGCTCGAAGAAGCTCAATGGGGCGCGCATAACAGCGTTCAGCATCTAAACTCGTGTCAGCCACAGACACATTACCAAGAGTGTGTAGATACATACAGAGTCATGCAAGAGCCTAGAGCTGCGCACTGAGCATAACACCCAAAGCAGGATAGCTGCAGCCGTCCCGAGCAAAGTCGACGTCAAGGAGTACAGCCCGTACACCAGCAGATACCAAAATGCATCCCTGTTTGAGCCGGCGTTCAGGTTGTGTTCGCCCCACGCCCGCAACGTGTTGTTTCCCAACACTGACGTGACCTGCTGGAGTACCATGCAGACCACAAAGAACGTGAAGCCGGTCTTTGAGGCTGCCTTGATGTATTGGAGATACACATCGGTTTTGACGCGACCCTGTTCGCTGTGCTCTTTGGTCATGCCATCCGAAACCGTACGAGTCGGCAGGTTGTCTACGAGAGCGGCCCTGCCGTAGCTCTTCCGGCGTTCGAGCTTGCAGTCAACGGTCTGAAGCTTCTCTTCCGTGAGGTCTCGCAAGGATTCCACAGCAGTTTCGCCTTCCGAAGACGGCGTCGCAGCGTCTCCCAAGAAGGGCGTCGACATCCCCGATGTTGTCAGGGTACCGTGACCTTTTCTGTGGTAGAAATATGAACATCCCGCATTGTGACAAGCGCGCTCTGACTGACATGAGTTTATACAATTGACTCTCTGAGTTGTTGACTAGATCCTGATAGGTGCCCGTTTCGAAAATTATGCCTCTGCGTATATACGCTATCTTGTCAAATTGCTTGAGGAAGTGAATACTGTTCGTGACGACAATTCTAGCTTTCGTTGCAAGGAGACCATTAGGACCAATGACGTTATCTGAAAGAATGAGAGCTGTGATCAGCAAGTAGCCACTCGCAGCACTACACGGCACATACCAAAGACATGACGCGCAACATGAGCATCTACTGCGGCGAGGACATCATCAAGGATGACTCTGCATAATTTATTCAGCTGGGGTACCGTTGAATAAAGCAGGTAATGACTCACAGATCAGCTCTAGCGTAGACAGCACGCGCAAGCGCGACGCGTGCGCGCTGACCACCACTCAACTGTGCAGACCACGAACTAGGGTTAAGTGTTTCTCGCGACACATGCATTGCACGCGACGCACCGTTATGCCCTTCTCTCCCACTTCTGTCAAGTCACCGTTCGGCAGCAAAGCGAGATCCTGTCTGAGCGCGCACGCTGGAAGCCGCCATCAGACAACTGTCAGAGACGTTCGTTGATCTTAGGGATGAGACTCACCATCTAGCACCAATTCGTAAAACTCGGGGTCGTATACATGCGAGAACAAAATGTTATCACGGATAGTCGCGCTCATGATCCTACACACGTATGTCAGATATTGAATCTACGGACGCGGAATCTTCTCACCATGGATTCTGCGGCGCGTACGACACACACCCCGACAACCTGACCTCACCCTCAGTGCGTATCGTCTCCCCAATGATGGCCGACAGCAAGCTCGTCTTGCCCGCTCCGACGCGCCCGAGCACACCCACCAACTCGCCCTTGGCCACGGCGAAATTGATATCTTCGAGTGTCGGCTGTGGCGCGTCCTTGTTCCAGTAGAACTCGCCGTTTTCGATTGCCAATACTTCATCACCGAGCTGAAGGTTTGAGTTCGTGATGAGTTCACGCGCGTCGGACTGCAGCTCGTCGGCGCCGAGGAAGTCGGAGAGACGCCGAACGGAGACGAGGGCTTCGATGATATTGGAGGTGACTTGACTAAACTATTGCGGGTGTTAACTACACGAGCAATCGCCGCGATCCGCAGTACTCACCATAGCTAGTGGGAAACTGAGGAGCATGAACAGCGAGATTGAGGGGAAGATCCTGTCGGATGTCAACGGTGTGTCCGACGTCGCCGAAGCGACAGCAAAGGAGCTGAAGGCAACAAGCACTACAGGACGCTGATGTTCAGAATCGGCACTCCTATGCGCAAAGTCGGGAGTACTCACATGGGATACCACCCCAGAGGGACGTGTTGAGTGACTACAAAGACGCGTCTCGTCAACTCGTAGTCATCAACGCTGTATGCAGGCCACGCACTGTGACGACGCCAATCTTCCTGAGCATCCTCAGCTCCTGCTCATTCCTCACCTGCATGATCCACCGGATAAACGCGTTCTCCCATGCGTACAGCTTGATACTATGTTCCGATGAGCTCCCTCTCAATATGAGTGCCGAAAATTGTTGAACACACCTCCTGATATTCGCCAGCAACTCGCTCATTAACCTCGTGCGCTTGTCCCGGTTCTTCATCTGCTGCTCCTGCAGCTTTTTGAGCAGCCGCGCGATGAGCGTGTTCAGCGGGACGGACACGACCATGATCGCGACGCCGACGAACCCTGCCCATCCGAGGATGTTGTAGAGCGATATGAACGCCAGCGCGATCTGCCATCATACCATGAGACGCGGCCCGACACACGTACGGAAAGTAACCCACCTGAAAGGGCCCGGAGATTGAGATGAGACCGTACGTGCACAGGTCCTGCAGCCGCGTGGCGTCGACGGACATAAGGTTGACGATGTCCCCCGAGGCGCGTCCTCGCCCGTCGTTCGAGAGTACGAGTGCCTTCTGGTAAATGGCGCTCACGAGCCCAGCGCGCACACGCATGCCCGTCTCGAAGCACCGTTGGAAGTACTACAGACACGTCAACAATGACACACGTTTACCAATAGATATGAGAACCCACCTGGTGCAGAATGATCGTCTGCACGACGGACGCACAGAACATGAACACGGCAATGGCAAAGCCCTCGAGCTCGCTGGGGCGCTCACGACCGGAGGCGCGCGCACTCTGGTAATCCGAGATGTATGCGAGGAGCAGGCGGAGGAGCTGCGGCTGCATGAACACGAGGCAGTCCTGGATGACTTTGAGGAGCGCGGCGAAGGCATAAGATCCTCCATAGGCGACAAAGAGTGACGTCCACAGGCCCTTACTACACGGTTGTCAAGAAAGAGCGTACTGAGGATGCACAGCTAACTCACTGTTTTTGGAGGGCATCGTGCAGCTTCCTACCGAGATTTGCGGCCTCGTCCTTGGGCACAAGCGACGGGAGGTCGTCCTCGGTAATGTAGGCCTTCGCGCCTTTCTTCATGAGACCGGACATCCATGAGAACGTCCACACGCTGAATACATTTGCCGTGAGCAGCGGGCTCTGTATATGACCCTTCTCCGGGAGAGCTGGCTTGTCCTCGGGAGAGAACTCTACGCCGAGGTTCTCCAATGCGAACGCGGCGAGTCCGAGGGCTGCAGCGGCGCATTTCAAGGAGAGGACAGGTAAAAAGGCATGCAGCTCTGTGACGGCTACCGTTCTAGTCCACACCAGTACACAGATGGTGTAAAGGGGCCAGAAGAGAAGCAGGAGCGTGGAGGAAGAGCGTGTCCGGTGGTGGTTGAGGTAGGTGAGGAAGGGTGCGACCAGCAACGCGAGGACGTCGAGAACATAGCTTTGTACGACGGCGACCGGCCGATGGGTGACAACCACTAAAATGAGATTTGCGCAGCTAGCTGCACACGCGAGAACGAGGAAGATCTACAAAACGACAGATTGTGCCACCATCATGAAGTCAAAAGTCTATTGATTCGTCGGCCCCGAGGAGCGGATCAACGACGACGTACGAGCTTGGCCCTCAGCACCCACAGACTTTTGCGACATCTCGGCAGCACTTCCCAACCGCGTAGAGCCCAGCACCGGAACGCGCCCGCGATGGCGATGAGGACGAGGAGGGTGGAGAGGAGGATGCCTTCCTCGAAGCACACTGTGAGATCGAACGGGCGAGCGGTCGAGACCGGGCCCCAACCTTCCGGGTTGCTGCAGCGCGCCGGCGAGTCCATTGGCACAGGCAGCGAGGACGACGTCGAGCACGTTGAGCACGCAACGAATGGCGACACCGACGCGCCCAGTTTATAAACCCTTGCCTGCCGCCAGCTGCCGACCCGGCTCGGAGGCACATTACGTACGCGGGGTCCCCGGATCGAGCAATGTTTCTATCTCAAACTTCAACAACTCCAGTCGAATTCGGTCTTACAGTCGACTACAGATATTGCTTGTCCGACGTGATGGCTTGGCAAGTTCTGCCCAACACTATCGTCCGCTGAATCATTGAGTCGACTAGTCCTGGCAAGCTTGTGGTGGGCACAGTACCGTTACGGCTTTGCAAAGTTGAAACGACGAAAATTGCTGAGGCCCACATCATTGCCGAGACAGCCGCGCGAACCGTGGGGGCGGGGCCAAGTACTGCTCAAGTCAGTCAGCAACATACATGTTACATGACTCTCGGGATATTTAGGTTCAAACAACCACGTTGGTCATTCCAGGAGCTCGGTTTGGAGTATGTTCTCACTCAACATTGACATGTGTCCACTCACATTTCAAGATCAACACCATCTCGAGGGTCACCACCTATGCAGAACAGTTTGAGAGGCAAACGTTCAAGCTTCGACTTGTCATGATATCAGAATGGCCTCAGTGATCTCGAGCTACGTACATAGGTAATGATGAGAACATCGAGCTGCACTCGCTGGCCGCGAGCCCGCACACCTGCGATGCAAACATGGATCTGCGTGGTCGTATACATCAAGTATACATGCACGTATGGCACTACAAAGATGCAGTGTTATCACGGCTTTGAGGAGATGGACGGGTGCTCACGATTGACCTTGGTACCGCAGTTTCCAGGCGTGGTATCTCAACAATGATCCCACCGAGTTGCCCTTGTCCGACATCCAAGTCGGGCGGACCAGACCTTGCGTTATGGACCGGGCCATATACAGGTGTAAATGTGAAGGTTTAGTGCGGCTACAGTGTGCAACCTCGTCAGTAGCGCGCGATAACCACATGAATCTAAAGCTCGAGCCGACCTTGAATCATAATGTCTTCAATGCAATGCCAGTGAACTCCCTTCTCCGTCCGAATCTTGCTGCCCATCCATATGTGGAAGCTCCGCGTGGGATCAGACGGGTCAAGCGGTATGCTAGCTCCTCTGAGACGATGTTCCAGTCGTCGCCGGTGGAGATATCCCTCTTGGCATTCTTCCTGGTCATAACCACTGAGACTGCCGAGCCAACTAAGCGGATATGCCGCACAGAAGACCGCTTCATTGTGCAACTCGATGTATTCATGACACCGGCACAAACTGGGACGAGCAAAAGTCAGTTCTGTACAACAATATATCCGGCGGGATACGTAGCTCGCATGTTCGTCAGGATCCCTGGGGTCTATTGTCTTCATCGGAAACGCATTGTGGACAAGAACCACAACCCCTTTGAACAAACTTCGCTTAACTCCCATAGGTTTCCGGGCCAGTGCATGCAGTACCGACCTTTCAAGACAGAGCCAACACACCATCCACAGTAATGCCGGGTGTCGCCGCGATCTCCAATGCGTCCTCGTACCACTTTATGGCAAGGTCTTCTTGACGAAGTCTCCGCGCGCAAGCGATTGCACTGTCCCGCGGACTCGGTAACCATGTTCGACGAGGCGGCGTAGGGCAATGGCGCTCACGAGGTACCCGTTAGCTCTCCTGAGCAGAATAAGGCTGTTATGTCTAGCGTGAAGAGTTAAATGAGTATGTTGCATCAGGTCCAGACTCCACATGCGTTGTAGGCTGGTGGCTCGGTCCTGTGAGGCATACACGGACGACACCGTCGACTCTATCATGACTTGCGTGTTGACTGCTTCCTGAACGAACACCTCGAGGAGCTCTCGAGGGCATCTTGACAGGGGACGTACACTGTAGTACTTACCTCATGCGACGCGGGCGATGAGAATTTGAAAATTTGACAGCGAACCCGCGGCCTAGTAGCCGCATCGACCGCGATCAACCACCGGACCGGGATAGCATCAAGGACCATAGGTCTTGTCATAGTCGGGGATTGGGGTGATGGAACCTATCTCACCTAGAAACGGTGCAACTTAGTCGGGCAGACACGAGAGAGACGTAAACTTCGAGTTGTTCGCTCGACCGACCCAAAGTTATACTGGATTCATCTGTTCTGCGTACGATTCCCTGGCAGCTGAGTTTGGTCCATCTGCGTTTGCCAATCTTCCTGCCTTGATATGTTAGATGTACGTGCACTCTAGTCCTGAAGGGACACTAACATATGCATGGATGGTAATGAAAGCTACTCCCTTACGGGAAAGAAGAGGTACGGTGTTACTATATGTTCCACACACAGCCTTGTAATTTGGCTTACCTTGAGCGAGAGTCTGTTTGCTGCAGAACGCCATGTTGCCCACGTCGCTGTCGCTGTCCTTTGCGGACAACATGGCGAAGACGAGACTCGGACATCATCGTCGGTTTATCTATCGGCTCACAAACCAACCTTCGACAATGCAGAACACTGGATGTGCGCGTGAATGTTTGGGACAATCATGCAGTTCGTGGTGTCAAGCATATGTTCGATTCAAACAGTATATGAGAAGTGGGACATTCGCAAGCAACGCGCGTACGAACTTGAAGTTGAATGATTCTGAGCCACTGTCCAGCCACTGTCACGGTTCGTTGCTCTACGTACAGCAGCCGAGATAGGCAACTGTTTCTCACGCTGCCTGCAGTGTGCGGCAGCTTCGGCCCATCGCCCTAAAGACGTCTTCCCGGTCCTCCTCCATCGCTCGCTCGCACTTTGTGGTGCGTTATCGCAGGGCAGTATGAACGTCTGGGTATGTATCCGTGGCTTTCCAGCGTCCGTGGAATTCTGACGTTGTGTAGACCGAACACCGTAATCCGGAAGGGAGAACATATTGGTTCAATACTGGAACGAGGGAAAGTGTCTGGGAGAAGCCAGATGGTGCGTCACAGAGGTTACGCGTCTTGACAACGCATGCTCACCCCAGCCTGCAGACCTGAAGACTCCGTTCGAGGTGATTTGTTATTTCCTGTGAAGTTATTACTGGGATTGACACTCTTCAGCGAGCCTTGAATCAGACGAAATGGAAGGAGTATTTCTCGGGTGGCAGGAAGTATTACTACAATGTATGTCCCATGTCATATTCTGTGACGCATATATTCACTGAACATCAATATTGCAGACTGACACGAAGGAGTCCAAATGGGACATGCCCGACGAGCTGCTTCTTCTCCTCGAGAAGGTAGAGAAGGACGGGAACGCACAACCAGCCAACGCTCTAGTGTATGTCCCCCCTCATACTCCATTGCATCCGCTCACGATCCATGCAGAACGAACCGCGGTACTCCAGCTTTCACCCCCTCTGGGACTTCAATGCAAGGTGCACCTGCTGCTATGGGAGGCGCTGATCCATCCTTATCCGCCCCCGGTTCTCAGGAAAACGGAAATCCCGAGCTTGCTGTCGTTGCACACAGTGGCACACTGCCATTTCAGTCTGCTAGTATCTTGCCTCCACGGCCTAATCTACCGGACGACCCTGTGATACCACACAATGGGTTCACAACGGTGGAGGAGGGAGAGAAAGCATTCATGCATCTGCTGCGCAAGGCTGGCGTGGATGCGAATTGGACGTGGGACCAGACGATGCGTGCTATCATCACTGACCCTCTGTACAAAGCGTTGAATACGTTGGCGGAGAAGAAGGCTGCATGGCAAAAGGTATGTGCCCAGCTCGTGGCGTTGATATCATCCATTCATCTGCTGCCTTCAGTACACGGATAATCTCCGAGCAAAGGAACAGGAGGAGCGTGACGCTCGACTGTCGAAGCTACGTCCCGCCGTCAGAAACATGCTCAAAGGCAACCCAAACGTCTTCCATTACAGCACCTTCGCCAATGCGGATAAGCTATTCGCACAGCACCCTATCTGGCAGCAAGCGAAGATTGAGGCTGAGCGGAGGCTCATCTTTGAGGAGTACGTAGCTGAACTGAAGCAGCGCGAGGTGGTGCGTGTCATATCGTAATGCTCGTTCAACGGTTCGTCGGGCAACTCATCTTTGTCGCAACCACAGCAAGAGACGCGTGCGGCACGCGCTCGTAGCGTCGCCAAGATCATGGCTCTGTTCAAGCGCCTCGACGTCGATGTAACCACCCGTTGGCGTCAGGCCCACCAGCTCGTGCTCGAGTCCGACGAGTGGAAGGGTGACGCAGAGCTGCAGACGCTGCCAACGCTCGACATCCTACTCGCCTTCGAGGACTACAGCCGAGTTCGTGAGCGAGAGTTCGAGGAGCAGATGCGGCGCGCACAGGTTGAAAAGACGCGCAAGGAGCGTAAGGCCCGCGAGGGATTCCGGGTATGTTACAACATATTCTTGACAACTGATTGAGTTGACGATTCACGACATGTACGCAGACCCTGCTTCGGAGTCTTGTAAAGTCCGGTCAAATGAAGGCCCGTACGAAGTGGAAGGAGATCTACCCCGCTCTCGCCAACGACGTCCGCTACCTGGACATACTCGGCAACCCCGGGTCCAACCCGCTCGAGCTCTTCTGGGATGCAGTCGACGACCTCGACCAGCAGCTCGATGCAAAGATTGCTCTTGCCGAGGGCGCGATCAAACGATACAATAAGCGGCTGGAGGAAGAGTATACGAGCGCCGATGGTGATGTCCAGATGGCCGACGCACGGGATGGCAAGGAGAGTGGTGGTGTGAAGCCGTATAAGGTCGCTCCCGAGACGACCTTGGAGGAGTTCGTTGCTATCGTCAGAAGAGACAATGATGAGGTCGTCGGAAAGCTCACCGAAGAGGAGCTCGACGATATTTATCACACGGTAAGTCTGAATCTACGTGCACTGTCGACTAGTCGATTCACCAGCCTTTGTGTAGTTACACGACCAAGCAGTCAAGCAGCAAGCGGACGAAAGGCGACGCGCTGAGAGACGGCAGCGTCACTTGCAGGAGGACCTGCGGTATGCGCTCAAGAAGCTCCCGGAGCCTCTGGACATCAGTCTTTCATACGAAGAGGCAAGTGACGTCATGTATGTCTGTGGAATAATGCTGAAGCCCAGATTCAGGTTGTCCCGCTCATCCAAGATTTGCCGGAGTTCAAAGCGCTCGAGGACGAAGATGGCAAGAAAGCAGCCTACTCGAAGTTCGTCAAGCGCCAGAAGGTGGGCATGATTCATTGCTCTGTTATAGATATACGCTCATGTGTGTAACAGGAGCGCCTTCGCGAGCAACGTGAACGGGAAGCGTCTGAGGATGGTGGCTCGACGACAAGCCGCAGGCGTAAAGAAGCAATCAAAGACTCGCGCGACGAGAGGGATCGCGATCGTGACCGAGAGCGTGATCGCGACCACCGCGACAAGGACCGGGACGAAAAGGACACTCGCAGCTCACGTTCGCACCGTGGACATGACGACCACGATGCTCACAGCCACCGTTCGACCCGAGAGCACGGACGCGAGCGTGACAAGGCGTACTATGGCCGCGAAAAAGAGCGCGAGAAGGAGAGGGAGAAGGACTATGCGTATAAGCCTTCGAAGCATCATCGCGAGTATGAGCGTGACGATAGACGTCGGGATCGTCGCGGGTCGAGAGGCGAAGACCATCCTGCCTATCCCCCTCCACCAGAGGCCCCGCCGTTCAAAGAGGACCGGGAGAGGAGCGCGTCGACCTACCGAGAGGACCCTCGCGAGAAGCGCGACCGGTCTATGTATGAGGACAGGCCGTACGAAGAGCGAGCAGAGAAGGTATGTTCCTCGCGGTCAGTCGGAAGTTCAGTACTGATGCAATGTAATCTGCAGCGACCGAGGTACAGTGTGCCTCCGGAGGGCCTTCCACAGGAAGCACCAAGACAAGAGCCTCCTGCACGTGCGGAGACTCCGGAGGAGGGCGAGATATAGGCTAAGGCTATAGCTCTGCACACCCTATCGTTGTAGAAAAATGGCTGTCAATTAGCTATCCTACTGGTCTATGATATCAATGGACCCGATTCTGAGACGCGTGTATGTCTGCTTGTGCTTAATGGTCTTTTGGTAGCCTTTTCTCCTCTTCTTCTTGAAGATGACCTCCATCCTGCCCTTGGTGTGCTCCACGACGGTCGCCTCGACATTGACCTTTTCTGGCGGGATCGTGGGACTGCCGCGCATAGTGAACTCGCGCGAACCGACCTCGTGGATTTGCGAGAGCGCCAGGACGTCGCCAACCTGCACGTCCTTGAGGCGGGGCACCGTGAGGAGGTCGCGGGGTGCGAGCAGGTATTTTCTGCCGGCAACGGAGGCGACGACGTACTGCGAGGGTTGCGAGCGGATGAGGGAGAGCGCGTGTGGTGTCGTGGCTGGTGTATGCGCTGCCTCGGTGTGCAGCGCACGGGTCGCGAGGGTGCGCAGGGGCACCGCCGCTGCTCGGGTCGTGGTCAGCGCCGTGCAGGACGACAGACACGGAGGACTCACCTCTGAGAAGGGACGCCATCGCCGGCAGACACAGCGGCGGGGACGGGTACGGCGGTCGGGTAAGCCGGGCGGGCCTGGGAAAACGGAGATTGGGGCGGAGCTCGAAATGCGGCCATGTAAGGCGACTCTCCCGAGTCCCGAAAACACCCTAGCGACTAACGTCAACGAACGACTCCTCGTCCTCGACTTCCACCTTCCTTCTGCCCCCATGCACAGAGTCGCCCTCAGGAATACTATGCGCGCAGCTGCGCTGGCCGCTCCCCGGGTGCGTAGCGTGTTCGCTGTCTTTCGCGGTCCGCATGATCTCACGCAAAATTCAGAGCGCTGGCCGCGTCGCTCCCGCTGCTGTTTCTCGCTCGTATGCAACGGCGAAGGCTGGTATGTGCTCAGTATTCTGGACGTGGCCGACGTGTCTTATTTACCTGTCTTCATTCGCGTCTGTGCTATGACGATTTCGTGCTGTCCGGTGTGACACGTCACGCGTAGCTGCATCTGAGGTGTCTTCAATTCTCGAGTCCCGCATAGCTGGCTCTTCTGTGGGCGCAAACGTCGAGGAGACCGGTCGCGTGCTGAGTACGTATCCAACGCGCTCTGCAAAGTAGCGCGGTCCTTACCCCGTACTACCTTAGGCGTCGGTGACGGTATTGCACGTGTATGGGGTCTGAAAAACGTCCAGGGTATGTTTCCGTGCATATACTGTCTCGTACATCGCATTCAACAGCGCATCGCGGTCTACAGCTGAGGAGATGGTGGAGTTCAGCTCCGGCGTCCGCGGCATGTGTCTGAACTTGGAAGCCGACAACGTCGGTGTGTCCATCTTCGGTAATGACCGTGACATCAAGGAGGGCGACACCGTGAAGCGTACCGGCCAGATTGTCGATGTCCCCGTCGGCCCCGAGCTCCTTGGCCGCGTCGTTGACGCTCTCGGTAACCCCATCGACGGCAAGGGTCCCATCAACACGTCGACCCGTAGCCGTGCCTCGCTCAAGGCCCCCGGCATCCTGCCGCGTCGCTCGGTCAACCAGCCCATGATGACTGGTATCAAGCCGATCGACGCCATGGTTCCTATCGGTCGTGGCCAGCGTGAACTGATCATCGGTGACCGTCAGACTGGTAAGACAGCCGTCGCCATCGACACTATCCTCAACCAGAAGCGGTGGAACGATGGCCAGGACGAGGAGAAGAAGCTCTACTGTGTCTACGTTGCTATCGGCCAGAAGCGTTCCACCGTCGCCCAGCTCGTCCAGACCCTTGAGGAGAATGACGCGATGAAGTACACTATCATCGTTGCTGCCACCGCCTCGGAGGCTGCTCCTCTGCAGTACCTCGCTCCCTTCTCGGGTTGTGCTATGGGTGAATGGTTCCGTGACAACGGCAAGCACGGTGCGTATTTGTGTCTCATTGGCCATGCCACACTGAAGGCTGACGATGCCTCCCAGCTCTGATCATCTACGACGACTTGTCCAAGCAGGCCGTCGCGTACCGTCAGATGTCGCTGCTGCTGCGTCGTCCCCCCGGTCGTGAGGCTTACCCCGGTGATGTCTTCTACCTGCACTCTCGTCTCCTCGAGCGTGCGGCCAAGATGAACGAGAAGTTCGGTGGTGGATCCCTCACTGCTCTGCCCATCATTGAGACCCAGGGTGGTGATGTGTCCGCATACATTCCCACGAACGTGCGTCTTCGTCGCTAACGTCTCCGCATTAACGCCTCTAAAGTACTAACTCGTATGCCTACAGGTCATTTCTATCACCGACGGCCAGATCTTCTTGGAGGCTGAGCTCTTCTTCCGTGGTGTCCGCCCCGCCATCAACGTCGGTCTCTCCGTGTCCCGTGTCGGTTCCGCTGCACAGACGTACGCCATCAACTTCTTACATAGCGCGTTACAATGACTAACAAATTTGTGTAGCAAGATCATGAAGAAGTTCGCCGGTTCGCTCAAGCTGTACCTTGCGCAATACCGTGAAGTCGCGGCCTTCGCCCAGTTCGGTTCTGATCTCGATGCGTCGACTCGCTTCCTGCTCTCGCGTGGTGCTCGTCTGACTGAGCTGCTCAGTGAGTCTTCTCCGAGGTGCTTTGTAGGGTAGTGTCTGACGTTGTCTGCAGAGCAAGGCCAGTACCAGCCAATGTCGATGGAGATTCAGGTCCCCATCATTTACGCTGGTGTCAACGGTCTGGTACGTCCTCGTTTAATTGACTTTGCGTATCATAACTGCAGCTGACGTTCCCTCCCCCTCCCCCTTTTCAGCTTGACGCCGTCCCCGTCGACAAGATCACCAAGTGGGAGGCTGAGTTCCGTCAGCACCTTACCTCAGCACAGGGTGCGCTCCTCAAGGAGATCGCCACCGGCCAGATCACGCCCGACCTTGAGGCGAAGATCAAGAAGGTCGTCGAGGACCACGTTGTGTCGTTCACATCGTAGAGGACCAGTAGTACAACGCGCTGACCAGTAACAAAATTTTAGTTTTGTCTTATCCGTTCCTGCTTCTTTCAGTGTCGCAATAAGATAGGGCGGTGCTACATTCGTCTAATTCTGCAACACAGACCCGCCTTCGAGGCGGTTTCGTCCGTGCACGCTAATCCAAATTCAAACCACGGTCCTACCACAACCAAGTCGGAGATTGTTTTTCCACCGATGGGATGTACATGTGGTTCAACACCAGTGGTTGAAGCATAAGTTAGCGGTTGAAAGCCTCATGAACGCGACGTATACGCATCGTAGAAGAGCGCTCTCGGAAAAGCTTTTCTATACTTATCCCCCCAAGGCATAGGCGGACGAACCTGACCTCGAAAGGTTGCCAGAAGGTGGCAGACTATATGTATATGACTCGAATATGTCTTCAAGTTTGTACTCGGTGCATCGGCTTCATATTATCTATCCCTTAGAGTCTGCAGTGGAGTCTGCAGTGAAACTGACCCACAGTTGCGCATTTCTGTCGGCGTTGTCTTTTGACCTGTACCTGAATGCTCAGGCCTTCATACTTACCAATCCGTTACAGTGGGCTACATTGGGCTAGAGCCCAAAACTTCAAACGATGCTATGTGTGTGTCCGTTCCACCATTTCGTTCATACAATGGGACGCCTTGTAAATGACAGATATCACCGCACTGCTGGATTCACGGCGGTGTATCCTCCATCGACGATGATCTCCTGTCCGTTTGTGTAGCATCCTGCCGGGGAGACGAGGTAGATGACCGTCCCGGCTAACTCCTCTGGCCTGTTTCATAGCAGTGTTAACCCTCAGGTCCTCAAGTTCCTGAAATGCACGATCAAGGACGTACCTTCCGGCTCTATGCGCAGGGATGGGTACTACGGGCTTCCCGATCTTGTCCACCTCTTCGGGAGGAATGTGCGGGTAGGTCATTTCGCTTTCATACACACCGGGTGCGACGCTATTCACGCGCACAGGTATCTTCTTTAGTGCGAGCTCAGTCGCGAACATCTTGGTGAGGTGTGTGGCGGCTGCTTTGGTTGCGTTGTACGCGAACTGTTAACACTCAATGAGCACAGTATCCGTACCACTTCGGCCAAGAAAGGTGGGTCTACCTGGTTCTGCGCGAGTTTGATGTTCCCGCTTAGGCTAGTGAGGTTGATGATGCAGGATGTGTACAGCTTCTCATCGTCACTCCCTTTGGCCAACAATCCGAGGAACGCCGTCGTCATGAAGTGCACGGAGAACGTGTTCACTCCGAAGACGTACGACCAGTCGCTGTAAGACGCGCTGTCAAAAAGTGCTTGTCCCAAAGTGTCTGCATCTTTGTGCTGTGGGGCGGAGGTGTCGTTGAACCAGGGTGTGAGAGGTCCGCTGATGCCTGCACTGAACTGATTGTGAGCAGGGCGGTTGTGCATCTCGGAATGACAGACTCACTTGTTTACGAGAATATGGAGCGCTCCTTCATTCGCTTGGACAACTTTCTGACCAGCAAGTATGCTCTCTTTATCTGTCACATCCATCACCAGACTGTTTCCGCCAGTATGAGTTCGCGTACTGGTTTGCATAGATCAGACTACTCACGGTACAACTGATCCTTTGCCCTTGTTCTGTTCCGCGAACTTCTTGGCTGCATTCTCCAGCACGACCTTGCGACGTCCAGTGATATATACCTTAGCGCCATTCACCGCGAGACCTTCCGCAATCATCCAGCCAATGCCTGTACCACCGCCCGTGACGAGGGCTATCCGGCCGTTGAGGCGGAACATGTTCTCGAGTAGCAGAGGATTGGACATCGTGATAGTAGGTCGTGGAAGGACACCGACTGCTAGTAACGAGCCCCGTCGCTACTTACTGTCAGTAGTCCTTTAAAAAGAACCGATGGAAGGAACGTCCGTGAGATGTTCCTACATAATCGGGTCCGGTGATAACGGTCGCCTTGTACAAAGATTGTGTGCGGGAACGATGCACGCACGGAGAGTCCGACGGAGCTTGGACGGAGCGCGGCTGCATTCTCGCGCGCGGTAGTGACTGACAGTTGCGAGACTCGAGTGACGCGTACGTATGCGAACGACCACCGCCGCTCGTGGCAAGTCCCTGTACACTAGCCATATGCATACGCTGAGATGCGGGTCCTGCTGAGGGCATTGCGGACACATGTAGGCAAGGCACGAACAAGTATCACCTGAAGAACTTGGAACGTTGAACACATACCCTGTGTTATGTATGAGCTTTGCCACCAGCCGGCGGAGACCTAGAACACGGGAAGAGGTATGCGATGCTCTCAAGCTCAAGCTCAGGGGTCAAAGAGATCAAGTAGTCGAGGGATAGTTTATTGGGCTTTCGAACAGATTATCACCTATTGGGGTTGGCACGTCCCATCTGACCAGTGATGTGAGAATACGGGCAAGGGAAGAGCATGGTGTAGACCACACAAGGAAAGCCTTCACGAAAAACACAGTGAAGACGCTTTCGCGATCGCCGGATAAGATGGTTTGTGCAGCACGTCCTAAGAGAATGGCAGTTGATACAAGGCGTACTGGCTCTACGACGACTCGTCCGTCTTCTGCTGGTACTTTGCGGGATCTGTGCCATGGTGCTGATGGTGCACAAGGTTGACCCTGAATGCGAGTAACAGAAAAGTCAGTGGAACCTCACAAAGCCAGAGAGACACTCTTACATCGGGAAGGCAGCTACGTGACAGAATCAGCATGATATATCGTACGGGCTGTGCTGTACTTACAAAATTTCAGCTGGGAGAAAACGGAGTTCCTGTGTGCGGAAGCCTGAATCCATTCTGGTTGGGGAGACTCGCCGTAGAGCGGAAGACCTTGCTGAGCACGGGCGCTCAGCTCCTTGAAATCCATCTCTTCCTCACGCTTGTTCTCCGACCAACCCCAGAACCGGACTGAGGAGTTTGCAAGTGAAAAACAGCTGGATCAGAGCATGAGCGCAACTCACAACTGGACCTTTGGTACGCCAGCAGGAAGCCTCCGATGAACCCGAGGAAGCCACCGAGCCTAAGGTGAGTCCGAAGCTTGAACTTTGTGGGGTCGGCGACTTCTACAGTATCGTCATCGGTATATTTCCGTTTCTAATGAGAGCCAGGCCCACGCACCCCAGAAGTACAACGCAGCAGGGAATGCACCAGTGGCGGCAGCCCAGACGCCATAATCCGAGGGGCGCATATAGCGAATCACTCGGGACGCATGCGGGTCCGCATCAACAAGAGGGTAGGGAGTCTCGACGACCTTCTCAGGCATGTTGGGCAACGACGACCACGCAATGAGCTGAACCCAGGCGGCGGCGAGCAGGAGTTGTTGGTCGCTGTGGCCGACAGCGCCCGGCACGCGGGGGCGCGCGTGACTTCAGGGCAGGCTTGGGCCCTTGTTTGTGGCCTCCGCATGCGCGCGTTGTGCCCACAATTGCTCTTGCTCTCCTCCCTTCACCGAGCACCCCTCTGTATCCCCTGGCTCTAACATTATGAGCGGCGTAGCACGCTCGAATCCCAGCGCAAGTCGACGTGCCGCGCGCAAACACGCCGCGTTGCCCTATAGCCGTCCGGCACCCAAGAAATCGGTACGCCACGCGGTGCTGCTGTTCGGAGAGTTCATTCTTGTTGACCCTGTCGCGTGTTCAGTCTTGGGGTTGGACCGATGTCTTCAGTTTCCTCAATCCATTACGCGCGTTGTCTCCCTCGAGGGATGGAGAAGAGGAGGAAGAGGAAGAAGAGGCAAATGAACCAGTACAATCGACAGCGGCCCGCGCACTAAGTATACGGGGACGTGAGGTACGCCGTTCCCCGAAATCATACATCTCTCAGCTCAGTATTTGGCACACAGATGCTTGACCAAAGAACTTATGCCTCCTCGTCTTCCGGTGATGAGCAACGACCGGCCAGCAACGCACCCTCAGCACCTACCGCTGCACAACCTCAACTTCCCTCAGGCAGCCAAGCAACGACAGACACAACGAACCCGTCATCTCTGCTCGACCATCTAATCTCGCAAGGGTCAAACAACAAGGCTGTGGAAGAGTTCTTGAGGAGCAAGGGCGATCAGCCTCTGACGCGAATCGAGTACGCTGGTGTGTTGGCATTACTCGCGGGGCGAGTCGAAGGTGAGCTTGCTTCTCTATATAGTGTTGGATCTTGCTCATGTTCTCACAGCGGAGCCCGAAGACAAGTTAGAACCTTTCAGGTTCTCTACGTCGCCTCTAAGTCCGGAGCCTGCACAGGCTACATTCACACCTGGCAGCGCGAGCAATGGCAATCGGAAGATGTTGACCAAGAATCCCAATGGCCCATATCTTATGCGAGGTGGCGGCAGTGCCCGTCCTCGGAATCGGTATCAGTCGCCAGGATTCGGGCCACCCCAGCGTACGACGCCACCTATTCGTATTACGCCAGAGAAGCCCCCTGCAGACGGTAAACGTCGACGAATTGGCGCGGACCCCGACCTTTTTGCGCCGCGACCCGTTTCAAGCGTCACTGCGAGCAGTTCGTATGCGAGGAATGGCGCTACATCGCCTGTCGCAGGACCCTCAAGTACCGGCACCAGAGGTGATTCGACCGCCAATGGATTGCCGAAGGTCAACCGCGCATCTCCGACTACGCCTGTTCGCAGACCTGCGAAGGCGACCGCACCTGTCAACCCCTCACCATTGCGTCAAGCATGGGGCCAGCCGGACTCTCCGCCGTCACAATCATCGCCACCTTCCACTAGCAAGCAGACATCGTCTGCTGCGTATCTTTCCCAGTTGATCAAGGATATTTCTCCGAAAACCAACCCAGACATTCAAAATCCATATCAGGCTGCCAGTATGCTACCACGACCGCCTGCGAAGAAACCGCCACCGAAGAAGCCTCGAGGAGCTGACGCAGCGAAGCCTGCGCCGAAGCCTGCGGCTGCGGCTGCGGCACTGACCGCTGCTGAACCTGCTCTCACACCAGTGGAGACCATTGAGGCGACCATGCCAACCGTGGGTACACCGCCCTATATCACACAAATAAGTATTAACGTCTTCATAGGGAAGCAAGCGGGCACGTCCTGTGCCGGATATTAGGCCCATCGCTACTGGTGAAGCTACAAGCTCAAGTGCTGGTGCCGCCGAACCCCCCACGTCACGCAGAACAACGCGCATTGAAGCTGCAGCGGGAACGAAAACTAATGGCTTCAGCGCGAAGGTGTCCGTCGTCTATGAGGGAGTTGACGAGGAGGAGGAAGGTTCGCCACAGAAGAAGCAAAAGACGACGAAAACGCCCGCTCCTCCTACGAATGGCCTCAGCCGACGCCGACCCCCACCAGTGGAGATCGTGGAGGTCCTCGACGAAGACGAGCCTTCCGGATCTCAGGTTTACACGCTGCCGTCCGAGGTTATCGAACCAGACGAGAGCAGCAAATCGGCCGCTCGGAGTGCATCCCTTGTCACTGCGCCATCGTCTACGCGCGTTCGTGCTGGTTCTGGTTCAAGCCAAGACCGACCGCACGACAAGTTTAAGCCTGCCAGACCGTCTGGGCTCCGCCATCAGGTGTCAATGGACGATGAGGAAGCGCCGGAGGACAATGCAAAGCCTGCTCCCGTGCCATCTGCTCCGAAGCCGTCGTTACCGTCGTTGGTACCTGCCGCGAAGCCTATTGCGCAGAAGAAGGCTCATACGCCTCCTCGGGACGCCAAAGCGATCGCACTTGCGAAGAGTGCGAACGATCTTCCAACATATAGCTTCACGATACCCTCTACGCCCCTCGACGTGTCACGATCGGCGAAGGACAGGGTGAGGGCAATGCGACCCGCTGAACTCCCTGTGTTTGACCTTAAGACCGCCCTGTCATCCCCTGGCGCGGGACCGAGTACATCTGCCGGTTCTCGGGCTGGAGACGTCGGCAAATCTACCGGAGGCTCATCCTCTAGCCAGGGCTTCAACTGGGAAGCGGCAGGCATGGCCAAGCCAGCGCCGAAGGCAGAGGGTTCGTGGACGTGCTCGGCGTGCATGTGCACTAACGACGCCAAAGCGACGGAGAAGTGCGCTATCTGCGAGGCACCACACCCGAGCGCACCTAAGGCGCAGCCTGTCGGGTTTAACTGGGACGCTGCGAAGTTGGTGAAACCCAAAGCGAAGGAAGGCTCGTGGACGTGTTCTATGTGCTTGTGCTCGAACGGCCCCGATGTGGAGGAGAAATGCAGTGTGTGCGAGGCGCCACGCCCGCGGTAGTCTGCCTATGTCTCAGTATTCCGCATCTTATGCTATCTTGCTCGTATGACCTGCGCTCTGAAGTTCCGAATACCGAATACCGTCCGATCTCCCATTGCTGTACTGTTGTCTGTTATTCGCGAAGAACGGTTTACATAACATGGTCCTTACCCATAGCGTACACTGCAGTCCGTGTTTACTCGTACATATTACTTGTCCGTACGTCTACCCTAGCGTGACGTGAACATCGAGAGTGTTGGGACGTGCCATGTCCCTTTTGGCCATCACCCATTGACCGTGTGTCATCGCTTATTGCGCCGTTGGCCGATGTTGTGTGAAGTCGAGTCTCCGTGCAATCGAACGACTGCTGCCGTTGACATCGTCGGACGAGAGCTTGCGTTTGAGCTTATTCGGCGGGTTGGCCTTGACACCAGGCCCATTACCGATTGGCTCCGTATTGCCGTCCAACTCCTCCAAAGGCAGACTCGAACCCATCTTGGCGGCAGGTTTAGGAAGCTTGGATGGGTGTGTGGGATATGGATGTGTTGAGAAATAGGGGTGGTATAGTCCCTTCGATGGAGGTGTTAGTACGGACTCCGCGAGGATGATAGGCAGTCCCTTTCACCTCTTTGGCGCTGATCCGCCTACGTGGCTCATAGGTGAGACATCTGGTAAGGAGGTTCAGACACTCGGGTGTTGCAGCGCTGAACAGCTCTCGTAACGGAGTCTTCGGGAATTGCCCTACGGGAACGTAATCAGGCAGTTTTGTGTGGCCCTTTTCGACGCAGACGTGTAAGTATGCGCCTGTCCAGGATAGGAGACTGGGCTTACCGGCCAATCTTCTTCTGTAGGCGTTCCCAGTGCACGGAAGGTGGTCCTCAGCTGATCCATGTCGGACTCGCCGGGGAGGTATGGCGTTCGGAGCATGAGTTCAGCGAAGATGCAACCAACGGACCAGATGTCTACAGCAGTACTGTAGTATCGACAGCCGAATAGCAGTTCTGGTGGCCGATACCACCTGGGAAGAGTGAGATGGGTCGCACTTAGTTGAACGTCAGGATGTCTACCTTGTGATTACTTGACATGTCATTTTGTAGCCGGGGTCTGAGAACTCCCGTGCAAGACCAAAATCGGCTAGCTTGAGTTGCCCATTTGCAGCGATAAGCAAGTTGTTGGGCTTCAAATCCTGCGCAGAATGATTGGTGTCAAGTCCAAGAGGGCATGAGTGCTCAGAGACTTACCCGATGAAGTATGAAGTTCCTGTGGCAGAACTCCAAGCCGCGAAATGTCATGGCCATCCAGCTCTTAATGTCGGCAGGAAGAAAGACCAGTGAACGATCTCGGATGACTAGTTCGAGGTCGGTTTCCAAGAATTCGAGAACAAGATTGAGATTCTTCTTTGACGAGAAGACGTCGAGAAGCTGTGTACTCTGAGTTAGATCACTATGTATGTGAGTGGCAGACAACCTGCCTCGATGACGTTTTGGTGCTTGAGCTCGCGAAGGTACTTGACCTCCCGGATGGCTGACATATCAAGTCCATCTTTGAACTGGCCTACTTTGATCTTTTTGATAGCGACCTTCCTCCCAGTCGCTATTTCACGACCTAAACACGCATTTCACAATGATCCTTGCATCCAACTTGTGTCGAGAGCGAGACTTACCTCGGTACACCACGGCGTATGTACCTTCTCCAATCTTCTGGTCTTTCGCCCTTTCAAATCATCAGTAATGAGACACGTTTGTAGTTGACAGTTCTACCATCGCTTCTGTCTATCGGCGTTGGCTCTCTCGACGGCATCCATCTTGCGGCGGCGTCACGGTGGCAGTTATGTACAAGTTTCAACGTGTAATGTCTCCTCCTGCAACCAAGACACTGTTCTCGGCTAATTTCCGCCTGTAACAAGCTGTGAGTAAGTGGTGACGGGATTGTGTGTGCTGCAAGACCCGAGAAAGAGGGCTGCACTTGAATGAGAGTCTCGCTCAGCCACAGGCCACGGTCTACATAGAATCTCAGATTCTCCGTACCCATCCATAATCACGTGCCCGTGATCCTACGACGCGTTACCTCGCGTTACTTTTGCGTTACATGCTTGCACCTGGCCGGTTGTACCGTGACTGCAGCTCAGAGTCGACTCGCCGGCCTACAAATATGCCATACTTCGAACAACAGTGATACTCCCTCGCAGCATTCGTCCGAATCAATTTTTTTCCAAGGAGAGAGATCCATCTTCAAAGGGATAACTATCTATGCCACCGTGTTACTTACAACGTTCGAACCGTCACGGCAGCGTGGACAGAGTTCACGTCATCAGAATATGAATCATATCCATAGCACTTTCAGCGAGATAATATACATGATAACAAATGCAACAGAGCTAGAGATAGTATGATCAACGGGTTACTTATAGTATATACAAGCACGACAGCAGCGCGACGTAACAAAGCAAGGGAGCAATAGTACTAGTAGTTACCAATAGTACTGTTAAAGCAAAGCACGAAACTAAAGCATCCGGTTATCCGCACAAGATTTACCATACATATTGTCCGTTAGGAACCCAAGCGACTTGCGACCTCCTATCCTTGAGCTGTGCGCTCGACAGCTTCTGAAACTCACCAATCCTCTTCCAAATCCTCTCCTTCATCGACCTCCAGGCGTTGAGCACCTCTTTCGCTTCTCCGACCAAGTCCTTCTCGGGCTGACAAGTATCGTCATCGGGCCCATAGCCTGTCCATCGAAGGACATAGTGCGGAACATGCGCGGCAGGTGCGGCCCGGGTTCGCTCTGCGACGATCCGACATATTTCCCACTTGACCGCGGAATCATGCTCACGGACGGGAGGAGGGCGAGTGAGCTTGATAACCGGAGGCGGGCGCTTGAGCCAATTGACAGGCAGGTCAGCCGTTGGACGCGTTGGCTTCGGGACGAACAGGTGTTTCGCGACCTGAGTCCGCTTGCCCTTGATTTCCGGGTGCAGCGCCCGAGAGTACTTCTCGCATTCGCACAGCGAATGTTCTAGGTCGACCATGGTCACACCGGGGCGACGCGACTGGCAAAGCCGCGGTCTGCGGTCGAGGGGGATGCCCAAGCGCGAAAAATGCTCGTCCTGAGTCGTATGCAGCCACTCCAGAGCACTGAGCTCATGCGAGCTCACGCTTGGTCCAAATATCTTATGGAGGCAGGCTTTGGAGCCCGGGCCCAGAGCGACCCATTCATCCTCACTCCATTTGAAGTGCGGAAGCATGTTCAGGTCTAATATGAGCCTGAAGGTACGTTAGTTCAATACAGACGTATACACGAGGCGCGACATACTGTAACGCCGTAAAATCGCCCATACTCGGGAAAAGAAGCAGCCACCCATGAGCATCCTTAAGATATCGGAACCGTTTGAGCTGCTTCGGCAGGTTTTCTTCCATGAGTAATTGGACCAGGCGCAGATGGCGGGCGTAATTGAATTTGCCACCGATATTGTTCGGCGCCGGACAAATGTAAGCGGGGCCATACAGCGGACCGCTCACCGCGCCGAGGACCTTTTCGTACGTGTGGACATCGAAGTCTGCCCACGTCAGCTCTCCGATCTGTTGCTTGAGGTGCTTCCATGTCTCGATTTTGTTGAACATGCGGAAGAGAATGACGCGGAAGCACGACTCGTGGAGGTCCTGGCTGCCTTGGTTTACTACGTGTCGCAGGACGTACTGAGTCGTACGATCGTAAACGCGGAAGACATTCGTGAACGGGTATTTTTGCAGGATTTCGTCGTCTGTCCACGGGCGTTCCTCGCCAGAAGTGCGGCGTAAGAAGATTCGGTGCCGCTCCGCCATGAAGTAGAACAACGTGTCAAGTACGGGCGAGACGGGGAAACGCTGTTCGTCAATGACCGCAAATTTGGGCCTCGGGTTAGGTTTGGCTCGTGAAGGTTTGGTATTGGACTTGTTGGCGAACGCGATGGCTCTCCGCGTAGGTCGATGCGACGCCTCGCCGGTCGTTATTGCGCGTCGCGTGCGCACCATGTCCAAAGTTCATGCGACACGTTTGTGCCCTGTACCGGTGAGTAAATTGTATGGGTAGAGGAATTTTAAAGAGGACTTACAATGAGCTGAAATATGGAACAGCAAGTCAACAAAGGAGACGCAATGTACGCGTCGCGTCGCGATTGCCAGCTCGACTACCTAAATCCAGCGATCACATGATCGTTCGTCTGCTCAACGTCGACGACCGCCGCAGCCGCAAAATATGCCAGCGATCTCGTCGCTTTCTTACCTTCGCTCGCGGACAGGCAGTGCGTGCAGACAAAGTAAGTCTGCGATCCATGGCCGCGGGTCACCCGTGGCAATGGAGCACAGTCAGTGCTTTGTGCTGGGTACACACCGGTCTGCACTTTTTCCTGACAGATTTCTCTTCAATGCCCTACGGTGAGAGTGCATTGCTTGATATATAGCAAATACTTACAACCTGTATTCTGAGGATGGATGCCTCCAGGAGTAGCACTGGGCCACTGGCTGCAGCCAGTCAGAGGCTTATATGATGAACATCGGCTTCTGTAATGATTGAGGCCCATATATGCCCGCCAGGGAAAGCACTTACCAACAGCCATGATCATGCTGGACCTCTGCTGGACAAAGTGCTTGGTGGCTGGGTGGTTCATGTCTAAGTATCTTGCCGTGGCTGACACGGTAGCCTTATTTAACTTTCGCCACCTGCCCGAACTTGAACTCGGAACTGCCGCAGAGACCTAATATGTAGCTGCAACACCGTGGTAGTGAGTATCTCCCCACCGCTAATTCTCCAGAATGCCAATTACTGTAATGGCTCACGCACCGGCTGCCGCGTGCCCCGCCGCATCTCGTTCCATCGTCGTTAAACACTTACACCTGCTCCGGAGAATGAACTGCGATATCCACCTCCGTAACTACACCTCTCGTCAACTTTAGCACGTGTTGCTTGCTGACTCTACGTCGCTTCTAGCTTGAACTCGGAGAAAGCTGTCTAGTAGAGCAAACCATGCAAGGCCAACGGCGCGTTGCTGGAGGAGCAGATAGTGGGGGAAGAGCTGTGCGGCGGTCCGGTGAATGCCCACAGCGTGTCTGACAGATCACGGACGTCGAAGGATATGTGGGTTCGAAGTCGCGTGGGCAAGGCATGTCCGGGGCCGAGGTATGCTGTGGACTCATTCTGGGGACTCGTCGTCCTTCTCACACCACTCGCACACAATAGTACTCTGGGAACCCAAACAATCCGCGAAGCTTCGCGCATCGCCCCTGGCGCCATGGAGGCCTCCGATCCCCCGCCGTGATAGATATTTCCCAGCAGCGTCGGCACTGACAGCCCCATCGAGGCGCATGTACGTCGGTAGTATGTCCAGACATTTCTGATTGCAACAGCTTCGCTCGTCGGAGCCGCACACGCAGCAGAACCTAACGCTGAATACGGCACATTGACGCGGGACTATTACAACATCAAGTGCGCCCTCTCTTCTTCCTCCTCACTGCTTCCTCCGGGTCCTCCTCGGCCTGCCCGTTCGCCGCCACCTTGTCCTTTTTCTCGTGCACGATCTGCTTTACCACCGTCTCCCACATTGTGTCATTCATCCCCTTCGCCTTCCCGAGCTGCTCGCGCAGCCTCGCGACCTCCGCCTCGAGCTCGAGCACCCGCGCTTGCGCCGCCGCGCCCGCTGGCGGCGCTTCGCCTGGGCCCCCGGCGCCAGTCTGCACGAAGAAGGAATGATCGCGAAGGAGCTCTTCCCGCGAATACGAGAAGAAGACTTCCGATTTTGACTGTTGGCAAGCCCTGAGCCTCGCGTGCGTCTGTAGAACGGAGAGAAGACGTACCGCTGGTTGTGGTGGGAGCATCATGGCTACCTCGTGCAGGTCTCGCGCTTTCGCGTCGCGCATGCGTTGGAATGGCGCTATGGGCCGCACAGGGACCTCCTTCGTCTCTGTACCGGCGGCGAGAGTGAGGCTGACATGTCCGACGAGATCGGGTGGACGGAGGAGCGTCATAAGGTGTGTGATGACCATTCCCTTGTGCGTGCTGAGTGTGCGGAGGAGTTGATGCGAAGCGATGTCGTATGTATGGATATGCCCTGTCGCCGTGCCGACAAGGAGCAATGACGATGTCAGAGATATCGACATTGTCGTGACCGGTTGACTGGAGGATGGGTTCAGCGAAACGGGCGCGTTAGTAGCGGAATGCTTCCTACCCAACAGAGATCAACCGCTTCTTTGCGGCTTGTGGGTCTTCGTCGTTGATACGTATCATATCATTCACTCCTCCGCCCCCAACTGCCTCCATTGCAGCGCGCCCGAACTTGTCCTCGCGCTGCCGGAACAGGTTCACCTGGTGGATCGAGCCGTCGGCGGACCCAGCGAAGAACAGGCGCTCGGTGGCGTCCCACACGAGGCAGGCGATTGGTTGAGGGAAATGGAAGGTCGTGAGTAGTGTCTTTGATGACAGGTCCCATAGCTGGTGTACTTGGGTCAGGGCAATATAGTAGTCGAGAAGCACAGATGCTGACCTTCGCCGTGTGATCCGCCGAGGATGTCAAGATACGGCACGATGGGAAGCTACCTGCTCCACAAAGTATGTCCGTGATTGGTAAGGAGTGGTCCGAGAGGTTGCAATACGGAGTCGGCAGGTCGTTTTGTAGGTCATTATCGAGTAGTCTATGGGTATGCAGACGTCAACAAACGTAGAGGGAAAACAAACAAATTATTTGTTGACCTTGATACGGACCACACGCTGACGCTGGAGTCATCACTCCCTGAGATGAGTGCTGCGCCGTCTTGAGTAAAGCGCAGTACGTTCACTTGGCGGTAGTGGGCATCCCATGCGTTGTACATGATCCCGGACGCAACCTACTGCAACCATAACTTGTTCATTTCATGCCTACTATTCACACAGGCGAAACTACTAGCCTCCCATAAGAATATCCGTCCTTGTACTGTGCCTCCTGCACAAAACTCGCCTTGAGGATCTACCGCAATGGCAGAGAGCTTCTCTGGTAGGACAATCTTCAGAGCAAGCTGGTCCTAGAATGGAACCACGAAGTTGGTTGCTATGTTGGTGCCATAGTCGATGTTACGCTCACCTTCTGGTAGTTGTATACATTCATGATCGACTTGTCTGACTGAGCCGCGAGCATGAACCCACCCAAGCCATCACGAGACTGGACGACCGCGGTACAGCGCGGAGCGGCTGAAGTCTGCTTGAATGATGCAAGAGACGTGCCCGTTTGTATATCGTGCAGGGATATGGCCCCGGGTCCAGGGGTGGACGAGGAGGGACCTGTGGCGCACAAGATGCACTCGTGCAGATGCATGACCGCGAGTTCACTTGGGGTTGGCGTTTGCTATTTTGATGGGTCGTGCTAGCCCTTCGCAGACCCTTGTGTAGACAAGCCAAGTTGAGGCGAGGAAGCAGGAGAGGAAGGCAGGACAGCAGTCCTGCAGACTCGGTGGAGACGACGACTACAAAATTCCGGAGGCGGAATGGCTGAAGATCTGAGATCTACACTGGCACGTGCGGTGACCAGATATGATGCAAATGTCCATATATGGATGCGGCTCATACAGCGCTCTGGCCATGAGTGTTGCACGAGTGTCTAAGAGTGTGTCTTGAACTTTCTATCACGTTCCCGACAGAACACAATTGCCAGCGCCCCTCAAAACCTTGTGTTAAGCGTTCATATCCCTCGCATGCTCCGACACGTCCTCCTCCCACCCTCCTCCTGACGACTACTACTTGCACGATGGCGACGAACCTGTACGAAATACTAGGACTCAACCAGAGGGCCTCACCCGAAGACAGTGAGTAACCGACGTACGTCTGACACTACAGGCGACACACTAACCTACTGGGATTTCAGTTCGGAAAGCATACCGCAAAGGTGCGCTCAGGACGCATCCAGATAGACTACCACCGCAGACATCCGAGACGGACAAGGCCGCTGCAGCAGAAGAGTTCCGTAAAGTGCGTAACCAGTGTCTGCTATCGAGTTTGCGTACTCATGAATCTATAGGTGAATAATGCATATGAGGTCCTGAGTAACGAACAAAACCGCAAGGTAAGTTGTGGAGCGCCATATACCTCTCGGTCATATCAAGTGGCGGCGGTTGCGGTCATGGCATTGGGGCATGCACTGCGCGGGCTCACGGAAGCCCTTTTCGACTGTTACGGCCCATCTTATACAGTGGCGCCATGGGACAGTCACTATATGCGCGGCATGCCGTTTGCTATGACCTTCGAAAGCCTATCCTCTACGACGTCGTCGAGAAGGTTGGACTTTTGTCATACTATGTGGTCTCTTCTGTGGTCATCGCCTCATTGACGTGGCGGAGGATGTTTCATCGTGCTGCCGCCGCTTCGTCTCTCAGCCAGGTACATGCTAGTGGACGTCCATCCGTAGAACGTACCCTATCTCTGGGCACGCCGACTCTTCGGCCGCGTCTATACAGTCAGAATTGTGTACGTGCTAGCTTGCTGAGGATCACGATGGTGCTCTGAGGTACCAGGAGCATACCACACGCGCTATGTATGAGTGGTGTTTTTTGATATGCTTGTACCTGTCGACTTCGCAAGTATGCATATCTAAGTAGCAAATTGACTGTCCCTTCACAGCTCTATGATAGATCTGGGGTCTGGCCACCCCCCACCGCGCCGGAGCCAGATGCAAGGGCATGGCGGGGCGCCCGCCAGTCCTCATTTGATCAAGTATTCTCCGGCCCCTTCCACAGCTCCGGCTTTGGCGGCAGGCCATTCTCCTTCACCGACCCATTCGACCTCTTCAACTCCCTCTTCGGCGACATCCATAACCTCCACCGTTCCTTCTTCGAGGACGATGTCCCGTTCTCCTCAGACCCGTTCCCGAGCTCGTTCTCTCGTTCTCCCTTTGGCGACCCGTTCGGCTTCTCCACTCGCTCGCCTTTTGGTTCCATCTTCGGGGCGGGCCCGATGTTCTCTGGGCTTCTGGATTCGCCAAGAGGATACAGTCAAGTGAGCGAGGCTGTTGGTCGCAACGGGCATTGGGTGTCGCAGAGCACGATGTCTCGCAGTATCAACGGACGTACGGAACAGATCACGAAACGTCGCGACGCACAGGTAAGCGAGATACGCAACTTATATCTTGTGGTGACAGCTAACGGGCTCTACGTAGGGTAACGAACACATCGTGTACTCTTCCCCGGAAGGTGAACGCTACACGATTAATGGCGTTGACCAACCTCTCCCCGTCACGAATGGTAATGTAAATCCCGGACTCATTGCCGCTGCGCCACAACCGCCTCCTGCGCACACAAGACCACAGCCGCAGGCCATCATGGCGGCGCCTCCTGCACCGGCGCCAGCATACTACGCCCCTCCTCCGGCACAGCCTCAGCCAGCAACCGCGCCTCCTTCATACTATCCCAACAATGCAGGATCTCCGGTACCTGTGTACTCGTCGAAGCCTGCACCGTTGGTAGACCGTGCCCCTGCTCGTCATCGCGACGCTATGGACGTTGACCCCGCATCGGGCATGAACAGGCACCGCAGCACTAGCAGCAATGGACACGGTAGTGGTAAGTCCGACGGCCCTTGAGCCTTGCTATGGGCCTTAATTGCAGGTGCTGACTGCGATACTCCTGAAGGATACGCAACGTCTCTCCGTTCGCACCATCCGGACAGGGACCGCGAGCGGCACTACCACAGCGACCCTCGGCACCGGGATTCGCACGACGGCCGGCGCGCGCACCACTCTCACCACAACTCCCAACCCGCGCCGGAGCCCGTCCACGTCGCCGTCAGCAACGGCGACGCCCGCTCTCACCACAGCCGCGACAAAAGGTCGCGGCTCGGCGGATGGTGAGGTGTCTCAGGCAGGTGCAGCAGTACGCTGCAAACACTCCGTGTTCGTGATGACTGATGGTTCGTTTGCGTGTAGGTTAAGTGGCCTCACGAAGCTGCTGAAGCATCGGGTTCGGCGACAGGACACGCACTAGTCGTCAAGGATCATTGAATTACTGTTACTTACGTTGTAGTCTTGTCGGATTTGTTCTCTCGCCCGCTCTGCCGCTCTCCTTCGTCTTGCTCTCACCTGCTCTTTTGGATCGCGGCTCGTTGTACAACTACCAACCTTCGACTCATCGCGACGGACCGTAGGGTATTAGATTGCCATGTAATGTATTTAGTCTCGCAATCGTTCGGCTCATCCTAGCTGAGCAGACGAACATGCGTTCGTGTATTGAGTACGTGTAACTTAGTAGTATCGACACTACAGCCGCGCTGCGGAGCGCGATCAAAATACAGTGCGGGGCGCACGCGCACGCGCGGCGGCCCATGTAAGTATCATACACCGAACAAATGCGAGAGATGGAAACGGAGCGGGTTGCGGGCTAATGACAGGATGGGGAAGTGGAACCGAAAACGACGGTATGGTGCGAGCAGAACAGGGAAAGAATACCAGTGCAGTCCGATAACTTACTGTGTAGCCTACGGAGTTGAAGGAGAGTAGTAGGACAGTGCGAGCAGGACGAGAATGTGTCGCGGTCCATGACCTGGCATAGACGGAAACGAGGAATGTCTGATAAGAATACAGAGAACTTATAACACCACCGAGGAAATCATCATGCGACTGTCGTGGATCGCGTTGCCATAGGCGGGAACGCGGATGACATCGGCGAGACTTGTGTCTGTTGCGATGAGTCGTTCCCGAAGCGCGGCTCGCCTTCTGTGTAGGAGGCGGACAGCTGGTGAGGTGCACCGCTTGTGCTGGGCGTCTGTGGGCCTCCGGGTTGCGTCGGCACCTTGCCGATGAACCAGGACGGTACCCAACCTCGGTCTCCGGTCTCCTCTTTGACCGCCTACGGACATGTAGAATCAGCGGAACTTACACGCAGCACGGATGGCTCTACTCACATATGACCAATGGTTGTACCGCTTGAATACGCGGAGGTAGTCGTCCTTCGCGAGGTTCAGCTCCTCCTCTCCCTTCTTCTTGTAGTCCATCAACGCGATACCCGGGAAACTTGTGGACAGGATACTGAGCGGCAGTATGGGGGTACGATCGCCTGGTGACTGCGGAGGCGAATGCTGAGAGCCACCCCTTGTGGTCGCCTCCGCAATAGCTGTCGCGACAGGGACACTGGTTTCGAGGAGGCAACCAGCAGGTACCCATCCTTGCTTGCTCGTGTCCGGTTCGACCACCCCTGAGCCTTCTGGGTCTCGCTGGACGACCCACCACCCTCTCGCTCGTGACAGAATGATGAATGTGTCTCCACTGAGAGGATGATTAGCGCACACTCTGAGTAGACACCAACTAATGGAGGTAAAACTCACACAACCACGTCGAACTCGTCCTCCTGCTCGGCCATATACGGGTAGATGGCCACAGCATACGAAACCCCAGTTGATGGTGGGATCTCCCTGAGCACTGCAGGAGGTGCCGCATTCTCTGAGCTATTCGCAGCATTCGACGTACTGGCGTTCTCCGCCGAAGCGCCGAGCTCATGTGCGCCCTCCTTATTCTCCACCGCAGGCGACATGAGCTCAGGCCAGCCTGACTGCCCATTGGGCACCGCAGACAAAAGCCCCGGCGCCGTGGGGTGGTTGTTGACTTGCAACCTGAGCGGACGGCCATTCGCGTCCTGGCCCTGTACTGTTGGCTGGGTCTGCCCGGACGACAAGGGTGGTGACTTCGAGGACTCTCCGGAGGCTTTGCGCGCGGCCTGCTTCTGTTGTGCAACGGCGATTGGTGACCGGATGTCTTTGATGTGCTTGAGCATGAAGACAGGATTCTTCTTCGCGTCCTTGAGCTTCTGGAAGAGAAGTAAGGGCTTCTCGTCGTAGCTTAAACACCTCTCTATGCGGTTCCCTACACGCCAACAGATCAGAAACGGAGGTGGCAGTGTCCCGTGTCAGACGTACCAGGCGCGCCATAACAGATGAACATGGCGTAATTCTGCCAGTCGTCGTTGTTGATCTTGTACTTCTTCAGCGCGGCAGGTAGGACCTTCCACGCCGGATCGTCTAAACTGACCTTGAAGCTCTTCAAGTTGTCGGAGCTGTCCTGCCTCGTCGGTTCTTGCCTGAGCGCGCGCAAGTTGTCGGAGCTATCTTGTCGGATGGGTTCGTGTCGCAGCTGCTTCACAGGACCACTGGGTCCGGCGGCCGCGTGTGACGACTCTCCGCGGGATTTGTCTGAACTGCCACCCCGCGAGTTGATGTCGTGTTCAGACCGTTGTGGCGACGCCTGTGGTGAGTCGACGAATTCGGGAGCGGCAGCCTTCGTGGGCGAACGCATGGGTTTAACAAATGATGCCCACTTGAACGAATGAGACCGTACAGGACTGTCCGTCTCGGCCTACGCAGGCTGTCAGAGGGCGATGTGAGGGTGTATGAGGGGGACGTACCTGTGACCTCTGTGAAACTATGCTGTTTCTGACACTGCTCACGTCTTCGACGCACGAGTGCAGGCTGTCACTCAACCTGCGGTTCTCCTCCTCCAGCATTCTCAATCGTTCGCCTACACAGCGAGGTAAGCAACGAACAGGATGAGAACGACGCGGACTAACCCTGATCTCGAAGTAAATTGTACAATTTGTCCACACTCTGTTGCTCCTTTCGCTCCTCTACTTCCGCTATCCAAAAGCTATCAGTGACGCATCTTCTGAGGGAGAAACGGTATAGTTACAAGGCGGTACATAGTGATCCGATTCTATAGGGATACCCTGAGCGAGCTTGATGTTGTAGACACCCTTGAGGATCGCAAGTCGCTGGCCAATGGTCGCGATTCCAATTTCCTTCATGCCCTCGGCGTCCAATAGACACAACACCTCGCCGGATATCCTATGCTCTACGACGGTGTCGGTCAGTGGTCTTGCTGCTATCAATGCAGAAGTACCGAACTACGGACCTCGGATTTGGTTCTCGTATTGTGGTAGGCCGAGCTTGACGAACCACGCGTGGACTGCAGTCTCGTCCCAATCCATTATATTTGCGGAAGGTGGATCCATGGCGAGACGAGGGTCGCGGACGTGAAGCTAGTGACAACCAAAGACAACGTTGACCGGTGAAGGTTCTCCCGCAGCGTTCGCTGTAGCTGGACTTGCCAGTGGCCGGTTCAGACTTGATTGTATGAAAGTCGACTCTCCAGAGGTCGGTGGATGCGACGACAAGCAACAAGACGGAGGCGGGGAGAATGAGAATGGGGAAATGCTGGACGGGCAGAAAGCAGTTGCTGTTGCAGCAGCCGCACTGCGCCCTGAGATCTGAGAGCCGAACCAGCCTGGTTCAGGAGCCGCCAGATCAGCTCGGGCCGGGGTAAGCGGCGCTTCGCCCGACGCGCGCCAGGATCATTCTCTCGACTCGACCGTCGCGTCTACTTATGTTCAGCGAACTCCATCTCGCCGCTGCAGGGCATGGACGACTTGTACGCTAATGCCTGGGATGAACCGTCCCAACCCCCTCTCTCCGACTTCAAGCCCTCGACAAGCTCGAGCAAAAGTTGGCTCTCTCCGAAGCTACCGGACGCGCACGAGGAGGCCGACTTAGCGGCACCTTCATGGTCAACTGGAGCTGGGATTGGTTGGAATGAACCCTCAGACAGCGCAGGCTTCTCCTGGGGTCAAGCCGATACCGATCTTGCCTGGGGCGCAAGCTCCTACGATAACATTCCCATTGGCAAGTCTGTAGCTACCGGGGAGGAAGATGTGCTCGCCGCCGACCCTCCGGTGGTCCAGGAAGAGCCTCCTCCGTCTCCGGCTTCTCCAAGCCCAGAATCCTCACCAGAAGTGCGTGAGCCATCGCCTCCGCCTCCGGTGCAAGAGGTGTTGGCTACTGCAGTGCCTTTCGCGGATGCCGAGGTCCTCTCACCACCCGCAGAGCATGATGCCTTTGGTACGTTCGAGTCCGCTCTCGCCCCAACCGAGGATGCAACGCTAGCACTGGAAGAGAATGTGCTCAATACGGACGCCTGGGGCTCAGCGTGGGCGAGCGAGTTGGAGCAGAAGGAAGCAGAGGAAGCCGAACGAGTGGACGAATGGGAGGCAGCGCGACAGCGCAAGGCTCAGCAGGATCGTAAAATTGTACGTCTCATTTGCTCTTCGGGGCCGAGCCGCCGCTTAATATCTGTAGCCTCCTTCGGTTATGGCCGCGATGCTCAGGGATTGCGAGCAATTCTGCGAAGAAGCTTGGCCGGAGCCTAAGTCTCCAGACGCTAAAGACAAGGACGAATGGAAAAACAACTGGCGCAGAGGGATAGAAGGCGTTGAAGGTCTGTAAGTACAGATTATGGTCGATTATTGATCCTGCGTATTGAAACATTGCAATTCGATGTGGGATTTACGCAATATAGTGAAGCCCTCGTCAACACGTTCCTACCTCCCTTGTCTCTTCAACCACCGGTACAATTCGGAAAGGCAGCAACTGCGAAGCGGATGGCCATGTCTGTTCGTTTGACCAAGAACATGGCGATGTCTAAGCGAAGTCCAATGGCGCACTACCTGACCGCCAAAGGGTCAACAGCGTGGGAAGTTGCTGTTAAGGAGCGCAAGGAGGTCATAGGCGACGACATGCCCGCAGGTTGGAGGATTCTCGAGAAAGAATCCGCAGGGGACGCCGCAGCTGGCACAATCAAGGAGAAGAAACCCGCGGGGCGTCTCTTCTCGTTTTGGGGACGCCGGGAGTCGAGCACTACCAGTGCTCATACGCGGTCATCATCGCAGTCCGATGCAAGGGACGAAACAAGTTCGCGGAGCCCCGTCGTGGAAAATATCGGACATTCGAGACGGCCGAGTCAAGATAGCGTGCGATCTCTCGCCAGCGGCAGTGCTGATAAAAGCGCACCTCCTACGAGGCACTCTTCCTCGTCACCTGCACCATCCGCGAACGCCTCTACATCCTCACTTCCAGCTGCGCCTGCACGGTCAACTTCGTACGCTGACGCGCCGGAGCCACAAGTCGATACAAATAACGCACAAGCGCCCTCAGCTGTATCCCGGTTCTGGGACAGGTTCTCCCGCCGACGCAGTACTATGGGTTCCGGTAGTCCAAGGAACTCACTTGCGTTGTCATCCGACGATCTCGAGTTTCTTGCAGAGATACCTAGCGCGAATGATGGTGAGGATGACGAAGAGGCCACTTTGAAGGCGTTCGAGAGCGTGTTCAACTCCAAGCCTCAGCCGTCTGTCTTGCCTGCGCCTCTCCCTGCGCCTCTGCCGCCACCGCCTTCAGTGAACACAGCTGTTCGAAGCGTTGCTGGTAATGTCATGGCCAGTCTGCATTCCCCTATGGACAGTCTGGACTCCTCGCTAGGTTTACTTGACTCCAGTGCGTTCACGGCTGCCCCAGCAGCAGTCGTGTCGATCAGTAACGCGGCGCCCTTGCAACCGGTGACTGCTATCCCTGTGCTCCAGCCGTCGAGACCTGCCACGCCTCCCGTAGGCTTGTCCAGAAGAGACACTCGGTCTGCCAGCCCATCGCCCTTGTCAGTGGAGAGGAAAGCCATCCCCGTACAACCTTTCTTCCTGCCCTCTCCTCCCTCCTCGCGCTCTCACACTCCAGTCCCCGCCGCACGAAGTGCCCTCAGCGAGCCGGCGCGATCCCAGACGCCGCCTGTCACGCAGGAGGCCGTGCAAAGGGCCTCATCGTCGAAGCTCCCTCCGCCGTTGCTCCCGCCACCATGGGCGCCCACGCCTACATCAACGTCATTCTCAGTTGCAGGTGGGACCGCAAACCCGCCAGACACTCCCACATCGGCGTTGCCGCTGGCGGAATTGTATCCGGACGCGTATCAGGCGCAGGCGAACAAGAGCGTGGCGTCCAGGCCTGCCTCCAGGGCGCGGATGGCTGCATCTCTCATACCGCCGCCGCCGACGAGCTCGCAATCTAGTGGCGCACTGCCGCCGATATTGGCGCCGCCGCCTGCTCCATCTAGGCAGCCGTCGGTGCTACCACCGTTCAACCCTCCTCCCGCCGCTTCCAGGCAGTCGACGTCGACGCCGTCTCCATTTGTACCCTCCAAGCCGTTCGCATCCGCGAAACCATCTGCCCTGCCGTTAGCCTCATCCACTGACGACGATGATGAAGAGTTCTCTGACTTCCTCTCGTCCGCGACCGTCCCCACTTCATCAAAACCCCTCGTGAGGTCCATTTCTACCTCATCGCGCTCGTCGACGCCCAACAAGACACCGCCCTCCTCTGTGGGACGCTCCGGCGGCCGGGCTCCTGCACTAGCCCATCTGCGGATAGGATCGTCATCCCGAGCATCGGCGTCGGGCACGTCTGCCCTGCCTGCGAAGCTGGCGTTGCTTGACGATGGCGACGACTTCTCCGATTTTCAGGCGTCCCCGGCCACGGGCCAGCCGCCGTCGTCCAAGCCATACAGCGATGATCCGTTCTCAGACTTCCGGTCGTTCGCGTCGTCGCAGCCTTTGCGGCCGCAACCGCCGTCGTCACAATCGACTAGCTCCTTCGACGCGGTGGCGAACGATAGCGCAACGTCGGACAGGACCTTCCTCACGCCCAAGAAGGACCCGGGGTTCGACTTCCTGAACTCATACACTTCTTCTCTGCGCACCCCTTCGCCTCCGAGGCCTCTATCAAAGGCACCGCCAGTATCATCCACCTCGTCATATGCGTCTGCACCGGACTCAAAGAGCGTGGCCGATGCCTCTATGACCCGAGTCAGCAAGGCCGCCTCGCATTTACACACACTCAACCTCATGGAGAAGGCCGCCTCGCGCCCAGGCCGATGGCCGGCCCCTCCCTCGCCCCTTCCACATGCTATACCCGGTCCTATAAACCCCTTTAGTGCAGCGTCCGTGGATCTGTTGGGTGATGATGGCTCCCCACAGCGGCCAAGCGTCACTACCTCACATTCGTCGCCAGCATGGATGAACCCTTTCCAACCCGCTTCTAGTACTAATGGGGGCTCTGGGATGGGAACGGTCCAGATACTACCTCCGCCGCCATTGTCTCAGTCTCAGTCGCTACAGTCCACCTCTCTTGGGTCTTTGCAGCGGATGGGGTCACCGCCGACTGCCAGTCATTCGGGGACGACTCCAGCTGTGACACCTGCGCCGGCGCAGAGCACGTCGAAGACAACTGGATTGTCCGCGCAGGACTTGATGTTCTTCGAGGGACTCTAGGTTATGTGGCTCTGGCTGCATCGCTGTAATGTTTTGCATACGGTATCAATCTTACGAATTCACGGATCAAAATCAATCATGAGGGACGAGTCCGACGATCTCACCAGAATCCAGATCCTCCGCGGTCAAGTGACAAGACGTGTTATCATGGCCCATGCGGTACGGTGACCACTTCTCTATGCTATGTAAGTGCTTACCGACAATTTATAGAGTGTATTTGCAGGTTCAGTATGAAGACTTGTATTGATCAATACTGTGATGGCTCCACATACCACTGGAAATACGCCACATCTAGCTCCACTTCCGAACGTGTGAGCCTCGTGTTACGACTGCAGATAAGTACACTCTAGTACATCCCGCTCTGAATGGGTATCACCGTGACGACAGCGCCTTCATCGAAGCGCTTGCGACGTCTCTCATTGCATGTGTCGTGATTGTCCGCGGGAGGATAATCACAGCTCTGCATACCCAGCACCTCGTCAACTTGACTGGAAGTAGGTCGTCTCCCCGCCATATTCCCCGCTTCCTTCCATACTTACGTGCAATGCGGCGACTGAAAGTCTGACGATATCTCGGTCCACTTCCTACCCGGGCCTCATGATCACCCCACTCATCAGCATTGTCCGGGCTGGGTACTATCTGAATTGTGAATCCACATGGGACTCATCCGCCAGCATGGCACAACCAGCTCGCCGCTGGTATTGTTTCAGAGACATACAGGTCTCCGGACTCTCGGCGACTTCGCCACCATGTGAGGCACCTCACGAGTCCAAGCCATTTCGTTCGATACGACTCGAACAAGAAGCTTCGCAAGCTTTACGAACGACAACACGATGCTCAACACACAAGTCACCTTGGCCGATCAGCCGGTGTCTCCCACAGCGTCCCACGCGGACGTTGAACAAGTCGTCAGGACGAGGTGTAGTGGCACTGTAACAATCTTGCAGTTGAAGTGCTCTTCGAACGGTATTTAAGGGCTGAACGAGGTGGGGCAAACTATCCAGCTTCACATGATGTTCGCGTCTACGTCGAAACCGGTCTTCACCCTTTGTGCATTCTTCCTCCTCCTCTCCGCTCAGGTTGTTCAGGCAGCCAACTCCTTTGCCGGATCCAGCCTGTATTATGCGGCAGGCCTATATGAGGACGACAGAACTACCCTACTCAAGTGAGCATCTTCCTGTTCTATCAGCCGCTTCTGTGTTACTGACGCATGTCGTAATTTTCCCAACGTAACAGAGGGCTGCAAAGCGCCGGTCTGAAGGTGCTTCGCGTGTGGATTGGCGGTCAGTCCAGCAGCCAGAAGGTATAGATTTGCCAACTTAGCAAGGCTCCTACGATGTCTGATACGGCTGATTGGCAGGGAACCAAGATCAACCCTTTCAATGACCTCGAGCCCAACACTCCTTGCAACGGAGATGATTCTTGCTACGATGACACGGTCCTCGAACGTCTCGACGATTTCATGGTGGCGGCCAACTCCTACGGAGTCAAGGTTCTTATCGGTTCCTCCTGTGTGAACGTGTGACCATGATTTTGACACACCTTTGACAGCTCCTGATCACCATGCATAGCTACAACGCTCTGGGGAGTAACGACGCCTACGGCAAGTGGTACGGTATCGGCGACTTCTACTCGGACGACGAGGCGCAGACCTACTTCGACGCCCGTCTCGACCATATCCTGAACCATGTGCATACTTCGCTCAATAAGCCCTGGAAGGAGTTGAGCGACTACATCTTTGGATTTGAGGCTGAGAACGAAGCTATGATTGGGGATGTAAGTGTCGTGATCGGTCTGCGGATCAAGTTGACATGTCCTAACATTTTGTGCAGGGCCAATCCTTCGTCGAGGCTCATCAGCAATGGTACATGCTATGTTCCTTGCCGAATCGTAAGTCAGAGTTTAACGTGTTATTCGAACAGGCAGTGCGACCGTGCCGGGACGATCAAGGGTCAGCTTGGCGATAACAGTGGGGTGAGCCGGGCTGCTGTGCTCGTTCTTGATTCCATCTCACGTAGTTCATACCCGACAGATTCTTGTTTTGACTGGCGGAGAGTCGTGGCTGTCCGAGTCTGTCCAACCTGGGTTTTTGAGCTGCGATGCATTGGATGTCATCTCGATCCACGCCTACGGTACCGGAGATCTCACCACATCCGCCTTGAAGCCATACGTTTCGCAAGCGCAGTCCGCTGGCAAGAAGCTAATCTTGGAAGAATGGTGATCACCGATCGTCTTCCACATTGTATTCTACGATACTGACCGTGTACTCTTTCACAGGGGTGCATGCTACTTCGACACCTCCAACAACGACTGCCCTACGGGAGATGCTCTGAATTCGGACACGCGCAACGGCAACATCATTAACTGGGCCGAGCAAATTGACGCTGCGGGGCTTCCTTGGCTGTACTGGCAGGTTCTCCCCAACGCTGACCCTCACGTACGTACTGCCTTGTCTCGTCGCGAGGTATATTGAGTAAACTGCTGACGCCTGGTGACTCGCAGAGCGGATACGACTACGAGATCGGCCTTGTGGACGACCCGTCCTGGAGCGCCCTCCAGCAGGCCGCGAAAGCGGCCGCACAGGCCACAGCCGCGTTCGACTTTTCGGCTTACCTTCTGTGAAGCGTCCAACGTGCCGGGGGAAGGCGGGTCGAAGCGGATATGTATGAACAGTGTATTCGTACTTTTATCTTCTTTTTTTTTTTGTGGAGCGTTGCACCTCTCGGCGCTGGGCCTGTATTACTTACTGTATGATGTTAGTGTACTTACAACCTTGAGACTACACTTCTGTTAGTGGTCTCTGATTTACCCACTCTTGCTGCCCTCGTATTTCTCTGACTATCGACATCACTCATCTGAACATGTTTGCAATTTAATCATGGGGCTCTTCCGATCCTCGCGCGGTCACTACGCAAACGATCATAGAGATCTCACCAGTACAGCCGAGGTGAACATGTGCATTCAGACATTTGACAACGGCCGCAATTCTTGGGCACTGTCACATTTTATGAACACGCTGCGGTCAGAGTCAGGCAGTCACATACTCGGCAGGAGTCTGTTTGATTTTGGACACTGTAGACGTCTTCTGCTTCTGACAAAGCTTATGGACGTGTGTAAGAAGGGATAACTCACGGTATTGCACCCTACGTGTCTCCGTCAATCATTGCAGGAGGCTAGATCGAGCGGCCTGATTCTAATTCGAGCCTAACGCGGACGAAGCGCACGACACAAAACTACTCCACTGGCGTCGTAGGTATAAATAAGATCCCCGCGCTTTATCTGGACGACGTACTTACACGCTTTGCTTGGTCGCTCCGAGTCTGTACGTTCTTCTCCCCACTCGCTCTGACCTGCAATTATGTCCCAGTCGCTGCGCCTTGACAAGCTGTTTGACGTTCGTGGTCGTATTGCCCTCGTCACTGGCGGGGGTACAGGCCTCGGATGGATGATCGCTGAAGGCCTCGCTGTGAACGGTGCACGTGTGTATATCACCGGCCGCCGCAAGAACGTGTTGGAGCAGGCTGCTGCCAAGTTTGCGCAAGAGAACAAAGGCGACGGCTCCGTCACAGCGTGAGTGATACATACATGTTCAATCAGGAGGAATGGTCTGAAGAGCGTTGTCAGACTTGTTATGGACGTCACCGACAAGGCTAGTATCTTGGCCGTGCATGATGTAATAAAAGCCCAGGAGGGCAGGCTGCATATCCTCGTTAATAAGTGAGAACTTACTCAGCGATCAACACGCATGCGGTCTCACCTTTGCTTTGTCAGTGCGGGAATTGCTGGACCATTCGCAACGTTCTTCAACGACCCGAGCGCGCCGGAGCACAAAGATGCGGAGACGCTCGGATGCGCACTGTTCGACAGTGCCTCATTCGAAGATTGGGCCAACGTCTACACCATTAACACCTTCTCCGTCTACTTCGTGACGACCGCGTTGCTCGGCTTGCTGGCGAAGGGAAGCGAGGATGTTCCAGGGTATACGTCTTCTGTGATAAACCTTGGGAGTATTAGTGGCAACACGAAGCTAGCGCAGAACAAGGTATGATTTGAGTTTTTGCGACACTTTTGTTGTGCTGACTGTATCAATAGTTCGCGTATAACTCGACAAAGAGTGCTACCACGCACTTGACCAAAATGCTTTCCACTGAGTTCGCGCTGAAGAAGATACCCATACGTGTCTGCAGCGTCGCGCCCGGTGTCTTCCCGTCCGAGTTAACCGACCCAATTATAACGCCGGATTTGGTAGAGAAGCATGCGAACGGTATCATACCCGTGCCCATGGGCAGGGCTGGGACGTATGTGAAGCTCAGTCATATCGTCAGGATGTATATTAATTCGACGTACCAGTGCTCAAGAGATGGCAGGAACCGTGATCTATCTTGTGTCTCCTGCTGGGTGCTACACGACAGGAGAAGAAATTTTGACTGATGGCGGCTACATTGCTGTGAATCCTTCTATGCGATAGGTGGAGTGGCCATTGATACATGCATGTAGGCAGTTGTATGACTAGGAACACATGAGCGGAATGGACGAGATCATGGGAGTCCTTACGATTGAAAGCCTTCAGTTCTGTGCATGACAAGGCTCGGAGTCACACTTACTAGTACGTTAGAAGAATATGAAAGCCAGAATTTCAGATATACTGGAGTTGGCCAACCCGAGAGTCGGATATTCAGAATTGGGTCGAGCCGTTAGTCGTTAGCTCGTTAGTCGCTGCGGCGTTCAAGTCTCACACAAGGGCCAAGCTGGTGGCCAACATGTCAACGGATCGGAATGATCGGATCGGATCTGTGGCGGTGACGAGTCGTCCCGAATCCCGATTAGGCTATGGTGGTCGAAGCGACTCTTCTGCCATGCGCGACTTCCGGTTCGCATGACTTGGACCCTTCGCTCTTTGCAAGATAACCTACTTGGATCAGACTCGCCGCAATATAATTGCTTCCAGCACCGGGGCCCGCTGACGTTCCACATAACGTTATGCGGGTTACGCATGACTCCGGCATGGGCACCCGGCGGACGTCAATGTATAGATCATGGGTTTCCGCTCCTATCGCGCCGGCTAGTAAGTTCTGCTTTGCCTTTGGTCGATTGCTGACGCACACACGACACGTAGCGAGCCAGTGCTCAGTGAGTACTTCACGCGCTGTAGGCATTTGCTCAATGCGCCCGGGTCGTGACTAGGTCAGAAGGATACGTACGGTGTTCGAACATTTGCGAGACCTCGTCAGTATGACGGGTAATTCCAGAGGTGGACACGGCAATTTGAAGACGAATAGTAGCACTCCCGTGCGTACCCCCACCCAGTGCGACATCTGAAGTTACTCAAAACACGTGTTGCGAGAGGTACATGATACACAGTGGTACATACTTCGCCATTGGGTCGTTTGCTGGAAACTAGTCTACTGCCTGCTCCACGCCGAAAGCAGAGGCCTCTGAATACTTGTCTTCCACGGCCTCTTCCGCCCGACCATCACGCACGACCAGCCACGATGCCACTTTTTGAAGTTCTTCTCTCCCCTGCGGTATCTGAGCGTCTTCGCACGCATCATTGAGCCCGGCCGGCAGAAGTCTACAGTGTCTCGTTTCGGTTTCTTCGTTGCGATTTGAAGCAATATGATAATTGAGCGAGTCCGGGGAGATATAAAGCTCGCGACAGCGCAGAAGAGCAACCAGACTGCACCTTACACCCTTCACCAAATCGGCCCCATCAGTGGTGACTCGACAGTATGCCGGTTGTCGAGCTATTGACTTCTCAAATACGGAACAGCCCTCTCCTTCTGGTGGCGGTTGTACCGACACTGCTCATCTTTGCTTGTGTCATTGTCTATGTACAGAATGCCTCTGGGCTGCGCTCATATCCAGGTCCATTCCTCGCCAATTTCACGGACGCTTGGCTGTTCTGGGTGGTAAGCCGCAACCGTTGGTCGAAGACGGTAGACGAGCTTCATCGGAAATACGGTATCGACTTCTCATCGTACGATGGCTGGCTCGGTGATTGATTGCTCATGTCATAGGCACCTTTGTTCGTCTCGCCCCGAACCATGTCTCCATCTCCGACCCGAAGGCACTCCCTGCGATATACGGTCACTCGGCCGGCTTCATGAAGTCGGAATTCTATGACGTCTTCGGTCCCTTCACCGTCAGCAACATCTTCACCACTCGATCTCGCACTGAGCACGCACGCAAGCGGCACATGGAAGCGCACATGTTTGCACCGCAGAGCATCCGGGCGATCGAGCCCATCTCCCACTCACACGTCTCCGAGCTCCTTCGCCAGTGGGACTACCTCGTCTCCCGCGTGAAGGAAGCCCAGGGCGTAGGTCCTCGTCAAGGACTGCTTGGGTCAGCTGCGTGGACCGTGGAAGACGGCCGTGTATGGTTCAACGCCATGGATTGTGGGTATCACATTAGCGATACTACGTCTGCCTCTGCATGCTGATTTATGACTGAATTAGGGTGCAACTATTGGGCATTCGATACCATCGGTATGCTGTCATCAGCAGTGCAGTATGGTTGACCCTCGCGTTGACATCGGTACTAGGTGACCTTGCATTCGGTTACCCCTTTGGGATGCTCAAGTCTGGTAAGGACATCGCAAGGGTCGCAAAGAACCCTGAAGAAGGCTTCAAAGCGATCGAGAAAATGTCCCAGGGCTGTGGCGAGCTTTCGATCGAGGAAGAAGAAATACCTTACATCGAAATCCTCAGTACGCGTGCTGATGGGAATGCGTGCCTTGGGTGGCTCCCGCGGCACTGGCGGACAATTGTGCAGCGGTTCCCCGGCAGCGGTTACAACAGCCACGCGGCGTCGGGTAAAAAGCTCGCAGCTCTGGCAACCATGGCTGTTGCGCGCCGCATGGCCAATTTGAATTCGAGTGGAAGGCCGGATATGCTACAGAAGCTGTTAGAGGTGCGGGACGACGAGGGAAACCCCTTGAAGCCGGAGGAACTGGGCTCGGAGGTCATCGTGCTGATCGTGGCGGGCTCGGACACCATTGCGAAGTGAGCTCACCATTGTGCATGACATCGCTTAGCTGACCGAATTAATAGCACTACGTGTGGAACGATCTACTACCTGGCCCGTGAGAAGCGCGTGCAGGCGAGGCTGCAGGAGGAGCTGGATGCTGCCCTCGCTGATGTGGATTCCGACGTAGTCCCGTACGACGTCGTCAAGGACCTGCCTTACCTCGAAGCGGTGATCCTCGAGGGGCAGCGCCTGCACTCGACCGTAGGTGCCGGATTGCCTCGCGTCGTACCCGCCGGCGGCGCTACAGTACTGGGGCATCATTTCAAGGAGGGCACCTGTCTCAGTGTTCCTCTTTACCATCTCCATAGGGACGAGTCTATCTGGGGCCCGGATGCGCCCGAATTTCGGCCTGAACGCTGGATCGAGGCCAGTCAAGAGAGGAAGAAGGAGATGACAGCCGCGTTTGCTCCTTTCTCCGTTGGTCCCAGGTAAGCGTGCAGTAGGTTTCATACATCAGCACTGCTGATGACGCTGCGTAATAGGGCATGCATCGGTCGCAACCTGGCTATCATGCAGCTCCATATTATCTTTTCCACGCTCTTCCGTCGCTACGACTGCTCTCTCAAGCCTGGTGCTCCGCCGGTGAGAACCCATCTACCTCCGACTCGGAGCCAGTTCCGCTAACCGAAAGGATTGCTATCACAGCTGCAGAGCCGGGACTCGTTCGCTCGGAGACCACTCAACTGCGTAATTGGCATCAACCGCAGGAAACACTAAATACTCCACGTTGATAGGCCCGGTATCGTGTCACGCGAGCAAGTTGACATTCGGCATCCTGACGTTGGTTACCCTTGGGTTGGATCAGGTCATAGTGTTGCTTCTCACTGGCATGAACCGTGCACTGATGTAGTTCTATTCACTCTGCGTCGGTCGTGCAATACAAACACATTGATGCTACCCCTTCTCTCTGGTACATAGACTATGATCACCCTGTGACTATTCATGCTTCGCACCGGCTAAGAAGCGAAGCTCGTCCTCTTGCACTTACGGCTTGTTGAAGACAATTCGCTTGTGTGCTGTACTATGCAAAAAAACTCCAGACGTCTATAGATGTTCAAGCCAACATGGAGCCCATCGCTTCATGCCCAATTGGTGTACTGTAGATAGGACTTGAAAGACCACAACGTGATTGAGGATAGTACAATTACATTAGACATGTTTAGAACTGTGCGCGGTACAACGATGATAGACATCCTTGGATTGCAAATGAGATGATTTTCTTCATCAGCGATGAAGAATTCCGCCGGAGATGTGTAGCAAAGCTTCCACTTTGAGTTTCCCTCGTCCTTTACCTCGAATGAGGTTCCTCCTCCGAGTCGATGACACTATGCTTTTCATTGTCAGTAACCCATTCCCACTCCGTCTCCGCGTTGCCTTGGCTTCAAACCATCCAGCGCGTTGTCTTATTTTGCGCTGCGCAGACCATCGCCCGCGCACGCTCGCACGTGCGGCTGATGCGCCGGTCGTACATACCCGCGGTCGTGCGGTATCGCCAGAGATGGCATCCATCTCACCGCCTGTGGCCCATTCCGTCCAATCATCGAGTTGAGAAGTCAACTCGGAATCCATGCTCGACCCTGGCATAGCGCGAACGAGTCCCGACATATGCTGAGAAGGCTCGCTTCATATCAGCGTCCGGTAATCCCCAGCTTGCATTCGAGAGCCACACGGTCTTGAGGCAAGGACATCGAAGTCGGTGATCCTCTGGTTTATCGGGGAGTGCTATCGGCTGCGACAATGCATCCAGCATTGGAGACAGCACTTCCAAACGGGTATAAGGTTCGGGCGACACAGCGAACTCGATACTTTGGAGTGAGGGCATCAGGTGAAGGAGGCGTCGCCATTCCGCCTGCGAGATACTGGCCGACTGGGCGAGACCAATGATACGGACGTGTTTCACCGCGGGAAGGTACATCAGCTCGAAATTGATTGACGGCTGACCATCCTCAGCGTCGTCTTCGTGTTCTATATCCCACTCCCAGCTAACCACCAGTCTTGCATCCGGAGACGACATGCAGACAACGTAGCTTTCGTTGTCGGCAGATTCCGTGTACACCAGGAAGACTTCGTGTACTCCCGACGTGATGGCTTGCAACGAGTGGCATTGCCGCGTAATGTCCTGACTTGAGATCGAGTAGCCGACCAGGCGTAAATCGACCTCCGTCGTCCGCGGAAACCGGATGTGAGCGAGGGTATGGAGTACCTCGTCTTGCAGCCCAGCAAGGCACAGGTCTCGCAGGTTTGGGAGTTCAATAGTAGTCGTCGGATACAAAGTGTCGTCTGACCACGTACAGTCGACGATCCCGATGAGGAGGGACTCCAAATTCGGTGACTGGCTTAGGACCGCCAACAGCTCCGCAGTAGAAAGGCTGGCTTGATCCCGTAGGTCCAAGCTTGTTAGGCCTGAGAAGGTCGCTAGCGACAGTGGTATGCTGACGATGGTGACATGTCTGAGTGCTGGCATTCGTCCGTTGAAGGGACATGCAGCTCTCGCCGCGGCGAGTGTACGGGGTGGTTCGGCGACGTCGACGTCTGCTTGTAGATAAATAGACTCGAGAATGGGAGCCGGTTGTTGGAATTCAGCAAGGATGTCGACGGTCTTGTCCAAGGGGTATCCCGACAGCTCGAAGCGTTCTATGTGGTTGCTGTGTGTAGAGATAACGCGAACAATTGGGAGAACGTCTGTGGCGGCGGATGAACCGACGACCTTCACCAATAGCGGCGCTGCCCTCGAGCGACGCAGCCACTCTTCCACCATCCATAGCGTGGTCTTGTGATCGACCACAATTCTGCGCCATAGCCGCGATCGTGCCAGAGCTACTCGTCTCCATTGATGGCAGACTTGCGCAACGATATCGCTGGCGGTGGCCACATTGGTGTCAGCGTCGTTGTCCTGATCGCAGATGAGCATGAAGATGGCCTCGAGGAGCTCGACCGGAAGCCTTGTTATAGGGGAGGGATCATGAAAGAAGTAGCGTGCATTGTCTCGGTTGAGGACAATAGACTCCATAGCTACAAAGGATTCAGTCTGCGACGCGAGATGGAAGCGCGACTAGATGACTTACTGAAGTACAAATGATATCTCGTCGATGATTGAGAGTTGTCGTACACGCACGAATGAGTATTGACGGTTACAGGTTCAGACACGGGAGAACAGAGACCGGGGGAGAACAGAGAAGGGGAGTAATCGCGAGTGGCGTGCGCCTTTCATACGGGTGGCCCTGCACAAAGGCTTTGGCCATGATCACGTGAGCGTGTATCGACCAGTCGGACCAGACCGTCAGACAATGGTCTACCCCCCAGTTTGAGTGAGACCTTATGATCTCATCACCACAACTACTCATCAGTGTTTCACTTTTACGAATTCAGAGTCAATAGGACAGTGATTGAAGTCATCGGTAGAATCGACGTACGACGTATTTCTCATTTGCCTTAATATACTTGCCGAGCTAGGCTCACATCGCGGTTCCCGGGAAGCTTCGAGTTATCATGATAATGGAGCCCGTGGGCTAATCGCCGGGTGTCTAAAGATGTTCTCACTGCCTGCTATAATGCAAACTTAGTCCTATGTATTTGTTGATGTTACTGATCTATGCCCAGGACAAATTCACCGACGTACCTCGGGGAATAAATTTGTATGTCAATTGGTGGTTTGGTTGGTCTGTATCCGACCAACGTACAATGAACCTGCTTCGTGTGTATTTCATCAGGTAGTAGCAAACCGTGTCGTTACTGGCGCTGTACTTCTCGGTGACGCAGCGAGTTGCGAATCGAGCAAACATGTTTTTATGATGCCTCCGGTTCAAAATGCGCAGCACAGTGCACAGTGATATTTTCGGTCGTATAGCACAGAGAAAACGTAAGTACGAGTGCAGGTTACGACTTACTAATATGGGATGGCGTATTGCTGGAAACCGTACAGTCTCAGCCACATCCGCACATTGGTATGCGCTGAACCTTGGACTCACTCGCACCGATAGCCTCAAATCTTCCTGCGTTTCATGCCAACCAAGCATTCGAGCGGCCTCCGGGCGAGAACGTCGCGGATCTGAAGCTGTGCAGAAAAGTCCTTCAGTTGAAGCTACGGCTAGGCATTCGACTCTACTTACCGGAGCATCAGACTTCAGAGCAAATTCGTACCGGCGGAACAACGTAGCGACGATGATATGGAGCTGCATGATAGCAAGACTGCGCCCGATACATGCCCTAGTCGCCGCCGTCAGTGACCAAACCGTGACAGATCCTCGTCAAACCCTTACCGAGGACCGATGGAGAACGGCACAAAGGCCTCCATCATCTGCTTCTTCCTTCCTGGACTAGCCTCGATCCAGCGCTCAGGACGGAACTCGGACGCATCCGGGCCCCAGATAGACTCGGCCCTATGCAGATGGTAGATCGGAACGCTGACCCATGTGCCCTCCTTCAAATGATGCCCGAGGATAGTGGCACCGCCAGCGGGGACCTCCCGAGGCAACCCGGCACCTATGGTTGCATGTAGGCGCTGCCCCTCGTGTATCACTGCGTCGAGGTAAGGTAGATCCTTGACGACGTCGTATGGGGCGACCTCGGAGTCGACAGACGCCAGGGCAGCATCCAGCTCAGCCTGCAGCTTAGCCTGCACGCGCTGGTCGCGAGCAAGATAGTATGTTGTAGCACACGTCGTACTGGTTTCAATAATACAGTCAGGGCGGCAATCTCCACAGTGTAAGAAATGCTTACTTGGCAATGGTGTCGGAGCCGGCGACGATCAACACGAAAGCCTCTGCGCTCAATTCGACTGGACTCAGCGGCTTGCCCTCGTCATCCCGCGCCTCCAGCAGCTTCTGGAGCATGTCTGGTCTGCCGCTCGGGTTGGCCAGGCGGCGCGCGACGGCCATGATAGACAGAGACGCCAGCTTCTTACTCGCATCGGAGTAGCTATTGAAACCGCTGCCAGGTATCCGCGGCAAGATGACCTGCCATGCGCGCGGCAGCCACCCGAGGCAGGCGTTTATTTCGGCGCGCGTACTGAGATTCTCGACGTATGGTATGTCTTCTTCCTCGATGTCGAGCTTGCCAGACCCTTCAGTGATCTTCTCGATTGCCCTGAAGCCTTCTTCAGGGTTCTTTGCGACTCTGGCAGTGTCCCTACCAGACTTGAGCATGCCGAAGGGAAGACCAAATGCGAGGTCGCCTGGACCAAGGCCGAGGATATGAGCACTACCCCTCTGCGTCAGTGGAGACAACCTACCGATAGTGTCGAATGCCCAGAAGTTGATCCCTGAGCAAGAAGTACGAGGTTAAAATCAAGTTGTGCGAAGCAGCAGTATCACGCAATCATGATACGTACAAGGCATGCAGTCAAACCAAACACAACCGTTCTCCACGCTCCAGGCGCCCGATCCGAGCTGGCCTTTGAGGGGGCCGCCACCATGCTGAGACTCCTGCACGCGGGAGGCCAGATGATCCCACTGACGGAGGAACTCGGCAACGTGTACGTGCGAGAGAGGCTCGACAGCACGAATACTCTGGGGCGCGAACATGTGCGCTTCCGCGCGCCGCTTACGGGCATGCTCCGTGCGCGATCGGGTGTTGAAGATGTTGCGGACGCTGAAGTTGGCGAAGATGTCATAAAAGCTCGCCTTCATGAGGCCAGCTGAGTGGCCGTAGATCGCGTCGAGTGCCTTTGGGTCGGAGATGGAGACGTAGTTCGGAGCGAGACGAACAAAGGGGCCTGAAGCACGCACGCGTTGTGGTTAGTCATTCTACAATCGCCACTGGTATACATACCGTGTTTACGGTGCATTTCATCAACTGCGCTTGACCATCGGTTGTGGCTGACTACCCAGAACATCCAGGCATCAGTGAACTTGGCGAGGAATGGACCTGGATACGAGCGCAACCCGGAAGCATCCTTGAAGTAAGTGATAACGCGAACTAAGATGAACGCCGCCGGAAGAACAGCTAGCAAAAGGAGAGGGTTGTTGGAAAGTTCAGAGGTCACCTGCTGAATGACCGGCATGTTGCCTCGCGATCAGATACGTCGCCTTGGCTGGAGGGAGTAGGGAAGCACCGCGACGAGATCCTTGTACTCTCACAGGCTTTATACTGCCGGCGATTCCGCTGAGGTAACATGTTGTGTGTGGTTCCGTATCACTGAAATTGCAGGGTCGGGATGTAGATCCTACTGACTGGAAGCAAATGGAGGTGAGTACAGGCGCTGAGACTGCGCAGATGTAGCCATGCGTGATGGTCGGATATGAGAAGTTCTAAAGAGCGCAAGGATCAGGAGGCTCGACTTTGCGAATTGGATAGAGTCTATCGACGATTTCGGTATGAGAAGCACCTACTCGGTCGGGACGACGAAGTGCTGACCATTGTATGAGACTTCTCGTGCGAACCTGCGGGCAGCCGTCACCCGAAGATTGTGTGATTCATTGGGCCGCCGCCTCCTCGCCAGCCGTCCGACACCGCGCCTCAGTGTTTCAAATCTGGCCTCATAACGACGTCTCGCACTTTCCCCGCTACCGGCCGTACAAACGAGATTACTCACTTCACCGAGACTCTCGGCGACGGGCCCAGTGTCTCGCAGCCTGTTTGACATTTGCCGAAGAACGCAAGGTCGGACCCGGGATGATTGAATGCAACAGCGTTTTCGGTGTCGGGGACAATGCAGAAGAACGCAGCGTGTGAAGTGTACGCTGGTCATGGGCTGTTCCTATGGCTTGTATGTGTGAGGTGCGCCCGAATGGATGGCCGAGTAGAGACGTCACGTAGCATCCAATGGATACTCACCGGTGCGACGGGGACGGTAAGAGTGATATGCATTCCTGTCCACCATGATCCCGAGCACTTGCGGCGGAAGTTGAGAATACGTGTCAACGTCATGTAGAAGGGTGCCCAGCCCTAGTGCCGCTATCGCATTGTGTCGGCAGAGCCGCAAAGGGTCCACAGGTAGTCAGCGCAGCTTGTCATGTAAGGCGGACGCTGGCGAGCGGCATGTATCGAGGTGGTGAATGACCAGGCATGGCAGTGGCAACTGCGATTTGCATTGCGGAGGCGCCCAGACAGCCATCGCTCAGATCTCAGATCTAATCGGCGTCCCCGTCCGACACCGTAACGGGCCGGCCGAGCGCGACGCGTCGCAACATGAGGCGCGTGCACGTGACCGCGCTGCAATTCGAACATTGATCGCTACGCGGCGGCAGGAGGTGCGGCTCGTTGCTCTCAACCTCCCACCCTTCACGCCGCGCTACCCTCCTTCACACGCCCGTTCGCCCCATCCTGGATACATCTCGCAACACTATCAGGCCAGATGGCCACAGGTCGCTCGTTGTATGATACGCTGGGGATCACCCAATCCGCCTCCGCCGATGCTGGTGCGTTGTGATTCGACTTTACGGCATTCCTGGGGTGGACCTGATGTGCGCTTTCTTCTGCCTGCAAGTTCGCAAGGCGTATAAATTGAAAGCATTGCAGACACACCCAGGTGAGGCGAATTTTCTGGAGGAGGCGAGGGCATGGTGTTCACAGGCTTCGCAGACAAACTGCCATTAGGCACGCCCGAAGCCGAGATCGAAGCTGCAAAGGCACGCTTCAGAGAGGTCCGTAGATTCTAACATCGTGTGCGATTGCACTTGACGCGCTCTCCACGTCTTGCAGGTCCACACAGCGTTCGAGGTCCTCAGTGATCCGGCGAAGCGCCGCGTATGTTGCTTCTCCCAGTCCAAACATGTGCAGCGAACCCTGAACTCTAATGACACCGACCCGCACAGGCCTACGACAATGGACTCGAATACTTCCGCAGACACGTCAACGTCAACATGGGCGAGATGCAGACCAAGCTCGCGCAGGCGAAGCTTGCGAAGGAGCGCGCCGAGTGGGCGCGGCAGGCAGAGCTGCGCCATCAGGAGCGGATGCGTGCCCTGCGCGAGGAGGTCCTCGCGAGTCAGAGGCGCTACCAGGAGACGATGGCCAAGGCCGAGTTGAGGTACCAGGAACGCGTGCGCGCGCTGGAGGAGGAGCTCACTGCGAAGAGGGAGGCCGAGCGGAGGGAGGAGGCGAGCATGCGCACCGAGTCATATGACATGGCTGAGGAGATGCTTCGGGACTTGAGAAAGCTGAACCCTGAGTGGGAGATACGGAGGAAGGAAGTGCTCCGCGTAGGTGGACATATATATTTCGCAAATCTCGAGGCTGAAATATCCGGATATAGCGGCAAGCGGAGAGAATGAAGAAGACAGAGAGGCCGCCGATGCGTGCGTCGCAGAGCGAGCCTGTGTACCTTTGACCCATCCATCCCGGGTGCTAGATCTTATTCTGGTATTTATCGGACTTACTGACGCTGATGTTGTCAACAATACCCCCTCCCTCGCAAGCGACACCTGTACATTGCTATGTCACAATTCATTGTAGATCTGCACCAAAGCTAGGTCCAGTCAGTCGTATCTGCGCTTTCTAGTCCCGTGAGACTCACTCTAAGCAGCTCCCAACGCCTTGAGCCTGCTGTGTGCGATCTTGCCCAGGTCGCCCACCGCTCTCTCGAGTTCCTTGGTCCATTCTTCGCTGCCGGCCTCTACGCTGCCCACCGTCTCGACAGGTGGTTGATCGGGACTGAGGGAGTGCTCTAGCCCCAGCACACCCTCCATCTCGTCCTTGATTTCCGCCCGCGACCGCCCGTTGACGAACGTGATATAGCGCAAACCAGGGTAGCGGTGCTCGTAGCACGCATTAAGGTGCGTGAGGCGGGCAAGCACCTCAGGCGGCGTAGCGCGGGCCGCTTGCTCTTTCTTACTGAGGCGCGATAGCCCGCTGACCTCGCCGATGCGCGGATGGCCTGCGATGAAGCTCGCCTTGAGAGTGGGGTCCCACTTGGACGCGACTACGAGTGTCGCGTCGATGAGTTCGCCGTACGACGCTGGCTTAGATGGGGCGGACGCGATGTAGGTCGCAACTCCCGGAAGTAGATCGGAGTAGAGGATGGGCGAGGACTCGAAGAGGAGGGTGAGTGTGGTCGCAAGCGGGCTATCCTTCTCGGCCTTGCTCTCGAGGACGTCTTGGAAGGGCGGTAGAGCGGTCATGGTGCTACGCAGTCCAGTTACTCAGGCTGTGTAGCGTTGAGACAGGCTGGATGGCAGAGTACTACTACACGTACATCAGGCGATAAGCTTGCGCTCGGCGGGCCGCTGTCTCGAACGACTGGGGAGGACAGGACGTCTGATTGATCGCGGGGACAAGGACGAGCGCGCCTATTCACGCTCCGCGAGCCTCTTGACCCGCCTCGTGCCCAGCCTGGGATTGTTTCCACCCCCACCAGCTTGAACGCACCTGGCCATGCGCCGCTCGCTCGACGTCATGTCCGTGCTCTCCAGCGACGACCTCTCCGACTACGATGTCATCTCCGACGGCCACCAGTCCCTCGAGTCCAGCATCGCCGACCTCGGTCACGTGGCCGGCGGCGCAGCCACCCTCCGCGAGCCCGCGCCCCTCCCGGCTGCCCAGGAGCGGTTCGACACCATCGCGCTGACCGCAGACGACATCCAGGACTACGTCCAGAAGGCTGTCCCCGCTGCCGCGCCTGCGTTCAAGCGCGGTTCGGACGGCGAGCTACGCACCGTGCGGGTGTATGTAGACGGTGTGTTCGACCCGTTCCAAGCTAGGTGAGTCGACGACCGCTCCGCCGTGTGCCGTCAGTGCGAGTCTTACCGCGACGAAGAGATGCCCTGCAGCTGCGCCAGGCCAAGCTTTCCTTCCCGAGCGTACACCTGATGGTCGGCGTGTTGGCAGACGACCTCTGTGAGGCGCATCACACTCCCATCATATGGCCGCATGTGGACAGGTGCGAGGTGCTGCGACACTGTCGGTGGGTGGACGAGATCGTGCCGGAGGCACCGTGGACCCTAGATGAACAGTTCCTGCGGGCGAAGAGGGTTGACTACGTCGCTGTTGACGAGGGCTCGTCTGTGAGTCCTGCATGCGACAAGGAGCGGTTAAAGGGTTATGACCTCGTGAAGAGCCTCCGTATGTTTTCACGTTACTCATGCTATCGCATGCTGAATACATTGGTTCACAGGGAAATCCATTCCTACTCGACGGACGAACACGATGACTCCAGTGGAACCCAGAGGCCTATCTGTATTCACCGAGTCCACGAAGGGCACTATGCGGGGCCCGGCCGACCTTGCGGCGGCGCTTCAGCAGAAATTGTCAGTCGATGACGACACCGACACCAATCCGTTCGAGGAACCGAAACAGGATATATTCGGTATCGGCTATGGTGTTTAGGTCTGCCAACTCTGGGAATAGAGGAAGTGGAGTATGGACCGGTATGTTTGGTCGACTTCACCTGCTGACGATGGGATAGCCCGTGTATCATTATTCCTGACGAAGACGAAGACTGATGTATTCCGTGTACAACCGAGCCAGTAGCGATATAATACATGTATGCCATACACCATAGCATATGCACAATTCCGAGTTCTGTCCCCAACCATCAGACACGCTTGTGCACTTTGATCAGCATCGGCAGCTGGCTGCCCTTCTCCATCTCGCCCCGGACGATCGGGCGCTGGATCGCTGCTCGCTGCCGCACAATTTCCTCCTTTGGCAGGGCAAGCTCGAATTCGAATGTGCGGATGAGCGTGAACAACAACGCCTTCATCCTAGCGTGTGGCAATGCTTGCATCACGAAATCAAATGGGGCAGTAGGAACGGACTTACTCGACCAAGGCGAAGCGGAAGCCGATGCAAGAGCGCGGACCTCCCAGGAAGGTCATCATGTTGCTCCACACACCCGGGACGTGCTGCGCTGCCTCAGGCGTGTGCTCCCACCTGTCGGGCCTACATATAGATGATTGTGAGCGCAATTCCAGCCCAAGCCGACAGCCGAAGAAGACCGTACTTGAACTCGTGAGCGTCCTCCCCCCATATAACCTTAGACGTATTCAGCTGAAGAATGGGTACGTCGATCGTGGTACCCTTGTCGATCCTAGCACAAAGACCCGTCAGCACGCTTCCGCAATCGACACAACCACGGCTCGGACGTACTTGATAGCATCGTGCACCTGCCCATGCACGTCCGTGAACGGCGTGTTCAGCGGGATGAGGTCGTCCTTGACCGCCATGCGAAGCGTGCTCGGGATGGGCGCGTGCAGGCGCAGCGTCTCGCGCACGACGGCGTCGAGGTACGGGAGCTCCTGCAGCTCGTCCATCGTCGGGTTCTCCGTGGGGAGACTGTACGCCTCCTCGCGCAGCTTCTCTTGTATCTCCGGCGCGACCGCAAGGGAGTAGAGCGCCCAGGCTGTGGCGTTGCTCGTCGTCTCGTGCCCGGCGACGAGGAAGCTAGGGCAGTGTGAGAGGACTGGGAGAGCGGCGTGTAGGCGTACTTACGTCGGCACCTCTAATACGGCCTAGTCAGCGACTCGGAGCGTATCGAAGCAGGGTAACGGCAGGACGTACGGGCAAGGATGTCCTCATCAGACAGCCGCTGGTTCTCTGGGATGTCCAAGCCCGCATTAGCCTTGATGAGGAGCGTCAACAAGTCGCGGCTCTCTAGGTCCACATGCTTCTCGTCTGCCTTCTCGCCGTGGCTGGCTGAGCCAGTGATGTCCGCCCTCTTCTCACGGATGAGCTGCAGGCCGACGTTGCGCATGATTGCTTTGGCTCGGTTAGCTCGTCTCCCACTAGGGGTGGGCTGCGCTTCGTGGTTAGAATTCTGCGTTCGACCGCGACGGAGAGCGTATGACGCACGATGAACCGCAGAGGTGGAAACAGGAACCTGAGGAAGCTAAAGACAGACGGCGCGTTCGTCGCCTTGCCAAAGATCACTCTGAAGGCAGCATGCAGCTCGCTCGTCTTACCGTCAACGTTCAGCGCGTCGAATTCGTAATTGAATCCTGCAGCACAGTATCAGGAGCTGTACCGCATGGCGTACTAAAGCAGCCACGCAAAAATTTACCTGCGAGGCCGATCACGTCGAGAGTCATCTTGGACAGTCCCTCGATGACTTCGACGCGCGCGGGTTCTCCGGTCTCGGAGATGAGATCTTTCCAGTAGTCGGCGAGCTACATATGCATGGCCGTGTCAGTGACGCAAAGACTCTGGGTAGCCCTGATAGTTTACCTCGATGGCCTTCAGCACGAAGACATCCGTGAGCTCCCTTATCTGAGCTGGCCCGAACGCTGGGTTCTGGGCGAATATGCGTTAGGTACTATACGGAAAAGACAATAGCTTGTATAGGCACCATGACGCGTCTCTACACGGAGTAATGCAGTCGTCAGGCCTCATGTAACGGCACTGAAATGAACAAAACCTACTTGCTGCCGGTGCTGATCGCCTTAGTATACATGTATGTCAGTCGAACGGTGAATCATGCTGAATGAAGGTCTAACCCTCGACAAAGACCAGGCCTGGATAATCAATGGTGAACTGCGGATTCGTTGCGTTGCTGAAGCTAGAATGTTCTACCTTTTCCGACCACTGTGGACAAACCGTATCGGGCAGCCGGTGGCTTCCAGTAATCGGCGGAGTGACTGAGGATGTGGTTAAGGGCCCTCGTATCGACAGTATACAATACGTTCGCCTACAGGACTATCAGCGAGCAAGTTCAAGCTCACGAGCGTTATCGCGGACGAAACGCTCACATTGAACAAGCCCTTGTAGGTGAGAGTGTGTCCGTATTGCTCTACCCAGCTCTCGTGGAGCGGGCGTGCTTCGGCAGCCGTCAATTCTTTGAGGTTACCATAGAGCCAGCTAGGAGACGGCGGGGCTGGCAGGTTGCGCAGGCTAGACCTGCACGGCGCGGCAATGATGCGCCCTAGCTTCCAAGCAACATACGCAGCTAGGACTGCACCAGCGACTTGCAGGTATACAGTGGAGAACACCTTCAGATGGGCAAGGACTCGGATGTCGAGCATGGCTGAATAGGATGAGGCGCTGCAAAAGTTCACCGCAGGCTTGAAATAGTACGGACCCCGCAGCTAGTGCGCAGTTTGATCCGAGAACGAAGTCGAAGTTGCCGAGCGTAGACGCGTCCTAGGACCTGTAGTATGACGTTGCGAACCTTCAGTTTATGTACAATATAACTCTTTTTTCGCAGGGATGTCTGCAGGTAGGAATCCACCATAGAAGTCACTCACGGGAGAAGCTATCCAACACAAATACCTGTGAATGGTTGGAAGAGGGAGGACGCTGACACGGCGTGCAGAGCGTGGCAGTTATGAAATCCTGTCATTAGCATGACCTCCCGCTCATGTTGCCATCACGGGTATGGTAGTGTAGTATCTTGTGGCGCCGATATGCAGTGGAGAGCGTCATGCCAAAAGTGCTTTCAGTGGCAACGCCTACAATGCTGATACGTAGCTGCTGCAGGCTTAGATTTGAGCGAGGAGTCATGTGTCGAGACAGATTCAGACAACTTAATGTAGTTGTATGCCGTCCCCGCAAGTCGAAATTTCAAGACATACCCGGGTACTCCGGACAAGGTGGGAAGTTACGCAGCCGTCCGCAAGTACGGCACCTGAACGGGCCGTAGGAGTAACACAGTTACAATCAGAAGCCCTTTAAAGAAGCTCGCAGCCAGGCGGAATTAAACAGGCCAGACATGTCGGCGATGGCAGTCTGCGCCGGTGGGCTGATATACTGTATCCCACGATGTCTAGTCGACGACAGACATTCTGCATAGATGGAGCCACCATTAAGGTAAGCACTGTACATTGGCCAGTGTAGGGCGAGATTACCTTGACCGGCTCCGGCTCCGTTCCACAAACACCGTGACTGGCTCTGAGTCTAGGCAGTGATAGAATTCAATACAGTCAGAACACGCTCATCTTGAACGACTGATAGGATCACTCAACCAACCACTGTGCTTGTAACCAAACAGAACACGAAGCTGATCCACCAGACACGGATGTCAACATCAACAGTGGGGAGCGCCAGCGCCCTTCCTCAGAGTCGCTCAATGGTACTAAGTGAATAGTAGCCCCATAATCTGAACTTCATGTTGACGTGATATCCTAAACATGTGTAGGCTCTGAAGAATAGACGTGCATCCGGTAATCGAATCGTAGAACTCACCGATGCGGCATACGTTGACAGCAAACGGTCTAAGTAGATCAGAAGCTGAGTTCCTTCGGAGGAATGCTAGCCCCAGTGAGTCATGAGTCCCCCCGAAGCTCATCCCCGGGCCAGACATGCGATCCAGTTAGATCCAGTTGCAAGGGAGCTTCGGACGCCGAAATGTGTGGTAAGTACAGGTAGACCCATGCACTGGCAGATTGGCAGATGAATACAGTATTTCACGTAGAACCGTTCAGTAGGAGCGCCGACTTGGCGCCGACTGACACAAGCTAGCGGAGTGACAACATTTGTTACTTGTGTATTGGTTCGGCATTAGCTGAGGGCCAATACTAAGTAATTAACGTACTAAATTTTACATAACCAAAATTAAACCACCACCATACTTACTAGTACTACTCATGGACGGCCGCTGTACTTTATTATATGGCACTGCGTCCTCGCCTGGTCCTCGCCGAGCATCGTCCTGCTTGCCATACATATCCTTGATGCCGACTGTACCGCATTGTTACTCCCTCATATTTACAGCATACCGCGCTCTTCACTGACCCGTCCAGGGCTCCACATACCGGCGTCACGGTCATGCCCTTCGGCGGAGGTTCGCCCGCTCCTTACTCCGGCCGATTGAAATTCGGAAGGCTCAGTCAGCGAATGTAGGGGCTAAAGTAGAAAGTACTAGTCAAGAGTGTGGGCATTTGCTCCTCGTCTGCTACTATGCCCCGTCAAGTTCGCAAGCGTGCTATGTCGCGGTCCTCGAACGAAGAGGGGGGCGCTCGACAACATCGCAGGGTGCGCAGGAGGGTAAAGCCGCAACGAACGGAGATGCCCTGGACGAAACAACTCATGATACCCCCTCTTCATCACCTCATGCCGAGCCCTCACAGTCGGAGAAAGTAGCGGAGGACGACCTATGTCCAATCTGTCATCTATTGCTTTACAAGCCTGTGACGACACCGTGCAAACATAGCGCATGTCAATCTTGTATGGCGCGCTGGGCAGACATCTCTGTGAGCTCGGAGATGGTCATCTTGCCTATCTCCACATCTTCCGGAGATCCTGCGCCGCCCTCCGATGAGGTCAAGTGCCCAATGTGCAGGACACTTACGACCACAATCTTGGACGCTACAAAGGACGAGGACCTGCGAACTCGGTATCCTCAGACGTATTTGGATAGGGCAGAAGAGACGGAGGAATCCGAGGTGGGAGAGGGAGAGAATGCGACCGTCGAGACCCTCACAATCCATCTGGGAAACACACATAAGCTCAGGAACCCGGGCGAGGGCGGCTATAACGCTCACCAATGGACGTTCTTCGTGCGACCAAGTAACACATATATCATCGAAGAGGTGCGGATGTTATTGGTGAGTGCCGTTGTCTGTCATCGGTTTCAGTCAGCCACCTACTCACTGAACATTCGATAGCATCCCACGTTCCGACCTCCGTGCGTCCATCGCAGAGAGCCGCCCTACGAGATAACGCGCCTGGGCTGGGGCTTCTTCACGATTGTCGTTCTCGTGATTCTGAAGGTCGGATATACATGGGTCAGCGAGGACGCTGTCGCTTCGCCTGATGGGCATGAAAAAAACATGCTGACACTCGAGTGGACATTGGACTTTGATGGTGGCGGAAGTCAGGGGCGGGTGAAGCTGAAGGTCAAGAAAGAGGCATGGGCAGATGGCCATATCACAGAGGAAGGGTTGTTCGGGACGAGTGACGAGGAATGGGTCGATGAGAGTGGCGAGGAATGATAATCACTGTACTACTAGGCTGACATGCCAACTCGAGTCTTGGATAGGGTCTCCATGTTCCGTCATTCGAGATCTCTTATAGCGGTTAAGTCTTACCACAAGAACCTCTCATGTTGGACCTACTAGTGGACGGTTGTTTGCAGGAGGTTTCGAGACATGTGAAGAAGTGGGTAACACAGGGGTACCCGGGTAACGGTTTGAACGAAGCAGTGACCAGCGTCATCTGTTCAATTCGTGCAGCTGTCACGCACGCGTGACGTAACGCGTTTTCCTCTCTACCTCCTTCTCCCATCTCGTGAGTCTGCTTCGAATATCGCATGCATCGTACTGGCATTTCCAAGGCACCTACATTCGAGCCAATGATGGGCCATACGGATGGTCGTGCCACTGATGACGCGTTCAACCAAGAGTCGGTCGCTACGTCAGCCCGGACGACTTACATCTGCGCCAAGATCCTCAGTGAACACCTACAAAAGACTGCTCGACGTCTTCCTCATGACGAGAGTCGCAAGCTAATCGAGGGCCTCACATATACTTCCGCTATCCCTGTATCAGACTCTAATGAGCGTGATGGCGAGAGTCATGACCCGCAAGCCGAGGACCAGGGCACGGTCGGGACAGCATTGTCAGACTCTCAGCCTATGTGTTCCTCGCATCCCTCACTCCTCGGAGGACTTTCTGAACAAGATGTAAAGAGGTTTGGTGCATCGTCGCTTCGTGTGAGTATTATCTCTGACTCAGGCTTCCGTGAGATGATTGACTCCCGCTAGTTGACACCTCGTTGTCAAGAACAACTCGCCCATGAACTGAAGGACACGCTGCTCTCTGTCACAGACTTCATCTCCGACTTAAAAGCTGGTATGTGGAATCATCCAACGGAAATTCCTCGTACCAACAGTCTCCGATGTAGGTCCAAATGGACTTGAGGCCGCATCGCAGGTGCCTGATCGCATCCGTGCTCAGGGCGAGAGCTTAGAGCGAGAGCGCAAGCTCTCCGAGATGTACCAAGAGCACATTTCCCAGTTGGTCAGTGAGATCAACCAGGTTAGCCTCCTTCGCCGCACCCATTGCTACTCGTTTAACGGAAATGTGTTTGCAGATCCACCCAAGGCTTGAGGAAGATCTCATCGAAGCGCTGTCTGTCCTCCCTTCTATCCTGAACGACCCCAGAACCGCAGAAGCGGCCCTACTTAGCACCACGATCGAAGCCTCCCTGATCAAGCTATCGCTCATACGCACTCGCACGCACGTCGCGCTGTATGGCCACTCATCTCCGAGTCGCCCCAACGCGACCATGAGCCGTGCGCTTGCTACCGCGGCGGAGAGATTACGCGCGAAACAGCGCACGCAGGAAGAAGAGGAACGCGAGCTGGACGGGCAGCTTGCCGCGTACGATGGAATGCTCAGCTTGGTGGGCGGTAAAGACGGCAGTTTCGCGCAAGTTGTCGAGGATATGGCCCGCGTAAAGCGAGAAACGGAGGAATGTAGGAAGGACCTGCGGAGGTTGGGATGGACCGGAGACTAGGCCTACCATGGCCAGGCGGGGGTTGACTTCGCGTTACTTTGGGGACAAAGCACTGACAATTGAGCCGCCGCTTTGCTCTCGAGTGGCACGGTCACGTGGGAGCCTTGCTGTGGCGCGCCGCCACAGGTCACTTTGGCCGCCGCCACACGCCACAACCTGTCTCTCTTGAACTCTGCAGCCTGTCCCCCGCAATCGCTCCATACCGCGACCTCCCAATTGCATACTTCACGCTGTGATCTACAAGTTAAGAATGCCCCATCGTGAGTACTAGTATTCTCCGGCCGTCAGTAACCGACGTGACCTGATGTCTTTGTAGTCAGTATTCCCAGTACCGTGGTACGATCCAACTACCCGGCAGCTAGTGGGGACCGCTCGGCTGTGTCGAAACTACCCCTCGAGCTCCTCTCTGAAGTCTTTCTCATTCTCGCCGGTACAACCGTCAAGGAATATGGTGTCCCTGTCGTCGCGAGCGACGTTGTGGCGCAGGTTTGCTGGAAGTGGAGGGCCTTGGCCCTCTCGATGTCTAGGCTTTGGCAGCGCTTCATTGTCACTGAGCGGTGTACCATTATTACTGTGCAAGAGAGACTGCTACGGTCGAATATGCGCCCGCTCGAAGTCCAGATCCTAGGCTGGCCGACATCCACGACTTTTGCGGAGGGGCTTCTCCCCGTCGTGCGCGCGATTGCCGGGCAATCGAGGCGCGTCAAGTACTTCGTCGTGACTGGCCTCGACCTCGACTACACCGAACTCATCATGGAAGAATTCTCGGAGACTGCGCCTATCCTCCGCACGCTCTACATCGATGCGGACGTTCAGGAGGTATTGCAGGAGGCTCTGCCTGCTCGTACGCTGTCCCTCTTCGGCGGTCAGACGCCCCAGCTGTTACGAGCGACCGTCATCGGTGCACCGGTGTCCCTCGACTCGTTCTCCACACTCAAGAAATTGGTCCTGCAAAACCAGATCCACACCTCCGTGCCAAAGCTCCTGTCAGCCCTTCGGCGGTGCCCCGAGCTACAAGAGCTGAATCTGGGCTTCGTCAGAAGATGCTGGGACAAAAACACGTCGTACCCGACGGATCCGATCGACTTGCCGTGTCTCAAGCAATTGGTCCTCGATGGCAAGCAAGACGACGTACTGCACACCCTCGCTCACGTCACCTTTCCGACTACGACGTCGGTGAGTCTGTGGATGTTCTACGGTGCCGTCGCGGAGCGCGAAGCCCCGCACTGCACCTCGCTGCAGACGATCACGTCGAGGATCAAGCACGCCGAGATCGACTTCGTGACTGACTTAGTACACGCAAGCTTCAAACTCACAGTGACGTCGCCGGCCGACCGCTTTGTGGCCACGTTTGATTGGCTCATGGATGGAGAGGACGACGGTCCGCATGGCCAGCCCTCGATGCGGTTCGACGTATTGCGCTTGTCCGCACTGGAGCATCTCACCGTGAAGGCGATCCCGACGTCAAGGCTGACACACTCTGCGGAGTGGGGACGGCTCTTTGACCTAATGCCGGCACTCAAGAAGATCGAGTTCGATGTCCCACACCCGCATATTGACGCGGTGAACCTCTTCTCGCCGTTGATCATCGCCCTCACGCCGGGATCCTCACGAGCCAAGCATGAAGCGCCTGACGCTGAAGGCATCGTGGTGCGTTGCCCTCAGCTGGAGACGATGTGCGTGGCGGCGTTTTGGCGGCTGTCATTACCCGGCGTCTATCTGGAGCTCGCGTTCAAGAGACTTCTGGACGGTCGGGCTGCCTTGCGCTTGCGGAGTCGGGTCGATGTCCTCTCCCAGGTCTCAACGGAGACGTAACGATCGCAGCATCTGTGCGAAGATGTGAGGCTACTGGTATCGGGTGCTTCCTTGAAGGAGCAACTTGGCTGCGTGGAGCCTTGCATAATCGTCGGCCGATGACCACCAGGATGATGAGTATCGTACTCAAGGACGATGCTTTTGTTGTTGGACACGTCTGAGTAGATGGGCGACATTGGTGTATCATCACCATAAGGACCGCGATGAAGTGCTCGAGCGGTTCATATTGTTGTTTGTATTGGAAAGAAGGGCGTAGTACTAATATATCATTCTATAACTGTTCTGGTACATGCTGCGCCGGTACGAATGATGCATTGCCATCCTGCCACAAGACGTCAATGGGAACATCCTGCTTGGGCGCCGGTACGTCTTATGACTTCTCTATTGCCCGGGACACTTCTCTGCCGCCAGAGTTCCAGTTGAATGGTCATCAAACCACCCATACAGGCGGAAAACACAAGGCAGCGCTCATGTATCATGATGGAGGCCGCATTGCAAGACCCGGCCTGGAGTTGACAACTGACCCAAGGTTCAATATTGATAGCGGTGAATGAACATGATCCTATGGCTCTGGACGTCCATTGAATCAATTATATCAAGCCTCTTGTGTGGCTTGAGATCGTACTTACCAGCTGCAGTTTGTGCCTGGCGCCCAGCGCTGGGTACCTTGCACTTCGCACACACCGCTAGACCGTATTAGATTATACGATACTGTCTGATCGTCGTAGTAGATGTGTGTCCGAGTGAATGTGCAACAAGGATGCAACGACGGGGATTCGGACCGTGAGCACGGTGCGGCAGTTTTGGGCGGGGTAGGAATGGAGGACGCTGATTGGGCGGGAGAGCAGAATTGCCTGATAGAGACAGTGAGTCGCTGACATAATGACTGTGTGGCGGGGTGACCGGGCGGGTCCTCAGCTCTGCAGTGGACGACCATGGCCGCCAATCCTCCCCCATCACCGCCGCTATCGCCCGGCCTCCTCCTCCGGCCTCGTCCCTCTTCCTCTTCCTCCTCCTCCTCCCGTCCGTTTTCTGCGCAAAAAACCCACCAGGCAGACGGCTTTTCTGCCGCCCTCGCTACGCTCCAGCACTGCTCGGAGCTCCGAACCAGAATGGAGGACGCGGTCATCTCAATGGCGAGCCAGGGAATGTACGTAAACGAAGAGCGCGAATGCTCCTGCCCACCGGACGCGAACGCTCCGCCCCTCAATTGCGAAACCTGCGCCCACGACTGCGGGAACGCCCAGTGCAGCGTCGAGCTCAGCTCCGAATGCACTGAGCAATGCGTGGTCGTCGTATGCAATGACTCACACCACGCGTCGGCGCCTTGCGCCACTGCCGTCTTTCCCGATCAATGCGAGCCATGCGACATGTCCTGCGGGAGTGCCCCCGACTGCACCGGCCTCGAAGAATTTGTAGGTTGTGCATGATCATGGGAGCTGGATCATAGTTGACGTAGTTCTACTAGTTTCAGTGTTGTACGGACTATCATGGTTATATGCCCGACCCAAAATCGTTTCAATCCGACATGGCAGCCATTCATCCTGACCTAGTCTGGGATCCCTCGATAGCTGCTGCCTTTCTATGCGCCTGCGCCGATTCTCATCAAGCAGCGAACCTACAAGGTGGTTATCATGATGCTCACCTGAGCGCAGCGACCTCAACGGCATCGACGCCTCAGTTAACTCCGAGTCCAGTCGCCTTCCACTCGCAGGCTGGACAGCTGCTCCAGCCTACTTCGATACAGTCTTACACCAATGCCCAGGCTCCCCAAATGCCCAGCAACATCCCTGAATACTACGGCGCCTCGCAATCAGCTCAGTTACCGCAGCCCCAGGGATTGCCGCACGAATGTCAGTGGGGCGGATGCTACGCGTCCTTTGCCTCCCTCGCGGAGCTCGTTGGGCACGTCAACCTCCAGCACCTCCGCCTCGCCTCGGGCGCTCTTCCCTCGACATCGTCTCTTCAGCCGCAGATCCAGTCTGGGCACCAGGGCATCTCTCACGGCAACGGAATTTCCGTCGACGGGCTCTCATGTATGTGGGCGGACTGCCACCTGTATCCGTCTGCCCAGTCCATTCCAGGCCCATCGACGGACAACGCGCTGGACAGAGCCCTGGGTGTCCTCGCGAACCACCTTCTTGAGGACCACTTGGGTCTCCCTCTGCGGTCGCCGAAGCAAGAACAGGTGCCTGAGCCCAAGGCTATACAGGCGCCCATCCCTTCCGCATCGAGTGGCCCGACCACTGATGGGACCACTGGTCTGTACTCACCACCGACGCCGCTTCCCGAGCACGACTGCTCTGCGTCGCCTGTGCATGTGTGCCGCTGGGAGGCGTGCACGTGCACGTTCCCGTCGTGCGATGAGCTGACGGCGCACATAACGGCGGACCATGTCGGTGCGGGCAAGGCTCATTATGAGTGTCGGTGGGAAGGCTGTGCCAGACACAGCGACAAGGGATTTTCGAGCAAGCAGAAGATTCTGCGACATCTACAGGTAAGTTTGATTTGCCGAGGTTGCCCGAAATGGAATGCTGAGCGCGCATCTACAGAGCCATACGGGCCACCGGCCGTTCCAGTGCGAGATCTGTGGACAGTACTTCTCGGAGACGGCGACGCTTGCGCAACATAAGCGGCGGCATACACGAGAAAGTAAGTCTTCTTGCGAGCACACCACGCAGGCTTGACGACTGACTATTGATGTCCAGAGCCGTACGTTTGCGACTTCCCCGGCTGCGGCAAGTCGTTCGCCATCACGGGTGCGCTCACCATCCACAAGCGCACGCACAACGGTCACAAGCCGTTCAAGTGCACGTACTGCGAACGCGCGTTCGCGGAGTCGTCCAATCTCTCCAAACATGTGAGGTTGCAGCGACTATTCCTCCCGATCAGTGATTGACGGTAGATTCGTTCGTGTAGCTGCGGACGCATACTGGGGCGCGGCCGTACCCGTGTATGGAGCCTGGCTGCAATAAGACGTTCGCCCGGCCTGATCAACTTGCGAGACATCAGAACGTACATAGGAAGAGGAGCGCAGAGGCAGAGGTCGCCACCTGAGGATCTGATCCCATGAGCTTTGGGGCTATCGTTGATCTGGGTCAGCGTTATGCGCGTACTGCTACTTAGCACGTCTTCATGTCACCGTCATCACCACTCTGCTTAAGTCGCACTGTTATGGTCTGTCATCGCTCCGACGGAGCTGTTTCGGCCAGTATGAGATTCCGTGTACAATATACCAGATCTATGTACATAGGTGTGAGTAATTACAGGGCAACCAGGGATGTCATGAGTGGAAGATAATATCTAGGACAATCCGCCCATGAAGTCTACGTAGACAACCGCTCCGAGCACTTCGTTGCGGTGTGTATACAAATGCGGTGATGGGGGGAAGGTCCATAATCATGTACAGATGCAGCAATAGCGATGAACGTGAGTGAACGTTGAATGATGTAGCGATACGTGGATCGTAGGATGGTCCAGCAAGACCAGCATAAGCCCCGGCTCGAGCTATGAGTCGGTCATTTCAGGATCCTCAGTTCGCGGGACCAATTAAGGACATCCTGGCTAAGCCCTCTGACGGACGCATCTCCATCCACCACTCGTACAACTCTCTGAGTTCATCTGCCTCTTCGTGTTCGAGGTACTTATTCAGCATCGCCAGGTTGCGTATGTTCGGGAAAAGCATCTTCCTCGCGCCCGGCTCAGCACCGAGACTGTCGTCGGGTGCCCCCATCGTCAACGTGTAGCAGAGCTCACGGATGGTGCGCAGCATCGCCGGCTCATACTGACCGATCGGGTTGAGGTCCGTTTCATCAGCATTGTCCGAGTCGATGGGCGGTCCTTCCTCTGGCGCGGGGTCCGCCGGCGGTAGTCCTTCCTCTGGCACGGGGTGCACCGGCGGTGGTAACGGCGCACGGACCTTTATTTCCTGCAGTGCTGGAAAGAGGCCCAGCATATTCTCCCATAGCAAGGATTCCAGAACGTTCCTAGATGGGAGCGTTACGATGTCCAAATGCCTGACGTTTGCAAAGTCAAGCATGTCCGTCCGCGGCCCAATGATGCGGGAGTCCGAATCATCCGGCGGCTCGGGTATTGCCCAGGAGACGACGACTTTGGCATCCTTGGTGGCAGAGATTAGCACCAATACGATCTGCCGCTTCTTGTTCTCCTTGATCCCGAACATCACATATCTTGCGTCGCGCAAGTGCTCCTTGAAGGAGCTTTCGTATACCTCAGCGACGCTTTCCTCTTCGTCGTCCGGGTAGAGGCACCACATTTGCACAGAGACGTTCGTCCTCTTGGGGAAGACCAAAGAGTTGAGGATGCGAATGGCGTCATCCTGCGGCCCCTTCACCGTGAAGTTGCGGAGCCGTGGGAGGTGGACGAGACTCCGATCCATGGTACATTCCAACCCGTCCGTGTCGATGGTGAGGCTCTCCAGGAGGGTGTTTTGTCGAAGCGCCGCCAGAAGGTCATCGAGGGTGCACGCAGACCGTATACGAAGCCCCAGGACAAGGAGGTGGCCGATCCCCGCGAAAGAGACCGGGAAGTCGTATATGGTGGCATCCTTCAAACTCGGCATCGAGCCGTCGAAAATTTGTAGAGCCATTTCGGGGAGCCACTGGTCATCTGGGTACGGAACGCCCTCCTCACCTAACTTGACGGAGATGAGCTTGAGGCTTGGTGCGGGCTTGTTGAACACCCTCAGGATGGTAGATGTGTGCTCAGCGTCGAAGCGGAGGATCGTGAATTCCTCAAATCGCCCCACATGCTTGCACATTATCTCCGCGAGGCGTATAAGGTGTCGGAGTTCCGACAGGTGAAGCCCCCAATTGACGACGCCGCGCATTCGCGTGAACTCGACCTGTAGGCCTTGGTTGCCCGACAGATCCAGCCTATCGCAGACTTCACGCGTACTGCAGCGTTGATGTATAATGAACGTTCGCCACAGCGACGTCCGGGGGATGGAGAGCCTTTTCCAGCTCCCACACACTAGCGGGATTACGTCGCTCGCAAGTCTGAGGTTGCCGCCGTAGCGCACCCGTTCCTTCGCCAAGAAGTCGAAGACGACCTGGAGGACGTCATCCCGAAGAATTGACGTATTGTTCGCCCTTGGGGCTTCAAAAAGGCAGTGACGCTAGAGCAGAATCAGCGCGACGGTACGGTAGCCAGCGGACGACATGAACTCACGCGCCATACACGCTGGATGGGGTTGTCGGGGAGACGATGTCGAGATGGCCGAAGGGGGTGTTCCACCAGAGGATCACTCTTGCGCAAACGGGGGTGTGGGGTATCATAAGGCATTGTCGACGTGATGGTGGCGAACAGGAATGGGATGAGGGCTCAGCAGAGCCACGAAGGCCGCATAGGGTGTCGAACATAGGTCACGTGACTCGTGGCCAAGCAGCAGTTTCACGGCATTTCGCGAGAGCCACAGTAGCTGTGGACGGAACTGGAACTCGACGGTAGCGTGCAAGTCCGCAGAGCATTGTTGTCACGAGAAGCGGGCTAAGTAGCGCGTGGGTGAGTGTGCGCGCATCTAGATCACCTATAGGTAACTTACATGACTTGTGAGCGCATTCAGATCGAATCAACGCTGGCCTGTGTAGTTGTCTTGTCCCCCTTTGCTTTTGCACGATCCAGAAGTATAGCGGTATGGTCATCCAACCCTGTGTGTATGTAAGTCCCGTCATTTTCATTTGAGGGCGACGCTTATACAACCTTTAGCCTGTTATGCCTATCGGGAGGCGATCACGGACGGCTCCCATGTCCGCCTGGCGCTGCTTTACGGCGATGATCGCTAACTACGACGAGCTCGCGGGGTAATACTGCAGCAAATATTACAATGTAAGTTGCCACATATTCGTCTCATGGACAGTGAGGAGTCCGACCTTCTGAAAGCGCTTGTCAAATCTGCGTTCTGATGTTCTACCGACTTCAGAGAGCCTATAACGCTGTTCTAGCGGCAGCAACAAGCCGGGATGAGTCTTCGATGGTAGTCACGTCCTCAGCACTGAAGTGCAGAAGTTCCTAGAAACCAAAACGGAGATTGACTTACGTGGTCACGGCGAACGAGCTCAGGACCACGGTTGCTTGTCAAGAATTGTCTGGCCACTGAAGACTACAACACAATGGTCAGATCCGAGAATGGGCATACCTTACCTCTAGACCTGAACGACGTCTCGTCCAACGGCTGCCAATACGGTCTCTCATGACAACGGAAAACGTAGGTGCTTACCATGCTTGAAGAACGCAGTCTCATGGGCACCATCAACGCGAAGTACTTCATGTCTGAAGCCATTCCCGCAGATGGGGTTCATGCCAACCGTCGGGGCGCACTAATTCGTGTTCCCTGGGCCTGGTCGTCGGGGCTTTTGTGAACGCTACCCGGGTCACTTGTGGTGTCACGTCCGCGCTGTTTCTCAGGATAATCCTGGCACGATCCCCCGAACCTCTGTGCGACCTAGGGTCATTCATTGGCGCGTCTTGGGCGCGTCCCTTCCGAATTTGCTTCCGCCACAGTCCACTAGCACAGGCCCTAGTTCCCAGCCCCCGACTAGTACACTTGCAGCGAGCTACTCGCCTCCAGCCCCTGACAAACCGCGAGGAAACAGATGGTCGCGAGAGGAAGCGGTAGCGGGCAGCAGGGAGGGCTCGCTGCGTTGGTAGGCGGGACGTGGCGGGGGTGGCGCGGCGCCGGCGGTGTGTCCGCCACCGTGCCCAGGCGAATTTCCGATCACTTTATGTACACTCGATCCTCAGAAAGGCAACTGATCAGAAGTTTTCCCGTGTGCGCCCATACTTAGCCTGGCTCCGACTCCCCATGCGCCCCCGCCGTCCTCCTCCCCGCCCCCACAGCGCTCTGCGCCGTCGAGCTCGCCCTGCACGACCGTCGCACCATGTCTTCCGCGGACGCACTCGGCCCCCAGCTCTCCCGGGGAGACAGCAAGAAGGACTACCCCGATGACGCCCTCGATCAGGTCTCCCCGCCCACGCTCGATTCGCAGGACGTCGTGATTGAGGCTCGGCCCCCGCTGGATTACAGCTCGTCTGGCGCGTTCGTCGCGAGTCTTTGGCGCCGCTTCTGCAGTATTTGGACGAGACGCTTTACCCTGTCTTTGCTCGCGGGTCAGCTCGTTTCGCTATGCATTACTTGCACGAATGTCACGACCACGGAGCTGGTGGACCGGAACTGGTCATTGCCTACGACGCAGACGTGGTTCTTGTGAGTGTCATGAGATCCAATTGTCCGCTCACGAGCGAACGCTGAAGTCGTCCAGGTACTTCTCGCTCTTCATCGTGTACACGCCCTACACAATCTACCAGTATGGATTTAAGGGATGGCTACAGATGATCTTCCGAGACGGCTGGAAATGTACGTCCTTCGCTCCCATGATCTCTGCCTCTTCTCTCATCAACGTTCTAGACTTCCTACTTGCCGCCTGCGACGTCGAGGGCAACTTCCTCGCGGTCAAGGCATACAACTACACGACCCTTCTCTCCTGCGAGCTGCTCGACGCCTGGGCGATCCCGTCCTGCCTCTTCTTCTCCTGGGTGTACATGCGCACGCGATACCAGCCCTCGCAGCTCGTCGGCGTGCTCATCTGCATCGGCGGCCTCGGCCTGCTCGTCGCGTCGGACGAGCTTACGGACAAGGACTGGACGGCGGCGAACCGCGGCCTCGGTGATGCGTATATGGTGATCGGCGCGACGCTATATGGCTTCAGTACGTCTGCTATTCTGGTTCTGGTGTGGGATGTGGGGTTGATGGGATGTGCTACAGCGAATGCGACGGAGGAGTTCTTCGTGCGCAGATCGCCTCTGTACGAGGTCGTCGGCCAGCTTGGGATGTGGGGCATGATCATCAATGCCATCCAGGCTGCCGGCCTTGAGCATCAGGCAATGCGCGAGGCCACCTGGAGCGGTATGAACAGTCAGTTCTCATCCATCCCGCGCCTTTTCGCCCGATAATGACTGGGATCATGCTAGTTGGACTCCTCGTCGCGTACACAGCGTCGATGTTCATCCTCTACACCGTCGCGCCGATGCTCTACCGCATGGCGTCCTCTGCGTACTACAACCTGAGCATCCTCTCGAGCGACTTTTACGGGCTGCTCTTCGGGCTTTTCCTCTTCGTACGTACACTCGCTCTCGCCTTCGCACCGTGCCCTGACATTGACAATGCTTGGCTGCAGCACTACCGGCCGTTCTGGCTGTACTTCCCCGCCTTTGCGGTGGTCATCCTCGGGCTTGTCATCTACTTCTGGAGCGCGCCGCGTACGTTCTCTCACCAATGCTCGATGCTACTTCTGGCTCACCTGTCCAACTATAGCCGAGTCGCAAGGCAAGATCGAGCCGCGTATCCCTGCGTACATCGAGCGGCAGCACGACACGATCAACATCGTCGCAGGGCAAGTGTAAGATTAGATACGGGGGACGCGCGGAACGCAATGACTGAACGATCATGTTGTCACGACCTCCCATTCGGAGCGGTAGAGTTTGTTGGTTCGATCTTCATGTAGCGCTAATCTAGGTCTGGAAACGTTTGCTTGGTTCTTTGACGGTTGACGATCATTGTGCTAGGGCCGAAGGTAGCTCGGCTTCAAGGTGAAAGTAGTGAAACATGTATTGTGAAAGAGTGTGAGTCCATGGGAGACCGAGATAGTGCACATGAGATTAAACGAAACAGCGGTCGATAAGACTACAAGGGAGAGAAACACGGCAGAGAGAGGGGACGATGTAGTGAAGCAAGTAAGTTCCGATAAGTTATTAGGTCTTTGCGCGATGCTGAGCACAGCGACGTTTGGCTTCAGGCATCCACTTCATGCGGACGTGAAGTCAACGGGGTAGCGTGGCTTGGGAGGCTGCTGTTGCGCTGCTTGTTGCTGCTGCTTCTGCTGCTCCTCATGCTGCTTCCGCCACTGCTCGAACATCTTGTACTGCTCGTCCTTGAGCGCTTGCATCTGCTGCAGGTGCTGCTCGCGCTGCGTGCGGGCCTCGGCCAGTTTCTGGAGCACATGATCAACAACTCTGTCGACGGACACCGAGGTGATGATACTTACGACTTTCAGGCTTTGTACTGTTGCGAGGACGGAGTCGAGGGTGGCCTCTGACAGTTCAGAGATCTATAACATGGGATGAGCCCCGTGTCTGGATGCTAACAAAGACTGTAGACTTGCAGTATCAGTGGCTTGCTTTCCGAGTGCCTGCACACGGTGGCGGTCCTCCTCCCAGCGGTCTGTCGGCATCGGAGGGGGGAGGACATGCGGAGCCGGGGGTTGGGCCGGGGCAGCAGCAGTCTGTACCTCCTGCGCAGGCGGCGGCGACTGCCAGGACTTGTGCCCGTCCTTCGAGCTCCAGCTCCATCCCCAGCGCTTCCCGTACTCCCTCTTCTGCTCCTCTGCCTGGCTCGCGTTGTACGCCGCGGGAGGCGCGCCGGAGGGCATGGGGTACGCGTCCTGGGGGATGCGGTCGCGCCAGCAGTGGCGCGTCTTCCACTCGTGCGCCTGGTGCGACTTGAACCACCACGTCGCCGTGCCCGCGCCGATGAGGAACCACAGGATGCGAGGGCCGCCGCGGCGGTGGTGGCGGAAGCTGCGCCAGTACTCGGCGGGATAGGGGTGTCCGGCCCAAGGGTTGTGCATGATGTACGGACGGGTAGTTGGGCGGTTGGGTGCGAATGGGTGGCTGCTTAGCGTGGGTCGATGGGTCCAGTACGGCGCGGCCAGTGCGCGACTCTTATACGGGGCGGGACGCTGTGCAGGGCCTCTGCTGCCGAGGGTGTGCGTGGGCGGGAGCGATGTTCCCGCCGTACGCGTAGCATGGCCGAGGTGAGACGCTGGGTGTGTCTGGAGATGCGCATGGGCCATCCTGACACCGCCGGGCCCATGCGTCAGCGGGGGTACGCCGTGCTCGCGGCAGGAGGAACGCGACGGACTCGGACTCGGACTGCGACTCAGATCCATATGCGCGTCTCGCCGGCATCGCAGCCTCAGACGGCGCGTCCATTACACATGCACGTGACCCGTGTTCCGGCAGCCGCAGTTTTTGTCTGATATGCCAAAACAAGTTTAGACGCCAATTATCGTGCAAACTCGCACAAACTCGCCACATTGTCGCCGAGGTTGTTCTTTGCCTGCTGCACCGTCGACGTCCCCGACCGCCTCTCCCCCGACGAGCAAGAGCACGCTACGATGGCCAACGCAGCTGAGGAAAATGGTGAGCACTGGGTCTCGGGCACTTCTATCCTTCTTTCACGTTGTCTTTCGGAGGCAGGGTCGGACAGAGCTAGGTCCAAGGATCTCACAGGTGACTGCCGTCTAGCCACCTCACCCTGCCTTTCTCCAGACCGCAGACCACGGACGTATGGTGCTCGGCCCCGCGCACCATGTCCACATTGTTTTCTAGCTAGCTAGCACCAGACTGGGCCATCGCCTCCGCCGTTCGCGTCTCATACCGGGCTCCCTACTGACACGCCTCCACTGCTCATGCGCACCGTGTACTTACCACACCTTTTCCCTCTACCCGTTCACAGACCGCCACGGCGACCGCTACCACTTTTCCCGGCACAGTGACCGCGACCGCGAGCATCGGCATCGCGATGATCGCGACAGGGAACGCTACGAGTCGAGGCGTCACGGCGAGCACCGAGACAGAGACAGCCATCGCGACCGTGATAGGGACCGGGAGCGCTATGGCGGAGGACGCGGCGGGCGCGATGAAGCCCCGCGCCGCTCCCGTCATGACGATGATCGCCGTCACCGCCATGATGACCAGGCGGCCCAGGGGATGGCTCCTCCCGGAGGGTACCGTGGCAAGCGAGAAGAAGATGGAGGTGAGCGCAGAGGACGAGGAAAACAGCGCGATGGCCTAGGTACGCCTGAGAGGAGGTCGCCCACCCCTCCCGATGCCGTGCCTCTTGTACAAAGGAAAAGGAAAGCCAGTGGTTGGGATGTTCATGCGCCTGGTTATGAGCAGTACACGGCAATGCAGGCTAAGCAGACTGGTATGTTGACCTCGCCTTCACACCGTTCTCCAAGCTCAAAATGCATTCGAGGTCTTTTCAACTTGCCCGGCGCCAACCGTACCCAGATCCCGCCTATCCTTGCCATTCCTGGTCTACCGCCGCCGATGCCCGTGCAAACATTCGGAATGGGCATTGGCAGTAACCCTAACCTGTCCAGACAGTCGCGCAGATTGTACATTGGCAGCATCACCCCAGAGATCAACGAACAAAACCTAGCAGACTTCTTCAACTCGAAGATGAAGGAGATGGACATTGGTACCGGTGGACCAGGGAACCCCGTTCTAGCTGTACAGTGCAACTATGAGAAGAACTACGCATTCGTCGAGGTGAGTCTACATCCGTTTGTCCTCAGTCCTTCGCTGATCAAACGCTATCAGTTCCGCAGTGCTGAAGATGCTACAGCAGCTATGGCCTTTGATGGCATCATCTTCCTCAACGGGCCTCTCAAAATCCGTCGACCCAAGGACTACGGCGGACCTGACGGAATGGCCCCCAACATGCATGTTCCTGGCGTTGTCTCCACTAATGTCCCCGATTCTGCACACAAGATATTTGTTGGCGGCCTGCCGACATATCTCAATGAAGAACAGGTCATGGAGCTACTGAAGAGTTTCGGCGAGCTCAAGGCTTTCAACTTAGTGCGTGAAAACGGCAACGGACCGTCCAAGGTATGTCTCGGAAACGGTTCTTGGGGTTTCGATACTCAGTTGAACTGATTGGCTCCTCTGCAGGGCTTCGCCTTCTTCGAGTACGTGGATGAAAGTGTCACAGATGTCGCAATACAATCCCTTGGTGGCATGGAACTCGGCGACAAGTACCTCGTCGTCCAACGCGCCTCCGTGGGCGCCAAACCAGGACAGCCTCCTATCCCAGGCATGCCGGACATGTACGACCAGGTCGAGATCCCGCGGCCCATCCTGCCCGCGGGCGACATGGACGGCACAGAAGCACGCATCCTACTCATGCTGAACATGGTCGTCCCCGAGGAGCTCACCGACGACCAGGAATACGCGGACCTCTACGAGGACATCAAGGAGGAGTGCGCCAAGTTCGGCGCGGTCACGGACCTCCGGATACCGCGCCCCGTCAAGCGCGACAAGGCCGGGTGGGGCGACGGTGGCCGCGAGAGCGCGATCGCCGCGCAGCGCATGGACGAGGCGGCGGGCGTCGGCCGCGTGTACGTCAAGTATACGGAGGCGAACAGCGCCGGGGCGGCGCTGAAGTCGCTTGCGGGCCGTAGCTTTGCGGGCCGCAGTATCATCGCGACGTTGCTCTCTGACGAGAGCCAGACGACACCCCCGTTGAGCATCATCTTCGCCCCTCAGCCTGACGCGCCGCCTCCGTTGCCGCAGGACTGAGCAGGTAATTCAGGTCTCGATGTGCTAGAGCTGTGCTTTCTTGAACGTACTCGTGACATCCCTGTATTTATCTGCTGCCTTGTGGGCTGCCTTGACCTTACTGTGAATGTTATTGTAGTCGACCATGCGATTTATCGAGATTGGTGCCTGCATTACGCTACTCAAAAGGTTTTCACTCCTGTGTAAATGGGGTACCCGAAGCCAGGCCCGCGCGGTGTAAGGCTACGGCAGTGTTATATGGATTGGCAACAGGCAGCGCGAGAAGGTATGGTCATGTTTGTTTGTTTGTTTGTTCCCTTTATTGTCACTGAGGGCGTAGCCCTATGTAGACATAAGATGTACGTAGTGTAGAGTCCGTTGGTCGACTAATGAATCACTGAGTATGCTCGAACACCGTCGAGATAGGGGATATTAGTACAGTATGAGACAGGGTATAGTAGGTGGTGTGTGCGTCGTAGTAGTCGATCGCCGTAGGCGATCATTTCCGTTCGCTGTCTCGTAGCGTGAGCTCGCCGTACGTGGCCGCGAAGCGGCCTGTAGCGTGGATGTAGCGGAACAGTGGGCTCAACGCCTTCGGCTCGGTCAGAAGTATGGTCATGTAGTTACTATAAAGTCACTCAGTCTACTGCAGCACAGTTAGCACCACGACCGCGGACACAGTTGTGTTTAGTTCCTACGTACCGTGGGTTTCTTTGTCGATGTAGCATGCACGCGCCATTAAACGGCTTGATATTGTGAGGGCATGTCGTACTTGATGCCCTGGCCCAGCTCGTCGTCCTTGTGCACCACAGTCGATACGTCGACGGCGACGGCGCGCATGACGTGGGATTGCCTGGGGTTGCGGTGTGACCGGAGGACGCCGGAGGACGCCTGCGAGACGACCCCCTTCGCCGCCCAGCCGAGACGGACGCGGACGTTGATCATCATGAACGCGATGCCGGCCACTTGGCAGAGCGTGTCGACGAAGGTGTACTGCAGGTTCGAGTCCGCCTCGTACACGGCGAAGAAGACAACAGCGTAGATTCTAGTGGTGCCACGGTGAGTTGGATGTGTGACTGAAGTTAACACGCACGCACGTATACAATGCGGCACTCTCGACGATGGTGATGAGGACTCGCTGTTCACCGAAATGCCATGAGATCTACGTTTTGTGCTACCTTGGATCCGAAGACGTACCATCAAGTTACCGCCGATATACGGCCGGACAGTGCTTCTGTTCGCCTTCCAGACTTTGAAGGCAAGCATGCCTAGTCCGAAGCCCTCAGCTTGCGCCGTCGAGTCTAATACTGTAATACTGGCTTACCCGAGCTATAGATGTTGGTACTGAACAATATGTCAGGCGATTGCCCCGCCTATGTTTGGAAGCAGGAACACTAACACGAATGTCGTGGCATAATCCGCCTTGACCCAGTGTGCGACGTCCGAGACAAAAATCGTATCCGCGCTTGCGAGCCGTGACGCAGTGTAGATGATACCAACGCCGGACACTACGTCAAAGTCATTATCCAACCGCCTCTGCACGCGTCTCGATACTCACCACAGAGCCCGAGGATCGTGAAGATCGGGACTATGATGACGTACCAATTGCGGCCCCAGACAATCCACAGTCGGTAACACTACAGGATCAATTAAGAAAGGTGACCAGTTCAAGAAGATCAATGAAGACGTACAATCATGACGTCCGCACCAATCAGAGTGCCGATAATTGCAGCAGATTTTGCAACCTCCGTTGACTGAGATAGATCCGTATAAAACAGTAGCGGCGCCTGTCCGCCCTCGAATATGACAAACGCCTGGAACAGACGCGTCATCGTCAAGACCCAGTGCTACATACGACGCATACATGAGTGTCTGGTCGTACGGGGAAGATAAGGGGACTCACTGCCGTGCAACATGCGCATATATAGATGGACCCAATGAAAATCGGCGTCAGGGTACGTGACAGCCGACTTGTACCGCGAGACGAAGTTGAAACTGAATCAGAGACATGATCCAGATGGAGATAGAAGAAGGTCAATGAGAGCAGCAGCACAATGCCGTAAAACAAGCTCTCGATGCCCACTGTGACCAAGTTGGCGGAGATGAGAGTCACCTTGTCTGGCATCGCGGAAGGGCTGTAGCTTGAAAAGTCGTATACGGTACTACTGTTGACAGCGCCTATATAGGAACGAGCCTGCGAGCGCACACGGAGCTGGCGTGTTGCACTGGTACATGATGATAGTCACGGTCTGGTGGTTTGTTGGTGGTTTGTTGCAATTGGTGGTTCGCATGGAACCAACTGAGCGCCTCGGAATGTCCAGGGAGCGACGAGCTGTCAGAGATATCCACCGTCAGAGATAGTCCACTCGGACAAGAATCTGAGAAACGACTGGAAGGTAGCTATCATGCTCTAGAATGGATGGGAAGACCCAATATCAAGTTCCATTCTAATCGCAGCGTATCACGCCCTTCAGTGAGCATTCCGCGGCGCGTCCGGTGGCGTGGGACGAGTGACTCACTGTCGGCAGGGACAGCGTTGTGGGGCCAACACCTGTCCCTCTACTGCTATGTACCGACCTCATACTCGTTGTCCGTTCGTCGTCTCGTCGGCGTGTCAGTGCGTCATCCGGGTCGTCTGCGCTTGGCACCACGATGTTGACTCTCGAGCTCGAGTACCGCTAGATAGTCTCCGCTAGGCAGACCTTGAATAGGATCTTATCGAGTCTAAGGGGACGAGGGCAGTCATAACAAATGAGGGTGCTGAGTAAATATCACCACCAGAAACCTGGTTCACGTTTGCGAGGTGGTCTTCCGGTCGAAGCAGGACATTGCGGAGCGTTGAATTTGCTACTAATGCTACATGCCGTCTGGGACTAACAGACGTTACGGATATGCACCATTGACTTGATCAAAGCATTAGCACCTGGAGGGAAAAGAGTGTCATGCAGCTGATATCCATTGCCCTAGCGGCCGGCTCGAGGGTATAATGGTTGGTCCGTGTAATAGACTTAGCGGATGAAGTATGGTGAAGTACAGATACGTGAAGGTGAAAAATGCAACAGGATAAAAGCGATGCCACATGATATATACCAACCACGAGAACCATATAATAGTCATATTCGCTGCCGCACTGCGGGCTGCGGGTGTCCGTTAGGAATAAAGGGATGTGCTCCTTCGCCGCTGCTCCGCGGGGGCACGTATGAATTCGACATGGACGCGGGCCGACTGGGCGGTTGCCCAGTAAATGGCTGCCGCTCCGGCGGCGACCAGTCCTCGTCGTTGGGCTGGGCCTGTCGAGGTTGTGGTGCGTGGATGGGCGGCATAGTCTGCGATGCCGACGGGGGCGGTGCACCCGAGGGCAATGGATATGAGAACGGTGAGTGCGGCATTGTCGGAGCAGACGGCGGTTGTCGCAGCTGGGATTGGCCGTTGCGTATTGGGTTTTCTGAAGGCGAACTGACCATCGGCGGCCGGTCCTGGAACTGAGGGTTCGTTTGCGCTCTAGACAAATGTGAGCCTCAAGCCCAGACAAATTACTGGCATAAGAACCTTGGTGGCATTGAACGCATGTCTTCAGGTCGCGGCGTGCCCGGGTTGTAAGGTGCCGATCCCGTTACCGGTGATGTCAGGAGCGGTGTCCGACCGCTAGCCTTGAGGCGCATGTAGGTATCACACTTCTTGAGGAACTCTTTGCTGGGCAGATCCAGACTGTTGGCGAAGTACTCCTGATCTTGCAGAATCGACAGGAATTCTTGCGGTACGCTATAGAATTCATCCTGATTCTCTAGGAGGGTGGTGACAACCCGGATGGCTCCGAAGCTCTCGTCTCGCATCGCGTCCTTATGCCGAGAGTACAAGATGCTAGGACAAATGACAGTCGCCAGGTTCGGCATATCCATCTTGCTTCCCGTCTCCGTGTCCAGATGAGCGAAGGACGCAACCCACTTCAAGAACACGAACAAGACTTCCATGGTGTCTCTGTGAGGCTTGGGCAGGATGAGTGAGATCATATGCAACATCCGATTCCGCTCTTGTTCGTTGGGCAGAGCTATTGATCAAGGACTTAGGACGCGACTGAGTATCCCGGGCAAGAAAAACGTACACTGTGTTGCAATGAACAACTTGTGCAGCTTGAAGGTCATCAATGGGTCTGGCAATTCACGGAAGAACTTCTTCAGCAAGGCAGCCAGTTGTACTGGATTATCCTGTGTGAAGTCCACGGACGAAGGGTCTCGGTCGATGGCCTCGATCACCTGATTGAGACGCCGGATGTTCCCATTACGGCGGAAGATGCCCTCAACAGACATGTCTACGGGTCGTCGTCGGCGTCAGCAACATGTACCACACGACAGAATTCGCCTTACCCATTTGCCGCATGGCTGAGATGACATCGTCGACGAAGCTAGGTATCTTGACTGCGGTGCGCGATGCTCCGAGGAGCGACTCGGCGCCCTCCCTCTCGACGAGAAGTTCCAGTGGCACGCCGAAGACGCCTAAAGAAAGCTCAGCAACGAAGTTCGTGCTCAGTCAACGATGGCTAACCTTTCTTCTTGACGTTCTTTTTGTCATTGCCGGGTTTGAACAACCGATTCCAGAATGAGCTCTTCTTCATCTCGACCAACTCGAGTATTTCGTCTAAGTCAAACTGGTCTCGCAGCGGTGATCGTTGTAGCGCCAGTACTGCACAGTGCTTGACCACGGCAAGCTCAAGCGTATTGAGCTCCGCAATGAACGGGATAGAGCTTTGACGAGGGAGCGAACGGCGTTGCTCTCGCGCCTGTGCAGCTTCCACGATCTGCGGAATGTCGGCAAGTGTGATACCGTCTTCGATGCCACCGACAGGATCGTCGACACCCCCGGTCGGCGACGTCGGCGCAGAATCGTCGACGATCATGACGCCCGTATTGTTGCGCGCAAATGGTGGTCTGATGACCTGCCCCTGTGGGCTGGTGTCGATGGTGCCAGGTGGTGTTCGTGTCGTTGATTCTGCTTGCGCGGATTGCTGAGGTGACCGTTGCTGCTGCTGCGGTCTGGATGGTGAAGGAGTGACGCCATGCGGTGTTGCGCGGAATGAATTCGACGGAACAAGCTCGTAGGGTCGCTGGGTGCCTGTGGCATCCGCAGATTGCGCGACCTTGCCCGTCGGACTCTCGACCACTGTCGATCGCCTGGGCACGCGAGCAGTAGCAGATAGCTTCCGATCCAAGTGCACGGACTTGAGCATGTTGATCTCGCTCGCATCACGGTAGGGATCGTCTTCTCTATGGTTGGTTATCTGGCTCGGGGCTGCATGAGATGTAAGAGAGATGATCTACAGGCACAAGAATGTCAGAAGACGTACCCGGAGCAAGCTGAACCACGCCGCGTTTCTTGAGCAGCACATACAGTCGGCGAAGGGCAACATTGAGCAAGAACGCATATTGCTCCAGTCTCGAGACGGCTTGGAACCCACTTCGACAACCGTTATGACCATGCTCTGTACAAAAAATGACGGTGGGCACAACCCCGAAGGAGCTCGTCTCCTTGACGGAGTCGACTTCATAGACGAAGAGACCGACGTTGGCGGGCGGTCGCCGGGCTGTTGACAACTTTGGAGTCTCCTTGTCCTTCTCCTTGTCATCCTGGGACTTCGGTAAGGCAGGCTCTTTCGCTGCAGGCACGGCGGCAACCTTCCCGCAAGTGGCACATTGTACGCAATGTGAATGCCACCTCTGGTAAGTACCTAGCCGTACGCAATCTTCCTCGACCGTCTGATTGCACTTCACGCACAGATCGGACGGCGGGTTAACGACGTTGATCTTCGCCAGGCCAGGATCCCGAGGCCCGCTTGCGAACGGCGATTCACCAGCATTCTCGGGAGCCAAGCTCCTGAAACCGAACGTGACGCCTTGCGTGCCGTAGTTCCCGTCGCCCTCCGCTGGCATCATGAGTTCACCGTTTGCCCGCTTCATTATCCGCTTCGCGCTCGGGCTCCCGCCCTGTACCGCCAGCATATGCAATTTGTCGAGGAAAGAGGTGAGGGCCTCCTGAACGTGCTGCTCCCGCTCCAGCTTCAGAGCGCCCGTGAGAGCGATGCGAATTAGTATCTTGAGGTAGTGCGCCAGTCCAGTCACAAGTGCAAGAAGCTCTTGCGTCATGCCCATGCGGCGCGCTCCAGTTTCTTGGGTGTGTGATAGCAGGGTGAACAGATCGACGGTCTTCCGACACAGCATACGAGCCTCGCGTACGTGGGACATACCTGAATGAAAGGTATAGACGCGCCAAGAGCGGAGAGGTGATCAATTGAGAATGATGGTATATGAACGGTCTAGACTCACCCTTCTGTTTTAGCCGCGCGAAATGCCACTCCAGGTCGTCGATAGAGGCAAAGAGTACCTCCACATGGAGAATGAACTTCTCCGCCATCCGGATCGCTTCGAGATACTGGCCATTGCTGACCTGACGCAACATATCCGAAATGCACGCCGCGCTCGACTCCTCAAACGCGGAAAGAATACTGCGACCTCGGTCAATCGACCACACGACCACACAATTGAACTGTGAACTCACGTCCAAATCCGGTACACTTGCTGTTCCATCCGGAGTTGTTTATCCTTCAGAGACACCGCTGTTTCCCTCCGCTCCTCCTCCACCCATGGAGGCTCCTCGGGATTCAACGAACCATCTTCCCCGCTAGGCGGCAATGCAGGTCGACGTGCGACAACCTTGACATTCCAGAACTATGCACGCCGAGAGATGAGTAAGACGGCGTATGATCTGTAACCCTACGCTGACAGACCTTGTTGATCATGTAGCATTCGGGATGCCAACACTCATCCCGCATGTTGCGATTGATCTCGACGAACTGTTTGAGGATGGCGCTGTTGCAACCCGCACACTTCGTGGCGAACCGAGTAGAATAGTGGTAGTGGCAGTAGACGTCCCCTTCGTGCTCGTAATACGAGTCCTGAGGACCAAACAATGTTGGGCAGACTGAGCATGTGAAATGTTCGACATGGAACTTTTTGTCTGCAGGTACAAGCGGTCAATAGCGGTATCCTGGAGACATAGTCTGGGGTACGCACTGCAGGCGGTGATGTAACTGCCCCGCAAAGCCATGCCACACTTCGCACATATCAGGCTGAGGCGCCGGAAATAGTCCCTCTCGCATAGTGGGTGCTGCTTGCCGTCTGGCCCATCGATTGGAAAGAATTTGGAGGCGACGACTGTGCCACAGTCCTGTTTACAAGTCTGTGAGCATCAAGATGACGATCAGCCACGCACAGGCCACTCACCATGCATTTGAAGCAATTTAGGTGGTATACAGTACCGAGGGCTCGCACGAATGCACCCTGCATGGCCTTCCCGCAGGCGGAACATGGTCTGCCGACAAGGCGATAGTTAGAACACCGAAGTGGGAAGCAATCGCAGGGCAGGAAAGCACGGGTTCGGTCGATGAAAGGATAATCACGGACACTTACGTAGATGCGGCGCTGGTGCTTGTATGTGTAGTCGATGTCCCCGCCCCACCAACAGCAGCAGAACCCGAAGAGTGCAAGGAGGAATCGGAGTGCACACTCGCCGGCCGTCCCTTCCCATTGTCTGAATGATCGGATGACGACTGAGGGTGAGAATTAGACGTTCCCGGAGTGGTCGGTCGACTGGCAGTCAAGTAGCCCTGTGAGCGGCCCGAGTATGCATCGGATGAGGTGGGATCGGCGACGAGGGTCCGAGAGCTCGAGCTTGAGTGATTCAAATCCTCGCTCCGGGCGTGAGGGTAGTCATCGCGGCTAGACTTTCTCTGTTGATCGGAGTGGTAAGGGGTACTGACTGTCGAGGCTCGGTGAGGCATTCTGGCTCGCTCTGGGGGCTGAGAACTGCCAGTAGGAGAGGTAAGGAAGGCACCATTCCGAGGAGAAGACGCGGGCGACTGCTCGCGCGGCTGGGGAGGAGGAAAATCCGAAGCCATGTAGGCTAAGGCGGAGGGATCTTCGGATGAGGGAGAGTTACCAGCGAGTTGCTGCATACGGCCCTGGTTGGAGTAACTGCTCATAGATAGCGTCGTCGGGAGAGGTTCACCAGGGCCGTGGAAGAGAGTTGGAGGGGAGGTGAGCCGTCGGTTGTCGTCGTCGCCCACGGCGAGCGCGAGGGAAAGCAGCAATACTGGAAACAGCACTGGCAGAAGCAGCGACCTCGGCGTGACACTCTCCGTGACAGACGGCAACAGTGTTACCGTCACACGTCTCGTGCGATGACTCGGCGCTTACTCACTGGCATCGCAACTTGGCCGTTTCACCGCCCTCTGTTACGTGTCAGAACTGATCTCTCAATTTTGCGAGGCTGCGTGTACAATTGCAAGTCCTCGTGGTTTTCGGAGGGTATACCCGAATGACTGCTCGGCAGCGCACTCGAACAAATATGTTCTAACGGGTCAGTGCACTGCCCAAATATGAAGCACCACTCCCGGCAGCCAACGTTATTAACCAGTGGACAACGGTGTACATACTTGTATCCGAGGTCGCCTGCCATTTCCTAAGTCACACCCGGCAGGGTACAGGGCCGGATGCTGTGTACGTAGGTCATCGCCCAGGTAACTTCACACAATGTGAAGACTCGGAGAACAGGTACTCCTGAATATTTAAATTTGTGTAGGACCAGCTGCAGTACATATCTCGACCTGACTCACTGAGTATCGGGCGCACTGGGACTGCTGCAGCCAATGTTTGACAACGACGCACATGTCCGAGGCAATCAGGAGCACCTCTCAAGTATAATCATAATGATGCTCGACAAGTGTGTCTCATTTCGTTTAGGTCATCATTTCCCAATGAATTCCTTCATACACCATCATTGCGATTAGAGTGCCGTGGACTCATCTACATTCAGGATCAACGTCGTGAAGAACCGTATCATCTCGATGAAATTCTGCGCGTCGCAAGCTGGACAGATAAAGTTCAGTCATGATGCGGAATACGAACAAAGGGGGCATCACCTTCGTTGATGGTATGCACACCACTCAGTCCACTGCCATTGCCCGCGTTGTAGTGAGTGTATCGGAAGATATGGGGCGTGAGCGTCCAGTAGTACCGTGTATCTGACTCCAAGTATGAATTACGGCGCCAACATTCAGACACCACCCTGACGTACCGGTGTTACCAGACACGAGACTGGGAATGACAGCGATGCCGTCCTCAGTCAGGTCGCGATGCGCGTTGAACGTCGACTTGATGGTGCCGGAGAGGAGTTGGAAGGGCGCGGCGTTCGCGCCCGTCGGCGTGACAGGCGCGGGCTCCAGCGCCGTTCCCCATGCGTCGCTCAGCGCGAGCGAGCCGTAAGCAGGTGCATCGCCCGTGATACTCGTGCCAAAAGCGGTAAATGACAAGTTAAACTTCGCTGCAAGGTCCTTGAAAGCCGCAATAACGTGCTCTTGGACAGCGCCCACGGAGCTGACATTCGGTCAGCAGGTGTATATGGCCCATGCCCTCGTGAAGACTGGTGGCACGGACCTGTCAGTGGCGATACGGTGGTTGATGACCGCCATCGCGTTCTCAGGGAGGGCGTTCGACTTAACGCCACCACCGATGATGTCGATCGCCTGGGTAGTGCCAACAAGCGCCTTGAACGTCGGGTCCTTGAAGAGCTCGTCTTGAGCCGCCTTCAGTGCCTTGTCTGACGAGCTGGCCTTCTTCATCGAGCTGCGGATGGAAGAGGGCAACTCTGGGGCATGAGCTGCGAGACACTCGGCATGCCAGTACGTGGGAGTTCCGCGAGAGAGCTTCGCCTCGATGGGATTGTTCTCGTAGTGAACGAGGAGCTCGGCAAGCATACCAATAGTCTACCACCCGGGGTCAGCATGTTTGGCGGGACACGCATTGAAATCAAGTCATACCGTATGGACAGGTGGGACACTGGAATGACCTCCAGGTGCGGCCATCTCAACGCGCACATCGATGTATCCCTTCTCTGCGACTGAGGGGAGAGCGAACGTGCCACCGTATTGCTCAGAGATCTTGCCTGCGGGTCAATGACTCAACTTATAGAACGCTGAGAGTGTGACGCATACCGAACCTCCTTCGTCAACGAGCATAGCGAAAGCGTTCTCGCCGTAGGTCGACAGCAAGTAGTCACCGAGTGCGGATGCGCCCTGAATACGTATATATCAGTACCGCGGTCAAACGGCGATAGAACTTGTCCATACCCTGCGGCCGCTGACTTCCTCGTCGAATCCGAAAGCGAGAACGAGGGTGCGAGCCGGCTGGAAGTTTTTCTCGAGCAACAGTTCGACCGCCGTCCTATGAGAAAGTGAGTAAGATACGAAAAAGACCAGCAATGCGAACATACATGATACCAATGAGACCGCTTTTGTCGTCTCTGCTACCACGGCCCCAGACGTACTTGCCTGACGGCTATGTCAGTTGAGGGTAGGCCATACGTCATCGAGTCCTGACCGTCGAAGTACCCCGAGAATGGCGGATGCGTCCACGAGTCGTAAGTGTCAGGGTTCACAGGAACAACATCTGTTCATCGAGTTCGGATGTATGTCTTGTGAGTCGCCCCAGTAGTGACCTACCTTGGTGCGCCGTCAGCAAGAGCGGCTTGAGCGATTCCTCTGTGCCCTTCCAAACGTACACCAAGCCATACGTGTTGACCTTGGTGAGCTTTAACGTGGCATGACTGGGATGCAATACCTCAATTTGTATCTCACCACGGTACAAGGCACAGCGCTTACATCTGGGGATACGCCTTCAGCAAGTAGTCGTGGAAGGGACCGAACGTTTCCCATCGAGGATCTTCCCCAATAGGACCCAAATCGTCGTAAGATTGCGTGCTACACTGGGTGAGAACTAACATCGAATGTGACAGCTTCCATCACTCACGGAATTCGTACGGCGCCGCCCAGCAATTCAACTGCCCTGTACAAGAAGCTGTCTGTCTTGTAAGTCTCGGCGAGCGTCTTGAACAACCCCGTGTTCGTCTCAGGACTCAGCGCAGTCGCCTGAGGACACAAGGCGGCCGTCTCTACGTGACCGTCTCTTTCATCCCAGAGCGCCTGGATGCCGCCGGTCGCAGGCTGGAAGGTGTAGCAGACCGCAGACGCGAAGACGAGAGTGAGAATCCATTTCAGAGGAGCCAGTCGCGAGAATGGTCGCCTAGGGCTCTGGGCTGGCTGGGGTAGCTCAGACAACGAGACATGACCCTTCTCTCCTTGGGAAGACATGGCGATTCTGAGTCCGATCCCGAGTCCGAGGTGGGTGAATGGCCGCCTCATCGTTCCATGTTGATTATATATACGCGGGCGACGTGATACATCCCGAGCTGCGTGATCCTTGGCGGCAGTTGCGGCACACCGCTAGCATATGCACCCTCCAGTGGTCTTGCGATAAGACGCGTTCGCTGACCATACATACGAAGGTGAGTGCTTGAGAAATGCCGATGGACTCCCGGGCGTTTGGTTCAACCTTATGGAGCCTCAGATAAACAAAGGGGCTGCGTGCACCAGGGCCGTACGACACGCACCTTTGAATGCGTAGAGAGATCTGAGACCAACGCCCTGGGCGAATGAAGGCGTACATAATAACGGGTTACGCAAGTTTGTTGAGACCACAACATCGCGAATTGCAGGCGGTCAGAGGCGCTTGGACCCCGGCAACCCTTGTCGGAGAACAGGGTGCAAGCGGTCCCGGCCAGTACGGGATCGGGCATCGAATTTTTGCCACCGCGCACTCGACCGAGCGCGCACGCTGGCGGACGACGACGACGACGAACAACCCAATGGGCTATGTGCAGAAACGGCTGGCTTCGACGGCTGCAAAGCTAGCCGTGTCTCCCTCCCACGTCCACGAACTCATCTCCAAAAAGGCTGTCGCCTCGACCTCTTCCCGGGACTTCTTCGATGCGCAGACGTGGGCAGCGCTGCAGCCCCCTCCCGAGTCCGCCCTCACCGCGTTCGCCCACCGGATAGGCCTCGCAGACGTCCTGGGCTCTACGGAAGTCGTCCGGCAAGCATGCACGCACCCCTCCTTCCTCCCGCTCTACACCAGACACCATCCAAACCAGCCGCAACCCGTCACGAACGCGAACCTTGCAACCCTCGGCAACTCATTGCTGGGCATGTTCGCAACGGAGCACATCAATGCCACGTACCCTCATTTGCCTACGCGTGTGATGAAGGCTGCCGTCAGTGCCTACGTCGGCGGGACGACGTGTGCGGCAATAGCAAAGGAAATGGGGGCAGCATCTCTGCTCAGGTGGCATAGAACAGTACGTATGCCAGGATACATTGGTCGGCTTCCGCTCACGTTGCGTTTCCCTAGCCGTCTTCGTCGACAAGACCAGCGGTCTTGCATCCTGATGCTCTGAGCTCCGTTCCGCGTGCTCTCACTGGACTAGTCTACAAAAACCGCTCTCTGCTGTCTGCCCGCAAATTCGTGCAACGATTCTTCCTGAGCAGGGAAGTTGACCTGCGTAGCATGATCAAGTTCCGTGATCCTCGATTGGCACTGATGTACACCGTGCAAAAGTTCGGGCGAGAACTACCAAAATCCAGGTATGCCTCAGCACTCGGTGTCCGGCACGGCGCTCTAACAAATGCACACTTGAAGGTTGCTCAAGGAGACTGGACGGTTTTCGAACTCTCCTGTATTTGTCGTTGGCATCTACTCAGGCGCCGACAAGCTTGGCGAAGGGTTTGGTAGCTCCTTGAAGATGGCGGAGTACCGGGTGCGTTTTCCTAAAATCCCTCTTCTATGCATCCTGTTGACCTCGTGTGACAGGCGGCGGAAGATTCCCTGCACAGACTCTACCTCACGCGACAACCGCCACACCTAGTACAGCTACCAACGTCGACCTTCGCCGATGGACGGGGCAACATTTACGATGTTACCGGTCCGGGGAGCGCATATGAGCCGAGCGCAATCGCAGACTCGGAGGTGCTCTACGGCAGTCTGGGGCGGACAGGCGCTATGACGCCCGGCAGACACACCAGAGAGGGCGACGAGAGAGATATAGAGGACATATTGTAGTATGCATGCAATGCTCATAATGCTGATAGTACCGGGCTCTCGAGTGCTATATGTCCCAAGCTGTTCCCTTGTAGCGACGCATTCTCAACGTTCCGAACACTTACGGCAAGCGGGCCTTGAAGGGGCCGGAGAGGTGTCCGTTCCTATCTATGCAAGCACCAATATCCACGTTGACAAACGGTGCGCACTTCACATTGTCTGATGTATGACGCACAAGCAATACAGGGGTTATAGAGATACAGCACATTTCTCGCCAGGTATTTTACACGCTCAAAGCACTAGGCACATCTTTCATTACACGCCCTCACTTCTTGACAACAGTGAGGGTGAAGCCGTTGTAGGCGTTCGGCAACCGCACGACCCCAACCATCCTCTGACCAGGTTGTTGGAAGGGATTCAGAGCAATGGGATAGTCCTCGCGCGGCTCGCACCCGCCCGCCAAATATGCCGGGAACAAGCTGCGCTGGTGCTCCGCGGACTGCTCCGCATACTCCGTCACCGCGAAGGGGATGCCGGCCCAGTGCGTCGCGCGGACGACAGGGATCCACTCGGGGTAGGAGCCCAGGCCGGCGTTGCACGCGACGACGGCGTCGGGCACTTCGCCCTCGGGCGTCCACTCTTTGGTCTCGCCGTGGAAGTGCACGGACAGTGCGCCGGCGCCGAGCGCGTCGGGTGCGCGGTAGGTGTAGACGGGGTCTTGGGCGGCGAGGGCACCGGGCTTCTTGCGTGCGGCGTCGACGACGGCTTTGACTGCACCGCCGAAGAAGACGAGCTTGATGTCGTGGTACGGGAGCAACAGTACCAGCTCCGCGAATCTGTTGCGGGGCAGAATCCATACGATCAGCTGGGGTGGTCATGACAGTTCCGACAAGTCATCCTACATACAGCGGGACGTGGTTGAGCTCGACCTCCACACCGAGGAGGTGCACAATCAGGGATACGCGCTTGTCCGCAGACCCAGCGGAGGGTTTGGTGACTTCAAGGCAGCGCACAAGCAGTTGGTAGACACTCAGAGGGGCCGCCATCAAGAGCGCCGCAGGAGACTCCAGTGGTAGGCCGCGCCAAGCATACCAGCTTTTCCAGTCCCTGATCCTCTCCGGAAGCTCCGTCACAATGACCGGCTGTTTCGCGGAGGAGTGTGTGAAGTCGAGATACGGGATCAGGCGCGAGGGTAGCTTCCAGCCTTGCTCGTCGGTGAGGTGTTTCTTCTTGAGCAGATCGTTGCCGTCGATGAAGTTGTCTAGCTTGAGCAGTCCGCCGAACGTAGGGTCTGCTCCGAGACCCATCGGGCCCACGTTGGCGTGGGGTGCGGAGCCTCCCCGGTGGGACCAGTAGCCGTATCCAGAACTCCCGAGTACGTCAAGGCGCGCACGCGCAATATCAAAGTTGAAGGTGCCGTCTGACTCGAGTCGACCCCAGGGGAACATGCGCAGAATCGCCTGTGTCTCTGGGAGCCTCTCCATGTGCCGCTTGAGTACAAGAATAATCGCTCTGTGTCACCCCGTGGTCAACCTATTCAGGGACACATCGCGTACCTTATTATCGGCGCAAAGCTGCTTGTGCGTAGGCTGCACATGCGACACTCCACGCGCACCATGGTTCCAGTAGTGTTTGCTACACTGCAGCATGCTTCAGTATCATCGTCTTTCCACTCGCAGACCACCTACCTCCTTGGAGCACAAGATGATCGCTTTACACCCCCCGCAACGCATGGCTTTCTTGGGCGGTCGAATGGCCATGTTGCAAGCTATGCACTGTTCTGTTACGCTACATACAGAGGTACGGATCAGCAGAGAACTCAATTACGCTGAGTTGCTAAGTTGATTTACCCAAAGTCAAGATGAGAAGGCAGAGGTCCCCCTCGTTTTTCTGCCGCCATCAGTTCCTTCGCGCCCTTGCGCGCTATGGCGAACATATCCAGCCCGCCTTGGCGGCGAAGGGCTTCAAGCGCTGCCGGCGGAATCCCATTCGTGTCCATCTCAAGCTCGGATGAGCAGTTGTTCGAGGTTGGAGTTGAGAAAGACCTCAGGTCGAGTGGCACCGATCGCGATAGACGCGAAGAAGTCGACGCGTGAAGTAGCAGGAGCACGTGGTGGCGAATCCATGGTTACCGAATATGGGTGCCTGAACAGCTTCATTGCTGCGCGAGCCAGGCACGCGTACGAGCAGCGTAAGTATGCAGCACGCACCCTTCGAGGTCGATTCAGAGGTCTTTCTGGTACGCGTACTTCCCGGGCAGCCATGGACAGCCATCGAAAGAAGCCGTCAATGTGCTGCCCGTGCTCCTGCGGAGCGATCTACGGTAGGCATGCCCGTGCAGCGTGCACGAGATGCGCGTAACAGTAGCGAGCGCCTGCGATGATGCCGCATAGCGCATAAGTGGTATGTTGGATGTAAGAAAAAGACCAAGAAACCAGTGTTGTACAGCTCGTAGAGGGGAGTCTGAGTCGGAAAAGGATACCGGCCGACTGCACAGAACATTGCCCTGTGTGAGACCTCGGCCTCAGACTCCAGACGGCGGGACGGGCACCGCCACCACCAACCGCCACCGGGCGCTGCTATATTTCGACCAACACGTCTCTTGTCTCCTTTCCATTTCACACCGCGGGAGCTGCACGCCGGCCAGCGCGTGTCCATCCAGTATACCACGAACTCGCAACGCCAACGCCTCCTGCACTCACGTCCGACTACTGACAGCCACCTGAACCCGGCCAGACCCCCCTGACGAGTTCGCCATGGCAGTACTATCCCTGCCGCTGTCGTTTCAAAACTCGTTTTGGTCCCAAGACTACAGGACAGGATTGGAGGTGCTGTACTCTCAATTGGAGAAGGTACGCAACCGTGTCCAGCGAGCCGCGCCATTGCTCAGCCTAGCCACGTTCTGTGCAGGGAGTGCTTGAGAATGAAGAGGTCGTTGCTTTCATACGCGTAAGTCGTCTGACAGTCACTGATGCATGTCGAGACTAATGATGCACAGGCCCGAGCGGCGGCAGAGAGTGCTCTTGCGGCGACCCTAAGTGCCGCGGGACCTGCAGGTATAGCTTTGTCGGTACTATACGCGTCGCGCACTGCTCATAGCGCGACCTAGGCAAAGCATTCGCTGGCGATGACGGCGCATCGCTCCATGTTGCGTTTAGGGGTTTGAAGGAGGAGTCCATTGCACAGGGCAAGGCGCACGAAGCGATTGCGGCCGAGCTGCGGGACACTGTTGCGGCCCCGTTCGACAAGTGGGCTCACGGATACAGAGTGAGTGTTCGTCTCACCGAGCCGTACAATGCCGCTTACGCGTGTCGGCATAGGACCGACTGTGGAATAGCAGACACAACATGCTCGACGGGTTCATGCACGCGTACGAAGCCGCCCAAGGAGACGTCACGAAGTTGAAGCAGGACTACCTCAACAAGATGCGTCGCGCCGACGAGGCCGAGGATGAGTACGTTCCGCATCGCCATGCCCGCATCTACTCCGCCTAACACTTCCATCAGCGCCCGCTTCGCGCCCATCCCGCAACCCGTCGGGGATAAGTTCACGACATCGCCGAGCATGCTGCCGCGAGACAAGCCGCGCTTCCCGTCACGCACCCCGACGATGAGCGAGCGCATCTCGCTGCGTTTCAAGGAGCTGCGCCTGCAGGCCGGCGGTGCGACTTCCCCGGAGAAGGTCGAGGTGCAGTTTGACGCGGGCACCGACGGGGAGTCGGAGAAGGGCACGCCCAAGATCGACAAGGGCAAGGGCCGCGCCATCGAGGAGGTCGCCACGCCCGAGCGCATGGCGTCTCCGCCGCCCATGTCGCCCCCGCTGCCCCCGGCACGCATCAACACGAACTCTGTCCCGCCACCCCCTCCGCCGCCAATCGCCATCGCGGGTCTGGAGATGGCGCCCACGGAGCTGTCTGACCTCCTGAAGCGCGCGCGCGACACGATGCCCCTGCGCCCGGTGCGCTTCCCGCTGATTGGCGAGTACCAGGACTGCTTCAGCGGCGAGGAGTTCGCGACGTGGTTGAAGGAGAACGTGGAGGACTTCAGTGGGAGCCTCGACCATGCGGCCTTCGCCGCGAAGGAACTCACGGAGAAACACAACCTCCTGCGACGCGTCGGAGAGTTTGGCAATGATTTCGAAAATGCAAACGATGCGTTCTATCAGTTCAGAGCCAAGGTATGATGCGCAGACCGGCCTATTCTGTGGCATTGCTGATGTGTTACAACAGGCGTTTGAGCTGGGCATGGCCCCTGCTGCACCTGTAGAGAATGTCGTATCGCCCATCCAGAAGACGCTGTCGCCAATGGCCGAGGCAGTTGCAACGCGCACGACTACCTTCGCCTCGCTGGTGTCGAAGGCCCTCAACACGAATGGCAGCGCTGAGCCCCTCCACATCCGTACGCGGAGGGAGGCGGACGCTGCTGACAGGGAGTACCGCGTCGCCGTTCGCAAGCTCGACAGGCAGCGGCTCGGTCTCGAGGAGCGTGTGGAAGAGACGCTGAAGACCCTTCAGAAGTGGGAGCTCGATAGGCTGCGTGCAGTCAAGACAGGTATGTGTACGTCAAGCTGTGTCGCGGTACTCGTCCTCATGTTCGTGCATAGTCCTGCGTCAGTACCAGACCGCGGTGTCCAAGCTCGCGAAGGCGTACGAGCCCTCGCTCGAGCGGTCGACCGTTCTCATCGACTCTTACGCCCCGGAGGCGGACCTCAGGATCTTCATCGAGCGGAACAGGACCGGGCCCTTCCGCCCCGAGCCGCGTATCTACGAGTCTGTCACGCACGACGAGTCCGACGTCGTGTTTGGCATTGACCTGCGGCGTTGGGCCGATAGCGCAATGTGGCCTGGCTCCGAGGAGAAGAAGGATAAGCCAGACATCCCGCCTGTCATTACGCTTTTGCTCAACTCCATCGATGCCGCGTACTCGAGACTCCCCAGTGACTCCGGTACGTGGGAGTATGTTGACTGTTTGTGAGATGTTCTTATGTGTGCTGGATAGAGAAACGGAAGACGTGGATCTACGACGTCCCCCTTCCTGCCGTTCACCACATCAGAGAAGCCCTGAACGCTATTCCTCCTGAACAGCCATTCCCGGATGATATCTTGGCGAAGTACGATGCTCCTGTGCTGGCTGGGGCTATCAAGCTATGGGCTCTGGAGCTCAACCCTCCCCTCGGGATGTACGAAGGTTGGGACGAACTGCGCAAGCTCTATCCGACAGGTGAGCAGGGTCGTGTGCGCCCTGTGTGCAGTCCCCAACTGACAGTTTCGCAGTCGGCTCCAATTCCAAGGCAGAGGATTCGCATTCGGAGGACCAGCACATTCTAGAGTTGCAGGCTGCCCTGCAGAGACTCCCCCGCGTCCATCTCTTGACCCTTGATGCCATCGTGAAGCACTTGAAAGAGTGAGTGTCACGAGCGTACGATGCACCGAATTTTTACTGAGACGCGCATTAGGCTTATTGCATCTACTCCCGCTGCTGAAACTGACGAATCCAACGAAGTATACGTGACGAAGCTTGCATTGACCATGGGCCGATGTGAGTCTTGTATATTCCTTGTCAATCTGTGTCTCACAAGACTCAGCGATTCTCCGGCCAAAACAAGAGAACGAATTCTCAATCCAGGACCGTCATCCGACATGTAAGTCTGAGTTGTACCTGTGTGCGACTGCCTTACTGATTAGTGGTCGTAGTGCTTTTCATGGATCTGATTAACAAGTACGACGCGATTGTCCCGCCTGCGATCGAGCGCAAGAAGCGTGAGTCTCAGCGGAAGATGCCCGTTCGTCGGCGCACGCGACCGGTGGACATGCGCATGAGCCGTAGTCGAATCTCCGCCGGTGCAGACCTCAAGGAGTTGCATGCCCAGCAATTGGCGCAGCGGTCAGGTGTGAGGTTGTCGAAAGGCTCTCCGCCCCTCCCTCCTCCCTTACCGCCACTGCCTGCGGTTCCTGCAAGCCCAACGCCTCTCAGCCCCGAGTCACAGGAGACATCATCATCAATCATGAAGTCTGCGGAGCCTGGAGAGGCATTTGCGTCACCGGTTTTTCAGTCATTGCCGGCGCAACAGGCTCCAGAGCCAGTGTATGCTAACATCCCTCCGCCGCCGCCTCTCACCAAGACGCCGACACCGGAACCGGCTGCAGTCCCGCCTCCGCCTCCTCTTGAAAAGCCTGCCCAACCGCCGCATCCTGTCTTCAAGGAGCCGCCTCCGGAATTTGATGACCTGCCGCCTCGCCCGACGTTCAAAGAGCCGCCACCGGAGAGCGACGATGAGTTGCCTTCGCCCGCATTCCAGCCACCGCCAGCATCTGTAGAGCCCTCTCCCAGACCGGCTCCCGTGGCTGTCCCAGCTGCCTTGCGCACTGGTAGCCGTCCTAGCTCACGACCCGCGTCACCCCGTGTGGCCTCTCAAGAGGCGTCGCGCAGTCCTTCGCCCACGAAGCCCTCGTCGCCCACGACGGCTTCGCTGAATCGGACTAGCCGGGCAACGCGCGGCCCTCGACCGTCCGGTGGCGGCTCGGTGAGCAGTATGGTGAGCAACCTCAATAGACACTCGGTGGACCGTTCGAGCTCGCCTGGGCTGAACGGAGCCTCGGGGCTCCGCCGCAATGGTTCGCGGCCGGGTGGAAGCACCCATGCTAAGCGCGGGAGTATCTCTCGTGTGACTGAATTGTCGCGGAGAACTATGGCTAGCGATGCGGAGGACGAGGTTGTAGATCGGTGAAGAGTTGGGTCTCTTGAGTTGGCTTTATGGATGCAAGGAGTCGTGGTACACTGTTATGTTTGCTCTTATCTATGGGTTGTTGGCAATCTATGATGTCAGGCCTTCATCGCTTTTGTGTCAACTTCTTTGTACACTCAGTATCTTGACCATCCTGGATTCAAGGAGGTATTGGGCGAGGCTAACACGAAGGTAAAGCAATGACTTCTGATCATTGTACCCACTCCTTCCGGTGAGCAAGGCGATTGAGTATCAGTTGCGGGTGTATGGCAAGAGCACGCGTGTGAGGCCATCCTGGGGTCATCCGGCATGGATTGCTCATAGACATACACATACGACGCGGATTAAGAGACACAGTAGGACACGAACTAATACACAATACAATCCTGACAAAATCGTGACAGAAACGCGACGCTCGGACGTTTACACCTCCTGCGAGGCACCCTCCTTCTTGCCCTTGTTCGATTTTGATGGGAGCAACTCGGGAAGGATAAAGGGTACGACACCACCCTGGCTGATGACAACATCACCCAGCAGCTTGTTCAACCTGACATACAATGAGCCCATCATCATGACGACAAACAGGCAGACTCACTCCTCATCGTTACGGATTGCAAGCTGCAAGTGACGCGGGACGATACGCTGCTTCTTGTTATCACGAGCGGCATTGCCTGCCAGCTCCAAGATCTCGGCAGCGAGGTACTCCAGGACAGCGGCAAGGTAGACTGACCAGAGGGAAAATCATCAGAAGAGCTGTTCGAAGTATAATTCAGATCACGTACCAGGTGCACCTGCACCCACACGCTGTGCGTAGTTGCCCTTCTTCAAGAGACGGTGGACACGACCGACGGGGAACTGGAGGCCAGCCTTCGCCGAGCGGGACTGCGACTTGCCCGGCTCACCACCAGCCTTGCCAGAAGAAGATTTGCCACTAGAAAAGTACAAGATATTGAGTACGTGGTCCTTGTTGCGGGGTCAATGTGGCGTACGCTTTTCCCTTGCCAGACTGCGAGATCGTCAGCATCATGTAAATATCACAGCGAGTAGACATCAGCGTACCATATCGATAAATTGCTAGTGGTAGAACGCGAGAAAAGCTTGAGAGTGGTGGTGGAAGGGAGCAAGACAGAGTGGTTGAAGGACGCGAAGGTGGCAAGGGCTTATATAGCGCGCCGCGTCATTCAAACTCCGCAAAGCTGTCAACAAGCTCGCGTTTGCACGTGACTGACGCGTCTCGGCTGTTAAGCGCTCGCACAAGTAAGTAAGCGCCGGAATCTGTCTGTTACTCTTCTGTCCCCATCGGCCGTGGCGAACTTGTTGTGTCTTGTCATCGTTGGATCTCCTCTCAGTCTGGTCACACCTGTCTAAAACTGAAGATATATGCGGGAATATGTTGACGCATCTCATCACGGTTCAAGCAGTGGCATAATACTCATTCATTTAACTGCTTCAAACCCAGCACCTCGTTCACCTTGTATACCGTTGAAAGGGCAAGCATTTCATCGTAAAGGCCAAGCCTCCTCTACGCTTTAACTGCTCCTGCTCTGTCAACTGCACGCAGCGAGGCTATATGCGCTCTGGTATACAATCTCGGGGGCTATGTATTGCTTCTCGTGAACGCGCGAGCCACGAGGTGAAGCCTACTCATCGGCGTAGAATTGGCTCTGTCCATGAGGAGCGGGGGAATCTTCATAAGACATGCAGGTCGTCCTTTGTCCACGCGCGACCCACCCTGCAGCTGCGCGTGTCGCTGCTCCTGCTGCCCTTGAAGTATTTCCCCTGTCTCCGACCTCAACACAGCTCCACGACCTTTCGACCACTCCCCAGTCCCACTGCATTCGTATGATCCTCAGCGAGGGCCTCAAATGAGTCCTATTACTCCGACGAGTGAACAGGTCTTGTGTCGCTGTTCTCATTGTCCTGGTGTATGTCCGCGAAGGCTGATACATTCGACAGTTGCCTACTCTCTATGTTGTGCGTGCTGTCCCAGCCACTTCTGATCCCCGTGTCTGTTTCCTGACTATCTGAACAATCCACACTACAGATTGTTGTATTCACCGTCGTCATCTTCGCGCTCTGGGTCATCCCGGGCCTTCGCACCGCCATCATACCTCTCAAGTTATTTACCATAGGATGGCACGAATTCTGCCATATCGTCGCCGTAAGTGTCGCCAATAAATCTCCTCACATTGTTCCTCACACATGAGATCATTTTCGGCCAGGCTGTGTTCAGTGGTGGCAATGTTACCCAAGTGACCATTGACCCGGACATAGGGGGCGCGACTCGCGTTTCAGGCGGCAGGCCTCTCGCTATACTCACCGCTGGTTATGTCGGATCGACGATCCTGGGCGGCCTCTTTGTGCTAGCCGGCTTTGATATCCTTATGTCGAAAATCTTGAGCTTCGTCCTGGGCCTCGGCCTCATTGCACCCCTCGCAGTCGTTCGAAACAAGCTGTGAGTACAGCTCGCCTTCCGCACGATACTCCGCAATGTTCAGCTCACCCCATTGCAGGACAATCCTGTTGACGTCGATATACGAGGGCCTCCTCGTCGGCTTTTGGTTCATCGACCATGGGTACGCGTGCTTCTGCACGGTTATGCTTGATGTACTGGCTCACGGTTCATGATATTCTTCAGGCAGGCATTGCGATGGTATTGTCTCTTTGTTGGGATAATGAAGTACGTTCTCATCGAAGGCCATTGCTATGCTGCGAAACTGATCTCTATCTACCAGTATCTTCTATGTTGTCTGTACGTCCATTGTGCTTCACTTCATAAACATTGTGCTACTCATCGCTGACTCCTCGCGCCATGAAGGGGACATTGCGGACGACAAATACTTCCGCAAATCCAACGACTCAGACGCATCACAATTCGCGATGCTCTACCCGCGCGTAGCCGCTCATGGTGAGTACCCCTGCCCTCCGTCCCAGCCCATCGCCGCTCAATCTGAGCAAGCTGATGTCCGCCGTTCTTACTTGTATATAGCGTGGGCAGCAATATGGATACTCTTCGAGATCGGCGTCCTCATCGGCTTCGTGCTCCTCGGTATTGTCGCCTTCAAGCGCACAAATGAGCAGATGTACCAGGAAGCAGGTGCGAGACAGTGTGGTGCAGACGATGCAGGTGCTGATGCACTGGTATCGCGATCAAGCAAAGTTCCTCCCGACATGAAGAAGTGCATCTCTGCCGGGCGCGCGTCCGCGTGTGGTATGTGTATGACTCTTAGCGCGATGTCTTCACCGATGAACGTCTTCCGCCCTAGTACCCACGGCAGATATTCAGAACACCGCTGTAGGAAGGTTTCGCTGTGCCATAGACTGTATCACTATTTATTGTCGCATGGGTCGGGAACAATGAGTAGCTCGCACTTCAAATTTTTTGAACCCTCATTCGTAACTTCGGCTGCTAGCAGTTATGCCGCCAACCACGTAGGCATACATTGAGTGGTTACTGTGTCATTCTCGACGATGAGAACAATCTTCGATGCGATACGATTACAAGGCAAGGATAGTGGATACGTATCAAAGCATACACAGGAAGTGTCGACCCGACTCTTTGTACTGTATAGAACCATACTATCATCTATCATCATCGGTCACGTCGTTCCTGGGCTGTACTGTAAGAACCAACAACCAAATGAGCGTCTCGTAAGTGAGTAGTATTGTGTTCATATATACATCGTTATAACATACGGTACGTGCAGAGAAAGCGAGATCAGCGCGTTGATTTGGAATTGTCCGGACCAGGCGTTGCATCGCGGAGGACGAAATGCACAAGGAAGACGCAGAGGCGGTGACCAGGTGCAGAGCGGTTCCGACAAACGGATGTTAGGAAAGGCCAGCGTGATCATTTGCGAGCTGCTCGCCGTATAAGAGATGCTAGGAGGATCGTGCCAATTGCGGCAACTCCGCCAGCCAGTGCCATACCAATGTAGCCCTCTGAGAATGAGTTCAGATTTCGGAGTGACAGGGAGAGTTGAGTTGATGTCATGACGGGATAGGAGCAGAGGAAACCAAGGTCAGTGTCGCGCAGTCGTACTGCAGACATATGGCAGAGGACACACCTCGTGTGACCCGCTGGTCAATGAGGCTGGCAAGACTCTGTGCTTGCATATTCGAGGGTTCCTTGTCCATCAAGAGGGCTACGATCGACGCGTGTCAGTGGAATGGGAGAACGCGGAAGACGGTAACGCACAGTTGAATCTCCTAGCCTCTTCATAATTGCCAAACTTGTAGTAGCCGAGTGCAAGGTAGTATAAGCATTCTCTCCGCCTTGTAGGCTCGGCACGGTAAATCTCTGGAGATGGTGTTGAGGCGTCATTGGGTATGAACATGAGCAAAACGTCTCAGCGCTCACCTTGCAACAACCTCACGCCCTCAACCTGATGTTCTCGTATTGGGCTCTTCACGAGCCCCCATGCATAGTTGAACTTGGTCTGTGTCGTAACGTGTGACTGCGAGAGCTCCCTCTGGTATTGCAGGCGTAGCACCTTTCAAATGGCCGTCAAGGCCCGAACAACTCGATCAGAGCGCCGCCACGCACCTCTAATTCGTCGTATGACAGCGACACCTCTGCATCTGCGGCATATGGCAGTTCTGTTGGCATGTCGTTCAGTTATGCTGGGTGTTCGAGAACAAGGTCGTGGTCGGGCAGCCTGCGCAACGCGGCACTGACGACTCTGAGCAAGTCGGTGCCGCGGCCGACCTCGATGGGGATGCATGTCACGTGAATGCATCCTCAGGACCCGGCGGTGGCAGACTCCTCCTCCCACCATGGCTCTGCCTCTCCCATAATATCACTCATCAACACCATGGCTAGGGCCTCTAAGGACAGCGGCAAAACGGAGCAGACACCCCTCCCACACCCTCAGGAGAATGCCAAGCCCGACGACTGGATGGACACGTTCCAGGTATCTAGATAGCGGCTGGCTAACCCGAACACTAGCTGACGATGTAATGCGCCAGGCCCCAGGGCGTGTAACGACGAAGTTTGTGGAGTAAGTGTACTGTCGCTTATGCGGTACTACAACTGTCTCTGACGCGTGCCTATAAACAGTCCCTGCAAACGCGCCGCCAAGGCGTCGATGGATTGCCTCAACAGAAATGAATTCGACCGTGACCAGTGCCATGACTTCTTTAGGGCTTACCGGGATTGCAAGAAGGATTGGGTACGCGGTCCTCCTCTGAAAGCTCATGGCTCTGAAGCCTCACGATTCTCCCGTCTCGCTAGCTTGATCAGCGCAAGGCTGACCGATATGCGGGTCGGGAGTAATGCGGCTGTTCGTTTCGCCTGCGTTGACGACCTACAAACGATGTCCTTCCACGTACGAGACGATGTCCCAAATTGTTGTGGCACTTGTCATCGGCGTGCGTCTTCTCCGGTTCGTACGGACGGTGTTTGAATGAGCTAGGTCTTGTACTGTACTCGAGGATACAAGGTTTGACGACTACGGCCCTGAGCAGCTGCATCATTGTAGTGATTCTGAAGGCCCTCGATGTGTCATGGACCCTGGTGCTCCGTTGTCACTTGGACCAAGCAAACGAAAGAGACCTTGTCATACCGCGTATGCGGTCTATGCCAGGCGTGTGGACGCAATTCGCTCTATAATGTTTCACACCTGGTTAGGCGAGGCGAGAAGGGGGTTCACCGTAGCCGCATATAATCTTCAAGTAGTGCATACATATGCCCATGATCACACGAAAGTTTGAACTTGAGGAAAGGAATGGGCTTACTGATGTGTCACAATAAGTGCATAGCGAAGACATTCCTCGCGCGCTGAATGCATGACATCAAGAAAACTAAAAGTATGGCGAACCGTCATACTCTGCGGAGTGTGCTAAGGAAGATATCTGAAATGGTGTCCAGAAGCCAGGATGTCAAGGTCCATAATCCAATAGACATCTTCTACGTAAGTATGCCATTCAATTGTGCCATATAGCAGCCACATCCTCCAACGTGAACTTGCATGTTCCTAGGCCAGTCATCGAATGGCCAAGGACTCTGGGGCATCATGTCCATGCTTATACTTTCGCGAGCAGCTTCTTGCTAAAGTGCAGACGCACAGGGACGAGCAGAAGCGACGCGACGATGGGTGTGAGTGCGCAGAACACGATCACATACTTGTACGCTTCGCGGCTATCTTGAAAGACGCCAGCGCTGCTCGACGTCCCAGAGATGATCTAGCAACGATGTCCTGTCAGCTGTCGGATCCGGGACCAATGAAGGACTGAACGTACCCTTGCACCGATGGGTGCAGCAAAGATGGGCGGGATAACGTTCATGAGGAACTGGATTGCAGCGGCAGAACCGAGGCGCTCCATGCCAACGATCTTCGCAGACGTTGGCACCGACAAGGCCCAGTATGCTACGTGACGTCTTTAGCGCCTACGCTAGTAGCACCTTCGCTGGACGGTAGTCTCGTACGATCAACTTACCACCACTGAAGAGACCCCAGAGGACGCCGAAGCCCATCATATCGCCAATGTTCTTCGCGGGGAGCCAGACGGCAAGGACCATTATACCGGAGAGGAAGTTGAACGAGATCATGACGTTCAATACACCCCAGTGGTCCGCGACACGACCCGCGATGATACGTCCAATGGAGTTGACTGCGGCTGTGACGGACAGGACTGCAGAGGTATTCGGGTTCGAGATGCCCAGAGCCGTGCAGTAGCCTGTACGATACGTTATGAGCACCATTCAAATCTTGTCCAGAAGCACAACATACCCGGAATGAAGAAGACCGGCGTGACGTAGCCGAAGAACTGAAGGAAGGCGAAGACCAGGTACAGCGGGTACATGGGCACCTTCAGTACCTGGAGATCGAAGACTTTGTACTGAACCTGCTTGTGAGAGGCAACTCGCTGACGGAGCAGGGCGAGCGAGACCATGCCGCAAGCAAAGCATAGGAACCCGACGATGCGCAGGGCCCAAGGGATGCCGAGGTTGTCTATTGAGGACTGCACAATGGGCGAGAGGATAACTGCACCAACACCGCTTCCAGACTACGTGATCGTCTTCAGTAAAGTCAATTTCTGCTCGGATCTGTAGGTACGTACACTCGCGATACCGGTGGCGAGGCCGCGGCGCTTGTCGAACCACTGTGACGGAAGACCGATTGCAGGAATGTACGCCAACGAGCTTCCAATTCTGTAAGGAAAACATCAGTACTTGGAAACACTTCGAGTTTTTGTATTACTAACCCGAACATGATCCCCTGCGAGAGTAGAAGTTCCCAATACTTGGTGGCGATCGATGCGAGCTCAAGGGCCACGGCCATCATGAGTACACCGAGGAGGATGGGCGCACGGATTCCAAATTTAGAGACAAGGATATTACCAAATGGTCCAACCGCGAAACCGAAGCCCACGGCGGTACCACCGACAAAACTGATCTTGAACAGGCTAACATCCACGAAACGCGAATCGGGACGAGTCGTGTATGCATCTTGGTAGATACCCCAGACGTTTCCTGCGAGAGTAAAAAATAATCGTGAGTCGCCTTGAGATATAGTCCGCCGACTTACCAGTGCCGAAAGCCATGAAACTAGCCAGGAAGGTGGCGATGACGGTCATCCATGCCTGCAGACCACCATCTGGAAGCGCTTCCGCCACCTGCTGAGCAAGCTCCTGTTCTGCCTTCGCTACTTCCTGCGGAGCAGGGGAGGAAGAGACGTCCTTCTTTTCCTCGAACGAGCTCTTGGTCGTGGGTGCGGCCGAGCTCATAGTGACAGTGGATGTCGTGCCAGTGGCGGTCGAAGAGCAAGCCGGACCAACCGTTTATAACTGACGGAGGTTTGATTGTAGCAGAAGTGTGGCGAACTCATTGCTCCGACGGGACTCGGGGATGCGGCGTCGTTGTCTTCCTCGGAGAGCAGGGATGCAGGACGCGCTCTGGTCGGGGGCTCCTCGCTCTTCGCGCCCACGTGATCCCGACGCGACGCGACGCGACGAGCGCCGGGGCATCCGCCGGAGCATCCGTGCCCGCCGGGTGCATCCCCGGTACTGTATCCAAGACCGCCGCCTCTCCTCCGCACTTCATGAGCCGGCGAAAAATCTTCTGCTGGAGAGGAGATGACTTTGCTCCATGGGTGACCGAAGATATCCGCGTCGCCCATCGGAATGCAGTGTACGTTTGTCACAACTTCTGGCGCATCCGGACGTGCCATATCTTGCGCTACTAATGACGGACAAGCCCCCTTCAAGTTCAGCGCACCCCTTGAAGCCATAATTTTTTTGTAATGGAGCCTGACATCGTTGTTCAGGGTGTCATCGATCTCACATTCCAGGTCGGTTCCGGCCCAATGTGCGTCCTTACTGAACGTCCGGTGTTGGCTAGGTCGTGGCGGCTGCCATCCGAGCTGTCCTCTCAGAACACGGTGTAGTTGTGTCGAGGGTCATCTCGAAGCCCCCCATGAGCAAGCCTTCATCGACCTGGCCGAGGGCCGGACCCAGATTCTCGTCGGTTGGCTCCCCGGCTCGCACGAGACTCACCTAGCGTCATTCCGGAGCGAGGTCCTTGTTCTCGGGGAGGAGGAGGGCACGCCGGCTGTGTACGACCCGTATTGCATTTGGGCGTCCCCGACTATGTCCCAGCGGAGACGGTACGCTCCATCACCGACCTCGCGAAACCGGAGGTGGGCGCACGGTTCGTGCGCAGATTACAGGGCATCAACCCTGGCGCGGGCATCTCGCGGTTCTCGAAGGAGATTATCTCTCGATACGGTCTCCCACTGGGGTTCGTCGAGGGCGACATTCCGAAGTGCTGTGCGGCGTTCGAGGAAGCGTACGCCAAGAAAGGTGAGCAAATTACGTGCGGACTCGAAAAAGGTCGCTGATTACATGCCTTGCTATTGTGTAGAATGAATTGTTGTTCCCCTTTGGCACCCACGGTATGCTGTATGCGAAGTACAAGATTCGCGCGTTGGAAGACCCAGATGACCTCCTCCGGGCACATAAGCCTGATGCGACCCGCATCATAGTTGCGAAGTCTATCGCAGCCAAGCTGCCCGATAGGACCATCGAGGCACTGCGCAAGCTTTGCATAAGCAATGAAGGCGTCACGCAGATGGACTATCTTCACGCAGTCGAGGGCATGAGTCCGGACGAGGCGGCTGCCAAGTGGATCGCGGAGAGCGAGCTGCAGTTATGAACGCGGTCGTGCTCGTAGAATAGACGGGGGTAGCTTGGGGGTAGCTGTAGGACCTATGTAGAAACAAATGTGACTGAAAATATTGATCAGGTGCAACGTGCCAATTATGTACCTGGTGCAAAGCAGCATCGTCAGTGCGTACACGGAGAAGTTATGACTGTCGTCAACTCGTAGTGCTAGGAACCAACATAGCTAGTAAGGGATGAGATAGACTGTGCGAGAGTAACATAGATACCGTCTATTCACTATGGTACATTCTAACATCATGAGTGAAACGAACACGACAATATTAAGAACCCAATCTGAAAGCTTCGCAGAACGCATGCCAGAAAATCCACTACCAATCCAGAGCACAAAGGACGACTATCGGTACACAACAACCGGCAATGAGTTAGGTCATACACACCACGTACTTATCCACGGTATCAAAGAGTCCACTGAGGGTCCATAGCGCATTCGCGTGTGCCATCCGACTCATTTCAATGCACAGGGAACGGTGGAAAAAGCCACGTCAGACCCGACCACTCCGCATCGTTCAAAAACGTCCTGAACGAGCGGCAGAACTGCGCGAACGGCCCGCCCGCGCGCTCCTCCGGGTTATACTGGCCCGGCAGGGTCCACGGAGAGCTCCCGCCTGCATGGGCGATCAGGGTCAGCACGATCTGCGCTCGCCAATGCACGTCAGTACCATGACACCCCGCAGACACTCAGCCTCACGCACCATGTAGATCGGCATCGCGTTCTCGCACGTAGGCACGGGCGATCCCGCACCATGCGCTGGGTCGAGCGCGTCCCACGCGTCCTTCCAGCGGCGCAGCGCCGCCCCGAGCCCCCTTGCGCGCTGCACGAGCGCGGCGTCCAGTGCATCCGGCGCGGCGCCGCCCTCCGCGCAGAGCACGTCTGCGCTCTGGCGGAGGCGCAGGAGCTCGAGCACGCGCCCGAGCAGCGCGAGGATGAGGACCAGCGCGGCCTGCGCGTCAGGGATCGCGACGGGCCCCGCGCGCACGTCCATGAGCCGCCGGAAGAGCGCGGGCGGGGCCGGCGCGCCGACGCGCAGCTCGTCGATGTTTAGCAGCGCGGGTGTCCCCGCGAGGATCGGCTGCAGCGCGTCGAGGAAGAAGACGCCGTGGGCGAGGCGGGCGCGCGCAATTGCCTGGCCTGGCGGAGCCGAGACGGACGGCTCGAGGATGCAATACCGCCGAATGAGCTGAGATCGATCAGGAAAGCACGGGAGTTTTACGATAGGGCGACGCGCACCTGCACTAAGGAGCCGTGGAAGACGTTCGTGAGATCGCGGTAGTTCTTCTCGTGCTGGAATGCTCCAAATACTTGGTACAGGAAGAGCGCCTGTAGCATCGCGAGCGCCTCTGCCTCGTCTAGCCGGTGTGTGGACTGATGACGCATACAGTCAGCATGCGAACCTGTCAGGACTTGGGAACTGAGGGTGTGTCACGCACGAGCTTAGTGATGAGTGCTGTCCGCTGGACGAGCATTACGGCAGTGGCGAGACGACAATGGGCAGGCACACCGTCATACATGGCGCCCACGCAGCAAATTGCGACACTCAGGGCAGGATGAAGCATGTTGAGATCGACATTGTGCGTGCCAAGAAGCGGCCAATGCCGTTCGAAGTGAGCAGCGTAGAGCGCTGGATAACGAGCGCGCATTGTGGGCGTGAAGAAGCTCGCAGGGTCGTTCCTGACATGAACAGGTCAGCATATTCCGAATGTTTCGTTGCACGCCCGGACGCACCTGCATGTCGAGACTGTCGGTAATTGAAGATTGCGCAGTACAGGGCTAGAACGAATTGAGCTAGGTGCTGATGAAGTGTGCTGTTCTGAATCGCTGCTAGGCCAGTACGTCGACGAGAGCATCTCCAGGGTGGGGCAGATCCCTCCTGGAGGACTCATTATATCCAGGATGGACCCGCCATTCGAGCTTAGATCTGACATAGGTGAGTGGTGAGTGGCAGGTTCCATCGATGACAAGGGAGCACCCATAGGTGCAGCCGGCCAGAGATTCACCGGGCCCTCCACGAAGGCCGTGTTGAAACCGAGGAGAGGATCATAACCAAGCAAGTCACTCAAGTTGACTGGGAAGTCAGCGAGCGGTGGCGGGTTTACTGTAAAGAGACTGAGGTCCGGAAGATCAACGGACATGAGCTGGTCTATGCGCATCGAGTTGAGGTTCATATGGTGTGTCTGCAGTGTTGTATGCGCGTCCGGAAGGGTTCGTGGTTGTACCTCAGGTGGAGGCGACATGCTACCGTTGCTGGAAGTCCGTACTAGCAGGTTACTCAGTCGATCGCAGCAATGCGGGGGCGGTGAAAGCTTACTCGATGTATTCGATTGAGGTTCGCACCGGAGCCCCTTCGCGCGGCACCGAGAGCACGGGGACTCCCGGTCACACCGCATCTTAGAGGAAGCGCATGCCTTGCATGCCCGGGGAGGCGGTGGTGCCAGCACGAGACCGCGATGGTGTTGGTGGATGTGCCGTTGCAGGAGATCGCTGGAGGGCTGGCTTCATGAGTCCCGGCAGCAGACAGGATGCATAATCATGTACGCACGTCCGTGTGAACTGCTCGCGGCAGCTTGGACATTCGTGAGGGGTCAGTCCGACATCTGTGCACGTCGCTGTCGATTGTGGTTATTTGTAAATATAAAAGGCTGCGGCTTACGAGTTCTGCGGTGCCGCTGGAGGTTCTGCCGCCTACTGAAGGTCGAGCTGCAGTCGGGGCACTGGTAGCGGCTGAGGCCCTCGCCTAGCGACTCGCTGGGCACATGGTCGTGGGCCATGGACAACGTCGTGGCGAACGTCGAGCAGGCTATGGGACCGGGAGGGCTGGTACGCACGTACGCAAAGGCAGACGCAGACTCTCGACTCGCGCCCTTCCCTCTAATAATAGTGCCCAGACTGACGTCGCGCCCCTTTGGGTCTGTCACCGTCACACCCGTCACACACCGGCGCCTCTCCTAGTGATACCGCCGGGTCCATCGCGATGGTACTCACTGTCAGTGTCACTGTCAGAACCACCGCCGGTACATACCGGGGCAGACATGTTTGGCTGCCGCTCCTCGGCTCTGTTTCCTACCACCGCCCGCCATCTGCTCGCTGTCTCCGGCAAACTCTTGCGCAATGTACGCCGGTAAGGGGGGACCCTTATGGTACGCCGGAAGGCCACAGTTCGATTTCCGTTTGAGGTGGCTGCTGCCGAGGCCCGATCTGCTTACGCAAGCTAGTCTGGCCGAAAGTCTCGTTCCGATTCGTGCCTCCCCTCACTAAATTCATGTTCTGTTGAGTGCTACAGACTATTCTTGATCTGTATCGGGTTGAATTGTAGCTTCTGAATATATTGTGGGGAGTCCATATCTCAAATTTGAGCCGGAAGAGTCGGAACCTCGGTAAGCGCCGTCGGGTAACGGTCACACTTGGCGGTGGACGACGTCTTCATTGCGCACGGGGGCGATTGGGCGCAATGCTTTGAAACTTATCTGGTTGACTCGCAGAAAATGGTTGGATAACTCACATCGCTGCGGATGAAAAGAACTTAAGTGCAACCGATGTCCGCCGCCTGTCCAATCTAGGCAGGTGTGACCGTGAGTCTGGGGCGCTTACGGAGTTCCAGCACGCCGAGACAGACAATCCATACCACAGAGCACCCAAGATCCATTGGAAAGCCGATAATGCACTCAATGATGTCTCTTAATTGTCTCAGAGTACATGGGGGATGAGCTAATTTAAGGGAGAGCACAGACGAGGCCATGCAACACTCGGCCAGAGTGGCTTACGTAAGCAGATCGGGCCTCGGTAGCGGCCGTACCATGGCCGTATCACTGATTTTGAACTGTGGCCTTCCGGCCGACCTTAGACCCTCCCTGTGCTTGGCGAGGGCCCTTCAAATGCCGGCGGGTCAAATGCGTAAGGAGATGAGGGCTATGCACAAATGCCGTTTGCATGTTGATGGCCAATGTCGTCCCGTAGGTCCGTCATATCTCTTCTACATAAATCGCCGACAATGACAATTTTGTCGCAATCTTTCGCACTTCATCGGTCGGTTGCGCCTCTGCGCTCCCAGCCTATCTCTATGGTGAGTGTAGATGCCACCGCTGCACCAATGTGGTCGAGGATTCTAAGCGAGGCTCTCTGGAGTCGGGAGCTTATCCGCACCTTCGAAGACGAACAGCGTATCTGCATCAAAATGACTGGGCGCAATAGAGGGCGCCAATTATGACATTCTTCCTCCTTGATAGAGTGTGCATTCGCGATCTGATTTCGCTACGGGCCGAGAACTGAACGTACTGAACGCCCAATCTGAACCTAGATCTGTGCCACTACTCGCAGTATAATGCCACCACATAGGCTGGCCTGGCATACCAAGTTGCAAGGCCCAAAGGTTCAAGAGACTTGAATGACATCGATGGCCTATTGGATGGATGCAGCGTAACTCTATGATTCAATCTACTTATATCCGCCAAGTAAACCCTCTTACGTTGGACGCGCATACAGTTCACATGCTGAGAGGAACGACACAGCCTATCAAGTACTCAGCAAGCTTACGTGGGATGGTGTAGCTGGGGTGATTTACGTACACGTGTGCTTGGATAGTGTACGTCGGCTCCGCGAGGATTTCTTGACATTGGGAGATGTGATGTGTATGCAACTTCTCACAAACTGAAACGGTCCCGGTAAGGGCACAATGTAAGGTCGACCGGTAAACTCGTCTCGAAGCATACACATCTCCGACAGTCACGAGAAGTCACGTCTTCGTTGTACGTGGATGAGAAGTTGAATGCAACATTAGTCTCCGTTGCCGACCATACAAGACGACAAGCCCTTCCGGTAACACCAAGTGGTCAAGTGAAGTACATTACGGTTTTGCTGATCGTGCATGTGCAAACGCAAATTTCAGCGATGCTAACCGACAATGCGCGAAGTAGGTTGATACCAGAATAATATTGCATATACGATACACGTCTTCAGATGGCTTCTCTCAGAGCACCTTCTCAACACCTTCGGGCAACTTGTACCCTCCTTGACGGCGAACCTGAGGCGTATGGTCAGAAGGTGCCACGGTGACTAGCATGTATAGATTGCGCACCTCATCGAAGGTGTCCATCAACAAGAGGCTCTTGTCATGGCCCCACAGGTCACTCTCGATCTTGCCATCGCGGACGCACCGCGCGACCTCGTCCGCCTCGAAGTGCCATCCTCCGCCGGCATAATGGAACACGCGCTTCTCCTCCCGGATCACGATCCCACTGCCGGGCTTGTCGAAGTACTGGACGGTGAAGTGCGACGGCTTGAAGATCGGGGTGCCGATAATGATGTTGCCGTTGCGGTAGCGGATGGTCACACCGAACTGTGCGGTGGGCAGCGTCATGCTGCAGGTGAGGATGGCCTGTGCCCGGAGCGTCTCGGTGAAGTTGACGACCCAGCTTGTGCTCATGTCGACGCCGGTGAGGGGTGTCTTGACCATCGAGGCGCTGACGGATGTGGGCAGGGCTTTCTGATTCGAGGGGTGCTCGTAGAGCGCAAGGACGGTCTGAATACAGGATAATCGTCAGGAAATACGCATGCATTGAGTACAGCACCCTACGTACCCAGATCATGGGGTAAGGTCCTCTGATGGATGCTCCGTAAATAAGACCTGATGAAGCTTGAAAATAATGTCGCAGACGTACAGGTCGAGAAGTGCCCCTCCCCCGAGATGTGGATCCAGCATCCTATGTGTCTTTGGGATGTCTACAAGTCTGTCATCAGGAACGCAAAACATGACGCTGTGAGCTCCCGCTTACTGAGAATGTCAAAGTCATGCGACAAGTCAGCGTGCAAGAGGACGGGGTCGCCGAGGGTCCCCTCCTCCGCGATACGCTTGACTTCGAGCGTCAGGGGCTGGAAGCGGGTCCACATCGCCTCCATGAAGAAGAGGCTGCGCTCCTTTGCGACGTTAATGAGGTGCCGCAACTCTGCGGAATTGGACGTGGTCGCCTTCTCGCACAGGACATGCTTGCCCGCGAGGAGCGCGGCGAGTGCATTGCTGTAATGTTGCGTGTGTGGCGAACCTATTCGTCCAATATGTATTTAGTCACCTCTGGTAAATACATGTACAGCGACGTGCATGCGCACCGATGTAGATAGCGTCAACGTCCTGCGTAGGATGGCGCTCGTGAGCGTCTCAGCGGGTATATCTCGGAGAGGGGGTACGCACCGGATCTGTGAAGACCTCCTCGTATGTTCCGTACGCACGGATGGGCTCCCCTTTCGCGTGCGCAGCAATGAAGTCTGCCGCCTTCTGCACTGCGCCATGGCGTGACCCTACCGCAACAACTTTGTGAAGGACATCAGTGGTTCCACGCCTAGACAAGGAGCCGATTTAGCTGATGACAGGGGTTCAAGTGATTTGTTTAGAAGTCTGCGTACGTGGTAGGGTCGACCAAGCAGTCCTGCGGAATGTATTCAGAACGATCCGATAACGCAGCTCCCGGATTACGGACCTTCACGAACTCCATGGCGATTCTGCCCGTAGAGATAACACCCCATCGCAACACGAATGGTTGGGTCGATGCCATTATTGACGGAATTGCAGGTGATGGGACAAGGCTGAGGCCGCAGTTGTATCCTTTCGAACTCTATATACAGGGGAGAATCCAAGACGCGCGGTGACCCGTCGGAAGCACAGAGGGAGTGGCATGTCATAGTCAGGAACGGCCCGGATGCCGGCCCAGTCCCAGATTCTATAAAGTTTCGGGTCTTCATGCTGCTACCAGCATGAACTCGTAGTAAGTACACAGATGCAGCGCATCAATACAGCGTCACCTGCTCCTTCCTCTCGTACACTGTCCCACCGACTTTCACCCACGAAGACCACATGCCCCTGTTACCTCAACGTCCGTAGAGCTTCTTTTAGAGTACTCCGTTCGCTGAGCAGGGAAAGCATCTGCCATCGCTGGTCGTGCGTCTCACGATCTCGTAAGGGCAACTCTTCCTCGGCTGCATCGTTGTCACCAAGCGCCATGCGCATCGCCGCCGCCGACTGGTTGGGCAGGACGGCTGGCGAGACCGTGAAGAGGGTCTCGAATGCAGAAACAGGAAGAACGAAGCTGCTTGTCTTCTTGCCTGAAGTCTGGATAGAGGTGATGGCATGCGACGTAGACGTAAGGGATAGTGCTTGGGAGATAATTTGCTTGAGCTTCGCCTGTGAAGGGATGAGGTCACGAACCGGACCATGCAGCAAGAGGCCCTCACCTCAAAGCCGAGCATCATGAGTTGTGATACAGCTCTAGATGGCGCACCAAGATTATTTTGGGCACATACAAGGTTCATGCGGTCAGATATATGCTGCAGCGTGAATCCCCTCGATATCGAAGCTAGCTGCAGTGGTAGCCGACTCCCAGCGGGCTCTGCCAAGTCATTCAGAGCATGATTGGAGATAATTCCCACAGCTGCGTACCTCCGCGTTCCGGGAGTAGCTGCACCCCTCGTTCGGCAGCGATCTCGTCCTTGAACGGCTGAGGTCGCGACTCCAATGGTACGGCCAGGTGCTTGAATTGCCGTACCCGCTCCCGCTCTCGCCTCCCCATTCCGACTGTCCATCTCTTCAACCTGTCTGAGCGCAGCGTTCCAGTGTCATTGCTGTCCGCTCCTTGATATGGGAGTGTACGCCGGCGCTTCCGCGCAGGTAGCTTCGGGAGGTCTGGTGGCGGTGTGGGTGGCGCAAGATGGGCAGAGGTGTCAAAGAGAGATACTATCAGCGAGTTGTGTAGTTGCACTGCAAAGCAATAAGTCAGAAGGGTGGATGAAAAGGCTGCCGGGACACGAACACAAAGGCGTGGTCTCGAGGAGTGCCTTGACTTGTTCGTCGAATTCGGTGCGAGATATACGCGCCGTTAAGTATTCTCGCAGGACATTCCAGTATTGGGGAGCCTTCGACCCCAGCGCGGACACCAACTGGTGCCTCGTCGTCGTCGTTGACGGCAGAGACATGAGAGGAGGATCGACGTTGAGAGTGGCGGCCCGCGGTGTCACGCTTGTGGCTGCGCTCGCCTGTTGTTCATCCCGAAAAGGCAATCTGCCGCGTGCATGAGCACGACCTCGCCGGCGCCTATTCGCACAACGCTGACTTGTCCACCAACCCTACCCACCCCCATCGCAGCCCTCACTGAACGACTATACGATACTATAATTTATACTATTCCCATCCGTCCGTCTCTCGTTTCTCTGCCTATCATCTCTTCCTCTCGGGGAAGCCACTGGTCTGCTCGCCCAATAGCCTCCATATGCACGGTGAACGCCCTGCGACATCCAAATCCAGAGGAATATGTCTTTATTAGTGAGTTCTGATTACTATCTATGTGGCGATTACCGCTGATGTGCATGACGACCGCGCAGCAACACACCACGAGGCTGTTATGCAGGAGACAAGTGCAAGTTCCTCCACGGTGAAGCGGAGAGGCTCACGCCCTACGACAAGAACAAGCCGTGCCACTACTATGCCAAAGGTTACTGTCGCCACGGTGTCGACTGCTGGTTCAAGCACGTCGATCCGAATCCGCCCAATGCTACTGCATCGACATCGACATCGCAGCCTGCAGAGGAAGCGGAGGAGCTCGTTTGCTGCATCTGTTACGAGAAGCTTGTGACATTCGGCCTTCTGGAGGGATGTAGCCACGTCTTCTGCGTTGGTTGCATCCGCGAATGGCGCGCCTCGTATGGAAAGTCGGAGGAGGTCGTTGCGTCCGGTGTCACGAAGCAGTGCCCGCTATGCCGTGCGCCCTCGAAGTTCATCACGCCATCGAGCAAGTTTTTCCCGCAGGGTGATCCGCGGAAGACCGCACTCATCGAGCAGTACAAGGCAAGCATGGCTAGGGTGCTTTGCAGGTATGCGTCAAATTACAGTGAGTATCGCATGGGCTGATGTTGTGGCGTAGACACTTCGAGAAGTCACCGCCCAACGACAGGTTCTGTCCATTCGGCAAAGATTGCTTTTTCCAGCATCGCAATTCAGATGGCTCTCCTTATGTCTTCACGCATGGCGTCGACCACAACATGAAGGTGAGCCACTCCGTTCCAAGAGTCTTTAACTTGATTGATAGTGCTTTGATAGGTCTACCGACGGCGACAAGAAAGGGAGCGATTCGCAAACTTACGTCGATTTACGGACAGCGCCCTCCTAGGGTATGACTCTGACGACGACATCCTCTCAGACATCCCCGAGGAACGCGACGACGAAAGCGGGGATGGCAACTCGGTCACCGGCTCGGACTTGGACGGCAACCTCGACACACTCGCACCTTTCATCATCGACAACGATATACGGATGGAGGACATGGTTGCCAGACTAGTGCGTGACAGCCATTCCCATTTTCTCATGCCCTCAACGGGTCTGATTGCTCTGTCTGACTGAACAGGCAATTCTCCTAGATACTCGAGTAGGCCTTGTGCCTGACTTCGTCGATGCTCACGACCGCGCTGTATCGCCCATCGGAACGGACGAAACGCTCGTGAACACGACAGGAGCAGAGCCTACGGCGGCGCAGTCAACGGCAGTGTCGCGTGGTCAGTCCCCATTGCCCATACTGGAACCCAGAGCGGCGACTCCCCCCATCCCTGCGCCCGACCCAGCGGTGCAACGTCCGTCAGTTCGTCCGACTCGAGCCGCATCTGAGCCTCTTCCTCGGAGCCGCTTCAGCACAGTCGTCGATCGGCGACCACGATCGATCTCGGATCATTTGGACGCCACCCTCGACGACGCGCGCCCTCTTCCTGATTCAGCGAGTAGCGCAGTCATTCCAGCTTCAGCCGACTCTCCCTCAACACAAGGTGATCGCGTGCAGAATGACGAGCAGGTCTCACGCGAGGCAGAGGCATTGCTGGACGAGGCACCAGACTTCGATAGGCGAGTCGAGGACGTGATGCGTTCACTGGAGGCGAGTGACATCCCCGCCTCGCCGTTGGCTGCTGTCGTCGAGCCTCCGCGCGAGGAAGCGAGGTCTCCCTGCGCGGATGCCGCTACCGAGGCCATGCAAGACGTCGAGCCGCCATTCTTGACGGACGGACGCGGGCGTGTCGTCTGGAGCAACACGGCTGCTGGGCGCCACCGGGATGGGAGGCGAGTCCGCGCTTCGACCGCTCCAGCACAAGTGCAGCAGAAGGGGCGGAGGGACGTACCGGATACCGAGACAGCCTCAATGCGGAACGCAGAAGACTCCGCAGACGAGAGCGTGGCTAGGCAGTCTAGTCGCCCCCGTGCCCCGCGTGCCCAGACGAGTGGTGCGGCCATAGAGGGAGGGACGTGGGTGCCGGTGGAGCCGTGATGGATGGCTGTTGAACGCACGGACGCTAAATGTGTGTGTGTGCGTGACCTGCGAGCGCAGATGCTTGTGTATCCGCTGTCTGGGACTGCTTTCGTTCGAGGATTGTTTTACGAAACTGTACTATAGTGCTAAGTATCGCCGACCATGTGACCCTGTCGTACTTTGCGTTTGCGTGTGTCGCCAACCGAGTTGTGGGTGGTTGGCTGCTCTCTGCGCCGACCGCGAATAAGAGCAGGAGGATTGAAAGGAGGGGACACTTGAATTTGATGCATGCGCGGCACGCATGTCATCAGAGAGCGAGATCTGTATCTGGCGCCCTGTTTAGGTGTGCATGTTTGTGCCATGGTGCTGCCGGTCGTGGTCCAGGCGGCAGAACGGGATGTAATCTGCACGTAATTCCTTCCGCCAGCCTCTTCGATATCTGCCATCTACCACAGACCGCTTGACGACGTGTCCCGGACGCCCAACATCGCCCTGCTCAACGCTGGGGACTGCAATCTGCACCGCTGAGCTTGCTCACCGCTGATCTCCTAGAACTGCATTCGCCGGTATCTGACTGCTAAATGGCGACTTCTCCCCCGCCGCAGGCTCCGAAGCCGGGATCCGGAGACGGAAAGGATAAGGTTAGCGAGAGGCAGGAGAATGGCCAGGGCAAGTCGTCGTCTCCAATACCTTCACCCGACTCATCCAGCGGTCGGCGTGGACGCTCGCGGACGCGCACAGTGCTGCGTACTCGGTCGAGTGACGCATTGCGTCGACGGTGCGTGGACCTATTACGCTCTTTATCGCTGGATTTGACCTGCCTGTGCAGAGGATACCACACGCTCATGTCCTCGTTTGGCAAAGCGTTCCATGTCGAGAAACGATGGAAGCTCATTCGCGAGATGGGATCTGGAGCGTACGGCTATGTCATGTCAGTCTCATTCCACTGAAACACCTTGGATCATTGTACTGATAGGTTTGTCTCTAGCTCGGCCGCGGACGAGATTTCGGGAGAGCCGGTGGCGATCAAGATGGTCACTCGCGCGACCGAAAAGACCCAGCTCGCGAAAAGGGCATTGCGCGAGATCACGCTGTTGCGACACTTCAATCATGAAAACATCACCGGTCTCATAGATGTGGACTGCACACCGGACCTGAGCGAAATGTGAGCATGGCTGCTTGTCTTCGGAGATCAGCTAGTTGACAGTGTGTCCAGATACATCTTCATGGAGGTCCGTTCTCTCATAGTCTGCACACACGACCGACGCTTAGCTGACTGGCTTTCGGAAATGGTACGAGTAGCCGATGGAAGGTGAGTGGCTCTATCTTACTGAGGTCATTTGGATCTGACACCGTCGCACCAGCGGATCTTCACCAGATCATCAAATCCGGACAGTCTCTCAGCAACGAGCACGTCCAGTACTTCCTCTACCAGGTCCTCCGCGGGATGAAGTACATTCACTCTGCGTCGGTGGTACATCGAGACCTCAAGCCGGGTAATCTACTAGTGAATGCAGATTGTGAGCTGAAGATCTGTGACTTCGGTCTGAGCAGAGGATTCAACTCAAAACCGGATGAGGAGCCGACCAACATGACGGAGTACGTTGCGACGAGGTGGTATCGCGCCCCTGAGATCATGCTTGCGTTCAAGTGAGTGGGTCTTGATGATGGCGTTGTCTGTTTACCGATGAATTCGTACCAAGGGGATACAATACAGCGAGTACGTGTCTAGGCATATCATGGATTGTTCTATGTTTACCAGGGCTTTTTAACAGTCGACGTCTGGTCGATAGGTTGTATATTCGCAGAGCTCATGCTCGGTAGACCACTTTTCAAGGGCAAGGAGTGAGCATGAGCCCCATGTCCTTGCGTGTCAGCTTCTAATGATTGTCATGTGCAGCTATGGTCAGCTCACTACATAGGCTTCACAGGTGAATGGCTTGTCTGACTAGATGGGCCCCTTTTACAGTCGACCAACTCAACAAAATCCTTGAAATCCTTGGTACGTCACGGGTGCGATTTATGGAGCCTGAGGTGTAACAGGACAACATGCACTCAGGTACACCCGATAGTGAAGTCATTGATCGAATAGCCAGTCCGAAGGTCGGTACAATCCAAATGGTCATTTAATTATCGTAACTCATAATCTGTAGGCTCGAGCATACATACGATCCCTCCCCTGGAAGAAAAAGGCACCCTTCTCAAAGATCCTACCAGTCGCAGATCCACAAGGTATGCATTGTGTCGTAATGTACGTTGTGCATCGCTAATGGATGTTACCAGCTCTGGACCTTCTCGCTAAAATGCTCACCTTCGATCCCGCCGCACGGACCACGGTGCCCGAAGCACTTGAGCATCCCTGGCTCGCATCGTATCACGACGTCGCGGACGAGCCCGACTGCCCTGAGCCATTCGAACGATGGCGATCACTCGAAGCGCTGGAGACACTGGAGCAGTACAAGGAGTCGCTGTACAACGAGATCCAAGACTATCGTCGCGAAGTGCGCAGCGTCCCGGTCGAGGAGGAGGAGCCGGGACCAGAGCCAGAGCCAGAACCCGAGCCGCCTCGCCAGCCCAGCGCACGTCCGTCGCCTATACAAGAGATCCAGCGGAAACTAGAGGAGATTCGCGAGATAGCGGAGACCTTGCAACCGCCGGAAGTGGACGACGCTGTCTTCCTCGCCACGCCGGAGATGGCGCACAGCCTCATCGAGGGCTTGGAGCCTCCAGCGGAGGAGGAGGAGCGGTTGCTGGAGGACGAGACGCCTCCGACGACCAAGCCTATCCCGAGGACAAAACAGCCTGTCGATCCTATGGTGGCTTACTCACGGCGCTCGAGTACCTTCGCTCCGTCAAGGACGAACTCGATGTACGGCGGTTCCGCGGCGACGTCGTATCGGCCGACCCCGTCGCGGAGGACGTCTGCCAGTGGGAGCGAGGCGATCAGCGGCGCCAGCACGGTGGCGTTCCCGACGCAGAAAGAGGACTACGTTGTACCCGCGCGATCGAGGACGGCGTCGACATATGGGTACGATGGTGCGCGGAGGTTGCTCAGGACGCTCTCGACAGTGTCGATCTACGAGAGTGGAGAGGGCTTCGCAGGTGGCCTGGCGGATATCGCACCCATTGGAAAGTATATCGTGCAGGAGAGGGATGAGGCGCTCCCGTCGGAGATGCCGCGAGAGCTGGAGTCACCCCCAAAGCAGCATGAGAACCAGTAGACCTGTCTGTCGGAGTGATGTGTACTGAATATGGACCCATCGCAGCTGCATAGATGTCCCACGATCTAGATGTATTATTAGTGTAGATAGACACATGAATGCATTCGTATAGACTCCAACTTCGCAGTACATACTTGACTCGCGACGCGCCTCCATTGCCAGTAATACCGTGACTGACTTGATACTGACACGGGGTGACAGCGGCGACGCGTCGAGTAACGTTGGCGCGTGAGGTCACATTTCCGCGCCGTCACATTGTCACAGTCGTCTTGAACGCGACCGCGTCTGGCTACGGTCGACTTCACAACGCAACCACCATCTGCATTCGTTGTTCACTGTTCTAGCCAAGATCAAAGATGGCCTCAGTATCTTCTCGAGCATCTTCGCCCATGTTCGCCATGAGTACGGCTGATACCGAAGGCAGCACGCCCGCATCTAGTCCGCCACCACCAAGCTCGGACCCGGCGGAGAAGCCTCAGGTAGTCATTCTCGATCTTTTGTTTGATTTTGAGGCTTAACGTGAAGCACATAGGATGCCGAGGAAGAGGAAGATGAGGTCGATGAGGTAGGTTCATAGTATCCGTCGCGTCTCATCAATTGAGTCGTCGCGCTGGGATGAAGCAACACGCTGCCAGTCTTATACTGGCGGCTTTGTTGCAAATTTTATATCCCTTTGTTCGTGCAGTAACACCACTAATATGTCTATTTGACAGGAAACGTCTGAACGACTGAAGACGCTCAAGAACATACTCGAGAAGTCTACTCTATTCGTGGAGGTTCTGAAGCAGCAGATGGATAGAGTGAAGTTGAACGGTACACGCCGTACGATCCAAACCAAGACAACTTCGAAGAAACGGGAGGTGGCCTCCGCGGATCACACTTCACAAAAGGCTGGCACGAAGAAGCGGCTGCGAGCCGACGCACAGGACAGCAAGGCACATGCCCCAAAGCGCGTCAAGATGGTTGGCGAGGAGCAGGCCGCAGATGCGAAGGAGGCCGTGGCGGAGAATGCGACGCCATTTGAACAACCCGCCCTAGTCACTGGAGCGACTCTGAAAGACTACCAACTGGAAGGTGTCGCGTGGATGGCGGCGCTACACCAGAGTGGTTTGTCCGGCATTTTAGGTGCGTTTAATTTGCGATCGTCAGCACTGGTCAGAGAATAACAGTGCTGCATAGCCGATGAGATGGGGCTAGGAAAGGTCTGACTTAGTCAAGTGCTCTTGCTAACAAGACATTGACACTGTGAATGACAGACGCTCCAAACCATTGCCTTCCACGCATTCCTGCGCGAGCGTTCCTCGCTCCCTTTTCTGGTGTTGTGCCCGCTCAGTGTCCTGGATAACTGGGTGGAAGAGTTCAAGCGGTTTGCTCCCGACGTGCGTGTGTTCATCCGAGCCGTCTATACGTGTCTTACAACCTCTACTACCCAGATCCCTGTGGTCATGTACCATGGGACACCAGTCGAACGCGCTGAAATCCGGCAGAAGAAGATGGTGTTCTCGGAAGCGGACATGGAGGCGCAGAACAGGGCTAAAGGAATCCCCCCGGCCGCTTCCTCGTCTTCATCGAAGGAGAAATCAAAGGCAGGGAAGAGCAAGGCGGCTGCGAAGAATGACAGGCATCGTGCTCACCCAAATCAACATGGGGTCAGCAAGGCAACGGCGCTGCAGTCGCTTCAGCGCACGAACTTCCCCGTGGTCATTACGACATACGAGATGCTCATGAGGGATCGGGCTTACCTCGCTGAATATCATTGGGGTTTTATTGTTGTTGACGAGGGTCATCGACTGAAAAACATGAAATGCCGACTGCTCCGTGAGCTCCGGATGATACCGTCGAGCTCGAGGATGATCCTCACAGGGACACCATTGCAAGTACGTGGACAACATTTGATGTCCGTGCCTTAGCTAACTACGTAGCTCATGATGCAGAACAACCTGTCCGAATTGTTCACACTCCTGAACTTTGTACTGCCGGAAATGTTCAAGGATCCGGTGGAACTCGAGGACTGGTTCAACTTTCCGCAGTTGCAAACGAACATCTCGAGCTCACGCTCCGCTCAGATCATCCGTTCGTTGCACTCGATCTTGCGGCCATTCCTGCTTCGGCGACTCAAGGTCGATGTCGAGGCCAACCTACCACCCAAGAAAGAGTACGTACTATACGCGCCTCTGAGTGAGCGTCAGCGCGAGGTGTACGATGCTATCGCGAGCGGGAGCCTGCGCGCTCTGCTGGTGAAGGAGGCGAACGAGAAGCAGGGCCGTGCGGAGTCGGACGAGGAAGAAGAAACGCCTCTGCAGGCGCAGGCGAAGGCGAAGAAGGGTCGTGCGGGGCTACGGAGGACCAAGCGTAAGAGCTACGCCGTTGATGGGAACGATGATGAGTACTTCAGGAGGCTCGAGGCGGGGGAGATCGAGGATATCAGGAGGAGAGAGTCAGAGAAAAGCCATGAAGAGCTGGCCCGCGAATATCACCGAAAGGCGATCCGTACGTGACTTCCGTTCCAGCCGCGCCCACATACTGATATGATGCATGATCGGACGATACAGTGTCCAAAGTGAACGGGATGTCATTGCAGAACATGGTGATGCAGCTCCGCAAGGTCTGCTCACACCCGTTCCTCTTCGACTGGCCGATAGACCCGAAGACCCGGCAGCCGGTGATCAACGACGAGCTGTCGACAGCGAGCGGAAAGATGATGGTCCTCGAACGTTTGCTCGACGAGCTCTTCACGCGGGGCCACAAGGTGCTACTCTTCAGCCAGTTCACGACGATGTTGGATATCATCGAGGTGCGTATAACAATAGGTTTCATTCAATGCAGGGCTCCTGCCTGACAAGAATCGCTGTAGGACTGGGCCACGGAATACAAAGGCTGGTCGCTGTGCCGCATTGACGGATCGACGTCTATGGCAGACCGGCGAGAAGAGGTAAACAGATTCCAAAAAAGCGGCGATGCCGAGGACGCGCCGCGTCTCTTCCTGCTCAGCACGCGTGCGGGAGGACTGGGTCTCAACCTAGTAGCTGCAGACACTGTCATCTTCTATGACCAGGACTGGGTGAGTGACATGAATGAAACCAGCCGTCGACGAGCATACTGACGGATGTCGCATTGCAGAACCCCCAGGTGGATCTGCAGGCGCAAGACCGAGCGCACCGCATCGGGCAGACGAGGCCCGTGCTCGTCTTCCGCATCGTGAGCAAGCACACGGTCGAGACGAAGATCATGCAGCGCGCGAACGACAAGCGCAAGCTCGAGACGCTCGTCATTGCCAGAGGTAAGCCCTCTCATCATCTCCATCTCCCTTTCCCTTTTCACTCATGCATTGTGCTAGGCGAGTTCAAGGATCCGACGCTCGCGCCGAGCCGCAACAGGAAGGAGACGATGGCAGAGATGGCTGCGGCACTCCTCAAGCTCGAGGGCGAGCAGATCGAGGTCGTCCCGAGCACGGCCGCGGGCAAGGCGAGCGTCATCAGCGACGAGGACCTCGACGTCCTGCTCGACCGCAGCCCAGAGGTCTTTACTGAGCGCGGCAGAGGCTGGACGTCCACTGGCGCGGCGAAGGACGAGAAGAAGGGCGTGATGAAGAAGGCCGCGTTCGCTGTGTATGAGGCCCCGGCTACGAAGGGAGGAGACTTCCTGGCGGAGATGATGGCTGAGGGAGAGGAAGAGGAGGCGTCGTGAATCTTCGATGAAGGTGGATACCCGACGGAGATGGAAATGTGTGTTGCAGTGAATTGTTTCGTCTTGCTTTGGCTTGCTCTCGCGTAGTGTTCCTCTAATGCTCTTGTAGATGTGATGTAGAATACAAGCATGAGATCTAGTAGATACAGAAAGTCTGATACGTAACAACACAGCAGCCGTCCAGGAGAGTCACAAAATGGAGAAAGGGGGTGAGCGTGTACTTCAGTCCCCGAGCTTCAGTCGGATTTCTGATGCATCCATCAGCATCGCAAATGGTGAGATGGCAGAGGCAGAGCTTACTGTCGATGATATCCAAGTACGCTATGCTCGCCGGGCTATCTGGGTACTCATCCAGGAAGCTAACACCATAGTCTGCGCTCTTGCCTATGCGCGGATCCAGGGGCACAGCGCCCAGAAAGTCAACGCCCATATCCTGCGCCAGCCGCCGGCCTCCACCCGTACTCGGCTTGAAGATCTGCGACTCGTGCTTACAGCTCGGGCACACAAAGCCGGACATGTTCTCGACGAGGCCGATGACCGGGATGCCGACTTTCCGGCAAAAGTCGATCTCGCGGCGTACGTCCTGGAGCGCAACCTCCTGCGGGGTGGTGATGACGACTGCACCGTCGATGCCGCTCTCCTTCAGGTAGGTGACGATGCTGAGGTGCTCGTCGGACGTGCCCGGCGGCGTGTCGATCACGAGGTAGTCGAGCTCGCCCCAGTCGACGTCCTTGAGGAACTGCGAGATGAGCCCGTTTTTCTTCGGCCCGCGCCACATGACAGCGTCCTTGGACGAGGGGAGCATGAAGCCGACAGACATTACCCCGAGGTTGTCCTGCACATAGACGGGCGACCAGCCGGAGGAGGAGGCGTGCACCTGCTCAGATGCGATGCCGAGGATGGTCGGGATGGAGGGGCCGCAGATGTCGACGTCCATAATCCCTGTCTGATGCAGAGATTAGACGAGAATGACAGAATGGCTTTGGGGCGTACCTGTAGAGTCTCATCCGCTGCGAATGCCCACCCAAGCTGCGCGGTGAAGGTGGACTTGCCAACTCCGCCCTTGCCGGAGAGCACGAGGATCTTCCGCTTCACAGTCGACATGCGCTCCCGCACGAATGGTAGGGCAGGGTCCGGTCCCTTGGCGACCCCAGAGGCACAAATCTCTTGGTTTGCACATCCTGCACATGCATCTGCCTTTCCCGCCAGTTCCGACTCCGTTCCCTGAGGATGCAGTCAGAACATGCGAACCCGAGGCCATTGTGAATGACGTACTGGACAATGCTCAGGCGCATTCGCAGGGACCGACAATGGGTCTGGTATCGGTGTGGCCTGTTGCACTGCAATCATGGTTCCGGAATGAAGAGCAATGGGGTGGAGGGCGAGGTTTGCGGGCGAGTCAATGAAGCAGCGACCTCCTTACTTACTAAGATGAGATCTCCGATTTGTCAGGAACGCCGAGCGCCTCTGCAGATCGCGGTCACCGGTGTGACGGTGAGTGTGGGTGGCGTGACGTACTAGTAGCGCGTGGCGTAACGGGTCTGCACAAGCTGCCGTAGGCCAATATTGGGCCAGTAAGTTGGCTGTCTTCTGAGCGTTGATTGCAGGTCTAATCCGCTGCAGTGCTGAGCTCGTCCATCTCGATTCAAGAGGGTTTCATAGCAATGTGCGAGTCCGAGTAGTAACGCATTACCACCTCGCCTATGAACGTTTGCTGACGACGTGTTCAAGTTTTACATGGCTTCGATGGCTCTTTCACCGTCATCCACCGCATGCAACTAGATTCGATGTCCAGCACATAGACAAGTTAATCGGATTCTGATCTGCGACCACTGGTGAGATTTTAGCAATGCTAGAGTATTTTTGGGGGAAGTGACGAAACCTACCTTCCAGTATTCTCCGTGGATTTTCGTAGGTCCGGGCGGAATATATCGATAGATGCAGAGGCGGGCTCCCTTTAGCAGGGTGAGTGACAGACTACGCGAAGATGTGTCTGCACGGATTGACGTGTATGTTCTACGTCGGACATGGAAGCTCTCCTCCGTGCAGTCGAACACGAAATCCAATCCAAGGCAGGTGATGGAGGTTGAGTGAGTTATGACATGCGCGACCTCAGTTTTCAGGACAATGTAGCTCACTCACCTATCTGCCGCCATTATGCTATCGTGAGAGCATCACCGCACCGCGCTGGCCGATGAGCCTGGACCTGGTGGGCCGTTTGACGCACATGGAGGAGTATGGTCTACTTACCCTCGAGCCATCCTAGCACGTTCTGTCATATCATGGCTGAACCTCCGCAGAGCGCACCGAACGACACAACGACCCCACGAGGCCCTGCGAGGAACAGAACTAGGGGTTCATCTTACTCTTCTTGTCGACGGAGATGAATGCGAAGACCGGCTGATGAAAAAACGTGAGTGAACTGTGTTGGACGGAAACGATCGCTCTTGAACCTTACGCGCTCCCATGGAATTGACAGCGTCCAGAAGACGTGCGAATCAGGCTCGTTCCTCCGCATCCAGCCTCGTTTAACTCATACATTCATTTGTCTTCCGAGTCTGGAGAGGCCGCGATCACTGTGTATGATATCGGACCTTGAGCCATATCGGCCATCGAAGAGCACCAGCTGTTTTTGAGGCTATGCAGAGTGTGAGTGGGGGCTGCCTGCAGTGTACGCCTTCGGCGCTTGGAACTTGACTCAATCAACAGACGCATTGATTCTGTCTGTACAGAGATAACCACGTTTATTGTCCGAGTGACCCTCTCGTTTTCCGTGTACATGAGACGTCGGTGGGATATTATGCTGATCGTGCCGGAACCAGGAATGTAACGCTCATCATCGTTGGTAATCTCGCACGCAACTTGAACGGTACAAGGTTCGTATACACACTTCAAATCACAGAGTTCGGTGGCTAATTGCATGATTAATAAGCTCCCAGTCCCAACTCCACTAGGTGGACATGCTTTCATCGTCCCCGTCCACCAAATCAAGATCCGCCAAAAGCGTTTGGAGGCATACCCCCGCTTTGAGAAGCGTCACCGATTGTAACTCCCTCTTGACCTTTTCAACCCGCCGAAGCCCCAAAGCTACGTAACAAAGAACATGCGACCTCGTGCGTCCCCCTTTTCCTCTCGGATCGTATGTGTCCTCCATGTCCGCGGCCGCGAACGCCGCTTCCGGTTGCGGGAGGAAAATCTCGTATTCACTGCTCTTCAAGGCCTCGCCGATGAGTTGGCGGATCTTGAGGGCCTTTCCGACGAGAATTTGCAGAGCGTACTCTGGGTTGCCACCCGGAGAGGGGCGCATACGCGCTACTGATAAAACGTCCAAAATCAATATGGCGAGGTGCCGATTGCAGTCGTCCTCGAGCTGCTGCATGTCGAGCTTGTCCTGCGCAAACGTGCGAGTCAATGCGCGCCATTGACCCACTACACTCTGGTTCTCTGAGTGGGGGGATTCGGTCTATAACAACGTCTGCATCGCAGCCTAAAGAACTCACCGGAACTGCGAATCTTCTCATATACAGATGCCAAAATGCCGTCATCTTCAGGGCTGGTCGTCCAAGTGCAAATGGTCTGAGAAAGGAAATGGGTCGCAGCAACTCGTATGGCGATCTCGAGTAGGATGGTATCTCCACGTGTGTCCGTAGACTTGAGCACGGCCACGAACGGGCTACCCAGGGCAGTTGTCGCTCGCTCTATTGCGTCGTGCTGTGCATTCTGGTTTGGGTCAGGCGAGGCTTGATCGGCCATTGATCGCGCCAGATTGAACGTCTCCGCGTTCAAGCTGTCGACTTCCTGAACAACCTCGCTCTCCGCAACCGTGTCTACCGTCCCCATGAAGCGCTGGGCGTCCTGTAGCTCTTGCCGGCGAGTCTCGAGTAACGCCTTGAGCTGAGTATTCTCCTGGTGCAGAATCTCTTGTGTCTTCAGAAGGTTGCTGATCTGGGATAACAGCGATCATGATGTTAACCAGGTATTCAAAATTCCCTGGGACAGAGAACCTGCCTCTCTTTGAGCCAGCTCGACCTCTGAACGCGAAGTGTTTCTCTCCGATTTGTAGCGCAGAGCAGAGCGCTCAATATTAGCGTAATCACGCCTCGTCTCGTAAAGGTCTTGTCTGAGCCTTGTATTCTCTCGCTCCATTCTCTGGATTGTGGATAAGCTGCGCTCCTGACATGTACGTCGTGAGTGGGTATCAGTCGTGTGTCTTGAGCACAAAACTCACCTCCTTCGAACGCAGGTCTGTCTCGCCTGGAACTGAGGCACGGGTCGTCAGAGTCATCCTCGGCGGGTGCTCTCCTGAACGTTTTCCGTCGTGGTTCGACGATGGATTGTCGAGCGGGTACGAGCGGGTCTCGCTCCGGTCTCGTCCTTGAAGGGCGTCAGATAGTATGTCTGGATGGCTCATACCCTGATCTCCACTAGCCATGATCGGTTGAGGGGTAGCTGTCTCGCCATCGCCAGACGTCAGACCGATCTTGTTGGTGAAAGACGATGCCAGGCTTTTGAAGCTATCCATGATGAGCCTATCGTGCAGACCGGTAGGGGTATCGTCTCAGCGTAAGTTATACAGTCAGATGTGACACGATTTCCATATATATGTATGGAAGCAGCTACATGCGGCCGGCATACTGCCGCAGCTAGTGCCTCCTGCTCACACTTATCTGTCGCTCAGCGACATGCTTCGCGGACCATTGTGGGAACAGACATGCATGCTGCAACCTCGTGTTGAGAACGCATACTGCGGAGGAGTCGTGTTTATAACCTACTAGTACCTAAAAGTGCGCCGTCCGCAGACGCTCCTAACGGCTTGGTCAAGATGCTTCAGCTCGATCCCTACAAGGGCAGCAGCCGGAAACTCGTCATCGCCATTGACATCGGCACCACGTACAGTGGCGTCGCGTATTGCATCTTAGACCCTGGCGAAATACCGAAGGTCTTGAGTGTTACACGGTGAGTACGTGGATTCTCATGTGCTACCGTCGTCTTGATATTTCTATGCTCAGATTCCCGGGACAAGAGGGTGAAAATAAGTCCAGGGACGTGAAAGTACCTTCCGTCCTCTACTACGACCAGCAAGATCAGCTCCGCGCCACGGGGGCAGAGGCAACACTACAAAATATCAAGGAAGAAGCGTACACGCAGGAGTGGAACTACGTCAAATGGTACGTATATATCACTGCCGTCCTTCATGGCTTTGCATTTATGGATCATGCCAGGTTCAAGCTCCATCTTCGCCCTCCGTCAATCTTACCAGGCGCAGTGTTGCCGCCAATTGACGTGAACAAACCAGTCATCGAAATTCTCGCGGACTACCTTGCCTACGTTTTCACTTGCGCTACAGAGTTCATCTCCGAGACCAATCCCATTGGCAGACAAATCCTCAATTCCAACACCCCCATTGATTTTGTTCTTAGTCACCCAAATGGATGGTCGGGCCCACAACAAAACAAGATGAGGCGTGCGGCGGTGCTCGCTAAATTGGTACCCGATAATTCCGAAGGCGCTTCAAGACTTCAATTTGTTACTGAAGGAGAGGCAAGCCTTCAATTTTGCATTGCGACTGGTCTCGGGGACGATGTGATACAAGTACGTTACGAAAGCGATCTTAGGCATGTGCAGTGAATGACAGTACCACTTGTAGGAAAATCACTACGTAACCATAGTAGACTGCGGCGGCGGCACTATCGATCTAAGCACATATCGCGTTGTTAACAGTCAACCTGTCGCAGTGGAAGAAAGCGTGGTACCTGAATGTCTGTTCTTCGACTTTTCTTGCGAGATTTTGCGGCTGACTCACCGCATCAATATAGGTCTCATTCAAGGTTCGGCGATGGTCAACCGTCGCGCAGAAGAGATGCTGAAAGGTAAGATCACTTGAACGCTTGCGCCTCGACTAAGTTTCTCACTTACATGACTGTACCCGCCCATCCTCTGATAGACAAACTGAGACTCTCTCGCTTCTCGACGACCGACGATCTGGACGCAATGATGGCAAGCTTCGAGACCATGACAAAGCCGACATTCAGAGACCGTTCTGCCATGTCTTACGTCAAGTTCGGAGGACCCCGCGACACTGACGAGAGATTCAAAATACGACGCGGAGTCCTATCTCTTACAGGGTGCGCAGCGATTTGTATATCGAGAACAAAATGTAATATGCTTGCATTGAACCTTCCAGCTCAGAGATGGCATTGCTCTTCAAACCGTCCATTGACGCTATTAAGGTAGCCATTGACACGCAAATATCTGGGATCGATGCCCGTCTTGCTGTTAGCAACGTCTATGACAACCATGATCAGCCGTAGATTAACCATTCTCCTTAGACGATACTGCTTGTCGGAGGATTCGCCACTAGTCCCTTCCTACGTGCCGAGTTGCAGGTACACACAAATGGGAAGGGAGTGCGAATGTTCTCTCCAGAGGGTCAAACGTGAGCCACTCATTTCATGAATGCTGGTATTGGAAAGCTTGAAAAAAAAGGACAGCTCGAAGGCCGTGGCCGAAGGCGCGCTATGGTTCTACCTTGACCGTCGTGTCCGTGCAAGAGTGGCTAGGCACACGTACGGATCCTCCTGCTTAAATTACTACCAGCCTTTGCGTGCGGACCATCTCAAACGAAGGCACCTTGCGTACACAGATGTAGACGGATCATTAGTTGTTCCGTCTGCATTCGTCATCTTGGCTCGGAAGGTGGGGATAGCACATACATCACCTACATGCTACTAGTAGTTTGATGATTATACTCATGGATGCTGTACCACCCTCAGGATACTTCAGTAACCGAGACTACTGAATTTAGCTTCCCTCTCATGTGGGCTACGACTGCATTTGGAGCCCATGCAATCACAGCGGACGTGATATCTTATCGAGGAAACGAGATAGACCCTCGGTGGCGAGACGAAGAACCGGGTGAGTAGGTGTCATGTATCCGCTTCTTCTCCGATGCAGACGCTCTATTGGCAGAAATGTTCTCTACCTTGTGTACAGTCAACGCGGTCCCGGCCACTAGCTCGTGGCAGAAGCGTTTCGGGTCCATTGGGCCATATTGGTCGCAGGACTTCAAGGTCATCCTCTTGCTAGGTTTGACGGAAATGAAGGCTCAGATTGCCTGGTGGGAGAATGTACGTACGAGTCACTTCGCTCTTGTAGATGACTCCTATAGTCTCACACGCTGACGAGTTGACCTACTAGGGCGTTGAGCAGCGGTGAGCTCCCCAATGACTGGATTCCAGTGCATGCGCTGAAGAATGGTATCTACTAGGACACCTGCGAGGCTTGTCTATGACAATGAGTAGTAATCGGGGGCCTGTCTGGATAGCATTCCGTCTGCATGGCTTGATAGGGCTTGATCCCAACTTCCAATAGGTCACGTTGAACCTGCGTAGTCCTACAATCATTTGACAACAAGAAGTTGCTTCCATCAGTAGGATGTCTCGTCATTCCTGAGCCAAGAAAGACGGCGCGCAGCTGCCGATGCAGCAGCTAGGCTAAATCAATAGTGCACTGACTGAGTCGTGCGGGTGAACCTCTAGGTCCGCGACCGTGCTACGACGATCAATCAGAGTAAACAGGCTGTAAGTATACCTCCGAGCGCCGATCGTGATGTGACGGTGTGCTGTGCGTGACGTAGCGTTTGCGTGACTGCACACGATGACAATGACTAGCTTGACTGGAAACAGCTGGAAACCGGCCTCCTTCAGTCTTCTCGTCCCGCTTACTGTCCAGTGTCCTCCGCATGCAGACACTTCGACTACGAACTGATTGCCAACCTGGCTGCTATCTTTCACTGGAGACTGCTTACCATACCACCCGGGCTGGATCGCCGATAGGCATCATTATCAGAGACTGGAGTCGCCAGACTATAGTTTCTGAGAAACAAGTGCCCACTTGCTCCATCTCTACAACAATCTCTGTATGAGGCCGGGCACAGTGGGAATAGCGGGCACGGTTCACGATCGATTGGGCCGGCGGCGGGAATAACGAGTTGGATGACCGTGCATATAGTACTGGCGCATCTCGCGAGTCGAAGCGTCGCTCACCACGCGGGTCACAGAGGAGTCCGGCGAAATGCCCTGCAAACCAGTGGGACATTAACAGTAACCTCAAGTTATGTACGAGGACGACCGTATGCCCTTAAGCTTGTTATCTCGCCCATATTCCGGTCATCGCGTTGCAAGACCATGTTCTACGTTGCTAACAATGTCTCGGGACCTGAAACAGTTTTGTTGACTACCGTTGTAACGAAGACATTTCGCTGTCGCGGGACATGTGCCTCACCGATGTATTCTGCCTCATCATGCGCAAGACTCAAGAATCTGGCCTCAAGGTGAGTCTCGTCAGATGCGCGGCCTCAGAACATGGGCCTATCCAAATCCTACTGACTTCTGCTCTATGATAGCCTGTCGCGGGGGCATCCCCACTCCGCGATGAGTAAGTAATACGTGGAAACTGTGGCGAGCCTCCTTGTGGTGTACGTCACGGTGGTACAGATTTCATTCAACAGCGGATCTGTTCTATCCCTGTCTTCCTAGAGCGAGGCCTCCCGCAGCAGACACGGAACAAGTATCACAGGCCCCGAGGACTCCTGCAAGCAAATATGTATTGCCTTGCTCTTCGAATCGACGGAGATGAAGACGCAGATCATGTAGTGGGAAACATGCGCCGATGGCATGAGACGATGACAAGTAGTGTTGAACTCTATGCGCCTAGAATCGACAAACTTTTCAGAACAGGTGAGGCTCAGGCTCATTTCGGCGCACGTAGCTTCATTAAACTCAATATCTTAGGATGTCCGGGAGTCGTGTAAGATAGCGGACCTTGGGCCGTATCAATTTGTGTGCGCTACTAGTATCAGCTGCCCTCAGGCAAGCGTATGATTTGACGGCGCTGAAAAGCGTGATGCTTCGAAGCTGATTCATGGTCCAGATATGTCGACACGTTCTCGTGCAGTCAAAGGGCTGGCCGCCTTGCGGTGTCCAGCGTTCATTGGCTTCGGTGCATTCGAAACGGCCTCCCAGGCCTTCTGCATTCCAATCTTGGCTTATTCCCAAATTCGTCATTTCTGAGGGCTTCACCGACGAGCGAAAGTGACGGGAGCTGTGGATAGCTTGTGTGATATCATTAGGTGCGTAGGCAACTCGAATTCCAAGGGCTGGAGACTGATCAGATACACTGCATGTGCGGCAATGCAAGAATATGATACTATGGTCATACGACCTTCCCAATGTCCCCGTCTGCCAAGTTCAAGTCTGTCAACAAGGTCTGAAGCCCAACCTCCGGTTTGACGAGAGTCACGGACCGCAACCCTTCGCCGACCTTCTCGACCCTCCGAAGCCCTAGAGCCACGCAACACAAGACATGAGACTCTGATTCCGTGCGTCGCCCTTCTTTCGGACTGTATATGTCTTCCATGTCTTCGGCCATGAACGTGGCGCCTGGTTGCGGAAGCAGGATCTCGTATTCACTGCTCTTCATAGCCTCACCAATGAGGTGGCGGATCTTGAGGGTCTTTCGAGCCAGGATCTGTATGGCCTCCTTCGGATCGCTGTCCGGAGAGGAACGCATGCGCGCCAAGGCTATACTGTTCCCGAACATCTTTGACAGCCCCTTGTTGCAGCGGTCTTCGAGTTGCTGCGAGCCGAGACAAAGAATTTGTGCGAACTTTCGGGTCAGGGCACGCCATTGACCCGCTACGCTTTGGTTTTCTAAATAACTTCAGTATACGGTAGCAGGGGTATTCAAGAAGTAGAGAGGTACTTACCGGCATCCCGGATCCCCTTGTATACAAATGTCAAGATGCTGTCGCCTTCATCATTCATCAGCCAAGTGCGGATAATCCATGCAAGGTATCCTGCGGCTGCAGCTTGCATCGCAACCTCGAGTAGGATTGTGTCTCCCCGGGTGTCTGTGGACCTGAGCATACCGAGGAAGGGTTGACCCACTGCGAGCCTCATCACATTCTCTTCCGCGCCTGGAAGCGCGTGCGGGTCCTGGTCAGGCTCGGCTCCGTCGGCGATTGCGCGTACCAGGCTGAAGATCTCCGCGTTCAGGCTGCGGACCTCCTCCACAACTTCGCTTTCTGAGTAGGTGTCCACCGTACCCATGAAGTGCTGTGCGTCCTGTAGCTCGCGTCGGCGAGTTTCGAGCAACGTTCTCAATTGTGCGTTTTCCTTGACCAAGGCTTCTTCACGCCTCTGAGCTTTGCTTTGCTAGGTCATCGGCGGCGTTACTCGCAGAGCTCTACCTCAGTGGGAAGGCGCACTTGCCTCTTTTCGGGAAACTTGTTCTACGTCCAGGTGCGCGGCGTCCCTCTCCGTTCTGTAGCGCGTAGCCTCATGCTTCCAGGATCCGGCGTGCTGCTCCATCTCGTGGAGTCGTTTCTGGAGCCCAATGTTCTCTTGCACGATTTTGTCTAGGTCTTGCTTGAGTCTAGTTTTCTCGCGCAGCGCCTCGTCGCGACCTTGTCTGAGCCTAGCACTATGCCGCGTTATGTCTGCGAGTTTCCGTCTGAGCTGAGCGTTCTCTCTCTCCGTGAGTTGGGTCTGGGACTGTTCTCGTGTCTGGTACGTCATTAGGCTACAATGCTGAGAAGCGCACTATCAAGGATGTGGCTAACCTCCTCTGAACTAGGCTCCATGATATCCGAGTCTGCGACTCGAACGTGCTGCGTCGTCGCCCTCCGTGGCGACTCTCCCAACGTTTCGTAGTAGACCGACGGGTTTTTGTCGGTGGGACACGAATGTGGCTCGTTCTGGCCTCCTGGCACGTCGCGAAGAGATGGCTCTGGACGTTCAATGTCGCATCCTTTGTCGGCGACGGGCGGTCCGGCGGCTTTCGAGTCCCTGCCAAATGCGAATTTGGAGGCTACATGCGATGCTTTGCTCTTGATGGCCCTCATCGCGAACGTACTGTGATCATTGGGTGAGAGCATGAGCTCTGAATAGAACTTATACGATTGCATTCGACAGTACACCTATAGAACTCACATGCGGTCTACACGACGCTCCGGATGGAGCTTGCTTCTCGGGCTTCTCCGTCGGTCACCACTGGCAGGAAGTTCTCCTGCTGTTCATTTGTCTCCGCAGTGGCGCTCTTTGCACACGCTTGAACCCTGCATTGAAGCGCGTGTTGTCGTTGGGATAGCCGCATTACATTTATAATCCATCAAGTTGCGTGGTAGGTCAGCACTCTCCCCGACCTGGTCAAGATGTTCTGGGTAGAACCCTACAAGGGCAGTAGCCGTAAGCTCGCCATCGCCATCGACATCGGAACTACCTATAGTGGTGTTGCGTATTGCGTCCTGGATCCTGGTGAGGTACCAAAGGTACACAGTGTTACTCGGTGCGTGAACCATCGTCTCTTGACAACCTCGAGCTGACTTCATTCCGGGTCAGATTTCCCGGACAAGAAGGCGAGAATAAATCGAGAGATGTCAAGATACCATCTGTCCTTTACTATGACCAACACAACAAACTCCGCGCCGTAGGAGCAGAGGCCACGCTACAGAGCACCGAGGACGAGGCGTACACGCAAGAATGGAAGTATGTTAAATGGTGTGTATTCGTCGACATTGTATCTCGTCGTCGAAGTCACATAGTGCCCTAGGTTCAAGCTCCATCTCCGTCCTCCCTCGATCCTCCCGGGCGCAGCATTACCTCCTATCGGCGTGAACAAGCCTGCCGTCGATATCTTGGCTGATTATTTGGCCTACATACTCAAATGCGCGAAAGACTTCATTTCAGAGACCAACCCAATCGGTAGACAGATACTGAACTCCGACGCTCCTATCGACTTCGTTCTCAGCCATCCGAATGGATGGTCGGGCCCTCAACAACAGAACATGAGGCGCGCAGCAGTCCTGGCCAAGCTGATACCAGACAACTCCCCTGAAAGCGCGACAAGACTTCAATTTGTCACAGAGGGAGAAGCGAGCCTTCAATTCTGTATGGCGACCGGTCTTGTGGATGATATCATGCAGGTGAGCTTGTCCGCTTTGAGATCTTCCAATGTCTCTCAAGGACTGCATGCTGTAGAAGGATCGTTGTGTGACAGTAGTCGATTGCGGCGGTGGGACCGTAGACCTCAGTACATATCGCGTGGTCGATAGCCAACCTGTTTCTGTGGAGGAGAGCGTTGTTCCTCAATGTGCGTACTCTAGCATGCCACATAGCATTCTACACACAGTCTCACCATAAGCCATAACAAGGCCTCATGCAAGGCTCGACGATGGTCGATCGTCGAGCTGAAGAACTGCTGAGAAGTGAGTCCAGCCATTTTACCTAGCACTCCATATGCCGACTCATTGGTGATTGTGGGACGCCCCCGGCAGATAAGCTTAGAAAATCTCGCTTCTCGACTCCTGGCGATCTCAATGCCATGATGCAGTATTTTGAAAGCACAACCAAGCCGATTTTCAGAGATCCGGCTGCCGGGTCGCACATCAGGTTCGGAGGGCAGAGCGATACAGACCCGAAAGTCAAGATTCGACGTGGCATCCTAACCCTTTCAGGGTACGTGGCTATGTCCGTGCTTCAAAGGAACGATGCGATGTATTGACCACTCGTCTGGCAGGTCAGAGATGGCATCGCTCTTTAGGCCGTCCATCGACGCGATCAAGTCCGCAATCGACAATCAAGTATCCGGAGTAGACTCTGATCTCGTGGCGAGCACCGTCTGCCTCATCTACCACCATCAGTGACATGACGTCTATATTCGCAGACGATATTGCTGGTTGGCGGTTTCTCCACGAGTCCATTCCTACGCACCGAGTTGCAGGCGCACATGAATGGGAGGGGCTTGCGGATGTTTTCACCGGAAGGCCAAACGTAAGCCATCTTCATGTATGATTCCTGTGCTCAGCGAACTAGATACACAACAGCTCCAAGGCGGTGGCTGAAGGTGCACTCTGGTACTACCTGGACCATCGCGTTCGTGCAAGAGTAGCCAGGCACACATACGGAACAGACTATGCATCTCCTTTTCAGCCTTCAGAACCCTCACACCTCAAACGCAAGCATCTAGCATGCATGAGCTTGCACGGATGGCCAGTCATCCCATCTGCGTTTGCCACTCTGGTGCAGAAGGTAAGAGCGACACATTCACATTCACCATGGCAGTTCTGACCGAACGGGGTGGGGTGTACGTTTGTTCAGGGAACCTTAGTCACCGAAGAGAGAGAATTCAGCTACACCTTTATCGCATCCCGGCGGGCAGGGCTGATCAGCAGCTCTACCATCCCAAGCGACGTGATCGCCTACCGAGGCAATAGCTCAAATCCACAGTGGATAGACGAGGAACCAGGTAAGCTTGTGTACTCCGTCGATCATCCAGCAACCATCTTATGAATGATCCATCGCTAGAGATGTTCTCGACTCTGTGCACGATCAGGGCTGACACCGCTGTCAGCTCGTGGAAGAAAGAAAGCAGCTTCCTCGGGCCATTTTTGTGCCAGAAATTTGATGTGATCCTGCTCCTCGGTTTGACGGAGATGAAGGCTCAGATCTCATGGTTGGAAAATGTACGTATCACATCGCCGTTCGCTCGCTGTCGCCGAGATATAGTAGTGTATCATTCGCTGACTCAATGACTGAATACTAGGGAGAGCAACGAAGGTGAATTTTATATCAGGTCCCACGCTGCTGTAGTGCGCTGAAACGCAGTTGTAATCAGGAGCCCTGCGACTATAGTCTACGACAATGAACAGTAGCCGGTCAATCTCTCGAATGGTGTCGATGTGTCCTGCCGACTCGGATATACTGCTACCATGTTTGTACTAAGTACACAACACGTCTCGGCTTCACGTTCATCTCCTAGTACTTAGCGCTTCCATACACGTCTCCGCCTCTCATTATTCATTCGCTGACAAGAGAGGATTATTGTCCCTTACAAACGCAAACTGGGTGTATCGTAGTGATGGTCTTAGAGTACGAGGAACTATGTGGCGAGTGTGTCGCGCGTGTATTACTAGGTTCATAGTTTGATATTCAGGACCTAAGGACTAATCAGATATACTGTGCTGTCGGCATGAAGTAAGGGTTCCCTACTTTCTACTAGGCTGACATGTCTTCATCGTCCTCGCCTGCGACTCCCAGATCCTCCAATAACGTCTGAAGACCAACCTCCGATTTTATTAGCGTCACCGATCGCAGTCCCTCCTCGGACTTCTCGACTCGCCGAAGCCCTAAGCTCACGCAACACATCACGGACAATCCCGCGCGCCGCCCCGCCCCTCTCGGGGCGTATGCATCTTCCATTTCGCCCGGTACGAACGCTGCTTCTGGCTGGGGGAGGAGTGCCTCGTATTCGCTGCTCTTCATTGCCTCACCGACGAGGTGGCGGATCTTAAGCGCTTTACCGATCAAGGTGTGCAGAGACGGCTGTGGGTTGTGCCTTGTAGAGAGACTCATGCGTGACAGTGTCATGACATGTTGGAGCAGCGCAGCGAGGTCGCGTGTCAGAATTTCTTCCATTTGCGCTGGGTTGATGTGTTTGTCTTGTGCAAACTTACGGGTCAAGGCACGCCATTGACCCGCTACGCTTTGATTTTCTGCAGGTCACTTAGCCCTTGGCGACAACGGCGTTCACGTCGAGCAGAGCTCACCGTATGCTCGTATTCTCCCATATACAGACGCCAGGATGCCGTTGCCGTCATGACCAATCGTCCAGGCGGAGACTACCTCATAGAGAAATCCTGTCACCACGACTTGTATGGCGATCTCGAGCAGGATCGTGTCTCCTCGCGTGTCTGTCGACTCAAGCATGGTGGCGAAATGACGACCCAAGATATGGATCGTGGTTTCTGCTGCGTCACGCTCCGAGGCCTGTATTTGTGTGGGCGAGTGCTGTGAGGCATTGTCCGCTATCGACCGTGCTAGGTTGAAGATCTCCGTGTTCAAGCTGTGGACTTCCCGAACAACATCGCTCTCCGCGAACGTATCCATCGTACCCATGAAGCGCTGGGCGTCCTTCAGTTCTTGCCTGCGATCTTCGAGGAGCGTCTTCAAATGCGTGACTTCCTCGAGGAGAGTGGCTTCATGCCTTCTAGCCTCGTTGAGCTAAATGAATGGCCGCGTCATGAAGATGATTCTGCCTCTAGGAACGATGGGCCTACCTCGCCTCGGATACGTTCATATTCAACACGTACTGCGTCATGGTGCATTCTGTGGTGCACAGCATTTTGCTCCCATTGATTCGCGTCGTGTCTCCAATCTTCCATGGCCTGCCTGAGCATAGCATTCTCTTCTTTGAGGTGAATGACAGACGAGCGTCGTCTGTCCCGGCTCTGATTTCAATTAGCTCATCGTTGGGGTACAAGCGAAGTCGCAGCCTCAGGTGAAATGCAAGAATATCACTTACCGCCTTCTTCGGACCCTGTTCTATGTCGTCTACCACCGCCATAACTGCGCTTTGGGGTGTGTTTGCTACTGTCGGAGCAGGAGTCGATGTAATGTTACCGGAGGAGCGCGAAAGATGTTTGCTATGGCCTTGTCCCGCCACGGTGTTCTGGAGTGTTGGCTCTACATTAGAGCAACCATCATGACTAGTAGTAGAGTCGGTGCATCCGGTATCCTGTTCCTCGCCTTCATTAGAGCCCAGTGAGGTGGCAGCGGGATCCGGAGTGGTTGAATCGTCGTTGCCAGCGAACCCCATCTTCGTAAAAACAGTCGCTACACCCGAGACAAAGGTCTTGATCATGGCGAGCGTCGGCCACTGAGCAGCAGCCGCCATTGTTGCTGGTACCTCCTGTTACGATCACGCGGCGGTACGCGTACTGTCACATTCTAGCATGTGCGCGGCGCGCGCGCCGGAAGTGACACGGGCACGTGGCTTCGTGACAGACGCGAAACATCAAACGCGTTGCGGAGATCTCAGACACACCTTAGCCGTCTGACTGTACTACACAGTGTGCCACCCGCACAGCGACCAAGGTGGGTACCTACAGCCTTTATTTAATCGTCTGTACAATGCTGAGAGACCCCCACAGAGTTGAGTGACACAAAGACCACGGCTGCACCGGCGCATAGCACTAATAGCGTGCTTGAACCTGCAGACATCCATCCATCCCATTTCGGTGCCAGCGGGAGGAGATTCGGTATCCTTGTATCTCATTGTGAGTTCTGTATGAAGTCCGTACTTCAGTTGTCGGCCTGACCGCTTCGTCAGAACCACGATGCTTCAGCTCGAACCCTACAAAGGCAGGAGTCGTAAACTCGTGATCGCCATCGACATCGGCACAACATACAGTGGCGTTTCATATTGTGTGTTGGATCCCGGTGAGATACCAAAGGTTCTCAGTGTCACACGGTGAGCATGCGACTATTCACGCAGTGGCTCGCACATTGTCTCAATGAATGCTGCAAGGTTCCCTGGACAAGAGGGCGAGAACAAGTCAAGGGATGTCAAGACGCCCTCTGTCCTCTACTACGATCAGCAAGACCACCTCCGTGCGGTAGGGGCCGAGACGACACTAGAGAATATCAAGGAAGAAGCGTACTCGCAGGATTGGAAACACGTGAAGTGGTCCGTGTTCAGCCACTGAACGTCACGGTACCCTTTGTTAACAAAGAAGCCCTTAGGTTCAAACTTCATCTTCGTCCTTCGTCCATTCTACCGGGCGCAGCACTACCTCCAATAGACGTGGACAAGCCTGTGATTGAGATTCTGGCAGATTATCTTGCCTACGTATTCAGATGTGCCAAGAACTTCATCTCCGAGACGAACCCTATCGGAAGACAGGTTTTGAACTCGGACACCCCTATCGACTTCGTACTCAGCCACCCCAATGGATGGGCGGGCCCGCAACAGAACACCATGAGACGCGCTGCTATCCTCGCGAAGCTGATACCCGACAACGTTAAGGGGGCTTCCAGGCTTCAATTCGTCACAGAAGGAGAAGCGAGTCTCCAATTTTGCATCGCAACTGGTCTAGGGGAGGACGTCATACATGTAAGCGTAGCTGATCACAAACTCTCGTTCGGATTCGCTGTGACGGTTTGCATTCGTCTTTCACAGGAGAACAGTATCGTGACAATCGTCGACTGTGGTGGCGGCACCATAGATTTGAGCACGTACCGTGTTGTTGGGAGCCGGCCCGTTCTCGTGGAGGAATGTGTTGTTCCCGAATGTACGATCGACTTTGGTACCATGAGGTCTGTTCGTGCACTCACCGCAAAACAACCGTAGGTCTCATTCAAGGATCAACAATGGTAAACCACCGAGCGGAGCAACTTCTGAAAGGTAAGTCGCGTTATGCCACCTCATGAGCCGATCCTACGTGTTCTGACCTTGACGACTATACGTGTATTTGCGCCGTACTTATCGGGCACTACTAGACAAGCTCAGACAGTCTCGCTTCTCGACCGCCGACGACCTCGACGCGATGATGACCAGCTTCGACACCATGACCAAGCCAACCTTCCGAGATTCTTCTGCGACATCTTACATAAAATTCGGAGGTCCTCGCGACACAGATGATACATACAACATTCGGCGTGGTATCCTGTCACTTTCAGGGTAAGCGCAACTATAATTGAGTCTGACGGTGAAGCAAATAGGCTCAACTCCACGTGTCAGCTCAGAGATGGCATCTCTATTCCAGCCGTCAATTGATGCCATTAAGACCGCAATCGACTCGCAGTTGTCAGGAGTGGACATGAACCTCGCTGTACGTCCTTTCCTTGAGTACGTTGAAGAACAGACTCATCATACAACATGAAACAGACGTTGCTCCTCGTCGGAGGGTTCGCTACCAGCCCTTTTCTGCGTGCAGGACTCCAGGCACACTCGGACAGCAAGGGCTTGCGAATGTATTCCCCGGAGGGTCAAACGTAAGCACCCTCCTAGCCGTTTCGGACAACCGGTCTCCTGAAGAGACGTGCGCTTGTGATAGATCGAAAGCCGTGGCTGAAGGTGCGCTGTGGTTCTACATTGATCGCCGCGTGCGCGCCAGAACTGCAAGGTACACGTACGGCTCTCCGTGCGCACGGTCGTATGAGCCATCAAATCCAGAACATATACGGCGTCAACATCTGTTATACACTTTTCCAGATGGTAAATTGACTTTAGATGAGGCTTTTGCTTGCATCATTCGGAAGGTGAGGGCGAACTGAATTCGTACTCCCGATCGCTATGAATTTGAACACTTCTGTCAGGGGACACTGGTCACGGAAACTACAGAATATAATTTCCATTTCTCAACCCACACGAGAGACCGTAACGAGCACTCGATCTCTACGAGTGTGATGTCCTATCGAGGAGCGGAAATTGCTCCTGCATGGCGAGATGAGGAACCTGGTTCGATGATCAACCTAAAAGTCTTTTTGGCACGGGCTGACAGTGATTGTTGGCGAATAGATATGTTCTCCGTGGCCTGCACAGTCACAGCCACAGAAGCTGAGAGCTCATGGAGGCGCGGCGATGGCCCGCTCGGGCCATACTGGTGGCAGAATTACGAAGTCATCCTACTTCTAGGTCTCACTGAGATTCAAGCCCAGATCGCTTGGTGGGAGGACGTGCGTGAACCACCATTCGTCATGTTCAAGGTTATTGACGTCCACTTTAACTCTTTCCAGGGCGTACAACGGAGGTACTTAGGCTTTTGTCACATCACAGCCGCTTGTGTATTAACTTCAGGGGACAACTAGAACTCCCGCGATTATCGTCTACGATGATGAAGAGTAGAGAAGGACTGGTATGGATGGGCGACAGTGCGTAAACAGACCTCGAGACGGACGTAAAATCGGTGAATGGTTGCGCTCCCTGTAATATCATTTTTTGAGTTGTAGCATTGCGGTACACATGATGTTCAACACTGCATGGGGCCCTGATCTAGGACGAAAGCGGCAGCGAGCTGAGGGAAGCTACTAGTAGTGACACTGTCACGGTAGCGGGTCAAGGTCGATGTTTGTTGGCCGGCTTGATCAAACGTTTTCCTCGGGAGACCCAGTCGACGTGTCACCATGTGATGAAGAGGACTACATAGCACTAGTACTCGCGATTAGCGGCTCGAGCTGGCCCCTCAAGGCCTCAAGCTCAAGCTTCAAGGCCTCAAGTTGACTGACAGGCTCCGAGTCTTGAACGTGAACGCGTGAACGTCTTGGGTTGCCTCATATGGGAATGAGCGCCTTCCGCGCGCTTCGCTGCAGTAGTCGCCACAGTGCCACACTCCACCACATTCATCCAAGCCTCACCGATTCACCTTCCACTCTCCAGTTCTGAATATCGTGCATCGTCCTGAATCACACACAAGCTGCGCAAGGAACCATGTCTACGCCTTACAACACGTCATCCCAGAGCCAGGGCTACTATCCTCCTCTCCCTGCGCATCCTCCAGCGCAACAAGCCACTGGCACGCCAGACCCGTCGCAAGTCGCGAGTACCTCTGCGCAGGCACAGCAGACAACCGCGCAGTCATCGCGACAGACAGCAGAGGAAGCACGGAAAGACCGCACATTGGCTGAGTTCCTCCTTATGCTGGACGATTACGAGCCCTTGGTATGTCTCTGGCTACTGCCTCTCGCTCACCGTGTCAAGATGCCGCTGCACCGACGAGGATTTCAATGTTGATGTTAATGACCACATGGCAGATACCGAACGAGGTCACGGACTACTACCTCCAGCGGGTCGGGTTCGAGTGTGAGGATGTCCGACTGTGAGCCTCCCATCCTTGCGGGGTCGTTCATCACCTAATCCGTGAGACCTGCCGTAGTAAACGTCTCCTCTCCCTCGCGGCGCAGAAGTTTGTATCCGACATCGCTGCAGACGCGTATCAACACGCCCGGATACGTTCCAACGCGGTGGGTGGTAGGGCCCGTGCTCAGCCCTCAGGGCCGGCATCAGCAAGGGTGCGTCTCTCACATCGACACAACCTGCGTTTGGTCCTCTCATTAAGCACACCATCAGGACAAGACAAAGACCACACTCATGATGGAGGATCTCACTTCGGCTCTGGCAGAGTATGGCATAACGTCTCGCAAGCCCGAGTATTACTTGTAATGTAGACGCCAAGGTGCGGACTTGTCTGTATGATGTGTACTAATATGTTTCAATCTTTCACTATGCAATAACATCTGACGATGACATTATGGAGAGGGTGCTCTTTTCTAGTCTCGTATTGGCCATGGCGTGTTCGGATACGTCATGTGTATTCGATTTGAAAGGCAACAACGTAAAGTAAGAACCGGATACTCCAACGCTGATATCAGTCAATCTCAGGTCTCCGTACAATGGAACACCGTTCGACTTAGGGAACACTCCTCCTCGACAGCTTCACATGGTATCGTTACACCTGGAGGGTACCACCCCTTTGACTCTCATTATAGGTACATTGACGCACACCGCAGCTACGACGCTAGCGTGGCCACTCGGACCACTCTGACTAGTTTCAACGTCCCTCCTTCCACATCGATGACTCTGAGTAGAACATCGTTTTCGCGCGACCGTTAGACCGCTGAGGTGCCGTCGAAGACCCGGTCTCGGGTCACATACCGTGGTCCCCAATTCATCGCCAGGCGATATTCACCGAGGACGGGGACAGGGACGGGAAAGGCGCAGCAGGCTACGTCCTGCGCCCGTGCCTAACGGGCAAGAGATTTCACGGCTAAACGACGTCGCGATGGTGGCCACATGCATATATATGCGCACAAGTGAGGCAAGGTGTTGAAGGCGGCCACGGTATTTCATCTGAGAACGTCGGAAGCTCGCGCGCGGGCCACAGGGAGGTGTGCTCAACGCTACGGAAAACCAAAGGACCAGAGGTCGCGCTCGCGGAGGGTGCACGACGCCATATGACACACGAAGGAGGCGACCTGTGTCGCGATCGATGGGTGTCGTGTTGTAATCTGAGCCCTATGTACATACTGTATCAAATATTCCACGCCGCTGGGATGGTGCGTTGGCCCTGCGCCTCCCTTCCAGTTTCTCCACAATGCATACAACGGAATGGTACACCTATTAGCCATGATTCTTAGATGTTCGCTCCCTGTCGCAATTAACAATCAGCCCGTCGAACATGTCGTATCTTGCGCACTGAATATAGCGCCTTCCACAGATTGATTCAATCGACGAGGGCAGAACTCGCGTCCATTTATTCACACGACGTCTCAGTCAGCCAAGACTGCGGGTGACTATGACCCTCTGTAGATCGCATATACCGACAACTTGTGTGCATATTCCTTTGAGTTGACAATTATAGTGACGGTGGCCAGTATCAGCCGGTACGATGACACAGGAAATCGAGATAGCTTGACGGGTGCAGAGCAACATGGAGAGTGTATAAGCTATAGAATGCAGGTGAAAACAAGAACGCGCCATTAATCCTCTCGTATTGCAGCCTCTGCAGAGCCTGGCATCAGCACCCACGCATATAGTCACGAAAATAGCCAACTCACTAAAGAACTCATATGACAACCAGCATAGCGCATTGCTCGGCATGAACGTCAACACCCGCGGCGTCAGCCCGCGGCCAAAACCCCTCCACCCATCCCTCGCCAAGATGATCCTGAACGCGTCCCCCATCCCCCGCGCGCCGCGAATCTCCGGGTCCGCGCTCGTGCCTCGTGTCTGGAGGAGTGTCTTCGCGACGTCGAGCGGCGTCGTGACCGCGCCGGCGACTCCGCCCGCCAGGCCGCCCGCGATCATGTGCGAGACGGGCGAGTACACGCCGGACGGGTTGAGGAACGCCTTGAGCTGCTCGTACGCGGTGAACTGGACGGCGGTGAAGGGCACGGTCATGGTAAGCGTGGTGGGGTAGGAGATGTAGAAGGCGGAGAGACCCTCGCGTGCGTAGACGGTGCGTGCGCAGGTGAAGGCGGAGCGGAATTGTGATTCGTGGACTTGCATGCGTTGCTTAATGACTGAGGAGAATGAGTTCATACGGAATATCATGGGTATAGACTTTGTGGTCTACGCACCATCGAAGGGGTTCATCAACGCATCGCTTGCTATTGTCGCAGATGCTCCTGCTAATGCTATTCACCAAAAACGAATAAGCCCACCTCCGCCAATCCGAGCTCACTTCTCACACACATGTTGCCAACCACTGATTCCTGTTGCCCGCCACGTTTCCGCCACCGAGCTCCTTCACCGCTTCGTACATCCCAAAGTGGACGGCATGCGCTGGGCCTGCGCCCATGATCACAGAGGACACGCCCCGCCAGAGCGCACGCATGCCCTCCGTGCTGGAAATGCGAGTGAACGCATTCCCGATCCCGGTGTAGACCGCCGATGGTGAGGTGGCGAAGACCTGCATCCGGGTCTATACGTCCGCCAAAGTCGGTCGCTCGTCAGTACTCGACGGAGTCGCATTGGAGGGCCACAGACGGGTGGACCGGTTGGATACGCACTTTGATACTGTCTACAGGAAACATGACAGCGTGTTCTGTGATGCCGGCCTACGTAGCGAGTCAGTCCCGCCCATGAGCACCCGCCCCGCCCAAACTGCCCCTCCGCACTCCCCAAGCAGCCCTCGTCGCGGAATGGCACTCACCAGCGCGCCCGCCATCATATTCACCTGCGAGGATCGTCAGGATCTGGACTGCGCCCACGGAGAGGCCGAGAATGCTCACCGCAAGGCCGGCGTTCGGGTCCAGCCCCTCGTACTCAATCTCTTCTGCGACCTCCATGATGTGCGCGACGGTGGGCTCGTGGTCGTCGCCGGGGAGCGCTGGCTCGAGCGCGGGGGCGGCGGAGGCAGGTAGGAGCGACAGTTTGGCGGGTGGCGGGGGTTAGCGCGAGAGCGCAAAATGGAGGAGGCGGAATGAGGTAAGCCTGCGCGGTGGTCACGGTTGCTCACTCTCAGTGCTCACTGGCAGCGGCCTGTGCTGTCGGCCGGCTGTGTCGGGCTCGGGTCACGGTGCTTAGCAGATCGCAGCAGGCGGCACTGATGCCAATGGGACAGCGGCGGTGGGGGCCCGCGAGGACGGCACGCCGGGGCTTTATATGCACAGGCAGGAGAAGGCGGAGCGAGCGTGGCAGCTGAGAAGGGTCCCATCTGGGTCGGTACTAGCGGCCTATCTCTACCTCCTCAAAACAAATCACTCCGTGAATCACAGTCTATCGTCACCCAAGGGCCCATTTTTACACCAGTACATCGATAGGAACGCTTATTGCGATAATTCTTCTGCATCGTACAGCATTCTGCGCCGCGCACGCGTACCACGCCCCTGCTCCGCCCTACTAGTACGCGGACTGCTGCTTTTCCTGCTCGCGCTCCTCGGCAGCGAGTCGGTCGTGCTCGTCGATATCCCTGGTCACGCACGGCCGTCAGCAAGTCCTCCTGCCGCCAACCAATCAGCTGCACAACCACGTACACGGCTTCCCACGGGTAGTCCAGCCTATCCGCGCACAGACATTAATTCAGCCTCGCTCAGAACGCGCATCCCAACCTAATGCGCTGCTCACCATACGTCCGCCGTCTCGGCGCCCGGGTAGTACCTGCGATCCGGGGGCGTGGTCAGGGCGCGAAGGCGATTTGATGGATATAAAGTTGGGACGTTGGGTGGAGAAGCACGCTCACGGGATGTCTGTGGGCAGCGAGCCCACCTTCGGTTTCAGCTTGTTGTGCACCACGAACACGGCGAAGCGTGTCCGCTTGGCCTCGCGCTCAGCCTCAGGCAGGGCGAGCAGCTCGCGCTCGATGTCCTTCTGCAGCTCCGTGACGGCGTATCTGAACACGGCGCGATGATCAGCGCCGCATGCCCGCCACATGGGATGCGCACATACTGGAGCGTCTTGCGCGAGTCGTCGACCTCGTCCTGGTAACAGAGTTGCATCGGATTCAGGGGATAGAGTGACGGACACCGACCACAATCAGGGCACGCCTGCCCAGCAGAATCTTCCCCGATTCGGGCCCCCTGCCAGTGAGCGAGAGCGCATACGCAATCAGCGGGTGTTCATTGGGCACACGGGGATAGACAGGCGGCAATGCGACGCCACGCAGGTGCTTCACTCACAGCCATTGCGTCCGGATGACCTCGTTGCCGATCTGCTCTGCCGTCGTGCCCGGCAGTGACTCGTATAGCGAGAGGCCAATCGCGTGGATGGGGATGTTGCGTTTCGTGTCGGCGTCTTTGAGGAATGTACGCTGGAGGCGCGCCGGTCAGACCGCGATCTTCAACGTCAGAACCAGAGCCATGAGACGATAGCCAGTTTCGCTGGGCGCGAACGTGGGACTGCGAACGTGCGATAAATATAAAGCTCCCGCTCACGCAACCGTCCACCGCCACACCGCCACATCGTGAGGACGTAGATTCCTCAAAATTGTCCACAGAATTTGCAGTATAGGCATATGTTGGGGGCGTGCCGAATGGGGCGACTGGCTATCGTACCATGCGTCTGTGAAAGTCAATTCGGACATGGAAACGTACCAAGACACGCGCCGGGAAGAATCCACTGCAACACAGATGCTGTTAATCGGGTCGGGTCAATCGCATATTCCTGCAGCAAATACTCGCCCTCCGCCTACAAGACCATGAGCGACAAATCCGAGACAGTCGCGTATTCGATACAACTCACCGATGGCAATGAGCATGTCAGGACGGAACTCCTTGATCCTCTCCGCAGAGTCGCGGATGAGGTGGTGGACATCGTTGTATGTCATGTGCTGGTGCTTGGGGGCCATTTTGCCGCGTGTCTGAGAGGAGGAGGGGAGGGAGGAGGAGGTATCTGAGAGGATGGCCGCGGGTGGCTGCTCGGGTTGCGGTGGCTGGGCTGCACTTTCGCTGAACTAAAGAAAAGTTTATCGCATCTGCCTCGATCTAGCCGCCGATCGCGCCTCTGCCGCATCACTGATCACGCCCTCAACTTGCACACCGACTCAGACGCGCCTCAGCCACCACCTCTCACCGCGCCGCCAACATGCCAGACCCCCCGCCGCCGCCGGCCGCGTCGTCCTCGACCCCAAAGGCGATCCCGAGCCTCGCCAAGCGCGCGAGCGAGACGACCCGCAGGGGCGCCGCCCGCCTCGTCTTCACGCCCACCCTCCCCGCGCGCCGCCAGAAGGAGTGAGTGCGTCCGCCCTTCTTCTCCCGCGCCCCTCCCAACGCCCTTCCTCGCCCACAGAGATGCGAAAAAAGTGCGTGACCGATCCGCGCTGCTACTACTGTGCCCGGTTCTCATGCGTGCGCCATCGCCATCAGGAGGAACCAGCCCCCGCCGCCGCACCTACGGAACGCGGACGAGGCCGCGGGAGGGGCGACCGTGCGCGAGGGCGAGGGCGCGGTGGAGAAGGACGAGGAGCAGCCCCGCGCCCGCCGGCCGTTGAGATGACCGCGAGCGGGCCCTTCGCCATGGGACCCACCCTCGCAGGCACCTCTGCTCGACGCAGCGCGCCCCGCTCGAACTTCGCCCCTGCCGTCCCGCAGGCGCCCGGTGCACTTGGCGCAGGGCTCACAAAGACGACCGCGCCTGCACTGAAGCGCGAGCCGCGAGTGAAGGTGGAAGATGAGGACGAGGAAGCATACTCGGACCCGGATGAGGGCGTGGAGATCGTGGACATGGAGAAGATCAGGGATATGGATTGGATGGCGCCGGAGAGCTTGGCGAGAGAGAGGGAGGCAAAGAAGAAGGTCAAAGGGACGACCGTCAAGAAGGAAAATCCGGAGAACGTAGATCGAAAAGGGAAAGGTGCGTGGTTATTCGATGTCGCTGCCGTGTGACATGCCGTTGAATTGTTCCGGTTCACAGGCGTTGCCAAACCAGAGGTGATGGACGTCGATGACGAGAGCCCAGAGCCAGAAACAGAGACAGAAGTCAACTTGGCGAACGCAGTCGACCTCAGCGAGAGCGAAGACGAGGAAGAGCTCGAGGACATCATCGACGACTTCGCACTAGCACAAGAAAATCAGGCAGATGACGTGGTGCGTCGTTCTTTCTTTCCTCATCACCCCCTCCAACCTCAACCGATAACTGTTCTCACAGGACCCGAACATCCGCCAAGAACGCCTCTACTTTTTCCAATTCCCCTCCCCCTTCCCCACCTTCGTCTCTCCGTCAGCCCAAGCGGCCGCGGCAGCATCGACAGAACAGGACCCCGCTGCACCCGGAGCCGCAGAAGTCGGCGGCGACCGCAAAGTCACCTTCGCACCCGACACAAAACCGCCCGCCCCCGCACAAGGCACCAAACCCGGCGAACGCGCGAAAGAAGCAGACCAGAAGATCGACGGGCTCATCGGCCAGCTCGAGGTGTACGCGAGTGGCGCGGTGAAGATGCGCCTCGCGAACGGGATTGTCATGGACGTGCGTCGTCGTTTCTGGATGTTGTGGCAGCGCCATAAACCCTAACCCCGTTGCGCAGGTCACCGCGGCGACGCAGCCGTCGTTCCTCCAGCAGGCGGTGCATGTCGATGTGGAGAACAAGCGCGTGCATGTATTGGGCGAGGTGAATCGCAGGTTTGTCGCCTCGCCCAACGTGGAGACGCTCCTGGCTGCTATGGAGCTTGCGGAACAGCCGGTTGCGCCGGAGTTGGAGGGGCTGATCGCGATGGACACTACGTAGCTGGCATCCTCAGTGAGAAGTGCGTGGCATTGTGTGAAGCCTGCGGGAGTAAATGTGTTGTGAGGTCGTAGATCTATTGGGTCGTTGCGACGGATGTGTGCTGCCAATGAACCCTCACAGACGTCGTTTACCTATCCTCGCAAATAGTAGAGGACACCACTACTTATAAACACAGGGTCTAGTTTCTCAAACGCACTACCTTAAAATGGTACGCGGTACAATGTGCAATGACGATTAGACGCACGGACTCAAACTCTTTTTCCTTTGACTGCCACAACACTACTCGGCCCTCCGGAGGAAGCCCCAACGAACATCTTCGACTCTGGGGTCTTTGCCTCCTCTGAGTGAATTCTGGCGAATCGCCGAATGGAGGCTTTACAAGAGGTGCATGGTGCAACGCGAGCACGCCCCTTCACGAGCAGACGCTCGGCCAGAAGTGACGCGTCGAGCATCCCCCAGTTGCTGTAGTCTCCTCGCGCCAGGTCGTGAAGCCGCCGGCGATGGAGCTCCATATGGTACATGAGCCAGAACGGCGGGCCACCGGTACTTACTCTTCGTAAAATCTCTGCAGCTGGGAGAGGTATTCGAATGTCACGAAAGCAAAGTGGTTCGCTGGCCTGAGGCTGTCGCCGGAGGTGAATGCGTAGGGCCCGGAGGCACACCGCTAGTGGACGGAAGAGCGAGTTGGGTATTTTGGAGGTACAGTGGTCCGTGCGGTGAGTGCGTCGCCTAGGATATTCAGATTTGAACATACCGCTTTGTTGTGATATCTTGTGTCTAGCTTGTATAGATCGTCAGGCTCGAGGTCGGTCTACGTCGCACAATATCGAACAATACACTTGGCCCGACAGAGGGAAACAGATCCAAAAGCGACATGTCAGGCGAGGGCTGACTCGCCGCTGCCACCGAGGAGTCGGGGAGGACTCTGCAGTCACATGGGCGGTGATGCAGAAGCAGCCAGCGCGCGCTGGAGATGTCGATGAGAAGCGACCGTCTCCAAGAAGCGTTCAAATTGTCCAGGGCGCAACGGCATGCGGAGGGGTCGGTTCGGTGTCAGCGATAGCGGATGGCCTATTGTCGGACGAGACGTCTTCGCCACCCAAATTCCCGGTCATTGTGTGAGAGAGGCGGGAGTGGGACCGGCGGGGTTGCAAGGAGAAGGGAGACCTCGAAGGCGCAATGGGCGCCTGAGCAAGGCACAATGCGGTTCGAGATGCCTCTGAACGTCTTGGGTACGCACTGACCGCCATCTAGGGTTATCTATGCCAGCACGAGGTAAATGGAGAACGTAGTGACCGTAACAAAAGCCTCGTAGGTTGGCTAGCCATCGATCCGTCCACGCGCTTTGGGTGACAGCGGGCGTGGATCAAAGCGTGTCGCGCGCAGCAGAGCAGCGTCCTTCGCGGACCTGTTTTCTAGCTGCGAGCCTCCCTGGGCAATGTAGATGCACATATTGCGATAGCGAATATGCAGGCTTTCCTTGGGGATGCTTGCGACAGTGGCCACGATCGTTCTTTGCGGTAGGTCCGCGTTTAGGCTCGCCGTGCATTCGGTTTGTTTCTTGTGGTCCGGCGGTTGGACACGAGGAGACACACGAAAGAAGGGCATCGAGACGTAGCTGCTGAGTTCCACCAGAGTCATCAAAGGGGAACAGCGTGAAGCCACGCAGAGACATCGCAAGCGCATCCCTGCAACATGTCATATATTCTCCCAAGCTTATGGCTAGTCGCAAGGCGCGAGAGGCGCGCATAGGGACAGAAGAAACGAAACGAAGGAAATGAAGGAAATGAAGGAAACGAAGGAAACGAAGGAAGGGACATCAATCGAATATAGGGTCCGCGTGACAATTTGGAAGGACAGGCGCGATAGGGCGGGCAGGGTAGACGGCACGTACCACTGCGGGAAGGTCCGTACGTCTTCGAACGTGTCCCGATCACTTGCACCGAACAGATGTTCAGTAGCAACAGGCTTCGAAAATCCAATTTCTAGATCGCCATGCACTGGCCTGACGTACAGTACGTACCGGAAGTTCTGCATACCGCTGTCCATCCTACTATGATCCTAGGGTCCGTCGCCAGTATGGCTATGTCCTGCAGAAGAGCGCAATCGTCGAGTAGGGTGTTGCTGCCCACATTTTCCGCAACACCGCAAATAGCAAGGCGTATGTCGGCCTGGCCGATATGTGGCCGCCACGCGCTTTATGGTCCGCAACCGAGTGTCACCGTCGGGCTATTGCGCATACTTGTCCTCCGCGGGTATGTATTGCAGAGGATGCTGCATCGGAACCACCGTACGGTGTTCAGGCTGCGGTGAGGGCGCGACCAGAGAGGAAGGGACGAGCAGGCACGCACATCGATATGGGCGTTTCGACCTCGCCAGAGTCACAATGAGCAAAGCAGTGGATATTTTACTCGCGGTCGTCGGGGGTGAGTTGAGCGAGCAACCGTGGCGGCAGCGCAGTGGCTGCCAGCTGAAGCCGCCAGAGTGAAGCCTGAGGTCACTCAGACTGGAGACGGCGAGGGCCGGGTGCGCTTAGACCATCACCCGGCTGCGAGCCACACGGGACAATTACAAATGCGGCCAGTAACTGATCGTGTCGTCCTGCAGCGTGCTCTGCTCTGCTCTGCTTCGACCGGACTCTTTGCTTTCTTGCTGGACTGCATCGGACTGCGCCATGCGCGCAGTAGCGATATTGAATTTTCTTGAATGAATTAACGGCTGAAAACAACTGCGCTACCCTTGGCAGCACTTCGTCGTTGCTTCTGCATTTTTGCTACAATCAGGCCGGGCCCATCTGGCGACTTGTGGACGAGTGCGAAGACATTGCCTCCGTTGAGTGGCAAAGCCTTCCTGGTCACACCAACGCAACGGTCGTGCAGCCGGCCCTTGGTCATTCGATGACGTCCTCTCAAGGACCCCGCGCGCAGTGGTGTGCCGCCTGTGCGTCTCGGGCGCACATTCGCGGCGTGCAGTCTGCAGCTCAGCGGCATCATCAATAGGATACTCATCATGGTGGAAAGAGGATGTGTAAAGGTACGCTGCACGCCCTCTCGTCGCCGTCTTCGACGCGTCTGGGACTCATGCGATTTCGTCGCTGCTCAACATATCGCTGGAGTTTGCGTTGGCTTCGACGTCGACAGTGACGCGTGACGTCTGTGCCCCCACTAATAATATGGCGGACGTTATTTCTTTGCTCCTGTTTGCTCTTGACGCACGGTCGTATAGATCGTGTATTGTTGCCTTGAGGCAGACCTTCTGGAATCACACCAGCACGCAATGGTTCAGCTGAATGGTTCTATTATGAGGAAGACAGAAGGGGCTCGCCTGATGCGCCCTGATATCGGCGGTGGCTGGCGTGACCGTGATGTCGGGTCACGCGTCACTAGCGCGCCCAGGGCGGCGGGTGGCCACCGCCTCTATGCCTCGCGCGTGCCCGCAAGGTCGTGGCATCCTCGGAGAATGGGGAGGAGGCGTGGTGGTAGGAGGGGTCATACTAGCAGTGGGTTCTACACAAGGTTTGGCGAAGCTGCGTCGAGCGAAAAAGCCCACTGTGGTGTCCTGGAGAGACCGGCGGAGCTCGCGCTATCCTCCATTGTTCTCTCCGGTGCGTTTGTCCAAGAGCTTCGACTCAAAGCTCAGAGACATGGTGTGGTGGTTTTCTGCTGGTATGCTGGCATATGGAGGCGCGGGACACAAGAGATTTACGGTCTATGTATGGGTCCGCGGAGAACCAAGCTCGTGTCGCGCATCCGTGAAGCTCGTGTCGCACAGCTGTGCAGAGTTGTTGTGTCGCCGTTGACTTGACCTGTTCTGCTCTCCAGAGAATGTCTTAGGCTGACCATTTCGCAGTAACAACAGTACAGCACCATGGGCAATGTTGGGGTCATCCGCGATTGAAGGCGGAAGCAGATCGCGCGCGGCGTGCAGCGAGGCCTTCGCAGCGCGCTACAACTCGCCGATCTCATACCGAATTCAGAATGGGCCGTCCGTCTTTACGCGATATTCGCGCCCTCGTTTGATGCACTATAAAAATGGGCGTGCTCTCACCCAGGACCCTGTCGCATCCTTCGTCTCTCCTCCCATCTCCAGCTCTTGGAGGTCGCGTTCTGGCTGCTGTTCAGCCCGAGTACTGAAGCACCCGTGCTATCCCGTGACACAAACGCGAGCATCGACATGACACTCGGTTCTTATCCCCTTCGCCTCCCCAGCTACCGCTCCGCGCATGGACGACGGTACCACCCGTACCCCACAGCGAGGCGCCACGCGAACAACGATGAGTCCTACATGGTACGGTTGTGTGAAGACTATATATGCAAACGTCCTCATAATGTCTGCGGTGTCGTGGGGCGTCTGCCGCAGGATTCTTTCCCTGGTTTTGATTACGAAGCGGCTGAGCATGTGTCGGACGTGCCCCCGAGCCTACAGCTGGTGCGTGGTTCCTCGGCTTCATGCTACGAACTTTTACTGATGATCGTCGCGTTTCGCCCTCATAGCACCCAGTGCGACGCGACGACGACGACGACGACGTGACGGCGTTTCAACTGGATGCCAGTACCGCAAAACACACCAAGGATGAGGACGCAGATGCTGAGAGCAAGGTCGCGATTCTGGTAGTTCATAGGAAAGACGGTGAAGGTGAACAGAAGCCGGTCACGGCGAAGCCTCTGATGAGACTCACAGCGGTGAGTTGTTACTCACTAATGACGCTTTGGTTCACTGACTGGTCCTCAGCTGTATACGCTATTTTTATGCCTGCACTACGTTCAGGGCCGCCTCACGAAAAGCCGTATCAACACCCAAAAGTGATTGCACCACGCGGATGTACCTTTGCTCTCGGTCGGTTGTCGTTGCTGTCCGTCGCTGTCTTGGTTTTATGGTTTGCTTGCCTATTGGTTTGCTTTGAGCTAAAGTTGATATTTCCTGGATCTCTGATACGTTATGTTACTAGAGTGGGTTCGCCAGCGTAATAAACAAATATTCATTATACAATGTCACGTCGACCATGAGAAGTAGAATGACGGTGGTGATATGGGGGATAGGCTCGTAGCCATTGGTATTCTTCGAGCATATCCAAGCCTGAGTGTCTAGCGTTCTGACAATTACCGGAAGCCTTAGATCGCCTCTCCCGTGAAATCGGACGCTCAGACAATTATACTTACTAGATGAGGCCACGAGTCGCGTCGAGCTCCGGACGTAGTCTGCGACAGGCCGCAGAAGACTTCAAGGGCACTGCCCTACGTCGGGCACGGGCAACCTACGTGCAGACCTCGTACACGGAGATGTTTCATACAACGAAAATATCCACGAAGAGCTCAATATGCCCAGCACCGCAGATGCCATGCAGAACGAGCAATCGAAGCGCTGCAGCGTGGTTATATACTGGACGACATCCGCGAGTAGGACGACGGTTGTTTCGAGCAGTGGACCCTCCATATCGCGCGCCTCAAGCGCGGCGAAGGGCTCATCCTCTTGCGCTTCGTGCAGCGTGTGCGGTAGTATGAGAGACTGGACTGGCGAGCGATAGATTCTACAGGAGGTCCAAACTCAAGACCGTCAACTCCTGGTCGAGTCCACGCATGAAGAGCCAAGCATGGATTGTGAAAGCATTTTCGAGTGAGAGCCACACCATACAGGATCGGCGAATGAGTCATGACTTCTTCCTAATCAGCCACTCCCTCGTCGGACAACAGTGGCACGTCCAAAGGTGGAGAAACTCCAGTTGCCGGCACCTTGCGCACTAGTGAAAAAATAAGCCGTGGGTTGATGTACGGATGGATGAAAGGAGATCACACATCAGTTCATCTATGGCGATCTTGTAGACGGTAGCGTCAGGAATGCACAGAGTCAACGCATGGAGCTCTGAAGGCATCTGACGAGATACTTCGCAGACATGATCCTGCGTCGGGCTCAAGCCGCCAATATACAGTCCTAGTACTCGGAGCTGTTTCAGAGACATGAAGGCTGGTAGGAGCAGCTCCGATAGGTCGGTATGCCGCCGACGACAGCTGCGAGTAGGGCGGTGAACCGAGGCATGAGCACAGCATTCGGATCCTCTCCCGCTCTGCCGCAGACCTTGAGCTGCGTCAAATGAGGGAGGCTGAACGGTCCACATGCGAACGCGGCGAAGAGCTGCTCCTCCTGATCCTCCCGAAATACCTGTAACGTGAGCGACTGGACATGAGGGATGTTGTGCAGGAGAACCTCGAGGTGGGTGATAAAGGTCGAGATGCGTTATCTGCGGCAAGAGGCCATTAAGGAGGCGGACGTTGACCGGAGTAGTCCGAAGGAGGTACAGTTCGCGCAGGTCCGGGTACGCTCCCTGATCCAACTGGACGTCGTGATAGTTATCCAGGGAGCGGTGCACTATGTCATCTATCGTCCAATTGCAGGCTAGATAACGGAGGCTTCTTGGAAGCTTGTGCGATGGTATGGTGAATGCGATCGTACTATAGTATTCGCAATCATTGGATCAATACGGGTACATCGTCTTGAATAAAGTGACCGATACTACTCACGGAAGTGTGAGGTATTTCAGCTTCGAGCAAGTGAGAGCACCCAGTATGAGTTCACATGGCAGCGGCTGGCATCCCTCCAATCAAAGCGTTCAAGGTTGGGCAGGCAGAGAATAATGGCATCGTGAGTCCTGTCCAAGCAGCCTTGAGTATAGGTGCTGAGTTGATCATCGGCGCAATGGAAAGACAGACCGCAAGCGCCTCAGCGACATCTCCATGTCCCAACAGTCTTGGTACACATCTCGAGGAACCTGGCCGATCCTCCAAGTCGAGTACGCCTCTATTTTGAGGACTCTCACCGCAGCCGCAAACGAAGCATCGGCAATGATATGGCGGATGATATCCAATGACACTCCATTGCCCTCGACGTGCGCATTTCGTCCAGCTCGTCGTTGCGTTTCCTTGTCTCGTCATCCTCTGCTCCATGCCAGACGAGCCAAGCTTCCCAGGCACCGAAGGAGATAATGACCCTCACTATGATTTGCATGTATCATATCAATTGTCGTACTTACCAGAAGTTCGAAAGCGTTAGACGTTCCTTATGAAGCGTGTTATCCTCACGCGTACGTCGAACCCCTATCGATCCTGAAGTAATGCATATGGCGACCTGCGACGAGCGATGCATACCCGGGATAGTCAGCGTAACACGGAACCGAATTTTTGGTACCGCCCCACAACGCTATCAGGGCCGCAAAAAAACCAGCACATCTTGGGTGTATGGGATACGCGGAGCATGCATGGCATATGGGTGCATGAGACGTAGTACTTTTGGTCGTATAGCACATGATAGTCGGAAAGCAAACATAGACGAAAGCGGCCCTCCACCCAATTTACTTGAGAGGAATGCTAGTAACATCGTCAGGTACATCCAGAGCGAGGAATAGTGAGATGAGACTTACAAACGAGATGCTGTGAGGCGCAGCGCGGGATGTGGTCAATTCTGGGATCGCTGAAGCGCTGGGAGTGTACTTACAGTGCGTGGCACCGATCTGCACGCATACAGGTCAGTCATGCGCAGCGCGCCAGAGGAGGATGCAGGACGTACACCAGGGCGACCGTGCTTGACGGGCCGGTATGAGCACGAGAACTCAGCGAGGTAGTGGCCGACCATCTCAGGCTTGACCTCCACCGAGTTGAAGACCTGTCGCACAACCGTCATATTACTACCCAGCCCGACACGCGCAGCGCGCGGGCCCTACGCACCTTGCCGTTGTAGATGCCGACGACGCTGCCAATCATCTCGGGGACGATGATCATGTCACGGAGGTGGGTCTTGACGACCGCGGGCTTCTCATTCGGGGGCGCCTCCTTCTTTGCTTTACGGAGCTTCTTGATGAGGCCCATGGGCTTGCGCTTCAGGCCGCGCTGGAACCGACGGCGGGCACGGGCGTGTACGAGCTATACGCAGGGATATGAGGCTTAGTGGGACTTTAAAGCGCTTCACGGTATCGTACCTCAACGAGCTGTAGATGGGTGAAGTCAGAAAATTGCGGCGGATTACAATAGGGCGGTTGGACGCACCTCCTCGTTGCCGAGGTCCAGGAGCTTGTCAAGCTCAACGCCGCGGTACGAGAACGTGCGGAACGTCCTCTTCTTCTTGATCTCAGCAGCAAGAGCGGGGTCGGTAACGCCGGAGTCAGCCTAGAGCACGGAACACCGCCGTCAGTACCCTCCTCGCGCTCGACATCGACGCCGCGTCCCGGACGAGCAGCACTCACCATCTTGAGTTTGTCGTGAACGGGTCTTGCGGCGGGGACGGTATGGTAAGCCTTGCGCGGCGGAGTCCGAACTGGGCGGTGGCTGCGGGTGCGTGGGAACGCAGCTGTACAGTTCTCAGCCACCGCGTGCCGCCCACCCGGAGAGGCGGGCGTCGGGCATCGTTTCTACTCAACATCGTCGGATAGAATCCACAGGTCTTCCCTCGAGGATTAAACGTGAGTTTCTCATCGGGTTCACCGCCGGTGTCGCTGCTGATAATGCGGGTTGCAGTGATTTGTGGCTACCGAACCCCCTACTAAACTACCAAAGTATGTGACTCCCGGAAGGACAAGCGATCGAAGTGCTGAGTGCATGCGCGTAGATGCGTCACGTTGCTGCATACCTGCTCCTCCAGATCGGCGGGAACGCCTCCCCTTCTGCCGGCGATGTCAAGAAGGTGCTTGGTGCCGTTGGCATCGACGCTGACGACGAGCGCCTTGAGAAGCTCGTCTCTGAGCTCGAGGGCAAGGACGTCAACGAGGTGCGTGCTCCTTGAGAGGTCCGAGATCGCTTTGCTGAAATGTATTTTTTGCAGTTGATCGCTGAGGGCTCCTCGAAGCTCGCTTCCGTACGTGACACTTGGCCGTTATGCAAGTGCTCCTGTGCTGACGCTGTGTGTATGACAGGTTCCTTCCGGTGGTGCGGTCGCCGCGTCGGGTGCTGCTGCTGGCGGCGCCGCAGCTGCCCCTGCCGAGGAGGCCAAGGAGGAGAAGAAGGAGGAAGAGAAGGTCAGCTTTGTTTGTCGTCGAAGCGCGCGGTTGCTGACGTCCCGTGCAGGAGGAGTCCGACGACGACATGGGCTTCGGTCTCTTCGACTAAGCTATCTGCATCCTTCGTTAAAACCATGCTTTGCTGCTCGCTGTGTATTGTTCGCACTGTAGCAATTAATGACACCCGAGATGTGACGGCCCACTGCGCCTGTGTGATAATGGCCCGGCGCTATGCACCTGAGAGGCGCCCCTGACTAAATGAACGGGAGGCTGTTGGGTGGATGGTCTGGAGCGGCACAATCTAACCGCATGCGTCGATGTTGGAATTGGAGCTGGGATAGCTGCTTCTGCGGTGGTTCGCGGCTTCTGCAGCATGCGTGTGCGCGGCGGCAGTCGGCAGGCGGCTGGCTGCAGCTGGCGGCCCCGAGAGGCAGACGCGGGGGATGGGAGGCCGCCCGCCGCAGACGGCAGGGCAGACGCGGCGGCGTGGCCAGGCAGCCGGGCAGAGTGCGAGATGGTCGCACAGGTGATCCGAGCGCGATCGGCTTGGCCGAGGACGGTGCCGGCGGTAGCCTGTTTTGCCGGCGGGTTGCTGCCGCGGCCGTCTCCCTCGCCGCCGGCCGCTGGCGAGCGCGAGCCCGCCGCTCTGGCAACAGCGACCGCGACCACGAGCACGACGCCTCCGCCAGCCTCCTCGTCGCCCGCGCCCGTCTCCGCCGCCACCCTCCGCGTCTCTCCGTTGCACTCGCACGGCGAGCGGCTCCCAGGCGCCCGTGAGAGGAGGATGACAGTCAGGTTCGTCCTCCATCTCCTTTTGTGGCCGCGGCAGATCCGTTTCGCCCTTTCAGATCCCCCTGTGTAACGCTCGCCGATGCAGCGTCTGCCTTCCCCAGACTTGCCCTGGAACCACCACAGCCACGGCCAGTCCGTCCTCTGCGTGCCGCCGGCAGTGTGCTGAAGCCCGCCCTCGTCGCCCTTGTTGCCCACCACGCCCGTAATCCTCTGTACTGACCTCCCGCCACCAGGAGCAACCACACCCACCGTAGGAAAGCGTGTCATGGACCCCCGCACTCGTGGCGGTCATATCTCTCTCGGACCCATCGATCCCGGCGGCTCAGACAGTCCCGTCGATGCACAGTCCTCGTCCCCACAGGCCCATAACTCCGTCGCCTTTGTGAAGGGCGGCAAGCGGAAGCGGCTCAGCAAGGTGCGGAACGCTCCCTCAATGCGCCGTCTCTAGTATTGGTGTGATACGCACGTCCGATGAGCCAAGCTCCCGTAAATGGTAGCCACGGGTCGATTGCATCGCAGCTAGTTTGAGTCTGCGCCGCTGCTATATCCACTAGAGTAATGTTGCCGGAGAAACCTTGCCTGGCTCATCGGACGGTCCACCGATCTGTCGAATTAACATTACCTCGAATGACCTGACGAATTCGCATAGGCTTGCGACGCTTGTCACAAGAGCAAACGAAGATGTGACGGCACAGGTTAGTGTTTCAATCTCGAGCTGCGCGTACCCATCCTTAAAGCGTCTGCCACCTCGTGAAGCCCCCTGCAGTAACTGGTATGTGCAAATATTTTCCTGATGCTCAAGCACGCCCCTCACCACCCGCAGTTATTTCGCCTCCAAGCAATGCACCTACACCGATTCCTCCGGTCGGCTAGTACCTGCACCTCGCAACGCAGCTCATGGGGAGCGTCCTGCACAGTCGCCGGCGGTACATACAAAGCTTGTTTGCTGCGGTTCACGAGGCTCATTCCCGCTCTTCATTTAGGACGTTCTCACGGACGACCTCGGATCTCCGCACATCGACTTGTCCCAGCCCATTCCGAACCCTCCAACAAAGGAGCACAACGCGTCGCCCAAGCGGAACCGGTCGGGCACATCGAGCCGCAGCCCGACGGGGACGTTCGCGTCATCCTCCCAGCACTCGCCCCAGCTCCCGCAGCCGAGCGAGCCACGATCAAAGCTTCTGGATCCTGACACGACGCATGAATTGGTCAACCGTGCGTACCCACATGCGAACTGCCGCGCGGTCGGATCTCGTTGCTAACGCACGCCCATCACGGCCCCTTCTGCAGTCTTCTTCGCGCACTGCAACCCGCACCGGCTCATCCTGCACAAACCGTCCTTCTCCGCGGCGCTCAGCCACAACCGCGTGCCGGAGTACCTGGTGCTCGCGCTCTGCGCGGTCGCCGCGCCGCTGTCCAAGTCGATTGCCGCGCAGGCTAGCATCGCGCGCGTCGCAGGCGTGCCGTTCTACCAGGATGCGGTCAGGATCATGTTCGACAACGCGGGGCGGCTTCTGAGCGAGCCCACGCTCGAGACGGCGCAGGCGCTCTGCCTAATGGAGATGCATGAGATTGCGGCGAGCCATTCTTGGACGAAGCACAACAAATACTTTGGTGCGTGTCCGTGTCCGTGTCCGTCTGCCAAACCTTCTGTCTTCAGTGTCCGGCGGTGGCCGCCGCTGCCCCCGGGACCAGTGGTCACCTGCTTTTCATTTGCCTGCATCCGTTCCGTCTGCTTAGTCCCTGATGTGACATCTGACGATCGTCGTCCTCGCGCCGCAGATCTGGCGCTGAAGGTCCTGGAGGAGAGCCTGGAGGTGGAGAAGCCGGACGACCAGGTCCGGGGCCGGACGGACGACCTGGACTTCTGCATCGAGCGCGAGTGCACGCGGCGCTGTTTCTGGCTGATCCAGTGCATGAGCTGGATCAGCGGGATCTACATCTACAAGCCGGTGCGCCCGCGAAGTGTGGACATGACGAAGAAGGTCCGGCTGCCGATTGACGAGACGACGTTCGACCTGGCTGCCCATTGGAATTCAGCGAGTGAGTGCTCCAGGCGCAAGCGCAGATGTGACGAGGGTTTTTACGTACTGATGTGTGTCTCTCTGCGCAGCCGTTGAATATCTGCACGTCCAGGCGCCGACGACGCGCTACGCGTCTCAGTTTGGACATGTGCTGCGGATTTTGTCGATATATCAGACTGTGCAGAACGTCATTGGTGAGTCAGTGTGTCCGGATGCTGGTCGCGGTGGGCTGAATAGCAATCATGCTTCAAGTTCAAAACGAAGGACCTGCGCGAGCACGAGCGTTACGGGAATGTCGACAGATGCTTGATGTACGGACTCAGTCCATTACCAGAGCCACGTTGTACTGATTGCATCGCCTCCAGAACTGGCTCGCATCTCTGCCGCAACACTTACAATTTTCGGAAGACAACGTTCAGAAACAAATCGACATGTTCGAGACGAGCTCCAACACAGGTGCTTGGTGTTTCTGTTTCATGCACGCATTATACCCCTGTTGCTATCTAGCTTTTCTCGAGGTAAGATTCTCGAGGGCGATGAGAGAATGTACCCAATGATGAGTCCTTTTGATAGGGAGAAGGTCGATTAGGCGAGCCTATCGAATGGGTGCGGGACCAACTAGGGACCATATTCAACGCTACAGGTACTCGGGCCAAAAATACCATTCTCTGTAGGTCGTTGTGTTACTCGGTTTGCATCGGAGTTTCTGACGACACACTTGGTCTGCGCAGCGGCATGCGTCATCTGGGTAGGCAATCTAAAGATGCGATCGGTGGGCGAGTGCACTGACGCTGGCGTACATGTAGTCATACAGCAGATATTACCCCGATGACCCGAAGATCCGAGTATGGGACACCGACTTTGAGAAAGTGTGGGGGTTCCGCGTGCTGGTCGTGGCGGACCAGTGGCGGCAGGTCCAGGAGCGCGACCGGGCCCAGGCCAACGCGTCGCCCAATGCGAGCCCTCCGCACGTCGCCGGCGTCTCACCCACAATTGCCAAAAACAATGTGCTTATGGGTCCAGGGAGGCAAGGCGGGTTCGACGTCGCGCCACCACACCATCACGGAGATATGGGCTTGGACCACCGGTACGACCACCACAACCAGATAGGGCGCGCACGGCCCTACGCCTCGGGTGCAGAGCTTCCTGTTCAGGCTCCGATGGTGCGCACTCGGGATGGGGCTCCGAACCTGCCATCATTGAAGGCAAGCGGCCTGCTCGACACGTTCCCGCCGCCATCGGACGCGTTTGCGACCGCGCTGTCGTTGTCCCCACAGGGCGCGACGTTTCAGCAGGACGACCGTCGGTCGGTGACGACGCTGCTCAACTCACCGGTGCAGCAATTGCGGGGGAACATGCCCGTCACGTCAAGTCCCATGATGCCCATAGGCCTAGACTGGTTAGGGAAGCCGTGATGACTCGTCGACTATGATTCCCGCCAGCAGTCGTTCCGAGCGGTATCTTGGGCATGCCGGCATGCGTTGTGCGATCCACCGGGTATGATATCATATTGCAGTACGAATGCGGTGATATATTAGTGAATGGGTACAAGGCAGGGGCACTACGCCTGCGCCTTCTTGAGGTTACGGTGCAGCTCCGGTTTGACTAGTACGACGCGGTCGAGTAGCTTCTTGACGACCTGGTCCTTGTTCTTGTTGTATGCATCCGTAATCTCCTGTAGCTTAATCTCAGTTTCTTGGTCGACCGCGGTCTGTGCTGTCTGCGTGCTTCCGGCGTGCTGTGCATGACGTACGGAAGGTCAAGGAGATGTGCGCCAACGAGGGAGTAGGCGACGCACCGATGCCTCGAAGGCCTTGAACTCGTCCTCCTTCTGCCTCTTGTACACCTCGATCTCCTTTGCAGCCTGTGCGCGTGCGTCCTTGAGCTTCTGGACGCGGTCTGCGGGTCGATCAGCCACCAGATGGACAGGGGAGGCGCGTGGACGACTGACACTGGCGCGCCTGCTGGACGGTCTTCGCGGCCTCCTTCTCGGCCTCGAGGAGGGTCTGAATGCTCTGGGATTGCTGCGCAGACTGCAGGACACGTTCAGCACGGCGCGGGCAGCAGGACGGCGGGGACACTGACCATCGCGGGCGCAGGAGCGAGGAGGGATTGAAACTCCGCCGGGCGTCGCCTCGCCACCAGACGCGGGTGACGCGCAGAGTCTTTGAGCCAAGCGTCGAGCGGCAGCCTGAGCGTGCGCGGGACTGGCAGTAGCGAGCAGCGAGCAGCGGCCAGCATGGCTGGCAACCCCGTAGACCCCCTACAGACCCTCAGCGCAGCCCTCGCCGTCCCAGCAGACTCTAAGGAGCAGGCCGACCTCCTCGCAACGCTGCGTGAGTCCCTCGAGGCCCACCCCGGCCCCATACCTATCCTATGTACCACCCTCATCAAGACCGTGTCCGGCGCGGGAGACTCGCTGCTGAAGCGCTGGGTTATTGACCTCCTACACTTTGCGATATGCCGGTCGAGTCTGTCTATCGACGCGCGCACTCAGCGTGCGTGTTGAGCTCTTGTGGTCCTTTGAGTCGTCTTTAATGCAGTGTCTCGTCTTTAGTTGCGTCGCAGTCGGTCGAAACGCTAGCCGCACTTCTCCACGACGCCAATCCGACTACTGTGAAAGTGAGCGTGCAATGCTTTGCGACGGTGTATCCGTTGTTGTTCAGGTTGCTGTGAGCCCGAGTCCTCCTTTCCTGCATGCCATCACTCATGCATAAATGCGTTAAGATGTGTCAACCGGAACGCTCGGGATCTGTGGCAAGTATTGTCACAGGCGAAAACCCGTATACTCGAGTACGTCTGGTCGCCAGCCGTCAGCAATGGCATCAAGTTCGCTGCAATCAAATTCATGCAGAGGGCGATCCTTGTACAGACCCGTGGCATCAGTGACCCACGAGTGAGTATCGCTTGGGCCAGCATTGGCACTGTTCTCATTCTCAACCTCTGTATCCAGTTGCAAAAGCAGAATGACCCGAACCTTGCCATGCTGCCCTCGGACCACCCTTTCATGTCCGTGACTGCACTGGAGGCCGAGGGTGTCGAACTCATGAAGGGTGTCTTCACGATTCTTTATACTAGCAAGTGAGTGCCACTCCTTGAACTGCAGTGGCCCAACCATGTCTGACTCCTGCACGTGCATCCAGTAACCCCGATATCATTGTGGCAGTCATCAATAGCTGGGCTTCCCTCATCAAGGCCCGACCAGCCCTCACTGAGGTCCTGGTCTCCACTCTCGCACAATGGACACCTGCCAAACTCGAGGGCCTACCCACCTTCAGCATCAAAAGCGTCGAAAAGACCATCCGCATCCTCCTGATCCACATATCTCGGTAGGCATGTTCGACCCCGACCTAGTCTCGACGCTCACTACTGTGATAGAACCCCTCAAGGATCCTCATTACAGCCGCAGATTCACTCTGCACTCGCCGCCCAAGCCACTCGTCTGGAGCAGGCCACCATTGCGGAGAAACAGCGCAAAGCCGCAGCAGCCGCCGAAGCCTCCCGCAAGCGCTCCCCATCCTCCACCCCCTCTCAGGACGCGCCCGAAGCGAAGCGTCCCAAGCTAGATCACGACACCGCCGCGGCAGCAGGCTCGGCGGGCTTCGACTTCACGAGCCTGCCGGTTGCGCTCGTTACCGACCTCGTCGTCGCGAACATCCAGGCATTCTCGGAGGCGACCCTGATCGGGCTCGTACAGGCATACCGCCATAAGCGGACGCAGGTTGCGACTGAGACCGCGGCGAACGTTGCGGTAGAAAGCTCCCAGGCTCCACCGGAGACACCAGGTCCTGTGGAAGAGACGACGGCTGAGCCACCTGTTCGACAAAAATCACCAACACCACCGCCGGTTGCTGTCAAAGAAGAGCCGGTGGACCCTCTCAAGATGGACATTGACGAGGAGGAGATGGAGTACGAGCCAGACAGACTCAACCTCGAGGTACGCGTCCAGCGCCTCTCACCGTATAGCGGAGGTACTCATTAGATGATAGCTCTCGGGTGGTGAGCAAGAAGTAGCGTCCCCAGAAGAAGCCGCGCTCGACCGCGAAATGGACCTCGCGGAAGACCTACCTCCGACCGAGTTCCGCCTCCCGCCAGCGCGCGACTTCTCAGAGGAGGACCGGAGCGCCGTCGTAAAGAGTGCACTCGCGCGAATATCCGAGGGTGCGAAGGACCTCGCGCCGATGGACGTCGATGTCGCGGCGGAGGGCACCGACATGTGGATGCTGCTGATCGTGCGGCTGGTCACGAGGGTGACAGACCCCGCGCCGCAGGGCGAGGGTGGCACGCCGGAGAAGGCGGAGGACGCCATGGACGTGGTTTCTGAGTTTTATGCACATCAGGATCGGCTGAGGCAAACGCTGTGCGACTATATCATGGCGGACTTCTCTGGACGGTGAGTTGGGAAAGGGCGTAGCTGTTGGCGGTCTCCTGAGCTGACATTGACAGGTTGCGACTCGCGACGACTTGGATGAACGAAGAGTGGTACAATGATCGAATACAAGAGGGCAGAGATCGGAGTTGGGTAAGTCTCACAGCCTCCTACGCACGAATCGCCTCCTGAGTTCTGCTCTCCAGCCTCCGAATTACGAAACCTGGTTAAATCAGATTGTCGCTGCCTATCAGACACATCTGGATGGCAAGGATCGGACATTTTCACGCTTCTTACTTGACCTTCCTCATGTTCCTCCTGACGTATTGCACCTCATGCGGGACTCATGTACTGAGGCTGATCGGTTGGTACAGTGGTCATTACAGTTTGAGCTATAACTGACTCGCGTATACAGCCGGCAGATGGGATTCGCTGCATTGCGAGAGTTCGTGACGCAGCGACCATCACTGCGCGCGGAGGCCATGACCATCCTGCTTGAGCTCACTACCCATCCTGGTAAGGCTTCTTCATTTTCACTTGGCGAACAGCCGCTGAATGAAACCGAACAGACAAGATTACCCGTGGAGCAGCGATCAACACAGTCAAACGATGGATTCCAGACGTGCAGCCCATGGACAGTATGATCCGCGAGTTCGCCCTACAACTGCTCCGGCGCTTGCAATCGCGACCAAAGCGGGATAAGTCCGAAGACGTTCCTATGAACGGTACACACGACGAGCACATGGAAGATGGCCAGCTGCCGCCCGAAGACATCATTCAGACGCCTTATCTTCCGGAGGAGTTGGAGTTTCCCGCAAACAACGCGCAAATTCTACAGCACCTAGAGCTACTGTTTGCACTGTCGACGAAAGTGCCAGAGTTTCTCGACGAGTGAGTACATGATACCAATCGTTACTGGCTTATGTTGACATCTCTCAGGATCTTCGCAGCCTATGGTGGTATGGAAGAGACGGTGCAAGAGACCATTCAACAGCTCATCACACCGCTCATTCGCGCGCTTGGCTCGAGCCATGGCAGGTTGCTGACGTTGCTGCGGACATTCCCTCCGGGTGCGGAGTCGCTCGGCCTGCGCGTTCTGACGATATTCACGGAGAGTGGACGGCCGAGCTCACAGCTCGTCAGTCTTGTCAAGTCATTGGTCAGCGAGCGCGACCTCGACCCGCGGTTCCTCGTTCCTATCATTGCTGAGATGGACAAGGTGTGTACTAATCATCCGTAAACTGTGTCGCAAGATTTCATGATGTTCGTTTGACAGGGGGACATTCACCGACACTTGCCTCGCATCGTCTCAGTATTGAACGGGCAACCTGAGCCGAAGAATGTGGTCCGCGCAGTCTTCGGCTCAGTGGTCCAGACGCCCCCACAGACGTTTGGCACTGTGTCGTCCAACCTACCCCGAGTGCAGCAGAGTGAACGTCTCAGTCCAGCTGAACTAATGGTCCTCCTGCACCAGTCAGAGAAGGAGATCGGCCTCAAGAGCGCTATCGAAGGTCCGCCTCTCTTGTCACTTCACGCGGTATCGCTGCTTAAAATGGACCTCCCATAGCTATCAATATCTGCTTTTCGATGACGGACGTTTTCCGCTCAGAGGTCCTTGGGGCATTCATGAACCAGATAGTCGACGAGCCCGTCCTCCCCACGCTCTTCCTGCGAACCGTATGTCTCGGCCCCTCGCTTCCTTGTGCCACCTACTCACCCTTTACTCCTCAGGTCATACAAGCTGTGACAACCTACCGCTCGCTCGTCAGCTTCGTCTCCACCACTCTCCTCTCCCGCCTCATCACCAAGAAGATCTGGACGAACGGGCCGCTCTGGGAGGGCTTCATCCGCTGCGCGAAGCTGATCGCACCTGCGAGTTTTGGCGCGCTCCTACAGCTACCCAAGGACCAGCTCCGCGAGCTCGTGGACAAGCAGCCCAGCCTCAAGGCAGGCCTCCGCGAGTACGTCGTGAAGAAGGCCGGGAACCGCGCACGGACGGCTGGGTATCTGGATATTTTTGGAGAGGACGGACAGGGCCCAGGGCAGGGCATGGCGGCGGCGGCGCCGCCAGCAGTAGATGGGCCGGGAGCGGAGCCGGGGATGCAAGTGCCTGTGGCCCCGCAGAGCCCGGTGACGCCGACGTGAAGCGGTGTTACTGCATGGACTGCTTGTAGGTGTGTTACATGGTTGTTGTACGCTTCATCTCCATCTGCATCGTACATACTGCATCACTGATTCTCGAAATGCGCATTGTCTGATCTGACGGCTATATGCGGCGTAATCGTATGTATTGCTGCTGTCCCATGCATAGTCAACTTCGTTTGAGTCTGCATCGTGACTACAAGAGCTCTACGGGCGCAGCACCTTCCAAATCGCTGTCATGGATGCCCGTCGACATTACAGTAATCCTACATATATCGCGGGTCGTGTATCGTCGTATGTAGCCACAGGCGCCCTGGCAACTTGGAGGTATTACTCAAGTATTACTTCGATTTGGAAAGCGTCTGTCTAGTCGACTCTACGACCACCATTGGACTACCACACTGTTACAACTTACCTCCTCACATGCAACATGTCTTTCGACAACGGAAACAAATCTACGTCTATCATAGCTCGAGTACAGATCTCATTCCATCATGAACTGCTTCCTCCTGAGATCTGGATGAACATCATTGAATGTTGCCCCAAGGCCTCCCAGCGGCGCTGCTTGTCTCTCTCCAGGGCGTTCCACGATCGCACCATCCCAGTCTTGTTCCGCAAGATCATCATCTGTTTCGGTGCTTGGGAGCTTTGGGTGGCAGATAGACGAGGAGACGAGGACGCCAAGGAAAAACCAGTGGGCGAACTGGACAAGACGCGCTCAATGAGGTCGTACCATCTCTTGCGCCGCATCATGCGCGATGCTTCGTTCGCCACGGCGGTGAAGACCGTTGAGGTAGAGGCGTATATGAGGGATGAGTGTGAAAGCGTATTTGAGAATTGTCAGTACGATCTCTCAGAGTCGCGTCCGTACCATGACGGTGTCCATAGACTGAACATCGATTGTCCTCATAGGTTGCTTGACAGAAGCTATTCACTGCTTGCCAAACCTTGCATGCTTTCTCTGGTATGGATGTACCCCACGGCCTTCCGCAGAAGTCCTAGATGCTCTCGCCACGTCGTGTCCCAGGCTAGCAACGCTTACACTTCCGTGAGTGATCTTGACGGCTATAGCGCACATCAGTACGCCCATGTCTGAGCTCCAGAATCTATTCGTTCGTAACGCTTCCGTTTCACAAGTTCAAAGGCCTCCAACACCTGGGGAACTGGACGAACGTGGCCATACTTGACCCTCTGTTGGACGACTACCAGAACGTCAATATGGATGAAGAGACATTCCCAAAGTTGCGCGGACTGCACGTCTTCTTCACGGCGCCGACCAACATGAGATCGGCGCTCGGGAGTTTCTTGCAGCGGATCACACAGCTCAGCTTGCAGTTTCTGCGCGGTCTCAAAGGCCTTGAGGTCCTTCTGCAGAGTCTCCCTCACGTCCAGTCACTCACGCTACATGCGCTGAACGAAGCACAAGCGGAGGAGCTCTTCGTCGCATTCGAGCATGGTCCTTTCAACCTCCCGTCCCTGACGCAGCTCAAGATCTGCAGCGGTGATTACGAGGACACACTTACTGTACTGCTCGAATCGGAAGTCGTCCTACTCGCTGGTGTCGTCCGGGGCATACCGGCGCTGCAGCGTTTCGACTGCTCGTTCTACATCGCGCCCGCCAATCTGGGCATACTATTTTCAGCAATATCCTCCCTGAAACGCCTCCATGTGCTAGGTCTGCACGTGGATATGTTAAACCCGACAGAGAGGTGCCTCGGTGAAGTCATTCGCCGAATACCTACAGAGCTCGATGCGTTGGCCTTATCCCTATCTGGAGTTACCCTCGTAAAACCCGAGCTAGCTGAATTGGTACGTTGTCCCCGTATCCCTAATACGTCGAGTATAGCTCATGTCACTTTCAGTTCACGAGGTGTCAGCATCTGAGCCATTTCTACTTGCACATTGAGATCGAGGACGACAATGAAGTAGACGTTACTCCACTGGATATAGCACAAATGGGCAAGTTCTTGCGCCTCGTCGGGCTACTCGGCGCGTTCCACTCGGTGAAACGCGAGGACGGAACTTTGATATTGTCGGAGAGGTGGTCGTACAGGAAAATTACGTTCCGCGAGATCGATGAATGCTCCAGTCCGGAGTGGAAATGGTTGATGGGGGATAGGACATTCGAGTTCTGAATGCATGTCCAAGTCTACTTCTCATGGACGACGTGACATTGTATAACGAATATTTGACTATTATTACGCAGGCGAGCCCACTCTAGTAACATAACGTGTCAGAGATCCAGGAAATATCAACTTTAGCTCAAAGCAAACTAACAGGCAAGCAAACCATACAACCAAGACAGCGACGGACAGCAACGACAACCGACCGAGAGCAAAGGTACATCCGCGTGGTGCAATCACTTTTGGGTGTTGATACGGCTTTTCGTGAGGCGGCCCTGAACGTAGTGGAGGCATAAAAATAGCGTATACAGCTGAGGACCAGTCAGTGAACCAAAGCGTCATTAGTGAGTAACAACTCACCGCTGTGAGTCTCATCAGAGGCTTCGCCGTGACCGGCTTCTGTTCACCTTCATCGTCTTTCCTGTGAACTACCAGAATCGCGACCTTGCTCTCAGCATCTGCGTCCTCATCCTTGGTGTGTTTTGCAGCACTGGCATCCAGTTGAAACGCCATCACGTCGGCGTCGTCGTCGTCGCGTCGCACTGGGTGCTATGAGGGCGAAACGCGACGACCATCAGTAAGCGTTCGTAGCATGAAGCCGAGGAACCACGCACCAGCTGCAGGCTCGCCGGGGGCACTTCCAACACATGCTCAGCCGCTTCGTAATCAAAATCAGGGATGAAATCCTACGGCAGACGCCCCACGACACCGCAGACATTATGAGGACGTTTGCACATGCAGTCTTCATACAACCGTACCATGTAGGACTCATCGTTGTTCGCGTGGCGCCTCACTGCGGGGTACGGGTGGTACCGTCGTCCATGCGCGGAGCGGTAGCTGGGAAGGCGGAGGGGATAAGAACCGAGAGTCATGTCGACGCTCGCGTTCGCGCTTGTGTCACAGAATAGCACGCGTGCTTCAGTACTCGGGCTGAACAGCAGCCAGGACGCGACCTCCAAGAGCTGGAGATGGGAGGAGAGACGAAGGATGCGACAGGGTCCTGGGCGAGGGCACGCCCATTTTTATAGTGCATCAAACGAGGGCGCGAATATCGCGTAAAGACGGACGGCCCATTCTGAATTCGGTATAGGATCGGCGAGTTGTAGCGCGCTGCGAAGGCCTCGCTGCGCGCCGCGCGCGATCTGCTTCCGCGTTCAATCGCTGATGACCCCAACATTGCCTATGGTGTTGTACTGTTGTTGCTGCGAAATGGTCAGCCTAAGACATTCTCTGGAGAGTAGAACGGTTCGAGTCAACGGCGACACAACAACCCTGCACAGCTGTGCGACGCGAGCTTCACAGATGCGCGACACGAGCTTGATCCTCCACGGACCCGTACGCAGACCGTAAATCTCTTGAGTCCCGCGCCTCCGTATGCCAGCGAACCACCTCAACATCATATCCCTGAGCCTTGAGAGGAAGCTCTGGAACAAAGACCCGGAAGAGAACAACGGAGGATAGCGCGACCTCCGCCGGTCTCTCCTGGACACCACAGTGGGCTTCGTCGGTCGACGCAGCTTCGCTGAACCTTGCGTACGACCGCCTGCTAGACGGCATGCCCCCTCCTACCACCACGCCTCTGCCCTTTCCCCGCCACGACCGTGACCTTGCGGGCACGCGCGAGACACAGAGGCGGTGGTCACCCGCGGCCCTGGGCGCGTCATTGTGACGCGTGACCCGACATCACGGTCACGCCCGCCACCGCCGATATCAGGGCGCATCAGGCGAGTCCCTTCTGTCTTCCTTCCAACAAGTCCCTTTACAGAACTAATGTGTGCTGTGTGATCTTCGAAGGTCTGCCTCAAGACAGAACTGTGTGACCAAGAGCGTGTGCCCAAGACAGTGTATCAAGAGCATGCAAGTGCGAAGAGCGAAGACAGCAATCAAGGCCAGAGCACCGAGGGCGTAGGCCACCGCCGTCGGCCCGCCAACGCACGCATCGCCAAAGCAGCGTGCAGCAAATATATGCATAGGATGCATCCTCGGAAGAGGGGATAAAGAGGGCTACGAAACGTACCTCTATGCGTCCTCGACGGCTGAATGACGATGAGTATCCTCCCATCCGTTATGTCGCTGAATCGCAGAGTGCATGATAAGACTGCGCCAGCGGGGCACTACCACTGCGCTTCGTCGTCCTGAAGAGACCGCAGTTGTATCGGCAGCAACAGCGGGTGCGTTAGTACTTGAATAGCCGGGACTGTTCCGCGTCTTCGGGAAGGGAGACGTCTCGACATTGGTGTTCAAGTCGCCAGGACAAGTCCGGTCTCAGCATAGCAAACATGCGACACGTAGCCAGGATGCAGCCAAGGACAAACCGCGCAATTCGAACCGTAAATTCGGGCGGGCAAATTCAGTGTTCCCTACTGAGTATATCGCGAGTTCCAAGGACCGGTGAGTGGCAGCGCAACCCAGAATCAAGCTAGCAAGCATGGGCGAAGCAAGAGAGCAAAGAGCAAGGTGGGCGACGACGCGGACCGTCTCAGGGTGGCTCGAAACGGAGTAATGGTCTAAGCGCAGACCCCCTGGTCCCCCGCCCCGGCCTTGGCCAGGGAAAAACTCAGCGAAGGCAACAATACTTGCCCCGCGACGTCGCCCTATTCAGCACCGACGGTCCGTCTTTTTCCTGCCCTCAGCCCCTTCCCATCGTCCGTAGGCAATATTCCCTGATTTTCCTCGATTTTCCGAGATCGTGGCTCGCCGGAAGAACCGGTCGATCGCAAGCCACATCGATCTTGGGGAGTCGCACTTCTGTGGCCGCACCTTCCAAGTTCATGGCCCCCTTCTCGCGACCACCGAATTCTGACCTAGACTCCTCGAACATGACCTCCACTGGCTTTCAGGTTGGCTGAGTCCGACTTCGTCACCCCTGGCTCGGCCGAGCATCACACACGCATTCAGCAACGTTTTCAGCTACACGACGAGGCCGCTGAAGCCAACACGTCCAGTACCCTACGCCACAGGGTCTCCTGAAGGCATTATCCGAGGAATCACGCCTACAAATCCACTTAACTACCAGCAGCGAGCCCGCTTGGCCTCCTGCATCAAGTCTTCATCGTTTGGCCCAGTACATCGAGTCTCTGTTACCCGGCCTACTGTCAACGCGTCCAGTCACTGCATGTAGCGATACCGCACAGTTGCGTCAAGTCATTGCCCCATTCCCATGTACGAAGGACTCGCTACGCCATGGAGGACAGGTCTGCTTTATGGCGGTCGACCGAGAGTAGGAGGAGGCGGCTAAGGTTCTTTCGGTGCGTCAACATAAAACACTCGTTTTACAACGGAAATACTAACATTCTCTTCTTTTCGAAGCGTCGTGATCACGCTATAGGCGACAGTGTATCACTGGTGCATGCTCGTCGTATTGCTCTAATACAGCACAGTATGTGCGGTGCGGTGTGTACCCTAAGTTCTTCGGGTCTATGTGCGCTGTTTTTCCACATTCGCCGCTTCCCATATCGTGGCATAGTCTTTGGTTATGGAGTCTGTTTTCCCATCTTTCACATCCAGTCTTGATGGACGTTGTGGTTCGTCAGTTCATTCTGTAATATCTATGCGCCGCCCTTAGCGAGCTGTGAATAGATTTGATGAGTTCTCGTGTGCGATTGGGTGTTTTCCAGGCAAATTCTGGCCAATTGGGCAGATCCCGAGAGCTTTTGTTTGCCCCAGGGCTTGTCCTCAGTTAGGATTCGCATTCTCAGCTGCGAACGCCAGAATCCTGCCATCTCTTCGCCGTGACTGCGGCATGTACTCGCCGTGCTAACGTTGTGGGTCCCAGTTATGGACAGTTTGCAGGGTCTTCTCGACAGCGTCTACGTCTCGAATACGTCCGTGATGGCGGGCGGACGATCGGCGGTGTCGAGTCTTCGACGTCGCGCCCCACGTGACACGGCTGACGGACGACGTTCTGGCCATTGCAACATTGACCACCGCGGCGGCAGGTAAACTGGCCTGGTCAGCCCACAGCCAGCCTCATGCCAGCCTCTACAAAATGGCGCGAGCTCTGCCAACAGTCGCTCACTCTTCTACGTACGTTCGCCGGTCGATCCTTCGCGTTACAAGCCGTACTAGACATCACATCTGTTTCACTTTATCGACAACATGTCTCTTACTCCTCGACGGAACAAGAAGGAAGATGACCCGAAGATGATTGGGTTGTGGAAGATTGGCAGGACCATCGGGAAGGGGAGCTGTGGTATGCCAATAATTGCGGACGTCTTCAGTTTGTTGACCAAAACGCCAGGACGTGTCCGTATCGCGCGACACAGCAAGACAGGTCAATACGCCGCGGTCAAAATCGTCTCAAAGACCAGTATCATGAACTCTAGGATGGCGCTGCACAGCCCGAGCGACCAGGCGGACCGCATGTACAGCATTGAACGCGAAATCGTCGTCATGAAGCTGATCGAGCACCCCAACATCATGCGCCTCTACGACGTCTGGGAGACGTCTTCGGAGCTGTATCTCATCCTCGAATACGTCGAGGGCGGTGAGCTCTTCGACTACCTCTGCGAGAAACGTCGGCTCTCCACGTACGAGGCCCTCGGCTTCTTCCAGCAGATCATCGCCGCCGTGAATTACTGCCACCGCTTCAACATCGCCCACCGCGACTTGAAGCCGGAGAACTTGCTGCTCGACCAGAACAAGAACATCAAGGTCGTCGACTTCGGGATGGCCGCCTGGCAGGGCAAGGCGGACCTCCTCCGGACCTCGTGCGGCAGTCCTCACTACGCCGCCCCCGAGGTCGTCATGGGGTGCACCTACAACGGCGCCTCTGCCGATATCTGGTCTTGCGGCGTCATCCTCTACGCTCTGTTAGCTGGGAGACTGCCCTTCGACGACGAAGACCTGGACACACTACTCGATAAGGTTAAGGGTGGCAAATTCGTGATGCCTGGGGACATCGACCCGCGCGCGAGCGACCTCATCTCGAGGATGCTCACAAAGGACGTCGCGAAGCGCATTACCATCCCCGAGATCATGCAGCATCGGTTCTTCACGTCACAGCCTCCGAAGAAGATGGACTGCGACGTCCCCAACCTTGACGAGATCGCACGGCCGCTCAGCAGCGAAGACGACATCGACTGTGACATCTTCGGTAACCTGCGTTCTCTCTGGCACGGTCGGTCTGACGAGGAGATCATCGCGAGCCTCCTCAACAAGGAGCCGTCTTGGGAGAAGGGTGTTTACCATCTCCTTGTCCGCTACCGCATGACTCACATGGAGAACTACGACGAGGAGGAGGAAGAAAAAGTTGTAGCGAAGCGCGTGTCGAAGCGACGTGCCAAGCGGGACCAGGAGAACGCGGGAGAACGCTCAGAGCTCCTGGCCTCTTTGCCTCCTCGCGCAGGGCCTCCGACGCCTAGTCGGGCAGCACGAGAAGGGCAACCACAGGTGTCGCCGTCGCCCAGCCGGGGCCTCAGCCAGATGCGACAGCTGTCGTTCCTGAACTCGAGCCTCGCACTGAACAGCATGGCTGACGCCTCGACGCCGCGCAAACCTCGAGCCCAGCCGTCCTCTTCCAGCGCAGCCACCCCCGCTTCAGCTCTTCTGTCTCCCTTGCCTGCGACCTCTGCGAGCCCAGCGGTACCGACGGGCGGTGTCATGCAAGACGACCGAATTCAACAATTCATGCTTCAGATTTCGGAGCATCTCAGCGTCATGCAGCCTGCCGGTTCACGTCCACCTCTCGATTCCGTTCAAACGCCTAGGGCGACGGCTGCTCCGCCTCCGACGCCCTACGCAATGGACCCACGGAGCCCCGGGCGCGACATGCAGACCCCATTGGGACGACGAGGCATGGCTACAGCAGACATCTTCGGCGTCGAAGGCCCCGCACAGAGCAAGACGACACGGCCTCTCAGTGTCCGCCCACGCTCTCCTGCGAAGTCGGTTGCAAGTGTTGACAAGGAGAACGTTCCCCGCCTGACTGTCGACACACGTATTGGGGCTCACTACATGCATTCACCAGGACGCAGGTCCTCTGCATACAGTACAGACAGCGGGCGACGCGTACAGATCCTAGAGCCGCCGGTTATCGAGCGTGGTCGCCTGAAGAAGAGACGCAACCCGGGACAGTCGCCGACTTCCCCAGCTTCGTCCGCGATGTCTACGGGCTCGTCCTTCGTCATGTCTTCTACGCCCCGCCGCCGATGGTTCCCGCAGCTCTTCAAGTTCAAGCCGACGCAGTTTCATCTCCTATCTGTGGCAGACGCACACCGCTCTGTGAGCACCTGCCGCCAGATCCTCGAACAGATGGGCGTCACCACCGCGCTCGCGTACGAGCCATCCGAAGACCCCGCCTCCCCCGACTCGGATACCTTCACGCTCAAGTGCTGGCTCGAGGACCCGCGCGACACCCGGGGAGCGATGTCCTCGCTTAAGGGTGTCCGTTTCCGCGTGGAGGTCCACCGCCCGAGTTCGATCCAGACGATCGCGGGCTACGCGGTGCTGCTGAGCTTGGTGCTGGAGAAGGGCGCGGCGACGACGCTGAAGCTGGTGTACAACCGGCTGAGGAGGGGGTGGGACTTGGACTCGCAGGATTTACCTCCGGCTAGTCGTAGCCACGAAGTGGAAGACGACGAGCGGTTCGTAGAGGTGGTGTACGCGCAGTGAGCTGAACGACGGACGAGTGCGATGGTAGAATCGCGTATGATGACATTGACAAGCACGACCCGCCGTGCAGACGGGTGATGGGTCGTAATGTGGAGGATGTGATATAGAAGTGTGGAGGGAAGATATTAAGTAGGCACTTGCTTTTGCCGTACTGCGGGGCTTGTGATATAATAAGGAGAATCTTGCGTGTCTGCGATATATTGACTTGCTGAGATGCCAGAGGGTACAAGCGCACATGAGAACCGGCACAGATACTACGCAGGTCCGTCCATGGACACAATTGTCGATGCGAATCGTGAGGGGGGTTCCATGAGTAGAGGTGCCTCGTCCGTGTCCATTTGCTCATCCTGTGGTCCTACGGGGCGATCGATGATTCGGACAAGGAACGGATGTTTTCCGGCTTTCGAAACGACGACGCAATCTGGTTTCTCGCTCGAAATCCGAATAAATCGGAGCTGCTTGATGTATGCGACTTCTTTCTGGTCCCACATCCGGAACAACTCCACATTCGGAGGATTCGTTAGGTCAAGCACATCTGGACGAGAGGATTGAGCGCCACATTCGTAGTCCATACGTCGGGTACGCACCCATTCCCGTGCGGTAGAGCTCTGCCTCCTGCGATATGAGCTCCTCAAGCTTCTGTTCCCGCGTGCTCTTTGGACGGCCTTTCCTCCGAGACTTCTTCTCTTCCTCCAAGTCTTCATCGAACCTCTTGAGCCAGACGTCTCGGACGATGACGTGCAGAGTCTCTAATGACAGAACATCCTCCGCAGGCAAGGCATGGTAAAAGAACGAGAATATGTCCGCTGGATAGGGTAACATGAGAGCTGGGTCCTGCTGTCGATCGAATGTCGGACACACCTTGAGTCTTTTGTTTATCTACCCGAGCCTTCGCCAAGTCTGCGAGCTTGCTTTTACGCTGCTGCACTCTCATCAACTGCTCTGCCTTCCGCGACTGGGGATGGAAGAGTTTTTCCCTCTTCTGCGTGGTCGCCTTCTTTCCCGGCTTCGGAGGTGTCATTGTGTGAGGACGCGAGAGCTCGACGGCGGTTGAGAACAGGCCAAAATGTTCTTCGAATAAGCGCCCATTACGACCCACGGTATGGTCTCCCAAAGAGGAAACCGCTGTTGTTCAACGACGCCCACCATCGCCCAACTCCTCCGCCCTGTCTTCTAAGCCAGACACATGCGGCTCTGAGAGAGCCAAGCGACCTGCTTCTGGCTGCGTTTGTGGACTGTTTCTGATCATATATGCCCCCAGTCTCTGTCGCGCTCCCGTCTGTGGTACAACCCCGGAAGCGAAAACGGCCCATATCGCTGAAGATGTACGCACTTCTGACCTTGGCGATTACTACCCTCTGCTTGTGCGCATTCCAATATGCATTACTCTCTGGGACACATGCCGCTCATATCGAACCACCGAACCATGCGGAACTCGCCCTCCGTATGGGAGAAATCGCTAGTAGGCGTCGAAATGGTTCTGAAGCATGGGACTCTCCTCATGGCCCACCTGCTGCACGCCTTGGCAACCTAACTTCGCTGGAATCTCTGTCATATGGCGAAGAATTGAATGCGGAGATTCCCTCCTTGACCGCTGTACTGCCCGTCACCTCTGCATCAATACCTAGACTCGAGGACCAGCTACACACCCTGATGACCCGGTCGGATTATCTCTCGGAGATAGTACTGGTTCCTCAGGAGGCGCTTCAGGCAGAATGCAGACGTAGCATTCTCTCAATTCTCGCCGCTGCAGACTACTCGACTTTCGTCGAGCTCTCCATGACACCCTGGCTTGCCGGATTGGACATGGACACGGCCACGTTCCACGCGTCAAAGCAGGTTACAACCCCGTTTCTTCTCGTCTTGGACGAAGACGGACTCGAAGATATTGACGAGCGCGGCCAAGACGCACTCACGTTACTGTCACCGTTTTCGTCTGCCGTACCTATCGGTCCTCGAGGAATGGCCTCCACTACTGGCTCCGACCCAGCTTGCCTGTCCGCGTCCGAGGTTCCGCAACCCGCAGCCTTCCTCATCCCCCCTTTCGTGGCACCTACCCGTCTCTTTTTGGATTCCGGCCTCGACGCGGGGCGACGCCACACAGACAACACATGGAGGATGTTCGGACAGACGATCTCCAATGCTCGAAGCGATGCCGTCGGTGGTTTCGTAGTCGGTTCAGACAACGCAGAGTCCGGTTGGTGTCAACAAGAAGCCCCCTCGGAGGTTGCACCGCATGAAGAATTTCCACCCGTGGTGCAAGTATCCGTTCCAAATATTCAAAACAAAATACCGGAGGTCGATCCAACCTTGAACGACGTCTGCCCCTCAGGCTTTGGATCGTTTGCAATACTGCTATCTTCTGAGGACGACCTTCATACTTTCTCTCCGGCTGCTTGTCAACTACAAAGGAGCGGACATACCCTCCACGTCGCTGTCTATGGTAACTTTTCTGTCTCTGACTCTCCTTCATCTCTGAAGCTGGAGGGATGCTCCCTGGACTATTCGACTCTATTCGCTGAAGACCATGTACAGCATGCAACGGCGCTTCTCTCTTGGCTTCGCAGTATACCTTCGCCAGCCGATATTATCATCACTTCGTTATCCAAGCAGTCGTTTCCTGGCGCGGCACTGTCTCTGTCAACGGAGGTCCCGTCAAACAAGCAAGTCATTCACATCCCTCAAGACGACCTCCCATACTGTGATTGGATCGGCGCTCTCACCCTCGAGGAGTTCCGAAGTAAGTATTGAGTCGATTCCCAACCCCTGCTCAGGCTAACGCGTCATGATGTAGATTGGCACAAACCGCAGGTCGCCGTCTCCGTCATCACAAATGACCGACCTCATTCCCTCTCACGGCTCCTAGATTCCTTGTCCCGCGCTCACTACTTTGGAGACGCCCTGGACTTGCGCGTTAACCTGGAGCAAACGGCAGATATGGAGACGCAGCAGATTGTCGATGATTTTGCCTGGAATCACGGCAGGGTCTTCCTTCATCGCCGCATTATCCACGGTGGGCTCCTCCCTGCTGTCGTGGAATCCTGGTACCCGCAGTCAAACGATTCGTACGGCCTTATACTAGAGGACGATGTAGAACTTTCGCCGTTATTCTACGGGTGGATCAAGCTTGCTCTACTCCGGTACAGGTAAATCAGAATGCGTTCTTGTTGTACACATCGCTTACAGATCGTAGGTACGGACGTCCTGAGGATACATCGCCGCAGCTCTTCGGGATCAGCCTGTATCAACAGAAACACCTCGAGTTACGACCGGAAGGGCGGCACTCCTTCAACGCTCGCAACACGTTCGCCTCTATCGGCTTGAGCGACCCGTCCACTCCGTATCTCTCGCAGATCCCTTGCAGCTGGGGAGCGGTCTACTTCCCGGAACATTGGCGCGAGTTCCACGCCTACCTCTCCTTCCGGCTGTCCGAGTACGCATGGGACGCGGACCAGATCGTCGTCCCCGGAGTCCGGTCGAACAAGTGGACACGTTCGTGGAAGAAGTACTTCATCGAGCTTGCGTATCTGCGCGGCTATGTCATGCTCTATCCCAACTACGCAGATTACGTCTCGCTCTCAACGAATCACCTAGAAGTCGGATCGCATGTCAAGGACGTCCCGATTGAGACTTACATGCGGAAGAAGAGACTATTCCTCCTGCCTCTTATGCCGCTACCGGAGTCGAACCAGTCGAGCGCCACCGGCCTTCTGGAACTCCCACAGGGTCAGCTACCTGCGTGGGCTGAATTACCTACTCTGGATCTCCTCGGCCTCGTTGCACGCGAGAAAACACTCCAAGAACGCGGATATGAACGGAGAGCCGAGCTCACTGGATGCGAGGACGTTGCGAGCGCACCATATGATGTCTGGGACCTGCTGTGTCTTCACGACCCGCTTCTCGGTCTACAGTGATCTGATATTTCCTCGATGCTACGTAGCTCCTGCGAACATACAATATTGCTTGATGATGTTGTCGTCCAGATGTGCCAAACATTGTCGTTAAATTACACAGCGATTTGAGAGCTATCGAGACCCAGAGCGCGCATAAATATGTCGACGTTGCCCATCCGCTTCTCTCGCTCCTCTTCGCTGGCGAGGAAGCCTCGCCGTACGGAACTGACGTTCTCGAGCACTAGCTCGCGCAGCGCCGTCACGAGGTACTGTTGTTGCTCCATGGACGAGTGGACCGCCATCGCTGCGAGGAATTGCCATATTGGCTGGTCCATGTCGTCGGTACCAGGGACCTTTCCGTAAGGTACGCTCCCGCCGCTGTTTTTGGAGATACGGATGGAAGGGAAGAGGAGCAGCAGACCTGGCGCAAGCACGTTGAACAGTTCATCGAAGACCTCTTGCCTGTGGGATACACATCAGTGGGTGTTCAAGGGCGGCAAGTATACTGAAACCCTACCATCGCCGTTCATCTATTGGATCCGGCAACTCAGGTTCTGCAGTAGTCATGGGCACCGACGCTATGGCCTCCTTGATGTTCTGCACTCGGCTTAGGAACATGGTGAGCAAGGCAATTCCGGGCTGCGAATACGTCAATTAATACCACATTATGTCATGCAGAACGGACTCACGGGAGTCCTTGCCACCGCCGCGACGTCGTTATGCTTGAACAACATGCCCAGCAGTCCCGTCAGCATGCTCAGGTCCAACTTGCCGATAGCGGGCAGCACACTCTGCACGAGGCTAGACAGGAAGACCTCCGAATGCTGCTCGACCTCCGCGCGTTCTTTGGACTCCTCCAGCGTGTCGAGCTTCGGAGAGTTCACGACGACGTCCACTTGGTGGAAGCACGCGATGATGAGCGTGAGCATGGTGAGAATGCGCTCTGAAGGAAGGTGGCGCACGACGCGCGGGAGTAGCCTCTTGCCCTTGATAGGCATGAGAAGGGAGATGAATGGGTGTGGAACGCTGTTGAGTTTATGATCAGTCGCTGCTTTCCATCGAGTTGCTAGGGGATAACTAACCTAGTCTCAAGGTAGACGTGCAAACGAAGACCAGTCAATAACTGCTGAACACGGGCATCTAGCTCAACCTCCCTGGATACATGGGATAAGCGCGCGAACAGTGCCTCTGGACAAGCTCACATACCATGCATCCTGAGCTTCAAAGCCGTCCTCTGGTAACGGTTGGTCGCGGCGCAGCTGTTCTATGTCTAGCACAAGGTCATACAGGCGCTCTAGGATCATGAGAGCCTCTCGGTGCTTCAGAGGATCTTTGGCAATGACACCTTCGCTCTGATGTACGCGTTTGTCAACGGGGTACCGTCGACAACGTAGAGCAGAGACGCACATTCGCAGCGCCTCCCAAGGCCTGATGTCCGATCTTGGCAGCTTCGTGTGCGGCGCTCATTCCATCCTTACGCGGTTCTTCATCCACTTTGGAGATGTGTGCATGTGCGGGCGACGGCGAGGGTGAGGATGCATCGACCTGGAGGAGCTGACGAGGAGCAGCCTTGTAGCTGCGACCGGACGTCTTACCCAACGCGCCTTGGAGGCTGTTCAGAGCTATGAACGACACACCGTGAGCAAGCGGCCAGAAGACGTCGAGCACAGCAACCCACAAATCTTCTCCTTCTCCCTCATTTTCGCGTTGTTGACAATGCGCTCCACCTGAGCCTCCATACGCTGCATCGCGCTTGGCCGACGTCCAGAGCCCTTCTGACCGGGCCCAAGACCAACGCCTGCACCAGAGCCAAACTTGAGGATGCGATCGTCCTGGGTTTGTATACCCATGCGCGAGCGTATGATGGCTCCGTAGACCTGTGCGTAGAAGTCGTCCGCGTATGGATCCTGCGTGACGAGCTGCGAGACCTGTATGCGCGTAATGAAATCCTTGTCTGACTGTGTCATCAGATCATTGTAGCGCGACTGTATGACAAACAACCGTCAGACAACCCAGCTTATGGCCCTAGAACAAGGCACACACCATATGCTGGATCTTCCCTTGCTTTCGCCTGCGCTTCTGATCGCTTCGTTCTGCCTCCATAATCTTGCGCATAGCTTCTGCACGCAACATCTCCTGCAACTCGCGCTCCTCCCGTATCTCGCGCTCGCTCTGCGGTCCGCCCTGCATGCTATTCAAGAACTCCGCCTGCGCCATCTCCGCGAGGAGACGCTGCTGCAGCTGAATATCGTGTGGCATGTACGCCAGGCTCTGCTGCAAGGGCACCTCCAGCGGCGCGCCTCCAAGTGCGCCTACGCCACCCATAATGGCAGGGGACTGGCGACCGACGGAGCGCGGGTGTCTTTCAGACAACGCTGGGCTCTGCCGCTGGTGAAGCAGCGGGCTGTGCATATGGTTCGCGGATTGCATCTGCTGCAGACGGATCTGCCGCGCGCGTTCGATCTCCTCGAGACGCAGCTGCTCCATGATCTGCTGTTGCTGCTGTTGCTGAAGCAGTTGTTGCTCCTGGAGCAGCTTCTGCCGTTCGCGGTGCCGCGCGAGATCAAGGAGCTGGCGCTCCTGTTGCTGCTGCTGGACGTGCATGAGGTGTATCTGGTGCTGCTGCTGCTGCTGGTGGAAGCGGGGCGATTGGGAGTGCGGATGCATACGCGGGGGTGGCGACGCAGCGTGCTGAGGCGTACCCTGACGCGGGATCTGGGCTCGCATCTGGGTATGGGTGAGCGAGGTGGGCTGGGCGATCTGCTGCTGCTGCTGCTGTTGGTGTTGCAGCGCAGCCTGAGCGCGCATCTCCGCCTCTACCTCCTCGAGTGTATAGGCACCCTTCGATAGGCCGCTGCTGATCCCGCCCAGGGGCTGACCCGCGGGCAGAGGCTCATTGCTCGTCGCACTGAAAGGAGAGAACTTGAATGACTGCGACGGCGACGGCGTGTGCGAGGGATGGTGTGGCTCTGTCGACCTGCTAGCCCCATTCATGCGCCCGAGGACGGAGAACGGAGACTTGTCGTCCCATACGGATTCCAGCGAATGCGTCGGACGAGCTACACGGAGAGTATAAGACAGGTGAGACCAGTGAGGTTGGAAGCATCATACAAGCTGCGGACGACTGGACTGGTTGAGACGGCGGCTGCTCATAGACCTGAGGCCTCGCCTGCTGAGCGCGAGAAGGGGCAGCTTGGGGCAGGTCATCCGAGGGCAAGACAGTGTGCGAGAAGTCGAAGTCCTTGCCTGATCACTCTGCATCAATACCGCGCACGGTGCTGCAGGCGACCGAGGGGACTCACCAACCTCCCCCACTCCGCCAAATGTCTCGTCGTTCAACTCATCGCCGCCCTCGTGTAGCTCGTCTCCAAGACCGTCATAGCCCTGTTCACCCCATGTATACACCGCGATGTCCTCCCTCGACCCCTGCCCTCCGCTCTCGAGAAACTTGCGTTTTTCGCTTTCTAGATCGATCGGATTGTCAAAACCGAAGTAAGACATGCCAGGGGCATTTACAGGATTTTGCTGGAGCTGACCAGGAGCCGTGCACAGAGAAGTCGATACTCAGAGCGAACCAAGAGGAAAGCTATTGAAGGCTGAAGATGCTGCCGCGCGGTTATGTAATAGATCTACACTATCGCTCTATAATCGCTACTTACTGAGTCACCGTTGGTACTTACTCCCTTAGTATGGGCACTATCTATATATTGTGCTACAATTGCTTCTGAATTGAATAATGACGCTGGCGGTCGTTGCTCTCTCCACTGGTCGCTGACATTTGCGCATAGAACTCAACTGGCTCACACTGCCAACAGTAACAATGATCTTGAGTCTCGACATATGTTACCCACAGCAACCACACGCGATGCATCGCAGACACCTTCTCCCAAGCCATCGTGCTTTACGGTTTAGTGGTTCTTTCAAGTTCCTCCGGATCCGAGTTTCCCAGCGTTTTCATGGATGAGAATATGGGCATTGTGCTATTGTACATGTCTATTAGGCTGCAGCATGCGGTTACAATCATCTTGCGTACATGGTACCTGTCGTGAGCATCGCGGGACGAAATAAAGGATGTATGCGTGGTATCATCGAATGAAGGGGTATGGGAAGTGGGAGGAGGTGAAGGTCATGACCTGGAACGCGTTCATGTCAGGCGTCCGCCGCCTGGGCCGACAGAGTTACGCGAAGGCGGCATCAGCGCACTGGACACGAACTGGTGACAGCTGCGCAATCGCTCTCTCCGCGCGACGAACCACGAGCTCGCGTCGCAGGAGACAGCGAGAGGGACGCCGATCAGGCCGCCATTCTGCGCAGCACGGACGGCGTGGACGAGGGAGTCGACCTCTGCTTCGGAATCGAGCTCGTCGAGGTTCTCGTAGCCGTCGTCCTGGCCTGCGACGGTGGCTGCTGCGACGGCTGCGGCAGCGGTTGCGGCCGCAGCGCCCTTCTTCTTCTTCGTCGCAGCACCGGTGACCGCGGCGACCGCACCCTTCTTCGTGAGGTCCATGCCGGCGGCGGCAGCAGCCTCCAACGCCTGGCGCTTCTTGTCAGCCTTCTCCTTCTCCTTGCGCTCCTTGCGCTGCTCCTTGCTCTCCTTCTTGACCGGCTCGACGAAGTTGGGGTTGTTGAGCCGGTTCCACTCGAGGAGCAGCTCGTCGTACGGCCTCGAACGGCCCTGGACGGCGCGCTTGGCACCCATGGAATGAGACTTGCAGGTAAGGGATCGCGAGCAGGGGAGGTTCTTGTCGTTAATGACACCGCACTGCTTGTCGTAGTCGACGGGGCCCTTGAAGCGGCCCTTGGTGACCTTCGTCGCGGCTTTCTTCTTCTTGGGCGCGGAGGGGTCCTCAGGTGTCGGCTCCTCGTCCTCGGCCTTGCGCTTCTTGCCCTTGGAGAACTCTGCCTCCCTTCCCTTCGCGCTCTTCTTGAACGCGGCGCGGAGCTTCGCGCAGTTGGCTGCGAGCGCCGTGCGATCAGCATGCGGACGCAGCGGTGAGGGGTATCATCACGGTGACTTACCGGCATGCTCCTCGACACCGCTCCGGAGGACGGGCCTGTGGCAGTCCTTGCACTTGACGAGGCCGATCTCGGACTTGAGTGGCTCTGCGCCATAGGTCTTCATGTCAGGCGCTGACAGCCAGGGAATTGGCGGCGAAGCGGGGGCGTCGGTGTCGGACGGCGTGGGGGGCGTCGCGGGGAGGGTGTCCCAGGAGAAGGGGGGCGGCTCGGGAGAGTGGGTGGGCCTGAGCTTGAGGGCCATGGCGATGGCAGCGGGGTGAGTGCGCCCCTGTGTGGTGTGCTGGAAAGGGGTTGGTGCGAGATTGCGATCTGCGGTACGCGATCCCTCAGTCACCGACGACCGTGTTCAGAACCGTGTGGCACCGGCGCCTGTCGCCGCCGCCGGGTGTGACGCGCGCCACCAACGTGCGCCGCCCCCGCGTCACGTCACGCGGGGCCCCGCACCAACTCAGACTGTATGCATGTATCCCAGTCTTCTGTGATTTCCCGTATGCCATCGCCCTGCAAGGCTGTATCATATGTATGCACAAGTTCTTTGCTCGTTGAGGGGGCGGTACGCTTATATGTATAGCGAAAACCCTACGTTTCCGAGGCCCGAGGGTGTCCTGGAGTTTATGGTGATGCCATGGCAGCCTGAGGTGGATCAGACTGACCTCATTTTTCATGGGGCCCTGCGGTCACACAATGCCTCATCTCCACACGAGATTCGGTGTACATACGCATCCTGACAACTTACTTCCGCTCTGGATGTCGACGTCAACCGTGCAGACAATCCTCAAGACATCACGCACGCTTCGGGTTCAAACCAGTATTGACCGTCCACCATTGCGTCGTAGATTCAGACATACAGCCCAACTCGCAATGCCGACATACAACGGAGGCTGCTACTGCGGCAACATTCGCTACGAGCTCAGTCTCGACTCGCCAGATCAGGCGCGCATGAGCATCTGCCACTGCACGAATTGCAAGGTTCGTTTTCCCTTTACCCCGGCCGTGAACCATGCCCTCATTAATAGTCGACGTCCCTCGCAGAAATTCACCGGATCTGCGTTCGGGATAACCGCCAAGATCCCTGCCTCCGCGTTCCGCCTCCGCAAGGGCCAGACGACGCACCACGTCGGGGACAATGGCTCCGGCACGCAGCTCACGCGCGAATTCTGCGGCGCGTGCGGCTCGGGGGTCCTCGAGTACGGCGCGCACGCGGGAGAGAACGTCTACCTGTTCTACGGCAGCCTCGACGAGCCTGACGCGCTTCCGCCGAAGGGCGAGTTCTTCTGCAAGGAGCGCGCGCAATGGCTGCCCGAGATACCCGGTGAGCCTGTTTTTGCGAACATCCACGTCGAGGATAATTTGCGCTGATGCAGATTTTGTGTGTACACAGGGTTGTTTCATAAACGAGAGGTCAAGGAGTGAACAGACCGTGACGACGACAAGTCACCGGGTTCTCTATCGTCTGTAGCATATCCGGAGAACCTCCTCCCGCGCGTTTACTTTAACTTGAATTCATCTCTGAACTAACACTTGGCAGTCCGTCTCCGCCGCACGATGACCATCAGCGTGAACAATCAGCGTCACAACACGACTTCGGTGGGCGAAAGACAGCCTGTCAGCCAAGCAATACGAGAGTTTTCGGCATTTGCTATACGAAGCGGCGGTGGTATACAGACAGTTGTGAACAATACATAGTATGATGCGACACTTGTCGTCAAGCATCCAATACCACGCTACCTGACCCTACGCTCGGGCCTTGCCTTTGTCCTCTCCCGATCCCGATCCCGATGCCTGGCTCGTCTTCCCGCCACTCCCCTCTCCTTTCGCTGGCTTGGACCCTTGCCTACTTAAAGCTCCCGCTGGCTCGTTCTCCCCACAACCCATCATCACGCCGTCATACGGTCCGTAGTGGTCTGACATCAAGCCAGTCGGGCAGTCGGGGTCGAGATCACCGCGCCTCTGCTGCAACGCTTGTCAGGGTTGTCTTGGCCCCAGCAAGCGTACCACGTCCCCCTGCGTCCAATGTGTATCTCGCCCTCCGGATGCGCATAGTAATAGGACCCTGAGATGGGCGGGGTTATGGGTACCGGATCTTTCTTGTTATTGATGTGCTTGATGGAAACTTTCGACTGGACCCATTGTGCGAACATGTTGTTGCCCACGCGTGGCAGGCCGTAGCCAGTGTAGAGGACGTTCAAGTTCGGTATGGCCTCCTTCAAGTACAGAGCATCGATCAAGGCAACTGCGGCACCTGTGCAAGTGAAGAGTCGTCGGTGTCAGTGTGCAAGGGCTGCAGTCTAGGCTCAACGGCATACCCATCGAGTGCCCCACGACCATGACCCGTTGTGTCGGATACTTCTCCATTGCATTATTGCGCTGCCAGCACTTCATTTGCTGTCCTAGGGTAAAGTGATGTTGGTCAGTAAGTCAAGTGAGGAGGCCGGCGTGTAAATACTTCTCCTGGTAGTCCGCAAACCCGGTGTGTACTCCGAGATCATGGGGATGATCCGATGCTCTGAAAAATGGAGCCTTAAGCCGTCTCTTCTTGACGAACCATGAATTCTTCAGTAGATCCCTGGAGACACAGATTTTGAGATGATCATGTTATCATTGCAGCACATGACAAACCACTCGTTGATGCCACCCGGGTTGAAGCTTCCTTGACGTGAAAGAATGATCATGTTCAACTTCGAGTCATACCCAACAAACCCTGTTCTAATGTTTACTAAGTCATGCGATACATAAAATAACTTCGAGCACTCACAATATAGGCTGTTCTTTCCATCACCACCCGTTCCAGTGGGCTCGAAGTGCCCAATTGCTCTACAGTTTGCTCCGCAATTCCATTTGTTTATCTGTGCCGGTGGACAGTACGCTGCACTCGCATAGTATGTATATGGTTTGTACGCTGAGACATCGCCCTCTCCGAGTCGTTGAACATAGTAGCTATCCTCGACATCGGGCCAGCTTGCAGGAGCAGCTCGGCTTGTAGCGAGAGCAGGGAGGATGCAGAGACAAAGCAAGGAGAAAAACAACATGTCGGCTCTATACCAAGGAACCGTACGAGAAGCGAAATTTGGAGACAAGGACGGCGGCAGGCCTGCACGCACCGGAGGGAGCAACCCCTTGTGTCGCATTTATGTATATGCGATGTCCCCGAGTAAGAAGTGAGCGCGCTCAGTGAGTCCTTACATATCGTTCCGACTTTCGACGAGAAACAGACGTACCGAGTCTTCAGAGTCCAATATGAGACCAAGAGGAACATACGCCAGTCACAGACATGCGCCCGGAATTTTGTCTTGATGAGAAACTCAGCAATCACTCATGAGCCCTTCAGGATCGGTATGAGGACCAGAACCTGTGACGTGGTTTCATTCCGACAGAGGCCTATTGTGTTCTACTTACATAGTGAATCGGATGCTGCCTTCGGCTGTCGTGAAGATACAGGGACCAAAAAGATATGGATTGGCGTACGTATACCGTCATGAGTGCTTAGCCCCCAGGCGTCACAGCTAGGTGATCAGCCGCTGAGGCAGCTTCAAGTGTCCCTGTAGCCTGCTGCCAGTGTGCGGGCCCTATAAGCAAGACGGATTGAATTATATAATTGCGTACTCGCTTCAGAGCATCCAAGTCGTCCAACTGTCTCCCGTTTCCCACAGGCCCAGGCATCGAAAGGCAATACGACATCCGTCGCTGCGTGATGATACGTCGCGCAACGAACAACGAGCGTGTCTGTGCGTACAGCCAGTGACAGCCGAAACAGTTATTGCGCGGCAGATTTCAACCTCAAGTGCTGTACCGTACGCGCTACGGGCTATGGGGTCGTAGAGGAGCAAGGGGCCGTCGACTTGGCCGTCGAGGATGAATTAATGGAGCCCGATGGCGGGGCCTGGAGGCGTTGCGGGGTAAGGTTCCCACGCACATCGTGACCGGAACGCGTGCGTGACGTCAGGACGAGCGCGTCGATGCCTGTGATGGGACGCGATTCGAGGGGGACAGGGCTTCGGGTTCTGTCACGGGCGTGCGCACCGCTCTGGGTCGAATAAAGCCCCAAGTTGAACACCCGTCTCCCCTCTCCCTTCACCCACCTTCTCCCGCGTCTTCCCACTTCCTGCCATGCCTAGCGCGAAGAAACTAAAGGGCTCGCTCAAGATCCCCAAGACGAGCGTGTCGTCGTCGCGCCATAGCAGCGCGGGGTCGTCTCCTACGACGCCAAAGACGCCAAAGACACCCAAGACGCCCGCCGATGAGGGTATCGACTTCTTCGAGTCCGCATTCAAGCAGGGGGAGAAGCCGATCCATGTGTATGAACTGCAGTTGGAGCCGGACGGTGGGCCGAGCAAAGACCGAGCTGTTGAGTATCTTTCCCTTTGGCCGCGCAAATGCTGTCGTTATATGCGTGTATATAAGCCGTGATGACGGAGGCGGGGTGCTTTCCTGTACGGAAGTATCTCAGTTGTCGTCGATTCCACCGCATCTGACATTCCTCTCGGCGGGGACGCGTACAGTGTCGATGGGGAGGCACCGTCGACACATCTCAATGTTGCTCGCGTTGAACGACTTGTGGTACATGGCACTGTTATGAGACATCCCTTGTGTGCCCGTACACCGTCAATGAAGATATGCTGACGAATTACTCAGTATATGCGCCTCCCTCCGGCGATCACTCCGTATGTCCTCCGTGTATCACTAGAAGCTGGCACTCCTGCGTCGAAGAACGCTGTATTCAAGACCAACTTCCCACTCGATGGCGGCGTCTTCGCCCGCGATCGCTTTGCCGAGCGAAAGTACGTAGCTCCCCCTTTCGCGCACTCATGGTATGCTCACTTTGGTCGCAGATTGCCCACCAACTTCTCTAAACCTATTCATATCAACTTGCCGATCTCTCACGCCGGCGCGTTTGCCTATTGGGTGGAGTACGACGGCGAGGAGCCGGGCACACGCGTCAAAGGCCGCGAAGGCTACTTCAACATCGACCCCATCCTCCGAACCAAGGCGCGGGCGCCCATCATCTCGAAGGACGGCAGCATCTCTGAGAAAGGCGCCTCAGTGCAATCAGACTACGTGAACTTGCCACTAGACGGCCTTTCGATCCTCACGCTCGTCTCGAAATGGATGGGCACGATCAAGAATTGGCGCGAATATCTTGCAGAGAGCAGTGCGCGGGGATACAACATGGTCCACTGGACGCCCCTCCAGGAGCGCGGCGAGAGCAACAGTCCGTACTCGATCCGTAACCAACTCGTCTACGAACCGACAATGTTTGCGGGTGGGAAGAAGGATCTTGGCTCGGACGGAGGCTTGACGAAAGTTGAGGAGTTGCTCAGGATCGCGAGAGATGAATATGGGCTGCTCAGCCTTACGGACGTTGTCCTCAATCACACCGCAAACGACAGTCCATGGTTACTTGAACATCCCGAGGCCGGTGAGTAGTCTTGTACGCGGTCATGTTCGCCCTACTTACCAACTCCAAGGTTACAGCCCTGCGAACACCCCTCACCTGACCCCCGCACTTGAGCTCGACGACGCTATGATACGCTTCTCAAAGGGACTGGCCTCCAAGGGCCTACCTACCATTGTTAGCTCCGAGGCCGACATCGACCAGCTCATCGGCAGCTTCCAAGACTACATCCAGGAGCTCAATATGTGGCAATATTACGTCCTCGACGTCAAGAAAGAGCGCGAATCCGTTCTGACTGCGCTCATCAGCCAGAACGCAGCGGCTTGGGACGGTCCAGACGTCGTGCACAAGTCTGTGGCGGAGCTGGCAGAAATTGTCCGCGCGTCTGGGAAGGTGCATGGGTTGAGGAAGATGGAGAAGAAGTTCGGGACATACGCTGATGGCGCGGTTGCGGCTGGCCTTGTAAAGGCGGCGTTTGTGGACCTTGGGAACGATGCCACCGCACTTGCGGACGCGTGGGCGAGGGTCGTGGACGTGCTGAACGTGCCTTTGTATGAGGAGTGCAAGGAGGACACTCGAGTTGCTCTGGACAACATCAAGAACAGACTGAGGTACACTCGCCTGGACGACCATGGTCCGAAGATGGGCCCTATTACCGAACAGTGAGTTTGCGGTTGCATATGGGTGGCACTCAACTGACCAGATGTCTAGGCTGCCACTTGTGGAGACGTACTTCACCCGTTTGCACTTGCAAAAGAAGAACACTCCCCTCGACCCAGTCAAGTACTCCGTCGCAAATAACGGCTGGATCTGGAACGCCGACCCCCTCTCCAACTTTGCGCTCCCGCCGTCCAAGGCGTACCTGCGCCGCGAGGTCATCGTCTGGGGCGACTGCGTGAAGCTGCGGTATGACGAGTCGCCCGAGGCAAACCCGTGGCTTTGGGAGCATATGAAGACGTACGTCACGTCGCTTGCTAAGACATTCTCGGGCTTCCGCATCGACAACTGCCACTCAACCCCGCTGCATGTGGGTGTGTACATGCTCGATGCGGCGCGCGTGGTCAACCCGGACCTGTACGTGTGCGCAGAGCTATTCACTGGCAGCGAAGAGACGGACAAGCTGTTTGTGAGCCGGTTGGGACTGAACAGCCTGGTTCGGGAGGCGGGCAACGCTTGGGACCCGAAGGAATTCTCGAGGTTGCTGTACAGGCACGGTCTGGGAAAGCCTCTTGGTGAGTAGCATATACGGATGTCGTGCGCTTCATTGGCTCATAGGTGATTCTTCGCGTACAAGGTTCGATGGACATCGCTTGCGTGACCAGCAAGGAAGAATTGCCGCCTCCGACAAGCAAGGGACCCACCCGTCCCTGCATCGTCATCCCGCACAATGGGTCCGTCCCGCACGCACTCTTCTACGACCTGACGCACGACAACGAGACGTACCTCGACAAGCGGTCCGCGGAGGACGCGCTCTCGACAGGGGCGCTCATCACGTTCTCGTACTCGGCCATCGGGTCGGTGAAGGGCTTCGACGATCTATACCCGAAGCTCCTCAACCTGGTCGCAGAGAACAGGAAGTATGAAGCGACGGGACTAGGAGAGAAGAGCGGGATTGCGAAGGCGAAGAGATTGTTGAATTCGCTGCACACGGAGATGGCGCTTGGAGGGTTCGAAGAGGGGCACGTTCATCAGGAGAACGATGTGAGTGCCTAGATCGCACACAGGATATATGCGGCTGATCAGGCTTGGTTCGGGTAGTACATCGTCATGCATCGCGTACAACCTTCGACTCAGAAGGGATACCTCCTCGTCGCGCATACAGCCTTCTCCAAAGGGTCGAAGGATCGCGGCCATAGTACGTCTCTTTAGTGCATCTTGGCGCAGGACTGACAATGTGTCCTGGTTTAGTTAACCCGATTAAACTTCGTAGCACCAAAGCCAAGTTCATCTACGGTGCCCACATCGACATTCCTTCGTATGAAGTCAGCAAGGACTCGATGACTCTGAAGGGCCTCGCCGGCAAGCTGGTCGAGATGCCTGCCGTAGTAGCCCCGCAGGGCCTGGATGGCGAGGGGCCCTACGGCGAAGTGATCGTTCCCGAGTACTTTCCGCCTGGCAGCTTCATGGTCTTCGAGACTCAGGTCCAAGGTCTTGACCAGTCCCTCGATGCCTTCTGCGCTTCGGGTGCAGAAGAGGCGTTCGCGGACCTGGACCTTGTCGATCTGAACGTCATGTTGCATCGCGCGGACGGCGAGGAGCGGGATGCGACCGGAGGCGAGATTGGCACGTACGCTGTCCCGGGTATGGGTGGCTTGGTGTATTGTGGTTTGGAGGGATGGATGTACCCGCTGCGCCATATCATGCGGTACAACGATCTCGGACACACTCTCTGTGGTCATCTGCGCGAAGGAACATGGGCGCTGGAATACGTCCATTCGCGATTGTCGAAGTGAGTAGGATTGGGCCATAAATCTGAGCTCCACGTACTTATGACCTCACTCTAGGCAAACTGACACATTCCCCAACTTGGAGAAGCCCGCGCAATGGTTCAAGGTACGCGCAGAGCGCATCAAGGAGAGCGTCCCTCCTTTCCTGCGACCGAAGTACTTTGCCATCGTCATCTCGGAGGCGTACAAGGTCGCCCGCCGGATGGCCATCGAGCAATGCTCCGAGTTTGTCTCGGCGGGGCACTCGTTCACCCAAGATCTTGCGCTCTGCTCGATCCAGATGCATGGCATGGTCAAATCTGCGTCGCTGGACCCTGGAAAGCCTACTCCGTCCCTGGCAGCTGGACTGCCTCACTTTACTGCCGGCTGGGCGCGATGCTGGGGTCGCGATGTTTTCATCTCACTTGGAGGACTGTTCTTGACCACGGGGAACTTTACTGGCGCGAAAGCGCATATATTGGCCTTCGCGTCGACGCTCAAGCATGGGTTGATCCCGAACTTGCTGGACTCCGTTCGCAACCCGAGGTATGATCTACTCTGAGTAGCAATGCCGAATAGCTCACCGTTCCCGTTTAGGTACAACTCTCGCGACTCTCCGTGGTGGATGGTTCAAAACATCCAAGACTACGTCAACAGCGCCCCAGACGGCCTCGCCATACTATCCGAGCCCGTGAAGCGCCGCTTCCCCAAGGATGATACTTGGGTATCGTGGGACGATCCTAGGGCGTACGCTTACTTCAGTACGGTTGCAGAGATCATCCAGGAGATTCTCCAGCGTCATGCCGATGGTATATCCTTCCGCGAGTACAACGCCGGTCCCAACCTCGACATGCAAATGAGTGACGCGGGTTTCAATATCGACATCCGTGTAGACTGGGAGACGGGTATCATTTTCGGGGGCAACGAGCACAACTGCGGAACGTGGATGGACAAGATGGGCGAGTCCGTGAAGGCGGGTACGAAGGGAAAACCGGGAACGCCTCGTGACGGCGCGCCTGTGGAGATTACTGGCTTGTTGAAGAGCACGCTGAGGTGGCTCGCACAGCTGTCGACTCAGGGCAAATTCCCGTTCAAGGGGGTCGAGGCTGAGAGTGAGTTCCCATGATTGTAGCGCGTTGTTCAGTGGCACTGACGCGAAGTGAGCAGTCGACGGAAAGCGGCGGTTGGTCACGTACAAAGAATGGGGCAATTTGCTGCAGACTTCGTTCGAAGCTTGTTATTACGTTCCACTTGGTACGTTGTTGACGATATGCTTCGTGACATCTCACCGATGTGCGATGGGTAGATCCCGCTGACGATGCAAAGTACAACGTCAACCCCAGCATCATCAACCGCAGGGGTATCTACAAAGATGTCTATGGCTCCGGACCTGGTAGGGAGTGGTCAGATTACCAGTTCCGACCGAACTTCGCAATTGCCATGACGGTCGCCCCCGAACTCTTCGACCCCGGGCATGCTCTGTACGCGCTCGAATTGGCTGACCAGGTCTTGCGAGCGCCGCTCGGCATGAAGACATTAGATCCACATGACATGCAGTACAGGCCGTATTACGATAACTCGACCGACAGCGATGATCCGGCTACTGCAAAGGGACGCAACTACCACCAGGTACGTGGTGTATCCGACAGTCTTGTCCCATGTACCGGCGGCTTACGTTCCGTTCCGTTCCAGGGCCCCGAATGGGGTTGGCCACTCGGGTATTTCTTGCGCGCGTACCTCTACTTCGATGTCCTCGTCGGGTCGGGCAAGACAGTAAGCTATGATCGAGTCCATCATACGATGTTTGTCTGACTTGTCCTATCGCAGGACATCACTGAAACTCTTCATCGGCTTCATCGCTACGTCCTTACATCCCGCCGTCACATACTGAACGATCCTTGGGCGGGACTGCCTGAGTTGACAAATAAGGACGGCCAGTACTGCCCCGACTCGTGCAACACGCAGGCATGGAGTGCAAGTACCCTGCTGGATTTCTTGGAAGATGTGCACAAGTTGAGTGAGGCAAAGAAGTAAATGCATATACATGGACAAAGGGTTCCCCCACTTGCAAAGCTCTTGTATCCAGGCTCTGTACCTACTACATTGTTCACACTGTACCATTCATCACCATTGGGTACTTGAGAGAGATGCTGAGACTTCTCTTACAAGAGGCTATCTGGTATAATGTTCTCTGTTCCTGAGGATGTAACAGTAGTATGCCCATCTGATGTTGACATCATAGGTATCATCTCCTACATATCGGCATCTTGGATTGAGGCCCTGAAGACATGTCAAAGTACAATGAACTTAGTGCCCAGAGTGAACAGGTGTTGAAACTTGACACATACCTAATAGCATCTGCTAGGCGCATATCCATAGACTCAACCAATTCCAAGATATCCTCACACACTGTTTCAGTAGCATTGTCTCTATACATGTCAATTTCGGCTTTGAAAATTTGATGTCTACGAGAATGTTAGTTTTCACTTATGAGATTTGTTATATGATCACTATCATCACATACTGCTTTGCATAGTAGCGTTCACTGAATCGTACTGTCCTCTGCTCCCCTGTTACCAATTCGTCAAGGGCGACACGTATCTGTCCATGTCAATCAGGTCATTGAGGACTTCACCGGTGCAAAGATTGAAAGAACAGACACACTGACAGAACTGCACACGAGTGCTATCATGTTACTTGACAGTGGTTTGTCGAGGTCAAAGTGGTCTCGGTCCTCCTTTTGCAGTGCTTCTGGGTCCCGCTTTAGAAACCACTGGTGTGCTATGATCTGTCCAATTATCTGGTTGTGGTATGGTTTGGTAAGGTCCACTTTCCAGAGCTACCTCTACCTCAGTCAGCCAGTCATGATATATAAGAAACCCACAAACCGAGCTATCGACAGTGTCTTGAAATGGTATGTCCACATCACCATGGTGAAAGGTATCGCCAGCCCTGAGGAACACGATGCGAGCAGCTCTGGCACTCCGGCTCATCCTGTGTTCGCTGAGACCGTCAAGCCTGGTGCCATCGGGTCCAGTATCGATACGCGTGTATGCCTTCTGCACAACCTGTATGGCGGTCTGCTTAAGTTGGTGACGAAGAAACGAAGCTGCCATATAGATCTAGTAGACAATCGGGTGAGGATTTGTGTCAGGACTCAACGAAGTAAAGAGCGCATACGTATCCGACCATCCTGGTACTGATATTCTCGTCAGCCCACAGCGGTGCGAACAATGTCCGGAATCGTTCGTTCCGATAGATCGTATATTTCTCGTAAGTCGTGTTGATGATCTTGACAGTCACGTCCATCCTCCCATACTGGGTATACCCAGGCCAGGCATCAACAACAGCGATGTAAAGCTCCAATTCTCGCCTGGCTTGCTTCAGGAAGCCCTTCATCGGCTCCTCAGAGAGCGGGTCAGTGTGTTCATCACTGAGGCTTATACCCGGTCCGTCACTTTCTTCATCGTTCGGCTCCTCGATCGGGGTATCATAGTCCACCTTCCGCCGGCTCTCCGATGCGGCATCTAGCTGTTGCTTCCTTGTGATTTCATTCTTCCGCACCCCAGCATGCTCATGTGCAGTGTGAGAACCTTGTAACAACGCCTCGGTCATACAATCGTACGAAGGTTCTGCGACTAACCCTCATCGTTGGCCTTCCTCAGTACAGGCTCATCTAGCATCTCCTCGTCACCGCTCTCGAGACGGCTGTCCACGACAGGTTGCTCGGCCTTCACCTTTGTTTTTGCTTTGTTAACTGTCCGTCATGTTCTTATCGAGCGCGCATTACGTGAATGAAACTGAGTCAACGTACGGTGTTGCGCCTCAGGGCGCTGCTTGGTGCCGGATATGTGTGAGGCAGACTTGGACGACGTCTTGGTCTTGGTGACGGCCTTTACAGAACGTTGGGTCTCGTCCTTACGCTCTTCATGCCAATAGTAAGTCGGAGACTATAACGCGCGTACTGTCGACTCACTTAGACTGCCCTTCGCATCGTCTCCCTTGGATGTCTGAGAGCTGACCGCATTCGTTTTCTGCTTCTTGTCTGGGTGATCTGAGCGCACAGGGGGCTGCTGGCCGTCGTCGTCGTCGCTACAGACCTTCAAGGTCTTAATGTCGTGTACCTTGTCCGTCCCAGGCGTCAAGGTGCGCATCTTCTGCTTCTTCTCTGGGCGAACCCGCCGTTCACAGTCGCTGCCATCGTCATCGTCGTCGTCGACAAAGTTGGCCGTTCGCTTGCGGCTCTTGTCGTCCGTGGACGTCGAGCGGCACGTCTTCTGCTTTTTCTTGACCGGGCGATCCTGCCGCACGGAGCTCATCCGTTCGCCATCACTACCTTCGTCGGAGACTTGGACTGCCTGCCGCTTGCGCGGCTTATCATCCCGCACCTTCGAGCTCGGCGTCTTCTGCTTCTTGTCTGGGCTGCGCGGACGCGCAGGTGTCCGTTGCTTGTCGTCGCCGTCAGCTTGCATCGACTTTCGCTCGCGCGCCCTGTCGTCCTTGGACTGCGAACCGTGCGTCTTGTGCTTCTTGACCGGCTTGACCTGCTGCACGAAGCTCGGCTGCTCGTCATCGCTATCATCGCGGGATACTGGGACTGGCGACTGCTTGCGCAGATTGTCAGCCCGAGACTTCGAGCGATGCGTCTTCTGCTTCTTGACCGGCTTGACCGGCGGCTGTTCGTCGTCGCTGCCCTCGCGGGAGACCGCCACCCGCTCGCGCTGCTTGCCAGTCTGGGTCTTGGAGCTATGCGCCTTCTGCGGGCGTGCAGGGACCTGGTGCGCATCGTCGCTCTCATCACAGGAGGCTTCGAGTACCTCCCGCTTGCGCGGCTTGTCATCCCGTGCCTTCGAGCCATGCGTCTGCTGCTTCGATTTCTTCGCGCTGAGCCTACGTGCTCGTCGCTCGTCATCGCTGTCGTTGCCGGAGACTGGAAGCGCCTTCTTCTTGCGCAGCCCGTCGCTCTGGGACTTCGAGATATGCGTCCTCGGCTTCTTGTCTGTGCTACGACCCTCGTCGCCGCTGTCATCACGACCAGCCGGCACTGACTTCGACTTGTGTACGTTGTTGCTCGAAGACTTTGAGCTGTGCTTCTTCTGCGTCTTGTGACTCTTGCTCACTCGCGCGGAGCTTTGTTGCTCGCGACCGTTATCGTCCGAGTTGCGGGAGACTTGCACCGTCTCCCGCTTGCGCACTCCATCGTCCTGAACCGTCGAGCTGTGCGTCTTCTTCGGCTTCTTGCTACCCTTGACCGGACATACAGAGCTCCGCTGCTCGCCGTCGTCATACTCCGATTCATGGAGGACTGGGGCTGTCTCTCGCTTGCGAACATTGTCGACGTGAGACTTCGAGCTGTGTGCAGTCTGCTTCTTCTTAGCTGGCTTAACCGGCTGCGCAGGGCTTGACTCCTCGCCCTCGCTGCGCGCAGAGTCGTAGGTAACGTGGACTGCCTCCCGCTTGCGTGCTGTGCCGGTCTTGAGCTTCGAGCTGTGCGTCTTCTGCGTCTTCTTGCCAGATTTAGTTGGCCGCGCAGGGCTCTGCTGCTCGCCCTCGCTATCCCCAGAGTCGCAGTATACTTGGGCCATCTCCTGTTTGCGCGCTTTGTTGACCTGGGGCTTTGAGTCGTGAGCCCATTGCTTCCTCGCGCTCGGCTTGACTGGACGAGCGGAACTCACCTCCTCGCAGTCACTGTCCTCCGAAGAACTGGAGACCGGGTATGCGTCCCACTTGAGAGCCGTCCCGGCCTGAGGCTTCAAGTTTTGCGTCTTCTGCAGCTTCTTGCTAGGTTTGGCTGGACGTGAAGAGCTCTGCTGCTCGAGATAAACTCTCCACCACTCGACGCGAGGCTTCGAGCTGTGTGCAGCCTGCTTCTTCTTGGCTGGCTTGACTGGCTGCGCAGGACTCGACTCCTCGCCCTCGCTGCCCTCCGAGTGGTCGGAGACTTGGGCTGCCTCCCGCTTGCGTGCCTTGTCGATCTGAGGCTTCGATGGGCGTGGTTTCTGCGGCTTCTGATTCACCCTGACTGTCTGAGCAGGTATCTGCTGTTCGTCCTCGCTATCCTCTGAGTCACGAGAGACTGGAACTGTCGCCCGCTTGCGCACTTCGGCCTGAGGCTTCGAGCTACGTGGCTTCTGCTTTTTGTCCGGCTTTGCCGGAAGAGGGGGGCTCTGCTCCTCATGCTCGCTACCCTCGGAGTCGTACGAGTATTGGGCCGTTTCCCGCTGGGGCAGCTTGGGCTTTGGCTTTGGCGGTGGAATAGCTTACATGGAATGAGACCCGACATCGGATGATCAACGCGAAAAACTGCTTACCCTTACCCTTTTTCTTCTTCTTCTTCTTCAATGGAGCAAGGGAGTCGACGCCTCGCGTAGGCCTTGCGCGCGTCGTTCCCTCGTCAGACGGGTAGTACACGCTACCGCTCAGCTCTGTTGCATCGTCATCGCCACCCTCCTGCTCTACTCGTGCGGCCTCCTTCCTCTGATTCCCTGCGCAATACGATGTATATCGACATCAGGTTGATTAATCGAGAGCATACTTACGTTCCCGTTCCTTGATCCAGTCTGGCACGGCCCTGAAGAACGCGCAGCCCCACGCCTCGATCTCCTCTGCAGACGGACCGGGCGGACGATTGCTACGCAGCTTCTTCATGATTTTTTCTATTTCGCGGGCCATATGAGCGTCAACGGTGGATGGGGTAACATGGCGAGAGGCACTTCGCGCTGGGGTATCAGCCTCGGGGAGCGACTTCGAGGACGATTTGGTTGGTGACTTTCGAGGCCGTTCTGTCTCTACGCTGAGACGCTCTCGGCCAGACGACATGTCTGCGAGGAGAGAACGCCAGAGACGCGTCCTGGTGGTCGTTGACAATGAGGGCGCGCGCAGACAAGTCGAGGACGAGCCATATCCGAGAGCGTGGGATAATACCAATATTAAGCACTCGAGACCCGAAGCAGGAAAGAGCCTCAAGCTGCTTAAGACACGCAAGGGCTTCAAGAAGCGCAAGCAAGAGCTTGGAGAGTGGCTGAAGAGCAAGGAAGAGCAGCGCGGCAATACAAGCGCCCGCATTCGAGGCCTCATCCTCATCTCACAACGATCGATCTCACAAGTTGCCGGCGGTCGGGCATGCGTTTGACTACGGTTACAGGAGAGCACAATCCTTGTGGTCTACATTCTATACCTACGCGCCGCGCATGCTTCGGACGTGATGCTCAACTTGAATGCATATGTCGGACTCAGTGAAGCATTGGGTGCTGCTCGCCTTAGAATAATTCGGAACAGCACGGACGCAAGCTGGCTGTACAGGTCACGGAAAGAGCCACGTACCATGACAGCACAGTGCGATGACTGCAACGACTGTAAGCCTAGTTCAGCACGACAGATCCGGACGGATTAGCCCTCTCGAATCAAGTCAGAAGCGTCAAGCACTCAGAACGTCTCGTCTTCCATTGGTACACATCGCGGCGTGTGGTCCTCGGACGGGGCCCACGGTCGACCCTGCGACACGTAACAATATTCCTGTGTGCGGAAGTACATGAGTAGAGGTCCCCGAAAGCAAGGGGTCTGACGACTTACATCTACTTCACAGGCAGGACGGCACTGTATCCATACCGGCCAATCCAGCCACTCGATCAACGTGTCGAACTCTTCGCGCCACTTGTCCAACAAGCGCATTGCGACAAATGGACTCTTGGTCTCCACGTCAAACGCATCCACCCACGCTCCGGTGTAGACTCGGCAGACTTCATGCAAGACCTCATCCACAGCGTGGTACAAAACATGCTCTTGTTTCGTGAAGTTCGACGTAGGGAGATGGCTGGTGAACCGCTCCGCGCACTCGCGCGCGATGTCAGCGAACCACTCCGGCGTGCCGATAGCGCTGCCGTGCATGTACGGGATGAGCGAGACGATCAGCTGTTTGCGCACCGCTGCCGCCCGCGCCCACGCGTTCACAATATCGACGGGCTGGTGCAGCAAGTGCTGCAGGTACGGCAGTCGTGTCGCGAACCGATCCTCGATGACGCGCGCCAGGCCGACCCAGTCCACGTCGCTGCCCGTCCTAGGCTCGCGCGCGGCCACCTCGGCCACATCCGCGCGAACGCGGGCGATGTCTTCGCGCGAGGCATTTCCTGCGTTATACTCGTCGCGCGTCAAGGTGCGCCGCGCTTGCACGAGAGAGGTGAGAGAGGGGTCGAAGAACGAAACGAGGGTAGAGGGGTCGGGGCGTACGCGTAGCTCGCCCGGGAAGTCGTTGTGCCATGACCCGGTGCGTTTCGCTTCCCAGCCCATGGAGGGCAGAGTGCCTTTCCAGCCGGGAGGTGGGATCCGGGGCGGGACGGGAACTCTCGGTTTCTCCGCATCAATCACTAGTTGGTCTACTCTCCGCAGGCCGTGGAAAGTAGCTTCTGTGTTGGCGCGTTTAGAGGGAACGTCACTGAGATTGAGAGATGGCTGGCCTCCCACAGGTCGGGATCCTTGCAAAGCGGCGTTGTCTAGTGATCGAGGAGGACGCGGGACCACTCCTCGGCCGTTGACAAACGGCATGGCAGAGACGAGCTCCAGACCGTCTGAAAAGTCGCAGTACATGATCTCGCTAATCGCACTGATCGGTCAACCGACACAAGGAACAGGAAAAGGGCGTACGCACAAGTCGAACTCCATCCTGATGAACCCAACAATCCCATACTGCTTTGCCCACGCGCACCCGTCCTCGATACGCTCCAGCTCGCCCCACCAGCCCTCATGCTTGTGCTTGAGCTCGCCGAAGAAAAGCAGGTCTTGCGTATCGACGACGCCGTCGACCTTATTGGCGCTGCATCCGTCGAAGTAGATGAGCGTGAGCTCACGCGCCGCCGTGAAGGTGAAAAGAGTGCCGTTCGAGCCACCAGCGAAGACAGCCGAATGCTCCGGGTCGAATGCAATCCAGTCTTGGACAGGGTACTCTGATGAGGGCCGGCCATGGTAGAGTAAAGTGCCTGGAGGAATGGTGGCGCGAATGATGGCATGGCCTGCGAATAACCCAAGGAAGTCGGCCTCACGGACATCAATATTGGTGATTATAACGTACCATTTGGATGCTTCGAGTTCGCCTTCATCTGCATAAGACCGGCTAAGGACTGGAAGATAAGATTCCCCGTCGCGTTTTCACTGAGTTGTTCGTCCCATGGTCTGGAGAGCCATGATGTCGAGTGATTCGGGGCTGCCAGAGGCTGCTGCTGATATGCCCCGACTAGCAGAGCATCTACAACCAGCGCGAGGCCGAGCGCGACGAGCTTCGCCATCCAGCACATCAAGAAAGAGGCAGATAGCAACAGAGGTAGTGCGCAGCATCAGGGCGGAATGAGTCGCCGCAGGCCCCTGGGACGAGTCGTGCGGGCCCGCAGGCTGTCAGTCGATAAGCCCATTTGTGCGGCCTCAGCGCCGGCGGCACTCGCACTGTGGCGCCGGCGGGACGCGACCTGTCACATCACGAGGTGTTGTCACACCGTGTTCGGTCAATCAACGCATGAGCGTAATCATCCAGTCGTTCGCCGGCGATGGTTGCCGCAGGGCCGCCATGTCTCTCACTGTTCGTCCTCAAGCTCACCTTCACGCAAATTCATGGTCCTTGTCCGCGGAATGATGCGTTTCATATGTACTGGTTCCTGGGAAGTACTCCACGCAATATACGAGATCAAGACCACGCAGACGATTTCGACGGATGAAGCTAAGTACTATCGCGGTGCCATTCTGCTATTGTCTCGTTGGCGAATACTGGCTATCCTCGTCTTGTTCATGTCCACGAGCGTGCATCGGTTTGCATCACACGGCCCGCCGACGTAAACATCTCCCCTTACGACCGATGCGGGGCGTATAAATGCCTTCGAGTTCGCATCCGCATGTATGCATGCACCACACTACCGCTCCGGCCTAGCTAAATATGTTACTCCGTGGGCTCTGTGTGGCACCTCTCATGCTATCAGGTGCATATACCGCACAGATCACGACGACAACCCGGGAGAGCATCAATGGCATCGGAGCATCTGGCGCATGGTGGGTGAACGACGTCGCGTTGTTCCCTGCTGAAGTTCGCCAGAACATCTCGGAGTTACTTCTGAACCAAAATTCGGGTACGTGTGCAGTTGTGGGTTGATGAGGATTGCATCACGGGCACGTAGGTGTTGGTATGACCGACTACCGCTATAACCTGGGGGACAGTGGTGTGGGTGTTGGCACTTGGGACAGGGCACCTGAGACGCCGTATATCAGGTGAGTAGTATCGATGCACGCTATGTGAGTTGCGACTCACGGAACGCGAACGATAGTGATGACGTCTACAACTGGTCGGCGGACGCGGCTGACACCTTCTTTCTCAAGGAGGCAGCTTGTCATGGCATACCCATTATCACTCTCTTCGTCAACAGCGCTGTCAGTGACTCTACATCCTCCCCATCCACAAACATGTTGATACTCCGCTACGTAGCCCACCGCGATGACCAATAACAGCGAGAACTGCGGCGGCACCCTCATTACCGAGCGGATCCTCGCGTATGTACAATACCTGGCCGACGTCATCAGCTACTGGAAGACTCAAGGCGTCGATATCGCGCATGTATCCTCCATGAAGCAAGTGTCTGCGTTGGTCTGCCTCCGCAATTTCCGTGCTGATTTGCCTGCCTCTCATGCAAGTGAGCCTGACAACAACTTCGACGATGGCGACCCTACCACTCTCTGTGCTCAAGAAGGCATGCAATTTGTGCCCGAGCAGCGCGCGGAGCTGGTCATGACTCTCGCAGCAATCTTGAAAGCAGCGGTGAGAACCTCCACATAGCCGACAATGTGCGAACTTTGACTCCTCCGCAACGCAAAATCGTACATCACCGATGCACCGATCTGGTAAGTGCTGTAAGCTGAGAACACGACGTTGGGTTTCGACTTCACATCTTGGAGAGACTACAGCGCGGTGTATGAGAGCGAGGCAGACGACCCGCTTGCCGCGATCGGCTGGGGAGAGTAATGCGACCCGACGATGAGCAGCGGGCTCCGGACGGCGAACCTGATCTACGAGTCGCTCGCTTACGCAGAGGATGAACATTGGTATGTCCAAGCGCGACCGGAAAATACGCGTGCGCGCTGACAAGCTTGGGTGGCAGGGACTGGTGGACAGCTCTGTCTAACGGTGTCGGTTCTTGCACGCCGAACAACTCACGCTGCTGGGACGACATAGGATCGGATGGCTGGGATGACGGTGAGATCACCGCAATATACTACACACGATATATCTGACTCGGTTCAAGAGCAGGTATCATCTACTACGACGCCAGCAACGAAACACACTATTACGACCTCCAGCTCACCAAACGCTTCTCGGTGCTGAAGCACTTCACCAAGGGGCCCGGTCGGATCCGTGCGTCGTACGGTCACCGCTGGCATCGACGCGTCCGATGAAAACTGGCGCGTGCTCGCCTTCGACTACCGGGCCACGTACTCGCAGCAGCACAAGTCGTGATGCAAGCCATTCGCGAAGTGTCATCGGAGGATCTACTCTGTCGTCGCTATGAACGCGCAGTAGAACGCATCGAGCATCACGCTGACGCACGACGACGCATTGGAGCTAACGCAGCCGACGAGTTTGTACCGGACGAGCGTGACGAAGGACTAGTATGTGGAGGTGGAGGTCGGGCCTGCGCTAGGTAAGTAAGGACGAGTCGCTAACGATCGAGGCGCCAGAGATGAGCATTTACACGGTATATTTCAAGTAGGTGGTCTGAGTTGCTGGCGATCGCTGCCTGTGCTGCTATACAGACCTACTGTGTTTCGGGCGAACATAGGACGGTAACTGCTTGACGGTACTTACAGCTCAACGCAGGGCCCGATAGGTTCAATCCGCGTGCACCCGCGGCGGAGACGGCCGGAGTTCGCTGCGGCGTTGCTTCGTCCTATCATATGCGCCTCCAGGCTCCTGCAGTTCATTCCATCATCTACGTGGGACCGCAGAGCCAAAGGATCATTTCAGGACTACTTTTTCAGGCTGGACTGAGCTTTTCCCTCTCAGAAACGCAACGACACCAGCCTCTATGGTACCTCTATGGTGACATTGATCATGATGCATAGCGGACGCGCCGGTTACACTAACTTACACCTCCGGAGGAGAGATCAATTGATGCGGCAGAATGCGCACCGGTACCAGCTTGAGCGCCGTGAGCACTCCGCCGCCAGAATCAGCTAGGCGGTCCCGCATCATGCATGGCGTCCTCCAGCGTCCTCCTAGCCAGCTCATCGCGAATGTTTTGATGAACGGTATCGGGCTTCAGGGGCAGCTTGAGGCCGCAAATTTGAAACGAGTACGATGCTCTATGACGCTCAGGTAGAGCGGGTATCCGAAGGCTGGTTCCAGAGGGTGGGAAGACACCGAAATGCGCCGCTGCGTACTCGGCCATCTTCTTGCGTATAGCTCACGGCTTCCCACCAGGGCACTGGCTCCCTGGCATAAGCGTCGAGCGAAACGCTGTCATGGCGCTTTGTCGGCACCCGTTGTCACGTAAGTCCACAATCAGCTCTTCGAGGATCGCTTTTGACGCGTGCCGTGGTAGGCGTTCGAGTGGTGGCTAAGCTGCAGAGTTCACCGCACAAACTGCAACGTGCAACCTCGATCCCCTTACGGCTCCGATAGCGAGTGAAAGTTCCGTCACAATGGGCGGCGATGGGGCCGCGGCGGGTCCCCATCAGCTTCTCATGTTTCCTCCAACGGCCTGGCCGCCTCGTGCAGCAGCGCGCAACAGTCAATGTCCTCGGGAGTCGGAGAGCCTCGTATACGTACGTTACCCGAGTGATATCGGCGCCTATTCTGAATTAGCTTCCGGGCGCACTTCTGGTCGGCTTCTCGATACACTGCTACGTACTTAATCCTGCCGTCGGCCTTCATGCTGCGATTCCCCTCAGCAACCCCCTCCTGCCCTTCATGCGCTGGCGGCACAGTCTAGCCCTCCCTCTTTACGCGTCCAGCGTCGCGCTGGGAGTCTGCGCTAATGAGCAGGTCCCAATTATCCCTCATCCCGAAGTCGGGCATGGATCCCAACATATCAAGCCCTGGGATGAGCCGCCTAGCAAGGATGCAACGGGGAACCTCATTTTCCAGTCTTTGGCATCACTGCTTCAGTTGGCTCCGAACTCTAGGTACATCAATGGTGCGTCGTCGCCATACACCTTGACTATCGTATTAACTATGAGGCTCTTAGGGCATTCCATCATGCGTGCCAGCATCCCTCCAGGTACGCTCCTCTATCACGGGCGCCATTTGAGGGAGCCGCCTGCGAGAGATTGGCTCGCATTGGACCCGGAGCATTCGCACGTCTTCGCGGCAGGCGCGAACGGCACTCTCTTCACCTACAGTACTGCGCGCGAGATCAATCTACTTTTCTTCGACGGCGCCAGCGGTAACAAATTCGGAGGAACCGTAGACACACAAGACGTCCTGTTCTGGGGCGAAGTCGACTACGACCCTCACGACGAGTGGTTCGCCGAAGTGGCTCGCTTTCAAAGGATGTGTGAGTGGGGAAAGCAGTACGGGATTGACGGGATTGCTAGGATGCAGCTTGACTTGTGAATCCAGCTTTATTCGTGCTCGCGAACGTACTGACACGAGGGACATAGCGAGATCATGTACTGCAACATCCCAGAAGGGCTGGAACTGGTCTCTGCCGTACCGCTGGTCGCCAACGATGGTTTCACATTCCCCCCTGTTATTCCCAACAACGCCACAAACTTGAATGACCTCACGCAGATGCTACCTCCGATAAAGGTTCCTGTACCAAAACGCGAGCCCATGAGGCCGCCGGAAGGGTGGAAGGGTAGTTTACCTACCACCTTCCCCGAGGTAAGGCACGTGGGCACCTGGCACAACCAGGGCGAGGTACGCATCCGAGTCGACCCCTCTACTATGGTCTCCTTCTACGACCCGACCCTCACATCGCTCGTCGAAGCACGCCGCTCGCACAGGCGCATCGAGTATCGGCTCGAAGGTATATCGAAGGAGGATGTCGCACGCGTACAAGCGGACGTCGCGGAGATGATGAGTCGGGATCCAACAGCGAAGAGTGGCGTGGATTGGCAAGCACTTGCGCGTGCAATCCAGGACCGGTTTTTCGACCGGTTGCCATACGTACTCCACCTCCTGCATCAGCCTTTCAGCAGTGCGTTCTTGCAAGCAGTGACTCTCCGCAGAGAGCTCTTTGTGTCGCTGCTGCCTTACATGCACCGCGAGCGCATCGGCACGCCGGAGTGGTACGCGCAGATAGCCGAAGGGTGCGCGACGCGCTACACTGCGCATCTTCCGGTGTCGAGGTTCACGAAGCAGGAGCACATCTTGTATGACGCCACGAAAGAGGTGCTGCATGAGATCTGCCGCGTGTATACCGAGGCCTGGAGGGACGCGTTTGACATCGAGGAGCGACAGGCAGAGCAGGCTGTAGGCCTCTTCACCAAATGGAAAAGAGAGTTCGATGCGCTGGCCCAGTGGCTCGACTGGCCAGTATGGATGAAGTGCGAGCCTGCTTGTGGCGTGGGTGTAAGTGTCGTTTTCTCATGGGTACGTGCTCTACTAAACAATCTGCTTCAGGAATATTGTTTCTGGCCGCAAGGTGCAATCTGGGAGTCAGAACCTGGCCGCGAGCCTCACTGCTTGCCTATGAACACGGACATCTTGTGATTTTAATGCAGATGACTCGCGGTTGGGAGCGACGCCCCATGTACTCTAGACTTGCTTGAGCTTATGCATGATATATAGACCGGATGTCCTGGTTTTCCAGTCATCACGATGATGTCCACCATGATGCTTGCGAGAATGTGAATGTATGTAGACATAGACAAGTAGGTGACAGAGAACCGGGACAGATCGTGCATGACTTACAAATTTCGCTGAGACACGGTTGAGGAGGTGGAGGGTGCCTGCGCCCTTGCACTTTTACTGACCGTGGCCAGCTTCGCGTCACTGAGTACAAAGCTTGATTGGATGCTCTCACCAACATAGACGATGCACGCAGCTGTCGTCTTCAATGATCTGCCAGTTGTCCATAGAACAAGCGTGGCCGACGATCTATTGTTATGCTACGGAAATACATCGAACAGAAGCTGCATAGTACTAAGTTACATACTTGTCGTATCAAGATGTGCGGCGAACAAACCATGAAGCACCTCATGAATGAAGGCTTCACTTGTCCGAATCGCCCGAACACCTGCTGATTAGACAGGTATCCGTTGGTTGTTCTTGGCGCTTCACCAGAACCGATGCAGAGTGGATGTGTAGAGTAGCTGCTCGGGCAGAAAGAGGCCAGACGTTCAGGCATGGAGATCGTAGGCTGTAAGTCATATAGAGAAAAATGTGAAGTATCGAGACGGACGTGGTACATTGAAAAGACGAGCACATGCGACGTGTGAGTCGAAGTACACGACGAAGGGCTTTCGGAGAAAGCCTACAATTTTTCTCGCTTTATATGCTCCGGCGTCTACCAATGACATAAGCTGTTCAATGCCCCATTTTGGAAGGGACGCGCCCGTGGCGCTAGACCGCGAAGCTATTGTATCCCCTTGTACTTATCCCTCATTGAAGTTTGAACCTCGAGCTCGGGTCCTCGCTTTTCTTGTTCTTCTGCCCATCATACTGCTCACAGAGCTTTGCTCGTGGCCATGAGCGCCGCCAATCTAAGGGCTGTCCTGGACTTGCTCAAGAGTGATCATGTGAAGAAGCGGCAGGAAGGCCTCTCCTCACTATACACCATGTTCGCGCGCGAGTCTGCGATCCTCAGGGTCGACGAGCAAGGCGACGGGAAGGCGTGGACTATCATATACCAAGCTCTTTTCAACGCTATGGTCAAAGAGAAGGATGCCTACGCCAAGAAAGGCGACGCGTCAAGTGCTGCCGTCAAACGCAGGCTGACCGACGCCGCCTCCGCCGTCCGTTGGCTGATCGAGCGCAGTGTTACGCGCATGAACGGCAAGGTGGTGAACCCTGTTTTAGCCCATTTGACGAAGTTCATCATCTACAGAGGCGAGTTGTTCACTCCAGTCGCATTGCAGTACGTCAAGGCCATCCGATGCATCTTGAGCTATACCCCTCACCTGGAACATCTGGTCGAGACGTCTTGGATAGCCTTACTCGAGATGTCTCTGAATGTGGTTCTCGAGGACCGCGTTAGGAAGAAACTGGACGAGAAGGACGACGCCTTCGCTGACGACAGGGAAGACAGCCTGCCACTAGGCTCAGGCATGGACGACTCTGGGGAGGATAGCACGCCGTCCGTTCTAGGGCCGAGTTCCACTAGGAAAAGGAAGCTTCCTGCTACCACACAGGCGCGGCGAACACCATTCTCCGGAAGTCCTGCTCCAACCTCTCACTCGGTCACTCAGGAGCAGGTGGAATTCATGTCCTTACTCGTCTTGCTGCTCCATTCATCCTCGACCCCACTGCTCTCGACCGAACACCGTTATCTCCCCGCGGCCCTATTCCAAAAGCTTGCCCGCATCCTGCAGAAGTATCCGGGGGATTCTTCCCTACACCACGATTACTTGCTCGCGCTCTCCGCCGCGCTCTCCCACGTCGCGTTGAATGATTATGCTACCGTAACTAGATTCGCGCGTGAAGCTTGGGACGGCCTTCTCCACATGTGGGGGACGAAGAATCAACGCACCAAGCAAGATCTAGTCATAGTACTCCAGACGCTGTTTCCGTACTACACAGCTGAGCCTATTGACCCAACGATCATCAACAATGTCGACTACACCATTGGGGTTGCGAAACTCTGGCAGCTGCTGAGCGGCGAGGCGGACAGTCGCTGGGGGGTGGACGGATTAGGATTAGATCGGTTGCGTCTGGAGGTGCGAAAGCCAGGAGAGGACGATGACTCCCCAGGGTCGTTCGTAGGATCGACGTTCCGGTATGGGTGGCAGTTCGATTCGGGCCAGGCATTGACTTGGACGATACTCGCGTTGCAAGCGGAATGCACGGCCAAGGTACTCATCTCGCGCGTTCAGCTGTATTATAGAACTCGTACCAAACTGATTCATAGTTATACAGACTCACAGAGTCGGTTCATTCGATGGAGCCGAGTGGCAGCCGGAGTGCTGGGAAACGCGTCAAGTTGGAGAATCCTGTCAAGTCGCTACTGGACCTGATCAATCACACCTCTTCCCCCAGCATACGCTCGTATCATCTACAGGGCTTGCTCTTCTTCGTCGACAGGCATTGGCCGATCCTGTATGACGAATTGCAACAACAAGTCATCTCCGTCCTCATGCAGTTCGTGTCATTCGACGACGGGTCTGTCCAGTCATGGACTTTCCTTTGTCTTGCCGCTATAGCTCACAGCGTCGGTGCATCCCCGGACGCAACCACTGCCCCGGACGAGCAATTAGGACTGTCAAGCTCAGCGACCTGGGATGCCATCTGTGCGCATGCTATGCGTCGCGCGACTGTAGCATCGGTCTCTCGCGCTGCCTGCCATGCTGCGTCCGTTTGCTTGCTACATTCGAAGGTGCTGCTGACATCGCAGCGCCTTATCGCCGAACTCGAGGCGCTGGGCAAAGACCTCGACGTCCAGGGACCCGTGTTCCCGTATGACTCGGTCTGCGCCTTCCTGGACCTCGCCCTCCGCATAGCGAGTCAAGATGTCCGACTGTATCGGATGCAGTTGGAGGAGAAGGTGTTGACCTGGTTCATTGACACCTGGAGAGTAGGCAGCACGCCGAAGACAAGGTTGCCGGCCCACACGGTCGCCGACCTGTTGACGCTCCTAGAAAGCATATGCTCGTTGTCCACGAGGAGTAACCTTATATGCGGGATGCCTCTGTCCGACTCTCCCATCGTTCGGGCTACCAACGACCATTCCTACACGGCTGTCATACGGGACTTTTCATTACAGGCCCATCTGCCTCGAGGACGCCGCTACGAAGGAACTGCTGAAGGCGATTCACCCGTTAGCCAGAACGCCGACGATAGTAGCCTAGAACTCGATGATCTTGCTCCACCCCGCGGTCGCGAGAGGCGTATCTCGGCCTTCCTCATAAAGGTCACAGAGGAACTCTGCGGTGTCTGGGAGTCGAGCAGGGAGGTATCTGGCTTCATGACGGCAGAGAGGGTGCGATCGTACCTCGACGTGTCGTTCCTGGCCCTTTCCTACGAAGCCATCCTATTCGTCAACGGCATGCATTCAACGAGGCGTGTCATACAAGCCGCTTGTCGACTCATCCAGACTGTTCTCCCACAACTTTCCGAGAAACGCTGGACCTCGGAGGAGCGCTCGCTCATGCTAGGCAGTCTGCAACCTCTTATACTTGCTCAGCAAGAATCGGTACGGGAACCTTGGGAGACATTGACCTCCCCTGGACCGTACACCGGAGTGAGACGACAAGTCCTCAAAGCACTTGGTAGGAGGTCAGGGAGTCATGACCGCCAAATGAGCGTGCGCCGTCAAGTTCAGCGCGTGATCTTCCGCTCTGCTGATGTGAGTATCCATATTCTTCTTTATGCGTTGTCGCCGACGTCAATTCATCGATGACATAGGTGCAGGATGCATTCACGACTCTCATGGGCAACCTCAAGTCGACTCTCCGACTGGCGTCTGGTGCTTCCGCGAGTCACGATTTTGATGGTCGGGCTATGGACGTAGACGTCGAGGACGATTTCGGGCAGCCGAGGACAGCGCAAGATGTGGGTGCCGCTGCGGACTTCTCGCGGAATGGTACCGCATTCATGGGTGCTAGCGGCGTCGAGATATGCATGGATGCGCTTGCTGTGATACCGGTTTTGCAGTCTACGTCTGGCCAGCCCACGCGTGACAAGGACTTGGCCAACCTCGTCTTAGAGTCCGACGACTCTCGCTTCCTGGACATGGCTTCCGTCTATTTCAATATAATCAAATCCGGGATGATGAGCATTAGTACTTCGAGCATGGAGCAATTCTTGGAGAGATTCGGCGAACTATGGCCCCAGTATGACTACGGACGAAACGATCGCCTGCAACATCTATCGCTACACTTCCTGCATTCCACTATGACACATTGGCTAGACCACGCGACTCCCGTCAGCATCTGCGACGCTATTCGGGAACTATGGACTCGTCTAGCTGCGAAGCTACTATGCGGCAAGATGACTTCGTGGAAGACCCGAGATGCCTTCATTAGCCTCCTCGATGCAAGTCTCCTTCATGACCCACGAGAACAGTTCTGGTTGGACGCCGAAGACAATGATCCTGGGTACATGTCTGATGCTGGCCAAGATGCAAGCGAAAATGTTGGAGCGACATCCCTGCTTCCAGCGTCCATTCTACCTAGGCTCGGAGCTGACGTCGACATCCGGGTACGCTTCCGCGCCTCTGCTGCCGTGGCACGCATGTTCGCTCGAGCTTGCAAGCTCAGACGGGATCCGACAAGGCTATATACGGCCATGCGACCCTATCTGACCAGGGATCACACAGAGTACGCTCCAGTACAGCCAATGTCTCCATCCTGCTGATCCTCATATTCGCCTCTATAGATATGAGAAGATGATGACTCGCATACTCTGCCTAGCAAACATCATGATCGTCAGTTCTGCGGTCAGGCGGGGGGCTTACTGGCACTTGCTGGAAGGATGTCTGTTCGCTCCGATGTACGCAAGTCATATGGAGGCTGCGTTGACGGGCGTGTCGGAGAGGCTTGGTCTCTCAGGCCTGGCGGAGCTCTTTCAGCATTATGCCTCCCAAGTTGCCGCGTCGGTTTGCCAGGGACGCGAGGACTTCCTTAGCTTCCCGCCACGCGTGCTTGGGTACCAAGAGAGAAGACAGTGCGCTGAAAGAGTGTTCCACGCCTTTGCACCGGCCAATATCCTCAACGAAGAGCGTGAACATGGATACAGTCTCTTCCGGAATCATTGTGGGGCCGTTCACAAACCGCCATCCGAGGGACTCGAGGAGTGTTTCCCGGAGATTGTTGGATATGAGATCGTCATTGCCATCGCAATCAGCTTGGACGCCAACGGTATCCTCCCGGATGACCTACCATCACAGCTACGGCGTACGATGCGGGATCTTGGACGAGAGACCTTTGATCTCTGCCTTCGTCAGACGGCCGATGCTGTTGCAGCTACCATCATTCGCTCGCTAGGCGACCAAAACGTTTCGACCGATGGGCCAATCTTTACCGGACTTCGACAAGCTGGTTTCAACGAGGATAGCACCCGCGTCCTCGAACAGCTCTTTCAAAACAGGCATGACAGTGAATTCCAGTTCCACGAGCCGAATATCCCGTTCTTTCCTACCCAAGTTGTCTTGAAGGCGTTGCAGTGGTTTATTTCCTGGGTTCCCGAAGTGGAGTCGCCTGCCATCACTTATCATGTGCTGCATCAGCTCTTTGCGGAAATGGAACGCTGTCCTTTCGTCAACGAGCAGATGCGACTGCTCAACGGCATCTGCGTTTGGATCACCATCCGTCGTCAGCATTTCGAGGATCCCACATTGCTTCGTACGCTCATGAACATGACCTCGACCATCCTTTCACAGGCGGACATGGCCCGCGCCGCGAAATCGATTCTGGAATGGTGCTTTGACGTTTATCGGCGAGCCACAGAGCGCATCAGTCGCCTCCCTGACCTTATTGCTCAGGTTGGCTCGATCGCCCAAGACTACCAGCAAGTATCGCATGACGAGTCATCCATGACGCTGGGTCAAGACCTCGTTCGCTGGATAGAGTCTACGATGCAAGGCCTTGCCGAACGTAACGTACTACGAGCACAGGTCGTCCGTGCCTTGGCTTCATGGCCCTTTGACACATCCCCCACGCTGATCGAGCATCGAGACAGTCTCAACCTTTACGAGATATCTCGAATCCTCAGTGATCCTCCCGTTACCGCAAACAAGTTTCAGTTGGCGCGCAGAATACGCGATCTCACGATAGGCCACCAAGATACCGCAGGGCACTTCAAGGATACAGATTTCTGGACACTCAAACAGTGCATACCGTCCTCTGATAAACTCCGCGACGAAGATATCGACGCATTCGTCGCGCTTCTCATACACAGCGGTGGAAACATACGCAGTCCGGAGCATGCGGACAAACAGGTGATCATCCAAACGATCCGCCAAAGGCATCGCCGCCTGTCATCTTCACAGGAACAGACGACCACGCGTGATGCTGCACGACGGGCCATTATTCTTTCCCTGCTCGAGATGCTCGACGCCGCATCCGCCGTACAGATCAACGCTGCCTATCGCACTCTTCGCTCTGTGATGTCCGTTTATCCTCTCGATGTTGGCGCCTCGCAAACATGGTGTCGGGAATACGCTGGAGATCTCGTGCATCTCAATGCCCATCCGGTCTCTGTACCCAGCAGAGATTGCGACGAGCTTCTTCAACTGCTTGCCAGTACCCACCTAGTGCAAGCATCCAAAGGCTTCCCTGCGTGGATTGTCAACTTGACAATGTCCCTATGCGGCGCTCTAATAGCTCAAGATCGTTTCTATGCGGCCCTGGCGCCGATGCTGCAGTTTAGCGTAACGTTTGCCGAGGATATTATGCCCATATTGGTACACGCCGTGTTGTGTTCGGAACGTTCGACCCTTGGCCCGAATGGTGGAGAGTCTCGCCGGACCGCTCTATCAGATCACTTCGACGCAGTGCTGAACTACGAAGATGTGGATGTCCGGTGCCTGCGTGCCATCATTGATGCTGTCTTGCACCTGCGTCACTTCCATCCTCCCGGCACCAGGGACGCGTTGGCTTACGATATCTGGCTGCGCAACGACTGGAGACTCCTCAGCAAGATGTCTGTCAAATGCGGGGCATACACGACCGCACTCCTGTTCCTCGAATTAGCTGCAGAGAACGAAGCGGGGGACACGCCGGGGGGCGATACGGCTGAAGACACCCTTTTCGACATCTACAGTCGCATCGACGAGCCGGACGGATTCTACGGCATTCAAACCAGCAATCTGACCAACTTCTTGCTCAAAAGGCTCCATCACGAGAAACAATGGGATACTGCGTTCCGCTACCACGGAGCAGCGTTGACAGCCCGTCCATCTGACCCGATACATGGCCAAGGCATCGTTCAGTCTTTGCATGCTTTCGGATTTGATCGTCTGGCAATGACCGCGCTGGGCTCAGTGTCGTCTCTGTCGGACGCAGGTACTCAGTCCCCAAGTGCTATGATGTACGAACTGGGATGGCGCACGGGTACATGGGATCTTCCCGAATGCCATGCTGGCCAGTACCCTGGAGCATCGCTGTATGTATCCTTGCGAGCATCCTATCGTGAAAGGGACTCCAGTCGCATGGACGCCGTAGTTCGGGGATCGCTCTGCCAAGAGCTATCGCAGCTTCACTATCAAGGAAATGAGAACCTAACCGCGATACGCCAGACGATTCAGAATCTGATGAGTCTTCACCAAATCAGGTGGTGGAGGAACGGGATCCTTCCGCCGTTAAATCCACCAGGGAATGGCCAGTCTTACGATGATCCATGGAACTCATTCAGCAAGGTCGATGGCATAGAGAAGTAAGTTTCATCTGTCGTCGTCCTCGTGTGCTGAGGCTAACCAAGTCCGCAGTTTCGACGATGCAGAGTCTATCATGGCCACTCGCATTTCCCTGATACGCGCCCGGCGACAGAAGGAAGAGCGTGACCAGATTGGAGATCTTCTCTCTCCTTTGTGCCGAAGGCTGACAGAATTGGAGAGGGAGTGCCTTCTTCGCCTGTCTCGAGCAGCAAGAGACGCTCAAAGGCCTCAGGCAGCGCTCAATGCCATAACCCAGGCTCAAGCTCTTGGAGGGGAGGGGCTACCCGATGTCTCACAGGAATTTGCGAATGTCCTATGGCTCATGAAGGAGCCGAGGCTAGCAGCTTCTGCACTCAAGGATACGATAAACATGAGTTTGTCAAAGGGTGCTGCTGAGGATAAGCCGAGGATTGCTGAGCTTCTAGCTCGTTTGGTGAGCGTTGTTGGGACCTCTATACCTCTATTCGTAGATGCTAATGCCTTATACAGGGTACCTGGTCGGCAAAGGCGTCCCTCGACAAGCCGGATCAGATCATCGAACAACATTTTCATCCTGCGATACAATTGCTGTCAGACGCGACGGTCGAATCTCATCCCGCTGAATACGCTTCCGTCTTCCACCAATACGCCCTTTTCGCGGATCATCAGTACCACGCTATCACCACGTCTCCGGACGCCTTACGGTGGAGGATCTACATGGATCGTAAAGCTGAGGAGATCAGACTACGTCAGGACAGACTGCAAAGAGTTTCGGCGAATCCAGAAGAACGGAAAGAGCACGACCGCGCTCTTAACAAGGCCAGGCAAGAGCTAAAGCATGATCAAGCACGCTTCAAGGAACACATGGACGCTCGCGATCGCTTCCTTACGTTGGCAACGACGAGTTACTCTGAGTGTCTCGCGCATTGCGACATGTACGACAATGAATCGATCATCCGCCTCTGTTCGTTGTGGCTCGCCAACTTCGACAGAACGGACACCGACGTCAACTTCAAAGTCGCATTGGACCGTGTACCCTCTCGCAAGTTCGTCTTTCTCGCCCATCAACTGGCTGCTAGGCTCTCCAAACCTACTTCGCCGCGTGCCGCCACAGACAATCAAGCCGTTCTTCATACGGTACTAACGCGAATGTGTCGGGAGCACCCGTTCCATAGCTTGTATCAGGTGCTTTGCTTGATATCGGACCAGGGCTCTGCTAGCGCCGCATCAAGTAGACGGCAGTCCGGCAGGCTCGAGACTGCTTCCTCACAGGCAGAACGAGCCGCGGCCGCTGGTGCCCTCATTGATCAATTGAAGGTCGACGGGCAGATGCAAGGGTGCCTTCAAGACGTCGAACAGCTCTTCAAGGCATCCTTGCAGTGGGCTAAATGGAAGCCGAAGAGAGACATAAGAGGGGGGACCCTTCCTATCCCGGATGACTTCCTCGTCAAGAAGATTCGGAACCTGCGCGTCCCAGTCATCACTTCTCACACACCGGTTGATCCATCTTGCCAGTACAGTGATTGCGTCTGGATCAGTCACTTCGATTCCACATTCACGACTGCCGGCGGGCTCAATTTGCCCAAGATTACAGTCTGTATGGGCGTGGATGGGCAAAGGTACAAACAACTGGTAAGTTACGCTCAAAGACACGACGAATACAATCCTTACCCTGCTCCACAGTACAAGGGCGGCGATGATCTCAGACAAGACGCTGTAATGGAGCAGGTGTTTGAACTCGTCAACATCATTCTCCGCCGGGATCGTGAAACACGAAGACGCAGCCTTTCGGTCCGAGGTTATAGAATTATTCCATTGGCCTCGCAAGCCGGTGTATTGGAATTTGTCAAAGACACTACTCCGTTAGCAACATGGTTGCCCGATGCGCACCAACGGTACATCTCATTACTTGCACCCGGATGAGCCCATCGTGACTCTTCTTACAGGTATAGACCAGGCGATCTACGGTCCAACGACGTCTTGAGGCAGTACAAAGAGAAGCAAGCAATCTGTAAGAACGATCGTGCGCAGATGCTGGAGTTCTTCCTCGGACTGCGTCGACGATACAGACCAGTCATGCGCCACTACTTCACGGAGAGACACAAGGAGCCTCTCGCATGGTTCACAATGCGTCTCAAGTACTCGCGCAGCGTGGCGACGAACTCTATCGTCGGGCATATTCTAGGGCTTGGAGACAGGCATACCTCCAACATACTCATGGACAATGCTACCGGAGAGATGGTCCATATTGATCTTGGTATCGCTTTCGATCAGGTAGGTTCCGTCCTTCTCCTTGGATGCACCACCCTCACCCGTTGGCCGTTAGGGCAAACTGTTGCCTGTACCGGAGCGTGTTCCTTTTCGTCTGACAGCCGACGTCGTGGATGGTCTGGGCACGTCGGGCACTCAAGGGGTATTCCAGAGATGTGCAGAAGAAACGCTGCGCGTTCTACGGGACGAGTCTGAAGTCGTCTTGACAGTTTTGGAGGTCTTCAAGTATGATCCTCTACACTCCTGGTCAGTGGGGAGACTAGGGTGTCAGATGGATTGTGGTGTACTCAGATGTGATCTATACAGGGCGGCGAGCGAGGTGAAGTTGAAGCGAGTGCAAGGGTCGAGCAATGATCCAACGTTCACGGGAGAGGCCGTGCGCTGGATGATCGGTATCGACATGGCTAGCGGTACCGCCGACGAAGCCGCCGATCGCGCCTTGACTGCAGTGAAGAGCAAGTTGGACAAGACGCTGTCGATCGAATACACTGTCAATGAGTTGGTCGCTGAAGCCGCAGACGTAGGCAACCTTGCGCAGATGTATTTTGGTACGTCGACACTTCGTCATTGGGATGAAGCCCGCTGAGATTGCAATACAGGCTGGAGTCCCCATCTCTGAAGACCACGTCCTCATGTCATCGCATTCCCATCTGCTCTTTGCATATCTCATGGACACTGTAGCATAGACATACCCCAATCTCGCACCCCCGTGATGTATCCTGCGTTTCTCCGACGCATTGACCCGCGTTATGAGAAGTAACTCCATAACTTATGGACAAATCCTGAGCAGTACGCAGTATGCACTTGCTATACACTTTTCTTCTATGTGAAAGCAACCGTCCCAATCACGCCGAACAGGGCGACCGAAGATTACTGATCACGGGTATAACCACGCACAGGTGTGTATCATGTATGAATACAAGCCATGCCATGGCCCATGACGCAGGGCCGTCAAGGGTCATGCGGCTGACAGACCGTTCCTTCTTCCTCGCCTGACCCGCGACATCCCCACGTAGAACAATACACGACTCACTGCAAAACGAGAGGCGACGAGTGAAGTGAGATCCAGAGGAGAGTGAGCGTAGATCGATGCATGACATGACATGGTAACAATGGAATCTCAAGACGACAGAGACACGAAACCTTCATTTCGACTTTGCAATCTCCCGCGCGGCCTTGATGAGAGGTGCTAGCGTCCTGAGCGGCTCGGAGAGCTTGAAGAAAGGATGCTAGAAAGCGACGATCAGTCGACGGTGACTACGTGCGAATACAGTGCGCACACACCTGAAGGATCTCGGTCGCGTTCGGCCGCTTTTCCGCATCGACCTCCAACGTCTTCGCAAGATAGTCCCGGAAGACGGGCGAGAGCGCCTCTGGGTTGGCGATGGCCGGCGTGCCATTGGTCGCGATGAGGTATAGTGCCTTGAGGGGATTTTGGTTAAGGTATGGTGGCTCGCCCTCAATCATTTCTGGGCGACTGCATCAGGTCACGGTCTCAATCGGTCGAAGGACCTCAGCCTACCTATTGCCATGATTCCCAAACTCCAGATATCCACCTTCGGACCATACTCTTTCCGCGTAACGACCTCAGGTGCCATCCAGTATGGCGTGCCCACCATCGTTGTCCGCTTCGCATTGCCGTCAGAAATTTGTGCGCAGAAACCGAAGTCGGCTGGAGCACCTCTCAGATCGCTGACCATGCTGCGACAGAGAATTTGCACTCACTCAGCTTGATATCACCGTTCATACTCAAGAGGACGTTATCACTCTTGATGTCACGGTGAATGACACCATGCCGGTGGAGGTGCTCAAGACCCTGCGCCGTCTCCCTCGAGACAGCAGCGATCTGGCCCTCCGACATGAGGTTAGCGGTGACCACGTCAGTCAGCGAGCCACCCTCCATGTACTCCATGACAACCCACAGCTCGTTCTTGTACAAGAACGAGTCGATGTAGTTGACGATGTTCGGATGGCGCGACGCGCGCATGACCAGGATCTCGTTGATAATGAGGTCCTTCTTTGGCTGCTTCTCGAGGTCCATCTGCTTGATAGCGACCGACATGTTCGTGCCGACTTGATAGGCAGTGTACACGCCTCCCGAAGCGCTGCGCACGCGTGCCTGGCCGTCAGCACGCATCCTTGCATGACATCAGGGACCTGGTACTCACCCCGCACCGATCTTGACGAGGTTCCGGTAGAGCCGCGTAGGGTCTGCGTCTGTGCAGATCGCCTGCAGCCGCTTCACGATGTCCTCGTCCTTCGCCTTGTCCTTCTCCTTCTTCTCCCTCCGGCGCGGCGTCGCCCCAGGCCCGTTCGCCACCTTCTGCAGACTCGCCGTGGCCGCACTCGGCGGCGGCTGCGCGGATGCGCGGGTGTCGTGGGCGCGCTCGCGCTCGCGCATGGACGCGGAGGGCTTGAGGCGGAGGTCCGTCTGCGAGGTGCCCGGGGAGGACTTGTTGGCCTTCTGCGACGGGAAGGCGACGGGCGGAGGCGCCTGGCCGTTGCCTGGCCCAGGCGAGCGCCGGTCGCGCGTTGTGTTCGAGCGCGAGAGCTGGTCGCCGCCAGACTTGTGCGGCTTGGACTGGGGGAGGCGCTGGGAGGTGGACCGGTCGAGCGCGGTCGTTGGGGCGGGTGGGGCAGGTGCTATGCGGTGCGGGTTGGGGGAGCTCTGCGCGGACGGAGGCGCGGAGGGCGTCTTCTTCGGAGGCGGGGGCGCAGCTCGCTATAGGGAATCAATGACGGTCAAGAGACTGGACGATGTGGAGGACTTACGGGGTTCTGGAAACCTTCGTCGCCATACTGCTTCGGTTGTGACGACGCCGTCGAGGCGGGCGGGGGCGCCGCTATTGCGCCCATCTTGTCCCAGACAGATGTGTCGCCACGGCCCTCCTGATAGAATTTGACGATCTCCATGACCGCCTGCGGATTCTTCTCCTGCTCGAGCTTGGAGATGCCGCTCTCCTGCAAGAGCTGCTGCCATTCCTTGGGCAGACCGGTGAACTCACCGGTGGACGAGTTGAAGCCGACATGCGTCAGGTGGACGGGGTCGTAGGGTGTGCTGATCTCAGGCCGCTTGTTGTTGTTCAGGAACGGCAGATCGAACCCAAAGACGCTCTTCTTCGACTTGGTCGACGTCGTGCCGCTCCGCCCGCGCAGCGTGCCCGGCGTGGTCGACGGGATGGTAGGAGCATTGTTCGCGGCCCCGTAGCCGAGCGAGTCCTGCATGCCTCCCATGTCGAAGGTGTCAGGCTGGGGCGGCGGGACTGGCGGCGCGGCCGGATAGAGCTGCTGCGGCGACTGCTGCTGGTCGTCGAGGTAGAAGACGGTGTCCGGCGGGAGGCTTATCGGATCGGAGATGCGCTGGCTGGCGAGGGTGCGCTGGGTGGGGAAGATGTCGTTCAGGTTGGCGGTGTTGGCGCGCGATGGGCGAGCGGGGGGCGCACTGCCGTTCATGGTCGCAGTGAAGGCGCTGTCGTTGCTGATGGTGCGGTGAGAGGCGAAGGGATCGCGGTCAACGGTCTTGGGGAGGCTGGGATAGGGCAGGCTGTGTTTGCGAGGGGGTGGCTTCTGGAGCGAGTTGCGGACCCTGCTCTTGGATGCCGACGGAGGGGCGGGCGCCTGCCTAGACGGAGTGTAGGGGTCCTGGTAGCTGGCGGCGGCTGCGGCGTGTACGTTGGCCTCTGCGAGGAGCTCGTTGTACTCCTGGATGGACTCGCGGCTGGGGCGGTGGTACTCGACGGTGATCTTTGAGTGGCGGCTGGACGACGACGGTTGGTACTGCCTCTGGGACGTCGCCGACATGGACAGAGGCGAGAGACGGCGCGAGGGTGGGCAGGAGCGCGAGAGGAAGGAGCGGTGGGCGCAGACGGTCGACAACGATCAGAACAAGGAAGGCGAGGTGGTGGCTGTGGGCAGCTTTGCCTTTAACCTCCCCCGGCGATCCCCACGCTTATATTAATCCCAGTCTGCCCAGCGAACGCGAGTGTCCGCCGTGTGTCGTCGCTCCCAGCGTGGTCAACGGCGAGCTAGCAGCGTCAGCGCCGTCCACGAGTGCCTCGACGACGAGCCCGGTGGCGACGGCGTCGAAACTTTAGCCTGTTATCGATCTCTATGTCCGACCTTCCTTATTAGGTATGCTCGGTACCAGGAGTACTATACGCCAGTTTCTCGTCTCGAGCAGTCCGCCCTCTGACTTCGCTAGTTTGAGCCAACTTTGTTCAAAACACCGTGTTTCCAGTTCTCACTTTCGCTCAGTGGAGTGATCATGTCCGAACAGGCTCGGAGTCTATTCGTGGAGGCGTGACACATACTGCCAAAGGATACTCGGATCCAAGCAACTGCCACTGTCACGCTACATACCACCACCAGAGCTGTTCAAAGTTGCTGGAGCTCCGGAGCTCCAGCTGGCGAGGCGGCAGTTCTCGAGGTTGCCGCCTGTCGTTTGTGACCAGACGTCCCTCGTCCTGGCGACGTGGTGTAATAAAACTTACTTGCCCCCGTACACATCTAACCTGGTCAGAGATGTACAGTACCTCAGCCACGCTATGTACATCGCACATCATGCATCAAGTACTCTCAGGCTGAGTCTCTGAGCTGCATGCGGTACCGGTACGTCGTGGGCAAGCGCCGGGGTGCCTAATCGGGCAGATTGAACTGCGATCAAAATTCTCCAGGACCTCCGCTTGGATGAGCAATTAAAACTCCAGAACTCCGTCAGCAACCTTGAAGTTGAACGTCCTCATCGGCCTTCCCCAACGTACCCGTCGAGTCGATTTTCTATCTCCGGACGCTCGGTCGCCTCCAGTCGTACACCTCAGAGGCTCCGAGATGTTTCCTCCAGCCGGGCTGCCTCTCCCCGGCGAGCTGCTGCTCATCACCGACGAGCTCCCATCTCCAGCCGACTTCCTCCTACACAAACTGCTCGCTGACCACTTGAAGCACGTGCGAGGAAGCGGGACACAGACGAGATGTCTCGTCCTTGCCACGGTCGCCGATCCAGCGCGCTGGAAACATATCGCTGCGAAGTCGGTGCGCCCCCTCCTCATCACAGCCTGACTCACCCACTCACGCACGCGCAGAACGTGAACCTGGACCAGCACGTCGCTTCTCAGAGGCTGATGTTCATCGATGTGCTTGGGCGGGTCCAGTCGGGTGAGACGCTGCGTCCGCTATACGATATCGTGCAAGCAGAGCTGGGCAAGGCGGCGGCCGAAGACGAGGGACGCACGCTCGTCATTCTCGATGACCTCTCTCCCCTCGAATGGGTCGGATACACCACGCTCGAGCTAGCACGCTTCTCGCGCGCTCTGTCTGCAGCGTCTCGCAAGGTATGATAACATGCCGCGAAGTCGCCCATTCGCAGTCAAAGTCTGATCCAACCGCTTGGCCAGGCCAATGCTGCGCTGGTCATTCGCCACCACACCGTAACGCCCGGTGACCCAGATGACCTCCTCCGGCATCTCCTGCAGCTCGCGGCTTATCACGTCGACGTGCGGCCCCTGGCTAGTGGGCGCAGCGGCGCAGTTTCGGGCGAGGTATGCTCTGCGGCTAGGCTAGAACGCGCTGTTCTGATACCGTCCCAGATCGCCCTTCACGCGGGAGCTTGCAGCACCCCGACTCATCAAGTCAAAGCCATACCCCGGAGTAGCGCCCTTCAGTACCGCCTGACGGACGCAGGCGCCACGTTCTTCGACAAGGGCACCAGCGCCGGAGTCCTATGAAGACATACCGTCCATCGCGCGATTGGAAGATCCGGAGTATTCGTCTCGTGTCTCGTCGAAGATGGCACGCTCCGCCCTGCCTAACATGTGGAACACCGTTCAGCGTGCACAGGCCACGAAGGGCTTGCGAAGATCGGAACACCAGGCAGGCACGTACATCAGAAACGATGGAGCTACTCACGTCGAGAATCGCAGAAGAAGGGAAAATACACCAGCGGGGTCGGAGAGCTAGTGTCGAAGTTGAGGCCTGGAGGCTCGGGACATTCCTATCATTATCCTGCAGGAACGGAGAGCGCTCACTCAATGTTGTACTTTTGAGCAGTGGGTGTCAGGTCGGACAACACCGTAGCCGCATGTATGCGCCTATTCTATATGGGCGAGATATGGCAGGCAACGGTCGACGCCGTCTGCTCGAACGTGACTCGAAACGCAAATTGGCCCATACCCCTGCCCATACTTATCCCACGCGCAGGAGCTGGGATCCTCCCTACAGCGGCCGCCTCGGATGGTGCCATCCAGGATGATATCGATCACTCACACGGCGTCCATTGTCACGTTGAAGCCATCCCGGCATCCACTGTGTGTTCGTTGTTCGAACTGACTCTAAGCAAGATGAACGCGTCGTCAGGCTGTTGAGACCGTAGTCAACAATATCCCAGGACTCGTGGGGCGTTGTGGACTACGGCATCCACAGCCTGGCACCAGCCCCCGACACTCCTCTCCCGACCTCGCACGCGTGCTTTGTGTACGCTCGTCTTGCTGCCTCGCTAGTTGTCTAGCGCGCCGCCCCGCCTCCGCCCGCCGATGGCACAGAACGCGTCGTCAGGCCGTTGAGACTGTAGTCTACTATGCTCCATGAGAGTTGTGGAGCGTAGTTGACTACGGCATCCACGGCCTGGCACCATAAACCGACACTCCTCTCTCGGCCTCGCACATATTCAGCCTCCCACTGCACCCCGGCCTTCAGCATGGCTGGGGGGCGACATCCTCCTACCTGTGGACTGGCGACGGAGGGAATGACCTCGTGATAGAGGAAGTCAATGCATTGAGGGCGAGCGGTGAGTTGCGCGTGTTGGACTGACTTCGCGCTGCGTGCAACGCAAATTGGCGGCCTGCGTCGCTTGCATCTAGCGGTTTGTACTGATTTTCGCTCATTCATCCATCCCGCTACTTGCTGATTTGCGCGTAGCGGGAGGGTTGTTGCGCTCGGATTGAGGCATCGCGCTTCTTACAAACGGCCCTCTTAGTAGTCACTATTTGTACCAGATAATTATTGGCTAACGTACGTGCCTGCTGTTGCGAACGTTGCGCGTCCGATAAACTCCTGCGCTGTGGTCGAACTTTGCGCGTTGTCCACGCGTCGCCCTAGTGTCAATGTACACGATCGCCGCAGAGCTGTCACGGTCGCGGTGTGACCAATGCCAACGCGTCCTGTCACACACAGTATACGCGTCTAAACTGGCAGCCACCGCTTAAGTAGCGGCATCTCACCACAAGGAAGGACTAAGGCCGCGCCGCTGTGTACCCACCGAACCTCAATTCTGCTTGCTCGGTACTTGAGACTGCTGGCTGCTCCAACTTGACTATACCCTACGAAGTGGCTGAGCTTGTACAACTACGCACAATGCAGGCGACACTCGACGCCAGTGCGCTTAAACGTGAGCCAAACACAAGTCAGTCCGTAGCCCCCCTCATGGCATGTGTTCCGGATAGAGATTACCAGAGCACTCGCCTGCCTCTCGCGGTACGGCGACGAGCTCACAATCTACGCGACGCCTGACACGCTCGCGCTCTCCTCGACGAGCCAGTCGCAGTCCGCGTTCTGCCGGTTCAAGTACCGCCGGCAGTTCTTCAGCAGGTACAGCCTCGCGCACGCGGAGCTCGCGCTGGACGCGGACGAGGTCGTGCCCGCGATGGGGCAGCTCCAGACGAAGGTCATCGTCGTCCACACGCGTGCCGGTGCGGACGGGTGTGCTGATGCGGCGTGCTGCTAGTAGAACTTGCTGTCGATATTGAAGCACAAGACGGTGGAGAAGACGGTGGAGAAGTGTGAGTTGGTCATTACGGATGGGGACGCGCCCGCGCAGGAGGAGGATGAGCAGGACTCGCTCGAGAGCAGGTTGACGGTACGATTGCATTGTAAACATGGTAAGGAGTGCATATATGCGCATACAGGCGAGACGGCATGCTGAATGATGCCTATGTAGGTGTAGTCAAGACGCATAGGCTGCTGCTGCAAACCCCGAACTCTCTCCTCGCTCCAGCGATACCCGATGCGCAATATCACTCTCGCTTGACAATCGGCGCACGCGCCGTACGAGACATGATAGAGCACTTCCCGCTGCAGAGGGGACCCAAGAGCGATCCACAGCTCATATGGACGTTCAACGAGTACGATGTGGAGATTAGAGGCATGGAGACGATCATGACGGGCAAGAGTATGTACACCGCACGCCATGGACCACGCAAATCTTCCAGTGGACTAACCCCCAGATTTTCAGCCGGTCCACAGCTCGCAACAGAGCTCATCATCAGCGCAGAGGAGTTCGACAGATACGAAGTCTTCGACACGCCGCTCACGCTCTCCTTCCACCTTCGCGAGTTCAACGTAAGCACTCCTCCCCTACCCTCCGCATACACCCGCCGTCTAACTCCCACTTACCAGGCCACCGTCGGCTTCGCCGAAGCCTCCTCCCTCCCGCTCGCCATCAGCTTCACCGATCCCGCCTCGCCGGTGTTCATCGACCTCTCGGGCGATCTCTCTGAGTCGCTCTCCGTCATCTCTACCAGCGGCCTCGGCGCGCACGTCGTCTCTGCACGCGCGCCCGCACGTGCACGCGCGCCCGCACGTGCCCGCGCGCCGCCCGCGCCCAAGCGGAAACGCCCGCTCGAGCTCGAGGAGCAGCATATAGAAGTGGAACCCGGCGAGCGTGACTCTAGGGAGGTGAGCGTGGTGTCAGAGGCGAACTCGGAGCGGAGGCGGCCGATCAAAGTCGTGCAGACGACGGATCGGGCGTCCGTCGCGCGCGAGTTGGCAGCAGAGCCTGCGCTGCACGCGACGCCCCTCCCTATGCGCGACGAGTCGATGCCCCCGCCGTCCATGATGCCCCCGCCGTCACTACCACCCCCACTATCCTTCCGCCATCAAGCACAAGCCCAGACTCGATTACAGAGCCGACCCCCGACAGCGCGCCCGCCCACCGCCCGGCCCTCGAGCGCCTCCGCCGCCCGCGCCCGCGAGCCGCTCTTCCTGCCAAGCTCGCAGCCCACCGAGCTGGAGGCGGGCATGCACGTCCCCGGGGCGCGGCGGGGCCAGGGCGCGGACGCGGAGCCGCTGTTCCTGCCGGGCACGCAGCTCTCGCAGGCGGCGGAGCAGGCGATCCGGGACTCGGGCCTCGGGATCGAGGGCATGACCGCGCGCGAGTTCGCGGCGATGCTCGAGGACGACGGGGAGGAGGTCGACTTTGGCCCGGGCGACGCGGACTGGGAGATGGGCGCGCGCGTGCGGGAGGGGAGCTTGGAGATCCACGACGAGATCATGGAGGTCGAGTTCGAGCCGACCCAGCTGGGCGGCGGGACGAAGGTGAGTTGGGTGTCGGTGTGCGGGTGGGTGTTCGTAAGGCCGATTGACTGACTGGTTGGGTTACTCGGGTCTTGGTACAGGCGTTCAGGCCGTTGTTCGAAGACTGAGGGTATCGGATTCGGGACGGAAGGCGGCTCGGAGTCGGAGGGCTCGCTGGGAAGCTGCCGCGTGCTTTCCGCGTGCCCGACGTTCTGCGCCGACGGGGGCTGGACTTGCCGGTGCGTGCTCGAAAGCCTGAAGACGGACCGCGCATGGGGTCGTAGTGCACGGAGGAGACCCGCGTACCGTAGAGGTCGTACGCGTCTTGTCGTGCGGTCCCCTACACTTGCCTGTCAATTGGCATTGTGTCAGGAGCATGAGATCGGGTGCACGGACACTTGCCGGCTTTCATGGTCTGCGACGGAGGGATCGGACTACTTCGTGAATGCCATTTGTAGGATGACACTACAGCATCGCTGCTCGGAACCAGGTCTATGACTCGGCGTTGAGTGTGCTTCCGTAGACGCTAGCATTTGTAGATGAAGCACACAGCAACCGGATCTTCGAGGCAGTCATAATACTGCCCAGACGAAGTCATTCCGACATGCAAGATGATTACAAAGTTCTGCGACAGCAATGTCAATGTAAAGTACGATATGGATACACGTCGACCCGAAGAAGAGCTGAACGACAGATACAGTGGACCGAAGAGAGCACCAGGTGTCATGAGTTCGTGAAGGTCGTTACTTCGTATATGCGCGATGCAGCGCGCGCTCGTAGCCCACCTGACACCGACGTTAGCACAGCAAACCAACAGGCGCAGTGACATTGGCACTCACTACTACAACCTGGCTCCCGAGGACGGCACGAGACCCCCGTTGCGATAGATGTCGCGCAAGTCTAGCGAGCTCTTCTTCTTACGCACCGTGCGCGTGCGTGTCTCCTCCCCCTCGGAGGGACCCACTGTGTCCTCTAGAGGCTTTGACGCAGCGGGGAAGGGCGTAATATTTGTGGCATGCTGTATAACGTCGGGCGCAGGAGAGTGCATGCGCGACCCAGAGGGGGAAGCCACATCCACATCCATATCGGTCATGAGCAGTGGTATATGGTACGAGGGCGCGAGGGCGGTGTAGGGATGGCGTTTTGGCGGGACTGGTCGTGCGCGTGGGGGCTGGAGCGCGGCGGCGTGGCCCCTGTTTATATACAGGCTGTCGCATGATAGCACTGATGACACTGGGGGATAATGTTGGATGAGGCGAGCGGTGGGTACCGAGTGTCCACGGTCGGTGGCGCCTGGACGAGGAGCCCGGCTGAGAGTTGGCTGCACCCAGCCCGGTCGTGGGCGTTCCCAAGCATGCCCCCTCAGCGGGGCCGCGTCCGATCGACGTCATCGGGCTTGCCCGTCCTGTGCCCAGCGACCCGGACCTTCGCAGGGAAACGGCGATGAGTTCCTGACCCGCGAGGCCGTTAACGTTCTGCGCAGCGTCCGCGAAGCCGCGCATATGTAAGGCGCATGACCGCGAAGACGTCGACGGAGAGCTGCTACCTTGCATGGGCGCTAGCGCTATGATGCGTAAGCAATGGATGTGGTGCACCAGCAGATCATCGGAGAGAAACTGAGCGACTTACTGCACAGTGCAGAGACTACAGGACGGGAAGAGTGGTGCAATGGTGTATGGAGCGGAGTCATTATCTTAGACACCTAGGATCCTCCGTCACGCGAAAGCCAGACTACGCACGAAGGACACAGAGTAGGGGATTCCGGATCATCGCGGTCGAGGATGCAGCCGTTTGGGCAGCAGAGAATGCAGAGTACACTGCACAGCCTCTCGATGGTAGACAATCTACAACGGGTCAGTAGTATGCGCGTGAAATGCAAACCAAGACTTCAGCTTCAGCAAGGATGTCATCCACAGGCCAAGTCGCCATACCTCTTCTTCCAAGAGGAGTCGTCAATTTCCAGAATACATGCCGTCGTGTGGAGTCCGTCGGCGCTTCTTCAGTGCAATTATTATTCCAGACAGCTCTGAACGACTACATATGAGCACAGAGCACTGTAAATTGGCTTCACGAGGAGACGGTTCATCGCAAGTGCGGGTATGTTCTGAATTTGCTAGGAAGGAGCGTCCAAGGTTCGCACAGTCGATGGCTTTGGCAGCACCACAGGCGAGGAGGCCAACTTGGCCTGGAGCCACTGATGGTATCACGTGAACGTGACGCGACGCGGTGGCTTCGGACGCGATCGAGCTCGCCCGTCCCGTCCATTGTGACTACTCACCTCTCCCAGAGCTACTCTTCCAGGAAACTACCAACGGAACCGCGTGCGAGTCAGCGCATATAAACAACTGTCCTCAGCTCGCAATCTCAACGAAGCTCGTGGATAGTACTTACAGTGACCCACTGAGGCCCAGTACTACCAGTGCGCCGCCATGCTACCAACGCCTGCGCCATCCTCTCCTCCATCCTCTCCCAAACTCGAAGCAGTAACAGCGGAGGACCATGAACTTGTGTACCCTGCTCCCCCGAAGTGCCGCGGCAGCGCCCCCTTCCATGTCCTCGCCGCTTTGTTCGACAAGCTCCAGAACGAGCGCAAGCCTGAGAAGCGGAGAAAGCTGTTAGACTCGTGGTTCAACGTGCGCCAGAATTGACTTGTACATCCTCCATGAGACTGAGGGCTGTGTGATCTCGTCGTAGCACTGGAGAGAAGAAAAGGGATACGACCTGTTTCCTGTGCTTCGGCTCATCTTGCCTCAGGCGAGTGCCCGGACGTTCAACTGCTGCAGTTTGCCTGACGGCCCGACAGAAAGACCGTGAGCGTGCTGTATATGGTCTGAAAGAGAAGAACCTCGCGAAGACGTACATCAAGCTAATCCCACTCGGCATGAGAGACCCGGACGCCATCCGACTGCTGAACTGGAAGAAGCCTACTGAGCGAGACGTTCGTCCATTTGGTTCTGCTGCTCCACGTCGTCACTGAGGGCGTGTGTCTGCTCTGTGCTTCCTTAGAAATCCTCGGGCGACTTCCCCACCGTACTCTATGAGGTCGTCAGCAAGCGGTCCTCGGTGATCGAGGGCTCGCTCACCGTCGATGAACTGAACGACGTTCTAGACGAACTGGCGAAGAACATGGGAAAATCGTACTGCAGACTTACTGCTTTCATTGCGCATTGCAGCCTGACATACTTTTCAGAGAATTGCAGTCCAAAACTCTACAACGAGTCTACAACCGCAGCACCCCTGAAGAACAGCGATGGATCGTCCGCATCATTTTGAAAGGTCCAACCGTCCTCCTCCCTATCCTCTCCTACCCACACTAACGCCCCTGCGTCGCACGATGCAGATATGCAAATCTCCGTCAAAGAGACCACCGTCTTCGCCGTCTTCCACCCCGACGCGCACGACCTCTTCAACACCTGCTCCGACCTCAAGAAGATCGCCTGGGAGCTCTGGGACCCCGCCCGGCGGCTCAACGACGAGGCACGCTATGCCCCGCCTCCCTGACGCTCCCGATGCCGACACGCTGACTTTGACTGTGCAGGACAAAGCGGCACAGCTCTTCCGCGCGTTCGCACCGATGCTGTGCAAGCGCCCGACGCGCCGGATCGAGGAGAGCGTGAAGGACATGCAGGGCCAGACATTCGTCATGGAGGAGAAGCTGGATGGAGAGCGGATGCAGCTGCATAAACGCGGGAATGAGTACTTCTACTGCTCTAGGTGCGCGAGTCGTCTCTCCCATATGACCACTGGGTGCGGGTAGAGGGACTGATTTGGCGGTCGTGCTGCAGGAAAGGAAAGGACTACACTTACTTGTATGGGAAGCATGTCGGTACGGGCAGCTTGACGCCTTTCATCCATGGCGCATTTGACTCTCGAGTGGACGAGTGAGTCGAACTCTATGTTGCACGTACATCGCGGTCTCTGATGTGTTTGTAGGATCATTCTCGACGGAGAGATGCTCGTATGGGATCCCGTCTCTGAGCGCAACCTTCCATTCGGAACCTTGAAGACGGCCGCACTCGGTATGCAACCCGTCGTCCTCTCGCCCAGAATCTACTCATCCCCGCCACGCAGATAAGTCGAAGAAGGCAGCCAGCCCTCGCCCATGCTGTACGTCTCCCTCCCCTCCCCTCTCCCTCCGCTAACCCGCATGTCTAGTCAAGGTCTTCGACCTCCTCTACCTCAACGGCCTCTCGCTCCTGCACAAGTCGCTCAAGTTCCGGAAACGCAACCTCCGCTCGTGCCTGCACGAGGTGCCCGGGCGCATCGAGTTCGTGCAGGAGTCGGAGGGGAAGACGGCGAAGGACGTGCGCGCGCGGATGGACCAGATCATGGCGAACCGCGGCGAGGGCCTCGTCATGAAGCACCCGGACTCGGAGTATGTGTTGAATGGGCGGAATCGGGATTGGATCAAGGTGAGTGGGTGCTGGTGTTGATGGGGGACGGTCGGTGCTGATGAGGAGGGTAGGTTAAGCCAGAGTATATGGTGGGTGGTTTCTGCTTTGGGAGCTCTAGGCTCGGTGGAGCTGATGTGTTATAGGACAACATGGGCGAAACGGTTGACGTCCTCGTCGTGGGTGAGTAATCCGCATATGCCTTAAGGCTCTCGCCGATCGTTGCTTGTAGCCGGGAACTACGGTACCGGGAGACGCTCTGGCGGCGTGTCTACCCTCATCTGCGCTGTCCTCGACGATCGGAGACCCTCCGACGATGACGAGCCCAAGTGAGCGATCGCCTGGCAGACATTCCCGACATCCTCTCACACTCTGCCATGCGGCTCTTCAGGTACAGCACGTTCGTCCGGATCGGCACCGGGCTCTCCTACGCAGACTATATCTGGGTCCGCCAGAAGCCATGGAAAGATTGGGATCCCAAGAACCCGCCGAGCTTCCTGCAGGTTGCGAAGAAGGGTACGGAGGACAAGGGCGACATTTACTTGGAGCCCGAGGAGTGAGTGTCGGTCACCTTGTGCATCAGGATTGGTATAGCTCACGTACCGCTGTAGTTCTTTCATCGTCAAAGTGAAAGCAGCGGAGATCACCACTACGGGTGAGCGTGCGGTGTCTATGTTTAAGTTACTCTCAACCTCAGATCTGACGGCGTGGTCTGCGTGCAGATCTGTACCATATGGGCTTGACGATGCGCTTCCCGCGAGCGCTGCAGATTCGGGATGACCTGGATACCAGCGACTGCATGGCGGCTACAAGTACGTTAGTGTTTGGTCTGTGCACGATAGAATCTCAGTATGGTATAGCTGTCTTGGAAAGCCTACGCTCCGAGAGGAAGCGCAAGATGGACCCCTCCGACGAGTACGTGCGTGGTACAGCGCTCTTCCCGCACATGCTAAGACTTTGTCTTGTAGCAAGCCGAAGAAGAAGCAAAAGAAGATCCGGAAACCAGTGAGCATCTGCGTGAAGCCATAGGGCAGATCACAGCGCTCATCGAAAACAGGTCACCGTTATGCCGGAATACCGGGGAATCAGCCTCAAGAATGTCGAGGTCGAGAGCGAGCTCTTCGAAGGCATGAAGTTCAGTGAGTATGCTTACTGAGTCACGCTGCATAGTACTGAGTATGCTCTCAGTGGTGGCATCTGATCCCAAGTCTAGGACTGGCGAGAAGGACAAGAGTGAGCTTATGAAGTTGTGAGTAAGCCTCAGATCTGCCAATCAAATGCTGAGATGTTTGGGGAAGAATCTACGCGAACGGCGGTAGCTGCGCGCAGGTTGCCAGAGATGACTCAAAACTGCTGGTAGTCTATGGGGGCACAAGTACCCGTCAGTACACCTCTGCATTTCTCCCTTTTCATAATGTCTCACCGATGGGCGACCAGCGTACGACATCAAGCTCATCATGGACAAAGGGGTCTGCGACATAATCAGACCGCAGTGGATCATGGATTGCATTGCAAGAGGGGAACTGGTACCGCTCACAAAGAAGTACGCTAGACTTTGTCTCTATTCGTGCCAGACTGGTTCATCATATGCTAGGTACTTCTTCCACGCCACAGCCCGCCGACGCAACGACGAAGACTACGACATGGACGCAGATACAGAAGAGGAAGAGGAGCCTGAACAGCCTACAACGAGCAGCACTACTCCTGCGACTCAGCCCATCGATGAAGACGATGACAAGACCGAGTCTGAGGAAGAGGACCCCGAGTTGGCGGATTGGTTCAACGTCAAGAAGGCGTCGAAGAGATCGGAGGTCCAACGCCCAATATTGGACAGCGACACAGAGGCGGACTCAGATAATGAAGACGTCAATCGCGATGAAGACATCCATTCGGATGAGGATGACGGTGATGATTGGGTCGATGTGAAGCCTACCGATCCGTCTGCGAGCTCTCCAATTGATGCTGCAAGTGTATGCCTGATCTATGCGATTGAATTCGAAGTAATCTTGCTGATGACTCATTCAGTCACAGCTAGAGGATGCACACATATCGCAGGTGAGCACAACGATGATGTGGCATACCTGCGTTTACCGATGCATGTTTGTAGCCCGAACGAGACGATCGGATGGGCGAAGACGATACTGCAATGGAGTATGACCAGGAGCTGATATTCAAGCATCTGTACGTAGCACTTCGAGAGACAATTATCGATACTCATCCCATGCAGGTGTTTCTACCTCGACACTCCTGACAACGCGCGAAAGCACGGAATGGCTGTGAAGGCGAAGAACGAGGGCGACGTTAGCCGGAGGCAAGTTCTTCGTCCTGAGATTTCACCCCTGCTAAGCAGCCTTCGGCAGCTTCGAACGAGTAGCGAATGCTATCAAAGAGAACGGCGGCAGAGTTGCAGATCTCGATGATCCCAAACTCACACATGTAGTCGTCGATAAGCGGGATGCCAGCCGTCGTCTCGAGCTCATACAGCGCACATCTAAGTAAGTCTTCTTATCATCAAATTGGAATGTGCATTGAACTTTTTCGAACAGGCCCAAACGCCGCCACCTTGTGATATCACAGTTCATACAGGCTTGTCTGGATGAAGCCACGCTGCTTGACGAGGAAGGTAAGTAGTCAAACAGTTGGTGCATATTCACCTGTTCTCAATAGTCCTGCAGAATTTGCTCCATAATCGTGGTACCCTTCCGCGTTTTTTTTTGTATACTCTGTACTTTTATGCTCTCATCGCATGCTATCCAAAGTGAATCAAACATTGCTGTAATATTACCGTGCTTGTTAAGGAGTACAACGACGCCTGTACTAGTACATGTATGAGCGAACAGATACATACGTACGTACACGTACTAATACCCATGCAGATGACTAGCAACGCTACACTGGCCCTCAACATAGATATGATAAAGATTCGGCAAGACTAAGCAAACAAGTAGGGAGACATACGGTCTGCGGACAACAAAGCTAGGAGACAGAGTCAGAGTCATACGGTCATGAGGGGTTGTGTATCCAATGGAGGTATTATGGTCGAGTATCGTCCGTAGAGATGCCAGATCCTCGTCCGCGGGAGTAGATAGAGGAGACAGTAGAAATCGAGTCCCTGCAGTCCCAGCTTGCGCTAGCCCCAGAAACGCTCGACACTAGGGCTGGAGGACGCCAGGGGACTATCCCACAGACCCTTCGGTCGGCCGCCCAACCCGAGCAGGCTTGGGCTGATATCCTTCAGGCTCTGCCTGTGGAGCTCTTCATCAAGCAGGGACGAGGGCGCATGCAGGTCGTACGTGCTCCTCGACGGCGTGCGCCACGGCGAGTCGAAGTTCGGGTAGGTGAGCCGCTGCGGTGTGACAGGCGCGAAGGGCGAGAAGCTGAAGTGGCCGTTGTCGGACGTGCCCGAGACCTTGCGCAGCGGCGTGTGCACGTCCGCGCTGCCGGTCTGGCGGGGAGGCGTCATCTGCGAGCTCCCGGGAACAGCGAGCAGTGGGGCCTGGGGGAAATGCATCGCAGACGGTGGTGGCGGGTCTAGGTGGGATTTGTAGTGGACAAGACTTGGGGACGGGCTCATGTGGAGGCCAGCATGGGAGATGGGGGTCAGAGTAGGTGAAAGCCGGACACCACCACTCGTGACGCGCTGTTTGCGAGGCGGCGTGCAAGGCCTGTTCGGAGGAGTCGTGGGCAGGGGTAGCAGCTGCGTGCGCTCTGACGGGGAAGGCGTCATCAAATCTCTGAGTTGAAGCTCCCTCTGCTTCTCCTTCAGAGCACTGTGCTCGAGAGTGGGCGACTCTGGCGCGGGCCGGACCGAGAGAGCCTGGGTCAAAGAACATGAGAAATAGTATTCCAGCCGCGCGTGAGATCCACATACCTCGTACCGCTTCCGCGCATCGCGCTGCTGCTTCGACTTCGACCGGCGCGATGTGTTGAAGTCGGCCGGCCTGAGAAGAGTAGCACTGGGCGCGAGCGCTGCGATCGGGGGTCCTCTGTGCAACCATTCCACATCCAACTCATCCTCTTCGTCGTCGGTATCCATAAACGCGACGGCAGGCGACAGCGCCGGCGAGGAACTGTACCGAGCATCGTCCATCATGCTCGCATGGAAGGAGAGCGGTGGACTTGACGAGGAACTGCAGTTCGGCGTCAAGGCGGGCACGGACGAGGATGATGAGATGGGCTTCGGTGAGCGGTCGCGTCCGCGCACGATCGATGCTTCGGTCGCTACAGAGCCAGCTGCAGAGACGGGACGAGCAGCAGAGCCCCCTGACGACGTCGGCCGTACCGACGCAGGCCTCGACACCGACGTGGCGAAGCCCGCATTGGGAGGGAGCGGAGGAAACACGACTTCCGCTGGAATTGCCTGCACTTCGGCGGGGATAGCATGAGGAGCGTAGGCCTGGTAGTAAGGTTGGTGGTGAGGGTTCGCGTGGAACGGAGGGAAGTACGGCGGGAGCATCGGGGGAGGAGCAGCAGGACGGCTCCCCTCTGCGTCGACGTGTTCGCTCTTGTGTCGCTTAGTATTCCTGTTGTCGTCCGTGGCTGCACCGCGTTTCCTGGGGCCACGCTTGGCCTGCTTCTCCTTCTCCAACTTGACCATGTCCGGGCAGAGGGACTTCTTGAATCCGCCATTGGCAAACGCCGGCACGTCCTCGTCAAAGACCGCCCATAGGCTCTTGCCCTCATTGCGGACGCGAGGGACCTTGCGGAAAACTGCCATAGTGCTCAGGCAGTGACGGACGGAATTCATCCACGTCTGTTCCCCGCGTTTGTAATACGGGTATACTGTCGTGATCCACTCGTAAATGTCCTGGAGCGTGAGGCGGTGCTCAGGCGACGAGAGGATGGCCTGTCCAATGAGACCGGCATACGCGCAATCTGGCTTGTCCTCCGAGTATGGCCCGAGTGGAAGGACGTACGGCAGTTTCACCTCCTTCGCGGGACGAACTGGGGACGATCTCATGGGTCCTGGCGAAGACACCATGTTAATTATACGCGTAGGGCTGGACCCGGGGGATGATGGACGATGCGGGGTGCGAGTATAGATGGTACGCCCCGCTGGAGTCGCTGCGCGACTGCTGCCGGGCGCTCTGGACCGTGGCCTCGGGGTACTAGGGTCGCTGGCCCCGAATGGTGGCTACAAGAAACGCATTAGATTACTGCAGGCAGATTGTAATTGTGTACACACCAAGGCTGTTCGTGACGCGAAAGCGTCGCCTAGAACACGTTCACTGTAGTGTCTGTAGTGGTGAGGTGTTTGTGGTGTACTCTGTTGCGTGTCTCATCAGCCAGCGCGATCTCGACGAGGAGAGACGCGTCAAACACACCTGAGGTGTCATATCAGTGGATGGTGTGGATACATCTTCGTCTTGAGCGCGTCGGTCGTCTCGAGAACATGCATTGGAGGCTGAAAGAATTTGTGAGCGCCTAGCCACGCGAAGGTACGACGAAACATACAGCGCCTTTCTCTGCTCTGCCTACTTTTGCGCTCTAACACAAGCTCCATGGTGCCAAGGGAGCGCGTCGGGAGCGCTTCTTCGAAAGGCTCGGGCTTTACGTGCACACGCGATGGCGACGGCGACGCAGCACGACCAAACGTGTTAACGACCGAGCTCGAGCGTGAGATCGCGCGAGAGGATGATTTCCGAGAGAGGGTGGTCTGCGTGTTGTGTTTGGAAGGTTGGGTAGGGAATGTGCTTGAGGAGGCGCAGTCTGCCCCGCCTGTTAGAAACAGGCGCATTTGCTCGCTGTGTCTGGCGAGGTCTTCACGCGTTAAATTCATGTTTTTGAGGATTTCGTCGACGGGGGAGGGCGGCCTCCCGCCGGCCATGAAGGCGGCCATGGGGGCTGAGCGGGGAAGGGAGCGGCAGAGTAGCGGGGTGGGTGGACGCGGACGACGAGCAGGCGGCTCCTTCGAGGTGTTGTGACGGTGGCCTCAGCGGTCACTGCTTTGTCACTCCGTCACACGTGCGTCACGATGGTCGCCGGCGCTTGTGCGCGTATGTCGAGGACGCTGCCGCGGTGCCCAGAGTCAGACGGCGAAGCAAGTTACAACCACCGCGGACGGCAGCGATGGTGTACCATAATCTCAAAGGCACGCCTCTTTAACTACTCTCCTCGCTGCTGCTGACGGCGTACACAGCCCTGATCAAGGGGATTCGGGCGTGTAAAGTGAGTGCACCTCGCGCGGCCGCTGTGCACAGCATCCCTAATTTCAGTAGACAGTGGCAGATGAGCGTGCACTCATTAAGCAAGAGTCGGCCAACATTCGAGCATCTTTCCGTGAAGAGGACTCGTACGCAAGGCATAACAATGTCGCGAAGCTGCTCTATATCCATATGCTGGGGTCGGAGGCGCACTTCGGCCAGATGGAATGTCTCAAGCTGGTCGCAAGTCCTCGATTCTCCGACAAGCGGTTAGGTTACTTGGGAATTATGCTGCTCTTGGATGAGAGTCAAGAGGTGCTCACTTTGGTCACGAACTCGCTCAAGAAGTGCGTACCTCAGTCCTGCGCACTGCATCGATGTTGACGTTCCCGTCAGTGACATGAACCACGCGAACATGTATGCTGTCGGGCTGGCCCTGTGTACATTCGCAGATATAGCATCAGAGGAGATGTCCCGGGACCTAGCCAATGAGATTGAGAAGCTCTTGGGATCGAGCAACACTTATATCCGAAAGAAAGTGCGTCACCTGGGCGATCCATCACATCGCACTATTCACGCTTGTATCTTCTCAGGCATCTCTATGTGCTCTACGGGTGATTAGGAAAGTGCCTGACCTCTCAGACCACTTCATTGCCAAAGCCAAGAACCTCCTGGCCGATCGCAACCATGGTGTCCTCCTCACCGCCATAACACTGGTCACGGAGATGTGCCAAACCGATGCAGGATGCCTCGAGGAGTTCCGCAATGTGATTATGTCTCATCTCTTCTCGCGTCGTGAATACCAACGGATCACTCGATCGTCAGGCCGTACCAGTACTTGTCCGACACTTGAAATCACTGGTGACAACAGGATATAGTCCGGAGCACGATGTATCTGGCATCACAGATCCCTTCCTGCAAGTGAAGATCCTCCGTCTGTTACGTCTTCTCGGCAAGGGTGATGAGAAGGCCAGTGAAACCATGAACGATATCCTGGCACAGGTAAGCTATCCCGAACGCCCCACGGTCTATGTGAGTAACATCATTGTTTCTACCGTAGGTCGCGACGAACACAGAATCCACGAAAAACGTCGGCAACTCTATTCTGTACGAGACGGTCATGACAGTCCTCGAGATCGAGGCGGACAGCGGCCTTCGAGTCATGGCTATCAACATTCTCGGGAAGTTCCTCAGCAACCGCGACAACAACATCCGGTAAGCTCAATCACCTCTATCAATTCAGTCGCCTCTGGTGTTCATGATTGCCCGTCCTCTCCTAGCTACGTCGCTCTCAACACTCTGAACAAGGTAGTTTCGATCGATACCAACGCAGTACAGCGCCATCGGAACATCATCCTCGACTGTCTTCGCGATGGCGACATCTCCATTCGCAGACGTGCGTTAGAGCTGTCTTACGCGCTGATCAACGAACAGAACGTCCGCATCCTCATCCGCGAGCTGCTCGCGTTCCTGGAAGTTGCCGATGACGAGTTCAAGCTTGGTATGACGACTCAAATCTGTCTTGCCGCGGAACGGTTCGCGCCAAACAAGCGGTGGCATATCGATACTGTCCTCCGGGTCTTGAGGCTGGTAAGTCGTAGCTGCACGTTGCTCCTAGCAGCTTCTCTGATAGAGATCAGGCTGGCAATTCGGTGAGGGAAGAGATCCTTTCGGCTTTCATCCGGCTGGTAGCGCATACTCCGGAGCTGCAAGCATACACCGCATCAAAGCTATACACCTCGCTGCGCTCCGATATCTCGCAGGAGTCACTCACATTGGCGGCTACGTGGATACTGGGCGAGTACAGCGAAGCCGTGCTCGAAGGCGGCCTCGTCGATGAAGATAAGCCCAAGCCCGTGAGTTCAGCCGTCCACCAACGCCGTCAGCACAAATTGATCGAAGCCCATCTCTTCTAGATCACCGACGTAGAGCTGGTCGACCTCCTGCTCTCCATCCTTGACTCGCCCTACGCCAACTACCTGACCCGCCAGTTCGTCCTCACCGCCATCACCAAGATGTCCTCTCGCCCGACAACCTCCTCCGCCCAGCAAGAACGGATAGCGAACGTGCTGCTGAGCTTTACGACGAGTCCAGAGCTGGAGATTCAGCAGCGGGCAGTGGAGTTCGCTAGCTTGTTCACCCTCGACGTTCGTGCGGGCGTTTTGGAGCGTATGCCGCCGCCCGAGCTCAAGGCGACTGTCATGGGTGTCGGTGCGTTTGCTTCACTTGCTAACACGGCGGAACCTAGCTCATCGCGATTCAGTTAGCGAAAACAAACCCGTCGGTTCTCTGCAGCCAAGTAGAGATGTAAGTTGGCCCATCGCTGTCCTTTCGCATTAGTGCTCAGTATGTTCCGATCAGGGCGATCTACTCGGGGACGACATCGCGACCGGCCCCAGTGCGCCAGTCAACGGCCACGCACCCGTACAAAGCAACCAAGACCTCCTCGCCGAGATCTTCGGTAGCTCGTCGACGCCAGCACTCAGCCCTGCAGTGCCCGCACCGTCACAGAAGAGCACCGTGCAAGACATACTCGGCCTGTTCGACTCTCCTGCCGCCTCGACGTCCACCCCCGTCCAGACACATGCGCCGCCCCTGCCTGTGTCGAACGGTGCAAGCTCCGTGTTCAGCTTGCCGCAGACGCAGACCCCGCCTCCACAGCCGGCTGCACAGTCACGGCTGACGGCGTACCCGGCGTACGATAAGAACGAGCTCAAGATTACGCTGACGCCGCAGGTGCTCAAGCCGGGCGTTGTGAACATCCTTGCGAGGTTCCAGGTCATGGGCAGTACGCCAGTGACTGGACTCAACTTCCAAGCGGCTGTCCCGAAGGTAACGATGCGGCTACTTGCCAAGGAGACAAACGTGCTGACGAGTTTCGTCGTGCAGTCGCAACAACTCCAAATGCTACCCATGTCGAATCCAGACGTGCAGCCAGGCGCCACCGAAACACAACAAATGCGGGTGATAGCCCCAGTAGGAGTGAGTGTCCTATACATCTCATCCTCCGGTGTAAAGGCAACTTAAAATATTAAAACGCAGGCCAACGTCCGGCTGCGGCTACGTGTAGCATACTCAGTAGGTGGACGAGCGGTGCAAGATCAGGTAGACTTCAACGGATTCCCTCCCGGACTGACAACCGGGTCATAATAGCCCTCATACGCTTGTTCTGCTTTTCGGATATTTAGTGTTGCTCTGTAATGCAGTGTGAATTTCTCATCGTCGCGACTGCTTCTGCCGAGTGACCAGTAAAGGTTGTACGCTCTTGGACTTTCAGGTGCAACCGCACCTGAACTGCACCAGTGCTAGACCAGGGCTTGCAACAGTGTCAAGCTGAGATCATTCCTGATAGATATGTTCACGGCCCCATACTTAAAAGAATGGTCCAATAGACCACGCCCTCGCCCAGACCGCCTCGGGTCATATCCTATGTTCAAGCCTTCTATTCAGTTCGCAATCATGTACCACCGACAACAACAAGCACACAATGATGCATTCCTAAGAGTGGACACAATACAAATACACATTAGACGCATACGCTACGCAGCATAGTTTAGATAAACATCTGGAGGGGATGGCGGTCGTACACGTTCTGCCCCTCACTGAGCTCGCCCAGGTCAGGATAGAAGGGCACCAGTGCGTCGGCAGCACCGAGATAGAGGGAATTATAAACACGCCAATAAACCTCGCGGACCTTCCGCGCCGGGTGGAATAGCCCCTGCAGGACGTAGCTCAGTAGGACGCCGGGGCCGAGAGTCACCCGCATTGCCTCGACAGCCTCCATGACTGCACCAATGACGTGCGGGGACGTCTCGAAGCAGTTCGGCCACACGAGGTTCATCAGGTGTAGCATGGAGTCCTCGCATCCGAGGCCTGCAACACCGAGCGCAAGGTGCTTAACAATCGTGCTTGCCGTTTGCCGGTGAACGAGGTCGCGGTCGGTGAGGGCATCCTCCAGCATCGTGACGACGGAATCGGCGTAGTACGCGGACTGTGGGCCGACGTACTCGAAGACGAAGGACAACGCCTTCAAACAACCAGTCCGGACGTTCAACTCGGCTGTCCGGTACTCGTTCAGGATCGCGGGAATGCAGGTGAAGGGACCGCAAGTCTCGGCCACGATGGCGATGGCGACCGTACTGCAGACACGGCTCTGACGTTCTTGCACACGCAGATTCGTGAGGAGTACTTGCAGGACATCTTGAGGACCCAAACTCTTCGCAATATAACCGAAGGAGTTGACGGCCGCACGCCGGATGCCCTTCTTGTGTGCCTTGAGGAGGTCAAGCAGCTCGAAACAAATCCGCATCCATTCACGAGCAGGCACGAACTCAGCGCCACGATCGGCTGGAACAAAAGATCAGTAACATGAGCATAAGAACCATAGACTGACTGCGCACCTATACGACCGATCAAGTTAATTGTGGCTTCTTGCACCTTCTCGTGACGGTTACGAAGAATGGGGGTCATCCGAGGGACTGCAAAGATTGAGGTCAGTGCACTGATCAGGCACAACTTAATGTTCAACACTCACGGAGATCCTTGACTGGCGGATTCATCTGCGTCATACCAACAACGTTCGCGATGGCACCCTCTGCAGCGATGATACTACCCAGCGTATCGGGATATTCTTCACCGAGCTGCTCGAAGAGCACCAAGCCAAGCTTGTTGAGGAGCTGGTCCTCGCCGCATTGCTTGATGACGACAGCAAGGCGAGTCGTGAGGTCGGCAGCTTGCTGACGGACCTTCGCGCTCTTGTTGTTGAGACGCCAGAGGATGGTAGAGACGATCTGCGTGAGGTATGGCTTGACACGGATGCCGAGCGCGTTGACGACGGTACCGAAACCATCCAGCATGACCTGGTCCTCGGTCGTCTGCTCTTGGAAGGCGTAGATGATACCGTCGACGAGCCGTACCTCGAGACGCTCGTCGATGTCGGATGCGCCGAGGGACGCGACGACCTTCGTGATCGTCTCCATGACCATCTTGCGGTATGGCTCCGCCTCGTCCTTCAGCTCGTTGACGATCCTGCCGACAATCTCCGCGACGCCGGACTTCTGCGCCAACTCGACGGTCGTCTCCACGACCTGCCTGTAGTTCCTCCTGTCGAGCGCCATCCGCCGCACCCAGAAGGCCTTGAAGAAGTCGGGTAGAATATCTTGCTTGATATACTGCGGCGTGACACCCTCCGTCGCGGCGCACTGCTGGACGACCTTGAGCACGATCTTCTTCATCTCCTCGTCGGACGTTTGGAATTCACGAATGAGGATGATAGTGACTTCCTTGATGTAGTACGACACGTACTCGGGATCCATCAGGGGCAGAATAAAGCCGATGGCCTTCAGGAAGGCAGCGAGCGACTTGCCGCGGTGGAGACGAATACCGACCCAAAGCGGCTTAAGGACGTTGTCGAAGGACTCGATACCGTATGGCGCAGCTGCCTCGGCGAGTGCAGCAAGGCCGAGCGCAGTCATCGTCCGGACCTTCTGCTGCTCATCCTGAAGACCGTGCGCGATACAGTCGACGAGGTTGCGCAGATGAGGGAGGACGGCGCATCCCATCATGATCGCAATCTGCTGGACGATACGGATACCGGTGTGACGCGCCTGCCAGGACTTCTTACTCCTGCAGACGGCCTTGAGGAAGGGTAGAAGGGAGGGAATGCCGAGAGCGGAGGCGACGACGGAGAACGCACGCGCGGTGGTGTTACGCACGTATTCATCGGCGTGGTCGATATCCGGGCGCATGGTAGAGATCATATGCGCGAGACCGGCAGCCTTCGACAGGTTGGAGATAATTTCACGACCTTCGACACGAGCGTAGTAGTCCTCGTCAATGAGCAGAGGCTCTATGACGACGAGGATCTTGTGGACGTATGGCCGGACGAGATCGTCGAGCTTGTATAACACCCGGTCGATGACCTTGACGAGCAAGTGACGCTCCTGGTCCTCGAGCGTACGCTCCATGAGCAGCGGCAGGATCTTGTCGAACAACGGGCCGGCGCCGAACTCGCGCGCCTTGTCGGTGATCTGTCGCAAGGCTGTTTTACGAACGGGAGGCGTACCGTTCTTGATTTTGAGCAGGAGCCGCATGATCTTGCGCTCCTTCATCTCGTCCACGGACAGCTCTGTCTCATCCTCCTCCTTGAGGATCTTGGCGAAATACTGCGCATCCTCGGCCTTGAAGAATGCGAGGCTGCCTACGCCAGGAATCTCGGTTGGTAGTTCGGGCGCAAGACCTGCTGCCGCCGCCGCCGCCGCTGCATCCGAGCTCTCTTGAATTTGGAAGCCGCCGACATCCGAGCTAGGAGTGGCGAACTTGGGTGGGCGGACCAAAGGCGCATAGCCCGGTGGCGGGGTGACAATAGCGTAGCCAGCCGCAGGGAGAATGGCTTCGAGCTCCTCGTCCGTGAGGTAGCGGTTGTGCTTGTCCTCGTGCATGAAGCCGGGCGCGTTCATGATAATGGGTTGCATCGGGGTGTCGGGCGCAGCGGCGGGAGCCAGGTCCCAGCGCGACCTCTTCGGTGTCTCGCCCGCAGCGTTGACGTCCGCCGGCGTAGCGTCCCATCGAGACCTCCGCTTCTTAGGCGCAGCCTCCTCGAGAGCTTCCTTGGACCACTCACCACCCTTTGCCTCTGTCTTGTTCTCCTTCTCCTCAGTCTCGACATCCCAACGCCGCTTGCGCTTCGTGCCCGCGAGCTCTTTCGCAGCTTCTTGGATCTCCGCGCGGGGCGGCGTCTTGTCGAGGTCCATCTTCGCCTGACCATCCTCCCGAGCCTGCTTCTCTTTCTCTTCGATCGCCCTCCGCACCCTTTCCTCCTCCTTCTCTAGCATCTGCATCTTCATCGCATCCTTGTATCCTCCCTCAACATCCCGCCCCTCTTCCGCTGCCCTGAAGGCATCCTCGCTCTCGTGCGCCTGGCGTTTGAAACGACGGTTGTGGTAGTCAGACTGCCGGGAAGCGATCTGACGCTTGGACGCTGTCTCTGCGAAGGGGTCGACATCTTCCTCCTCCGCGAGCTCTTGAAACTCCTGCAGCACGTCTTTTGGCGCCGTGAACGAGTCGATGAGTCTAGGCGTATCGGACATAGTGGAAGCAGTGGTGGTGAGTGAGAGAGGTGTCTCTAAATGAGCGCTTAGTCAAGGAGTAATCCCCTTGCTCGTGCGCCACCAGTTTGGAACTCCGACAAAAGCTGACATGGAAACTCGCCACCCCAGGTGGCTGATATTATGGCCGGGTCGTGTCCTGTTCAACTTCTACATGTTTGACGGCGGGCTCTGTGGACATCCGGGACCTCTTCGACATTTCTTTCCGGCATCAGGGTCTACGAATTTTTCCACCTCTTGGCTACGGTGGAGCTAACGACTGCGTTTGGAGGAGTAGACTGCAATACAAGTTACAGCGCTGCACCGAACGCGACATGTCGACACTATCTACCGTTGGTTGCTGGCTTGCCAGACAAGGCCTGACTTTCTCTACGTAATTCCTGGATGACTGCCTGCAGCTACGCTCAGCTCCTGGACCCATCCTAGGCTCTAGCAAACGTACCGCCAATGCCTCGGGGTTAACGCCGCCTTCAATCATGTTGACACACGTAGCGAGGGTCTCTTTGTCCAGCCCTGTGTTGAGAAGCTGCGATATATCGTACAGAACTATACGCTGTCGGTCAAAACGCGAGACGACCACTGTATCGTCGCGTTTGCTTACTGTCTAGGGTCTGTTGCGCAGCTGTAATTCGATCGGATTCTCTTGAAGACATACTGCAACGGTGTTTGGTAATGTCGTTGCTGAGGGTTCACAAAAGAGTGAGTGGCGGCCGTTTGTGTGTTGTATAAATTGAGGTGCTGACACTGAGTAGCCCTGACCCCGTCGCGGGTCGCTCGTGGTAGAAGACAAGGCGCCGCGACGCGCTGTGGACGCGCTCGTAATCACGCTGAGGCGCTCTTAGTTCACACGGCCCGCAGACTGAACCTCGTCTACTGCCTCGAGGTCAGCACTGAGGAGGTTGGTAAGTATTCCACGTAATACGTCCCCAGCTATTCTTGGCGCGGACGCTCGAAGAACGCCCTCGCGTTGGATATACAGCAAAGTATGGGAACCACAGGCACTATTTGCCTTTGCTTTGTCATGCTCACTTCGGTGAGATGACACCTGGTGTCCAGAGTATATAGAGCACGCAATACTTAACCGCGACAGTGCAGGGTCCCCAACGACTGCAATCCATACGATTTGCTGCTCACATCTCCTACCAGCGACGGCATCCGCAATGGCCAGTAACTTGCCTTGGGGGTCACCATTGAAAGGCTACGAGAACGCCGCACCCCTTCCAACGACGATCAACCCGGACGGGAAGTCTCTGTACAATCCTCCGGGTCCCCAATCGGCGTCATATGGCAATTTCCCGAAGCCGATTGACTCGTCAAACAATGGCTTTGACTTTCACAGTGAGTGCGCCTGTGATGATCCAAGTGAACACTTCTCTCACAATAGAACCCTTAGTATATTACATGCCGAACAGTGAGGAGGAAATGCAGTATGCGAGAGAGCTGCACGAACGTATCCGGCGAGAGTTCCCTGAGGTGAGACGCGTGTATTGGTTCGATCTGGCTGTTATTGACTGATGTCGTTCAGCTTCGTATCTACAAGTTCTGGGACAAGCCAGTCGGTGAGTGTAGGCTCTCGAATCCGCAAGGTTTTGAACTCACGCCGATCCAGGCCCACACCCTGTTCCGATGTTCGAAGTGAACGTCTTCACTCCACATCAGACAGGAGCGTTCTTTTCTTGGCTGGTGGTCAATCGAGGCCCTTGCTCGTATGTGTACTATCATCATGATGTTGATCCTCTGAGGAAGGTGCACTGACGCTGGCGACAGGGTGCTCGTACACCCAAACACCGGTGACCCCTACAAAGATCACATCGAACTAGCGACTTGGATTGGACGACCGTTCCCGCTGCTTGCAGAGATGCTGAAGCGCAGCCCTCGATGATCGTCCTTTTGCATACAGCTATGAGAGCTCCGTCGGTCCTATACTGATTGTGGTGATTCCTCCCTGTTCTTGTAACGTCCCCTGATGCACGCAATATGACGCTATTTTTCACTCTCTTCGCCGCGCCTGCCCGCTACTAGATCCGCCCGCGTCCTGTGCTCGTCCGTGTGCTCTCGTCCGCTCCAATCATCTGGAAGCACTTTGAGCAGGGTCACGTGCACGCGTTCCACTACCCGGCGGGCGCGACGCGTCTATAAAAGGCGGCATTCGTTCTCAACCTGCAACATACTTTTCTCCTGAGCCTCCATCCCGCCCTGCTGCTTCACAGCGCACGCACCTAGCAGACCATCACTGAACATCTGTAGACCTTAGACATGCCTTACTCTGCGCATATTCTCGATGACGCTCTCGGAGCGGTGGGGAACACCGCGCTCATCAGGCTAGACAGGATTGCCAAGCAGGAAGGCATAGAGTGCAATTTGCGTAGGTCTCAGAACTATCAGGATGTAGTGCGTTTGGCTCACTTCGGACGTGCTGATAGTCGGCAAGCTTGAATACACTTCCGTTGGTGGGTCCGTGAAGGACCGCATAGCCAAGCGGATGGTCGAAGCCGCCGAGAAGGAGGGCAAGCTCATCCCCGGGTACAGCGTCGTCATAGAGCCCACTTCGGGCAACACTGGTGAGTATCCGCAATTCCAACATTCCTCGTACCGTATCGTGATGGCAACCTTGCAGGAATTGGCCTTGCGTTGGCCTGCGCCGTTAAGGTGAAACCAACGCTCAGTGACCTGAACATATGCTGAATACTACAGATAAGGGATATTCTGTGATTATCACGATGCCTAACAAGATGTCTCTGGTGCGCATACCTCCTACCTGCCCCTGGCTACCCGTTAACCGTGCCATGGCCCTACACAGGAGAAAGAAGCTGCCCTGCGTGCACTAGGCGCGGAAGTTGTGCGGACGCCCACGGAGGCAGCCTGGGACGCACCCGAGTCCCACATAGGTAGAGCGAACACTCCGAGTTCTGGGCCTCTCGTGGCTGAATTCCTTAACGATCGCAGGAGTTGCGCGAAGACTTCAGCGAGAGATTCCGGGAGGGATCATCCTCGATCAGTATGCGAACGTGCGTACCACCCTTGATGTTCTCGGTAATCTGTACAGCAGTGTTCACTACCGTCCATGTGTAGCCGAACAATCCGCTCGCCCACGAGCTCACGACTGGCCCTGAGATCATCGAGGCAGTCGTTTCTACCCCAGGCACCGCAGAACACCCGTCGTCGGGCAAGGTTGATGCCCTCATCGCAGGCGCAGGCACGGGTGGGACCATCACTGGCCTCTCGCGCGCCATCAAGAAGGTGCACAACAAATCCTGCATCATCGTCGGCGTCGACCCCGTAAGCCCCCATCCCCCATCCCCCACTCACACTCTCACTCTAATGTCGGACCAACAGAGAGGCAGCATACTCGCGCTCCCCGAGACGCTGAACACCTCCGACGCAGGCGCGGCCTACGTCGTGGAGGGCATCGGGTACGACTTCGTGCCGGACGTGCTTGCGCGCGGGGAGGTCGACGCGTGGCTGAAGACGTCCGATGAGGAGGCGTTCGCGGCGGTGCGCAAGCTCATGCGGAGCGAGGGCCTCCTCGTCGGCGGGAGCAGCGGGAGCTCGCTGGGCGGGGCGCTGCGGTGGCTGAAAGAGGACCCAGAGGGGAGGAGGATCGCCCGGACGAGGGGAGCGAATGTCGTCGTGCTGTTGCCTGACGGGTGCGTGGCGCTTTCTGATCTGGATCCTGCGTGCAGATGCTCATCGCGGGGTGTGGGGTGTAGGATCAGGAACTACATGAGCAAGCCGTGGTTCCTCAAGATGGCGCTCGAGGCGGAGCCGACGCCCCTCGCGGAAACCATCGCGAACATCCTGAAGCCCGGCCAGCCGGACGGCGGCGCGGACGTACAGATTGCGAGCGTGAACGGCATCGCGAATGGCATCGAGCGTATGCAGGTGGAGGTGCCGGACCGGCCTAATGCGAAGGACGAGAAGAGGAAGTGAGGTAGAGTGGATGTGAAGTCCAACGAGGCTCTTCTTTCCAGCCTCTCCGATTGTTTCCAGTGTCTAGATATCGTTCTCGCTCGTCTCGGACTGCCGCGTATCGCCCTGTATCAGCTTAGACCTCAGATTATTCACATGTTCCCTGCCCGTGGTTGACTCGACACCAGCGAAGCGTTGGTTGCCGTTCTCGTGTAAATGTTGACCTCCGGGCCCTCTGCAAGGACGCGTCGCAGCATACAACCAAGTGAGAATCGATAAAGAGTCTATTGCATGAGATAGCCAACAAGCTAGCGCTACAAGACCGAGTACAACAACAGATACGTAACGCAGATGCAGCAGTGTCCCAAACCCCAACCCAAACCCGAGAAGAGGCAGTACATACGAGGGAGTACATACGGCCATAGTATTAGTGCATATCTGGCGGTGGCGGTGGCGTAGCGGAAGTCCGAGTGCATAGAGGCGTTAGTCCGAGTCCGAGTCGGAGACTGCGTCGAGCAGCGCGACGATTATAGTGGGGGTGGTATGTGCAGTGTAGGGATATCGAGGATGAAGAGAAGCATGGTCCAAAGGATTGTAGCGAGGCACCAGAGCGGCACCTGGTCGGGTAGATCGTGTCGGCATACGGTGTGCGCGCGGTATGCGCAGACGTGGGGTGCGGTGTGCGTGGGGCCCCGAGGCTCGGTTGAAGCGGACGCTGCGGCGGCGCGCGGTGAGGAGGACGAAGTACTCGGGGAGGATCGACGCGCGCTGCGTCTTGCGCGTCGCCCGGCTGAACTGCTTCCACGCGCGGATGAGCCTGCGCTCGAGGTGCTTCCGCGGGGAGAGGCTGGGGGCGCGCGTCAGCGAGCCGGACTTCTGGTGGCACGAGCAGAGGGAGACGTACCGGGGCTTCTGCACGGGGATCTCGGGGAAGGAGACCGCGGCGGCGAGGTAGCGGGGGGCCATCTTGTGGGTGGGTGGGGGTGTCGGGGCGGGTCGTGGGCGGGTAGCGTGTGGTAGTCGATACAACGGTGAGCTCGTAAGAGGCGGATAGAGATACAGCGGACGGGCACGGGAGTATTAGGCGTGAGGTGAGTAGGATGCAAGGGTCGTCGTCGCAGACGAACGGGCAGTGTACAAGAAGTTGAAAGAAAGCGGGGGTCGAGCTCGGGTCGGGACAGGTCGTGGCGGCACAGCACGGGGGACCGCCGTACGCCCACCCGCGCTCTTATACCCACTCACCTTCGCGGACCCACGGACTGCGTACTCAATAGCCCTGCAGGACGCCGGAGTACAAGCGCGGCGAGGACAATGCGGCTGCACGCGGAGGACAATGGGGCGTGGGCGGGGAGTTACTGCCGGGCTGCGCGCTGCTCGCGGCGTGTGCGGGCGGATGTTTGGATGGAGAGGCAGCCAAAGCGAGTACAACTACAAGCAAGCTGCAGAGGACAATTGCTGGCGGCGATATTGTTCCTGCCGCTTGCGGACGCGTGACTCTACTGGTGCCGAGACTGGATGGGGCGCGCTCGCTCGCGCTCAGACAGTCAGACGCGTTCGTCTTGACCACATCTGTCGCTTCCTTGCTGCGAGGCTCCTGTGAAATGAGGTCTTCGCCTCCCGCGCAATTGTGTTTCTTGCGGGCAGGAGAACGCGTGTAGCCGCGAATCCTTCGGCTTGCTGCGCTTGACTGGTCGTCGCCGGCACCGCAAGCCATATCAGAGTTACAGGTGTGGAGAACGAGGTCGTGCTCACGTACCCGATGATCCGCGTTCCCCTCGCTGGTGCAGGCGTCGCTTCTTCTCGTAGTCTGGTGCTAGGAGAAGGGGAGGCCCCTACACCCAGCACACGGAAAACGGGGGTCCCAACAGTCATCCAGTTCCACAAATGCACCAAGTATACGGTGTACTACAAGTTGATATGTAAGGTGCGTCTACCGTACCTAAGGGGTATCTGCTATCTACTGATGTCATTGTGCAGGGTATGTGCATTCTATAGCATCTAGCAGTGTCGCACAGACGGCGACGTGCCGTCCCGCCGATCGTCCTCAGCCTATAGCTGCATCCTCCCTCCCCTGCCTCTCCGCCAGAAAATGACACCCACTGTTGTCTTGATTGCCGCAGCTCCGACGAGCCCCCAGCCCATTCTGTGCAGCGTCGTCCGCCTGCTCTCGTCGCTGCGCTCATTCCCCGCACCCTCCTCCTTCCCAAAGTGGACGACGAACGCCCCGATGCCGGCCCCGCCCATCAGCGCCGCCAGCCCCGCGAAGCGTTTCCACCGTGCGGTGTGCGAGCTCGGCGAGACCGCGCTCAGCCAGACACTCGTCCACGCGACGCTCGTCGCGAACGGCGTCTTGAGGCTCTGCACGAGGACGGCCTGCAGCGACATGCTCGTCGAGATCATGCCCAGGGTCAGGAGCGGGTGCGGCATGTACGTCGCCGCGGGGTCCATGAGCGCGAGCGCGCCCGCCCCGGCAAGGAGCGCGGACTGCAGGGCGCTCGAGCGCGCAGGCGTGACCCAGCGCGGGAGGCGCGAGCCGACGAAGCCGCCGAAGATGAAGCCCCCCAGGGCAGCCGCGCGCTCGGCGGTGGAGGAGTTGGTGACGTAGGAGACCGCGGTGGGGAAGGAGGTGACGGCGTTGAGCGCGCCGAGCTCGGCGAAGAGGGAGGGGAGGTCCATCCCGAGCTGGACGGTCGTGCCCGTCACGAAGGCGCACCAGACGCCGGACACGGCGAAGGTGAGGCTGTCGACGAGCCCCGTGGACAGGCAGAAGAGGAGGAGGGCGGAGTTGGGCGGTGGCGGCGCGGATGCTGGTGGGGATGGCGGGGGCGGGCTGGGTGCGGGCGTGGGTGCGGACGCGTGCGCAGGCTGGGACGACGATGAAGTGGTGAGTTGTCTGTAGCGCAGGTCGCCGCCCACTGTTCCAGACAGCAGGCGGGCCCGCCAGGCGGGGCGGCTGGCGCAGAGCAGGCGGCGGGTGCAGAGTTGCATTACGGAGGAGGTGCAGACGGGGTGCGGCGATGGGCCTTTGGCTCGATCGCGGCGTTCCGCTCTTTCGGTGCTATCGGCGCCGACCCATCGGTGATTGGCCGGAGGCGCGAGGGTTTCTATATCGGGGTGTGCGCCCGTTGCCTGCTATGGGAGGCGCGCCGTTGGACGGCGCGCGGGCCCGGACGGTCGACGCGGGGCGGCCGCGGGTGTGCGGCCCGATCGCTGGCGTGGACGATCAACGGGTGGACGGGCGACCTCGGTGCCGCCGGCGACGCCCATCAGCGAGCGACCATCGCACCCGCCGAGGCACACAAGCTCAGGGCCAAGTCCGAGGGCGTGTGCCTTCCACCCGAATTCCGCGATGTGCGTGCTGCCTTGACGACCCGCATGGCCTCGGGGTCGTATATAAACCCGCCAGCGCGGAGTCTGCGCTCCTCACAGTTCGACTTTCGCCCGACTGACCGGTTCAGGCCCACGCTCGTTGCACCCCGCATCCTTCAGTCTTTCGCCCGGTTGCGTTCCTCGCCGTCTGTGACGCGTTCTCTTCACTGCAGTTCCATCGCCCCGCATTCTGACAAGCCTACTCGTCGATAAGATGCTCGCTCTGTTGTACTCGTTCGTCTTCCTCACCGCGGGCGCGTTCGCGTTCCCGATACTCCACTGGCCGCGCACAGAGACGGTCAGCAACGTCGTCTGCACCGACTCCTCCGTGTACGTCCCCGTCCACCCGCCCTCCCGCCGCTACTGACGCGCCGTCGACAGGACGCTCGACTCGCACGAGACCAACGTTGCGCTCCTGCAGATCTGCGGCGGCATCGCCGGCTCGATCGAGAAGTGCCAGGGCAGCCCGACGACGACGACGGGCACGTCCGGCGGCTCCGAGTTCACGATCACCCCCGTCAACTCGGGCGACACCATCAATATCTCCAAGGGCCGCTGGGAGCAGGGCATCAAGGCCGTCGCTGCGACGTGCGGCGCGGACAAGCCCTTCACGGCGACCTTCACTGGTGGCGCGACGACGGGGGATGTGAACGTGGTGTTGAAGCAGGCTTAGCGGTCGTGTGCGCGGGAGAGGCGGAGGGGGTGTGTTCATTAATGGCGTGAGATACTGGAGGCTGCTAGCTGTGTAGTAGGGCATTTCAACATGGGTGTTTCTCGGGCTATGTCTACGTGGGTGGGACTTGAGTTACAGGATCGCGATGAACCAGCATCAACATTCGAGAAGCCAGCACGACTATGGCGAGATTACAATACGATACAGGGCAATACAGCGTGAGGAGACAGACTTATACACGAGACATCCAGAGTGGAAAAATACAATAACCAGGAACGAGCCAAGTGCCAGACAGACGAGACTGGTCTGTTACACGAACAACACGGTGTCAAGCTTTAAGCACATTCAGCGAGGGACACGCCGGCACCACGAACATGCCTCACTGCTACCGCCAACTGCAAACCCCATTGTCAGCCGAATTTGCCTTTGACTTCGCCATGAAATACGCACCGCGGGCATCGCAGGCAGGAAGCCGTTCACCAGGCCCGCTAGCGCCGCCTGCTTCTGCGCAAGCTGCTCCTGCAGGTCCGCGATCTGCTGGTCCTTCGCAGTGACGTCGCGCAGGGCGGCGTCTAGGCGCGCCCGAAGGTCCGCCACCTGCGTTTCGAGCGCAGTGATCAGGTCGTCCCTCGCGTCCGGACACGCAGGGATTGGCCCCTCAGGCTGGGACGCGGACCCACTGAGCAGTCGCATCGGCGAGGCGACACCAGCCACTGCGCTCGCAATAGTCCACATGAGACCCTTGCCTTTGTCGATGAAGGACGGGCCCGGGGTCATAGGGACGAGCTCTTGGGCGTCCACGTCCATCTTGTTTTCGTCCTCGCCGTCGTCCACGTCCATCCCGTCTTCATGTTCGTCTGGGTCTTGTGGGTCTGGAGCACGCGCGTGGGCGCGCGTCGAGTCGCGGCGAGATACAGTCGGCGACGGTGACTCCTCGCGAATGGTGTCGATCCTGCGAACCGGGCGGGGGTTGGAGACGGGCGTCTGAGGCGCGAAGCTAACACTAGGGTCAAGTCTGCGAAGTGTGTGTTAGCCGGGGACGCGGACGTTGGGGCGCATGCGCCCGACGTGACGGACGACGTACAGGGGTGCCCGTATGTTTCCTGGTGCAGCCGGCTGTCGGGCGTATTCGCTCTTGTACACAACCGGGCTCGAGTGCGCCCTGCTCAAGGGGGCGGCGGCGCCCGGCGAGCGGGCAGGCGTGGAAGGGGCGGCTGGCACGTTCTCTTGGGTTGGGTTGGAGCTAGTGGACTCTTGCGCCGGAGCGGCGAGCTTGTTCACCCTGAGCTCAGAGCAGACTTTGAGGTGCTTTTCCCTTAACTTGATGGTCTGCCACATGCGCTAGGGGGGAAGCCGAGGTTAATGTCGCATGTAGCGGGACGTGTGTGAGATGTTTACACACGTCACACTTGGTCTTTGGCGGCTTGGGGCCTGGGAAGAGCTCACGCAGTTGTGCACGGTGCGCGTATGTCGTCGGGTAGTCGTCTTTGTCGGTACCGGTGTAACATTTAGTAACAGGGTCGAGTCTTGATGGAAGTGAGTCGTTGGGAATTTCATGATAGCGAAGAGGATGTAGGGCTCACCTTTTCCTGGATGCGTCAGATATAGAAATCATCCCTGTGGCACCATCCCACTGAAGAGTGTCCTCGAGGATCTGCGACAAAGGTGGTGAGTTGATTCATGAGTAGACGGCGAGAGCGGGGGTGACTCAACGAGTGCCGCGAGCTGTGTACGCAGTTCGGTGTTCGCTCTCTTCTCGTTAGGGAACACTTCTCCCGCTTGGCGCGAATAGTCCCTCACTAATACGAAAGTATAATGTATCAATGCTGCGAGAGGACAACAAATACTATAATCACCAAGTTGCTCGATGAAATCAGACGGGCTGGTCGTCCCGTCGAGTTCCACCTTGATGTTCAGGAGGCAGACACCATTCAGGATGCCTAGTATATGATCGACTACATCAGTTACGACCAGAGGACACGAACATATAAGAACTCACGGTCCCGATAGGTGACCCGGTGGCCCCTGGTCCTCCTCTCGTGTCTGATGGGTGCCATGAATCTACTGTGGTTAGGTCTTATGGAATGGTAACAAGGAGTGTCGAGTGCAGGCCTCGCCGGCGAGGCTCACTCGTCTACGAACAACGAGTGGCAGGTCCAGTCACTCACGTCCTGGAGATGGTGGAGGTTCGTGTCCGAGACTCATCACTCACCCGGGCATTGTACTTGTAGCATTCGGCCGCGAGGCTGTGCTGCCACTGGCGACAATGCAAGCGGCCTTGTCCCATTTTGGTCACCGCGTCACCATGTAAAGCTCACAATGAATGCGCGCGCGTGGGATCATTGTCAAAGACTCGAGCAAGACTCGAGGACGGGATTATAGTCACGGTACGGCGACTGCCGAAACACGATCACGTGGCAGCTACCTCAGAGTGATGACTCACGGTCGCGAACATCACTCAAGTCTCAAGCTGCATTAATCTTCACAAGCTTCCCATTCCGGCTCTGGATGCGCCATACAAAGTCCATGGTACCCAGAGGTCATATACGAGTACATGCGCATGTTTTTCTTGTCATGACCATCGAGGAGGCATCGGTGATGCTAACCAACGTTGTTCCAACTTCCAAGCTCGTCCCTAGGCGCCTTCCGTTCGCCAAGCCGTGTTGCAAGGCACCGACGCAATGAATCGGTTTTCTTCCGCCTCGACGGCCCAGAACGTTGAATCTATGTACTAGGAGACGATGACCGGCTTGACGGATATGACGGTCACGGGTGTAGTGACGCGCGGCGAGGGAGCACACCAGCAGCCAGCCTCGTTATTTCCGAGTGAGCTTGGGATGTCAATTGCGAGAGAGTGAGAGAAGGGAATGAGCGAGGGTGTGGGGCGCAGCCCGCAGGGCTGCCCGACTCGAAGAGTGTGCCTGGACCTGAGGGGCAACGGGTGAGCCGCGATACCCAATATGAAGACGTCGAGTGCGGCGGCGCGTTGCGGCGAAGCCGTTACACCCAGTCCAGAAGCCGACGACCCTCGTCGTACGTGCTGTGCTCAGTGTGGCGCTCAAACTCACTAACACTGTGCCCCTCTCCGTATTTGAGGGGCCACTTGTGCCGGCTTTTCCAAGTTGCCCCTTGTCGGGCTGCCGGGCGTGCAGCGTGCCCCCAACCTTGGAACCGGGACCTGTCCTCGACGTGTGGGCGACAGTACTGTCGTCCACGGTCCGGGCCCCCTGGGATCTCGGTACTGGGTGATCGCCTCCGACACCCCTGTGCATTGCCACTGTGCTGCCCAGAGCGTCTGTTGGTGGGGACGACCACACTTAGTACTTGTGAGATGGGTGGACTGCACCCCGCGGCCCAGGGGTTCCGGTTCGCAGAGACCCGCCAGATGGGTGCCGCAACTGAGCGAACATCGCTCAGAGCATCGGCCTACCAATGCTCTCCCTGAGATAGTGCTCGCGCCCGTCATCGGCGGCGGTGAGCGAGCTCCAGCAGTCGGGTGGTAGGTATAACATTGCACTCACGAAGAACAACTTGACGCAGTGGCTCAGCGTTGAGCGTGCGCTGAGCGCCGGAATGTGTTTGCGATGTTTGCGATGTTTGCGTCGTGCTGCATCTAGCGTGTATGCGTGTATGCGTGTATGCGTGCTGCGTCCAGCCTGACTGTGTGTGATGCGTGACACGAGCTAGTACGCTCGTGCCGACACGAGCCAGTGTAAGTGTGTTGCGTGTTGCATGCTGCGTCCAGCCTGGCTGCGTGTGCAGTGTATGACACGAGCTAGTTAGGCTCATGCCGACACGAGCCAGTGTAAGCAGGTTGCGTGCTGCGTCCAGCCTGGCTGCGTGTACAGTGTATGACATGAGCTAGTAGGCTCATGCCGACACGAGCCAGTGTAAGCGTGTTGCGTGTTGCGTGCTGCGTCCAGCCTGGCTGCGTGTGCAGTGTATGACATGAGCTAGTTAGGCTCGTGCCGACACGAGCCAGTGTAAGCACCGTGCTGCGTCCAGCGTGAGCGTAGTACTCGGTAGGGCGGTGCCGCCAGCAGCGACCGGTACGCAAAATTGGGCATAGATGGAGTCTGACTAGTCTGACGGCCCAAACGGACCACCGCTGGTTGCTCGGCTGGGCGCTCCCGTCGAACGAGCTTCAGGCTCACGAAACAGAAACCGTACAGCTCACTGAGAGATGCGCAGTGCATGGTACACAGCCTGCTCTGATGTCTCGGACTGTGAGTTACAGCAGATGTATTCTGCTGTGTTGGCTGTCCTCGAGCTCCACGCGTTCGTGCGCAGTACAATCGTCTGGTCGTTGCTCACATGATCTCAGGCTTCGCAGCCGTTGGGATTGATGAGCGAAGGTTGTACCATAGTCTCTTGTAAGCTACAAGTGTCGTAGCCTAGTGGAAGAAAACGAGAGCTATTCGAAGCGCGTAGCGGCCGCGGGGCCTTCGAGAGTGGTCGTCCGAGTGGGCGCGCAGAGGAGAGCGATGCGCGCCTAAATCTCCTCCTGCGTGCGTAGACTCACTTCTACGCGACGCTCGTGCCTCGCTTCGCTTAGAGTCACAATGAGGCGAAACGCGTCATGTGTCCAGAGACGCCTGAGAGGTACGTCGTCCGTATTGGCCGGAATATCTCATGCCAAGGATCGTGTTGCTCCCCGAACGCCGTTCAACGCGCAAAAGGGCGGGCCTGGGTTGCGAGTGGGCTGTTACCCGCCAGTTCTCTGCCACCATTACACTCATCCACCTCATAATCTCGCCGTTCGCTCATCACTCCATTCGTTCACTAGTCCCCGATCCCTTCGCCGACGTCTAAGCTCATTCGCGACCTCACGTTTCGTGATCAAAAATGGTCTTCTCAAAGGCGTTCGGGGCCTTCGCGTACTTGCTGGTGGCCCCTTTGGTGCTGGGCGCGCACCTTCATCGTATGGATGTGTACCGTCGCCACGACGCTGTGGTCACCAAACAAGCGAATTCCACTTCGAGTCTGGAGAAGCGGCAATCCGAATCGTACAGCAGTGCAAGGTTCACTTACTACATAGATGGGCTGTGAGTACAGTTTGTGCCGCAGACTTGCTCATTCTCAGAAGCGCGTCCGTGATACTAGGGGTTCATGTGGACAGACCAACGTTGCAAGCGACTTTGTAAGCGAATAGCTCCACAGAATGGTCAACGGACTGAGCAGCTGTGCATTCAGATCGTTGCTCTAGATGCGGACGTGAGTTTATGCCTTTATGCCTTTTCCATCCTCGCTTGACGATCATTGTACCAGCTGTACGACAGAGGCTCGCATTGCTTCCAGACCATCACCATCTCGTACGGGGGTAAAACCGCACAGGCGACCATCATGGACAGGGTGCGTGCATCCACCGAGTCCCTCGCATATACCTGTATGTCAATGACCATCGCAGTGCCCCGGGTGTCCGACTGGCGGTCTAGACCTATCCGAGGGTCTCTTCAGCTACTTCACTAACGGTGACCTTGGTTCGCCACCGCTCTATGGTGAATGGTGGTACGGCACCGACAGCGGCTCGTCCACCTCCACCACCACCACCTCGTCTGTGTGGGTAGCACCCTCTACGACGTCCACGAGCACATCAACCTCGTCGGCGTCACCGACGTCGACTTCGACCTGGTCTAGCTCAAGCAGTTCGGTTGCGACAAGCAGCAGCGTCACCTCATCCAGCAGTAGTACAGCGACCCAGACCAGCAGTGCGGCGGCCAGTGCGTCGTCTCCGGCAAACGTGTTGGGGCTGTTCAACCAGGCTCTCGTGGGCATGGCCGGGCTCGCTGTAGAAGCGCATGTACAGTGAGCATCGCTGCCACTGCTGTTTCTTTCTGCAGTGTTGCGGTAGCGTTCACGGCATGTTGCCATGTATCCTGTGCGATGCTCAATTATGCTATGCACCTCCTCGATGATTGCTGCAGACCTGCGGCCGCACGAAGAAACATGGATAGTGACTAGTAGATCAATCTGACCGACTCTTTACACCTCCACGACATAAGGTGTTTGGACTGTATAACGGTTCAGGCACTCTCCTGCGGATGCGCAACAAGCTTCACACAGCTGACTCCGCTCTTCAGCCTCTCGAGAGCAGGAATGATGCCCTCCAGACCATTGGGTACTACTTCAACGTGGTTCGGCTGCACAAACTTCGAGTCAAGATCCTCAGTTATACGTGTCACGGTCGTCAGCCATACCTTGAAGTCCCTGTTCTCTAGCAACTCCGTCAAGTTCGCGAAAAGACTGTTGCCCAGCTTGCGATTCTGCGGGATGTTCGGGTCCGCAAACATGAAGAAAGACTTCTTGTCTTCGACCTTCTTCTCCGGCTTGACGGCGTCGGGGTGGACGGCGGCCATCGTGCCGCCGGAGGCAAGCAGGTCATACCCGAGGTTCTGTGTCTCCAGGGCCCCAGCGGCGTCGAATATGGTCGTGAAATACTCCGGCGTGATATTCCTGATCTCTGCGTGGAGCTCCTCGGGGGAAAGGTTTCGGTCGAGGACGTGAGTTGCGCCCAGATGCCTGAGCCAGTCAGCGTTTCTGAGAGACGCAGTCGTGATGATCGGGTCGAAGCCGGAAAGCTTGAGCAACTGTATAGCTTTCGAGCAGGCCGTCAGCCGCTCTTCGGTTGGAGCAGGAACGGGTCCGAGTCTTACCTGCTTGGCCGACGGAGCCAGCACCCCCAAAGACAACCAGTTGAATGAAGTTCCGTGTAAGATGAGGAATCACATACACTCTTTCGCCCTTCTTGAAGCGCGTAGCACCCTCCCCCAGCTCTTCGACCGTGCCCGCGAGATCGAACCCGAGGATCGCAGGGTAGGTCTCAACGAGAACGCCTAGATCTTGGATCACCCAGTCGCCTGGACTTAGCCCGACAGACTCAACTCTAATGAGGATCTCTCCAGGACCAGGCTTGTATATCGGGGCAGTCCCTAGGGCGAAGGCGCCCTGCTTCTCAGCTAGATATAGAGCTTTCTGTTCCGGCATGGTACAGCTGGCAGGAGAGTCTGTGGGTCGGATGACTGGTGAGGTTGTTGATCCATTGCGAGGAGCGCACCCATATATGCATTTCGCCACCTCGATCTTGACGTGGGACAGATTCAAGTCTACCCACCACTGCGTTGCCGTCGCCGATGCAGGGACCCGGAATGACAACTCGAACGTCAAGATGATACGAATTCCGCGAGGCCACGTACGATGTCTTGAGCCGTTCTATGGGAGGCATTGACGCGGCGAGTCGGCACGCAGGTGAGGGCGGGGACAGTCCGCCCGATGACATTTTTGGAAGCGCAGGGTTGGCGCAGGGCTGTCAGTCTGCACGATAACTTACGCCGCAAACGCGCATATAACCAATACTTACGAACGTTGACGAGACTCATGAAAGCGAGAACACGCTGAAATCCGGGCTGACCCACAGGTGCCAGTGGGTGTTCGATGTCGAACGCGTAATATGTGTTGGCAATAGCGTCCAGAGCGTCCAGGAAGAGTCGAACGGAGCTCAGTCTCGTCCACACCTGAACCGGTGGCTGATCCGTTGTATATGTCGTGCAGTATTCAGCATGTAGCGTTCTTGATTGTGGGACCTGAGGCCGGGGTCATGCTACGTTCAGTGTCATTCATCATGTCGAGAGACTGCCAGAGCAGTCACCTCGAGAGTCAGAGATTTACTCACACGTCACGAAGTGAAGACATACTGTACCACCTTCTGGCTAACGTTGAGGTGTGCGTAAAGAGGTTCGACCGGGTTTCTTGCTCATGTAAGAACAGTCATGGTGTTTCCATACCTCGAGTAGGATGGACTTGTGTCCGGGACAGTCGTGGGTGAACGCAACTCCATCGGATAGCATTAAATAGGTTGCTCATACATATCAATAATCACAATCATTGTCCGGTCCTCTCCTTCTCAAACTGTCAGCTATTGTCAGCATACAGAATGGATGTATGATATACACTCGGAGGCGTACCTCCTCGTCCATCTGCGCGTGCAAATTCATTAGGAGCCGTATTCTTCGCTGCTTGTTTTCAAGCTGCATTTGTAGGTCTTCTACGTGCGCGTCCTTCTGCGTCACAGTGCGCCGAGCGGCCTCCAGGTCGGCCTGAAGCTGAACGACTTCCGCCTTCAGCTCAGCGATCTCCAGCTCTCGGGGATCAGGACCGATGGAGAATGGAGAGACAGCCCGTGAGCAGTATGATGGGACCGCCATGACGCTTGCACTCTGCATGAGTGGCTCTGCAGATACGCCGACAGTAGCGTGCGTCTCAGCCGCATCAGCTGAGGATTCCCGAGTTGGTTGCAAGGGTAGCTCGTAAGACTTCTTCGGAGTTGACGAGGGTCCGACAGATCTGCCTCGTCCAGGGGTGAAGAGGTCACCGACGAAGTTCCCGAGTGTGTCCGTGAGGCGCATGAACACTCCCGTACTCGGCTTCGACGAGGATACCGCAGCACCCTCGTCGAGCGGTGCGAGGACGTCGATGTCTATGTCCGACAACTCGTCGTACTTCTCGTCCTCGGTCTCGGATGCGTTGTCGAGGACCATGCTATCGTCCGCGCCCTCCAGGCCATCCAATTGATCAATGATCATCGAGTTGTCGGCGATGCTGTCGTCCATCGGGTCGTCGGCATCCGCATAGGTCGGGACATGACGCGCAAGGGGCGACGGCGTTGGTGGAACCGCACGCCTCTTTATGATGAACCTTGGATTCGACACCGGAGTCAGCGGCGCCTTCATCAGAGGTGCCGGCGGTAATCTACCACACACCTAGAGTCAATTTATCTGACAAGAGTATACAGATGATACCAGTACGCACGACGTTGACGGTAGGAGTGGCGACTCCTCTGCATCTGCGTCTGATCTCGGAGTTGGGTAGGCGTCAGCAGCCTGTGCGGCCGGCGTGGAAGGTCCAGGGGTGGCCGGGGCTACAGCGCGTTCGCTCTGCTGTTTTGTCGCGAGCCGGCGCTCGAGGTCACCAATGATGTTCTGCAGCCTCTCCTTCTCGCCTTGCATCTCCTCTAGCTGGCGTCCAAGTACCCATATTCTTCCGCGGGACCTGATGTACTCCCACATATACTGCAGAACGCGTGAGGCAGGAGCATGTGAGAGTGAACTGGAGTCAGACGTACGTTGAGCCTCGTCTTCCGCTTGGTAGGCGGGAAGATCTTGCGCCAGTGCTGCGCCTCCGCTTGATATGCTGCGCGGGGTGAGAGTTCCTCGTCGCACGATGGCGGATTGCGAGCAATGCTGAAGGGGAGATGGCATACTGAGTGTCCTACTCTTCACCCGTGAGACGATGACTACACGTACGTGTCTGCGACGTTCTCGGGGATTTTACACTCCCCTTTGTCTTCATCCCAGGTGAGCAGGCCATCAGCGAGCTGTCCCAGAGGAGTTGGTGAGCACGAGCCACCATGACAGGGCCTGGGCACCTAACCAACGTATCGAGCTCGGCCTTTAGGTTGTCGTCAGCTCGCTTTCCTCCCAGTTCCTCTCCGGCCCTCGCAGAGTGGGCTCTCGCTGCAGGGTAACTCAATACATACAGGAACCCCGTTCGCCGTCGAAGCCACACTGACCATGTATGTGGAATTTCGCCCGTTCAAATGGTTTTGACTTCGAGTGTATCACAGCATAGAGGGCACCTGGCGGTATGTGTTCATCTCATGAAAGAAGGGCAGAGATGAAGACTAATACGCACGGTCGCGGTTGCTGACCTTCGCGATCCTCTTCAAACGGCCCATATCGATTCAGTCAATGCAGTGAGGATGTAGTGGTCGCTGGGTTGCTGAGCCTCAACGGGCACAACAGAACGATATTCTGGTAGAGAAGTAGAAGAGATTGAGCAATGTTGTGGGGTAGTCGCAGTGGGAGGCACGGTAGAATGCGCACACACCTGAACTCGAGGCATCCTTATATGGGCGCCTACTATAGGCCACGCCCAACAAAGGCGGCAGCATCGACTCGACGCGAGAGAAAGGAAGCTCGAAAAGAGACGCACCGTAGCGGGACCTACAACACGTGGCCCGCGCGATACAGAAAGAGGCCGCACTGACTCCCGTGCGACAAAGGAAAAGGCGGGAGCGTCCTTACTCGGGCGAGCGCCCTACGACGCCCAAGGCGGACAATAACGCGAGCTGACCGAAGCAAAAGCAATGTCCGTCTAATAATAAGCCAACGTACGTACACAAAGGGTTCCCTGGGAGTGGACGAAAGACGGAAACGTATACCTAGCCGCGCCCTCTGCGCCTCAGACGATGAAGTGGTCCGCCCAATGGCGCACGACGCCCTCGCCGAGCTTGTGGCTGGGGAACCGCTTCGGGTCGCGGCAGATGATCGGGCCATGGGCGTTCGCGACGGGGTGGATGAACGCGAGCTCCTTCTGGAGGTGCGGCAACGTGTTCAGCATGCGCACGAGCCGCAGCTGCAGGTCCGTCATGAGCACCGTCGGCGGGCGCCCGCTCGGGTGCGACACCGTCACGGCGTCGACGCGCCCCGCCTTCGCGGAGCTCTCGCCGTTCTCGAGAGCGGAACTCTCGCCGTCGGGTGTGGCGAGGACAGCCCTTGGTGGAGAGGTGGCGGCTTTGTATGGGGCATCCTCGGCTGGGGGGGTCCCCGGGGAAGCAGGCCCGTCGAGCATATCTGCCATGGTGTCCTCCATGTTCCGCTCCAATCGTGCGATGATGTGCATCAGGCGATCGACGGAAGTCTCTTCCTTCTCGAGCAATCGGAGCCGCTTGCGAGATGCACGCATGGAAAGCGTGAGGCGCGTGAGGACGAGCGTGAGGAAAAGAGGCATGAGGACGGGTAGCGTGACGAAGATGAGCTGTCGCGAGTATTAGGTACCGAAGGTCAGCTTAATCGATTGCGAACTCACGATGTTGTATGGAAACCTGAACTGCAGAGCGGGCGGCAACGGTAGTCGGACGTTCGTGAACCATTCTCGTGTTAAGGGTTTCGGGACGATGGGTGGTGGGGGTGGCGTATCGGGGAGATGATATGACTTGATTAAAGGTGCGTATTGTTCGTCTAGCTCTCTGCAGGATCCTGATGTGAGTCTCCTGCGAGGAAGATCGAGCGTGAAGTACCTACATTTCTATTCCGTTAGTCATGTGTTCGTAGAACACATCGTCGGCTTCTATGGCGGCGGTGGGGTATGGTACAGTCTGATCGTGCACAGCGTTGGCGTATATGCGCAAATGTTGGAATTTGCATAGCGCTTGGTAAAAGACGCGATCCGGATCCGCCATGACTTCTAGGAGAGGTCGACCTCGGGGTGACCATTTATCGACCTGGTCTCATCAGCTTATGACGATCGGACAGAGCCTCGACCTCTCCACTTACAGCCCAGAATTGCTCGCCGGTTCGGGAGAGCAGCGTTGGCCCCAGGAAAGAAGAGACGGAGGACAGGAAGGTGCGATATCTTGGGAGTCCTATATGTGGGGTCGCAATGGTGTTGAAGTTGATCGCGATGACAGTCTCAAAAAAGCCTCGCTGGTGAAGAACGCTAGAGGTAGCGTGAGCGTATGGCTCGTGTGTCTTGGACAAGGTACTCACCCGACAGCATAGCGGGAGATTAACCCTCCGAGACTATAACCTGTTATGGAAAAACGAGTGACTCTCTTCCCAGTATCTTCCAACCGCTTGACGGCTGCAAGGATCTGGGTGGTAGGATGAGCTCATGCGGTGAGGGGTCGACTCATATGAATGTGTGAAAGCCGCCATGATGGCCAACCGAAGCGCACAACAAGACATACCTCCTCAGCCACACGTTCTCCTCCCCAGTCGACACCATCGTATGTATGCTCGTCCTGGTTTGTCTCTGCAAGCAACACTTCGAGTTGCTCGCCGCCTGGACCCCTCGGGCAATCCGGCTGGCTGTAGCGTTCCTTGATCTCTTTGCGGAGGCTGTTCAGATGACTGGGGTTACCCCACATGCCATGAACGAGTACGAGGAGATGGACCGTCTCAGACGACATTGTGAATAATTAGGGGTCTGTGGCTAGGGAGGGGAAACGGGAGAGTGTGTGGGGAGTCGGCATCGCATTGAGGATGGTTTTACGCAGGCGCGGCTTGGGCGCGGCAGTCCGGAGACGGCAGCGCCAGATCGTAGCCACTGACGCGTCCCACCGGGGCGCAGCGCGGCACTCAGTTCAGATCCGAATATTTGGGACACCCCGGTCGACTGGCTGTCGTCGGAACTGTGAATTGGTTGAAGGACGAAACATGATATGCATACATACATCGCGATTGAACGTCAGTCACTGCAACAGATGTGACGCCGTGTCTGCGAACAATCCACTGACGATCGCGCTCACGAGTGGCGAGCGCTAGTTTGTCTTGCACTAGGCACCATCCAAACGTCCTTTCTCCTTTGCCCCAGGGCCCATCCATCTGCTGTGTGCTACTTTTCAAATGATGTCACGACTTTGGGAGCCTTGGAGCCTCGGTTGGGTAGTGGACAAGGAAGCTGCCACTGGACGCTGTGCTCGTTTTCGCCATCTACGTCAGCTCCAAGCGCAGGTCGTACGTGCCTAGGTGGACTCCCGCTCAGAAATGTTGTCCATCGAGTACGCAGACCAGTTGGACGCGCTAATGCCGGGCAAAGGGCCGGCTCAGTGGTATGTAACCAATGTGCGCAACGTCAGTCAGTGCCAGCAACAGATGTGACGCGGTTACGGTTGCCCGCTATACTACTAGTCCTAGGTTGAGCGCTTCGCGCCCCACGCCTCAGCTGACAGGACAAAGATATCCTGAGGCACGAAGGTTGAAGAAATTGTCTACGTCTGCCTGGGGAGACTAGCTGACAGCCACATCGCGTCTCGCGGCCATCGCTTTCGCTGTAAGTACCCCAATTATACGCTCAGCTCCCATCCTACGGCCTCGATGACCATATATTCGGAATCTACGCGTCAATACGATTTCAAAGAAGCTGTCAACAGATTGGTATCACTTCCCGTTCGCGCGCAAGACATTACAGTCAAGTCCGGACGAGCTGACAGCAACCACCTCGAGTCGCCGGAGGCACGGAACCGTATCCCCGAACTCTTGTCCTTCTCCGAGACATCGACCGTCAGTCGCCTGTCTTCCAACATCATCGTATATAACCTCGTCATTGCTCTACGGTATACGCACTCCTCATCATGACCTGGGTACTTTGGCTGGCCTCTATACGACGAAGACGCGCTCGAGATCGCGAAGAGTCTCATCAAGAACCCGAAAACAGATGAACAGCTCATCCAAGCTGCCAAGACGTGGGTGGGTGAACAAGTCGGCGTGATCAACGCAATGTGCTGCTGGGTGGACGAGATGCCCGAGCTCGTTTATGCCGCGTACGTCGAGTTCGGACAAGGGTTACTCTCCGGCGAATGTCCCCCGCACGGACATGATTACGAACAAGCAGTTCAACCACCTCAGGCGCGCCATGCCGTTTAAGAACTTCGGGTGGTACCAACATAGTGATCCATCTTGCAAGCTTAACAGTACACTTATCTATGCGATGCCGTTTTGGTGCGATTCATCTGTATCATAGGGGATCGTGTATGCGATGATAGTGGCGAGAATGACGGTGACGAGGATAACAACACCGGTAGTGGCGACAGCAGCGACGAGGACAGCGACGGCGACAGCGACGAGAGCAGCAACGAAGGTTCTGACTCTGAAGAGCGGATGGACACGGCCAAGGACCTGCAGGAGATGATAGCGACAACGAGACCGTAACCGACGGTGTTGTCTCCGTCGTGGACTCTGCAATTTCACAGGCCGCCGAGTCACTGCCCCACGACTTCAGTAAGTCTTTGGGCCGTAGTACGTTGTCTTTGGTACTGACGCTTCTCCTGCTGTAGATGAAGGTTGTCGGATCGACGACCCACATGCGTGATGCAGGACAACACACGATGCGTCCTAGCCTCTTAGTTCTGACCCTGTCGCGCCGTCCAAGTTTTCTAGCATGTCACCAGCATCTCGTCACTCTTGTATATCTATATTCCCGTGCACGCCAACAATGTCTGATACGCTACTACACATGTATATTGGTTCTGTTACAATCGTTCCCTGACATCTCGATCAGCTGAAGTGCATCCGTTGGGGCAGGTCCAGAGGTGGGTACCCTGTTTACTCTTCGGGCTCGAATACTCGAGAACGAAGTATAAAGTGTGGCCGCTCGCGACGCGCAGTTTGCAGAGCGCGATACAAACGGTTAACACGTCTACTAAACAAGCATGTTGATTGGTTGAAGGTGTCGTGTCGCGATCACGTGCCTCGCGAGCCACAGTTCTGGCATGGCCTGTACGCGCCTGGCGCCAACTGCAAGTCAACTCGCACCATTTCTCTCCGCATCCACACCTCTCAACATGACTTGGGTTCTTGGCTGGCCTCTACTCGACGAGGACGCGATAGAAATTGCCAAGAAGCACAATCTCATCAAGAACGCGAAAGCAGATGAGCACAGGCTCGCTCAGGCTGCCAAGATATGGGTGGGCGACCAAGTCGGCATCATCAACGCAATGGCCTGCTGGGTGGACGACATGCCCGAGCTCGTTTTTGCGGCGTACGTCGAGTTCGGGGATAGGAGTGACCCTCCGGCGAACGTCCCCCGCGCGAACATGATCTCGGACAAGCAGTTCAACCGTCTCAAGCGTGCCATGCCGCTCAAAAACTTTGGGTGGTACCAGCATAATGACCCGTACTCCAAGCTTTACAGTATGTTTGCTATATGCTTTTTAAGGCCTTGGCGTGGCTCATCTAGATATCAGGGACTGAACACAATAGTGACGAGGATGAGGATGGCAGCGATGGCGAGAGCAGCGACGAGGACAGCGACGGCGACAGTGACGAGAGCAGCAAGAAAGGTTCTGACGGTGAAGAACGGATGGATATGGCCAAGGACTCTGCAGGAGATGATAGCGACAACGAGACTGTCACCGACGGTGTTGTTTCCCCTGTGGATTCTGCGATTCTTGAGGGCGCTCAATCGCTGCCCCGCGAGTTCAGTAAGTCTTTGAACCGTCATACCTTGTCTTTCAGTACTGACGCTACTCTTTCCATAGATGAGGGCTGCCGGATCGACGAATCTTTCGCATGAGGCAGGAAAACTTGCCACGATGCATCGTGTCCGCTTAGTAGTCCTTACCCTGTCGCGCTGTCCAAGTTCTCTAGCACGTCACTAGCATCTCGTTCCCATTGTATCACCATATTCCCGTCTATGCCGACATTGTATTATACGTCACTGCGCATGTATGTATAATGCTTCTGAAACAATCATTCCCTGACATCTCGACCAGTACACCGCCCGGGTGAGAGCCAAAACGGGTTCCGTGGGGGCAGGCGAAGAGGTAGGTACCTTGTTTGCTCGTCGAGCTTTGATATTTGCATCTCGAACACGAAAGTGTGGCCGCAGCGCGCGATAGAAGCGCGTTAACACGTCCATTCATTTGAACAATGTCGATTGGTTGAGGAATCATGTCGCGATCACGTGAGTATCGAGCCACAGTCCTGCAAGTGCAACACCGCGCGGCGCCCGCCAATCTTCAGTGAGCCCGTACAACTCCACCACGCATTCACACTCCTGCTCCTGCCCTTTCGAGAGATTCAAATCACTCTTCACTCGCGCTTTTAACATGACTTGGGTACTTGGCTGGCCCCTCTACCACCGCGACGCGATCAAGATCGCCAAGAAGCACAATCTTGTCAAGGACCCCAATGCGGATGACTACTATGCTCTCATCCAAGCAGCCCGGCTGTGGGTCGCAGACCAAGTCGGAATCATCCCCGTACTTGGATGCTGGGTCAACGATATGCCGGAGATCGTCTATGCCGCATATGTCGACTACGGCAGCAAACCTCGTCCCCCTCGTAAGCTCGTCCGTGAGGAGATGATGAGCAGGAAGCAGCATCGCCTCCTCAAGCGTGCGATGCCGCTGAAGGATTTCGGCTGGTACCAGCATAACGATCCATCATGCGTGCTCTACAGTGAGTCCAAAAAGCTGTGCATAATTGTGGCGTCACTAACATAGGTGGTACAGAGGACACGGTTTACGTGGACATCGAAGATGAAGACGAGGGCCGTGAAGACGACCACGATACGGATAGTGATACAGCCACAATGAGCGACCTCACAAGTCATGCCACGAATGGCTCAGACGACGGCGCCGAGAGCGATACTGAGACGGTGACCGATGGTGCGATCTCGAGGGCGGACGTCTCTCCAAACGATTCCAATGTTTCTGGGTCGGTAGAGTCATTGTCAACGGTGTTCGGTGCGTAGTCAACGCATATTTCTATGTCGTCGCGCTTACTGGTGTCTTTTGTGTAGATGCAAACTGCACCATCGTTGACTCGGAAGCGCGGCCCTAATCCAAACCGATTGATGCCATGTCATGTCTTCATGCCCACTTATCGCCGCGCTGGATTTGGAGACTGTACCATGTATCGATTATTCGTTTCTCTTGTACCATTACGCCCTGATTGACGTCAGCATTCCTTTATGTACAATCTGTTCCATGTTGGTATTATCTACTGTTTCGACCACACTGATGTTCCCCACACTTCATCGAAGTATCACCGTGTAACTGTATAGAGCCTGTACGCGGTGTCCGCGAACAATATTAATCCACTGATGATCGCGCTCACGAGTGGCGAGCGTAGTCTCCCCAGGCAGACGTAGACAATTCCTTCAACCTTCGTGCCTCAGGATATCCTTGTCTGACGGCGAGCGCTAGTTTGTCTTGCCTTCTCAGGCTCCTGTACACCCACCAGGCATCCATCCAAACGTCCTTTCTCCTTCGCCCCGGGGCCCACCCATCTGCCGTGTGTTACTTCTCAATGATGATGAGTCAAGACTGTGGAAGCCTTAGGTTTTCGCGGGTAGTGGCCAAGGAAGCTGTCACTGGACACCGAGCTCTTTTTCGCCATCTACCTCAGCTCCGTGGATCCAAGCGCAGGTCGTACCCGCCTAGGTGGACCCCTTGTTCGGAGTGTTGTCCAGAAAGTACGCAGACAAGCTGAACGAGCTAATGCTCTCAAAGGGTCGGTTCAGTGGGACTGGTATGTCGATGGATCGCGCACGCCATGGCGCTACCCGGGCGATGATCTGGACGCGGACGACGTCTGATTGACGCGGACGTCTCGCACACGCTGTGCCACCGCCCGAACCCGAGCATCAATTCAGCTTAGACGAAGATACCGCTGACAATGGCGCTATTGACGAGGAAAGCTGGAGCTCGAGGCTCAAGCCGACGCACCCTCCCAAGAACGACAACATCGCGAAGACAGCGAGAACCACGAAGATGAAGGCGAGTACTATGTTGAGGAAGATATGGTGTATGCAGAGGAGGGCGAGGGGTACGCCGAGGAAGGTGCGGTGTATCTTCAACATGTCGTGCCAGAGAATGAGGACAGCGCGGCGGCCTTTATAGATGGTGCGAATGGTGCCCGCGAACACACGTAAATCCCAAAGCAATCGCTGTAGAGTCAATTGGCAGTTCCAGTAGAAATAAGCTACAGTAGGGATGTAAAGTCGGATGTTCCAATCCATAGATCACATACCTCACACATACCACCGGTAACCATACTCAAGATCTAGATACTACTACCACAAGTCTGACGTTGGCGGTGGAAACCCTTCAAGGTCAATCGGAACGCAGCGTGGTTCGTGCCCGCCATCCGGAGTCCATGGCTGGCCTTGGGGCACCCAGCAGCCTTCCTAACAGTCCGGTTAGCCTGGAAGCCGGCGAAGCTTCATCGACGGGCAACACTCACATCAACACCACAAGCGGGATCGCACTTGATCCACACAGGCCAGTCGAGCCATTCCACGAGTGAGTCGAAGTCGTCCCTCCACTTGACCAACCATTCGCGGATGACGCTGGCAGGCTTTGCTTCCGCGTCAAAGGCATCGACCCAGGCCTCCGTATATACTCGACAAATCTCGTGCAGTACTTCCTCCACGGCGTGGAGGAGAATTTGTTCTTGCTTCGTGAACCCCGTCTGAGGCAAGTGGTCCGTGAAGCGCACCGCACAATTACGCGCTATCGTTGCAAACCACTCTGGCTTCCCGATGCTTGTGCGGGGCATGTATGGTATGAGCGAGGCGACGAGCTGCTTGCGGACCTTCATTATTTGCGCGGTAGCATTGGTGACCGGCTCGTGCAGGAGGTGGCGCATGAACGGGAGCCGGTCTCCGAAGCGGTCCTGGATGACCCGCGCAAGGCCCTCCCAGTCCACCCTGGTCTTCACTGCAGGATCGCGCGTCATGACTTCAGCGATGTCGCTGCGCACGCGAGCGATGTCTGCCTCGGAGATGTTCGCTGGGCGGTACTCATCCCGCGTCATTGAACGACGCGCCTCTACGAGCGATGTCAGGGCCGGGTCGTAGAGCGAGATCATACTCGAGGGGTCGACGTGCACGCGGACTTCTCCTGGAAATTGGTTGTGCCACGTCCCTGCGTGGAACGCTTCGATGTCTAGGTCAGGCAACGCGCCTTTCCATCCCTTGGGGTACGAGAATGGTATATCGGGCTCTTGAGTTCTGAAACCATCGTGCTCGTCGATTCTATCCTTGGTGAGCCCGTGAAATGTCGCCTGTGGCGTACAATGGCCACCGGGCAAATCAGGGCCTTGCGGCGGCGGCGGAGGATCGTCTTTTGAACGTGTTCGGTGAGACGTTGGGAAAGGCATCGGAGGCTCCCAGTCGACTATGGGGTTGACAGTTGACATGGCAGAGACCAGCTCCAAGCCCTGAGTGAAATTGCAGTACATGATCTCACTGAACAGAAATAGGATCAAACCGGCCGGTCCGGAATAGCAGACAGTGCACTTACAAGTCGAACTCCATCCGCACTAACCCGTCAATGCCGTACTGCTGCGCCCAAGCGCATCCGTAGACCAGACGGTCCGTCTCGTCCTTCTGCCAGCCTTCACGCGTTCCCCTCCGCCCGGGGTCGCCCCAAATGAGGATATCCTGAGTGTCTATCACACCCCCAAGCTTATTGCCGCTGCAACCGTCAAAGTAGACGAGTTGCAGGTCGCGAGTGGCGGTGTATGTTAGCAAGGTACCGTTCCTTCCGAAGGCGAACATCATGGCGTGCTCAGGATCGAATGCGATCCAGTCCATGGACGGGCAGCCGCCCACGAATCTTCCGTGGTAGAGCACAGTGCCCTGCGGGATTGTTACGCGTGTAATGGAATGACCTATGAGATGTGAACATTGACGAGATGTACCAAATAGTAGAACTCGAATGCTTACCGATAGGGTGCTTGGAATTCGGCATCATCTGGAGCAGAGATGACAAGGACTGGAATATGAGGTTGCCGGTCGCGTCTTCGCTTGGCCGTTCATTCCAAGGGCGCGACAGCCATGATTGAGCAGCCACATTGACCACAGGCGTGAATGGAACCTGCGAAGCACCAATCGAGATGGTCGCCAGAAGCAGAACAAGACTTCGCCAGAGCATAGTGCCAACGCCGGAGAGCGGGCTTCAGCCGAAGCAGCCTTATATCTGGATACTTCCTGCGGCGCAGACGATAGACTGATGAAGACGCAGATGGAGGAGACTAAGTATGACTAGACCGCCGCAGTACAGAGTGGGACAGGTCCCATATATATGCACGCTGTCGTCTCAAAGGCGCCGAGTTCGGGAGCCCCTGGTCGTGAGCGGTAGCGATATAAAACAGCGTTGCCGGGTAGCCTCGAGCACTGCAGTCATACCATGGAATGGTCGCTGGCAGGGAGACATGTTGAAGAAGCAGCGAGGTTTCCGACTTGCACTGGCAGCCTTAGCTTGGTCGGAGTCACGAGGTCGAGGTCCGAGTGGACACTGGAAGCTCAATCAGGTGGCGTGGGATTTTGACGATCTGACCTCCGACGCTACAGGGTGGCGCGGCGTCGGTCGTTAAGAATGATTGAGAAATGTCCTCAGGCTGGTATGTACATCACTATATTCCAGTGTCTCTAGCAGGAAATCCCAAGAACTCACAACAGCGTGGAACCTAGTCACAGTGTCGCCGGTCGAATCTAGGCCACTTATCATGGGACCGTACTCCGGACTTCTCAGGTAGCAGGGTGCGACCGGCCCGTTTCCGTTTGGTGGTGTCTTCACCGACCGAAGTCCCACTGAAGGACTCGGACTCCGTCCGGGTCGCCAGCTTACACCGCTCAGATACACAAGACCGCTCGACAAACCACTGGCAATACTCCGCCAGAAAAGACACAACCATTGCATTGAAGCTAAGCTCTCCGGCGGAGACACACAAGAGACCACTGTTCCACGGACCGCGACCCCCATTTTCCCTCGTCTTGTGTCTTCGTTATTGTTGCGACAGCGAAGATGACCGCAGTCGCGTTGTATTCTGGCTGGGAATCCGTCATGCGGTCACTCCCTTCATCACGGAATCGCGCCTGGACCAGGATTCAGGTTCCAGAATATCAGGCTCATATATAGGCTTCGGACCGTACGTGCTGGACTGGATCCGAGGGTCAGCATCTACAGATGGCCGCACGACTACTCATTTTCGTGTCTCTGTTGCTTTCAGGTGTTCATGGTGCTCAGATCACCACGACGACGCTGCAGACTATACATGGTATTGGCGCGTCTGGAGCGTGGTGGGTGAATCAACTTTCGCTCTATCCGAATGATGTTCGCCACAACGTATCCGAACTTCTCTTCAACCAAAATACTGGTACGAATGCCTCCATCCCCAAAGACTCGTCATGATCCTCACTTTACTCTGTCTAGGTCTCGGCCTCACAGACTACCGATACAATCTCGGAGGCGGGGGTGTCGGTGTCACTACATGGGACAGGGCGCCGGAGACACCATACGTTAGGTATGCTACCATTGTATACACCGTCCCAGTGATGGCTCATTGATGATTTAGTCACGGCGTCTACAACTGGTCTGCAGACGCAGCAGGCACATACTACCTCAGGGAAGCAGCCCGACAAGGGGTGCCCGTGATTACTTTGTTCGTGAACAGTGCCGTCAGTCTATTTGGTCCTCGATGTTACTACCGAGACTGACGCTCCATCATCTAGCCCACCACCATGACAAGCAACAACCAGAGCTGTGGCGGCGACCTCGTCACGGATCGTATTCCTGCATACGTCCAGTATCTGACCGACGTGATTAGCCACTGGAAGAGTGAGGGTGTCGAGTTCACGCACGTCTCGCCCATGAAGTAAGCTGTCATATATTGTTCAAATTATAAGCGTAACTAAACCCTCACGTCAGTGAGCCCGACGATAGCTTTGGTAGTTGCAGCCAAGAGGGAATGCAGGTCGTCCCGGGACAACGTGCGGAGGTCGTAACCACACTGGCGGCCTCCTTGAAAGCAGCCGGACTCTCTACGCGGGTCATTGCTGATGAGTCTGTTGATACCAGTGAGTGCGCCCATTGCCCTGGATCAAGCTTGAAATACTGATTTTGGGCCACGCAGCCAATTACAACAATGATGAACCGGTGTGGCTCAATGCAACCGTCGGCGAGTCTCTCGCTGGGAACTGTCATCACCTATATAGTTTCGCAAGCGCTGCGACGCAACAAGAGGTCTTTGAATATGGACGCAATCTGAGCGGTGGTGTGCCAACCTGGTTCACGGAGATATGCTGTGAGCACGACAGTACATGGAAGGCTAAACAGAGTAACATATTCTGTATCTAGGCTATAACGCGGCAAATTTGAATGAATCCGATGATCCACTTGCCGCCCTGACGTTCAGCTCGCAGTACGATCCTACGATGCTGAGCGGCCTCCGTATGGCGCATCTAGCCTGGCAATCATTTACTTATGCTGAGGACTCTCACTGGTAGGTGATCGCTCTCCCGCCCCACTTCGGCTCGGCGCTCACACCTTATTTTCAGGGACTGGTGGACTGCGCTGTCCAACGAGATTGGTTGCACGCTCAGTAGCAACGCCACTTGTTGGGACGATATCCAGTCTGGCGGAGAAGATGACGGTAAGAAGCCGTTATATTGCCACCTTCTGATGTCTGAATATCCTTTGTTCAGGTCTCATCTACTACGACCCAGACTACGATAGCACAGAGAACTACGACATCAAGCTCACCAAGCGCTATTCCGTGCTCAAGCACTTCACGAAGGGAGCTCCTGTCGGGGCGATCCGCCGCGCTGTCACGCCAGAGTCCGACACCACCGACGACGCATGGCGCGTTCTGGCGTTCGACTATGACTCTGCCTGCGAGCAGTACAGCACCTGCGCCCAGGTGCCGTACTCAGTCGTCGCGATGAACGCCCAATGGAACGCCTCGACCATCACTTTGACGAGTAACGGAACTTTCGCGCTCACGCAGCCCATTGCGATGTACCGCACGAGTGTGACGGAGGACTATGCGGAGGCGGAGGTGCCCACCCTGAGCGCGAACGGGAGTCTCGTCATCGACGCTCCAGAGATGAGCATCTTCACCCTCTTCTTCTAGAGATCAATCCTGTATCATTCCTTTGCATGCTAGCTTTATAGCACCGCGTGCGCCCAAATCTCATCGACTTTACTTGTTTTATGAAGTGATATCGTGCAATGTAGTGATGTGATGTAGTACGATGTGATCTTACAGAGGGGTGTATGCCGCGACGGTGTGATTATACAAAGGCCAATCCGAATAGGGAAGGAATTCCCACGTCTCTCGTAGACGGCTTCAAGTGCAACTCAAAGCGATCTTCCACCCTCGCCAAGTTCAGAGCTACTAGGTTCGCTGAGAGTTCTCTCCCCCCTCTTCCCATGACAGAATTCCCTGACCTGACCTCCTTGTCTAGATTCCATACGCAGTTTTGCCTTCGCCAAGCTGGCTGAAGATGTGCTCCCGGACTACTATGCGATCCTCTCCGTCTCGCCCAGTGCTTCCCCCGCCGAGATAAAGCAAGCCTATCATCAAGCCTTGCTCATCTGCCACCCAGACAAGCAGCACATCCTGCGGGGGACTAGACCTCCGGAGGATAGCAGCGGTGTCGACATCGCCCTGCTGAAGCGAGCATACCAAGTCCTCGCTTCTCCCGCCGACAGAGCTGCATACGATGCCTCTCGCACGGAAGCGAATACAAAGAGGGGACCCCGTCCTGCGCAAGTCATCTCGTTGGAAGATTTTGAAGAGGGTGAGGACGATGCCGGACAGACGGTGTGGACATACAATTGTCGTTGCGGCGGGGGATATATCGTGTCTGAGAAAATGCTGGAGGATGGTCAGCATCTCATCGGCTGCAACAGTTGCTCGGAGGTCGTTTGGGTTGGTTACGAAGTGGCAGAAGACGGATAGGATGATGTTAGGAGCCTTCAACTTTCATCCCAAGCCCGAAGGTGCCGTGTTCAACGTACAAACGTTCAATACTCGCTATGTACAGAGGGACTACACAGACAACAAAGAATAGCATTGATTGCACGGATGATCTAGTGACAAGAAAAGGATACGATACTTCATTAATGCGGCTCATCAGCGATAACGTATACAGCGTCGTAAAGTTGCAGCGTTTGGTAGTACACCACGAGAGAATCCAGAGCTACATTTGAGTCCAACAACATACAGCAGTCATCAATCGATCGTGCGGGTCGTAACGATCAGTCCCACTGCAGTGTGTAGTGAGATTGGGTTCTCAATGAGCTAACTTCGAGGTGATGCATACCTGAACGACCATGGAGGTGGCCCACGGCACGAGCTCCTGCGCCGGCGAGAGGTACACGTACGTACTCGTCTTGTACATGTCTGCCTTGAATCGCTTGAGTTGACCCGATTGCCCTGGAGCGCGGCGGATGGTCTTATAGCTGAAGACAGCGCGAACAACAGAGGCGATGATCTACAGGGAGGGCTAGTCAGCAACACGGCATCTGCAGGTGACTCAACCGATGTAGACCTTAGTCGAGAACTCCGTGCCCAAGCACCGAGCTGGGCCATCCGAAGCGAGGTACCGGTCTGAGGGGCGTGTGGGGTTGACCGCTTGAGGCTCAGGGAAGGCTTGCGCCTGATGGCATTTCATCAGATCTCGTATGTCATGCATGCACAGGATACTTACATCAAGATTGGCGCCGGCAACATTGAGGAGCACAGTTTCCTTTGGTGTCAGTGATTCGTGGCCCAGGGCTGTAGCCTGCAGAGCCTGCTGGTAAGCACCACTGAAGGGAGGGTCAAGACCTGCAAATAACTCCAAGGATGAGTCCAATCCTCGCACATCATACCGAGGTGTACATACGGAGCGCCTCCAGAATGTAACCGGAGAGGAGCCGACCATCGTGCTTGTCGAGGGTACCCTTCGCGACGAGGTCCTGGACATCACGGGGCTTGTTGTCGTCGATGTAGAAGTTGACAACGTTGACGACGGCTTGTGAGAGCTCGACAGAGCACGCAATCAGGACAGCCAGCACAGAATGCGCCAGTTCATCTGGGGAGTATCCAAGGCCCCAGAGCTTCTCCAGGATCTCCTCCCTGGGGCTCCTGTCCTTGCCGACAAACATGCTCGTGATGGTGTCGAATACCAGGCTGATACTCGACTGCGAATCGAGGTCAGTAAATGTGTGACCATACGATGTGTTCACGCACCCTCTGCGCCCCACGGATGTAGTGCTTGATCTTTTTGAGGAGCGTGTCGATGTCACCCTTGACCTTCTGCTGCAGACGCAGCAACTTCTCAGCAGGGACGTCAAGGAAGAGGAAGCTATTGGTGACACTCAGGATCAATACATCATCAATCACGAAGTGCCGTTGTCACTCACGAGTAGATGTCAGCGAGGATGTCGAAGAGCTCCTGCGGAGTGTAGTCGCCCTCTGCCTTGGGGTGATCCTTCAGCTTGATGCCGGCCTATCGAAGATATGTTTGTTAGTCCTGGAACTGCAGAATGCCGGCATGTCTACGCACAAAATTACTAGCCCACTGAAGCGGAATGTACTTGAGAACATCGCGGACAATATCGAGGCAGCGGGTCTTCACGCCCACTAACTGGTATGATTCGCGCTCCATGAGCGTCTTCGTCTTATCGTAGAAGAACGCCAGGATCTGGGCTTCGTAGCCGCCGAGTACGCCCACGATGGCGCGTTGTTCCCTTGCAGCCCGGCTCGGGTTGTCCGAGGCAATGAAGAATCTAAAAACACCCGACATGCTCGGTCAGCGTCGCGCCGTGCATTCATTATTGGAACATCGACTAACCCTTGCCCGCTGATGACCTTGGCGGCACGGTCGGCATATCGGACGCTGAAGCGGTCGCTGTGCAGGGCCTGGGCGACGTCCCGGTAGGAGGACACCTCCGGCGTACGCGGGATGACAGTCGGCTTGCCGAGATCGTAGTCGCTGCGCTCGCCGAGCTTCGTCAGGACCTTGTCCATCGCCTCCGGCGTCATAAGCGGGAACCAGGTGAACGTGCTGTCTGGCGAGAACTGTTGCGGCAGATTGCGCAGGAAGAGGCGGCCGAGGGTGCTACCGCAGCCCGGAGCGTCTGAGTTGCGCTGGCAGTCGGCGAAGCCCCAGCATGTGAGGTTAACCGGCGTGTAGTCCGCTGTGAAGTAACGGTCGCCACGAGTAAGCGCGATCGCATCGCTCAGGATGGCACGGCTGATCGTGTAGGCTATGCAACCGATGGTCAGAACGGCCCGCTGTGCGTCGGCTGAGGTGGAAACTCACAAGGGCAGAGGCCAGCGCCCTCCATGACCGGCTTCGTAGCCTCGGCTTGGAGGCCGACGTAGAGCTCGAGGCGTTCGATGTCGCCATACAGCTTCTGGGCTGCGGCCGCCACCTCCTTGTTCGGGTTCCATTCCTCGAAGCTGGAGTACCCTGTGAGCCGGCCCGTCAGTGGCGTTCCCACATGCGGCGAAGCGTGTACGTACTCTTCAGGCCGAGGAACTGACGGAAGTCGTTCAGCGAGCAGCAGCCCCATTGCCTCGCGGACTCGATGCCCATGATCTCGTGCAGACGCATGACGTGCGGGGTACCCCTCGCCTTGAACGCACCGGCGGGGTTTGCGGTGCTGCCCGAGTGTCAGTGGCGCACGAACTTCTCTGTAAACACGAGGACGTACTGCTGCTGGAGAATCCCAGCCAGTTCCTCATCTTTGAAGGTTCCGTCGGGTTGGCGCTTGAGTCTGGCAGGAAACGCCGATCAACGAGTGGACTCAGAAAAGATTCAATGAAACTTACTGGCCGAACGTCCATTGAGTCGGTGACGTCTCCTTTTTTGCAAGCTCCCTCGCCTTCTTCCGGAAGTCCTCAATGGTCAACGAGTCGTAGGTCTGGCCTGGGAAAATCTGTTGCGACAGCTTGTCCACCCATTCCTCATCGGGTTGCGAAGTGGTCGCGTGCCACCGGTAAAGGCAGTTGAACTGTATCGTATACTTAGCTACCGACCGTCAACGGAGGTCTCGCCAATTCGGGACTCACCTCAACACTGCACACGTTCCCCCGTCCACGCTCGAACAGACTGTGGTCCTGATTCCTAATATCCTGCGGCGACTTTAGCACGGGGTGCTGCCGAACACGAGCACGAACTTACCTCGAATGGGTTCAAGCTCCAACTGCTCCCGTCGCGCACAAGGCCAAGAATCGCGCAGAAGTAGTCAGAGAACACGACGGTGGCGAACCAGCCACAGTTGATGAGGCGCGCGATCTGGAAAAGCTCTTCCTCCTGCTTGAGCAGCTTAATGGTGCGCTGGGGGTCATCCTTCGGGATCTGGTCCGGGTCGGTCCATTCGCCGCGCTCGTTCAGCTGCAGCAGCATCTTCGCGATGTACTACACGGCAAATCAGCACTCATGCTCGCACCTGCCGGCACTCTTGAAACAGCGCTCACGTTATGGTTCCGGTTAAAGAGCACGAGCAGAACCGAGACCGCCGGTGGGAGCAGCAGAAGTCGGTCCTCGGCAAACGTGTCGGGGTGGAGGAGACCGCGGCCGTCGCGGATTCGGATCTGATCCTGCATTTTCTGGTCGTTTCCGTAAAGCGGCGCGAGGTCGACATACGAGGATGTCTCGTTGATGTTCGGGTTTCCATGGGACGTGCGGAAAATACTGGGTAGCATACGGTCAGCTCCGCCGAAGCCGGGGACGCAGATGCAAGCCTACCTGTGGATAACCAAGGCAGCGAAGGAGAACATCAAGCTGGACAGGCCTGCGGGGTGCTTGACGAACTAGAGCGCCTATGGTCAGATCGCGAGCTAATCGGACACGGTAGGGAGAACTTACTTCTTCTCGCCGAAGAAGAGTATCGAAGACCAGTCCCGCATCGGGCATCTCGTTCCGGGGGAGGGGGTGGGCAGGTTGCGCGCTTCGAGCGTATGGCCGGTTTGCCTTACCGAGCTCAGGGTCCTGGAGGTTGTTCCCCGAGCCGTCAGCAGACCGGAATGCGTACTCTGGGCCAATGTAGGTCTCAGGCGGGTGCGGGAGGTCATCGTAGACTATGAGTTGACGTCAGGACGGACGACTGGGGAGTGAAGATCAAGTTTACTGACGCAATTCGACCACTGAATCGGAGAGCTTGGCACCGATCGCGGTGGTGGAATGCTTCGAGAGGAAGATGAGCAGATGCTCGAGCTGATGAGCAGGGTATTGTCAGCGGGGGATGATTGAGTGATATTAGAATCCATACCAAGTACTTCCTGTCGTCGATACCATTGGGGTGCTTCAACACGTCAACGAGTGCCTCCTATGATACCGTATGAGAATGAGCTTGTCAGACAGGAAGAGTAATGCATACCACAGTCCCGACATCCCAGCCGATGGTGCTGCTACCACTCTGAATCTATGACGCACAACACAATGTAAGTGAATTGATGATCGAGACTGTCATATACGACCTACCTCCTCACGGAAGTTGCGAACGAGTTTCTCAGCATCGGTAGCCGCATGTCGCGCAGCATCAGACATGCTCGCCTCCTGTGAGGAGAGACATGAGTGCGACGGGGGTAAACTTTCAAGCAGCCACACCTACCGCTGAAGACGCGAGAGTAGAGAGCCGGCTTGATCGTATGCTCATGCTGTGGGTGTGTAATGCGTATGTCGCGTCTCGCGGGTGCGGAGGTAAATGACGAGGACGCCTGGCGAGGACCCGTCTTATACGGAGAAATCTGTCCCGCGCTCATCTGGGGCCATTGTTGGATCTTGACAAGCATCTCGGGGGATGGCAGCGGGGAAGAACGCGGTTGTGTCATGGCACTTGCCTGCACCGGAATCCTTGGAACAAGAATGCGGTGCGCCTCTCTGCGCGATCAGCGCCAGCGCTCCGCGGCCTGACGCCCTGAAAGGTAGCTGCTGTAGCGAGTCTGTAACGGCCCTAAACGATTGTAAGCCCGCGAGGCTCGTGTCTTGCTCGTGTCGCCAGCCACAGCGCCGCTGATGGCCCGACATGTGCTCTTCATCACCGGCCGCCAGCTCACCAGTCGGGAACATTGGGAACCTCCCTGGGAAGACAACGGCAGTCAGCTTCCCCGCGATAACGAGGCCTGTTTCGGAACAAATACCTTGCAAGTGTGTCCAGTGCGACCACAGCGGTTCAGTCCGTTCCCTTGGGCATGTCTCGCTAGTCGGTCATAGCCACATCGTCCCCGGCTGATTGCCAACAATGTCCCTGGCAGAGGCGGCGGAGCACTGCCGCAACCACTGCGATGTGAACGAAACATTGGCCAACCGCGCCAGATGTATTGGTCCCCACAGCTCTCGAGTTGGAGGTCGGTATGCCACCGTGACAGTGCGAGGGCATCCTCGACGCCGAAAGGAATGAACTCGGGTGCTTTGGGCCACATACTTAGAAGCCAATCCAACTGATACGGCTTCGCTTTCCATCGAGAAAGGGAAGCTTACTGTATACAAATTCGTCCCCAGACCAGGCCAGTCGATCGCTTCTCCCCACCGTCTTTGGTGCCATCTCCGGCGCGCCTGACCATCCGGCCGTCGAGTAAACCGAGGAGGGCTGCTATTCTTAATGGTTAGGTTGTGATAGCGGCGACATCGAGCATCGAAGGTGCCCTCGCAGGTAGTCGCGTGTGGCGCGTGTCCGTGGATGCTAGCATGAGCAGGATGTCGTGTCTTCGTGTCCGACGCCGACGAGGAGCGTCCGCGCTGCATTCGTGCTTTGCCAAATAAGGAAATGTTACCGTGGCCGAGCGCGCGCTGACGCTGAGCTGTGCGCGACCAGGCGCCAGATTCTACTGGACTTTGACTAGATTGCGAACTAATACCCGAGCGACCGCTGACGCACCTCTTGACTCATCTCTCTGACCATGGACTCTTCGGAACTCTTCTACGTTAAGCAACAATTCCTCCTCGGTGAGTGACAGGGACTTGGGAGGCTAGCGAACAAGTACTGAACAATGTCGCGCTCCAGGTGCGTACAAGTCGCTCGTCGACCTGACGTTGCCCGACCCGAACTCGCCTGACTACACACCAACGCTCGTGTACAAGGCCCGGGCCTACATCGCTCTGGACGACCCCAAACCTGTGCTCGACCTCGTCCCCGCAGACGCGGAGGACGTCTCTCTGCGGGCTGTCTCTGCCTTGGCACGCTACACCGGCGCTACGAGCCCGGAGGACAGGGAGGCGTCACTCGAGGAATTGCGCGACCTGTGCGTCGAGATCGAGGGCGAGGACGCGGATGCGACGCCCAAGGAGAAGGGCGTCGTGCGTGTGCTCGCGGGCACCGCCTTCGCGCTCGCGAACGAGGTCGAGGAGGCCCTAGAGACCCTCGGCGTCGGCACGAACACGGACAACCTCGAAGCGTGAGTCCACCCATCCACCCATGCTGTGCGCGGCGTGACTCACAGGCGGCCGTCCCCGCCAGCGTCGCGCTCACGGTGCAAATATACCTCTCGATCAACCGGCCCGACCTCGCGCGGAAGGAGTTCGAGCGCGCGAAGAGGTGGGCGGGCGACGACATGCTCGTGCAGTTCATCGAGGCGTTCATCGGCATGGTCACCGGCAAGGACGGCTACCAGGACTGCAACTCGTTCTACGACGAGCAGCTCGGCAACCCGTCCCTCACGTCCCCGCACCTCCTCACCGCGCGCGGTGTGACAAGGCTCCTGCGCGGCTCGGTCACAGGCGCGAAGTCCGACTTTGAGGAGGCAGTGTTGCAGCGCGGTGGCAAGCCCGACGCGGAGACACTCGGTGCAATGACGGTTGCTGCTGGTCTGAATCAGTCAAAATCGAACGAAGCAGAACAATTGTGGACGTAAGTTCATCTTCTCTCTCTCATCTGTTAGGCCCCTGTTGCATGAGAAGCCCACGGGCGTGGGATGTCAGACATCCACTTCAGTGATCCGCTTCTCTGCCGTTGAACTTCAGGTTCCCTCCCTCGGTCTGGTTCGCTCTCGATGCGGCTGAGGGTGGTACGACATTGATCGGAACATTGAGACCATATTCCGTTCATGCGTCGGGGCCTTAACGCCGTGGAGTTGCCTGTCAGTATCGACTTCAATGTGTCGCTGACTCGTTCCTGTGTCGTTCATAGCCAACTCATTACGGAACACCCGGGTCACCCCATGGTCCTCGATCTCGCACGCAAGTCGGAGCAGTTCGACGAGCTGTGCATGAAGTTCACTGTACCACCGGTCGCGGCCGCTGCATAATGTAACGTGTCGGATCCCATATCTATCTCGTTGTATTGATGCTGCGGGTGATGTGTCCAACCTTCACTGAGCTCTGTGGATCTCATGCTACTGGGTCCGCATTCATATATCTCTGTTTAGTATAGCAGATGGTAGCGCGAGAAACGAGAGCGCGGAATACAGACAAGCAAGCATCTATCCTGTCAACGTCATCGTCAAGAATGACTGGAAGCATCATAGTAGCGGCGATGTGCGTGTGGTCGAGTGCCACTGTCAGGGCAGGTAAATCTTCGATCGAGCTGCGGCAGCGGCGTGCATGGCGGCCATGCGACGGCGTTACGCCGCTCATCGCCCACTGGGATGCTCCAAACCGACCACGATCTTCTGGCCCTTAAACCAGCCCAGCGGGTGGTCCACATCCTCGACCGTGATGTGTAGCCTCCCTCCGCATCCCAGCGACCTCTTACTGCGTTCTGCTGTCGGCGCGACGGTGAGTTTTTGGGCGGTAGTCGCAGTTGGTGATGGCCGGGCTTTCTTGTTCCCGCCCGCAAGCCAATTCGCGAGGGTGCTCTGCGTGCGCTTGACAGGCTTTGCAGTTGTGGCCGGTGATTGCGAAGGAGGAGGAGTGATGTCCAGCTTGAATTTGAACGTTTGCGAAGCTTGTGTTGGTGTGCCCGTCAGCGCCGCAGTGGGGATTGGAAATGAAGGTGTCGGGGAGGGATCCGGAGGGGACTCAGGGGAGGGTGTCGGCGCTTGAGGAGGCGGGGATGGTGCGAGCTTGCGGCCGCGACTGCAGTCGCACTGGTATGTCTCGGTCCAGCAGCCGACTTTGTGTTGCCGTGCACTGTCCGTCATCTCGCTGGGTCCCAAGAGTCAACATCATTACTGTTTATCACTGGAGTCACCAGCATTAGCTCGAGCTACCTACTTACCTATGTGGTAGCCTCGCGAGCCTCCGCAGATCCCTCGATACGAGCTCGACGCGTTTCCACAAAGGAATTTTGGGATCCGCTACAATGGAATACGTCCCATGAAAGTTCACGTACGGCGGACGCGTCGCGGATTGATTCCACGCGTCATTGAAGCTATTGAGCGCGGCTGCGAGCGCGTCCCAGAGGTCGCCACACGATTGATAATCCTCGCAGTCCTCGCAGGCGTCGAGGCTGGTAGAGCTCGACTCCGAGTCGGTGCAATCGTGAATTTGATCGTGAAGCGTGTGATCGTCGGACGCTTTGCGTTTCCCGAGAACGGTTCTATCCTCCCAGCCCCCGGCCGCGGGTGGCACATGGTCTTCTGAGCTATCAACCTCTGAGGTTTGCGCTGGAGTCGACGTGAATGGAGGTATAGGAGTCTCATAGACTGCCTTCGTGTGCGTAGGTTCCATATGTTCGTCGTATTTAAAACCCCTGAATGAGGACTTGATGGGCTTGGGGACTGCGCTGCCGAGTGCGCTGGCGGGCGGTATATCCAGGGCAAAAGTGGGCATGTAGTGTAGGGGAGGATGTAACATATTTTAAGAGTGCGGATTTCTGAATGAGGGGAGGATTGGTAGCGCGAGGCGGGATTGGAGGTAGTGTGTCGCGTCGAATGGAGAAACCGTGCGTAGTAACGCGTCCAACGCGGTGTGACAGACGCGTTGTGTCACGTCTCGTGACCGAGACAGGTCGCGTTCACGGCACGGTACGCGCGGCTACGCCATAGTAGCCGCTATGACTCGACATCCGTCGACCATATGGGCCTGCCATTCGGTGCTGCGGCAGTCCTAGTCTACAGTTATCAATGTCGTTGTTTCATGGGTTGTCTCCGATTGCTTGACCTCTACGCCGCAGCGAACCTCGCTACTCATCAGCCTGTCTCAGTGTTCGCGGCGGCGCTGTGACTTCGCTGCATAGTGCTGTCCAGTCCGGCAACGGATTTCCAGGACTATGCTTTGGACCAGATTCGCCGAAGTGCTGCTTGGGGCCGTTCTCAGCACCTGTGCCAGTGTCCTTGCTTCGCAGGTGCCATTCACGTCTGTCGATGACGCTACTCTATCATGGTCATCGCGTCCATGGAACGAACGGGCAAGCGGAGACACATCCGGCAACCTCGTTTTCCAGTCCCTTGCGTCTCTCCTGCAGATGATGCCGAACTCCAAGTATCCCATCGGTACATACCTCAGTCCCAGTTGCTACTCACGCAGTCACTGACTTTGAGATCTAGGGCATTCCATCGCACGAGCGACCATCCCGCAGGGCACTCTGCTTCACCACGGGAGACATGTGGGTGGCTGTCCATCCATGGACTGGATCGCGTTCGACCCCGAGCACGCCATGTTGTTCGCCTTCGGTATGAACGGCACCTTGCAGACGTACATTACCACGCGCGACCTGCAGCTCGTGTACTTTGACGGCAGCAGCGGAAATGCGAGGGGCGGTACGGTCGATACGCAGGATATTCTCTTCTGGGGGGAGCCCGGAAAGAGGGAGAAACACGAGTTGGATAGACTGGTTGATGGATGTACCTGGGCAAAGCAGTACGGGATGGACGGAATCCTCAGGATGGAATTTGATTTGTGCGTTCCCCGACTCCTAATTACTCTGAACCTGGCCCGATTTTTTATTTTGGAATAGTGAGATCATGTACTGCGATTTCTCGCAGGGCCTGGAACTCGTCTCTACCATGTCCAGCATCAACCCCTGGGCGGATGACGATCCTTCTGGGCTGCCATCACAAGGACCGACACTCCCCGGTGGCCATTGTACTCCAGGCGCAACATTCCACGGGCTCACGAAGGAGAGTCTCGACGCAGAAAACTTGCAAATCAGCAGTCAGACACTCGGCATACCCCCCTTCTCGTACCCCAAGGGATGGAAGGGCATCCTTCCTTCTGTCGACGTACAGGCATTCTTCGCGGGGACGTGGCACAACCGCTTTCCAGGCGAGACCCGCGTGCGCGTTGACCCCTCGAGTTTGATCTCCCTCTTTGATCCCGCGCTGACTTCGCTCGCCGAAGCGCGTCGCTCGATGACACGAGACCAGTACAGACCAGCAAACATCTCCAAGGCGGACATGGCCCGTTGGCGCGCTGACATCGCGGACGTCATGGCGCGGGACCTGACGGTGAAGAGCGCAATAGATTGGCAGAGCCTCGCGCGAGTCATTCAGGAGCGCTTTGGGGACCGGGAACGCGGAGTATGCAGGATTTCTCCTTCTCTATTCAATTATGCCTATTTATTATGATCTATGCACCCCCGTATTGACGAGCAGAACCAGATACATAGACGCTACTATAGACCACAGAACGACAACGACCCATTACTACCTACTCCTCCAGACATTACTCTTACCAGTACAGCCCCGGACTGGACGTCGACCTGGGTGGCGCGTTTTAACGCCCACTACTGTACAGGCCGGCGTCCGCCGCGTCTTAGCACATGCTTGCTTGTAGCGGTTAATAAATGCAGAGATCATCACCTGCCGTATATGCGGCACCTACTGCATGAGCCGGCGACTAATGTCACCGTGCAGCTGGCAAGGGTGCGCAAGCAGCTTATCGTCTCGCTCATACCGTACATGCCTCGCGCAAACATCGGGAAGCCGGAGTGGTTCGCCGCGATCGCGCGTAACTGCGCGGTGCGCTTTACCGACCACTTGCCTCGAACAGGGTTCACGAAGCAGGAGCACCTTCTTTATCATGCCGTGGAGGAAGTGCTGCACGAGATCTGCCGAGTATATACGGAAGCATGGGTGGATGCCTTCGACGCCGAGAAGCCCGCAGCCCTCGTTCAGGAACTCTTAGCCAAGTGGAGAGACGAGTTCGATTTACTTATGGAGTGGCTTGACTGGCCGGTGTGGATCAAGTGTGATCCTGCGTGCGGAGTGGAAGTGAGTACGGTACATTCATCACTGTGCTGTGAGCTGAATGAGAGATCGTAGGAGAGTTGCTGGGTGCCGCAAGGCCAGCCATGGACGCCGGATGGTGATCATGAGCCACGCTGCATTCGGATGGATTTCGAAGGATTCGTACCCCCGACAGGCCTTGAGTAGAGTACTAGTAAATGCAGTTTGATGGTTGGATATGTATCGTGAATGCGAGGTACGCAGTCGTATCACCCTATGAAACCCATCTGACCATCTGATCTGCGCAGTAATGCACTCTTTTCCAGGATTTATATTTATTGGGATGTTCTCTATCATCATTCTATTTGACGCCTTCACTATCATACCCTTCATAGACAGCATCCGCATCCGAATCGTCGTACGTGCCATTTTCGACGTCCTCATCACTCTCCGAGCCGTTACTACCCACCGGGCCCATACGGCATGAACCCGGACAAGTCGCGCAAGTCGTCGACCTTCGCCATGACCATGTCCAAGTACAGCTCCCCATCCCACGGCGTATACGACGAGTCAACGTAACGGGACAATTGAAGGTCGCCTTGTAAAGGCATAAACTCGTCCAGCTCATCAGCATGCTTGATGGGCGGAGAGCGTGTTATTTCGATCCGCTTCGGCGAGTGGACCCTGTCTCTGTGGTCCATGTAGGAGTCAAAATCTAGTACATATTCCCGGGGTCGCCGAACCAGCATTGGGCCACGGCTATCATCGACGGCGCTGGCGTAGGGTTCGCATACCTCAACCTCGTCGTCGTCGCCGTCACGAACGGTGATTGAATCGGCATCGTCTTCGAGTTGTAGCACAAAGTCTTCGTCAAAGGCCATGTCTTTCTCGCCGTCTCCTTCCACCACGTCTTCTTTGTCGTCGTCCGCACCGTCCAGGTAATCCTCCGCCGGGTCCTCGTCGTCATACTCCGCACCCTCCTCCACGTATGCCCCATCTTCTGCATCGTATACAATGTCTTCGTGGTCGGAGTACGTGTGTTCTGCGTCGGAGCTGTCGTCATCTTCGTACTCCTGATCATCTGCGTAGGACCTGGCAAGATTGTCGTCGGCGTCAACTTCATGTTCATCGTACTCTCCGACGACATCATCGTCCGCGCTGATCCCGTAGCACGGAGCGGGCAGCGTGTGCGAGACGTCGACCCAAATTTCATCGTCGCCCAAACCTTCGAGTCGATATCGCCAGGGGCAACGCGATCTATGTGGGGATAGGCAACCCCCCTTAGCTGGACGGCCAGCGTCTATTTGTGCCGGGATCACGGCCGTGTAATCTGGTGACATCTAAACGAGCGATAGTGCAATATCTCATCTTATCGTTGTCGTGCCGATCACACAGAACGCGATATCGTAGATAGGCATGGTACATAGTGCTAGGAGGTATCGGTGTGCAGTGGGAAAGAGTGGTAACTGTATAAAATGAGTGCTGGAGGTACGTTACATGGATTTTCTGAATTATAGGTATAGATAAACCTGTTGTATATATGCAAAGTCACAAGTGGATCGTAGAGATCCGCCGGCGGTAGGTAGAATGGGGGATTGTGAAACTCATCGTTTTGGGAGTACGAACATCGGTCCGCCCACGCTCGAAGCCGAGCTCGTCGGGGTCGGGGCGGAGGTCGATCACATCGACGTCAGTGAGCTGCTCATCTGCACTGGCAAGAGCGACGCGGCTGTCTCGTCCTCCGCGGTCCAAGTCCACCAGTGAGCGCGAGCCTTGTGCCATGCCCGCGCGGTGCTTGCCAGGTACCTGTGATCCTCTCTTGACTGGCCAGTCTTGGTAGGGTGTGCAGGCGTCGGGAGCGTGAGCACGGCAACGGTGCTGGCCGCGCGGAGGGGAGCTCCGGAGAGCGGGGGCCAGGGCAGCTGCGAAGTTGTGGCTGCCTGAGAGTCCGAGACGGTGCCAGCAACACAGAGGTTGGTTCGATGTATGGGTGTGGGAGCCACACTGCAATTGGTGCGAGACGTGGTGAGTGTGTCGTGCGAGTAGAGCTAGAGACTGCCGCTGCCGTGGTGGTAAGGATCCAGTAGTATTAGCAGTGCTGGTGAGTTTCGTTTGAGCTCGCCGCCCGAATCAACCTTCTTGTCCCCGGTGTACTAGACGTCCCCCTCGTTCTCCTAGTCAATACTGATGTCCATATTGATGTCCCGCGACGCGCGCTGCTTCTGCTTCAGGCCAGACACAGATCCCGCGACGCGATCACGAGAGCAATGCGCCGGGCAGGCGTCCGCAGCGGCTTCAATGTACGCACCTTGTCGATGAGCTTGAGATCTTGAAAGTAGGAAACAGTTTTGACAAGCACGTCCAGCACAGCCTCTTGAATTTCTGGCATGTCACACTCCGCTCGCGAGTCCCTCCGCAAATTCAACCACTCCCGCATCGGAAGGCCCGCCAGACCAAGATCAGCCTGGCAGACGCCTGTGACACTGTGTGCACTTATCAGTGAGGCTGAGCAGGAGAACCCCTAGGAAGCCGGCGAAAAACGAGGCAAGACGAATGCGAAGGGCAGGATGGACTCGTGCCAGGCTTGCGGCCGCGACGGGTCACGGCGCTGGGCTTGTATCACTTCGTCGCCAGAGTTGGAGTGGAGTGCGTCTGGCAAGCTGGTCCTAGAAACAGCGCTATTGCGAAGGATGGCACTGGCCGGCAGTGAGTACCGTCACGGTACCGCCGTCGTGACACACCGAGGTCCACGTCGATGCGGTGCTGGCAACACAGTTGCACACAGTGGTAACGTGAATATGACTCACCGTGTTGCCAACGATAACATGGGTTCCTCGTCGGAAGGCAATTGCCCGCGTTATAAGTTACTTGCAGCGCAGACATCCAGCATCCCAGTGGCACACGTACTACGGCGCTTGGGCGATGTATGGGGACAGGCCGCTTATGTAAGCTGTACCACGAAGTTCAGACTCAAGAAACTCACCAATTCGCACCTGACGGTTATGAGAGAAGTTGAACCAACATTCATGGACTCAATCTAAAAGTACCCCAACTACATTGGATAGCCAACGTTGAGCATACTGACAGGGGACACGCACATGGCAGCCTCATCCCACACGGGCGCTTGATCTGCGAACCTCGAAAACGGCACCTTTTGTGTGGTCTCGCAACAACAACATTTCACCCATCCAACTTTCGGGATGACCGTTTTTTGATACGACGAGTCGAACCTTCGTTGCCAAATTTTCACTGCTTCTCATTTAATGCACAATCTCAGCATGCATATAGCGAGATCAGTTACTTCTCGACACACAACAAAAAATCAGCAACCAACGTTTTGCTTAGAATCCTTATCGTAAACGCACTGTGTACAAGATCTACGAATAAAGCCGCTGTTGCAGACCACAGTTTTCGGTACCGTTTGCTGCTCACTGTGGCGCCTGATATGAAGACGATCGCTGGACTATCTGCAAGAGATTATATGGCATCTCGGCACGATGGCCAGCTACCATCAATCGTGTCCGCTTCCGTCCTCGGGCGCTTGGCCGCGCGCTAAGGCCATTTGGCGGGGGCGTTGCCTATCCCCAATCTATGGCAACTAAAAGTGAGCAGCCTCGTTGCCAGTCACAGGCGTGACAGATCGTGATCCAGATCTTCCAGATCGTGATCTTATCTTGCCATATCAGGTATGCAATCGCAGCCCGGTGACACTCTGTCCACGCTGCATCAGGGAGTCGGACAGTATCTGAGCATCTGACAGTCTGACAGATCTTGCTCAGGAACGTCAGTAGGCTCAGGTGAATCAGTCTGCTCAGGGCTCAGATTTGGCCGTCAGATACCAGACAACGGGGAAACAGTAGACTAGATTATGTATTCGTGTAAATGGTAATCACCGTACTTGTTTACGTAGAAAGACTCAAATACATCTAGAGTATACGAGAAATGGAAATCAAGTGGTATATCAGCGTCTCGATACACAGCAGTAAGGTGTACAGCACGGAAAACACTGTCCAAGTGAACAATCGATGACACCTGCTCTCCATCAACACATTCCGGCTGGACTACATACATACCAGTCGGGTTGTCTAGCTCGGCATCCACCCTTTCGTACCAGTCAACCAACGCACAAGGGTAACGCATGCCATGATACGTTATGGCCATGAGGCCCTTCACCCGTGCAACAGCCAGCCCGTCTAGTCCCGGCTCGTCGGGATCAACATTGAGGAGGATTGTGTCGAAACGAGGATGACCGCGCCACGACGGATTAGCGCGGATCGTTTCGCGGTGCATGCCACCAGTCCCTGACAGTTCGCTTGGGGCGTAAAAGGTCGCATATGCTGTGCGGTATACAGCGATCTTCCCATCGAATTTGGGGCATTCAGAGAGGTCGACTGCACTTGAGTCGACCTCGGCGTCATCGGGAGCGAGCTGATCAAACAGGAAGCGCCGCACAAGTTCCTGAAGATGAGGCTGGTCGTACTCCGCCGCCAGACGCTCTACATGACGCATGTACACTGGGAATGCGATAGCCGTTTGTCAAGATATCACGATTAAGTGTGATGGCGAGCTCACCTTGTCTTTTCGGCAGCTCAACAGTCCCGTCGAGGTCTCCCTCAATATCGACTACTTCATCCTCTGGCTCATTGAGGTCGTCGTCCAGGTCGTCGTCCAGTGTTAGAATAGCAAGGTTCAACGCGTCTGCGAGAACATCACCATCGAGCATTTGACGGCTCGTGAAGCATGAGCGCGCCGCACTGAGCTTGTCCAGACGCTGATTTGTACGGAGGATCTGCGGCAGAGGATTATTCTTGCTCGACGCGCGCCATGGCCGTTTGACCGCGCGGATGTGCTTTGACTCGGTGATCGACGAGCAGATACCGTTTGGGGAACCAAACAGTCGGATACCCGTGATGTAGTGGATAAGAGCGTGCTGCCGTGGAAGTGAGAAGCCCTCGGGACGTACACCCACCGTCTCAAAGATGACGCGATGGGTGTGGAAACGGGTAAGAGCCTCTTCCATGGCTGCCAACGACTTGTCATCGTGGGCTGATCGTCGTGCGAGGTAACAGAAGTCGAGGTACGCGGCAAAGCAGCGGACCATCTCATCAGGGACGTGTCCTTCTATCGCCGATAGATACACCTGCCATGAACTCAATCAGACCAGCCACGTACTAAGCTACCTTCCAGAACGTACCTTCATCAGGGCCTTCGAATCATTACCTGTCCATTGCTTGAAATTACGGCCTTCCGGAAACCGGCGGAGGCCAGGGAATTGAGGCGCAGCCGCGATTCTGTCAGGCAGTCAGCATCCGAAGTACTTCCATAATAGGCATCAGTACTTACCTTCGATCAATGTCGTCCATCCGACGTCGAGCCTCTATCTTCGAGTGCACGTGGTAGAGGTATTGTTCCACCCAATCGACGAGATGGTCCTTGAATGTTCCCTTGATCAGTTGGTGAAGAAGGTCGGGTGTGAGGAGCTCGTGAATGTCGGCGCGGGGGAAGTATGCAGTGAACGGCTGGCTCGTTCAGTCAGAATAAGAACAATGGCAAACTTTTGAAACGTACGATCACATTTGCATCAATACCCCACATTGTCCACAGAGTCTCGACATCAAACGCGTCGACGACATGGGCAGTGTGTTCATGGCAGCGCGGTTCGCCGGCCTTATGCAGATCTTCCGGAGGAACCAAGCATCTATCGTCATTGAACGGCATCAGTCTTACCGTAAATGGAATTAGTAATCAGTACTTACTTCGGGCACCACCCTTGGACGACTCCAGAAAGTACGACCTGTTCAGGATAATCAGCAATAAAGGGGCCAAGCTCGTATATTACCCGGCGGAAGTGCCCATCCGGGCATTGCAGCACATCGTGCGTCTCCATGTATTGTTTCAGCGGCGACATGATCTGCGCAAGGGACGCGTGATAGAGTTGCTTGCGGAAGATCCGGAATTCGTCCGTCTCGGCCTCCTCTCGGGATGCTGCAGGAGATATTAGCAGCATTCAACAAGATAACCAACTCAGCTACACACCTTTTGGGATTGCTAAGAACGCAATTGGGATGATCGCGTCCTTATGAGCACGTCGCATGGAGTTGTCCACATTACCTATGGACATGTAAACGGGGTGGAACTCTGTGTGTCCGGTCCCAACCGAGACCGTTGTCTTGTCCGCCCCCAGGATGATTGGCATCAGCATTGACCCATGCGTCGCAGGGTCGGCGGCGATTTTGGTCTACACGGCTAGAATCAGTAGTATACATATCTACAAGACACGATGCACGTACCGCTTGCTTATAGGCCCATAGACCCGACATGACGTTCGAGAATCTTGGAGCTCCGGGTGCACAATACTCTTGATACGGCGTCGTATCAAATTTCCCGTCAAATTCTTCATTTCTGGATATGTTGTGTGCGACCGTCCTTGGATTGCGGCAATGAACGACAAACGTTCCCCGCTTCCATGACGGAGAGTCGTCGTCAACTGGGCCTGTGTACTGTAGGGTGAAGCTTTCCCAAGGTGCGTTACCATACGGAATCGCATCGACCGTTGCGAAGAGCTCGTCTGAGTCCTCGAATGGCGGATCCCCTCCACCTTGGGTCGCATTGTAAGCGGCCTGCGTCCGCAGCAGGGCGTTGATATCTCCTATAGAGGTCTGCATCTTCTTCACAATCAGGTCAGCAAATTCAAAGGCAGGCCGGTTCTCGAAGGGTGCAAAGGTGATGGGCTCCTTCTCAGGCGGTGGAGCCCCGGGCGCAAGAAACAACCCCTGTATATCGCAAGGGAGCCCTCCAGTACAGTGATCTCGTCAGCGATCTGGGTATGAAGAGCATTACAGATAGTGGACGTACCGTTCAAGTATGGGTGAAACCGATACGTTGCTCGGAGAGGGACCCGCTGTAGACGTGGATGGATACGCGTACGATGAAGTGAGTACCCTTTGCGAGATCGGAACGGCTTCCTGCATGGCAGGCACCAGTACTGGTGAGCGTGGGGCATGTTGGCCGGTGTAGAGCGTGAGTCGTGGATGGACTACTACAATGCCAAGGTAGAGACGGGATCGAGCAACATAACCAAACATGTTACAAACAATGTTACGTGGGCAGACCTTCGCTAATGATTTTCTTCAGCCTGGCGTCAACTGACTGACCTGCGTTTGCGCACCTTTCCTGCCACCTGACCGTCTTTGCATGTCTATCTCTGGCAACAGTCGAAATCTCAGGTCTAAAAATGCTGTCGTTCAGAACGCTCGCCAATCCCATGACGACCTTGAGCACGACACACCTGTCGACGACGTCACTGCGGACATGGCTGAGCCAGACAACGGCCAGTCTGACGATGATCCTACTATTCTAGCTGCCAGCGAACCCGACGAGCCTCCAAGTCGCCGGTACTCCACGCGCCCAAGCAACAACCCTCATCCCGCACTCGCTGCTGGTTTGGCCAAGCGAAGCCAGGCTGATATTCGGAAGGAAGCCCAGCGGAAAAGGGACGAGAAGGAAGCCGAGTGGAAGCGGAAGGAAGCCGCTGGAGAGAAGCGTCAGCTGGAGCTAGAGCAGAAGCTCCAGAAGCTTGCGGCCCTAGAGCAGGAATTGAGGACACGTCGGGCGGTAGAGATGGCTGAGCTGGTCTCCAGTCGCCGCGATGTGCCGGAACCTGGTGAGGATGAAAGCGAAGGTAAGTAATTATGGATGGTGACGTTTGGACAACGCTGACTGTTGCCCACCGCATTAGTTGTGATCGTGGACTCGGATAGGGACGTGCCGGAAGGGATGATCGCTACTTGCAATACCTCTGATGAAGAGAACACCATGAATCTGACGGCAAAGGAGATCAATGAAGGTAAGAAGACGCACCATGTGGTCCTCCGAGAGCTACTCACATGTACTGATGGCACAATTGTCTTATCCGGGCGCGGCATTAAAGATGGATCGGATCCGGATGACGACGACTTTGTAGATGAAGGTCGTGGCAGACTTGAGTCTGATGACGCGCTAGCATCAGAGGATTCTGACGTTGACGTTGATGACGGGATACTGTCAGGACAGAAACGGAAAGCTAAGAAACCTCCGGCGAAGGTAGAGACTTGATGTCAATGTACCGAAGTGCTCACTCATGGTGTGTAATTCATAGCCACCGAAACCGAAAGCACGGAAGAAGCTCACACAGAAGGAAAAGAGGCAAGAGTTCTTGCGAGAGGCTGAGAACGCGAAGGGCGTGCAGCGGGCTGTGGCGGGAGAGTCCACTAGTCGTCAGAATCGGGCTAGCGAGCTTGAGGCGTCGGCGAGAAAGGCAAAGTAAGTACACTTGTATGATTGCAGATCACACTCACTGATAACTCCCCGTGATACACCCGGAACAAGATCCAAACAGCCGCCATTGACCGCAAAGCAGCCCGCAAAACCGAAGTTGCAACCTAAGTCAGGCGCTGCGAAGAAATCAGGTCCATCGGCGCCGAAGTCTAAGGCGCCTGCACTCTCGCTCAACCTCCCCACTATGGGCTTGAAAGCAGACTGGAAAGCTGTGGTTGCTCGCCGCTTCTCTACCCCCGAGCCATCTGCTCAGCGACTCTCCTCATCTGCTGCAGGCTCCTCTGGCCAGGCCGCTACTCCAACTCCACGGCTCGGCGGTGCAGCTCATCGGACCGCCAACGTGAAGCGTTCGAGGCGCCAGGATTCCCTCGAGAATATTGGAGGCTTCACCGATGCCGACGTCACAGTTGGTATTGGCTCACTTTCATCGTCTGTCGTTCAGCACCGCCATAGTGGGCAGATGGTCCGGGTCGTGGGTGGAGTGAACACAGAGGAGGGAGACGGCCACTCCGGAACGGCTACTACAAAGAAGCGACGCGCTAAGACCGTTGTCTCGGACGAGAAGTCGCTCGCTGTTCAGTCATTACCTTCCTTTGCAGAGCATCATTGGAAGTCGACATTCGTGCCGACCATGCTTCAGATGCTCAGGCAGACAGAGCGACCCTGGGTGTATGCAAGTGGGAAGACACCTGCCGAAGATAATCTCTTGATCGACATCGTCCAAGGGCTTGTCGACGCGTTCTGGCCCGAGGAGCAGTATCACGTCAACGGGAGTGATAAGATCTACAGAATCGTGAGTCTCTTTCGTTGTCAGTTCGGCTGCCGAGGCTGAAATACGTTGAATGATAGGCACGACAGGCGGTCGTTGACTGGCGTGCGCGATTTGTGTCGCGCACCAAGTCTTTTGTCAAGAAGAGTCTGGAGAAGCAGGGGTCCTCTGAACAGATCGCCATCTTCGTGAAGGGAGCACTGGTGCGAAGTAACGGGGCCGCGTTTTGGGAGAGATGTGATGCCGAGGTAAGTAGCAGTTTCATCGCTGTACCTGACTAACATCGACTGCAGAACGGCTGCGGCGTTGGGGCGCTCAAGTCGCGATACGTACTCAAGTCATTTGCAACCCACCTTGCTGCAATTGAGGGGAGCCAGCTGAAGGAAAACGACGTGAAGCCCGCTCGCGGCGCCCTAGCCCTTGCTGCTACTGCAGTATGTGGCATTATTTCCATCAGGAAAAAAGAGGTTTGCAAAGTAGACCAATATTGTCTACATAGTAGTCATTGCAGTCTTAGCATACCCCCTCATACATAGCTACACATAGTTGTCATTGTAGTGTCTGTAGCACACTGTAGTACACTGTAGTCACCAGGACTTAACAGATAGTGACATATGGCACTAGGCCTAGATGGCATTGTATGTCATAGCGCAGTACAGGCACTGCTACTGTATTATAGCTCATCATCATACTTCATGTTTGTTCCCATGGATATCATTGTCCAATAGACTATTACGTGGATTCGAGTATACTAATCAGCAATACTACAATCGCTTTATAATACCATTACTACTATCTGATAGAGTACTCGGGAATCGGGATGCAGCAGACTCAACGACAGTGAAATTGTGCAGTGGCAAAAGAAGATTAAAGGGGAAGTAGAATAGGGTGCATGGCCAACAGTATAGCAGAGAACGTGTGCGGTTCGGGAAACTTATCAACAATATGAACTAATTACCAAATCAGAGTCATTCGTCGCCATTGCGCGCCTGAGCTTTTGCGTCCAAGGCCTGGCGAAGTGCAGATGTCAAAGCATCACGAGGTATTGTGTTCAACTTCCGTGTCGTGTCAATTGCCTCTGCACCGGAATGGAATCTGCAACAGAAACCACGAAGGTAAGATTGAGACCGAGTGAGTTACATTCAACACAGGCCCATACCGTGCTTCCGTGTGAAGCTCCTGACGGATGTCAAGCAGAACCTCATGAGCGTCATCGCAGAGGCGGTCAAATGCTTTGAGGTTTGCCTTGTGGGTATCATACACCGAGTGGTAGTCATTGACGTTGAATGAGATGGTGGTCCGTGCCCCTCCTCCCCACTCATCGATGCCGCATTGGACCTGTGAACCGTGAGACATCACCTCTTTGTACTCGTATCGATGTACTTACTGCGGTCAGAACTAATGCAAGGGTTTCCAATGAGAACGGGTCAAAGAACTTGCGATAGCGAACACCTTCGTCGTTCTTGTTTGCAAACCACATCGCGTTGACAGCCTTTTGGATGATCGGGCTGCGGTACATTCCTTTGCGTGCGTCATAGTTGTTCTGTCCAAGAGCAGGCTCCTTCGCGTATAAACATTGTCACTTAGACAAACATAGAACAAAAACAGTACTTACTTCGTACACAAATGCTGATTCGCGCTTGAGATTCTCAGCAAGTTCACGATTCTCGCGAATTGCCTTAGCCGAGGACGAGTTCTTGAACCCATACAGGCTCTCGACTAGAGCTCACTACGTGCCTGTTGTGTACGTGCAGTGATCTGCCATAGACTGTCATTCATACCGATGAGACATCTCAACTTCAATCACTTACAATCTTGATGATACGCGGACTTGCCGCGTACCTGTAATTCAGTTGTCTGCATGCTTCGCCCCAGGATAGCTGCGCCCACTGGACCTCCTGGTCAGGGCCAGGAAACGCATTGATTGTCGAAACACGACATCTGAAGAGTTGGTTTGCAATGTCAAGGATCGCTTGTACGTCCTTGTCATAGTCCTTGGCACGTGGCCTCCCAGAGTTAGCGACGATCGGGACGGGAAATGGGATGTCTTCGTTGTGTGGAACCAGTGAGTGACGTCGGATTGGCTACACCATTGTTATGGAGACTTACCATCCTCGTCCCCATCCTCATCACCCTCCTCATCCCCATCCTCGTCCCCATCAGGCTTGTCCCCATCCTCGTCACCCTCCTCGTCAAAGCCTTGATCATCGGCTTGGGCTTCTGTGATGTCCTCGCATGTGAGCTAGTACATCAACAATCACGAGAGAAAACACTACCGTCATTGCCATCTCGCATGTCCGAGTCATCATCGTACCCAGCCTGAGGCCCAACCTCCTCCTCCTGGTCATACTCCTCGTTAGGTGCTTCTTGATCGAGTTCCATCTCAAAGCGCTCCTCTTCGCCGAACTCCTCTTGGTCGAGTTGCTCTTCGTTGCGCTCCTGTCTGCCGTACTGCTCTTCGTTGAACTCCTCTCGGTTGAACTCTTCTTCATCGCTCGAGGTGTCGATACGCAATCTGGACTGACGGACCAAACCTTGCACCACACAGTGGGGTGAGTAAACAGGCTCGTAGTTGAAGGTAGAGCCGCCACCTACTGGTGCTCATTCCGCTTTCCTGACGTCTTGCAAGTGGCTGCGACGGACGTCGTGCATGAACAGGTGGCGGTGTTGCTGGCGCCGCCGGACGTTGTGGACGAACTGCTGGCGATGCCGCTGGACGTTGCAGACGAACAGGTGTCGATGTTGCTGCTGAACGTTGTGGGCGAGCTTGCTGTGATGCCGCCACTGGACGAGACAGCTGTGGAACCTTGGTCGTGCGCTTCATGACGTTCAGATCCAGAGTACGAGCTTGCTTCGGCGTCGAGCTTGTCACCGTACGCGAAGTGAACTACAAAGGAATGTTTTCTCAGTAACCAGTCGCGGTTGAGGGAATATGGAAACACGTAACAAACCGTTTGGGTATCTGTAGCTGCTCTCCGAACCCTCTTTGCAGCCTGGCTGTCTGAGCCATCCTGACCAGCAGATCGCTTCTTCGCCCTGTCTGCGTCACTTGCTTTCTGTGTCTCATCTATGGAATTGCATTGATTATTGCATGCAGGCAGATTGATACGTCAGAGTGTGAGATTCCCTGTACTCACCAAGTTGCCGCTGCTTCTCGGTTGGTCGGCGGTTACGTTTTTTCGGCTGCGAGTTTGAGATGCTGGGCTGGCGGCTCAAGGACATTGTGAGGCTAGTAGACTTAACAAAGAAACGAAAAGAACGAAGGTCGAAAACGGGAGAGAATGGATGATGTTGTCTGGCGAGGAACACGTACAGAGAACGCGGTCAGATGCTATCGCTTGTGAGTTATCCCACGCAAGGTCTGCACTGGATTGTCGGCAATGGAGTCTGGACCGGGGTCTGGGTCATGTGGACACAGGCGGTGAAGACCCTGAGTACACTTGTTAGGACAAATGAACGTGGGCTTTGTAACTAGAGTGTGTCCTTACTAGGGTTGTGCACACAACTGCTTCTGAGCTGTTCAACTCGATCTCATCCAATTGCTATGAAACATCATTGTGGATTCTGTGGAAAAGGCGTCAAGACTGCTAAAGGCGTCAGGTTACACATCCAAAACACACCGGCGTGTCGCCGTCAATGGCGGCGGCAGGTTACGAAGACCGCGCAGGCTGTTGCTACATCGGAGGACAACGCTAGTGCTTCTGCGATTGTCGCCTCGCAGCCCGCCGAAGCCGAGTCTCCACAGCACACTGCCGATGAACCTCTGAATCCAAATGGTGGCGAACATCCCAATGGCCCGACGTCTCCGTCACGCTCAGCCTCCGTCGAGGATGTTCCTGAAGATGAAGAGCAAGCTTACCGCTACGTGGAAGCGTACCCAGGAGTTGTTGCGAGCATCATTCGAGAGGACAAGACGATGTTCGAGAAGTGGCGCGAAGAACGGGAAGCTGCTGGAGTCGACGAGTGGGCGCCGTTCCAAGATCAAGAGGAATGGGAGCTGTTCAGATGGCTTATCAAGACTGTGGGTCAGACGAACATCGACGACTTCCTGAAGTTATCAATTGTGCGTACCTGGTGACTCGGAGCTCGTACAAAAGTACTGATTGTATGTTTGATTGATCAGATACGACGGGACTGCAATCTGTCTGCGGGTACTAAGTACAAGTTCTTTCAACACATAGATGCCTTACCTACTGGCGTTCCCTGGCAATGTGACATGATCACTGTTCAAGGTGACCGCCTCGACGATAACGGGCAGCCTCTCCTCGAACAACTCGAGCTCTGGAGACGCGACCCCGTTGACTGCGTGCTCGAGCTCATTGGAAACGCCGCCTTCGACGGGAATGTTGCGTATGGACCAGAGAGAGTCTTTGCAGACGAGGATGCGACTATCAGGCGTTACGACGAGATGTGGACCGCGGATTGGTGGTGGAAGACACAGGTGCGCTAACATTTTAACCTATCCATCCATCGATTGTTCGTCAGAACCTGATCGATGAGATACAGGGAAAGCTGCCAGAAGGTGCAACAATCGCACCTGTCATGATCGCGTCCGACGCGACAAAGCTAACGAACTTCGGCGGCAATAAGAAGGCGTGGCCTGTCTACCTCTCTATTGGAAACATTGCGAAAGCGATTCGCCGTCAGCCGTCGCAGCGGGCGACCGTTCTTATTGGGTACATACCCGTCTCGAAGCTTACGTGCTTCCAGGACTCGACCCGCAGTCTATCTGGTTATCGCCTCTTCCATCATTGCATGTCACGTCTTCTCCAGCCTCTCCGTCAGGCTGGCCTCGAGGGTAGGGAGATGACTTGCGCCGACCGCTGCGTTCGAAGGGTCCATCCGATCCTCGCGGCGTACACCGCGGATTATCCCGAACAATGCCTCGTATGCTGCTGCAAAGAGAATAGCTGTCCACGATGCACCGTACCTCCCCCGCGACGAGGGGAACAGCTCTACAGTCCACCTCGTAACGTCAACGAGACGCTAGACGCACTGCAAGCTCATAAAAACGGTGAAGAGTCAGCGCGCTTCACTTCGGAACAGCTGCGACCTGTCTACGAACCTTTCTGGGCGACTCTTCCTCATTGCGACATCTTCGCGTCGATCATGCCAGATATTTTACATCAGCTGCATAAAGGCATGTTCAAGGAGCACATACTGTCATGGTGCACCACACTAGCAGGGACAGACGAGATTGACCGCCGCTTTCGGGCGATGACAGACTTCCCTGGTCTCCGCCATTTCCAGAATGGCATCTCGACTGTCTCACAGTGGACTGGGCGCGAACACAAAGAGATGCAGCGCGTAATCGTCGGACTCCTCGCCGGCGCGATACCCGCGGATGCCCTTGCAGTTGCTCGTGCGCTGGTCGACTTCATCTACTACGCGCAGCTTCAGTCCCATGATGACACGACACTTGCTCACCTGCAGACATCCCTGGACACCTTTCATCGCCACAAGGAAGTCTTCATCTCGCTAGGTATCCGGGAACACTTCAATATTCCGAAGCTGCATAGCCTTCTCCACTACATCGAGGCCATCCGCTCGCACGGCTCATGCGATGGATATAACACGGAGCTTCCAGAACGCCTGCACATTGAGCTGGCGAAGGATGCGTACCGAGCGAGTAACCACCGTGATTACACGGCGCAGATGGTCACTTGGTTGTCACGTCAGGAGGCCGTCGATCTACATGCCGCGTACGTTGCTTGGTTGCGAAGATTGGAGAGCAGGGAGGACTTGGTACAAGAATCAGATGACTCGGAGGCGGCTGCACCAGAGTCAGAAGACGAACCCGATGAAGTTGACTCTGGTGCAAGAGAAGATTCCCCAATTCCATCCGTTGCCCCGTGCTCGAACTCGCTGGCCGGTCGCTCTGAATACGCAATCGCAAAGACTTGTCCCTCCCCCAATACATCGCTTCGTCAGCTCGAGACCGACCACAATGCTACCGAATTCCTACCTGCGTTCACCGATTTCGTCCGCGACAACATGCCTCAATGTCACCTCAGACCGAATAGCATGGACCGCTACGACGTCTACAAGAACATGTCAGTCACGTATCCTGCCGACCCACACAGTGACGCAACAACACATACCGATAGGATTCGAGCAATGCCCGCCGCGAGAGCATTGAGTGGTGGTCGGAGACAACCACAGGGCGCTCACTTCGACACAGCGTTCATCATCGATCCAGAAGTTCCCATTGATGGACGCCAGAGTGCGCGGTCTATTGCCGGTGAGAGATAATCCGTTTATAGAGAGAAATCAGCTCATCTCACGTCGTAGGCACGAGAGTTGGGCGTATCCGTGTGATCTTCGATCTTCCCTGGCAATTTGGAACTCTGCCCCATCCTCTCGCGTACGTTGAATGGTACACACCTCTACGACGTCTAGATCCAGCCACGGGTCTCTATGTCATCTCGCGTTCAACACGCAATGGTGGGAAACCTAATGCAAGTGTCGTTACCATTGACAAAATACGACGTGCTTGTCATTTGATCCCGAAGCACGGCAAAACAATAGACAGAGGACTTACTAAAGATAACGCACTTGACTTTGCTCAGGCTACCGAGTTTCGTGTTAATTCGTATATATCAGTAGACCTCAGGACATTGCCAGGATGAATATAGTTCACGTCCACTTGCCTTTTGCTGCGCCAGATTGTTGAATCAGAGCCCCGGTCCATTGGGTAAGTCGATTAGATTCACTCCTCCGAGTCGCGGAAGACCGTGCTATGCTACGGCGTAGGCACAATCGCATAAGCGCCCGCCTTAACGCACCTCCCCACTTCAGCGTGGAAGCTTAAGGCTTGAACAACGAAACACAGTATACATATGCGTGTTTCGTGTGGTTCGCGCAAAGGAATACCTTCGGGAACTGCAGTTGCTCACGCAAGTTGAATACTCTTGCTGAGCAACTGCGCCACCGCGACCGGCGAAGCTCGGCGCTTGTACCCGTGGCTCACTGCACCAACACTGCCTACGACTTACCACAACGATCCTTCACCACCATCTTGCTTCTCGCATGACTCTGGCCACCTCCGTCTCATTGCTCTCATCTCTGATCACTCTTGACCATCCATTGGAACTGCCAGTGGGAAGACAGTACGCGAAAGGAGTCAGGACAAGACCGCTCGGAGACCGGCCTGCAAATGATGAGCTTGCCCAGTGAGGGATGGACGACTCGGAAACAAGCTAAGTTCATGACATCAATGCTTGTGTTGTGACGATCTGAGGGGGTGTATGGGTGTGCCTCCGTGCCACGCATGAGCCTTTGCTCGAGGCGGGGCTAGCCGTCGTGCACATAGACTGGCCTCTCTGCGGACCAGCGTCGATGTATGCGTTGGGCATCGACCCGGGTGAGGCATCCGCGGTCTGCAGACGAGTGTCGTGTCGTGTGCTACGCATTAGTCTTGGGCGCGAGGCAGGTCTTACTGTCTTCGTGTGGACTAGCCTCTCCAGATCAGCGTAGATGTGCGCGTTGGGGTTTGGCCCGGGTGAAGCATCCGCGATCTGCGAAGCCAGTCTTGGCGTATGACAAGTCTACATCCTCATCGCTTGGTCCATACCGTACTATTTGCAGTTGACATTGTCAGTGTGGCGTACTTAAAGCTGATTCACCTCGACATCACAGGAACCCGATGCGACCACGCCGCCCGAGGCCGCATCTCCCGCCTCCGAGTCCACACCCTCGAAAGTGCCCGATGCGTCCGCTGGCATGGAGCCTGACCGCCACCACCGCCCTGTTCTCAGCACGAGCCCTGAGGATCACTGCCCGACTCACTCGCCTTTCCGCCTCCCTCGAACACACCCTCATCCCATCACTGAGTGTACCTCTCCATGACGCACGGGGCTCATCTGCTTGCCTCATCGCCGAAGTCGCCCTTGCCCCAGTACTCGTCTGCACACGAGTCGGCTCTCCCTTGCACGAGCATGCCGCGTATCGACCCTTCCACAATGAGCGCAGAAGGACCAGCCCGCGCTTTCGAACAACACGAAATATAGTGAGACCAGGGTGAGCATTTGCAGCATGCCTGCTCTCCCGTATGATCGGCTCAACCTCTCCCTCTTTTGCGAACTCGGCACGCTCCCTTGTCTCTGCCCGGAACGCTTGCCCTCCTTTTAAAGCGCGGCTCGTGTCCTTCTCTGCCTGCGGACGTGGCCCGCGCACCCGAAACGCGCGCCGCTATGCCTTCACTCGTGCCCCACATGCCTCCTGCATCGCAAGCCAGCTGTTTGCCGGCGCCTGCCCGCCTCGGCAGGTCCAATCCCTTCGCCCATGTCCCTTCGCCCCTTCACCTCTCCACCGTCTCGATGTGTCAAGCCCCGCCACAGTGCAGCACCTCAGTCGACCGCGAGACAGTGCACGCAGGTGCCCGCCCTCCGCTGGCGCGACCAATGAGGATCGCCGCCCTCGCGTCCATACTCAACGCGAGGATGGAGAACACTTTGGCGACGCGTGACGAGAGCAACGAGTCCCCGCCTATGCCGAGGACTCGGAAGGACTGGAATGCATGCACTTCACCGTGATGTACGCCCTGCTGATCGCCAGCGAGGATCTCCATCGCCGAGGAAGCAAATCAGTGTCGTGAGCTCGGACAGGTACACCTGTAACATAATGCTTATGTAGATTCTACGTACATTGGCTCAGTCTGAATTGATCATCTTTCCGAGAGTCAACGCTGCGCGTTGGAGCTGCAAGCCATAGGATCCTTCAAGCTCTCTCTCACTGTGACCGAAAGAGTGGATAGCACTACTAGTACAATGGTGTATTCGTGATATGCAGCTATGTAACCTAAAATTGACAACTGCCCCAATGGTAGCACCGCACACGTCTACACTGTACTATAGTATGCTATGTGCCACTAGTGCTCGACTACAGCGGCTCTGCCGCCTATAGAGGCTATGTAGATGTAAGTGGTTACAATCGGCCGATACTTTTTTTCCTGATGTCATGCATATATCAATTACGCTTGGCTCAGACCTCTCTAGGTACAGTACATCTTCACGTCATGGTCTAGTATAGGGGTGTTTGTCGCGGATGGTTCTTTCAGCGGCGAGAACTATCGGAAGGTCACGACATTTTGGCACGACAAGTCCGTGAAGAAGATACTCGAGCACACTGGTCGCTATGGAACATACGTCAAGCTAGCCACACCCTATATGGAGGCGGGATGGACACCGCGGATCATCGAGGATGAGGACGACATATCTGTTTGCGATCCAAGCAGTCCCCCGCAGTCTGATGTTGAGGACATGAACTAAATCTATGACCCGTTCTTATGATGTATGTACCTTCCGTGGCCGTCTCCGTCATCACTTGCTTTCCGTTACCGCTCGCTTTTCATCCGCTGTCGTGTACTAATTGTCATGCTTGCCTCGCAATCGCTACCATGCTCTCCTCCCTCGCAATCGCTACTTATTGCTCTCGTCTACTATTTCACATCTGCTATCAAGCTTTGCAATCACGGTCCTCTGCTGTCTCCGCTGTCGTACGCAGTTCATATCTCTTACTAGTATAGTAGCTCTCCCCTTACCCCTTATGCTCTCAACAGCTACGGTTAGTGATGCTATGTCCAGCATTCATCTGCAGGTAGCAACTCGGAATGTACCTCTAGTCTGTTGTCTGATATCTGGAACTATCTGATGCCTGGCTCACTCTGAGGATCATCTGGTGCAGCTGAGACTGCCCGTCTGACGGTAAAAGTCGGAAAATATTGCAGGTGATGAGGGCTGACGGTCTGGGCCCATCTGAAGCAATCTGGGGCGATCTGAGCACTTCTGACGTCACTGGTGGCACCGTCAGACGGATTGCATGACTTCCCGATGTGGGCCCCTTCGTTCGCTCAGGGCTGGCAATAACTATATTCAGGGTACTCACATCGTGTTCAAAACACAGGGCGATGAGACGAGTGCATCGACGAGTGCCCAATAACTCAATTTGGTGAAGTTCGAGATTAGGCGCCCGTGCGGGTAACCTTGCGAGCGGTCTCAGTGGCTCTCGCGTGCGTGCACTGTGCACTGGCACATATGTACTATGTATATGTCAAATTGTAGTTAGGGGCTGCCTTCAGTCTCATCTGGGAGTATCCGTACATGTACAGGAAAATATACATGAGTAAATGATGCTCAACTTGAACCTCATATGTCACTGTACCATGTTTGGGCTGGCCGCAGCGCCGTCGCGACTCGGAGTATTGTACGTGGATTGATCCTACAAGCATAGGGAGGTCTACCGTCTTGTGCTGGCATGAGCGTAAAGAGTAGTAGGGGATGGTCTGTGCATTGCATTGCATTGGCAGCACATTGCATACTCCGAATGCAGGCGAACGAACAGAAGCACAGGAGACGACCAATGTCACACTTCCAAATGACACGGTGTCACAACAAACAGATACAATAGTGAGCCAACTTGTTGGGAGCATGCTCGGTTGGAGCCTCTTTTCAAGATGCAGTTTCATGCAATCCATATCTCGGAATATTGCACATACCTAGTAGATTCGACATAGTGACTCACTATACATACGGCATCTCATGTAGAATCATGGCACTATGATTTAATGAAGATCTACTCGTTTGTTTTACGTCTCTGGATCAGAGAAGCTTCTTGTACTAGCAATTGATGCCTGACAATTCTCCAGGGACTGTAATTGAGCAACAGTATGAACATCTCAGTATTTCATGTCCGTACGCACAACCCAATACACGTATATTCTTCAAGCTTGTCATTCTACTCTCGAAGTAGATACCTACCTACTTCTTCTCCATCTCCCACGGGACTCACCTTCAGGTCTCTCGTCCATGTCTCCAGCTTACTGGGCCCGGGCCATCACAGTATCGGGACGCCGTACGCGCCCTGCGGATGTCCGCACAGAGCGAGCGGGCAGGCGCCGCGCGTGGACGGCGAGGCACTGTGCGTGAACGTACATAAAGGTCGGAGCGGCCGGGGGTGCACGGTATTCGGGGTTGATGGTGAGCGAGAGGAGGCCGATCGCCTGGGTGAGAAGGGGCGGATTCGCGCACCTCATTTTGATGTGTCGAGAGGCGGGGATGTATCATGTGCGATGAAGGTCCGAAGGAACACTTGAGTGTCCACCCCGGTACGGAGAACCTGATCTGCAAGTCAAAGCCTGTGACGAGTTATTAGAGATGGCAGGGCGCGCTTTGCGGCGCGAAGGACGTACCGTACATGTCCATGGTGAGCGGCACGCGGGCGAGTGGCAGAGCAACCGAGTAGGAGCCCAGGCACAGTGGACAGGTTTCTAAATCGAACTGCGGACAAATGCAAAGGCGGGAGCATGGACAAGCAGGGAGCATTGACGTGAAGAGGCTGTGTTCAAATGCATCTATTTACTCACCGTGCATGTACCGATAACCACCCTCCGAGCAAGCTTCCAGCTCAGCCACATCTCACAGGGAACTTCCATACAACGCGCCGTGAATCTTGGGGAGCGGCCGAGCGAGTGAGCAGGAGCACAAAGGTTTGAAGGAAGTGGCCACAGCCTTGATCGACAGGCTCGCGCGTTGAGCGCTATTATTAGCGCTCAGCCCTACCCGTGACCGCGACGGAGACGGTTCGTCCTGAGATCCTGATGAGTACAAAAGGCTGCGGTTAAGTTGTACATGGCTTCAAAGTGTACGACCTACAATTCATGCACTGTCCAAGACAATGATAGCCACTACTTGATTGCGAAGACCGTTGACAGAAGCGCTCGCGAGGCTCCCCGCACGGGCGCCTAATCTCGAACTTCACCAAAATGAGCTACTGAGCACCCACCGATGCACTCGTCTCATCCCCTTGTGTTTTGAGCATGACGTGGATACCCTGAATATAGTTTTTGCCAGACCTGAGCAACCGAAGGGGCCCAGCGTGGACCGAGTGCCACCGGTCTGCGATTGTACGCCTGATATGGTAAGATAAGATTGCGATCTGTAAGATCTGGATCACGATCTGTCACGCCTGTGACCGGCAACGAGGCTGCTCACTTTTAGTTGCCATACGATCCATCAACGCAGCGATACCACTGGGCCCCCCCTGGAGGGGCTCGTCGTTGTCGACGAGTCCTGCGCAGACCTTTACGTGGTCCAGGGGATAAGTAACCTCTCCGGAGGTGAAACCAACTGCGCTGTAAGGCTCTCAGGTATATATATCCCTGCAGAACCGGGCTGGATACCCTCCACAACAGCTACAAGGCTGGCCCATTGTCGGTGCACCCGACCACCGAACACGGTGTTAACGACCCTGTCCTACGAAGTACCTAGTACTTGCTCTACCAAGAGACCCAGGGTCGAAAGTCCTCTGAACCGCGCGTTCACAGATCAATGACTCGAGGCCCTTACAATCGTGACATGACCTACAATGGTCCGATAGCTACCTCCTCACCGCTACGACCGCCTACTAGGCCTATAATGCCCATCTCTTAGTGGCTCAGAGCCTATACGATCCCTTGGTCAATACCTGCTGGACTATGAATACTTGTACCCACCGCGCCGCCCTCTGGGCGCCTACGGAGGTGTGGACAGCGCCTAACCCCAATTTAAAGTTCAAAGCCACCGGCTGGACCTGTACTGCTCAACGTCGGATATCCCCGTTTCACGACTTTCCTTGTATGGAAACCCTCCAAAGCGGACACGCACACAGCACACAAAGTTTGCCATGCTCCACCAAGCATGGCCGCGACTTGAATTACAATGCTGTCTCCCGCCCCTGCCACGGGTGAGGAATACACAAATGTACTAGCGTGATCCGATATGAGAGACGCCTGTACGATAAAAGATATGCCACCTGAGGGCCCTGAGGAGAATACGTAAAGACCGTCTAAGACGCTCGGTGAACCGTTAAATGAGAACTCAGTCATACAGGACAAGACGCTCACCGAAAGAGCCCCCACAGACCGACATACACCAATCGTCCAGCCTGCAGATGCCAGTAGAACCCAAAAAACGAATGTGTAGGGCCAACGTTGCCCGCAACTCGACCACGTTGGTGACGTCCAAACGCATCGCGGCAAAAAAGCGACAGCCGTACCCCCTCCCCTCCCTGCCTCTCCCGCCTGCACTCGAAACCGCCGTCAGTGTAACGGTCCTCCCCCTACCGACAGTAGGAAACGGACGTGGACTCACCTGGACCGTGGACGACCGCCCGGCGGAGCAACTCCAAAAAGGAAAGCGCATCACGATGCGCACGGACACCCAGACGTCCGGAATCGGCCGCCTATCCGCGATCTCAGATCTGCGTAGACACTGGGTCACGTTCACGGTGGCTGGAGCTACACAGCCTTTCAACCTTCGCGTCCCAATCCCGTGGGCATCATTGGAGGACCTAGAAAGCTATACGCATCAACATCACTACTTTGACCTTCCCAACCTCCCTCCCCCACACCGTTTCTATGCGGATCGCCCAGCCTTTCTAGACGACAAGGAGAATCCGTACGAATTCGACATTAACGAGGACGATATCCCCTCCCTCACCAATCGTCTCGACAGCATTACGAACGTGTAGTGGCAGGACCCTCTAACGAGAGACTATGCGAACGAGGCTAGACCACATCTAATTCCATCCCTGAGTCTCCAATAACAGCAATGCACTAGCTACTAAATAGTCAAACCCGGCGTGATGCGCACTTTCGAAACCAACACAGAACGGCCTCACACGCTGTCACTACTGCTTCAAGACTCAAGCCGCACAAAACCCCTGAAGCTAATCACCTGTACAGCATGGCTGGACACGATGCCGGCGATAACCCTCGGCATCGTGTCCGTCCCCGCCTTACACAACGCCACACGGGAGCAAATGCTACCAATTATAGAGAGAAGTATGCGCTAATGACGGCCAGGGCTGATGAAGCGCCCCCCGCCGACGCAACAACTGCCTGCGCGGGCGCTGTTCCAGCGCCACCACCCGACACGACCAAGCGCCGTACACTCCTAGCCGACGATCGCGCTGCTCCCTACAAGCAGAACGGTGGCTTAGACCACCGACCCCTCGACGGCTGCATTGCCCTCCTACGGCCCAACCTGCGAATAACTCGAGCGAAGCCAACCGCGCGAACCCCCACACTAACCCAGGCAGGATGAGTCTAGATCAATCTCTTCTGCTCACTCCCATTACTGTATCTTCGAGACACGTACCTCACCCATCTTACGACCTCTCAATATAGTTCCCGGTCAATACCCGACACAACGGTCTGGGTAGCAGTGCGACGCCACTGGACCCTAGGGCACTGGCCCGTGTCACTCCAGACGACGCGAGCTCCAAGCCTTACCACCTTGGGGATCTACGTGACTGGCGAATCTCGCGGACTTCACACCGAAAAGGACTGAGGCAGGCCCACCGTATGTAAAAGAACCGCATCCCATTCATTTACATCGTATATTGGATATTCTGACGGCGTGCACCCATCGCAAGGATCATCCCCTTAATCCTCCCAACACCGTCGCCGCCCCCGAACACCTAGTCTTGTGCACCCACACCAGCGTTCCACTAAGCTCGACCGACCGACTGCACGACATACCATTGTGACAACTATAAAGAAACAACTCGAACCCGACGAGCGCTATCACTGCCCTGGTGACCCCTTGCTCCTGCTTTTCGCTATCGCCTCGCTCTCGCTGCTCTTAGCTTTCAAACCTGTCTGCTCTCCTTGCTCTTCATTGCCCGTACATACCGTCTATAACCGTAACCAACAAAGCCCAAACCAGAATGCTGTATACTCCGCTTCCGAATGACGAATCCGCCAACAGCGTTCCTTTGACGCACCAGCAGTCACTGAGCGACCAGGTCGACGCGGCCAACTCCCTAGCCTTAGACGCTAGCCAGAGATCGCTGAGCCCCACGACGTACCACGAAATGACATCGTCCTCGCCGTCAGCCAGACGCTCCCCGGGCATCTGTGAGTGTGATAAACGATCGAGTATAAACCCAGACCCCTTATAGTCACCATCACGCCCTTATAGCCTACGCTGCGATGGCTGCTCGATCCCCCTCCCCGCGTAGCCCTGCCAATAACGAACACGCTACCATGTCAGTATTGACTCACACGCCTCTAAGTACAAAGTTTTCTGACACACACTTGCAACCCCACCCTCCCCTACACCCCTCTATAGTGCCGTCGCGCCACAGCCTCCGCCTCCGTCCCCACAGGACGATATGGAGAGCTTCCCGCCCCTCGCCCCGCCGGCGAGCCAGACCAACCAGGGCGCCGGTTGGACGCTTGTTACGAATAAGAAGAAGGTTGCCGCCTGGAAAGGCAAGGGACGCGAAACGGCAGCCCGTCGTCGAAGGGCCTCCCTCTCTGACGACGAACCCACCGTCAACCTGTCACCGGAGATAGAACTGGGCGTCGAACCCCGTAAGCGACGCCGTGTTGCGGACGACACTGGATCCGATGCCGATCCTATGCCCACCCTCCGTAAACAGAACCCGCTGCCAAAGCGTTCCTCTCCTCCGACATCTACGACGCGCCGCCCACCTCGCCAGTCCTCACCGACTGACTTCATCCTCCACGGGAAGCCGGTCTGGACCAAGGGCCCTCCCTCGTCTAAACCCGCTAAGGCCCCGGTCACGAATGACAATATCGACATTGACTTCGCAATGGCGTCGGACTCTGACCCGATAGAGCCGCTACTCTTCCCAGCCAGTGGCCTATCCACCTCTGCGTCTCCAGCCCCGTCCTACCGCCAGGCTGGACCATCGCGGATCCCTCGCATCACTGCCGCGAAGTACACGTCTCGCATGGCCCACGTTCCTACTGCTAGAACCACGTCTTTGTTCCCTCTTCCTCCCTCGTCCCTTCCACCGGGAACTCCACGCACACCGGCTAAAGCCAGTAGGCCTCATCGTCGGTCTCCCTCTCCGTCAGCGCCATCTCGTAACAGACGCAGACCCAAAGCACGTGACACATCTAGCAGCACGGACGACGCATCCTCCTCGCCCCTGTACCAGCCCCGCTCTCCTCCCGAGATCGAGATGGCGGACGCGTCCCAGCCGGTCGGCCCATCTCACCCTACACGGAACGGCATGCGTCACGAACAAGGACGCCGCTCGACTGCTGCCGCTGGCGCACCGCCTCAACGACCAGCCACCCGTCGCCCCGACACGCCGCCTCTGCCCTTCGACGTCGACACCCTCGACGCTGACATCATCATACCAGCCGTAGACTCGTGGCATGAAGTACAAGGCGACGCAGCTGACTGGAAGAAGGAAGGTATGGCCCCGGTGCAGAGGAAGACGTGGGACGAGCTCGACCTCGCCGGACCTTCCCTCGCGATGATGATCCCGAATCACGGAACTGAAGAGCCGGGAGGCCATCTTCGTATCGAGCTGATGACGCAGGTCTTCCATAACCACCTTCACGTCCCTGGTGTCTCTATCCTCTCCGGGTACTCTCTGACCGGCTTTCACGGCATGAATGAGGCGCCGTACTGGTATCTCGGCCAGGGCATCCCTATCCACGTCATCGCCGCCTTGGTAAACCTGGGTTGGCTGAACTTGTCTAACATCACCCTTCACTTCGCCTTCTGGCGCGACCACAACCCCCACCTGTGCGCGATGTTTCGACAGGTCTTTCGCTTCGGAGCTCAGTCGAAGGAGGAATACAATGAACTCGTACGCCGCGAACTCCTGGACTCCGATCTCTACGACATCCTCTTTGACGTGCTTACTCGTGATATTGATAACGATGGCATGTGGAGCGGCCCCTCCCGGCTCGAAGCCATCACCGAGATCCTCGACTCGGTCGAGGTCGAGATCGTCACGTGCAAGGTAGGCCAGACGTACGAGCAGGTAGCAGTCATCTATGTCAAGCCCCCCACTGCCGACAGACGTGACTGGCGCGCCTTCGCCAACCGGATTCAGAAGCACCTCTTCGGCTCTGATGCGGGCGGCCACCCCGAACCATTCCTCGAGAAGCTACGCTGCAGCTACTGCCACTCCCTGGGCCACAACGCTGTACACTGCCACGTTCGCGACACGCCTGGGTGGCATGCCTCTCCGCTGCGCCTACCCTACCAAGTGGCCCCCCTGCCAAATCAGATGAACGCTGTGGCGACTGGTGGAGGCCGTGGCCGAGGCAACGGCAGAGGCAATGGACGCGGAGGGGGACGAGGCAACGGCCGTGGCAGAGGCGGCCGTGGTCGCGGTGGTGGCTATGCCAACTACTAAACGTGTCCCTAGCACACATACTGTACTACCACGGTAAATTCTGGCGGCCTCAACGCTATGCTCTTCCAATCTGATGCGCATGTAACTTTGTAACACTTCCCGAGTACGACTCTTGTACTATGACATAGCCTGAGCTCGTCCAAATGTGAACATCATGAACGACCGCTTCCCGCCACTGCGAACCCTTATCTTTCGCTACTACCGTTCACGCGCGCACGGTGCGTACATACCTGAGTTGCCCAAATATACTGGCCGTTTTGACGGGACAGGAAAGCGCTCACTTGTACGTTCCCAACGACCTGTTTTCAAGTGGGCACTCCGAGACTTGCCCAGCCGAGAGGCTTAAGCGACATTCCCTCCTCAGTGAGAGAATTAGCATGTCACCTGAGAGGCTCAGGAGCAGTCCTCCGCCTGTCGTGAATCGCTGTAGCGACAGGTTCGATAGCAGCGGCTACAAACTACAACACACCTACTCATACGGACGTACACCTGGCAAACGGCTACTCGCCCTCCCGACAGCAAGGGAACTTGTCGTTTCCTGCCCGGACAACTCCCGATGACCTGTCGGTAGGATCGGACGGCAGGACAGTCCTCCAAAACACTGGCACCAAGCCGGGTGAGGAGGATGGTTCACATCACCTCGACGAAGGCAGACCTAAGGAGAATAAGAAACACAAAGGACGAAATACAAGAGCTACGTTACGTGTCGGAACGCTCAATATCAACGGCAAAGGGAGCCTGAGCGGCGATTCTAACAACAAGTGGAACGCCTTAAACCAGCTACTCAGAACTGAAAGGATAGGAGTCCTAGCTATCCAGGAAACACACCTTAACGAGGCCTTCGTCGATAGAATACACTCGTTATACGGTAGACGGATGCTGGTGATATGCGGAAACTCAACGACGGATCGCGCAGGAGGCGTGGCCCTAATCCTGAATCGTGAAATGGTTGATACAACCAACGTTGAACACACGACAATCATCCCCGGCCGTGCCATGACAACTACAATGCACTGGCATTTAGAGAACAAGCTAACCATACTTAATGTATATGCACCAAACGACCCGATTGCCAACGCGACCTTCTGGGAAACCCTCTCCACATTCTACTCTAAGAAACATAAACTGCCAGACATCGTACTCGGAGACTTCAACATCGTAGAAGAACCTCTTGACCGCCTGCCATCACGCGACGACGCACAACCTGCTGTTGAGTCCCTACAACAACTACTAACCCGCCTTAGAGTTAAGGATGGCTGGCGACTCACCAACCCCTCACAGCGAGACTTCTCCTTCCCCCAACGAGCGTCTCTAACACGGTCTAGGCTGGATAGAATCTACACCACAGACGCTATCCTGAAGTCCTCACAAACCTGGGAGCTGAGAACGAGCGGCGTACCCACTGACCACCGTCTCGCCCTAGCCGTATTGAGCACGCCCCAATCACCATTCATCGGCAAAGGAAGATGGACACTCCCAGTTGTCCTTCTGCAAGACACGAACTTCCTAGAATCGGTATCAGTACTTGGCCAGAAGTCACTGATCGAGATGAAGAACATGACCGATACCGGCACTCGCACGAATGAACACAACCCGCAGCGAACCTATAAAGCGTTTAAGACCAAAGTGATAAGCACAGCGAGGGACATAATGAAACGTCGGGCCCCCAAACTCGATGCTGCAATTCGCAAGCTTGTGGAATCAGCTGAGCTAATCCAAGGCGACGCGAAGTACGAAACCAGCGCCGCTCTACGTACCGAGGTTGAGGTCATAATGGACCGCATTGAGGAACTGGAAAAGAAGCGATACCGACACATCAAAGAGGCATCCTCAGCCCGCTACGCCCTGAACGCTGAAACGCTGAGCAAGTACTGGTCCAACATTAATAAGGACCGTACCCCGAGGGATGTGATCTACCTCCTTCGTGACCCCAATACCCAGAAATTCATCCATCGATCTGACAAGATGGCAGAGTTAGCTAGAGACTACCATGATACTGTACAATCTCGTGGCGACGATGAAACAGACCCTGTCACACGAGCTGCAGCCATATCCATAGCTGCTGACCACATACAGATGCGTCTTGACCCGTCCGATGGAGACACATTACGCTCTCGAGTCTGCAAAGAAGACATTAAGAACGCTCTTAGAAAGACCCAAACCGGTAAAGCAAGCGGACTGGACGGCATACCTTATGAATTCTGGAAGGCTTTCCTGCCCTCGAACGATCAAGATGATGAAGACGATACCTTCAATAGCATCAAACTCCTCCAATGCGTCTATGAAGACATTGAGAGCTTCGGCATTGACCAGACCTGCGGATTCGCGGACGGGTGGATGTGCCCGATCTACAAAAAGAAGGATAAGAGAGATATCAGCAACTATCGTCCTATCACAGTACTCAACTCCGACTATAAACTCTATACAAAGATACTCACCTATAAACTGGGCACCCTGGCAACGACGCTGATACACCCGGACCAGGCAGGCTTCATCCCCGGTCGCCAGATCTCGAACCAAACACAGATATGTAGGACTATGGTAGACTATGCTGAAGCTGTTGAAGAGAATGGAGTGATTGTCGCCCTAGATCAGGAGAAGGCGTATGACAGAATTCGTCATGACTACTTATGGGACATCTTGAGAGCCATAGGCCTGCCAGAATCCTTCATCAAACGAATACAAGACTTATACAAACACGCCACGACTGTAGTCATGATCAATGGTGTACTGAGTAAACCGTTCCTTGTAATCCGCGGAGTCCGACAAGGCGACCCCCTCTCTTGTCTTCTGTTTGACCTGGCAATTGAACCGTTAGCATGCGCCCTACGTCGATCCAACCTACATGGTTTCAGAATCCCAGGAGTGACAGAACGCCTTATTACATCGCTCTTCGCCGATGACACGTCGACCTTCTTAGCGCAGAATGATCGGTGGTCCGATCTCTGGCTCATCCTCGAAGAATGGTGCTATGCATCTGGCGCGAAGTTTAACAAAGGAAAGACCGAAGTCATGCCGATAGGCACCCCCGAATATAGACTTCAGGTAGCCGCAACTAGGCGCATCGACCCGACCTCTGACGACCACCAGATCCCCGACTTCGTCCACATCGCCAATGACGGCGAACCGATACGGATCCTTGGAGCTTGGATTGGAAATAGGACGAATGAGGCAGCCATATGGAAACCGACCATGGAGAGGATCAGCAAGTTCCTCGACCGATGGAACCGATGCAACCCATCATTTCGAGGAAAGCGTCACATCATACAGATGGGCCCCGGAGGCATCACCCAATATTTGACAACGGTCCAAGGAATGCCGACCCAAATCGAGAACGAGCTCACAAAGATGATACGCACCTTTGTATGGGGCAAGGACAAGGCACCGCTTGTAAACCTCGACACGCTACATCTCCCAATGTCGGAAGGAGGCCTAGAAATACTTGACATAAAGATGAGAAACGAGGCAATTGAACTTATGTGGCTGAAACGATACCTAGACCTCACCCCCGAACGACCAACGTGGGCCTTCATAACCGATGCCCTGATAGCCCTGCACGTAAACAAATCAGCGGGTGCTATCCAAAGCTCAGCGCAAATCAATACCTTCCTTCAGAACTGGCACCCGTCCATCCACTCGAAATCAGCACTCCCACCCTACATACGAAGAATGCTGAAGGTCGCGAAGTCCTACAACGCTTCCTTCGGCGCCATCAAGTTGAGCAAGGACCTAAAAGCGCAACTACCGATCTGGTACCACCTCAACGCTTCCAAGCGACTACGCCGCCTCGATAACACCCTCCTAAGCAAATGCCTACGTCAACACCATAACATTATCCACGTCGCGGACATCATGCTCTTATCCCAACACGATTTCATCCCCATGAACGGCGAGTCTGACGACACACAATGCAACTGTACCTCATGCGCGCTGGCAACAGCCTCGGGCTGTAGACACCCACTAAAATGCATTGACGCAGCAAGACGGATCCTATACGCACTTGACTATAAGTGGGACCCATACGCTGACTCACCCAATGACGGCTTGTCCCTCACACAACACCGCAAAGACTCTAACGCTGAGGCCCTAGACAATGACGGCGAAGTAGTCTTCAATCCGTCTGTGACCGAAAGGGGAGGTATAGCGGAAACCTTCAGGCTCTTCGTCAAGTCTACGAACCTCGCAAACCCGCCCGCAGTCAGGAAGAAACACGGTATACAGGTCACTAGAGAAATGATAACGATGTATATCTTTCCACCAGCTAAGAAACTGAAACACACACCGGACGGCGTGCCTAGAGGCTGCGGCATCGCACTGTTCCAACGAAAACAGCAGACCGCGGCCCAACTCCTCCAGCCAATCGAACACTCTGAGGATATGATGACCAGCGGGGAAATTGCAGCTGCGATCTACTCAGTACAACTAATGCCTAAAGATGTGCCCATCACCTTTGTATGCACCACAAAGTTCCTACGCGACACCCTGTGTAAGAACCTTGAACAATTAGAGAACACTGACTGGCTCGGGATGAGCAATAAGTATGCACTAACATCGCTGGTTAACACCCTACGTCAGCGTTGCGCACCAACTGCCTTCAGAATGGCGAACTCACCTAACGATACGAAGCTTATAAACCTAGGCCGTCGCGGAGCACAGCAGCTAGCTAGAGAACGAGGAGCGCAACTTGTGATCCCCAACCTAGATCCAACACTGGAGCTAACAGGAGCACGTCTATCAACTCTGACACAGAGAGTTGCTTACCGACTCATCCGCAACAGAAGAAACACCCCAGAACGGAGATCGACCGTTAAAACAGTACAGTCGGTGCTCCTATCCATCAAGGAAGACGTAAACGAGTATGCCACAACGCAAGACGTATGGCTGAGCTTACGAACGAAGGATATACGACTCCCGATAAGAGACTTCCTGTGGAAATCCCTGCATAATGCCTTCCGTTGTGGTAGCTTCTGGGAGAACATACCTAACTACGAAGACCGAGCAATGTGTCAATACTGCGGAACCACGGAATCCATGTCTCACATACTGGTTGAGTGTAACGCCCCGGGACAGGACGAAATCTGGCAAATGGCAGGTAAACTATGGTCAAGGAAGCAGGCCTTATGGGAGAAACCCAACCTTGATGAGATATTGGGCTCTAACCTACGACGATGGTTGTCGGTGAAGAAGAAACGACGCCTGTTTGTTGAGCGCCTATGGCGCATCCTAATATCTGAAGCCGCATACATGATTTGGTGCCTACGTTGCGAAAGATCAATCGAACATGCGGACGACGACAATTGGACTCACTCGACTGCAGCTATCAAAGCCCGATGGGAGTGTACCATAAACCGCCGCCTCCATCTAGACATAGCTATGACACACCGCCGCTTTGGACGACTAGCACTAGACAGAAATCTAGTCATTGGAACATGGCACGGCACCATAAACGACGAAATTGCCTTACCAGACGACTGGACGGTAATTAAACGGGTTTTAGTGGGTATTGATCCTCAGATATTCGACCTAGAGGCGAGAGGATAACTGAGTCCCACACTGACCTACCACGGTCGTGCGTAAATGCATTTTCTCCCTGGATAGCACAAGCGGGGAAACCCGCTGGCTGGCTGGGTAGCGGGGCTGACCAATTGTCAGTTGCCGACTCCCACATAAAGCCCTCCAAAAAAAAAAAAAAAAAAAAAAAAAAAAAGATACCACTGGGCCCTGGTTTTGAGCGGCATCAGCTCGTTGAGTTTGTCGGCATATCTTTTGGACAGCATCTGGGATTGGGGAATCCGCGGCGGAGGATATGTCCTGCGTTCGCTGTCGATGTAGATAGCGAAGACAAGTTCAATCCCGTAGTCATCGTCAATCAAGCACTCCATGAGGTTCGGCCACCACAGTTTGCCCACGATGTAATCGACAGCCGCATATGTGAGCTCCAGTTCGGTGTCAATCTCATCCATGGGCCATGTACAAGACCGAGCCGTCGAGATATCTGTTGGAGATGATCCTTGTCCACTACCCATCCGAGAGCCCAAGGATATGCGGACATGTTGAGTGCAGGTCGAATGCGACGGAGGCGGTTGAGATAGAGAGGCGCGAGTGAAATTGAGATGTTCAGCCACAGACGCGCTTCAAAGCCACAGTTTGAACGCGGTTGTGGCTGGCCAGCTGGCGCTAAGCCGGCCTCCACATTCAGCGTCGCACGAATGGGGTGCTCATTACGTAAGATAACGGTACGTCTAACTTAGGTTCTATGTACTAGGAGACGATGACCGGCTTGACGGATATGACGGTCACGGGTGTAGTGACGCGCGGCGAGGGAGCACACCAGCAGCCAGCCTCGTTATTTCCGAGTGAGCTTGGGATGTCAATTGCGAGAGAGTGAGAGAAGGGAATGAGCGAGGGTGTGGGGCGCAGCCCGCAGGGCTGCCCGACTCGAAGAGTGTGCCTGGACCTGAGGGGCAACGGGTGAGCCGCGAGGGCGGGTGGGTTGACACCGCAGCCCTGCGTATCCGTTGCCTCTGCTGGGCCGCAGGGTAGACACGTCGAGCCAAACAAAATGCACACATTGAGTTTGTCGTGGCGTGTGCTGCGTGAAGAGGGTGTGGAGGGTGGGGAAACGAGAGCTATTCGAAGCGCGTAGCGGCCGCGGGGCCTTCGAGAGTGGTCGTCCGAGTGGGCGCGCAGAGGAGAGCGATGCGCGCCTAAATCTCCTCCTGCGTGCGTAGACTCACTTCTACGCGACGCTCGTGCCTCGCTTCGCTTAGAGTCACATCTATGTACTAGGAGACGATGACCGGCTTGACGGATATGACGGTCACGGGTGTAGTGACGCGCGGCGAGGGAGCACACCAGCAGCCAGCCTCGTTATTTCCGAGTGAGCTTGGGATGTCAATTGCGAGAGAGTGAGAGAAGGGAATGAGCGAGGGTGTGGGGCGCAGCCCGCAGGGCTGCCCGACTCGAAGAGTGTGCCTGGACCTGAGGGGCAACGGGTGAGCCGCGATACCCAATATGAAGACGTCGAGTGCGGCGGCGCGTTGCGGCGAAGCCGTTACACCCAGTCCAGAAGCCGACGACCCTCGTCGTACGTGCTGTGCTCAGTGTGGCGCTCAAACTCACTAACACTGTGCCCCTCTCCGTATTTGAGGGGCCACTTGTGCCGGCTTTTCCAAGTTGCCCCCTGTCGGGCTGCCGGGCGTGCAGCGTGCCCCCAACCTTGGAACCGGGACCTGTCCTCGATGTGTGGGCGACAGTACTGTCGTCCACGGTCCGGGCCCCCTGGGATCTCGGTACTGGGTGATCGCCTCCGACACCCCTGTGCATTGCCACTGTGCTGCCCAGAGCGTCTGTTGGTGGGGACGACCACACTTAGTACTTGTGAGATGGGTGGACTGCACCCCGCGGCCCAAGGGTTCCGGTTCGCAGAGACCCGCCGGATGGGTGCCGCAACTGAGCGAACATCGCTCAGAGCATCGGCCTACCAATGCTCTCCCTGAGGTAGTGCTCGCGCCCGTCATCGGTGGCGGTGAGCGAGCTCCAGCAGTCGGGTGGCAGGTATAACATTGCACTCACGAAGAACAACTTGACGCAGTGGCTCAGCGTTGAGCGTGCGCTGAGCGCCGGAATGTGTTTGCGATGTTTGCGATGTTTGCGTCGTGCTGCATCTAGCGTGTATGCATGTATGCGTGTATGCGTGCTGCGTCCAGCCTGACTGCGTGTGATGCGTGACACGAGCTAGTACGCTCGTGCCGACACGAGCCAGTGTAAGTGTGTTGCGTGTTGCATGCTGCGTCCAGCCTGGCTGCGTGTGCAGTGTATGACACGAGCTAGTTAGGCTCATGCCGACACGAGCCAGTGTAAGCAGGTTGCGTGCTGCGTCCAGCCTGGCTGCGTGTACAGTGTATGACATGAGCTAGTAGGCTCATGCCGACACGAGCCAGTGTAAGCGTGTTGCGTGTTGCATGCTGCGTCCAGCCTGGCTGCGTGTGCAGTGTATGACATGAGCTAGTTAGGCTCGTGCCGACACGAGCCAGTGTAAGCACCGTGCTGCGTCCAGCGTGAGCGTACTCGGCAGGGCGGTGCCGCCAGCAGCGACCGGTACGCAAAATTGGGCATAGATGGAGTCTGACTAGTCTGACGGCCCAAACGGACGACAGCTGGTTGCTCGGCTGGGCGCTCCCGTCGAACGAGCTTCAGGCTCACGAAACAGAAACCGTACAACTCACTGAGAGATGCGCAGTGCATGGTACGCAGCCTGCTCTGATGTCTCGGACTGTGAGTTACAGCAGATGTATTCTGCTGTGTTGGCTGTCCTCGAGCTCCACGCGTTCGTGCGCAGTACAATCGTCTGGTCGTTGCTCACATGATCTCAGGCTTCGCAGCCGTTGGGATTGATGAGCGAAGGTTGTACCATAGTCTCTTGTAAGCTACAAGTGTCGTAGCCTAGTGGAAGAAAACGAGAGCTATTCGAAGCGCGTAGCGGCCGCGGGGCCTTCGAGAGTGGTCGTCCGAGTGGGCGCGCAGAGGAGAGCGATGCGCGCCTAAATCTCCTCCTGCGTGCGTAGACTCACTTCTACGCGACGCTCGTGCCTCGCTTCGCTTAGAGTCACAAGCATAGAGTGAAGTGAGACGCTTTTATAATCGTAAACCTTTGTACGTAGCCAGTGAGATCACGCATCGCACAATCACTAGACTCCGTCAAGGGAGCATAACAAGGGCAACTTATGAGCAACGGTCAAGCAACGATCGGAGTCCAGAAAACTGGAGTATCGTTCGAGGAACACATAGGTTATCCGAAACGGGCCAGAACGAACACAGTGCAGCCGACTCGTGAAGGCTTGCCGTCAACATAAGCAGGCAGTCTATAAATCTTACGGACTGGCTGGCGCCCACTCAACGCAGCGCGGCTTGTTGTCGATGTCTTCATCAGGTCTGCGCCCGAAACGTGGCTGAGGCACATAGCAGAACTCCTGTAAACAGCATGTGAGCACAGTGATTCAGGGGATCTGAGAGGAGACACTGACATTGATGGCGCACCCGGGCTCACAGCCCATCCAGACCGGCCAGTCCAGCCACTCAACCAGCCCGTCGACCTCGTCCCTCCACTTCGCCAACATCTCAGTCGCGACATCCCCAGTCTTCTCCTCAATATCGAAGGCGTCGCTCCATGCACTCGTGAGCACACGACAGATCTCGTGCAACACCTCGTCGAGTGCGTTGTGCAGGACATGCTCCTGCTTTGTGAAGCGCGACACAGGCAGGTGCGTTGTGAAGCTCGCCCGGCAGCCGCGCGCCATCTCTGCGAACCACCCAGGCTCGCCTACGTTCGCGCGCGGCATGTAGGGGATCAGCGACGTGATCAGCTGTGAGCGGACCGCTGCCGCCTGAGCAGACGCGTTCTGCGTCGGCTGGTGCAGAAGGTACCGTAGATACGGCAGCCGCTGCGAGAAGCGATCTTGTACCGTCTGTGCGAGACCCTGCCAATCCACGCCGCTCCGCTCATACGGTCCGCGCGAGAATATCTCCGAGATGTCTTCGCGCGCACGGGCGACGTCCGCGCCAGAGATGTTCGCCAGCCTGTACTGCTCGCGCGTCAGCTCGCGGCGCCCCTCGACGAGCGACGTAAACGCGGGGTCGAAGAAGGTTAGCATGCCCGCGGGCTCTACGCGCACGCGCAGGTCGCCGGGGAAGGACCCGTGCCAGCTGCCCGCGAGTTGCACAGATTGCGTGTCGTGGAGGCTGCCTTTCCAGCCCTTAGGCGGAGTGCTGGGGCTACCCCACGGACCACCGGGACCACCGGGTCTGCCAGGGCCACCGGGAGGACCTCCTGGTCCTTCAGGCTCATCTAGAGGTCCGTCCAAGGGTCCGTCGTGTCCGCCGATAGGTGGCTGCTCCCCACCGGGCCTTCGTCCAGGTCCCCTTGGCCCGCGAGTGGTGATGATGTTCAGCGCGGAGACGAGTTCGAGGCCCTGCTTGAAGTCACAGTACATAATCTCGCTGCGATATCCTTAGATCCGCTCATATGACGCAAGTAATTGACGTACAAGTCCCCCTCCATCCTCACGAATCCGTCAACACCATATTCCTTACCCCATTGACAGGCATCAATGAGGCGTTGCTGTTCACCAGGACCGGGCTCCCTCCCGGAATTATGGCCGAGGTCTCCCCAGATGAGGATGTCTTGAGTATCGTCAACGCCTTCCGCCTTGTCGCCACTGCATCCATCGAAGTAGACAAGCTTGAGATCGCGAGTGGTAGCGAACGTGAAGAGGGTGCCATTGTCTCCTCGCGTGAAGAATTGGGAATGCTCCGGGTCGAAGGCGATCCAGTCTGCCTCAGGGAAGACATCGCTGCCACGCCCATGGTAGAGAAGTGTTCCCGGAGGAATGTGAGCACGAACAATGGCGTGACCTACAGTTTGTTGTCTCAACTACTTAACACGCTCATGATGAGAAATGGTCACATACCGTAAGGGTATCTCGAATTCGGCCGCATCTGCATCAAGGATGCCAACGACTGGAACACGAGGTTCCCAGTCGCATCCTTGCTCAATCGTTCACTCCACGGCCGAGACCGGGGTGTCTCAGTCGGAAGGTTGCCCTTCAGAGGGAGCTGTTCAGGAACGTGTAGTCCAAGCACACCGGCAAGCGCAAGCAGGCGGAGGCTCAGTGTACTCGCCAAGTGCATGGCCGGGAGGAGATGAGGGGGGAACTCTGGTTCGCAAACAATCCATGGCGGTACTTATTCGTCGGTGGATGAGAGAGGCCTGTCAGACTCAAACTCAAAGTGTCTTGCTGCGCACAGAGACACGATCACGGTCGCCGGCGCGTCGCATTATACGTCCTGATCGGAGATCATCGGAGCACTAGATAAGATAAGCTGCGGTCAGGACGCAGCGCAGCCTGAGCCCGCTCAGTTGTCGTCGATGGCGACGAATTCATGCGAGAGTTCAGGTTTCCGACCAAGTCTTCAAAGCTCATATTGCGCCGTACAGAAAGACAGAGGTCGACAATGACCTGATTGAGGGCTCACCGGCACCACTGCCAATCAGTGGCCAGGAGCGCTCACAATTAAACGCGGTCACGAGATCGCGTCTGCAACCACTCTGAGTCTGAGCGCCCCGCGAGGACCATTATGTACATAAACGAGTCTTTTCGGCATGATAACGAACCAGGTGGCTGTATCACTCCATCTCCCTCCTATCTGCTCCTACGTATATGTTATGACATTACAGGTAGTGCTCGCGGCACTTTGTTGCCTCGTCATTCCATTGGGGGCGTATAGCCATGAACAGCACCCACTCTATTCATGCCGTCTTGAAGCTGAGGAACCAGGGTCTCTGCCATGGGACGCCCCGCTGAGCAAAGATGCGACTGGAAACCTCATATTCCATTCTCTTGCATCGCTCATGCAGATGAAGCCCAATTCCAGGTATCCGAACGGTATGTATAGTCTCCTTACTTCGCCGACGCAGGGTTGAACATGACTGTACAAGGCCATTCCATCGTCCAAGCCAGCATCCCTCCCGGAACGTTGCTCTACCACGGTCGAGGTGACAAAGGCTACCCGTACATGGACTGGTTGGCCTTCGACCCGGAACATTCCCGTATATTTGCGCGAGGCGAGAATGGCACCCTCTTCACCTTTAGCAGCACCCGCGAGCTGAAGCTGCTCTACTTCGACGGATGCAGCGCAAACAATCTCGGCAGCGTTACCGATGCACAGGACATCCTGGTCTGGGGCGAGGTGAATCACGGGCCCAGAGACCCGTGGGATTGGCAGTCTCAGGTCGATCGCATCAACGAGACGTGCGCGTGGGGCAGGCCGTACGGCGTGGACGGGTACATCAGGATGGAATTTGACTTGTACGTTCAGCTCGCCCCTCCGTGAGATGTGTGCTCAACGTTACATCAGTGAGATAATGTACTGCGACTTCTCCGACGGATTGGAGCTGGTTTCTGCCATGCCCGCGGTCAACGAAGGCGGACGCCCTCCTCCGCACGGTCCAGACAAACCAGATGATCGCACAGAGTCTGGTGTCAGTTTCACCGTGCCCGCATCGCCCTCGTTCGAACGACAGGCTACATACCACGGGTGGCACACATCCCGAGCAGACCTACGCAGACCTTACTTCCCACCCAACCCGCCTGAAGGCTGGAAAGGCACCTGGCCAGTCATCAACAACGCGATCCGACACGCTGGTAGCTGGCACAACGACTTTCCAGGTGACATCCGCGTGCACCCAGACCCCTCCACCCTCATCTCGTTTTACGACCCTGCGCTTACCTCGCTGGTCGCCGCACGCCGCTCCATGAGTCGTGACGACTACCGGCCGGGCAACATTTCCGCGGCGGACATGGCTCGTGTGCGCGCGGAAGTCGCGGAGATGATGCAGCGCGATGCCGGAGAGCGCAGCGGGGTAGACTGGCGGGGGCTCGCGACTGTCATCCAGGACCGATTCGGAGACCGTCTGCCGTACCTGCAGCATTTGCTCCACCAGCCAGCGACGAACGTGTCTGAGCAGGTCGCGAAAGCGCGCAAGCAGTTCTTTGACTCCCTTCTGCCGTATATGGAACGTCCGGGGCTGGGAGAACCGGAGTGGTTCGCGCAGATTGCCCGCAATTGCGCGACGAGGTTCACGGCGCATCTACCTGCTGAAAAGTTCACGAAGCAGGAGCGTGTCCTCCGGAACGCGGTTGACGAGGTCTTGCACGAGATATGTCGCGTGTTGACACTCGCTTGGACGGAGGCGTTCGACGTAGAGGAGAAGGGCCCTGACATCGCCGTTGCGCTGATGGAGAAGTGGAGAGGCCAAGTGGACGCACTGATCGAGTGGTTAGACTGGCCAATCTGGTTGAAGTGCGAGCCAGCGTGTGGTATATACGTGAGTGCCCAGGATCAGATCCTGCCCAGTACGCTGATGACCTTTGTACAGGAGTTCTGCTATGTACCACAGCGAGGATCGCCGTTCAACCCAGAGCCGGACAAAGACAGCGACCAGACACCGCGATGCGTTGCCATAGACAGTTCTTGGTGAGTCGTGGGCCGTTTGTATCTTCAATTTCCAGCGGTTTTTTGTTAGAAGTACGGTATGAATACCTATCTCATGTCTTGGACGTAGACTATTCATCGGGTTAGATCATGATTGGGAAGTGAGCATTTCTCGACCTAAGGATACAAACAGAGTAGCAGGCGGCAAGGACAGTCGTATAACATGATGGACGTGCGGAGCAGGATAATGATAGGTGACGTGTCTTACGCGTCCACAGTGGTAAGGGTTTGGTTCCACGCCACAACAGTGGGATGCGCCAGAACCTGGACAATATAAGCTTCAGGGTCAACGCGAGATTGAACTCGCGCACCTTCTTTGCATCGAAGTGTTTGACCTCCAATCCATCCAATGTAGTCGCCCGAGAAAGCGCAACGTACGCTTGTCCTAGGCACGGTTATCAGCTGGTGCTAGTATGCTGAGAAATGGGAGCATACCCTTCTCGAACACTTTGGCGAGATCGACTTTCACTCGCTCTAGGGTCTGCCCTTGCGACTTGTGAATTGACATCGCCCATGCGAGGATCAGCGGAAGCTGCATAAGTCAGATTAAGTACCTTTACCACGTTCTCGATTGACACAAGCACGCACCTGCGTCCGGCTGACTTGTACCTCGCCGTTCGGTAGCTCAACCTTGAACGACTCTGACATCACCATATGGCGGCGCATCCCGCCACCGGGCAGCAGGAAGTCTACCACGGGCATGAGCTGGCCAGTGAGCTTCGCTTCCTTCCCGTTCTTCGAGGACGGCTTCGCTGAGGATATCGGTTTGGAGTGCGTGCCGGACGTTTTCTTATCGCTTGGGTCATAAAGAGCTTCAGGGTCGGCAGCATCAGCGAACTTGATGATCTTGCCCACGGAACCATTCACGAGTGTTTCGTCGAGATTCTTGATGAGCATGACCTGAGGGCATACATCAATCCATGAGACTGCCAGTCGTGCAGTGCAATGTGCTAGATGTACCTGCGCGCCAACCTTCAGCGACAATGCACGAGGGACCATAAAGTTATTCAGCATCTTCTCGCGCTGCTGATCATCGTGCAGGGTCCCGCCGTCAGTAGCGGTGTATGTCTGTACTTGTGTATCCAAGCTCTGCATCCGCGTTGCGTTTGCACGATCGACATCTTGACGGAGCGGGAAGCTGAGGTCGTCAAGCATAGTCAGCGCTAGAATTGACATAGGGCTGGGCCGGCGACGCACAGTTCTGCCGCGGCAACGCCGTCTTCATATTCGATCTCCCGGTCGAGGCTCTTGAACCTCTCGATCGACCGCTGAGACAGCTGTCCATAACGCATCTCGTTGAGCATGTCAACGAACTCTGTAGGAAACATGAGCACTGTCTCGTAAATGATAGGCTTGACGTATGTTCATGTACCTTGGTCACGCTGACGGAACACTTTTGTGAGCTTGAACGTGTTGTCCTTGATTGTGTGTTTCCACATCTCTGCTTCGAACGCGAAGTTGACCTTTCCGCTCTTGTTGACGGGTGGTAGTTGGAAGAAATCTCCCGTCACAATGACCTTTCATACGGTGTCATTCAAGCTGTGTAGACGTTATTGTAGTTGCATCGGACTCACCTGAATACCTCCGAATGGTGTAGACTTCTTACGCATCATGCTGCCGATGCGGTAAAGTTTGTCGAAGAGCTCGCCCTCGACCATCGAGACTAAAAAAAATGCCATGATGTTATTACACTCCAAGCCCGGCGGCGGCAGAACGGACCTTCGTCAATGATAAGCACCTCAGTGCGTAGCCAGCGAGCGCTCGCCTTCTTGTTCTTCCTGATTCTCGTGACAAGGGCGTCGACGTTATCTTTCCCCAGGCCGATGCCGGCGAAAGAGTGGACCGTGACGCCACCAATATTGCAGGCCGCAATGCCTGAATCGACAAGGTTAATGAGGAGCGGGAGTGCCGCCAATAGGAACTGACCCGTCGATGCCGTGACCGCCACTGCGTCTTGCGTACGCGAGTATTTGCGTTTGAGGGCTGTGATGATTTCACGTAGGAGCACAGACTTGCCGGTTCCTGTCGGAACGACACAAGGGTATTAGGTCGGGAAGCATGTGGGGTGGCCATCTATCAGGTCGCGTCACGTCGCACGAAACGCTCCTAGATAGACTCAATGGGTCCAGAGGTGATATTGATGGAGGATATGCAGCACCGAGTATGATAAGAGGTCCTTCGACGCGCATATAGTGCATACAGAATACCGAGGGTCAAGCAAAATCATATGCATGACACTCACCTGCGCTACCGGTGTAAAAGAGACTCTTCCCCTCCTTCGCGAGGTTCAATATATGCGTCTGTTCCGCGCTGAGGACGACCTTTCCCGGCTTGCTACCTGCCTTGGAAGTCGTGGCTGCGGCTACTCTGAGCGTGGTCGTATTTGCTGACCGCGCCGAGCCAAACGTCCGAGACGACGTCTTCATAATGCTAATCTCCGGCTCTGCCCAGCTCGCAGGAAGCTGTCTTCGTTTAGCTGGTGGGTTCACGGAAGAGTCGTCCATATTCGATGGTCGCTTCTGAGAGCCGCCCCCAGAGCGGGCCATCTGCGAGGTCGCAATAGCTTGCTGAGACGAAGATATGTTGTCATTGAGAGCATCTTGGATGTCTTTCATGCGCTGCGAGATTCCCGTAAGCGTCTGCCGTGGAGGCGTTGGCGTCCACGGAATCGTGGTCGGGTCGGAGTCACCGACGGCAGAATCTTGGCTAGCTGGAGGAATACTGCTTGAGGAAAAGTCGCGTTTGACTGCGCGAAGTCCAGAGATAGGTTGTCGTCCCGTAGCCATGATGTATCTGGCGACCGATGAGTCGGGACGCGTTGGTAGTGGCAAAAGGGGCGACCGCCGCAGGCGCGCGTATTCAGTTGAATGACGCGATCACGTGAACGGTGTATCTCGATTCAACGCGCCTGAAACGCGCCCGGCAAGACCAGTCATTTCATAGGATCAATTTCTCATCCACCTATTAATGCCTACATGGGAAAACGACACCATGAGCTACAGAATACATACAAGGGGCTCGCGTCGGCTGAAACCCTCATGATGCACAGCGCACAGGCTGGACTAGTAGAACCCGTCCTTTTTTCGTCGGTAAGAGTCATTGTTCGAGTTCTCCTCAAGATCTGTACCCGGACGAGCCTCGCTCTGTACTATGCATTTTGAACTCACGCACGACATGGCTTGCACGGAATCAATGTCCCCGTCGACGATGCCGAACTCATAGACCGCTGTCGTGATATGCCCGGCTTATCTTATCGTATATGCTCCGATGATCTCCGATCCAACGACATGATCGTGGTCTCTCCGCAGCTGTTCGCGCGCAGCAACACGCTCTAACAGGCCCCTTATAGTTATACATCCATGGACAGATAAGTACCGTACCCATGCATTGTTTGCTACTCACAGTCCCCTCCCCGTTTCTTCCTAGCTATGCACTTGGCCAGTACACTTAGCCTTCGACTGCTTGCCCTTGCAGGTGCTCTTGGGCTGTATGTTCCTGAGCAGCTCCCTCTGAATAATGACCTTCGGACTGAGAGTCTACGCTCTCGGCCGTGGAATGAACGGCTGAGCGGCGATGCGACTGGGAACCTCGTATTCCAGTCGCTGGCATCCTTGATGCAGATGCGGCCGAATTCGAGGTACCCTTACGGTATGCCGTTGCTCTTCGTTCATGAATGTGATAGTCTAGACAACAGTCCGTAGGTCATAGCATTGTTCGCGCTCACATTCCTCCGGGTACCCTTCTCTACCACGGCCGTGGCAGCAACACGTTCCCCGAGGCAGACTGGATCGCCTTCGATCCAGAGCACTCCGAGCACTTCGCGTGGGGAGAAAACGGAACTCTCTTCACTTTCGCCACCACACGCGATCTAAAGCTCGTGTATTTCGACGGATGTAGCGCAAACAAGGCAGAAGGCGTTGTCGATACTCAGGACATCCTCATCTGGGGAGACCTCGGGCACACCGCCGGGAATGAGCACGGTGGTGAGCATGAACGTCTGATCGACGGTTGTGAATGGGCCAAGGAGTATGGCGTTGATGGGTTTGTGCGAATGGAGATGGACTTGTACGTGTTGTAATGCGCTCCCACACATCGAAGCTAAGCATGTTGCAGCGAGATCATATATTGCGACTTCACGCAGGGTCTTGAGCTGGTCTCCGCGCTAAATTTTATCAGCACTCCCCGTGGTGGACCCGGGCGGAAGCCGGGTGGTGAGCAGCCGCCAAACGGCGGGCACGGCGGACCCATGCATGGCCCTCTGGACGAAGTTAGCGGACCAGGTGGCCCTGCGGACGGGCCTGGTGGTCCTGGCGGCCCACGCGGACCCGGTCGTGGCAGCCCAAGCACTCCCCCAGAGGGCTGGAAAGGCAGCCTCCCCGACACGCAATCTGTGCTGCTCGCGGGCAGCTGGCACGGACCCTTCCCCGGCGACCTGCGCGTGCGCGTAGAGCCTGCGAGCATGCTGACCTTCTTCGACCCCGCCTTTACGTCGCTTGTCGAGGGGCGCCGCGAGCTGACACGTGAGCAGTACAGGTTGGCGAATATCTCTGGCGCGGACGTCGCCCGCGCGCGCGAAGACATCTCGGATATCTTCTCGCGCGGACCGTATGAGCGTAGCGGCGTGGACTGGCAGGGCCTCGCACAGACGGTGCAGGATCGCTTTTCGCAGCGGCTGCCCTATCTGCGGTACCTCCTGCACCAGCCGACGCAGAACGCGTCTGCTCAGGCGGCAGCAGTCCGCTCGCAGCTGATCACGTCGCTAATTCCCTACATGCCGCGCACGAACGTGGGCGAGCCTGCGTGGTTCGCTGAGACAGCGCGCGGCTGCCGGGCAAGTTTCACGACGCACCTGCCCGTGTCGCGCTTCACCGAGCAGGAGCATGTACTGCACAACGCGCTGGACGAGGTACTACACGAGATCTGCCGCGTGCTCGGAAGTGCGTGGAGCGAGGCGTTCGACATCGAGGAAAAGAGCGCGGACGTTGCGGCCGAGATGTTGGCGAAATGGCGGGACAACGTCGACATGTTGGTTGAGTAGCTACACTGGCCGGTCTGGATGGACTGTGAGCCCGGGTGTGCCATCAATGTTAGCATCGCAGATTCCACTCGTTCCAGTTGTTCTGTGCTTACATGTATTCTTTACAGGAATTCTGCTACGTACCTCAGCCCCGTTTCGGACGTAAACCTGGTGAAGACGTCGACAGCACACCGCGCTGCGTTGAATGGGCACCAGCGGGTCTATGACTCGACATACCCGATTGTACCCACTGCGATGGGATTACTATGGCGCTGGAGTCCGAGCCAGCGCGAAGTACTGTCACGGTGAAGTGTCACGGTGCGTCTCCTAGTCGACGACTCATATCTGAGGTTGTACGATTGTTACACGTGTAATGGATCAACGTCGGGCGTGATAGGATATTGAATATTTGCCTGCATGTACTGAAGGTTAGACGATACGTAGACACTGCCAAATGTGACTGACTGTCAGTGGCAGTGTCACCACTGTTGGGCCGGCCAGCCACAGCCGCGTTGTCACGTCGTGGCGTTGCCACAGACGCGTTTGTGGCTTGACATGACGGTCGACGCACCCTCTTCGACACGCTCCCACAACTCCCTCCTTTGCCCCCCAAACGATGACGTGGGTACTCGGATATGTCATCAACAGGCCCGTCTGTATAAGCCTCTCCACAGAGCTCAATCTCGCGCGAGAGGAGAACCCGAAGGACTTCCACCACGCGTACGCAGGCGTCGAGTACATCGCCCGCAGGACAGGTTGGCCCGATCTCCTGGAATGCTGGGTCGGCGGTACGATCGAGCTTGTATTTGCGATATACGTCGACTATCGTAAACGTGCCTATCTGAAAGGTCGGAGATGCTTCCCATCAAATATGCATACCGGCTGAACGACTGGATGCCAATCGAGAGCAATGCCAAGTGGTACCGCTACGACGACGGCACGTACAATCCATGGGACGGGGAACTCTTGGAGACTGGACATGAGCCCTGCTGATGATGTGTTCGCCGATTCGGACCGCTACACGTCGTACGGATCAGACGAGGAGGGCGAGGACGGGGAGGTGGAGTACGAGGACTATGATGAAGGCAACTATGACGATGAAGAAAACGAATACGAAGACGAGCACGAGGGTGTTTTGTATGAAGACGAGCATGTTGAGCCTGGCGAAGGTGGTATTGCTTTCGGCGAGGACATCACTGGGTCATTTGAGGTCCACATTCAGGTTGTGCGGAGTGTTTGCTCACACCTTCGCGCAGTGACTGTGACGGCAATGAACCCGTTGGTAATGGCCTTCAGGACATCGAGAACCAATTTGCCGACGAAGCCAATGGTGTGATGATCATCGCGCGCAACATGACAGTGCAATGTGTTTTGCATGATGAAACTTAGGTGCAACGTCGAGGCGGAGAATACCTACGTGCGTGTATTTCTTATCACAAGAAACTATCTGTCTGGTTTTAACCATTAATTGTCTACTCTATTCAAGGGTTGGAGGGCCCGCCGTCACGTTCATTGCTGCTGTGATCAGAGGTCGACACTTTGCTTCACACCAGCTTCACACAGCCACAACCGCGTTGTGGAGCGTTTGCCACAGTCTGAGATGAGTGGAACAGTCTGGGAACAGTACGGTAATTACAGAGGGTTTGACTCGGAGTATCGTTCCGCAACTTAATCAACGTTATACACGTCCTGAAGGTCGATCGATCCCCATTCTAGCCGAAATGCGTACTAGAATCCTGCTCGAGCTCTCGACAAAACAGCAGCCAGGAGGCCGGGGACGTCATTTGCTTGGACATGGGCACCAACGATGTCACCCACATCTTCCCTGAGACCTTCGATTTGTGCATCCGCTAGCTGTCTCGTATTGGGCACGAAAAGCAGGACGATGCGGATAGGGCGTGGTCGCGTGTCGGGAGCGGATGTCGGTGTAATCGAGTATGTCAGATGGAGCTCGTTCTCGGACACGGATCGGAAGGACTCGAGTGAATGAAGTGAGCGATGTAGTGCGAGTGACGCTGTGAACCTGAACCGCCTGTCAGTAATCTCTGATGGGAGAATCGCTCCGCGACTTACCAGTCGTATAATCCGCGCACTCGCCCATCCTGAACATCGGCCTCGCCTGCCCTGACAAGCTTCTCTGCATCTGCCCTCTCAATGCGGAGGCGCTCAACTTCGCGTGCCCCTTCCTTGACCTTGTCTTTGACATCGTCAATGGTCGCGTTGATCCCCTGGAGCTCGTCGTCTAGCTTTTGCATATCCTCCACTTGTGCGTCGAGCTGCGCGTTGGCCGACGCGACTGTGAGTCGCGGATGTGGATGTGCTTGTCGTAGGCGAGTGAGTTGTAACCGTGCATCGAGAATCTTTCGCGCAAGGTCGGAGGCTTCCGATGTGAGGGCCTTGGCCTTGTTGTAATCTGTCACAGAGTATATGGGTAACGCTCGCATATGCTATAGAGCGACACTCACCTTGCTCGACCAGAGGGGCGAGCGTACGAACGTCGCCATCCTTCTCTGCCAGCTGCGCCTTAGCTATCCGCAAGGCCTCCTTCTTCTGCTCGTTCGCGAGCGCCAGCCGTTCGTTGTCCTCGGCGTTGATATTCGGGGCATCGTCGCTTACAATCGTCTTGATATACTGGTCTTTTGCTTTCTGCTCGAGGTACTGCATCTTTAGCTTCCGCAAGAAGGCCTGTTAAGCTGGATTGTCAGTCACACATAGCAGCCGAATCGAACGTCACAGACCACTTGTGATGCGAGATGGACTCCGACAATGGCGGGGTCTGTGAGACCTGCTCTCCCCTGGAAGAGCTGTCCGGCATCTCCGTCAAGCAAGCTCTGTTTGTTATCAAATTGCTCTCGATAGTCGACAAGGCGGAACTGTGTTTGCTCGAGGGTTGTCTGCAATGCCCTTGCAGCTTCTAGCTTCGCAGTATGTTCACTTTCGCCTGGAGCAGGCATGTTTGGGCTGTCAATGATGTGTAGAATGCCCTGTATAACTTTAGCTGAGTATGTCGCAAGCCAATGCTGGGAGAGCAGCGAACTGCAGCAGTCGGGTTAAGAGAAGATGTCTGGAACCGTGTGGAACGCGTCGCGACGCGTCGGCGGCAGATTGAACACGTTCACGTGAGCTCAGATCTAGTGACCGATGCCATACGCCCACGTGATCGTGACGCGACAGGCGCAGCGCTCGCGTTTCGAACATGAACTTGAACCTTGATGCCCGCCGGTCAGTCCCCGTAGCCTCCACCCCCACACACCGCTCGAACCGCTCAGCAAGTCAGGACGTGAAATGGGATTCTTCAAGCGAATATTTTCTCTGGGCAGTGGCCGCCGCAAGAAGGACAAGCAGAAGCAGTCTCGCGGCCCGCTCGTGACCGACGCCGAGGGCCGCCTCGTTCGCTCTGAGGACCAGCTGCCGGATACCGATGCTACTCGCCTCTTGCGCTCTGCATCAGCACGCTGGGCGAGTACAGATGCAATCCAGTCACTTGCCCCGCGTACGTACCGACTCAGAGTAATGAGCGATTTGCGATTGACTGACGCTTTCACCAGCGTCCGTCAACCATCTTTCTGTCCCAGCATCGCCCGCACAATCGCTGCAAACCATTGCTAGTAGCCTCAAGCGCAGCAACACGTATTCCGTGCAGGTTCATGGTCGCACCTTGCACTCACGCACCGAGTTCCCCAACGCCAACCCTCGTATTGCGGACCGCAAGGAGCCTTACACGCCACGACAAGCTCACGAAGGACATGTAACCGACAAAGAAGACGCAGCACCTCCGCTGCCTGCCATGAAGACAGTGACGTACACGCCCCGAGACGAGAACCGCCTGCGCGCGTTGCGCAGAGATCCGTCCGTTCTCAGTTTGCTCAACATGTATGACAACCACGGACGGCTAGACGAACATGCCTTTTCAAACAGCCCGCCGAACTCAGCGCCCATCCACGAGGGTCGCGAGCAGACCAAACGCGGTGGATCAACCTTGCGTCAGCTACTGGGTGACACGGAGAAACGGGGCGATGCAACCGAAGCAGACATTTCTTGGGCAGACCGCTTTCTGCAGTACGTTCGACACGTCTAGTCTGCTCCTCGGAATAATGCTGACAACGCTCCCAGGGAAGCAGGCTCTGCCGTTTCTTCCACCACTTCACTTCCACTGGCCGCTCCTGACAACGCCGACAACGCTTTCATCCACGGCATCTCCGCTTGCAATGACCCAAGCTCGTCTACGGACGACTCTCATGAGCTTCTTGACGGTCATCCTGCGATCTCTTCCTTGGAGGTGGAGATTAGCGGTGCCAGCGAGGTTCTGGACCCAGATCAACCCATCCCCATTCCTACCGTCGACCATCCGGTCATGTCTCCGAAGACTCCGCAGCAGGCGAATCACGTCTTTGGTTTCCTGAGCGAACGCCGTCGCTCAGTGCGCTCGCGCACAGAGTCATTATTTGGCCTCTCGACAGCCACTCTGCCGCAGCTGGAGACCGAATCCGGCTCGAGTCAGCGTTCGCAGACCACGTCAGACTCAACCCCGCAAACACCGACCTGCGAGGAGTCACACTGGCAGACCAATATCTCGCACGCCGAGGTCAAGACTGCTACTGTGGTGAAACTGTCCACTGCCCCCGCCGCTGTCTGTAATCAGGCTATTATCGGGTCCAAGGCGCCTGCGCAGGTGACTGCACCAGCCGTCGCTGGACCACCGGTGGAGAAACCGGAATTCCTCGAGTACTCTGAGCTGCGGCGCGCAAGAACGGGCTCGTCGGTACATACCAACATCACACACAGGGGCAGCATTGCCCAGCCCTCCCGCATCCCACGTGGCCCTCGTCCTCGGCGTTCGAAACAGTCGCTCAGTCGTGATACCCGGCATTCGCAAGTCGACTTACCGCTCGACTTGCAGATGAAACTCGAGAATACAGCTGCAGACACTCAGCTGGGCAGAGCAGCATCAGCGCAAAGTCAGCGCCCCGATGGGCTGTATGGACCCCGCGGCGCCGAGTCCTCTCAGAGTGTCGATACCTTCACGCCCGTGGTGCCGCGCAAGCACCGGCGTAGCGCTTCGCGTGCCTCCCTCTTGAACGATTCACCTGAGGAGGTTCCTCCGCCTGTACCCCCGAAGTCTGCTGCCTCGCGCCAGCAGCGCAGTGCGCCCAGGAAAAAGCCGCCACGCATTCGGGACGATGACAAGGAGAACAGCGATGTCTCCCCGAACCCGAGTCCCGCGTTAGCACGCTCGAAGACAGCGTTGTTGTCTGGAACAAGTGCGGCCGGACCTACGACACCCACGCGTGCTCGTTCCGTGCTTGATGCACGGTACCTAGCGGATGGACCTTCGCCTGCGTCCTCATCGGAGTTGTCACCCGTTGCAAAGGACATGATGGCCAACCTTCGCAAGCAGCGCTTGCAAATTCAGAACGTCGCGCGAAGGTCCGGCAGGGGCCTGCGCTCGGCGTCATAGTAGTCATATTTATCGGACCTTATTCGCTTTGCACTAAAATCGCTTTCGTCGTGTTCGTTCGTCTCTCGGCTTCGTTGTATTGATGTCCTAGGTTTACCGGTACCAGGGTTGACAGCAACCTTTGTTCCGTATTGTATTTGTTTTTAGGCATGAGCACGTATGCATCACGTACGCAGTTTTAGCTGTTCTCCGACTTCTTTATGAGTTTCGCATGTCTTCCAACGTAATTGAGTCATGTTTCATGTCTTCTCTGGACAAACCCTTCCTCTGCATTCAGTAGACGCGTGTCGTTCCTTCATCTAGTCGCCGCAGGTCTCAGCACACAAACAATTCCGGGGAGCGTTCCATTGCGAAGGAGAAGGTACGTAATGACAGGGAAGGGTTGTAACAAAAGATAACAATAAGTTAAATGTGTAAGGAGCTTCGTCAGAACACCCAGTGCCCTCATGTAAGAGTCATGTCATGAAATAGTCGGTCGTTTGGTCGGTCGTTTAGTAGTCGTCAGTGTAGTGATACGTCGCAGTGTATGCAGCGGCCTCCGGGTCTGCCTCTGCCTCTGCGTTGGCCTCAAGTACGAGGTACGCAGCGCGCTTGCGGGCGTCGCGGCGCGTGTGGTTGCGGATCGCGAGGAAGACGGTGACAACGCAGAGGGCGAACGAGATGATGAACGTGCCCGCGATGAGCGCGAACAAGAATGCACCGTAATCCTCGATCAGGGGCGCGAGGCACTCGTGCACGGTCTTGGTGGGCTCGCGATACGAGCGGCGGAACCGTCGCGAGTACTCGTAGTCGTTGCTCCCATACAGGTTGCCGCCGAAGGATGACTGCTTACTCTCGGGACTCCCCAGGAGGCTCAGATTCTCGGAGAGCGAACCGGAACCATCGTCCGAGGAGGAAGAAGCGTCATCCGCAGACGCAGAAGGGTCAATGGGCAGCGAGCCAGTAGATGAGTTGTCCGACGAGTCGTCGGGCGTAGCGGTCGCGTCCGCAGAGGAGTCAGTGGACGTTGCCGACGCATCAGTAGTGGTCGCCGCATCTGCAGGAGTATCTGTAGGCGTTGCAGTTGCATCCGCAGACGCGTCGGTTGTGGTCGCAGTCGCATCCGTAGACGCATCGGTGGTGGATGCACTCGAGTCCGTCGAGCTTGCATCCGACGCATCTGAGGTGGCGGTGGGTGAAGAAGCATCGGTGGGGGTAGCAGTTGCATCGGCAGACGCATCAGTGGCGGTTGCACTAGCATCCGTCGAGCTCGCATCCGAGGTAGTGGTAGGCGAAGAAGAATCCGTCGACGACGCGTCGGTCGCAGCGTCGGTCGTAGCGGCCGGAGAAGCAGAGTCTGGCGACGACGCGTCCGTGGCAGACGAAGCGTCCGCGCTCGATGAAGGAGTCGCGTCTGAAGAGCCCTCTCCAGAGCTAGGGTCATACAGGCTCGGAGAGTCCGTGTTGGCCGGCGCAGAATCGGTCATGACGGCCGACGGCGAGCTCGACCACGCCGAGGTGAAAAGCGGGGTGGTCGTGGGCGCCCCAGCGTTGCACGGGACGGACGCGCTACCAGACTCGAGGGCAGCGTATGCGGAAGCGGCAGACGCCGACGCAGAGGACGCGGCAGCGGAGGCTGCGGCCTCGGCGTACATAGCCCCACGGACGGAGGCGAACTCCTTCGTTGCGGCATCCATGTCGGTGGTGGGCATGATCTGCATGAACGGTACAGCGTCTGCGGACATGTCGCCGTAGTTGAAGCTGTGTAGAAAACACTCAGCAGAGACCTTCAGCCATCATCATAATCACTTACGAGACGTAGACGTTCTTCAGGAAAGCATCACCCAGGACGAGATCGAACTGGTTGTTCACGGGGAAGGTCGACGGACTGTACACAAATAATCAGAGACAGCGCAGTCGAGGAGAAGATACACGCACCGGAACGTGTTCACGCAAACCTCGGTGTTGTTGATCGTGACAATCGTCGTGAGATCCAAGGGGTGGATCGGCACAGACATATCGCTGATCGAGACAGTGAGCAAACATAGAAGCTTCCCCCGCAGCAGCTGACGTACCCGAACTGGAATTCAACATTGGCCGCCTTGTTGCAGGGCACAATCCAGAGGCTGCTGTTCGTGTCGTAGTACGCGCCCGCAATCCCGCCATAGATCGCCTCCACAGCGGGGCCGGGAATGGGCGGGAACGTGAAACCAGTATCGAGCACCGCAACAACAGAGCCTTCGGGCGTATCGGGCACGCCAGACGCGTTGAACTGGAAGGGCTCGCCGTTGATCGTCATGCCGCTCATGACAGTCGACCAGCGGGGCGCCGCGCCCGTGCCGTTGTTCGGGAAGCGGTGGAGCTTCGGCATGTCCTGGACCTCGTCGTAGTCGGGGAGGTATTCGCCGATGGTGAACGCACCCTCGGCGGTGTACTGCGGGTCGTCCGTACGGCCGAGCTGCACGGTGAACAGCGGCTTGGTCGTGTTCTGGTTGAATAGGTTCGACAAGAAGGAGCGGCCGAGGGTCGAGTCCTCCCCGTAGACCTGGGCAATGGTGCCCTGGACGGTCGAGCCCGCGTCGAAGGCGAGACCGAGGATACCGCGCACGCCGTCATTGAAGATCGTGCTGAAGGAGGTCGCGTTCGAGACGTTCATGAACGCTATGAACGAGGATCAGCTTGTATTGCCTGTATGTTCATGACGCGTCATACCTTGGTTGGGAACGATGTTGTCACCCAACTCGGCATTTGCGAACTGGATCGTGCCGGTGATGTGCCCAATGCCGTATGCTTCCTCAGCCGGGAGGTCGGTCGTGTTCGTGAACTCGATTTCGCCGGCCTCGAGGTTGACCCACAGATCGGAAGATCCGGTGTCCAACTGGATGAGGAGATCTGCAAGCGAGATAAACATGAATTCAAGAGGTAAGGTGAGACGATCGATCTGAGACATACCTTGACCACCGATCGTCATGTTCGTAGCATACTGAAAAGCAGTGCAAGTAAGGCTCCGAGACATCGATCACTGGCAGGAAAGGCAGGCGTACCACCGTATCCTGGAAGTTGACAACGCTGTCGTTGTTTGCATCCTGCTGACGGAACGCCCCGACCAAGCGAATGGCGGGGTTGTGGACACCAGTTCCACGGGAGGAGACCTGAGCATCATGACGGACTGGTACAGGGATGTAGAGTGCATTCGTAAGACCGCACAGCGATGCAAGGAGGAGACCGAAGAAGAAGGTGTTCATGACGAAGAGCTAGAAAGTGGGGCAAAGGGGTGGTAGAAGAAACTGAAATGAAGATAGTAACCAGTACCAAAGGGTGTTCCCGGAACGTCCGCTAGAGAGGCGCAGTACCATCGTCTGTCTTTATATTGCTTTCCAAGTTCCTGGCGGCTGTGTCTCGTCTGATGAGATTGGCCTGAAACTTGCATGGAGACAGCACAGCTTCCCGTTGATGGCTTGTCACGCGTGTTACACACTATACAGCTGTTGAATGGCGTGACAGATTACTTCTTACTCGCTGTGACTGGACGTTCAGAAGCCATATGATGGCCGTAGCCAAGAAAAGCTGCCGCCGCCACCGCCGAGTTCCTTAGTGCGATCTCTTTACGACCTCTCTTCCCTCCGGCCGGTTCGAAACATCGTGTGTTTCCCCTGGATGGGCTCGTCGCTGACGAGTCCAGTGCAGACCTTTACGTGGTCCAGGGGATAAGTAACCTCTTAGGAGGCGAAACCAACTGCACTATAACGCCCTCTGGTGGAAACCAGACTAGAGGTCGCGGGCTGGAAAGTCATCTCCACAACAGTCGTCGCACTGGCCCGACCATCGGCTATGACAATAGCCTGATGTCCCTGTACTGTATACATGACCTACACGTCCTTTCGAGGAGTGCTAGCTAAGCCAAGCTAGAGGTCCTTAGTCATACTAAACCGGTAGACAACCGAGTCGCATAAACGCTAGCCTTGCAACGACCAGATGCAAGCCCCGGCTTCACCAAATCGCATTAAAAGCCCCATATATACTGTTCACCTAGGAGAAATAGCCGTCCTTAGTGTCCCACACGTGGGTATCCCCCAACTGTTGTCAACGACAAGCCTGACTGCGCAGATGCGACGACTACATAAAAAACACTGAACGCACCTCACATGCTGCCCCTCCCCTCCCACGACTCCCGTACCCCGCGACCCAGAGCTACCATCTGACCCTAGCGATGACTGCCATGACGGCCCCTACATCAAGACCCCACTTAGTGTGTGCCAGCTACGGGACACGACGAGCTCGCATAGCTACGAAGGCTGTGCTTCTTGCTCACGTGATCACCCGGCCCGGGTCTGAGCGCCCGGAACCCGACAAGCCGATCAGCCAAGCTACCGCCCTAACCACGTGCAATGGCACGGCACGATCACGCGCACATCAAACGCGTCCCATAAATCATTGCACTCCGAGAAAGTCTTCTGCAGACGGCCTCTCCGTCCGTAAATGCCCATGCTACGACATGATCCCTTCCATAATCCATAATCCTAAGCTCCTAATCATGCTATATGTTGCAAACCTCTTGAAGGAAATATGAAACGGCTAGCCGCCCGTATGTCAAGTCACGTTCCAGTAAACGCTTTGACCTATAAAATCAGGGTGAGCCCCCATGAAATAAACGCTCATAACGTACCAGATGTTCTTCGCATTCTCATCTGGAAAAACACGCAGCTCTCCTGCCCAATCGCCCATAATACAAGCATATCACGATGGGCAACACGTAACGCGTCCTGGAGCGTCGTCATCAACCGTATTCGCTGTCCAGCCACAGAAATCGAGAAAACGCACCTCATACCAGCCTGCATACTCCATCGAAGTCGACATCGTCGTCGAGGCACGCCCAGAGCTCGAGGAGGATGGACGGCGGGAGACGTGGATAGTCGATAGCCAACCTAAAAGGCCGTTGGCTAGAGGTCACGTGGTAACCCTCCGCACCGGCAGTCACGTGATAGAGACTGGGCGTGTCTCCAAGGTCGTGACCATGATGCGACACTGGGTCACGTTCCGGCTCACCGGGAGCAAAGACGGCTTACATATCAAAGTCCCGATCCCATGGGCCCGCCTCTGCGATCTAGACGGTTACACGCATACACTCGTCTATCACACACTACCACTCCTCCCAGGCCCTCACCGCGCATTCGTCAACAAACCTGATTTCCAGAACCCCGGCTCTAACCCGTATGAATTCGACATTACTCCAAGCGCTATAACGCGCCTTCGCGCACGAATGGCGAAAGACCCCAGGACCAAAGAACTCATAGAAGGCCACCAAGGAGCAAGCGGAGCAAGCGGAGAGGATGGAGCTGTGGCTACGTACGAAATGAACACCCCGCAGTGTGATTAACGGTAGACATACCAGTAACGTGCTAGTGAACGATGCTCCGGACGGAATCTGTGGAGATCAATGAACTCTACCTTGACGGATAAGACGCTGCATAAAGTCAAGTCTATAGCGAGCCCTTCTACGTCTGCTCCAGCCGACCTCTCGGGTCCAAAACACGCCACCACGCCGATCAAATCTAGCTTAACGCCAAATACCAGCTAAGGCAGTAAGGTGCCCGAAAACAAGCGCCCTTAACCTTCTTCAGCGAAGAGCTTCTACGCCTGCGACACGACACTACCGCCACCTGCCCTACCTCCCGCCTTGGCCCATACTACGGCATTAGATTCTGTTATATGCACCACATATCCCACATATCCCTGGAAGACAATCGACCTAATCCATGTATCAACAAACGACCACACACCGAGAAAACGACGCTGACACCGATGCCCCGGTCAAACATAACGGGGAGGCATCGAGGCACGAGTCTCACGCAACCACGATAACCGCCGCGGCGTCGACAGCACTCCCAACTCTGATGGAACCGAAGGAAAAACGATGCAGAAAACCCATTTAAATCGGACCCTTAGTGCCCCGACAGTACGTCGCAGCCCACTGCCTTGCTGACTTGGGAATGGAGGGAGCGATTGCGCGCGGTAATGATGGGCAGCCTTGTGATAGGACCCGAAAACAGTACGTCCTCTACCTCTGTCTGTCTGCCCCTCCCGCTGCGTCGGCACATAGGTCAGCCCCTACCTTCTCCCTTCCGCTGCCTCGGCACATATGCCATGAGATCCTTGAAGTTAATGACCCCTCTCGAGGATAAACACACGCCACACGACACTACCCCAACGCTCACCCTGCGGCTGACTAGCTGGAACCCTTGCAAAGCAAATAAACGACTTGGTCCAATCCGAGCGTGCCCAGTGACAAATCAAACGTCGCGCCAACGCGCCTTAAATAGCGAGGAAGACTCAGAGTTACGGCATCACTCTAGTGACTTCCTCTCAGTCTCTGCTCGCTTCCCGCATACTCGCCTCTCATCGTCTCTTACAGCTATCTGCTCACCCCGCTGCTCTGAATTCTCGACCATCTCGCTCAATCCCAAATAAACCAACTAAAGAATATGTCCCGCACCATTGCTCCGAACCATGTCCTTGGCCACGATGGCCCTACACTGACATCTAACGAAGTAAGTAACAATCTGATGCTCGCGATGACCAAGACATAGGAACTAAAAATCGCCCGCCCTCAGAGCCCGACGACAATTAGAGCGATGACTTCGCAGTCGCAGTCGCCGAGGCTCTCGCCCGGTCTCTCCTATGCGTCCGCTGTTGCTGGGCCTCTATCTCAGGCGAACGCAAACGGCAATCCCCAACATAGCCCTGTGTTGTCACCGCCCACTCCAGCCTCCCCGGCTACAGAGACCATCGCCCGCAGACAAGGTTTGCACTATGCCATACCCGACCATAACAAATCACTAACCAAGTGCATAGACTCCCCTCCTGCTGCTGCGTCTGTTCACCAGATGGCGGGCTGGACTGTCGTCTCACACAAAAAGAAAGGAAAGGCCCAGGCTGCCACCTCTGGCCGCCACGGGACCAATGCGCAACGTCCCAAAGAAGTGCGCCGGGCCGTGCTCGAGGACCCACCTATGGAGGCTGATGACCAGGGCAGCGCCCCCCGTAAGCGTCGACGCGCCGAGGAAGACCTTGGCAACGAGGACGCTCCCTCTGTCGAACTACGCAAGCAGAACGCACAGGTGATTGTAGCCACACCTGTCGCCTCTCCCCTCCTAGAGGCCACCCCCGGTCCCTCTGCGTCTTCGCCCAGCACAAACATCTCCGCCCGTCCTAACGCGCAGTCACCCTCTCACCCCTGTGTCTTGGATGATGCCCGCACGCCTGACACCGACATCGTAAACATATCGGACTCTGAGCTCGTCGAGATGCTCCTGTCCCCTCTGGGCCAAAGGTCTTCCCAGCCGCAAAGTCGCGCCCCTGCGTCGGGACATCGTCACAATGGCCTTAGAACACGCGTCTCTGTCGACACCTCTGACGACGACGTCCTCTCCGACATCGGCGACATCCTTCCGCTCTTCCCTCTCCCGCCGTCCTCGCTTCCCTCTAGCTCACCGCGCACGCCTACCCCTCGCAGGAACAGGCGTCCGGCGACCCCCATCGCGCCGGCCCGTGGCCATCATTGGTCCGAGGTGGGAGATAGCAGCAGCATCATCGGTAACGTCTCGCCGCGATCGTCCCTGCGCACGCCCTCAATCCAAGAAGTAGAGATGATCGATGCTACTAGGCCTGACACACCTGTGCCCACGTCTTCCTCTCACACGCGCCGCCGAATCCGGCGCCGCCTCCTCCGCCGCGAACGCCGCGAGAGTCGCGCCGCCTCTGCCTCGAATTCCTCCCAAAGCTCGAACGACGACGGCCCGAACAACGCCTTTGTCCCTCTCGACGTCGACGCCCTCGACCCAGACTTTGTCGTTCCACCCACTGCCTCGTGGCGCCAAGTACAAGGCGACAGTTCTTGCTGGAAGGGACGCGGCATGGCAGCAGGCCAACGCGATTCTTGGAACGCCCTCGACGCCTCTGAAACCGTGCTAGCTGTCCAGATCCCTCTACACGGCACCGAAGAACCAGGGGTCAGTACTCGCATCGAAATTATGCTCGACGTCTTCCGACGCACTTTGCTGATCCCTGGTACGTTCATTCTCCCAGCCTACTCTGTCGCGGGCTTCCACGGTATGAACACCGAGCCGTTCTGGTACTTGGCGCGGGGCATTCCTCTGCCCAAAATTGCGGCTCTTGTTCATATTGGCTGGCTCAATTCAACGCCTGTAACCCTTCACTTCGATTTTTGGCGTGATTCGAACCCCCACTTGTGTGGCATGTTCCGCTTCATCTACAGATTCGGCGCTCAAACCAAAGCCGAGTACGAGGAGCTCGTTCGCCGAGCCCTCCTCGAAACCGACCTGTTCGACACAGCCTATGACGTCCTCACGCGCGATATCTCTCGCGGTGGGATGTGGAGTGGCTCGTCGCGGATCGATGCCCTGAACCACATCCTAGATTCGATAGATGTCGATATTATTCAATGCCGCGTCGCTACTAACACAACTGAGCCTGTAGCAGTTCTGTATGTCAGGCCGCCGACGTCAGACCGTCGCGACTGGCTGCGTTTTAGCAGCCAGCTCAAGCTTCACCAATTCGGGTCGAATATCGCTGGCCACCCTGAGCCCTTCACAAGCAGAGTCTGGTGCGGATACTGCCACTCACTCGGACACATTGCAGGTGCATGTCCTGTACGCCGAACGATCGGCTGGCATGAGCCGCCCCTACAGACACCACAGATGGCCCAACCACCGCCCCAGCACAACGCCGCGATAGGCAGAGGCAATGGCCGTGGCAACGGTCGTGGTAACGGGCGCGGCCGAGGTGGCCGTGGACGTGGAAATGGCAACTTCTGAATATCATCCCATCCCTATTCTACCTGTCTTCCTGTCTCATGTAGTACGACTGCTGCTCCCCGTTTTCACCTATATACTGTTCCTTAGCCATGATCGTCTCGAGTCGTACTACGCTGTACCATCACTCTGTATCCACAAATATTGCGCTTAAAACAATACCAAATTCGGTGCACAAACACTACGCTGCGATGCATCCACCGATCACACTTACTGTAATAAGAAAACATTCGGCTAAGAAAACTTATAATAAATAATAATAAAAACGCTCCAGCAGATGCATCGATAAAGCGGATGACCGCGCTCAAGGCCCACACTTACTGACCGCTTCAAGCGGGACAGGAAAGCCTGTCAGCGCGTACTCATAAATCTCCGTTAATTTCCATTCTCACCTCAGGGCACTCGGAGACTTGCCCCGCCGAGAGGCTTAAGCAAACTCCTTCTATATAATGAATTAGCATGTCACCTGTGGGGCTCAGGAGTAGTCCCCTCCCGCCGTGGATCGCTGTAGCGGCGGGAACGATAGCAGCGGCGCACAATTACAACAACACACATAACACCACGGACGTTCACATGGCAACCGGAAACACTCCCTCCCGACGACAAGGGATGACACCGCCTCCTGCCCGAATGACTCCCAATGAATCGTCGGAAGGATCGGACGGCAGGGCAATCTTCCATGACTCCTTAGCAGCGTCACAAATGGAAGATGGTACGCGTTTGAGTAACCACAAACCAGGGGCATCGACGAAATCTAAGAAGGGCCGTAATACGCGAGCCACGCTGAATGTGGCAACATTGAACATGAACGGCAGAGGGAACCTGTCTGGCAATGTCAACAATAAATGGAATGTCCTTAATCAGCTTATACGTACTGAGAAGATTGGGGTTCTAGCAATACAAGAATCACATCTAAATGATACGACTATTGACCAACTACATAGACAGTATGGGAGACGCATGGTTGTCATATCAGCACAAACCAATGAGGACAACGTGGGCGGTGTAGCTTTTGTTCTTAACAGAGAACTTGTAGATACGGCCCAGCACGACGCTACGACTATTATACCAGGACGAGCTATGTCTATGACCATACACTGGCATAAAGAAGAAGATCTCACTTTTCTGAACGTCTATGCCCCAAATGACGTTACTGCTAACTCAGAATTCTGGCTGAAGATTGAAGAATACTACTCCAATCATAGACATAAGCTCCCTGACGTACTACTAGGGGACTTCAACGTCGTTGAAGAACCCATCGACCGACTCCCCCCACGTGAGGATAACCCATCGGCAACTGAGCACCTACAACAGCTGCTTAACAAACTCCATATGAAGGATGGATGGCGCATAACTAATCCAACACAATGCGATTTTACATTCCCGCAACGCGCCTCAGACGTTCGCTCACGCCTCGATCGGATTTATGTGACTGAACGAACTCTCCGATCATCTCAAGTATGGAATATACGATCCACCGGCGTCCCTACGGACCACCGGCTAGCCTCAGCTATGCTTAGCACCACACAAGCTCCGTTTATAGGGAAGGGACGTTGGACTCTCCCCCTCACCATGCTACATGACGAGTCCTTCATGAAGGACATCAAAGCAATGGGTAACCGTGCTCTAAAAGAGGTGAAGGTCCTGCATGACTGCGGAACACGCTCACCTGACTGTAACGCTCAATCAGTTCACAAAACCTTCAAGAACAAAACGATCGCATTAGCAAAGAATATCATGAAGAAGAAAGCCCCAAAACTCACAGCGGCGATCACAAGACTATCTGCTGCGATAGACAAAATACAAGCGAACCCTACATTCGGCTCCTCAGCGTCGCTGCAAACTGAAGCAGCGGTAATGTTAGACCGAGTCATAGAGCTGGAACGAAAACGTTATCAGCATATCCGAGAAGCTACGACCGCGCGTTACGCTCTCAACGCTGAGACCCTCAGTAAGTATTGGTCGAACATCAATAAAGACAAAAGTCCGAGAGATATCATCTACGCACTACGGAAACCCGACTCCCAAGTCTATATTCGACGCTCATCCGATATGGCCGAACTTGCCCGACAATACCATGATTCTCTCCAAACCAGCGACGATAACCAGGTCAATGATGGAACGCGCGAAGCGGCAATATCTATAGCAACAAACAACATTCAGCAGTTCCTAAGCACACAAGATAGCGAAACGCTCCAGTCTAAAATAAGCATAAACGACATTCAAAACGCACTTAAAAAAGCCCAGACGGGTAAAGCGAGCGGCCTTGATGGAATTCCATACGAATTCTGGAAACTGCTTCAAGATGATGAACCTGCAGATGATGATGCGTCATTCAACAGTAACGCCTATCTCCAATACGTCCTAGATGACATCGACACCTACGGTGTTGACCCAAAGTGTGGATTTGCGGATGGATGGATGTGCCCGATCTATAAAAAGAAAGATAAAAGGGATATCAGCAACTATAGACCCATAACTATATTGAATACCGACTATAAACTCTACACCCGCATCATGGCTACGAAGCTTGGATTGGTAGTGAAAACAGTTATTCACCCGAACCAAGCAGGATTTATACCGGGACGACAAATCTCTGATCAAACACAGCTGTGCCGTGCTATGGTAGACTATGCAGAAGCAACTGAAGACAATGGAGTAATCGTCGCATTAGATCAAGAGAAAGCTTACGACAAGATAAAACACGATTACCTATGGCGAATACTACGAGCAATGGGTCTCCCTGAATCCTTCATAACCAAAGTCAAGAACCTATATAAGGACGCAACAACGGTAATAATCATTAACGGCGAGACTAGTAAACCTTACCGGGTCTTCCGAGGAGTCCGCCAAGGCGACCCACTCTCTTGCCTACTGTTCGATCTTGCAATCGAACCTCTAGCCTGCGCTCTACGATGCTCTAACCTGCGTGGATTCCAAATCCCTGGCCTTATGGACCGCGTGATCACCTCGTTGTTTGCAGATGACACCTCGACATTTCTTGCTCAATGTGATAGCTGGTCAGACCTGTGGAAGATACTCAATAACTGGTGCACAGCATCCGGAGCACGCTTCAACTCCGGTAAAACAGAAATCATACCAATCGGATCCCCTGAATATCGCAGCCAGGTCATCAGAACTCGCCGCATAGACCCCATGAGCAATGCTCCAACCATCCCAGACTTTGTACACATAGCGAAGGACGGGGAGGCGGTACGCATCCTCGGAGCGTGGATAGGCAACCAGACATGCGCGGCGGCTATCTGGACACCGACTCTAGAAAAAGTCGATAAATTCCTGACGCGATGGGGCCGCTGTAACCCGACATTGAAAGGTAAGAAACATATCATCCAAATGGGACCGGGTGGCATAACCCAGTACCTCACGACGGTCCAAGGCATGCCCGCCACAGTGGAAAAGGAACTCACAAAAAAGATCCGAACCTTTGTCTGGGGGAAGAACGGAACGCCTCTAGTCAACCTACCAACTATCCACCTCCCTATCTCAAAAGGCGGATTAGAAATACTGGACATCCATACACGAAACGAAGCCATCGAACTTACATGGCTCCGTAAATATCTCATCCTAACAGACTCCCGACCCGACTGGGCATTCATCTTCGATATCCTGATCGCACTCCAAGTCAGTCGCTCAGCCGGAGCCATTCAGTCATCAGCACAGATCAATACCTTCTTACAGAATTGGAACCCGGCAGTGCACGCAGCATCTCCCCTACCGCATTATATAAAGCAACTTTTGAAGACTGCTAAGAAACATAAGACCTCCTTCGGAGCATTAAAACTAAGCAATGAACTGAAGAACAAACTCCCCGCATGGTACCATATCAGTGCGACAAAACGTCTACGACGTCTGGATAACACTAACCTTAGCAAATGTCTGCGACGTAACCATGGTGTTACATACGTATCAGACATCATGGTTCTAGCTAGACATGATTTCATCCCAGTTCTCCCACCAGACACACCTGTATGTTCATGCACGACATGCAAAGATGCCGAGGAAAAAGGCTGTCAGAACACACTTAACTGTGTTGAAGCAGCCCGCCGCCTACTCACCTCCCTGACCGACAAATGGAATCCAACGGTGAATCCTGTGCCCGACGGGCTCACCCTCACTCCACGCCGACATGACAACAATAGCGCCGCATTCAAGAAGAAGGACGGCGAAGCTGTATTCAACCCCTCTGTCACTGAGAGAGGCGGCATCTCTGAAATATTCCGTGTCTTCATGGATGATAACAGCCTCGAGACCACACCGAATATGCGTCAGCGACAAGGCACACGTTTCCAAACAATTACAGCATACGCACTCGAAGCCAAGTGCTCCTTTAAGCACGGCGAGTCCCGCATAGCCCCAGAGGGCAGCGGTATCTTCATGTCTGAGTTAGACCAGCAAACCGCTGCCCAGCTAGTACGACCGCTAGACAACATAGTAGACCTATTAACGAGTGGTGAGATTACCGCAGTAGCATACGCGGTACAACTTATCCCGAGAGACGTACCGATCCGATTTGTATGCGAATCTCTCTTCATGCGTAACGTCCTGTGTAAAGACCTACAGCGATGGGAGGACGTTGACTGGTTAGGCATCAGCAACAAACTCGCACTACAAGACCTAATAAACGTCCTCCGTCAGCGCTGCGCCCCCACCACATTTAGAATGGCTAGTACCCACGAAGATTGGAACATCATAGACAAAGGACGCCACCTTGTGAAACACCTCATAGATAATAGCGGCCTCAAGACGGTCTCCTTGAACATCGACCAGACCCTCCAGCTATCTGGAGCTAAGTTATCGACCATGTCGCAACGTATTGCCTACCGCCTTATCCTACAAAGGCGCCCCATCGAAGAACGTCGATCAACGAAAACCACGATCGACGCAGTGCTTGCCAAAGTCAACCTTAACTCAGATAGCCTTATTACCGCTGACGTCCTATGGAAAAGCATACGAAACCACGACTTCCGCCTGCCAATCTCTGACTTCCTATGGAAATGCCTTCACAGTGCATTCCGTGTCGGACGCTTCTGGGCTAAAATACCAGGATATGAAGATAGAGCCATATGTCAATACTGTGGTGCCGTTGACTCAATGGCACACGTACTTACTGAATGCACCGCCCCAGGCCAACAGGAGATCTGGGCAATGGCTGGTAACCTATGGCGGTGTAAACAAGCCACCTGGACCAAGCCCGACCTTAACGACATCCTCAGTGTCGGAATACGCCAGTGGCTCTCCCCTAAAAAGAAACGGAGACCATTTGTAGAACGTATGTGGCGCATACTGATTTCCGAAGCTGCGTACCTCATATGGTGTCTACGTTGTGAACGAACCATTGGCCACGCAATAGATGATGGCTGGACTCACTCAGGACCAGAAATCCGCGCTAGATGGGGATGTATAATCAACCGTCGGCTCCATCTTGATATAGCTATGACAAACAAACGATACGGGAGGAACGCTCTATGGCCGCCGCTAGTCATTGGTACATGGTGTGGTACCCTACACGACGAAACTGCTCTCCCTGATGATTGGACAAAGATTAAAAGGGTTTTAGTGGGTATTAATCCTAACACCTACGTTACCTGGGATGTAGGATAACTGAGTCCCACACTGGCCCTGTAAGGCCGTGCGTAAACGCATTTTATCCCTGGACTGCAATTGCGGGGGAACCCGCTGGCTGGCTGGAATCCGGATCTGACCAATTGTCAGCTGCTGGCTTCCGTTAAGAGCCCTCTAAAAAAAAAAAAAAAAAAAAAAAAAAACATCGTGTGTTTGGTACACAACGTCCAGCGTCCAGTGTTACGCATTGGTGGGCTCCAGGCCATTATATATTGAACCTACAGCACATACACCAATCGTTCCTTCCACAGCAAACTCTGCAGCAGTAAATCCTTGGTTGACACAAGATTGACAGGCCAGCTGTCGTACATCCATCAAATCCAGGCGTTCAACGGCTTATAGGGCGATGCAGTGGTCACTGGTTCGCGGCCATCTGTGTGAACACAGAGTACGTGTCTGCTGGCATCTCTCGCACGGATGTGGTTCAATTTTTCGTAGATGACAGGATCCTGCCATGTCGCATGCTCCGTGCGGGAAGGTGCGCGGTTCAATTGCGCAGTCTGTGAACGACGAAGCTGATTGGTCACGACATACCCGCGCGTCCTCACAACTCGCTGGAAACAGTCTAGCGGTAGGTCTGCCATACGCAGAGGCCCTCGAGACATTTGGTTCCGTCTGTCTCGCGTCGAAGAGGTTCTGCCGTTGACGCGCAGTGGGCTAACAAGGTAAGGACTGCATTGATGTGATAGAGTTTTGACTACAGGGTGCGTGATATGACTTGAATTTGATCATCGAGAAGGAGGTCGTCCTCACGCCTGTAATGTTGGTGAAGGCGGCTGAAGCACCTGCTGCGCCTCGGTCTCCAGAATGGCTGGTCATAAGCGGCCTTGCGGGAGACTATCCCCAAGCAGCAAGCAACTCACTGGACGGTCGAGACTCCCCACATCTGGATTTCTGTGACGCAGGTCCTTCCCATCCGAGGACGAGCGTAAGACGAGCGTGCATTTAATCTGGGCGTGTCTTCGGTGCCGTAACGTGGAGGCCGTGCGGGGAAGAGGCGGAGGGAAGATCCGTGACGCGTTCCCCAGATCACGTGAGCGCGTTTGATTGGAACGCGTCGTCGGTCCGGAGCATAGCCGTCGAATATCGCGACGCGAAACCGACAACTCGCCGGGTCAGGGCCGCTGCAGCCCGCTCGCCTGCAGCCCCCTGCTGGCCAGAACGCTCGACGAAATATCCCCATGGCTCGACCTGCCCCTCGCCATCCCCTGCCGGCCTTCCGACTCGCTAGCCTCCTCCCTCGGCGCGCTCGCACCATCCTATAAAGCCCCTCTGGACCCGGTGTTAGGATCCCCCGACTTTCTCTTCCCCATTCCCCGCAACATCCCCCACACCCCACATAACCCCGCTCTCCCCCTGAGGTCCTCCCTACCTAACGATGGAGACTTCACCCCTCTTCCTCGGCCTCGATCTCTCTACTCAGGGTCTCAAGGCCGTCCTGATCACGGAGGACAGCGATGTCGTCCATGAATCATCTGTCAACTTCGACCGCGATCTTCCAACTTATGGAACCACCAACGGCGCCATCCGCGGTCCTGGGCCCGGCGAAGTGACCTCTCCTGTCTGCTTGTGGCTTGAAGCCTTCGACCTCCTCATGGAGCGTATGAAGGCTGCCAACGTCAATTTTGGTCGCATCCTCGGCATCTCCGGTGACGGACAGGTGCGCGGCATCCCGTCGACTCTTCATCGAGACACTGACACAACTTCTCCAGCAACACGGGTCCGTGTATTGGTCCGGTGCCGCCGAGCGGATGTTGGCATCGCTCGACCCAGAATTACCGCTCAAGCAGTTGTCTCCTGGCGCGTTCTCGCTCCCCAACGCGCCCATATGGCAAGACTCTTCCACAACGCGCGAGTGCCGCGACCTCGAAGCAGCCGTCGGGGGCGCTCAGGCGCTCGCTGATCTGACAGGTAGCCGCGCGTATGAGCGGTTCACCGGTACCCAGATTGCTAAGGTATGCCGCATGACGTGTGTCTGGCACCCCGAATGTGACCACGAGCCCACAATGTAGCTTCGGCGCACGAACCCAGAGGCGTATCAGGCCACAGCACGGATCTCTTTGGTGTCCTCGTTCATGCCTTCGCTCTTCTTGGGGTCAATCGCCCCTATCGAAGTGTCAGATGCCAGCGGGATGAACTTGATGAATGTGCTCACCTGCAAGTGGGACGATACGCTCCTAGAAGCATGCGGGGGCCCAGAGCTGCGGCAAAAGATCGGCCCAGAGCCCGCTCCGGGAGGCACCGTACTAGGCACCATTAGCCCTTGGTGGGTCAAGCGATGGGGCTTCAACCCTGGTAAGCGTCTTCCCGGTGCGAAGTGTAGGTGCAGTGCTGATTTCTTACTTACCGCTCTCAGACTGTTGCATTGCACCCTTCACGGGCGATAACCCCGCCACCGTCGTCGCGCTCTCAACGCCCGGAGATGCTATCCTTTCCCTTGGCACCTCCACGACCCTCCTGCTCTCCATCCCTCCCTCCGATTCTGCACCCAAGTGCTTCACAACCTCACACCTCCTCTCCCACCCTACGACAATCGACGCGCACATCGCGATGCTCTGCTACAAGAACGGCGCGCTCGCACGTGAGCAAGTCCGGGACGCCTACGCCGACGCGCACTGGTCACAGTTCAACACGCTCGTCGAGCAGACGCCAGCAGGCAACGCCGGATACATGGGCTTCTACTTCCCTCTCCCCGAGATCATCCCTCCAAGCGTGCACGGCTCGTTCTTCTTCCACGCCAACGCTTCCGTCCACCCTCCCTCCGTGCGCTCAGTCACCGACGCAGAGATGCCTCGGACTGCGCACCCGCGTGCGATCCTCGAGTCTCAGTTCCTCTCCATTCGCTCGCGCATCACTGCGATCCTCCCACCGGACGCCGCACCGCTGCAGCGGCTCGTGCTGAGCGGCGGGTCCTCCGCGAATGCGGTCATCCGGCAGCTCGCCGCGGACGTGTTCGGCATGCGCGTGTTCGTCGCGGGCAAGGAGGGCGCGGCGGAGGGCGGTGCGCAGCTCGCACGGTACGCGTGGTGGCGCGCACAGAACGGCGGCGAGGGCACGTTCGAGGAGATGCGCGCCGCAGACATCGTTGGCGAGCGTATGAAGTGTGTCGCGGAGCCGAAGGAGGCGAACGTCGCGCTTTATGCGGAACTCGTGGACGCGTACCGTGTGTGCGAGGACCGTGTCGTGAACATGTGTCATGCTACTTAGATGGGATACCCGGGCGAACGTTTATAGAGCAAAACATAGACTGGTAGAAGTATAGTGGGGCATCTACGATACTGTACATTATCTCTTGGCTTTGTAGCATCAGGGACTGCAATTGATGTTCCTAGGACATCTTGTGCGAGCTCGGAGACTTCAGTGAGTGCCACTGCGCGGCCTCGCTCGCGAATCATGTGATCGCGACAATTCCTCAACCAATCGACATCGCAAATATTGCTTCGCACAGTCGTAGGGGTATCCCGGATTATATACCCAACCCAAGACCCCGTGCTAGATACCCCTACGACTGCGTGCGAAGTAATGCGCGCATCGCTCTGAATCAAGTACGAGATCGAGGTGGCCATGTCATTTGCGAAGAAGATCATGGCAGGCAAGGACCCGCTCACGGTCTACGCCGCCGCATGCCAGATGCGGATGCCTAACCTCGCCCTCGAGGCGGCCAAGCTCAGCCTCCTCCACGAACAGATAATCCTCACTGCGACCACACCAGCAGGGCTGGACTGTGGACAGCCTTCCTGCCACGATCCTCTTTGCGCTCATGCAGTATCGCGAAAAGTGCAAGGCCGTCATATGCATCCAGCGCTTCGTACAGGACGATCGGGTCTAGAAGGACCAAGGAAGGACTGGCGCGAGTTCCGGTACTTCTCTGCGAGATCTGCGACCCGCGACCCATTAATGACGACGGACTTCCTCGCGAAGGCGCGGTCATACTCGACGTCGAACACCTCCGCGTCGTGCTCCGCGACCTGCTACGTAGCATGCCTGGACCTGTGCCGGACTCATCAGCGAAGTCATGCTCTCGTCGATGCTGCTCATGGCTGGTTCACGCGAGAACACAAAGTGCGAGTCGTGCCGCATGTCTATCGTCAGAGATGTGCGCGAACTCCACACGGAGATCTTGTCAGAGGTTCAACGCTCTGTGTCAATGGTAAGTGTGCCCTCTTCAACCTCAAAGGTACCGACACATGCTAACGGAGCGCCGCATCAAGATCAAGCTCGAGCTTGCTTTGTAGAAGCCGCAACACTCGTTTGCTCGGCCTACTACTGCCCCGCACTTCACTGACAAATATGCTTCGCTTTCGTCCCAGGTGTTCCTAACATCACGATACTCGCTATCTACACCCGACGATCGTACCCGGAAGTACCGGTGTGTAGCCATCTGTACTTACTACATTCTCGTATGGTTGCTCGGTTCGTGCTCTTCTGCACCTCATGTATACCTCCACTGCCACGACTGATGTGAGTGTTCAGCCTTTTTCAGTCTTTCGATGTTTGTCTGCGTCACACATCGAGTTGTATTTCTGCTAAGTATCGTATCTGCAGCCCGAAAATCTCAAGCTCAGAACCCGCCGAGACATTCCGCAAGATCTCTCAATAGCTCAACATGCGACGGCGCGGGGATCGATACAAGGAGCAATTCGAAGGTATGCTGACATGTTCGGCAGTGGAGGAATGAACTCTGTTCGCACACTCGCAGGCTTGAGCGCTTGAGCTTGAGCGTATTCACAGAGGCTATTGATATGTGTTGGTTAGCGTTGTCAATGGCCAACGAGACCGGTGAAGCATCACGCGTCACGACTAGCATCTCCTCTCCACGCTGAGTATGGTGAGCTAGCTAACGTAGAAGCAGCCCTCCGACACAACCTACGCCACACGTGTCTACAATGACGCCCCCTCGACTACCTCAAAATGAGATGCGCCTACTGTGAGTAGCTTTCCATTACCAACGCAGTACCCTAATGGTCGATTGTCAGACTCATATGAACTCATACCAGCTGAAAATCGTTCGCGTATTGCCATTTGTGCCACTACGTTCGACGAGACCGACATCTTGTAAATACCGTCCGTCAGCTGCCTGTAGTCGACGCTATCTGGTCACTACTTATACAGACGTTACCTCGCGTTCTACTTGTCACTGCCCAAATTTCACGTTCGCTCTGTTCTGCATCCGAGGCCGTCTTGCACCCTCGACTCATACGTGTCCATCGTCGCGATTACGATGGAGACCATGGGTACCATCATTGGTATCTTCATATTGATGATCCTTCTGAAATGGAGGTTCGATCCGGTGAGCATCGGTGAGCATGTCAATTGGAAAACAACACTGATACTGGCCCTCTACTCCATCCCGGCGGTCGGGCCATCCTTCCCTGTGCTGTCATACATAGGTGCTTACCGGTATTGCACCTATGCTCGTGCAGTCCTTGAAGAAGGCTATTCCAAGGTTGGTTGTCGTGCGACAATCCAGGCCTGAGCTTACCCTTGGGTTATGTTCGAAGTATAACGTCTTCAAAGTCGCCATGCTCGACCAGTGGCTCGTCATCGTGAGTGGCGCCGACTTGAATGACGAGCTATCCAAGGTCCCGGAGTCGCATGCAACCTCCCACAAGGCGGCTCAAGACGTGCGTCCATCAACTCCTCGTTCCTATTGCTTCGATGCATCACTGATCCTGAACATTGGACAGCTTTCCCAACTACGGTACACCTTCTTTGAGAGTGTCGCTGATCAGCCCATCCATATCACTACCATTCGCGGCCCTTTGACGAAGAACCTTGGTGTTGTCTTCGATGACGTCGTAGACGAGGTTCAGGCTGCATTTGCTGACACCATCGGGTGCAAGATGCAGGGTGATGGTTGGTCGACGTTTTTCTTCCCATGTTCATTATGACCCTGACAAGTATCTGCGACCAGAGTGGATTAGCATAGACCCTATGACGGTTATGTCGGTCATCACCTCTCGCTCCAGCAATCGTGTTTTTGTCGGTCTTCCCTTATGTAAGTCGACCTTTCCACGCGGCCACGCAATGGGTTACACGGAAAGCTAACGTTACGCTGCATGTGAATAGGTCGGAACGAAGATTATTTGAACCTTGTTCGCGGGTTCACCTTTGATGCGTTAAATGCGCGTTTCATACTCAGTCTGTTCCCGAAATCAATGAAGGGTATTATCGGCCCATTCATCCCCTGGGCACGCAAAGCAACTCAGAGGGCATCAATGTACATCCGGCCCATCATTGAAGATCGGCTCAACAAGCTCAGAGAAATGGGCGGGAAATGGGCGGACAAACCAGTAAGCCGTTCGCCATCCGAACACTGCGCACTGACTGAGAGCTACTGAATCCTAGAACGATTACATCGCGTGGGCAATGGAAGAGGCTGAGCGACAGGGCCAGCCTACCCAAGTTGTTATCGAGAGCCTCATGATCACGAACTTTGTTGCTATACACACATCTAGCAAGGTGCGCATCTTCCTCGCTGTCATCTGACCCGTAAACTTGAGGTGGGTTATTGACGACCTACGCGTTACAGAGTATGACACAAGCGCTATATCACCTCGCAGAGAGCCCCGTGCTTGCTGAGCCCTTGCGCGAGGAGGTCGAGGAAGTGATCAGGGAGCACGGCTGGACCAAGGTTGCGATGAGCAAGATGTGGAAGCTCGACAGCTTCATGCGCGAGTCACAGCGCTTCAACGGCATCACCCACAGTGAGGGTCCACGTCCATCTCCTAGTCCGTCATGCTGATTGTTCGCAGTCTCTATCATGCGGAAGACGTCGCAAGACACGACACTCTCCAACGGGACGGTTATACCCGCCGAGACCCTCGTCGCGGGCGCGTCGACGGCGACACATCATGACGCGCGCAACTACGAGAATCCCGCAGTGTTCGAGCCGTTCCGCTTCGCGAATATGCGCGCGGAGGACGATGCGCACATCAAGCATCAGTTCGTCAGCACCTCACCAGGATATGTGGCCTTCGGGCATGGGAAATACGCTTGGTACGCAGCGCCTCAGTATTCCGTCTTTTCGGTGTAGTGTGTTGTTGACTGAGGGACCTTGTCGTACCAGCCCGGGCCGATTCTTCGCGGTAAACGAGCTGAAGGTTATGATGGCGTATATCTTGCTTCACTACGACGTCAAGTTCAAGGCTGGGCAGGAGATGCCAGAGAACTCGTCGCGCTGGCATGTCGTCGTCCCGGGACACGCGGACGTGCTCTTCAGGAACCGACACTCCATGCCTGCTTAACGGACATTGAGTATCGGTTGACGTGGTGTGGTGTGTTCCCTTGTATATGAGATGCATTTGGATTCGAGTTATCGAGTGAGCTTCTTTAATTCTGGGATGCACAGCACGCGATCTAGGTTCTGAACTCCAGGGCATATGTCACTTGTCTCAGGAAGTGAAAGCCGCATGCTATCGCTGGCGCGCATCGGCCTGTGACCCGCTTGTCTCCATAGGTTCTCTTCCTGTGCGTCGGTGGCTCGAGCTCAGCCCACAACCTTGATGTATATCGCACATTATCTCATTCCTAATGAAGTCGATACTCGCTTACACAAGTCTCCCGGGCAGGCAAGTGTCGAAGGCCTTGCTGAGTGCCTACCGGAAAGCACCGCGAGTCGTTCCATAGCTTTTGAGAACGCCATGAAGCGACACATGAACAGCTAGTTTACAGCAAGGCAGTCTTGGTAATCTCTCGCTTCTCCTCATACCCTTCGAGTGAAATCTCCCCTACCGTCAGCTGCGAGCCTGCTAGATCACGCGGACCGTCATTCGCGGACTCGGACGCCGGCAGCACTCTCTCGGCGAAGTAGGCTTCAAGCTCGCCATAACCAGTCGCAGCCAACGGGGCAACGGACCTCACTGTGCCGTCCGGGCGCACGACAACTTGAAGGCCGCCCTCCGCCGGGTCGATCGAATATTTCGCATACGCATCCCCCGTCACGTTGTAGGCTGAACTGCCTAATGGCTGCTCGCCCAGCGCCTCAGTGGACTGCAGCGTACCCTCCCCGCGCGGGATAGTCAAGAACGAGAATGCGGGTGCACGCGTCTGCGTGAACACGTCGCGGTCATCGAGTGCCTGCTTGAGCGCCAGGTATCTACCCACGCAGATTGCGTTCAGCGCCGCACCTGCGAGCGTAAGTATCAGCAATAAAAACAACTTATCACTTGACAGACACTCACCGAAGTTGCGTGGTATATAGTGACTCGGTGGCCTCAGGAATTGCAGACCCCACATCAGGGACTACTAGTACTTATACACCGTCGGTCACCGTCTCGTTGTCGCTTTCAGTGGCATCTCCGCCATCCGAGTCGTTGGCGGCGTCCATGGATTGTTCATCGCCAGAATCTTCATCGCTGCTCTCGTCATCACTAGTGTCACTGTCTTCCTCACTATCCTCCTCCTCCTCCTCGACGTCGTCGTCGTATTCGTGGGTGGTGATCTCTGACAAGTAGCTACAGTGAGTGGCGTTAGAGAGGCTAGCATACAATCTAATCTCACCGTAAAGAGTCGAGGAAGGATCATTATGCTGATACCACCCAAAATTCTTGAGTGGCATGGCTTGCTTCAGACAGCGGAACTGCTTCTGCGTGAGCAGTTCCGAGCGAGCGAGTTTCGTTGGTGGGTAACGGTTGTCACCATAGTCGACATACGCAACAAAAACGGACTCGGGCCTGTCGTGTACCCAGCAGGCGAGCGCGCGAATGATGCCGACCTGGTTTGCGACCCACATTACGGCTGCTTGAATACGTCGAGCATCTGACGTTTTAGGAGCAAGGTTGTGCTTCTTCGCAATTTCGAGCGCGTCTTCTTCGTAGAGAGGCCAGCCAAGAACCCAAGTCATGTTGAGAGGTGTGGATGCGAGGAGGAATGGTGCGCGGTGATGCGGTATATAACTGCAAGTTGGCGCGCGCCGCGGTACAGTGCTCGGATCCGCTGTGGCTCGCGACTCACGTGATCGCGACATCCTCATCCAATAATCCGCGTTGTGTAATGGAAAGGACGCTTATATGTATCGCGCCCTGCGGCCACACTTTCGTGTTCGGATAGTTAAGCGCGACGAGCAGATGGTTATTGGAGCCCTACTGACAAGGTGCCCAACTTATCTCTGTACCTGCTCGGCGCACGAATCCGCGTCAGTTGGCTCTCACACGGGCGATGAACTCAGCGAGACGTCAGGAACAATTTATACAGGACCAATATACATGTGTGTTAACGTATCATACATTGTCGACGTGCACGGGAATATGGATATTCGATGGTGACGAGATGCTGGTGACGTGATTGAGAACTTGGACAGCGCGACAGGGTCAGGACTACTAAGCGGACAGGATGCATCGTGGCGTATCCTGCCTCATGTGAATGATTCGTCGATTCGGCAGCCCTCATCTATGGAAAGAGTAGCATCAGTACTCAAAGACAAAATATGACGGTTGAAGGACTTACTGAACTCGCTGGGCAGCGACCCCAGAATCCACAGCGGAGACAACACCGTCGGTCACAGTCTCGTTGTCACTATCATCTCCTGCAGACTTCTTGGCCGTATCCATCCGCTCTTCGTCGTCAGGGCCTGCATTGCTGCTCTCGTCATTGTCGCCGCCGTCACTGTCTTCGTCGCTGCTTTCGCCACCGCTGCCGTCGCTGTCCTCGTCGCTGCTCTCGCCACCGCTACCGTTGCTATTCTCGTCACTGTCATCCTCGTCATTATCGTATTCAGGTACGGGGCTCCCTGATATATAGATGAGCCATGCCAAGGCGTTGAAGAGCATATAGCAAACATACTGTAAAGCTCGCATGACGGGTCATTATGCTGGTACCATCCAAAGTTCTTGAGCGGCATGGCGCGCTTGAGGCGGGTGTACTGCTTGTCCGTGATCATGTTGGCGCGAGGGACTTTCGCCGGAGGTTCACGCTTGTCCCCGAACTCGACGTACGCGGCATAGACAAACTCGGGCTTATCGTCCACCCAGCAAGAGTACGCGTTGATGATGCCGACTTGGTCTGCGATCCACATTCTGGCAGTTTGGATGCGCCGGTCATCTCCGGCTTTGGGGTCTTTGACGAGGTTGTGCTTCTTCGCAATCTCAAGCGAGTCCTTGCGGTACAGAGGCCATCCAAGAACCCAAGTCATAAGTGGTGTGAAGGTGTAGAGAAACTGCAGGGATGATACGATGGTGCTGGAAGACAGGCGCAGGATAGGCGACTTACATTGTCTTGGACAAGGAGGGCGCGTTCCAGGCGCGTTCCGCTGGGTTCCGGCGCTCGCTTGTATGATCTGCCGTGGCCAGATGTACGATGGGGATCACCACTCGATCATCTGTGGCTTCGGCGCCAGTGCCGCGGTGGAGGAGGCGGTGTACCGATCGACTTGTCAGGCAGCAATACATTCGGAGTCAATAGCAATGTAGTAACATAATCAGACATTGTTAGTGTACACAAGGTCTGGAGAATGTTCAATGAATGGCATGGTGACGAGATACCGAATATGTGCTGGAGAACCTGCACAGCGCGACAGAGTCAGAAGCAAGGCCCGCTCGGACAGGACGCAGCATGGAGGCTCGTCCTATCCTACGGACGTGTAAGAAAGGTTCAGCAATAACAGCAACCTATCATTGGGCAAACACTCACCGAAGTTGCGTGGTAGTGACTCGGTGTCCTCAGGAATTGCAGACCCCACATCAGGGACTACTTATACACCGTCGGTCACCGTCTCGTTGTTGCTTTCAGTGGCATCTCCGCCATCCGAGTCGTCAGCGGCGTCCATGGGTTGTTCATCACCAGAATCTTCATCGCTGCTCTCGTCATCACTAGTATCACTGCCTTCCTCACTATCCTCCTCCTCCCCCTCGACGTCGTCGTATTCGTAAATGGTAATTTCTGACAAGTAGCTATGAGTGGCGTCAAATCTGCTAGCATACAATCTGATCTCACCGTAAAGAGTCGAGGAAGGATCATTATGCTGATACCACCCAAAGTTCTTGAGTGGCATGGCTTGCTTCAGACGGCGGAACTGCTTCTGCGTGAGCAGTTCCGAGCGAGCGAGTTTCGTTGGTGGGTAACGGTTGTCCCCATAGTCGATATACGCAGCATAAACGAGCTCGAGCCTGTCGTGTACCCAGCAGCCGAGCGCGCGAATGATGCCGACCTGGTCTGCGACCCACATTTCGGCTGCTTGAATACGTCGAGCATCTGACGCTTGAGGAGCAAGGTTATGCTTCTTCGCAATTCCGAGCGCGTCTTCTTCGTAGAGAGGCCAGCCAAGAACCCAAGTCATATTGAGAGGTGTAGATGCGGGGAGGAATGGTGCGCGATAATTGGCGTGCGCTGCGGTACTCGGATCCGCTGTGGCTCGCGACTCACGTGATCGCGACATGATTCCCTCAACCAATCCACGTTGTGTAAGTATTTGAAAGGACGCTTATATCGCGCCCTGCGGCCACACTTTCGCGTTCGAGTAGTTATGTAAGCGCGACGAGCAGAGGGTAATTGAAGCCCTACTTACAAGGTACCTAACTTACCTCTGTACCTGCTCGGCGCACGAATCCGCGTCAGTTGGCTCTCACACGGCAATGTACTCATCAAGATGTCAGGGACAATATATACAGGACCAATATACATGTATGTTAGCGTATCATACACGGGGATCTGAAGAATGTTCAATGGGATAGTGTCGAGATACCGAATATGTGCTGGAGAAATTGGACAGCGCGACAGAGTCAGAAGCAAGGGGAAAGGACGCAGCATGGTTGTCCTACCCTACGGACGTGTTTCGACAATCCGGCAACCTTCATCCACAGGAAGAAAGGTATCAGCAATAATAACAACCTATCATTGGGCAGATACTCACCGAATTCGCGTGGTAGTGACTCAGTGGCCTCAGGAATTGCAGGTCCCGCATCAGGGACTACACCGTCGGTCACCGTCTCGCTGTCGCTTTCAGTGGCGTCCTCTCCATCTGCGTTACTGGCGGCGGTCGTCCATTCTTCATCGTCCGAACCTCCGTGGCTGCCGTCATTGCTATCATCGTCACTACCGTCGTCATCATTCGAGTTCTCCTCGTCCTCCTCCGAGTCGTATTCGTCTACGGTAGTCTCTGACACGCACTCATGAGTCCTGTCGAAGACGATTTGAGTTCAACCCAATACCCACCGTAGAGAGTAGCAGATGGATCATTGTTACCACCCAAAGTTCTTCAGTGGCATCGCCTGCTTGAGGCGACGATATTGCTTTCCTGGCAGGATCAGTTGCTCGCGGACGAGTTTACTTGGGGGGTAGCGGTTGTCACCATGGTCGACGTAGACGGCGTAGACGAGCTCCGGCATGTCTTGGACCCAACAGGAGAGCGCGCGGATGACACCGACTTGCTCTACGACCCACGTCTTGGCTGCACTGATACGTCGAGCATCTGATGCCCTGGGGGCAAGGTTGTGCTTCTTGGCAATCTCGAGCGCGTCCTCATTGTAAAGAGGCCAGCCAAGGACCCAGGTCATGATGAATGGCGCGTATGCAAACAGTAGCGGTCAGAAACAATATGATGATGTTGGGGATGTATAGGCGACTTTATGTTTCGGAGAAGGTGTGCGGGGACATGGTTGCGTGCCTCCGCCGCCAGGCTGACGCCGAGTGATTTACCACGTGACCGCGATATGATCTCTTCAGCTTCACCGTGGGTCCGTGACGAGCTGTAAGTAGGGTACTCTCCGAGATATAAACATATCATTGTTTAACCGCTGTTGTGCTCTTTCGAAGAATTAGACGTCCGTACGTACCCCTTAGCAAATGAACGGGAATCTTGACATTGGGAGGGACATGATACGTGTCGCGAGTGACTACAACCTCGTGTACGGTGTGGTTCGTACCCGAAGTACAGAGGATTCATGACAAGTGATTCCTTACAGCGGCTCCAGTCCGTACAAAAGGACAGTCTCCGTTAAAAGAATTCCACAGTGAGGCAGGAGTTCCGCGTCATGACACGATCCTAGCGTTGACGTAAGTGAGACTTCCAACAGCTCGATGACTACAATATAGCGGATATGGGATAGAATAATCCGACAACACGACAGCGCACACGATAGGATGAAAGGAACAGAGCTTGAGAGGATGGTTTATGGGTGCGCTTCAACAATACGGCAAGCTTCATCTACAGGCTCAGAGGTATGAGCGACAGAGACAACATGGCATGAGTCGAACACTCACCAAAGTCGCGCGGCAGCGACTCAGCAGCGTCCGTGATTGGAGCGCCCGCAAAAGACACACTGCCATCAGTGACTGTCTCGTTGTCGCTTTCAGTGGCATCTCCGCCATCCGAGTCGTTGGCGGCGTCCATGGATTGTTCATCACCAGAATCTTCATCGCTGCTCTCGTCATCACTAGTGTCACTGTCTTCCTCACTATCCTCCTCCTCCTCCTCCTCCTCGTCGTATTCGTAGGTGGTGATCTCTGACAAGTAGCCACAGTGAGTGGCGTTAGAGAGGCTAGCATACAATCTAATCTCACCGTAAAGAGTCGAGGAAGGATCATTATGCTGATACCACCCAAAATTCTTGAGTGGCATGGCTTGCTTCAGACAGCGGAACTGCTTCTGCGTGAGCAGTTCCGAGCGAGCGAGTTTTGTTGGTGGGTAACGGTTGTCACCATAGTCGACATACGCAACAATGACGGACTCGGGCCTGTCGTGTACCCAGCAGGCGAACGCGCGCATGATGCCGACCTGGTCTGCGATCCACATTACGGCTGCTTGAATACGTCGAGCATCTGACAATTTAGGAGCAAGGTTGTGCTTCTTCGCAATTTCGAGCGCATCTTCTTTGTAGAGAGGCCAGCCAAGAACCCAAGTCATGGCGAATGGTGCGGATGCGAGAAAGTGCAGGTGATGATACGATGTGCTGGAAGACAGGCGGCTTAAATGTCTCAGACAAGGAGTGCGGGGTGTGGTTCCGGCGCTCGCTTGTATGATCTGCCGTGGCCCGATGTCCTACGATGGCGATCGCCACTCGATCATCTGTGGCTTCGGCGCTTGGGCGGCCCAATCCCGTTGTACCACGCCCGATATGGATGTGGCTGCTGTGGCTGCTCGACCATCGCTGTGGCCTCTGTACGGCCCCTGCTGCATCGGGAATACATGGTTGCGATGACCACCATGGCACCTGGATGGAACACCCCGTTTAGGAAATGTCGTGGCCGGCGCAAGACAACATCGACTTCTTTGGGAACTTGAAGTCACTGATGCGGTTGCTCGACCATTGTCAATGTATGGCTCCTGCCGCATCGGGAACGCATGGTTGCGATGACCACGATGGCATCTGGATGCCACGCCCCGTTTGGGAAGTGTCGCGGTAGGCGCAAGACAACATAGACTTCTTCGGAAAGTCATGTCTGTGGTTCCGCCATGTGCTCGAGCAATATAAAAGCGCGAGAATTCCGTCAAGGTGTGCATCACCACCACTCAGGCCACTTCTCACGTCTTCTACCTTGCAGAATCATGCATTCTGCACGACGTACCCGCGGAGCCATACAGGCATACGCTGGTAATGCTGGCAACTTCCTTGGCAGGACACTCGAGTGGCCTTGGTATGTGTTTTGGGCAAACGCGTTCTATGGCTCCGTGGATCCACGAAAGGTCGTTGCGGGGCCTCAATCCGAGCTCGTCCTCCAGCAAATCACCAACGATGATCGAGTCGTGCTCAAGAAGAAGGTTCCCGACTTCGTTCTCCACTACCTCACTGGAGTTCCTCAGGATCATCACATCGACTCATTTTCGCAAGTTACCAATCACGAGGAGTTGCGGCAGTTCTACATGGGCAAGTTCGTTGTTTCTGTATCGGTCGTACTCGCCGTCTGCGAAGTCAAGCCTGTGCCGGATCCGGATAAAATCCGGGCTGGCGAGCGTTTTTGGGATGATGCGGCCGATTCGATGCAGTCCATGCAGATAGAGGCACTAGCGGATGCGCGAAATCAGGTACAACTATACTTCTCGGCTCACGTCGGCGTCGAGCATGTCGTATCCATTGCGATGACCGGGCCTTTCTACTGCTGGAGGACCTTCGTTCGGCGTGATGTCAGACCCATATCTCTCAATGTTGACGGGACATATGACCCCGAGCATGAGGATGATTCGAGCTCTCAGAGTCTCGAAGGAATGGTGCAGTAAGTACTCGATTGTACTCGTATTTGAACGGGTTCTAATGTCATTATCTCTCTAGGGACGACCAACTGGCATCTGCACATGTCGAACAAGACGACTCCCGCGCCCCTGCGGGAGCAGGTCCTTCGTGAGTGTTCCAATCGTCTTTCTGTGTCGGACGATGCTGACAAAGATTTACCAGGAACGAACGACCGAGGCGGGGTGAACATCAGGTGTATGTGCGCGTCTCACGCTGTATTGTCTTTTGCTCATCGTGCTGCAGGAAAAAATACTCCAACTACGAGCTTGCTGCGAAGGAATTATTCGATGATGAGGAAGAAGCCAGTGCTGAGGAGAAGAACACGTGAGTCAGTCAGCTTCGTGACTCTAGTCCTGTTGATTGACCCGTGCGCCGTAGCACGTACGAGAAATTCCTGGGAACGGCCAAGAAGTTGAAGCAGGCTATCTCCAAGCCGAAGAAGGACGAGGAAGGTGTCAAGCGCCAAGGCGGCAGCAAGCAGAAGCGCAAAGGCAAGGCGAACGAGAGCGAAGGCAAAGCGAAGAAGGATAAAGGCAAGGGCAAGCCCAAGCCCAAGGGCAAAGGCGAGGTCAAGGGCAAAGCCAAGGTCAAGAGCAAGATTGGCAAGGAGACGGACGCGAACGATAGCGGGGACAACGACGCGCCCAAGGACGGAGACAAGGCTAAGGAAACAAACAAGAACGACAATGAGGCAAACGCCCCCGGGCCGTCGGATAGACCATTCCCCCTCTTGGAGCTGCCCCCGTTTCTTGCGGATTCGTCCGAGTAAGCCACCGTCTCGTATTTGAACATATGGATGTCTCTGAATATTTGAGCGCAGGTCGAGTGACGAGGGCCACGACTCTGACCCTGAAGACGATGGCCCTGGCGATGGTCCTGGCAACGAGTATGTCGCTCGCTGTCTTTCCTCGCGGAAACATGTCTGACCCGGGGTTGCGCACAGATATGGATGGTCCGAGTGGTACCACTGGGACACGATCGACGGTGTCAAGGAACGGAACAGGATGTTCAACGCGATCCAGCGCCAGAACCCTGACCTCGAGTTCCTCCTCTAGGATCAACGTCTGTTGCAATGTTGAGGCCGATATGCGTGGATATATCGAAGTCCTGTTTCCTTTTTGTACTTCCTTGACCGCTTACGATTGAGAGACCGGATCGCAAATGTGCTGCTAGGTATATAGTACGTCCTCGAATGTAATAGTGTAGATCGCGCTTCTTCTTAGGTTTACGCTGCGCGATGTATTCCCAATGTATTTGCTGAACCATGTGCACTATGATGAGCGACCGATGCTGAGGAACGAAGCTGAATGGAATGTGATGCGTCGTATGCATCAACAGTCTGTCTTGGGCAGACCACTAATGCGACCTCTTCGAGAAGGACGGTCGTCCCATGACGTCTACATGTATTCATCGATCGAACCAAAACTCACAATGCACCTACAGTAATCATTCCCCACTGATTCATCATGAAAGGAGACCCACAAACCTTCATGCGCAAAGAAGGAACGATCCGGGTTACCATTGAGTCTGCCGCACAGACTGCGATGCCGCGTTGATGTCCTAACTACTCAACACATAAATGCAAGACTACTTCCACTAAGCCGAATCGTAAGATACACGACAGCAACATGATGCAACACAAAGCGTCCAACCGGGTGTCTCCCGGGGTCACAGCACGAAAAGACAAGCATGCACAAGAAGCAAAAAGACGGACGAACGAAACTCACAGACGACGAACTGCAACAAGGGTGCAACAAGTGTCACGCGCCACCACCAACTAACGATACATCTCTTCGTAGACGCACACGCGTCCGCACAGTATCATACGTCGCACGTCTAGGGGGAGCGTCCACCGCCAGCACCCAGCTCTCGGCCGGGGCAGCGGCGCCAACAGGGACCTACGCGTCCCAGGGCTCCCGCGCCCACTCAGGGCGGGCGCAGCCGCCTCCTCAGCTCAAAGCCCGTGGCTCCGAGCCCTGCAGGCAGCTAGCTTGGCGGCTTATCCACGCTGACGCTCCTCCGCCCCACACTCGCCCTCTCCTCCGAGCGCTCCCTGCCGCTGCTCTGCATACTATGTACGCTGTGCATACTGTGGATGCTCGCCGTGTCGTCCTCCCGCGGGCGCTTCTGGCCTGTCCCGGGCGACGAGGCGACGGACACGGACGCGGGCATAGCAAAGTTCCCGACGGACCGCGCGGCGCTGCTGATGCCGACGGGCCGTGCGCTGGGCGCGGTGCTCGGGAAGAGCGAGGCGGCGCTGAGGGGGTTCGGTTGGGCGCCCGAGGATGTGCCGGAGAGGAAGTCGAACCAGTTGCTATTGCTATCCGTGCCTGACTGCGAGCTACCTGCTGAGCATACCACAGCGCATCAGTAAACACACCGCAGTCGGGCGAACGGTCCCGCCGCCCTAGAGTGTGGAGAGTGACGGACGCACCGTTCTCCTGATGACCCTGTTGCCCACCCCCATGCACCGGCCAATCGAACGACGACATCCCACCCTGTCCTCCGCCCCCCATATCTCCGCCTCCCGCCGCCTGCCCTAACAACTCCAGCGCCATGGCCGTCGCCGTCGACACGCCCGTCTGCCTCTGTTGCTGATACATCGGTGCCGGGGTGTGCTGGGGCGTATACGGCGACGCCGAGCCGGCCTGACTGTGCTGGCTGCTTGGGTAGCCGACCGTCCTCATCGACGGGGCGTGGTGGCCGGAGCCGATGTCCATGCCGAACGCGCCCTGCCCGAGCTGCGGAAGGAAGCCCGCGGGGGCGCTCTGCGAGCCGAGCATCCCGCCCGAGCCGTTCATGCCCATGTTGAGGCCGGGGTTCCCGTACTGGAGCGAGGGGTGGCTTGCGCTGTGTGTGGGCGGGAGGCCGGGCGCGGTGGGGAGGGGCGTGACGCCCGTCTGGACGGGGTAGCCCGAGCTCATGTCGACCTCGAGCCGGTAGGGGTAGTGCGGCATGTTACTGTTGCTCGAGCCCGCACTCGCGGCGAGGGAGGAGAGGTTGAGCGACTGCGGGAGGGCGGGCATGGCGTTGGCGTGCGCGGGGAGGTGCGAGCCGTCGTCAAGGCGGGGGCGCTTGGAGGAGAGGGAGTGGGAGATGTTGCGGACGGGCGGAGAGGCGGCGCTAAGACGCTCACCGGAGATGGGGATGGTCATGGATGAGCTCCCGCCGGTGGGCGAGAGGCGGTAGTCGAGCTGGAGGGTGGTCAGCGAGCGCAGGCGGCGTGAGAACGGGCACGCACGTCGATCATGGAGAGGTCGGTGTTGGCTTGTGGGACGGGGCGGATGGGGATCGCGCCGTTGATGTTGAGGCTGCCGTTGGTGGTCTCCGTCTTCACCTTCGCGGTCTTGTTGGTAGCTTGGCGGCCCTTGGATGGGCGAGTGCCGTCGTCGTCCTCTCCATCCTCGTCGTCATCCTCGGCGTTGTCGTTCTTCGTGTTCCCGCTGAAGTCTGCTGGCCCGCGGGTGTCGCGCTCGCCGTCGAACTGCGGGGTGGTCAGAGGGTGAATGTCGCTGAGACCTCGGTACGCACGCGGATATGGCGATTGACCATGCTGTTGACGTCGGTCGAGCAGTACTGGAAAAGCTTGACATGGTGGCCGGGGCGCTCCTCGAAGATGATGACGGCGACGTCGACGGAGCAGAGGACGCCGAGCTCGTAGGCTTTCTTGAAGAGGCCGTTCTTGCGCTGTGGGCGGGCGGGCGTTTGGCGGGAGGTCGGAGCCGGATTGGTCAGTCCAAGCCCGCCAAGCCAGGTTGCAAAAATAGAGACAGACCTTCAAAAAGGTCACAGACCGGTTGCGTTCGTGCTATACATGGGCGGTGGACCGTCAGCGGGCTATTCTCGCCAGCAGCGCGCGGGGAGTGTGCAGCGGCCGAGGCTGCCCACGCGTCGCGGACACGCACCGTGATGGGCTGGATCTCAATCTTTCTGCGGCCCATGGCGGCGGCGGGGGCTGGCGGGTGCGGGGGAGGAGGGAGGAGGAGGGGGGAGACAGAGGAGGCCGGCGCTGGGAGGGAGCACTTGAGGGAGGCCGGCTGGACTGGCGTCGGACGCGGGGCGTATGCACAAAGCACAACAACCGCAAACGCCGTCCGCGGGGCTCCTCCTCCTCTCTTCTCACCCGGCCGACCCGTTTCTCCGCAGCCTGCTCTCCCAGAACCCGGCCTCGCCATCCCCATTCAGTCCCGTATGTCGCCGCTTACATACGCCGCCATTTCACCCATCTCGTGTCCCCATCTTCTCCCCCGAGGCCCTGCTTCGTCCCACTCTTTCGCACGACGCCTTCAACAAGTCCCCAAGCCCCCGCCCCAGCACAGCGGCCTTGGCATTCTCACTGCCGTTGGTCGACGCCTTCGCGTGCGCACGGCTGCCGGGATGTGTTCGCTGTGTCGTTCTGCGCGTGAACACATATCCGGCCGCCAGCTCTCGCTGCCGCCCATGCCATCATCATTACCTCCGACTCTTCTTCCCGCAGCCTCAGGCCGCGCTGTTCGGCCTCGCCGGCGCGCGCACCTTCCCGCCTCGCGACGTTGCGGACTCGGTGCGCATCGGGTTTCTTTCTCCTCTTTCCCCTTTTGCCATGCTCCGGGTGCGCGTCTCTGCGTAATAATAGCTCGCAGCACGAGCGTGCCGCCGTGGCCTGCGACACGCAGCCGGGACGCGATCCTCATTCAGCACGCCGACTCGGCCGGGCGCGCCGGGCCGCCCGTGGCCTCCGCAGCGTGCCTGACAGATCTTCGATCGAAGTCAATGCCGGCCTCGGCGTGTCCTGCTGACGTAAAACTGTCCCTGACTTCGTGCGCCTCCCGTTCTGGCAGGAATCCTAGGATCCGGCGCCGGGTGGCCATTCGCAGACGGGCACCGAAGCCTGCAGCGTCTTGCGCGCACCGCAGTCGACACGATATCCCTCAGATCCTCATAGGTACGCGCGACACCGTTCGGTATATGTCGGATATCTGAGGCAGCTTTTCCATCGCTTGATTCAGGCTGGCAGCCGAACAACATACGAGACAACTACCGCACACCATGACTACGCTCTCTCACCACCCTCCATCCACAGCACCAGCACCAGTACCCATCCACAGTGCTTGTCGGACCAACAAGTGGGTCTCCTCAATTATCGTCTCGCATCGGAGTGTGTAGAGTGGCGAACGTTCGCAGGCGTGAACCTGTGAAGAGATCGTCCATCGAGGTCACAGTTCGAACGGCGCACGGTCCGGGCAGTCGGTACTGAGGCTGTGAATGGCGTGAACGGCTCGTAAACGCGTTCGGATGCGCGATTTATGCGGCGGCGCGCTGTGTCAGCGGGTCTCAGGGTGGTCGTGGTCGTCGCACCAACGCTCCACGGCGACGCATTGCATTGCATGCTATCAGGCGGCGCCGATGCGGCGGCGGGCAACCAAGGGCGGGCGAGTTGCGACCACCGAGCCGATGTCAGCGGAGGTGCATCGATACCACCCCACAGCCCTACAACTTTCGCATCTGGTAATCCACTCTGCATTGTACTCGCGAGCAGGGCAAGGAGTGTGTCCACGCGTCATCCACCTGATGTTGCGGTGTCTGGGATCGCAGTATCGAGTCCCTCACTTACATACAAGCCTTACGGCAGATCGGGCCCGGTACTCATGCCAGCCTGAGTGGTTCTCATCGCATTCAGCCACTGCTTACTCGGCTCTGCCACCGCCGCCATACATTGACCATTCTGCGCCACCTTCAGCGTTTCTAGATTCCCCTGGCAACAACAGCGGTATGCCACGGAGAAACGATGTCATGCAATGCACCGGCCTGGGGACACTGATTTTTATGATACTTCCAGATGCGCCAGGGGCGGATGAACACAGACTGCAAGCGGGTCAACTCATATGTCAAAAGAAGCACTCTATCTCTCTATTACATGACGGCTTCTCCGCAGTCTCCCTGGCGCGCGGATGTCTCAGCCGCCACGTCCAGGCAAACGAACCGCTCCTTCGAGCCAAGCATCGCCGTTGAGTCCCCTTCGCGGGACACCAGAGGCACGCGAGCTCGATCGCGCACTCCGAATCGACTCCTGGCCGCCAGGAAGGGTGGAGTGACCGTCGACGCCGCGGACGGGTTACGACAGGGCCCTCTCACGGGGCGGGTCCGCTGATCCCCCGCCCGCTCCCCACTATACCTGCCCGCCTCGCGACCGCCGTCCCACTCCACCCGGCCTGCGACCGTTATTCGCGCAGCGCGGATCGATGGGCGGGCTCCGTCGGGCCCCCGCGCCCGCCTCGAGACCGAGGAAGGGCGCGGGCGTGGGCGTGGGCGTGCGAGGGCGATGAGAGCGTGCTCTCATCGTCAGTAAGCAGGCCGGGCGAGCCCTGGGATGGAAGGTACGCACACCGGCCGCCTGCGCCTGCGAGCGCGTGTGAGGGTCGAGAAGGGGTGCGCCAAGTGCTGGGGGACGATGGACGTGAAGAAGGGACATGAGAAGGAGGATGTTCCCGAAGGCGGCTGGGGAGGTCCTGCGAAGACGAACCGGTGAAGACGAAGGTGAAGTAGATGGATGGTGGTCCGTCGCTGATATTGGCAGGTCGATTGGGTTTGTGCGCGTGGGCCCCGCTGCAGGATGGACGGGCGGAGGTTTGTCGGTGATTCGTGTGTCCCGCAGGTGCGCTGCTCCTTGGGAACCTTCTTGGAGATGGGCGACGGCGAGCCTGTTGGGGATCTTCGCCGTCGTAGCTGCTCGCGTCGCTTGAACTCGGACGTCCGTTGGGACACTTGTCGGATGTCTCCGACCGTGGTTGGTTATGTCGCATCTTCTGATATCAGATATGACAATGACAATGTGATTGAGCTCATCTTTACCCAGCCCCGCTCAGCAAACAGCGCTGCCCTCGATCCGCCACGCTCGTCAACCGTCACTGCGGACGTAGTGCGCTCTCGTACGGCGGGGCGTCTTGGAGATGACGTAGACGCTTGCGAGACCTCCGACTATCATCGTTCCAGGGCCGAAAGTTCTCCCGTGTCGTGCATCGTACAGAATTGTGGTACGGGAGTCAGTGATGTGCGCTTACCTCCTTCGACGAGCAATGTCCGCTGACACGCGGACGCTATTTTCTTCATGACTTCATGATACGGAAGCCGCACTAGATTCGTACGGTCGTTCAACAGCTTGTACGTCATGACAGGATTCTTCCCAACCCCAACTCTCCCCTCTCTCTTCCTCGCCCACTTCTCACAGTGGCAAGTAACATTTCTTCCGCGCACGACGAGCATGCATCGCCGAGGCTTCGCTCCGCAAGTCTTGCGCGGCCGGTGCGCAAAGTTACCTTAACGGGCGTCCGAGCTGAAGGGCGTTCCCCGGGCACGGACCTTTTCCGAGTGCGCGTGTGCGCGTGTGTGCGTCGAACGTCGAGATGACTTTTCCCGGGTCGAGCCTCTCGCTGACGATCGCGCTTGTACGAGAGCGAGCGGGGCGTGCCGTAACGGTGCTCCGACTCTCGACCTCCGCCCCGCCGGATGCGGGCTGGCTATGAGGGTGCTCCGATCCCACCTCGCCTCGGACCTTTCGTTCGCGGGCTATTGTCTGAGATGACGTGAGTTTGGGGTCCGACATGTGGGCCGTGAGCGTATGGCTACTCAGCAAAGTCCTCGTATCCCCTTCTGATAACCTACTTCTCCCTGCAGGTCCCCAACGCCCCTTCAATACCTTTCTAGGTATCATGAATGACGTGCGGTCTGGTGTGGTCGATAACCATGAGTGAACGTTCACCCCGAACGTGTATACCATTGCTCTCGTAAGTCGTGCTACTCTCCTGTCAAGCTCCGTGCGCTCTCATGCCAGCGTCCCGCGAGCAGTACTTGTGCGCTGCATCGTGCATCACGTCGTGCATCTGAATTTGCGCTCGTCATACGCAGCGGCGCGATTCTCAGGTACGCCGCACGGAAGCGTAGCACTGGCAGTCCATTGAGCTCGCCAAACTTAGGACGAGTCGTCCATCGGGAGGGCCGAATCTCGCTCTCCAGAGCAAAACATAGACTCGATAAAAATATACTGCTGTGCCTGTTCGTCTATCGGGTCTGTAAATCTCGCTTATTGCGGACAAAAATAAATGCTCCCAAAATAGCGCCGCAAAATGGGCGTCTGTGCTGCACGAAACGAAACGTCGCCACGCGCATTCGTCCGCTAAATTTAGCTCAGAAGAGGGTTGGAAGAGGGCGCAAGGCTGCTGCTTGCCATCGGGAAGCGTGTGTTGAGGGATGTCCGACACGATGATATGGGGTCGGCAGGAGGCAGCTTTCGCCGCAGAGAGCTACACGACGGCGAGTTTACTCCGGACGTACTGCTGGCGGAAGATTCGACGGGGCCACTCAAAGACAAGCAGGTGGTTGGGCAGATCGTCTGCACTGCATATGGCTAAATCGACGTGCACGCTCTCCCACACTCGCCCTTCTCTTCCTCGGAGCCTCGATATGGTCACGATGATACTGTCCGGCGGGACGACTGTCCGGCGTTATCTGTGTTTGTACGGAATTCCTGGAATGGCCATTTACATCGGCCAGCGTGGTTGACGCGGACGTGCAGCCCGACTTTGCAGCCTGGGCGCCGTTCAGGTTGGGTTGAATTGTTTGAGACGAGTCGGGAGGAGGATGTGCTCCGGCATCTTACCGGCTACTCACCCAGGCGCTCGCCCTCGCACGACTCCCGCGACAGACCGGTGCAAGCAGGTCCCTGATTATTTTCAGCACCATGATCATAGACTCAGCACATCAATGGGGGTATTTTGAGGGGTACCCTGAGGGACTGTACCTAGTAGTATATTTACTGCTCGGATGTGCCGGAGGATAGAGGGTCGTAGGATCAAGCCGGTTTGGTCCTTATGGCAATACCCTTAGACACCATAGGCATAAATTCGAGCACACAAACCGAGGTGGCCGAGTCTTGCTGTCGTTGACGTCGCCGCATTGATTTCTACAAGATTTCTACGTCCATTTTACAATGTTTTACGGACGGTCCGTCGTGGTAGTCTGCAATGAGTCCGACAACAAGCGCCAAGCTATCCCCGATGGGTTCTCACGATGTCCTCTTCATTCTTACAGCCACGATGTCCTGCTACCTGCCTGCCTTCAACGTACTCAGTGGTCTGACTGATTGCACACCTGACCGGCAATTATCAACGACCGTGACTCACTAGCAATACGGGCGACCCGTGTGCATCGGTGATACTGATGTTTGCATACCCGCGGCAGCGAACGCGGGGATAATGCGATACTCGTTGTCTCAGACACAGCGGACATTTGGAACTGCCAGAGTGGACACAGAGGAGCTGCTGAAGCGGCTCCTTCGTCACCCTTATCTGTTCTCAGACACCCTGCAGTGACATTGCAGGGACGTTCACTTATGGGGAACGTGAGTTGACATTCCAATTCTCTGGACGGATTGCAGTGATACATCTGTCTGATGAACGTCCCATAAGCACTGTTCCTAGCAACACTGCCCGTCTGCGAGCCCTCCTCAGGATGCGCCCCCTTTCCCTCTTCCATGCGCACGCGTATGACCGCCTGATCTACTTTCGTCTTCAACAGGATCAGCTAATTCTCGCCATTATATCTATTAGTTCTCATCGTTATGGTGTTGAACAGGTTCGATGAGGTGACGTCGCCTATCCGCTACGAGGAAGTTCGAATATGCTCACTTTCGCTTATACTCCTTGTAGGACCCGCATATTCCCAGTGAGCTTTGCTCTCCTTCTCCAATGTCATTCCGATATTGACGCACGACTCCGTACTAGGTCACCGTTTGCCGCCGCCGGCGACTAGCACAATCTCTTTGTATCGTCCTTCAAGCAATCCGCAGCCCGATTCGAGCGATACGGGTTCCATCAGCCTTAGCACAGACACGGGGGACACCACGACGGGGACCTCTCTCATCCAGGCCACTACCGGCGATAGTCCAACATCATCCTCGCTCCTTACCACAATCAACCCATCCTCACCTGCAAGCGCAGGCACAGCGCAGACCGGAGCATCCGCCCCCGCCCCCAGTCTCCCCAGTTCGCTCACCCAGACCTCTGGCTTTACCCTACGACCATCCTCCTCCCCAGCCTTCAGCGTCTCTCCCAGCACCGCAGCCGACGCCAGCACCTCTGCGCGGCGCGCCAACGCGGGCGCCATAGCCGGCGGGGTCGTCGGCGGGCTGCTCGGTCTGTTACTTCTGCTCGGCCTTCTCTTCTGGTTCCTCCGCACCCGCCGGCGGCGGAAGATCGCGCCATCCTCCGAGTTCATGGCCCGCCCGGGCGGTGGCTCTACCTCCTTCTCTTTCACCAACCGCCCCTCCGTGCTCGACGACCCGGACCCACCCCCGCCGTTCTTGCGGGGAACGTTCACAGACCCGATCGCGGAGAAGGTGCGCGAGGCGGAGGGGCATCGCTCTCTGTGGCGCGGGCCCAACAGTGATACGGAGTCGGGGCATGGGCGTTGGCATTATGGGCCGCGCCAGGATGCTGAGGACCCGGAGGGTATACCTGTGACCTCGCCTTCGACGGAGCGCTCTGCACGATCGGAAAGGAGTTTCCTGATACTGTGAGGGTTGTATTTACGTACTTCTTGGTAATGGAGGTCTCGTAGCCATGTATGGGCGCGTGTAGCAGTTATTTGTAACACCAGGTGTTGTATCGAAATCCGACTTCGATGGTGCAGGAACATGTATACAAAGAGGTGGAGGTATCGCTACATACGGGAGGTGGGCTACACTACACATGTTCTATCCAGTACAACACGCCAAAAACATATCGACAATGGCACAAAAATATCTAAACCCAGGAGAACGCGAATAGACCACGTTATATGTACGATGACCAAGCGAAAGACAGAACAAAAGACTGGCAAGATGAGATGAACGAAGTTAGAATTCCGAAGCCTGCAAAGCCGGCGTGAAGTATCCCTGTTCCGGACTGGACGAACGGTCAGAGGCCACAGGGAACTCGTTGTCCGAGTCGGTGATCACAGGAGACTCGTTATCCGAGTCGTAGGCCACTGGGGACTCGTCGTCCGAGTCGGAGTTCGCCTCGATCACAAGACGGGGAGACCGCGGGCGGGCGAAGAGGGTCGAGGACTGTTGCGCAGAGACAGGTCGTGGCTGTACGATGGGGTGAGGGGATCCACTGTAAAGACTGATGTTGGGGCGGAACGGAACTGGGGTTTCGGGGAAGTCGATCGCACCGGGCATGCCTATGACGGAGGAGACCGCGTGAGACGGCGAGGGAGTGCATACCATGGGCGGCTGCAAGCCCGCGAGAGCAAGCCCGCTTGGGTGGGAGTGGGACTGGCTGCTAGAAGTGGCGGAGAGTGAACCGTGAGCGTCGCAATGCATACGTGTCATTGATGCTTGGCATACGTACCTGCTACTACTTCCGCTAGGCATCCTGCGTTCGATCGGGGCGGATGCGCTTGGAGGGTGCGTAACCATCTCGGGGGCGTCGAGAAGAGGCGTACGGTCCCGCCTCTCCATTAACATCGGGGGAGACTGCCGGCGGTCGAGTGGAATGACGCCTTGACCAGCGGCTGCCAGAAAGTCGCCATCGTCGCGAGGTTCGGAGAGGAGCATGGGCCGACCAGAACCAGCGGCGAATGCGCTCCACTCGACGACCCGGCTCTCGAGGTTGCGCTTGGTCTCTTCCACCTCCGCGCGCATCTGCTGGACCGTGACGCGCGCCAGGACCATCTCGTTACGCTTGTTCTTCAGCTCCTCCTCGGCGGTATCCTTCGCAGCACGGAGCGTCATGATAGTCTTCTCCGCTTCATCTAACGCGCTGCGGAGTTTCCCCGACTCAGCCCCGCTGGCTGTGCGTAGCTCTTCGATGGCCTTGCGTGCGTCGCTTAGGTCGGCCTGCAGTTTCTCCTTCTCAGCGACGCGTTCCTGTTGCGCTTCCCGGAGGTCTTCGTAGACGTCATCTAGCTCAGTGTGCAGCAGCTCGTACTGCACGGAGAGCGAGGCATAGGCGATGTTTGTCCGAGAGAACCGTAGCGACAGTATCTGTTCAGCCGTAAGATCCGACTCGTTGATGCCTTCCATGCTGTCGGCAGGCAGTAGGAGCGCACGGGGAGGTTGCGGGGCAGGAAGCAGAGACACGTCATCGCTAGTCCGTCGGCAGGAGACAGGGCACATATACATCCGGAAACGAGCATCGAAGAGTTCTTGACCAAGATTCCGAGAGTAACGCCAGAGAAGTAGCAAGCCAGTCAGGAGCTGCCTAGAGTGAGCCTGATAGGTAATACGTTGCTGGCTGTAGAGTTCGACCACTTCCTGGAGAGCCACCTCGCTTTCCTCGTACAAGGCCCGCCACTTTGCCAACGCCTTCGCAACGGCGAAGTTTGCATTCTCCACGAGCATTAGGCGTCGCCGCAGTGCCAGTATATCCTCCCGATCCAAGCGACCGCGAGCCGCAAACTCAGCCTTCAGAGCCATCGAGAACCACCAGAGCAAGTGTAGGAAAACCAGCAGATCGGAGATAGTCTTCGACATGTTAGCCTTGGTCATTTCGAACTCGTTCATTTCTTGAGTATGGCTGAAGCAGACGCCTTCCGCTACGGTTTGCCATTCTGCGATCTCGTCCTCTGCTTCGCAAAGCTTGTCGTGCTGGTAGGCAAGCTCCTGACAGAGGTCCTGGCCGTCTTCGAGCGCTGCTTCGTAGCCGATCAGGAGAGATTCATGGTCGGCAGACAGTACGGATAGCGTCTCTAGCGTTTCCGTGTAGTCTTGAGTCGTCCGGCGAAGCTTCGTTTTCAGTTCCACCGTATGGCGCCAGACAACCACATGATAGACACGGAGGAGCAAGAGTAAGCGTCTCATGGTTTGCAGATGCCTCGCCTTGCCTAGTGCAACACGTCGTTGGCATTGCTGTATACCAGAATTGAGGCCATCGATCCTCTGGATGATGGGTAGCACCTTTTCTTCCAGGCCACGGCAGCGGTCCCCGAAACGCCCAGCACCGTTCCAAAGGGTTCGTAGGGTACGAATCGATCTTTGCTGCTGGTCGTTGATCTTCACGAGCTCGTGGAGGCATCGAAAAAGTGATAAGATGTTGGGAAGCGAGAGGATAGTGGTACGGCCATCTCCCAGGTCATACCGCAATGCGTCCCCGACCCATCCGTGGTGACTCGATAGCCAGAAGTCCCTGGGTCTGACGATGGCGTTCTATATGGTAATGGCCCCGTGAGATAACACAGAGCGGAGACATATTGATCACTCACCAGCAAGTAAGCACGCCTGTCTGTGCGCCATCGTTCAAAGCGTCCGCGATGGCGAGATAGCGGCCTGATGTCGAACAACGGACGTGCCAACACAGCATAGACTTCGAGATGCAGCCACAGCAATGCGCAGATCGTCTTCAAGTCACATATCGAACGCACATCCTACATAGCCATCTCAGTAGCACAGCATGACATACAAGCAATGTACGTACGCCGTTTCTCTCCGCATACTCAACTGCCGCGCACAGGAAGACGAAGGGGAATACGGCCCAAAGCGCGTAGGTCGTCACGCACACGAGCTCGGCTATGTCCTCGGATGTCACTGGAAAACAATAGAAAAGACTCGCAAAGGACACGAAGATGGCCAAGGGCACTGCACAGAAATGCTGTGAGACAAAGGACCCAATCGCGGCATTGCGTCTGGTGGCGGCAGCTTGTAGCCCGGCTAGTCCGGGGTATCGCGCCTGGAAGCGTTGATGATACAGACGTCTCAAAAGAGGTAGCGGCATTAGGGGGAAAAGGTATCCAGGCGAAGGAACGGCGGAACCAGTGGGAGTGGTGGTGGTGGAAGGATGAGGGGTGCGCGACGTGGTTCGGTTTGGCTGCCAACGTTGACGTTCAACCGCGTCACCTTCCAAACTCGGCAGACTCGCTGGGGACACGGTCAGGTGATCGCAAGTCTTCCAACCTCACCAGAGTCACCACATCACCGCACCCCGACTTCTCAACATGACTTGGGTTCTTGGCTGGCCTCTATACGACGAGGACGCGATCGAAATCGCCAAGAAGCACAATCTCGTCAAGAACCCGCAAGCAGATGAGTACAGGCTTGCTCAGGCTGCCAAGACGTGGGTGGGCGACCAAGTCGGCGTGATCAACGCAATGGCCTGCTGGGTGGACGACCTTCCCGAGCTCGTTTTTGCCGCGTACGTCGAGTTCGGTGATGAGCGTTATCCTCCGGCGAAAGTCCCCCGCGCGAAGATGATCTCGGACAAGCAGTACACCCGTCTCAAGCGTGCCATGCCGCTCAAGAACTTTGGGTGGTACCAGTATCATGACCCGTACTCCAAGCTTTACAGTATGTTTGCTATATGCTCTTCAACACCTTGGCGTGGCTCATCTAGATATCAGGGAACTCCGATAATGACGAGGATGAGGATAGCGACGGCAGCGGTGGCGAGAGCAGCGACGAGGACAGCGACGGCGACAGCGACGAGAGCAGCAATGAAGGTTCTGATGGTGAAGAGCGGATGGATACGGCCAAGGACTCTGCAGGAGATGATAGTGACAACGAGACTGTCACCGACGGTGTTGTCTTCGCTGTGGATTCTGCGGTTTCTAAGGCCGCGGATTCACTGCCGCAAGATTTCAGTGAGTATTTAGGCCGGAATAAGTTGTCTTCGGTACTGACGCTTCTCTATCTGTAGATGAGGGCTGTCGGATCGACGAACCACATGCATGAGGCAGTCCTCTTGATTCTGACCGTGTCGCGCTGTCCAAGTTTTCTAGCATCTCACCAGCATCTCGTCACCCTTGTATATCCTTATTCCCGCGCACGCCGACAATGTATGATACGCTACTGCGCATGTATATTGCTTCTGAATCAATCGTTCCCTGGTATTGAAGTATTTCGACCAGTACACCGCCCATGTGAGAGCCAAAGCGGATCCGTGGGAGCAGGTGAAGAGGTACATAGGTACCTTATTTGCTCGTCGAGCTTGAATAAATGAATCTCAAACACGAAAGTGTGGCCCAATGCGCAGGACTATGCTCGCATCCAAGCAACCTGGCTGTGGGTCGCAGAACAAGTCGGGATCATTCCTGTACTTGGATGCTGGGTCAACAACATGCCGGGGCGTGTTTCGTCCTGAGACGGCCGCCCTGAGCCTCGGAGAGGTGGTCTTGGCGGTCTGCCCCGGGCTGAGGGAGACTGTAGACGCAGTCGACGCATCGGATATATGTCACATTCCATCCAGCTTCGTTCCTCAGCAGTGGTATCGTCAATGTCGCAGTCGGTGTCGCCCATCATAGTGCATATGGTTCAGCGAATACATTGAGAATACATTGCGCGGCGTAAACCCGAGAAGAAGCACGATCTACACTATTACATTCAACAAGGAATCCGTACTATACACTACATAGCAGCGCATTTGCGATCCGGACTTCCAATCGTAAGCGGTCAAACAGAGTCAAGGAAATACAAAAAGGAAACAGAACTTCGACACATCCACGTATATCGGCCTCAACATTGCATCAGACATTGATCCTAGAGGAGGAACTCGAGGTCAGGGTTCAGGCGCTGGATCGCGTTGAACATCCTGTTCCGTTCCTTGATGCCGTCGATTGAGTCCCAGTGGTACCACTCGGACCATTCGTTTCTGTGCGCAACTCCGGGTCAAACCATGGTTCTGGCGCGCGGAGAGAAAGCGACGTACTCGTTGTGAGGACCATTGTCGGGGCCATCGTCTTCAGGGTCAGAGCCGTGGCCCTCATCGTCCGACCTATGCTCAGTTTTAAGATATATGCGTAGCGTTGCGTAAGAGAGGGTGACTTACTCATCTGGGTCCTCACGGAACGGCGGCAACTCCAAAGCCGGGATTGGCCTAGCCGGAAGTACGTTTGCCGCGTTGTCCTCATCCCTTTGATTGTCTCCATCTTCATGCTGGACCCCGTCCCCATGCTGGTCCTCAGGCTCGTTCTTGTTTTCGTTCTCGTTCGTGTGCTTGCTTCCGTTCCCGTCTTCGCCCCCGTCCCTGCTCTTGCCTTTGCCTTTCTTCTTGCCCTTGCTCTCGTCCTTTCCCTTGCCCTTACTCTTGCCCTTACCCTTGCTCGCTTTCTCATCTTTGCGCTTCTGCTTGCCCTCATCTTGATCCTTGACGCCCCCGTCCTCCTTCTTTGGCCTAGAGATGAGTCGCGTCAACTCCTTGAATTTCCCGTTCAATTTCTTCGAGGTGCTAGGGCCTGCGCGTCAACCAGGAGAAGAATATCTCCAAACAATATGACTTACGTTCGTTTCTCTTCGTCCTCCCGGTCCAGATCACGAAGGCCTTCAGCGTCTTCGGCAAGATAACGTTGCAACCACGCACTGAGATATGATCAGTACAGAAATGTAGGAACAGAGGACGGTCATACATTTGATGCGGGCCTCGCTTGGGTCGCTCATTCCTAGTGAGTAATCCTCAGTATAGTTTACAGCACGAAGTATGAAAGAGTACTCACTGAGCCTCCGCCGCTGTCCCGCCGGGTATTTCATGCTCTTGCTGAGGGTCCTCAATATCCCTGGAATTACGCATCACCAGCCGTTAGCAGTGATTGAACCTAGCTTGCTTACTGCACAGAATCCTCTGAATCGCCGGCGTCTTCCTCCTTCGCAGGATCGTACGTTGCATCCCGGTTGCTGGATATGCGACTGACCGCACCCTGAACGAAGACCTTCCAAGAGAAGAAGGGTCCAAACGTCGCGATGGCTACGACCGCCACGATATCTGGACAAGATGAGAGATGTACCTTGACCTGAATTCGCGCGTCGGACCACGCCTCGTGTTGGACTCCGTCGACTAAGTTGACTAGTACGTCCCAAAAATGATCGTCATCCGGTATATTATCCGGATCTGGCAGTGCCTTGACCTCGCAGATGGAGAGAACGGTTGCGTTGGATAGAGCGCATTTGCCCATGTAGAATTGTCGCAACTCTCGGCGATTGGTGACCCGTAGCAACGAATCGATGTCGTGGGCCAAAGGCACTCCAGTGAGATAGTGGGGGACGAAGTCGGGGACCCTCCGCGTGTATACAGTCTCGCCGTCGTTGGTATGCTGGGGTTTGACGAGCTCTGTTTGAGGGCCAACGACGACCTTCCGCGGGTCCACAGAACCATAGAACGCGTTGGTCCAGAACACGTACCACGGCCACTCGAGGGTCCTGCCGAGGAAATTCTCAGCGTTGCCCGCATAAGCTTGTATGGCGGCGCGGGTGATCTTCGAGAAGGCCTGCATGGAGTCGAGGGATAGAAGAGACGGGATGTGGACTAAGAGTGGTAGTAGAGCCCACCTTGACGGGAAACTTGAGGTCCCTTTATATCATTCAAGCGCATGGCCGAGCCACGGAAGAAGCGACCACGTTGTGCTATGCCAACTGCGATATTTCCTCAATGGGACGTGCCATCCAGGTTCCATCGTGGTCATCGCAACCATGCATTGCCGATGTGGTAGGGATCGTACAATGGCCACGCCGATGCCACATCAGCGACTTTCCGAAGAAGTCCTTCCAATTTCGCCGACCGCAACATTTGCCTAACGGGGCGTGCCATTCGGGTACCATTGTAGTCATCGCAACCATGCATTCCCGAAGTGGCAGGAACCATGCAGTGGCCACACCGATTGGTCGATCGGTCACATCAGTCACATCCATATCGGGCACGGCCAAGCCACGCGAGAGCCACGCTGCGATGGCGCCACAGATCGTTCCGATGGGTGGAGTGGCGATTACCATCTAGGGCACATCTGGCCACGGCAGATCATTCAAGCCAGCGCCGGAACCATATCCCCGCACACTGTCTCCGAGACCTGTCCGAGACATTTAAGTCGCCTGTCTTCCAACCTTACCGCATCACCGCGCACCATTCCTCTCCGCATCCACCTCTCAACATGACTTGGGTTCTTGGATGGCCTCTACGCAACGAGGACGCGATAGAAATAGCCAAGAAGCACAATCTCGTCAAGAACCCGAAAGCAGATGAGCACAGGCTTGCTCAGGCTGCCAAGATATGGGTGGGCGACCAAGTCGGCATCATCAACGCAATGGCCTGCTGGGTGAACGACATGCCCGAGCTCGTTTTTGCCGCGTACGTCGAGTTCGGGGATAGGAGTGACCCTCCGGCGAAAGTCTCCCCCGCGAACATGATCTCGGACAAGCAGTTCAACCGTCTCAAGCGTGCCATGCCGCTCAAGAACTTTGGGTGGTACCAGCATAATGACCCGTACTCCAAGCTTTACAGTATGTTTGCTATATGCTCTTCAACACCTTGGCGTGGCTCATCTAGATATCAGGGAACTCCGATAATGACGAGGATGAGGATAGCGACGGCAGCGGTGGCGAGAGCAGCGACGAGGACGGCGACAGCGACGAGAGCAGCAATGAAGGTTCTGATGGTGAAGAGCGGATGGATACGGCCAAGGACTCTGCAGGAGATGATAGTGACAACGAGACTGTCACCGACGGTGTTGTCTCCGCTGTGGATTCTGTGGTTGACGAGGGCGCCCAGTCACTGTCGCGCGAGTTCCGTAAGTCTTTGAACCGTCATACTTTGTCCTTAGTACTGACGCTACTCTTTCCGTAGATGAGGGCTGCCATATTGACGAATCACTCGCATGAGGCAGGATAAGCCACGGTGCATCCGAGTCCTGTCCGCATTGTATTTCTGACCCTGTCGCGCTGTCCAAGTTTTCAAGCACGTCGCCAGCATCTCGTCACCATCAAATGTCCATATTCCCGTGCACGTCGATATTGTATGATACGCTACCACACATGTATGTTGATCCTGTATAATTGTTCCTGACATCTCGAAGAGTACATCGCCCGTGTGAGAGCCAACTGACGCGGATTCGTGCGCCGAGCACGTACAGAGGTAAGTTAGGTACCTTCTAAGTAGGGGAGAGGTAAACGGTCTGGATGAACTGACCCTGCTCGTCGCGCTTAATTATCTGAATACGAAAGTGTGGCCGCCCGCGACGCGCAGGACGCGATCAAAGCGTCCATTCATTGAAATACACAGCCGTATGGATTGGTTGTGGAATCACGTCGCGATCACGTGAGTCGCCAGCCACAAGTCGCGCCGGTGTGTAGGCATCGCGCCAACTGCAAGTCAATCGAGTCGTTCCTCTGCGCATTCGTACTGCTCATCATGACTTGGGTTCTTGGATGGCCTCTCTACGACGAAGATTCACTTGACATAGCAAAGAAGCACGACCTTGTCAAAAACCCGACAGCAGGAGATGACCGACGCATCCACACTGCCAAGATGTGGGTGGCAGACTAAGTCGGCGTAATTACTGCGCTCTCTTGCTGGGTAGACGACAACTTGGAGTTTGTTTATGCGGCGTATGTCGACTTTGGAGACAGTCGTTATCCTCCAAAGAGCGTCGCTCGCAAGGACATGATATCGGACAAGCAGTACCACCGCCTCAAGCGCGCGATGCCACTCAAGAATCTCGGGTGGTACCAGCATAATGACCCATCCTGCACCATATACAGTACGTGCGATAGATGCTCTTCAAATTCCTTACGCGACACATCTGCTTTATAGGGAAAATTGTAAATGACAGTGATGAGGACAGTAACACCAGTAGTGGCGACAGCAGTGACGAGGACAGCGACGGGGACAGCGACGCTGGTAATGACGAGAGCAGCAACGAAGCCTCTGACGACGAAGAGCGGATGGACACGGCCAAGAACTCTGCAGGAGAAGACAGCGACAACGAGACCGTAACCGGCGAGGCCGGTGTTGTCTCCGCTGCGGACTCTGCAATCTCACAGGCCGCTGAGTCACTGCCGCACAACTTCAGTAAGTCTTTGATACGTGGTACGTTGTCTTTGGTACTGACGCTTCTCTATTTGTAGATGAGGGCTGTCGAATCGACGAACCACATGCACAGTGAGGCAGGACAACCTACGATATGTACTGTCCTCTTGGTTCTGACCGTGTTGCGCTGTCCAAGTTTCCTAGCATGTCACCAGCATCTTGTCACCCATGTGAGGTATATTCATATTCCCGTGCACGCCATCAATGTATGGTACGCTACGTGCATGTATATTGCTTCTTTATCAATCGTTCCCTGATATCTCGACCAGTACACCGCCCGGGTGAGAGCCAAAGCGGATCCGTGGGAGCAGGTGAAGAGGTAGGTACCTTAGTTGCTCTTCGAGCTTGAGTATATGAATCTCGAACACGAAAGTGTGGCCGCCGCAGCGCGCGATAGAAGCGCGTTAGCACGTCCATTCAAATGAACAATGTCGATTGGTTGAGGAAGCATGTCGCGATCACGTGAATAGCGAGCCACAGTCCTGAATCCAACGGTCGCGTTCGCGGTATGTACCGCGGCGCGCGCCAACTTGAACCAGCCCGTAGTACGTACAGTTCCATCACACATTCACACTCCTGTTATTTCCCTTTCGAGAGAGTCAATTCACTCTTCACTCGCGCTTTTAACATGACTTGGGTACTTGGCTGGCCCCTCTACCACCGCGACGCGATCAAGATCGCCAAGAAGCACAATCTCGTCAAGGACCCCAATGCACATAACTATGCCCGCATCCAAGCAGCCCGGCTGTGGGTTGCACAACAAGTCGGGGTCATCCCCGTCCTTGGATGCTGGGTCAACGACATGCCCCAGGTCGTCTATGCTGTATATGTCGACAACGGAAACAAACCTCGTCCACCACGCAAGCTCGTCCGTGAGGAGATGATGAGCGGGAAGCAGCATCGCCGCCTCAAGCGCGCGATGCCGCTGAAGGATTTTGGCTGGTACCAGCACAACGATCCATCATGCGTGCTCTACAGTGAGTCCGAAGAGCCATGTATGGTTTGGGCGTCACTAACATAGGTGGCACAGAGGACACGGTTTACGTAGACGTCGAAGATGAAGGCGAGGGCCGTGACGATGACCGCGACATGGGCAGTGATGAGGCCGCAATGAATGTCACCACAGGTCATGCCACGAATGGCTCAGACGACGGCGCCAAGAGCAATACTGAGACGGTGACCGATGGTAAACGTTTGAGGGCGGACCTCTGTCCAGACGATTCCACCGTCTCTGAGTCGGCAGAGTCACTGTCAACGGAGTTCGGTGCGGGGTCAACGCATATTCCTATGTCATCACCCTTACTGGTTTCTTTCGTGTAGATGCAAACTGAACCATCGTTGACTCGGCGGAAGTGGCCCCAATACAAACCGGTTGATGTCATATTCTGTCTTCACGCCTAAGCCCTTCATTTGTACTTGGAATGGGTGCTTGACGGACATACGGTCAGGCGCATCCTTCCCTACTCCTGTCGCCATGCTGTCAGACATATCAGGGACGTTTGCTACTAGATATGTGCGCCTGATGTGCCATTACGCTACTGTCTCTATTACAATACTGCTTCTTCACTATGCAATACATTGGATAACGGTCGTGTTCAAGGGAGTAGCAAGTCGAAAGTAGTGTAGCTGTGCAATGGCAGCAAGCAGTGTATCAAACCCTAGCCTGCATGGCTCACGAACAGAGGTACTTAGGGAAGGCCCTTGTACCAAGCGTCGAGGGCAGTCTCGATCTCATATTTAGTATATAACCAACGCTACTCCAACGCCACAACTCACCGGTTCATCCGTCGGGGTCGGCGGTGGTGGCGGCGTACTCGCAGACGACAGGGTCGAAGGCGACGGAGGGGGCACATCATACTCGTACCTCCCCCGCGCATCCACGACGTCCACCGAGCCGCCATGCATCCCGTCCTTCACCGGCAAGGGCGCCTCATCGTACCCGAGCCCGCCCACACCCTCGACCGCCTCGAGCCGCGCCAACTCCAAATCCAAATCCATATCCTGCTTCGAGTCCTCCGGGCGCTGGCCCTGGTTCTCTGGTCCGGTGTACGGCGGTGGCTGTGTGACGTAGGGCGGCGCAGCGTACCCCGGTCCCTGGTCGCGCACGCCGAGCTCCGCGTTCTGCCGGCGGGTGAAGACGGAGACGTAGCTGCTGACGCGGCGCAGCTCGACGGAGGGCACCTGTGGCCGACCGTAGATGCGCTGGTGGCGGCGGACGACGACGAAGAGGAAGGTGACGACAAGGAGGCCTAGGAGCACACCTGCAGAGAGGCTTTGGTCAGTCTTGTGGAGTGGAGGATTGCGAGAGTAGGGACGAACCGATGATCGCTCCAGCTATGGTTCGCGCAGAAGAGCTGCTTCCGAAGGCCGTGTCGGTGCTGTCGCTCTGGGCCGCGACAGATCGAGAGAGGGTGAGCACGACGGCTGCAGATACCCAGCCGGAGAGTCCGGGTGTGAACATAGCGCGAGAGCGAGTTGCAAGGGTCAGCCACAGTTTGCCCGAGGACGGGGTCGTGCACAGAGCAAGACAATGCCTGAGGCCTGAGGTGTCGTATATTATAACGGGCGGCCGGTGTGTACGCGCAGGGGCCGACTGGACATGAGCAAATCGGGTGGCGGGGAGCCCGAGTGAGGTTCACCACGAAATCCTTGACATACCGAGTAGCGCTAACAGACCTCGGAACGGAGCTGCCGCGACTCGCGCCCGCCTCGGCCGACATTAGAGTTGTTTGTGCGGACAATGATCGATTCGGAACGGAATCGGAGGAGGGCGGGGTGTCGTAACCAAAGGGGAGTCTTATTCATCACTGTAGCGATACATCCGGACGCCTGTTATACAATTCTAGACGTGTTAGCGATACATGGGTTGGCAAAAAGAAACGGCAGTTCAATTCAAACTTTGGGCCACTCCTCAGTATACTCAAAACTCCTCACGATGTCACTCGAGGATGTACGGCCGAGTTATCAGCGGGAGATGCGTCCTATGCGAAGTTATGGCGTCAGACAGAACTCAGCATGAGACTCGACTCAACTTACATTTTCGGGCATATAAGCTGGGGGTAGAGCTGAGATAGTGGGTGTTGTATATGTCGGGAGGGTCTCGGTGTCCATAGATGGGGGCTGGAGGCCTGTTTCCACAGGAATGACCATCTCACCCTCCGCAAGATCCTTGCCATGGTATGCTGGAGGAGGCTCCTGCCGCATCACAACCGTCCGATTGGCGTTGTTCTCGCCGAGGTAAGACTCTTGCGAGTGTAATGGGCGGGCGTTGTTACGGGCAAGTGGAGGTTGGAGGGTTGGTAAGATTGGCCCGCTTTGAGCCATTATCGACGGTGCGGTGTGCGTACGACGACGCCTGATCATCACCCATCGACACCATATCACCAGAATAAGGAGGAAGGCGCAGATGGCAATGACTACAGACATTGATCAGCAACTAACGCGGATTTCGTGACGACCGTCAACGTACCAATGACCGTGAAGTCTACAGCTGAGTCTGATGCAGATGAGTTATCATCCGAATCTGCCATGCACTGTACAGCGGATGCCAGTAAGATAAAAAGAGGTGCGACGCTCGCTGTACGGGAGCGCGGCTGGGCGAAGAACATTGCGAGAGATGTATGGTAGCTGCGTTTCAGAGGCGGAGTTGGGCTAGCGGGCCTACCGTCTGGAACCCAACTTAAGCATTCCGCATCGATTCAAAATAGAACGGCAGGGAGCAGGAGGAGTGTTTTCCGTCAAGACACACAGCTGGAGCGGCGCGACTGCAGGCCATTCTCCGCCCGTTCCGAGGACCGGGATGGTGGTCGTTATCCGCCATGACACGTCGCACGTGCCGTGACATGTATCCGTCCCGCAGATGGGCGCCTATACGAGACACCGTGCTCCTTCCTTACTCAAGCCTCCGTTCAATTAGCTCCCCCTTCTGTGCATCTGGCTACCTCCAACGCGTTCATTACAACAGATATCAGTACTGGAGATGGCTATGTGCTGGGGATTCGTGGCAGAACCGCTCCAAGGTTTCTGAATATTAAACCTTACGACCTGGACCGGCCGCAAGCAGGCACGCCTCGCTCCCCGCCAACACGCTGACGAGACATCGCGGTAGCATCTGGTAGCATGGATTGTCAGCATTTCGGCTCTGTGGACACCTGCGCGACTGGTGAGAACCAGCCGTGTTCAGTGCGGACTAGGTTCCGGCGGCAGTGACTCCAAACTCCACAGATACAGCGTACGGTGACTTCATGCGCCACGCATCCGCCCGTTTGCTATGAAACCAGACGTCTCATGATTCAGCCCGCTCTCATCCGCCTTACGCCTCTTCTCTTTGACCGTTAGCTTCATCACTTCCACTGTTCCAGCATGTCGACCGTCGTGGCTGCCGTACTCTCAGCGCTGCTATTACACGCGACACCGGCCAAGGCATACTGCAGCTATTACTATGGATGCAGCGGAAACAATCTAGGTGGAGGGGGTATAGCGGGAGTCGTGATAGGTGCGTCGGCTTCGCTCTGTACAATGCAACCTCCTTAACCGCCTTCCTGTCTTCACTCAGGAATCGTCGTCTTCTTTCTGCTCCTGTTGACGTGCTGTCTAATGGGTATGCGCCGCCGTCGCACCTACTACAACTCCGGCGGGCAAGGCCCCTGGTATCCCGTATCCAGAGGCGGCATCTTCCCCGCTGCCCCGCAAAGCAACGCGGAAGCCGGGCTCGGAGGTCAACAAGCCGGTTGGAATACCAATGGTCCTTCTGACAACAGGGGCGGCTGGCTTAACAATCAATACGCGCCAAGTGGGGCTCCATCGGGTAGCACAGGCCACTGGGTTAGTGAGGGACCAGGTGCTGTACCTCCGCCATACGAATCAAAGCCCCCTCAGTATGCTCCCGTGAGTACTTTGTGTATGTTCCACTCGCCTGGACAGTTAGAACTGATCGCGGTCATTGTCAGCCTCCGGGTGAACCCCCCGCGGCTCATGTTCGTAGTTGAAGTGAACGTATCACATAGTTGCTCAGTGACGCTATGGACCTTGTGTATTTCTCATATGGACTCGTATAATGCCATGATTATGCGGTGCTGAAACGGCGCTTGCGATTGGAGCGGAAGCTCGTAAACAGCTTCAAGACTCAAGCATTTCGTCATGACCATAACTGAGACTAATACTAATATGCACGAGTACGAGTGGTCCTCAGTCTAATCTTAGCTACACCCTCATAGTGCGGGGTGGTACGGCGGATCAATTGGTTATCTGAGATCCCCCGGAATTGCTATGCCAGTGGGCGGCGGCGGTATCACGTGTACATACAATATGTCGCCCTGGAAGGAGATGAAGCCGCTGAACCACCTACACCGTAAATGTCTGTCTCCCGATATGCATACTTTGGTTCGGAGCTTCCGAGGACGATTTGAACTGCACTCGTACCGATGACCGGGTATATCGCAGAGGTGCCGAATTCGACTCGCGACTAATACTTTGTATGCACCCAAGGGGGTTGACGACTCCGTGCGTGGATGACTTGCGACGACTCGGGAGGGGACCTGGTGTACGAAACTGCGTAAGCAAAATAACATTTTCTTCAGCGGGAGCTTACCCGTCGGTTGTGTACCAAACTGGTGAACCGTTCGTGTGGTGTCGGCAACGATGGGCTTGGACCTGGCTCTGCAGCCCACGCAGACGCACCCCGTGCCATTTCCGACTAGACACTCCATAACGCGCAACAGCAATCTTCCACCAAGGCATGGGCCCCATGTGCTGAAGAACAGTGGTGTGTGAGAGACTGCGACACGGCGAGTTGCATGGGACTCGGAGGCTGCTGGCACTTACCTGCGACCGGTGAGTACTAGTCCTTTTCGCTTGTGCGCCTGGCCATCGTCACTTGAATCACCGGATTGTCCTAGTATCGCGTCGTCAAAGTCCCTGCGAGTGAAGCCTTGAGTGAAGCCGTAGATTCGCCGTCTGTGTGCCTACCGCCTTCGGCGGGGGGCATCCGTGACGATACCTATTTCCACGATGTATCTGCGGCCCGGCGTTCTGCATAGTGCGGCGCGCAACGCGTGAATAGTATAAGAAATGTGCGTACCGTTTGCGAATGCTTCAGAGGCCGAGAATTACAACGTTACCCAGCCCAGCGTTACTCCCCTTTGCGCGCCGTCAAGGACATGATCTACGCGAGATTTGGTGAGAGCCAAATCTTGCGCAGAACAACTCCCTGACACTGACGCCTTCTCAAGCATCCTTCTAGCAACGCTCCGAGCTGTCCTCCTTTCCGTTCAAACAATCGTTTATATATCTGCGCGCGATCTTGGCGCGACCTGTGTTGAACCCATTAGTTGCGCCGTACGGGAGGTTAAACTATTACCCGAGATCAGGGCGCATGGCAAGGCTCGACGCGAGATGATCGCAAGGATCGAGGACGCAGGTCCAGACAGATAGGGTTAGATCTGGCAAGTCATTTAAAAAGTGCGACGTGAGTGGAGACCTCCTCAGACGAGTCCGACCCGATAGGCATCAATGCGATCACTGACCGAATTCATCGGTGAACCTGCAGGGCCAACGAACGAAGTCCATGGGATTGGCCAGTCCTGCGTTCCTGACCGCTGGCGAGAACGTAGAGTGCCAGTGGGTACCAGTGTGTCGCCACTCGAGTATAGCGGCGCTGTGTGCGAACGGGGCGGTGGTGCGGGCGGTGTGTGGATCAAGGGCGAGTCTCTGGGTAAGACACGGTGGCTTGACAGGGACTACCTGTCAACAGGTGGCGGGAGAAAATGCGGAATTGACAGGGACCCACTGGCAGTTGCTGTGGTTTAAATACTCCCCAGGATCTACCGTCTTTGCCCTTCAAGTTGGCCCTGAGGCTTGACAGTGGCAGGGGTACACGCAAAATTTCCAACGCGAGATGCTATCGATGGAAGACGTTCTTGAGGTCTGCTAGAAGAGAAGGGTGGCCAGCTGGACGTATGCCGTAGAAACGTCGTCCATTACGAGAAGGCGCGAGACTGCACGCAGGCGGCTCCGCCTCCGAATGGTACGCAACGCTTGTGACGAGGCTGCGAGCGTATCGGATCGCTAGCCGATGCGCTGGTGAGTCCGTAGTACGTACGTGCGTCTTTGAATTGTCGGAGGTCAATGTTGACATCCAGCCCAGCGTTGCCGTTTGCATGGTGCGCTATCCGCCGGTGCGAAGCTGGAACATTGCACCCGGTCCATGCCTCGGTCGCAAGACTCAGTGTCGCGAAGAAGTCAAGAGGGAGCCTGGCCAGCATGCGTGCGTCAATTTGACCAAATTTCCGCAAACATCGTCGCTCCGTCTGCCCGCTGTCCCACGCTCGACCCTTGGGTTGGTGCGTCATTGAGTCTGTTCAACATCTCTGCGCCGAAAAGGCGAGCCACGCATGTCTCACCAGCAATTTCAGTGAAGGTGGCTCCAGAATGGTATTGGGAAGCGTGGACAAGACGTCTTCACGCGTCGTTATTACGCTCAGTCCATAGCCTACCGGTCCGCCTCCCTCAGTCTACCTAATCCGCCATTCCCCGCATTCACAGTAAGAAGGTGACCCGGTCCCATGGCACCATAGAAATCGCCGTACCTTCTCAGCCTCGGATGAGCGACCGGACTGCTTGAAGTCGCTCGGTCAATGACTACGATTATCTAACTGCTAACTGGAAACTCAAGTGAGTTATGTTGCGTTACGACCCTGCATTCTTCTTACCTACTGATGTCCGGGTCCATGGGTTCAGCCACCAACGCGAGCAGGTATGTCGCAATTTCATTCATTGACTACCACTTTACGTCTCGCTAGCATCACAGCGAATCATCATGGGGCGCACGCACGATGCTCGACATACGTTCAGGCGGCTACATCTAGTCCCGCTTATCACTGGCACCTCACGCAGATACCCATTTCCGTCAGATATGCAAATCTCGAGACCGATCGCAACGGCCTCTTCTCTCGGGGGCTATCAAGAGCTCCCCCTTCGCACGTCCGCAGTGCGCACAGTGAGTCCGTGCCCATACAAACCACCATCAGCTGACTAGCCCGGTATCGATAATCCAGCGTATCTCCGGAGCTCCTATGCGATTCTGGCGGGAACTCTCACGGATGGATCCGCTGCGATCGTGCTACCGCTCTGCGGCCTTGCATGTTCACATTGGACCTACATCGTGGAGCACTCGGCGGATCAGCGACGCCACCCCGAGCCGAGTGCGTTTACCGAGCTGGCTCGCGGGAACGCTAGCTCGGACTACATTGAGTTCTGCGAGGGACCATCAAGCTCGATCATGAGTTGGCCGTTAGTGCAGCGATCGGGACGGCCCCTCACGGGGTGGATTGGCCATCTAGGCCAGGAGCTACAATGCAGTTGTGATGGCATGCTGGCCTATGTATGAAGTGGTCTCACGTCATGTTGGACACATCCATGTCGTAAGTCCGTCTGATGTTGATGGTTTATTGAATGGATTTAGTACGGCAGTCAAGGGTGCTGCTACTTGACGACCGAGCGCATCAGCGGCGCGGCACAGGGAAGGTTTTTGTCATATCCGTGTGTTCGGTCATCAAGGCGGAATTACATGCCCCTTCATTTCGGCAAATGAAGACAGCTTGGTAGACTTACTGGCACGAGTCCCTTCACCATGGGTTCACTGTGCACCGATTCGTGGGCGGCGGTCGATAGATTCACACTGGTTTTGCCACCGTCGCATCCGCCACTGCCTGTGGATCTGAGATTGACAGCCACCGTAGATCGCACTGGCACGGCGCGCCCGTCGGCAAGCACGTGGGAGGAGCTAGGCTGCTTCCGTTCACACTCGTCCCACAATCGTTGGCGTGGTTCTGCAGGCGGACTCTTCTGCATACAGCGGGGAAACCTTCGTACAGGAAGCAGCTCGACAGAATGCGTACACCGCTTCGATTCAGCGTCACCACTGGCTGATGGCGGGAGATAACGCCGTCGAATTCGCTGCGCATCCCACAGGTCCGTGGCCCTCGCACTCCTAACCCGAACCGAGCACAGTCCTGCAGGATGATTTGGTGAAGCGGTCGACAAGAGTCTGTTCCCCGGCAGGCGCGCGGCACACTCTGGCTGCGTCCGTCCAAGTCGCACTCGCCGCCACGGTTCTCACTGCATGTTGCCCTTCTCGGAGCGGAACGATCGCGCTTGAGAGACCGTGTCGGCGGTCGGACAGTTGGCACAAGTCTCGCCTCCACGTGCGATTAGGCAGCCGTCAGCGATGTCGTGCCAGCTGCGATGCGTTCCGCCCGGGCACTCGCCTTTACGAGATTTGATCGGTCTCAGACGCGACCCCGCTCCTCCCATGAGAATACCATATATCACAAAGGCGGCTAGGCGGAGAACGGCGCCCTGCCCCGGATGCATATCGAATGTCAACGCGGCGCAATAAATGCGTCGCCATTGGGTCCCTCGCCAGTCCCGCCCCGTCCCCCGGCCTGAGGCAGCATCTCTCACATCAACGCTGGTACCGAGATGCCCAAATTCACTGTCGCCATTTGGTGCGTCAGACGTCCCACCCACTGTCTCCGCGTCACTGACGTACTGGCTACAGTGGAGGTGGAGTAGGAGGCCTCGCTTGTGCAGTCGCCCTGTCGCGGTACCCCGACATCGAAGTCAATGTATACGAGGCCGCAAGCAAGTTTGCCGAAGTTGGTGCAGGCGTCGGTATCTGGCCGCGCGCGTGGAAGATCGTGCAAGCTCTCGGACTCGATCGGGAACTCGCAGAAGTCGCGGTCGTCAGCCCTGACCACCATCCAAGTGGGTAACGCGCATTGCTTCATTTGTACAGCACCGACCTACGTCATAGAACTGTCATTCAATTTCCGCAAGGGCGATCAACCCGAGGGCCATACCTTCTATCAGCTCTATACCCCAGGTACACTGTCGCATCTGCTCATCAACGTGAAACACCCACTGATGTCTGGTAGGCGGCCTTGTCACCATCCATCGACCATCGTTCCAGCGGATCCTCCTCCGCCACCTGTCTCCGTCCTCACGCACCCACACCGGCAAACGGCTCGTCTCATATAGCCAACCAGCGCAAGGAAGCTCTCACTCTCCAATCACGCTGCACTTCGAGGATGGCTCGACAGCGGCCTGTGACGTTCTCGTCGGCGCCGATGGGGTGAAGTCCGCCACGCGCGCCACGCTCGTCGACGAGCTCGCGCGTGCTGCCAGCTCTGCAGGGAGGAGGGACGAGGCCGAAGCTCTTCACCGAGCGGCGCAGCCACGGTGGAGCGGGATATGTGCCTACAGGACTACAATCCCGGCGGATGCCCTTCGAGCGCGAGTGCCCGGCCACAAAGTGCTCAAGGAGCCTATGGCAGTGAGTTCTGCACTCATCATTGATGTTCGTTGATTCATGACGCGTCTGCTATATCAGTACTTCGGCCAGGACGCAGTGAGCCCGCCCCGCGTTGCGTCTCCGCCGTCTTCGCTGATCATGCTTCCTTAGCAAGTAACTGCATACCCCCTCTTGCATGGTGATATCATCAACGTCGCTGCATTTCGAGCGCGATACGACCTGGAAGGAACGACGATGCGGGGACCCTGGGTCGTTGACACCACAAAAGACGAGCTTGCTGCCGATTTCAGCGGCTGGGAACCGGAAGTACAGGCAATGTTCCAGGTAAGCGCTCTTCCTATCCAAGGTGTCTGCGCACCAGACCTGAGCGTGAAACGACGTCCAGTGCGTCTCCAAGCTGAGCCGCTGGGCGATCCACACCACAGAACGGCTGCCCACCTTTGTATCTGGCCGCGTTGCTCTGGTCGGGGATTCGGTGAGTGGCTTGCGCGAACTGTGCGACAGTCAATGTCCTAAAATCGGGGATAGGCCCATGCCGCCGTTCCTTTTCAAGGAGCAGGCGCTGGTCAGGCAATCGAGGTATGGAATTATAGACTAGGATGATAGACTCGTGCTTATCTGCGCGTGGCCGGAACCACAGGACGCATACTTGTTAGCCACCCTCCTCGGACATTCAAAAACAACCCTATCGACACTCACCCGCGCGTTGAAGATATACGACGAGGTCCGCCGACCGTACGCCCAACTCGTAGCAGAGACGTCGCGAGAATGCGGGATGCTCTTCACCTTCAACTACCCGGGCTTTTCCTCGAGAGACTTCGGAGAAGGTTCTGACGCGGACAAGCTCCGCACCATCGCAGAGACGATCCGGAGAAAATGGTCGTGGGCTTGGGATACCACGCTCGACGGAGATGTCCAGCGGGCGGTTCAATGGCTAGAGGCGAGCTAAAATCGCTTCCCCATTGCGACCGCTCCGAGACCGCCTGTGTACTGTAGGCCTGAACCCGCCAGATCTTCCACTTCATACCCTTGTTGTAATTTAGCTTATCCGCAATCCTAGCCTTCCGTGCGTTCTGCTAGTGCGGCCGGATAGACGTGGCCCCGACGCCCTGGTTGGAGGCGCACTGCTTGTCGTAGGAAGCGCGAACGCGGAGCGCGCGCCTGGCGCGATCGTCGCCGGACTATTGCACTTTATCCTGCCATCCCTTTGCGGTCCCGATAGCGTCCGCGTTCTGCCTGTTGGCGGCATTTGGCGGTGTCAGCCACCATTGTTCCAGGGCCAGACTGCGCCGACACCGTGGGGAGGGCATTTGACGTTGTCCTAGGTTTGATTGTATCACTCTGCGCGTGCTTCGAAAAACAGAGATCAACAACACACGTAGAACTGGGGATCCAAGCGGCACGAAGACTTGCTCAGAATGTCAAGGAGGTAGCGAAGCACGTAAGGAACGCGCTGGCTGCTAAGCCGAGCAGTATCGCATTAGCGGCGTGTATTCCAGCACCATAATGTGGAGAAACATGGGGGCAACCGATTACAGAAAAAGCCACGACGTCAGCCTCAAGCAAACATACCCTCTTGTAGGTCTGCCAAGAGAACAAACTTCAGGTAAAGTACCTTTTCCAGACGCGGGTCGTGGAAGCAGCAATCGTGAGGCTTGCGCTGATGCTCTTTCCGAGGTGGTGCTGACTCTGCCAGAGGGGATACCTACAAGCGATGGTTGCTTGATGTTTTCCCCTGCAGCTGGAACTAGAAACAGCGAGCAGGGTAGGGATCGGAACAACTGGTTGGCGACTGGCGGATAGAAGGCGTGGATGCATGTAAAGCTTGTTGAGTCGTCTAAATTCAAGGGTCGCTTGAGGGTCGGGTGCGTGTCGCGTAGTGCGTGACTACGTGTCACTGACGCGTAATTACACGTGACCCGGTCACAGAAGGTTGAACTCAGAGCTCCGGCAGGCGATTCTTGCTACTCACCTCCAGCATCTGTCTCTCGTTCGGACCAACTCCCCCTCTAGTGCAGGCACTTCAGCGAGGGTCTCAGTCATGTCAACAATCTACAATACGCACAAGACTCTTCTTCCGAAGAATGGACCGCCCAGTCTGCGCGAAGCCCTGCGGCAATCTACGCCCCCCGTCGGACGGTCGGTCGCGATAACACTGGCCGTAGCTTTCACTGCGATCTTCGCGGTTCGCGTTTACCGCAAATTTCTTAGGATCCCCGCAAAGAGGACTAGTTCCCTTACTGTTGCTCGCTCTGTGATCCGGGCAGTCCAGAAGGACCTACAACACTCCGCGCTCACTCCTTTCAAGTCGCGCTATCCCAGATCAGCAGCAGACATCACGCCGGAGTCTCTTGTATTGCCGAAGATATTTGCCCGCTTCCCGGCGTTCCCGGCTCCTCTGAACCTATCGCAGCGCGCTTTCGTCTGCTGGGATCTGGCTGTGTACAACTCATGCAAAGAAGTCACGATATATGTTCCGCTTGACACTTTCTGGCGGTTCCATATGGCTCGAAGCGTCAAGAAGCAAATGCAGGTGCCCTCAGAGCGCATCGCGGCGGCTCCATCTCTCTCGGCTTGCCTCACACTGATCTCGGACGAGCCTTGGTCTGAAGGCGGCATGGTACGCGCTGCCGATACGGACCCCGTGTGCGCCGACGCCTTGGTCCACTCCCATTCCGACGCCATTTCTTCAGTGGACAATTTGCAAGTCATCTTTAGGACCGCCGATGCGGTTGATCACGTCCCCTGCGTCAAGCCATCCGATACGGTCTGCGTCTCGTCTACCCCGCCCCGGCGATCAGGACAACGCGTTATACGGAAGGGTCCCGTACCGCCGAAGCATACCGAGCCCGATGCTACGTCAAATGCTGTCTCCTCCGAGTCCACTGCTGCTAGTGCGCCTCGTATCACTGCCGCACCAGTCGGGCGCCTCAAGACCGCGTCCGTCGACTTCGTCCTCTTCCTGGCCTGGAAGGTGATTTCGCAGAAGCGCGTCGTGCCTCGCCCTCGTCGCCGCTTCCGTCCCTCTCGCGAATTCCTGCAGCGCGTCGTCTGCCAGCACGTCAAGTACAACACTAGAGTCGCCGCTTCGGCCGCCACGCCACACGCCCTCAAAGTCTACGCCTCTCCAGCGGTGCCGCGCGCACCACCTGCTGCGTCTGCGCCTGTTCTCCCGTCATCGCCGAAGGAGATTGAATTTAGGACGTCGACGGCTGCGCGGCCCGCGGGCAAACTCACTGCATCTCCGCGCGCATCGGCCTCGGAACCACGACTCAGTCGCAATAACCTCCTCAGGCCGAGCCCGAACGTCTCCATTCGCGGCAAACAGCTCTATGGCGCGCGCAAGTCATTGCGGTCACAGCCCCTCCGTGTCCCCCGCCTCCAAGCTGCTTCGTCTGGCTCGGATGACTCGTTTGCGTCCAACGCGCACTCTGCGGGCATGTGTTTGGATGCGCGTCCCAGCAGGGCGGGGGAACTTTGCTAGGAAGAATGACGTAGATTTGCCCCGGATGCTCGTTGCCAATGGTTCGCGGTTCGGCGCTCCGGTTGCGTGAAAGCCTACCAATTTCCCTACTTTGGACTGGTTCAATGCTATGATTAAACACGTGGAGCATCACAACATGAACCTTCGTTAGTTCTCTGTATTCCCCTACGTACCATTGTCTTCTGGCATACCCACACACTAGCACTACAAATTCTCGACATGGACATATGTAGCGATCTTCAACTCTGTAGCATTACATTCTAGCCTCATGGTATACAGTAGCGCCGCATCGGACGTAACTTTAGATTAGGTATTAGGTATGGTAATCCTCCTGCTAAAGCCGCAATTGTCCGATGTCGAGGTGACTATCCAAGGCCGACCATACGTGTGTCCTGAGCGTGGGTATGTTGTACGCCAGGCCTAGGGTGGTATGGGGGACGCCTCATGATCCTATGCACCCGAGGTGTTTATGTCGCGGCAGCGTTGCTGCTAGGACATCCGTGGAGTGGAAAGTTTTGAAGGCCGTCGTCGCATCACGTCCCGCGAAGTTCATGATCATACGGGGACCACCCGGATGCTCCTAAGTATGAGGCATGAGTACATCCGGACTGGTACGGAATGAAGCACGGAGGCGCTCACGGGCACGAAGTCAGTGACATCATACACTTTCTTCTCGATAATGACCCAGACAGAACTGTGGTACGAGGCCATAGTCAGCGTTACGAGAGAGGTCGATGAGCAATGTTGTGTGCGTACCCCTTCGTGTTGTGCGCTGCTACGTCCTTGGGTGACAACGGCATAGCGTTCAGTGGTCCTTGGGCTGACGACACTGGCATGCCCCTCCAACGCACCTGCGTTTTATGTTGCGTCGACATGAGCTGCGGCGAGCACTCCGGTTCGCCTGCATTGAGCCTCGAGAGCGTCATGACCCGTGCATGAGCAGGAAGGCCGCACACGCTTCTCCACCCAGCGGCTGCTGCTGCATGCATCAGGCCAGAGTACGCTGCTATACGATCATAGGGCTCGACGAAGGCCTTGCTCTGCGTTCATATGTCTTCTAGCGCCACCCATGACCAGATACGGAGTTGGAACTTCCATGGCCAGACCGAGGATCGCGTGCATCATTGCAGCGAGGCAGCGCATGACGCTGCGAAGTCGACGTTCGTGGTTCAGGAAGGGCGTGTAGACAACGTACCCGGGCATGTCATCGATGACCAGTCGGCGGTCGCTCCGGTGCGCATGAGGTCACAGGTAGTGGTATATGAGGCCTAAACCTCATTAACACTAGGTGTATGGCTCGTGCCATTGCGTACAGGCTGCCACGTAGGCGTGATACCTACTTACCGAGAGTGCACGCCACCTAGGACTCGATGCAGACGGTGACGGCACTGACGGGCTCACTTGTAGCACGTGTGCTTCGAAGAAGAGAAGCTTGGTGATAAAAGTCCAGAGCGGACACTCTTGAACATTTGGGACGGCTTGCTAGAGTGCTCCACCCTGAAATCTTCAAGTTGTGACAAGGCCGTCATATCCGGAACGATACCTGAGGGCATGTATTATTGTGCGCGTCGCCCATTGTTTCGTATAGCGGTACGTACCACAATACATATCATCGCACGGGTCTTTGCTGGCCAGTGCGTGACATATCAGAGACACCATGTTACTACTTGTGCGCCTCGCTGCTGTCTTAGGCTTGAGCAAGGCTTGAGAGAGTTTGACATCGACTGGACGTCCCACTGGCAGAGACGATCTAGCGACGACGCCCCGGATCCTCCCGGCGACCCTAATACGGACGGACGGGCGTCCGGTCCGAGACTATACCGCAATGGAGTCGTCGGCCATCTCCATAACAGGCATGAGGCGGAGCGCCTGATCGAGCCGGCGAAACGATGCCGATGACCGAATCGGGCTAAATCACTGAATAGCAGAGCGCAACGCCCACCTCCCAGTCAAGCTATGCACCTTTTCATAGCAACTGCATTTCAGCGGCAGACCTTGTGGCCTAGAATAGGTTGCCGCCTTAAACCTGGTCTCGTCGCGACGGCTACTACATCGCCACTATTATCCAGATTAGCAGAAATGACCATGTCGCGAGTCCGAGTCACTGCCTGTTCCGATCTGACAGCGTCTTTTGCTGTAGAGACGACGAATTCGCATGTCTGAAACATGTGAACCTCACGGTCGACGCTGCGCTCGTTGAGTCATTCCAAAAGCGGTCCGCGATAGAGTTTCGGTATGTGGCTGCCGTTGTGGAGCACGTCACTTCTCCTAGGCTCGATACTACGGGCACCGCAAGCTGACAATGATCATTTTGTAGGAGTGCAAGAGCGCATCGCTGTGCAAAATCGCTCTGTTGGGTCAAACGATATGATATGCCGTTGGCCGCGCGTCATCTCTGCATTACTCTCAATGGGGTATATTTTCCTGACTCGACCAGCAGCCGTCAGGATCTTGCTTTGTTTGTATGGTAAGCCGCACGAAGCGACCAAGCGTCAGTCTGCTCGTGAAATGACCGGTGTTGAAGCCGAAGTCACGGGCCGCTCAAGACATGTCCCAAAGCTATGTCTCGACGAGTGCGATGGCATACTGGTATGCGCGCCGACGCTAAGTTGCTACAGCCTGCAGTGCTAACCCGTTTTCAAGCCGACAGAACAAGCCCGTTCCACGCACGGCTCAGAGTCGTTGGCGCTGCGTTACGGTGACAAGTTCCGAGGCCGCCATTTCAGGCGTCCGCTCGATGTCAACAACGCCAGCTATTCCGTTTCCAGAATTATGTGACCAGCCGTTCCGGTATACTACCGCTGTACTACCAGTATTACTGCGATGCATCGGGAGCGGCAGACCACAACGGTCGAGTTTTTGACAGTGTACGTCCGTTTTAGTCTTGCGCAGGCTCGCCGGCTCACCTTGTTTCGTACAGCAACCGTCAACACTATACCGCAAAAATGTCTCGCCATCCCGCCATGGGCGGGCGATCCTGAGGTATAAAGGTGGTGAGCGAGCTCCTAGACTCTGCACTACCAACTCGCCTTTTAATCATTCTATCTATCCTTCCATCACACGGACACTACTCTTCGGCGATGTCCCAGTCTTCACTTCTCTCGGGCCTCCTCGCCCTTGGACTTGCAATTTCTACCTCGGCTCAGAGCGGAGGACCCATCACAGAACTCAACATTGTCAACAAGGAGATCTCGCCTGATGGGTTCGCTCGGCAGGGTGTGCTAGCCAATGGTACCATGCCTGGACCTATTATCAAGGGCAACAAGGTTTGTAGCTCTCTAAAATGGGGCTTGAATCGGACATTTACACCAACGGTTACAGGGAGACAACTTCCAGATCAATGTAATCGACCAGCTCACTAATACGACGATGAACACTTCGACCACCGTCGTGAGTATCCTCGCCTGGCTCTCTCGAACCCATCTCCTTGCTGACTCGGTCATGGTAGCATTGGCACGGTATCTATCAACATCAGACTAACTGGGCAGACGGACCGGCATTTGTCACGCAATGTCCTATCATCGCTGGCAACTCCTTCCTGTACAATTTCACTGTCCCTGATCAAGCAGGTATATCATCTGGTTGTTCCTTTCTCAACAATCCACTTACTCCTGTATAGGCACCTTCTGGTATCACAGCCACGAGGGTGTACAGTACTGTGATGGGCTGAGAGGTCCTTTCATCGTCTATGATCCCGACGATCCCCACAAGGACCTGTACGATGTCGACGACGGTCCGTCTTCCGATGGCGCTCGGAGGTTTCTGTCCACTCACCTTTGGACCTTCAGATACGACCGTCATCACTCTCGCTGATTGGTACCACTCGCCTGCAAACGACCTGCTTGCCGGCCCTGTGTAAGTTCATAACACTTCGACCCGCGGATTCATGCTGACACAGACAACAGGGATGCGGACTCTGTGCTCATCAACGGCCTCGGCCGTCTGAATAACTCGGACACACCGGTATCCGTCATTGAGGTCGAACAAGGCAAACGGTACGTCCCAAACCCCGAGCTTCTCAGCCCTCGCTGACCGCGAGCACAGGTACCGCTTCCGACTGATCTCTACCTCCTGCCACCCGTACTTCAACTTCTCCATTGAGGGGCATGACAATATGACTATTATCGAGGCGGATGGCCAGAACACCGAACCGCTCCCGGACATCGATTCGATCCAAATCCTGGCCGCGCAGCGCTACTCCTTCGTGGTATGTGTCCATATCTTGGTGTCTTTTTAGAGTCGCAGCTAATAATCCGTGATTCCAGCTGGAAGCAAACCAGCCGGTTGGAAACTACTGGATTCGTGCTGCCCCTCAGACCGTTGTCGCCGGCAGCGCCGGCACCCCCACTGGTCTGGCCATCCTGCGGTATGTCAACGCAACGGCGGTGGACCCTACCACCGACCCCTACGACATCCCCGATCCCCAGAACCCTCTCTTGGAGCAGAACTTGCGCTCATACGGCAATGTGACGGTACGTCAAGTTGCTAGTGCCCATAATAGTCCTGCGCAATTGACGACATATCTCAATAGGTCCCGCCACTTGATCCTGACTGTGACGAATGCGACATTGTGCTGAACTTTTCTCTCGTAAGTGATCTGGTGATCCTCCCGATGAAATGCGCACGAACCATGACATGATAATATCCCAGAACACCGTCACGGGCTCGTTCTTCGTGAACGACACCACGTACTTGAACGCGTCCTATGTGAACCCCCCGGTTCCTGTGCTGCTCCAGATCCTCAATGGAACGTACAACGCACACGACCTCATGCCGGCGAACAGCGTTCAGTCCCTGCCCCTCAACAAGACGATCCAGATCACCATGCCCGGCATTATCGCAGGGCCACACCCCTTGCATCTGCACGGTGTACGTATCACACTTTATACTCCGTATATAGGCAGGCGATCCCGACTGATACACTCGAAATAGCACTCGTTCTTCGTCATCCAGAGTGCCGGTAGCGACACGCCGAACACTATCAACCCTGTTCGCCGTGACACCGTCAGCATCGGAACCGGTCCGACCAACCCGGCCACCATCCGCTTTGTTGTATGTGCCAGTATCCGATGCTGCTCGAAGTACATAGCGCTGACTATTCCATCCAGACTGACAACCCGGGACCTTGGTTCATGCACTGCCACATCGACTTCCACTTGGCTGCCGGCTTTGCTCTCGTCATGGCAGAAGCTGCTTCGGATGTTCCCGACTACGTCCGCCCCGTCCCTCGTGAGTCCCGCTTACCATGAGTGCTTTCTTCTGGCGTACTAACACTGCAATAACAGCCGCTTGGGAAGAGTTGTGCCGCGAGTACAACAGCACCAACCCGCGCCCACTTGTAGCTTGATCAACCATTTCTTGTCACTTCCCGCACACCCTACTTCATTCCCTATCCTAACGACTTACGAAGCGACCGTGTTGGCACCGAGGACACTGCTTTTTAGTACTCGTAATTCACCTTATTGGCTCGTAACTTAAAATTCTCTACGGATCGGTGATGGTTTAATTGCTCCTAAATTTTGAATGTCATACATGTTATCCCTAGTATCGCTGGAAGTGAAGCCCCTTGAACTTGAGTCAAGTACTGGCCGCCTACAATTGAATTATGTCCTGTGGGTCTCGAATTGGCTTAAAGAGTCGAAGTCGAAGTCCCAGATCCCAGGACCAGGGACGAGATCAGATCGGCCCCAGAAAGGCTATCATTCCATCGAGATTAGATCCCGCCAAAACGCCCGCGGCCCAGTGCGCCCGACCTCTTGCGCCCGACCGCCATGTCCATGTCCTCGCCATCCCTCAATCTTGACGAAGAGGTCAGGCTATATACCACCAACGCTGAACGCGAGAAGTATGGTCTGCTTGCGACGCTCTTCGGTATCATTGTCGCGCTGGAGTACCTCGAGCGCGCGTATGTGCGCGACTCGGTGACGGCAGCCGAGTGAGTCCTCTCATCATCTCGAGGTTTATGGATTGGACGTCTGAGCGGCGTGGGTGAAGAGGTATTCTCCGGCATGTACAAGGCTACTGTCCCAGTACAAGACGATGCTCAAGCTTGTTGGGGACGACGTTCCGTCGATAGATCAGTTCATGAGCCGGTATCGCGTGAGTCTTCTTCTCATGTTGAATCGGAAAGGAGACCGATGTTTTCGCAGATGGAACATCCGGCTGCATTACATAGATTGAAGGTGGGAGTCCCCGCCACGATTGAGCACTCCAGTGAGGCTGGGCCCGAGACTGGCAAATGGGTGGCAGAGACGACCCAGGTGAATCCCCTTCCGTGGTCGTATGGTGGTCTTCCGTGCTAAACATGCGCAACAGAACTTCATCACATTCATGGATGCACTCAAGTTGGGGTTCCGTGCGAAGGATCAGTTGCATCCCATCCTCCAGGAGTTGGTGACCGGGTATGCACGCTTCAAGGGAAGCAAGGACTGGGAGGGCCGGGGTAAGATGGTTAGCTGGTAAGACATCTATCCTACTGCCGAAGGACGTTGCTCTGATATATCGAGCTGCAGGCTCATCACGTTGAATGGCATGAAGGCCTCCGAAGAGATCACGGAGGAACAGTCAAGACAGGTGAGTACGCTGCTGTGTGTCCGCTCTGTATACGTTTACGAGTCAAATCGTTCTCCGTAGCTTCTCTTCGATATCGAACATGCATATGCAGAGTTCTTCAGGAGCTTGAGCAGCAAAGAGGGTGGCTCTTGAGAACGATATCAGGTTGTAGCAGATGACTCCATATGTACACTATCACATCCGGCCCATACATAATGAAAGCCCGCGGCATTGGCTTTACCTCGCTTCAGTCGCTTTGTTCTCTCGCATGGGTATGCTTCTAGGGTCAATGCTGCTACGGAGACGGTAGCCTGCTGCGCGCGCAGCCACAGCAGCCCGCTTTAGAATGTCTGTGCTCACCGTATGCGACCTTTTCCCAAAACACTCAGCTTTACGCCGGGCAAGGCGGGGATCTGCAGCGCTCATAAGTAGTACTCGTGCCTCGTTGTCGCCGTGCTGAACTCGCCGTCCGCCATCTGCTTTCTCCCATAACCTTAAGCTTGTGCCCCATCCTCGCCACAGCAAGCCTCCCGAGTCTTCATCCACGCATGGTCTCAGACACGAATCCTTTCCGAAGCCGAGCGGCTTCTTCCACTGTAACTGGAGATTCTCAGTCGAGTGGCGGTAGCACGCGGTCTGCGCGAGAGTCAGGACAGGGACGCTCGCCTTCCCCTGATCTACCACCGGAGGTCCCAGAACGCACCGTTCCACCTCCTTTGCCGCCGCGCGACTCGAGCTCTAACCATCATCTACCTCCGGACGACCTCATCTCAGAGGAGCTGCCGCCTGCATATACTCCGGCGCCGGACGTCCTGCATGGAGAGACGACCATCGAGATCGGGCCCCGGCGGCCCTTCCAACAACCCCAGACCGTGCCTCGTGAATACCTCTCTCCTGCGGATTGGGGGCGCGGACACCGGCCCAGCGCATCAACTGCAGACTGGGGACAATATCCTGGACATGGCCCGGGACATGGCGGGGCGATCCCGAGGCATTCGTCGCTAACGCGAGACCGCCCGCGCACTGCTCCCGGCAACGCTCCTCCCTCAGGTCCCTTGTCGGACTTCGCACGAGATTTCTATACTGCTGCGGGTGGTGGAAATGGCGCACAGGCTGGTGCGGGCGGTGACGATGGCGACGATGGGCGACCGACGCCTACGCCCAAGCCGGGCCACCCTCTCATGCGGAACGGACGGGTGCTGGTCTACCCCGCTCTATACGAGTGTCACAGATGTACGTCCTGCACATCATCGTGCGCGATCACTGTCCGATGATCTATTATGTGTATATCTACTGCAGGTCACAACGTAGGCTATCGGAACAACGATCCCACAACGCCGTGCCACAAGTGTTGGGAGAAGTACGCGCGCCCGTTCTCCGGCCCCCTGACTTCCTTGGACTGGAAGATTGCACATGTTCCTTCTGGTGCACGTCTCAGCTACCAGCGACCGCTGCCACGCTTCACGCCGCCGCACTTATCTGGTTCGTCCGCGCCGCACTCTCGGTCAGCGTCTCTCGCGCGCCCACCCGGAGGCTACTCCGGAGGCAGTTCCTCTCGCGTCATCCCCGTTGCTGGTGGGGGTATCCCGACGGGGCTATACCTCGATGCTGCGCAAGGTCGGGCCCCGCCCACGGTTAGGGTGGCTGAGAACCCGCCAGCGGGTGCGACGATCTTGCGTCCTGGAGACCCGAGGCTGGGCGGACGCTTATGTTGGAGGTGTGGTGGGTCTGGAATCACCACATTTCTCATCTTCGACGAGCAGAATTGCTCCGTGTGCGACGGTATTGGGCGGACATTCGTGTAGGTGGCCCCCGTTAGTACACAACATACTGATACTGCACATACGCCAAGCTATCTCTACCAATATCTGATGCTTCAACATTCTCTTGCTTTACCCTTACATGCTACCTGTGACATAACCACCTCGTTGTACTACGTACCTGTAATGCTAACATGTATCATTGTGACCGAATGGCAGACAGTGGGCACAATCGGCGAAGTCAGTTCACCATGATCTAAACCTCTGTCCTTCTCCCTTAGCGTCTTCAAATACTTCACGCTCGAAGACTAAAGCAGGATGCGTTTCCAGAGGCTCAGGAAGAGTGTTTTACGCGATATCATCACAGTGAGGTGACTGTATATATTGTGGCACCCGCGAACAACGTAGTATGTAATATGTATTCAAACAGAGCTACTATCCAACCACTATTACCGGTTTACACTATCACGATCAAAGAGGCTCTACAGCTTAAATATACATTACAACGGATTTGAGGCCGAAGATCAGACGAGATAGTATGAGAGGATCAGACGAGATAGAAGGAGAGGGGTGTGCAGATACGCGTTAAATACTGAAGCTGAAAGATTGACTGGTGTAGAGTTGTTGGAATGTGAGCGAAGTCGCCGTCTCAAGTCAGCGTATAGGTGCTCAAATTAGCAGCCAGAGGGGTAAGAATCTGCGCTGTCACCGGGAGAGCATCATAAATAGGGCAAAGTTGGTCCCATTGGGCTGCAAAAAGAAAGTAGTCAACACGCTGTCTGAATGCCAAAACAACGAGCTCGACTTACGGGGAATGGGCTTCACATAGCTCGGGACATCCGCGGGGTCCTCAGCCATAACCACAGCAAAGCCAGCGGCAAGGTGGAAGTCGATGTGGCAATGCAGGAACCAGGGGCCGGGATTATCGGTCTGGGGGGGGGGGGGGGGGGGAGATCAGCAATGTTATCGAAGATATAGAAGCGCTTAGCTTACCGTAAACCGGATGGTGACCTGATCGGCAGAAGAGGACCCAATGCTGACAGTGTCCCGGCGGACAGGGTTAATCGTATTCGTCGCGCTGCTGCCGGCGCTCCTGATGACGGAGAAGGAATGCTGAAACGGATTTTGTCAGATTGACTCAGTGGGTGATATACGAATTGCACTGACGCCGTGCAGGTGAAGCGGGTGCGGGATGCCCAGGACGCCACCGGGCATGGTTATCTGGATCGTCTGGTTGCGCGGCAGAGTGTACACACTACCCTGCGGCATGAGGTCCTGAGCGGTGTAATTACCGCCCAGGATTTGGAGGAGGACTGGAACCGTAGGGCTAACGTAGGTGACATTGTTTACGAAGAAGTTGGGTGTATTCTAGGCGTAGAAACATATATGGTGAGTCACAGCGGAGGTGCTACAAGTAGAAGAGTGCTTACGAAGGTGAAGTTCAGAACAAGGTCGCATTCTGCACAATCCGGATCCAGCTCGCCAGGCTGTGTCAATACAAATATCTACGTCAGTGGCCGTGCGTGCATCATTAGTCCAAACATAGCGCGACGTACTGCGGGTCCGCCGAGCGCGTGCAAGTTGGGCTCGAAGAGAGGATTCTCGGGCGTTGGGACTTCGTTGGGGTCGGCAGTGGGGTCTACTACGGGTGCACCGAGGTAGTGAAGTATAGCCAGGCCAGGAGGAGTAGGGGGAGCCCCAGGATTTCCGATTATCTCCGGAAGGACGTGAATCCAGTAGTTGTCGATCGGCTGGTTAGCATCAAGCTGCATTCCACCAAGCGTCAGCCAGTGTATCCAGGCCAGGAAAAGTTGACGTACGATGAATGAGTATCGCTGGGATGCAAAGATCTGTATTTCGTCAATGCCGGGCAGCGGCTCCGTGTTCTCGCCGTCGGCCTCAATGATGGTGAAGTTGTGGCCGTCGATGGTGAAGTTGAAATACGGATCACACGAGATGGAGATAAGACGAATGCGGTACCTGCAAGATGTCAATGACGTCAACGAACGTTTCAGAAGTGGTGTTGAGAGAGACTTGCCTCTTTCCTTGCTCGACATTGATGACAGCCAGGGGGGAGGTCGTGTCGTTTGCCTGGCGACCAAAACCGTTGATGAGGACAGAGTTAGGGTCCCTGTTAATGCGCAGAACTGTTCAGTACTAGTGTATTTCCATCGACCAACTCGCATTTCACTCACGCCGGAGGTGTGATCAAACTGGCAGCCGTATGATACCAATCGGCAAGTGTGATGATGGTCGTCTCTAGAGAATGTGTGTGATCAATGAGATTCATGGAAGCACTACGTCAATTCTCACCGTCGTCGACATCATACAAGTCGGCATGAGGGTCCTCCGGATCGTACACGATGAACGGCCCACGAAGACCGTCGCAATATTGCGTCCCCAAGTGACTATGGTACCAAAAGGTGCCTGAAGCGGACGAGTCAGCCATGGGTATACCACAAGGTAGACGAGTTCTTACCGGCTTGATCAGGGACGTTGAAATCGTAGAGGAAAGAATCACCAGAGGCAATCGGACACTGAGTGACGAAGGCCGGGCCGTCTGCCCAATTAGTTTCACGTTGGAATATACCGTGCCAATGCTAGGAGAATTCACGGACACGTCAGAGGTCAGGTAAGAAACGTATACAGCGTCAACTGACGATAGTAGTGGTCTTGTCCATGGTCTCATTAGTGAGATAGTTCTGTACGTTAATCTGGAAGTTGTCCCCCTACAGAACTCATCAGTTAAGGGTGCGCCATTGGTACAAAGCGGCCTAGTACTTGCCTTGTTTCCCTTGATAGTTGGCCCAGGGAAAGTACCACCCGCAAGCACGGCCTGTCGAGGGAAACCGTCGAGGTTGACTTCTGCATTAATGATAGGTAGGACTGCAACGGGCCCGATTTGCGCAGAAGCGGTGTTCGCGAACCCAAGAGCTGCGAGAGCGAAGGAAAGTAAAGTGAACGTCATCTCTAAGCTAGCAAAGAAACCGCTGGATCGAAGGAGACTGAGGATGAAGCAATTTCGCGGGCACTCTTATACCATTGAGCTGGCGCGCCGAGTAGCGGTCGTAGAGCTACTATTGCTCCCTATGCATCGGCTGTCCCGTGAGTTAGCGGAACCAGGAGTATCGACATAGCTGCAAATCAAGCCCAGAGTCATTCGACTGGGTCGAAGTGACAGTGTGCCTGTTTGTGTGTATTGCGGTTGCGCTGGCCTGGCAGGAGCGTTTCGAACCGCATGGTACCTCTGTCCAAAGTGGTTTAGTTTCCATTACTCCAGGGACATATCGAGGATACCGACATACAAATTACCACAAGCTCGGCCGATGACAGAACGTTGAGGCATTGGCATTTGGCAGGGATGGTGGCGACAACAACCGCGGTACAAGCTGTGAAATCGACCAAGTCAGCGTGGCATTTTGAAATAGTGTATCAACGAAGCTCACTCTCGTAGGAAGCCTTGTGCTGTGATGAAAGCCGCATCCCGAGGTTTCCACTCAAAGGAATATCAAACATATGACATAAAATCTTCAAGAAGCTCGGTAGATCGCCCGAAGCTAGCTGGTAAGACTTAGCTCAGTGGCCCTCGATGATTCAGGCGATTTTGTTCCAGAAAGCCTGACAGCGTCGTTGTCGTAAGTTGACATGTCGTACTGAGTCCCAGACATACCGTCACTGCTATTGTGCCCACTGTCAGGCGGATGAGACCCGTGAGGGAACTCGCCGGTGTTGCCAAAAGTCAACACCTGTTCCAGCTAGAGCAGAATTGACAGAAATGCCAGCAAAACATAGCCTGACTGCTGTGATCCATCATGTGCCGAACATTGCCCGATGTCTTCGACATACGCAGCAGTGCTGAAACCTGCATATTAGTATTGCGATGGTCAGCTCAGACTAGGAACGGCTGAAGAGGACTCTGAATGGTGACTCGACTTTGCGCGTCATTATTTGCATGCTTGACCCAGAATCACTGGTCCTCCAAACCGCTTTGTGAGCGAACGCTAGTCTGAGTTGGTCAAGAGGGGCCCAGGCGACGCTCAAGATGCGACCTCGCGTGAAACTCAGCGGCACTGGTATCTGGGGTGCGCCGAGATGCCGAGGGTGGCAACACCCCGTTATGGCAACGCTGGCAAAAGCCCGACGGACAAGTGGGTGGTGCGGCCCCGGTGCGACCTGGTTACAACGCTAGTCACCATGAATGCCTCATACTGTGTCCCCCCTACCGCTGCCATCGCAAATATTCTCGGATCAGCGACAGCGTCGCATTCGAGCCGCACCGACAAGAGGTACCACTGCACGCGCCGGGAATTTCGCGCCCTTTCTCGTCAATCGGCGGCAATGCGGTGACTCTACTAGTCCGAACCGTTCACCAGCGCAATGGATTCTGCAGTCGCACCGCTCCGTGACAGAGGCACAGACAGAGGGGCACAGCTGGAGGTAACTGTTCTGCACTTGACATATGATCGATCGAACGATGCGCTCGTTCATGCGTTGCGTGTGTCGGCCTTCCCTAGCGTCATCGGTACCGCTCATCCCACTTGCGGATGGGGATGCATCCGACTCCCGCGCCCTGGTGCGAGAATAGTTTTGAATGCTCAAGCTGTGCTCACCGAGACATCCCACAGTTATGTAAATCGTAGTCACGTAACTTGTACACGATTTCGATTATTGGTTTTGTCGGCAAAGTGGGACTGTATCTCGAGAATTCTCCCGCGTCTGAGGGGCCTGCTCCTTGCCCTCGGGACCGAGACTCGTATACCAAGCAGTGCGGCTTGTCACTTCGGGCGTCAAGTGCAAGGCACCACCAGTGTCGAAACTGAAAGGCTCGGGGCAAGAATGTACGAGCACAGAACATGCCTCTGACGTAAGGTACCGTGCCCATGTGCGGGGTCCCTCATTTTTGCATTGGATGCCGTCACCTTTCTTCGCAGAGCTCACGAATGGGTTACTTACTATCCAGTACTTGCCGCCAGTGCCGCTCTTACGTGGCTGAAAATTAGCGGTGGACTGAGGTCTAGTTACGGTAAGTGCATACGTGTTCAGCTTCTCGGCGTTAACTATCTGCGCTCCAGAAAGTATGCCTGCGATTCGCTAACAATCATGCTCCGAAAGGGGCCCCGGGAGGGCTCGTCCTACTCGACGAGTCCAGCGCAGACCTTCTCGTGGTCCGGGGTGTGAGTAATCCTTCGGGATGAAACCAACATGCGCAAAAAGGCCCGCACGACCTCACGGTCGCGGCCTTGGGCAAATACGAGAACTCATACCCATGAGCCCGCCCCACCCCGAAAGGGGAGGAATCACTTCCCATCGTACATGTGTCCCCACCACCGAAACCCACCCCACAACTCTCAGCCTCAGCGTAGATCTTACGAGCCCCGCTGCCCGCCCGAAACTCCTCTACGCTGCCCTACCGCGTTATTGATACGGCATGGCGCCTAAATAGAGTTTAAGCCACAATCTCCACCTGCATAGTATTCGGACGCCCCCCCGCCCCCAAGCGCCTAAAGTCACCAGCGGCAAGAGATAAGCCACATTACAAATAGACATAATCAATCAGGTGACTGACGGCGTCCCGCGGACACATCAGCCGCCGGAACAAGCATGCAACGTGCCAATCTTGGCCACCAACACCCAATACCCAAAATTGCCTCCCTGCTGCCACAGGGGATGCAGGCTGCTGGCAGCCACAAAATATGAAGCGAACAGTGTGAATGAATCCAAACGAGCGTTTAAGCGTGGCATATGCACACGTAACCCTATAAAGCGCTCAATTACAAGTTTTAAACGAAACGTACGCACATACGATGAGAGAAACGAACCACCACATCCACCACATCCACCAACCCGTCCCCCACCAAACCTCCTCCATGAGAACCAAGAGGACTACCAAATACCAAAGGAACGCAGCGATTAACAATGGGGACCCCCAGGGAAGCAGAGTGCAACATACCCAACAACAAACACAACACCTGTATATCCCCCTCCCGCAACTCTCAGAATTCGCCAATAACCCTACAGAAATAACCCAAGTTAGAATCCTTCCCCTGCCATCCCTCGGAAACGGCCGAGGACTCACCTGGGTCGCGAACGAAAGACCGACATGCCAACTCAGAAAGGGAAGCAGAATTACGCTGTCAACGGGAACAGAGGAGACCGGAGTGGGACGACTCTCGGCAACAACCGGCCTAAGTCGACATTGGGTCACGTTCGCGATCACCGGCGCCCCACTCCCGTGCAACCTACGCGTCCCGATCCCATGGGCCCATCTAGAAGACCTCGAGAGCTTTACCCACCACCGGAGCTACACAGCTCTCAGCAAGCTCCCACCACCGCACGAGTCCTATAACCACATCCCGCTCTTTCACCAAGACGATGAAAACCCATACGAGTTTGAGATCGAGGAGGGCGAGATGAGTACCTACAAGGAGCGCCTTGACAGGATCTCTAACGTGTCAGCCCAAAGAGCAGAAGTCACTGAACCAGCTCGCAGAACCGAAACAGGTGACAGGAGAGCCCACAAAAGAAGGCGCCCCGACCAACCTCGCAGATACGGCCCCCCAAAACCCGCCACACGACACATGAATGGAAGCGGCGCAAGAAGGGCAGCCAATGAGACCCGGAGAAACGCCACGCCGCCAACCGCGGACCAACACGCCACCACCGACGATGCCGAACCTGCGAGCTCGGCATCCACCCTCAATGAGAACGCGCCACCGCCGGAATGAACTATGTGAGGAAACGCATACGCGCCATTGGCCAACCTAGACGGTGAGACCCAGATCAACCTACCCAACCCGAGTAACCGTTCATCCGGTGAATGTAAGGGGAAATCGTACCCCCACGGACGACACGAACCAAACACCTTGACTCGCGAACGGTCAAAGAACAAGAACTCGCACGAATACCCTACCCGCACCGATCGCATCGACGCGAACAAGGAACCCGAAGGAGCGAAAAACGAGAACAAAAACCGAAGGCAAAGTCCCGCCCTCCGTCGCACCAGAATCCACGCACGCATCCGCCTAACCAGCACTCCAGCTCGCGAATTCACAATGCACCCCAACTCCCTAGTACGCCGCTCGGCCTCCCCCGCTCTCGCACCAACCTCGTCTCTCCAGAAGAGCCCTAAAGCCCAGACCGCCCATGCGGAGACTATGCAGACGGACGCCAACCCCGGCAACGCCCAAGGAGGTCAAACCTCCTCAATCGCCCCAGAAAACACTCCCAGGCCGTCCCCTGGGCGCCCAGGCTCCCCCTCCTTCGCGGAAGTAGCTGCGAACGCTGCGAAGAAGGACGCCGCAAAAAAGAAGGAAGCGGCCAAAAAGGCGGCGTCGACCAGAATGCAAGACATCGTTCAGGGTATGACGTCCCACACCCCTGAACCACTACATTATTAACAACATAACAGCGCTGGCAACCCCAGGCGACCAGGTAGCGACCTCTGAGTCCACGAACGTCACCGAGCCACCGACGCTACCCCCGGTGGAGACGCGAGTCGAACCCGCTGTAGCCATAGAGGCCCCGCCGTTGGTGCAGACCGACAACCAGCAGAAGAAGAAGAAGAAGAAGGCGGTTAAGACCACGATCGCACACATAGGCCTTGGCCTCCCTACGCACCCCACCACTGTCGACCCTGCCCTCACGGTCCTCGAACCACACACCGCCTCTAACCCCCGCAAACGTCGCCGCACCAACGACGCGGCGGACGATGCTGGGACCTCCTCCCGTCCGAAGCCAACGGCCGAGCCACCGAGCCAATCCGGGGCATCCTTCTCTAGGACGGCGACCCCTCTAAGTGACGACCTCTCTCTGACGCCTGGGTATAACTCTGACCGGGAGCCCACGATCGGCGATATGGACGCCTACCACGGGCTTGACCCCGCAACGATCAACCCGGAGAACAGGCCTCCCCCCTTCCACTTTCCTCCGGCCCAATGGGACACATCTCTCAACCCTCAGTGGGAACACCCCACCGTCGAAGAAGAACTCTTCTGGGGAGGCCGAGCGCTGGCTAGAAACGAACCCGCACTCACCATGCACGCCATGCCCCCACAGGCCCCCTTCGGCGACCCCATCATCAACGAGTACATCAGGAACACCGAGTACCCCGACTTCAGCCGAGTCCCCCAGCCGCACTTCGGGCAGAACCCCTCCCTCGGACGAAGCATGGCTTTCCCAGCCTCCCTCCGCACCCTGCTGAACGACCCACTAACTGCGACCTCGGCGCCCGCACCACCGTCAGTCGGAGACCCCCAGGTGTACGGCGCCCCTCCGCCTCCGACCAACGGTCTAGCGGCCAGGAACCGCTCTGACAACCAGACGCCGACGCCTCGAAACCAAGGGCAGAAGCAAGACTACCCGAACGGTCTTGAACAGCCGATAGCGGCCCCAGTACGTGATAGTCATAAGCCTCCCCATCTAAAACTTACACGGGGAAACAGACGCCAAGGAGGCCGGACGCATACACGTACCACTCCCGACAGGCCACGCCGCTGCCACGACCACTAACTGCGCGACTCAGACCGTCTACCGTCGGGCTGAACCACGCCCGCCCGTCCTCCCGTGCCTCTGTCTTATCGTACGTCACGGCTCGCCCAGCGGCTCCCCACCAACCCGAGCAGGACGAGAACACCATGGACGTTGACGAGGAGCCGCGGGCCAACCCTACGGACCCCCCTGCTCCTCATAGTACCCTACCTAGCAGCCGGCCCGGTCGTCCAGCCCCCTCCCGCACTGTGCAGCAATTCCGCCGCCACCACCGCCTCCCGGTCAACAATGCCACCGCAGGCCCGTCCAACATCGGACCGCCTAGCGCCGGACCATCCAACGCCGGCCCGTCCAACGCAGCACCACCCAATCTCGCACCACCAGGGACAGCCCCGGTCCACTTCCGCTTCACCAACGAAGAAGTAAGGCACACCTTCGGCGACCCGGCGAGCGTCAGATACCACCGCCACGAGATCCCCGACCCCCCAATACACGCCCCCCAGAACGAACGTGCGAACGAGGACGATGTTGAAGAGGAGGACGAGGACGACGGCCAGGCAAATCTGCTGTACCAGGAATGGATGCCAGCCGCCGTTACCCCGGCGCCCCCCGGCGGCTGGAGGGCGATCCAAGGAGAGTCCTTCTACTTCAAACAAGACGGACAGTGCCAGAAGCAGGCCTCGAAGTGGCTGTCCAGCCCACGCCCGGGCCTCCTGGTCTCGTTCGCGGGCCACGGAGCACGTGACAACGACCCCGACAGCCTAGACAGGATAGTACGACTTCAGGACACCCTTAAGGAAGAGTACAACATCCCCAACCCGGAACTCTACCTTCCCGACGCCGACACCGCGGACGGACAGCCACCAAAGGACAACGAAGACCCCATCTATATCCTACTACAGGGCATCACCACAGTCCAACGAAGAACCCTTCTGAGGAAGAAGTGGCACGTCACTAAGGACCTCCAAGTACGCTTCGTCGACTTATCGCTGGCCCCCTCGACGTGGATGGGCTCCTTCGAAAAGAAGGCCGCCTTCGGCATAATGAAGGCAGAACAGATCCTCCCCCACTTCCGCGCCGGCTTCAGACGGGAGCCACTTCGCAGCCGTACGCTTGAAGCCATCAACCTCGACAAGGCGGCCGGCCCTCGAAGCAAATGGGGCGACCTCCCCGCCCTCGTCGCGCTTGAACTAACCATTAACTCCGCCTACATACGTATCATGCCACGAAAGACGACGGGAGGAGCCTCGGACCCGCTTATCCAGCTCTATTGTGAGTCCCCGACGTATCATCCCCGCGACTGGTATATCTGGCGTGAAGCTGTCCGCGAACAGCCCTTCTCCACGGAAAACGGCGCGAAGGCAGTCCTCCTCCGAAAGACCTTCAAATGCAAGCTATGCCACTCGGCCGACCACCCGGTCGGCCTCTGCGACCTGCCCACGGTCCCGGGATGGAACGGCCCCACAACCGATGAAGTCGCTAGCCGAGGGCGCCCGGAAACGTCGCGTAACGAAGGGAGAGCGCAGAGGGGACGAGGTGGACAACGCGGCCGAGGCAACCGCGGTCGAGGAGGCCGCGGCCAGGGCAGAGGCCAGGACACGGCGGATCGAGCGAGAACGGAAGGTACGCCGCGCATAACCCGCCGCTACAACGACGATGAAGGGTGGGCTCACTAGACGACCGATGACTATGCCACCATACCACATACAACAACCTGACCATATGCGATCCCATGCCCCACGTATGTAACAACTAGCTAACGCGAGCCCCACTCCTTGGCCCTCCACTATGTAACGTATATCACCATCTTGTACGAAAGATCAGCTACGATGCAACTCGCCCGCGCACGATGCAGTGTAAAGAAAGACGGTAAGATCAGCGAAGCGGAACCAACGACAAGACGACCCGAAAACAAACCAACTGACCGGCTGCTACTGACGGCGGAGCCCACATATACTGACCGTACGCGGGACAGGAAAGCCCACGCCAGTAGTAGACCTTCTCTCCCCACTCAGCGAGGGCTCTATTAGACTAGCCCGGCCTTAGTCTGGCGAAGCACGACCGCCGAGGCCTGACCAAAGCGCGTCTGCATGTCCCCTGAGGAGTCCAGGAGCGGCTCCCCCCGCCCGCGCATCGTTGTAGCGGGTGGTATGCATAACAACGGCCAACACACTTAACACCACACAACCACACACGGATGAATCACAGGCAAACGGCAACCCTCTCTACCACCGAGGAGACCCCTTCATGCCCCCTGTCCATGGAAGTATCGATGACGCGGAGGTAGAACACGGCGGCAGGGCGACCACTGAGGCAGGCCAAACGACCTCCCCCAGTGGCCGAACACCCCCAGAGAATCCTGCACGAACACCAGATCTAGACGAGCCCATCCCAAGCGAGGGCGACTCGCCACGAATACATGAGAGGCGACGCGGTAGAAAGACGAAAGCATCCATCTGCGTAGGCTCCCTCAATATGTGCGGACGAGGGAACCTCTCTGGAAACAATGGAAATAAATGGAACACGATCAACCAAGTACTCCGAGAAAAGAAACTGGGCGTCCTAGGCCTCCAAGAAACCCACCTGAACGCAGGAATGGTGGACGAGATCCACCGGCTGTACGGAAGACGCGTCCAACTCTTCAACTGCGAGGCAGAGAATGCGACTGCAGCCCAGGGCGTTGCTTTCGTCCTAAACAGAGAGTTAGTAGACACGCACAACGCAACAGTACAAGTAGTCATCCCAGGACGAGCCCTCCTGCTGAAGATGAGATGGCACAACGAGACCAACCTCACTATCCTCAACGTCTATGCCCCAAACAATACCGCCTCCAACACCTCCTTCTGGCGTAAACTAGAAGAACTCACGAGGGACGGCACGATTCCCCATGTAGATATCCTCCTTGGCGACTTCAACATAGTAGAAGAATCAATAGACCGGCTACCCGCGAAGCCCGACCCAACGAGTGCGGTGCAGTCGCTCCGCAAATTCCTGAGAGCCCAGAGGGTTGCGGACGGATGGAGATTAGCCGAACCGAACACCAAGGACTTCACCTTCCCCCAGAGAGGGAGCGAGCAGAGATCAAGGCTAGACAGAATATATGCATCCAACGAAATCCTCTCGAGGGCGCTCACATGGAACATCCTGTACACAGGTGTCCAAACCGATCATAGACTAGTCACAGCGAGCCTCACATCGGCCGCAGCACCATATATTGGAAAGGGCAGATGGTGCATGCCGGCCCACCTCCTCGAAGACGAAACCTATATATCCGACACGATTCGCAAAGGCGAAGCAGCATGGAACGAAATGAGACTTCACTCCGGCCCCAACCGTACCACGCAGAAGAACCCCCAAACCATCTTCAAAGCTTTCAAAGAAGCCGCTCGTCTCCTAGCTCGTGAAAGACTGCGAACTAAGACCCCCAAACTCGAAGCAGCAACCCGGAAGCTCCAGAAAGCGATAGACGATATAAGCGCACTTGATGACTTCCAAGACGACGAAATGAAACAAAGAGAAGTTAACGTCATACGAGACAGAATACTTTGTCTGGAACGGAAACGCCATAAGCTTGTACAGGCGTCGACAACTGCACGATATATACTGAATGCTGAAAGCCCTGGCAAATACTGGTCAGCTGTAAATAAAGAGCGGAAACCGAGAGACCTCTTCTACTCACTAAGGGACCCAACCTCTATCCTGCCTACGTTCGAGACGCGATCTGACAAAATGGCTGAGCTCGCCAGAGACTACCATGAATCCCTTCAACTGCTCGACATCGACAATGACGACGAAGCAAGACGTCTGTGGACCGCAACGACGAACCTCTCACTAGACCACGTCCAAACCGAACTACCAGACGAAGCCAAGGAGGAGCTCCAGATGGACCCATCCCGCGAGGAGATACTCGACTCCCTTAAAAAAGCAGGATCAGGAAAAGCCGCAGGTCTAGACGGACTAACCTACGAATTCTGGCTGAAACTCCATGATAAATGGGTAGGGAGCACATCAAAATCCCCGCACCGGCTAGACTGCCTCGACATGCTGAGAATCCTGTTCCTGGACATAGACCACCACGAAGTATGCGAAGAAACAAACTTCGCAGAGGGCTGGATGTGCCCGATATACAAGAAGAGCGACCGACGGGAGATATCAAATTACAGGCCAATAACCCTCCTCAACTCGGATTACAAGATCTATACGAGAACAGCCGCCACCAGGATCGCACGTTGGGCGACCAAAGTGATCCATCCAGACCAGGCGGGGTTCATCCCGGGACGTAGAATCACAGACCAAACGCAAATGTGCAAAGTCATGATAGACTATGCGGAAGCAGTAGAAGAAAACGGAGCGATAGTCGCCCTGGACCAAGAGAAAGCTTATGACAAAATCAGACACGACTACCTATGGAGAGTGCTGGAACGTTTCGGCTTCCCCCAGAAGCTAATAATGAGAATACGAAGACTATACGAGACAGCAACCACGGTGGTCATCATAAACGGAGAGAGAAGCTCCTCCTTCAGAGTAACCAGAGGCGTCAGGCAAGGAGACCCCCTCTCATGCCTCCTCTTTGACATAGCAATAGAACCGCTCGCATGCGCCCTACGGCGATCTAACCTTAGAGGCTTCATGATCCCAGGCCTCCTGGAAAGACTCATCGCAACCCTATTCGCAGACGACACCTCCACCTTCCTCTCCGAATCAGACTCATGGGACGATCTATGGACCATCCTCAACCAATGGTGCGAGGCCTCCGGGGCGAAGTTCAACGGAGGTAAGACGGAGATCATCCCAGTGGGAAGCGAGGAATATAGAAACCATGTACGGACGCATAGAAGAATAAACAGGTCGTCGCCAAGCAACAGCATACCGCCCGCAACACATATCGCCGAGGACGGAGAACCGGTCAGAATTCTAGGAGCATGGATCGGCAACAAGATCGACGAAGTGGCCGTCTGGACCCCCACGATACAAAAGATAGAGGTATTCCTAGAAAGATGGGGCCGATGCCACCCCTCACTAATGGGGAAGAAACACATCGTCCAGATGGGCCCCGGAGGCATGACCCAATACCTCACAACCGTGCAAGGCATGCCAAGCGAAATCGAAAAGACAATAACGAACATGATACGCACCTTCATATGGGATGATAGACCCCCTCCCGTAGCCATGGACGCCCTCTCTAAACCTCTCGAAGAAGGTGGAATAGGCCTCCTAGATGTCAAAGCGAGGAATGAGGCCATCGATCTTATGTGGGTAAAGAGATACCTCACCTTATCGGAAAATCGACCGAAATGGGCCTTTGCGGTGGATGTCCTCCTCAGTCTCCACGTCTCAAAGGACGCTGGAGCAATCAAGAAGAATGCCCAGATCAATACCTTCCTCCAAACGTGGAAACCGATGATACGCTCCCATCTGGACTACACCCCGATTCGTGGGGTATCGAGCTCACGCGCGCAGTTCACCGACTTAGACATTGCTCGACATTGGCCAGCACGCTACGACTACACTAAGAAGACTCTAGCGGAAGTCCCGTCCACCGAAGGGTCCAGTGTTACGACCACGACCTCGGAAACCTCCCCTACGACCGGCTGCGTCTCGAACAGGCTCGCCGACGTTAATGCCTCGCTCGCGCCCTCCCAGTTCGGCGACGCTCGTAGAGAGCGACCCGAGAACCCTACGAATCTCCTGCTGGTCCTCGCTCAGGCGGTGGACGGCGTTAGCCAAGTGATTGAAGTTGTCGGGCAAGCGGCGATACTCCGGCACATACAGTGGGTCGAGTTGGTACGCGACCGGAGCCAGAGGCTCGTCAATAGCCTCGCGATGCAGGACGGACTCCTCGGACCAGGCGATGGTCGGATAGGGTGCGCCCAACGAGTCGTGAGGCAGCTTGTAGCGCTGGAAGATCTCGTCGATGTAGTTCATGACCTCGACGACGTCGTTGAAGGAGTACGGCGATGGGACGGAGTTCGGGTCATCGGTGACCGCCTTGCAGTAGGACTCGAAGAGACCGCGCTGGAAAAGCCGGTGAGGATCTATCCCTGGCCGACGAAGGCGACAGAAGACCTACGAGCATCCAACGAACGCAGTTGGCCCACGACAGCCATTCGCCCCGAGATACGGGCAGGAGACGTGGCTCTACGGCGGCCTCACCCTTGATGACTTCGATCAAGCGGTAGTAGCGGGCGATGTGAGCTTCCGCGGTCGGTTCGACGCGTACGTTGGGCATGGTGGTGTTGGGGAAGAATCTGCAAGACAGCCTCGGTCGTATGGTCGCGGTGCTACGGCTAGCCAAGTACCGTTCGGGCGGTTGCCCGGGGCTAATCACGTTCAACAGGGCCCGAAGTCTTACGCCATGCTGGCGCATTCTGTGTGTGCTCGCCGGGCAAGTCGATAGCCGGTGTGCTGGCCTCTACGATTGGACAGCGCTCGTATCGTTCGACTCGGATCATTTATATGCACGTGTTTTCCTGTTTGTGTAGGCGTTGTTCTATCCTGTATATACTGCGGGGCGAGCCCCCTCGAATACCAGATACCCTTACCCTCTCAACTTGTCCGTTCGTCGTACGTCCGTCAGCAGTCAGTCCGTACGCAAGAAGTCAGTCAGTACGATCGTCAGTCCGTCAGAGTTCGTCAACGCCCCGAGTGGTGTCTCTACATCTCGTCCTGCCATCGCTTGCCTCGTCTAGTCCCTCGTCTCGTCGTCAAGTCATCGATTCGCTCGGTTCGCGACCGTGGTCTACTCGTCTCGAAGCGTCCGCTGCCTTGTCGTAGAAGCAGATCGGGCCTGTGCGAAGCCTTGCCGACCTCGCTCCTTCCACTATCGACCATCGTACCATCTCGGTACACCCTCCTAGCCACTAGGTCTCGCATATCGTTGCTCGCCCTTCGTCGGGTGTGTTGTGTGTGGCCTTTGTGGTTCTTTCGGTCACATCACCGACTACGAGAGGCAAGGCAAAGCTCCCCGGATACCTCTGTCGAATGTTAACCACAGCGAAAAGGTATAATGTGAGCTTCGCCGCGGTCAAACTCGATAACCAGATGAAGAAATCCTTACCCATCTGGTACCACCTCGGAGCAACCAAGAAACTTAGACGTCTAAACAACACAAACGTCAGCAACTGTCTCCGGGATAAACACGGGATAACGTATGTGGCGGATCTCCTCGCCCCGACAAGACGAGCGTGCTATATCGAGGCACTTAGAGTATCCAACGACTTCCTGCCGACCTCCTGCATATGCACGGACTGCGAACGGGACAAGGCCCACGGATGCAAGCACCCCCTAAGATGCTGCAGAGGGGCCGCGGAACTACTCGCCCAAGTCCGCCCCAAGTGGAACCCAACCACGGATACTACGCCAGACGGACTGTCTCTGACAAGGAACAGGAAAACCGCGAACCAAAAGGCCATCCAGGAGAACGGAGATGTCCTCTTCGACCCGTCACTAACAACAAGAGGCCCCTTGGAAGAGGCCTTCCGAGTGTTCGTGAATCCAGACACCCACGACAACCCACCAGCAATCCGAGAGAGAAGAGGACGCATAGTGAACGACGGGGAAGTCACGGCATACGTACACGGACAGCTACGAAAGTCCCACATCCCCCAAGAAGCCCTGCGTCGCCAACAAAACGCCGGCTTCGTAGCCTACGCCGGAGAGAACGTCAGATGCATCTGGGTCAAACCAATAGAACCCCTTGAGAAGGAGACGGGGAGGCGCGGCGAGATCCTAGCAGCAATCAAGGCCGCCGCCGACACCCCAGGCGACGTCCCGCTCAGGATAGTATGCCCCTCCCGCAGACTGGTAGCAGACCTCACATCCCGCCTCCCCAAATGGGAAAACAGAGGCTGGCTCGGAGTCGCTGACGCACAAGCCCTAAGAACGCTCATAAATCTGCTCCGCCAAAGATGCGCCCCCACCATACTGGCCGAGGCGAAAGGCGATAAAGACCTCCGCCTAGCGAACGATGCAGTCGACATGGCAAAAGACCTGATCAGACGAGATGAACCCACCCATCTCGCCATCGCCCCAAACCCAACGTTCAACCTCTCAGGGGCGAAGCTAGGCGCCCTCACCCAAGCAGTCGCCTACAGGGGAATAAGGAAGGCTAGGAAAGCGGCCGACAGGCCGAGAACCAGATTAACCGTAGAGAACATATTGACCCACCTCGACCGGAGAGGCACCCTCGACGTCCAAGAAGCGACCCTCTGGAGGAGCCTACGGAGCCGCGACATCCACAGGAAGATCACCGACTTCCTGTGGAAAAGCATACACGGGACACACCGAATAGGCAGCTTCTGGACCCACATCCCAGGATACGAGGAGCGAGCAACATGCACCATATGTGGAGTCGAAGAAACGATGGAGCACATACTAACACGTTGCAGAGCAAACGGACGGAAGGAAGTCTGGGCCCTCACCAGAGCACTCTGGGAGAAGAAAGGACAGTCATGGCGAAACCTGAAAATAGAAGACATACTATCGGCCGGGATGGGCCTGTATCCATGTCCGAACCCGACGAAGAGACGAGAGCCACTGGCAAGACTATGGCGGACCATTGTACCTGAAGCCGCATACCTCATCTGGAAGCTGCGATGTGAGAGGACAATCGGACACGCGGACGAAGACGGATGGAGACATACCAAGAGAGAAATAACCAGAAGATGGTACGCATCGGTTAACAGGCGTCTGCAACTCGACCTGCTAGCAATGAATAGACGCTTCGGTCACCTCGCAAAGAACAGGCAAACGGTCCGAGCGACCTGGACCGGAATAATCGGAGACGAACTAGGCTGGCAAGATGACTGGACGCGAGTCCCATGGGTTTTAGTGGGTATTGACCCGGGTATCTGCGCTGTCGTAGACCCCGGATAAGTCCGAGCCCCACACTGACCTAACCGGTCGTGCGTAAAATGCATTTTGTCCCTGGAGCACCGGCAGGCCCAGGCCTGCCCGCTGGCTGGATCGGAGGGCTGACCAATAGTCAGCTGCGACGACCCACATAGAGCCTTCCAAAAAAAAAAAAAAAAAAAATGCTCCGAAAGGGAGTCTCGGGCGATGGCCATGCCTGATACTCGACAGAGTTGGAAGCAGACCCATAGCATAACCGAAGGATCCGAGTTACCACATTCTCGTTAGCACGAAAGTTGGGTGGTTGAGCTTACAATGCGCGTTTTAGGAACCTCCGACTTGACCCGAGCGGGCATTTGACATTGACGATATACGTGAACTATGCGATATCACTATAGTACCCAGGGTCTAGCACCACGAATCGTATCCCCATGAGGCTCTCGACAACGGCCGCCATGTCTCCAGGGAATTGAGAACAGTTGCTGCACGTCGCAGCCACCAATCAATTCTCGGTCTGTGGTCGCGTTTCCACATAACCACTGGGTCCCAAAGCGTATGTTTCATCCTCGGTACTTGTACGTGTAGACGATGTACCCAGCCTGTCGTCACGGTCATCATCTCAGGCTGACATATGAGCGTTAGATCCAGGATAAACATGTGCAACGCATCGCTCCTTTGGCCCAGCGTGCCGCTTTGCGTGTATTATGATGGGCAGGTCAATGACCGGCATTCTGTCTCCGAGCGCAAATATGTAGTGGACCAGCCCGATGGCGCAAGGACGCTGCGCGGCCACAGCAACAACAAGCTCGAGATGCACGGCGGTAGCCCCGGGTGCGTCTGCCGCCGGCGCGGACGCTCGTCGCAAACGCTCGGCCTCAGGGCGTCATCTCCAGTGATAGGTGAGCTCGACTTAATGAGTGTAGTGGCTCACTGGCACTGGTATCAACAGCTGTCGCGGCGATGCGTAGCCTTGCGTAGCACGCTCCGCGTCTGCGCGAGGTGCAGTGTACGCCACGCATCCGGTGTGTCTACATTCTTTTACATCTGTCGCGACTGCCACCCATGTCGTAGGATGGACATCCGTAGCTATCTGGTCACGCCTTTCCGAGTCGCCGGTCTATGTACGCATTGCTCAGTGAGATATTGCTTCCTATACCGTGCACCTCTATGTCCGCGGCCCGGGCGATGATATCCTACGAGCGCCCCGGATAGCTGTCACGACGCCAGCAGGATCCAGACAAGTCGTGGCCGCATCGCCTTGTTCGCCCAGATTTTGATCCTTGGCGCGCCACTGCATCCGCCGACGAAGGAGAAACGCGCCAGACAGGCCGTCTCCCGCGGCGTGCTTAGCGTCACAGTGGCGGACTTGATTTGTATGTGCATCATAGTGCGAACAAAACGTATGTGGTAAACTGCCGCCCTGCAATTTGGAAATGCCTCTGACATCTGCGAGCCTCGTCATCGGCAGAGACAGCCGTAAAGTTTCAGCGTCATTAATTCACTCACGGCTACTCAAGCGGTGGACCCTGTCCAGGAACGGTACTGCATCCGAGGCGAATTGGCTAAGCGCGATACCTGTCTTGACAATTGGGTATATCGTGAGTGTATTGAGAACCACAAAGGCACAAGTTATCAAGTCATATAACCGCCTCAGACCCTTTTATACATTCTTTCATACTTCGACGAACCCTCCTCCGTGACCTCCCCCCATCGCCTACCGTATACAGTACACACTATAAAGCACAGCTGCAACGTACTCCATGGATAAATAATGCTGCGACTGTCCAATACCACATGGCGTGTGTATAACCGGAACGCGTGTATGAAAGGAGAAAGCAACGAGAGCATCCAGTACATATATATGACGTGCTCCAGGCCAAGATGTGACACGAGAGACAAGTTCGCGGACGATGGAATGATGATGCGTACGTCGACAAGATTGTTTACAAAGTTCGGCATGTCCGTGATGCGAGAGCAAGAACGGTTTTCGGTTTGCTTACTTCCGGATACGGAGGACGTCGCCCTCCAAGACGAAGTGTCCACGTGCCTGCAACGCCATCGCCGCCTTCGTCACTTCAGCGGTGTCAAAATCCTCGTGTTTGTCGGGCGGCATGGCTGCGTTGAGGAATGTGACAAGCGCGGCGATGGTCAGCTCGTCAGTCGACTCATATGTCGCACTGAAGAGGTGCGTCACCGCACGAAGGGTGTACTCCAGCCTGCGATGAAGCAAGTCAGCCAAACGTTCGTCGAGAGAGCTTGACAACATACCTCCCCTTGGGTGTTTGAAGGTCGGCCAGGCGAACAGGAAAACGGTCAACTTCCATCCTGTCGGTCCACGGACCTTCTGACCCATCGATGGTCGATGAGGAGGAACCCCGAGGGCCCGCGCCCGGCCTCACGAGGGCTCGAATGGTCGGGCTCGCTGCACTCTGTCCTTCGTTTGCCTCACGACGCACCGTCCAATGCAACGTCCTTTCCCCGTCGTCCGTGGACTCCACGCCTTCCTCTGATTCAGCATCACCAGGTACGCTTCCCCCTTCGAATCGCATGACGATGTTGGAGGGCCCAGTTGAGGTAGAATGACTACTGAATGGTCTCAGCTCGCCGTTCTTCTGGGAATGTACCTGCCTGTGTAGACAAGCTTCTCAGCAAATGGGGCCACTTCCTTAGCCATATGTACATACTGTCGCTTCAAACATTTCTCCCGATGTTGCTCCCAAGGGTAAGAACAGTATGTGCTGTCCTGTCGGAGCTGCACCCATTTATGGCACATAGTACAGAATACGCGGGTAGGCTGGACTTCGCCGACCAGAGGGTCGGCGCGCAGCTGCGCAGCACGTTGCTCCGCAGTCCGACGACGAGACTCCTGGTTCGTTGAGTTGTAGTCCTTGAACGACGTCGTGGGAGGGGTTGTGGTCGAATCACTGGAAGACGAATAGGACGCTGCCCCGTTAACCGGTGAAGGAACGGGAGGGGGAAGAGAGGACGAAGATGCCAAAGCCAGCAAATGCTTCGGCGGCGGCGGCACATTCTGAAGGGCAGGATTGGGGGCAACACTGTTCCATCGATGTAAATTAGATGTAGCAACTAGGATCGCGACAAGCCACATACCTCATAACGAGGCCACTGCTCCCTTGACCGTAGAAAACGTTGCGTTGGCAGGAAGCGCGGTGCCCCGCCCATAGTTTGGCAGCTTGCTCGTTGTTGACGACGCCGATGGCGACCCAGCCTTCGCAGTTCCTGCACAACACGCGCTCGGAGTCGAACTTGCGAACGTTGGGATCTGCAGCAAAGATGGCACCACGATCGTCGCATACAGTCTTAGCGCCGCCCGGGAAGTATTTACTGAGCCATACATCGGTTAGCAGTTGACGAAGACGACACCACGACTCACGCCTTTTTCGCTAGACAGCTCTTACGGTGGGCGTCCCAAGGTATAGAGCAGTATGTCGAGTTCGGTCGAAGCCGGATCCACTTGTCACAACATGCGCATAACACGCGATATGCCTCGAATTGAGCGACGTAAGGGTCGCTGCGCAGATATTCGATGCGCTCTTCTTCAGTTCGCTTTGATCGGCGGCGCTTTGCCTGGGGTTCAGAGTCAAATGAAACGTCTGCTGACTGCTTCGCCTGTGCCGACTGTGCCAAGGGGTGGGCTATTTGTGGCTGCGAACTACTCGGGCTAAAAGGGTATCCGCATCAGCCTGTGAGAGCATGGTGTTTATCTTGACTAACCAGTTGAGTCGGTGCGCTTCCCAAAGTTGAAGAGTGAAGCCGCCCGTGGCCTCGTCTCTGAACGAGACTTCGTCGCCGCATCCTTCGCACTTGACGCGACCAGTCTCGTATTCATTTTTGGGTGGTCGAGTTTCACTGTCATCGCTGGGAGCCTCAGAAGAATCCCTCGGTGCATTGCTCGCGTCGGGTTTTGCTTCTTGCGAATGGTGTGCCTTCCGCTTTTGCGGTGTGCTGCGATACATAGCACGGTCAGATCGTGTTCACAAGCGATGTAGGTCACGTACATTGCAGGTGGAGACATCGTCTCGGTCATCGCCTGGAAGGGAAGAGAGAAGCTGATAATAAGTTCGGATTACGATTTGCGCCACCGGCACGCGCTCTCACTTTCTGACTATCGCGATCTGAGCGAGGCCACGCAGAACGAGTACTCTACTCAGCGGCAGGGCCAAGGAGGGTACGCGACGCCGCGGCGGGATCAGGGATGGTGGTCAGAAGGAAGAGGCCTAGGGTTGACGTGAACGATGAGATATAATATATGCCTTCACGACAAAGAAGCGACAACATTGAATTGAAAATTCCGGAATTCCGGAAAACAGAAAGAACAACATTCCCAGGACTAAGATCAAATCAAAATGCCACCGAACAAGCTGTTCCTCGTCCAAATATGGGAACCCTCCTGATTCAAGATCGAGACCATGTGGTCTCTGTGCCACCCCGGCCATTTGTTTTCCTCTCCAATGTCTCGCTAGCCAAATTTGTCGCGTTTCGCAACGGTCGCAGCGGCGATGCCTCGTCGTCGCGACCCTGCCGTCCACAAGCCCGCCGCTTGGCGGATTGCCAGAAATAGTCACCACGGCCATGAAGCGCCCGGTCGATAAGTTAAATTGAACACCAGAAGGGCAAGGAACTGCCTAGCTCAAGCTCTTCATTCATCGCAGTTCCGGCCACCACCGTCGCTGTGGTACTTCCCGTCTACCCAAAACCGTGATCTGCCCAGTCTGGCGGGGCTTCCGTCGCGGCGTCACGATCCAATCTGCACACAGTGATGTCCATTCGCGTTCGCGCATGCGCCATTCGCGCAAGGCGAAAACCACCGGACAACATCGGGCCACCTACCCGCTGAACCCCAGGCGCGCCGATATAGTGAGTCTTAGTGGAAGAAACGCTGTCGGGCAGCATCTCTTCGGAGGTTCGCCACAATTGACATCAGTGACAGCTGTCATAGCGTCAGCATCGGTGACTGCAATGAGCTGGGTGTAGCGACGCGGCCAAGAAGCCCGAGTGTTGTGCTGGAACATCTGCTATGTCAAACGGACAGCATTAGCAATGAAGACCGTCATGGGTGTGCGGACGATACTGAGACGCAATTGCCACTTTTAGTGGACTCGCTGTGGTCCAACTTGCTTCCATAAGTTATCATCCAGAGTTAAGTGTCAACATGTCCGACGGTCTCTATTCTCTGGGCGTCCTGGGTTACGACGATCAGTTCTTACCGTGTCATTCAAGACAACTTCGCATCGTGGATCTCAGCTCGAGTTCTATCCTACAGATCATTCAGTAGAGTGGCTTCCTTCCTTCATACGCCGCCGGAGCAAATCGAACAATGTTCCGGTACGTGTGCTGCCAAGTTCGTCATGTCATGACGATCAGTCCACCCGAGGAAATCATGAAACTGGATATACACGTCGGCTCAAACCCTGCCGTAGCCCCCTTCCTCCAAGAAGGTCTTGGATCTCTTGACTATGTTGCTCAATGCATCGAGCCACTTCGTGAGCTCGACGTCGAACTTCTCGTGCGATCCTCCTTGGGTCAAGCGATTGTAGAAATCTTGACGATGCGGAATGGCGAGCATCGCTACCTAGTAATTCATTCGGTGTGGCGTGGACGATGGATAGATAGAAGCACGGGGACATGAACGGGTGTCCGACAATCAGATAGAATCAGGCGCGGACACGAATATAGACACGTACTGTAACAGCCGACCGAACAATGAACGTGTGGTGGTGCTTCAAGACAACATCATATGACCGCCTGAAGCAGACATGAAGTTCCGTCGACTTATCGCTCTGCATGTTCTGCAGTGCCTGACATGTGAACAGAAGACCGCTGTATATGTCAAAGACGAGTGAGATTACATACATGTGAATCCACGGCCACGCCGAGATGTCAGGACGGGAAAACATAGCTTACCGTATGAGCCGCACGAGACAGGGAACTGACTGTCTTTCTTTGTCTTCAGTCGCGCATATTACGAGCTTCTCGAGGGTCGTCGACCGCGAGGGTGTTGCTTCGTATCGAGTGCGTACACCCTGTAGTGAATCATCAGTCAAATACAGGTCGCATGGTTTGCCGTCGTCAAAACTGACAGCGAGGTTTCCCCTCAAGTCCGATTGAACAAAGCCGAAGATTCCATGGCCCAGTAGATCTGTGGGGTTTACGAATCATCAAGTATGCCATTAGTGGTGCAGATGCGTCGCCATACCGAACAAATTGAGGAAGTCTGTGGTCGCCAAGAGAAAGGACGCCGTCTCGACCCCATCTTCCGTAATCGGGACGTCAGCGAAAGACTAGAGGCGGTCAGTTGCTCTGAGACAGAAGAACAGTCGAGATAGAAAATGCACCTTTGCTGTTTCGAACAAAGGCGCCATGGCAAAACAACTCTGGAGTCTAGTAGGGTGGGTATCGTCAAGCAACGGGAGAGTCTAGATGGTAAGAAAGGTCGCCTGTAAGCAACGCATACTCCACTGGTCAAGCAATGTGGTAGACGACAAGCAACCTGCAGGCCATGTTGTACGCACGCTTTTCATAAACACGCCCTGGGAGTCGCTGGAGCTTCTACGGCAAACCCCGCAAGTCGTGGCCTCCTGCCTCTAGAGTTAACTCGACTGGGTGGTCTTATGTCTTCCCACAGAGTGAGCCCGCTCAGATTCCGTGTTTGCTGTTAGTGAACAGCCTGGATGTATGCGAGGGTAGCGCGCTGCGTCTACTATAAGTTCCGGTCCATGCAGAGCGTCAGTAACGCCGAGTGTCTAGTACCGTGAGGTGGGCGTCTGCGATTCTAAACGTGGTTGCTGTTTATCAGTATTTGTTCTCTTGCACCACGGTCTCGTTGAGTCCTAGACACCGGGAACATTGCACCTTCGTATGAACAGGAATCGCTCGCGGCCCTGGATAGTGTGCAACGGGAATGTGGACTCCAACAACACCGGGTAACTTCATCAGCGTCTTCAGGCCACACCAGGCTCTGACCAGTCGTCTTTCGCGACCCACTATTGCCTTCTTTGTCAAGGCGAACATCATGGTGCCGCATGTCGTTGACATGCCCTCGTCGGTCGTGCTCCTGTGCGACCATGTCTCCTGACATTCGCCGCTGACGACGCGGATAACGTCCGCTCCCCAGGCCTCTGATCGTCTTCCAAACAGCCCGGATCAGCACACAAACATCTGTACTATATCACAGCACTGCCAGACACGCCATGGCCCGCGTATATACCGACGTAAATGCAGTTCTCGGACCTGCGTGGTACGAGTTTGGTCCGTCGGTTTGCGCTTCCTGTCCACAGCCGGTGTTTGATGAACATATGGATCTTTCGCAGAGAGCACGAAGATAGAGTGGAACGTGCCAGATCGTTACGAGATCACTCGGCGGATCGGCGGTGGCAAGTATTCCGATGTGAGCTTCAATCCAGTGTAGACGGTGACCGCTCAGTGACAACTTCCTGCTACGCCATGTAGGTCTTTGAAGGCGTCGACTCGTCGAACGAGGAGATTGTCGTCATCAAAGTGCTCAAGCCGGTAGCGAAGAGAAAGATCAAGCGGGAGATCAAGATTCTTCGCAACCTCTCTGGTGGCCCCAACATTGTCGGCCTGGTGGACGTCGTGCGCGACTTTGCCTCACGATCCCATAGCTTGGTCATGGAGTATGTCAGAAACGCGGACTGGAGGGACATATACCGTTCCTTGACCGAACTAGAAATCAAGCAATATCTGTTCCAGCTACTGAGGGTACGTAGCTACTCGCAGGTGTCGTGGTGCCACTCACACTCGCCACCCAGGCTCTGGACTTTGCGCACTCCCGCGGAATCATGCATCGCGATGTCAAGCCGGGCAACATTATGTATGATCGCGAACAACGCAAGGTATGTCGGTCCAATGACAAGAGGTCGCAGTAGCTGACCACCTCGTGCTAGCTAAGACTCATTGACTGGGGTCTGGCCGAGTTCTACCACCCGGGCACGGAATACCCTCCACGAGTTGGCTCGAGATATTGGAAGGGCCCAGAATTGCTCGTCAGCCACAGGACATACGACTACAGCCTTGATTTATGGAGCGTAGGCTGTATCCTCGCTGCGCTGGTGTGTGTCTCCCAAGCCCTTGTCTCGCTTAGTGTCTGATTGATTCTGTTCGACAGGTGTTCCGCAAGGAGGCCTTCTTCCGTGGCAGAGATAACGAAGATCAGCTACTGAAGATCGTGAAAGTGCTCGGCACAGACAGCTTCGAACAGTACTTGTTTACCTACAACCTCTGCCTTACGAACGTGAGCGACGAACTCGTGCAGCAGTACGTCACGGCTCCTCGTCCTCTGACGTGATACTGAGACGCGTATCCAGACATGCCAGACTGCCTTGGTCACGTTTCGTAACGGCAGAGAACCGAACTGCAGCAACGCCGGAGGCCCTCGACCTGCTCGACAAGTTACTACGATATGATCACCGAGAACGACTGACAGCGGCCGAAGCGATGGCGCATACTTATTTCAGTAAGATCGTCTTTCTCGATCAACCTTGATCTGGCTAACCCATCATTCGGCGACCTGCAGATGTTGTACGACTGCAGACTCCGTCAAACCCTGCGGAGTGCTTCAGCGACTCCGGCTTCTACTCGACTTGAAGACCGGGGCGCCGCGGTGCGGCGCTTCCTAGGACTTTTTCCCGCTGTACCACTAGATTACTCATCGTGTGCTGAACGGATCATGTTACCGCAGCTCAACCGCTCTGTATTGACTCGAAATGAATTGTTCCTGGCGAAGAGCCTGACACTCACCCTGCCCCGGCTCCGTAGCCACAGGACGACAAGTTGTGAATACTCAGAACCCACGGAGCCTCAATGTTGTTACGTGCGTGATTCTAGGCTCAGACGAAGTGAGAAAGACTGGCGAGCCGCATTTCACGGAAACCGAAGAGAAGTTGTGGGGAGTTGAGTAGTCGTCCACATGTATATTTGCGTACTGTCGAGATCACACGAACGTCTAGGACATAGCGTAAGTGAATACTGGAGACATACATAGACCAAGCACGGGAAGACCTAGAAGACCGTCCACATCTTCACCGCCGATGTCCTTCATATCATGTGTGGAGACACTACAGGTTGATAAAGTTAGGACATCCCTAAGTAGCTGGAACGTGTCTTCGGTGAGGCTGATCCAGCGTCCTCGGAGATCGCCCAGGCCAGGGAATGGAAGTAGAGAGGGACGTAGCCGTAAGTCGTTGCTAAGTATGCTTGTCCCAACTGAGCATCCACTCATGGGATCCCGGACGCTTACCTCTCCCGTGAAAAGAGCCAGGCTTGGGCACCGCGCGGCCGGTCTGAAGCAGACTTATACGGGCTAGTTCTGGGCTAGTTGGAGGTAGCGCTTGTTATGATGATGATGGGGTGACGCAAACCGGCAGCGGTGATTATAGGCTCTTCGGTGTCCCAACCACACGGCTGCTTCTATATTGTCGCCTCAGATACGGTGAGTGTTGTTTCTTTACGTCGAAATGTCCATCATGACAAACCAGCGTGACGAGGACGGCCTACGCAAGGGCACAACGCCCAGCGAAGCATGCGATTATTTCGGACACTCTGGGTTGGGACGCCGACGCCCTGTGCTTCTAGGCAGTTGTCCGGTTCCTGTGGACTTGCAGGGCTCAGCGTGGACTGAAAACCATTCCGTCATCCATCCTTTCGAGGGCGTTTTAAACCCACAGCCGACCTGGCCTCCCTACCCGGATCAACACTTGAGCCTAGTACGCAGAAGCCCGAAGTGGTCCTGATATGAGAGTGCGGGATAGAACGGCCACTGTACTCGGGATATTAGTCAGGAGAAGATTGGGGGAAGATGAAACCACCGCTGACCTATCCAGAGCAACAGTCGCCCGACATATCTCTAAGTGCGTTCCCTGTCAAATTGCCGTCAGCGACGAAGCTCCGTATGCAACCGGGAATACGACGAATGTCCAGCTTGTTCAAAGCTGCATTGCGACTGGCGACCGGTGCCCGTATGCCGCAAGCGATGTGCATGAGGACGAGTTATGGCGGAATGCATTGCAACATGTACAGAGAGCGTGGAGACGGGAGATCAGCGTAGAAGACGGAGGCAGTCGGTGATGGGATATGTGGGACGATTTGGGGACCGGATGGGAAGTACACATGCTGGGAACACATGGCTGAGTTTCTCAGGAACGTCAAGGCGGCCCCAGATCAGAGGCTCGCTTCGCGTGCTGGCTAGACCGAGACGGTGTGGCCGGCGGGAAGATTAACGTTTGGCGAGGATGGGAGGATGATGGGGGGCAGACGGGGGCGTATAAGTTGCAGTATATAAGGGATTCGGCGGGCGACCTTGGCTGGAGCCGTCCGTTCATCGCTCGACCCGAGTGATTGTGCCTCCGTCCCGATCTGAGATCTGCGATTGTTGGCTTCATTTCACGCGCCCTGTGTCTCCACACCGCCGGTCCTCCTACTTCATGCCCGCAGACCCACCCGTGAAGCACAACCCCGCCGCCCGCCAGCGTCGCACTGCGCGCAAGGAAAGCGAGGACCTCAAGTCCGAGGGCGGCACCTATGCACGCGAAATAGAGCTCAAGCGCAGCAGAGGCGAGATCTCATGCGCCGAATGTCGCAGGTGCGATCACCGCGTTCCCTTCACCCATACCGCGGCCACCTCATTGACTTGTTCACATCCCGACCAGGCTTAAGGTACGCGTCTACGCAATCCAGACCACCCCTCTACGGACAGACCCCCTGAATGTGACCTCTAGATTCGCTGTGACAAGACCATCCCATGCCAGTCGTGCCAGGTGCGGGAGCGCTCGGTTTGCTGTGGTAAGATAGGAGACTTACATTGGGCGTAGCGGAGAGGATGTGCAGCGTTATGTCCGAATGGTGCGTGACCTAGCACAAGACGAGATAGTAGGGAGTCTGACATACCACAGGGAGCCTTGCAACTGGCCAAGGCACTCGGTCAGACACTCGTGCTACAGCCGCTGAGCCATCCCTAACCCGTCTGTGGCAGGTTCGTTCTTGCTGCGACAGAACACCTGCATCGCCGAATAGCGAAGATGAGCGAGAGGATAAGGGAGCTGGAGGATGCACTCACGATCGTTCAAGCGAAGTGTAGCGACCAGCCCCATCCGCTGCTATCGGAAGGAGATGCCCACCTAGTGAAGCAGGACTCACCCATGGCAGAACAAATACCGAGCGGCTCGCGGAACATGATAGACTCCTTCGGGATGTTGTCCCTATCGGACCATGGTGCCTCGTCTACCTTCTTCGGTCCCACGGGAGGCTCAGAGGTGAGTGCCGTGATACAAGGTTTGCCGTCTGGTGCTGATTCGTCATGCAGTACCTCCTGGTCGTAAGTTGCTATCCCTCTGGTCTCCCTCCGAGGCTCACTGATCGCGACCTAGGACGACCGCGACCCGTTAAAATCCACTTGGGACGGCAGTGACCCAACCGAGTCCCCGCGCACCTCCAAAAGCCCTCCAATATCGGCCCGCATCTTGCGTGCCTCTGATTCATTCCCATTCCCGTTCGTCGGGCCGTCTTCGGAGGTCCACGAGCTCCTGTTGGAGCATCTGCCCTCTCACGAGCGGGCGCGCCATCTGGCGGAGGTGTACGTTGAACACGCAGCATGGCTGTTCAGGGGCGTCACAAGAGAACAGATCCTGGACGAGATGGTGCCCTTCGTATATGGCCAACCTATCGAGACAGAAGACGGCACGCCAGTCGAATACAGCAACCCTCACGACCTTGCGCTTCTATACGTAGTTTTTGCCATCGGCTGTCTAGTAGACTTCAACCAGGAACCTGGGAGCACGGAAGCTGCGGGGTACGAGCAGCTCGCTCGCGCGGCTATGAGCCTGAAGTCTGTATGGGTCAAGCCGTCCTTAACAACTGTCCAGACACTCCACTTGCTCAGCATCTATAATGGCATGGCTGAGGATGAATCGAGGCCCGATAGCATGTCAATGGAGATATCATGGGGTGAATTAGCACTGGCCGCTCAAGTCTGTCAAATTGTAAGTCATGTTGCTGCTAATTAGTGGTTGTACTGATGTTCGTTCTCGTCAGCTTGGCCTTCGTATGTATTCGCTTCTTATGTCCTCGATGTCTACTGACTTGCTGTAGACCGGGATAGTTCGAAATGGGGCCTACCTGAGAAGATAGTCTATCGACGTCGTCTCTTATTTTGGAACATTTTTGAGGCGGACGCCTGGCAGGTACGTGGTGCAGTCTGTGAGACCACATTGAATCCGACGATTGTACACTCAGGCCATGGGTACGGGTCGACCACCGTGTTTCAGCCGTGGTTATGTTGATTGCCAGGCTGCAATGGCACAAGATCTCATGGAAAGGGACGATATGGACACAGTCTGTGAGTTCTCCTGGGTTTGCTGCCGCTGAGCTAATTGAGCAGCTACTGACTATGAAGTTCAGTCGAGGAGTTCTTCATGCGATTCTCGTACGAGTGCGTCGCCGAAGTCGCCATGAAGACTCTCGCAGCGGAGCCGCCGACCTACGAGACGATCATGGAGTTGGATCGACACGTTCGCGACTTCCCAATACCGCCGGAGGCAGTAGCCGTTCTGGAAGACTTGGCTCCCCCACCCGATGCCGAGCCACCCACGGTCATCCACTCAATGGAAACAATGGTGATGGCTCATAGTCGCGAAGTCTGTGAGTCAATCTTAGCTGCCACGTTGGGTTGACTCACAAAAGATTACTCGGGCCAGTGTTGATGTACATCCACCGGACGTTCTTCGCGCAGGCCATTGTGGACTGCCCAACGAACCCAGTCAAGAGCGAATACGCCCATTCCTTTCTGACCGCGTACAGGGCGGCGGTCGTCGTGCTCAAGACCGTCAAGCAGCAGTTTGGCATGTACCCGGGTTTGTGTGCGCGGATCTGGCCAATATGGACGTATGCTTTCTCAGCAGCTGTGTGTGCCCCTTTACCCCGTGTTGCGGACTCAGTTGACCCTGCGACAGGTTATCTTTGGCATGGTGGTCACTCGTGGGCCAAGGTCGCCACAAGCGCAACAAGCCATGTCTAATCTGGAGCTTGCCTGCGACATGTTTGCACAGGCATCCCAGCACAGCCGCCGAGCCGCTAGAGCCAATGTGAGTCTTTACCATGGTCTATATCTGTTCCTGACTGACGGCTGGGACAGAGCGTCATCGTGAAGCTGCGGGAAAGGGCTCTGTCCTCTCTGGCCGCTGCTAGAGGTACTTCACTGGCAGTGCCTGTCCCTGGGGGCTCCGGCTACGATGGCAAGGGCTTCGAGCAACAAGACGAGCTGGAGATCTTTGCCGGTCGGAGGACCGTTTCTGCTTCGAGCGCGCCCAGACGCGCTTCTCTGTCACCGGCGCGCCCAGGCCTGTCTGTGCAGACAGGACAGATGGCTTCTCCGTCATCAGCTGATTCCCTGGCCTCCCATGCATCATTTCTGCCCCCTCCGCATCAGCAAAACGCCGTCCCGCCATACTCGATGCCCGGTCCCTCCGATATGGGTGGCTGGACCTTGCAGCAGCAACAGCAACAGCAGCAGCAGGTCCCTATGGCGTCGTATCCTCCTCACTCTGACCAGTGGTACCGCCAAGATGCATACCCTCAGCCGCACACAGCTCAAGGCGCCTCCTGGGCTGGCACATCCCAAAATCCTCCTCATGCCTCCATGCCGCAGCAGCAGCATGGGAGTGATATGATGCAATCGTACCAAAACCACCCGCAACTTGGCGGCAGTGTGCAAAACTTCCGTCATCCAGGTCATGTCTACCCGGGTCCGGCCACATATCAGGGAGTTCACACGCCATATGAGCCTCCGCCAGAGCTGGTCAACCTCGGGCTTGCTTCTCGGGAAGGAAACCTTGACGCGAGGTGGACGTCCCTCATGCATGAGTCCGGCTTCCTGGACGACGTCAACTTCAGGACTTGAGTAGATGCTCCCAAACGATCTGCGTGTATTCGTGTGGTCTAGGGTCTTCCGGGGTTGGAGTGTCTCTAGACAATTTCTCTGTCTTTCTCTCTTCACGGGATTCTGGCGGACATTCGTTGGAAATGGACTGTACTCTGTACTCGTCGGTCACTGTAGTAATGTTGTACGATCGCTTTCGATGATATCCATTCGATTCGCAACTGCTAAGTGCACCGCTCAAGCACTACTTCTTACAAAGAACCTGACCAATATTTGTTCGGGACAGTTGACCTCCCACATCGGACCCCACCTTGATGCCACCGGTCCCAAGCCGGTCCTCTAACGCTTACATCCTCGAGGCGGCAGAAACATTCACTCTCAGCCAATCGGAGTGTGTCGGAAATCAAATTCCGGCAACTTTGGGCCAATGAGAATCATAGATTTAACCTGCCGAGGGGTGTTGCCGACACCCGCTCGGTCGGACTTGCCACATGCTCCTGTGACCCGGGACTCGGGCGAGCAAGTCATGCAGAGTACGAAATGAGCTCCTTTGCATCCCGCTTGCATCCGTACCATCATCCCCGTACGTAACGACCAGGCGATCCCCAACGCAGACGAGGGCGGTGCAGCTCACTCCAGAGGACGACATATACCTCTAGATACCTAACCTATGCCGGCCGAGCGAACAGAGACCAGGAAAGCAGCGGCCAGAAAATTGAGTAATAATGAGGACGACATAGAGGTCAAGCGTGCTCGGGGAGAGATATCTTGTGCAGAATGTAGGAGGTGTGTGGCGATGCCGTTGTAGCTCACGACTTCTGCTCAGTGTTACAGGTTGAAGCTGAAGTGCGACAAGAAGCTTCCCTGTGGCTCGTGTGTCCGCAGAGGCTGCACCACCATATGCCCCAATGGTGTGTTCTACTTGAGCCCGAGCTTCGCAATTGCTTATTGCTTCCCCAGGGAGTCTTTCCGCTGGGCAAGGTACTAGGTGAGTATTGACATGATGTCTCCACATTGCCAAATGAGCGAATGTCTTGGACAAGATTCATACTTGCCGACACCGAGCAACTCCATCGCAAGATCTCCGAAATGAGCGAGCGAATCCGTCAGCTGGAGGATACGGTCGCCATTTTCCAAGCCGGCGTCTCCAATGAACGTCACCCACTGCTTCGAGACGACCTGCTTACGATCAAGTTTGGGCCGGAGGTTCGTCGGACCGTGGACGAGGAGCACCGGAGGGAAACATTATCGCAAGCTATAGACGCCCTTGGCACATTAACGATCGGGTCTCACGGAGAGACGAAGTACTTCGGTCGATCGGGTGGCTCTGAGGTGCGTGGTTGTGTGTGCAAGAAGCTGATAGATTGTACTCACTTTTGTTGACGGCTGTAGACGCTCTTTTTGGTAAGTCCCATGCTTAGCCTCACCTCATGGCCACTTACAGGGCATACAGACGAACATGCCGAACGACGAAGAGGCTGTCGAGGCTCCAGAGGCGATTGAAGATGTTCCCGAGCTGCCTGCCGAGTTGGCAAACCTGCATCTCGCGTTCCCGCTCTCGTTCACGGACGATGGTCTCGAAGGTTACCTGGACTCACTGGAGGCGTTGCTACCTATGCACCCTCGTGCGTGGGCTCTCTGCGAGGCGTACCTTGCACACTTCACCTGGTGGAGTCGACCGATCAAGCGTGACGAGCTCATTGACGATATCCTCACGCCCATTTATAACGCAATGAAGTCCGCCACGCCAGGTGAAAGACCGGGCTACTGTGCGGGAGGTGCGGACACGTCCCGATGTCCCCATTTACTCGCGGTCCTGTTTCTGGTGCTTGCTATTGGTGCGCTTGTGGATCTGACACAGCCACCATGCAGCGCGGAGGCCGAGAAGTACTACCGCCTAGGTCGGATAGCTCTATCGATGAGGTCTATATTGGATTCGCCAGAAATTGAGACCGTTCAGGCAATCACTCTCATGGCTGCCTACCACAGTCTCTGCACCCTACGATACAGTGTAGAGAGTGCTTGGACTCTAGCATCACTTGCTACAAAGCTTGCTCAAAGTGTACGTGTGTGTGTGCCTGTCGTACCTGATTGTCAGCTGATGGCTTCACCCGACTAGATCGGACTGCGTAAGCAACGTTGTTTGTTGACGTGCCCAGCCCTTGATGTTCGGCCTTCGCAGATCGTGACAGCAAGCAGTGGAAGATGGATGAGAAGAATGTACAAAGAAGACGAAATCTGTTTTGGGAGATCTTTGTTTTCGAGCTAATTCATGTATGCCCCGAGGCACCGAGGCGATTCCTCAAGCTGATTGTTGTCATAGTGTATCGCGCTGGGCCGCCCACCGTCCATCAACTTGGCTCATATCGACTGCGAGCTGCCCAACGATGAAGATGCTGACGTCGCTGACAATGGTGACACGATGCAAGGATGTATGTGACTATGCGCGGGTTTGTCGAGCTTGGCTAACCACGCCAATCGTGAAGACTGGCACTTCAAGATGATCTTCTCTCGCGATATCTATTCCCCAATCGTCGAAACCATGCTTGCCGCCAAGGGTCCCACATACAATACCATCCTAGACCTCGACCGGAGGATACGCCAGATGACGCTACCCCCGATCAAACTTTACCTTCGCCCGGATGACGATGATTACAACAATCCTGCTCTATGTATGAAGAGCTATCTCATGTCGCATTACCGTTCACTCAGTAAGTCAAGGTTCCGACGGACTTGGACTCTTCCTCACGATGCTTCAACTCACGATGCTTTTAACCAGCCATGATTCACATTCATCGGACATTCTTTGCCCAAGCCCTGCTCGATAACCCCAACAGTCCTCTGTCTAGTCCTTATGCACCTTCTTTCCTAGCTGCAAATCGCTGTGCATCGATCCTCCTAAAGTCCTTTATCCACCACCACGAACGCTGCGGCGATTTATGTGGTCGTTTCTGGGGAATGTGGACGCACGCATTCTCGGCAGCAGTACGTCCGCCAGTCCGGTTGCCTCCTTCGTTATCTCATGCATCCGCACAGATCATCATCGGGGCGACTGTGATTCGTATGCCGCAATCAAGCCTTACACCGAGTGCTCTCATGGAACTCGACCTCGCTGTTGGGGTTTTCGAGAAAGGCGCGGTTAGCTCGCTTCGTGCGAGACAAGGCTTGGTAATATATTGTCTGAATCTCTGTTTTATGCGCGCTAAGCGATGTCTGCTCTCAGCCGATCCTGCGGAGGATTCGTGACCGGGCTAAGCAAGCCTACGAAGAGTACCGCGACAGACACCTTAACCCGGCGACCAACGGGACCCCAGCCCCGATCCCGGACGAGTATCAGCAGGCCCTCGCGATCTTTGGAGGTCAGACGAGGATATTACCTAGCAGAGCCCTCTCCCGGAGGCGTCAAAGAAATGGACGGTCTTCAACAGACAGCCCACGAAGTGGTCAGCCCTCAAGTCAACATTCGCCAACGTCGACCAGTGCCGCGACAACCCCTCCGCCGGCACAGACGCCCAGCGATAGCAGTGGCAACTCTCCCTCCCCCGAATTCCATCCACATCCCGCGTTGATGATGTATCTTTCCCAAGTCCCGTCGAATTCACCCTTCCAAACAGCAGATCTTCAACATCTGCCAGTCCACGCCCTAGCCCCTACCTGTCCACCGCCCGCCCCCGTTCCGGTACCCCAGGTGCCGGGGACTCCTACCGCTGGTCACAGCCATATGAACGTTGCCGATTCGTATCCCCAAGGCGCTCAAGCTGATCTGGACTTCCTCAATAGCCTCTTGTCCAACCCGCAGTACCAGTCCCTGCCGTCCCTCCCGAACGGCAATGCGTTTGCCAACGGCAACGCCATGTTGACCGACACCTATAACATGCCCCAGCCCTTCGCCACAGACGCCATCATGAACGACCAGTGGATGTCGCTCATGCAGGAAACTGGGCTTTTCGAGGGCATGGAGGGCATAACGAATGACGACTTCACGCCTAACCTATTCTCGTTCTGATTAGGTGTGTGCGAGTATGCTATGGATGTATGTTGTATCGGTCGTGTGCTCTGTCCTCGTCTCTGTATTGACTAGCGCTCTCGGTATGCTCCTGTCTGCAGCATAATATAACGTCTCCGTCTGTACTGATAATTAGTCCTCTTAATTATAGCTTGCTTTCTGTTCCGGCGTAGTATGACAATCGCAGAAGTGTCGTCCTCAGCTTGTTGGCGCCGTCATCAAATCGCGAGGCTGGGACGGCGACCGTGTGCTGATGCTAATCTCGCAACAGGCACATGCTGCAATGCTTCACAACCCCCACTGGTTCTAGACGAGGATGTTCGCTCGGTTTTGTCAACCATCGTCCTTGGACCGTGATCGATTGAAGATTCGCCACGCCTACTTTGCCACTTGTAGGCCGAGACGGGACTCCCGAACTCGAGCATCCTTACCAGGATCTGCGGTGTAAGTCGGACTGATCTCAGATTCTACTATCGCAGTGATTCTTGCTAGGCTGGTATCGATTCCGGCGCTCCGTTTTGGCCCTGCAACATGTTCAGCATGTGCATCTCCCCCCATGTGAGCGTAGTCCAGGAGGTCGCCGCAACTCAATGTCCTTATATCCGATTCAGTGATGATGCTAACGGTGATGGCATGTCGCAGTACGTTGTCTGCCGCCCCGTCGTGGCCCTCTGTTGACAATGGAATTTTAGACGAAGGTTTGGGCGACGGGCGTGTAGTGCCCTCTTGAATGTTGCGTCCGGGACAACTTCATGCCACCAAGCGAATACTTCCATCTACGCCGCAAGTATTAGTAATGGCCCAGCCTGCATCCTCAAGACGGTTCGCCGTCTATGCACGTCTTCCGAAATACTTCGCCTGCTGATTGCAACTAGATTTGCAAAGGACTTGTGCACTGCAGTCCATCCACAACAAATGAACGTTGATGATCGGTTGCTGTCCTTCAAAAGTACACGACGCATTGCCATTAGCCCTTTCCCTATCGGTCAACGAGCTAGGTATCCTGTTCCCACGACGAGCCTTCACACTGTAGTTGTGTGGTTGGACGGCTTGTGAAATGTGTTCAGACTGAAGAGTCATCGCCCGCGCCCGCGCGGCTGTTCATCGACTATCTTGTCGACGTAATACTCTTCTCGACCCTCGATTAGAGAAAGCGCGGGTGGAATGCATTTCGCTCTCGCCCACAGGTACTAATCTACCAAGCCTAGTCCACACTTTATAATTAATAACCTTGACGGTGTCTAGATGAATCAGAACGGACCGCATTCGCGAGACCTTTCCATCGCTCATAATGACTTTCTGTCGTCTGCGGATTGTCTGGTCACGACACTGCTTTGTTATCATCATCCTGTGCCTCACTGTCCTCGGGCTCTTCAATGAATGCGCGAGACCCCCGGCGGTCAGCCGTGCATTGCTAGTCGCTGGTCCTGGTATCGTGTACCACCCCATGCAGGTTGCGACCGGCAGCACAATACAATCACCCACTGCTCCTTTGGCATTGCGTGGCGAGTGTGCCGTGCATACCAGCGGCCGCATCGTACGGAGGCGGTAATCTGACTGTAGGTGGCTCAAAAACACTGCAAACGCTATGTTCTTAATCACCAGCAAAGGGTTCCTGCGACGATCGGTGAGAGTGCTGCGCTCTACGTGTACGTCGATTCGCCGCGTCGGCCTTCATAATATATTTACATCTACTGGTGATATTGTACACCTCCGCAGCCTTGCTGGAGTTCTCGCTCTACTCAGAACAGTACTACGTTGCGCAGTTTTTCTGCTCGTCATACAGATTGTGGGGAATAGGTCTCATCGTCCATTGAGACGCACGTTGGCTCAGCGCCGAACCACCACCACCATTTCAGTTGCGGAAGAAGACAATATTCCTATACAGAACGAATAAGTACACGGTCTAGAGAGCAATCGCCACGTTCTACTCACATCAGGTCCGCACGCAGGGTCGCATTTAGTCCAAACAGGCCAATCTAACCATTCCATGAGTTCGTCGAACTGGCCGCTCCACTCGTGCATAAATCCTGTCAGCACTTCCTCGCTCTTGCCCTCTGCGTCAAATGCGTCCACCCATGCCTCCGTATATACCCTGCAAATCTCGTGAAGTACCTCGTCGACGGCATTCTTCAGTAAAATCTCCTGCTTCGTCAGTCGCTCGACAGGCAGCGCCTTCGTGAAGCTCTCCGCGCAGCCGCGCGCGGTATCCGCGAACCACACGTTCGTGCCGATGTGGTCGTGTCGAGGCATGTATGGGATCAGCGACGCGACGAGCTGCTTGCGCACGACCTGCAGACGCTCAGAGACGTTCGTCGCTGGACTATGCAACAGGTAGTGCATATACGGAAGGCGGTACGCAAAGCGATCTTGCACGACGTGCGCGAGGCCCACCCAGTCCACGTCGCCACGCGCTCCTGGGCTCCAGTCCCGCGACATCATCTCGGCAATGTCTGCGCGGACGCGCGCGATGTCCGGTTCGGAGATGTTGCCCACGCGATAGTCCTCTCGCTTTTGAGAGCGACGGGCTTCGACGAGGGACGTGAGAGCGGGGTCGAAGAACGAGATGATAGTGGAGGGATAGACACGGACACGAAGCTCGCCGGGGAAGTCGTTGTGCCATGCACCGGCATGGCGCGACTCGAGGAACGTGAAAGGGAGGGTACCTTTCCAGCCTTTTGGCGGAATGAGCGTGGTGCGATTGACTGGGTTTCTCGGAGGTTTGCTCATGAGAAAGTCGTCTCGCCCCAGGCCATGATACAATGCATTTGAAGAGCGTAGACCACCCAACTGTTCGGTCGTAGAGGTGGTCGCAGGGAGCACGAGGTCATGGACCTGACGCTGATCAGGTACCCCGTTGTTCGTCCGGACGGCGGAGACGACCTCGACACCTTGTGAGAAGTCGCAATACATAATCTCGCTGTGGGACACATCAGATCATATTCGAGTGACACAACTGAAATCGCCTACAAGTCCCATTCCATCCTGATGAAACCGTCAATGCCATGCGACTTCGCCCATTCGCAGCCATCGTTAATGCGTGCAATTTCGTCAAGTATCGAATTACCGGTGCGTCGGAGATCACCCCAGAAGAATATATCCTGTGTGTCAACAACACCGCCGTCCTTATTGGCACTGCATCCGTCGAAGTAGATGAAGTGCAATTCTCGCGTGGTCGTGAATGTGAAAAGAGTGCCGTTCGATCCTAAAGCAAAAATGAAGGCATGCTCGGGGTCAAAAGCCATCCAATCCCTCGAGCGATAGTTTGTGGTCATAGATCCATGATATAGCAGTGTCCCAGCGGGGATACCGGCGCGTACAATCGAATGACCTGCATGACATTGAGCTTCTTGTGACGAAACAACGATGCGCAACACACCATTGGGATATTTCGAGTTCGGTTTCAACTGCATGAGAGACGCGAGGGACTGGAAGACGAGATTACTGGAAGCATACTTTCCCAACTTCTCGTTCCACAACCGGTTTCCCTTTATGATCCCGGGCCTGTTATCTGCTTGTGACGAGAGGTAGGTCTGGGAAGCATTGGCTAGAATCCCAGCTATGGCAAGGATGCCTGTGAGGAGTACAGGTTGTGCCAGCCAGCGCATTGCTGAGGAGCGAGCGCAGAGACGAGAACAGTGCGAAACAAGTCATGTTGCACACGGAATAAATAGCAGAAGGCTGCGCAACTGAGCGGCAGTCCGTCAAACAGCCCAATGCCCATCATGCTGCTTATCGGCGTCGGCGACAGTAACAATACAGATTACTAGTACTACGTACGCATATCCGGTGGATTCGTTGACGTCTGTTTGGCATCTCACACACGCATCGGGCGCCGGGCGTCTCCGCCTTTCCATGTATGTTCGATATTATTCGAAATCTGGTGAATAGAACCGACCCAATTGTGAATAGTCTCTGTTTCCGAGCATAAACATGATAGGTAGCGGGACGTCCTACCGCAGCGTGCTTTGAGGGGTCTGAGCGAGGAGATGTGGACGCGATCATGTTGAGCAACTTCAAGATGTGGCCACTGTGAGCGCCTATAGGCCTAATCGTATCTTCGTGCGCACGAACACCAGCGTTGAGTGAGCACTGAGCACCACTCTTCTCACAAGTTCGGCACATTTGCCCCATATCTGCTGGTTATACTGTGGTCTATGTGGCTTAGTGTTGACAACGTTGAGCTTGCAGATACGCCACATATGAGAACCGCACCTTGGCAGCAGCTAGCTACGCTTCTCGGACCCTAGCGCGCTATGGCGAGTTCAATTTGACCTTGGTCGATAGCTTAAAGTGACGGGCATGACTAGTTGAGGGGAGCTTGTACGATGGCCGAGACGAGGCTACCTGACGAGTCCACGACCATATCATCCAAGCTCATTTCGAAGGGTTCTGAGTGTGCTCCATTCGATGTCGCATTTTGACTCGTTTTAATTTACCGAATCATCATGAGCATGTCTAGAGGAGTTGTGAACGAAAAAAGGGTACCCTTCAACAGACGTTGGAACTGATGTGCGAAACGTTGCTTGTTTGCCGCCCTAAGTAATGTACCAGCCTGACAGACGCGGTCTCGTGGCCAGCGAAACGCGGCGTGACAAGACGCGTGTACCGTGACGCCACGCGTCGCGCGCGTTTCAAATGGCAGCGGGGCGTCGACGAAGTCACTCCATACGGCGGCCAGGATGCCTCTGCTATACACCATCTGCTGACTCGTGCATCAATGCTCCCTCATTGCGTTCTCTCATGCGCTGGTCGACAAAATTGCAGTATCTCTTCGTCGCCTGCGCAGCGGTCGCAGGGTACAGTGCTTCTCGTTGCTGCAGGCAGGCAGAACTAGAGACTGCGAACACAAAATTGCAAGAGGAGTATACTCGCTCATGGGACGAGCGAATAAGCGAGGAGGCGACAGGTAACCTCATCTTCCGGTCTCTGTCGTCTCTCATGCAAATGGCACCAAATTCAAGATATCCTAACGGTACGTGGCCAATGCCTTCTAAGCTCAGTCATGGATGATCAATTATCGCGGGGTCAGGGCATTCAATTGCGCGTGCCTCAATAGCACCGGGTACGCGGCTGTACCACGGCAGGGGCAACAGTAAACTCCCAGTCATGGACTGGCTCGCCTTCGACCCAGAACACTCCCAAACATTCCTGCGTGGCCAGAACGGCACACTCTTCACGTTCATGACCACCCGTGAGCTCAAGCTCATCTATTTTGACGGCTGCAGCGCCAACAAGCGCGGTGGCGTTGCGGACACACAGGACGTTCTCATCTGGGGCGAAGTCGGTCACGGGCGAGAGCCCTGGCGTTCCGACCCCGAGTTGGACCGTATCACTGACGCGTGTGCATGGGGGAGGAAGTACGGTATCGACGGCTTCGTTCGTATGGAGTACGACTTGTAGGTCTGCTTCGCTGCACGACCTCTTCGTTGCGCAGGACTCTGATGGGTTCTGCAGTGAGATCATGTACTGCGACTTCTCTCAAGGCCTCACGCTTGTCTCCTCCCTCGACACTCCATCGGACGCCCGCCTTGCTCCTCCACTCATGGAGGTCAGGCATGCAGGTGGTCGACATAACGCCTTCCCTGGCGAGTCACGCGTCCAAGTGGACTCTGCCACAATGATCTCGTTCTTCGACCCCGCCCTCACATCTCTCGTCGCGGCACGTCGCGGACTGCCCCGCACGCAGTATCGCATCGCGCATATTTCCGGGGAGGATACTGCCCGCGTACGCGCTGACATCTCTGAGATGGTGGCCCGCGATCCTACGGGAAAGAGCGGCATCGACTGGCGTACCCTCGCGCAGGCCATCCAGGAGAGGTTCGGAGACCGCTTGTTGTATATCCGGCATCTGCTGCATCTGGCTCGCCTGGTCGCAGCAGATACAGATGCAAGCCTTCAAGTCCATGCTCAGTTCCAGAGCATCACTGCGGAGATACACAAACAACTCCTCGTCTCTCTCAGCCCGTACATGCCCCGCGAAGGTATCGGCGAACCTACCTGGTTCGAGGCCATCGCACGAGGGTGCACGACGAGCTTCACGCCCCGATTCCCCGAGGCGCGGTTCACAAGACAAGAGCGGCTTTTGAACTATGCTGTCGAAGAAGTTCTTCACGAAGTCTGCAGAGTATACACCGAGGTGTGGAGGGATGCGTTTGGGCTTGACGTCAGAGCCAAGGGCTCGAATTTCGATGCTAGCATCGCATCCCCAATGTTGGCCAAGTGGAGGGACGCGTTCGACGCTCTAATCGAGTGGTTGGACTGGCCGATCTGGCTGAAGTGCGATCCAGCCTGCGCTGTCAATGTGGGTGGCGGGTTGTTGTCTGCTTGTGTGCTTGGGATCCTGATAGGTTGGGTGATCGCGATAGGAATTCTGTGAAGTACCCCAGCTTGCTCCGTGGCAGGCAGGAGAAGCTCGGCCTCGGTGCATTGCCATTGATAGCGATTGGGTGTAGCGCATCTCAAGTACGGAGCACTCTTATTACAGACCCAAAAAGTAGCATAACACACGCCGTACATGTCCTAATGGATGCCTTCCCGCAGAGGTTTACAGCGCGCTCTATCCTAAATTCGCGCTGTAAATCTCTGCGGCAAGTCGGCATCTCGTGTGTACCGTTGCTTCGGATCAGTACACCCCTCTTCTAAACAGGTCATTTGGAAGGGGGGTAGGACCCCCCCTTCTAGGTACAAAACACGTCCGTAAAGTTGAGTTTGAGCCTCCGACGAGATTTGGATCTTACCGTCGCGCACGCACGTCGCACCCCGACTATGTTCTGCGCCGTATTGGCACGGGAACAAGCGGGAATTCTGGGGATATTGGGTGGATGGGCGCCGGGATGGTCAGAACTTGACGGCGCTTAACCCGTCGATGGTGTCGGCGAGAGGAGGGGCGTTGGTTAGTGCCCCTCGACAATACAGGAGCCTGCTCAACGAAACTACGCGATAACACTGCCGTACTGTCCTGGGCTCTGGGGTTGCCGCGCCAAGTGCACCGCCAGGACCTACATGCGAACTGTGCAACCTACCCAGCTGGATCTACCGCCCCGATGACGCATCTGCGCGATGCCACTTCTATGTAATGCCGCCTCCGAGCGATGCCCCTTCTATGCGATGAGTCGCTTCGAGCGATGATACCGTCTTGTAGCGTAGTTATCGTTCGACGAAATCGGTACCGTCCTGTGGTGTGCTCGTTTGACGAAGCCGTTTCATAGGCCGACGAGCATGTCCACGCGACGAGGCTATCTCGTAGCGTGTTCGCTCGACGAAGGCGTCTCGTAGCAGTCTAGCTCGACAATGACAGCAGACAAGCAGTCCTCGCCCATGGAGCCTGCGAGCCAGTGAGATATCTATGCTTGAAAATATGATGCAGGCACATTCGCAGCTGTGTCTTACGGTAACGTTGTGCCACCTATTTGAGCTCCGCAAGGTATTGTCCATGGATTTTGAGTGGAGCTACGGAGGCGCACTGCAGATAAACATTTCTTAACCATAAAATCCAGGGCCCGCGAATGCATTTAGAATCGCTGAAAAGCCTGCGGGAAGGCATCCAATGAAAGGAAATCACGATGCTGAAGCGAGCTTCATCTCGCCGTGCGAGATATGAGGCTGAGTCCGAAAAGACGAGACTCAGTCAACGGCTAGGTCAGCGCGTTCGCACTCTCTCCCGACCTCCATCACCAACTCGTCAGATCCCCACTGCCCAACAATGCTGACCCCCACCGGCCAACCGTCTTCGCCTAAGCCTGCTGGCACGCTCATGGCAGGAAGACCCGCGAGAGAAGCCGGGACGTTGAGCACGTCCTGCACGTACGCGTCGAGGACGCTCTCGTCCGACTCCTGTGCATCGTCTCTGCTTTCAAGCGGCGGAGCGGTACGTATTGCAGATGGGTGGAGCAGGACGTGTATACCTTCCTCTGCTGCTTTATTTTTACGCCGGGTCGGGGAAAGTACGTTTGGCACGGCAAAGACGCGGTCGAAGTCGGCGCGGACGAGGTTCCGGACGCGCTGGGCTTGCAGGAAGTAGTTGTCGAAGGCACTGGGAGCACAATCTAAGTCAAGATTCCTCGTCACGCGCGTGGTAGCACGTACTCAGCTGACAAGGCGTAGGTTCCAAGTAGTATCCGCTTCTGAACCTCATTGCCAAAGCCAGACGATCGGCTGTGCGCGTAGACATTCGCCGCCTTCGTTTTGTCGAGGTCAGGCGGCGTCGGACTGAAGTATCCTAGAGCATGTCAGTCGACTATACTCACCATTCCCTGGCGGCAGGTCCGCTCACCGTATTGGACCCCATCGTAACGCGCCATGTTACTGCTTGCCTCCGCGCTCGAAATGACGTAGTAGGCACTGAGCGCATACGGTGTTGTGGGGAGGGAGACTGGAATGAGAGTAGCGTCGCGGGACTTGAGGTATTCAAGAACGCGGCGAAGCGGTTTAAGTGTGCTTGCATCAAGCTCGCTTGGGAAGTACTCCTGTGAGTCACCAATCAGTTTGGAAAAAAAAAAGACAAGCCTCTGAGAACAAAGTGTACCTGGGGGATACCGATACGTAATCCTTTCAACGACTCTCCGGGAGCTCGCAACCAGGACGCATGGCTTGCCTTGACAGCCTTCTTCCTGGCCCTTGGATGGGCTGCTGTTGGATCTTTGGGATCGTAAGAGGAAATGACGTCTGTGACGCGCCACATCAGAGCGTGAAGACCCCAACACAACGGCCGAGGAACTTACCGAACAGCTTCTTCACTGTGTCCACAGAACGGGCCATGACTCCCACACAATCCAGGCTATCTGCGTATGAGACAACACCCCACCTTGAATTGGTGTCAGGATAAAGCAGTCGACGAACATTGATGGTACGCACCTACTAACGAGGCCGTAAGAGGGTTTCAGTCCTACGACCCCGCAATAAGAGGCAGGAAGCCGTATCGAGCCACCTGTATCTGTAGCCAGTGCACTTTCCTTCAATCTCATTTCAGCAGCCGAATAAGCATCATACCGTCCTAATCTTACGCGTGGCTGAACCCAGCAGCTACAGATGCTGCGCTCCCCCCAGAGCTACCTCCTGCTGAGCGGCGTTCGCGGTCCGTCCATTGGACAGTGCTGCCCGCTGCTTGGAACGGATTGATCACCGGATTATGAAAGCTATAGGTGTTCAGAGAGCTGTGCTGGGTCTGAAAAGCTGATTCGATAGCTACATAGCACTGAGGCTTACCCCATCCCGAATTCGTCACAGTTTGTTTTGCCTATGAGCTGCGCTCCCTCTGCTTGAAGCAGCTCGACGACAGTAGCATCAAATGGCGATGTGAAGCCGAGTAGCATCGCCGAGGAGCACGTTGTTGGCATCCCTGAAGTGCAGATGTTGTCCTTGACAGCGACCCTAAGGTCGAGACGTCCGTCTACACGCTCCGGGGGGGCGATATGAACTAGTGCATTGACGCTAGCATTAGCATCGCGGAACGAGAGTAGGCCAGGAACCTTGCTGTGAAAGCATTTAGTTGTGCCTGCCAGTCGACATGGGACAGTCGCAGGGACAAACCGAGGCAGCATTGCTCACAACGCGACCGCCATATGAGCGCCGGCGCAGTTCGTAGGATCTATTTGGCGTTGTTGACCTAGAGCTTCGGATCCTAACATGCGCAAACATCCATAGGTCGCCTTCCTTTCCTGGAAAATATGCACTGTAGCGATCGAGGCGAAGTCCCCGTGTCTGAAGCTTCACTTCATTTCAAAACAACCCCCTTGTGCTGCGAAGTGGTCTACCCAAAGTTTCTCCTTCTTTCATCTAGCATCTAGTAAGTTGGCTTGAGTACTGCAGTACTGTCCTGAACTAACGCACGTACCAGCGATCATAGTCGCCCTGGGCCATGGCTCCATCTGTCCATAAGAAAATCAAAGTCAGCGCAAAAGAGGCAAAATCTGTCAAGGTCTTGGGCCACAAGACACTTCAGGTGAAAGAAGCTGCGAAACCTACCTCAAAACCAGCTCCTGCCACCGTTTCAGCGAAAGGCAAGGAGCGCGCTTCGACTCAAGCACCCCTCCTGAAGGCTTATAAGGCGAAAAGCGCTGTGCGCTCAGAGGCAGGGCCTTCTTCAGGATCACTGCCGAGGACCTTCAAGGTTGTTGTCGGCTCGTACGAAAAACTTCTGTACGGATTGGAAGGGTCGACATCTGCCGAGGGCTCTAGCTTCCAACTGAAACCCATCTTCATTTTCCCGGCACACATTTCCTCCGTTCGCGCAGTAGCTGCTTCACCGCAGGGAGGAAAATGGCTGGCGACAGGCAGCGGGGACGAGATCGTCAAGGTCTGGGACTTGCGGAGACAGAAGGAGGTCGGCGGGCTCATGCACCATGAGGGTACGTCTCCCCTGCATCCCATCTGACGGTCGCTGAAAGTACTGAATGTGTTCACAGGGTCAATCACGCATCTGGAATTCCCTTCTCGGTCACATCTACTATCCGCCTCGGAAGACGGCACGCTATGTCTCTTCCATGCACGCGACTGGGGTGTTCTACGGTCACTGAAAGGTCACAAGGGGCGTGTCAACTCTGTCGCCGTTCACCCCTCAGGCAAGGTGGCTTTGAGCGTCGGAAAAGATAGAACACTGCGCATGTGGGACCTCATGCGAGGAAAGGGCTCGGCGAGTACGAAGCTCGGGAAAGGTGAGTATGCACACATCGGTGTGAACCCAGAGTCTGACAGGCTACGCCAGAAGGAGAAGTCGTTCGGTGGTCAACTGACGGCTCACAGTTTGTTGTACTCTCGCAATCGACGATCGACATCTACACGACCGTAGGCCATCTCGTATTGTCGTATTGTCGAATCCTGCAAGCTAACAGTGCACGACAGGACATGAAGCTGCGACACATCATCCATCATCCTTCGCGACTGCACGATGTCAAATTCTGTAAGCGAGTGAACGGCGAGGGCGAAGTTCTGCTTGTCGCGGCAGAAGATAAAAAGGTCTCGATATACGATCTTCCGTCCGACCCAGAGACAACACCGTCAATTATCGCCGAAATGATCGGACATAGTAATCGGTTCGTAACTCGCTGATGCATGCATGACGGACTCGCTCATCATGAGATGTTCACAGCGTAAAAGCAGTTGAAACCCTAAAGATTGCCCTGCCCTCGCCCGGCAAGCCGTCTACCACAATTGCTAGTACCATATCATCCGACGGAAAGGTCTACATCTACGACCTGTCCGCTCTCCCAGCCACTATGGAAGAGAAGCTCCAACTATCTCCGGTTGCGGAATACGACACGAAGGGCACTCGCTTGACATGCCTAGCACTCGCGGATGGCGAAGTTTTGGATGGTGCGGCCGTGAACGGCAAGCGCAAACGGAATAAGGAGCACGATGCCGATGAAAGCGAGGCCGATGATGAGGAATGGGATGCGCAACAGCAGGACGGCGCCGCCTTCGAGGACGAGCAAGAGATCGAGGGCGAGTACGAGGGCGAGAGTGCTAGTGGTAGCGATGAAGAGTAGATGTGCACACTACTGATACAATGCGAGGTGTCCAAAACGTACACTACATGAAGTCTATTGCTCGTTTTCGATTCCTCGACGCTCTGTTCGCTTCTTCTGCGGGCAGGCGCATCTCGACGTCCTGTGGTGGTCTCGACGGCATAGGTGGTATGGCTTCCGCCGGTATGCCTTGCAGGGCCTCCGGTGGAGGTGCTTCCACCCACATGCTATCATCATCGTCCTCCTCCTTTCGCTCCTTCCGTTTCTTCTTCTTCCGCTCCCCATCTCTCGCTTTGTCCTTTGCTTTAGGTCTACTCGAAGGAGATTCACCGAGGTTGGCGTCCAAGCCATCCTCGTCGACATCGAAGGTCAGAAGAGCAGCTTTGGGTTTCTTTTTGTCCTTCTTATCTTTGTTCTTGGACTTCTCTTTCCTCGAGTCTCGCGCGCCGCGAGGAACGAAGGTAGGCTTGAACGTCGCCAAATCAACCTTCTCTGCTACGACGACACCGGTAGAACCGTTGACATTGGGCTGATATGCAGGGGTAGCGGAGTCTGCAAGAGTGAGGTGCGATGGGACTGGTTCTGTCACCGCAGTCACGTTCGTCGGTGCAGAAGCGGGACCATTCGATTCGAGCTTCACCTCCTCATCTGCAACGTCTTCCTCATCACTATCCTCGTCGTCGCTCGCGAAGATTGCTTTGAAGATGTCCATCGCCGGACGCTCATATGTGAGCGTGTCCCTGCCCTGGTCCTCGTCTTCCCCGAGACCTACATTGGCTAGATCACGAGGCCCATTCCTCCGCCCACCAGCCGCTGTCTCTGAGCCATCCGTGATAGCCCCAGCACTGACGAACTTCGACTCCGGCGCAGCACCCGCATACGATTGCGCCATCTCCGCATCCGCTTCCTTCGCAGCAGCCGTGGGCATCGCGAAGTCTGCGGTCGCCGCACCAGCCTCGCCGGTCATGTCTACCTCCGGGTCCTTCACGCCGAACCGCTTGCAGAGTAGTCGTGCCGGCTGCCATGGCTTGACTTCACGCGTCAGCGGGCCATACATGCCCATCCGTATCGCGCCAATCAGCGGATCATTGTCCTCTTCCTCCTGCTCTTCCTCTGCGCTGGGCTCCGGGGCAGCGACGGGCTGGTGGAGACCCTCCACGATTGTTGGTCCGGTCTCGAGGACTACGGCGCTGCGGAATCGCCCTGCCATCGCGCCCGAGAGTGGCTTGAACACTGTGGCAGACTTTGCATAGTCTTCAAGTTCCTTGTTGAACTCCTCAGCGCTTTGCCCTGGCATTGGGCCGATGCCCAACCCGGAGGGACCATCGAGGCTTTCTCGATCTGCCTGATAATTCAAGAAAGCGGTGTATCGTGACTGTTTGACGGGATCCGCGGTGAAGGGTTTGAAGCCAGACAAAGCAGCCTTAGCGATGGAGGGATGTAGTGTGGGTACCTCGATCTGACCGGGCACATGGAGCGGAGGAGGTGGTGGTGGAGCAGGGGAAGGAGTGGTCGGGGCATCCAGGGCAGCGTTCTTGATGTTCTGCAATCGCTCACGGTCTTTCTGTGACATGTAGTCGAAGACAGAGCGTGGCTGCGATGGTAGTGGCGTCTCGCCCAGCACAGATCCTCGCTAGAGATATTTCAATTCCTGAATAACTGCACCTGCCTCATGATTGTAGGTGCATACCTGATCTGCGGACATGAAGCTGTCCTTCCATTCCGCGTGCGTCTTGGGTGCAACGTTGCCTCGAGGGATCTGACCATCTGTTCCTTGTTCCGCATTTTCCTTGTCCTTTTGCTGGTCCCACACACGACGAGGGTTAGGTGTCCAACCTGGAGGTACATCCGGAAGGGGGAACCTACAAGGAATATCACCTTTAGATAGGAATAACCACGCGATGAGTGAACAGCTCACCAGCGGTCCTCAGCCACAGGCTTATCCGAGAGCACGAAACCTTTCAGTACCGGACGGCCGTCGTTGAACGTTTGGGTCACAGTGGTTGATGCGACTCTCTTGCCAAATGGCATCAGCATTCTGAACGATGTTTCGCTGCGCCATACTCACATGTGATTGGCGGCCTTGATCGCGTTTCGAGCTGGAGGAACCCATTGATATTCGCGTGTCATCCTCGTCCATCGCATCATATGCCATCCTTGACCGTCCGCCCCGGGCAGTCCCCCTACCGATGTCGTACACGTCTAAGTCGTCTTCGTCCGCATCATTCAGCGCTCCCAGACCGAAACCGGCCGCGATCTGTGGCCCCGCCTTCTCATCCTGTGCGACAGCTTCCTCGAGCCTCATGCCCGGTGTGTAACCCAGTCCATGAAAGTTGTCTTTCCGAGGGGCGATCAAAACAGCTGTGTCTCTCCTCGGATACAGATGTTTCTGAGCCTCCTCGTCCTCGCCTTCTTCCTTCGGTGCACGGGGCCCCAATTCTGTGCGCCGCTGGGCGTGGGTCAATCGTGGACCGACTCCCTGGCCCAGACGCCAGCCCATCTTCTTGAGGATACGAGCACCAACAGAGTCCTTCGGTGCAGGAGCAAGCGAGGCCTCCAGGGCAGTAGTAATGTCACTATCGCTATGTCAGCGTGGCCCACCACACAAGAGCATTCCAGCGACGTACTCCTTCTCGGCCTCCTCCGCACCCGCCCTGCGCTTCAGCTCCCTCTCCGTCCCGCCAAAGTCCATCTCCTCATGCTCGTCCACGAGCTTGCGGCCCTCCTGCAGCTCCGCGAGGTCCTCCTCGTCCATGAAGTCCTCCGGGCGCGCCGCGCGCGCCTTCACGCGGTCCGAGCGCGAGGACACAAACGTCGACGGCGCCCAGCCCTCCTTCGAGCCGACCGAGTTGAAGTAGCCCGCGGAGAACCCACCCGTGAAGGCGCCGTGCAGCCGCCGCCGGCCCTTCTCATCGCGCACTTCTTGTTTCCAGAGCGGGACGAACTCGCCGGTGTCCTTGCTCTTCTCAAGAGGTGGAAGCGGTGTGCCGATCTGTGGTCACTTGTCGGTGAGCGCGGTGAGGGGCGAAGCAGTAAGATGTACGCACCAGACAGAAGGACTCGTTCGCCTTGGAGCTGGATGGGTCGACCCCGAGGTCGTTGAGCTTTCGCTTTAGCCTACTCGTCATGTTAGTGGTTCCAGCTCTATATGAGTGTTCGGGAGCAAGGGAGGTCGAGTGAAAGTGAGAAGGCCTCCTCGCAGGCTCAGTGGTGGGCTCACGATGCCGGTGACGAAGGTGAGTAGAATATCCGCATTCGGTATGCACGTGATTCATCGAGATCCAGGACATACTACGGGCCACGGCGTACGCGGCCCGGCCCGATCCCAGTGATACATAAGTTAGGCCTCAATCAACTCAATTTTGCCTGATCCCGAACCACCCTCGTCGCTTGAACAGGGGTCGTCACTGCAATCCGAAGTGCAAGCCATAGCAAGACAGACGAACACGCTCGTCCTCGCTTAGGACACACTTCCCAAGACAATGGTTTGATAGTATGGATTCAGTTCTGTAAGTACACTAATAGTGGACAGTAAGTATCTACGCAGAGGTATCATATATAGCGTCTCGTAGGACATCATCACAAGCCGTACAACCCGGGGCGCACGCGCGGGCGGCCACCACACAGCACACACAACCGATAATTATATAGATAGGAGCGGGCGGACTGCGATATGACAGCGTGGGTGGGCATCTGCCCAGGATACGTACACGAGTATGCGAGGTGAGGAGGGTGGGTGAGGGGGGTAATGAGGGTTCGGGGGTCGGGCATAAAAGCAGAGGGCGGGGGGTCGCTCAGAAGATGACGTCGCCGATCTTGCCCCAGAAGGTCGTGGAAGGCACCTCGGGCAGTTCTGTCTCCTCGACGGTCGGGATGGCCTATCAAGCGCACCGCATCGTTAGCACCAAAATTCCGAGGCAAAAGAGACGCAGCAAGAACGCACGGTGACAAAGTCCATCTCATCCGGGCGCCACGAACGGGTGCGCTTGAAGACCTTCCAGAACACATAGAGGACAGCGAAGATCGGGATGTTGATGTACGCGGTGATGAAGCTGTCCGTGTTCCAGACCCAGAAGACGGCGAAGCCGTTGATGAGGATGAAGAAAATGAGCCAGCCGATCGCCCACCACGCGAGGTACGGCTGCAGGTTGCTGTAGTAGCTGAACTTCGTCCGGTCGATGCCCTGCACCTTGAGGCCCTTGTAGAACCGCAGGTACGTCACGCATATCGCGCCCCAGGAGAAGAATCCGGCCGTCGTCGAGAGGTTGACGAACCAGCTGTGCAGGGCGAGTTAGCGATTTGCTCTCGCAGGAAACCATGGAATACTCACTTGAAGACCGTCTCGGCACCGCTGGAGACGTTCATGAAGCTGAGCCACGCAAAGGCAGCAGAAACAAGGATAGCAGCGATCGGGAGACCCTTCTTCGTGCAGTACCCCAGGATCCTCGGCGCCTGCCCCCGGATCGCGAGACCGTACAGAATACGACTCGCCGAGAACAAGAACGAGTTGCCCGCCGAGAACGCCGACGTAAAAACACACGCGTTGATAAAAGCGGGGAGGACCTTGATGCCCGCACGGGTGAACGCGATGACGTACGGCGACTCCGCGGCGGTGCCCGAGCTCTGGAGGAGGTCCGGGTCGTTGAACGGGACGAGCATGCCCGTGATGAGGATGCCGAGGATGTAGAAGACGAGGATACGCCAGAACACGCGGCGCACCGCCTTCGCGATATTCCGCCGGGGCGACTGCGTCTCGGACGCGGCAATGGCGACGAGCTCCATGCCCTGGAAGGAGAAGGCGGCCTGCACGATGACGGAGATGAGCGCGAGGAGCCGGTCGAGGCCAATGTGCTTCGGCTCGAGACCTGCACTCGCGATGGGGCCGGGTTCCTTCCAGTACTATCCAGAGCACGTCAGTGAAGCTGTCGTGGTGTTCATTGAGATACTGCACATACGCGGAAGCCAATCCGGTCATGGTCAGGTCCTCCACCAAGGTCAACGACAAGACCAGTGATGATCAGCAGTGTAATCAAGAAAACTGGCAGAGTCAACAAAACAGCATTGGTTGGAGATCGCCAAACGCGGTTGCGGTGTCGACGCACTTTTAATAATCGAGAAGCAGAATTCTGCTTCACCGAACCACCGGACGCCGAAAATATTAATCGCGCACACGCCGAAGGTGATAGCTGCGGTGTACGCCGCGGCGTGGCCAGTCTGTGGGAGGCGCGCTCAGCACAGCCGCAAGGAACCAGGGGACGGAAGCACCTACGTCGGCGTCCCAGAAGGTGAGCAAAACGACCGCAGCGCTAATTTCGACGGGCGTGGAAATGGCGCTGGTGTAGAAGTAATTCCATCTGTGGGGGACCGGAGCATGGTGAGCTGCGTTGTTCCTACCAACTTCTCAATCTTTGACAGCTGCCGTGGCCATCAGCGCAGAGAATCCACTGCTAGCTAATCCAAAACTGATAAGGCGTTTTCTTGCAAAACGCGCTGGTGGATGTGGCGACGGCAAATGACCGATGTTTCTTGTGTCCGTGTGTCCGTACACCACGGGGGCTGAGAGGACACGGCTCTCGCAGCGTACACTGGAGGACAGCGCGACAGCAGCGCGAGTGCCCTCTTTCCGGTGGACGCCCAGCAGTGGATGCATGCGCGGTAGGCATGGCAGCTGTCAAACCCAGACTGTCATGGGACTCACCCAAGTGCGAAGCCAAGAGCGGGGTCGGCCCAGCGTGCAGCGTAATGGGGAAACGAGCCGGAGATGGGTGCGAACGCGGTCATCTCACCGAGCGAACAGAGGGTCGCGTAGCCGACGGTACCAACGAGCGCGTAGCCGATGAGGGCACCTAATGGCCCGCCCTCGCGCAGGGCCGCACCGGAACCCAGGAACAGACCTGTTCCCAGTGTACCAGCGATCTAGAGGACATGAGGAGGAGGCGTGTGCGGGAGGAAATGAGTGCGTACGGCAATCATCTGGACATGGCGCTGCTTGAGCCGCCGCTGGACCTGGTCGAGGTCTGCGGGGTCGAAATGGTAGGCCTGGTCGTCCTGGACGGCGAGCTCCTGGGTGCCCTTCTCGAGGGAGGAGCCCTCGGTCTTTTCGTCGCCAGTCTTGGCGGCATACTGGGCGCCGTAGTCGTTCTGGTCCATGGTGGGGATGGACGGCGGGCGTGAGGGGGGCGTGAGGAACAAAGAAGCACTAGGCGGGAGCGGGGCCTGTGCTTCCCACCTATAAGTAAATTCTCGCGCGGGGAGGCCAGTCTGTCATATGGGCGCCGGGGCGTAGTGGGCGATAAGCCACCTAAGCGACGCCACCGATACCAGCTGCCTATTTTGATTGGCGACGCCCCTCCGACACGGCTGTGCCCCCGCCCCGCCCTCGCCTACGTCGCCCAGTCCCAGCGAGAAATTCCTCGATTTTGGGCAGCAGAGTACGTCGGACGGGTGCGCATAGGCCGAACCACTGATGGCGTCCGGGTAAAATTGCAGGCGTCCGGCTTACGGCACAAAAACTCAGCGGGCCTCAGCGGGCCCAGCGGGCCAGCGAGATCTCAACTCAAATTGATCTCACCAGGAACACTCGGGCTGCAAGATCACCTCGATCACTCCTCGCGTGCCCCACCAGCCACCGCCTCCAATCTCCCGCGACAGTGTACATCAATGCATCACCACCGGGCTGCTCGCGCGACCACCGCGGTCACCACAGCACCGTCGACGCGGTCGCGAGCAGCGACGCTGCAGGCCACCGAGGGCCTCCCACCTCTGTCACGGGCCACTCGGGACGCCGCCACATGCTCAGCGACCGGTATGACGCCAGCGCAGTGTCCCACCTGTCCCAGACAAAATCGGTCGGAGCGACCGACTCTCCCTTATCTAAGCGCCCCGCCGCCCTCTTCCCGAGTGTACCCACTCGTACGGGGCCATCATCAGTGAAAATGAACTGTCCAGGACCGCGCAGTTCATTTCCACCAAGTGATGGGCCCCGTGCAGGCTCTGTCGGAATGTCGCAGTCGCTCTGCGTCGACAGCTGGTAAGAGCGGCGCACTGCGCCACCATCGCGACCGCGTCCTGGGCAGTGGCGCGCGGGTGCGGTCGGGCACCACAACGCCCGACACACGAGTCGTCATGGCAGAAGCATATGCCGTGCGTCCCTTGGGTAGTGGTGCCCATTTACGCGATGTTCCTCGCAAGGACGACGCGGATCGACTACTTCATTCAATGCAGACCCCTGGGCAGGAACACGCCTGTCATGCGCACCATACTGGCTATACGGATTGGGGATACAGTTGCACACCGTATCAGTGGATTTCGAATCTCGCGTTGACGCTGCAGTGGCCAAGCAGTGGCCCCGGACTCCGTGTGATAAGTTGGCAGCGCGTACACGGCGGCGCACCAAAGCAGCCCTCCTGACCACCCCTCGCATCCACGCTGTGCTCCGACACGACATCCAGCGTGGCGCACGACCACTGCGGCGCGCCGGTAGGGTTGCGTGTAAAAGGGGCCTGTAAAAAACAAGCACCTTTTTTACATGTAATTAACGCGTAAAATACCGGTAAAATACTGGACCGTGAGGTGGGCATGTAAGAAAAGGTAGAAAAGAAAGTCACGTGCAGCTGTGGCCGGTACCCTCGGGCCTTACGGTTCGGGACTTGCGTGATCTCGAATCTGAGGCCGAGGGCTGAATCGGGCAGCCAAGACGTCGGCCAATGTACAAAAATTGCGAACATATCCCTCCCCATGCAATGTAGTATACATCTGTGACAGTACTCATATGTACACATGGTAAACCTCACTGCTAATAGCCGGCATAGCCGCCACTCCTGGTATTATGAGACCGTCGCCATGTGCAGCACACACATCAATTGAAGTCGAGTTAGTAAGCAACAACTGTAGTTACACTAGTAGCACTAGCGCGACAAGTCACTGTTGAGCCCACGGCCCACCGTCTTGCTGCTACATCGGTCCTCACAAGCCCGAAGTCTCCATACCTCATGGCTACTAAGTCAAAATCTGATGCTGGTGTCTTTGTATCGAGCGAATGGATACGGAAGGGGAAGGACTTCGCAAACGCCCCACGTTATGTCCACTGTGCACTCCGTGATGCCCTTGCTGTCCCATCGGTCGTCGACACTGCCCTGTTCGCCTCGCCGTCAGCTTCGGTTGGCATCAGGAAACTGTGCAATCTCTGACGGTATGTACGTCTGAGAGCCGGCCTTCAGAGCGTCAGAGCCTGTCAGGGCACTCCAGATATTACAACCCACCAGTTGGTTTCAGATAGTGCCAGAAAGTATCAGGTAGCACAGTACGTCAGAAAGCAGATATCACAAATTTCATCAGGAAACCCCTCCTGCAGATTAATTGGCACAAACGCAATGTATTAAGACTACTACATATCATAATGTACGTCTACCCGTCAGAGCACATGTAGGTGGGGCCCGTGCGCAGAGTTATCCTCGAGCGGGATAGGGGCGCGGAACTGACCACATCCGCGCTTATGGCGCGAGGTGCGCGGCGCGCCGGAGACGTTCTGGACGCTGCTGCACTCGAGGGAAGTGCCTGAGTAGGCGTAGAGGCCTCCGAAAAATCTCCTTACCCTTGGGACCCGGAATTGCGACGGCCTCGTTGCTCTCACGACGCGTCGCCGAGGTCTTCTCCATCCTCGCGTTGAGTGCGGACGCGAGGGTCGCGATCCTCGTTGGTCGCGTCAGCGAGACCCGCCGGCGTCGCGCCGTAGAGGCTGGCGAAGTGCGCTAGGGAACGCTGGAGCTTCGCGAGGTAGTCGTCGTTGTGCGCGAGTGTGCGCTGCAGGATCTGGAACCATGCGCTCGTCGTCGGCTCCGCGGAGAGCGCGTCTTTGTGTGGTGTGGGCGCGGGGCCGGGCACGTGCGGGTGGGTTGGCAGCAGATGCGTAGAAGTTGCGGATGCGGAGGGCGGGGCGGCCGCGCGCGATGTACAGTGCGAGGGAGGTGCTGAAGTACGCGCGCAGGAGAATCGAGATGGAAGTGGGGGAGAGGTTCGGGACGTAGGAATGTAAGAACAACACGGAGGTGACGAGGCGGAGGCTGTAGACCAGTCAGTGAGAGTAGTGCAATGGGTGTTGCGGTCTACCTACAGGAAGAAGCCCCCGTCGAACTTCTTGCCGGGCGTGGAATACCTCCCGGCCCAGCCGCCAACACCGTGCAAGAGGACCTTCTTCCAATTGAGCTCCTCGACCTTGCGGTGGACCGCCTCCTTGTCTCTGCCGTTGAGTCCATTCTGCCGCGAGCTCGAAAATCTGCTGTTCTCGCACCTCCAGCACGTTGATCAGCATGGTCTCATCTGCGGAGTTCTCGACGGGGATCCCGACCGCTGATGGAGCGTGAGCAGGATCGTTCACGATCTTCGCAAGGATCACAAGAGTATGCGATTCCGTGACTTCTGTGCGCCCGTTGGCGCGCCATTCAGACCGACTGACGACAATGCCGCGATAATGTTCGATACCGATGAAGCGAACACACTTCCCGTCGAGGTGAAGAGCGCACTTACCCGGTGGTCTTGCACTCGTGCCCCAGCCAGCACGACGGCGAAATCTGCGCGGCGGACTGTCCAGCCGGGGCGCATTGACAGCACGAACGTGTGAGGGGTGCGGCTGCAACTGTTCAGGCAGAGGTTGGAGGGCGGGCTCAGGCGGTGTATCAGCATCATAGGGTACACGCACTTTATCTCGTGCATCCTCTCGACGTCCTGTTTGCGTTATCCCGTCCCCACTCTCTGTTCTCGCTCGATCCAAACCCGTGGCCACGCGCGCCAGTCGTCCGTCGTCATGGTATGTCAGGGTTATAAGGTGTAACATAGGCTGAGGAGGCGGTCGACGAAGACGTCCGTGCGGGCTCATCCACGCGCGGGCGGAACGTCCGGTGGAAGTCGAGGTTGAGCAGCAGAGCTCTGCCACGTCAGAGGGTCGTGCCGGCGAGGGCCCAAGCAGCGCAGGATAGGTCGAAAACGCGGGTCAGTCAATGGCAGGGTGGGTGACCAGATGACGGGTGGATGTCCGCGCGAGCGAGCGGGAAGGTGCTTGGGTACGTGAATGTCGATGTGGAGGAGGAGAGCACGACTCGCAGGCGCAGCTGAAGTGCTAAGCGCCTCAGCCACTGCGACACGTCAGTGACGCGCGCTTGCTACCGTCCTCTCGCTGCACTTCACCACACCTCCATCTTTGGCCTCGGCACCCCCTTCGCTTCGCTTCTACCTACCTCGATCACATATGTGCAAGTCCGTCCGCAAGAGACGTCGGCATGTGAATCAACCGGCCACGCGCCCCACGATTGCGTGGCCCAGCAGCTGCAACGGGCTCCAAGCGACGCGCAACTGTGACGGGGGAGGGGGGCGAAGGATGGTCGCGAAGGAAGGAAAAATGTGGGTAGAAGGCAAAGTGATCAGGTGAGTACTACAGCTCTTGTCGTCTTGCGACCTTGCCTGGCGAACGCAGTCAAACGAATGCCAGCGCGCGCAGGTCTCCCTCTAACGTCGACGCCGACGGCTTCGTTCATCTCGCCTCTCTACCTACTGTCTACTCATTGTACAAGACCTGGGGTATGGCTGGAGAACCCTACGCGACAGGTGCGTACGCGACATCGCTGCGCAGCGCCCACAACCCCATCCACTAATATCAATCACAGGACGTATACCTTACCGGGGCTTAGCATTTTAATCAATTACCCTCGTTTTGCTACGACACTCATGGCCCCGCGGCGCATCCTCCAACTCCCTTAGCCCGCCTGAGGTCGTCTTCCCTGGCACGGGTTCCGCGTCTCCGGGAACATTGCTGTGTTCTGTCTCGCCCTTGAATGGGCTCACGCAGTTCCTCTCGAGGCCGACGAATTGGTTTAACCGTGTGACGTCCGACAAGGTGTCACGCTCTTCAATTAGTTCCAACGAACCGAGGTCCAGCACGAGTTCTTCAGGCCGGAAGCACAAGATCTCGCACCCAACGGACCCTCAGCCAAATCCTTGTAGGCCCGCTGAAGATGAGCGCGCCTCTAGCTCGAGGAGCCAGGCTGCCAAGCACCGGCGCGTCAGCCCGATGAGCCCACGCGCGAGCACGATGGACGACCCGCACGCGTCGAGCAACGTGTAAGCTCATGGATTAGTGCTCGACAACAGAGTCTTGACGTGCATGGGCCCACCGGGTAGTAGTGGGCGCGAGCTTAGTGTGAGTGTTGCCGTGGAGTGCCATTACGTGTTTGTTGGTTCGTTCTCTTGTGCACTCCCCATGTATGTACAGTAGTATGCCATTAGAGCTGTCTATAATGACGGAAATATATTGTTGTTGAGCATATGACATCTGAAGTCACTGAGAGTCTGACACATTATCTGACCACTCTGGATCACTCTGAGACTTTCTGAAGATGTCTGAGAATTCTATCTGACAACAACAATTTGCGAAAATTCGACACCTTGAGGACTGGCCAAATGAACCGTTCTGACGCGATCTGAAGTGTCCTGAGCGCTTATGAAGCCCCTGACAGGGCCTGTCAGAGGAATTGCACGAAAACCTGATGGGATACGGAAGGGGAAGGACTTCGCAAACGCCCCACGTTATGTCCACTGTGCACTCCGTGATGCCCTTGCTGTCCCATCGGTCGTCGACACTGCCCTGTTCGCCTCGCCGTCAGCTTCGGTTCTTACATTCCTTGCAACCCCACAAATACCAACACTCTCACCGGGAGCCAACGACGGCGCAACTGTTGCTGTCAGAGACTTCTTCTCTGAAGACCCCCCATGCCTACCGACATTCCGTGCCCTGCGGGAGCTTCCTGTACCGCCTATAGAGCTTATCAACGAGCTGTTTCGTGCTGTAGGTCAGGAATGGCTCAGTGGCAAGCTCTCGATCCACTATCAACATCTGCATTCGACGTCGTACGCTGCGAATGATGGAGCCGGATCACCTATGCCCTTCTATGTCCTCAGCATCTGGCGCCGAGTACACCATAGACAACAGACGTACACAACCTGGACGAAGGCAGAAGCATGGTTGGCTAGCTGCCGGCAGCCAAACGTGTCCTCAACGCGGCTCCTCTTGACCCGGATCCCTTACTCGGGTCGCATCCTAGGGCTTGATGGTAGACCAGACACGACCGAGCTCGCTATATTCCTGTCGCAAGAGTGGCTATCTTCAGATCATATCAACATGGTCTGTGAGATCCTGCGCACCGATATTGAGGCCAACAAGGACCTCTGTAGCAAACACGTCATCTGGGACACGTACTGGACGCAGCTGCTCCAGCAAAAGTATGCCCATGCGATGGAGAAGGCATGTAGTGATGGTGTACCTATGCCACCGCCATGCGATGTCCTTCCTCCGTGGATGCTCGCGTTCGGAGAACGCCTCGCTAACGGCGAACTCCACTCGATCGGCATCATCTTCAACCTGAACGGAGCTCATTGGGTCTCCGTGGTAGTCGACTTCGAGGAAGGGCAGATCCTTTATGCCGACTCGATGGCGCAGAGCATGTCGTCAGAAGTGCACCATCTTCTAGATTGGTGGCTGACCCCATACGCCAAAGAGCGGCTCACCGTCACATCCCTTCCCTGCACGCAACAAGCTGTTGGCGACACCTTCTCGTGTGGGATATGCGCCCCAAATGCTATTGCCCACCGTTACTTCCCCGAACGGCATCCGTTGATTGCGCCTGATGCTGTTGACGGCGCTCGCATGGACCTCCTGCATCGCATCTGGGACTATCTGCAACATCTCGTAAGTATCTGAATGCTTCTATGTCTTCCATGAGACTGACGTACCTTGCGTGTCAGCCAATCGAACCATCTATACCGCTGCCAGACGTGACAGACTACGATATCCTTGGCAATCAACAAACCGTCGGAGATGCCGATCCTACTACCAGTGTTGATGTTTTTGGCGCGCCGGTCAACACGGCGATCTGTCCGAGTCAACCAGCAGCGCCGTCTAAGTTGCCGCAAAAGGCAGCTACCAAGAAGCGGATTCGAGTCGAGGGGACTGCAAAGGCAAGGTCAGCAGAGACGCAAGACTCGGAGAATGTGTTAGGCAGGCGAGAGCATGACGAGGACTCAGCGTTCAATCAGTGGCAGGATCGGCTTTTGCTGGGGAAGGGGGCAGACAGACTGCGGAAGCGGCCGGCCAAACGCCAGCGCAAGGCCAAGAAGCAGAAGCCGCCACGGCCCACGGAGGTATTCAGGGCTCCTATCTGTCATTCAATGACGTACTGACAAGTGATTATCCATAATATCAGCGAACGTTTGCACCGAACCCTGATGATGTCCTGAGCTCGGACATATCATCAAGTTCGGACAGTGACGCAACAAACACGGGAGGCCCTGCAGCAGCTAAGACAGGACGTCCTCGCAAACTGCTCCTTGACCGGCTCACTCGCCCGCTCCCGCCGGTGAACGGCAAGAGCCGCTACAGCTGCGCAGGAAAGAACTGCACGCACAGATGGCAAGGTCGAACAATGGCGCGTGTCCTTTCTCATGCCAGTCGCTGCCAGTTTCTGTCATCAAAACGGCGAGCTGAGGCGCACAAGGCGAGCAGTCATAACGCACCGAGTGCCCGGTATGCCCGTGCCGTGGCTGAGCTCGGTCAGGCAGTAGCTCCAGACAGCAGCACAGAGCAACCACCAACCCTGGCCACCGCCGCGTCCTCTGTGTTCTCCGCATCCCAGCCCATCAGTGCACGTAGTACAGACGCCGCATCTGCCAAACCAAAACATCAGCTTACACTCAACGTCGTTGCTGGGAAGATAACACGCGCCTGGCTGAAGGCACAGCTTGATCCCGTTGTTCTCAAACTCGTATGCTGCAATGGCCTTCCCCCGTCTGTGGTTGAATCCGTGTGGTGGAAGGAGCTCTGGAAGATCGCAAATCCCAATTACTCACCTGTGTCTCGAAGTACACTGGAGGAGACCCAGATACCGCAGGAAGCGGAACACATACGTCAGCTTCAAATCGAGCTTCTCCGCATGCAGAGTAACCTAACCGTCACATACGACGGTGGTGCGAACAAACGTCACCAGTCATATTACACCGTTCACGTCACAACGGCAGCTCCAGATCGCCAGTCGTACCTTGTTGACGTCATATCGGGGAGCGGTGTGCGCCATCAAGCTAAATGGTTAGCACACGGAGTTCTCAAGGTGCGAATGAAGCCACTATTGTGCACTAATTTACAAGGTTGATCCTAAACGTGGAGCAGGTTGTCGACACAATTGGCCGAGGGCGCTTCAGTGCCGCGTCGTCAGACAGCACTGGGAACACCAAGGCCTGTCGGCGGCTTCTCTGCGCCACAATCCCGACGGTTATGAATATCCCCGATCCTGTCCACCACACGAACCTGCCAGTGAAGAACACCAGTAATCTGCCCTTTTTCAAGGAGGTCATATCAGTTCTACGACGCACGCTTAAATTTTTCTCGAAGTCGGACCAAGCGTTTGAAGAGCTTGCCGCCATTCGTGACAATCTTGACATACCGCGCGGTCTTGAGAAGATCGGTAAAACCCGCTTCGCCATGATCGTGCGTGCGGCTGTTGCGATGCGGCGGTGTCTTCCCGCACTGCGGGAGGGCTGTTCGAGTGGTAAGATCAAAGTGGAGGTCAGTAGCTGTCTATCATACCTTTGCCGTCATTCATCCCTGTCTCACATACTGCTTTTGGCATGCAGGAGACAAACGAGTGCTTTCTGCGTGACTCGGCGTCAACTTTGACGTTTGAGACGCAGCTGAACCAACTACTGAGCGTCAGCTTACCGTATGCAAAGACGATTGTTTGCCTCGAGTCCGCGCAATGCACACTCGCTGACGTATTCTTGTACTGGTGCGGAATTGCTTCGGATTTGAAGACTGTCCTCAGCCAGAGAGCATCGGGGATCCCCGACAGCGTGAAGAGCGAGGTACGCGCGATCTTCAATACTCGATGGTCGGAGATGTTCGAGGACGGACCCACCGATGTGCATCTCGCCGCGGTATACCTAGATCCTGGTCAGTGGGCATCTACAGAGCACTATCAGACTGATTACTCACACATTCCACCGAAGTGTACCTCAAGTCCGACCTCTTCAAAGAGCCCGTTAGCGATCCTCCGGCGAAATCTGATCCAGGAGCCCGTATCAAGCATCTACGCATCTTCAAACGTGTAGGGAAGTACCTTGTAGTGCTGCTTGGTGCCGAAGTTGAACACGGTGATCATCCGCTACTGCATGTACCTGAAGAAGAGAAGCGGGCTGTCAAGAAGCGTTTTTTCAGTCAACTCATGGCATACGCACAGGACGACCATCCATTCTCAGCCCCGCACAAACAGGGCCAAACTGTTCTTGAGTGGTGGGAGGCGCACCGAGAGTCTCCACACGCCGATATCCTTGCAGTATGTCTTGTTGTACCAATGGTCGGCCACATATTCACCTGCTGAAATTCGCCTCACAGGCCCTCGCCATCAAGATCTACTCAGTTATGACAAACTCGATGCCAGACGAACGTACCGCGTCGATCTTCACTCGGCTCAACAGTCCTGTGCGCAACCGCATGTCGATGCAGGCAATGGTTTCGCAGGCCCAGATACAGCAGTTCTATCATACACAGAAGGTATTGGACAGTCATTGCAGTGAATATCCGGAGTACTATGCTTACCGTAGAGCCTTCTGTAGCCACGCGCCACAGTTTCTCCTGTCTCAGCGAAGAGATTCTACGAGCTGAACAGCACCTTACGAGAGGACACATCACTGCGTAAGAACAGTAAGCACCAACGTACGGAACAGGGCATACAGGCCAAATTACCTGCGATAGAGCCGGACGGTGACGACGACGACATCGATGACTCGAGTGGTGATTCCCCGGCTTGGCTCGATGAGAGCGTCGAGCATTGCGGCGCCGCGGCGATCTTCCAGATTGAAGAGTATATCAATCTCGAGTCGGTGGTGCTGCATGATTTGCTCTCCAGCGACGCGCCGGACCGATCTGCTGCGTCCGATGGCAAGAAGGAAGCCGCAACTGACAAGTTGGCCCAGGAGTTGGATGGAGCAGATACCGATGGCGAGGTGGAATGGGTCTTCGATTTCGACATGTAGATACATTACAGCCATTCGGAAACATAGTAGTTGCTTGCTCGCAATGAGAGTACAGTGCGCGAGACGCAAAATCCTGACGAGCGACGCACAATGGACGACAACATCGAGTCGGATGGCTCCGAACGCGAAGCGCAAGCTCGTCACGTGACTCTGTTTGTTACGGTAAGAAACACTGGTAAGAAACGCACACCGCGCCGGCAGTTACTTACCTACCGGTAAGTTACAGTGCTCGAGTTTCTTACGCAACCTTAGCGATCGGGCACCCGGCTGCAGTGGCGGTCGATGCGTATATTGCATCGCTATCTCAAACGAGCGAGCTCGACAGGTGCTTCCGCGAACCTCGTCCGCCTGCGTGCCCCTCGCTTTCGAGGTCCGAGGGGTGTGTCGGTATGACTGGACCCTCTCAGGGTCGTAGCGAGCCAGTGTTGAGCTCGCCGTCGTGGAACGACGACCAGGGTAGACTCCAGGGAAGCCTGGAACGTTGAATCAGCCCTCGGTACTACACACATGTCACCGGAGCTTGATACCACCAGCCTGCTAGTTCCAGTCAGCATCCAGACATTTTCTCTAGATAGGGCTGGCTGGTACGACAGCCAAGAAGCCGGAATGTACTGACCCCGGCAGCTGGTCGCATATCATCCGACGTCGGACGGCGCACAGCGGCTGTTTGTGCCGCTGCCAGCGCGTTCTCGCAGTCAAAACGCGCAGCCTGCTAACTTACTGTCAATGGTGAGAAGGAAAGTTGTCATACACCCCCCTCTGACCGCAACAACACCAATGCAGACGACACCAAGAATTGGCTTGCTCTCATGTGTCTGAGGTACTTGTCTCTCCCTAGGACAGATGTTTGACAGGTAGGTCGTCTTGTCCAGGATTCCTAGGGCAAACTGAGGCTCCACACAGGTTTGTCGAGCAAAGTACACACGGTTCCGCAACGACTGTCACCGCCAGAACGTCATGCAAGCGGGCCGCAGGTCGACGTACAGCCAGCCTACAAGTCATGACTCATGAGTGCTTACTGCTCATTTTATTCGAAATTCGTACCTTTATCCCTTGCATCTGTGGGGGTCTCACCAGGGACGGGCCAGTGAATTTCTTGCGTAGTCCAGGCCATGGCTGCTTCCTGGGAAGTACCCATGACCGTTACATAGCTGTTATTGACTGTCAGTCCCCTACCAATGAGGGATGGGTGCAGCTCGTCCAGCCAGAATGTAGGTGGCATCTCCTCCAGTACGTACTTACCTGCTTGGACTGGGTGTGTGCATAGGCTGTGCACAGGCAGGTCCACACAGTCTTATATTGCACACCGGCTGTCATTTTTTCCCGTCTCCTTGATTATCAGAGTCTGCTGCGGGGCGGAGCCCCATGCCGGACTGTGCTGTCGTGGACCGGCTGTCATACAAGACCATTGTGGGTCTCACTATGGTAACACGTCTCAGTTTCCTCAGTACACTATCCTACAACCATACTAAACTACAGGTCTCCCAATGGTATATTCGTACAATTCACACACCAGAACGTAGCGGCATTTGAAACATTTCACCATTACCTCTCCTCCTTAACACCCAACTCCTCCGCCAAGATCTGCAATGCCTGCATCCACCGTCAGCCACAATCGACGGCCTCCAGCCAAGCGCCACTCACCAGATACTTGCTCAGATAGCGCGGATGCCCGAACATGCCCATCGCGACCCACAGCCCGCGCTGGCTCGTTGGGCGGTACGCGTTCGCGTGCTCGCCCTCCGCGTCCAGGTCCCACACCCGCGTGCCGATCTTGTCCGTGATCGACGCGCCGAAGAGCGACGTGATCGTCTCGATCGCTGGCCGGTGGCCCGTCCTACGGATGAGCGGAGGCGAGGTCAGCAAAGGGGCAAGGGGATGAGTGGACGACGCACGCTAGGACGAGGACGTCTGCGGGTATGCGCGTCCCGTCGGTGAGCACGACGGCGTCGCCCTCGAGGGTGTCGATCTCGCCGTGCTGCACCTAGAGCGAGGTGGCGCGGCTGTGAGCGAGACGCATTCGAAGAGGTCGACACACACTCACCTTGACCTTCCCATCGACGATGAGCTGCCCGCACCCCGTGTCCAGAACTGCTCCGCGTCAGACAACCCACCTCACACGAAGCCCAAGTACCCGGTCACTCACGCGCGCCCGAACCCAATCTCTTCATCACAAACCCCGGTATGCCGAGCTCCTCGCTGTCCCCGTCCACCGTCCAGGTAAGCTGGAAGCCCGCGCGCGCCAGCCCGTCGAGCAGCGCCTTGTCCTTCGCCTTCTGCACAGGCACGCCGACGGCGGCCTGCAGCTTGAAGAGGAAGGGCAGCGGCATGTGCTGCGCGTTGAAGTCGGCGTCATCGATGGCGTACTTCTCCGGGTAGCTCACGCTGTGGAAGAGCTCGTCGGACGTCTGCACGGACATGACGCAGGTCGGGCTGCGTTGCAGGAGCGTCACCTGCGGGACGTGAGCTCACTTTGGCGGGACGGTGAGACGAGAATTAGGACGTACGCTGCTCGCTTCCTTGACGAAGAAGTCGAGGCATATGTCAAATGCTGTATTGCCCTGGGCCGCTGTGATCAATCACTCGTGCAGGTTTGAAGGATAGCGATGCATGACGTACCGCTCCGACGACAACGACCTTCTTGTCCCGGAACGGCGCCGCACCACGGTGCTCGCTCGCGTGGTACATCACTCCCTTAAACGCATCCGCCCCACGCAAGCGAGGAACGCTCGGTTCGCCGTAGCCTGTCGCCACGATGATATGCTTAGGCCGCAGGACCGTCTTAGTACCAGCACGATCAACAGTCGCAGTCCAGCGCTGGACAGCCTCGTCATATTGGGGCGTAGGGAGGAGCGTACTCGAGGTCCAGATGACGAGGTCTTCACCCATCGCAAAGTATTCGAGCTGATTTGCGACCTTTTCCTTGGATATGTACTTCGGGTACAACCGACTGCACTAAGAGATCAGTCGACTGACGAGCACGACAGCGGCAAACTGACGGCCAGGGGTACTCTGACATGACTATATCGCCGCATGAGTATCACGTTGCTGTTCGAGGCAGAGGACAACTTACCCTCACACGAATGAGCCGGCGAGTGCAGCCGCAGTGATCGGTATCTACTCGGAGATGAATTGGTTGTGATTTTTGATGGTCAGACGGCATACCGTTTCCTCCACACATCACCAATGCGGCCGTCTTTCTCGACGACGAGCGCGCGGACGCCCAGTCTCGTCAGTCGCACTGCACACGACAGTCCTGTTAGACCGCCACCAACTGAAAAAACCTTCAGCTACCGACTGCATATAGCCATCCTTGACTCACCAATCAATACCGTAGGGTCCGCTTCCGTAGCAACAGCACGTCTCGCCTGAACTTCCTCCCACGTAGCGTGGTCAGGGAAGATACCCAACGGGCGTTCGCAAGGCTCCTCATGGCCGATCAAGTCTCGCAAGCTGAGCATCAGGATGAAAGCCTTCCATTCCGATGCGTCCTCCACGAGATACGCGTATCCTCTGCCCTTCGCCAGTGGAGACGACAAGACGAAACGGAACGTCGCGCGTACTCCTTGGCCATCCGACGCCAGCGGCATGGACTCGAAGCTCGGAGGACCTAAGGTGGAGGAGAGCTCGACTTCGACGTCATGGAGTCCCGCGCGAGCGAGGCGCGTCGTACCGCTGGGCTTCTCGGATACGTAGGAGGCGATCTTCTGCTTGCCAGACAAGCTGCGGAAGTCCCATGAGAGACATAACATATCTGGCGATTTACGAATCAGCCTAAGCGTGCGTTCGTTCGGATAGTTGAACGGACCTTTGAGCCATCCCTCGGGGGCGAACAGGTTGCTGAACGCGACGACGTCCCCTGCCACAGACGACTGTTCCAGGCGGCCTAGCCAATGCTTCGCAATATCGACGGCCCGCGCGGAGTCGTCTGCACGTAGATCCATGTTGTGGTTATCACGCGTCGTAAGAAGGCGACAGTGACGGCCAAGGGAACAGGGCCTGAGGCAGCAGGCTCCTTACATGCGGCCTATATGGAAGGCTGTAGATGATGATCAGCGCTGCAAGAAGAGCAGACGCTTCTCGCGTTGCTTCCTGATGTTCGCCGGCCGCGCTATCGTCGTCGAACTATGGAAGTACATACTTGTTGCAGCGATCATGAGCGTCGCGGACGACCATCGACCACACCGCCGCGGCGCGCGTTTGTGGCGAGCGTGTCGGAGCCTGCACGCGGTCGCTGTCCTCCCGTATGGTTGACGGGACGTCCGAGGTTCGTTTGCCGCGCGCCTCGGGCATCTGCGGGCCAGGCCGCTTACGTAAACTGACCTCGCAGACAGTGTCTCGCTAGTATTTGGCTGCTTTTTCAATAACGGACACAACTCAGGATGCTGAAGAATACCATACCGTGCTTTACTGGCTTTTCCGGGTGTCGAGATCGAGTTCTGAGATGCACTGTCCGCAAAACCGCCATTTCTGCGCACGGACAACATAAGCGCCGGTGATAACGGGCATATCAGTGATCTAATCTGACATGGCTACCTAAACGGGCGGTCTTCGGACAGATTACTATGTCAGGTTGCGATGCTAGTATCTGAGTAGTATGTGCCTCACTGACATTCCTTGGTTATGCTAACGTGCATCGGGCTGGACAAGTTTTGTGCTTGAATGTTATTGATTTCTCGGACGAGCAGGTGATCTCCAGCTACATCTACCCATTTAGGCAGCGAACTTAGATAAGATCACTGATGTGCTCATTATCACGGGCGCTTACAGCATGTCTTCCCAAAATGACCATTATTACGTGTCCTTATCCCACACAGACCGGGAAACCTACTGAGAACATCTGTAAGGTCCATATAAATCGGTTCAAATGCACCAAGAGTGTGTTGGGCAGTCCGACACGAGCGAGGGACACTGTGCGAGCGAAGCTTACGTAAGCGGCCTGGCCCGCAGATGCCCGAGGCGCGCGGCAAACGAACCTCGGCGAGTCGGACGTCTCGCCAACCATACCCCGACTCGACGTCGGACTCGGAACGCTCCCAAGTACATACGAATCACACATTCGTTCGATCCATCCACATAGTCATGACCGTCAGCTGATACCTCGCACAATTGGTAAGTATGACTTCCAGAACTGAGAAGCCCCGCACTCCCTGCTACTCCCTGGCCGAGACCGCCTCGCCTCGCAGCGGCAGCACCACGTTGAGTGCACGCGGTCGAAGTAGGAACTGAACTCAATTCTGCTGTTGCCTCCTCATCTACACCCACGTCCTCTGATAGCCCGGGCCAGCCCGTACCAGATACCAACATGGGAGCCGATGAACTCGATGCCCGAAAGTCAGTCCACGTAGTCGATTATACGCCCAGCACGGAAGTGTGGTACAGCGATGGCAGCGTCGTCCTCGTCGCCGAGAAGACGGCCTTCCGAGTCCATGGCACCATCCTAGCGACGCACTGCGAGATTTTCAAGGACATGTTTGCCATGCCGCAACCCGTCACGCCTGACCCCAACGCCGAGACTTACGAAGGGTGTCAGGTCTTGCGCCTGCAGGACTCATCGACGGACCTCAAGCACTTCCTCAAGACTATCTACGACTTCACGTAAGCCACCATATCCTTGCTTCTCATGCATGGTTTGTGCTGATTCTCTTCGTCAGGTACTTTCGACCGGGGTCGAAGACAAAGTTCCCCATCGTCGCTGCCGTGCTCCGCTTAGGGACGAAGTACGACGCACCCGCTCTCCGCCAACGTGCCGTCGACCATCTCTCAACCGCGTATCCCTTTTCACTCGAGGAGTGGGGCCGGAGGGCTTCCAAGCGCCTGGTCCCTCCCTTCGAGAACGAGCTCGCGGCTTACATCGAGCTGGCGATAGAGACCGACATCCGTGTGGTCCTTCCGGCGCTGTACTACGCCGCGAGCAGGGTACCGCTGCCCGACGTCCTTACCATGTTGCACAACCTGGCGGTGGCACCGGGCGTGCAGTGGGACGTGTGCCGTGCATTCCTCGTCGGCAGAGAGAAGCTTCTGCTTGCGGAGCAGGCCAGTGCACTCGCGTTCTTGCAGCCCGACTTCCCTCGATCAGACTGTCGGGGCGGCTCTTGCAGGCAAAGGATCGACGAGACAGCGAAAAAAACGCTTCCCAAACCTGTCAGCGATCCGGAGCCGTTCTATCGGTGGTGTATGGACAAGCCAGACGAGATGGCTAAAAATATCGCGCTATGCGAAAGCTGCCAGGGCACCGTGGCGACGTCCATCAAGAACGGAAAGCAGAAGCTTTGGGAGCAGCTGCCTGACTTCTTCGGACTGCCGGGCTGGGACACCTTGAGGGCCAGAGACGGGCTTGACGTCAATGATGACCAGGATAGTGCATGAGCGCGAGCGCGAGACTCCGGTTGTATCATACATGGATACCAGGCAATTTGTACGCATGCTGCTGCAGGTTCGGTGTAACACATCCTGCACACTTGATGGGCTACCGCAGTGGCCCTCTCTGGCTTCGCAGGTCGTTAACCGCCTCACCTTCCTATGCGTATACATTCCACAAACCCCTTTCACCCCGGTTTATGACTGCGCGCATGTACAATACGTTGGCGCCGTTGATATCCAGAGTGCATGTCGATCGATTAGCAGAAAGCGTTTCTATACAAAATACAAGCACCGTCCGTGAGTCAAATCTATGCGTGTCATCTATGTGGGAGCGAGAAATTGCGATGATATGTTGCTAACCAACTGCAAACAAAATCTGCTGATCCGTCGTCGAGAAAGTCGTGTAACGTGGGTGGGCGTGTGGTATCGCGCAATGGTTCACATGTACAGAGAAAATGCTGAGCCGGGGGTGCGGGCATCAGCATTTTCCCCAGAGCTTGCCTCCGAGAACATAATATCTTGAGAGCATAAGGAGGATCACGGCGACCTCGATCGTGGTCCCTATGGCGATGTTGTTAGCTCTGTCTCAATCATTGCAAAACACAAGTCGACGCACCGGCATAGTACCCGACAGCCTTATAACTGCCTGTCGCAGTCTGAATCGCACCAGAGATCGGCGGGCCCGCGAGCGCACCGAGCGCCAGGAGCGTGAACGCCATACCGACGCGTGCGCCGACGTCCTTGATCTCACCCATACTGACTATGGGCTTGGCGACCAGCGACGCGAATATTCCTGATGCCATACTGCGCGCACGAGGATTAACTTGTGATGCTCATAGGATGGTCGGCGATGCCAGCTTACCCGTAGAGGATGGCGATGACAATGTAGCCTGCGGTGCCGCCCGCGAATGGCCATGCGTATGTCATGATTCCTGCAACGACGTTTGCGGGTGTAATGACATTCAGCGGGCCTGATGAACCAGTACATAAGCGAGCCGCTCGAACAGGGCATTACATAGCATATACGCACCGTACTTATCCGCGAGGAGGCCAGCCGCAACACGCCCGACGAGCGAGCCGGCGTTCGCGATCGGCAGCAAGTAGAATGACAGGTTCTCCGGTACGCTAGTGCCCTGTGCGCTGATGTCGATGTACGTGAGGACGGTGTAGAGCCCGAGGAAGTTGACGAAAGCGGCGGCAGAGTACAAGGTATATGCGGGCTTCTTGAACGCCTGGAAGCTCAGGAACGGACCGCTTTCCTTCTTTGGTGGCAGTCGTCGTTCTGTCGTCTAGTTCAAGCAGACGGACGTTCATAATCGAAGAGGCTGTAAAGACGAAATGGTTGCTTACCAGAATGCAGATACTCAGGAGGAAGAGCAGGATAAAGCCCAGAATGCGCATCGTCCACTTAAATCTGAGTTACCGGTGTGTAAGTCTCATGGCACCGCCGCATACATAGACACATACATACCCCACTTGTTCAATGAGATTGCGCGTAGCTATTGGAAACAATGCTCCACCCACGCTCGAGCCGGTCGCGGTAAGACCATACGCGAGGCCTAGCTTACGCTTGAACCAATGTGGGAGGATGCCCAACTGAGGCCCAAAGATTGCTCCGCACGCAAACTACGAAGAGAGCAGATGAGCATATATGCAAACCGTAACTTGGAAGTAGACGTACGCCAACTGCAAGCCCTTGGCAGAGCATGAGCTGCCAGAACTCCGTGCACTCCGCAACCAGGAAGGTGGCGGCGACGAGCAGGGCGGATGCACACACCAAGGGCCCCTTGAAGTAACCCATGTCGAACAAACGTCCGCACAGAAGACCGGGGATAAACACCAATGCATACTACGATGGATGTGAGCCAGGCGAATGTCCATACAGTGCCATGCAACGGACCTGTGTGGAACCTATCCATGCAATGGTTGACGGAGGTGTGGTAGGGAGCATAGTCTCCTCATAATACGCTTGGAAGACCTGTATACGAATTGAATGCGTGAGGCAGGGATACGTTAGCGTCATACCGTAGTGTGCTTACACCCCAGGCGTTCACGAAACCGAATGTGGCAGCAATACCACAACCGACCTGCATATATTGCGCCCCCAATCAGACTCAATGACAACATGATTCGAATAACAGTGCACGCACCCCGAGAGCCACCAACCACGCACGAAGACCGCCATCAGGGAAACCACCGTCCTCGGGCTGTTCACTGCTCGAGACCTCCTTCGCCGTGCTCTCGTCCTTTTCGCGCTTCTCGTAGTCCTTGTCACCCTCTGCCTCTTTCGACTTCTTGCTGATGTTCTCATCTGTACCACGGATGGTGCTTTTGTCGATCGAGGACGCGCGGGTACGGCTGCCCTGGGGAGTCGCTTGTCCTGCCTGTTCTGCGGCCATCGTGAGGACTCGTCAAGTCGTGAGGGATGTGTCCGCTGACACTACACAGAACCTATATGCGAGCAGTCAGTATCCGACACTGGTGCACGCATGCGGCCGCTGTACGCACCGGTGCGTGCGTCGAGAAAAGCGGAAGAGCGAGGGCGGGCTGCTCATGGTACGGGGAGGGGGGTGGGTCATTATATTACATGCTTGGCCTGGGGACCGGCTTCGACGGCAGACCCGAATCTCCAGCGCGCAGAGGCAGACCGAGACCGGGTGAAAGGTTGCAGCCGATCGTCCGACACAACGCCATCGTCCGATCACATGTTCTCATCCTCCGGCTTCCCGCTCTGCACCGCACTCTGCGATTCATGTGTATACCAGAGTCGGACTTACCGCCTCAGGCACTAGTCTGTATGCTTTCAATGTCGGTAGCACAGAAGAGACTGCTATGTGCAAGCTATGTGAAACGTCCAGTGCTCTACTGGACATGCATCACGGGGTGCATGGCGGTCAATACAATATACTTGTCAGGAATTAATCATACTATTGTGATCCCGCCGACACAGCCCAAGAGGAGTGCATCAGCCGTGCCGGCGGTTTCCTTCTCCAACCAGGCATCGAACTCCTCAAACAGCTGCATCGCGCGTCCGCCGTGCGCCTTCTCCGCGACCTTTGCGGGCCACATCGCCTTCTCGTGAATGCCGACAAAGTTCACCGCGATGCGCGCGTCCGGGTCGTGCTCTGGGATCTTCACGACCATGTCCAGCGACCACGCGTCGTGCCCGTAGAACGAGCCCTCCTTGACGTAATGCCGCGCGTACTCTTCCGGCGGGCTTTCGTCCAGCGTCCACTTCAGCACATGGGCGTTAAATGCGATCGCTGGCGTCCGATTCAGATCGTGAGTTATTCTTCGCCGGGGACACTCGCCGCACCCACCTGTCCAAATAATGCCCGGGTGTCTGACCAAGAGCGTCAGGCTTCGAGTACCCGAGTGCCGGTCGGTCGTGTCATTCGTCGCTGAAACAGCGAACCCATGATCTATAGCGTCCAAGTGCTCTGACTTGAGCGGCAATTCGAACTTATACGGAGTCAGGAACTGGACGTGTTCAAAGAAGCATGGCTCGGATCAATATCGTTGATCGGGAAAATCGAGATGTCGAGCGCTGCTTACCGCCGAAAATGGATAGACGACGTCCCAATCGTTGTTCCAGGCGTCCATGGTCATAGGCGTCGGTACCGCGCCCGGTACACTCCAGTCCTCCGCAATGCGCTGGGCGAGCTGCGGGAAACCCGGCGCACTGTCTGCAGCAGCAACGTGCAGGTACTGCTCTTGCGTCGTAATCTATACGTATCGAAGCCCGGTTCAACTAATAGCGAATGCAGTATTGGCGGCGGTGTCACTCACATTCTCCATGTGAATCACGAACATCCTCTTCTGGTGCATTTGATCGAACGGCGAACGCATTGAGAAGACAGCAATGGCAACTGCAGTCAGCATCGTGCACAGCACGGTCGCACGTGTAATGGTTCGTTGCCCGAAACGGTGCATGAACGGCACCAATAGAGGCAGCGTGTATGCGCCTACACCTGCCACGATGGATGCAATGATGTGCTCGGCAGGAGCTTCCTCGCCAGTCCGACCGGTCTGTCAATAACAAATCAGCCATCTGCCGTACACAGCCGACGCAGCTCAAACCTACCAGCGGCACGAACACGTCCAGCACGATGAAGAACATCTGCGCGCCCAGTGACAGAGGCGTGAACAACGCGACCGCGTAGCTCCAGAGCGATATATCATCGCCAGCCTTCGTCAAAATAGCGTTCAGGGCGGTCGCGACGACCATCGGGAAGGCCGTCAGCGCGAACACGCCCGCAGAGCCGACACCCAGTAGCTGGCCTACGCACGCCACGAACGATTGCAGGAGTATCACGGACGCGAATGTTGTGCGCTCCCGAAGCCGACCGAAGGGCAACTGCGACAAGAGCGCACCTGGTCCACATGCCAATTAGCTGGTTGATGGCCAAGTGTATGCTATGACTAAGACGTACCAGAGAGCGCAGCAGGCGCATACAGAAGCATGCAAGACCGCTCCGAAGAGAACCAGCTCATACCCTTGCCGAGCCCTTTCGCCATAAGTAGTGCAACCACGTTTGCACCCACCAAAGCCCCGATGACAGCTGCACCCACTGCTGCTGCGCTCTTCACCTGCTCCCCAAGCGCACTCTTTGTCCGGAGTGCAGGGGCGGGGTCCACGTACACTGCGCGGGCGAGCGCGGCGGAGGCGACGAAGAGCGTGATGTAGAGGATGTTCGCGGTTCGGAAGGAGTAGATGATGAAAGCACCCAGATACTGGTAGAAGACTGTCTTCGGCTTAGTGAAGCCCGCGGTGAGGTTGGGCAGGGGCGACTCAGGAGAAGAGAGGTGGAGGAGCAGGGCAAGGACGTTCTCGCCCATGTGCTGCGCTACGCCTGGCTCGATGTTCTCTACGAGGTCCTAGACATTCCTCACTCAACCGCTGCCACTTGTGTGTAGTGGGGGAAACCTACTTTGCGCATATGGTACAGATAACTGTTCCCGATCACAGCGATCTACCATGATTTATGAGATCACTACATTTACCCTCTAGAATACCACTTACATCTAATCCAGTGACATTCATATAATCTTGGAACTGTCGAAAGTCGGTACTGGCACGGAGATAGCGTCATTCGAACTGTACGCAAGTACATCCGTGGACGGGTGCATGCACAGGCGTGGGGTACTCACTCTGAGAGGATGATTCCCGAACTGAAGACTTCGTTGGCGACGATCGTCCCGTATGGCCTGGGTACATGAGAGTATGCGCGGATCATCTCCTCGGATGTCGCTTGGAAGAGGAGTTCGCGTCCAGTGGTTCCGGCAGCTAGGAGATAGTGTGTTAATTGGACGCGTAAGCTTGGGGCAGGGACGACAAGACATACCTTCGAGGTTGACTACGGCACGCACACTGCACACAAGCTATTATTGATTTCAATAGATAGAGCGTCGATCCATCCATAACCTACCTCTCTCGAATGGGATGCTGTGTGGCGAATAGATGTGATGCGTCTTGCAATGACTCTTCTGCATTGTTGAACACTGGACACCGTCAGCGCCGTGGTTCCGGCTTTCGGTCTAAGTGTCCAACGTACAGAATATGATGGCATGCGATGGCACCCAGTCAGGCGTGTTTACAAGCACCCTCATGCATTCTAGCATTATGCCCACCGAGAGTGCGTCATCCGCAGCACCCGGGGAGGGTAGCGTGCTATCTAAGTGAGCATTGACCAAAACTGCATGCTGCTTCCCTTCTTGCGTGCCGTCCGATACACGCACAACGATGTTCGTCAAGTCGACATATGTCTTGTACAGCCGGTGGCCCATCATGTCAAACCTAACGCACAGCCGGAAGTTGTATCATCAGGTGGCCCAGGAACGATGGTGTCGCCTACGCACCGATGTGCCCCGCTTCCTTGTTGATGCCAAACCTCACATTCCAGCTTCCTCGTAGGATGTGCGCGCACAATCTCCTCGCACTGCCTTTGGATATCCTCCGCCTGCTTGACCATCCACGCGTCTCCCTCTGCATGTTCGCGCGTCCCCACCGTCCGAAAGCCGATATCTTCAGACAGGTACTTGGCGTGTGCTAGCACGCGGGCCTCAGAGAGCTGAGGGAGGCCAGTGGTCGGGTTTGTTCTGTTTCACCGTGACGGAGCAAATTTGAGGCCAAGCGACGCTAGGCGTTAGATGAACGTACAGGTCTATGACGGGCTCAGGCAGGGCTTCGCGTCGTGCGCAGCGTGCGGCGGTCAGCAAGTCGACTACGATCTCGAGTGGTCATACGACTTGCCATAGTTCTCGCGGTACGCCAGGAATGGCACGCCAACCAGAAGCGGGGCGAGACACAGCAGCGATTTCCCTAACCCCCACCGTCGTGGGGAGTGCGTGCTCATCGTCGTTGCGGATATGGCGGGCGTGTAGCGAGTTACAGCACTATGTAGTGCTCCGGCCCACACGTCAGAGGGACGCAGGTGCTCGCGAGGCAAGCGCGCACAATCCGCGCGCCTGCACCTGAACAGGACGTCATACTTATCCCGGTCTGCGCCGGGAGCATTCCATAACAGCTATACTTAGTGACAATCGACAGTACTGCAAGGTCGGACGATGTGGCGGAGCGCGAGTGCACCGAACTGAATGCATCGACGGGGCTGGACAGAAACGGTATGAAGGTCATTCAAAGCTCTGCGTCTCCAGGTCCTCCACCTCTCCGCCGCCTGCTCTTCACTGCTTCCCTATGCCGTCTCTTCCACCCACTCGTCAATTCGCCCTTCGCCTCTTCCCATCGCTTCTGTACTTCCTCCTCGGAGTCGGTACGATAGAACCATGTCCGCCAATTTGTTGGGTCGAGCACATCGTATACGCGGCCGCGATTGCGCTCCTCTGCGGGTAGAGGGAAGAAAAGTGGCGCCTTCGGGTCGAATGAAGGTAGCGAGGGTATTGCAGTTGGCAGTGGTAGCGCGGCAGGCTCAGACTGAGCCTGAGGTTGACTGGGCAAGTGCAAATCGACTTCATCGTCCAGCTCAAGATCAAGGTCGAGGTGTCCGAGCAACGAGAAGCCAACTAATATCGAAGCATCTAATGAGGGAAATGACAACGCTGTGAGAACTAGTAAACGCACCGTCTTCTTCCCTGGGTGCAAAGAGGTCTTTAAGTTTAGTGACTTGGACAGGTGCACTCGCTTTGCTCGAGGGTCCCGGCACAGGTTGTTCTGCATGCGCAATGACATCCTCCACACTTTCTTCGTCTACCGCGTCTTCCTCCTGACCTTGCTCTGCGAGATCTTCAACGGCAGCGTTTGCTGTTCGCTGTGTGCGATCGTCTTCTTCAATTATTGACCCTACACTTTCCTTGTCACCCCAATCGTCGTCGCCTTCGCCAAACAACGCCTGTAGTAAGCCAAGTGACTTCTGCGTCTCTTCTCTCAAGTCGTTTTGTGTATGGTCTTGCGATCCAGTGCGAATGCGTATGGCCGGCTCAGGGGTACGCAGAGCTGGCGATACACGCCGTGAGGTTTTAGTCTCGCCAGACGTCGTATTTAGGTGCCCATCGGTCGTCGCATCTTGCTCTGCACTAGACGAGTCATCGCTTTCAGAGGCACCGCTGTCCGATGCCGCATCTTCGCTTTCGTCCGACGTGCTCTCGTCCGATATGCTCCCTTCGACTATTGCAGCGGGTATGTTTATAGGAGCGCTCGCAACAACAGCGTCCTCTAAAAACATGCCCTTCAGATGTTCTGACCCCCAAATCGTAGGGTCAATCCTCCGTCTCTGCGCCCGCGTCGGCGGCTCCTTGACCCTCTTCTTTTTTCTGCCTCCCGCTTTCTCCGCTGCTTTGCCCTTCCCCGTCGCGGAGATTTCCTGAGGATCTGGCAGAGGGTGATCCGGCCGCACGCGTATCGGGCGGATGAGGCGGCCAAGGGGCGTAACTCGCCACCCCGCGCGACTGGCAACGTTCTCGGGAGTGACGAGGGACATGTCCGCAGCGTGCACGCCCTGCACGCCTCGAGGGAGCCGCTGCCGCTTCCTCGGGCGGTCACCCGCCGCCTCCGACGCAGCGCGCTTCACAGCTTCGTGTTCCTGTGCTATTCTTTCGAGCTGTCAGACGAGACGGAACTCAATGTAGGGGCTGTACGACACCATGCTCGTACCTCTCGCGATAATCAGGCCTCGCCTCGCCAAGACGTAGCTTCGCGCCCTTCCAGGTCGCTCCGCTGAGCAGATTCATACCTAAGCATCAATTCAAGCGGCTATGACGGACGGAGGGGCAAGGTAGGAGACTCACACCGACCCAAGTTCTTCTTGGTCGCCTCCAGTGTGATATAGCCAAATTTACGCGGCTGGCCAACAGCATCCATAGAGCCAAAACCGTCCATAGCCTTGATCGTGCCGAAACTGCCCAGGCGTTTTGCGAGATCATCAGGAGTTATGGCGGGAGTGAGCCCGGAGACGTGTAGTCGCTTCGTTATAATTTCGTCCATTTTGGTCGCGGTCCGTGTTTAAATTGACGCTCGGCTTATTGGCTTACTTCTCCTAGTACATGGGAATTGGAACCGCCTGTCAAGGCAAGCTGTGCGTATGTTGGACAATGGTGGAGGTGAGGTGGACGGACGAAGCTTCACCAAAGTTCACTGAGGTATTGGTCAGATGGGAGGAGACGCCGAGATCACAGATCTCTACATCCGGATCTCAGCGCGCGAACACAACATCCCGATCGTCCATCTCTGCCTTTAAGTTTAAGGTCGAGTTGCCGGGCACTTTCATTCTCTCATCTCATGTTCCCGTCAACCCTGTGGTCTCATCAGGCTGACTTACATGCCTGATACCCCTGAACCCGAGATCCTATGACATGAACTGACCCGATGCCACACTACTGAATGTCGTGAGACACCAAAGATTGTCAGCTATCCCTTGATAGATCTGAGGTTGTATTGAAAGGGATGTTGCCACATATCAATCACACAAATACTGACACATCGCGGTATGTATGCACAGGCAGCGAACATAGGCTGATGTTGGATCAACACAATACCGTCTCATGTGTGCTATAAAAGAGGTCAGTACTTCAGCCTAAGGATATCATTCATCTGTGATTACAAGTCTCTTCAATCCATGCAATTCCTTGGCTTCAACTTCAAGAACTCCCTTGGATGTATATTCATTGGGGCATTATTGTCTCTAGTGTAACTGTGTAAGTCAATTTCATCCTAGACCCAGCACTATCTGAAACCAATGGAATGATGCTAAGTCCATCTTGCTTCCTCTAGTTTGTATGGATGTACCTGTGCTCAGACACTCTACTATTGCTATCACTACCCCAAAGACAAAATGGTCACAAAGGTCTTGGTGAGCTTCATGTCACTAGTTGTTGAATGCTGAATGTTGAATAAATTGTAACTGAGGCAGGTGTTTGTACTGTGGTATGGCTACCTTCCTACCCTTCTTACATCATTTACTATAGTCATGATACAGGGTCTTAGACACAGCTAAATCCATTTCAGAAGCTCAGGTGGGTGTACTCTCTTAGATTGAGACAGATGACAGACATTGATCCAGCTCCCTATGATGTGACACAGCAAATGTGGTTCTACTTTGTACATAGACATGCACAGATCATTGCCATCATCAAAATGGACAATGTGTATGTCTGTTTTCTCAATCCATCATTCTAATTGGCTTCATGTGTATCACAGATCATTAGGGGTATGGCCTAAGCTAACTAGTCAAATCATGCAATTGCTGACACATCCATCATAGGTTGAGCAGATCTCTGAGGTATGATTCACTACATGATGATGTGCCCTTTATATCATGTCTGAAGTCAAACCCAGGATTTAGCCAAGGTCCTTGTACAAAAGTCATTTGCCAACCTTCATCAATTTCAAACTCTCTCCACAACTCAGCCTCATTAGCTACTTCCTTTGGAAAGCATGGCTCTGTGAGCATAGCCTCTCTGAATTGACTTCATTATGAGCTCATTGTCTTGCAGTTGTATCCAAGAAAAGGCACAGCTATGTCTTCATTGCTATCAGTGTGGGTAACATCTACACCCTGGCTGGACCTCAACTGAAACCTGTTGAAGATTCTGGCTCTAGCTGTTACTGTTGGTAAGTGTCCTTTTATGAGATCATCATAATATCAAGGTTGACCACATACCAGCAACAAGCAACTGTGAGTTATGTATCAAGCTTCAATTTGGAAGAGTGACATATACATGCACCATGAACACTTCCTACAAACAGGGGCTGAATATGATCTGTCTGTTCTTGCACTTACACTTGTCATGCATACACCTAACACTAATTGCTTCAAGGTTCACTGAAACTTCCATCTTGGATATTGTCCATCATGAGCATGTATGTGATGTCCAGACACAATTCTGTTTGCTGACACTATTCATGTTCATTATAGAGTGCTTCTGCCACAGAACTTGCAGTCAACATTGTGGTTGACATCTTCACAACAACAGCACTCTGTTGTGCACTGAGAGAACAGTATACCCAATACCAGAGGTACCATGATCTCAGCCAGATCAAATGGGGGAGAAGTCTGATTTACTAATTACCAGGACCAACAATGTCATCACTAGGATGGTGACTTATCTTATGAGTCATGGCATTGTACTATGGTATACTACCTCTCGCAACATCTTGTGTCAAGTACTGAATATGCTCCTGAAAGCATCATTCAAGTCATAACCGCAAGCATAGTAAGTCTTTAGCATGTCATTTACAAGTGACATCTGACACAGATAATATTGAGGATCTTGGCATTGATGTACCTCACAAGACATATATCTCAGAGATATTCAGAGCAATACTTGGTACAGGTGATTGTTCAGCATGCAATCTTGTCATTTATACTGGACTGACCAGTTCAATTTCCAGTTTATGTGAACTCACTACTGGTGCTGTATGTATGCCTCAGTTAGCCTGAGTCTTAGTAGATGCTCAACACTTCACTATATATTCAGACTCAACATGAGAGCCCACATCATTGAGAAGACTGCAAGAACAATCAATGAACCTGAGCATTTGGAACTTGGCTTGAAGCCAGGTCTGTATTCAGCAAGGTTATTTGACTTGCAATAGCTTACATTGGTGACATGGCTCTTTTCTGCACAGGTTGTTCAGTCAGTACAGAATCTTGTTGAGATTGCATGCAAGCTGTCTCTGAACAACAGGTGCTCTGAATGGCATACACACACTTGTAGCATGGCCTGTAGTATTGTACTATATCATATCAGAATATGTATGTGATGTTCTATCCCATACCAAATCTTATTTATGATTGCTTGATGATGATGATGAACTCTGCACTTATATTCCGCAACAAGCAAACTCTAATGGTGCTAAGACGCGGCGGGCGCCGGCCCGCCCGTAGGCGGGCGGTGGCACCCCGGTCGACTCTATGTATGTACGAGGTGGTGTAGTATGTGTATGTAGTAATGGGGGTTATGATTGCTTGAAGCAACTCCAAGCAATGTGTCACGTGCCCATGATTGATCGTGGGCGCTAATTATCTTCGTATCCCGATTCCCGGGACCCGCGGCCGCCACTCAGACTGGGACTTGTATATGTACTGTACAGTAACGTCCTGCTGTTGACCGACACTACCGCACGCCTTCCGTTCGACACATACCTCCAATGGGCAAGAAGAATGCGAACTTGTCCGGTCTCGCGCGTTTCGTCGCAGACGCGTTTGGTACAAACTCGTCGAACGCGACCACAGCTGCGTCTCTGTCCCCAGGCCTGTCGCAGACTCACAGCGCACGCGACCCACCTTCTAGTGATACCTCACATGAACCTCGCACTGGAACTGCACGACGTGCATCACAGGCTGTAGATAATAACACCGAAGAATCCTCCCGGCCGTTCAAGAAACGCAAGGTCGGTCTGCTCGGGTCAGGAAAGGAGCAGTACGACGCGACGGGGCTGGTCCCTTTCTACCAGCACCCTTCACAGGTACCCGCGCATCTTCAGAAATGCAAGTGTTTGTTGTCGACTCTGGATGTTGAACGTGCTGACGATCCCGCGCGCAGATTTCTCCCAACGCGAACGCTATTTCTCCCTCTACTCCTCAGGGTGCTTGCTCGACGAGGAGGGCTGGTACAGTGTCACGCCTGAACGAATAGCGGACCAGATCGCCGAACGATGTCGATGCGAAGTCGTCCTCGACGCATTCTGCGGTGTCGGCGGGAATGCGATTGCTTTTGCGAAGACGTGTGAGCGAGGTACGTCCCGTAGTCTTTTCTCTCAGCCTTAGAGGTCCTTACCGATTCTCTGCCTGTAGTCCTTCTGACATAAAGCTGACTGCACTTTTTTTTCTCCACTCCAGTGATTGCGCTAGACATCTCTCCCGTACGCCTGGCTCTAGCGCGACACAACGCTATGATCTACGGAGTGGCTGACCGAATCGAGTTCATCCTGGCCGACTTCTTCTCCTTCGCGCGGACGCTCGTTCAGATGCAAGAATCGCCCTCAAAAGCCAGCCAAACGGACTCTGGTTCAGCAACAACACAAGCAGCAAGGAAGATTGATGTCGTCTTTCTCAGCCCTCCATGGGGCGGCCCATCCTATCTCACAGACCGACCTGACGCCATCGAAGGAGACCAGAGTGCTTTGGGTGGTATCGACGGCGAAAAGGCACCGCCGGAGTTCAGTCTTTCTGCTATCAAGCCCGTGCACGGCAGAGAGCTTTTCGAGGTCGCGCGTAGCATTACGCGGAATGTGGCGTACTTTCTGCCGCGGAACGTCAATCTCGAAGAGGTCTCAGCGTTGGTCGCCGAGGAACAAGAGACTGAAGACGGTGACTACGTCTCTACGCAGAGGCAGCGGAGTAAAGGCAAGGGAAAGGCGAGAATGGAGATGGTCGAGGTGGAAGAAGAGTGGATGGGGACAAAGCTGAAGGCTCTTACGTGTTACTTCGGTGGCCTGGCATCAGGCCAGGAGGGCCGGTTCTATAACTGATGGTGAAAGAATGTTTGCAATCATCGTAGTGAGTGCGAATGGGCCTCTGTGTGATGTACATACTCTAGGGACATGCGTGTTTACAGTAATGCAGACCTGAACGACGTTACAACATCTCCAAGATCGTGTCACAGACATTCGGCACGAGATGCCAGCCAGGGCATGTCGTAGTCGTCATACACATAAGTGTGCGTGAGCTATAGTTCAGTTCCCGGAGCAGCGGGCACTCCGTGGGGAGGGGTGGTGACTCCGGTCATTCATCCTCATCCTCATCGGAATTTTCGTGTGCTAAGCGGACCAGAAGCGAACCGTCAAATGCACCTAGGGGAGACGAATGAGCACATTGGTAGGTCCCATCATGTCACGACATTGCACTTACGACCCGATGCGACGCTATGTCTCCCTCGGTACCCTGCAAGTGGCGACGCGGGAGAGCCGGGGACAGAGCCAATAGATGACGTGAAAGACGTATCATAACCCAGCGCAGCGGATGGTGGGATGGTGTAATTGAGCGTCCGCGAAGGGGTCGAGGCGGGAGATGGTGCATAATTGAACGACTTCTGGCGCTGGGGGCTCGGCTGCAAAGTCAAATTCCTGTTGTTCAGCACGAATACACATGATGCGAGAGGTTTGCTAGTGAACATACATTTGGGGATAGATTCGAAAGGTGCCATTTCCGTGGAGATGCGTGATTGGCCTTTGGAGAGGGCGGTGGCGGTGGTGGTGCCGCTTGTGCGCGTGGGTACTTCAATGCGTACGATGCTTGAAGGATGTTCAGTCCTAGTATTGCGAGTACTAGAACCTCTGCACAGAAGAGGTCTCCATTAGCGCGGGGACATTACAAGGATGGAGGTCGCGTACCAAGAGCACACAGGCCGTAGTAGAACGTGCTCACCGGCAAGTTTTTGCGTACAGTGGCAATCGCCACCCATGGCGACGGGAGTGGTAGAAGATTCGTGAGAACGGTGAGGGTCAGGAGTCCTAGGCCGTTGGTACGCAGTCTGGCCAGGGCTTCGCCTCGGGGAGGCTTCAGCCAGTCAAGGATCGTTGTGGCCGCGAGTTGAGGAGACAGTGAAGATTTGGCGGCGGGATGCGACATAGCTTGTAGCGTCTCAAGAACAATCTTGCTGGATGGAGGCGGAGGTGAGTGAGCTCAGAGGTGGGAGTGACAGACCAAGTTACAGCTAAAACCGAACATTTCGGACGCGTCTCCAGCGACGCGTGTCACGTGGCCAGCGCGGTGGCTTCGAGCCTGGCGTCTCGGAGGCACTTAAGCTCGTACTTACTACTCTCGCTGCCGCGACGCTTGTACACTGGCCGGCCGTGATACTGGCAGCTGGCAGTGCGGAAACATACGGATGTGAATGATTGGTTGACTCACGCAACGATGTACGTCTATGAGAGCTTGCATTCGTCGTACACAGCGTCCGACAGCCTTCACACAGATTAGTGAGCGGCCATACTAGTCATATGGGCCTGATAGGTGCAAGATAGACTAGCTCAAATGACTACGGACGAGAAGTTGGCTGTTCCCAATGGGTCTGGAGCAGTTACGTCTACTCCCATTGCCCTTGTTCCCGACGACATCCTGCACCAGGTGTTCATGCTGGTGGTAGCAGAAGCATGGGAGGGTCGTGGAACATTATCCACTCATCCCTGGAACAACATGACTTGCCTCGCCATCTCCCATATCTGTCGGTATTGGCGTCGCTTTACGTTGGCTTCGCCCCAGCTATGGTCATACCTCTCAATCACCCTATACTCTGGCATTGACCAGCTCGAAACCTATATCAAGCGTTCGCAGGGCATGCCTTTGTATGTGAAGTACACCGGCTCCGCGAATGTCGCGATGCCGAATCCCTCGTGGGGGCAGAAAGGCGTCGTCCTCGTTGACCAGAGCTACCGCTTTGTCGAGTTTCACGTCTCAGAGATGCGGCGCGAAGACATATCTGCTCTGCTCTCCTTCTTCCGCAAACCCGCGCCCCTCCTTCGTCGCCTCTACCTCCATGCTCCCGTGCAGCTGCTCGGGCCGTCCATATTCGCTCGCGATATGCCCGCCCTCCGTCACATCGAACTCTCCGGCGTGCTGCTTGCATGGCTCCCCTATCGCAACATGGATACGATGATCCTCAAGGACCAACTCACACCCACGCTCGGAAAGCTGCTCTCCGCACTCAAAGACTGTCCGAAGCTGACCGTCCTCAAACTCGGGTTGCTTGGCGCTATGGGGAACGCAGCCATCATGGGAGGTATGACTGTTGCAGGTGATCCTCAGGCGGAGACAGTCCACCTCCCTGAGTTGAAAGAGCTCTCATTGAGCTCCATGGCCCCGGTAGACATGGCCAACATCCTTCGTCACCTCGTCTTCTCTAAGACCACGACGCTGGACCTGAAGTTTTACGGTCATAATAACCTCCCTCTCGAACTCGCGACCGAGTGCCCGTCTCTGGGCGCCATAGCCACGGTCCAAGAGAATATCATACTCGAGCTCATCGGTGCTCTAGAGTGGTCGACACACATCGTGCTTCGGTCTGCCGACAACAAGCTGCGCATCGAGTGGGAGTGGTACGAGGCGGGTGGGCTCCCAGAGATCCTCGACACCGCCGGTTTCTCCGCCATCTCCTTCCCCGCCCTCAAACACCTGACCATATTCGCCAACTCGTTCAGGTTGCAGGAAGCCCAGTGGCGGCAAATTCTCGCTCGCGCGCCCACTGCTACGGCGATGGAACTCAACATCCGCGACTCGATGGTGCCGGAGCTGTTCGCCGCGCTGTCCCGTGCTGGCGGGGCCGAAGGCGGCGATGCGCCTCAACTCGTATGCCCGAAGCTAACGCACCTTAAAATCTCGCGGCTAGAAGAGCATATGACGATCCTACGCGGGATGGCTGAGGCCATTGAGAGACGCGCTCTGCATGACCTCCGCCTGCATGCCATCGACATCATATCACGGAAGGCCCGGAAACGGTTTCCCAGAGAGATCGAGACAAGGTTGAGGAGGTGCGTTGGCTCGGTGACCGTCAAGTATGATGGTCCGTCGATGGATTTTGGATCCTTGTCGGCACAACTGTACGAGTAGTACTAGTAGTGGCTTGCGGTCATCGCGCAACACGTCCGGCAGTGATGACACCGTCGCGGCTCACTCGGAGGTGGCTTATAAATAGTATCTCTTCGACGCTGTTGTGATTTGCAGCTAGTGTCATACTGTTGCTCACGAAGCACGCCTACGAAGAGCACGCATTGCCGTTTCGCCGTGCGTAGATATGGTGAAACATTGGGATGATGAAAGCAGTAGCATACTAGATAAGAGCAGGATAACGACGGCGACAGCAACGTGTAAAATAGCGATAGCTTAATGAATGTGGGATATTGACGAGAACAGAATCTTCAGACTGCTGGAGCTCCTTGCCCAGCGTCCGTGGCAGTCAATACTGCATGAACCATCATCAGTGGTGGATCTTCATCTGTCTCGGGAGGAGGCGTACCAATACTCATCCCGGTCCGTTTCAGGGTATACTGCGCCGCAAACAATGCTCATCAACCTCTGTAAGTATACTGGACGCCATGAGACGTACCTCGAAGTCGTCGCTCTCGAAAAGCAACATGTCTCCATGCACGAGAGTGACAAACAAGGGCTCCTTGATAGCCCCTTTCTTTTGCGTTGCGCGACGGCCGGAGACGCTCGCACGTTGTGGTTCCGGATCATCCACCACCATCGAGTCCAAGTCCGGCCGAAGCGTGTCTTCTTCGTCCTTGATCTGCATGCTTTGGTACACCACCCGCGAGTCTCCGCCGTCTGCCTCGTCATCAAGGGTGATTGACGTGTTCAAATCGGTCTTGATCATCTGGACGCTCATGGTCTTCCCTTCGCTGGCGAGCGACTTAGGGTAGATAGATATTTCCATGTCTGCCCCAAGGCAGTACATCGCCATCCGTACGCCCTTCGCAGGCATCAGACACCCCTACCGCAGAACGCTCACTGGACCATTCACGACAACTCTGCGGCCAATAACTACACACCTTCTTCGAACCTGCGTCCATCCACGCCGTGATGACCATCTTGTCGATGACAAAGGACGGCCAGTCGCCAGCAGTACGGCATCGTTCCTGGAACATCTCTCTTGCCTCAGTGACAGATGACGGGACGCCCGACCACGGTGTGCACGGGCTGTTAAACGTCGTACTATCGCCGAAGACGGCGATGTAATGAGACCCTGCAGAACAGCAAACATGAGGCGGCACGCCGCTTTGACACGTAACTATGATGTACGCACCTGCGACCAGCGACCCGCTCGCCTTGCGTTGCACCAATTCCGTATCTCTTTGGATGGCCGTGAAGAGGCGAGAGGACCCCCGCTGCACTTCTGGTCGATTGCACGTATAGATGTGTTTGACAATAGCTCTGCTATCTATCGTGTAAATTTGTGTACACGATCCATCGGACAGCCTCTTGCAAGCCGACGCAACATTACCATAGGTCTTGTCCCACGGCCGACTGCTCGGCGCCATCAGATGCGGGTTCCGCACATAATCAACTCGTATAGGAGGGAGTCCGTTCTCTCTCTGCACGCAAACGACCAACATACATCAATAGGGTATATCAAGCAGGGGTCGAAGCACTGACTGCGCAGTCGCTGCATCGCTGAAGGCGTAGGTTGCGCTGGACGTTCAGCTTTCCGCAACTCTGGCAATGCCAACCCTCGGCAGACGTGGCCTCCGAGACGCCTATGGCACGGTCCTTGTCCGAGAACGCAGACACCGCGAGTATATGGAGTGGGAGGAAGGAATAGGGGTGTAAGACCATCTCTGAGTCGACTCTGTCCGTCGCAGAGCCGTCAGGCGCAACCCACCAAGGTGTGAGCGGCGGTTGCATAGTCGGGTCAGGACTGTCTCCGCCAGGAGTCCACTCCAGCCGTATGCGACAGCGCAGCGAATTAGAGTCCATGTGCGTGTATCCCATCCGTGTGATGTTGAAGAATCCGAGCAAAACGCATCCGTATTTGGGCGGGAGATCAAAGGTCCACAGCGCAGAGTCCCTGCACAGAACCACTGCTACCGGCAGGCCGACCTTATAGTGCTCCTGTAATGCAGAGAGCTCTGGAGGGGTGGAATGTGAATCGGAGGCTGGCGGCAGATGGGACATCATTGCATCTGCGGGCTCGATCGGCCCTGGATCTGAGGCAGGGTACGTGGGTTGTCCACCCCATCCATGGCTAGGATAAGAGAAGCGACTATTCAGGTAAGACGATGGCGCAAGTGGCTGAGTCCATCTCGCAGCATGGAGTTGGAACAAGCTGTGCTTGAGGTCGGCATTGGCGACAGCGTCTCCTTCCTCGGGATCCTCTCGTACATTGCTCGTCCTAAACCGGGTATCCGATAGTGACGGACTGAGATAGTCAGGTTTCCAGCTGAGAACAGAAGTCAAGGTGGTTCCATATGATGACCCTGCACAAGCTGGGGATTCAGCGAGCTTCCGAGCACAGCACTCAGCTACGGCGTACCGGAGAGGTCTCTTGCTTCATCGTAACTCATACCAGAGCTTACACTGGAAGAACGGCTGCGTGCGGCGTTGACAGTAAGATTTGCAGGCGATCCACGGACCACGACCTCGGCTGATTTAGTGGTCTCTTGTATCGGCTCTCCTATTGCGGCAAAGTTCTCGGCCAAAGATGAGGCTTCACATAGTAACGCCAACGGCGCTGGATGTGGGGATGTGGCTGGAACTGTCTGATGATCAACAAACTCGAGCCCCGGAGACGAGGTGACCGGCCGTTCAGAGTGCGCTCTGGGGCTCGTGGAGGGCCTATCAGACGGTACTGAGAGGCCGTCAAGCTGTGCCGACGGATGGAATGCATAGAGTTGTGGAGGGTCTGATGGTACGTCTGTGACAGGCGTCGATATTGACGATATTGGAACACTGGAACCACGTGCTGCGTAGTCGTCCTGAGTGTTGGAAACGTTCATTGGACCTGCTTCCGGAAACTGCTGGGCAGCGGAAGGGTGCTGGAGCCGTCGCCTAATCCTATAGGATACCTCGTTAATCTCCGCGATAGAGTATCGACTCGTACAATCCCATACGTGAAGAAGTACATACATAGTAAATTCTATAGCCGTTTGGCCGTGCCATTGATCTCCAGGCCATGTAGGGCCTTGGATGCACAAGATAGGCGCTTCAACGCTACCCCAAACGACCCCGTTGACCTCGTTCTTCAGGGCCGGATGTACCTCCAGCAGTTCTTGCTTGCTCTGGGGAAGCATCGCGTATTCAGGAGTGTTTCAATCTCATTCATGCATCCACTTACAGTAGCCCAGATGCGGGGTCGCGCGTGTGGCTCAACGAGAGTTGGGGAAGCGTCTGTCGGCCCCGACGTCGGTGGCACAACGACCCATGTTGGATTTGCATCGGCTGTTCGCCAGGGTCCATGAAGCCGTTGCATGAGAAACAAGATCCTACCACATAAAAGAAAGTTGCTTACGCTTGTCGTTCGTAGATAGGATGTGGCCAGCAGGACGCTTCTTCTTGCGCGCACCCGAAGCTTTCCTGCCCCCGGATGCGCTCGTCTCCACCTTGCTCTTCTTCGACCGCGACGGGCCATCGGCGGGTTTAGCCTTTCGCTTCTTGTTAGGTTTGGTATCGCGCATTGACGGCACTAAGTTGTCGTGGTGTCTACCTTCGTTCTCGTGCGGCGCCGTTTTAGCTCGCCTTGGAAGCTCCTCGGAAAGGGTAGGAGACGGAGTGCGGGAGTCTGGTGGTTGTAGTGATTCACGAGAGGAAGTGGTAGAACGCTGCCTCAGCGTGCGCAACCTCGGGTGAGTAGTAGCCCTTGGGATAGGCGCGTCCTCTGTCTGCGCGCGTGCCGACGTCTTCGTCTTCGGGATGCTGTGCCGTGCAGGCGGCACTGTCACGCCGCCCTTTGCGCGGCTCGGTCGCGTCCCTTTCGGTCCTGAAAGGTGTACGTAGCCTGGGTCCGATGTTACGCAGTCGTGTCTCCCTGCGTGGCACATCTGGCACGTAGGTCGTGCACGCGTACAAGCCTTCCTAAGCCGTTCGCAGTGGTCGCACTTCCTCGCGACTACGTACACTCCAGCCTCGGTTAAGCCATCCGCAGTTTCTTCAGGGCCAGCAGGAAGGAAGAAGATGTACTCGGGGGCGATGCGCTCGTCGTAATCCTCTGGCAGATGGGTGGGGCGTCGTATAGTTGGGTCCCACGCTTGAGCGTATGCCGGAATGGGTTCGTCGACGGCGGGATTCGCCGCGTCACTCGGAATGATTGCGCAGATACCCTTCGCCATACGTGGAGGAAGGCCGAGCCAGAGAGGTGGACTCTGACGTGCGCGACGCGACCACTGACTGAGAAGGCGTGGCGCACCCGACCACAGTTGTTGGCCTGCTAGTTTGGCTGTTCTGTCGACGAGGTGGTCTTAGGTGTGAACGGGCATAGAGCGGAATGGACAGTACACGGCGACGGAGGTGGGAGGTAAGTGGTGTCTAAGAAACGGTGGGCCATTGGCGGGTAGCAGGCGTTTCTTCTCCGACCTGCATCAACATCGCTTAGGCGCCCATTCGCCTTGTTCTTGACCCTCATCGCCACGCTCCATCACTGCACAACCTCGAAGCTCGTCTCACTGGATCTGTAACATGCAGTAATTCGTTCACGCCTGAACCGGACAGAATCCAAAGTACGCAGGGATGGGCCGTAACTACGGTAAGGGGCCAATGCAAATCATGCCACCAAGGACGTGAGGGACCCCCCGGCGCTGCAAGCAGGAGTACTAGTGTGCGGCTCCGGTCAGAGGTTGTCCGGGACTACAGACTGTGCATTGGGCGCGTCCTGCATGATGAAGGTGCTGATGCATGTCAAGAGAAATACTCGGGCCACGACCTTGTCGCTATCTGTTGGACGACTCGGACCCCTTCGCGTACCCGGGATATATGTCTAAGGTCAACCTTGTTGCTTCACATCCCACTGTTTGTCTAACGTTACGTGACAGCAGCCCATGCCCATCAATTGTTACAGAGCACTGTCAGCCTGACCATCCCGTGAAGCCTGAACCTCGCGAGCAATCTCGAAACGAAGCAATGGCGTCGAGGATCAGGAGAACATATTCTCGTACCGTTCTCTCAAGCACAGCTGCCCGGTGAGGATTCGTCCTCACTGGCGCCAGGTGGCTGAAGAAGGGTGAGAACTAGGATCTGGGTGGGACTTGCTGTGGGCTGCCTGCGACTTGCCGGTAGCCTGACTGACTCTGTAGCCTAGAGAGCTAGAGGCGTAGGCTTTCCTGCTCGCGCAGCTCGTATGTAGCAGTAGACTATAATACAGAATTTGTGCGGAAACCCGTTCAATACATGTCCGCTTACGGCAGATGTCCCACTGACATATTGCTGGTCCGCCCTCGCCGGACGTTACACGGATCACTTGGTTTCGACTTCCCAACATGAGTACCTCCTCGCCTCCCGACGAATCTGCCAGCACTGCAAACACTGAGCTACAATGGGGAAGAGGTACATATTCCTTGCTTCGGGTATTAGGCTATGCGCTGAGGACCGTGAATGGCAGTTTTGCTGTGTGGTGGGACTGACTGGTGAGTTGACGGGGTCACGACGCCGGCGCGGTCGAGCTCGACGCGTCGCGTCGCGTTCAGCCACAGCACTCTCACCCCAACGCTCACCATGGTCGTGTCTGTGTAGGCCACGCTTGGGTCGCAAGGATCGCGGTGGAAGCAAGAAAGCACAAGAGCCCGCAAATGTGTATGTTGAAATTCGAACTCATTCGAAGCCACAGTGCTGAACGCGTCCGGTGCTCCATGCAGCGGTCCTGACCTCCTCGAACCATATATACTGCGCTCTCTGAGCAACGTCAAGGTTACTTCGGTCCACACCTCTTGCGCAGGATGCCAGGTCGTCGCGCTTGACGCCGACGGCGCTGCCTGGTTGTTCGGTCGGAACGACCGCGGTGTACTCGGGGTCGCGGGCGTCGAGTTTATCTCTGAGAGCGTGCCGATGCGCCTGACGGCGCAGGAACTCGGGGCTCCCAAAGGAACGTGGTTCGTGCACGCAGCTTGTGGGAGGAACCATACCTTGCTTGTGGGAAGCGGTGGGCAGCTGTGGTCGGCGGGGGCGAACCCGCTCGGGCAGGTGAGTTTGCACTAGTACTCTGGTGGAGGCGGCAGGTGGTGATGTTCTCGCCAATCGTACAGTGCGGCCATCCTCCGTGTCCGGAAATTCCTGCGTTCAAGCTAGTCCAAGGGCTGAAGCATGGCGGTGTAAAGGAGCATGTTGTAAAGGCGGCTGCTGGCACAACGTTCTCCATAGTCGCCACAGCGAGCGGCAAAGGTCAGTCATAGTAGAGGCTGCGTGGATGTTAAGTATATGTCGAAACGTATGTCGTGTTGTAGTTTTTGCCTTCGGGAGTGGCGAGCATGGTCAACTCGGAAACGGGAGGACTGGAGAGCACATCGTCTCTGCAGGCAAGACAGCCTTCGACGTCGAGTCGGAACCGAGTGAGCTCTTGGTCGCCTGTCGTTCGCACCGTGACTAATGGACCATGTAGTCCTAGTAAAGGGTCTCGAAGGCAAGAAGATAACGAAAGTCGCATGTGGGCAGCAACACAGTATAGCCTTGGGCTCTGATGGGTATGTCTTTTTACAAATGTGGGCTCCATTTCCGTCTTATTAAAACGCATGTGTAGGGTCGTCTATGTTTGGGGATACAATGGTTACTGCCGGCTCGGTCTGGGAGACCAAAAAAATGTCCTTATACCGAAACCCGTGCCTCAGGTATGTTTTTTATAGGTCTGAGCAGACTATCCGCTGAGCATGTTGCTAGTTTGCTAGTCCGAATGAGCTCACCACGGGAGCCGATGTGACGGCCGGGCCGTCCAACTCGGTTGTCGTTGACAAACAAGGGATGTACTGGATGGCTGGCAAGGTTTGTTCCTCCTCGTTCACGAAAATTCAGAACGGTAGACTTACCCGTTGCTTAGTGGAAGACGACTGGAGATGGTGAGTCCCCCAGCATCCCCCCTGGTGTATTGTCCCACCATGTCCGTTAGGCTCTTCTGGCCAGCCTTATTCTACCTTCCGGTACATGCCAGATATCATGTACGTGGCGTTTCGTACTCCAGACCCGTTGGATGGATGTTCAACCTCAATTTGCCTCCAGGGGCTGCAAGGTTACACATGTTGCGTGTGGAGGAGTGACACATTGGGCGCTGGCTCCCGATGAGGATGACAGTGTCATGACGATTGCGTTCGGCCAGGCCGCTTCCAATGGTACGTTATGCATCATGTTCTCTTCATTCTACTGACGCCACCATCCTACCTAGGCGAGCTTGGCTTGGGTCCCGACGAGATCAAGAGCGCGACGAAACCAATTCGGCACCAACCATTGATTGGCATTGATGTTTTCCAGTGCGTCCTGTTCCATCTCTCTGTCGTTGTATTAAGCTGCATGTTCGCTGTAGAATCGCGGCGGGCCAGAACACGACGTTCTTCCTTGCGAAACCGAATGAGAAGCTGTCAGACCTTCCAAGGCACCCCGTTGACCTCGACTCGCCTGAAGAGTGCATTGTTTGCAATACAGAGGACAACGACACGCCTTTGCTTGCATGTGACAAGGTGAGCATCATGCAGGTCGTCGCGTGCATTACCTCACGATCCTCACCATGTGTCTGTCAGTGCGATCATCCGTACCATACGAAATGCCTCGATCCCCCTCTGGACGCTGTGCCTGAAGGAGAGTGGTTCTGCCCTGAATGCGAAGAAACCCCGGGGGGACCCGTGGGGCCTGAAGGGGTAAAGGCCGCATCGGCCATCGCGGCGAAGAGAAAGGCATCGAAAAAGGCTGAAGTTGAGGAGGAAGAGGAAGAGTCGGGACCCGCCTCGAAGGCAGGACAGAAACGGAAGGCCCCAGCAGCCAAGTCTAAGACTGCAGGTACGTGCACCTTTGTTTCGCCGTTAACACGGTCTCCTCAATTGATACCTTCCGCTGTGTAGCGAGCAAGAGGAGGAAGTAACACAATTCCTCAATCGAACGTATATTGGTCTATTGGTCTATTATGGACATACTCTATGCATTGGTCACATAGTACTCTGTTCCGAATCTTCTGGCAGCAATTGAATTGCATCGTACCACTGTATGATGGGGTCGCTGTACTATGTGCCTTCGGTATCTTGAATGACGGTGGTGTTCCACGGGGCCGTTGTCTGTCCGTTATGCGACCCGGTCCAAGCCGAAGTCGTACGATAATCCAACCTGAGCGGATCTGCGAGGGTACAGTACGGCCCTAGCTAGCCTGATGTCGGCGCCGCATGCGGGGCACTCCGCGGACTGTCAAGCAAGAACTGGGCGTTGTCTCTGTCAGCGCGCGACACAACGGTAATTGGCATTTCTGAAACGTACGAATGCACCTATTTCTCTGTAAACTTCTTACGAATGTCGCGCTCCTCTCGCAGTGCCTCGGTCAGTTTTTGCAGCTGCGCTGCGATGGTCGAGTCGCCCCCGTGCGACGCGAGCCTTCGCCGGTCATCGTAATGGACCAAAAAGTCCTGCAGCCGAGCCCGAGTGGACGACGAGGAAATACCGTCGGCGCGAACGACCTGCAGGCGCAGCGGTGGTGTGATAGCGGCGTCCATCCGGAACGAAAGATCAGCGCAGTGAAGCTATTCAGTAAAGAGAGGTAGCCATTGGTCAGACAGAGTGATGCGATACTGAGGCGTCTGGGACGCACCTATCCTGGACTTGGGACCGTCAAGGACGATGCTGTCGATTGTGCGGAGAAAGCCAGGAACAAGCTAACATCGCTCGCCACGGACTGAACCCGGCCGGTCAATCGCCCCTGTCCCACACGCCCGCCTGACGAGCCGCTGGCTTTCGCATAAACATATCGTACCACCCCCACCACCACCCCGCACGGCCGGTCTCCCTCCCCTCCCCTTCGTTCCCTACTCAACCTGCCCTCCTAAGTCTGCTTCAATCGTCGCAAAAATGGGTGTGATGTCAATGCTGGTTTTGCTCCTCACGCACCCGGTGGAGTTCCGGACGCTGCTGCAGTACAAAATATGGCACGAAGCGAACAGGGACATTTCCGCTCCCAGCGAGTGGAAGCACTCGGGATGGGACCGCAAGTCGATGCGGAGGTGCTGGGAGTTCCTGGACTTGACGAGCAGAAGTTTCTCGGGGGTCATCAAGGAGGTAGAGGGCGACCTGGCCAGGCTCGTGAGTGCTTCTCTTTGCAAGTGTTCGCGCGGGTGTCCCCCTGCCCGGTGCTCTGTTGTTCGTCCAAGACAACTGGTGCAGTACGGAGACAAACAATGAGCGTGGTCCTCATTGAACGTACGATCACAACGCTGTACTAGACAATCTGCCTGGGTTGCAGTCATTTCTCTGTTCCGTGTCTGCATACTGCTTCTCATACTAACGACCGTTGTTTCAGATCTGTCTTTTCTATCTTGTGCTGCGTGGCCTCGATACCATCGAAGATGACATGACCCTCCCAGACGAGAAGAAACAGCCTCTTCTTCGTCGGTTCCACGAGCTCACTGTGACACCTGGCTGGACGTTCAACGAGAATGGGCCAGATGAGAATGATCGCCAACTGCTCGTCGAGTACAACGTCGTCATCGACGAGCTGCTCACTCTCGACGCGAAGTACGCGTCCTATCTCGTGTGCCCGACGCGTTCTGACAGCCCCTCAGATACCGCGACGTCATTCTCGACATCACGCTGAAGATGGAGACCGGTATGGCGGACTACGCGCATCGCGCATCGACAACAGGCGAGGTGTATGTTGAGAAGATATCCGACTACGACCTCTACTGCCATTACGTCGCAGGGCTCGTCGGGGAGGGCGTGACGCGCCTGTTCTCCGTGTCAGGCAAGGAGGCGCCCTGGCTCGGTGAACAACTTGAGCTCGCCAACTCCATGGGTCTCATGCTCCAGAAGACGAACATCATTCGTGACTATCGCGAGGATGTTGAAGACAAGCGGTACTTCTGGCCGCGCGAGATTTGGGGTCGGGAGATCTACGGGAAGGCGGTCGGAAGGCCGGCCTTCACGGAAATGGCGCAGATGTACCAGCCGGGCAACGAGCAGCAGGCGCTGTGGGTTCAGAGCGGGATGGTCGTTGATGTCCTTGGTCACGCCGTCGACTCATTGGATTATCTGAGGCTGCTCAAGACGCAGAGTGTCTTCAACTTCTGCGCGATCCCCCAGACCATGGCCATAGCGACGCTGTGCTTGTGCTTCATGAACTACGAGATGTTCCAGCGGAATATCAAGATCCGGAAAGCAGAAGCGGCTTCGGTGCGTCACTCGTTCCCAGTAACACGGAGTGTCTAACAATGTGACAGCTCATTATGCGCTCAACGAACCCCCGGGATGTCGCGTATATCTTCCGGGATTACGCGCGCAAGATCCACAGCAAGGCTGTTCCGGAAGACCCGAGCTTCCTCCAGATTTCCGTCGCCTGCGGGAAGGTGAGTATTGTGCTTGTGTGTCCACGCGCTTATGATTGACCTCCGCGTTAGATCGAGCAGTGGTGTGAACAACACTACCCGTCCTTCGTCAGCGTCTCCGCGTCGGCGAGCGGCACTAGGCAACAAGTGTTCGATTCGTACGACGCTCGCAGCCAAGTCGCCGAGGCCACGGAGAAGCGGGACCAAGAGCGGGCATGGCAAAAACGCCTTGCCGCCGCAAGTGCGAACGGGAAGGCAAACGGGGCTGCAAAGCCTCTGGGCGACGGCAAGGAAGAGTTCAAGGAGATCCTCATGTACGTCTTTGGCGCGTTCCTTTTGGTATTCGGCGTCGGGGTCGGGGCGGTATGGCTGTTCTTGCGGTACTACGACAGATTTTTGTGAGTGCGACGACTCAGCACTCCGTAGCTACACTTGTATCACATACCGGAGGACACTTGCATGCTCGGAGACCTGCTGGTAGCGGTGCATTTGATGTCTACGGACCATGTGCACGCACAGTTAGTAACGACAACCGAGGTTGCATTATCCGGTAGTAAGTTATCATATGAACAAAATGCATCGTTCGTCCGCACTGGTCAAGCACTGGTACCAAAAAAAGTCTTCAAAACAATTGGGCCTGGCCGGGAATTGAACCCGGGACCTCCTCCATGTGACGTTAAGCCCTAAGAAGGAATCATACTACTAGACCACCAGGCCGTTGGGGAGGTTCCTCCTTTTTTGGTTATGATCAGCCCAGGAATTGACGTAGGCAAGATGAATCACGTGTCTCTGAGATCCGGATCGCTCGAGCGCGCCTGTGCGTAACCGCATCTCTTGCTTGGGCTGCGAAGTGCAGCGGTGGACTCTCCCTTATGGCTTCTACCAGCGGCGCGCAGGTAGATGTGCTGGACCAGATCTTTCAGGGCCTGAGGAGCAAGAGTCACGATGTCCGATTGCAGTCCGCGATCGACCTGCAGCGTTATGTGAGTATACACCCTCGCGAGGGATGCATCCCGGGGTGCTCACAGCTCCTAGGTATCGAACTCGGTCCACGACGCGTCCTCGGATGCTTCTGCCAAACTCTGGGAGGAGACGATTAATAGACGACTGTTTGACTTGGTTCATAGTCAGAACAATGTGGAGAAACTTGGTGGCATCCTGGCTATTGGTGAGTACGTCTTCCCTCGTCTAGCGACCTCTCACCAATTGGATCAGACTACCTCCTCAATGCCGAGGGCGAGGGTGCACTCGAGGCTCAACGGAATTTGTATCGCTTCTACAACTATGTCAAAACCCTCCTCCCGAATTCCGACATCAACGTTATGCTTGCCGCCTCTAAGACACTGGGTCACATCGCTGCTGTGGGCGGAGCTACATTCGGCGACCGCTGGCTCGACTATGAAGTCCAGGCTGCCATCGCATTGCTGCAAGCCGAGAAGCAAGAGGCTGGAAGATACGCTGGTGTGCTTATCCTGAAGGAGCTCGCGCGCAATAGTCCGGCCTACTTCCACGGCTACATCGGGCATGTCTTCGACAAGATTCTTGTCCCTCTCCGCGACACGCGTGTCATCGTCAGGGAAAGCGCCGCTGAACTACTTGCGGCATGCCTGGAAATCATAACTTTACGGGAGCGACAGGCACGAAGTCCTTTCTTGGTGCGGATCTTGCAGGACGCTCAGATGGGTATCAAAATGGCTCAACCGGAGATCATCCATGGTTCGCTCTTGACGTACAGAGAGTTGCTCTTGCACGGAGGCATGGTCAGCATGTCTGCTTATACCGTAAACAACCTCACGTATGTACTGAATCCTTCCAATCACACAGTTTATGAAGGAGAACTTCCTCGATGCTGCTGCTTTGATTCTGGGTTTCAAGACCCATCGAGATGCCCTGGTCCGCAAGATGGTCATCACGCTCATTCCCACTCTTGCAGTATACGACCCACAGACATTCTCGGAGCATCATTTACACCAAGCGATGGCTCATTTACTCACGCAACTAGACAAGCCTAATGAACGTTCAGTTGGTACGCTACCGTTCTTTACAGTCGAGTCCACAGAGCCCTCATGTTTCGTTAGCTTTCATTGCGATTGGACATGTCGCAACTGCAATGGGCAGCGAAATGAAGCCGTTCCTTGAGTCCATCATGCACCATATCAGACAGGGTCTGCAAATGCGTGGGTGCGTACATCGACATCGCTCTTCGTGATTTGGGACCGCTATCTCACTCATGCGAGCAGCAAGAAGAACGCCCCGTCAGAGGAGCCAATCTTCCAATGTGTTGGCATGCTTGCATCTGCAGTCGGACCAAACCTCACCAAGCTCCTGCATGACCAACTGGACCTCATGTTCAATTGTGGCCTCAGCGAACCGTTGAGACAGGCCCTCACCGCTATCGCCACCCACATCCCACCCCTACTCAAGACCATTCAAGGTATCGTCGCCCGCTCCTTGCTACTTCCAATGTTTACTGACATACGTGAAGATCGGCTTTTGGATATGCTTTCCATGCTACTTAGTGGACAGCACTACAAACCACTCGGCGCACCCGCGTCTATCCTTCGGACCGAGTCTGGCTCAAAGGATATCATTACCGCGGATGTGAGTGAGCGTGTGAACGCAAAGATGTATCGACGTCTAACCTGTGCCAGGGCGCGTCCGTTCAGAAGACTCCCGAACTCATCACGCTTGCCTTGGTCACGCTGCGGGACTTCGACTTCAGTGGTACGTACGCTGGCGATGCCCGAGACGCTTGTTTGATGCCCTGGGTGTTCTAGGTCATACATTGAATGAGTTCGTGCGTGACTGCGTTCTACCATACTTGGGCGAGGACAACTCGGAGGTGCGGCGAGCAGCAGCAGAGACTTGCTGTCGTCTCTTCGTCCGGGACCCTATCGTCTACCAGGCGAGCAACCACTCGATCGAGATCATCAGCGACGTGATCGACAAGTTGCTCACGGTAGGAATAGCAGACCCAGGTACGTGATGTTCTGCGATAATGGGTCTTTTCGAACATTGAAGTCTTCGGATAGACCCGACCATCAGGCAGACTGTGCTTTCCTCCCTGCATGAGAGGTTCGACAAGCATCTCGCTCAGGCGGAGAACGTCCGTGCTCTCTTCATTGCTGTCAATGACGAGGTGTTCGAGAACAGAGTCACTGCCGTTGGATTGATTGGCCGCCTTGCAATGCACAATCCTGCCTACGTGATGCCGTCCCTCCGAAAGACGCTCATCCAACTGCTGACTGAACTAGAGTACTCGACCGTTTCGTACGTGCTTTGTCAATACTGCATTATACTGGATTCACCTTTGTGCACAGTCGTGGTAGGGAGGAGTGCACGCGGCTGCTAACGCTTCTCGTCGCCGCTACTAACCGCCTGATCAAGCCTTACGCAATCCCGATGCTCAAGGTGCTCTTGCCGAAGGCGAACGACCCGAACCCGACCGTTGCTGCAAACATTCTCATGTCCCTCGGAGAGCTGACGCGGGTCGGGGGCGAGGAAGTCCTTCCTCACGTTCCCGAGCTTATGCAAGTCATCATGTCAAGACTAGCAGACGCATCCCTACCGAAGCGTGACGCAGCATTGCACACGCTCGGTCAAGTCTGCTCGAGCACCGGCTATGTCGTGTCGCCCCTCATTGATTACCCGCAACTCCTGCAAATCCTCAGCAGGATCCTTAGGACGGAGACGAAGCAGACCGTCAGGAGAGAGATCATCAAAGTCCTTGGTATACTTGGTGCTCTGGACCCGTATCGGCGCAAGGTAAGGAGAGGCGGTGCCCTTGTTGCTCCTTGACTTGTTGAAACCATCCATAGATCAAGCCGGACGAGGAGGCAGCGACGTCGGAGTTGACGTCTTCCAACCTCGTCAACGCCGTTACAAGAAACTATATTGGGGTCAGCAATGGGACGGATGACTACTACCAGACCGTTGCGATCAATGCGCTTCTCGACATCCTGAAGGATCAACAGGCGGCGGATCGACATCACAAAGTCATTGAGGCGATAATGTCGATTTTCAAGACGCAGGGCTTGAAGTGTGCCACCTTCCTGCCTCAGGTAAGTCTAACGTGAATCTGCCTCTAGAGCGGGCCTCGATGATACTATCTAGATTATCCCCGCGTTCGCTGCGGTTGCAAGGACATCCGTCTCTCGAATCCAGGTCTTCCACCTAGAGCAGTTGGCTATCCTCGTCGGCATCATCAAGCAGCATGTCCGCAACTACATGCCTGACATCTTCGCGCTGATTACGGACCTTTGGGACAATGCTTCGTTGCATCTTCCTCTGGTGTCCCTCATCGAAGCACTGGGGAAGGCCCTCGATGCAGAGTTCAGACCGTTCTTACCCACCATATTGCCCTTGCTGCTCAAAGTTTTCGACAGCGAGCTGACTGAGAAGACCATGAGCACGCAGACCAAGATCTTCGATGCATTCCTCACGTTTGGCTCCAATATTGAAGAGTATCTGCAACTTGTCATCCCGATAATCGTGAGGACCCACGAGCGAACGGATGCATCTACATCGCTGCGCAAGAGAGCGATACAGACGATTGACGGGCTGTCGAGGAAGGTCAACTTCTCCGACCATGCGTCTCGTATCATCCATCCTCTCGTCCGTGTGCTGTCGAATGCGGAGCTGCGCAACACTGTCATGGAGGCACTCTGCTCGCTGGTCACACAACTCGGATCAGACTTTGCTGTGTTTGTGCCCACTGTGAACAAGGTACGCGTCGACACCATTCATGTAACGTGGTCCTGATGGCAATCGCTCGCAGAGCCTCATCCATCATCGCATTCAGCATGCTCGCTACGACAACTTGATCTCCAAGCTCCTCAGTGGCGACAGACTTCCACAAGAAGCAGGGATACTGGAGGCAACGTTTGTCTTCCGTTCATCTTATCGGATAGGACAGTTGAGAATTCCATATACAGGGACAGCACGAAGGCGGTCGAGTTCACTGCGCCTGCCGAGGCAACTAAGATGGCCGTCAATCAGCAACATCTCAAACAAGCTTGGGATGTATCGCAGATAGCTGCAAGGGAAGACTGGAACGAGTGGATGCATCGAATCACGGTGGAGTTCATGAAGGAGTCGCCTTCCCATGCTCTACGTGCATGCATGAGCCTGGTCGATGTTCATCCTCCTCTTGCGAAGGAGTTGTTCAATGCGGCATTCATCTCGTGCTGGGGAGAGCTCTATGATCAATATCAGGTGATTATCACCTTGAATTTCTCAATCTTATATTGACACGCTGGTCTTTGCAGGAAGATCTGGTCCGCTCCATTGAGTGCGCTATCACATCGCCCATTGCTCCCGCGGAGATCGTACATCGTCTATTGAACCTCGCCGAGTTCATGGAACATGAAGAGAAGGCCCTCCCGATCGAGAACCGGACGCTGGGTGAATATGCCATGAAGTTCCACGCATATGCCAAAGCGCTGCACTACAAGGAACTCGAGTTCTTTACCGAGACGTCTCCCACGATCATAGAGGCGCTGCTGAGCATCAACTCCAAGCTTCAACAGCACGATGCTGCGTGGGGCACTCTGCTGATAGCTCGGGAGCAGTACGATGTCAGCAAGCACGAAGAATGGTACGAGCGACTCGGGCGATGGACAGAGGCTCTCGGCACGTACGAGAAGAAAGCACGGGACGACCCGGACAACCTTGATGTCGCCATCGGTAGGATGCGGTGTCTACACGCGCTCGGTGAATGGAAGGAGCTGGCGGAGCAAGTCGAAGAGAACTGGGCAAAGGCGACTCACGAAGACCGCAGGGAGATTGCGCCTATGGCCGCCGCCGCCGCTTGGTCCTTGAACGATTGGGATGCTATGGAGGATTACATTGCAACGATGAGACCCGACTCGGGCGACAGACCGTTCTATCGTGCAATTCTTTCAGTCCACCAGAATCAGTTCCCGAAAGCTATGCAACAGATCGCAAAGGCGCGTGATCAGTTAGACCCGGAACTCATGTCGCTTGTGGGCGAGGGCTATGGTCGCTCTTACAAGTAAGTCGCCAAGCATCGCTCAGTCCTCGTTCCTGAGACTGTATATAGCACCATGGTACGGGCACAAATGTTGTCCGAGCTCGAGGAGATCATCACGTACAAGCAATATGCCGACCAACCAGAGCGCCAGGCGTCCATGAGGAGAACTTGGATGAAACGGTAAGTTTTGATTCACATCCACGACGCAGCATCGCTCATGCTGCGTGCGCAGGCTGCAGGGGTGCCAGCCAGACGTAGAGGTCTGGCAACGCATTCTGCAGGTCAGAGCCCTGGTCCTTACCCCGGACGAAGACCCAATCATGTGGATCAAGTTCGCCAACTTGTGTCGCAAGTCTGATCGCATGGTGCTTGCGGACAAGACCATCAACTCACTGCTCTCTTCCGACAGGGTTCGTATGCTTATCCTGTGATTGCTATTCACATCTGATATTGAACAGTCGTACCGTGAACAAATGAAGGCTCCGAATGCAGTCGTATATGCCCAGCTCAAGTACATATGGGCAACCGGCGCCCGAGAAGAAAGTTTGAGCTATCTACGCTCGTTCTGCGGGAACCTGGAGAGGGGTCTGCAAAACGGCGCCAACGGTCACACACCAGATCTCACGAGGCTGAAGCCGAACGAGAAGCTGGACGAGATCTCCAGGTTACTCGCACGTTGCTATCTCAAGCTGGGTGAATGGCAAGTGGCACTTAGGGACGATTGGGGTTCTGTGTGTCTCCTCGCTTTGTTCATGAACTGAGCACATGCTTACATCCGTTTAGCGAAACATCAAGGACATCCTGCATTCCTATTACCTTGCCACCCATTACGACCCGACATGGTACAAGGCGCAGCATACTTGGGCTCTAGCTCATTTCGACGTCGTCGGTTACTTAGAAAGCCAGACAGAGGGTAGGACCTCAGAAACACCGTCTGACAATATGGCTCTGCACATTACGCAGGCCATCAAGGGTACGTCGAATTCGCGCCCCATCCCAGACCACAGCCTCATGATGTGTGTACAGGATTCTTCACTTCCATCAACTTGCGAAATGAGAATACTCTTCAGGATACTCTGCGACTACTCACGCTTTGGTTCAAGTATGGCATACATCCCGATGTTAGCCAAGCAATGAGCTCTGGCTTCATAACTGTCGAGGTGGACACCTGGCTGGAAGTCATCCCCCAGGTGCGTGTAGTTGCCTATCATAAGTCACTCATCTAACCTCGGACCAGATCATCGCTCGCATTCAAACACCTATCGTGGCAATTCGTCGGAACATCAGTCGACTTCTCACCGACGTCGGGAAACACCATCCGCAAGCCTTGGTGTACCCGCTGACCGTGGCGTCCAAGTCCTCTAGCACAACACGCAAGAGTGCGGCAGAGTCTATCATGAACAACATGAGAGAGCATAGCGAGGAGATCGTCAAACAGGTATGTACCGTGCATTTATCATCGTATCGAGACTCATGTGCGCAGGCGAACATCGTCAGTCACGAACTTATCCGAGTTGCGATTCTCTGGCACGAGATGTGGCATGAAGGCCTTGAGGAGGCGTCAAGGCTCTACTTCACGAACAAGGATCCGGAGGGCATGATTGTGTTCCTGGAGCCGTTGCATAAGATGATCGAGGATGTGAGTAGCATGCTGTCTTGCTGTGACCGTCAGCTTAACGGGGTACGGCCAGGGTCCTCAAACGGCGCGCGAGACGTCCTTCCACCAGGTGTTCGGCCGTGATCTCCAGGATGCTCGTGAAGCGTGCAAACGGTGGCGAGTCTTCGGTGAGCAGAGGGACCTCGACAGGGCCTGGGAGATCTACTATTCTGTAAGTGAGCCCACTCCTGATCACAGGACAGCGCTGATGTCGTCCACAGGTCTTCAAGAAGATCGAGAAGCAGCTGCAGAATTTGACGACGCTCGACCTGCAGTTCGTCTCTCCCGCACTGCTAAAGTCTCGAGACCTGCAGTTGGCGGTGCCGGGCACCTATCAAGCAGGGCGACCTGTCATCACTATCGTCAGCTTTGCCACGAAGCTAGTTGTCATCCAATCCAAGCAACGGCCACGACGTCTCTCGCTTAGGGGTAGCGATGGCAAGGACTATCAATATGCTTTGAAAGGTACGTATTTGTCCGTGATATGCACTCGATGTTGCTCATCACCCTCCAGGACACGAGGACCTGCGTCAAGACGAGCGTGTCATGCAGCTGTTCAGTCTCGTCAACAACTTGCTTTCTGTGGATACGGACTGCTTCAAGAGGCATCTTCACATTCAGCGATTCCCGGTTATCCCGCTCGCTCCCAACGCAGGCTTGTTGGGCTGGGTCAAGGATAGTGACACGCTCCACGTCTTGGTCAAGGACTACCGCGAATCGCGCAAGATCCTGCTGAACATTGAGTATCGCCTGATACTAAACGTGAGTGAAGTTTGTGTGGTGTGTTCTACCCATGCTGATGCACTTCGTAGATGGCGCCGGACTATGAGAACCTCATACTGCTGCAGAAGATCGAAGTCTTCGAGTACGCGCTCGAGAATACCACCGGCCAGGACCTCTACCGTGTACTCTGGCTCAAGAGCGCGAGTTCCGAGCACTGGCTCGAGCGCCGCGCTACATACACGCGCTCGCTCGCGGTGAACAGCATGGTCGGCCACATCCTCGGGCTGGGCGATCGGCATCCATCCAACCTGATGCTCGAGCGGAACACAGGGAAGGTGGTGCACATCGACTTCGGCGACTGCTTCGAGGTGGCGATGCACCGAGAGAAGTTCCCCGAGAAGATTCCGTTCCGGCTGACGCGGATGCTCACGCATGCAATGGAAGTCAGCGGTATTGAGGGCAGCTTCAGGAACACGTGCGAGATCAGCATGAAGGTCCTACGAGACAACAAGGAGTCTTTGATGGCTGTGCTCGAGGCCTTCGTATATGACCCTCTCATCAACTGGAGGTTGATGCAGGCTGATACTGTGGATGTCAGACGACCAGAGGGTATGCATGTCATATTTTCGGCAACATGAATATCTGATCGTAGCATCCGTTCCAGAACCTGCCAGAGAAACGGCGCGTACCTCAGCATATCCTCAAGCCCCGATACGGAGGCTGCAGGCCGATGAAAATGACATCTTCAATGGTGCGTAGATGCTGATCAATACGAAACTTCAGACTTAGACTCTGGTACAGAGCACCAGGAGATTCGCAACGAACGAGCATTGTTCGTGTACAACCGTGTCCAGCACAAGTTGACAGGCAAGTCGCACTACATCTTGATTCATCGGGCCGACTAAACTCTATGCCAGGTCGTGACTTCAATCCGGACGTCTCACTTTCGGTTGCTGCGCAAGTCGACAAGCTCATCATACAGGCTACCTCGCTCGAAAATCTATGCCAATGCTTCTCAGGATGGTCCGTACATTCATCTTTCGCTGTCACACTACCGACGCTCACATCGCTGACTCTCTTCAATAGGTGTGCTTTCTGGTGATTGACTATAGGAGAAGTATTCGATATGTATCCCTAGGCTGGTGCGCTCTCACGTCTCTAGGCTTGTCGCCCTGTTATTACGCTATGAATCATGTATACTCGGTACTGCAGGACTTTTTACGTTGCCCTTCTTTTTTCGACTCAAAATTGTGTTGCTACTTGCAGGAAACTGTCACTGGCAGAATGGCTTCCCGCGTTTCTTCCGTGGGGGATGCGAATTGGGATCGGACTGCGCAGATCTTGATCTGAGATGAGGCACGTGCTATGACATACATACGACTCCGAATCGGGTTCTGAGCTACGGCTGCGCACCACTGTATCATACTTGTATCAGTGCTACCACCAGCTTGCCTTGAGTCGCCCTTTCATCCAGATACGACTTCACTAGTATGCCCGAGCTCACTGACTTGCCTATCGAACTGTTTCTCGACAACATATTGCCACTGCTTCCTGTAGCTGATCTGCTCAATCTCGGATGCGTCAACGGCCACTTCGCCCAACTGACCTCGGACGAGCCTTTTTGGCACAGGAAGCTTGAAAAGGACTTCAACTTCTCTGGCTCAGAGACTGCGCGGAAGAACGGATGGAAGTTCTTGTATCACCGTCTCTCTCACCCGCGTGTCTTTGTCTGGGGGTACGTTGTTCCTGCATCTTTTCACGCATGTCACTGACATGTAGCGTTCGTAGTGAGCGGAGTCAGGGTAGACTGGGACTGACAGAGAACCAGCTTCCCCAACCCGTCATGCGCGCTGGTGTGCCGTACCCCGTACAGTTGCGTATTCCGGGCGCAATTCGCATTGTCAACCTTATCGCTGGAGGATGGTGAGATTTGAGTAGGATATTACGTTCTGACGCTCATGACCATCAGGTCGTTCCATGCATTGGACTCTCGCGGTGATATCTACGTTTGGGGTGAGTGCAATCTGTTTGCTTCGCAAACCTATCTCACTGGATGTGTAGGAGTACTCGATGGGACAAGCGCCGCATTGCGGAGCGAAGGTTACTCAATACCGGCTAAGAGGACGGAAGGTCCTATGCGACTTACTCTACCTGTGAAGATTCGAAGCATCAGGTTCGCTTTTCTGCCGTTCCTTCCTTCAGTAGCTGCTTGACCCTACATGACTCAGCTGTGGGCGATCGCACTGTGCTGCACTCGATGCCAATTCTCACGTGTGGATATGTACTTCATGGGGTCGGCCGTTCATGCTCTCCAGCCGGTTCCTTGATAAATCGTCGCCAGAGGCGACGCCCGCTCAAATCACCAGTGGCTGGTCGTTCTCTGCCATCCTTACCGAGTCTGGCGACGTCCTCGTATTCTGGCCTTTCTCCGGAAATATGGCGGAAGCCATTGCAACAAAGACAGAGGAACTCGATCAGCAGAGTGGTACGCGTGCCACAAAGGCACTGCCGACGCTACAAGAGCCCGATGTCATCCCGTGCTACACATGGACTATGCAAGGCGCCGACCCTGTGAGGTTGCCTGCTATCCCGGCTGGCGATCTCCCTGAACTGAGCGGAATCGGCGTTACAATCGAAGACGAGACGAGGCTTATTAAGATAGCCGGTATGGACAACACGATCGTCGGACTGACCAACAAAGGGCACGTCCTTCTGTTCCAGATGTATGGAGGAGAGAACGAGTATACACGCAATCGTTGGCAATACGTGAGCTCGTTGTTGCTCTTAGGTACAAGTTCTCCCATTCAAGCCTGATTTTTAGCTCCCCGAGTTCAGCGAGGTCGAGAAAGTAAAAGACAACGAAACATTCACCGGCACGCTGCCTGCGGGACAAACACGCCCTGAACCACCAGAGACCATGTTCATTACTCATGTGCGTACGGATACCTCCCGTGACAAGTGTTTCTGACATCTTTCAATCTGTCAGATATCTGCTCAGTTCCGAACATTTGTTGCGTATTCAACCGGTGATCGCTCTGTCGTGATCATGGGCAAAATCCAAGACCCGGGCGTCGTGCCAGCTGGTGCTCCCCACGTCCCCTCTCGAGTCTCACCAATAATCCTCCCGGCGTTGCAGAATCGCGGAGTCATCTCCGTCGTTTTGGGCGACTATCACTGTGGCGCACTCACGGCTGACGGAAAGCTGCTTACCTGGGGCGCATATTCCAAAGGCGCTCTCGGGCTCGGCGACCCTACGAAGATTCCTCTCAGTCAGCCAGGTGGCTTCATGGACGACAACCAGCTCCGAGGGGCCACAAACCGTTGGGGTATCTTGATGTTCCCGCCTCCTGATGTGACGGTGCCTACGGAGGTTCGGTTCGACCATGGGGAAAAGAAGCGGAGGGAGAGGTACTGCTTCGCCGCAGCGGCAGCAGGCTGGCACATGGGCGCGTTGGTCATGGACTTGGAGGTCAGCTCCTCTTCTTGCGTACACGGCCGACCGCAGAGACTGAATGGACGTCCGCAGCCCGATTCCGCTGAGGAAGACAAGGAGGGCCCGGTGGCCGATGAAAGTCAGCTTGACATGCCGGGTGCGTTTCCTGTGAATGAGCCCGACCATCGGCCGCAGGATTTCCCTCAAGCACCTGGTGCCTTTCCAATGCTCCCGTTCGGCCGTGGTGGACGTGGCGTCCGGCTCGGTCATGCTATGGCTCGAGGGAGTAGGCGGGGCGCCGCGAGAGGCCGTGGAGGTGATGGGACGCAATAGAGGGGCAGATTCAGATAGATCCGGACCCGTACGAAGCACAGTCTGATGCTGACACTAGACTCGAAGTGCTCTGTATAGCTCATTATAGTACTAGTGCAAAAGCAACATGAAAGCAGGTGTCAGTTATGTGACAGCGTAGTCTCCGTTGCGACAAAAACCTCGATGCACAGCAAGGGCTTGGCCGGGAATTGAACCCGGGACCTCCTCCACATAGTTCCCTAAGAAGGAATCATACCTCTAGACCACCAAGCCAGTGGACGATAAGCCCTCAGCACCTTTGAATCACCAAATCGACGGCCGCTCACAGTGGCATGACATTGAGTACAGTACTGTCCAATTTGAATATGTAGCGAAAGCGAAAGATCACCGTGACCCCATGAGCGGAGAACCTCCTGATACTAATAGTGATTTACACAGCAGTACTCCTCTGAGTCACGAATCTGTCAAGCCAGGGAATCAATTCTCGCTGTTTCTTCCGAGATAACAGTTCCTCAGCTACTACATACTAGAATGCTCCTTGAGACATACACCGCCAGACTCACATGCGAGATCTGGGAGATTCAACGGTCGCTCGCCGAGGACCACGTCTACGAGATTCAGCCGGGACGTATTACTGACAGCGACAAAGGCTCGGATGTTGTCCCAAACATTGTCGCGGCTGGTTTATCGCAGCTTGCGGGCTCACGGTGCCCTAACGCTCACCAACCTTTCTCGGAATCCACAACTCCGCTTCCTATTCTGGGTCACTGTGATCCCGTCCTTTCTGATGTAGCAATACCTGTGTCGGAGGCAAGCCCATCCGCGAGGGTGCCTGTCACGCGCGCGAAACGGATACGTAGTACCTGCGATGCGTCGGAGGATAGGGCCTACTTGAGCTTGAGACAAGTTTGCTTCGTACAGGTCGAGGTAGAAGTGCGAGAGAAGGTTTGTCTGAGGCCTGTGTGATGGTAAGGCCCAGCCGTGTCTCGAACGACAAGGCAAACGACGTACGCGCAGGTCATGGGCGACAGGTACGGACTGACGGAAGGCTGAAAAGAGCTGTATATACAAATATGTCGCAGTAGACATGTGCACCATCAAGTACAGGCCAGTCAAAAGAGACAGCCCCGGTGGCGCCATATCAGGTCGGCTCAGACTCCATAAAGTAGGCCGCGATCATAAGTATATAGTGCCTCAAGTGAATGTCAAATCTTTCTCTAGGTTATGTAATAGTAGGACTGCACTCACGGCACGCTGTCACTTGGTAGCATTCGATCGCGACTCTGGCAATCGCTGCCTCGTCAGTCCGGGTCGTTAGCAGGGGCCCAGTGACCACGTCACCCAGCCGACTTCGATCGGAGAAGCGCGATCACATCTGCAAGCACTTCTGCCGACATAGCTGTGAGCATGGATAAGTCAACAGAGAGAGGGGATGTAGGCTTATATACCTCCTACATATAGCACTAAGTTCTCCTTCCGAATGCGCTCAACACGTACCTTGGAAGGGGGCAATCAGGGGCGGCCAATGAGTGCAGTTACCACCCCGCCCAAATCGCAGATTGGTATTGCAGGCCTTCCCGCACTGCTCAGTTCGCGCGGATATGAACGTTGTACGTAGTGGACGCCGAGCTGTCCATTAATATGAATAGCGCGGCATCGGACACCATGTGGTTAACGGGCTACGTACCGTAAGGCTTCAGTGAGCGCATTGAGACCAGCGCGTCACGAAGCCTCTGTGCGGGCGGAGAACAATCCCTCAGCGTCGATACGTCTATCCACCACAATCGATGAGACCTTGACTCGGCACAAAATCACTCAGTGAGTACCGTACTCAGAGTGGCCCAGAGACGTGCATTCTGTGACGTGTGCGAACATCCAGCCAGCCAGCTCAGACATATCCCATCGCATTCTGTAATAGACTCACCCTTCGAAGCAGTCACCTCAGAGCAGTCGGAGCATCTGCGATTTACTCTAAATGTCGGGGTTGCCGTGGTAAATAGTTTCGACCCCGATTTTCTACCTGGGAAACGTGCAGTATCAGCTAGCACGCAACAGACAGTGGTCGTGGAGAAGTGGTCTCAAGGAACGAGAACGCCGGGCAGCGTGCCACAATGCACTGGACCACGTGCACTCAAGTGGTAAAGCAGACGACTTCACGAGCGCCTCAGCCACCTACTCTGAACCTCGACGTCGAATAACTCGCGACCGTCTTTGGCAACTCCTGGACCACCCTTTTCTCGCGAAAACCACAGTGCTTGCTTTCGAGGAATTGAGCCAGCCTCACGCACACCAAAGCGGAGCGGCGTCTTGGCTACTCATCTACGCCACTCAGAGTATTGAGTATCACACACGCGCGCCACCGATCGCGTCTACGTCTTCAATTGAGCACTACGCGGCTCTCTTACAGTGACCACCTAGCATCTCCAGTATGCCGCGCGGAATACCAAACGCGAAGCGCGATGAAAATGCCATGCGATTCACTACTTTCCACGTCCCTCTACCGTTAGTCGGTTCCTTGATAAATCCATTCTACATCAATTAAGCGCGTTATGGTCAATTACAGGCCAAATCCCAAGCACATGGGATCCACCTATCTGAGGTCAGATACGCAAACCCACTGGTATCGTAACGCCGTACGCGCAACTGCTGCTGGGAGAAACAAGATAGTACAAGAAGAGCCCGGTCCGGCAACTGAAGAGGTAGGATTGTCCGTGCAACCGTCTCTGGCGACGACATAACCGTTGCTTCAGGCTCGGCGCGGCTCCAAGGTCATAGTCATACATCCTGGATCCCGCTTTCTGCGCATCGGGAGAGCCTGTGACGTCACTCCCGTCGCGATACCGAATGTGATCGCTCGGAAGTATAACCCTGTGCCGGAACCTCGGTTTGTCGAGGGCATTTCAAGACCGAGAAAGAGTAACATACGTACCGCCCCAGCAGCGCCTCCGGCCGGCGACGAATACGCCGTCGCTCTGAATTCAGACGATCCGGTGGGTGCTTTCGCGATGCTGAGGCAATGCGCTCATCTCAATCGATTCTCCCCTATAGTTTGACATGAAAGTTGCTGCTATCACAATCTCGCTTCGCGATCGTATGCGCTTTTATAAACTACGCGTCACTCCCAATGCAGCCAATATTGCATTAACCTTCAATGAACAGTTCGTGCCAGAAACAATACCCGAGGCGAACGATCCGTTCCACGTTGACTGGATCCGTGACGATACAGAGCAATACTATGTCGGTGAACAGGTATGAACCATCGACTCTTGCCGAGCGTTCTGCCGCACTCACCATTGTTTCCGTGATGATTGATAGGCTCTCCGCATCGCGGATCCTCTAGCCCAAGGTTATGCTGTCAGGTGGCCGATGTATAGCGGCAAATTCAACACCCGAGACTATCCTTCCAACGCCTTGATCCTGAGTGACATCGAAACCATCATACAAAGTACCCTCAAGGAGCGGCTGGACATTGAATCGAAGTCGTACCAAGTCCGTCATATTCTCCACTGTGTCATGCCGCCGGGCGCTGACATTCACGTAGGACTACTCGGTCGTACTCGTGATCCCGGACTTCTATGATCGATTCTACGTAGAGGATATGGTCAGATTGCTTCTCATGACCATGGGATTCAAGCAACTATGCGTACAGCAGGTAAATTCGCTGTTCCTGGTGTGTCAGGTACGGGTGGAGTTGAATCATGGTTCTCAGGAGTCACTCGCAGCGACGTATGGTGCTGGCATATCCAATGCGTGTGTCGTCGACATGGGTGCCACGAACACGAGTATTGCTTGTGTGGACGATGGGGTTGTCCTAGCAGATACTAGGTAAACCCAATTGCCATGCAAAGTCCGCGTCATTCATTTCTTGCAGGATGTTACTGAACATGGGTGGCGATGACATTACCGAATTCCTCCATATCTTGCTCAAGAGGATCAATTTCCCTTACAAGGAGCTGGACTTGGTCCGCTCTTATGACTGGAGAGTGATTGAAGACTTGAAGTCGCGTCTGTGCACCCTTGCAGAGGTATGAATATCGTCATTTCCCCGACTTACGCCAGTTGATCACTGGATGTTTGAAGGGCGACGTAGCTCTGAATTTGTATGATTTCGTGGTCCGTCGACCGGGTCAGGCAACGCAGAAGTACGGCCTCCGGGCATACGACGAGATCATTCTTGCTCCGATGGTATCGCATTTTACCTCCCATTCCCAACGTATGCTAATGGTACCCCATGCGCAGTGTCTGTTTGAGCCTCGTGTGATTGAATTTGACCAAAAACGTGCTGCAATGCGCCCTATCGCCCACCCCGACGTCACAGAAGACATAGTTGAACAGTTGTCGGACCACTTTGTAAGCAGTGTATTCTCTGTAATGACTGGCCTTAACGAGCGTACTTGCGCATCACAAGACACAAGCAATGATCATCTCGACGCAACACCTCCTTCCAGTGATAATGCCACACCCGATCGTCTTTGAGCAAGTCCCGAATATCCCTCAATCTGGGGCTCTAACCCCCGGACTTGGTCAGCAACCTGCGTTTGTGGTTGCACCTCAGCCAGCCGGGGAGAGTGCTCCTCCCCAGACATCTGTGAACACGGTGGAGTCCCTGACAGCGTCAGCTAGCAAGACGGAAGGCGATGTTTCAAAGTCCGTGACCCCTTCAGCAACTGACTCGGGCGATGTCATAATGAAAGAAGAGACTCCGGTGACGGCCTTGCCGACTCGCGCTGCATCGACTGCACCCGCAATTGAGACCCCCGGCGCCAGCGTGGAAGTCATCGACGTCGACGCGATGGAGGACAAACCGGCACCTTCCGCCCTGCCAGCCGACCAAGTGCTTCCTCCGCAGCAGCCACACATCTATCCTGGAGGGTACACCATCGACGTGTGTTTCGAAGCAAGCAAGCTCCCATTGGACGTCGCCATATTCAATAGCGCGCGCGCTGCGGGCGGAGATGAGAAGATCCGCAAATACCTGCAGGCCGTCTTGGTGATCGGCGGGACGGGCCTCGTCCCAGGCATGGCACATGCACTGGAGAGCAGGTAAGCCATCTCCTTCTGTGACACGGATCCCGGAGCTCATGTGGCTACCCTCAGATTGCAAGCCATTGCCACGCCTCTCGTATCCAATATGGAGAAGGTACAGATTATCCCCCCGCCCAAAGATGTCGACCCGCGTGTGCTGGCTTGGAAGGGCGCAGCTGTACTTGGCAAAATGGATTCGGTATCGGACCTCTGGGTCACAGCTGTAGATTGGGTGCGTGTTCGTATCGAGCGTGACAGACGGAGCACATTCACATGCCTATCGTGACAGGATATTCTCGGAATGCGCGGGCTCAAAGAACGCTGCTTTTACCTGTAGATACAGCAATATTTGCGAAGACGACGTTCATTCTGGCATCTGTAACGTCACCATGCTGTGCTTTGTTCAAATGACCATATGACCTGATCTAATTCTGTGGTATACATCCATTTGCTGAGCTAAAATGTGTGGTCCAACCTTCCGAGAATCCGCGAAGACAGAAGTGAGAAGCCATAGAAGACATACATATATGAATGAATGCCGTGACGACGAAGATTATGCGAGAGGTATAGGGACCAGCTTCGGGCCGGGGGACGGTAGCGAGATCAGGGAGGCACGCAAAGACGAGTCTTCAAAGCTCTGAGACTAGTCGCCGTCAGTTGCGGCCAACGGGCCACCAGACTACGCATCTCCGTTCGTCCTCGACTGTCGTAAGGATTTGAAGTGCGATACGCGGACAGAACATGGCGATATAGGGTACGTTCATATCAGTGATGACGAAGACAAATTCTGCAGGCGCACCTATCGCGGCCTTGCCACTCGAGCAGAAGTGTACCACCGTGTTCCCAGCCGGTTGATGGTCCCGCTGCCGAAGTAGTTTGCTTCTTCTTGCCCTTACCTTTCCCGCCTTTGATGCCGCTGGGCTTGGAAGGGCCTGCGGGCACGGGTCCGCGCAGAATATCGATCATTTCAGTGATCCTCTCGTCCGCAGCGCGAGCCGGTGTGAAAGGTAGGCTGTACATGGGACGTGGAATCGCGCCCGGGATTTTGACCAAGGCAGTTCGACACAAAGGGCACTCCAAGATCTTGCACCAGCCTCCGCAGCCATCACAGAGGTTTGTGAAGAACCACTTGAGGATACAGAGTGAGCAGTAAATATGTCCACAGCCCGCCGGGCTCAAGCTGTATGGGTGAGCCCTGCATAAAGCGTCAGCGCGTCAGGCACAAACTGGCATGAGAGTTGGTCGAAATAGTACGCACATGACATCGCAACATCTACGTCCGTGTCAGCTAACTCTAGCAAACCCGGCTGAAATGACTTACAGCGCGCATTGCCATTTAGCTTCAAGCTCGGCCAAGAATTCTTCGGTTCGAATCATCTTGGCGACGACAGCTCTGTCAGAAACCTCCTGCTCCCTCTTTCGTAGCTCCGATGTCCGTTTCTCAATCTCGGTCTCCTGAGTCTTCAAGCCCAGTTCGCGTTTCCGGGCAGCCTGTTCCCTGTCTTTGACAGCCGTCGTCTTCTCCTCGAGCTGCAAAACCGAACGTTCGAACGCCAGCTCCTTCTTCTGTAAAGCCTTCTCGCGCTTATCGAGCTGTTTGGTCTCTCCTTCTAACGTTTGCCGGTCGCGCTTCAAGCTCATTTCCTTCTGCAGTAGGGATTTCTGCAGTTCCTTTACCGCGCCATTACCCGGATCGTGAGGAGCGGTGGAGTTGCGGCGCGCGGAACGCTTTTCTGGCTTACTGGTAGGCTCTGGGACGGGGGAGTCATGGCCATCGTCGGCGACTTCAACAGCGTCAGACTGTCGTGGCGCTCTGCGGGAACGTGTTACGGACGTGTCAGCCACGGCGGTTTCCTGCGTAGCGACTACACGCCGGGGCTTGCGGGGGGTCTCGATCTTCCGCCGCTTAGTAGCACGAGGGTTTGGATCCTCAGCCTCTGACTCCGTGACGGCATGGTCTTCTGTCAATCTCTATCAACGGGAGTGCAATGTCCATCGGTAAGTTTATATCACCTTGTTCTTGGGCTGGACCAGACTTTCGCGAGGAGCGCGAGCGGGCATCACTCTTTGTCATTGGAAGCGAGCGTAGCGGCCTCGCTGATCGCGGTGAGACGCCACTGGGTCGCCGGTCGGCCATGAATCGCGTCTGCATCACGAATGAAACCCAAAGCGCGATGGACGAAGTAGCTGAGCGGCCTTGAGCTGCAAGCAGACTTTATGCGCTGTGGTAGATGCGACTCGACGACCTTGCTCGGCGACACCGCGAGATGAAAGACAGGACCAAGACAATGCAGACGAGCGACGCCAGCCTCCCGTCTCGATGCCACCCAGTGCCACCGCGACGCCGACGCGCCCGTCAGTATCACGTGCCTTCCCGCGAAGCCGGTGGCTGGCCGCTGCGCCAACCGCGATGGCCATTGGCCACTACTCACTCCAGACTCAAGGTACTGGTCGAGCCGTTCAGTCCCCCAACATCTGCCTACTCATAGATATCTCTATTAGAGCCAGTTTAGGTGTACGCTTCGTGGAGAGTACATGAGACGAGCATTCAGTGAGCATGGTAGTGACGGTTCTAAGCACAGACCACCAGTCCACACAAACGAGTTTCACGCCAAGCATGTCCGACCGACCAGTCATATTCTGATTCCCACTCACTCATCAGAATATTCAGAAGATATGGGGAAAGGGGGGAGTTCGTGCTGTATCCTACGCTGCTTGAAGTATACGCTAGTTCCGCCTGGCGGTGCCCCCGAAGGGGTTTCGTTTGGCAGAAGCTGATGATGTCATATACGCGCGTAAAATTCCGTGAGGCAGACTGGCATTAGTACAGGGGGAAGAATACCAATACAGTACTGTATGCCATTGCATGAGAATTTTTTGAATGCGGATGTTGATCCATGGCACCCTGTTTTACGTGGTGACGGGCCACAAAGTGTAATCAATCTACCTAGCACTAAACTGAATTGACTGCACCAGTGAGCTTGTTTCACATCGGTGTGTCGAGGCACTCAACGAAGAACCCTGCTTGTGAGAGCAACTCAAATTCCGTCATGACGAGGGCACAGCTCTTACGTACCTGATCGAATGACATGACCTGCGCTCAAGAATGGAGATGGAGCACTGCGGGGGTATAACGACAACCGTACAACGACCGCGACCACCGCCTCCGACGTCTCGGAGTCGTGTTGAAGAACCCCAGCGCTAGGGTATACGGTACCAGTAAGCGAGCGCTATACAAACGGGGACTCGCTAGAACTAGACTGGGTGGTTTGCTCAGGTGCGCACCGGTAATCGCCTCACGACCACAGGTTGGCAGGACACGCTCGCGCGTCGGCATTCGCCGTCAATTCCAAACGGAATGGCACAGAAGGAATTATACCTACGAGCAAGGCGTTGCAGTACCAAGGAGTATTTTGACAGCCTAGCGCGTCGAAGACAGATCGTCAGATCAACTCTAGATGGACAATATGTTGGCATCTCAACGCCTGTACCCTACCGTATCCTACCTTGGAGTATACTGGCCATACGGATGGTCGCTGATGAGATACGTATGAGAACTGAAAGCTGTCCGAGCAAAAGTCGAAATGAGACTCACGGGTCGCCTGAGACATGGACCTCTTCAAGCGATTTCGAGAGCAACTCTGCAAGAGTGTAGATCGTAGTAGAGAAGTACCGCAGGGGTGTTGAGGTCCTCCGCGAGCTCCGTAAATCTCAACCCTCGAGTCTTGAGCATGGAGCTTCGGAAAACATGCTAAAAGCGGATGCATGACCGCGGTGAGGCTGTTACCTTGGCAAGAGCACCCTTCATCATTCGACCCACTGAACAGACCAACAGATACTTACAAGGGAGGATCCTGTCCGGGCATGGGAACCCGTAGACATGCCGGGCACATCAGGAAAACCCCATCTGACCATTACCGTAAATACTCAAGGAAATTTGATAATGTTGAAAGAGAGCGCGATTAGGGTAAATTTGAACACCATTATACAGAATGTTAATAGTGGTCTGCAAATCCGAGACCATTAGCGCGAAATCTCAGTACATCAGAGAACAAGTCAGGAATCTTGTTCAAATCTCAGTGCAGACTTTTACCTAGCTCAGAAAAGCGGTACTTTGCCGAAGGCATTGAAGAATATATTACTAAACGAGAATTTCATGCAAGGAATTGAGCATAACCATATCAACGAGAGCCAACAAATATCAATTGCAACATCGAGCTATAGTACTGTACATCACATCGTGGTTAACAGACCGGCATTCAGCACGCAGGTACTAGAGGGCACAACTGACTTAACCTGTCAACGCAAGCACTTACAAACATTCATACGACGTGTGTGAAGATACGGTTGAGCGCGTCGAGCCGGATGTTAGGTGCGCGAGTGGTCCGAACATGCACCTTGCGGTGCACGGGCTCGCGAAAGACCGGAGGCGGCTTTGAGTGCGAGTCGCACAAAGGCGGGGTGAGGACGCAGGCAGCGAGAGCGTGCGAGAGGCGAGGGTGACGGTGGAGAGATCGGAGCGAGACAGTGGACACGATGGTGGTGGGTCGTAGCAGGACGAGAGCAGTGCTGAGACGACGAAGACGACGGTGGGAGCGATGCGGGGGAGATAGTGCAAGGGAGAGGTGCGGGCGCAGGACAAGGCCGCGTAACAGCATGCAGAAGGTGGAGGGGGGCACAAGCGCGTCAGTGGCGGTGAGGACGACGACGCAGGCAGGTCAGTAGTGATGAGGGCACGACTCACAGGAGGATACGGAGACGGGACGAGAGGGCAGTACGTTGTGGTAACGGAGCGCGGCGGGGACACGACAGCGAGTCGTCACCGGCGGCCGCGCAGCACGCGACACATGGGAGAGGCGAGCGGCGCCGCGACCGTCGCGTGTCCGCTTTGTCGTGTCCAAGGGCGGCGGCGGTGGGCGCGGACATATGAACGGTGCACGATGACGTTGGTGCATAGGAGGACGGGAGAGGTGCGGAGACAGCAGTGAGGATGGCGGGAGTGACGCAGGGAAGGCGATGGGAGGAAGAGAGAGGTGCGGGCGCGGGGCAAGGCCGCGTCACGGCGCGTAGAGGGTGGAGGGGGCGCGCGGACGGGACAGTAGCGGTGCGGGCACGACGCACAGAGGGACGAGGGGACGGGGACGACTCACGAGAGGGTGGTGGCAGGCGGTACATCGCGGTGACGAAGCACGTCGGGGACACGACAGCGAGTCGCAGGTCGTGACAGGCGGTCGCGTAGCGCGCGAGGGTGCGGTGGCACGGTTTGTACGTAGGAGAGGCGGGCGTGGTCATCGCGCGTCCGCCTTGTCGTGTTCGATGGCGGCGGCGGTGGGCGCGGGTACAGGAAGGGTGCACACAGAACGAGGAGACTCGGACTTGCAGTCATTGCGGCGGTACGCATGTCACATGACTGCTTGCCCGAGCCCGGATTCGGCGCCACGTCACGTCTTGACTCTTGAATCTACCCAACTCTCCGTCGTGCGACTCGCGCCCACCTCCGTCCGCGGCACCTCGCAGCTGGCGACACACATCTCCCTATATCCCCGTTCTCTTCGTTGTTCACGACCAGCTCAGCACCTTGACCGCTCCAGCACCAGTACACCGGACACACTTGTCGACATCATGTCATCTGCAGCCGTTGTCTACGCACGTCGTCGCACGCGCTCCTCCGAGTGTTCAAGCACATTCTCTTTCTATCCCCTACTTCCGGTGTCGACTTCACCTCAGTCTCTGGCTGAGTCTCCGTCTCTGGCTGAGTCTCCGTCTCCCTGCTGGGCATTCTCGCCCTCTCACGCTCACCAACATTGTCAGTGTGGCCTTCGCTTCGGATACTCCCTCCATCGCAGCCACCGTGTCCAACGACCTGTCCCAGTTCTCTGCGCCAGTCGTGTCCGCCCTCATGGACGTTGGCAGAGTCTTGCTCGTCATCTTCTCGTGAGTCCCACATCTGCCTGTCATCCCTCTGTTCACTTACAGACCATGACAAATAGCTGCTCGATCGTTGCGTGGCACCTCGTTAATGGTATGCATGTTGCTTCAATATCTGGCATCTCTGATACACCTGCTCGCAGATGAGCACGTCATCAAGCTTTCTGACCCACGCCTTGCACAGGTTTGTGAGGGTGCGGGCATGGGTGAAGGCGCGGACGAGCGAGGGCACGAATTGATGTGTGGATGAGTGGGCACGTTGATCACGAGCACGACGTGCAACAGCCCGACAGGCGAACACGGCCGACGAGTGCACCGAGTGCGGACAGACAAGGGCAAACGGGAGCGAGAGCGGCCGGGGACGAGTATGGGAACGGACGCAGACTAATGGATCGCCGCGCGAACGAATGAAGGCAAGCGTGGACGAGTGGGAGCAGGCACGGATGAGTAGGAGCGAGTGCGGGTGCGGAGGGGCAGATGAGCGGAGCGGGCACGGACACGGACAAGCGAGTGCGGGTGCTGCGCGACGAACAACGCCCAGCGGGAAGGGATGTAGGCAGGTAAGTGTATCTGCGGTACCACAACGCGAGGAGTTGTAGCACGCCGCTGTCAGTAGTACGAGGCAGACGGATTCCTATTCTATACGTGCTCGCTAGTAGTTGTAGTCTACAAGAACATCGTCGTACCGTTATATTCAATCCATCCAAAGTTCCCGAATCCCGCAGAACGATGGAAAGACGAGATAGACCTGATAATATGTGGTAAACACTAGGAGATCAGCTACTAATGAGGTGTGAATACGTGAAAGGTGCTTGTATTGAGCGTTCATTGTCTATAATTGTTGTTATTTCTCAGACGACATCTCGAGGTAAGCTCATCTGAGGTAATTGAGATAATGTAGTAGTGGCTGTGATTCTCAATTTTTATCTGGGAATTTCGATAATTTCTTATGATTCTCATATGGGGTTTTCCTGATGCAGACCGCTGACATCTGACGATACGATGAATTATGAGCTGCGAAAATGGGAACGGATGAATTGTGTTCCTGTCTGTGTCTCCGTGTGTAGGCGCTTTCATACAACTGGGGAACAGCGATGTAAACGTCCAGCAGTATCAGATGTAAGCTGAGTACAAACCTTCGTTCAGCGCGTGAAGGTTTCGTCACTGAAAGTATCGGTTGGCTTGGTAGGCGATCATTGTGCCCGTTGCCCTACCGACTCAACCCAGAACCAATTTCACGGCCTCTCCCAGGATTTCGCCCACTATCACGGGCACTGCCATCAGCAAACGTGCAAGTTCCTTAGCCGACTTAAACGGCGCTTACGTCGCTTTGTGTCTTACATTCTCTTAAGTTCCGTCTTAGCAATTTGCTTGAGCCCCTTACGACGCTTGACAAGCTTGATCGACGCGAGCCCTCCCAGCCACAAAATAGGCGATTCTATCTAAGCGCTACCAAGAGTTTGTAAGGAACTTCAACGGAACAAGGATGTAAGTAGAATCAAGGGCAGCGGTAAAATTCTGTACTGAATCCATTGATATGTACTGCGTGGCAGACGAACATAGCCTGCCAGAGCACAGTCACGGTGCAACTATCTACCATATGATACATGAATACGTGTGACATGTACCATACAAATGCGCCGCGACGATCGTCTCACTCGGTGCGTGTGCGACGTGCAGACGCAGTGGACCGGATGTGGGCCTGCGTGCTTCGGGAACAAGGGCACAGCGGGCGCGCTGTTCTGCGTGGCAGGGAAGGACGGCGGCGTGGGCGAGGTGTATACATACGTTGGTCGTTTGCCCGTGCGTGTACGGTCTGCGGATGGATTGGACAGGTTTAATGTTCACACATTTGATGGCAAGAATACGTACGTACCCCGCGTCCCATCCCCTTCCTGGCGAGACATTCCAGCACACCATCACCGCGCCGTTCGCGGGACGTCGATACATTACATCCAGTGAGGGTTAGTGTCCGACTCGGCATCCGTCGCGGCTCGACGACTGATGCGTGCACGAACGCTGAGCTCTCAGCTCGTCACGCGTCACGTCGCAAGTCTCCCCCTTACGCATGCCCCGCTCGCCGGATGTCGACCGTGTCCTTGCCTGTTGCGCCGAATGGCACACCTCAGCGGATCGCATTGCGTGCGACGCCCAGCTCGCCGGGCGTAGATCTGTCGTGTCTTCGCACAAAGTTGACCTTCTTGCCACCGCGCACTGGCAGAGTGCTCGTTCAATAGCACGGCGCGAGACGAGCTCGCGCTACGTGTCCAGGACTCCAGGGCTGTGATCTGGCCATCTCCGGTCAGCCTGCCGAAGTAGTTGATACTTAGCCTAGTATCCCGAGAGTTGAGCCTATTGTGGGTGTTAGTACTTCAGTGTAAGAGTGGCTTGGGAAAGCAAGTGCAAAGTTCGAAGTTCAGACGCGCAGCCGTGGCGGGCGATGCGTCCAGTGTTTGGTGATGTTTGGAGGATTTGCCACGTCACCGAACTCGGTATTAACTTCACACAGGTTGAACCAGTGCCACGGTGACTTCCGAGTCTGTCGCCTCCCCTCGTCTGTTGAATCCGGGCATACTTGCTACGGCACATTGCCTCTCGAACATCCCTCTTTGGCCGGCCTCAAGGGGCACACGCGATACAGACACATCCCCGTCGTCCAGTGGCCAGCCGGCACGCTCAAACACCGCAGCCACGACAAGCTCCAGCAACGTGGGGAGATCGTTGCTGGAGCTAACGGACGGCTAGAGGAGCAGCGTGGGCGCGAGGGTACGAGGGTGTGGCAGTATGGCCACCAACAAGGTGAGTGCCCACGTTGTCGGCCACAGGATGCCAGCCCCACCGTCTGCGAGCCGGCCCACGCCTTCCACAAGCCGCTCCCCATCATCTACAAGCCCGATCATCCTGCGCACTGGCCCGTCGCGCCCGAAAACACTGAGCATGAATGAGGCATACATGAGGCCCCTCGCGAGCCCGACAGACTGCAGCCCACCACTCTCACTCTCCACAAGCCCCGCCTGCCATTCACGAGTCCGGGAACATCGGCGACCGCGCACGAACCCCCTGCACACCAATGCGCCAAGTACGCAAACGCTAAGCACAAGCCCTCCGCGAGCGAGCCCTGGCCCGCCGTCTGTCAACCGCGCTCGCGCTTGGTGAGCTACCCCCACTGTTCGCTAGCAGCAGCCCGATGTACGGTACACCGACGCGGCACGCAGGAGTCCGCCGATGACTAGCAGCACACCCTTCATGCGCTCTGTCTCACCGTTGGTGAGTTGGCCGCGCGGTTCAGCAGGCCCCGCCCGCCGAGTATGGGTCCGCCGTCCGTCAGCCTCGCTGCCATCTGAGCGCCGCCGATTCACGCCGCGTTACTGCACTTCCCCACCGACCTCCGCCACTCCCTCTGCCTGCCCGCTCATCTGCGTGCCGACCCGCGGACGTGCCCGCGGACCCGCCAACCCGTGTCAACCCGCCTGTGACCCGCACCCGCAACGGCGGGTCTGTACCCGGGCGGGTATGGGCACGGGTCGAGTCAGATACACCCATGGTCATAAGTCATGTACTGTAATAAGTCATGTACTGTACATTCGTAGCATCGCCGTGTCGGATCTCATTTGCGTACAGTACATTTGTTACATCGCCAGGATTGGTTTCCGCATTGTCCGTAGCATGCTCTATCCCAATCTCAATAATACTTGATGAATGCTTGAATATCATGAGTGCCAGCTTGTTTCCCTTACACGATGTCTTAGGGCTGCTTTTCGCGCTTAAAGCCCAGCTTAAACCATCCTTACTAAGGGTGTCAAGGGCTGGCACCTTAATCAAGAGAATGGATGTTCTTGATTAAGCACCGTTCCTTGAAGTCCTTATCCACTTAAAGTGCTTGGTAAGGCCTTTAAGCACGGAATAAGGAACTTGCACTTTTGCTGATGGCGATGGCTGCATGATGCGAATGCATTCATATGTTTGACGACCATCTGTTCACAACACTTCAGGCACTCCGGGCCGCAGAGTGGAGAAGGTCTACAAGAAGGCGGTTGTACGCTCGCATCTTCAAACATTGTATCTCCCTGATCATGAAGGATATAGTACGGTACCGGTGATATCGCAAGCCTGCCACGACAAATGAGACGGCGCACCTCGTGATCTGAGTGCAACGCCATGAGACGATGCGGGTCGTAGAATGTGCCCTTCTCCGAGCAGCGTGAAGGTAGAGCGGTGGTGGGCCGCAATACATATGTTTAGGTTGTGAATTATGCAAGCAGTGGAAGAACGACAGGCGCGTGGTTCGTTCCTTCAACTTGCCATATTTGGGCTGCTACACGCGGCGAGGATTCGGACGTCAGGCTGTTGGACGCGAGGACGAAGCCTTGCCTTCTGCGCTTCGCTGAAACACATGATGCTGCTCGAAGACAATAAGGAAGGATAGGGGTCTGGTCTGCTTCCGGTCAAATATCAGACAAGACGCCTCGACATACCCTACCCAGTTCTTTGTCTGCCAACCAGTGACACGTCCGACTGGCGAGCAGCGCGTGGCCGCCGGTTACGATTCAATGCAAAGGTGAGACCATTCATCGCATAACAGATACTATCCGCAACACGCTCACGGAGTTGAGGAGAAGAAGGATTTGCGTACAGAAGGTTGTCCCTTCTGTGAGCGGAAATGCTGATCAGGCGTCCCGCCAGAGCGGTTCCTACTCCGAGCTGTAGGTCCCAGACAACCCGAAGAGGCACGCTCATGTATATGGCGCTGCAACGTGGCATTCGACGTCTTTCATAGAGACCGAGCAATATGCTTCCACACTTCCTATCGACCTCTGTCACGCCACTGTCTCAGTATCTCTGCCACTCGCTTTATGATATGTTTGTGCCGGGCCGTCCACTCCTGCACGCGTTCACACGTCGGTTCGCGACAGTGGATTTCGCCAAACACATTGCACTGCACGACAGATTGCGCTCGCAAGGTTCTGCCTGACATTCCAGACGGTTGCGCATCTGACACCTGCAGCACCTCAGTGTGCTGCCCCACAATTCAGTACGTGAGCGTCATCGCATTCCAGGCTCTCACTGCTGACATTTGCCCATATGCAGGATAAACCCATCTGCCTATCCAATCTGGCTTCCCCATGGCTTCGCTGAACCTTCAGCTTCAGGTGCGGTGCTTCCGGAAGCTCGACGTGGTACATATGAAGATCCCGCCTGGTCAACGGTACATCTTCGTCATGAGAAAATTTGTGCCAAGTGACGGGCTCACGGTGGAAGGCTGCTGGTGCGCGGAGCAGACCAAACTCCGCACCGGCCACGGCGTACGACTCTAGATGCCTGTCGCACCGAGCTTGGAAGGCGAGGACCGGGGTGTCGAGCCTCAGATTCACCGACCTATCTTACTCCTTCCCGATATCCTCATGGGAGATCTCTTCTCCCGGCGTTACACCTCCGGCCGAAACCGCAACAATTCAGCAGGGACGAGCTTGGCCCCGATGCCTGACGGCGTCTGGTATCTGGGACGATTCATTACGCAAGGTCTTCGACCCGGCGAGCGACGATGAAGAGGTGCAGTCTGCGTGCAGTGTCAAGATTGCGCGCTGGCTCGGCCGTGATCATCTGTCTGATAGGCAGCTTCATTTGCCTCATCGTGGTCGACTTCTCCCATCATTCAAAACTTTCTGATCTGGATGGATGCGGCAGTGGCGGGCATAAGTACGCTCTCGCCAACTCACATTGCGACATCACGCCGAATGACACAGGCTCATGTGGTCAACGTCTCATCAATACACTCATCCGAGCCTGCGTCATGCTGGAGATGTCCGAGTTGCACATAGCCCAATATGATGAATCTACTGAGTACCAAATACAATGCATGTACACCAAATGCAAGCAGAGCACTATATACAAGGTCCTACCGTGTGCGGCGCGCGCGAAGCGCATAAATGTGGGGGGGAATAAGCGAGCCTATAAAGCTAGCGCTGTATAGTCAAGGACCCGAGAGTCGGGAGGCGAACGAACGAACCACTATAAGCTGACTAAACGTACACGTACAAATGAGTACACCGACACGGCCCAAGGGGGCCTGAGCGGAACACGTGGAGTAGTTTGGGCGGACAATGGAGACAACACTAGGAAGAGCAGGTCGCAGCGCGGAGCGGGTCAAAGCAACGTTCGACACGCGCGGCCGGGAGAACAGGTGTAGCAGGGCCGGTATCCAGAGCACGGAATAGATGTGCAATACGTAGCGTAGGAGGGAATAGCGGGACTAGTATGAATAGCACTGGCAGGAGGAGCGATGCGACATAGCAATGGGGATATGTACAATAAGTCAGGCAGGTCGTCGGTCGAGGAGAGCATGTCGAGGCGGGCGGGAGGGCGGCGTGCGCTGACGAGGCGTCCGCAATTCCAGAAAGCGCATACAATTGGACCCGGCGCGCCAGCTTTTGGAGGGGAGCTTGACGTCCTAGAGTCATGTTAGGCTCGACCACGGTCGAAGCAGCGGGCACAGCGTCGCAGCAAAGCCGTCGCAAGCGTCCGCAGGAGAGTAGTCGGTGCTGGAGGAGCAGACCGTAGAGGACACGAGGGCGCAGCAGGGCGCACACACGCTCAATCAAAGTAGCCGTCGCCAGAGCCACCCCGGGCATAGCGGTCGTCCTGATCGTCAGGCTGGGCATACCGTTGATGTACGTCCATCAGCCCTGTGACGTCTGGCTCTGGTTGGTACCCTGGCAGCGGCGTCAGTAGCGTGCTGTCCGGCGGGAGATGGTTGCGTCCGAGGGAGGTATGCGCGGCGAGAGCAGGCACATCCTGTGCCGCTCCAGCAATCGACGAGAAGCCCGAGGAGGGCGCGGAGAGGGGCGGGAGGACCGGGTGGCCTGGCGCCGCGGTCGTAGAGAGGGAGGGGCTCGCGTGGGGGTGGACGGTGTAGTACGGGTGCAGCGGCCTCGGCGGGTTCGAGGCGGCCGACATCCCCAACTGGGGATGTGATGCGTGATGGCGGAGCTCGTGCTGCCCGTGGTTCTGGCTCTGCTGCCAGGCTGCCTGCGACTGGGCGGGGTAGCCCGGCTGGCGGTACTGCTGTGCGAGGACCTGGAGACTCTCCTCGGCCTCGTGCGGGTTCTGCTGGGCGTAGCGGATCGCATGCGACGGCTCTTCCACGGGGCTCGTGGGCTGGTAGCGTGCGCCGGTGTCGAGCGCGTGGCCTTGCGTGTTCATCGGGTAGCCGGACGGGCTCCCGTAGCTGTGGGCGTGTGTGTGCTGCTGCATGTAGGAGTGGGCACTCATGGCGTGGTGCGAGTGCGGGTCAGGATACGGCTCGGCGATGCTCATCCGCCTGTGCACGTTTGCGCGGTGGTGCTCGAGCTCGCGCGCCTGGTAGCCGTACGGGTTCGCGTGCGGCTGCTGGTGAGCGTGGCCGGGGTGTCCTTGTTGCGCAAGCGGTGAGCGCATCGACATCATCGACGAGAGCCCGGGCATACCGCCCATGCCAACGCTACCACCCATGCTGACACCGAGCGGCGGGATGCCCTGCATCACAGCCTGCGCCTGAGCCTCGCGCTCCACCTGCGCCTGCCTGTCTTGCTCTTCTTGCTCCTTCTTCGCCTGGCGCCACTGCTTCCGGAGCTCTTTGAATTCTAATCAGGGGAAGAACGGAAGCCAAGTTCCGTAAGAACTGATAAGCTTCTCGCGGCAAACAGAAAGGGAACGGAAGGGGCGCGTACCGCCTGGGCTCCTCTTCGGGCCATGCTTCTGCATCGTGACGTGCGCGTTTAGGTGGTTCAGCGTCCCGTACGCCTTGGCGCAATTCGGCCAGCTGAAGGAGAACACGAACGCGGAGTCCGCGCGCGGGCCGTCAGCTTACTGCGCGCGCCCAGACTCGGCGGGGCCACGCACCTGCACTGGTAGAGCCGCTCGATCTCGTCGTACCTTCGCCGCGGCCTCTTCTTCACCGCGTTCCCCGGCAGACTCACGAACGAGTATGTCTTCCCGTTCGCCGTCCGCTGCTGCGTCTGGCCCGGGCCTGGCGCCTGCAGTCCCTGTCCTTGTCCCGCCGTATGTCCCCCTGCTACTGTCTGCGCCTGCGTCGGTTGTGTCCGCGCCCCTGGCCCCTGTGGCGCGCCTGGGCGCGTCTGCTGTGTTTGGCTGCCGGGACCAAGCCGTGAGCCAGGCAGAGGCGGGCTGCCACTGGCGCCCTCCGAACCGCTCACACTGCCTGCGTAGACAGGCGAGACGGGTGCCGGTCCCTCGGTGAGGTCGTGCTTGAGTGGGCCAGGCCAACTGGAGGGCGTCGCGCCATAGCCATCGGTGAGGCTGCCGGACGAGCCGGAGCCCATTCGGGCGTGTCCGTGTGCGCCCTGGGCGTATTGTGGATATACGTAGGCGGGGCGCGGAGAGTGCGAGGGCGGCGGGTAGGCATACTGTGGCGGGTGAGACGCGGACTGCGATTGTGCCTGCGATTGCGATTGGGGGAGCTGAGATTGCGCGAAGCGCTGCGAGAGGACCGGCTCGGACATGCGCCGGTCGAGGAGGGGGTTGCTCTGTGCGTGGTCGTACCGCGCGTTCGGGAGACTCTGGGCATGTGCGCCCGCGTAGGCGTACTGACCTGTCATCGGCGACGCGGACAAAGGAAACGCACCTGGGCCTGCACGCCCGCCCATGCTTGGAGACTCGGATTGCAGCGGCGGGGAGTAGCCCGCGGGATCGTGCTCGGCGGACTGGATGAGGTCGCCGATGAGGAGCGAGGGGGGCGAGCGGCGGCCCAGCACGTACTGGGCGTCGCTGTCGAGGTCCGCGCCGAGGTTGGACGCGCCGCTGCTGCTGCTCGCGGTCGGGGGCGCGGGGTAGTGGGGGAGGGCGTCTGGGTGGCCGGAATACATGTCTGAGAGTGCAGCGGAGGCAGCGGCGTGGTCGAGGTGGGCGCTGCTGTCATACTGGAAGACGGGGGGCGAGGGGGAGTCGTCGTCGCTGCTGGGTGGGGCGTCGGCGGGGAGGGGGGAGCGGAGCGGGTGCTCGCGCTGGTCGGACGGCGGGGGCGGGGGCGGGCGGGTGTCCACGGTGGACGGCGCGCGGCGGGGGCGGACGTCGGGGACGGGGCGGCGGGCCGGGGGCGGGGCGGGGCGGGCGGCGAAGGGCGTGAGGGGGGCGGGGCGGGGGAGATGGTGGAGCATGGGCTAAGTACGGGCGAGGGCACGGCCGGGCATGGCGAGCACAGACGCGGCCGGACGCTGCTTTACAGCTGCCCCCCAAGGCGACGGCAAGCCAGACGCCCGTCGCCCGCCCCGTGCGTTCGCGCGCGCCTCTCCCCATCTGCCGATCGCCATCACCCGTTCATGCTCCGCCAGATACGATTCCAGATCCCCTTCCAGAAGCCCGCCCGCTTCTCCTCCCACGCCCCTCTATTGGCCCCTCCTCCGGCTCCCCTCGCCCGCGCCCGGCACTCCCGATATAGCCCTCGCAATAAGCCCTTTTCCGGCCACCGTGCCCCGGCGTGACCCTCCAGCCGCATCAGGCCCCGTCCATCCGTCTCCTTCGGACGATAACGACCTCCTGCCCAGTCCGTCCCGGTGCCTGTCACGCTCCGCTCCGCCCTCTCGTCCCCGCCGCTGCCCGCCACCAGCCCGCCGTCGCCCCCGCCGCCCGCGCCACCGTTGCCCCTGTCTCGCGCGTCCGCCGCGTCCGCCCCGGCACGTCACGCGCGCGCATTCTGTGATGAAGAACTCGGGATTGACGCGCACCCGCTCGCGTGTGCGTCACCGTCCGTCTGACAGCTGCGCGACGCGACGGTGACGCGAGCCTGACACGTCCCTCTGCCCGTCTCTCCTCCAGCGGCCCCTGTCCCGCCACGTCTCCTGCCTGTGCATTTCTGGGGTCTCCTCTCGCCCCCATTGTCTGCAGCGCGCCTGACCAGTGGGTCCCCTTTCAGCGGGCCTCGTGTTCTGCAGCGCGTCTGTTCCTTCCGCGACGCACCCTGCGCGCCACCATCTGCTCGCACGCAGTTGCCGTCCGTTCGTGCTCCGAGGTCTCGGTCGCGAATACATGGCCCGCCGGGTTGCCAAGGTGCGTCCCGTGTGGCGGCAGCACTGCGGCCAGGCTGCGGCAGCGCTGGCAGTGGATGTGGCCTCCGACGCTCGCAATGGGGAGCGTGGCTGGCTGCCCACTCGCTTGCCACGCACGACCACGCCGCACCCGCGTTCTCGCCTTCGCCCGCCAATCGCAGCCCGCTTCGCGTGCTTCCCTTCCATCGAACGCTTCCCTCGATCCGATTGATCCTGTCTGCGAACTGAGATAGCGATGCGGCGCAGGGTGTCACTTCGCTGTCACGCGTCCTGCCTAATGCGGCCACACACAGCTGCCCATGACGCGTTCGCCCGCCTTCTCCCACGCCGGCTTCGCGCAGATCGCCCCCTGCGACGGCCGCGCTGGCCCCCGTCCGCGAAGACCGTTCCATGACGTGCCTTTACGGCACAGCGCCTTTCCCCGCATCGCGACAGCCCGCTCCTCGCACCCGTAACACCCTCCCGCCACGCGGCGCCTCCGGAGCCCCCACCGCGCCGCGACGGCCAGGCCCCGAGCGATCGGCGACTTGATCACCGTCAGCCCGCCCGGGCCCGCGTCCATGCCCAGCGGCTCAGCCATCGCCGCGCGACGGACCAATCGCAGCGCGCGCAAGGCACCTCCGGCCGCGGACGTTTTGTTTTCCTCGGCGAATTTTTGCTGCTCTGCTTTGTGGCGGGCGCGCAGGCCGGGAGTCGCAGGCCACGAGGCTCGCACCCGTCCACGCTCCCGCCCCTCCTTCCGGTCCCTGTCTTCGATTCGTCTCTATCAGCAAAGTGCTGCCCTCCCACGCGCCCGCCTCCGTCGTCTCCCCGCCGCCACCATTCCTGACAGCGAAACGCAATCCGCTATCAATCGCAGCGGCCGTATCTCGATTCCTCCCATCCGCCACATCTCGCGCGCCTGGCCCGTCAGCCCAGCAGAGAAGCACAAAAACGAAATCAATCCGCCGCAGTGTCACAGCCTATGTATCAGGATTTTCGCAGCGCGTCCCCCCAGCGGCCAGGGCCTGCAAACCAGCCACCGTTTGGCTTCGTTGATGCGTTTTTTTCGGCCAGTCTACGCATCGGCACATCTGACGTTGCCGATTGCCAAGGTACCATCACGCGCCCGGTGTACCGCTATTGAATAATTTATGGCCAGTTTGCGAGCCTTCTCTTCCGTCGTCCCTTCCAGACGCCCTCTCCCCTCCTCTCTCTGACACTCTCGAGACGCTGCACCGGTGCGCTGGGTCGGCCACACCAAATGAACGGACTGTATTGCGTCCTTGTCGTCGTCAAGATCCATTGGATGCCATCGAATGAATCCGAAACAAACGCGTCCGCGAATCTCAGCAGCGCGCGCCTGCCTCCTGTCAATGTCATGGACGCAGCGGACGCGCCCCAGGCTCCGCGCCTGATGTTCAGATATTCTGTGATTGGCCAGCTGACGGGGCGCACACAGGCGTCCTCCCGCCCAATTCAGTTCCGCGCCAGCCCAGAACGCACGCCGACCCGCGCGCCCCTGAAAAATATGTCCGCGAACCCTCCCAGGCTCCCCCCGCGACTCCACACTCTGTCTGACGGCGCGCGCGGCACACAGCAGATCGTGATTCGTGGCTGCGCCGCCCCAACGCCTCTCTGATCGCTCGTACTCATGAGCTCTCCCCGTGGCGCACGGCCTAGCCTATGAAAGGTATATCTTGCCTCCCGGGGGGAGGCTGCTGGGCTTTCTGTCGGGGACTCCTGTCCGGCTGCGTCGTGTCTTCGAGGTACATTGTACGCCGCCCCGCGCCGCCCCAGTACGAGTCCGACGGGCTGACCTTCCGCCCGAACGTGCCTCCGGACGGACGCACTTCGTGTCCACGTTCAATTTCGACGGCAGCGTTCTCGCGGCGCTCCCAGACGTTCGCAGCGCCTTCGGTTTCCGGTGGAACGTTCGCGCGTCCGTGCACTCCGATCTGCAGATACGGCCATCGCACGACGCAATCTTCGCGCAAAGGGATTACACGAGATAGGATCCGCACGGCTCGGAGTACGCGTACGTGCCAGTGGACGGCTCCAGACTCGAGCTCTAGTAACTCAGGCCCGTCCATGTACAACGCTGGTACCGCTGGTGCTCGCCTACTCAGTCGGACGGTACGTGTGCAAGAAGGTTCATCCTCGCAGCGAAGCTCCTCCAATGCTTGTCCGTACTATGTGCATGTAGTACGCACGGAGCGCACAGAGTCCTAGCAAAATGGTGCACCAACTCCGTGAACTCTCCCTCCTTTGCGCAAAGTTTGGCCTGCTCGGTAGACGCGCCTCAGCTCTGGCTGTCAACGCGCTACGTCGGGTGCACTGCACACCCCTGCAATCGCTGCGGCGTGGTTCTGCAGCCGCTGGGCCGTCCACTTGTACTGTGACCTACCTGCCGAACCGGTCGCTGCTCCACACCGCGACTCTGCTGCCAGAACGTAACCCAAACCTAGAGCCCGTTTTTGGACTGTGAATCCCGATTAAAATCCGCATTCTGCACTGACTGTATGCAAGGCATGGTGGGCGCCGCGACTCCACCAGTGGTATGTTGATTCTTCATACAGTCTTTCCATTGATTCTGTTCATCCGTACTGAACAACGACATGTACCAGATGCGCTCCTGCCGTCCTTCATGCACTCGGCAAGATTCACCCAACTCCAAGCTCTCTCCAAGCTCTCTGCACCTGTCGGCCGGATGCACTTGCAGGCGCCCTCAGCTCACCCGAATCCAGAACGGTTCGACCAGAGGCTGGCCACCGCACCCTCGATTAATGCTCCACAACCCTACCGTCAACAAGTATCCGGGTCCGCTGCAGCGCGGAGCCGCTGTCCACCCTTTTACATACGCCCGGCTAGCCGGTACGCCGTCCCGCCCGCACGTCTCAGACAAAACCCTAAGTCAGCCTCCGTTCCAGGACTTGAAGGGATGTTGACCAGTCCCCGCACTGCATCCATGTCCTGCCAGGTGGCTCGTCCACTCGACCACATTGCAGACGCGGAACGGTGCATTTGTACTGTACGTCAGAACCGAGTACAGGAGTGGTTCTGCTGATGGTGTCGAGATGCCAACCCGTTCCCTGGCCTACGGTAGTGTCACTTAGCCCGCCTACTTTATCAGACTTTGGATGTGTCCAATGTGGTGCGAGTAAGATTAGCGTGCCCCATCGGCTGCGGGTGGTGTAGGAGGCACATCGCAACGTGCGGATACCGAACCCCTTCGCGAAATTGGTGAGTGTCACTCAAACTCTGCCGTTGCCCTGAATTTGACTTCCGATTCAGTGCCATAACCACGTTTCTCCACACTTCTCTGTTGTCGCGCTGTCGCCAGAACCAGGGTGAGAACCCGCAGCCGTGAGATGTGAGCGCGACAATGCTATGCACACACTCTCGTGCTGGAAGTCGCACCACTGCCCTCACGGCCACCGGTACCGACGTGTTGACAGATGACTGACATGGACGAGAACGACCACGTTGCCTGTCAGGAGGTGCGTGCAGTATCATATGATCGACCCGTCAGTGGATTTCAATCATTGATTCCTGTTCAAGCCAAACCCACCGCACAGACGAACTCAATCACATTCTCACTGCAGGGCCGACGCTCGATATGCACAGGAACTTTATCGGAGAAAGGCACCCGTCGAGATTGGCTGACACCTGCTCTGTCCGATAGACTCAAGGCCCACTCGATCCGCCTTCGTCCACCTTGTATCGACTCGGAGGCTTCGTGCTGTGAGTGGGCAGATGCATGTCAAGATCAAGTCAGGTCGACCCCCTTTTTCTCCTTCTAGGTACCTGTCCCCGCTGATATCGCGCGGATCTATCATGTGTCAATACGAGCTCAGTTCCGAGAATACAACGACCCCTGCAATCTCTACCCACCCCTTTCAGGAACATGATGATGATTGCTTATTCGTACATATCGCGATGTCTGTCGACCACAACCATTACATGCGTCGTTTGCGCGGCTCCCAGAATCTCACATATTCTGAACTGTACGCAGACTGCAACTCCGCAGGCTTCTGAGGCCCAAGGCCTAAGGCCTTGACCAGACGTGACTATGTACAGGTGTCCCATCGTCAGGAAGAAGTCTGGGTACTATGAGGGAAGACACAAACACCGCGAAACACCCTCCGAGCGCTCCGCATCATGACCGCGTCGAAGTCGAAGCTTGGTCGAAGCAACATAAATATAGACGCGACATATAGTGAATGGTCGTTGTAATCAACGGCACGGCACGCCCAAGTAGAGCGCGGAGGTCCGCGGGCCGCATTCATCTCGAGCGCGCCGTCGTGGACATTGCCAGGACAGTCCACGATGATATGTGTTCGAATGTCGGATGGCCCATTGTCGGGCGTACCTGCTCAGTCTCGGCGCTGAGTGACATGGACAGTCACAGAAGCTCGCATCTCAGAATGTGTCCGAGGTACGCATCGCACCATTCATCATGACCCAGGCTTCCGAGTCTGAGGGCGCGCTCGCTGGCGGCTCGCGCGATATGTATGAGCACAAGGTGCGAATTCGCCTGATCGCCAGTTCGATAGGGGGTAAACAAAGATGAAACGCGCCCGGTCGGGAGGCAGAACGTCCCCCAAACATCTATGCGCGGTTCTCCAGGTGACGCCTTCCAAGTACGTATTGTTGACGAACGAATCCGATCCTCAGTCCGGACATTCGGCGGTGCGTTGTCAGCGATCGTGTTCGACGGTGTCTGATAACGGACCGATAGTGCTCTTCCAGGCTCTTCCGTTCACTGAGATCACAGCATGACAAGAAATCGGCGCGTGGTTTTGTAGTGCCACTGGACGCATCGACAGGCCGAGCGGCAGGGCAGTCATGACGGCACACCGCACTGATAACCTCTTGATAGACTTGCGATGTGAACCCTTCGGACGTACTGAATCGGAAGCCTCTCCGGACCCTCTGTGCTGGGCACGAAGTACGTGTCAGACGCGGGTGCAGAGGCTTGACTTACATACCTCAATCCTACCTGCGTTCGGCTTAAAGTAGCGAAGCGCGGTGAACATGGATAATTGTTTGCAATATTAGCACATGACATAGTGAACCTGGACATTGGCTTGTTTTCGATGGTGGTCAACACGGTCGACATACAGGATTCGGAATGCAGCCTACATGGGTTGTAAACGTCAGGAAGGGTATGCATGCCGCGTGGCCTCGAGCTCCGTGAGCCGCTCACTGGGACACGTAGAACGGTTGACCTTGATGAGGGCGCTTTGTACCGCCCCCTCTCGAGCAGTGTCAGCAAGCAAAGCATGTTACTATTCTTGTCATTTGCACTCGCATACATTGCTGGAGTCTCTGAAAGATGAAATTAGTAACGGAATTGGGATGCTTCTCTACGATGCAGCATCCCGACATGGCAGGACATAGCCAGCCCCACCACTCGTGAGAATGCTCCGACGATTAGTCGGAAAGAAGACAGAAGATGACGCAATCAGGAAATTCGAAATTCAAACAAGCTCTGCTACATAGCGGGAGCACCCCGGGAAGGCCACGAGGATATCATCCATCGCGAGAAGAATGAGTGTGGTGGGAACGCCACGGAAGCGCCATTGTATGTGGTACTCAGGCTCACTGTGCATCCCCTGATTTCTGGCCATCGCATAAGGAATCCTGCTAAATACATCACTGTGAAATTCACAGTAGCAGGAATGCGAGTTCAGAGAGCGGGTCTATGGTACGGCTGCGCCGAGAAACGAAGTCAGCACAGATTTTCCGTCAATCCGAAATACATGTCAAACACAAGGACGGTGAGGCGAAGGTGAGAAGTGGCATGCGAATTAAGGCAAACAGAGGGAAGGCGAGACTCGTAGAGTGGAGTGTCAGAGAAGGCGCAGTAAGATCGGCAGCAGAACTATGGTTGTCACCGTGAGACGGAGCCTAGCGTCCGAGCCTTCCATTACGGCGCGGGTCACCCGCCGCATATATCTACGGCTGTGTGAAAGCTTCATGGAAGGAGAGCTAGTGTTTGAATCACTGACTCGGAACATGCACAAAACACGAGTTTAACGTCCGTCTTCTGAACTTCGGGAGCATGTGGATGATCGCAGCAGCTGACTCGAACAACTTGCAGCTGAACCCGCAAAGCCCACAAAGGGTTTCGCACAGTGTGAAACGCAGAAGTCAAGAAGTGGCGCTTCCTCGGTGCATACGACGGAGACGTCCAGTGCAAGAACCAGTTACCTGAGGTCATCAAGGCAATTGAAATACGTAGAGGTCAATAGACAGAAGCGAAGTACGTACCGCGAGTCAACAAACTAGCTGATCCCACACCGGGCATCATCCGGTTCGAAGACGAGTGGTGGGTCATGGTGATATGTTCCAGTAAGCACCGTTCCGACGATCGTCACGGTAAAACAGCATGCAGAACGAGAGCTCACCGACCAACGGCATATTGTCTCCGAGCTCTTGTTTGGGCAACGGACGTACGACGATGAACAACCCGCAGATTTATAGCACACATTGAGTGCAGCGTGTTTGTAGCAAGTCCGAACCATCTCAGTTTCTCGGAAAAGGCGCAAAGACCATAAGTCAAGCGACATGCCTCAGTCTACTCAGTATATCATGAGTATAGTTCGCCGGGATGAGATACACGAACCTGTGAAATATGACATCCGTAGTCTCTACCAATCGCAGGGATGATCCCGTGTCGAGAAGGGTCATAGCTACGGCCTTGTTCGTAGTGGGATCCAAGCGAAAATACTGTCTCTGGGGCTAGTGTTCGTGTAGACTCTGATGAGCAGCAAGCACGCACGGTGGCCGTGGGCCGTGTCTGTCGACGCTGTCCTGATTGAAAACGGATACGACTCAGTGACAACTAGTTCACACACCGGCGAAGCGAATGATATGAGCGGAGACATGTACCTTGAGCACTGGCAAGGCTAGCCTATCAGTGAGTATGACTGCATCACGTCACAATTAGGGATGGTCAGCCCGTACAAGTGATCCACGTTGAGGAACTCCAACCTCCTGGTATAGTCATCATGAGGAAGATGGTCAGTTCGGTGGACAGGGACGATGGGAAGTTACTATTAGGGCAGGACTTCATTACCTCACCGCGTTCTCCGTGGCCCAAGCCGTGACGTGACTCCTGTTTCGAATTCACGTTGGCATAGACGGCCTATCGGAGTCAACAACAGAGAGTGTATAAATCGAGAGAGACACAGGCTAGCTATAGACTCATCAGGGTCATCACAGTTCGTAACTGAACCGTCTGAACCTGTCCGGAGCGCCCGATTTCTACGGAGCGCCCGTATCGCTCGTGAGACTGATTCGGGCCCGTGCGCGTGAACGCGGTCGCACGCGGCGAACACTGTATCCTGCAGCCACATCTGGTTCTGTTCTGCCCGTGTGTTCGCCCCCAGACCCAGACTTCATTCAAGACACAGTCAAACACGCGGGTTTCCAGGTGGACGCCTCATCCACTTACAGTTTCGATGCTGCAAACAGAAGAGAGGCAGATGACATTGGAGGCAAGTATGTACCAATCCACGCGGCAGAAGGTGCACTGCAAAATGGCTATTTTTTCCGATGTATCGGAATCTCGATACCCTCAAATTCGTCGGGCAACCTAAGAACCCCGTACTTGCTCGTATGAGGCTTGCCAGTCAGTTCTCCGCCGCGGCGTCGGTCCGGGGTGTCAATGACAAGGTAGTGTTGTTGTAGATGTTTCGATGGAAAGCGCCAGCGGGCTCAGGATGGCCTGATACTTGGATACTTGGAATTTTACAGAACACTGGTTGCGCCCACCGGCGATTTGTAGTCGGTTGCCATTACATGTTCGGGCCTGCGCGTGGATAGGCGCACCGCGCCATCACGCGTTCGAGGGACAGGGCCACTGTTGAGTTTATCTCCGAACCGACATTCATGCACAGATTAACTTTGCTACAAGGTAGCGGAAACAGACAGTTGTATAGCGTTCCAGTGAGCAGGATCTGCGCCCGGAACAGCTTCCAGGAGGAACGAGACTGCGGGCGGCAGGAAACGCGGTCACGTGCAATCTCATTGAGGCAAGGGAGGGCATTGTAGTCCGCATCTTCGACGAGGCACTGAGAACGGACCCAATGCCCGTTGGTTGCCATATGCGCGACTAACTCCACAATCATGGACAACACTTGTTTCAATGGTACGCCTTGCCACCAACACCAGGTTTTCTCGCGGGATGTGCTCTCCGCAGCCGTGGCCCCGATGAAGCACTTACACCGCCGCTGTTGGAGGTGGGTCCCTCACGCACCGCTGGCCGTCAGTAGCAATGTTGGGAACGAGACTGCCTTGCTCTCTGATGGCTACAGGAACCGCGCGTGGTGGTATAAATCCTCAGAACAACAGAGAGTCAAAATTATACACACAGGATAACCAGCAAAGCAAGGCACATCGATGGCGTCACCAAGTTCTTCAGCAGCTACACTCGAGAGAGGAAAAGCGTGTCTTCGGTGCCGGTAGGTTCGTCCCACTTACTGCTGGCGACGACGCTAACGTACCGTGACTTTCGTAGACGTCGTAAGATGGTGATTAGTAGTCCACCCATTCTCGCGTTACGAGCGTAAATTGACTCTTCACTCGATAGCGTTGCGATGGAGCACACCCTGCATGTGGCCAATGTACAAAAGCTGGTCGTGCCATCGACTGCGAATATTCGGACGGCAAAGGCCCGACGGCCAGTCAAATACTTGAGGAGCAAGTATCGCAGCTGCAATTACGCGTTGCCGAGCTCGAGAGTGTTAATGCGGCACCTCTCACCCTGTTTGACCCCTATGAGTCCTTCCGTAGGTCCCAAGGCGGCGGGGCGCTGCCTTCACAGCAACGCAATCAGACACTGCACACTCTGTAAGGCTCAATTTCTCGGCAGCGGGTCGAAACTGACGCGTGTGGGCAAGGTTGCGCACTTTCTTTCATCATTCCTCGGCATTTGGATTTTTTCTGCACATTCCGCGCTTCCTCCAACAGGTTGCTTCTCCTCCAGGCACAGGCTATCCTAACCACGTTACTCTTCTCCTGAACGCTATCTACCTCGCGGGGGCGCAGGCTACCACGGATGCGCAGTTGCGCGCGGGACAATCGAGCTATCTCGCCACTGTGCTCAACCTCCTCACGCCTGCACTTTCCGGAAGCGCCGACAATGCGGCGATCATGTACGTTCTTCAGACCGAGATCATCCTGACATACTATTTCCTCGACAACAACCGAGGCATGGAGGGCACCTATCACTGGCGCGCAGCTACATCCATCGCCTTCGCCTGCAAGCTGCACCGCATTCGGAGCTCGCGGTCTTCGTCTGGCAACCCCGCGGGCGGCGCTCAGTACCAACTCGGTCCTCCTGTGGATAGCCTCGAAGAGGGTGAACGCATCAACGCCTTCTGGCAAGTGCTCATCCTCGACAAATGTCTGAGCGTAGCGCTCTCGTCGCCTTCCGCCTTCACGGAGGACGAGGCCAAGGGCACGGTCATCGACTCTCCTTGGCCGATGGACGTCAGTGTATACTTAACCGTAGGCTTTCCTCAGTTCCATCGGAGCGATCATTGATCTCACTGCACTGCCACTCCATAGAATCCCCTGCCTCCTGGCGCACGTGGCATGCGTACCATACAAACGTACATGCAATCAATGGGATCTCCCAACCGAGATCGGCACTACATTGCTATGCAGGTCAAGGCGTCAATTCTATATGCCTATGCCAGCGACCTTGCGAAGACGTATAACCCTAGTGAGCCCGTGTTCTCGGCTACAGATTCGTGACAACGTCGTTGAAACGCATCGCCCAGATGATCACGCTTCAGTGTCGCGCTTCACCTACCTCGATCGGGGGATCGACCAGTTGGCGCGCGACCTACCTCCAATCGCGAGGGCGGAACCCTCACGGCCTGATATCCTCCGCACGCTGCTCACCATTCACCTAAGCGTCTACTGTGCTACGCTACAACTCAACACGCCCATAGACATGGCGGGAGTGATGTATCAAGGGAAGTCCTGGACGACGGCACTCAATGCCGTCACGGTGCTGCAACAAGCCAACCTCGGCGCTATCAAGTTCATGGAACCAGGGGCAGCAGTACGTGCATCTTTATGTCAATATCAGGAACGTCGAACTGAGCACTTCCCGTAGTATCTTCTCACTATCGTTGCGGACATCATCGTACGCGGCATCATGACTCTTGGAGCCCAGAATGTGATCGACGCGTCGAATCAGGCCGCTTTACTGGCCCCACTCAGCCAAATTCTGTCTGCCATGGAGTGGTGGGGCCGTACTTCGCCTGTCTTCCGTATGTTTTCCGCTGCGATGTATCACGCATAAACTGACCTCTCTTTAGAACAACAGCGCGCAATCGTTCAAACTTTGCTCATCCAGATCTGATGCATAACCTGCATGACCACCATCCTCAACTGACATCTCTCCTCTTGCTCGTGTATTCGAAGGTCCTCCTATTTATTCACCGTCATGTTACCTAAATCATTGCAATGCTCGCTACTGCAAGTAGCGGCGAACTTGGACGCTGAATGGTTTTGTCGACGCTGTATTTGTATGACATGATGTTGCACTTGTTATTTATTGTATCCGAGTCTTCGAGACCGAAGAGCCATCGTACCTCAGGCCTCATCAGTTAGACGCGAGATCAAAATTTGACCGCCACCAATAAGGTTTCATCGTCATTGACAAATAGGAAGGAAACTGCTATACGCACTGTACCACACATCAAATCCCACAAACCAGTGGCCTTGAAGACCTCTACCGTAAGTTCCACAGTGACTCTGCACTGTATTGAAGACGGTTGCGCAGATATGCTGCGCATCCAGAGGCACTATCATGTATACAAGTCGATGATCCACTGCATTATACCCATCCAGAACCTACGACCTCATCTTCGTGAAGATATTCCGCAGTGGCACCGGCATCCGACTCTTCGTTGGAGACGACTGCCGCTTCGCAGCCACGCTCTCAGGGTCAGCCTTCGCGGTGTACGTCGACACCGACTTCATCAACCGCCGAGGTTTTCCGATGTCGCCAACGGCGATGCTCTTGCGCGCCGGCTGTTCATCCTGCACCGCCGTAGAACTGCGCTTGGCAGGGAGGCTCTGACGGACATTGAGTGCCCGGAGAGGGCCACGCTGTTCGTCCGTGAGAATGGCCGGCGTTGGCGTCTGCGGGCTCGTCATGTCGGTCGTGTGGCGAGCCATAGCGCGGAGGGCGGGGTGGCGCGGCCAGGTCGTCGGCTCATTTTCCTTGGTGTGCGACTTGTCAGGAGATGTGCTCGTTTGAGGCGCGTAGCTGCGTCGCGACAGGATCTTGCGAGGCGTAGAAACCGGCGGGACCGATCCTGACCGTGACCGCGCAGTGTCCTGCTTCTGAACCTCCTCACACTCCACAGGGGCCTCGACACACTCCGGGACCATAGAGAAACGAACACTCTTCTTCGGCTTCAAGATCCCCTTAGACGGGCGCATACTCGCCGTGCTCGTGGGACGCGATGGCACAAGGAAAGATTGGTGGCACGCAGTGCACGAGAGGTGGCCTCCGGCCGGTGGCTCGAACGGAACCGGCTCTTGCTCTGCTAGCTCTTCTTTTGTGTGCTGCGCTTCCGTCGGTAGCAGAGAGGATACTCGAGGCGATGGCGAGCGCTCGATAACAACAGTCCTCCTCCTTTGTCTCTTGGGGTCCACGTCCGGCGTCGGTGGCGATGGCGTCGCTGGAGAACCAGCTTCCATTATATCGACAAGAGTGACAGACATGTCGCAGGGCGTGGAACAAGGGGAGACCGGAGGCTGCGATCGCACGGGAGTGTGCTCGAAGAGTTCAGGGATCTTGTCGGCGTGTTGTTCAACAAAGTCGCGCGGACCGGCCCAGTCGTCCTCTGCCGCGTCGGATATAGGCGCTTGTTCGCGAGCCAAAGTGCGCGAGTGGCCCTCGGGTTCCTCCGGTGCAGGCAACAATGGAGAGCAAGGCAGGCTCAAGCATATCACCGGCAACCGTGAATACAAGTCCGTGCACATGAAGACGAGGTCGTCAGAGGGTTTCGAGGCCTCGCTATCCAGGTAATCGAACGAGGGCCTTGACGATGACGGTGAGCCCAAAAATGGAGACGGTATGCCTGGATATGATATGGCCTGTGTGACGAGACCGGCTGACGAAGGCACGGCGATTGGGGATGGCATCTTCAGACCTCTGCGGAGGGCTAGTGGGACAGACGCAAGGCTATGTGAGGATTCAAGCGAAAGCGGGACGATAGCCGTGGAGTTCGAAACCATGATAGTAGGGACGGTATGCTTGGTCTCGGCGCGTGATTCTTGCGAGCCTTCGCCTTTTGTTCCTTCGTCCTCAACTTGGATCATAGGGTGGCTGAGCTCAACTATATTCCCAGCTTCCTCCGTACCATAACCGATGGAAACTGCAAATGAGCATAGAGAGCCATTGTCGGAGGGTGATATACGGATGGCTTCGCGCCGGAAGCGTTCGGGTGCCACAAGAGAGCCTTCTGGTATCCAGACAGAGCCGACAGACGGCATAGGTCCTTCAGACGGAGTCTCGAGCTCACGAGGCGGATGGCCCGATACAGATAACTGTTGTGACAGTGACAATGCGTTAGAAGTGCCTCGTCCAGCGCCAATCGCACGTACCCTCCACCGGTCGATATATATGTTCTCCATGATTGCGAGACGCATTCTTGGGCGAGTAGGGACAGTGACGACAGCGCGATCTGCCGAAGTCAAGTCCCCGGGTCGGCACTTGGAGAGACCATCAAATGCATTGAGGTACAGAGGTGGCCTAGCGTCAGAAGGGAAAGGAGGGGCATTGTGAAAAGAGAGTGAATCTACCGTGCAGGACGGTAGGAGAAGCGAGCATGACAACAGGTCTTCGTAGGTACGACTGTTCAAGAGGCGCACCAAGTTGATCGAGGACAATGAGCCATTCGTCGACAAAGCGCGCCCTGGGTTAGGCACATTCGTCGGAGCCGTGGACATATCGAGGAGTGCGACCACTTTGAAAAGCAACGATCAAGACATCCAAGGCAAAGACGGGGATGGGGATCCATGAGGCTGTCAGGGCGGTAACATGGACGAGAGGCTGACCGACACCGGGGTTGGCCCGCGGAGCGATCATCCTCGCAAATCATGGTAACACGCACCCGCGTAGTCAGACATCGTGAACGGGATATACGACGACTCACAGTTCTCACCCAGTTCTCCGAGGACTGGTTGTGGGTGCTAGAGTCGCGTCGATTGTTACACCCGTCCCCATGGTGCATCGGACCCACGTTGTGCGGGTCCTTCGTGAGCGCGAACTCTATTGGATTCCAGAAGATTGATATTTCACACTTGGAGCTTGATGCTGAGTGCATCCCGCGGGCTGTGAGAGGAAGATCTTCAACACCGCCCAGGGAGTGGGCGGCAGCCAAGCCAGACGAGGAAATTAATTCAGAAGCGCTCGCACATCCGGAACGACCACGACCACGACGAGCACGGGCACGGTGACGACGGCCCTCCCGCCGCTGTCCCGACACTACTCCTCCATTATTCTCCTTCCCAACATACCCATCTCTATATCTCTGCTGCAGGATACCAAATCTACGTCTCGGTGGAGGCTCTCGACGTCCAGGCTATCCTTGTCGCCCCGCCTCAGCCGCTTAATTCTATCTTTATTCACACCTTTGTTTCGACCTACCGTCGCTCCCGCTCCCGCATTGGAGGGAGTGCGTGCAGAGCAGGCTTTCGTGAAGTGCTGGTACGTGACAATCTGCTTACGTTTCTGCTTTCACGTAGGATGAGAAAACTACACATTTGCACGTCAGTCTGAGCGACCTACGTCGCATTGGATGACACTTCGCATTTCTGAATATCAAGTCTGGCTTGCTACGCATATAGGAGGATACATGTTGACCAAAGCCTTCTTTTTTTGTAGGACAGGACGTCGTTTGGCCAGTATCGACGTGCATACGTGACGTGATCCGGCCCTTCACTCCAGGTGAGTATCATACCGCCTGCTACCTAGGGTCTGTCGTGGGTTGTGACTATGGTCGCCTATCTCCAGTGTACGTAAAGCAAAACAATCTGGTCAGATAGGGCGAGCGAGATGTTCTGCGCTCATCTGCTATTGAGTGGATCATCGGTTATTAACCTGATGCACTGCACCTTATGCCCATGTCCATCAGCCATGTCCGCTCTCAATACATTCAATAGACAGTTCTGAACACATATCTGGTGCAGGTGACTGTTGCTAGTTGTGCGCAATGGCGACGAACGGAGAAGCTGCACCAAAGACGGCTGGCACGTCCTCACAAGCTGCCGCCCAAGGCAATGGGACAACACCTCAATCGAAGAGTGGTCTCGTTCCCACTAACAATGTTACCATCAAGGATGGGATGACCGTCCGGACACGCATTGAGCCCACCCTTCCAGTGGACGATGTCATCCGCCAGCTCTGCGTCAGTCTTCAAATACAGGAGAGGCCGACTATGTTCGCTCTCAGAGATGAGAACGGCGAGCTGGTGACGAATGACAACATGAGGAAGAAGATTAAGGGGAAGGCGAACCTCAGGTACGTTCACATCAGGCTGATCATTGAGGAGAGTTGCCAACGTATGCACCTAGGTTGGTCAATGCTCCGGCCATTGAAGCAGCTGAGATCGTGGAGCGGCTCATGTCGAAAGACGCGAAACTGGGACTGGCATTGACGGCCTTGCGGAAGTATATCAAGGCAAGTCTGCGCAACGCACCCTCCAAACACCCCTAACTGATGAATGTACAGGAAGAGCAATTCGCGGACGAGTTTCTCAAGCGAGATGGTTTGGGAGAACTGATCTCGGTCATCAACAGCACGCATGGCAACCAGCTAGCAGTATGGTCATATCCTTCAATAGTACTACTCCATAGCTGACGGCGCAGCTCTTGTAGTATGCCTTGACAGCGATGCAAAACCTATTGGAGCTGGACCACGGCTGGGACTCACTCGATGACGCCTTCATTCTCAAGATTGTCCAAATTCTCTCGTCAAAACAGTCCCTCATCAATGTCTGCCGACCAGCAACTGCCATCCTCAAGAAGCTTGTCGAGGCTTCACCTGCATGTGGCCCTACCGCCCATCTCGCGAGTAGCAGCAGAGGGCCGCCTGTACCACCGCCAGGGTCGGTATATAGGTATGGCTTCGATGCCGTCTTCGAGCAGATGCGCAAGGAGACGCGGTTGCTGGAGACAGTGGTGGACCGTCTGGGGAGCGCAGACACAACCATGGCGCTGTACAGGTATGTGTATGCGCCGACTCATGACTTCCGTTCGCTCAATGTCGCTTCTTTCTCACAGCATGATGCTTATAAACTCCCTCCTGGCCAATGCAACGGATACGCACTGGGACGAGTTCACGTCAGCGCTCGAACGGCTGAACGTGCGCAAGGCCGTCATCGTATGTACAAGCTTTATTCGTTCAGGACGGTCTTAACGAAGTCCACCCGTACAGCGCCTCATGTCGTCGCACACCATCGAAGACCTCACCTCATGCATCCTTGACTTCCAAGCCAACATGATGCGCGTGACGTACAGGATGAAGTCGACGCTGGTCGAGCCGGACCTCGAGGACTCACACGCCGCCGCCCTGAAATACATATGGACCAGCAGCAAGGTCGATGAGGAGGTCATCAACGTCGACATTTACAAGTGGCGGAAGATTGGGCTGGACAGTGAGGATATCACGCAGGAGTTCCGGGAGGTAGGCGTACTCGGATTGCAATGCCTGGTGATTGTCTTCTATATAGATGTGAAGCTTGGAACGCTAACGCCGAGGGTACGCCAGAGACACTTCGTCGCCAAGGATCCCGACTACTGGACCAAGGTCAGTCTTAGTCCGGGCGTTCGCTCATATGTCGAGGTGCAAGTGCTCATGCGCTTTCAGGTCGTGCAAGAACAGCTCAGTAGACCAGAGGAGCGAAGATGCCCGATCGCTAAAGCCTCACATGAGGTGACCGATCTGCTCTCGGAACACTGGGCGATCTACGCCCCAGGATGTGCGTACTTCATTACCCCAGAGTTTGCTGGCATTAGTTGATCGTTGCGACAGACTCGACGTCGACGACCTTCCAGCCGTTCTTCCTGAACTTCTACAGGGTCCATGCGCTAGCTACGCAATTCTTCCTCCGCATGTGGAACGAGAGCGGCGCCTCGAGGGGCGACTTCCCGAGGCTCGTCGCGCTCACGCGTAGCCAGTACGTCCCTCTCCAATGATCGAAGGAAGGTTTCTAACGTGCGCTTCTTGACAGAGTGAAGGTGGCGCTCCGACGGGAGAATGAGCGACCGTGGCACGAAGTCGAGCAGGACTTCCTCGAGAGCGAGTACCGCGCTGTGCGCGACCGGCAAATGCAGGAGCTCGAGATGGAGGACGACATCATGGCGAAGGTGCCCATGCGGTGAGCCCTGTCAGTGCTTCTGTCATGGTCGTCAAGCTTACCAGTGTATGCAGTAACCTCCGGGCGAAGCTGTACAAGGAGTCCGCAGAGTTTGTTAGACAGCAACGGATGCACTGTCTCCTCGAGGGCGCGTGGTTCATGAATGCCATGCCCGTGATGTCTGGCATCTCGCGGGAGACGATCCGGCGTCCCACGCTGCCCTGGCGGTTCATGCGGCTCGTGCGTGCACCCTCCCTCCCTCCGAGCCGTTACCCATTGACCCGCGCCCACAGGACAACGGCCTCAAGTACCTGCACTACGTCGACAGCCAGGTGAAGTTCTATGTGCGCAAGGGGTTCGAGGACCTGCCGGACCGGATCGACCTCTCGATGGTGTCCGAGATCGCGACGGGGACGTGCGTGCCGTACGGGAACCAGCTGCGCGACGTCGACATGGCCGCGATGCCCACGTCGCCGCTCGCCGCCTCGCCGCTCTCGTTCTCGCTCCTCAGCGCGGGCAGCACGTCCCTCGCGGACCAGATCGCGACGGACCTGGACCGGTGGGCGGACTGGACGGACGGCCTGAATATGCTCCGCAAGGACGGCGCGCATGTCGCGTCGCGCGAGACGGAGAGCTTCATCCAGGCGTTGACGGAGATTGGGCTGAAGATCAAGCTGCTCGGTGAGTGGCGCGCCGTTCGAGTGCGAGGGCGTCTGGGCGGGTGCTGATCGTGTCTCCTGCAGATTTGACGGGCGAGAAGGTGGATATACCGAGCGGCCTTGTGATGGGGAACCCGCCGACGAACTGCGATTTCTTTTTCTCTGACCTATGATACTCAAGGATGAAGCGCTAATGACTTACCCCTGTTGGTTGTTCGACATGCCCGACACCTACGCTGAGCGGATGCAGCTCGAGGTGCTGCTGCCGCGTCGTTGATCTGGCTCGTTTGTATATTTTATTGTAGCATCTACGTGTCAATTATTGAATTCGGTTGTCGGACTGAAGTCGAATGTATTGGTGCGAACGTTCACGTTTCTGAAAGTACGCCGTATACATATTGTCACCAACGGCGTCGAGTTGTATAGTACATTAGGAGATGTAGTGGTACAGGACAAGGAGTAGAGCACGTTAACATCGGCAAAAAGAGTACAATCAACTCTCAGGCGAAATAGCCTCCAAGAGCAAACAACCCCAACACGAAGCCCGTCGCAGGGCCCAATGCTCGCACCAAGTTCAGACTCCACCACTTCTGAAGCAGTGCTTTCACGCGGGCCTCCTCGACCACCTTCTCCTCCTTGCCCTCCGCAAGTGCCTTCAGCTCGTTATTTGTTGACATCATGGTCAGGAGCGTGTACGGCGCGATCGCGAGGGTAAGCGTGCCGGCAGCGAGGTACGCATAACCCTCCGACGGGCTGACGTAGTGCCCAGAGTGGTACCCCAGGTAGAGGTAGGCGAGGAACGCAACGCCCGCGGTGGTGGGTGCGATGGCCGCGCCGGTGTGGTAGAGCTTGGCCCATTGCTTCGTCGCGACGTCGGGTGCGGCGAGGAGGAGCGGGGGCACGCCGAGGATGGAGGCGGCGGAGATGAAGCCTGGAGTAGGTGTCAGCGTGCGGATGGTCTGAAGGCGGGATGCTTCGCACCTGAGAGGTAGCCTGATGCGCCAATCCCGACGATCTGGGCGATGCGCACTCCGGGGAAGCCGGCGAGGAACTGCATGGCGGAGAGAGGACGAGGCGGGTTGTGCTCGTTGGACTGGTGGACGTTATGCGGGCTATGGACTGATCGCAGCTGTCCTGATATGCATATATAGGGGCCTCTGGCTAGAGTGAGGTCATTTCTTTATATCACCAGCTGACGCCAGTCTGCAAAATTGGCTGGACGTGCCGACCTGAGATGGGTCGTACGCGGCCTGTCGAGCTGCGCTCTGGATGCATCTGCAGGGGCGCTTCGGGTGCGATGGCGACAAGACAGGGCCTGAAGCTTGAAGGCCTGACAGGCTGTCAGGCCTTCAGGCCCAGGAGTAACATGTACTGCGAGTCGTGCAGGACTGTATTTGGTGACTTATAACTGGGGAACTGCGTCGGCCTGGGTGGAACAAAAGCATAGCAAAGCATGGTCGTTGTGTATGTACAGTGACCTCCCCCACACTGCAAGTGGGAGACATTGTCCTCAGGCGCTCGGTCATGCGGTGGTGCGACGCTTGGATGGATTATTGAAAACGTCCGAGTCGGCATTGGGGGAGGCTCCTTAACGACCTTGATCGTGCGGATGTCGAGGTACCAGTTATGCGCTAACGAGGACCCCCCAGACATGGACACGATATCTTCAATTAGGTATAGAGAGTACAAATTTCCGTTTGCCGAACGAACACCTACCTGCCCCTGCACGTCCACGTACGACAGGCCCAACAGCCGCATTGCTCCTTCCACTACCCGCAGCTTAGGAACAGCACTCCCAGTCTGCTTGCCAAGGATGCAGTGTTCACACTTGGAAGTTGGCGGGTGCAGTGAAGAGGGAGACGGGCATAACCTTTGGCGGCGTTGAGGCGGGCCATATCGTAGACCGTGCGATGGTTGACTAGAACTTCATGACCGAGGCGTCGGTGCCAGGTGTCAAGCGAGGGTAGCCGGTCAGCAACCAGAGCATGCTCAGTCGCCGCAGGGGGTGCCGTTGAGCGAGTAGAGTCGCCGAGAAGTGAGTGTCCCAGAGGCCACGAGAGAACCGTCAGGTTTTGTGATGCGCACGCCCTGGTCGTCAAATTGGACCTCGTAGCGAGAAGCCGAGTTGCACAGAGCCGAGACGCTGACAAGACGCACGGTGGCCAACGGCACGTATAGAACATCGTCAAGAACCAGAGAGGCACCGCGGTCGATATGCCGACGAACACGGCCGACACCGCAAGCATAGATGACAGACCCGTTTGCGTCACGAATGCCGCGGGGTGTGATAGAATGCAGTTCGCAGAAGTCGGCCTTGTTCGGGGAGAGGTGCGTGGATGCCGCCATGCTTACGAGGAAAGATTCCGAGCCCACCGTAGAGAGACGACGAGCAACCGCGGGGTCTGGTGCAGCCGAGGAGGGCGCAGGGTCGGCGAGCGCGCGAGTATGAGCTGCCCAGTTCAAAGACACAGTGTCCTTAGCAGCACCCGAATTAGCAGGCGATGGGGCAACGGCCAAGAAGTAAGCCTTGCCCGTGTTCTTGTCCACGATGAAGGGGCGACCGAGCTGGTCAACACACGCTGTAGCCGAGGAGGTGGTCGCGGACGCGGGAGCAACTGCGGCCGTCTCTTTCCCCTTGCCCCGACGAGCCTTCCTGCGAGCAGCCGGCCGTTCATCTCGCTTACCCGCCATGCCCCCACCGGCCGCGAAACACTGCGCCGCGGTATGACCGTTCGGGTGTGGACAGCCAGGATTGAGGCATACGCGAGGAACATTGCCTGGTCGACCGGCTGCGTCGGCCGAGGAGTAACTTGATTGAGCATCGACCACCTGCTGCTCGAAGTCGAGGCGTTGCGCGATGCTGTCTGCTGTGTATGGGGCTGCCGCGGAGCTAAAAGCCAGAGCAGTGCCAACTTCAGACTGAAGGTGCTGGAGGTGGCCGCCCATGGCATCGAACATCGCCGCGGTCGCGAGCACGTCAGCGGTAGGTGGCCCGATGTTGAAGATGCGATCGACAAGTTCTTGAATACGGACCGTAGTGACGGGGTACCGTTCGGTTGCGACGTAGCGGCACGCAAAGAGTTTCATCAGCAACAGGACCTGCGCAAATGTCTTCGGCTCCTCGTGACGCGCACACAACGCACTCCAGAGCTCCGACACCGAGGAATACTTGCTCATGAAAGCCTGCTCCTCCTTCGCGGCGTTGGACTGCAGAAACACGATGATCGCCTGCTCGTTGGTGTTGAAGTTAACGGTGGACACAGGGTCGACGTCGGGATCCGGTCGCAGGATGGCCCCAGTGAGGTACGGCCAAATATGGCACATCTTCGCCTGGCGTTCGATGTTTGCCTTCCAGTCGTACCAGTTATCCTTGATGCGGTCAAGAGGATCGTCGCCGGCATAGATACACGACGGTATTGAAATGGCCGCGATCGGTATGGGTTGCGGGGGACGAGAAGGCGGCTTCATGGCAGACGAGTCGGCCGCTGCGTCAGACATGTCGTTCGCGCGCCGGAGAGTTCTCAGTGTTTTGGTCACCTGCGTCTTCGGGAGTTCTGTGAGGGTGGATATATGCGTGTATATGCGCGCTTTTATGGGCGCAGCGACGTTGTACTAGCGATCAAAGACCCAGTGCAAGCTTCTGGTACTGGTGCGGGGACTAAATCCGCCGACCAGGGCTCAACCTATGCACACTGCACAGCGGTCAGCGCTGTGATGCAGATGAGTACCTATCGTACAACCGTGATGTCGAGGATACTTACCTCGGTCGTGATGAGGGAAAGGAAAGAGAGCGTCGCAGAGCGTTAAGCGCCTTGCAAGACCTCCGGACGTGTCGGCGAACACCCGCAGACAGCAGGACCGTGACGCGCACGGGTCTTATACATCGCGTGTTGGGACGCTAGGAGAGGGTGCTAAGGAATTGGTCGAGCCGAGGATAACGTTTGCTGGGGTGGAAGGGCAGAAATTGTTCGATGTTAGTGAGTTGTCCTTCTGTCCTTCTGCACTTTTGTGGTGCCGCCGCGGCAGCCAAGCCCCGCTCAGTCCCGTCGGAGTCATAGCATACTTGTTCGCAATTTTGAATGTAGCAATACACCATGTTGAAACGTTCAAACCCAACCTTGATATGTGAAACACTAATGACACGACCTTGTGTCCAACGCCACCGCCGCCTCCCAGACCCGCTCCGCAGGAGGTCCAGCCTCGCTCAGTACTCGTTCTATGGCTATGACGACCTCGTTTTCGGAATATACGCGTCAAATTCACCTCAGGGAAGGTCTCGGGAAGGCCATATCGACAGTGAGCGCCTTGCAAGACCTCCAGACGTGTCGGCGAACACCCGCAGACATCGCGTGTTGGGATACTGGAGTAGACTGTACGGCGACTAGATCGCAGTATGTATTTATACGGAAAGCTTGAGACAGTATACACAACCCAGTTTGTCAACGGTCAGTTTGGCAGGCGATGGTACTGGTGGTGAGGATGCCAGCTTTGTCACACTCACAAAACATTATGTACGCTGTGTGATGTATTCTGGTAAGTACATAAGCGTGGAATATGAGCACATACATGGGACTGTATACGATAGTTATGAATGAACACGATTGTATCGGCTTAGCAGCATGGAGCGTTGTGTGAAGGCGACATCGCGAGACGCGAGGTGGCTGAGGCGTGTGGCGCGAGACCTTTATCCACGGACTAGCGGGTAACGGTACACGGCAGCGAAAGGTCCCTTGCTCACAGAGCAAAGGACCTTCTTCAAGTTGTCGTAGAACATGAATCTCGATGTGCTATGGACGACTTCTTCGTTGTCAGGGTCCCGCATTCTCACTGTGAAGACCAGCAAGGGCCATCCAGGGACACACTAAGCTGGCCTGTGTCTCTATCCGTCGAGGCAGTGTGTCGGCATATATAACAACACGAGTGGGAAGTAGTCGTCTATGATACATGTATAATGCAGTTGGATGCAACGTCCCTCAGGGACAACACGGAACAAATGCAGTTGATGCAAGGAAAGCAATGCGATGAGTACATGCGGGGTGATCGTGGTCGTGTGGTCATAGATGGTGGGATATAAATGCAATGCGGCGGCGGCGGCGGCGTTCGACTGGAAGGAGCGGGGGTTGAACCCGGTGGAGAGTGCTGGAAACAAATAGGCAGTCCAACCTAGGATTGTTCATGTTCGTCAGGTAGTCAGATCAGTCTGGTAGAGGGGGGTGGCGGGCGTTCGAGTGGTGAGGGATGAGGGGAGGTCAGTGTCCGTTGAGGACAGACGGCGCGGCGCCGTGCGCGGTCGCAAACTCGGCGCCCGCCTTGAAGAACGACTCGAAGATCGCCTCGGGCCGCTTGTAGTCGTTGTGCACGACGTTGACGAGGAAGTATGTGTCCATGACATTGTCGATCAGCGCGCGCGACGGCGAGCTGGGCTCGTAGTACTTCGCCCACTGCCGGCCGAGCTCGTACGCCTCGTCCTGCCAATGGTACCATGTCAGCGAGCCCAGGACAAGAAAGGCAGATGACGAAGGACGCACCTTCCACGCCATGAAGCTGATGGCCTCGACGATCGTCGGCTGGACGATCTCCTTGTTCGGGAAGACGCCCCACGTCACCGCGTTGGGCCCGTCCGAATGCGTGTTCGTCCGCAGGTCGCCGCGCTTGTTGATGACATAGTACGTGATGTTCACGTCGCGCTCAATGTGCGGCAGGAGCGCGTCCAGCAGCTCCGGCGACACGAAGAACTCCAGGTACGCCTGCACCGACAATCAACTTTCGCCTGACCACCTCAAGGCAACCCAGCTCGTCGAAGACTCACCTTCTGGTAGACGTACCCGTTTGACGGGCCCCATCCGTGAACGCGGTCGTCGCTCCGCGCGCCGTCGACTGCGGGCTGCGAGTTGATGGTAAGGAAGCCCATCTCGTTCAGCTTTGCGAGCTGCGTCGCGATGACGCTCGTCTCAGATGACGGCGCCTGGTCCGACCACGGCAGCGCCGCGAGCTGGCCCACACAAAACTTGCCGAAGAGTTTGCCCAGCTCGATGACCGTCGTCGGGTGATCCCAGAGCTGGAGCGCCTCCTCTTTCTGCGGACGGAAGGCTGTGTCAGTCGCATTGTAAGGGTGCGTTAGAGGAGGTTGCAACGCACCGACTGCTTGATCCAGATACCGTAGCCGTCGAGTTCACCATACGCTGGACTGCGAGAGTCGCCAAACCGACCGTTCGGGTACTCGTCCCAGTTCTCCGTGCGCGACAAGTAGGACTTCGTGCGGTTCGCCCAGAAGATAGGTCGGATGGTCTCCGTGCGCCTGTTGGGAGTAAGAGACTACGGAATACGCATGAGCCCTACGTGGGATGACAAAGACGGCGCGAGCCTTACCTGTCTCCAAGGCAGTGGCTTGATGGTCTGGATACGCGGGACGAGGTTGAGCTCCTCGAGCAGCATGCGCGTGCCCTTCTCGAGGTTCATAGTGTAGAAGTGCACACCCTTGATGCCCAGAGGCTCGGACAGTATCCGCCTGCACATATCCGCGACGAGCTTCGTACCGATCTCCCTGACTTTCTCGTCGTTGCTCTTGTACGGCTCCAACGCGTCCAGCAGCTTCTTGGGGATCTCCGTCCGCGACAGGCTCGTGCTCTTGATGAATCCGTTCCACGTCTGGATCGGCGCAATGCCGGGCACGATCGGGACGGTGATGCCCGCCGCGCGGACGGCCTTGACCCACGCGATGAACATCTCGACGTCATAGAACATCTGCGTGAAGATGAATTCCGCGCCTGCGTCGACCTTCTCCTTGAGGTACTGCATCTCGAGCGCGAGCTCCGCGGGCGGGAGCTGGATATGCTGCGGGAAGCCCGCGATGGCGATGTCGAAGTAGTCGCCGTAGTGCGCGCGCATGTGTCGCACGAGGTCGATCCCGTGCACGAACCCGCCCTCGACCGCCTCCCACTCGTCCTTCCCCATCGGCGGGTCGCCCCGCAGCGCGAGGATATTCCGGCAGCCGTGCGCTTTCGCGTCCTATGGTGCGTGAGATTCGGCCGGGAGTAAAAGCAGTTGCGAAGGGCGACGACGTACCTCGAGAGCGATGTCCACCTTCTCCTTGGGCATGTTGGTGCATGTGAGGTGCATGCATGTCTCGACGCCGATGAGCTTCTGACATGTCTTGACGAGCTCTGACGTGAGGTCGGACGTCCGCCCGCCAGCGTTCCTGCGGGTCCCGACCGTTCACACACCTCTCCGATGAGCAGCACAGACGACGCACCATGTAATGTCTATGAACTCCGGACCAAGCGCTCGCATGCGCTCTATACGATCGAGCAAGTTTTGGAGACCCTGCACACGCATATAGGTCAGCGGACACCACGCGCGCACCCGCCAGCAACGCACCTGCGCCGTCCGCGGGGGAAAGTACTCAAAGGACCACCAGATGCGATCCTCCTTCTCGGCCTGGGCGATTTTCTGGCTGATTTTCATGATTACTGCGGCGACCGGGGGTGATTATGGGTGCTGTAATATACGTCTCTAGCGGGAATGGACAGATGCCAACATGCGAGGGCCTCGGGGGATGGGAGGCGGACGGGGAAAAGGACGAGAGACAGCCGGGAGGAGGGTCGTGCCGCGGGGTGGTTCGCACGAGTCGTCCGTTTAAGCTGCCACGCTCGCGTACGTAGTGGGCTCATGCCACTTTCTCTATTTTCCCAGATCGACTTATTCGGCTTAACGTACGTAAGTACAGTCAGTACTTACTATGCCCTCGGGCGATGGTGTATACGACCGTGTAGCAAGCCTCGGTCGGTCAATTGAGTGACTGCGCGCGGTGACGCTCCTTCGATTCTGGATAAAATTGGTCCCTGCTCTCCCGGTCAATTCTGCACGGTCAAATTCGACTTCAAATTGCGCTAGCACCATATTCGCCCCGGGGACCGTCTAAGACTATAGCAGTTTGTCGGACCTGACCAGACCTGACCTGCGTACTCGAGTGAAAATTACGACACAAATGGGATAGGCTCGTGTGACATGTGTCGATCGGGGCGAGCGCTGGTGGGCGTGACGAGCGCAGGCACACCGGCGAGGGCGAGGGCGACCTCTGCACGACCGCCATCGTCTACTCTCCCTCCTGAAGGTCCTGGGCACCGTCTTTGCATCTTGGTCCTGGCGTGCCGATCTATCAGTCGCCATAAGCGTTCTGGAATCCTAGAGAACTGAATGGGGTAACGGGGAAGCATGTATTCCGAATTCACCGGCACCTCTTAGCGCGACGACCTCAGTCTTTTTGCAGTCCGTCCGCCCACGACTGCCTACGACATCTAGCGTGCACCGCATAGTTGTGCCCTTGCCCCTGCTCTTCATTTGCCCTGTGACATCACCTTCACGTCTATCAACGTTGGTGCCGCCCGCGCAGGTGAAAAATTGATAGGAGCTAAAACACTCGTTGAGCGTGTAGGGATCTGAGGTGCGTATCACAGCTGCTGTACTGCGCTGTGGACTCTGTTGACGGTTCGCGGTTAGGGCTGCATCGCATCTGTCGCCGGTACAATCCCACAGTGACCCCCATTCAGCATGCCAGTCTACTTGGAAAACACAGGCAGCACAACGCGTGACTTCCTAATGCTCGAACGCAATCTCCTTTCTCATGTCAAGCTCGCGATGCTTCTCTCCCTGCTCTCCTCCTCGATCCTCCTCAGAGCGCGCCTCACAGGCAGCACAGGTGGCGGCGATCCGACGAGCATCCGCGTCCCCATCTCGATTGTTGATTACGCTGCGGCGATATGTGCTATGTGTGCCGGCGTTTTCCAGTACTATCAGACCTCAAAGGACTATCGGACGTCGCGCGGATTCCTCGTGGCAACCAAGTGCGTCGTTTTCATCTGCCATCGACGTAGCCATGTCTCATCCGCATCTGGCCGGTCATCAGGGGTCATTTCGCAGTCATGGTCGTAGTGGCGGCGGCTGTATTTACAACATGTATTGTCTTACTCGCGGAGGACCCGCTCTGAACACGATGCTTATGCCCGATACGTCCGAGTCTCACGAGCAGCCGGTGTCGCATGGACAGAAGCGAGACGCCCCAGGATGATACCGTGTCTGTATGATGATGCTCTGAGCGAACGTTGATCTTGTCAGACAGCCTCCGTGCGTCCCCATCTAGCATCTAGCATCTACATCAGCAGCCGCGCGACACAGCCCTAATGCCCCACCCCGGGCGTGCTGCAAGCTTCGCACCTCGCCTCTCCATGTACTCTCATGGTCTCCGTGCCGTCGCCCAGCTACCTCCCGCCGCTGGCCTTCGAGCCATTCGCACTCAGCGAGCCCCACCCACTCACACTGACAGTCCCCAGCACCCCGCCACCCACGGCGTCCACTCACGCAGCGCCGCCCTCCGCCTATTCCCACCACCCCTCCCAACGGATACGAGGCCCGCGCGTCCGCCCAAAGCTCACTCTCGCCAACGGCACGTACGCACCTGTCGTTGTCGCCGGGGGCGCCTCGCAAGCGAGCGTCGATGCGTCAGGAGGATCGCTCCGCCGGCAGCTCACCCGGGAGTCGACCAGTCGGCGTGCCTCGCGGAACCCGATCCTGGCGAAGCAGCACCCCTTCCCACCCAACGAGGCCCCGGAACGACCTGCCACCGACCGCAATGCGTCGGTCGAGCGTCGGTCTCAGTGGGCGGTGCGTCCCGGCACCGCACCCGATCTCTCACCTCTCAACAGCAGGCGCGGCGGGCCATCGTCCGCGGGCGCACACAGCAGTGTCGACGGCGCAGTCCAGGGCGCTGACAGGCCGGCGCCCCGCCGCACAGGCATGGGGCCCGATCTGAGGCGGGCAGCTGTCCCATTCGATGTGTCCCATCTCGATATGTTCCAGGCGCAGAAGCCGCGGACGGCACCGCCCGCTGTCGGGGGCGCTGGGCTCGATGGAGACGCTGCCGGCATTGACGTTGATCTTTCGCACGACGATCTCTTCAAATTCAAGGTGAGCGCGGACGACCCCGCCCATCCGCACTCGCGCCTTGCCCCGCCTGCTCCCTTCGTGCACGACGAGCTGAGCCCGACGAGTCGCCCGGACAGCTTCGCGTCGGACCGCCCGCCCTCGGCCCTGCCTGGCGCCACCATCGACGAGCTTGAACATATCGCTGTGGAGCTGCGGACCATGCAGCCGCATAGTTCTCCTCCGTCGCAAGAGACTTTCCCCCGTGCTCGCCGTCCCGCTGGTCCACGACCGCGTTCGCCACCGTGTTCTACCTCGAGCCACGTCCAGAGGTCCGTCATCGGGTCTACATACTCTTCGACGGATATGTTAGAGATCGTGGACGAGGCGGATCCCTCGGGGAACGCAGGTGGCAGATCAAACTCGCCACGACCGATCCGTGAGGACGTCGAGTGGGTCGCGGACTATGGCCTGTGGTGTAGCTCGGCAAAGGGGAAGTGGAAGGTGCCATGGGTGGAAACGGAAGCAGACGAGATTGTGAGTATCAACGATGTACTACCCTCCCATGGCTCACTCTTCCTCTACCAAGAACACCACACATACATCCCACGAAGCTGAAACTGACTCTGAGCCCTACTTCACGTACGATCCTCAGGTGAGCAACCACCCCTCGGCTATCCCGCCAACACGCGCTGACCCCCATCCGCCGCATAGACCGCTCCCGAGTTCCTAGTGGGTAAGTCTACCTCGCTGACCGTGACCGCCGCGCCCGGCTTCCACAGCGGCCGGCGCCTTCCCCGTCTTCGCACCGCGCGCAGGCAGCATGGCCGCAATAACCGTCCGCCAGGCCTCGTCCTCGCGCCCGGCTCTCAGCCGGATCCACCCACCCCTGATGATCCTGACCCCCGCGCGCCATCGCTCCCTGTCCCTCCCCACAGCGCACCAGCCTCTCATTCACATTTCCACACGAAGCCGCACAAGCCGCCGCCTGACCTCCGTGGCCTCGAGCTGCTCATCGGCCCGCTCGAACCGAGAACGAAGCCCAAGCCACCGCCGAAGCCGAAGACTCCTGCATCCTCCCCTCCAGTGATGAATGGGTTCGCCTCGAGGGAGGGCCCAATGAAGCTGGCGCCGGTCCGCGGGGACGCGAGAGTCGACTTGATTCCTAGGTCCACAGCTGCGTCCTGGTCATCCGCGACTCCTAACACACCCAGAAACTCGTTCACGCGCCCAGCAAGGCAAAGAAGAAATATGTTCACGTCGTTGAGACGTTGGTTTAGGCGGCTGACAGCTCGTTGACTGAGGCAGTACGTTTCTCTGCACCCACTGTGGCATAGTGATATAGACTGTACATCTGTAGCATATCGTGTTCTCGCATGCCACTAACTTATTGCTATATGGCGCACTTAGAATGCACACACACACACAATACATGCACATTGTTCATTACGTGGCTGTATTCTAAGTTGCGGTCAAGATATGCGAAAGTACAACAGTGAGTGATGCACGCGGCGCTATAACGTACTCGCAATACACCAGTCAACCAGACAATTACAATGCGACAGCCAAATCAGAGCGTCCCGATAGCTATGCGACACGTTAAGAGCGATGTATACACCTATGACCCACCCGCATTCTCGGGACCCTCAGCTCCAGCCGCCGATGAGGGGGCCGATACGCCGTTCTGGGCAGCAGCGAGGGCACCCTCGACCTCAGCCGGGCACTCCTCAAGGGAGATGGACGCAACCTTCTGCGCCAGAGCATCCACGCAAGCAGCATCTCCCTGACCCATTCCCTTTTGCTTGGGGGTGTCCTCCGTCTCTCCAGAGCCCATTCGCGCGGGCGCAGACATCCGAGGCGTGCCCTTGGGGTTGAAAAGCTCCGCACTGACCTTGGGCGGCGGCCGGTCGAAGCCGGGCTCGTGGGCCTCCACAAGCGGGGTGCCAGAAGGCTGCTGTGAGTTGGGATAATGCACGAGTGCGGTACCCTGTGGGGCAGGATTCCCTTGCGCGCCCGCCATTATGATAGATCGCGTGGACGATGCGTTCGTCCAGGCTCCGGCGACGGCAGGTGTGCGGCGTTCGGGTGCCGAGGAGAGCGGTGGGAAATCGTTGGGTTGAAGGACGGGCTGTGACTGATGTTGGTTCTGCCCTCCGAGCCGCGCGGGAGACATGTTCCGCGAGTTCGCATTGCTGTGGTCGTGGTGGTGCCGTGCATGCAAGACTGGCTCCGCCTTCAACCCGACTGCCCAATCTGGTCTCGGTGGAAGGGGATGCTTTGAGGATGTTGAGGTGTACGTTGTTCGCGAAGACGTTGTGGAGGAAGACTGTGAGATAGGGTACACACGGACGGCAATAAAGCAAGCGCCAGAACGCATAGCATGAAATATATCCGTTAACACGACTCACGACTCAAACACGGGATCAAGGGAAGGACATTGTAATGAGGAAGATGGGCTACTCACTGTAGTCGAAGAAGCTTCGTCACCGGGGGTTCTGACCCCAGCACTCCCGCTGGCGCTTGAGGTCGCCGAGATTCTCCTGGTAGAAGAGCTTAACCTTGGTCCGACCGTCTCGCTCGCTCCCATGCCATTGCCGATGCTACTCAAGTTGTACGTGTATCCGTTGTTCCCAGCACCGGGACCATAACTCCACGATGCTCGCGCTCGGGGGGCACCGCGCTTGTTCGTGCCATGATGACTGCTCCGAGACGACGCGCGGCTATGGTTACTACTGCCAGTTCCGCTTCCACCGCCGTTCATGTAGCCAGACCCGTTCGCAGTCATGTCGGGCACATACAACTGCGAAGGCGGTGGTGGATATTGGCCTGGGGGTTGGTACGCCATCGGAGGGGGGTACGTCGCGTAAGGATTGTATTGATGAGGCGTGAAGTAGTTTGCATAAGGCGGCGGTGGCGGCGGGACGTTCTGCTGCTGAGGGGAAGATGACTGAGGAGCATGGGGAGGGAGGGTGAGTCCGCCGTTTCCGGGGCTCTGAGGTTGTGAGGCAGGCGGCGGGGGGTAGGCCTGGGCCTGCGGTGCCTGCGACCACCCATACGGGGGCAAGTAGCCCATATGTGGAGGAGGGTTCTGAGGCGGGTACATGGCTTCGTTTGCCGGAGGATTCGATGGATCGGGCGGAGGAGGCTGATACCCATAGGGCATGTAGTAAGGGTAACCGTATGGCGGTGAAGTAGGCATATGCCCAGGAGCAGGACCATAGGGATACATGTAGGGAGGCATGTAGCCTGTCGGAGCAGCGCCGTACGGGACTTCCGCAGGCGGCGGCTCGTAAATAGACGCATACGTGAATGAGGGTGACGTGGCTCTTGAATCGCGTGAGCTGCCCGACCCATTCGCTTGGTACGACGTGTTCGATGATCTGAGAGATCGAGACGATGAACCTGCGGATCCACCTCGCCGACCGTCGCGCTTGTCGCGAGTAACGGGCCCTGACCATTCGCTCTCTGTCGCGGCGGAGCTGACGGAATCGTCCAGATCGCCGATGCTGCTGCCGCGCTCTCCGCCGCTGGTGGATGCAGAGCCAGATACAAGACTGAAGGTCGATGAGTTTGCGCTCATGTCCTTTTCCTTTTCCTTTTCCTTCTCCTCGAAGCCCATGAAGATCCGTGAGCGCGCTTCGTTGTACGCTGCCTCTCGTTCCTCGAGCGTGGGATGTCGCTTCGCGCTGCCGCCTGTAGCAGCGCTACGCCCACTTCGGACGCTGACAATGCTGCCAGCTTCATCCACGTCCGAGGAGTCGGCCTCCTCGCCGGCGACAGATCCTGCTTGTGAGTTCTGTCGACTCTTCGGTGCTTCGTTGGTGCTTCGCCTCATGATTTTGATGGTTGGCTGTGCAGCCTCCTCTAATGGAACGAGTTCGCAGATTCTACGAGTAGGACTGAAAAGAAGTGAGCCATGATTCTGCCCGCACAGCTTTTGCGCACTTACATTCGGCTTTCGGTACGATAATAGACCGCTATGCCTTTAGTTGCGGTATCGGCCTCGGGTTGAAGCTTGTAATAAGCAGAGCATCGGTGAACTAGCATCCGTTGGTAGGTGGTTGACGGGCTCAGTGTGATCCGCATTCTGGATTGCAGAGCAGGTGAGCTACTTGTCGCAGGCAATGAATCGCTATACAAAGAGCATCCACAAAATGGTTGCACGGCAACCACAGGAAGAGTCTAGCGCAGAGCCGAGCGTCTCAGTACGACATCGACGCTTGCAGCTGTCCGATGTCTGGAACAATCACCGCAGTGCAACGACTGTTCACTAACTGCGAACTGTCGCAGAGGTTTGCGTCTCATGCGCAGAACACAAAAAGCCCAGTTCTGACACAACCGCAGGGCCCTCGTGCCACAGCGTCCACGAATAACCCTTTGCACCAGAGAATTCGCAGAAAAAGCGCAAACATTGCACTCACCCTCGTTCAGAGATGAGACCCTCCATCTGTTCACCGAGTTTGAGTACGTAAAGTCGATCTTTGCTTCCTAGAGCCTCAATGATCTGCGGGTCGGGTTCCGTAGATGGCTCTGTGTTGCTTCCAGACGACGGAAGATCTGCGAAGTTTGGGGAGCTTGTCAATGCAAGCGTGTCGGGGGAGGCGTGGCGTGGCGAGGATGCTAGAATCGCATCCAGCGAGGAAGATGGGATCAATCCATTCGAGGCCATCGTGTGCCTGCTGTGAATCTCGGGCGCGCTTGCGCTGGACGTTGTGGCCGCATTTGAGCTCATTGTTGCGGTCGCCATTGATGCGGGGCAAGGAAGGGCAGTCGGTGACGATATTTGTGAAGATCGTGTCTATGAAATGAATTCGAGGATCTTCAGAGACGGGGGTGGAGTTGCGCAGCCTCAGTCTGCAAGGACGACCTCAGTCTAACGAGCCTATTTGAGATCAATCCCCTATGCTACACACCTTCAAGTGTTCCAGGGCTCTTACTTCGACGCTACAGTGCCAAGTTGGACAAGGGAAGGATGATTCGGACGCGGGCAAGGAGAGGGCACATCAGGTCTGAGGGTGAGGAACGGTAGAGCATGGGCGCTTGTCGCTCCCTTGTTAGACTGACGGGCGCCTGATGGGACGCACGCTGACAGTGAATACGGCCGGCGACTTGGCACCAGCATTCAATTGGCTCTCGGGGGAACGCACTACAGATAAACTATGCAGTCGCCTTATCGACACTGAAATTAATGACCAGACCAATATATGTAGCAAACGGGAGAGCGCGGTATAAGATACATAGGAGGGTCTACAACGCTAGTGTGGTACAGATTGAGAGGGGCGCACAACCTGATAGATATTGAAGCTCAGGCTGCAAGAACCATGTCATGAATATACGTGGCAAGCACAACAAGAACATGACGCTTACCAGAAGACAAACACACACATACCGTATACTGCGAGTGCGAGTGCTGCCCTCGATAAGGTCTTGCTGGCGGTAGGATCAGTATGCGAGAGCTGGAACAGGGATGTCAGCACGATGCGGATAAATATGCAGACTGCTACGCACCTTCCAGTAGAATAGTCCGGGCAGAATGAAGGAGATCGTAGTTGATCCAGTGGAGCCAACGAATGACAGCACTACGGCAAGTTCCAATTCGACACGTCAGCGATACATTGATGTGTGCTGGTGACACGACATACCCATCTGTAGGTCATCCACGAAGAATGCAATCGAGAAGCCACATGCGACGATGGCAATTGTGAGCAAGATGTGTTTTAGATGGCTCATATCAGGGCTGCCGCCATGCTCGTCTTCTACTTCTTCACCCTCGGGAGTCTTGACGAGGTGGCCCATATGGAAGACCTTGTCGAGGCAGTTGCGACATGGGTGCACTTGTAGCGGGTATGAGAACATGACCAAGATTGCGATCGCTAATTGACCGATCGCGATGAAAAGTGACGTCGAAGGGTACATCGCAATGATGTTCGCGCCGACCTAAGGTATGACAGTATCGCATCAGGACGGCAAGCGATGTAAGTAGGAATACCTACCTTCGAGCCAAATGTGAGGTAGCCAAAGATAGCAATGATTTCGTATATCAGTGCAGCCGAGCCTATGGATGACCCAATAACAATGTTCATACGAGGCTGTGTATTGGAGGATATCTCGTTGAAGATGGGGAATATCTATGGTAGTTTCAGCTTGCATGATTCACGAGCGATGCATGTAGCTCACGTTCTGGGCGCAAGTATATGCGAAGACTTGCACGGGAAATGTTGAGACAAAGTTCGGTGTGAAGTGGATAAGGTGAATCTCGCCCGGCGCCTGCGTACCCTCGAGAGGGAAGAAGTAGCACGAGATTACAACCACGACGAGGTAAGCTGTGAGAAGTTAGGTGAGTGTCAACATCAACCTCCTGGACTGAACAGAAGAGTACTGACCAACAGAGAAGAGCGCAATGTAGCTGGTATGTCTTAGGCTGTCTATCTTACGCATGAAAGACAAAGGGAAAAGAATTCCCATGAGGATTGTGATCCAAACGCGACCGGACTGCGCCCATGCAGGTGGATCGTGATGCGACAAGTCGTGGTACATTGCAGCAACGACGTTAGGCATGAGTGACTTGACGATGATCAGGTAGCTGCTCACGACGTCAACTTCGAGAGTATTGGAACGCGACCACGGGGATTGAGTACCTGATAGATACACCGAAGCACTTGACTGCGATTGCGGCATCAAAGAACACCGCAGCTCTCGGGAACGTGAGTTCAGCGACAGCAAAGAATGACGCTCTTCTATGCGGTGCCTTCGTCGCACATAGGGTGAGCAAGTAGAGTCCAAAGGCTGCGACGGAGCCGGAAAAGATACAGGTTATGATCCCCGGTATAATACCAGCAGAGGCCATAGCCTGATCAAGCGAGTGAGAACCGTGCCAGCACATATATAACAACAGAGCAACTCACCAAGGGGAACGTTAGCATGCCTTGTCAAATTCGCTCGTCAGTGACTGTACCAGAGTCACAGCGCGAAGCACCACTCACCACTGCCAATGATAGTGTTCGCTAGGTTTCCCACCGAGCTTGTCAATGTACCATGTCCGTCCCTCTTGGGCCGGCGTGCACTAGCCTCAGCTCCCAGGAGAGCATCACTCTCATCAGACTGCGAAGGCTGGAGGCCAGGTTCGCGCTCCTCCGCCACAATCGCAGGCGTCGCTCCGTACGTCTGCGCCATCTCGAAGCTGTCCTCGAGGGTAAAAGAGTTTCGTGAAGAGCCCGCGGGCGAGATGAAGTGCCTTCGGCGAGGCGGGGCTACAGTGACTGGCTCTATGGCAGTTGGATGCGGCACGCAGCCTGCGTGCGACTCGGCTAAGTCATCCCGGGTTAGACGCGGCGGCCAGCCCCGCGATTGGAGATCTATCTTGCTTGGACCTGTTGTCCAAAGCCTTGCGATCCTAACAACTGCAAACAACCTCCCGCCACGGACCGCCATGACCCCGCGATTGAGACACCGGCCCCAGGTAGAGGAGGAGGATGCGTCTGTGCTCAAGCTCGGAGCAGGTGAGCTGCTTTCGTTTGTGCTGCATGCATGTGCTCACCTTCCGTCCTAGAATTCAACAACGCGGGTTGTTTGCTCATTTCGGAGGTGAAGTATCTGCTCGAGAACCGAGACAAGGATGCACCGGACACTGCGTATGTATCCATATTCACTGGCCGTAGTATATACTGAATCACACAAAGTGTGTACAACAAGACACTAGAATACGTGAAGACGTTTGCGAAGTTCAACACCACAGATTCTGCTAGTGCTGTTCGAGAGTGCGTTCCCTAACCAATCTCCCTACCTGTAGCCACTGACTCATATACCCCACAGAACATTACGAAGAGAACCGGCTCTCACACAGTTTGAAACAGCACAAATAGCCAACCTCTGTCCAGCGGACGCCGAGGAAGCGAAGAGTGTCATCCCAAGGTGAGGTACTCGTACTTGTCGTACCTGGCCCGCTCTTGATCTCGTCGCATGTCAGTCTTGTCAAGATCGATGACGATCGACTCCAAGCTCTTCTGAACGAGATTCAGACCATGAGGAAGTTCCAATCATGAGGGCCACAGAAAGTCTACCGACCATGTTATACTGGTCCGATACTGGTCATTCCTCAGGCCACTTCGCACGGTTGGTGACCACTACGAGTCGTCCTCGTTCGCTGACTCTAGTTCACCACACCGTTGATTATGTTGCCCTACGCGGGATGCGTTCGAGAGACACTATGATGCTGCTGCGGGTGAAGGACTTTCGACCAGACCTCCATGTAAACCCCGTACTACATATGTAGGTACAGAGTTACAGTATGTCACTCTGTGTGTGAGCGGAGATGTATTATTCGATGGAAATAGTTATAACGTTAACCCTCCATATCTTCTAATTTAGCTTTGTCTAACGCTTCCTCTTCCTCCTCAGCTTCCTCATCCGCGACCGACATGGACTTCTCAGCGGTAGTTGTTGGGTAACCGGTCGAGTCGAAGTGTTTCCTCTCCTTGAAGGGATCCGCGCGACGGACTCCCTTTTGTATGACCGCGGCGCCCGGAACGATGCCCTTGGAATTGAGCCAGAGCAAGTCGTTCCCGGAATACGAGTCGATAGAGCGCATCCATGAATCGAAGCTACGCATGACGTGAGCGAGTTGTGAAGAAGGAGTCAAGGGCAAACGTACAGCCCCACTTCGCTCTCGATCTCTCGCATACGAGGGTATATGCACTTCTCCTTGAACTTATCCAGCTGCTCGCGATGGGCTTCGAAGTCAATCGGGAGACGGTAATCTGTTTCTGAGGGGTCCAGCTTCTCGTTGAATTTCGCAATTTTCTGTTTGTAAGTCTCGAAAATGGGGTATTCGAGTAAGAGACCCAGCGCTGGCATTTTGGGGACGAAGACCATACGTGGACCATAGAGCTGAGAGATGTGAGATGAACTGTACAACGGCTGGAGCAGATGGACTGACCTCGTCCATGATCTCAGGAGGTGATCCGGTGCGGCACGTCAGCACTAAAGCTGACATCATCTTGCGCTGAGAAGGGAGTTGTGAGAACTGACGTTCAGAAACCCGAGGCCTAGGCGACACTTACGATCTAGTGTCAAACCGAGTTAGGTCATGTAGCGGCACGTTGGCGATGAGATACTCACTTGGTGCAGCATGAAGCTCTGTCCGTGGAACATCACGCTCACCCATTCCGTATCCCCGAAGACGACTGGGTCGGCGACCTGTAGCACTTGTCAGGGTAGTGCGATTGGGGCTTCTAAATCAAACATACTCACACTGATCTCCTTCATGAAACGAAAACAACTGCGATCCCGGAACTCCCGTCCGAAGGTGAAGTTGTGGAAGTTATGGCTCCCTGCGAACTTGCATGCAGTAGCTCGTAACGACTCCAAAGCATCAGGGGGCATCCGGTAATCGCGTTTTCGCCGCAGGTCAACGCTGGTGTCGGCCTCGGGATCGCCTGTTGCCCAGAATGGATGCGCTGGAGGTTCGGTGCCATTTTGCTGTAGGTTTTGGTGGAGTCCGCTCCCCGGCTTCGGTGGGATCATCATGTAAGAGGGGAAGTAGTACGTGTACTTCCGGCTGTCACAGGACCTAGTTCGGTGTCAATAGGTGGGGAGCGCTGCTCAGCATGAGAGCGACACACAATCTTGCGTTAAAGGTGTTTTGCACGCGAAGCTGTGGAAATTCAATATACGCCAGGAAGTGTTCAGTGCTTGGACGTACTATACTCCATATACGAATCTCGGGCGGGAGCTCCTCGTTAACACGCGCGACCAGGTCGGGTATGGAGTTGATGAGCTTCATCGAGACGACGTTGCCCGCTGCATGTACACCGGCATCCGTCCGTGCGGCACGTATAACAGAAACCTCGAAGAAGGTGAGCTCACGCATAAGGGAAGTACAGGACTTCATTTCTCTACCTTGCGCGGATCGTCTGCGTTATCTTGTGAAACGGCGCCCACTCGAGTGAGTGCATCGAATACGACGCCCTCGATCGTGCGGACTGACTGGCCGGGCTGACTTTGGTGTTGGATTTATTGTTATGGACTCATCATGAAGGCGGAGCGACGAGCATATGCGCACGTACAATTGCATCCCGCTGTAACCGGCGCCGCAGAAGCCCATCAACAGTGCGCACGCCCTTTTAGGTACGCGCGGACCCTTAGGCTCTTCACTATTCCTCGGTTCTGCGTCTTCCCTTCGCGTTCCTCGTCTGCGGTCGATTTTGTCCCCTCGCTGCCCCTTCTTGAACTTCGGCTTGTCTGTATGATTTGCAGCGGACTTCTGTGGCACCGCAGAACTGTCTGGTGCACTCTCGGAAAGAGCGCGACGCGTTGTCACGTCGTGCTCAGCCTCGTTGACATCGAGCTTGGTACGCTTGCTAGCCGTGGAAGAGTCTATATCACTTTCTTGCGATCTCTTCGCGGCTGAGCCTGCGGTTGAGAACGATCTCTCGGTAGACGTCTCCATGCGATGGGGTCGGGACAGGAATGAGTTTGGTGCACTGAACTTTCGTTGAGATTGCCACCCACGATGGAGCCGTACTGACAACCTCAGAACGAACATACACGGCGACGCTGGCAGATGTGACAACCCTGTGACAACTGTAACAGCCTGAGTGCCACTGAAAAGCGGTGGCAATAGGGGCACCGTCCTTACGTAAGCGCCAGCCATTGACAGAAAGCCACGTACGTACCGGCTCTCGAATAGAGCGTCTTCTCGTATGTGCTCCCCCCAAAAAAAGAATACTAATAGAGCGTCTTCACTACTTACTTACATAGACGTAGCCTCAGTTGAACCTACCACTTTCCACGTACTACTAAGCCTAGGGCCTTGCGTACTGCATGCGCACATAGCCGGCGTCCCAGAGTTGTTAAGCATGTCACACAGCCTGTGACCAGCGATTCCTGCCTCTTTTGGTTCAGGAGAGCGTTGCAGTTATCATAGACAGCTACATATACAGATGAACCTAGCTTGAAGTACATAAATGTGCCATGTGACAACGCATGCCACTGTTCCCTTCATTGTGCTTCGAATTCATAACCAAGCTCCCCAGGGCCACGGAGCAGTACGTGGGTCCTGACACCGATTGTGCATAAATGGAGGAGTCAGTTTGATCTGAATCATGAGCTATCGTTGTACATGTACTACTGTCCGGGATGACCTATACCAAGATGACTGTACCAACCTCGTATGTCCTCGCCGTCACCTCCTATACCTGGGCTATGACACCTATCACCCAGGCAATCTTCGTAACTTGGCTTGTATCCACACGCGGTACATCTTCAGCTGTCGTTTTCGATTGACGATCAGCCTGCGGTCTATGCCCAATTGCTCGATGGCAAACAGCGGCACGGTATCCTCGGAAATGAGAATCGGGTGGAGGCATGGATGTATTTGCGCAGACGTGGAAGGCGTCGCGGAGCTGCTTTCCTGGGCCAGTGCCGTGGCTTCGGGTTCTAGCAGTTGCGGTGACGAAGGGCCAGGTGACGCGGTAAGGACTGGAGCTGTTGATCGTTGACGAGATGGGTCATCGGAGTTTCCATCGTCCTCTTCGACGACGGTTACTCGGTTGTTTGCTTTGGACGATGAAGGGGCCAGAGATCCGGTGAACAACAATGCCAGCTCGTCTGTAACAAAACTAAGAGTGATGTCTTGTCGTTTGTTAGGCACGTCGACGCACCAAGATCGAAGAAATAAACTCGTGTTTTGTCACCGCGGATGTAGAAATTTTCATCCAGCAGACGACCGCCTTTGAACCGCAGCTGCGTCAGGTCGTACCGACCATAATCGCGAAGCAGCACCAGTCCCCCTGGCTTCAGCATCTGGACAACAGGGCCTCAGCAATGAACCCAAGAGACGTCATGATACCGGCGCTGACCTTGTGGATATTCTGAACTGCGCGCTGCCATTCTTGCGGATGTAACGCACTCAGGACGAAGACGAGGATGATGATATCCACGCTCTCAGGCGCAGTGTCTGGTGGTAGCTCCGACGATGATAAATCCCATACTGCGGCCCTGATAGAGCCGACGGGTGGTGCTGTGTACAGCGGATTTGACTTGAGAGCGGTGCGATTAGTCAAACCGACGAATCGTCAACGCAAATACGCCTACTTGCACGAGTTTGACAGCATGCGACGAGTAGTCGTACGCCCGCAACGATAACTGTGGATTTTGGTTGGAGGATAATATTGGGAAGACGGCGTTACCGGCACCTGGTGCGATATATTACAGAGCTGATATAGTATGGAAGAGCACAGACCTACCACAGCCTATTTCTGCGATGGTCATGGCTCCTGCCTATCCATTTCGCACGACGTCAGAAAAGACATGGCGGACGCTGATTTGGAGATCACCTCTGCTTGCGCTGCGCGGACTAGCTCCGGGAACTCTAAGTGTAACCTGACACAGCGTGTTATCTTCATGTGCTGACACATTGGGAGGCTCGCATACCAATTCCTATTTTTGAAAAAGTTACTGGAGTTCATCTTGTAAAAGTTGTCCCTTCAGCAACAGCTATGTCAGGGCCGTAAGTGGATGTGAGAATGGTCAATGTACATTACCAGTGTTTAGCTGGTTTGTCATTGTATTTCTGTTTCTCGTTGTCTGGCACTGGCGAGAGCTTTTGCCTCGCGAGTGCGGCGTTAATGATGCCATCCTGGTCATCGGGAGGTGGGACATGGTCCCAGGCATTTTGACTCCATACATCAGCCTCTGATGTGAGGAAACTGGCTTGGTCCACGGTCAATGCATCGAACTGATTCCATCCGACGTGCACATTGCTCACCGGGATCCGAAGGGCGGTTTCTCGGCGCTCACATCGTGTACAGACGATGCTGTGCGAGACACTTTGGTTCTGGGTGCCTCGTTGGATGGCATATCCTGGGATTCTGATACAACGACCACGGCTATGAGATGTCAGACAGTCGGGGTGAATATCGTCGTCGCTGAGCGGACCGGACTTGGTGGTCGAGAATAGACGGATCTACGGATGCAGCGCAATCATCACCCACGTGACTTGCCATAGACGGCGCGCTCGTCCACTCGCAGATGGTCGGGACCCGCTGCGAGTCGAGTGAGAACTACACCCGCTTCCTATGTCCATTCCAGTCGCAACGCAAGCAGCGAACGCTCATTAATCGTAAGCGGGATTCCTTAGCACTCACAGGGATAATGATGCCATGGTACTAGCAGCCTCTCCCGGTACTTACGTGCTCAGCCCGCAAGTGGCAGTTGCCAGTCGTTGCCTCGAGGCGATATACGCGGTTACCCATACGATCCTGCCACCAGTGACCAAGGCACGTCCGCGATTGAGGCGCGCGGGAGAATACATGCGAGACGGGCACTGCATCGAATCATACAAGGGACCGTAAACAGTTGATACCATGTCCACCGCGGCGCTTTCCCATGTCCCTAGCCCGGACGACGAAGACCTGGCCAATCTATACCATCAAGTGCTTGCCGGATTCGCGGAGGAGTCGCCCACTGCTGAACAAACAATGCGCAACAATGAAGGAGAGCTTGAGACGCTTTACAGCAACTACGGGGATGATGGGGGAGACACGCCGACGACGACGCGGCAACAGAGCCTTACTGTGACCCCAGCGATGCGCAGCGGTACGTCGCTTCCGCTTACTGCCGGCCGTTTCAGGTTGCTAAAATCACTAGGCCATCACGGTCTTCCACCTTCGCCACGACCGTCAGCCCGCCCAGTGTCCACTGCACCGAGTGTGCAGTCCCCAACACTGCGAGGACCACGACCTCTACCCCGTATACCTGGCCAGTCGATGCCCATGCAAACTCCTCCCCCGCCCCCTCCGCCAGTGCTGTATAGCATGCCCGAGCCACGGATAATTGACGAACCCCCACCCCCTCCATTGCCCCCGAAACGGACCAGCGATCCGTACGTGAATTGTTGTTCAGCTCACTGACGATCTTTTCATGTATGAGTGCAGGAATCGCAGATTACCGTATACTCCGAACGACTCGCCGTCTGCAACGTCAGGTAACGGCTTTTACTCCCCGCCGGCCTCCCTCTCTCCACCAGCTGCAGCGCCGCCGCGTTTGCCCCCGCTGAACGGAGGCTACGCCGACACACGGCCGACCTCACAGGCTTACCCACAATCCCTCCATCCTGGGCGTCCGGGCACAGCAGGTAGCGTGTCCGGTAGAGCGTCACCCATGCCGGGAGCCGGGAGACAATCTTCAGATACGAACGGTTCGATTCATCACTACATGTCCCCACCACGACCAACCGGAGCTCTTCCTCCGCAAATACCAGGTCTGCGAGACAGCATAGCAGACGGCACGTCTTCAGGCTCCTTCATGGACGATATATACGCGAGTACTCCCGACTTCGCTCCCAAGTCTCGTACGTATTCTCCTCCACAACTTGCAGCGGGGGTTTATTCCAGTCAGAACCGTGAGTCTCAGGTGACGCTGCTATTTCATGACTAACTTATGTTGCCAGCTTCCCGATCTATGCATGACGTCGTGCGTACGACCTCCGTAGGCTCGACGACCTCGTCGGGGTACAACAGTTCTGTGATCTCATATGCGAATGGGCCTTCGCAGCTCGACCGCAACCCGTCCGTGGCAACAACGGTGTCAATCTCATCGTTGTATGCCAGCAGCACTGGCAGCCCGAACCTGTACTCTGGTTCGTCTGCAGCCACCACGGTCGACCGTGGTAACTCTTTCCAGTCGCACACATCCAAAGCCTCCGAAACATGGACGCAGCCAGGACCCAGTTACGAACACTCACCTGCACCGTCGCACAGCTACCTTCAAGCGCAGACCCCGACGCCTGGACAGATCTCCCGCACGTCGTCTGCGCAGGGTCCTGTGGGGTCCTCCAGCCGGTCATGGAAGGACAACGATGTCATACGGACCCTGCAGGACATCAAACGCCCTCTGGAGTTGGCTGGAGACTGGCATGATGAGGAGGAGGACGACTTCTTCGATGAGGACCAGTCAGAGGAGGGTGACGATAGGTTCTTCAATCCCTCGTTGCTAAGCCATATCGCTGTACGACTGCGCGACAAAGTGCCTAGAGGCACGCATGTCAAGGGAAGCATACCGTACCCTCGGGCGTTCACCGGCAAAGACATCGTGGTATGTATAGATCGCTCCAATACTATATGAAGAAGCTCACTCATAACGAACGCGCAGTCCACCATCCAGTCGCATATACAACGTGAACTGCTGATCACACATGGCATCTCCACCAACGATCGGCGGGCAGCATTGCAGGTCGCGCGCAGCTTGCAGAACCAGCTCTTCTTCTATGAAGTCGAGTGGGGAGGGCGTGTCCTGCAAGATGGCGTCGAGGACGTGTACATGTTCCTGGATGATCAAGAGGGTGCTTCTGATACACGCGTCGAGCGGGAGGAACTGCCGACCGCAGTCATTACACTGCTGACGCGGTGCTATGCCCCGAGCTGCTACGACGAAACCCCCTGTTACTCCTTCGCATGTCCAAAAAGGGTAAGCGCGGATGTATGTCGTCACTCATTGCCTCGAACTAATCGTTTTCGCAGAACAAGAGCCTGGTCCTGGCCACTCCGACGGAGAAGGAGGTTGAGGAGGAGAAGGTACGGATCTTAATAATTAAATCTCGTGTTGTGACATATTAAGCCGCGTCCCGTGTCGTGTAGGACGACTCTTGGTCAAGGACTGTTCCACCTGAGGTGTTGCGAACCTTGCCCGAGAGCGAGATCAACCGGCAAACGTATGTTGTCCGTGGTGATTATCTTCACTCAGAGAGTGATCCCAGTTTCGTATAGCATCATACACAAGGTCATCAACAAGGAGAAGCAGTATCTTCGGGACCTTGACATTGTGGAATCGGTAAGCTGAGTCGGATTGCCCATGCTATGCTCGCTCACGTCGTCCTAGTTGTTTATTCGCCCTCTGCGCTCCGCAAACCCGCCGGTAATCAGGCTGAGCGAGGTCGAGGAGTTCATCGAGGAAGTGTTTGGCAACATTCTGGACCTCCGGGAATGCAACCGCAGACTACTAGAGGTTCTGAATGTTCGACAACGCGAACAGGCCCCCATCATACAGGGCGTTGGAGACATCTTCCTCGACGCGGCCACCGAGTTCCGTTTGGCGTATCCCATCTACGTGGGCCACCTTCCGGTGGCAGAGAAAAGGGTGAAGGACGAGAGCGAAAAAAATGCCGAGTTCCGGCGCTTCCTTGAGGTTTGTCTGTCATCTGCAGCGCGAGATCGGATACTCATTCGACCCTTTACAGCAAGCGGCTCGGCATCCTGATGCTCATCGCCTCGACCTCAAACACTTCCTTAATCGGCCCTCGGAGCATCTGCAGAAGTATCCGGTCCTTTTGGAGGCCATCTGCAATGAGACCACGGTCGGCAACCCGGATGAGGATTTCTTGAAAGAGGCGATAGAAGCCATCAGAAAGCTGCAGACCGTAGCCCAGCTATGGACATGGCAGTCCGCTATGGGTAAGGGGGCGACGGGGAAACTCGAATGGCACAACCTCGTATCCGAGGAGTTCAGGAAGAGTCTTCCGAAGAAGGAGGCTAAGCGGCAGTCGTAAGTGACATTCGCAGCAGCCGCGCGGATGGCTACTCATACTGTACACAGCATCATCTTCGAGCTGATCAAGGGTGAGATGGAATACGTGAAGGATCTCGAGAACATCGACTTGGTGCGTCGTGTGCTCTTACCGTAACGTGACTGGCTAATGTCCTCATCCAGATGTATGTGACTCCGCTGCGCGAAATGGATCCACCCATCGTCCCTCGCGATCGGCTCGAACAGTTTCTTCGCGAAGTGTTCCATAACTTTGACGAACTGCACGCTCATCATCGGAAGATGCTGAACTCTTTCCATGAGATTCAACGTGAAGAGCACCCGGTCATACGCAGTGTCACAGCAGCTGTCTACGATGCCGTCCTCAACTTCCGCGAGGCTTACTTGGAATACATTCCGAATTATCCTATCGCGGCGTATCGTATCGACGATGAAATGGCCAACAACGCGCAATTCCAGACATTCGTTGATGTATGTTATTAAATTACCTCGGACCGCAGTTTGACTAACGTCGTTGATAGCAATGTACGCGGCATCCTGACGCTCGGAAGCTTGACATGAAGGCCTTCATCAATCGACCCATCCCAAGGTTGCTCCGGTACGAGCTACTGTTGAGGAGCATTCTCGATGAAACCCCTGAAGGACATGAAGATCGCGACACCATTCCGCAGGTCCTCGAGTTGATCAAAGCCCTGGGAAAGGATTCGGAACCTGGCGTCGTCTCGGCAAAGCAGAAGGTCGAAGTATGGCGTTACAACTCCAACCTCGTCTTCAAGCCTGGGGAAGCCATTGTAAGTAGTCAGACTTTACGATGGAGAAGGCATTGCTCACAACAGTATGTGTAGGATATGGACCTACTCAATGAGAATCGCTCCCTAATGCACACAGGCAAGTTCCTCCGACAACCCGACACTGGATTTGAATGGAGTGGATGGACTGAGTTGTTCGTCTTGCTGTTCGACAACTACTGTGAGTGGCTTGTCAAAGCTAGGCTCATCTCGCAGCTAAACACCTACAGTGGTCATGACGAAGCCGAAGGAGAAGGATGGCATCACACGCTATCATGTCTACCGAAGAGTAAGTTGGATTGCTGCAGTTGGGCCATTTCTTGTTCTGACGTACGGTTTCTAGCCGATACCCCTGGACCTCCTCACACTGGCTAACTTCACAGACCCACCGACCCAGCGTAGCGGTGGTATCCTCCGTCTCGGTGGATTGAATAGCCGCGTAGAGCGGAACCCCGATGGCCCTCCTCCGGGAGCCAACGGCACCCCAGACAGCGCGACAGATTCTCGTATGGTCTATCCCTGCACCATTCACCACACTGGTCGGCTAGGTGGACTGTATACCGTGTTTGCTGAGTCCGTACAGGTCCGCAACGAATGGAAGCAGAAGTTGGAGGAGGCCATTGGGCTGCGGAAAGTTGTACAAGAATCGAACAAGGTCTTCGAGGTGGAGACCCTCAGTTCGGACACGTTCTTTGTCCCTGCGGTGGTGCCTGGCGGTGGAAGTGCTGCTTATAATCATGAGAATGCATTCACGGGCAAGGTTACTTGCTCAGTGCCATTCAGTAAGTCCAGTGGCAGAGTGCTATCGACAGCATACTGATATCATCTTCCTTGACAGCTACTGCAGACGGTAGAGGTCTTGTTGCCGTTGGATGCGCAGAAGGGGTTTGGATTGGTTTCCGACATGACTCGAGGTGTATGTGCTCATATATGCGGATTCGGTACTCGTGACACGGCACTGACACGCTACCAGCGATGCGTCGTGTACTTCATTTGAAGATGGTGACTCAGTGCGCCATGCTCGAGGACTTCGGCATCTTCCTCGTCCTCGCAGACAAGGTGTGTTGTCATTTCCAGCGACAAGGGCGGACAGCTAAGCGGCATCTTTTCAGTCACTGTTCGCATATCACATCGAGGCTCTTGTACCGTCTTCTCCTCAGAGCGTCAATACCTCGCAGACTCCGCAGAAGTTGAGCGGGAACAAGGATGTCCACTTCTTCAGCGTAGGCAACCTGAATGGCCGTACGCTCGTCATCTACATGAAGAAGAAAGGAGTACGCACCTTCATCTTTCTCTACGGATTGCATTGATGGGTGATCCGCCCGCCATTTCGTCAGTTGGACAGCGTTTTCCGAGTATTGGAGCCTGTAGTGGGTAAGATTAACGAGAGAGCGGAGGCTCCGCGCACGTTCGGCTCCCGTCTTGGTCTTCGGTCGCAACGCTCTGAATGGTTCAGAGTCTACAGGGTGAGTTGCTGCAGTACTGCCTGACCAGCTAGTCGCTGAAGCCCATTCTCAGGACTTCTTCTTGCCATCTGAGTCCTTCGACCTCATCTTCTTGAAGGCGCGGATTGTCATCCTTTGCACGAAGGGCTTCGAGATCATGGATCTCACCGAGTATGTACACGTCTCAGGCATCGATCGCAAGGTACTGACTGTGTTTCCAGCTTCAAGAGTGTCACGATCCCTCAACGAGACGACCCTCGACTGGAGAAATTGGCCAAACGATGCGAGTCATGTCGACCAATGGGTATGTTCCGCACCAACCAAGACGAGTTCCTGCTGTGCTACGATGGTGCGTACATTATGTTCCGGTGCCCTTCTGTCATGGCTGACCCCTGTCACAGAGTTCGGCCTGTATGTGGATCGTCACGGTGATCCCAGCCGGGGTATGGGGACGATTGAATGGGAAGGCACAGCAGAACATGTCGCATGGCATCCACCATACGTTCTACTATTCGACACTCGGTTCATCGAGATCAGACACGTCGAGACTGGTCGTCTCGCGCAAATCATCCCCGGAAACGACGTGCGCTGCATTTGGGATGGACGGGGGACTGCCAACGTTCCTACGTCGACGGTGCCTGGTCCAGATGGATGGACGGAGGGTATCTCGCAGGAGCCGCGCGTCCATGGTGTAATGAACGCCGACAACGGTCTGCAGCCGAGCGGGCCTCGGGGGGCCCGCCCCATCGCACAGCACGTATTCGAGCTCATACCCACGATTCCTCTCTATCTGCCGGGTTCTCTGTCGTCTCCATCTCATGCTACGCAGTTCGCGCAGAGCAATTCGCCGCCGCACTCACCACGTCTCAATCCTTCACTATCTTTCCGGTAATGTACAAAACACCCGTCTGTATCAAGTATTGTTGCTGTCTCCGATGTTTTCTAGCACTTCAGGATTCGCATCGTGTAGTGGATTGTTTTACCATGTCGCTCATTATATTTAGATGTTATAACCAGGGGAGTGTTCCGACCGGTGGCGGTGAGGTAGTCTAAGTCGGGTCCCGTCGTGACTTATGCGCGCATCTCAATCAGTAAAGTAAGTGAGAGTGAAGCATTGCATGTTGAGGCATATGGACAGCGTACAAGCATAGGGCATACGTACACAGCAAGACGGAAAGCATAAGAATAATTTACTCACGAAGTCCACATTCGAAAGCTACAGAGCTAAGGTCCATACTTAAGCTGCCTGCCGCAAGCTCAAGTCTAGCTGGTATAGATGAAGGTCACTGATCCCTTGGGAAGTGCACCTTGGTCGGACGGCGTCCAAGTCTTGGGGTGTGGTACGGATGCCATCGGACACTCGTGCGAGATCTCTGGGCCCTTTGTGCGTGCCACCTGTGCTCCAGGTGTTCTGTGGGCGTCGCGAGCGACAGAGCTGCGAGGTCCCGAGAATGGTATGTAGTGCGGAGAATCGGGAGATCAGGTGGGACTGCAGATCGAGCGACTTGAACATGGTCATCAGCGTGCTCGGTTGAGGCATGCGGTGCTTGAGATAGGACGGGGCGAGGAGGTAGTTGGGGAGCCTGCGGGTGCTCGGCCTGAGAAGTCGAGATTCGATCCGGGCCCTCAACTCGAGACTCCTCATGTGCAGGTGACTCAGGAATCGGCTTGTCAATCGTCTCACCACCGGCATCGATCGCGGCGGAAACATGCAATGCCCGTGGCAAAGGCGGCGGTAGCGGGCTTCGTCGAGCTGTGATTACGTGAGTATGCATTGTCTGCTCATGGATGAAATGCGATTGCGTACGGCAGTACTTGAACACCCCGGTTAAGCTGCTGATCGGCGGGAGCGGGCCTCGTTGTGGCGCCGATATGGGAGGGAGGCGCAACGAAAGTAGGTACCGCAGGTCGGCACTCCGGAGCGCGATGATAGTCGGGCGAGGTTTGTGGTGCGTGTTCTGGGCGACGACGGAATCGCCCGAGTGTCGTGGCTTGGGACGTGCTGGGCCTCCAGGAGGTTGAGACGGACGACCTACAGAGGGTGTGTGTGAGGAACGGGGAGGGTTCCTATGGTTCCTAGGCTTGTTGTCTTGCTTGTTGTCTTGTCGTGGTCTCTCATCCTTGAGGTTACGGCCAAGTATCGGCTCCGTTGAGGGTGGCGTAGGTCGCATTTCCTCTAACCGCAAGACACCCTCGCCTGGTACGGTTGGCGGTTTATGGACATTCACCTGTAGTAGATCCCGCGCAAAACTTGCAGTGGCATTCCTTTGTACTCTGCCTCCTTTCGTGGACATCAGCAGCTCCGATGCTGGGGTATATTCGAGCGAGAACCCTTTGTCGCCCCCGTCCGGGCCTGCCTGCGCAGGTTGAGGTCGGGGCTGACAGTCGCGCAACGTCTTCAAGTTGTCCACATTGTTGGTGCTTCCCTGGACTGTGGCGATGTTGGTCTGACCTCCTATGCTTGGGCCATTGCGACGATTACGAGGGGCGGGCCCGAAACGTACGCCCCATATGAGACTCTGGGATGTGTCAGACGCCACATCCGGATGGAGGAAAGCAGAGACGCACCCCGCCTAAGTCCGAGCCTCCCTGAGCAATGCCATCGTTCAGTCTGTGGTAGGTTTTACAACCCTTGGGCCGGTTCGCTGGGAGTGCAACGCTAGCCTTTGGAGCCTTTGGAACTAGGTTAGGGCGCTTCTGAAGCATAGTGGGACAACACGACGGAGACTAGGGGTTGCAATGGTAGGGGGAGGTGTATCATGATCACTCACTCGCAGCGGGTATATAACACAAAGGGCCTGTGGCGTCAAGTATGGCGTGTCGTTGCCGGTTCAGACGAATAAAAGGAGCACTATCCAAAAGCGGGCAGCCGAAGAGGCTTTGGCCTCGAGGCTGGGGTTCTGAACACGCTGCCTTCCCCGCTAAGCGGAGAAGGAGCACCTGCCTTACCTGGTGAGTGATGCACCGCACACACGCAGCTCCAGGAAGGAGGGGACAATACAAGCGGCCGGATATGGCAATTGTGGGTCCCCTTGTCGACTCATGGTGACACAGCCTAGGGCCCAAGCGCGTTGTTCCTTGCAATTGTGTCCTATCGCGAGCGAGCGATAGGAAATACGGTTCGCGCGCCTGCCTTCTGCAGACGATCGAAAATGGTACTTAGGTTGAAATGCGGGGTGCCGAAGGCGCGGTGACTGGCAGGCCATCGTTGAGTTTGTCATGCTGTCCGAGAAACCCCTCCATACGTGCCAGTGGTGTGAACATCAGCACAGGTAGATCGATCGAATGCTGCGTAGAAGCTTGTTGGCTTATGAAACAACCCGCGCCTCAAGATCGCACCTGAGATGCTTCCGTGAAGCTCGAAGCGGCACCATGGCTGTGACAGATCTAGACAACAACCATGGATGGATATTGCCGGCCAGAATGCTGTTCTCATAGTCCTGCGGAAAACATGCGAAGACCCGGTGCTCCAGAGACTAAGGCACAATCTGTGATAACTTGAGGTCCATAGATGGGTCGTGAAATGCTGTCACGGTAGCCACATACCTCTAGTATCAACCGCACGTGTAGCGCTCAGACCGCTCGCTTACGGCCGGGATGTGGTTAGACAAGTACTTAGATAAGAGAGGAAGGTCATCGCCACACACAACGCGCTGAGTGTGCCGGGAGGGGACTGTTGCGACTCACAGCGCAAGCTACGGCGGCATTGCATCGCATGACGAACAACTTCGTCCTCGTTGGTCCTCTACCTGAGATATGTAGATCAGTGTGCCATACAAAGTTGGCCCAGTACCTACTTAGAGGACCACTACCGCCCGTTATCGCCTCTCGCCGCTCCCTGGACACAGTCGTCCAATTAAGCACCGTCATCCGACCGCCCAGACGTCCATCCACCCACTCATGAAGCTTTTCTGGTACATTTCATCTTCGGTCGCCGCGCTTCGAATAGGGCTACCACCCCTACCAGCTTCACTTCGACTTGTTCGAAATAACGCTCCAGAGCGCGTTTGAGTTCATCGAGGGTATCGTCCGCATTACCGAACATGCCTTTCTTGTTGTACAGGCACATCAACCGCCTGCCGAGCCAATTGTGCGATACGCCTTGGCCTCGTCCCAGTATGGTCGCGCCATACAGCACGCCGTCGGGACGCAGACCGTCCGCCAGGTTAGCGAGCACCTTCGGTCCCTTGTCCTCCATTCTACCCGGGAGGCAGTGGAGAACATAGAATAGGGAGACAGAGTCGAATCGTCCGCGAAGGCTCTCGGGGAGGGGTTGGAACACGTTATGATGTACCTCGTCGATGGTCCCCTTGTACCCCGCGTGGCGTAGTCGCGACGTCGCGGTATTCAGCGTCGCCTCGTTGAGATCGAGTAACGTGACGTTCCCCGTCTTTGAGAGAGGGTGCACCGATTTGGCGAGGTAATACCCGGTGCCGGCACCCACGTCTAGATGGGCACTCTCGCCCAAGTTCTTGTGGAAGAATGGAAGGAGAGTCAAGGTCGTAGAGCATCGCCATGCCCAGGCATTGGAGACTACGAGGACGACAACATCGTATAGACGCAGATTGAAGCGTGAATAGATACGAGCTGAGGGATCCATGCTAACTTAAACGCGGTGCGTGAGTCTGAGGCTGTGCGCAGTCAACCCGGAGTAGTGTAGAAACTAGACTAGCGGTTAGCTCTATGTACAATGTCAGCCTTCGATATATGCTACAATATACGAATGTCTTACCTCACTCGAGTACGACAACCGCGTGAGGAAAGGGAGAGAGAGAGAGGGAGAGACGAACATGCCCCCGGCGGTATGTCACGTGCCGGAGGCGGGAGACCGCGATGCGTTGAATTGCGTTCCCAACAAGTAGCAGATGATCGCTCGCGACCGGGATGTGGTTAGAAACGAGATAAGTATAAGCAGTTTAGAGAGAAAGGGCATCGCTACGAACAACGCGCCGAGGCCGCATGCGCGGTGGACGATCAAGAGACTGACAAGAAGGCGAATGGCGCGGAAGCAAAATAAATATTGAGACCCGTAGGTCTACCACTCCGGGAAAGCGTGTCATCCTTGTGCAGGGGCCATGCTAATCTTCTCTGTATCGTTCCAATTTTTTCGTATGTCACCCCGAAGGGGACATAGGTAGACGTGGGGAAGGGGAGGTCGTGGCGCAGAGTTGTGCATTTCGCGCAGCCCGCGGGCGATGGGCGCCTGCAGTGTCGGTGGCAGCACGTGCATACGCGTCGCGATCCGAATTTGGACTGGTGGACGCGCTCCGGCGAGGCTGACGTCGACAGCGACTCAACCATTTGAAGTTGAACCAACCCGCCGACGCCGGCGCCGGCGATGACGCGCGCACAGGACGGCGGCTGACCGGCGGCGCGCGGTACATAAGCTGGACTGGATGGTCCGTGTTCTGCCCCGCCTCTTTGCCTCTTCCTTCCATCCCCGCTGCTGTTTCTGACCCAGGTGGTCTTGCTCTCGTATTGCTATCGTACTTCTCCGCGACTGGATCGCCTATTATCTCTCCGCACCTCACCCACTGCCTTGCACGCTCCGTTCCCAGTCCTTCACCATGGTTGGCCTCCAGCGTCGCTTCACCCTTCTCGCTGCTCTCACCACCATCGCTGCGGTCTCGGTCATCCCGTCCACTGTTGAGTGCGCCGTAGTGCCCGCTGACTACAAGGAAGCCGAAGCAAGTGCGGGTGCCCCGGAAGTCCACCACTCGACTCGCAGTCATTCCTTGACGCACACCGAGGCTGCCGACCCCACCCAGTCGACAAGTTCGGACCATGTCAAGAGCGGGAAGTCACAGCGACAACAACAGCCAGTTCTCCCTCTGCCCATTGGTCACTCGGGTGAGGGGAAGAAGTCTAAGGACGTCGTGAGCGACGTGGGGACTCACCACAAGGACAAGGTGCGCAGATGTCTGCATCTCTACCATTCGCAGCCATGTTGATCTCGCGAAACGTTCAGCGCGACGCATGGGATGAACCTGACTACACGCGCCGCCCAGAGCTCGCTTGGCTGGCGAGCCACGACGATGCAGTGAAGCACGACATGGACATCATGCACATCCCCGGGAAGCGTCACGACCATGACGATCATGACCGTCATCACGACAAAGTCACCGTCAACGGAGACCACGACGACGTTCACATGCATAGCCGAATGGTCAATTCCCGCCTTCGTGCTCGTGATCCGAACGATATTGCCCACATCGAGGGCGGCGCAGGTCCCCACATCCTCCCGGACGGCCTCGTTCGTCGCTCCCCGCATGACCGCCATCACAACAAGGTTGTCGTGGACGGCAACGACGACGACGACGACCGCGGTCATGAACATCCGTCTGTACACGTACGTCGTTCGCCACGGCATCACGACCACGACCGTCACCGTCATGACAAGGTCGTCGTTGATGGAAGCAACGACAATGTCCATGTTTCCCGCTCGCCTCATGACCACCACGATCATGACCGGAAGAAGGTCATTGTTAAAGGCGACAATGACAACGTTGACGTTCACCACCGGAGAGCTGACGTGGGACCCTCCGTCCATGTCTCGGACAACAATGGCTCTCCGTCCGTGACTGTGACTGCGTTTGTGCAACGCGATGGACAACAGACGGTCGGTGTGCCAGGGTCAATTGACATCATGGTGAGTACCGCGCTCAGAGAATGAGGCACGCGTCGCGTCATGACATTTCATTTAGAGCGAGGACCCTAGCTCAGAGAACGCCGTGAAGATCGCCTCTTTGGTCCTGTCGGCGCCCTCCAACGGAACATCTAGGGAAGATAATGCGACGATGTCTACCTTCGTCCTGAACGCGTCTGGCGCCGACCATACCCAGATGTATCTCGTGGCCATCCCCGATGCAGGCAACTCAACATCCTCGGGGAACGCTGCGTCTTCTGGCAACTCAACATCCTCTGGGCCAGCCCCCCTTATGGTCGCTTTGCAGGTTCCCGTGTTCAATGCGGCCAATGCCACGATGGACAACTGGTGTGCTACCTTCGACCCGATGCCGTCCAAGCCATCGCCGATGTACGTCCAGGAGTGTATGGCTAACGTCACCGCTGGTGGAGAGCATATGAGTCAAGTCTTTGCTTACGAACCGGCTTCTGGCGTCATCCGGCCTATGTGGTCTCTTGACGGCTCAGACTCGGACTCGGACAGCAGTGTCTATGGATCAGACAGCTCAAATCCAACGTCGACAACAGTTGCTAGCGAGGCCTCTTCGACGACGACAGCGAACCCGACGTCGAGCACAGCTCCCACGGAGACGAACCTCGCGCAAGACATCGTCAACCTCGAGGCAGACCGGACGGAAGCGACGACGCCGCCGTCGCGCGCCGCGTCCTCTGCGAAGATCTTTGACACGAACTCGGCTGCTCAGCCGAGGAACGTCACGCTGGTGTTCACCCCTGCGGCGCCGATGTTCGTCGCGCCGGTGGCGGGCCCTGTTAAGGCGGTCGTGCCAGCTTCGACTGGAGATGACGATGGCGGCGATGGAACTGCTGACGATGATGGCGACGACGGCGGTGATCAAGACTCTGGCGACGGCTCGGACGACGATGGCTCGGACGGCGGTTCTGATGACGAAGACTCTGGCGACGACTCTGGGCTGGACGCCTCTGCTTCCATTGGGTTTGGTTCGTCTTCGGCTCTGAGCTCGACGGTTTCTGCTACTGCTACGAGCTCTGGCACGTCTTCCACTGCGACGACTGATGCTTCGTCTTCCTCGGCTACTTCGTCGACGAGTGTCTTCTCTGAACCGGCGGCGAGGGTCGTGTCGACGTCCTCGGCTGCTCCTTCGTCAACGGCAACTTCGTCTTCGAGCGACACGGGCTCGACGAGCACGCCTACTGACTCGATCGCCACAGACTCTGCGACGACTACTACTCAAGATCCTAGTCTGGCTGTGGAGGTGTACGACCCGAGTGCGACGGAATCTCCGAGTGCTTCGACGACGGACTCTAGCACGGCGACTGCCTCGGCGACAGACTCGTCTGACTCGACGGGGTCTACCTTATCGGCTTCTATCGTCGCTCGGTACAGGATTCTTGAGGACTATTCCAGCATTGTGGTCTCAAACTCGACGTCGAGCACCATGGGCACTGACTCGACGAGTACGACGAGCACGGTCAGTGCGGAGATGACTGGCTTTGCGGGGAGGCTCCGGGAGGGAACTGCGATCCCCGGCAACAAGGGTTGGGTTCAGGTTTGAGGGGGAGGTTGTAGGAGAGAATGTTTCTGGTTACGGGCACATTCCTACCATTAGAGTTCGACGACATAAGCACACATTAGTACCCTACCGTCGTTGGCGATAATTCTGCAATATAATCTGTTTAATGGGCTTGTACTTGCCTCCGTGCGACACGAGTTCGGGCGGCCTTGCATTTGTCTGATCAGTTCGGATGCTCTGTCAGCCCTTCGAGCCCGATGGATTCGGAGTGTGGGTCCGCGAAGACGCGTACGCAGCCGGAAGCTTACGCATGTGGCGATTTCTCGGCTGTCAAGGATACAAAGAATGACGACCACAACCAGCCACAACCGCATTCTACTATAAGTACACACTCTCCAAGCCACAGCGACCTACCCACCCTCGACGCAGACTTGAACGACTGAAGCACATAGTATTTGAACATTATGGCAGGCAAGTCCTCCTCCCCGCTGCACGTTGCGCCGGCGCTGATACCTGCGGGGCGGAACACAGGCCTCACCGCGCTCATCTTAGGGGCTACTGGTGCGACAGGCAAGGTCCTCCTCCAGGAGCTGCTCGCGTCGCCCCAGTATGCGAGCGTGTCCGAGTATGGCCGGCGCGTCACCGCCCCGGAGAGGATCGCCGCGGGCAAGGAGAAGCTCGAGCAGCGGACGATTGATTTTGAGAAGCTGGAGGAGGCGGGGCTGAAGGACAAGAAGTGGGATGTTGTGTTCATAACGTGCGTGCTGTTTCCTTGTTCACTGTGGGTGTGGTGCTGAGTTCGTGCTGCTATAGCCTTGGGACGAACCGCAAGGCGGCAGGCAGCGCGGAGGCGTTCGAGAAGATCGACCGAGAGTGAGTTCTGCGATGCTCCCGTTCTGCGTAGTACCATCGCCGCGACGCTCACAACGAGTGCATCTCAGATACGTCTTGGACGCCGCCCGCCTAGCCAAATCGGACGACCCTGCCCAGAAGCAACGCCTCATCTACCTCTCCAGCGGGGGTGCCGACCCTAACTCGTATTTCCTTTACATGAGGTGCGTCCCATGACGACGCCGGGCGTACTCGACACAACCCCGCCAGTCGTGAAACGCGATACTGACTAGGATTTGTTGGCTGTTGTAGGAGCAAGGGCTTGACTGAACTCGGCCTGGCAGAGCTGGGATACAACGACACGATCATCTTCCGGCCAGGTGCGCTCGGAGATGCGGAACGCCCGGAACACAGAGCGGTCGAGAAGTACACGTTGTATGCATACCTTCCGACCTGTACTTCGTGTACATACATTGATCTTGCCCGGGCAGCCCTATCATCAAGGCCATGTCGAGATTCGTCCCGAGCGTGTGGATGCCTGTACGTCTACCCTTGTCTCCGTTCACTCGCGCGGACATGGTGCTCACAGCTCCTGATAGGTGCCCAAGCTCGCAAAGGCGATGCGCGTCGTCGGCGAGAAGGGCTCGGAAGGCATTCCCGCCGAACGCGTGCAGAAGGTGGGCGGGGAGAAGGCACCCTGGAGCCTCTTGGATAACAATAGCATCCTCGCCATTGCCGACTCCTTCAACTGATCTCTCGGATACTGTAACACCACGTTCATACACTTGTACATTACTCGTCGTTATATTGACAGCTCTGTTTACCCTTCTTGCACCGTAAAGCGAGCATAAATAGTCTGTTAGTCCCCGGTAAGCGATAGCCCAGTCTCAGTCTCCGTCCCTATGCCAGTCCGTGCGCTAGCATGTCCATGTATGCGTGTAATGTACGGGGGAAAACATTCCCTCAGGACGACGTCACGTACTGCTCGCACACGCTGGCGTTGTGGTAGTCCGCCGGGTTTTTCGTGAGGTACCCGAGGTTCACGCCCTCGATGTACGACCTATTGACCATCAGCACCCCAACCACGCAGCACACATCCCGACACCAAACTCACCACTGCCGCGAGAGGTTCCCCGCCACCTCCGACTGCTCGACCTTGAAGTTCCAAAACTACCATCCCAGCCACCCATCAGTTCCGTCACCCACAGTCGATACTGTGACAGGACACTCACGATCCATCCCTGGCCCTGGCTATACGCGAGCTTCTGCGCGTCCGCCCACATGGACAGGAACTCGTCCGTCGCTTCGAACTGCGTCGGTAGGCCCCACTCGCCGAACCAGAGCGGCGTGTTGCCGACTTCAGCATCCACTTGGACGCGTTGGAGGTCTGGTGGAGGGTGAGGTCAGTTAGAAGAGGGGTGGGTACCAGCAGGCGACGCACTGCAGATGCTCTCCAAATATGCGGTGGGGTTCGCGTCGGCGACGCCCTGTTAGGACGTGCGTGAGTACTACGAGATTGGTGGTGAGGATCAGAGACGTACGCCGTAGCTGTAGTAGAGGTGGTTGTCGTAGCCTTGTGGACCGATCGCAGCGTCAGCGGGGTTGGGTGGGCTGTCGTACTGCCAGTTGATATCCATGAACCTGCACGGTGAACCCCGAGTTTAGCTTTAGCACTCCCTCCCAACAACTCACGAGCACTCACGTAGTGATCAACGACGTCTTGTCCACCCCACCGCCCAGGTTCGTGTCCAGCAGCGCGGGTACCGCCAGCTGCGCTGCGAGGTCGACGAGGATCGGCGCCGCGGCCGCGAGGGCTTCACGGACCTCCGCGTTCAAGGTCGTGGACGCATTCGCGACCTGGCCGAGCGCCTCCGTGAAGTTGCTCGTCGTGACCTGCGCGCCGAGGCTTATGCCCTCCACGGGGATACCGAGCGTGAGCTCGACCGCGCGCACGGTATCGACGAAGTTCTTTTGGACTGGTAAGGGTTAGATGTTAGTAAGGTGGGGAGGTGGGGAGGGGGAGAGACGTACAGATGCCATAGTTGGGGGTCTTGTCTGCGTCCATGATAGGCTCGTTCACGGCTTCGATGGCGAAGACGGAGCTAAAGGCGGGGTCGAGGTGGACGAGCGAAGTCATGACGGCTGTCCAGGTAAGAGCCCGTTCGTAGTTGTAGTCGGTCTAAAGAGATACTGTCAGCAGGGCTCTTTGTAGCACGTTCCTGTTGGTCAACCCACGTAGAATTGTACGTTGTCCGTGCAGCTGTGACGCAGAAGAGTATTCAGAACACGGTAATGGGGCTGGGTAACATTTCACGTACTTTCCGGTGAACGACTGGCCAGGAGTCTGTACGCCGGGCAACGCGTGGTGATCGAGGATAACTTGGATGCCAGCGTCGGCAAGCATCTGAACACCTTTTTGCTGATGTGCACGAATGTGAGCCTCATCCCATGTTCAGTGTGGGTCCTATTAACTCACCAAGTAGACAATGCCACCCTCCGGGTAGAATTCAGTAGCACGGCTGACCAAAGGCTCTACGATCCAGTAGCCGAGCTGTGCATCCACATGAGATTACTTGAAAATAGGCAACGTACTATGGCCGAGAACACTCACTGGTATGCGAGCTGTATTGATGCCGTCCGCCACAAGGGTATTCACATCGTCCTGCGTGAACCATGTTGTCCTGAGCGATATAATCATCAGAAAAGGTAATCCGCTAGTAGGTGATGGCACAGACCAGTGCTGGGCGAACTCTTGGTTAGCCTTGACTTGTCCGTATTCCTTCGTATACGCCCTGTAATAGCACGATCTGTTTAACAGCACTAGTACGCGGTCAGCTACCAGTACATACCACTCAGACTGGATACACGTCGAGCAATCATCGCAGATCGACCCTCCCATGGAATCCCACTCTGCCGGAAGCATCCATGGCTCCAAGACCAGCCTAGAAAACGCGTCAACAGCGCGTCCGACGAGTACGAAACCCGGGCTCAGAACGCGCACCAGCCACCGATGTTGACGCCGTATATCTTGCTAGGCAAACTACCCGCAAGCACAGCCCGTGCGGACGCAAGCAGCGCGGTGAGACCCAAGAGCGAGCGCATCGTGCCGGTGCGTGGGGACCCTGCTCAGGGCCCCGTCCGGCGGGGACACGTCTCTTATAAACGTCCCGGAATGCAAAAAGACCTCCGTCCAAATAGCCTCGCTATTCTCGTAAATGGAGGCTTCCCGTAACGGCTAGGGCCGTCACGCCAGCGACGGACACATCTGCGCGCGAATGAGCAACGGCGCGATGTCTGCTGTGTGCATGAATGATGGGATTGGCTGTGGGAGACTCAGTACAGTCAAGAATCAGAAACCCATGGCAAGGCACCTGTCATGGGTACAGGATTTGTTGGACTACGCCCATCTGCGTGTGATGCGTGGCGGGTTTCAGCTGTGGACAGAGCGATCCGCCAGCAGCATTTCGTGCGTGACGCTCGCAGAGGTCGCACGAGGCGTGGAGGGCGGGTCAACTGACCGCATCGACGCATGTCCTCCGCGCTTGAAATACGACCGTGTACAGAACCGAGGCTTTTCTTGCACGAATTCCCTAACCCTGGACGAATTTCTCGTGTGTCAGACGATACGAGCTTGATACGAGCGGTACGTAAAAGTGCCTCCGCTGCGCGACGTGTTGCAAACGCATGCCTGTTAATCGAGTCATACGTCGGACGGTTGCCACCGTGGGCAGCGCTCACCCTCTACTTACCAGTCGCACGTAGACCCGCATATCACATGCACAGCCGGCTGCGAGGTAGCGCTCGACAGCAGGCAGACGTCAGTACGGTTGCCCGTTAGTCCGAGGGCGACTCGAGGTGGATGAGGCTGTCAGCTCGTCTGGACTTCTGTGGGGCCTTGCGCGCGAACGGGAGGCAATACCGCTTTGCTGACAACTTCATCAAACTCGTATTGACGCGTAGGGTACGACTATGTATTCGTCGAGGCCGTAGGATGAGAATTGAACATAAGGTTGGGGTACAGCGAAGGCGGTGGCAGTGAGACGCGAAGTGGCTGAGGCGTGTGGCGCGAGGCGCTCAACCTCGGACTAGCGGGCAACCGTACGTCAGCCACGCAGCTGGAGTCAGTCCAACTGGCGTACCTTCAACGGGTGCTCGGGCTCAACCCCCGCTCTGTGACGGTGGTACTCGACACCGAAACAAGCCTATGGCCAGTGCGATACAGGCGTCTTTCCCTTGCACTACGATATCTTCAATACGTGCTGCTCCAGCGCCCTGCGCTGCCCCTTGCGGCTTTGGCCGAGGCTCGGACATTGGCCCTTTCTCAGATTCTGGGCGTGCTTCATGGCTGGGCAACCTCCACCTTGCTCTATCAAAGCTGCCAGTCCCAGTACAGTTCGATATCACTGCACCGCTCACGACGGAACTCACGGAGGGCTGCCTTGAGGAACTGCGACTGTCACTTGTCAGCCACCTCAAACAACAGTTGGCAGATTCACACCGACTCACTATTCTCAAGGCGCGCCCCCATCAACGGGCCACGCTTGAGCGGCGAGCATACCTCACCATCTCCGACCGAGAGCAGCGTTTTGCCCTATGTCGGCTGCTGGCGTCGGATTCCCCTTTGGCCGTCGAGGTACTGCGCCGCCGAACGCCACTGGTGCCCCGTGAACAACGAACATGCAGGTTCTGCGAACGACAAGGATCAGTGGAAGACGAAATACATGTACTGTTACTATGCCCATCAGAACAGTTGCGACAATCCCGGGAGCGTTTCATGGCAACAGCGTTCGCCCGCCAGCCGCTATGGCGGATAAGTTGGGAACGCATGCCCGAACGCTTTCTGGTGGACGGTGTGGGAGACGAGAACATAATGGCTCACCTCGCCGAGCACACACATACGGTCTTCCAGCTTTGCGAGACTGTCCCCATGGTCGTGGTCGCCCCCGAGGAGCAAGCCCAGACAGAGGCCTAGCCCGGCGCTCAGCCCCTCCAAGCCGTCCCGCGTGCGACTATATCATCGTTGCTGCCTATGAGACTCACCGAACAGCTAGTACGACATGCTGCTAGCACTGAGACACGGTGCCCCCTATCCCTGCCCACCACGCCGGATGGAAGACGTTTAAACCGATCCGAATGATCGTGAGGACAGCCCGAGGCTGTCGGCCAATGGCCTGGTGCTCTGTGAGTTTCGTCAGATGTCCGGGGGACCGGTACTGACTCCTGGGGGTTATTCCAGTTTGTCCCGCCAGGTTTGAGCAGAGTATCCCGCCCCGCCGAATTCGGCGAGTGGGCCAAGGCCGCGAGAGGAAGACCCTCTTGGGAAGAGTGTGTGACAGGGATGGATGGGGTAACGGGGTCATCTAATGCAGTAGTCGTCGGGTAGCTTAATACGTAGTTCTACGCATCGGTCGCTGTAAGCCTGATCTTAAAATTCGGTAAGAAGTGGAAGACGTCTTACCAGGGATGAAGACGGTCGTCATGGGTTGGTCTGCAGCGTAAGTATCGATGAAGGTCGCTCCGCTCGTCCCTGCCAGTGAAGCTCCGCGAAGAACACCTTGTAGGACCAAACGTCGGTAAGTGTGAGGGTCGCATAAACGTAAGGCGTCAAGATTCCGGTCTGTGCGTCGTCCCGTGTGGCCAGTGTGCAGCCTGTGTGATACGGGTCATACTTCCTGGTACCCTGTATGCCCTCAAACAACGTCCGAATGCCTGACGAGTCCGACTGATGAGTAGGAAGGTTTGACGTGAGGTCCATCACGCGATTTGGTGGGTGGGCAAAAGGCAAAAATACAATATAGACACGAAAAGCCCCTACTCGATTATGCTGAGTTCTCGTTTCCGCGTCCGCGCGAACTCGTCTTTATGAGTATGCCATATCCTGGCCGAACCCGTCGTCAGAGTACTGCACGACTGATGAGGTATATGAGACGCACCTCATGAGCTCCTCTATGTACAATTGCTGGATGTGCGTGATCTCCTCTAGCGTCGGTTTCTCGCACTTCTCTACATGTATGGGATGGCCGACTGTATGCCGCGTCAATGCATCCAACACGGACATGAATGTAGGATGTACTCACTGACTGCGACTATACGTCGTCGGTACGGCAGCAAGCCGAGGTTGTAATTTAGTAAACCTCTGCCATGGAAGAGGGGTAGCGTGAAGCCAAACACGTTCTGGAACTTCTTCTGCAGTGTGTATACCGACGTGCCCGGGTCGTTCGGCATCTGTTCATAGATCTGGGTAGAAGGGGTCGATAACTAACTCTATCACGAATGTCATGGGAGCTGTACTGACGTCATTCTCGCCGAACGAGAAAACAGGGACGAGGTCAGCTCTGCCGAACAGGAAATGTCAGAGTCACTTGCGTGAATGGCAACTCGATGGACGCACCCATGCTGAATGGCGATCTTGATGAACCCCAATCGTTTCCTCAGCGTCAGGTCCGCTGTCCCTGGTCGCGCACTTAGACTCTCGGCTGCTCCACCTACGACGATGGTAATCGCCTGCCCAGGTCCACCCTTGAGGATGTTGCTGCACGATTGCTTGCTCACGGAGCAGATGCCCATGGCGAGCAGGATGTCGCGGTAGAACGGCATACGGAAGTTGGACGCGAGCGTGAGCAGGTGCGGGACGATGCCCGGGTAGAAATGAGAGAAGCCGGTGCTCTCGGTCGCAAATGTGCAGAGGGCACCCCTGAAGATAAGTGAGCAGCTTATTTGACGAGAGGACGCGTGGCGGACGTACATGCCTATGATGCCTGTTCCGGTTGGTGTCAGTAGAGCAAGAATTCGTGAAGGCACTAGCACACACCATGGGGATGATATCCGAAGACATACGGTCTGTCTGCAGGTAGATCACACGTCTGAAAGGGTCATCCTCCAGCATACATTCGAACAGGGGTCACTACACACCTTCAACAGGCTGCCAGCCATGTCAGCATCAACCGTTCGAACAGCAGACGAAATGACACGCACGATGCAGGGTAATAGTCAGCGAAGTACCGCCAGAACCTCCCTGACCGGAACCAGGGGCTCAGCCGCCCTCCATGCTCGGGACTCCGGTCGACATACAGTGCCCAGATCATATACAGTGCGAGCGCTGGCCATAATGGCGGTATCGACCTGTTCTCGCCACCCCGTTGAGCACACGATCAGTTCGCGTACCCAGAAGCAGACACGCACATCATCACGAGCCATGCAAATGTGCACCACACAATCGTCGTCGACCATAGTGCGACCGCGAGGGTCTGTAGCCTCCGTTTGCGGGGGATCCTCCGGGGGACGAAGCTGCAGCGGGGAGACGCGTCTGCGGTCAGTCAGAACGCCTCGCACTGCGAGCCGAACGGCGATGCGCACTCGATGTTTGGCGTCGGGAACGCCGTCACGGGGATGGGCGGTGTCGGAAGGTGGATGCTCGAGAGCCGTTCGCGGAGCGAAGACGAGGAGAAGTTGCGGGCGGCAGAGCTGAACGTCTTGCGGGCTTCCATTCTTTGCTTCCGCTGCTGCTCAGTATTTCCAAACAATGTCCAAGAGGGGTCTACGTGGTGTCCAAGTTCAAAGGAGGGTGTGCGGCGGGCAGTCTAAAATACAGTCGAGACGAAAGACGAGACACAGGTGGTCGGCCGCAGGGGCTCAGCCCAGCTCAGCCAAGACCCAGCACATGCTTACCGGTAGTGGCTGCATGGCGTCACTCCTGCTCCGGCCAGGGGCAGTCCATATTACACCTCCTTCGCTGCACACTCAGTCAGGATTATGTCGCGGCTATGTTTCCAAGTTGCTGACCCGATACACTACTTTACACTGATGCTTGGAATGGGTCTAGGCATTGACACGTCGTAATGCACAGTCAAAATCACAGAACGTATTAGGCAGAGCGAGAACAAAACCACAACCACAGCCAGTCCGTCATAATCGTGCCATCCATCATGCGTAGAGGTCGTCGTCCTGGGTGTCCTCTGCAAACCCAGCGTTGCCCGCAGGCGCAGGCGCACCGCCCGGCGCACTCCCGGACTCCGGGAACTTGAAGTTGGAGCCGAACGAGCGCGACTGCTGCAGGTTCTGGGCGAACATCTCGTACCGCCGGATGTCCCCGTCCGACACTGACCGACGCGCATACTTCATCGCCTCCTCGAAGTGCTCCCGCGTGATCATCGGGACGGGGTCCTCCTCCTCTTCGTCCTCCTCCATCTTTGCGTCCTCGCCGGCGGCCTCCTCCTTCGCCTTCCTCTCCCGCTGTCGCCGGATGTCCGCTTCGATCGACTCACGGATGGCGAGCTTAGCTGCGCGCTGGCAGATCTCAGTAAGATCGGCACCGGAGAAGCCGTGAGTGTTCTTCGAGAGGAAGTTGAGGTCGACCTCCGGAGAGACGGGCGACTTCCGGAGAGCAGCCTTGAGGATGGACAGACGTGAGGGCTCGTCGGGCAAGGGGATGTAAATGAGCTGGTCGAGACGACCAGGACGGAGCAAGGCGGGGTCGATCTGGTCGGGTCTGTTGGTCGCGCCGATGATGAACACGTTCTTCTTCACGTTCATACCGTCCATCTCCGTGAGGATTTGGTTCAAGACACGGTCACCGGCGCCTCCCGCATCTCCTGACGAGCCACCACGCGCCTTCGCGATGGAGTCGAGCTCATCGAAGAACATGACACAGGGCGCGGCCGCACGAGCCTTGTCGAAGACGTCACGGACGTTCGCTTCTGACTCACCAAACCACATCGTCAAGAGCTCGGGACCCTATAAACAACGTCAGCTCTGATCGGGATCTGCATTGAACGTCGGTTACGTACCTTGATCGAGATGAAGTTCGCCTGCGTCTCGTTGGCAATGGCTTTCGCAAGCAGCGTCTTACCGGTACCCGGAGGGCCGTAGAACAGCACACCCTTTGATGGCGACATGCCATACTTGATGAACTTTTCGGGGTGCTCGACCGGGTACTGAACCGTCTCCTGCAACTCTTGCTTGACCTTGTCGAGACCACCAACATCGTCCCACTTGACGGTCGGCACCTCCACGACGGTCTCGCGGAGCGCACTCGGGTTGCTCGTGCCGAGAGCGAAGCGGAAGTTCTCCATCGTGACACCAAGAGAGTCAAGCACCTCGGCGTCGATGGTGTCCTCGTCGAGGTCAATGAGATCCATTTTCTCACGGATCTGCTGCATGGCGGCCTCCGAGCAAAGCGAGGCGAGATCAGAACCGACGTAACCGTGCGTGTCCGCGGCAATCTGCTCGAGATCGACGTCGTCCCCGAGCTTCATGTTCTTCGTGTGGATGCGGAGAATCTCGAGGCGACCAGTTGGGTCGGGGATACCGATGTCGACTTCACGGTCGAAGCGACCAAAGCGACGAAGTGCAGGGTCGATCGAGTTTGGTCGATTGGTGGCAGCCATCACGACAACGTTGGAACGCGCTTTCAGACCGTCCATAAGCGTGAGCAGTTGCGACACCACTCGGCGCTCGACCTCGCCGTTGGTCTGAGACATGGATCAGCACAATGTCCAATTCATGGCAACAATAGTACATACCTTTTCACGCTTCGGCGCAATGGAGTCGATCTCATCAATGAAGATGATAGCTGGCGAGTTCTTCTCCGCCTCCTCGAATGCCTTTCGGAGGTTGCTCTCCGACTCACCCGCCATCTTACTCATAATTTCGGGGCCGTTGATGAGGAAGAAGAACGCTCCAGTCTCGTTGGCGACCGCACGCGCCATGAGCGTCTTACCCGTACCCGGGGGACCGAACATGAGGATACCACGCGGAGGCTTGATACCGATCGACTTGAACAGTTGTGGGTGGCGCAGGGGCAGCTCGACGAGCTCACGGATCTGTGCCATTTGCTTGCGGCAGCCACCGATGTCGTCGTAGCCAACATCGTTCAGGTTCGCCTCCTCATCCTCGCGCTTGACGGGGTCGCCCTCTGTGTGAATGACCGTATCTTGCGCGACGATACAGTACTCCGCGGGATCCGTCTCGATCACCTTGAACTCCACTGTCCGCATACCGCCACGAACGAGGAAGGTGTCGCCTTTCCGGACCGGGCGGTAGGCCTCGAGGAAGTAAGGCTTAAGGTAGACGTCGAAGATGTTGCCGCTGAGACCCTCGACGGAGTCATCGAACGGCAGGATGTGGACACGCTTGCCGTACTTGATATCCAAGCACGGGTGGACGTTGACCATGTCACCAAGCTTAACGCGCAAGTTGTTACGCGCGACCTTGTTCATCTGGATCTTGCCCTCCTCGACATCGTCGGAGCTCAAGCAGATAAGGACGGTGTCATGCCGCTTCTTGCCCCTGCGATCTGTTAGGAACTGTGGGGCTCTCGTAGGCCAGAGCAAACATACCGGACAATGATGGTGTCGCCGCGGAATAGCTGCAGGGTCTCCATTGTTGCCGGGTTGAGCGTCGCGACTACAATGAGATTAAGCACATGCCCGTCGACTACGGGGGCTGCTACACTCACCAGAGTTGTCATCGGAGGTTGCCTCATCCACAATGAGACGGTTGGGCCTGCAAATCGAGGTTAGCTCGCAAGGTACTGAAGCACGACGCGTCGCGACACTTACGACTTCTTGGGTCGCAGAATGGCGGTAGAGACATCGTTCGCGCCAGTGCCTGGGGCCGGGGCGCCAGCACCGGGGTTTTGACCGCTGGGATTCTCCATGTCGTGAAAGAGCTGGGCGTAAATGAAGGGAGAGAAAGGTGGTCAAGGCTGAACGAGCTGAGCGTTATAAGGCAAGCTCGAGGCGACGCGCGGCCTCGTCTCTGTGCATGACACACCGGAGGCGTGGGAAGTTTCGGCCCACCTCCGGGCCTTCCAGCCCGTTCCAGTAGTTTCCGACCCCCAAATCAGGAAGGTGTTCTCGTTCAGTTCGTCCTCCAGCCTACGTGGACTGCTAGCAGGCTGAGCTACGGACGCGTAAGCACTCCGGAAGATAGGCACAGCTTCACATAGAAGGGCGATACATTTTATGCACAGCATTCCCAATGAATCGCGGGGCATGCGTGTGGTCCTCTACGGCGTGCATGAGAGTCCACCAGCGCTGGCAGTGCATATGAGGAGGCATCTACTAGGGGCGCGATGATGTGGCTCCTATTACCTGGATTGGTTGAGCAGTATTTGCGCCAAGTTCGCGTACTTCGCACTGTCTGACAATTCAATGAGCGGTGATAGAAGACTTCTGCCCATCATAGACCCGACTCGGCCACCCGACTATAGCATACACAGCGAGCAACATAATGACACTAGGTCATACCTGCTCGTAGTGTTGATACTGGACCTTAAATATGATAGCTGCGGGTGGTAGGCGCCTGTTCCGGTACAGAGTCGATTTAGAGACTGCCTTGACAAGAGCACACGGGTAAATGCATTACTATCAAATACACAGCAAAAGGTAGCAGAATGTAGCACTGCAGGTGTAGCTTCTAGACAGGAACTTGAGAGATGAGCTCAGAAAATACAGCATACGCGAGGTTGAACATACATTGACGTTGATTACATCTCTTCATCATCGAGATTAATCTCTTCGACTGGAAAGTCCCCGATCTTGACCCTGTCGTGCTTCACGAAGACACCAAAATTAGGCTTGCAGTCGAAGTAGTGTTCGCCCTTCACACTATAGCCCAAACAAAATCATCAAATAGCATCAGGAACCAGCAATCAGGTGCACTTACGACCCATCGTTCTTGCCCATCGGTTCATCATACTCGATCCCAACCCATACGCCCTTCGCGAACTTGGTCGGGCCCACGAAGCGGACGGTGCCACGCTTGTGAAGCCCTTCCTCTTGCGTCTCTACTTCACACCGTGCGCCGACCTTGATGTCTTCCGGTACGGCGGTTTCCTCCTCCTCGTCTGGCTTCTCGGCGAACCTGCCGATCTTGTGAAGTTGCTTATAGGCGAGGACGGTATCTAGCACGAGAATCTTAATGTCGGCATGTAATATCAACTGGAAGGTCACATACCTTGTCGCTGCGCGTACTCGCCCTCGCTCAGCTCGAACTTCTCCACTTGCGAAACATCGCTCAATTGGCCAGTGAAGGACACGGCCGGATTGAGATCCGACACCTATCCATGGATTCCACCACATGAGCAATAGCTTCGCAGAAAGCATACGAATCCCTCACTTGGAAGATCTGCAGATCCTTCACGCCATAGAACCCGAGTGGCCTGCTATCGTCATTGAGTACCGCAGCTGGCGCAGTATCGCCCTCGGTGTTGAACACGGAGATCGCCTGGTTCTGCACTGGGATGCCCGTGATCAACTCGAGCTTGTTCTATCGTAACCTTCAACCTGACAGCTCCACCACAAAGACTGACATGACGCACCTTCAGTTGCTGCACGGTGATGTGTAGATCAAGGCGCCGCTCCGAGCGCGTGTCGGGAGATATCACGAACACAGTGACTGTACTAGACATGGTGGTATGTGGAGAGAGAGAGCAAATGACAAGAACTTGCGTGAGCTGAGGCACGATCGGGGACTCGCCGGAGAAGGTTCTGGGCATTGGAGTGGCACTTACATCGGCTTTGACATCCTCATGCTGGATCCTAAACATCCGCGAAGTGCTTTGGACTCACTTGTGAACGGAGGGTTTGACCGGAAAGCACGAGATAATAATTACTGAATGAAGAGTTCACAGGCCTAGCGGCCAAGTACCGGCGGCGAGACGCGTCGACGTCGTCGCGCGTCACGCGCTCGGTGTACATTAGGCGCCCAAAGTGTATGTACCACGCAAAATAAATATTGAGACCCGTAGGTCTACCACTCCGGGAAAGCGTGTCATCCTTGTGCAGGGGCCATGCTAATCTTCTCTGTATCGTTCCAATTTTTTCGTATGTCACCCCGAAGGGGACATCTACTATAGATAGACCGGATGGGCATGGAACAAAGTCCTGTGTTTGATCCAGCGCGCGAGTCGTCACGGGACCTCTTCCATGCACAACAAGATTGGTGAGAACGTCCGGCTGCGGCCGCGATCATGATGCACTGGAAGATCACACTGGTACTACTCAGTAGTAGGTTCGTGACGGTTAGCCTCATGATTTGCTTCAGCTGCTGACCCTCCTCACCAGGCTCCTCCTCCGTCTCCCCGCACGCGCCTGGCGGTTTTCCACGTGTTTAGATCTGATGAACACTACTGTTTACTACTGCACTCGTAGAGTCATGGTTATTAGCCTTATATGCATATCTGCCGGCGGTGACTTCGTTGATGTCTGTTTGGCATCTCACATTGAATCACATGAGGCGCCTTCGCCTTTCCATTTATGTTCGACATTTCGACTATCTGGTGACCTTCCGTCTCAACCGTCTCAAGGAAATGTTCGTGACGGTTAGCCTCAGAATTTGACGTCACCACCGGCCGGGCAGAGCGAAGCGAAGCAGCTGCGCAGTCTCTTGTATACTGGACCACATATCTCATCTGATGCTTGACACACTTCTCCCTCTCCGCCCTCTAGTTCTACTTCTCTTAGTATATGACACTATATGACGCGCACTACTGAGCCCATTCAGTGGAATGGCCGATGCTGTTAGGGTAGCGGATGCGTGAAAAACCCCAATGTATTCGGCGAGCTGACGTCGGCCGAGCGGGGCGTTTTCATTAACGGGATGGGCGAATAGGCGCCTTGGGTTGGTGATGGGCGGATGACTGGGCAATAAACGGTAGCAGGGTGCCGTTTCTTTTTGCAGTGCATTGTTGGGATGTTGAAGAAAGAGGTTTTAGGCTTAGTAAGCCCAGTGGCAGTGAAGGACTAATGAGTGAGTGAACAGACCAGTCCCAAAGGGAAGATCCTATGCTGGCAGGCAGAGGAGAGGACGAAGGATCGTTATCATTACAGGGCAAACCAGCCCAGTATATATACACATTTGATACAGGTCACATGCTGTATCAGTGGTTCATCAGTAAGCACTAAGTCCGAGGTTTTGGGGATATGAGTAAGCTGGTAAGCAGCATGAGTAAGCCAAAACTCGGAGTTTGATGTGGAGAGATATATGAAACGTGATGGAACATCAGGAATAATATGAGACATGATGGAACATCAAAGAGTAATATAAGACGTGATGGGACATCAAGGAATGATATGGAACGTCATGGAACATCAAGGAATGTTGTGGAATATCATGGAATGATCCAGACTAAAGTCACATGATGTGATCTAGGCAAAGTCCATCAAAGAACGTATGTAATCTGACATCGCAGAATATAAGTCCATATCCGTACATAACTGATAAGATAAGAACACTGAAAACTCGGAAGTTCAACACTCCCACTTGTTCAAGATGTCGAGTATCTCATCATGCCAACCGAAGACCTGAATTTCTCGATTCCGCTGAAGGGAACATTCTTGGTCAAGGCATCAGCAAGTTGGTCTTCACTTGCGACAAAATAGATGTCCATCTCCCCACGTTCGTAGAACTCTCGAATGTAGTGATACCGGATTTCTATGTGCTTGGTGCGGCAATCCACGGCGGGGTTCACCGCAAGGAAAATGTTGCCTTGGTTGTCAAGACAAAGTGGAGTTGGATGAGACATGTTGTCTCCCAGTTCTTCTCCAAAATGACGCAGCCAAGCCATCTGACGACAGCAGTCGGAGCTGGCCTTATACTCTGCTTCGGTTGAAGACAAAGATACCGTTGGTTGGCGTCTTGACACCCAAGAAACGACACAATTGGCCATGAGGAAAACAAAGCCAGATGTAGAGTGCCTATCATCACGATCTTCAGCCCAGTCTGAGTCTGAGTAGGCGATCAGACCAGAGTTTGAGCCTCCATCATAGCAAAGTGCAAGTTCCTTTGTCCCTTGAAGATATCTCAGGACATAGTACGCAAACTTCATATGCTCTTTAGACGGATTTGAAGAAAACTTCGCCAGACGCGTGACCGCGAACGAGATGTCTGGGCGAGTACCAAGCATAGCATACATGATGCTGCCAATAATGCTCTGGTAACGGGTTCGGAAAATTTCAGATGCAGTGTCGGTGTTCTTCTCTAATACTGCTCCAGCGGGAAGAGGTGTCCTTGCAGACTTGCAGTTGGACATTTGGAACCTCTCCAAAACAGACTGAATATAGTCTTCCTGGTCAACAAAGATACGACGTGCAAGACGTTCTCGACGAATGTGTAGACCAAGGAAACGCTGGACAGCTCCCAGATCAGTCATCTGGTATTCCAAAGACAGTCTCTGCTTGATGTTGTCGATGAACAATTTCGAGTCGCCCATGAGGAGCAAGTCGTCGACATACAAAATGATTAAGCAGGTGTGTCCTTCAGATTCACGAGAGAAGACATAAATTCCGGCATCCGAATATGTCCGTTTAAACCCTAAGTCGAGGAGAGACTTGTGGATCTTAGCGTTCCATTGACGAGACGCTTGCTTCAAGCCATAAATGGCCTTCTTGAGCAGACAGACCCAGTTCTCCTTCCCAGGTACAGCCCATCCTTCGGGCTGTTCCATGTAGATTTCCTCGTCAAGGTCACCGTTAAGGAATGCCGTCTTGACATCCATAGACTCAATCTCCCAATCTTCAAGTGCTGCATGCGCCAATAGATAGCGTACGGATTCAAACCGTGCAACAGGAGAAAAAGTCTCGGTATAGTCTTGACCCCATACTTGGGTAAATCCCTTTGCAACAACACGCGCTTTGTAGCGACCATCGTGTTTAATCGCATAAACCCACCGGCACTTGATAACCTTTCGGTTTTTAGGCCGTGGAACTAGAACCCAAGTCTTGTTGTCCATAAGCGACTTGTATTCAGAACCTTCAGATGCATGCCATTTAGCCTTGTCTTGAGACTCCATAGCTTCCCTGTGACTATGGGGAACACCATGGTTTGCTTCTGCTAGCATCCGCACAAACATGAGAGTTTCAGCCTCAGATTGTTGACGGCCTTGAGCATCGGTACGACGATCAATATTCGCAGGTGGCTCGTCACCATAGGCATTGTCCTTATTCCTCTTAGGATTTTGTCCAGCACCTTGACGACGTGGACGTTCATACTGAGGTTGCGGAGGAGGTACAGGATCAGGTTGCGGTTGTGGAATGTCTCCCACTGGCTCTGGATGGTCTTCAGGTTCAGGTTCATGTTCCGGGATAGGAACGGGAATAGGTAAATCCTCAGAATCAGAATCCTCCGAGTTCGCATCCTCAGGAGGTTCATCAAACGGCTTATCCAGGGATTTCGGATTATTGCCTAAATCTTTACGTGCAGGAAATGTCTCTTCATCGAAGGTCACATCACGAGACACAACGATACTTCGAGTGGCCGGGTTCCAGAAACGATACCCTTTGGAACCTAACTCATAGCCAACAAAGATCATCTCGACAGCCTTCTTGTCGAGCTTCCCAGCTCTTTGTTCCTTCTGCACATGCACATATGCCTTGCACCCAAATACCCTAAAATACGAAATGTCCGGGACTGTGCTATCCCAGAGGGTAATGGGGCATTGCCAGTTAAGGCGTCGCATTGGTTGCCGATTATAAATGTGAACCGCAGCGTCAACAGCCAATTGCCAGAAACCATGGCTTAGTCCAGCATGATGAAGCATAGACATAGCCTTCTCGACAATGGTCCGATTCCAGCGCTCAGCTCTCCCATTCTGTTGAGGAGAGTATGGCATCGTCTTCTGATGTTCAATGCCAAATTTGCGCAAATATTCGGTAAATTCTGCAGAGGTATATTCTCCCCCTCGATCCGAGCGTACAGCTTTGATTTTCTCGTCAGTTTGGTTCTCAGCCCATGCCTTGAAATCATCGAACGCTTGGGTCGAATCATTCTTATGTTTGAGGAAATAGGCGCGGCCAAGACCGGAGTAGTCGTCAAGAAAGCTGATGAAGTAGCGCCATCCACCAATAGCGGTGGTACGCATAGGACCGTCTTCGTCGGTATGAACAATTTCAAGAGGTTTTGAAGCTCTCTTGTCCGACGCGGGAAATGGAGCACGATGAGACTTGCCCCATTGACAACCTGCACAAGGAGACTTGTCCTTGTCACCGATAGAATCCACACCCTTGGTGTGCTTGGGTAGTTGACGGATAACTTCTTCAGACGAATGTCCGAAGCGTTGATGCCAAAGGCGAAAATTTGACTTGTCCGCAGACTTAGCCAATTGCGGTTTCATAATTTCCATGTGCAACATATAGAGATTGTTGAAGGGCATGTGATGCGCCTCCATGATCTTGTTACCACGGATTCGGTCAGAACCATGCAAAATAGGTTGGTCAAAAATGACCATACGGCCTCCACCTTGAACAAGGGTGAAACCTGAACGTTCAATAACTCCAGTTGAAAATAGGCGACTAGACGCGGCAGGGATATATGCGACATTGGTGATAGTCGACACAATATGTTTCCCTTCAACATGCACAACGCCTTTGATAGTGCCTTCACCGTAAGCTGCAATCTTACTCTTGCCGGCTG